TTGACGCTCGACGACAAGGCCTGTGACGGCCTACGTCTCAACAAAGCGCTCTACGGCCTAAAGCAGTCAGGCCGCGCATGGTGGCTCGAGTTGTCGCGCGCGCTAGACGAGCTCGGTTTCACCCGGTGTCCTAGCGAGTGGGGAGTCCATGTTCGACGTCGCAAACACGGCTCTATCGCCTACGTCCTCGCATATGTCGACGACATCCTCATCTTCACGCACGCCAAAGCCGAGGCTGACGACATTATTGACGCTCTACGCAAACACTGGGTTTTGACCGACCTAGGGGAGCCTACGCAAATGCTGTCGCTTGCAATCGCGCGCGATAGAGCAAATCGCACGGTTTCTATCAGTTCAAAGGCGTATATCGAGTCGTTAGTCGTCCGCTTCAAGCTCGACAAGGTCAAGACTGGTCGCTACGCGCCGCTGCCAACAGGGGAGGCACACCAACTGGTCCCCGCAGACGACAACACGCTCGTCGACGCTATTGACAAGTCGCTCTACGCTGTCATGGCCGGTTGCGTCGTCTGGCTATCAATCACGTGCAGGCCGGACCTATCCTATCCGGCAACCATCCTTACGCGCGTCCAGCACGCGCCCACACAAGAGGCGATGAACATGGCTCGACGAGTACTCAACTACGCTGCACAGACACACAGCTTCGCACTGGTTCTCGGCAACAAGTCCCCCACAGACCTCATACACGCATACGCGGACGCCGACTACGCAGGCTGCGTCGTGACGAGGCGGTCCACCTCTGGATATGTCGTTTACCTCTATGACTCGCCGATCTCGTGGGCATCTAGACGCCAAGGCTCTGTAGCAACGTCTACCACCGCCGCCGAGTACATCGCAACGTCAGAAACCGCTGCAGAGGTACAGTGGCTGCGTCAGTACCTCACAGAGCTGTACATGTTCAAGCAGAAAGAGCCAATCACCATCTTCGTCGACAATCTGTCAGCTATCGCAATCGCACGCAAACCTGTGAGCTTCCCTTTGAGCAAACACATCGACGTCAAGCACCACCATGTGCGTGAGCTTGTCGATAAAGGCGTAATCACGCTCAAGTACGTGGGAACCGCACAGCAAAAGGCAGACGGAATGACGAAAGCGCTCGGTGGTACACCGCACACGCTAGCGACGCGCGCACTGGGTCTCAAGGACGTCAAACACCTATAATAGACGTTCAACGACAGCGCAAGAGTGTTCCTCATCTTCTCAACAGCATACCTCGTGAACACTCGCATATCCACCTCGATCCAGCACATCCCGCGTCCACATCTTTGACTTCCTCAAATTTCGCCACTTTCACGCTCAATTCGCCACATTCATCCACACTTCATTGCATATCACGCTTCAAACAATGGTCATGCCCCAGCAAGTCAACGCACCAACCCCCGTGACTCAGACGGATGCCAACGGCACGTCGAGCGACTCCTCAGACAGCAACAACGGCCAACAGGCTCAAACGCAAAGCTCTAGCGAGCAGGACGACACGTCCTCCAGCGGCGAGATTGACTTCCACGACTGGGATTCCATTTCAGCCGGCTTCTACGACGTCGACACGATTGGCTACAATGACCAAATGCACCATCGCAACGGTTTCGTCCACGACATCCATGGTGACGTGCGCAACGCAGACGGCTCAATCCACCGCACTTGGGCGTCGCTCTCGACGGACCTGCGCACGATAGACCACCTCATTGACGGTAATGTTCGGCTCTTCCACGAGTCCATTCCGTTCCGCACGCACCAGCAACACCTTGAGGCCTACGAAAGGGCTCACCAACGCCGCATGGACGACCGTCTCATTGAATACCTTCGCGGCGCGTATCGTTGGCCCTCAGAGTTCGAGTACCCTCCTAACAGCGACCCCGACAACGTGGGCTTTGCCCCTATGCGCTTCACGGGGGTGTGGGAGACCTTGCTTGCTTCTCCTGAGCCGAGCACATCCTAGCTCTCGCTATCGAGCAAAGCTCTAGCGTATGGTGCGCTCGAGGGGAGTGTTAACATTAGGAAAGGGACCATTTGACCGTTTCTATTGCTCTGGCTCGTTATTAGGTACTGCTCATTGTATTCATGCTATGCAGACTTGTTCTCGTTACTCTATCCTCTATCGACCTTTCCAACCTACTACGCATCCGCTTGCAGCGTCTGGAGAGTGCTACGAGTCTCCTCTTTACATACATACTGTCAGTTCCTGCTACCTGAGTTGCAGCATGTTATGAGTGAGGTTCAACACTTTGTTCATGCGGCTGGTTGAAGTCATCGGGATTCGCCCGGCGTTCGATTCGTCGAATCGCTGGAGACGGGCTGGCTAAAACAGTGGTTGCTGTAATGGGAAATTGGGAATCTATGGGAAATTTGGAAATTCGAACAGTTGGTGGCCACCAGTTGTTCACACACTTTTGTTTTCACGCTCCGCCTTTTAGTTCGATACAGCGAACATGTAACAAGTAAGTACAGTACAGTACTGTGATGCATGAGACCCCTTTTCGGACAGTTAGCAAAGATTAAGACAGTTCAGAAGTAAGCGTTGAACGACAACCTGGTTACATTATAAGGGTGCCACTATTAATTCGTTGTTAAGGTTCTGCTTCCAATCCATCAGAAAGTAGCAGAATCCCTCTGAACCGACTCCAGGTCACTGAGCTTCACTGCTCTCCAAACAGGTGTGCTTACACACGCATGCTATGGCACGCTACGGTGCGTGCAACGAGTCTTTGCCACCTCACCTGCCTCGTCTGACTGCGACTGGGCGGCCCGAAACTCGGAGAGATCCGGGCCGTTCGCGGTTGGTCTTCTGTTCTGTGCGCGCGCAGCTCTGGGCGGCATGGGTGGGATGGATGTGCCATGCAACCCTACGCGATAAACACGATGGCGAGGCACCAGCCCGCCAGGCCCACCCCAAACCCCAGCGTGTTGTGTTTGCCCCAGAGGCGCGAGCGAGGCGCGTTGGACACGACACGGCGAGCAGACAAACCTGGGCAGCCTCCAGCCTCCACACTGTCACCTCGACCGTGGACGTGTCTGCGATGCAATGTCCCCTGCGTCTCGGTACTTGGTACACTTCGGCTGCTGTCTCGGTCTCTTTCGCGCTGGCCCTTGCTCACAATGCAAGCGGGTGGGTACACAGAAGTGGACGGATGGCTTCGGCCACCACCGTAAAGTCCTCTTTTGCCGACTGGTTTCTTGCCGAGATTGCAAGAATGCCCAACTGCGCTGGCCTCCACAATTCCACGAGCTGCCCGGTGTTCCTGTGCCATTGCCGCGGCCGCAAGACACGTGGGGATGGCGGGCAGCGTCCTTGTCGTTCTGGAATAGGGCCCAGAGGGCAGGTGGTTCACAGCCAGTGCGCGTCTTGTATTGGTCGAAGCTCACACACCGCCCGAAATCCGCCGCCCAACTGCGCTGGCCGTGTCGATGTCCAGCCGGCCGCTGTGCATAGGGGGCTATGAATACTGAGCTTGCCATCACCCATCCATCACACGACAACATGGGGACGCGGATGGCAGGGACTTCAACCCCGAGATTGCCCTGAGGTTTGCGCGTGGATTTTGCAGGTTGTACGTTGTGATGCGCGACGTCACGACGGAAATGAAAGGGATGGGGCCTGGCAGAGCTGAGCGGACGAGAAAGGCCGTTCCGGGGTCCGGACGTAAGATTAGGAGTCGCGTGAGCTTCCCCAATCAGTTGGCACATCATTCTGACCGTTTTGGTGCTAAACCGCGGTGCTTTGGCCTATTCTCGTACGGCCCGAGGACCGACCTGGATTTGTGTGGTTGCTGGCAACGTCTTGGCCGTGTGTTGTACTGGATCTGCCTTGAACTGGCTCGAAAGGCAGAGTCGACTCGTGACAAGCTGTCCGGTATTCAAGTCGCCGTCAGCGGAGATCCACTCGCTAGTGGGATACAGAGTGTAGGTGACAGGGTTGCCGTTCAAGATGCCTCAGAGCAGCCCAAGAGGCCCAGAGGAATCTGTTCCACGACTCCACCTTGACGTGTGATGGAGCCATTGCCGCCGGGGGGGAGGCGACAGTTGGCTGCAGCTGGTTTGGTGTCGGGCCACGTTATCGCTTGTATCCGGTCTGGAACTGGGACCCTGCTGCAGGATCTGCGCCACAGCGCGCGACAGCAGAGGATAGGCGAGCAGACAGCCTTTGCAGCCCGGAACCCCGCCAGAGGTATTTTGCAAATTATGGGTCAGGCAGCTGGCAGCGGGCATATGCCTGCAGGCAGCAGAGCACAGAGCGTCTGGTCAGCGTGGATGGAACGGGAGCGATTGAATTCAAAATGTAAATTGATTAGAAATAATTTAAATCGATACCTCCACCAGGTGTGCCGCCTTTTCTAATGGAGCAATAGCACACGGGGACCGCGGATGATACCGCGCGCGCACGGCCTGGCCCGCGCCTGGGAGGCGTGTGAAGCGAGGGCACCGGCTTGTTTTTTTGCCCCAACCGCGATCATGGGTCGTTCGAAAAAAAATAGTCCCGCCATCGAGACCTGGCTGTGCTTGCCGATGGGTGGGGGGGTGCGTCGTTGTGGGGGAGCAGCGTCAATGATTGGGGAGACCTGGCGAGCAGCGCGCGGGTGAGTCGTCCCACTGGGGGGAACAGACGAGGCGCTCCCAGCGTGTCGATGCGCGCGTGTGGGCGGGCGCGCCGCGCGTTGGCCCCGGCGGTTTATAAAGATCCACAGTCCCACCATTCCACCTCTTTCTTCTTAGCTCTTGTAGCTTTAGTGATCCAGGACCGTTTACGACCTCCCCCTCCCCTCCTCCTCTCTCTCCCTCCTCATTCCTCCTTCTCGCCTATCTACCTAATCGCTCGTCCCTCGGGATCTTGCCAAACGCACCCCCACCCCTACCCAATCTCGTGAGTGTTCCCCCGTCGGACAAACCTAGCGCTTCAGCCGGGCCGCTCCACCATCGCTATCTCTTGTTGTCACACAGCAGCAACTGACGCTGCACCAGCTACTACATTCTTTAGATTAATCGCCATGTCGACCAAAGGTGAGTCACATCTTGTCGCTGCAGTGGAGTCCTTTTTCGTCGTGTGGAAGGTCGTGGATCCCACCCGCCCCAAAGTGGGAGGCGCCCTGAACCACAGCTCCACGTCTTGCGCTTTGCGTCCCTACTTCTGCTCGCACTGGATCACGTCGTCTATCCGACAATGACCGACAGTGCGAGAGCGTAGCTATGGGACTACGGGGGCCTAGGCCGTGGATATCCAGGCTGCCATGCGCGTCATACTGGCGGGTGGGGTGTAGGTGGTCGTGGCAGTGGTGGCGGATTTGGTTCCGTCATCATTCCGCCGACATATTATCTCCTCATCCAACATCTTGCAACACCTCTCTACTCGTCTGCAACTCCTTTCTAACAACGATAGCGATCCGTGAGGCCGATGCCAAGCAATTGGTCAACTACTGGCTTACTCGCTCGCCCACTCCCATCGCCACCGTCACCGAGTCGACTGCGGCTCCCGTTCGCGTCGCCCAGATCCAGTTCGACGACGAGTCGAAGCAGCTCACCCCCACTATCAAGCCTGGCCACGGCCTCCCCGACTGGGTCTTCACTGAGAAGCTCGTCGGCAAGCCTGACCAGCTCATTAAGCGCCGTGGAAAGGCCGGCCTCCTCAGCATCAACAAGGGCTGGGAGGAGACTGGCGCCTGGATTGCCGAGCGTGCCGGCAAGCCCGTCAAGGTCGAGTCTACCACCGGTACCCTCAAGACCTTTATCATTGAGCCTTTCCTCCCCCACGCTGCCAACACCGAGTACTACGTCTGCATCAACTCGACTCGTGAGGGTGACTGGATCTACTTCACCCACGAGGGTGGTGTCGACGTCGGAGATGTCGACGCCAAGGCTCTCAAGCTCCTCCTCCCCGTGAACAAGGCTTTCCCCACCCGTGAGGTTGTCAAGGAGACCCTCCTCGGCGCTGTTCCCGAGAACAAGAAGGATGTTCTCTGCGACTTCATCGTCCGCCTCTACGGTGTCTACGTTGACCTCCACTTCGCCTACCTCGAGATCAACCCCCTCGTCTGCCTCGACCCCGTTGACGGCAAGCCCGCCGAGATCCACTACCTCGACATGGCCGCCAAGCTTGACCAGACCGCCGACTTCCTCTGTGGTCCCAAGTGGGCCATTGCCCGTGACACCACCACCGCCCCCGCCGCCGGTGTCAAGGCCGACCGTGGACCCCCCATGGTTTGGCCCGCTCCCTTCGGCCGTGACCTCACCAAGGAGGAGGCCTACATCCAGAAGCTCGACGCCTCGACCGGTGCCTCGCTCAAGCTTACCGTCCTCAACCAGCACGGTTCTGTCTGGACCATGGTTGCTGGTGGTGGTGCCTCGGTCGTCTACTCGGACGCCATCGCCGCCGCTGGCTACGCCCACGAGCTCGCCAACTACGGCGAGTACTCGGGTGCCCCCACTGAGGGCCAGACCTACGAGTACGCCAAGACCATCCTTGACCTCATGACTCGTGGTGAGCCCCTCAAGGACGGCAAGGTCCTTATCATCGGTGGTGGTGCCGCCAACTTCTCGGACGTCGCCGCTACTTTCAAGGGTATCATCCGTGGTCTCAAGGACTACCGCGAGGGCCTCATCCGCCACAACGTCCGCATCTGGGTCCGTCGTGCCGGCCCCAACTACCAGGAGGGTCTCAAGGCCATGCGCCTCTGTGGCGAGTCGCTCGGTGTCCCCATCAAGGTCTACGGCCCCGAGTCGCCCATCACCGCCATTGTCCCCATGGCCCTCGGCCTCAACAAGGCCCAGTCGGCTGCCATCTCGCGCACTGCTTCGTCGGTCGACATTGCCGCCGCTGTCGAGGCCTCGGCCTCGAAGCAGCCCCAGCACGGCTCGGAGAAGGCCCCCGTCGGCTCGTTCAAGCTTAACGGCGAGCGTGAGCAGGCCGGCGACCAGATCGTCCACTTTGAGGCTGCCAAGGGCCCCGCCCAGCGCCCCTGGTTCCGCCCCTTCGACGAGACCACTCGCTCGTTCGTCTTTGGTCTCCAGCCCCGTGCCATCCAGGGCATGCTCGACTTTGACTTCTCGTGTGGCCGCAAGACCCCCTCGGTCGCTGCCATGATCTACCCCTTCGGTGGTCACCACATCCAGAAGTTCTACTGGGGCACGAAGGAGACCCTCCTCCCCGTCTACACCACCGTCGCCGAGGCCATCAAGAAGCACCCCGACGTCGACTGCGTCGTCAACTTTGCCTCGTCGCGTTCGGTCTACTCGGCCACCCTTGAGATCCTCTCGTTCCCCCAGATCAAGTCGATCGGCATCATCGCCGAGGGTGTCCCCGAGCGCCACGCCCGTGAGATACTCCACCTCGCCGAGGAGAAGGGTGTCATGATCATTGGCCCCGCCACTGTCGGTGGTATCAAGCCCGGATGCTTCCGTATCGGTAACACCGGTGGTATGATGGACAACCTCATCTCGTGCAAGCTCTACCGCCCCGGTTCGGTCGGCTACGTCTCCAAGTCTGGTGGTATGTCCAACGAGCTCAACAACATCCTTGCTCAGCAGACCAACGGTGTCTACGAGGGTATTGCCATCGGTGGTGACCGTTACCCCGGTACCTCGTTCATCGACCACATCCTCCGCTACCAGGCCGACCCCGAGTGTAAGCTCATCCTCCTCCTCGGTGAGGTTGGTGGTACCGAGGAGTACCGCGTCATCGAGGCCGTCAAGAGCGGTGTCATCACCAAGCCCATCGTTGCCTGGGCCATTGGTACCTGCGCCAAGATGTTCACCTCGGAGGTTCAGTTCGGCCACGCCGGCTCGATGGCCAACTCGGACCTCGAGACTGCCGACGCCAAGAACCGCGCCATGCGCGCCGCTGGCTTCATCGTCCCCGAGACCTTTGAGGACCTCCCCGACGTTCTCAAGGTTGTCTACGACAAGCTCGTTGAGAACGGCACCATCGTCCCCAAGCCCGAGCAGGAGCCTCCTCAGATCCCCATGGACTACCAGTGGGCTTCCAAGCTTGGCCTCATTCGCAAGCCTGCCGCCTTCATCTCGACCATCTCGGACGAGCGTGGCCAGGAGCTCATGTACGCCGGCATGCGCATCTCGGACGTCTTCAAGGAGGACATTGGTATCGGTGGTGTCATCTCGCTCCTCTGGTTCAAGCGTCGCCTCCCCGCCTTCGCCTGCAAGTTCATCGAGATGGTCCTCCAGCTCACCGCCGACCACGGACCTGCTGTCTCGGGTGCCATGAACACCATCATCACTGCCCGTGCCGGCAAGGACCTCATCTCGTCACTCGTCGCCGGTCTCCTCACCATCGGTGACCGCTTCGGTGGTGCCCTTGACGGTGCCGCCGCCGAGTTCTCGCGCGGTGTCCAGTCGGGTCTCTCGCCCCGCGAGTTTGTCGACTCGATGCGCAAGGCCAACAAGCTCATCCCCGGTATCGGCCACAAGATCAAGTCCAAGACCAACCCCGACCTCCGTGTCGTCCTGGTCGTCGACTACGTTCGCAAGCACTTCCCCTCGCACCGCACCCTCGACTTTGCCCTTGCCGTCGAGGACGTCACCACCCAGAAGTCGAACACCCTTATCCTCAACGTCGACGGCGCCATCGCCGCCTCGTTCTGCGACCTCCTCTACGGCTGCGGCGCCTTCACCGAGGAGGAGGCCACCGAGTACCTCCGCAACGGTACCCTCAACGGTCTCTTCGTCCTTGGTCGTTCCATGGGCTTCATCGGTCACTACCTCGACCAGAAGAGCCTCAAGCAGCCCCTCTACCGTCGTGAGTATCCACCCCTTGTGGCACTGGCGTGGTGGGAAATGACCGGCCGCGGGATCAAAAAATGATCGGCGGTCGAGTCCCACTTCCACCTCGACCTTGTTCCTTCTCCTTCTCCATCTTCACGATTTTTTCGCTCACACTAAAAGACCCGGCCGACGATATTTTCATCAACCTCGCCCAGGGCGAGCGTGGCCTCGTTTCCTCGGTCTAGACGACTCCCCAGGCATCGTAGGAGCTCGAACGAGTCGTTTCCGCTCGAAAAAGGAGGGAAAACAGTCAAAGGAGAGGCGTATCCGCCTGGTCCCATGTATAGAGATAGACCCCGATGAAGTAACTGTGAATCATTCCAGCAGACTCCTGCGACGCAATGCATGGCGGAGAGCGTTGCATGGCAAGATGGTTGGAGGAAAGAACAAAACCACGATGGGTGAGGCGTGAGTGTTCAAAGTTAGCGGATCCGTTCGGTGCCACTCGGAAGTTAATCAATTCCCCAGTCATCTCAATCTGTTGGGCTTTCTCAGGTGACTCCTTCCATCTCAAACCTCTGTCCACTGGCTCTTCACTCGCGCGCGGAGCTGATCTGGAAACGATACCGTTTGTACACTAGCGGCGCGCTGCATTGCAACCGCCCCAAACACAGGACGACTTCATCACTGGATCACTGGCCATTGGTGTTGTCGTTGACAGCTTCTCGCCCCAAAGAACCAGATCCTCCGTGACGAGGCTGACCATACCCATCTAGCCAGATGAGACGAGACGTCGAGTGGTCCACGTTCCATGCCACATCTCATCTGGCTAAACAGATATTGTCAGCCTCGCCAGTCTGAGGAGTCTGACGAGGGACCTATAGAAATTATAATCTACAATAATGTACAGAACGTCACACTCTCGTACTCTCGAACGCTTAACACATGGGGATGTACAAAATGCTACACTTGAACCTGTTTTTGCCTTTTTTTTTTTCCTTTTTATACCGCAGCCATTAGCAATCTCTCATCGTTTTTTGCGCTTGCCCAACGAGTTGCCTCCTGTTGTGTGGTTCTGACTTGTGACAAGTGGCTCTGGGTACTTCTTACCCTTTTCGACCGACTTCTTCTCAGACTTGCACCAAGTCGCAGCCGTCTCGAGATCAACAAGCAAGAAAGGAGGGGACGACGGAACAATGTCAATGTCCACCATGGTCATACGAGCCTGTTGGTACACCAGGTCTGGTGGGCAGGGCTCGGGAAGCTGACGGGAGACGAGAGATTCGAATATTCCTACCCACTGCTGTTGTGTGAGCCCGTTCAAGTGCGCTTTGGTCTTCCAGGTCGACAGGTGCGTCAACACCTGGATTACGACCTTTGCTCCCTTGGAGACCTTGGTGCCCTTAAACTTGCTCTTCACCTCATTCAGCAGATTAGCTGCCTCCTTCACCTTTGCCTTCTTGAGCTTGCTCACCGCCCGTCGGGGCATGGCTTTCAGCTGTGTGGGTGTAACCCCAAGCCATCGCAGCTTCTTTCCGAGGCCGAGGCCACGGTAGTCCTGAAGGTGCGATGTCGCCGTCTTTGAATAGCCGTAGTAGAAATTCAGAAACTGACGGGCACCACCCACGTCGCAATCCCAGATGCCAAAAACCTTGATCTTAGGGAAAAGATCGACGAGATGGCGCAGAAACTGGAGAGTGCTCAGCGTCGGATAGCCCTGTGACTCCACAATGACGCCGGGTCCCAGCTGACGACGAAATCGATCGTACACTTGCTGAACCTTGCTAGTCCACGAGCAGAGCTTTTCAAGGACCAGGACGAAACCGACACCCTTGTTGCCGTTAGTGTCGATCCTGACCAGCTTTTCATCAGCAGGGACTGTTATCGAGTTGGACTCAGACAAATTGATGGGCTGGGTGTCACCGAGGCGGTAAAAACTGACAGCGTTAGAGAAGACCTGTGCTGTTGGAATCCGGCTGAGGCCTAGATCCTTTCGTCTGACGCCAATCGTGCACAACAACCGGTCAATGAGGTCGTACGCCGCTGACTCGTTCTTAAGAACGCCCGCGTGGCAATAACGGAGGTCATTGTAGTACCGGAATTGGACCGCACTCGCGGGGAACGACACTCGGCCGAAGCCTGGCGCTTCCAGAGACGACTCTGACCAGGACATCTGATGGTCTGACGACGGGGCTGCTGGAGGCGCGGACGGCATATCTGAAGGATCTGACCACGGTCCTGACTGAGAATCTGACGCGGGCCTGTCAACCTCCACCCTTTCGATTCCCTCAAGGCTCATTAGTATCGCCTGCAGCAAGCAGAGCAGCTCATGTAGGCTTTTGAGGTTTGCTATGACCCATTGCCTGTCTTTTCCCTTAGGCAGCGGGTACACGTACTGGGCGTGCTTGACGAGGTTGCCGCTGGTGAGGTTCCTCAGGGAAACAGTGATTTCGTTAGTAGGGTCATAGGTACCCTGCAGCTCCATAAACCGAGAGCAACCTCCCAGGATAGACCTGGCGAGCTCGATCAGCAGCTTCTGCGCGTGAGTGTACCTTCCATAGGCACAAAGAGGCACTTGGGTTCTGGAAGGGGGGACAGGTGGGGGGAGTGATGGCGTCAGTGGACGAAGCTCCTTCTGACGAGCGGAGATCGACGAGACTTTGTTCGGCGGGCGCATGGGAGCCAGCGCCCGCCTTCCAGGCGTAATTTCACGCAAGGGAGGGGTGGCAGGGGTGGAAGGGGGGAGGGCGGCCAGCACAGCTGAGCCGGAACGGGAGGAGGAAGGGACAGGAAGAGGGTATGGAACGCCGCGGAAAGGCGTCGCCGAGGAGAGGGATGTGCGCGGCACCACCCCACGGGAGGCAGGGGTGGGAGTGCGCGGAGTGCGATTGCGGAAGGTGGTGGGTGGCAACATCGTGTGGCTGGATGTTGCCAGGTCCGGTTTGGAAATATGGATGGGGATCGATGGGTCAGTGAGGGGAAGTGGAAATTGGAAAGAAAGCAAACACGACGCGTCGGCGTGTTTGGGTCATTCTTGCGAAAAAGGGGGGGTTCAGACAATGTCTCGTCGGCCACACCACACCGGCCATCGAAAGCTGCATCATCGTATGCAGAGCGAACGAGTACTGTACTGCTCATGCATGCCGTAGCATGCATGTGTACACAAAACATGGTAGAAGCTGTTCTTGAAGACTGTCCTCGAGATTGCCTCGTCGATCCCTGGCCCCTGGGCCCCTGCGTTGTTGCGAGGGGGCGTCCGCCATCACAAGGGGCACTTCCCATTGGGAGTGGTAAATACCCATCGCACATGACACTGTCTGCGCCTCTGTCTCGTCTGCACCTGGAGGCTGGAGGACCAATGATTGCACCCTAAGGGGTACTGTAGGCGGGGGATAGTGTTCTAACGGGTGGTGGCTTGTGGCCTAGTGGGCCGTAGGATGGGCCAGAGGTATTGTCGGACACGACCATCGCCAAGCGCCATTGGGCCCCCAACCAGTCGTGGCAACAATTTGAATCACACCTCCGTGCGGGGCATCCAGTCTAGCTGTTCATCAAAGGGACGGTACTTACATGATCATGACCTCTTCCTACGGGTCCGGATGATCTCCATTCCTAAGCAGCTTTCAGCACAGCAAGGAGGGGTGATGTATAAGACGATACAACGCTCCGCAACTCACCCGCTGAACACCCTAATTGAGATTGCATATGAGGTGTGCCTCCACCCCCCTCACTCTCTGCGAGACAGCGACAAGGAAAAAAAACAAAGGTAACCAAGCAAAAGAACGGTGGAGACATCGAAACAATCAAAACGCTCAAACTGCGGCCAGTCAGTTGGTTGGCATGCTTGCGGGTAGCTAGACCTTCACACACTACTCCTGAGGAATGTGCGGGTGAGACTGGGAAGATTTTGTGTGTCTTGGCGACTGCTAAATAGTTGGTAGTTGTTAGTGGCCAGCGTGCACTGTCATTCTCATCTCTGGCCTCGGCACTCCTGTGGAGCTGAGGAGGCGCGGCTGGGCACGGTTTCGGCTTTGTCCATTCCGCTGGCGAGCGGACGGAGGCGGAATGTTTAATGTGGCATGGGAGTGGCAGTTGGGCGAACTGCATTCCTCGCCACACGCTGCCTTTCAACATGTACAATACTGTACTATAGTGAACCGTGATATCCAACACAGATCGTGCCCATCACAAGTGACTGAATGCGGTCGACCCGCAAATCCCAAGGAACGCTGCGGTCCACCTGAACCCCAAACTGGCATCTGAGGTGAACTCTGTTTACGAAACCGCCAGAGTGCGACGCGCGTCAACGCCGACGCGTCGGGTTCAATATCTGCACGCGACTCTAAATTCCGCAAAACCGACACACCGAAATGCTGTCGCTGCTCACTCATCCATCTGCCACTGACCGATCACTGACGGCGTGCCACGAGGAAGAAGGAAGGGGTCGTGGACATTGCCGGTGGCCGGTGGCGTGCACACTGACGGCCCGTGCGTTCGGCAAATGGCTCGGAGGATCGCCCAGGAAGCACCGCGCCGACATTCTTCACACACACACACACACACACACACACACACAAAAAACAGACGCTTGCTGTCTTTTCCAGCTTCCCATGTTCTCTTGACCCCACGCTCCCACCTCTGATGGTATGATGGGGCTTGGCTGATGGCGCGGTGAGAAGCGATTGGGGAACGACAGCAGCGTCCAGCTTCCATCACACGGCCTCCAAGAGCCTATACTTAACGACTGCGCTGCACGCCATCCCACCCTCGTCCATCCCTAGCGCACGAAACTCGAACCCTGCTTTAACAATCTTGTTCTTGGCAACAGTTTCAATCTCTCGTCTCGACTGCCCTCCTCACAACTCTCGCCTCGTACTCTCCTCTCCCTCTTTCCATGACCGCTCCATCCCCGCGCGTCGCGCTGGTCCTGGCGCTCACGCTCCTCCTCGCCACCCCGGCCGTCGGGTCCGCGACGTCGGCCAAGCGCGGCCTGGCATGGGCCAACGGCAAGTGGGTGCCCATGGACGCATTTGACACGTCCAACACGTCCATCACGTCCTACTACACGTGGACGCCGACGCCCGTCTCGGGCGCGCCGTTCAAGTTCATCCCCATGCTGTGGGGCTGCGACGCCGACCACATTAGCGAGTTCCAGTCGGCGCTGGCCAACAACTTTTCCGGCGCCGACCTGACCGACGATAAAGTCATCCTGGGGTTCAACGAGCCCGACATTGACTCGCAGTCAAACTGCACGCCGGCGCTGGCGGCAAGCGTGTGGCAGGAGTACCTCGAGCCCCTCAAGAAGAAGGGGTACCGCCTCGGCTCGCCAGCTGTCACCGCCGGCCAGTGGGGTAAAGCGTGGCTGCTCGAGTTTTACGAAGAGTGCGGTGGCGGGTGTAACCCCGACTTTCAGGCCGTCCACTGGGTGAGTGCAGCTGAGAGAGCTTGTTCTGGACCTGAGCTGACACGGGGCAGTACGACATGACCGTGGACAACTTCAAGAGCGTCCTGGTGGGATACTACGATGCGTTCCAGCTGCCCATGTGGGTGACCGGTGAGTCCATAGCTTGTTGAGCTCCCCGACCCTACGGGCCGAGCTCACCCTTTTGCCAGAGTACGCCGTGCAGAACTTTTCCGACAACCAGCATGGCACGGACGGTAACGCGCAGGCGACGCAGGCCCAGATCAACAGCTTTATGACCACGACGCTTAGCTGGATGGACAACCAGTCCTGGATCGAGCGGTACTTTTGGTTTGGCGCAATGTACGAAATGGTGAGTGCTGTTCTGTGATCTGTGTGAGGAAGCCTGCCTGGTCGTGTTCCCAATTTCCTTGCTTCATGCTTCGGGAGGTTCGGTCCTGTCCGAAGCAAATACGTCATGTTGCCATGCGACATGGGGTCGGCGTCCCATTCATGCGGATATGGCTATCTGGATCGCAGCTTCGCAGCCAAGACAACGCCAGCAGGGTCCACCACCCCATCCTGCCAAGACCTTGGCCCCAACGACCTCGTGCTACGACCCACCACTCGGACTCTGCTGACACTGTCCGCAGCAGGGCGTCAACGACTACAACTGCCTCTTCAAGCTGGCTGACAACGTGAGCCGCACGGGAGCCCTGTCGGCCTTGGGCAAGATGTATCTCGACGATCCGACGGGCATCAGCTACGCCAGCGGTGCGGCGAGCAGGCTCCTCTTGCCGGTCGCTGCTGCCGACTTGTTGCCCATCACGGCGGCGATCGTGGTTGCATTGTTGTACAGCTCTCTCTAGTGTTCACAATAACGTGTAATGTAGACTCCTTCTCTCCCGCTCTCTCTCCCGTGTTTGTGTGTGTGTGTGTGGCTCATGTGGCCAGCTCGTGTTGCGATTTTCAGAAAAATGGTAAGGATGTTGACAACTTGGGGGTTAAGGGGGTCGATGACGTCGCCACCGTACCGCCGTGCTCGGTCTTTCAATCGTTCACTCGTTCCACTCGTTCACTTCTTGCGCTCGCCCGCGATCAGAACACGCGCCCAACGCCACGACACACGCGACACGGCCCATCGTCAAAGAGGAAGAGGGACATCTCCTGGCCACTGCCTCCGCACCGGTAACACAGCCTGCAGAATCCGTCAGTCTCGCCACTGCCATGTCTCCCCATGGGGGGCGAGTTCATGCGTCCACTCACTTGCCACCGATACGGGGATCGCCAGGCTGCAGAACCAGAGCATTGGGCGGCGGTGCGCGTCCGCCATAGTATGTCTGGTGGATCACGGGGCGGTTCTGCTGCTGCATCGGCTGGGGATGGCCGCCATAGTACTGCTGCTGGTACTGCTGCTGCTGCTGCTGCTGGGGCCGTGATGGGGCTGCCGCCTGCTGCTTTGGAAGGGGCCGCTGGAAGTTGTTGGCGGCTGTTGTCGTGCCGTTCTGGCCCGGCTTGATGGCCACAGAGTACGAGTGGGCAAGCGCACCGTTGAACGGCTTGCCGTATTTCCGCCAGTCGGACGTACACGGGTTCTTTGGGTCGTTGCGCTTGTAGCCCGTGTTGCCGCACTTGGAGCAGTAGTGGCCCTTGGGATACACGAGGAGGTTGCCGTCGCGCAGGAGCGGGTGGCCCGGGACGGGAGCCTCTGTCGGCGTCGCATCCTGGGCTGGCGACGGCGATTGACTGCCTCCCGCCGCCGCCGGTTGTTGCCGAGGAGGCGGCGGCGCCGTCGTGGGCGACGCATAGGCCGCGCCGGGGTAGCCTGTGGGGGACAGCGGCGACGCCGGGTGTCGAGGAGGCACGGGTGGCGGTGACCACAAGCCAGAACCTGCGGCGCCGGCGTTGGTGGGCGGCGGAGGGGCGCCAGCAAATGGGTTGGTCTGGTGGGCCGTTGGGCCATAACCCATGCCAACACCTGGGACGGCGAATCCGCCTGTTGGGGAGGGCTGTACTGGGCTCTGCAGTGGCACATTGTGCGAGGACATGCGGTCTGGCATCGGTGGTGGGCCCGAAAAGTCCATGCGCTGCGGGCCGGCCTGGACAGTGTAGTCATGGGAGACGGCCTCGTATGCGGGCGGAGCCTCGTCTGGGATCGTGGGGTCGAGAGACGAGTCTTGCCGTTGCGGTCTGACGGTGGGTGATGGGCGCGGGGGTGCGCCCGTTGGTGATGCGTAGGACATTTTTTGTTTTGCTTTGCTGGGATGGATGTGGAGTGGACAGAAGCAAAGGGAACAGATGGGATGCAAACGAAAGTCGATGGCGACGCCGCCAAGATGGCCAGCGTCATCGGTTGCGGCGGTGTGTGGGTTGTAATGTTGCTTTGAACTCGTTTGTAATGCGGTGCCCCAGGTCCTAAATATGGGCCCGTTTTGCCTCCGCTTGTGGTTTGCTGCTGCTTGTGTGTGCGGCTTCTGCATGGCTGTGCGCTTTCTCTCGTGTGCATGTGAACGGACTTGTGCGGAGGCAGAATGACAGAGATCAGAGATCAGAGAGAGCATGTGTGCCTGCGTGCATGCGGTGCAGTCTCTAGTCTGTGATGGTGGTGCAGCGACACTCTAACGGGGGTATACAATGGTGCTCAATGCACGCACATGGCCGTGTCCCTTAGACAACACGGTCACAAGGGCGCCATACGTGAGCCACCACCACGGCAGGGAAAAATGGTGTGGCAAGCAATGCACAGAAAATGGCATGCATGAATACATCACAGCTGGACACATGTGACCACACAGTTACTGTGGTTCACCGTGTACAGTCACACATTGCTCACACCCACCCATGCATCCCATCTGCTGCTGGCATATGCTGTGGACAATACCCCCTTTCCCCCCCCCCCCCGCCCCCCTGGGTTTTCCCTAATTCCCCGTCGTCGTTCGACCGTGTGGGGTGGTCTTTGTTGGCGTTTCATCCTCGCAACCCCCAGCAGAGGGAGGCTTTTTGGGTCCCATTTTGTGCTTTTGCCGTCTACCCTCGTACACACCTCGTCTCCCCTCCAGCAGCAGCAGTGTCGTCTAGGAGACACACACACACATACACGGGGGGTTCCAGCCAACAGCTCCTGCATATCTCCAGCTGTCTGGCTCTGTGTGCCTTTTGAAATTGTTGGCCGGCTGTGTGTGCCGATCGCCGCCCGCCTCGCCGCCGCCCGTTCCACCCAGGCCACACCCCTTTCCCGCCCGCCATCTCATACATCCCACACACCTCTTCTTCAACACATTCATTCTGTACCATTAACCTCTTCCCACTACCTCCCCACCCCCCAACCTCCCATCGGCGAACCCGTTCGACTTGGCCGCCATGGGCCTCTTTGGGCGCTTACGAGCGTCGTCGAACGCTGCAAAGGACTCAAAGTCGTCCGACGCATCGTCGTCCATAGCAGGCAGCCCACACACGCTGCGACGCTCGCCGTCGACCTTTCTCTTGTCGGCGTCGTCGTCGTCGTCTGGCACCACAGCAGCAACCTCGCCCTCTAGAGCAGACCGCGCATCGGGATCCACCGTCGCGTCCACAAGGCATTCTCGTCTGCCATGGAAGCGTGACAAGCCGCCAGCGCTGCCACCACTCAACCGCGACACGACACCAGTGACCTCGCCTGCCCGTGCCCGTGCACCGTCAGCCGCTGCCGTCGTCGTCCCGACGATCACCACACACGAGCCTTCACCCCGCAAGCTCAACCCACCACCACAGTCGTATCCTTCACATGCGGTTATCAAACCCATCCCGCCCTCAATGTCGCCAGACGGCTCACATACACGCAACGCTTCGCAGCAGACCGTCGTTTCATTGCAGAGCACGTTCACGGCACATTCCAAGGCCAGTGACAACTCTGGCGAGTGGAAAAAGGAAGGCGGGATCTTGGGGAAGCTCGGCTTTGAGAGCGATGACTGGAACCTCGAGCGCACCACACAACCATCCACGTCTGGAGCGTCCAGGTCATCGTCGTCGGGACGCACAGAACGAGACCGCCAACGAGAGCGCGAGCAGCAGCAGCAGCAGCAACAGCAGCAACAGCCGCCGCCTCCGCCGCTGCCACGCCAACCTGGCAGGGCTCCCGGACGTGACCAGCAACGTGAAACATCGTCCTCCGGTCCCGACGCGCACCCCGTTATCCCCAAACGGTCTCCCATGCGCAAGATGCAAGCGCTTTCGGCGCCTACCCTCTCCATCAACACGAACCCGGCCATCAACGTGCGGCCCACGTCCACCGTCTCGGCAGCAGACACGGAAGACACCGTAGAGGAGATTCGCGCAAGCCACGAGCAAGACGATGACAAGAAGGCGTTCGGATGGAAGAGGGGAGTGCGCAAGTCAATCGACCAGGTGAGAAAACGTCGTGCTGCTTGTCTCTCTCCATGTTGGACGGTGCTGGGCTAACGCAATGTCAATAGGCACCATCTCCACCTCCGGTAACGCGTCGTCCAGTGTCGCACGTTGGAGGCGACCGCCCCGCTCAAGTTCGTCGTCCGTCGTCTTCTCTCTTCCACAACCCCTTTCAAAAGTCCCAATCCCGTGTCTCGCTCGCGTTCGACCTCGATTCGCCAACCGTCGACGATGGTTCGTTCCAGCTCAAGGCGTTCCGGCACATCTCTGGAGCGTCGGACGCTGGAGAAGGGTACGACCAGTACATGTCACTGGTGGGTGCAGCAGACCCGACCCCACCCGTCACACCCAATCCTCGGCATTCGCAGGAGATTGGCTTGGGTTCGCCGCTCGCAGCACCGCGTCCTCGCCCGCCAAGTGCCGCCGGATCAGTGGACTCTGGGTCGCGCGTGTCTGTCGCGGCTTTCCGCAAGGGAATCCGTCGCCCCAGTTCCTCTGTTCTTCTGGACGGGGCCGACGACGACGACGACGATATCCCTCTGTCGCTGAGCCGCGCCAAGTTGGGCGGCGGAGGCGGTGGTGAGCACCCGATCCTTAGGCGCGACACTTCAGCCCTTTCCCTCACGGACGCGCCTTCACCTCCTGTGCAGTCGACAGTCTCCCTTGCGCCTGCATCGCCGACGATCGAGTCGCCGCGCGGACCGAGTCCTTCGAGCAGGAATAACGCAGACAAGCGCCACAGTCCCCACCCTCCATCTGCAGCCAAGGCCTTTGTTGTCCGTGGTGGCAAGTCTTCACGTTCGACTCTGGACGACAAGAGTGAAGTCAGGCCGACTCCCAAGTACTCTCCAGTTCCGCCGCGCCGGGAGCGTCTTCCCTCACCATTGCCCGTGGCAGCTGTGGACACTTCGCCACTCCCCAATCGCGGCGCTTCTCTCGCAACTCCCGTCAACATGAGTAACGATACCATTTCTCTCTCGTCCCCACCTCTCACTCCCACCAATGCCTATGGTTCCAATGCCGCATCTCCTCATACCTCCAACCGCAGGCTCAGCATGTCTCCAACCCCGCCTCGCCCTGCACCGCTGAGGATACCCGAGCCACAGGTGACGTCCGTCGACCTAAAGGACCTCAAGCTTCCGCCGCGTCCAAGCGAGCTCGATGACGAACCCCTCTTGCCTCCCATGCGGCCCGACTCGCAGCCTCCCAGCCGCGGTTCGCCTCTTCTCTCGTCCTTGTCACCTGTCATTGATGAGAATGTCCGTCGCATCTCGGGGCTCTGGGGTGGCGGTGCTGCTTCGCCCCACAGCGAGGACAGCTCCAAGGAGGAAGGCTTTGACCCGGCCGTCGCAGCAGCACATGCCTCCCAGCCGAACGGGGCTCGTTCACCGGATGGATACCTTACGCCCGAGGGACAGCTGTCGCCATCTGGCTCCAACGCCAGGCTGAGTCTCTACGACCGCCTGTCGTCTGTCACGTCGGTTGTGGGCTCGACTGCGACCAACGTCGTTGCCAATGCGTCCTCGGCACTGAACGGTTCGGAGAGGCTTTACATCCCACCCTTGCCTGTGTCGCCCGAGCGCAAGACTGTGCAGCCCGCCCTCCTCAGTGCCTCGCCGGCCAGTGACCGGACTGCGTCACCCGCACCTGTGCCGCCCATGATGGACGCCCCGCCTGTGCGACCTGCCATCGTACCTCACTCGAGCTTTGGCGGTTTGCGCAAAAAGGCCGCCGAGAAGCCCACAGCTAAATCCAAGGGATGGGACAGCAGTTCCGACGAGGACGACGACAAGAAGAAGACGCCGCCAGCGAGGAAGCCACTGCAGATTGCTCACCCGGCGCCCAAGCATGCGCCGCGTGACCGCATCCCGTCCATGATCGCTACCAACGAGCCCGACATGGAAGAGATCACATCGGACGACGAGGACGAGCCCTTGACACAGGTCCGCTCCAAGTCGCGCAGCTCGTTGCGTCCGTCCGTCTCCCGCAGCTCGCTTCGCCCCACCATGTCGCGCCCCGGGTCGCGCTCGTCCATGCACTCTACTCGATCGCTCAAGACCAGCCCGCAGCCAGAGGTCGTGCCTCCGCTGCCATCGTCTCGCCCCGGTGGCCGTTCCTCGGCTCCTCGTCCAGCCTCGTCCATGACGATTATGAGCAATGGAACCAGCTCCACGACCAGGCCGATGTCTACTCACACTGTCACTGGCGCGTCGGCCACGCGGCCCCTGTCTACGATGACTCTCCAGTCATCGTCGTTGACTGCAAGTGCTTCCAAGTGGTCGCTGTCGTCTGCCGACTCGCCCAAGGACACGAGCTCGGACGAGACACTCGCTCGCTCTCCGCCCATCGGCCCCCACTCGCGCTCTGGTGGCAAGGTGCCTCGTTCGTCTGTCAGCAGCGACAAGCTCCGTGCACCCCCCGTGCCCATCCTCCAGCAGCCGTCTCCCCGCCACGACGCCGTGTCTACCTTGTCAGCCGCTGGCGAGACCCGCCACACCGCCTCGCCTGCCTCATCCCGGTCGGGTCTCACGGGCGACTCGCAGGGCCCCCAGCCGATGACACCCCGCTCCATGGAGGCGGCGCGTCGTTCCTGGGCCCCCGCCGACGGTCCTCGTCCTCGCGGACAGAGCGATGGCCCTGCCGCGTCTCGCCCGGCTACGGGTTACGGCGACTGGACCGGCATGCCTGGCATGCCTGGTATGCCAGGTATGCCAGCTGGCTTCCCCTACCCTGGCATGGACATGGCCTCTGCTCAGGCTGCCGCGATGATGCAGCATCAAAAGCAGCAGTTCCAGCTCCAGTGGATGGCCGCTGCCCAGCGCCACTTTGACGACGCTTGGGAGCGCGCTTCGAACGTCTCCAACGCCCAGACCGTCAGCGGCATGTCAGGCCCCTCGTACGGCTACAGCTACGGGCCCTCTGTCCCCTCCGTCTCTGCCTTTTCTGGATACGCTGGTGTACCGCAGCAGGCGTTCCCTCCCGGTGGTTATCCGTACGGTTTCCCCTCGGGTCCATTCCCAGGAATGGGCGGAATGCCGGGTATGATGGGCATGCCAGGCATGGGAGGTATGCCTGGCCAGATGCCTGGTCAGATGCCTGGTCAGATTCCTGGTCAGATGCCTGGCATGGGCATGCCACCCGGTATGCCTGGTGCCAGCATGTACGGCTACGCACCGCCCGCGCAGTCGGTGTACGGTGGCGAGTTTGGACCCCCCGTCGTCCCCTTCCAGCGCGACGCCGGCCCCCCATCCCCGGCAACAAGGCGTACCCGCCGCGGCTCGGGCGCGACAGAGCTCGGCGCCTCATCCCAGCAACACCGCGACCGCGACCGCGGACAGCACCCGTCCCAGCGCCCCGCGTCCGTCGCGCACGCCGCGCCCATGCCCCACTCGGCGTCGTCCGCGTCCCTCACGGGCAACAGCGGACCCACCCCACGCCGCTCCCTCCCGCACCAGCCGTCCCAGCAGCAGCTCCACTCGCGCCGCATGAGCGGGCTGGCCATGAGCGAAGTCGGCGGGCCTGGCGGCCCTCCCTCCAGCTGGCGCCGGGAAGACAACGACGCCACCCCGCGCAAGCGCGTCACCAACGCGTCTTAATATAACGAACCACCCAACCACCCCCCCCCCCCCCCCCCCCCCCCTCTCCTTCATTGCACTTTCCCCCATCCCCATAGTATAACGTCCTTTGCACGATACCCCCCACCACGCTCCCCTGGCGGCAGCACACCCCGCGCATTTTTCACGGACTTTCTTTCCCACCTTGCCTCGCCCAAGCTCCAACTTACATACACACAACACAGCGTTTGCGCGCGACCACAGCGGAAGCCATCCACGATACACACTTCCCTCCCCCACCGAACTTTTTTTCTCTCTTTCTTCTCCATACTAGCGAAAACGTAATTCATGTTCGCCCTATCTCTCTCTCACACACACTCTCTCTCTGGCGCGCGTTCTCTTTCATGTGGACTTGTGTCTTATGCATCTGTCTCGCCTCCACCCGTCGCGTCCCGTCTCGTCCCCGTCTCGTCCTTGTTACACAACTGATGACATATTCTCTCTCGCCTTTTTTGTAGGAAAAAAAGCATGAAGAAAGGGACAAAGAAAAAAAAAATGAATGGGAAAATGGCACACAATCAATCACTACAACTCGATAAGGAGGGCCTCCTCGCGCGGCGCCGGGGGAGCCGCCGAGACTGGCTGCTGCGGCTCCTGGAACCCGGCGGGGGCCGCGGGAAACATGGACGCCGTGTAGCCCGGGAACGGCTGCTGCTGCGGGGCGGTGTACTGCTGCTGCTGCTGCGGCTGCTGAAACTCGTTGGCCCATGGATTGGGCGTCGAGTCGGCACGGACAGGCTGGGGCTGGGCCTGGGGCTGGGGCGGAGCGCTGGGGAGCGCGGCCGTCTCCAGGACGGGGCTGACGGCCAGCGGCGCCGACGCGACCACGGGCGAGGCGTAGCTCGCGCTCCGGGCCGGCGCGCTCGGTGCGGGCAGGGCGCTGGTGGTGGAGCGCGGGGACATGCTAGGGTGGGAGGCGAGGTCGACGGGCGGTGGGGCGGAGGGGACAGACTGGGGCTGGGGCGGCGCCGAAGGTACCTGCTGCTGCTGCTGCTGCTGCTGCTGCTGGGCAACCTGTTGGGCGTGCTCGTAGTTTTGCGGTTCGGCGACATAGGTGTTGGGGAGAACGGGAGCGGGTGCAGACTGAGCCGAAGGCGACACGGGAGCAGGACCAGGAGCAGCGTACGATGCCTGGCGCGAGGTGCTTGGCGGCGATGACCACTGGGGAGCGTACTGCTGCTGCTGCGCGGCATGAGGAGCAGCCTGGTACGGCTGCTGGTACGCGCCATACACCGGCATGGCAGGATACATGCTCGGCGCTGAGGGGGCGGCCTGCGGTTGAGCCTGAGGAGGAGCGGCCTGGGGAGGCTGCTGGTACTGCTGGGGAGCGTAGCCGTTGGCGTAGGGCTGCTGGGGAACGCTGTAGCCTGGGTATTGCTGGAAGCCGTAAGGGTATCCGTACTGCTGCTGTTGTTGCTGCTGGGCCAGCTGGTGCCTCTGAGCTGCCTGCTGCTGGGCCTCTTGAGCCTTGCGCTGGGAAAAGGCCTGCTGGCCGTCCAAAATGCTGCCGTACATCGCCACAGCCTGTGTGAGCTTGGCCTGCATCTCGGCGAGCATGGCCTGCTTGGTGCTCTTCTCCTCGACGTTGCGGTAGAGCTTGGGACCAATACCGTAGGCCTGCTCGTACAGCATATGGGCCTGGGGGAAACGACGCAGGTCGCGCTCGCCATAGGCAGCCATTTGGTCCAGCGTGTTGGAAAAGGTCAGGATCGTCTCGGTCTCGCGCGGAGCCAGGTCAAAGGTCGGCAGGGGCTTGAACTCGAGCTCCTCTGACGGCGCACTGGGACGGGCACGCTCCATGTCACGCAGCGATGCCTCAATCGCCAGACGCAGCTGCTCGTCGTCGTCGTTCACGGTGCCGTTCTTGTACGCAAGTGGCGGTTCCGAAGGAGCTCCAACAACATGGCCAGACTGAGCCTGGAGCGACAGCTCGATGGCGCGCTGCAGGTCGGCATCATAGTCTTCACGTGTGCGCCGTGTGCGGCCTGGGACGGCGGGGGCAGGCTTGTTCTTGCCAGCCTTGATCCAGCAGCCCTCGCAAACGCGCACCTCCTCCTTGATACCAAACTTTGGCAGCGGCATCAAGCGAGACGAGCACGCCTGGTCAAAGACCAGACCACAGTTTCGGCAGTGGTGTTTGCGGTTGGTAAACGTAAACGCGGTGCGACACCGCATGCACACGTCCGAGTCAACCCAAGTCGGTGCGGTGATCGTGTCGATCATGTGTGTCGACGAACCAGTCGGCGGTGGGGGAAACTTGACCCCCGAGTTCTTGAGCTCGTGGTAGACGTCCACAAGGAAGGCCAGGTCCCTCCTCGACTCAAACGCAAGTGCCCACTGCTGGAACATGCGTAGAGCCATCGTCTTGACTTCCGGGTTGGTGCCGTGCGACCGTATCACAGACGACATTTCGTCTACAAACTCCTTGCTCGCAATCTCGCCCAGGAAATGGTCGCCACCGTTCTTGATACAGGTATCAATGAGCTAAAGAGACACATCGTCAGCAGGGGTGTATACATGTGGACACTGATAGGTAGACTCACACTCATGGCATACATCTGCACACGGGCGTTCTTGCTGGCCACACGGAGCTTGAGAGCTTGCATGGCGGGCTTGGGCTGCACGGCTTTGGACCTGATCATGTCGGTGATCTCGAGGTTGAGCGACATGTCCTCGCCCTGCGGGTATGCAAGCTTCATGGGTGAACATGCTTGCTCTGTATGAGGTGTCAGCGACTGAGCCGCAGTGGGCGAGGCATAGCGGCGACACCGTGGCAACTCACCGACCAGCTCCTCGTACTGAGGGTTCGTACTAGAACCCCACAGCCACGACATGGTTAATTGTATGCGAGGGAGGTGCGCAACAAGAAGCCTCCTCTATGGGTGGTGGGCAGTTGATGGAGACGGGACCCCCCTTGAGCAGAGAGACAAGGGCTGCTGATCCCGGTTCAATGGCAGCCGATCTATTGGGCGATGGTGGTGGCGAGGTCGTGAATGCAGACTGCGTGCAGGGCAGGGTGGCTGTGGTGGCACTGAGGCTCCTGCTGGGTCGTCTAGAGGTGTTCGTGAGGGGGAAGGGGGAAATGTGGTGATGCAAGTGAGAGTGAGAGAATGACAAAGCGTTTGAGCGAGAGAGAGATGCAGAGCAATACGCGATCATACATCCACCCACTGCACTGGGTGGCCAGACGATGACGCCGCGCGCATGGCCCAGCCCACAGCCCACAGCCATCAGCCAGCCGCCGCATCAGGGGAACCACACGGGCCGGGCCGAAGAGTGCCACGACCGCGTGGCTGCCTACGGTGGTGTCGGCGTTTCAAGCGGGGTTATCCCGCTCGGTGCCGCCTGAATGCAGCAGCCTCCCCTGGCTCCGCGGAGCGCTGCGATGCGCGCCACCTCAATCAGCGGCCAACTGCAATGGCCTTGTGCCCTTGTTGTCATCCCCACCACCCACATCCCCCCGCGCATCCGCTTCGTGCTCATACTCTAGAGTACGGCGTGCACGGGAATTCAAAAGAACCAGCTCTACCCCCGCCGACAGCACTGGCGCAAACAACGCCTGTCGGCCAGTTCAGAGTGGAGGAGGGATCAACACACCCACCGCTTTGAACCACAGAACAATCACCAATTGTTCCCCTCCCTTCCCCCCCACCGACTCCCCCCTTCTACAACCTCCAACGTACCTGCGAGCGAGCGACAGAGGCCTACAAGGACCGTCGGCGTCGGCATTGATCGCAGCGGGTACCACTCGCGCATCTCGAACCGTTCCGCGACGCGCGTTTCATTGTTCCATTGTTCCTCTCCCTTGCCACCGGTATCCATTGCCCGTCAACTTTGCTGAGTGGACGACAGAGGATTGCGTGACGTGACATTTGCAGAGAAGAAGAAACGTGGAGATTGTCTACAGCCCAGAAGCGTCTCCTGTGTAAACAACAATCGTGCCCAACATGACGGTCACTTTCCCCTACTCTTCCGCCCCCGTGCGGCAGATCAAGGAGATCCAGTTCGGTGTCATGAGCCCCGAGGAGATTGTGGGTTATTGGGAGATGACTGCCGAGGCCTAACACACGTTCTCAGAAAGCGTACTCGGTCGCAAAGATTGAACACCCAGAGGTGATGGATGAGAACGGAAGGCAAAAGGTTGGAGGTCTCATGGACCCCAAGATGGGAAGTAAGTGGCCAGCCCTGTCCTAAAATGCAAGGACGGCGGCTTACCTGCAGCCATCGACCGCAACTTCAAGTGTCAGACCTGTCTCGAGGGCATGGCAGAGTGCCCCGGTCATTTCGGCCACATCGAGCTCGCCCGTCCAGTGTTCCATGCCGGCTTCATCGTCAAGGTGAAGAAGATTCTCGAGTGTGTGTGTTACAGCTGTGGAAAGCTCAAGGTCGACACGGTGAGTTCAACGTGATGCAGGGCGAAACTGACGAGCAGCGCGACCCTGCTGTTCAAAACGTTGTTCGTCGCATCAAGCCTCAACACCGTCTGAAGGCCGTTTGGGCGATCGCAAGGCCCAAGATGGTGTGTGAAGCCGACTCGCTCGAGGAGGAGAATGGCGACAACACCAACGAGGACATGTACAACGACGAGAACAAGCCGGGCATGCCCAAGGGCCACGGCGGATGTGGTGCCGAACAGCCTCAGTACCGCAAGGAGGCTCTCAAGCTCATTGGTGTCTTCAAGCCGTCCAAGGACAAGGGCGAGGAGGGTGCCGAGCCCGAGAGGAGAAACATGCCCGCCGCCGAGTGCTACAACATTCTCAAGAAGATTCCCGACGAGGACCTCCTCATCATGGGTCTCAACGCCGAGTTTGCGCGCCCCGACTGGATGATTCTCACTGTCCTTCCCGTCCCTCCCGCCGCGGTTCGTCCCTCCATCTCGGTCGACGGTGGCTCCATGCGTTCCGAAGACGACTTGACGTACAAGCTCGGTGAAATCCTCAAGGCGAGCGCCCAGGTGCGCAAGCTCGAGGCCGAGGGTGTGCCGCCAAGTGTCGTCAACGAGCACTACGATCTCCTCCAGTTCCACGTCGCGACTTACATGGACAATGACATTGCCGGTATCCCGCAGGCTCTGCAAAAGTCTGGCCGTCCCGTCAAGGCTATCCGTGCTCGTCTGAAGGGCAAGGAGGGTCGTCTCCGTGGAAACCTCATGGGCAAGCGTGTCGACTTTTCCGCTCGTACCGTCATTACTGGTGACCCCAACATTCAGCTCGACCAGGTCGGCGTGCCTCGCAGTATCGCCATGATTCTCACCTACCCGGAGCGTGTGACACCATACAACATTGTCTACCTCCAGCAGCTCGTCAACAACGGTCCTGCCACCTACCCCGGTGCCCGCTACTACGTCAAGGACACTGGAGAGCGTATAGACTTAAAGTACCGCAAGTCGGGCGAGCCCATCTCTCTTCAGTTTGGCTGGATCGTCGAGCGTCATCTCAAGGACGGCGACTATGTCCTGTTCAACCGTCAGCCCTCGCTCCACAAAATGTCCATGATGAGTCACCGCGTCAAGGTCATGAACTATTCTACCTTCCGTCTCAACCTGTCCGTCACCTCGCCTTACAACGCCGATTTCGACGGTGACGAGATGAACTTGCACGTGCCGCAGTCCGAGGAGACTCGCGCGGAACTCAGCCAGATCGCATGGGTCCCCCGCCAGATTATCTCGCCCCAGGCCAACCAGCCCGTCATGGGTATTGTGCAGGACACTCTCTGTGGTGTGCGCAAGTTTACTCTGCGTGACTCGTTCTGCGACTGGGCGTTTGTCCAAAACCTGTTGCTCTGGCTGCCAGGATGGGACGGTGTCGTCCCCCAGCCCGCCATCTTCAAGCCCAAGCCCATGTGGTCTGGCAAGCAGCTCGTTTCGATGTGTATCCCCAAGGGTATCAACATCACCTTCCGCAACAACGAGAAGCCGTCTTGGATCGACATTTCCGACGAAAACGTGCTCATTGACAATGGAGAGATCATCTTTGGCGCCATCATCAAGAAGATGGCTGGTGCCCAGAGTGGTGGTATCATCCACGTCATCTTCCGCGAGCTCGGGCACATTGCCTGTCGCGACTTCTTCTCGGCAATGCAGATGATGGTCAACTTCTGGCTCCTGCACCACGGTTTCAGTGTCGGTATCGGAGACACCATTGCCGACGGCACGACCATGGCCGGAATCAACAACCGTCTGGCCGAGGCCAAGACGACCGTCCAGGACTTTATCAACGAGGCCGAGTCGAACAGGCTGAAGCCCAAGCCCGGTATGACGATCCGTGAGACCCTCGAGGCGCAGGTTTCCAACGAGCTCAACAAGGCTCGTGACTGGGCCGGTAAGACTGCCCAGGACAACCTGAAGGAGGACAACAACGTCAAGCAGATGGTGGTGTCTGGTGCCAAGGGTTCGTTCATCAACATTTCGCAAATGTCGGGTTGTGTCGGACAGCAGATTGTGGAAGGAAAGCGTATTCCCTTCGGTTTCCGTCACCGCACACTCCCCCACTTCTCCAAGGACGACTATGGACCCGAGTCGCGTGGTTTCGTCGAAAACTCGTACCTGCGTGGTCTCACGCCCCAAGAGTTCTTCTTCCACGCCATGGGTGGTCGTGAGGGTCTTATCGATACCGCTGTCAAGACCGCCGAGACTGGTTACATTCAGCGACGACTGGTCAAGGCCATGGAGGACCTCAAGGTCGGCTACGACGGTACTGTGCGCAACTCGAACGCGGACATTATCCAGTTCCTGTACGGTGAGGACGGCATGGACGGCGCAGCGATGGAGAAGAACTCGCTTGACATCATCCGTCTCTCGAACGCGCGCTTCGAGAAGAAGTACAAGGTCGACGTTATTGGCGGTGCTGCCGGCTTCAAGGCTGGCATCCTCCAGGCCGGCATTGACCAGTCTTCGGGCGAGCTGCAGGACCTGCTCGACATTGAGTACGGTCGCCTCGTTGAGGACCGCAGACTCCTCCGCGAGGAGATCTTCACCGACGGTGCCTCGTCGCACCCACTGGCTGTCAACATTTCGCGTATTATTCAGAATTCGCAGCAAATCTTCCACATTGACCCGCGTGTCCCCAGCGACCTCGACCCCATGTACGTCGTCGAGACGCGTGACGCTCTCTTCGACCGCCTTGTCGTCGTCCGCGGCAACGACTCGATCTCGCTCGAGAGCCAGCGCAACGCCACTCTTCTGTTCGGTATGCTTCTGCGCCAGTCCCTCGCGACCCGCCCCGTGCTCGAGGAGTACCACCTGAGCCGCGAGGCGTTTGACTGGGTCGTGGGAGAGGTCGAGCAGATCTTCAACAAGGCTGTTGTGGCCCCCGCGGAGATGGTCGGCACCCTCGCTGCCCAGTCCATTGGTGAACCCGCCACGCAGATGACGCTCAACACCTTCCACTACGCTGGTGTGTCGTCCAAGTCGGTCACCGGTGGTGTGCCTCGTCTCAAGGAGATTATCAACGTTGCTGTCAACATTCGCACTCCTGCTTTGTCCGTTTACCTCGAGCCCCAGTACAGTCGTACGGAGCGCGACGCGCACGAGATCTCGCGCAAGCTCACCCACACTCGTCTGCGTGACATTACTGCTTCGGTCGAAATCTTCTACGACCCCAAGCTCGACTCGACAGACATTGAAGAGGACCAGGACTTTGTGGACGCCTTCTTTGCCATTCCTGACGAGGACATTCGTCTCGAGCTGCACTCGCCCTGGCTGCTGCGTCTCGAGCTTGACCGTCCCAAGGTGCTCGAGGGTGGTTACGAAATGTCCGACATTGTCGCTGCCATTGTCAACACTGTCGGCAAGGACGTGTTCGTCATCCACTCGGAAGACAACGCCGAAAAGCTCATCATCCGTATCCGCATCGTCGCGGCTGAGAAGGAGGAAGAGGACCTGCTCGGCGACGAGGACATGTTCCTCAAGCGTATCGAGGGTACTCTTCTCGACCAGGTCGAGCTCGGTGGTGTTCCCAACATTACGCGTGTCTTCATTTCAGAGGGCAAGACGACCCCGATCTCAAAGACCGGCGAGTACGACAATGGCAAGGAGTGGTTCCTCGAGACGGACGGTATCAACCTCAAGGCTGTCATGGCCGTTGACGGTGTGGACCCCGGCCGTACCTACTCGAACAACTGTTACGAGGTGTGGGAGACTCTTGGTATCGAGGCTGGACGCAACTGTCTCTTCAAGGAGATGACCAACGTTCTTGAGGCCGGTGGTTCGTACGTCAACTACCGCCACTTGGCGCTCCTCGTCGACCTCATGTGCAACAAGGGTTCGCTCATGTCCATCACTCGTCACGGTATCAACCGTACCGACGCTGGTGCGCTCTCGCGTTGTTCGTTCGAAGAGACTGTCGAGATTCTGCTCGAGGCCGCAGCGGTTGGCGACGTCGACGACTGCCGCGGTGTCGCCGAGAACGTTCTGCTCGGCCAGATGGCCCCCATGGGTACCGGCGCGTTTGACGTGTCGCTCGACCTCGGCATGCTCAAGGACGTCATCGTCGACCACCGTCTGCCAGTCCAGAACATGATGCTCGCGAGCAACATGGGCGGCATGACTCCCGGTGGCAACATGACCCCTTACGACAACCTGTCGCCCATGTGGAACGGCGGCGGTGCTGTTGGCGGTGCCGCCTTCTCGCCTATGCAGACGTCCAACAACGACGAGTCGGGCAACTATGCCTACATGAACTACGGCATGTCGCCCATGGCCGGTGGTATGTCGCCTGCAGGCTACTCGCCGACCTCCCCGATGGGCTACTCGCCCACGTCGCCATTTGCCGTCACATCACCTACCTACTCGCCCACTTCCCCCTTCCAGGGTGGTGCTTCGCCTTGGGTGCCCCGTGGTGCCGGCAACTACGGTGCGACGTCGCCGACGTACTCGCCCACCTCGCCGCAGTACTCTCCCTCGTCCCCGCAGTTCTCCCCCACCTCCCCGAGCTTTTCGCCGTCGTCGCCCACGTACTCGCCTGCCTCACCGGCCTACGCTGGCGGCAACCGCACGAGCCCAGGCTACTCGCCGGCTTCACCTGCGTACTCGCCCACATCACCTATGGGCGGTATCACCTCGCCGCGCTATTCGCCCACGAGCCCGCAGTACTCGCCGGCGTCTCCCGCGTTCTCCCCCACGTCCCCCGCGTACTCGCCCACGAGCCCGCAGCCCTTCCAGGCGACCTCGCCAAAGTACAGCCCCACGTCTCCGCAGTTCTCGCCGACGTCGCCAACGTACTCTCCGGCTTCGCCAGTGTACTCTCCCACGTCTCCGACGTACTCGCCGGCCTCGCCTGCCTACTCGCCGACGTCGCCCGCCTACTCTCCCACCTCGCCCCAGCAAGGTGGCCAGAACGGCGGTGCCAACCCCACGCAACAGCAGCCGCGTCCCGGTTGGGGTGCCACCAGTGGCGGCTACGCGTCGAGCCCTAGCTGGAGCAAGCGCGAGTAACGAGAACAACGCAAGACAATGGAGGGGGACAATTGGTTTGGAAAAGATGGAAGAGTGAGAGAGAGGGAGTACGTGTGCGTGTGATCGAGAGAGAGAGAGGCAGAAAATAGAGCGAGAAACACCCCAACAATCTTGAGAAACCGAGCGAGTTTTTTAAAGGGCGTATTGCGCGAGCCTGCTGTCGCGCAGCGCCGTGAGGCCGAAGAGAATTCGTTTCCCATTGCATGGGCAAGGCCCAATCATTCATTGTACCCTTGCTGTCGGCCCACACAATGCATCACTAGAAAATACAGCTGCAGCGAGCCAAGGGGAGTGGGACTGGAGTTGAGTCGTGTGGCGCCACCCTAAACGTTGCGCGGCGGAAGCAGATTCGCGACCTGAATCCACCCAACAAGTCACTGCCATTCCGCACCTTCGTGTCGTCCCACTCTTCCTCTACATCTACTCTTTCGCCGGGGGTAACCCCCGGCACAAGAAAATTTGGAACGATACAGAGAAGATTAGCATTGCCCCTGCATAAGGATGACAAATTTGAAATCAGAGAGGTCTGCTTCGGCAGAAATATTTTTGGACAACGAGCGCGGACCATACAACTGCTGACCAGGTGGGAGATGATCATTTCTCACCAACCGTTGCCTCGATCGCTACAAAATTTTGCATAGGTATAGTAGAGCATGTACATATATTTACAAGGTAATTTAGCATTTATTCATAAACTCTGTGGTCCTCCAGGGGACATCTCCTTCGAAGCCCGTCTTCGACATCTTCTTGCTCCCCTGAACCTTCCCCGTCACCCTGGCCAAAAGGTTACTCGACCTCCTTCGAGATCAGGCTTCTGCGTACACCGTAAGGGAGTCGAACCCCTGCCGCGTCGAGCTTGCACTTGGCAACGACGCATGATACCGTTTCACCAACGGTGTAGATGTGTACGAGTGAACACTGTCGTCGAGCGATAGCCGTAGCAGCCTTTCCGAACGGAGATTGAGGTATATTCGCGAGCCCTGTCGGCCCACAGTGTTCTTGTGATGCCATGCGCCTGGTTATTGGGTATTCAGAGCGTAATAATAGAGGGAAGTTTGCGTATGGACGTACAGACGCCAGTTGACAAAACTTGGGGGGCTCATGGAGGTTGGTACGACATAGGCCCTCCCTCCTCGTGGAGGTGACCTGGATCTATGAACCCGTCAACTGGCGCTATGGACATACTGTTGGATACCCATATGGAGGAGTGGTGGCCAGATATCGATGGTGCCCTCTCAAGGTGCCACCAGCATGTGTATTGGCACCAGCAGCCTTTGGAGTCAAGACATACCCTATGCTCGCCACCAAGTGGACCAAGTTGTCTGAGGCAACTATATGCATATCGCAGACCACTGCTGCTTCGCGTACCCCGCGTACTCGACGAAGCGCAGATACGGTGTCCATCTCCGTCATCTGGCGGTGGTGTCGCGGCCACGTTTCCTGCCAACAGGGACTTATGCACTTGACCAAATCTCGCGCGGTATTCAGTCCGGCGTTGAGACGACCCTTGTGAGGCGGTCTCGAACCTGTCTACCAAGCCAACAAATGCCGCCTCAATGTCGCCCGACAAAAGCGCCTCCATGTTGGCTTCGTGTACGATTTCATGGCGTTTCCACCGGGTGAGAGATTCGGGAGCGCGGATGGGCGTGGTAAGGCGCTGGTGTCTACCTCTGGTAGAAGTGCCAAAACAGCTTTGGAGACTCATCCCATGAAACGTCAACCTGGGGAAACAACACTCACGGTTCATTCAAGTACACAGTACCCGCACGTGAAATGAACGGGGTCTCGCCATAAAGTCCGATTCTCGCGTCGTCATCGTCCACGGCACCAGACCTTGTCAATACCAGATTGACATGGGCCCTCCAAATGTCCAGGTCCCATAGTTTGTCGCCGTCCTGACCAGCCTCCACAGCTAGGTATGACAACCATGCCAAGGCGTTGGCGAGCGCTTTGCGGTCGACCCCATGACGTTTGACAACGTTGTTGATCTCGTCATCGGTCCAAGGTGGGGGAGGATTAATCAGTCTTGGGTCCTTGATGGCCGGGGGTGGCTCAGTACTGAAGCAGGACACAGGGGGACAGGGGAAAGAAGAGGCGCACGCCGGCACTGTGGTGTGGGCCCACTGAGCTCGTCTTGGCGTCTACCTGCCCAGCGGGAGGGAAAACGTCCCAATGGAAGGGCCGGTATCTGCCATTTAGCCTATGTACGTGTGTCTGTAAGCTCACAGTAGGGATAATGGCGAAGAATGCAACAACAAGAGCGGCTGTGATTGTATCTTGTGTGTGTCTGGCGTCGCGACCGGCAGTGACATTACTTCCAGGTATTTTCTTATCAGGGGGGAGGGGGGCACCCGCTAAAAGGCCCGCTAATAGACATATCCTCTGCGATTTGTGAATACGAAACCTAGTTTCAAATCAAGCATGTGCACATTTCAAACAATGCATTCCGACATGTGAGGTCTATACCACCGCTGTATTTCTCTCATTGCCTTGTTGTAAGTACTTGATTGTCCCTATGGGCGAGGTACTAGAAAAATAAGATTGAGAAAATGAAAACTACACTTCACAAAACGCAACGCTCAGAAGAGAAGCTCAACAGCCTCTTCGGCGACAATGGCCCAAGCGGCAGCTTCGGCGACCAAGTCGGCCACATCCTCCATCACGTCCTCGACCACCTCCTTGGACTTTGTCTCGACCTTGCGGCTTGGCGCGACGTCCTTGCCGTGACCGACCCACTCGTCGAGCCAGCGGAGCACCTCGGTGTGCCACTTGACGCTGTTGTGGGCCTTGAGCACCCAGTGGTTCTCGTCCGGGAAGTAGAGGAAACGCGAGGGGACACCCTGGAGCTGGAGCGCGGTAAACGTGCTAATAGCCTGGGACTCGGCGAGACGGAAGTCTTTGCCGCCCTGGATGACGAGCTGGGGGGTCGCCCACTCGGAAACGTGGTTCATGGGGTTCCAGCGTTCGTAAACCTCGCGGTTGGAGAGGAGGGTGCCGCCAAAGTCCTGAGTAGGGAACCAGACTTCCTCGGTCGAGTAGAATGTGTCCAAAGTGGAAAAGATGCCGTCGTGGTAGACGAGGGCCTTGAAGCCAAAGATGTTGTGGCCGTTGATCCAGTTGACCATGTAACCACCGTACGAGGCGCCGAGGCCAGCAGTGCGCTCGGGGTCGATCTCGGGGTACTTGTCCAGCGCGGCGTGGTAGCCAGCCACAAGGTCCTGGAACGGCCTGTCGCCCCAGTGAGACTGGATGCGGTCGGTGAAGTCTTGGCCGTAGCCAGTCGAGCCCGTGGGGTTGACAGCGACCACAAAGTAGCCCATGGAGGCAAAGAGTGCAGTGTTCCAGCGAGTGGACCACGAGTCCTCCCACGCACCCTGTGGGCCACCGTGAATGAAAAAGGCAAGCGGGTAGGACGCAGGAGCATCGTCCTTGCTCCAGCCACGAGGCTTGAGCACCCAAGCCATGACACGCCTTCCGTCGACGCCCTTGAACCAGAGCTCCTCACCAGCCATGTCGTCGAGACGACCGCCAATGTGGGACTCGGCGTAATGAGTGATCTGGCGAAGCTCCTCATGGGGCATCTTGTCCGGGTCGCTGGGGCCATCTTCGAGATCGAGGAAGAAAATCTCAGTTGGGGAAGTGAGGGTCGAGACGGAGAGAAGGAAGTGGTCGTGCGACGACAGCTGGGTGATGCTAGAAGTGGAGCCCTTGAAGAGGAGAGGAGTCGGGAGGCGGCCGGGTGTCTCGAGGTGGTAAGGGAGGACCTTGCCGTTGTACTCGGCAATGAGGTAGAGGCCCTGCGAACGGAGGTCCCACACCACGTCCGACGGGGAACGGTCCCACTCGGCGGTCCAGCGCTCCGAGGAGCCAATCTTGTCTGCGTTCAAAGTGTGTACAGTGACAACACGCTTGTCGCTCTCATACCCGTCCTTGGCCATCTCGAGCCACACAAGCTTCTTGCCATCCGGCGAGAAGCTGAGAGCGGAGATGGCGCCGTGCGCAGCCTGCGTGAGGGTGAGGACGTTGGAGCGCGGGCCGGCCAGTGGGAGGAGGTACACGTCCATGCGGGTGTGGATGGCTGTGTTGAGGTGGGTGGGCTTGAGCGCGATGGCGAGCTTGGTCTCGGAAATGGAGAACAGGTCACTGCCAATGGGGTCCATCTGGGAGTAGATTCCCGTACCGTTGAGCAAATTGGTGTACTCGCGCGAGGCGGTAAACTCCTCGCTTCTGCCGTCAACCGACCGACGGCGGTTCAGCAGTGTCGACGCAACAGTGTAGACGCGTCCAGGAGTACGCCAAGTGTCCCAGTGACGCACAAACAGGTCGTCAAAGACAATACCAGAGTATCCACGGTCGGCCCAAGCGGCGTCGTGCTTTCCAGTGTTCTCAATGTCACCATCTTGCCAAACAGCCGCGCAGAAGGCCAGAGTCTGGGTCGTAGGCTCATACTTGAGGGAGCTGGGTTCGGAGCCCTCGGGGAAGTCAAACATCTTGAGCTGCTTGCCAGAGTCGGTTTCGCCCAGGCCGAAATGCCACAGCGCAGTGCCGTTGACATACGCCACGGTCTGGTTTGAGAGCCACACCGCCTCGGACACGGAGCCCGGAGACGCCTCGAACAGCTTGCGCGGGGGGTTGGTGGTCTCGGGCTCGAGGAGGTAGACCGAGCGAGTAGTCCTGGGAGGGGTTAGCGAGGCCCGTTACCAGTACATGTGTGTGACTGACAGGTCGGTCTTTTGGTCCCACTGGTCGACAAACGAGATGGCGAGCAGTCCGCCCGGCGCGGCGACGGCGGGGTGAGGGCGGGGTGCTGTGAGCATGTCGACCGGGGTGAATACATCGGGTGCTGCGGCGACGAGGCCCAGCGCGCCGAGGGCGACTGGCAGGAGTGTGATCATGGTGAGCGATGGATAGACACACGGATCGCGTCGGTTGCCGAGATATTGCCCATGTGAGGTCAGAGTGAGGTCATTGTGTGAGTGAATTGGGATGGGCGGGCCTAACAGAAATTATAGGCGCCGGTTTCTATGTTTTGGCCTATTGGACCTATCAATTAATAGGCGCCCAAACCCCACCCCCGTTTGCGGCCCACCCAAAGCCGTCTGCGCGCCCGTCCGCTCAAGGCCGTCGTGTCCGCGGGCGGCGCCGGCTCCGGCAATGGCATCCAACCGGCCCATGGGCTCGTTCAGTTTCCCTTCTTGTGCATCTCAGTCCGTGTTGCAACTTCTCTCCACCCCTTTTCCTCATCCCACTCGTCCCCCGCCCTCCCCTACCGCAAACACACAGCGCCCAACATGGTCACCCAGGCGATCCAGTCGTTCATCATGAAGTGCGTTCCCCCCTCACACATTCCTCTCTCCAGCCCTCACCCAGCCCGTTGCCGGGCTATCCGCGTTACCGTGTTGTATCACCCGACTAACATTTGTCTCCAGCCCGGCGCACCACGACGCGCTGGCCGTCCTCAAGGGCGCGCGTAACGGTCTCGTGTACGGTGTCAAAGTCCGTTTCCCCCACGCGCTCGTCATGGCCGCGCTGTTCAGCCACAAGCCATGGCCGACCCGTGTCCACGGTATCCTCTCGGCAACGCGGCACCACGCCATGTCGCTGGCCAAGTTTGCGACCATTTACAAGGTCATGTTGCTCCTCCAAAAGAAGCTCAACGGAGGCATCGAGCGTGACCTCGACACATTCATCGCGGGCGGTATCGGCGGCTGGTGGGTGTTTGGAGAGCGTACACCTGTGAGTAGTCGTGTGTCTTGGGGTGTGCTGTGCACGGCCTTAGGGGTGGTGTGCAGGAGGTGCGAAAGTGGTCCAAAAGGGTGGTGTGGTTCGGCGCCAGCCGCATTAACCGGCAAACCCATGTCGCATCTTTCCGCAACGTCGCGTCCATGGCGCCTCCATTCTAGCTCATGTGCACATGGGCATGTGAGGCGGCAGCCACCGATGTGCAGAGCGGCCAGAGCGGCACAGGCGCGCGCGGGTTTTGTTTGCTTGCATGCCCAGCGTCGAAGGGGGGCAACCATGTTGTCGATCGCGAACGATGACCCGCATCTACCGAAAGCAGCCATGCTGACATGCCTGTTTAGATCAACGAGCAAATCGTCCTGTACATCATGTCCCGCGCGATCCTCTCCTTGATCCCTCGCCTGTACTCGAACACAGCCAACCCCCCGCGTTACCCCATGCAGCCGCTGGACCACCCCCTCCCGGCGCTCACTTCGCCCGAGGCCAACCCCAGGCCCATCCCCCCCGCGCCCGTGCCCTTCACCATTGTGGCATCCCTGTCGTGGGCCATGATCATGTACATGTTCCGCCACCGCGGCGAGAGGCTGCAGCCCGGTATCGTCAACTCGATGCGTAAGTTGGGGGAAAAGCGGGAAGACAGGGTGTTGGCTGACACGGCGCAGGTTATATCTACCACGAGTCGGACACCTGGCACAACCTCAAGACGCTCTTCTGGCACAACAAGTAAAACCACACCCAACCAACGTGTGTGTTTGACGTTGCCTACAGCCACGGATCACGGGGATTCAGGCGCTGCACGAGCCACGGGTGCAGTCCGCTCTCACGACCACCACCGCATTCACCCCCCACATTCCCACTCTCTGCACCCTGCCTGCGTTCGTCTCGTCTCTGGCATATGACGCTGGTTCTTGGCCATAGAAGACTCCCCGTCCATTTGTGCACCCCACCACCACCTAGAACACTATAGTTGTACTCTATGCCCAACATCCCAACATACTCGGCACCCGGGCCAGAACGGTCACTGATCACCACTGAGTGTGGACAATTATATAAAATGAATAAATCTACTGACAATGTGACTGTGCTCTACTTACGACGTGAACTCGGGCCTGACAAACGCATGGGCGCGCACACCCCGCTCGGCGTCCGTCAGACTGGCGTCCTTCCTCCCCGTGAGCACGAACAGTTCTCCACCTGCGCCGTCGCCACGGGCACGCTTGGCGACGGCGAACCGCGCCTGCGGGGTCTGCGCGTACACCTCTGTCACGAGGGGCGACGACGATGTGCTGGCGCCGAGGGAGAGCACGTCCCGGAGCTGGGCGAGGGTGCGGTCGTCGCCTGGGTCGAGGCCGCTCGCTGAACCTGGCGCAAACGCCGCCGATGCGGGGTTGGACGCCGACGCCGGCGGCTGGCCGCCAGGCAGCCGGAGCTCGGTCACGTCGCCGGCGTGATACACGGTCGTGTCGTTGGGCCGCGTGGACGGAGCGGCGCTGCTCGTGCTCGTGCTCGTGCTCGTGGCTGTCGCCGTGCTGGTGCCCGTGGCTGAGTCTGCAGCGCCGCCCGCGCCCGAGCCCGCCGAGTCGAGTTGGGGAGTGATGGCGTCAAAGAGCGTCACCGTCGCCGCGCCCGAGGGTGCATCCACTGGCTCTCCAACCTGGATACTGGGCGGGTAGAGGATGTAGAGGAGGAGTGAGTCGCGCTAAAAAAAGTCATTAGCTCGCGTTACGGCAACCACGCCGATCCCCACGCGCCAGCCACCACCGATAAGCGGGCTATCAACCGCGCTATATCGCGGCGCGCCAAAATCCCACGCAGTGGGCAGTTGGTACTCACCACGACCCAGCTCAATTTGCGGCGCACGTTGCCGACCCACACGCCCTTGCCGCCTGCCCAACTGACGTCCACACGGTCATCGCTTGCCGCTGCTAGGTCCGGGAGGAGGACGGGCGTCTGGGACACGACGGTTGCTGCTGTTCCGGTTGTCTCTGTCGTGCGCACCGAGACGGCATCGGCGTCCGAGCTCGCGGCGCGCGTGCTCGGCTCTGCCGAGGTGTCTGCTGAAGTTTCGGGCTCAGGCTGGGGTTCAGGCTCGGGAGATGGGGGCTGCTGCTCGTCGTCGGGTGCTTCTTGGACAGAACTGTCGTTGGCATCACCTGTGGAGATTGCTGCTGGGCCCTCGGTCGTCGTTGCTGAAGCAGGTACAGTTGTCTCGTCCAACTCAGCAGTAGGCGTAGTCGTGTCCAGACCATCTGCGGCCCTTGTTGTCTCCGCCTCTGTGCCAACGTCCTTGTCCTCGGAGCCGCCTTCCTCGCCGGCGTCTTCCTTGCTCTCCTCTTTACTCTCCGGCTCTGGCTTGGGGCTCGGTGCTGCGCTAGACCCGATACCCAGGACGGCCCCCATGTTGGCGCCCACATTCTCCAAGCCGCCCAGTCCAAAACTGGGCCAGCGGCTCTTGGAGTTCACAGAGGCCGTACTGGACACAGATGTCTGTTTTGTAGAAACAGGCTTCTCGACAGAGGCAAGTGACGGGGACGGGCTCGCGCGACCTGCTGCTGTGGCGGTGGTCGGGCTGGGCGTGACTGCACGACTTGTCGGACCGGATCCGCCGAGTCCGACCCAGGCAAGGGGACCCCAGGACGATTTCCGCTCGTCCTTTTCGCGTTCTTGCGCGTTCTGGAGCTTTACGCCTGGGTTCGGCGTCGGTGCTGGTGTAGGCGGTGTGTGCGTCGAGGGCAAGTGGCGCCGACGTCCAAATCCAAACCCGAGCGTCTGGCGGTCTCCAGTGGTGCCCGCACCCGTGCCAGTGCCCGTACCGCTTGTTCCGCGGACACTGAGCGGCTCTCTATCGACGGCCGGGGCGGATGCCTGAAGAGTGGTGACGAGGAGACGCGTGAGCGCGGCGGATTCGCGCGTGTCCGGCAATGGCAAGGCTCCTGTGCGCGTGAGGGGTCCGTTCAGGCTGACAACACCAAGCCCCGAGCCCGCAGGAAGCGGTGAGGCAAACTCGTCCAGCGGTGTCGTGTCGAGTGGAGGGGATGGGGGCGGCTCGTATCCTCCGAGCCATGCCATGAGACCAGGGTGCGCAGGGATGAGGAACTGCAACTCGAACGAGAACGCAAAGCGGGTCCAGTACTTTTCCAACATGGCAAGGCTCAGACTTGCACCTCCACCTGGGACATGCGCGCCCAGCTTGCCGTGTAGCAGCACAAAGTCGTCGTAGCCGCGCTGAAGCCCGTCGACGAGCATGCGGTCGCTCAAGCCTTGGGCAGGGACGGTGTCTTCCTTGCCGTCCTTGTCCTTGCTGTCCTTATCTTTGGCGTGATCCTTGTCCTTGCCCGTTGCCGGTACGAGTGCGAGCGTGACACAAATGTAAATGTACCATTCAGGCTCCGGGGTGTAGATGATCAGGCGGGTGTTCTGGGAGTGGACGGCCCAGAAGGGGTCAGAGCTCTTGCCGCCGACCATGCTGGTGTCAAGTCAGCTCAGCCCACGACGAGGTGTTTCAGCTGCAACACACTCTGTAAAGCCCATAAGACCCTTGGCCAGACCGACCTGCCGTAACATGGTATCGCGGCTCACGCCACCCGCCTCACGGCTGGTGTAGAAGACGATCTGTGCAGCTTCGCGCAGGTCATCTTCAAGATCACGGTCGCGTGCGCCTGGGTCGACTTGCGCTGGTGTCTCAGTGTCGTCTGTGGGTTGCGCTGGGTGGGTTAACGCGCTGGAATCCACATCGGGCGCCGCTGAGGTCACGGCGACATCTGTCGGCGCCGAGGTATCTTGGGCTACCGGCTTGGCGTCGGCCGTGGCCTGGTCGTCGGCGTTGGGTACGCCAGCATCCTCCTCTCGACTTGCACTTGTGCTTGGACCTGTAGTTGGACCGGCACCACTACCGGTGGTGGTGGTGTCGGCTGGACTTGGACCGGGGGCAGCAGCAGCGGAACTGGTCGAGCTGGGGCCCGCTGTTTTGGACGCAAGTGTCGGGTTGAAGATGACAAAGTAGGCGAGCTGGGCTGGCTGTGGAGACGAGTGGGGGTGGATGTGTTGGGCCGAATGTGTAGATGTGGGTCTGCGCGGGGCTGTGGGTGGCATTGTCCTGCCCCCGCCGAGCGCGAGAGAGAGTGCAATGTGGGTTGTGGAAGATGGATGCGCTCGGTTGTCGGTGGAATGGAATGGACCGAGATGGGGCTGGAGAGGGACGGAGACACCTGTCGGGTACGCGGGGGTGGCGAGCGGGATCAAATGTGCCCATCGGGCCGGCGGCAAATGCGGTCACGGGCCCTGTCGTTTACCGGGCAGTGCCCGGCGGCGGCACGTTCGGCACAGGGCGCACAGAGGGGCCAAGCCAAAATCACGTCTTGGGGGCCTCCATTACGAAGTGGATTTGGCAGGAGGAAGACTGTCTGACTCACCACCCAACAACCCCTTGTCGACCGACGTCTATAATTCTCGCATCGTCGTCGTCGTCGTCGCTCATCCCCCCATCCCTACCCCTTCCCCATACCATGCTGCACCTCCCAACCAAGAAACGCATCTACCTCGTCCGTCACGCACAAGCAGAACACAAGTGAGTGGCCCATCGCCCCCCCATCGCACTGCGCCACCGACCTGGCTGCGGACACAACCACATCACGCGGCCCCCTCCCCACCACCACCGCGGCATTCTCACCACACCTCCCCTGCTTGAGATACGATGCTGACACTTTGCCAGCGTGTTTAGCGACTGGGAAATTCGCGACCCGACACTCACAAAGGTCGGGCAGAGGCAGGCGAGCGGCCTGCACCCGGCCACCAGGGACGGCGTGCAGCGTTCGGCCGAGCTGCTCGTGTGCTCTCCAGTGGGTCCAATAGTGCCAGCGTATGGTGCCAAAACCTGACCTCTACAGTTGCGACGCACAATGGAGACGATGCTCCTTGGGTTTCCAGACCTCAAGACGCGTCTGGAGACCACTGGCAAGCCCGTCGTGTTGCTCGACCTCGCCCAGGAGGCCGGAGAGTGAGTCCCCCCTTCCCCCACGCTCCGTACACACACTGACGCCGCAGCCTCCCCTGTGACACCCCGCTGCACCCACCCGAGCACCTCGCTGCATCCAACAATGGCATGTTCTCCGACCTGGACTTCTCCGGTCTGTCCCCAGACTATGCCAGCAAGCAAGGCATCTACGACCCGGACAACTGTGCCGAGCGCGCAAAGCTTGTCCGGCATTGGCTGCGTGCCCGCCCCGAGCGCGAGATTGTCTGTGAGTGCGCCAAGTGACGCAGGTGGCAGGGCGGAGCGGCTGCTCCCCAGCGATCCAGCGATGGAGTGACAAACAAGCGGCAAATGTGCTTAGCCGCGACACACGCCGCCATATGCCCCGATTGCCTCAATCCCCGGAACAATAACTCATGCTGACTGATTGACGCAGTGGTGGCACACGGCGATATTCTGCGGTACATGGTAGACGGGCACCACTCGTCCCGGCCATGGCGCAACGCCGAGCTCGTCGAGTGGACGTTTGCATCGCACGACGACCCGGACGCCCTCCTCGTCCTCCCCGAAGCCCATCCCCGCTTGTGACTCGCACCGGATAGGACGCCCCCTCCGCGGCCTCCTATCCCCTTGCGAGTCCCGCTCGTGTCCTCGTAGGGCACAACCAACCAAAGCCCACCCACTCTCCGAGGCCGCACAATAATCCGCGTCTGTTGCCTCTTTTCATTCATTCTATTCACATAGCGCTGTGCGCCGTTGTACCAGTACACACCTGTCCGTTCTCGGTTGTAACCATATGACGATGTCAACTCGCCGTCCCAGGCAAAAGCTATCGCCGGCGCACGGCGCACCCGCGCACGGTGTGTCCGTGGATCTATGGATCTATGGGATCACCCTGCGGGGGATGCCGCCGGTAGTTCACTCTGGGGCCTCTTCCGAATTCATCAACCTCCCCGCGGAAGCAATGTCAATTGAGGAAACGCGGACCCCCGTGGAGATGCACAAGCAATGTCAGCCTCATACTGTCGGCATGTCACTGTCAACAACCTCATCAAGCTGGCCGAAACGCGCCCGACAGGTCGCGATAACTGGACGTGACGGCGTGCCGTCGCAACCTGATGTTGTGACCCGGTTCACACGGACGGAGCCTCGTCGAGGCAGGTGCGCGTATGTGTATACCCATTACGCGAAGGCGACCGTTTGAGGGACCCTCCCAGAGGTCATGGCGACTGCACATTGCCGGAGCTGGGCCGGTGCTTGGCGACAACGACCGAGTGCCGTGAGGATCGGTACGGTGTGGGCAGCTCATAGTGTGGCATCGCCAAGTGACACTTCTGACACCCACCTCGCCGTCTTGCCCGTCTGCAGATCGCCTTTGGTCCCATCCCAGTCTCCCGCCGTTTGCGTTGCGACATGTACATGTGGGCCGCGAGGACAGAACCACTCGTGCTGTGCATGCTCAACGTCGACGCGCATACTTGCGCCCCGTGCTGGAGCAAAACTACACATTGTCCGACTTCAACTCCCCTCCTTCAGTGAGAGATATACCGGGCATGATGGGAGATTTACAACTATAATTGAAGAATATACATGGATGCGCTGCCTGATTCTATCTCGCTTTAACCTGGGCTTGGTATCGGGTTGGTTTCGCCTTTCGAGGCGAGGGCTTGTGTTTGATGTGAGCGGTATTGGGAATGGGGGGGTGGTTCGCGTGCCCACGGGCGTACAGTGTACGCTCTTCTCGGGGGAAACGGGGGACGAGGGGTGTCACCTGCCAGTGACAGCATGGATAATGGCACAGTTGATAGCGTGCTGCATGACAGGACTGATGGTGGAGCGAGCTTTTGTGTCTCTGAGCGCGAAAATGCAGAAAACGGCGGCAGGCTTCTCCAGGTCGATGTCTTCGCCAGAGTAGTGCCACAATTCCACCTTCGACGTATCCTTTAAGGATCCCGTCGTCGAGTGGTAGCGGACGGTGACGGGGTTGGGGAGACTGGCGACGTGCGACGGCACGGGAAATTGTTTCGTGTCCGGGAGCTTCAGGACCATGCCGTCGCCCAAGTTGTTGACTTCCATGAAACGGAAAAGGACCATGTCGATCGATGCGGGATGCGGACGCCTCGACAGCGAACGTCGGTCAGACTGTCGATGGCGTTGACGAGCTTGTCTAGCTCTGCGTCGTCCCGGCGAGGTCCAGGGGGTTGTCGGCGCTCATTCCGGCGAGTACGAGCCTGGTACTATTAGCACACACGTCGCAGTATGCTCTGTACCGGTCTGAACTCACGGCTTTTGGTCCACAACGCCCGCGAGTGCTCCCAGGGGAGTGCGCGTCGTAGGGGGGGGGTTGATTGTCGATGGTTAGTGTGACTCAAGCAGCGGTTCAGAGCAAGGTGAGTACTCACACGCCCCTACCATGCGGCGATGAGAGGGGAGTCGCGGCGCGCTTGCTCAGTGCGGCCTGGCCGCCGCTGGCGCGGCGGCTGTGCTCGGGGCAGTCTGCCACCGTGTGGCCGACAAGACCGCACTGGTGGTAGTTGCCCCGGATGGCACGCTGGTACGCTGTCGTCGGCAGGCGAATGACTAGGTTCGTGTCAGTCGACAGGCGCCCGCATCATCGTCGAGGGCATTACTCACGGCGTGGCCAGGGGCGCGGCACGTCGGACACACGATGTTTGGACACCACGCACGGTGAAGAGTTAACCGTTAATACGGCGAGTCGACGGTGTGCGGCAGGACGAGAGACTAGAACGCCGATTGCCACTGCGGCACAGAGAACGGTGCGGCACAGAGCACATATCACACAGCCCGTGCAGTCTCCGACAGAGCAAAAGTAGGTACTCACATGGTGACCGGTTTTGTTGCACACCGTGCAGAGGTTGTTGTCCAGGTCGACGTATCCGCAGACGTGTGCCTTGATGGTGAGTAAACGTCCTTCCCCCGTCACCTGGCGGTGGTGCTTACAGAGTGGCCTCGATGACCGCACGTTGTGCAGGTCACGTATGGGCAGCGGCCCTCCTGCACAGGTCAGCCAAACCCCAACCGATCGCTGGCCGCCACTTACGTTGTGCTGAGAATCGCCGCACACTGTGCAAATGTTGTTATTGTTGCTGTTGCTTTTCTTTTTGTGATTGTTTTTGGGTTTCTTCATCGAGGAGGAGGAGGTGTGTGATGAAGAAAAGGTGATGGAAAGCAGAAGTATGTGTGTGTAGGAGTATGCGTGGAGTGTGTGTGGGTGCTGGAATCTATGTAGGTGCTGGAACCTATGTAGGTTCGGGCGGAAGCCAGGTTGGTTCCCAGAAACACCGTACGCGTTCTCAGCCAAATATACAATGTCTCGCCTGCATATACGTTATCCCACCGCTGCCACCTCTCACTACGTTTCTACCTTATCTACTACCACCTGGGCCAACCAATTTTGCGTCCTTGACAAGTATGGACTCTGTGCCAGGTCGCCCAGCATCGTGTTGAGGGTGACAAGAAAATCGGCTGTTAAACGCCGTTTTCTGCTCGTTGGCCATAGTTGGTTTCTCGAGGGCTCCGATAACGCACTATGGCTGAGATTAACATGGGCATGTCGCTTGATACTGCGTTCTCGTGGGGGCGCACTGGCGTACTGGGGGAGGGCGCTCTTCTTTGCACCTGCGCCCCTCTGTACCTCTGTGTCGGCCGCACACTGCCATCTGTGACGTCCAGCAATGGTCTCTTACATGTTACATGTTGCAACACAGATGCTCGGCAGCGTCGACGTCCTCTACGAGCAACCCACCTGCCGAAGCAGTCGACTCATCCAAGTGCCACACTTGCAACCGGCGTCTAGGAGACATGTCGTCGCTCGATCGCCACGACGACGACGTCATCGGTGCGTCACGTCACTTGGTCCCTCCCAAGTGTCTCCCACCGTCCACACACACATTTCCCCTGCTCTGTATTCCTTACCCCTGCACGCTCGTTTCCGGGCGTGCTTCCGAGCACCGCCTCTAGGTATTCCAGTGGATCTTTGGGTCACGACAGGGGACCGGCTTTCGGAGCCTCGGAGCATTGGTTCATTATGAGAAGGGAAGGGAACGCCTTGGGCCGGTCCGTCGGGGTTGTGGCTGTGATGTCGTATCATGTTCAGCAGGCCTGCCAGAAATACCATTTCCCTCTGCGCCTCTCCACTAGTCGCATGCACCAGCTCCTGCAATGTATCCTGCAACATCATCAACTGGCCAACTGGACCGTCGGCGAACACTCGGCAACGGCTTGCACGCTTCCCTGCAACCCCCACCATCATGATGCCATGATGCCACGCGCCACAGTTATCCAGGAGTCCCGACGCTTATTCTATTTGAAGCGCACGCCCACCAGAATGGATACGGCGGTCCGCCATGTCTTGACCCTATGACGCGCTCGGTACTCTTCCTTGCACGTCTTTCGGCCCTTCTGACGGAGCGTGTCAGAAACGAGATCACGCCAGCGAACCGTTCAAGCGTGTTAGAACCTGCGCTAGGCCCGCTAGGAGCCTGGGGCATGTGGTTGTAGCCTTGTTCCATGATGCGGAACCGTCAATTGGGCTTGGGGGACTCGCCCTCATTTCGGTCCCAGCGTCATGGATCACTGGTCTCGCCCGGGTGTCTCTGTCTGCTTTGCCCCTCCTTGATGTGCTGCGTATGTGGAGCGCCAAGAGGTACAGCGGCCACAGGCAAGAGCTTCTCTCCTTCTGTCTCTTGCAGGAGCAAGGAAATGTACAACAGTGGGCCTTCAACCAGCGGTCGCGGTAATCCACAAGGACATGGTTTGGGCTGCGGCGGCAGGCAACGGCTGGCCCCTGGCCCTCAGCCAAAGTCGGCAGAATGCTATATTGAGGTCATGGGCAGACGTCAGGCGGGAGACGTGCACTTAACGACCATGGGCATGCCCCCCTCCCCCTCCTGCGCTGCGCAGACAGATTGGGTGGGTGCCTAGACTGGAAATGTGCCGCCGCGCAACGTGCGTGGTCGCTGGATCGCTGCAACCGCAACTGGATGGCAGGTTGGCCCGGCTGTGTCGACGAACAGTGTAATAACAGCAGAAAGACCGCATGGGGGACCAGAAGCATGCAGTGGAGACGGTAAACAGCTCTCGATGTGAAGCGTATTCTGTACGAACCCAACCATGAGCACGTCAGCAGCCGCAACGGCATGGAACAGAACTGGGGTGGTGGTCAATGGTGGAGGTCGTCAGTGACAGAGTGACGCTTTGTCCCCCGTGGGCCATGGAAGAACCCTCTGCCGATCCCCCCGCAGACAGTTGGTGCGCAGTCGTATGCAAGGCCCAGCGCGGGCGTGTAGTCGACGTTGTCGCTCACGCGAGAGCGAGACAGCACGTTCGTCACCGCCTCCCCTCAAACTCTCTGGGTCTTCTGCCTGTGGCGTCATCATTCAAGCTTCGAGTGTGGTCCCGATCGACACTGGCCAAGCGAGGCGACGGAGGGATATACAGCCCCGGCCAACAGCCTCTCCACCTCATCCCATGCGATGTGAGTCTCGGTTGCATCCCCCCACCTCACTCTCAGGCTCTCTATACTCCAGGATGACCTCGGACCATATGCCTTTGCACATATGCCCGTGTTGGCGCGGCGCGACCATGCAAGCTTTGGTTCTGACGTCTTGAGTTGCAGCGGGGGTAATGCCACAACAAGCTTGTCCAACTACTCCCCCTCTGCTCTCCTGCCCTCGTCTACAGTGTCCCATGGGAGAATTGGTGTGCGTCACGGGAGGATGAACGGGTGTCACGCATCTCTGGCGCCATGTGTGCAACATGCATATGCCTGGGGCTGACCCCCCCAGACCCACGAGTTCTATATAAACCACCTCACCGAGCCGTCTCTCAACCCCACCCTCTGTGTTTACTCTTCATCCCTTCCTTCTTTCCAAACACAAACAAGCACATCATGTCCGACGTAAGTGTCTCCTCCCCTGCTACACATCTCTCTAACCACCATAGCTTCTTAACAAGCTCGAGAACCAGGTGAATTCACAGTGTGACGTCATCACTCGGTGGCACTTGGTGGCACTTCCCTTCTTCGAGCCCTCCCCCCTCCCCCACTTGTTGTCAGAATACTAACACGTGCCCCAGTTCGGCGGTAACAAGAACCAAGGCCAGGGTGGCCAAGGTGGCCAGGGCGGCTACGGCGGCAACCAGGGCAGCCAGGGAGGTTACGGCGGTAACCAGGACGACTCGTTTGGCAGCAGTGACCGCCAGACCAGCGGTGGTGGTTACGGCAGTGGTAACCAGAGCGGCGGTGGTGGATACGGCGGCAACCAGAGCAGCGGCGGTGGCTTCGGCGATGACAACAACAACCAGCGCAGCACCGGCGGTGGCTTTGGAAGCAGTGACCGCCAGACCGGCAGCGGTGGTGGTTACGGTAAGTGGAATGGAAGGGCTGGTGGCACAAGCTCGCGAATCAACAGTTGGACGGAGCTGATGTACTGCCAGGCCAGGATGACTCCTTCGGCAGCAGCGGAAACCAGGGCCAGGGAGGCTTCGACAGTGGTAACCAGCGCAGCGGTGGTGGTGGCGGCTTTGGTGAGTAGTTGACTCGAGAAATAAGTGGACACGAGAAACGGTCGAATAGTCTGGACGCTAACACGTGTGGCAGGTGGCGGCCGTGACGATGACTCTTACGGCAGCGGCAACCAGCAGAGCGGCGGCCAGGGTGGCTACGGCGGCCAGCAGAGTGGTGGCCAGGGTGGTTACGGTGGCCAGCAGAGTGGTGGCCAGGGTGGATACGGTGGTGGTGAGTTTGAGAGTTGAACGCTACCCCGGATGAATGCGTTGCTGACATCTCAGGCAACAACCAGGACAACTACTAAGTTGCTTCCCCCAGCGCGTGCTGTGTGTATAGTTGTCCCCGTCTAAGAAGAAATGAAGCGAGCAAAGAAGAAACCCAAAGTACACGAGATGCGAAGAACGTGTTCCATGAGTAATATGGCTGTGGCGTTGCGTGATTTGTTGTGAATTGACGCATTTATCCCGGGTTGTTTTATGTGTTCGTGGTGTGCGCCAAATGTTGAGCCCCCAAGTCGCGCAAGTCGGGCTCTCCCACACTCTTGTTCCAGGTCATACGAGGGGCGCCCGTGTACCGTGTGAAGTCAACATTAGGTTCCGTCGCAGTCGATGACGCTGCGAACAGCTGATGACGATGTGCTGCCTTTCGAACTACTCTGCTTGGACTGTCCTCCAACCCTCTCGCTGTCCCTTTCCAGTGTGGCCTCAATGGACGACTCAGCCTACCCACACATCGTCGAGACCATCGTCCAGCATGCCTCCCCCGAGCTCCTGCACAGTTTCCGTCTCGTCTCTAAGAGGACCAAGTCCTACGTAGACGACTTGCTTGTTCACGTCCGCGTGGCAATGTTCGCAGTCAGCGGTGAGCAGAGGCCTAGGCTTCGGGCACTATATCTAACATGCAGACACTGGCGACAAGGACCGTACCGTTCAGATAAACTCGAGCGGCGGCTGGCGCGGTGTGACGTTCCTTCGTCCTGACTTGAGTTACCTCGACGATGACGAGGCCATGCGCAAGGTGCGTGCGGACCGCGCCAAGATCGAGCCTCTCCTGGCCAGGGCGACCACCGTCGACCTTTTTGGACCCCTCACCCACAACCTGCCGACCATCAAGCACGCGGGCAGCTCGCTTGTTCCCGAGTGGGCGCTGCATTCCAGCCGCCCACAAGTTGTACGGCTGCTCTCCGACTCGCGGGGCGGCTACGCCGACATCCAGGCGCAGGAATGTGAAACGGTGGTCATGTTCGCCGGTGCCGCGGATGCCAACGACCCCGGCTGTCCGCCGCTGATTGCGATCCAGCTGTCTGGATACACGGAGCGCCTGGTCATCAACCTGCCGCTGGTAGAGAAGGACGGCATCCACAGCTGGTACAGCCCCGAGGGTCACGTAACGGTTCGCCCCCACCGTGGGTCCTACATTCACGTCAGGGAGGTCGTCATCATCTTCCACACGGTCGGTTCGAACGAGGCGGATGCGACAACGCAACTCCTCGCCAACTTGAGTGTTTCTGATTCCCACCCCGGAGGGGCGGCCGGTGGCGTCGACCAACAGCACCACAGCAACAGCGATGACGAAGACTTCGAGGACGAGGACGAGGACGGTTATCCGACAGAATACGGGTACATCAACTGGGGCACGCCCGCCGACTACCCTCCCGACGTGGACGACTACGACTGCGGCAACGACCTAGGCTGGCTCTCCCTGACGGAGACGTTTGAAGAGATTCTCACTCGGTCCCACCCAAAGGTCCTGCTCGTTGGACCTCCGGAGCGCATGCGCAAGGGCGACGGCATTGTCAACTTGGCCGACAACCTGGCCATGCACCTCCGCGACGCGATGGGATTTGGCGCCCCGCCCCGCGTACTGCGTCGCTCTCACGCCGAGTACAAGCAGGAAGTCGGGGAGGCGCGTTATCGACTCGTCGCCCATGCTCCCGCCATTGACAGCTACCGCTGGCCAGAGTCGTCCATCCCGGCCATCACGGACAACAATCGCTACGTTCCTTACGCCAACCCGCTGTTTGGCAGGTTCGCGATGGGATAGTGCAACGAATACTGAACACACTGAAGCCACTCTGCTCGTCAAGCCCGGCCACCCTCTTCAGTGGCTTTTTCGACACAACCCTCCTCGTCGTCTTCTCGCTGTGCGAGGACGATTCAACTGCGTCTCATGACTGTATATGGCCTTTGTAAAGCGACAGGACAGGCTGTGAATATGTGTGACAATAGTCTAGCACGTAGCGATTCCTGATATAAGCAAGTGTTGCGGCAGGATGCATTGTGAATGGCCAAAACAAGCAGGGCGAACGGGCTGTCAACAAACGAACGAGGCCTATCAAGGACAATATGACGTGTAGTATTTCCACGTGGTCTCCTTAAACAGGGGGGATTTCATAAATCCTCCCCTGTCCGTCCGTTCCCACCCGAAGCGACCGAACATGGCCGCCCTGCCAATGAGCGCGGCGGTAATTCGTGCAGGTTGGGCCGTCTGTCCTTCGTCGTCGTCGTTGGAGTAGCTCTTGTCGCTGTTGTCGATCTCTTCTTCACCCCCTCACCACTCACAAATGTCGTTCATCGTCCGCCCCTCGCTCCTCCGCGCCGTCGGCACCGGTGCGTACCTCCCTGTCTCCCCGGCGCACGCGCTCGTCTGGTCTTTGGTGGATCCCAAAGGGGCGCACAAGAGCGAGAACCAGCTCGTCCGCCTCGCGCCATAACAGGACAGACAGAGAACCAGCATGCGCGCCTCCAACAGAGACATGTACTGACTTGCTCCCTTAGCGCCCGCGCTCCGCGCCGCCGCCGCGCCCCTCATGGCCCGCCGCTTCGTGCAGACCAACTCGATCTCCGAGATGGAGGGCCTCAAGCTCCTCAACACCCAGCGCATGAACCGCCCCGTGTCGCCCCACCTCGACATCTACCAGCCCCAGGTCACCTGGGTCCTCTCGGGTCTCCACCGTATCACCGGTGTTGCCGTCGCCGGTGTCTTCTACGTCGGCGCCCTCACCTACCTCCTCCACCCCATCTACCCCGCCATTGACTCGGCCCACCTCATCGAGGCTGTCCACAACCTTCCCGTCTGGTTCAAGACCTCGGCCAAGGTCGCCTTTGCCCTCCCCCTGACCTTCCACTCGTTCAACGGTATCCGCCACCTCATGTGGGACACCGGAAAGGGTACGTGACGACTGCCATTGTCGCTCGAGCGCGAGCGTGGCCCACGGCGTTGGTGGGAATGGTGTGGACTGCGAAACGGGTCATCCAACCGGAGTTTTGCTGCCCGGCTTTCTCCTGCCCGGATGACCGTGTACCACCACATCACCAGTCCACCGACCCGTTTGACTGTACATGTTTTCGTGCTGACCATTCTCTCAGGCCTCACCATGAAGGGTGTCTACGCCTCGGGCTACGCCGTCATGGCCGCCTCGGTCATCTCGACCATCTACCTCGCCTTCTTCGTGTAAACGGAGTTGCTCAAAAATAACACACATTACGCGAAAGTGGATCGGCAGTACCCCCCAACCCCCCCAACCCCATGTAACGGTAGCGATGGACGACATGCAACAACACATGAGAAAAGAGTGGCGTGCGGCGGGCGTGAGGGGCTTGTCAGAGTATCGAAGAGTTGTTATTGTGGCTATGCGCAAGTCAACCAGGCTGGCAAGGTCGAGCAAGGTCGAGCAAGACGAGGGTGTGACTGATGGTCGCCTAGAGGGGATCACTGAGGGATCACTGACTCGTGGACCTGTCACTAACTGGTGAGAGTGACGAGGGCGATGCGGAGCCGTGAATGCTGCCGGCGACCATGACGACGGCTACCGTCGCAGCCTACCCAGCGCGGAACAGGGCGCCGCTATCTCCACCTCACACTTACAACACTGCATACTCTACGTCTCCACCACCACAGGCGCATACTCACCCTCCTCCTCATCTGAATCTTCGTCTCCGGCACTAACCTCCAGCAAAACCAGCCCCTTGTCCGCGGCGGCCGCTTGCAGGTCCTTCCATTTAGCCCCGACCTCGCCGACTTTACCCCACCAGCCTCTCTCGCCGAGCGCGTGTCCCAGGCCCTTTCTCAGCGCGTCGATTTCGAGCTCGTAAAACTCGCGCATGTCCGGCAACTCTGTGTCAAACGCGGCATTGGGGAGGGCGCGCAGCTGGGCCGCGAGGGTGGACAAGAGGGCGATGTAGACGTCGCGCGTAGACTGTGGGAGGCCGACGGCAGCGGGGTCTGCGAGGGCTGATTCGGAGCGACACAGCAGCCGGAGGAGACGCTTGTATGGGCTCAGAGACGCGTAGCTCCACACCTGCGAGACGAGGATGTGGGATAGTTGGAGGTGGCCGAGGAGTGCGGCGGGTCCTGGGCAAGTCAGCTCTGACCAATGCTATCAAGCTGATACGTACCTCCCACTTCGGCGCACACGCGCGCGAGCAACATGCTCTTATCCCTAGACCAGCGCGTGACCTCTTCGCCACTCGCGCCCTCGTTCCAGGACCGCTTGAGGTCAAAGACCGGGAACGCGAGTGGCTCGCCCGCGGCGGCGTTGGTAGCAGCACCCTTGTTGACGGCGGCGCGCAGCTCCTTGATCTCGTCACCCTCTTCGCCAGCGGCGGCAGTCAGGCTGTCCACCCGCCCGCTGGGGCAGACGCGCACCAGCACCGGCGGCGTGATGTGCGTGCTGAGGCTCTTCCACGCCGCAAGCTGGGCGAAGGGGTATGGGGCCATTTGCGGGTCGAGCGCCTGCAGCTCTGCCTCGTCGATGGGCGGGGATCCAGGCTTGCGCGTGGTGGACTCTGTGGCCGGGTCATAGTGTAACACGACGCGTTCTTTGGGTTGCCAAAAGTGCAAGAACGCAGAGCGGATGGGAAAGGCCGCGGCAATGTCTGCCGACGCTGACGCCTCGGACTGGGGTTTACCTTCAGTGGAGGAAGGCGTTGTTGTGCTCGAGCTGCTGGTAGGAGTGGCCGACCACACGACGCTGTGCAGGCCTGGAGGCACAAATTTGTGGCCTGCAAAGACATTGATCGTGTGGAACCTGTGGTGCTGTTAGCAAGCTGTCACAGGGATACATGTACAGCCAGTGGCATGCCAGGTGGTGGGTGTCTACAGCACCGGTCCACTCATCGAGCTGGCCGGGATCTCAAAACAAGCACTCACGTCCCGTCCATGCCCGTCTCGCTGCCCATGGGCAAGCCAGTGAGGAGGGCAAACCCGCCCGCTTCCCATAGTGCGCGCGCCTGGTCTGGGCTGAGCGTTGTTGTCATTTGTCGCAACGGGGTGGTCGCGGTGTAGGATAATGGGTGATGTCACAATCTGCGGCGGCTCGGAAATCGCTCTCATGTTCCAATGTTCCAGCCGGTGGAGGGAGATTTCGGGATGTGTTGGATCTGTCAAGTCCATCATCGACTCTTCTTCATTCTCGTTTAACACCACCACGGCCATGGCGTTCCCGGCTGCTAAGGCCATTGCGAACATCTCCCCAGCAGCGCTCGCTGCCCACCTCGGCCCAGGTGGACCAAGCACACCGCTGCTGCTCCGCGGACTCGTCGGCCACTGGCCGGCCATGCGCGAGTGGGCCAACTCCTCGTCCCCTACCCCTTCTTCATCCTCGTCCGCGTCCCCGGCCTCACGGACACTTGATTTTGGAGGGCTCGCGGGACTGCGCGCCCAAGTTGGGGAGGACACGGCCGTCGACGTCGAGGTCGGCCCGCGCGGACGAGGCTACCTCGATCCCGAGTGGCAGAGGATCACCATGGGCTTTGGTGAGTCCTGCGCTTCGAGTTCTCCGTGCAGCCCTGTGCCTTCCCTTCTAACCCACCCAACCCAGGCCTCTTCCTCGACGCGTTCGTTCTCAACCGCATCCCGTCCTCGGACCCGCGGTCCCTGCCCGTCGGCTACCTCGCGCAAGCCGACCTGCTCGACCCCAACACCCACCCAGCGCTGTGTGCGTCCGTCCCCGAGCTGGCGCACTACAAGGCCCTCAACGGCGACATCTACCGGCGTACACTGTGGATCGGCCCCGCGGGCTCGTTCACCCCGTTCCACCGCGACCCCAATGCCGGGCTGTACACCCAGGTCCTGGGCAGCAAGGTGTTCCACCTCGCCCCGCCCGACGCGCGGGACAAGCTGCGGCCAAGTACCAGCGCGCTGCATGGGAACACTAGTACGGCGCCGACGTATACGCGGGAATTGCTACGCGACGGAGGAGAGTGGACCTCGGTGCTGGATGCGGTTGGGAGGATGGAGGGTGCGTGTGAGGCGCGGCTCGAGGAGGGCGACTCGGTGCTCATCCCTGCCCGATGGTGGCACAGTGCTGAGGGGGTTGGTGGAGCTGGAGTCGGCGTCAATGCCTGGTTCAGGTAGGCCGTGGTTGTGCGTTGCAGGTACCAACGCCAAGAGTATCCACATATAAAAACATAGCAAAACTATACCTAGCACAATCATATTCCACTTTTTACTTTCTCTGTCACTCTCTGTCTATCCTGTCTATCATGTCTAAATGAGCCATGGCACAGCCGCCCTTCTATTCTTGGGATACCCTGCAAACGTGGCACGATACCATGCGTGGCCCCTCACCGCTCTGGGCAGCATACTCGTGACTTCAGCCAGGACGAACGCCCACGGCGCAGCCAGGAGGTAGGCGGGGAATCGCCAGCCAAAAGGCAGTGCGAGTGGCACAGTGTATGTCGTGGGCACGGCAATGAACATGCTGGGCGTGGCCGCCAGGGCGAAGCCGGACCATTCGAGCCTGCGTGCGTGTTAGTGTTGCTTGCCACTGCACAGCTGTCCCAATACTTGGGCAGCTGTACTCCCGGTTCGTGACACCACACTCACCACTCGCACAGGTAGTTCGGAAACGACACCAATGCAAACAGGCCTCCACGGGGGATCCTGTATCGTCCACCCTTGGCGGTGTCCCGTGGGTCATCGCTCGGGGTAGACACGAGGCGCTGGCCAGCGGGACGACGAAGGTCGTGCAGGATCTCGTCATGGTATGCTGTAAGTCAGTTCGTGCCCAAGACGGTATGAGGGGTGGGTGGCAGGATGTAAAAAGCATGTCCCTCGATGCCGCCGTGCTCACCATTACCGACAAACCCGAGTGCCCAGATGACGATCCCAGCCATAAACCGCCATCCTCCCGGCGGCGGGAACGAGACGAGCGCGTGTGCGAGGAGAGTCGCGTTGCTGTAGGGGTGAGGTCAGCCCGCAATCAACGGGGGAAGGGGGGTTTGCAAGCAAACGCTGAGAGCGGGACAGAGGGGAAGGGATTCTTAAGCAGTTGGGTGTGAGGTCAAGTGAACGAGGGAGATCGAGCTGAAGAATCCGACAAGGAGAAAGCTCATCCCCCCAGGTCTAAACTGGCCCCCATCGCCCTCCGCTGTCGCCTCGCCTCTTTGGCTGCCGTACTCACAGATAATTGAAAAACACGCCGGCCGCAACCACGATGACATGCAGCGGCGCGCGCTTTGGCGCCAAGAACACGGGCGAGACGACCGACCGGTGCGTGTAATGCGCAAAGTACAGGGCCGTGAGGAGCGTGGCCCGCGGCGAGAGGCGCGCCGTGTCCAAGTTGAACAGGAACGTCATGGGCTGTGGAGCGGGGTAAGAGGGTCAGCGTCAGTATGGGCTGTAGACTGGAGGGTAAAGCACAGCTGGTTCGGCCAAGCGCTCCCGACGGTGTCGATAGGTGTGGACCGGTACACGCACACGGAGAAGAGCTAAGCTAGACGCCTGCGACGACTCACGGAAACAGCCTCCATCACGACCCAGGCGGTGTTGCCGTGGACATTCAACCACGACCCGTCCCACGCAAACTTGCCAAAGGGCGCGTCGAGGACGAGCAGCGTCAGCGGCGCGTGCAGCGGGAACGCGAGGAACGTCGCTAGCAAGGTGTAAAAGGAGTGTGGTGGGGGTGGGGGTGCGGACGGCATGGAGTTGTTTGGGTGGGTGGAGTGAAAGACAAGAGGAGAGAAGATGCGTCGGTTGTGGGGTAAATATTGTGGAGGTGGTCGTCCGATGTGGAGGGGACTCGGACGGCTGACGTCATAACCTACATGCCATCACCCGTCCGCGTCCTGAATGGCTCTATTTCACAACATGCATGCTATACACCACGCACATCCAGCTCAGGACCTCCTGTATGTAAGGGCAAGTGGTTTGGGGAGCCCCTGCCGCATCCATGTTCAGCTCCGTAAACATGACGTTGGAACACGTGACGAGGGATGGTTGGTTGGTTGGAGGTTGATGGGACGTGGGGTTTTCAAACAACGAGACGGAGATTGGGCCCAGGCGACGACGGCGATGATGGCGAGAAAACGGACTGAGAATAAAGAGACGGATAGAAAAAGCGAACGGTCTAGAAGTAACAAACATGCCAGGAAAGGGGAGAGAGAATTAGGTTGGAATCGGGTGCAGAGGTAAGGCCACCACCACTTGAAGCCGAGGGAATGTCGTGAGGCCGCCTCGGAGCCTACACCAGTAGTAGACCACTGCTGTTAAACGCTGCACTGCTTTGACAAAGCTGCAATGGCTTACGAGGGCGGGTGCACCTGGTGCTCAGGGCCAGGGCCAGTGCTGTTTGCGAGGTCGGCTCCTCCGTCGGCGTCCATCTTGATGTTGAACATTGACGCCCAGATCGAAACGAGGTCAGGCTGAGCGCCACCGCCTTCCTCCTTGCCGTTCGCACCAATACCCAGTTGCGGGAGCTGGTGGTGGGGGTCGGTGGATCCGGCAAAGAGCGTGTGGCCGTTGGCCTCGCTCTGGGGGACCATCCACGGTTGCAAGAACGGGCCCGAAGGACGGCGGGCGTCGTCCATGCCGTGCGACGGCGAGTTGTTGCGCGAATACATGAAATCGCCGAGGCCCCCAGTGTGGTCACCGACAGGCGTCAGGCCAGTGGGGAAGATTGGAATGGACGGGTCGGAAGCCAGACCGGGGAAGACGGGCATTGGGGAACGTTGGTGCATGTGGTCGTGTGGGCGCAACGGCGAGTACTGCTGGACGGCTGCGTGGGCGAGCTTTTCGAGACGAACGAGGCCACCGCACAGGTCGGACTGGACAGGGTGCGACACCATCCAGTCGGCTGTACGGTCCTCAAAGATGGTAATCGCTCCGCGAAGGTCAACGAGGCAGCGCTCTGCAAGAGGCGTGCTGGGCTCGCGAATGGCGAGGAAGGCACAGACGGTCGCAGCGTGGAAGGCGCGGTACGACATGGTCCACCACGACCAGGCGATCGAGGACTTGGTCTTGACCATTGCGCTGTAGGCGCGGAGAATCCTGTGAGCGGCGTCGCCGCACAGCCTGGACGACTCGGGGTACGCCGACGGGTCTCCACGGAGGTACGGGCGGTGGAGAATGAGCACGAGTATCAGGGTCTTGACGCACAGCGCGAGCGTCTGGTTGATCTCGCGGCGGCTGCGCTTCTGCAGCTCCTCAACGGGCATGTCGTCGTCAAACCTCATGCCGTACGGGACATGGTTGTACCAATCGAACACGTCGCGTCCGAGACGGATCGCATCCTCGTATGTGTTACCGACAACGGTCGGCGGCTGGATGGTCTCTTCCACATTGGCCGGCGTGAACCATCCCATGAACGTGTTGCGCGCGACAATAGGGCTGACGTGGAACGTGCGGTTGAGCAGCTCGAGCGACGGAAGGGTGAGTTGGAAGTAGGCGGCGTGATACGTCTGCTCGGTCGCCGCTGGGCCAAGTGCGTTGGAAGGCGGTTCGGCCATGGCGCTACCAGGTTCGTCCGAGAGGGTGTCGTCGGCACGGTCCTGCGGGATGTGGCAGGTGTAGTAGTTGATGCACGTAGGGCGACCAAACGAGACACACAGCAGTGCGTCGAGGCCGGCGACAGACCACCAGAGACGGCGACGGATCTCGGCGTCGCGCATGGAAATTTTTGGGTCGAGGTGGGTCGGCTCGACGTGCAGACCCATGGCAATACATTGCCTGACGAGTGAGCCAGTAAGTGCCCAGCCGTCGGCAGCGCGCTCGCTGTGCAAGAGGTACACGTTGATGCACACCTGGGCCTGGACGGTGGCAACAGTCGGGGACGAGAGGAATGAGCAGAGACGCAAGGCCTGGTACGCTGCCGAGAGGTAGAGCTCAGACTGGAGACGCGAGGACGTGAGGTCCTTTGACTCTGCATTCTTCTGCGCGTCGCTCATGATCTCAGTGTTGGCAGCTCGCACCATGCAGCCGAGAGAGCAGATCATAATGTAGAGGGCCAAGTTGGACAGCGGTTGGGTGCGCTTCTCAGCTGCCGAGAGCGAGAAGAAATGGCGGAATTCGGCCATGAGCGTGGGCACGTGCCACGCCTCGAAGAGCAGACCAATCTCCTCGTAAAAGGAGACGAGGAGCTGCTCCGAGTCCTCCTTGTTGGGGAGCAAGCCGACAATCTCGTCGATAAAGTTGTCGTGGCTCCAGATGGTCGTGAATGGGAACGTCTTGCGCGCACTCGCAAACCAGCCTGTGAACGCCAAATCTTCCGGGATGGTCATGATCTCGTCATTCGACACCTTGGACCTTCCGTGGACAATCTCGCGCAGACGACGCAGCATGGGTTTACCGGCGGGTGTGCCCAAGAATGTCTTGCGGCCCGCCGAGTCGGCGACCATTTCGTCAGTGGGCAGCGCGTGTGGGTTGTACGGCTCGCTGTAATGGTCGCGAGACGGGTCAGAGGCCACCGGCGACGAGTCGCTCTGCAGGCTGGGCGCTCGAACACCGCCTTCGCCCACGAGCGCCGCGGCCTCGCCAATCTTGAAGCGTGCGTAACGGTCCACGAGGACTCGACGCTTCTCCGCGTCAGATGAGGCGGAGGGTGTGTTCTGCAAGGTAGTGGCTGCCGTGGCGGCTGTAGCAGCTGCCTGTCCACGAGGGGGATGACGCTGGCGAAGCTCGCGGACCACCTGCTCGAGCTCGGCGATGCGCCGGCGAAGTCTATCGGTCTCAATGACGTCCGGGTCGTTGGGGTCACGCGCTTCGTCGACTTCGTAGACGCATGAGCCCGTCAAGCCCAGTGCAGTACAGCGGCCGCAGGGGCGCTTGCGATCGCACTGACAAGCGTCAGCCATATAAAGCTCGTCGGTCTACTACTCACCTTTCGTTTGTGGTTGTGACACGGGACACAGCTGCGAATGGTGCGGTTACGTTTGCGTTTGCGGTGGTCGACCTTGTCGTCGTCGTTGTCGACGCCGCCGTCCTCGGCCTCCGTTTTGACGGCGGTCATGGTGTTGCTGTTCTTGAGGTCCGAGCTGCCGGCGTCGTCGCGCGGGATACCGTCCGGTCGCTCGTCATCGTGGCGACCGCCTTCTTCGCCCCACACGTTGAGTGCGCCGCCCATGTACGCGAGGGGCACACCATACTGGTTTCCACCGGGCGGCGGGGGGTAGTAGCTTCGCGGGTTGGTCGAGTTGTCTTGCTGGGGCGCCTGGCCACGTCCAGCTGGACCAGGGTATCCTTGCAGAGACTGCTGAGCAGCGGCGACGGCAGCTGCTGCTGCCTGCTGCTGGTTGTACACGTTTCCTCCACCGCCAGGCATCATCATGGGTTGGGGTGGAAACCCGCCGCCCGTCTGCCAGCTCCCGGAAGGTGCCTGGTATGAGGGGGCCAAGCGATAGTCACCATCTGGGTGTTGCTGGGGGCCCGGACCACCAAGCTGGCCTTGGCGGTTGGAGGGTTGAAGCGTCCCCGGAGCGCGCGCACCAGGAGGAGCGGCGAGGCCGTTACCGCCCACGGCGGGACGCACCGATGTTGCGTAGAGGTCGTTCATTGGGGCTCGGCGCCCATGGGCTGGACTGTAGGCGGTTGCCAGAGTTGAGCCCGGGTTGGGTGGGGAGGTGGGGGTACGCGGGGTGTGTTGGAAGGGGTGTGCGTGTGTATTCAGGTGAGAGGCGGTGGAGTCGAGTTGACTCGGAGGAGGAGGAGGATATTCAAGGTGGGCCTTGAATGTGGTGGTGGTTGTGACTGCGTGTGGTGGTTGTTGTGGACGTGTGTGTGTGCGGTCTGACTGGCTTGGCGGGGGATCGATGGGCCGGTGTGGTTGTTGGTGACTGGGTGTGGATGGGTTGTGGTGGGTGGATGGAGAGCGGCGATGATGAGAGATGGGGATTGAGTGGGGGGTTGAGAGAGGTCCAGCCGACGAGAGGGGTATGTGGGGAGAGAGATGAACGATGGGGGGGTGGGCCGACAGAGAGACGGTCAAGAGAGAGCACGGGGGTGTTCTTTGTGGAGCCCTTTTTGCGCCGCCCGCCCCGCGGCCTGGTTTTGCTGTTTCCCGCGCGCCCACCTGGTACAATGTGTCTTGCTCGCCCTATTGCTTGCAACCTCACTCACCGTTGGCATTTGTCCTATTCCTTGCTATATCCACAGCCCTCGAGTGCATCCCCCCGCTCTCCTTCATATGCACACCCGTCTGCGTCTATCTGTTTGCCTGCCTCTGCCATCTCCATAGACGGCGCAACAGAGGGTACCCCCCGCCTCGCACGCCGCGGCTGCAGTGCCACCAGATCCAAAGGAAGACATTCCCTCCCGCGGGCTGGCAGAATTGGCTTTCAAACTGTACTTTTGCACCCACCTGCCCGCTTACTCGCAGCCGTTCTGCACCTGAACCTTTTCTGCCCACTCGCCATGACTGCCTGGCCCACTACATGTGACAGCAGCACGTACCCAAAACATCCGAGCATGCGATCCCAAGTGGTCCAGTGCCGCCGCAACCCTGCGGCTCCAGACGTCTTCCCCCACAGCGCAGACGCCTCGTTGCGATCTCCGACACATCCCACCCATATCCGCCCGCCCACACTTGCCAAGCCTTGCGGCGGCGGCGGTGCGTGCGCAGGCCGTCATCCAATATTGTCGTGTGCATACCATGACCGCCAAAAGCAGTTTTTGCAAGCCCCGGCCTCTGGCAGAAGCGCGACGCTCGCACACCGCACACCACGCCGCCCCCCTCCCCCCCTTCCCTCTCTTCCTGGAAAGCTGGAATGTAAAGAGTTGAACGAGGCAGCAATGACGTACAACCACGCGAGCCACGGCCGTTCCCATCTCACAGTCTCTCCGATCTAGGTGCTTTTGGTGCCTCGGGGCAGGTGTTACTGACCTTGGGGGTGCGGTGGTGATTCGTTTTCTGAATATTTTCTTTTCATTCTTGCTGGCCTCATACCCCGTCTGCCGTTCCTTGTTTCTGTACGTGGTCTCTCCGATGGCCACACTGTCCACAGATCACAAATGTGTCACTCAGTGGAGCCAACCTGGTGACCAACAACGAACGGGGCCCGCCCTGAAGCGCGTCGACCCCAGCCAAGCCGCCACAGCTTTCCTTTGCGCTCCCTCGCTCTCCCCCGCGGCCTCCGCACCCAGAGCCCAAACCCTTTTACGGCGTATACCCTCTTCGTCGCCACCTGTTCCAGCCGCCGCCGCCCACTTTGGCCAGTGGCGCATAATCTGGTCCTGGGTGACAATAATGTCGTCATCCCATAATGACTGCCCCCCTCCCCTTTGACTGACTGACCGCGTGCTGAGGGTGGCAGCAGGTCTGCTGGCCTGGTGGGGTATAGTCTACGTGCGGTCGCCCCTCTTTTCGCTGCTCTCCTGCCCGCGGCATGTATCTCTGAATGTGTACTTGTGCTCACAGTGCTGCAGCTGTCCAAAATACCAGCAGAGTCGTTCAAAAACGTCGAGTCAGGGGTGCGGAAAGTGCTGGTGCGCCGCGCCGCTTTTGAGTCAGCCGCCTGCCCCGATTGCAAACACCAGATTGAGACCAGCCAGCCCCTTATCACGATCTAGTGAGGGTGACGGCCATGATGCGCACGAGATTAGACTCTTTGTTGAGATATGTACCGAGGCCCGTGCAAGTGGGTGGGTGTACACAAACTCGTCGTTGTCAACTCTAGCTCTGCACGGAGCGACGCGTGAAACGCCGCGCTTGCTGTTGCGTTGCCCATCGTGCGACGGAGGGATTGGGGGGAGTGATGTGAGTGCAAGTTGAGATTAAAGAGACGTCGACAACTCTGCCACCAGACACAGCCTCGTTGCAGCCCAGGCACATCTGTGGCCATCCGATGGCCGACTGAATGGCCCCAGGCAGGCCACTAACCTGCAACCTGCGTTCCTGCCAAAAGCAGAAGGCGCTCCTCCAACATGGGCTGACGTGAGCCGACGGCTATCAATGTGGCGACGAGGCAACGCATGCTCGGTGATTGTCGTTGTGTTTTTTCTTTCGTCTAAGAGGGAACCAGCTGCGTGGTGGTCGCAGCTGGTTCCCTGGCACTGATGCTGCGGCGAGCATAGATGGCAGATCGCCAAGCGTGCGAGTGACTCTGATCCTGCCTTGATCAGGACGGATATCGGCGCAAGGCAGAGAGGGAAGGGGGTTGTGGCTGTGGCTCTCCTGACTGCTGCGACATGTGTCAGTGTGGTGCTCCGCGTGAAATCTGCCAATCTGTCTGCCGTAGTAACGTCCCATCACTTGGCTGTCCCGTACGTACGGGCATTCTGCCAAGGGACCAAGACAAGGACATGGCGAGGGTCAGTGTACAGTTCGGACCCGGCGGCGAGGTCACCCGCCCTCAACCCACCTCGCCCTTTGGGACGTAGGAGACTCGCGGCGTAGACGATGTAACGATGTCTCATGTACATACGCCTCGTGGCGACACCACAGGCTGCAATGACCTTGCGCAGTCGCGACGTCGCAAGTGGGTATACCTGAGCGAGCAGGTGTGTAGGTATTGTTGGCCTATCTGATTGGCAGCCTCCGTCGGGGTATCTACGGGATCTGAGGGCCCGATTGATCTCAACCTTTGCCTCCCCTTACGATTCATTCAGCGATGGAGGGAGGACCTCGAGAGCGCGTCTGGCTGCCCCGACTTAACTCCACAGTCCCCGACGGACGCATGTCTGCCTTCGGGTATAGCCCGGAAGCGCACACCCGAAAGCTAGTTTTGATCGTCGTCCGAGAGGGCCACAGATCCCACAGGACCGGGGGACCACTGGGATGCACAAAAAATGTCCATCTCGACGGCCGAATATTTTCCCTCGAGGGCGACTGCAGGGTTGAGAGTGGGGGGGCACGGGCGACGTTAATGAATTGGGTTAGGTACACCGTTCGGCACGGCGAGTCTGGTCAGTGTGGTAGTGGTCAGTGAGTTCGACTCCAGTTTCAGACTCGAGGCAGTTCCAGAAGAGGGGTCCTACCAGGAATCACTCCAGCAGCACGACATCTCGGCATGCCTGCTCGGCACCTGCTGCACTATGTCTTGGGGTTACACTAGGCGAACTGGAGACTCGAAAGCACCTGCGTATCTGTACGAGAGAGAGGACGTGTACGGTGGTTCGTGTCAGTCGTCAGAGGGGCACAGCGTCCTGGCTACCCTTTGTGGCACAGACGTGCCCACGAAACCCCTCGCATACAACTGCGAAGGCCAAGCCCTGTTCCTCTACTGCTAAACGAACACTCTCTACATGACATCGAGTCTGACTGCGCAGACATATTAGAAACATTAGACTTAGTCGAGGGCGAGGATGGCCGTGGCGTTGGCAACACCGCTGGTTAAGACGATCAGCACACCCACTCTGCTTGCCAGCAAACAGGGCTGCCTCCACTCACATGACACCACAGCCCGCGCGGGCACCGGCATTGCCAGTAAGCTTGCTGTCGGTGTTGTTGCCCAGACCCAGGTCGTCCTGGCCGGCATGCACCACCAGGCCCCGGCCCAGGATCGACCGCTTGCCGTGGAGCGAAATGATGCGGTCGGTAATGTCGATGATGGCCGTGCCGTTCGCGTCGGCCTGGATGTTGCCCAGGTCGCCAACGTGCCTGTGGTGCTGGGACTCGGTGGGCGCACCGTGGCTGGTGTTGTACGGGTTGAAGTGGCCGCCAGTGGCAAGGCAGCCCGGGCCAGAGACGTCGCCGTACGTGTGGACGTGGAAGCCGTGCAGCGCCGAGGGCGCGAGGCCGTAGATCTACGCGTGGGTGTGAGTGATGTTTGTTTTCGGGCAGTGCCACATTCGTCCCATGCAGCCGTGCAAGCGTGTTTTGGCACACACGCTTTCGTCGCGTATACCTCACGGCAGCGTAGGCACACACAGGACAGGCGATGACTCACGGTACCCTTGACGCTGACGCTGTCGCCGTCGTCGATAAACGTAACCTGGCCGGTGAGGTTGGTGCCTGTAAGGATGGCAGAGGCGGCCTGTAGGCTGTTAGATTCGGCTCTCGAGATTTCAGACGCGACGCTCCGCAATAGGATGGAAAGCGAGCAGATCAGAGCCCAAACACCGCAATCAAGGGGATGACAGGAACTGGGATGCCGCAAAGACAGGAGGGCAAGGGGCAAACTGTGGTGCGTTGCCGGCGGGGACGGCGGCACGGCTACTGTTGTGGTTTCGCGTACCCCCGCAATCACGCATCCTTGGCGACGGCGTGAGCAATGGCCGGTAGGGCGACTGCACTGCAATGCGCACCGGCATCGGCGAGCCCCATGTGCACCTGCTGTGCATCTCGTGGACGCTGTATGTTGGTGGGGAAGAGGGTGCGACAGATGGGTCTGGAGGGATGGATGGAGGGTGGGACGAATGGAAGGTTTGGCAGTGACTGCGGATTCCTCGGAACATTGCTTTGGCATTGAGCCACAGTGGTCAACACGTCCAGTAAATGACTCAACGGACGGGCTGAGCGCAAATGGCTCAAAAGGAGTCACAGGTGTTGTACAGGGAATGGCGATATGAGGCATATGGGACTGGTTACTCACCAGGGTTGACGCGCAGGTGGAAGCAATGTTGACCATTGTGTGGATTTTGCAAAGAGACTGAAAGAGAGGAAAAACAATGTTAAGTGGTTGGGGACCCTCTGTGTCCTTCGCGATGTTTGGCGCCTATATATCCCACACACCTCGAGCGCTCCAGATCGGCTGGGGAGTCAGGACCGACGCTCAGAAACCCACACACACACTCACGTTAGAGCGCGTCACACCGCAAGGCCACAGCCACGGGCACCGGCGCACCGGTAGGTCGATTGCTTCGCCAGGTCCCATCGTGCCGCGCCCGAAACCGCGTCGCGCTGCCCACTCACAGCACTTGCACTGCACTGCTGCGTTCTCGTCTGTTTAACCCGCTCCGGTGGATGCACGCATGCTCACGCTTACCCTAAAGAAGCTTTCAAACAACACACGGGAGGGGCCCATGGGGGCCTGCTTTCCGTCGGTCCACTGTCCAAACGTCACTGCACTGTTGCTGAAAGTCTTGTTCCTTTGGATCCAACAAAATGGCGCACCGATGTGTCCATTCAGTACGCCGCCAAGCGTGCTGAAACGTCGCACTAGCGGTAGTTGACGTTGCCATCGGGTCTTGGCACGAACATGTTTGCCGGTATCTGGACCCCTCTGGCGCTAACTTGGTTCGCCGTCGCGTGTCCCGCTCCCCAAAGCACAAACGCGGCCGACACGATGCCGACGCGTCGGGCGACCAGGTCTGCTTCTTGTGCACAACGGTGCGTTTGGAAACAGCGCTAGTAGACCTGTTCCTGTACTCGTGTATCTCTGTCCGGGTTCCAGTCGTCCGAGAGTATCAGCATCGGCGTCTGTTGAACGCGAGACGAACGCAAGACCACGACCTTGTCGGCCGATAACGCGTTTCAGCTAATCCAATGCTGGATATGCTGGACTCCCGCCAAGCGAAGGCCATCAGCCACTATTCATCTAGTGACCGCTTTCAACACTCCCCACTGTCTCCTGAACCATGCAAAAAGAAGACACACGCATCGCAGTGGTGCAGAGTTGACCCCTTCGGCCGTGTTACACAGCTTCGTCGTGGTTGCACACTCGATCAAGAGATATCGGGCTCCGGGCCCGCGGTCCGCTGGAACCTGGCCGTTGTTTCCGGTGGGGACCTGATATCTCAAACGCTGTAGTCACAGGAGGTGCCCAGCCCAGTACACGGGTATGCGTACGCACCTGTACCCGATCCTCTCCTACAACGACAGATATGCTCGCACGTGCGAGTTTGGTACTTGCTCTCGTTGTCACTTTGCCCCTGCAGTCCGCCTTGTACACCGTCGGTCTCTCAATGGTGATGCATCATGTGACTGAACAACTCTAGCCTCAGGTGTGGCTCAAACAACGACTGGCCCCTCCCTCCCTCATACACCTCTGTCGACCCCTATGGCTACACCGCCACAACACGCGGCAGCACGCTAAAAACTACATTGCCATGCGCTTCTTCATGATGCGGTCCAGCGAGCGTTCGAGCTTGTTGGCCAAGTTGGCGTACTGGTTCTTTTCGCCATTGTACTGCCTGCAGTTGGCAAACATGACGCGAGCGTCCGAGACAAAGTCGTCGACAGTCGCATAGTGGTTGTTGTCGAGCTTGTACTCCATGGTCGAGAGGTCTGGGGGCGTCAGTAAAAGTCGGGCTTGCGCCGGCACATACCCATTGGATTCTTGATCACAGAGTAATAGTCGGTGACGACGCCGCTGTCGACAGGCTTCATAAATGGCCAAGCGGACGGGTCGTTTTGCAGGTCGTTGAGCACTTGCTGCAGGACCGCATAGTGTGGGTTTCGCTTCGGCTGTCTTATGCTGCAAGAGTCAGAACCCAACGATTTGGCAGTAACGCACATTTCGTCTAAATCCGGGTCCCATCCACTTTCCACCAATCCAGGCACCTGCTCCTTGCTCAACTTGACAATCTCACCAGGCTTGCGATCCCGGAACGCCTCGAGGCTGGGTCGCACGATATGCGACTGTGAGATCGTACGAATCTTGGCGAGAACGGCCTGGTCGTGAGCTGACGAGATGGAACATCAACTTACGGCCTTTTGGTCGGCGAGCATCTGGTGCACGTCCGCATACTTGACCTTTGGCAGCATTGTACACTGCATGATGGTGCCGCCCTCGTAGTCCTTGATGTAGCCGACCCAACGCTCGCGGCTGTAGGTGATCTCCTTTGTAAACCCTTGCTTCTTGAAGTAGCCAACAGCGTAGTTGTCGGCATACGTGAGGAAGTGCCAGATGGTGGGGTGTGCTTGGCGGACATGGTCCTTGAGTGCGTTCATGAGGTGCGAACCGTAACCTTTCACCTGCTCGGACGAGTCGACGGCGCAGAACACAATCTCTGCGAATCCGCGCGACTCAAAGGGGCGGTAGCAGATTCCTCCCACCACCTTCCAGCCACGCTTGACGATTGGCATCGAAATGTGGTTCTTGTCCAGCACGAGACGGGTGATATACTCGCGGGGCATCTTGGGCAGCTGCTTTTGGAACAGGTTCTTGAGACCGATGAGGAGGATGGTGGCGACCGGTGTAGGGTTGCGGGATGACACCACGGGGAGGGTGATTTCAGAGTCCTTTTGCTCGAGCATGGCCGGGCGAAGGGGGAGCTGAGGCAGCTCGACACCATGCCACATCTCCACATCAACGTCGACATTGTCCTCTTGCTGGTGGGGCTCGTCACCGTCGTTTCGCCGGACCATTTTGTCCTCGCGCAAGCGTTCCTTCTCCTTGAGCTCGGCTCGCCGGCGGCGCTCTCGGTCGTCGAGTTCGGGGCGCCCAGCAGTACGTGACACTGCCAACGGCGTGTCGTCGTCGTCATCGTCGTCGTCATCGGCCGCAGGCGCGGCACCGTGTGTCCGGGGCTTGGCGCCGGTCTTGCCGGCGTTCTTGCCAGCTCGCCCAGGCTGCTTGCCCGCACCCTTGCCAGCTGTCTTGCCCCCCTCGCCGTCGCCGTTGGTCTCGGGCGGCGCAGAGTCTTCGGCCTTGGAGTCGTTGCCGTCACCCGTCAACTTTGAGCGCTTTCGTGGCCGTTCACTGTCGTCGCGCTCTCCGTCCGTGTCCTCGAACGGTGTGCCGTTCTCTGTCAGGTCGAATGCTGCTGGCAAGGGGCCGGCGGGTCGCTTGCCGGATGGTCGCACAAACTCGGTGAGCTGTCGGTACAGCGATTCCGTCGATTCGGGGTGAGGGGTTGGGAAGCTTGTCAAGAGCGACTCGTCCTGTGGGGTTAGCAGACATACGGGGGGCATCGTACCCACTTGTAGCAGCTCCTCTATCCTTCCCACGACTTTTTCTCGCCTTGCGCGCTCCACGTCTGGTACATCGGCTTCGAAGACGTGGCCCTCATCACCGTCCCAGCCGTGGCCACAGTGTCCACAGGTACGCCACCAGCCTTCGTCGGTACGCCAGGCGGCAATGTCGGTACCCTCTGGAACATCGCCATCGGCCATGTCAACGTCATCGTCCGTAGACAGCACGACCTTTGATCCTGACGGCGGTTCGAGGCCGGAACAGTCGCATCCCTCGATCGTGCAGCCGATGAACCGGGCAACCTTGAACGCCCGCACACGATCCGAGACGGTGGTAATGTCCTCGACAGCGGGTGGGTACTTGAACGTGAGGGCGAGGGGCGGCTTGGCGGCGGCGGGCTTGTCTTCGTCGTCGTCTTCATCGTCGTCGGAGGCGTCAGAGGCCTCTTCCTCGTCTTCGGCCTCCTTGTCCTCCTCTTCGCCATCCTCCTCGTCTCCGTCTTCCTCTTCATCGTCGTCATCGTCTTCCTCTTCATCGTCATCGTCCTCCTCTTCCTCTTCCTCCTCTTCCTCTTCCTCTTCTTCCTCTTCCGCATCCTCGTCTACGTCTTCCTCAATACCCCCACTCTCGGCGGCCACCCGCGCCTCAACCTCGGCCTCGACTTCAGCCACACCCTCAGCCAAAGCCTCGAGCTCGTCAAGGTCGATATCCCCGAGGTCCAAGTCGCCCATCTCCACATCTTCGCCGTCGGCGGCGGCGACGCCTGCCTCCCCTTCCCCTCCCTCGACAGCTTCCCCGCCTTCCGCAGGGATGTCCAGTTGGGGGATCTCCAGGTCCAGCGCAGTCACCGGGGTGCCTCCCTCGGCATCACTCTCGGCCTCGACAGTCGCATTGGACCGCACGGGGCTGAGCGAGGACGACGAAGGAGACGACATGGCGTCGCTGTCGCCTCCGTCTCCGGCCTCGGCGGGCGGCGGCGACGGCGTCTTGCGCCGGCGGGATCCTCTCGCCATGGCTTGCGTTGAGGGGTGCAGAGGTGGTGTGTGGGCCGGACGACTTTTTAAAGGTGGGTTATGTTGTGTCGTTTGTTTACGATATGGGATTGTGAGTGGATGTTGTTGATGACGGAAGAGATCGAGGATGAATGTGGACGTCAACAAGGGGGGCCGGGAGACGAACACCCATGTGGCGCGTGGCCTATATGAGTGGCGCGCCTATTTATTTGCTTCCGCAAACGTCACCCGATCACCGTGTGTCAGTGATCAGTGAGGGGCGTGAGGGAGATACAAATGCATACATGTCGACTAGACGACAGACAAGACAAGGCATGGCACAGCAGAGAGACAAACAATGCGAGCACCTTCTACTCGGTTACCGCCTTACACGGGATCACGCCACACCTGCACAGAACAGATGCCCTTGCTCTGCTCATCCACCTCCACGACCAAGCCGTCAAACCCAACGAGCTGGCTGCGGGACATGCCCAACACGCCGTCCAGTCCCCCCTCCACCGACCGGTCCAGCACCATTGCGTCAGCTGGGACAGGCTCGCGGCCTGCTCCGTCCCTAGAGCTGTCGCGACTTTGCATGTCTGTCACGGGCGTGCCCGGTCGAGAACCCGGATCCGGCGAGCCCCTGTTCTTGTGCTTCTTCTTTCCGGCTCCGCCGCCGTTGCTGGAGTGGGACTGACGGGACTCGGTGCGCTGCATGTCGGGAGCGAGGTGGCTATTGTGCGCGTTGCTCCCCACTCCCGTGGCTTTGCTGTCCGAGGACGAAGGGAGCTGCGACCGGAAGGCTGAGAGGGGGGAGGTGAAGTCGAGCTCGCCCGCGTCGGTAGGCAGGATCCACGGGCAGCGGGCATATTGCTGGAACTCTGGTGTACCAGGCTAGATAGCGTCAGCTGCAGTTGTTGTATCTCGCTTACAATGTTGGAGTGCGCAATGATCTTGGTCACCACGCCGTCCACGACGAGCAAGTCGAGCCCGTGCTGGAAGTAGTTCCAGAAGCAGGCGTTGGCCTGCGCGTCCCCGCCATTCCGCTCCGCTCCCCAAACGCGATCGAGGCGGTCGTCCTCTTTCCAGTATTTGCGCAACGGTGTGCCCAGGTCAAGGAGCAGGTCTTGCGCTGTCGTTTCTTGGAGCACAATCTCAACGTCGTGCGGGAGGGACAAGGTGGCGCCGCGCCCCGGCTGGTTGGGTTAGCAAGGGATGCGTGAACAATCGTGCACAATACCCACCTGGATGGTACACTTCAACAACGGCTCAATGGAAGGCAGCACCCCCTCCTCCCTCGGTGCAACGCTCAAGGACACCACGGCGTCTTCGCGTCCGCTACCGCTGAGTTCAAACGTCACTCCAGGGTACGCGAGGCGCTGTGCACCATCAGCGGCGTATGTCGGCCCCAGGGCCCGCGCGACACCGGACCGTGTAAGTGGATGCGAGCGGCTCGCGAGGACGACACCTTCATATGTGATGCTGAGCGGGGACGAGGTGTCAAGGGCGACGTGGATGAGTGAGAGACGCTGTTCGCGCGATGACGGGAAAAGGAGGGTCACTGCGCCGGCGTGCACCGTGACAGCGGACTTTGGCGCGTTCTGTCGGCGCGTCAGCGCGTGCCATGTTGAAAGGCGTGGGCAACTATCAACGCACCTTGGGATCCCATGATACCTCCAGTTTGGGAACATCATCCTTCCTTGCGCGCATGGTATCGAGGACGTGCCAGAGTGTGTCTCCGAGCCGAAACAGGCCCAGCCCCTTTCCTGGGGCGAGCTCGAGCGTGTCCATCGATGGCGGCGGCGACGGGGCACTGGATTCTGAATAAGAGTAGTGATGAAAGTGAGAGTATGGGTTGGAGTTGTTAGAGGAAGAGAAAGAGTAAGAGAGCGACGTCAGGTCGCTGTTGTCGCTGCTGCCGGGGAGCATGACGAGATGGGGCTTGGGTGGCGAATCGCCGTATCAGCCTTTCAATGCCCTGAGTGGGGGGGTTGCTTGCCGAGTCGGGAGGCTCGGCGCGAGATTTGACACACTCACCGAATGGCTGCTGCTGCCGCTGGCAGCGAGCATGGCACCGGGTGGAGTGTGAGTGATGTGGACGCTTGAGAAGAAAAGGAGAGTAGTTGAGACAATGGGTGCATGCATCTTGTCCCAGACGATCAGACGATGAGTGCGAGAACATGCGAACACGACTGATCGGTGTGATTTGTTGACGTCATCACCCCATTCGCAACAACAATCCTTGGCCTTCTGATAAGCAGCTTTCTGGCCACGACGGCCACGACAAAGCTCCCATGCAAGCATCGATACGCAAGACCTTTCATTTTGCTTTGCTAGTTATACCCCCCCCCCCCCCCCCCCCCCCTTTGGTTTTCTTCTTCGTGTCGCCTTTTCTTTCTTCTGAGCCTACGCACATGTCCGCCGGGTCGGTGCCATCACATTCCACTTCTCATCCAAGCGCACGGTCAAGGTTGAATGCGGCTGAGATGAGCGTGACGTGACTGAACGCTTGCGGGGTATTGCCCAGCCCCTCGCCACCGCTACTGATCTCCTCAGAGTAGAGCGAGACGTGGTTCCCATACCCGAGGAACTCGATGAACATGAACACGCTGCGAGTCAGCGACCAGCGACCTGACGATGGAGGTGTGGTTGGCTGATGGCCAACGTAGCGGTTGCCCAGCCAATGACGTCTGCCTCTTCCACTTACGCTTTGTCCAGATACTTCCTGTTGTACACGCCCACCCTCGTGAGTGCCTCCACGCCCCAGAGGGTACACAGGGAAAAGGCGCCCTCCTCGCCTCCCACACCATCGTCAGTCTTGTGCACGTCGTAGCGGAAGATGGACGAGTTGATGGTCAGACCGCCCTTCTCCGGACTGCCAGGTGTAAGTTGACATTCTTCCATGGGTGTTATTGGCCCAACTCACGTCTTGAGGATCTGGTCCACGGTCTGCACGAACCGCGGGTCGGCGGCGGAGATGAAGAATACGAGAGGCATCACCACTGGGTATGTAAGTTGAGTGTCTCCCACGATAGACCTAACTCACAGACGGCCGAGTCGAGGACATCCTTGTCTTCGTACGATTGGCCAAAGAACTTGCCCACGGGACTGTATCCTGTCAGACACTCACGGTTAATGTAAACTCACTTCCAAGCCTCATTCTGGATCGTCTCATACAGCGTGTCCCTAGTCTCCAGCCACTTGTTGCGGTTCGGGCAGGGCAAGCATCTCTTCTCGGCAAGACGAAGGCCGCGGTCAAGGGCGACCCACATCATGATTTTGGAGTAGGTGTAGTTCTTCTTGGCGCCGCGCACCTCCCAGATACTGAGGTCGGGCTCGTTGACTTGGGTGACCACAAAGTCGACAACTTGGCGCACAGCAACCCACGATTCCCAGGCCAAGGGGGCAGAGTACTTTTGGGCGAGGTAGATGCAGTCGAGGAGTTCACCGTAGATGTCCTGCGAGTTAGCAGGCGTAGAAGAGCCGCACAACTCACAAGTTGAATGTGATCGGCCGCACCGTTGCCGATGCGGACGGGTTTGGAGCCCTTATGGCCGGCGAGGTGAGTGAGCTCCATCTCGGGCAGTTCCTTGCTGCCGTGGATCGTGTACACACTGGAACGTTAGTCGATGCTTCGGGCAGCTTTCATAACGTACATTTGCAGACTGCCGTCCGAGTTGCGGTCCTTGAGGCGGGCGAGGATGAAGTCGACATACGCCTTTGCCTCGTCCGTGAACCCCAGTCGGATGAGCGCGTAAATGGTAAAACTCGTGTCCCGGACCCAGGTGAACCTGTAGTCCCAGTTGCGCGTGCCGCCAATGTACTCTGGCAACGAGAATGTCGGGGCAGCAACAATGGCTCCCGTCTCTTCAAACACGAGCATCTTCAAAACTAGAGCAGACCGGCGGACTGCCTCACGCCAGCGTCCCCTGTACTTTGACTTGGAGATCCACTTTTGCCAAAAGATGTGTGTATCGCGGATGAGCCCTTGGACAAAGTCAGGCGTCACAATGGGGTTGTCGTCCGGACGGAGGAGATATGCAGCAGCCATGCGCAAATTGTCAACTGGGATGCCAGCTTCTTGCGCCTTTTGGAGGGTTTCCTCACTTGCGAGGCACTGCTCCTCGGACATGGGCGCGGCTTGGGGTACCTGTCTGAGAATGAAGTAGATGATTTGGCCTTCCTTGAGTGTGAATTCGGATGTGAGAGACGGCCCCAAGAGATCACGCTTGGCCAGTGTCTCCACGTGCACTTGGATTTCGGGGTCCTCAACGTCGGCATCCTTCTCGGACGAGACGAGCCACCGGAGGTCCATGTCGAGGTCGGGAGATTTGAATAGACCTTTCTTCTTGTTCATTGACACTTGACTGGCCGAGTCGTCGTGGACGATCTGGGCAAGTCAGAACGGTATACTTATGGGTATGGCGGTGTGCGCTGGACTAAGGTTTACCCAGCCCGCCAGCTGTACGTGCAGCACACGACTCACCTCGGCAACGTGTGGGTCGCGACAGTAATTGAATGCAGGCGCGCACTCCATCCGAAAGTCCACTGTCCCGTGGAGGCTCTCCACTCTGCGGATGAGCCAAGGCAGGGGTCCCCGGTCCTGGTGACCACTCATGTTGGCTCCCTTTGGTACGAGCAAGTCTGTGACTGATCCCACCGTGTTTTCGCTTAGGAACTTTGTGATGAGCAAGTTGGAGTTGGGCGCATAGTACTGTTTGGGCTTGAAAGCGGCCTTGGGCTTGATGACAAAGTGACCGCCCTTGTTGGCGTCGACGATGCGGGCAAAGACACTGGTGTGAACGTCAGCTTGGCGCTTGGTAGCCTGTCATGACTGAGACTGACCTCGGAGAGTCGAAGTACGGGACGCAAAACGACTCGATGGACCCGGTATGGCTTACACTGGCAGCAGTCTACCCATCAGCGTACGAGTTTCCACCCCAGGGGCAAACTTCCAGCAACTAAACATACCCTCAAGTTACCAATAAGGGCATACTCCTACACATCATTGTCAGCCTTGCTGCGGCGTGCTCCACATGAGAGGAGATGCTCACTTGAATGCCCGAGATGGGCTCGCCGGCCTCGTCAACAAGAGCACGACTGGGACAAGCGGCATGGGTACAGTCATTAGCGTTATTGCGTTCCATGGTCGCAGGGGAGGCTCCACTATTAGTGGGGGGAGGGTTCGGTTGCAAGCTGTTGGAACTGGACATGGTGTTGTGCAGACGTTATGAACAGAGAGGTGGGTAGTCGGCAGACGTATATGAGGAGTGTGGGGCTGTGAACAGGTCGGCTTCTGGACGGCTATCGTTGTCGAGGAGGGTGTCGGTTCTTGAAAGAATAGAGAGCAACAGCAAGATGCAGATGGTGAGACAGGTAGTGATGGAGGACCCAAAGCAGACGTCTGCCGTTGAAGCGAGGATCCGTTCGCGACCATTAGCCGCTCGTGACGTCATTACCCTGCTTAGTTCATTAGCGCTTGCTGGTTCATGGGATCAGTGGTCTCTGGCAGTGAGGTGACAGCCACTGTCTGGACTGTGGGACTGTGGTACTGTGGGCGACCAGCTCAGTCTATAGGCCAGGCTGTCTGAAGTGGTGGCAGCGCACTGTGGAATGATATGGAAAAAAGGAGAGATTGGGACGGTAACTGATAACCGATAGGGATGATGCCACGGATATGCCACAGGAACGATCTGGAACCACTGCGAGACCTGACAGTCAGCCTGCCATGTAAACTCGAAGGCCTAGAACAAGACGTGCGTTGCGTGGTACGTGGACTCTCTACAGGTGGCCGCACTACTTGGATCTCACACAGCCTTGACTGCCCACTCTTTGACTGGATTGAATGTTACAAGCTGATCAAGTTACTGTGACGGCCAAACCCCGCCAAATCGCCACTACCCGGAGAAGAGGCAAGGCTTCCTACTCATCAAAAGCACTGCGTAGAAGGCGGCCATATGTTTATAGGGGTTCACTAAACAGTTGGGTGTGTCAACGGGCATCTACGGGCAGAACCAGGACACGTCCCCAAAACTGTGGGTACATCTTGGGTCAGATCGGTCCAATGGATTCACGACAACAGGGAGGTCATCTTCCAGACCGCCAGAGTTAGTTTGGGGACAACCCATGTCCGACCAGCTACCATGTATATGTTCAAGGCAGAGTAGCTGACCGTACCGTACACCCCTGTCGGTTGAGGCTGGATCTTGGGTTTGGCGGCGACGATCCACAGAGGAGTGGCAGTGTCCCGCGCCCTAAGCCGGTATTCTCTTCAACCTTGGACGCGATGACACCTGTTAACCACCCAGGTGTACAGCGCGAACACATGCAGGGTGATATATTGGGTCTGAGATTCAAAACGACTTCATCGCAGCAGTTGGGTGTTGCATGGCAAGCTAAAGACGACGGAAATGGCAAAAACCGAAAATCGGCAAATTCAAAATCAACCGATCGGCATTTCGACGCCCTACCACACCTTTCGACCACTCTTCTTCCAACTCCATCCATCAGCAAAAGAGGAGGCTCAATCCTGTTGAGAGATTGAGAAGCTATGCATACACCGTAAGGGAGTCGAACCCCTGCCGCGTCGATGGCAACGACGCATGATACCGTTTCACCAACGGTGTTGTGATGTTTTTAAGAAGTGGTGTGTGGGCGCTTTCGGCCAGATCTTCTTTTTTGACAATTTCTCGGATTGTGAGAGGGAACAGAGGGAAGGGAAAGGCTGGGAAGAAGAAGAGGATGCTATGGTACGAGGTGAAGGGAAAATTGGGCGGAAAGTAAGCCGAATTCGAGCCGTAAACCACCAAAGTGGCGACACGAGTCGATCCGTGGCACATGACCTCGATGATCTCCACCAACTCGCTCACAGGCTCAACGGGACGTGGCGTACATAAAGTCCACGTAGAATGCCACAGGCATACATACCACCTAAAAAGAATACCAATAAATCACAATGCACACACAACATACGAACGTTCAACGTCTCTTCTCCTTTTTGGCCACTCGCCCATGCCTCCTCCTTCCTTCTTCTTCTGCCATGCCATTTGTTTCGCCGTCCTGTTTTCTGGTTTGCTCCGACTTTCACTTTTACTCACTGCTCCCCGTCCCATTCGCCCCACTCCCAGGTCCATTCGCACCCGTGCTTCCCTGCTTCTGCACACCCCACTCTGGTCCCATCATCTCGTTCGACTCGCCACTCGTCTCGTCCATGAGCAGGTGGGCGCTCTCGGGTCCCGCGACTGGGAGGCGGAGGACCTCGCCGCCGTTTATCGGGACGTAGGCTGGCAGGTAGCCTGCTTGTTTGAGAGCACAGGCTTGGTCCCTGGGAGTCTGTCAGCTTGGCAAAAGAGACAACGAGTAGCTGACGTGAATTACATATGGTCGAGTGACACAACGACCCACAGTGCAAGCCAAGAGTAGGTACTCACCACCAAATGTGCTCGTGGTACAGTCTGTCGCCGCGGATGTTGACAACAGCCATCATGGGAATCTCGAGCTTTTTGCGACTGGGAGGCACGCCCGGCAGGAGCCAGTCGATGACCCGGTCGTGTGTGCAGTTGTACACAAATTCCTCGACAACGCGGTCCGCTCCGATGGTGCGGGACACGACGACGAGTTCGGCGTCCGCAGGGTTGCTGAGCGTCAGCTATGCCGGGAAATGAAGTAGCAGCGAGGTCCCCTCCCATACTCACCTGAAGATGAAGTGGTCACGGTAGAACGCAGTCAGTGCCTCACGGCCCATGCCGCCCGTCATGGTTGGGATGTGGTTGACGTACGGCTCCGCCTGCGGGGTCAGTCAGTCGGGGACACCGGCGCCAATCGCCGATCTCGCGTTGGAGCGGTGGACGGAGCGTCCACCCGGGACGTCACCCGGTGGCGCCCGCCCGGCGCCGGGTGGCCGCCACCGTCTCTCCCCCAGGCCCCGTTATCCTGAATGCACTCACCACCATGGTAGCCATTGTTTTGGCGACGCTGCGGTCCCTAAACTCGCAGTACGTGTGCTCGTCCCATATGCTCTCCAGGTCAAAGTACGGCCCCCCGAGGTGGTTTCGGAGAAAGACGAGGGAGCGGGTATGTACGATGCTGGCATCGAGCGGGGAGTAGGCCTTGGGCCCCGCACTGGGCACCACAAAGTACGCGCTATCAGCTTCGTACGCGTACACTTTGCAAAGCGACTCGTTGGAATCGTCGCTGTCGCTGCCGATACGTCCCGGGACATGCGCAAGGGCCGGAACAGGCGCGTATGAAGGGGCGCTACCGTGCGAGATGAGGCACACGAGTGACGGCTGCGTCGCCATGCCAGCCAAAACAGCTTCGAGCGCTGATGGGTCGTACACTGCCGTGTGGGGTTAGCGGAGCACCAAGAGGGAAAGGGGAGGGAGCTGCGTCATATGCAAAGGGGGCACTCACCCAGGACGCCATATTTGCCCACCGCGTCGACAGAGGGACACTCCTCGAGGGCGGCAAGAGCCACTGCGAGGGCTTCGGAAACGTCCGTGTTGGCTCCGAGCTGGGCGCCAACGACGTTGAACCCCTCCTCGGCCCACTTGAGGACAGGGTCTGGGTCGAGCGGAGGACGGAGGCCGAGCTTTGCGTGGGGGCGAAGACTGAGCTTGGGTGGGAGAACAACAATGATGCCTGGGCCAGTACCACGACGGCTGAGCGGCGGCTGGAGGGCGAGGCCTGGGAGAGCGAGTGGGGTGGCCTGTCCGCTGGGCAAGGCGGTGGCCTGCTCACTAGGCGCCAAGGCGTTGTACGTCATGGGCGGTGAGGCGGGGGGCTCAGGACTGGTGGCCGTCATGTGTGTGGTGATGTACAACAGCGGACGAAGGATAGGCGATTACAGGTATGAGCGTTGGTATTATGAAAGAGAAAGAGACAGAGAGACAAAGAGACAATGGGACAAGACAAGTTTCCCAGGTAGGTCGGACGACAGATCGGGGGGGTGGACCGTTGCGGTCGAAACAGTGGTCGAGAGGGGGGGGGGAAGGTGCCGTGCCTGACGCAGGAAGAAGGGGGTTGGTCGTGTTCGCGTTTCTCTCTCTCTCGCTGTATTCTGGCGAGGCGCGCCACGAGGGGGGGTGTTGCAAAGCGCGTGGCGGGTTCGGGTTCTGGGGTATTGCAGCGAGAGATAAACTGCGCAAGTGCTACTGCTATAAAGAGGGGGAAGGTGGGGTGGGATGCTTGAATGGAGAGTTGAACACAAAATGTCGCGGGGGATTAAGAGCGTGAGAAGATTAGGCCACTAGATTTGGATCCAACATGTGTCTGCTGGGTGGGCCGTGTCTCACCCCACACGCACTGCATTCCCGAGAGAGACCGGAAACACCTTGTTGGCTACACCCAAGAAAACGACGTCACCGCACACGCACACGCTTTGTGTCCACAAAAGCCGACCTCAGCCGACGACGAGCCGCGCTCGACGTGTCATCGATAGTGTGCACCACCCTGCCGCCCGTCCACCGACGTCACAACAGTAGTGCGCACTTGAATACACCTTCCCTCTTCAACCCACCCTGTCAATTGGCTCCACCCGTCGTGGCCAGTCCTTTTCCCAGCACCCGTATCATGGCTTTCCACACGTCGTACGCATTCTGCAGCTCCACATCAGCGTTTCTGAGACACGCCCACGCATCCAGATAGCGAAGCGATAGCACTGTTATCGGAAGCGAAACGAACGTCAACGGCGATTTAGCTCAGTTGGTTAGAGCGTGTGCTTAACACTGGCAGCCCCTCCTTGGAGAGCGTTGCAGCGTTGCGCACAAGGTCGGCGGTTCGACCCCGTCAAACGTCATTTTTGGCCTCGTGTGGGAGGTCTTGGAGGTCTGCAGAGGCCAGAGGATGCGTGTTGGATGTCTGATGGCAAGCAAAGGATGATGGATGATGGACGATGGCGTGTGGGATGTTCTGACGGAAGCAAATTCGGAAATCGCCGCCCGTCGCCACCGCCTGGGTGCGTTGTCTGGCCATCTGGCACCCAGATAACTGACGTAACCCCCACCACCACATCGTCTCTCCTTCGTCTGTACTACACAAAACATACCCCATTCGTTTTCCTCTCCTCCATTGTTCAGCATGTGGAACCCGGACGGCAGTGGCCGCCATGCGCCAGTAAACCTCTCCACTGCCTCCGCGTCCTCCTCCTCGGCCCTCCTCACCTCGATCAGAGCCCAACGACAGGCGAGAGAGGAACTCCGGGCCCGCGAACACGCCGCAACAACTATCCAGCGCGTCTGGCGTGGACGGCAGTCGGCCGCTCAGACTCATGAGCAAATCTTGCAAAGCCTGGAAAGCGGACAAGTGACAAGTGTTGAGAAGGGTGCCAGGAGTCTCCTGCTGCTCCTGTCGACCGGAGGGCAGCGCGAGCGGGTCGGACAAGTGCTTGATCAGTGGTGTGCCGCTGCTGTCGTCGATGGTGAGCTACAGACAGTACGGCTGAAGCTGACCCCAGTGTCTGGGACACCAATGTTTGCCACGTCGTTCCAGTCTCCAGGATATCTAGCTGTGCTGCCACTGGTTATGGCCCGCATACTGCGCTTTGTCAGCGGAGCACCAAGGTGAGCTTCTGCCCGTGGCCTCGCAAGCTGACATTAGAACGGCTCTGGCTGCACGCCTGTTGACCTCGCTCGAGGCAATGCTCTCCCCGAGCGCATATGTATCGCTTACTCCGGCTGACCGTGCCGACTTTGTCAACGTCCTCGCTCAACAGCGCTGGGTTGAGACGCTGGACACTACCCTACAGATTCTCGTGGCCGCCAGCGTACGTAGCCTGCACTACTCCCTCTGCTGACATGCCAGCCGCCAAAGAAGAAGAACCCCCTTCTCGTCCCCGTTGTTCGACTCATTGTGGCCCCGCTAGCCCTCTCGCCAGCGACGGCCACCTCGCCAATGGTCCAACCGCTCCTGCAGCTCCTGGCCATCCCGGCGCTCCTCACCTCCATCCCCCTTGCCTCCCTTACCCACCTTTCGTCGACTCTGCCTCTTTTCTCAGTTCTCCTCCCAGCCGCAGGTGGCAACCCCGCATTATTATCACAGGGAAGCCTGAACTCGGACCTCGGCCGCGCAGCCTTCCTCGCCAACCTGGCCACCTTTGGAATCACGGGCGGCATGCTCGCTCGCCACGGCGCTAGGGGTGCGGCAGATTGGATACGTGTTGTCGGCATTGTCCTGGGCGGCCTCGGCGAAGGATGGGGACGTTGGGCGGAGAACCGCAAACCCACGGAAGAGCTGCCGCCAATTGACAGTGACGACGAAGCGCCCCGCAGAGCTCTGGCTCCCGCTGTCGACATTCCGCCCAACGTCAGCACCAAGCTCCTCCTCCTCGCTGCACCTGCACACTTGTCGACTCTGGCAGGGTTTGTGGTCAATGGCCCTCCCTCGCTCCTCCAGGACTACTCGGCGTTTGTCCTCGGCATCCTCCACGCGTTCCGCGGCTCGCCTCGGTGGGAAGGCACCCTTGACTCCGTTATGGAGGGCAAGCGGGGACGCGCCCTCCTCAAGTTACTTTGGCGTGAGGGTGTCCGTGGTCGCTGGTCTAGCGGCCGTGAGGCATGGGATTCGTTCTCGAAGAGTGAGTTGCCAAACTCTGGACACGGTTAACTGACGCCAGACCCTAGCAAACCCGCTCTCGTCCTCCTCTCGCAGCTCTACTGTCACTACCTCCTGTTGACACCCGACGACGAGTTCTTCGCCCCTCAAGTCAACCCCCTGAGCATCGACGAGGTCCTCGACCTCAGCTCCATCTGGCGTGATCTCGCTTACTGGGGATACATGCACGGTGTGGGGCCTGGCACCACCGCGATCGGTACTGAGGAACAACGCTCGCTGTTTACTCGCGGCGTGACCCGCTTGTCTGAACGCAACGCGCGACGCAAGTTTGCTGCCGACGAGTTCTGGATCATGCAGACTCTGCAGGCAGACCCCAAGGGCTTTATCGAGGCTGTCAAGTTTGAGGCGGCCGAGTTTGACGCCGTGGAACCAGGCCACGAGAACCCCCAGCCGCAGTGGGGCGCGCGGTACACCACCCGTCGGCAGATTGCCTACATCTCCCCACGCCTCGGTCTGCTCAACAACCTTCCCATGGCGGTGCCCTTCCAGACGCGTCTCGAGGTGTTCCGCCAGTTTATCAAGGCTGACAGGGAACGTCTCGGTATCACCAGCCGCTACGACCCACGGCATGTGCGTCACCGCGCAACGATCCGTCGGTCCGACCTCGCACACGATGGCTTCCGCCAGCTCAACGACGTTGGCCCGTTACTCAAGGGAACGATCGAGATTACGTTTGTCGACCAATGGGGACAAGAGGAAGCTGGTATCGACGGCGGTGGCCTGTTCAAAGAGTTCCTTACCAGCTTGAACAAGGAGGCGTTTGACACGGAGCGCGGCCTGTGGCTCACCAATTACAACAACGAGCTGTACCCCAACCCGCACCAGTATGCCACGGAGCCGCACCAGCTCGCGTGGTACGGATTTATCGGAAGAGTGCTGGGCAAGGCACTGTATGAGGATATCCTCGTCGACGTGTCGTTTGCAGGATTCTTCTTGGCAAAATGGCTGGGCCGCCAGTCCTACCTTGACGACCTCGCGTCACTCGATCGCGACCTGTATCGCGGTCTCATCCTGCTGAAGAATTACCCCGAGCCCGAGGAGCTGTCCCTCAACTTTACCGTCACTGAAGAAGACTTTGGCGTGGCCCGCTCCGTCGACCTGGTCCCCGGTGGTTCCGACATTGCCGTCACGGCTGACAACCGACACGAGTACATCCAGCTTGTGTGCCGCTACAAGCTCGACAAGCAATTTTCCCTGCAGTCCCGCTCGTTCTTTGCCGGCCTGTCTGACCTGATTGACCCCAAGTGGCTGCGCATGTTTGACCAGACGGAGCTCGCCCAGCTTCTCGGTGGCGAGGAGACGCCCATCGACCTCGTCGACCTGCGCGAACACACCAACGTCACCGGCTTTGAGAGCGGATACACGCCGCAACTCTTCTGGCGCGTCGTCTCTACGTTTACGCAGGAACAGCAGCGCGCCTTGCTCCGTTTCGTCACCAGTTGCTCGCGCCCACCGCTTTTGGGATTCAAGCACCTCAACCCCGGTTTTGCGATCCGCAATTCCGGCGCGGACACGGAACGTCTCCCGACTGCAAGCAGCTGTGCCAACTTGCTCAAGCTGCCCGATTACAAGGACGAAAAGCTGCTCAGGACGAAACTGTTGCAGGCTATTACGAGTGGCGCGGGATTCGACATGTCCTAGATGAGTGTATGCATTGAGCATGTATGTGTGCCACGAAATGTGCTGGCCATGTCACGAACCGGTCTTCCAGAACCGCCTGGCTCTGCGGCGCGTTCATTCCTTCTCCGTCTCCATGTTCTCCTCCTTATCCACGCAGAGATGCTAAACAACACAGGCGATTTAGCTCAGTTGGTTAGAGCGTGTGCTTAACACTAGCAGCCTACCTCCTCTTGGAGACGGTTGAAGAGTTGCGCACAAGGTCGGCGGTTCGACCCCGTCAAACGTCATTTTTGGCTTCCTGGACGCTCGCTATGGGTCCAGGTCATCACTCTGGGCATTGGGGATGACACAGGGGAGTCAGGAGATGTTGGGAGAGGTGGGACTGACCGACGAGGTGGGTGGAAAAAGTCGGGAAAATGTCCGAAAATTGCAAGTCGGACATCGTAGTGGGTGGCCCGAATTGAGGAGCTCGTGGTTCAGCAGGGACCAGACATATCGGCAAAGAAGACTCTGTTCTGGCACAACTGGCGTGAGGAAAAACATCCCAAAGCGAGCGAGCCCATAACCTTCTCCTGGTGTTAAGCGTTCCCTGCACCTCTTGGAAAGGCCAAAAGAGAACCTTCGCTTGCGCAAGCTTCAGAAACTTCCTGACGGAGAATCGAACTCCGATCTCCCGCGAGTTGTAATGACAAGCGAGCATACTAACCGTTATACGATCAAGAACTGGGTGTTATACAACATTGACGAGTCGTGGCTTTCCTTGGGGCCTCTTATGCATCGTTCTGCGGCCCGGAAAGTATGCAACGTGTAGCTCTGCATAGTTGGCTTTGCGGCAATCCCACGAATGGACCTGTGAACGATGTTGTTGTCTCTGTGAGAGGCATTCGGTGGAAGAGATGTGCCGGATGACAGAGGTCATGAATCAGCCATTGGCGATCTAGTCGCCCCCAGGTGCCACACAAACGGAGGTGCCGTCGTTTGCAGGGTTCACGGCGATGCCCACTTATCAGACTTGAGCCCCGCAGCTAGCAACCTAGGAAACTCGTGACCAGCACGTCACAGCCCACCGGTCTTGCAACTTTTGAACGCGGCGGTCCAAGACGGCGGCGCCTCCGCGCTGGGACCGATTCGAAGCGCACACTACCGCCCGGTAAATACCGCCCTGTGCCGCCTCCGCCGGGTATGCGCCGGATCAGCGCTTCTCAAGCCCAGAACCACTATCTGTTTCCACAATTATATATTCCTGCGTCCTCTGCATCTCTCCAACCACCACCACCAGCAGTCCATCCATCGCCACAGCACAATGTCCGTCCTCAACTTCCAGCAGCCCACCTTTGCCGTCGACGACCTCTTCTCGGTCGCCGGCCGCACCGTCGTCGTCACTGGCGGCGGCACTGGCCTTGGCAGGGGTGAGTCACGGCCGATGCCTTTCCCTCCCCATCCACATGCTAACCCACTTGCAGCCATCGCCACTGCGTATGTCCAGAACGGTGCCAAGGTGTTCATCTCTGGTCGTCGCAAGGAGGTGCTCGAGGCCACTGCCAAGGAGATCCTCGCGTCGGCCGGCGCCAAGGGCAGCATCACGACCATCCAGGGCGATGTCGGCACCAAGGCCGGCTGCAAGAAGCTCTTTGACGATGTGTCGGCCCTCACCACTGTTGTGAGTGTGGCCCGAGCGAGGAGGGACGGCTTGGAGATTAGGATTGGGGAAAGGTCTTGGGGTCGTCTGCTGACCTGCCCAGGTGGACGTGCTCGTCAACTGCGCCGGCGTGATGCGCACCTACAAGAACCCCACCACTGACGTGGACAACAGTGAGCTTTGATGTTCCCAACACTTGTGAGCTGACAATGCAGTCGAGGCTGTGACCAAGATGCTGTGGGAGGGCCACGATGACGACGACTTCAACTACACCAACCAGAGTGAGTCGGCCACTGGAGCCGCTGGCCTGCAACTTGGCCTGCCAGCGGAACCTCCGTGTCCGGCACCTCCGCGCCTCTTGCATCTAATCGCTGACACGCACCACAGTCAACATCAACGGCGTCTACTTCACCACTGTGGCGTTTGTGCCCCTCCTGCTCAAGTCGGACCTGCGCTCCGTCGTCGTCATTGCGTCCATTGCCGCCGCCATCCTGCAGCGCGCCATGGGTTCCGTTTCGTACGGCGCCTCAAAGGCCGGCACCCTGCACACGGCCAACATGCTCGCGACCCGTCTCTCGCCGTGAGTCCCGACCCAAGACCGAGTAAACCATAAACCGTGGCTGACCCATTTACCCGCAGCGCCAAGATCCGCGTCAACACCATCTCGCCGGGCATCTTCCCCTCGGAGATGACGGCTTCGGGCCCTGCCTCGGCCGCCGAGTCGTACAGCCTCGTCGAGCCGTCCGAAAAGGCCGCCCGCCGCTCCCTCATCGGCCGCTCGGGCTATCCGCACGAGATTGTCGGCCCTGTCCTCCTCCTGGGATCGCGCGCCGGATCGTACATGGACGGCGCCAACCTCGTCGTCGACGGCGGCAGGACCATGGCCGCCGGTGCCAACGACGGTGTCCGTATCGCCGAGGACCTGTACGTCAACTAGGTGTGAGAGGGTATGTTTATAGAGGGGACAAGGAAGGTGTAGAGGGGGTTGGGTAGATAGGAAGCAAAAGCAATGCACGTACGCTGCAAAACTATTACCGTGTACATCGAACGTCTGTGCGCGACCTATCGTCATGCTCTCATGTGGGTGGGGTGGTATGGGTACAACATGTCCTTCGTCCTTGGCTTTCCCGCGCGCGCTCGCGTTTGTGCGTCTTAGTCGTAGAGACCCTCCCACGGGTCCTCCTCGAGCACAGGCGGCGCATCAGCTGCCGCAGCTGGGGCTGGAGGCGGAGCGTCCGCGGCGCCAGCAGCCTCGCGCTCCATCTCCTCCATGGCGGCCATCTCGTCCCAGTCGGGCTCGTCCGCGTCGGGCGCCGGGTCGAAGAGCGCCTGCCTACTGGCGCTGGCGTGTGTATCGTTGCCGTTTCCATTGGCGTTGGCATAAGCGTCCGCCTCGGCAGCTGCCAGCGCGGCCTCGTCGTCCTCGTCGAGGTCGAGGTTGTCGTCATAGTTGTTGGTGGCGTAGTGGTCGTCCATGATCCTGTCCTCTGGGTCCAGGTCGTCGACGGTGCGCGGGCGGTCGTTGCCTTCAAACGCGTCGCGGAGGCCGTGGATTGCAGACTAGGGATGGCATGTCAGCTGGCGTCTCGCGGGAGGGAGTCAGCAGCACAGGTGATGCAGGAGCGGTCACCTGGCGCAAGGCTGGCTGTCGGCGGCAGAGAGGTGAATGCCAGTGGGGGCCACACCTCTCCAGCCGACGCAGGAACACACAACTCACCATCATCCGCCGCGTGCGGCACACAGTCTCCACCCTCTGCATGGTCTGTAGGAACTCGCCGCGCGGGAACATGCTGTGCGCCCACATCTGGTACACGTCCAGGAGGCGGTTGAGGTCTTTAACCTGGGAGGAACAAGTCGTCAGCGGCTGGCACGCCCGTCCACGGCAACAGCAACAGCGACCCACCTCGTGTCCCTTTCCCCGCGGCTTCCACTTCTTCGCCACGCCCATGAGCGCCGGCATGCCCTTGGGTCCCAGCAGCCGCTCGGCGTCGACCTTGGCGCGCGGGATGCGCACCTTGGTACCCGGTTCGTCACCGACGCCGACCCCGCCGCCGCCGTCGACCATCACGCCCGTGCCCCCGCCCAGCCCAAAGGGATCCTGCACGGAAAACGGATCGTCGAGGCTACGCAGCGCGGCGCGCGGGTCAATACGCACGTCCGAGCCCGCACGCTCGGCCAGCGCGGCGAGGTTGAGCGGGTCGAGGGTGGGCGACGGCGAGCGGGTGCGCGGACCGGGGCGCGAGCGGCCAGCACCAGAGCCAGAGCCAGAACCAGAGGCATGGCGCGAAGGCGAGGCAGAACGTGACCGGCGCAACCCCAGATCATATTCGTTGCCTCCGTCCTCGTTATCGTCATCGTCGTCGCCGTACCGCGTACGCCGCGGTCGTTGGGGCGAGTACACGCTCGCGCTGGGCGAGAGGAACAGCGGGTTGTGGTTTGCGCGCCGCTGGCCGCCGCCTGCGCCGCCGGGGGATGTGGGGGTGACGCTGCGCGCGCGCGGGACCGGGCGCGGAGGCGAGTTGTCGCTGAACAGGTCGGCGAGGGAGGTTGCCATGTTTGGACAGGTTGGTGTGTGGTGTTGAATCAAGAAGAGAGTATTACTTGATGTTGGTTGTCAGGGAAAGCAGCACCCAAAGTCATGAAAGTCGCGTGGACGCGTCGCGGGAGCTAATTTGTTTGTGCGAGTGGTGTGTCCGTGTGGCATTATGCTGTGGTCTCATGTCTGCAGCATTGGTTCAGATTTCACTGCCGACAAGGGCGACTGGCATCACTGGAGGGATGGCGATAGAGGGAGAGTCATGCTGCCTGCAGCAAGGTAATAGTCATCTCGTAACATTCGGGGGAAACAGGCCAGGTGAACAGTCCAGCCCAAAAGAACAGCAGCATTCTTAACATTGACAACGTACTTTAAACTTCTTCGTATGCTACAACCCAAACTTCCAACCTTTCCTTCTCATTTCCTTCTCTTTCCTTCCCTTTTCCTTCTCTTTTCCTTTCCTTTCCTTTTTCATTCCTTTCACACACATCCTCTCCGCCTCAGACATGCTGTTCATACGACGAGTCGCTCACAAACGTGATAGCGCTCTCGCTCAGCCCGGCCCCGCTGGTCTTGCGCTGCAGTCCGCGGCCGCCGGCACGAAAGTCCTCCAGGTCCTTGGGGGACGACACCCTCAGTGAGCCCGGGCTGGTGACAACCTGCGCAAAGCCAGTGCTGGCCTTGCGGCCGAGGTTGGGACCGAGGGACAAGGAGCGGAAGCTGGACACGAAGAGCGGGTTTCCGGGCGTGCGCTCGAATTCGGGCGCGACCATCCTGCCCCCACCGCCAAGGCCGACGCCGAGGCGGTTGGGCGGGGACCCGAGGCCGATGGTGGGCGAGCGCATGGGCACTTGCGCATCGGGGCTGGTGACGGTGCATATCTGCAGGCCGACAAACGACTTGGTCCGCTTGCTCCTCATGTCTGACGAGGGCGAGCGCGGCGAGTGTGGCGATACCGAGTCTTCAGACGTGGCCGTGTCGCGCGACGCGCGGCGCATGTCGCTCCGGACGGATTCGGGGGACGCGAACGGGTCCTCGTCGAGGCGGTGGGTGCGCGTGCCCATGGGCGATTCGAGGCGGCCCGGTCGGCCCGTGGGCTCATGGTCATGCGCGAGACCGCGGGTGGTGCCCATGGGCGACTCGTCGCGCTCACCAATGGTCGCCATGGCATCCGACCACGCGCCCGCCGCGCCGAATTCCTCGTGTTCGTCAAACATGTGCGACGGGACGCGCTCCTGCTTCTTCTTCTTGTCGTCGTCGTCGTCGTCGTCGTCCTGGTCCACGGCCTCGAGGCCGGCAATGTACACGCGCGACAGAGTCGGGTCGTACTCTCCTTCGTCGCCGAGTCCGAGGCCGCCCCACGCTGCGGGTGTCTCGTCCTCTTCACCCGCGGTGATGAGCTCCGAGTCGCAGCCGAGACACGCGCCCAGCTGCTCCCACAGCGCGACGCCGCGTGCGCGCACCGAGTGGCGCGCGAGCAGGACCCACTCGTAGTCGGCGCACTCGCGGCGGTCGATCGTGGTGAGGTGGGCATACAGCTCGTCCCACGACCACTTTGTGACGTCAATGTCTTTCCAGTTGGGCCGCTTGGGTGTCTTGGGGAACGCATGCTTGAGTAACGTGATGAGGTCGGCGTTGACGGGGTTGCCGAGCAGGTCGGCGACCTGGCGCGGACGGTCGGAGAAGGGCAGGAGCGTGTCCTCTGCCATCTCGACATAGTCGACGGGCTCGAGCTCGATGGGTTCGGGCTCCTTGTCCTTGTCTTGCGCACCGGCCGCGCCATGAGCGGAGCGGGACGTTGACCCGGTGCTCTTGCGCCGCTGAAGGCCGCCACCGGGGCGGGGCAACGAGCCAGCGCCGCCTTCTGGAGCCGCCACAGGCGACATGAGGCCCCGTGCGAGCTCGAGCACCTCGTCAGGAGACAGCTTGGAGCGTACCTCCTGCGTACCGCGTGACGTCTCAATGACCCCAATGGACGGTCGGCGCACGGGCGGTTTGGGTGGGTTGTTTTCCTCGTTGCCGCCGCCAACGCCGCCGACGCCCTTTGCAGACGTCATGGGCGTCAGGCTCGAGAACGATGCCGCAAACGACCTGCGTGGCGCGCGCGCAGACGTCGCCGGCGCGTCATTGCTGAACAGCGTCGGGGTCGCTGGGACGAGGTTCGAGGACGACTTGGAACGTCTGTGGGCAGGTGCGTGTGTGTGTGAGTTTAAACCCCGCCCGTGTGTATAGTGTGTCTAGTGTGTACTCACTGACGCAGTGGAACAGCCCCTTTTGCCGACGGGGCCTTGACGAGGATGAGACGTGTCGTGACGCCACCTTGTGCTTGTTCTGTGGCGCCGTTATCGCGTCGTGCGTGCGGGGTGAAGACACGTTCGTGCGTCGACAGCGAGCGCGATAGCGTGCCCGTGCTGGCCATGCTCGAGCCCGAGTTGGAGCGGCTGTGCCCTCCGCCGCCTCCATGGCGGCTGCGGCCCACAGACGGCGTGTTGATAGGCGAGGCGACGAGCGGGGTCGAGCCGGGAAGCGGAGAGAAGGACTGGAGTGGCGAGAGCGCGTTGATGCGCGGACGCGAGGGGGAGTGTTGCTGGCGTGTAGTCGACATTGGCGACGGGGGGTGGGGGTGGGGGTTGGGTGTGTAGTAGGTTAGGTTGCGCGCGAGGTGGATATATAAGTCGCTGTGAGCTGTCGAGCTGGTGTGATGGCAAGGGGGGTCCGAGCACAGATAAGGGGGGCGATGTGATGGACTGGTGTCTGCGTGTGTGTTGTTTTGCACTGGGGGTGGCCAAAGGAGGTTTCGAGGACGCTGCGCAGATCACACGGGGGGGTGGGAATGGTGTGCAGTGTATGGAGGGATGAACAAAAGAGACACGACTGTTTGGGTCCTTTTGCCATCTGCCATGCAGCTTGTGATATGCACGACGCTTGAACGTATGGCCTGCCAGGCTTGGCGGCGGGGGGGCGCGGCTCGTGCCAGGCGGGGGCTGTGGGTGGGGAGAGAAGAGGCACCAGATGTGGGCCACCTGGTGGATGCGTTGGAATTCTCACGCGTCAGCGAGAGGAGCGGTGCGCGGTGCGCGGTTGTTGGCTGGTGAGTTCTGTTGTCCGACGCTGCTGCATCCAGTGACGTCGGTGACGTCGGTGCGTCGCGCGACGCTGTTGGAATCTGCGGGGCCAGAACATGCAGAACAGTTGTACAGTTACGGGACGCGGGGCCACGTCCATTGCGCCATTGCATCCATTGTTTCCGCGCCGAGCCGCGTCTGCTCTCCCTTTCTTTGGAGGCGCGGGCGGGGCGTCTCGTGGTGGGGTGGACGTGGTGCGTAATGGTTGCTTGTAAGTGGCTGCAAGTGGGATGATAAGAGACGGTGCGGCCCACACAGGGGGAAGGGGGGGTTGATTTGGGGCCTTGGGGGTCCTTGGTCGCGCTTGTCGGTGCGCGCGTGCGGGGCATGTGACGGCCGTGACGGGATACGGCGGCAAGACGCTGTACGCTGTTATACCGACGACTGTTCCCCGCCGCCGTCAGAGGCGTCGCCGTGGATGGTGTCACTAGTGCCCCGCCGCCGCCGCTCCGGTGGCTACTGTGCGCCAGGACTCACCATGGACGCTAAAGACACCCGCATCGACACATCTCCCTCATGCCTTCCAACGACGACGTGCCGAGGGCTCACCACCGTCCTCACGCTTGACGTCATCGAGGGGGTGGGTGTCCCATATGGAGCACGGAACAACGGATATGCCACGATGAGAGGAGCAGCATACCGCCGTACCGCCGTACCGCTGCCGCCGCTCAAACCCAACCCGCATGATCGTTGTTCCGAGACAAGCCGGGGTCGCGGACAGCCTGTCGAGGTGGGAGTGTTGCACAATGTGCGACAGATCTCGGCGGCGGGCCAGCTCATGACGAAAAAGGCTGAGAGAGGACCCACTTTTTGCACATCCCGTTTGCCTGGGCGTTCGGTCTGTGCTCATGAACTCAATTCAGAGACGACCGCGACCGCGACCACGACGACGACAGACGACGATAGACCGACGTATGCTACGCATGCGCACAAGACCGCGCCGCCCGCCACGAGCGCACGAGCATATAGCACAGAAAACGCCTCCAAGTGGTTGTAGCGTGGCGGCTAGTGTCTACAGTGTGCCATAAAAGGCCAAAGGGCCAGCGTTCTGCCGCCGCTGTGGCCCCAGGTTCTCTGTGGTGCAAAAGGAAGACGGATGGAGACGGTATCTATCGTGTGTGGGTTCAGATAGAGCCTGACGCGGATGCAACCAGGTGGGTGTGTCTTCTGCCTTCCCTCCCCACCTCAACTCAGGGTGCCTTCGCCTTCTGAACCCGCACCGCACAGCGCGCCATATACACACGTCTGATGCAAACGAGCCAGAAACGTAAAGGCCTGGACGCCTGGCTGGAGGTGGCCAGTGGCCAGTGGACAAGACCGCACCGGCCACCGCCGCCCCCGGGGCCTTGTATGTCTTGTGGTGGTACTTGGGACCTGGTGTGGGCGATGCAGACGGCGCTTCTCTCTCTCTCGCGAGATTGCGAGAAATGGGTTCCAAAGCCAAGAGTGGATCGGGGGAATTTGGGGAACGTGTGACGACACGGCGTCGACGCCCCGGAAGAGAGTGCGTGGCCCCCGTCTTGTTGCCTACTGTAGGTGAACAGTAGCAGTAGCAGTCGCAGTGTATAGCGCATGGGCGGGGGCCGGGAGGACGCGAGGACGTTTTGACCGTCTCGACGCCTCGGAACGAGATTGCAGAAAAAGCCCCGGATCCCCTGGGTGACGAGAGAGGGCGGAAGGATGTAGAGGGACCGTTGGGCTGGAGTGTACTGGCGTGCAGAGAGAGCATGTGGGTGCATACGGTATATACGCCGGGCATCGTGCTGCTGCAGCGCGGTTTGCCCAGCGATGTGCCTCGGAAAGCAACTCATCGTGTTCACAGCGACGAGAGAGGCAGAGCGAGAGACTCTGTAGCTCTGTCCCGTCTTTTGCTCTCTCTCTCTCTGCTCTGTTTGTGTGTGTGTGTGTGATGTGATGTCTCGTACCTCGGCCGACACTGTGTCTTTTTTTTTTCAGTGCCACCACCGCCCACCCCGTTTGGCCGCGTCCCTAGCACCCACCCACACCCACCCAAGCGGCCGCGGCAGGGCGGCTCTGGCGCTCTGCCCACGGCACCTGGCTCTGGGCATATGGCTCTGGCTCTGGCCCCCCCGGTTCCATCTGCGCCCCCTCTTCCCCCCCCCCCCCCTTCCGTCCGTCCCTCCCCTCTGGCCCCGCGCGCCGCCAGCAAGAGATCCCAAGCGTTCAGTCACCAGAGCGCGCCCAAGAGAACCACCACCACCCCCCTGCCCGTGTGCTGCATGCATGTGCTGGCTGCTGCTGCCGCTGGCTGGCTGGCTGGCAGGCTGCCTACCTGCCCACTGCTGCTGCTACTGCTGCGCTCGTTGCACGCAATCCCTCGTCCATTTCGTACCACTCACTCCACCCCCAGAGCCTCCCCCGCCCTTTGCCCTTCTCCCCCGGGGTCTTGTCTATCTATCCTCCTCACTCTCGTCTCGTCTCTCTTCCACTCTCTAGTAGGACTCTCTTGGCCGTCCCCCCGTCCATTTCCCCCCCACACACACCACCACACACACACACACCACACACACCTGCGCCCACCTGCGCCCACCCCGACGACAAACCCCCCCTCGTTTTACACGCGCTCGGCCTCTTTCTCCTTGCCGTCGTAGCTGCCTGCACCACCCACCACCCACCACCACGCTCGCCGCCCATCGCACGCGCACGTCTTTGTCTGTACCTCTACGTCCTGTCCTGTGTCCGTGTGCATACACGTGCAGCATCACAAACAAAGAAACACCAGTACACCCAGAGCTACAGAGCTCCCTCCACCCGCTCTAGCCGCCAGACGTCGTCTCTGCAACAGCGACTCACCGACGGAACAGGCGCACGAGACAAGGCCCCCCTCCGCCCAACCCCTCGTGTCTCTGCCCACTAGTCCACTCGCGCGCTCGACATTCCTCCACACTTTCTCCCATCGTCTCTCGCCACTGCACTCTGCACGTCGAGAGCATAACCTATACACCACTCACACATTCAAGGGCCCCGGACGCGCTCTCACAGCGGCCTGAACAACAACCCCACGTCGAGCACATCCCACCTCGCCCCGTCGCCTTCCTTCCTTCCTCCTTCCCTCATTCCCTCCTTCCCTCCTTCCTTCCTTCCTTCCTTGTGCCGCCCCCAAGCAGGCTCCCACGCCAGCACAAACAACACACCCGACGCCTTTGCAAAGACGTCGCGCTATTGATCCCATCGCATCCATCGACACATCTCCATCGCATCTCTCTGGCTCTTTGCCGACAATCTCTCGACAAAGGTATGCGCGCGCCCGATTGTCCTCCCACTGGGCCTCTGCTCACACCCTCCACAGTGTCGCACATCTGATCCATCTCAATGTCTGGCGCGGTGTACGGGGCCGACTTGGGTGCCAACGGCGGCCCCGAGTATGTCACCTACCTCTCCAATGGGACCCAGCAGCAGGTCCCTTACACCCCCCATCTCGCCCAGACCCCAACAGGCATGCCCGGCATGATGCAACAGCAGCAGCAGCAGGGCATGCCGATGGGTGCCCAGCAAGGCTACCTTGCTCATGGATCCGGCGAGCCATCCATGCGTGAAAGCGTCGAGGGCATCCCCCAGGTCCACCATGTCCCACATATGAACGGCGTGCCCGTCATGATGAACGGCGGCATGGGCGCCATGGCCCACCAACAACAGCAACAGCAACAGCAGCAGCAGCTCCAGCAACAGCAGCACTCCAGCAGCAACAGCAGCAACTCCAGCAGCAGCAGGGCATGCCCGGCCAGCACCATTACTCGATGCAAGCCGTGGCTCCCCAGCAGCACGGCTACGTCGGCGGGGTCCAGCACGTCCAGTACTACCCGGGCATGCCGCAGCACACCGCTGCTGCCTTTCCGCAAATGGCAACCCACGTCGCCGACTATCGCTTTGGCGGTGCTCCACAGTTTGTCCTTGACCAGGGCTGGCACGGCCACGGCGAGTGGGAGGACGACTTTGACGAGAATGGTGGAGCTGTCCTGTACGGAAACCTCGAGGTAGGTTAAGCGCGCGCGCGCGCGGGCAGACACACTGGTACAAATTTCCTAACGCATACACCCACACACATACAGGTCAAGCACCGTCGCCGCACGACCCCCGAGCAGCTGCGCGTCTTGGAGCATTGGTTTGCAATCAACCCGCGTCCCGACAATGCTCTGCGTGAGCGACTGGCTTACGAGCTGGGCATCACCAAGCGAAACGTCCAAGTTTGGTTCCAAAACCGGTTAGTCATTTGTGCCAGCCCCTCCCATTAGGGGAGGGGGTTGGTTGTGCCTTTTGAAGGGCGAATGGGGGGGGCTCTTGCGCTAAACTCAATTTCCCTTTTCCACAGTCGAGCGAAGATTAAGAATCAAGAAAAGGCCGCGGCCGCCGCCGCCGATGCAAAGAAGGAGGCTGAGAAGAACGGGTTGACGTCGCAAGACGAGGCCGATGCTGTGGGACACGCACCAGCAGCAGGTGGACTCAAGGCTTCCCCGCCTACCCCGCTCAACTTGTCTGCAGGTGGACTGACACCCACCAACGGAAGTGTTGCCCCTCCAACACCCACAGACCCGTCCAAGACGCCAGTGCCCCACAATCCCGGTACTCCAAACGCTCTGCCGCCTCCCATGCAGCCCCCAGCCTCGATTTCGCCTCGCCCAGCATCAAGTGACCAGAGCAACAAGCCATCTCTGCTCTTGCCTGGCGGCGGCCGACTGGACATGAACCGTCGTGTGTCGTTGGCAGGCGGCGATGTGGCTTCGGTCGAGCACTGGGTCCGCCAGCGCAAGCAACAAATGGGCCACACTCCACCGCAGGCGTCTGTTTCGGCTAGCAACTCGCCCATGGGTCTCGCAGCTGCGGCCAGGCGAAACAGTCAGCCATACCCCACGCAGATCATCACATCGCACATTCCCGACGACCCCAATGCGGCGGCCCTGTCGCGGTCGGCTCTGCCGAGCCCCAAGGTGTCGCCCAACGGCCGCATGCCTGGGGCCCTCTTGTTCACGGCTATGCGAAACAATACGATCCGCCGCGCATCCATGCCTGGTGGCGCCCAGCTCATCTCCACCACGGCGTTCACCCCGCCCCGTGTTCCGTCGTTCAACCACCCAGTGTCGTCCTCGCAGCCCCAATCGCGCATCCTCGCTCGCGAGCTCAGCCCGATCAAGGACCAGGACACCGAGATCGACCCGTCGCTCCGCGGTGGTGTGCCAATGACCTATGTCACGCCTCCTCCCAGCGCGTACCCGTCAGACGGCTCGTACCTGTCTGTTCCCAGCTCTACCGAATCGGCGTTCATGTACTCTCTCAACCCCGGTCTGCCGTTTGCGCCCAACTCGCCGTTGCCCAACCCGTCATTCTCGTTTGGTGGAACCCCAACCTCGGACGTTCCTGCCGCCCCCATACACAACCATGTCGGTGGCGGCATGGGCATGGACCAGGCTGGCACGTCGCCCGTCAATGCCGACAAGGACCCCCAGCATGCGTTGTACCTCGCCCTCCAGCGTGGCCGTCTCGGTTCCCTCGCATCTGTCAACTCGGTGGCCACCAACGGCACCGACGGCGGCAGCACCGAGTGTGGCAGCGACGCCGAGTGGCCTCCCTTTGTTCCTCCTGGGTTTGACCCGGACATTCGTCGTGCCTCGGCCCCCGCAGACCTGCTCCACAACATTGGCCTGCTGGGCATCTCGTCCAACTCGGCGGTGCAACCGATGGCCCAGGTCCGCCCGTCCCCTTGGCACCGTACTCGTCGCAGAACGCCGTCGACCATGTCAACTCGTACGAGCTGTCGCTCCCTCCGCACCAAGGGTCCCACTCTGCCGGGCCCGTCATGAGCAATTCGTCGTCGACGCCAACCCTCGCTGGCGGTCCGTACATTCCCGCCGCGAACGAGTCGCCCGTCCAGTCTTCGGCCGTGACGTCCGAGGGCCCCTCGCCAGGCGGCGCACACCCGAGCATCAGCCACTCGCTCATGCCGCCGCCTCCGCTGCCCTCGAACAGCAACACGAACACCCACAACCGCCACTCGCTGTACAGCTTTTCCGAGGTCCAGCAATACTCGTCTCTTCCCTCGCAGTTCCCCTCTGTCCCCGACCCGTCGGTATACACGAGCCTGTCGGGTCTGCCGTCGTCGTCCGCCGACGGCTCGTTTCCGTCCGAGTTTGACCTGGGCTTTGACCTGAACGACAACGAGGACAAGGACCAGTACGCGTTCCTCGCCGAGCTCACAAACGACAACACGTCAGACACTGTCAACGTGCTCGTTTAAACACCAGACCAGGGCAAGTAAACAAAAAAAAAGTCGAATCAAACATACACACACACACACACACACACACACACACATACACGCAAGCACCCAAGCACGCACGCACGCACGACCCATCTCACGCAAACACGCATTTCCACCAAACTCTGCTTTCCCCACGGCGCGCGGCGACATACACGAACAATTTATAACGCGCCCGCGCCCCACCCCCCCACTTTTTTTTTCATTTTTATTCTCGTCAAAACCGACAGTTTAACTAGCCACCTACACCTACCCAACCACCAACCACACTGTATCTCTTGTCTGTCTTCTTGCTCCCCCCTTTTTTCGGCGTGAACACACACCCACATCCACACATCCACACACACACACACACGTGCGCGCACTCCTTCCTCGTAGGGACTATTTTGCACTCTTCTGTTCTTCTCCCCTCCCTTGAGAGCCAGGGAGGGGGGGTCTGTTGGCGGTTATATGTGCACACTGTTTACACACGCATACATGATGTGAGATTATCTTGGAACACCCAGTCTTGCGAGGTGCCACAGATGGCCCCTGTCACTACCGCCAGCTAGTTGGGCAAGGTCTGGCATGCAGTACACAGCCGTACAGCCATCACCAGGAGAGGCAGCGGGACTCGTCACCGCCGTGTCACCCCTGTTCGTCACCCCCACACTGAATGGAAGACACGTAAAAAAAAAAAAAAAAGGTCCCAAGAAGGTCCGTATCTTGAACAAGGACAAGGGGAGGTGGGTGGGGGGGGGGGGGGGGGGCATGAGCCAAAGCGCCCTGTGGCGGCCTATTCAGCTGTATCCAGCCAGTCCATCCATGTGTGTGTGTGTGTGGGTGTGTGCTGGTCCAAAAGACCGACACGGCATCTGACCTGTATTCAGCCACGGCACAGTGACGACGCCGGAGGACGGGGGGGGTGGCTCGCTCGTGGATGTGTGTGTGTGGGCAGTGGATATATTCCTGCTTTGAGGGAGGCGAGGCGGTCGGCGGCGTTGAATTGCGCGCTGGAAAGCACACTGGCCACTGCATGCACTGGGTGCACTGGTGGGTGCCACATCTCGGCCACCTCACGATGATCCCAAGCTCTCTGTCGCGGACTGGCTTTGCCGCGGTGTACCCGTCCGCCGCGCCACCGCCCAAAACGCCCAGACGCCAAAGGGGCAGAGCACGAGCACGAGCACGAGCACCGAACACGAGCGTCAGGACGCCACAGGCAACAGGCTCCCAGGGCTTCCCCCCCTCCCCCTCCTTTCCCTGGCCCACCGTCCGTTCCTCCGGCCCACCCGGCGCCTCCGTTCCAAGCGTGTGCCACCGTGCCGAGCGGTGACCACCGCTAGGCTCCTAGGAACCAGCGGGTCGACAGGCAGAACGTCCGCGTCCGGCGAATGAACTTTTACCCGCGCGCAGCTGGGCATTCCCACTTCCCTGGTTGCCTCCGGGTCGAGTGGGTTCGAATGGGGCCTGGCAGCGCCAGGTGCTGCGCAGGTGGGGCTCTGGGCTCTGGGCTCTGGCTCTCGCGCTGGGGCGGTTGGCTGGAAGACGGGCATCCGCGTCCACGTAATGTGCATGCATGCCGCTCGACGGACCACTGGGCCACTGATCACTGATAACATGACTGCCACTCACACGTCGTCGTGTCCCGCGCAAGAGATGCTTTATGAGCCCTCACCTCTCTCAACTGGAGAGATCTGGCTTACGCGAACGACCCGGAGGGGTGCGTACTGCCCCCCACCACCGCCATCTGACCCAGGCTCCATAAAACTGGAATGGATCGGGCAGGAACGACACGGGATTTCTGTGCCAACAAACGCAGCGCATTGGCGCTCGCCGGAGAACGCGGACAGCTGCACATGGTACACAGCCTGTGCCTCTGCCTCCGCCTTTTGGGTGAGGAATTGAGGAATCCACACCGTATCCGTGCTGCTGCTTTGTGCGCTGGGTTTTGATTTTGCTCCCATAAGGAATATGGCACGCGCCTTTCGTTTTATTAATAACCGCGTCTAAAGGACGGACTAGGACCAGGCCGGGCGGCACTAACATGTCTAACATGACATGATGGAGCTGGCACGCGACCAGACGGACCCATTGCGCCACTGACATATGGAGCGCGTTCGGTGTGATGTTTCGCTGGTCCTGTCGCTTTTGGGCTGTGGGCCTCGTGATAGCGCAGATACTACTTCTGTAGTTCGCGTTCAGCCCCTGTGATCCGGCTGAGCCTGTGACCTGTATCCTGTGATCTGTGCACTGATCCTGCATGGCAGGCATGCGTCAACTGACAACGTTCACAAAGAGCCGAAACTAAACCAAAACATCCTCCGTAGTACTGGGTGGACCCTGTGTCTGTCCTCGTGCTCGTCTGCACGTCGGGTCTGGTGACGACGGGTGGTTTGTATGTCAGAGCCAAAACGAAAGTACAACGGGGGGCCTAATGCCTGGCTGGCTGGGATCCGACAAATCCAAAATGCCAGACTTGTCCCTATCCGTGCGGACCGACGAGATCAGCTCCAACCCCGCCGGAACCCACTACATAAATACATGGTGACCCTGGTCCACGACGAGCTCGGATGGCGGAGCACAGTGGAGCGACCAGGAGCTGCAAGGGAGGGGGCGCAAGCGGGGGGCTGCAAGAGGCAACACGAACTGACCTGACATGGGCGGCCCAGAGGGAACCGAAAAGCAAAATCAACGCACACACCACAGGGAGAGGACCCGCTCCGACACTTTTGACTGTGGCGGCCATGCCCACAGCCTCAGCCTCAGCATCGTGGGAATGCACTGGAATGAGGCTGATAAACGCATAGTCTGCCAAGCCCAATCACCAGTGCCGGCCAGTGTCGAGAGTCATGGCCCAAAAACAGAGGCCAGAGGTGGCCGTGCTGGTGTTGTTGGAAGGTCCGCGGCTGAGCAGCGCCAGTGCCACCGAGGAGCCTGGGTCTCGGCTAGCCCAGACCGTTGATAGATCTGTACGGGTAGGTGCTGGGTGGGCTGCAATTGCGGGGCCGGGACGACGCTGATTGAGGCGCTGTATGAGGCTGCACCCGGGGGGGGGGGGGGGGGGGGGGGGGGGAGGATTGCAGCGAGGGCCGTCCCGCGGTGCTGAGCGGCTGTCGCGGGTTCGAGGACGGACATTTCATCGCTGCGGTGTCTCGTCGAATTGTGTTGTTTGAATTGCGGATGCCTGTGGATTTCGAGGAAAAGGAAATCTCCAGTGAGTAGAGCGGCGATCTACAGATGGACATACAGAGCACCGCCAAATACCTCAGCAGCGAGAGGGAATGAATCTGTGCATAAGACGACGATCTGCCGATCCGGAAGTGCGACCGAATGCCTCAGACCCTTCTCGCCATAACGATCGCCGTGTCCAGAACCCACCCACTCTCTGCCGCGACGTCCTCACGTTGCTCCACACGTCTCCCATTCCCTTGTCACAGATCACAGACAGTCGCCAGGAAAGCTGGCGGGGTTAGCCACACATACGCCCAGAAGCGGCTACCGCCGCGTGTTGACCAGTCACACTACGTACTGCAGGGTCGCACGAAAAAAAGAGAACACCTCAAAAAAGGCCAGACCACTGGTGACGCACATGCACTGTTGACCATCGTAATCTGACATTTGTGAAATGCCACCCTCAGGCAACCTGGTCTTATATTCCGCAGGTACCACGAGGGTCTCACACAAACACTTTATTCCGCTTTGGCGATCCATGACGATCTTTACGAGGCCGCGGTGATCTGCGGATCTGCTGATCTGCTGGTTTGTGTGTGTGCGCGCAGTCGGCCGATCCCACTCAGGTTCATGGTCAGACATGTACGTCTCTTGTGTGATCTCGAGTAATCCATCGCCTGGACCACCGCGCGCCGTGTCTCTTTCCGCGTGCTGGATTTCCCGTGTCTCGTGTCCAGCTGTTCGACGCGGTCTCGTCTGGCCACGGTTTTCTGGATCCGTCGTCCACATCGGCCGAATCCTCAAGGTACCATGCACATCTGCCTGGCCAAAGGCACGCTCACACCGTTGGTCACAGTAGTGTGCTTTGCTGCTGTCATGTTCACATTTGTTCCATTCGGCCTCGGGAGACCCGACAGTCAGCCAAAAGCGACTGGAGGTCGACGTTCGGGGCCTGGATGTGTGCCAGGAAGGACTTGATGGTCGGTTAGTGCGTTCTTTTTGTCTGGAATAGCAGTGGCGGTGAGAGAGAAATACGGCCAGCGAAACAACCAGATGACGGAGCTTGTGGATGTGGCAGTGACCTACCCGTCCATGGTTCCACTTGGGAGACGGCTATGCGACGTAACACACACTCCATATGGGGCTCAGAAAACCAAACCGTGTCGTCGCGTGCCGACTCTGGCACCGTTCGAACTGAGCCGAGACAGCCACCCCAGGCGCACGACTGCCTAACTGCGTCACGAGCTCTGCCCCCAGCACCCCCTACTGCGAAGAAAACAGCATACCATCACTTACAGGCGCAGAGTATGACCTACTCCCAAGGGGAGAATGCTCACCCAGGTGCAGGTGGCTACAGACGTGGCAGAAGCAGGTGGCTACAGAAGTGGCAGACGCAGGTGGCTACGTACAGACAGTATCGCTAGCAAACATCGACAGCAACCGGAGGAGTCACGCTACCGGGGACACTCCCAAACACATGGCCACGGAGCCAAAACCCCACCACACCGCACACTCCGCCAACACCATCCAAACCATGCCAGCCAGCCCTCGTGTCTTCCTCGGCCATCCCAAAAAGGTCGCAGACGCTTCAGGTGTTACCCATCGACGTCTGCATGCTCTGCATCTCACTACCCTGATTCGAACAGGGGACCTACGGATTACTCTTCCTATCGGAAGGGAGGTAGAACATTACAGTCCGGCGCAATACCACTATGCTATAGTGAGGAGATGTTGACAAGATCGGAGGTGGAGGGAAATTCGTTCCGAAGAAATTTCGTTCTCTCAAACATTCAAAATTGCTCTCTGAAGGGCGAGGCATGCATGTTTCTACGCCCAATACGTTCCCCCTCGCAGGGCTCCTCATAAAAGTGAAGGTTTTTCCCAGGGGGCGACGAAAAACGCTGTACTGATGTTAGCTGGGGTGGCGGAAAATACCGGTTAATTGTTCATAAATTGGTATGCACATCTGTACTCTGCCAAGAATGTGATTGGCATTCCCTCTAACGTCCTCGAGATAGTCTGCACGTGATCACCAGCGACGTCTCTTCCACATGTGAGACACCTTGCTCGGCCGCAAGCTGTATGGCAGGCTGTGGTAGTCGGGTCGGGCAACAGGCCAATTTTGTCGTTGCTGTGTCGGTGGCACGAAGCTGCCCAGGGAAAAGGTCCTACTGTCAGCGCCACGTACAACCGAACAGTACTCCAGGTATTTGAACGAGTTCACTGAGGCACTCTGGGCGCCTGCTTTCACGCTTGTCCGGAAGCCCCTTGCTCCAGTAGGTCGCGTTAAGCTAACGACAGCCAGTCCTTGAAGGATACTCCGGTGGCTTCGGTTCTCATGCCACAAAGGAGGGCTGCGACGCCGCAGCTGCTAACCATTTGATCTACAAGGTCCCCTTGCAGCCGACGGCATGTGCCATGGGGAGCAATGGGGACCTCGTTCACTCCTAGGTCATTGCTCATGGAGTGTGGGATTGTTCGTATCGTGTTCCACCTCAGAATCAATCCATTTACTTTTATCATACCTGTGTTCGCATGACGCATCGTGCTCTGCATTTCCAGACCACGAATCAGTTAGACGTACATAACGTTCTTCTGGCGCGACACTATAGAGAGGCTCACGCAAGTGTACCAGTTTTTGTGCACTCCTATGGCACAGTGATATCTTTTCAGCACCTGACGGCTCAAGCTTGGGGCGAGAGGCAGCCAATGCTCTCGGCCTCCTACATCCCTGCGTGTAGCCACGATGTGCAAACCAAAGACTCACGTCTCACAGCCGTACAGTACAGTACGTCAAACGCCACTTCAAGGTTTACAAACAACCAGCCACCTTACCTTTACACTCCTACACTCTATGCATACCCCATACACACACACTCAGCCGTATGGGCTTCTGGCGGTCGCCTAGTGCCCAATTGTGTCCCGCCCTCGCAGTGCTTGATGGCGGCAGCATCGGCACCAGATACAATGAACCGCCGTGGCGTTGTCAGCCATGGTCATATCGACGACGCCAGGATGGAGTGCCTGATTCACAACGTCTCCTGGGATGACCATGAGAGGGTGAGTGACCACTAGCTCCATCACGCACGTACTGTACATACGCTCGACGCGACGTGTACGCCTCCCCTTGGGCGCTTGGGCTGCGCCACAAGGCTGCTTGATCGTTGCAATGAGGCTGCGTTTGGGCTTGGCGATACGTGTTCGATTGGAGTCTGTACCACGGGGTCCCTCTCGTGCGCACGCCTGCTTGTAGTTTCGCGTTTCGGGAGCCTACACGACATGGTGGCCGCGGGCCGCGGTGTGGGCAGGGGATGGCATGCGCTAGCGCTAATGCATGCCTGTTCGGTGCTGTTGCTGGCCGGGAATGGCGGGGGGGCCTCGTTGGTTTAGCCTGCTCTCAGAGCCGCGACTGGGTGGAGGGCCGTTGCGGCATCTTCCCAAAGGGCATGCTCCCTCTTCCGTCACATTGCCATTCCCCACTTTGGTCACACCCACTCCACGACTACCTCCATTGACTGTCCAGAATGGTCTTGACTTACCACACCCACGTTTGTTCATCAGTACCAGAACAGCTATGCTAACGTCACAAGTGCAATGCAGACATACTTGCAAAGTCCAACAGTGGCGTCAAGGAGTCCCTCAGGGATGATGGAGCCCATGGGGCCAACGAGCCGCACCTCTCCCCCGTTCCCGGCGAGGTGCTCGCTCTCATCCTCGAACAAGTCCCTCACGGCAGCTCGCTCATCAACTGCTTGACTGTCAACTCGTTCTTCCACGATGTCACCGAAAAGATCCTCTACCGATCCATTCGCATCACATACCGAGGCAACCCGTTGGATGTCATGCCCATCCTGCCTACCAACATGACAAAGCGCGACACCTATGTCCGTAAAGTGAACATCATGGGACACTATGACCTTGACATGCCGTACCGCTTCGGCACCGACTGTCCCCTCCCTCCGCTCCCGTATCTGGACACGATGCGTGTGTTCTGGTACCCGAGCATGCGTCTCCGTGACCGCCCACTGCAGTTGTGCTCGGCGGTCCGTACCCTCAAGCCCAAGAACCTGGTGATCCGCAACGCGTCCATCATCACGGCGCGCTCCGTCCTGGATAACCAGTCCAACAAGGGTGCCGAGAAGCTGTTCAGCTGCACCATTCTGGACAGTGTGGAGCGCTACGTCTGCGTCGTCGACCCGGACGCTCCCAGCCTCGACCGTCCCAACAATGCGTTTGCCGAGGACTTGGCCGGCGGCATTCGATGGCTGGCGAGCGTCCCCAGCCACCCGCGCTCCGTCACGATCATCTTCCGCACACCGGACCCGGCGGCGCGCTGGCCGTCGCAGCCCAACCCCGTCAACCTCGTCGCTCCGGACCCGACAGTCAGTGGCTGGCTCTGGGTGGTCTTCCGCTCGCTCGCCGACTGGGTTGCGGCCGCCAAGGGCACGTCGCGCATCAAGTTTGTAAACGCTGGTGCAGTGCGTCGCTCTCCCAACGACATGGCCGAGGTTCAGCGCATGTGCGAGGACATTGTCCGTTCCCGTCTCCTGGAAATCGAGGCAGACGACGCCGACGCAAAGGGCCGCCAGAGCGCCGTGGAGTTCCTAACTATGCGGGAGTACCTCTCCACTGAGGATTGGACCGGTGTCTTTGACCCGGAGGAGGTTGCCGCTTGGATGCGTCCCGACTCGCCTCTCTGACCATCTAGTCCATTGTAGCACGCACCACGGGGAGAGAAAAGGAGAGAGTCGACCTTGCCCATACACATAGGGGCAGTTTGTACAGTAACAGCTCAGAAGTACAGCAGCATGCCATCTTGCACAAGGGAAAATGATGACGTACGCCCAGCATCCTGTGCATTCAAACTCTCCACTCTGTCTGCTGCACACTCTCACAGTCCCACATCGTGCCACATTCTGCAGTCTCTCAGCCTGACAGCGCCGTACACAGTTGGGGTGGGAACCAGTGAGCGGTCGGGGCCCTGTGCCTCTGATCCTCTGAGGGTGAGGGGCAACGAAAACAAGCTTTGTGCTGCACTCCTGTCGTTGCAGGTACGGTACTCCGAGCAAGTGTCCCGGCTGTTCGGAGGGGCCGGGAGTTCTTGTATAGGTAGGTGTACATAGTAGTGTGCGCGGCATCGGATCCCGTGGGCAAGACGACGTTCAGGAGATCAGGAGAGCATGGTCGGTCTGTGGGCCTTGGCATACCGCTGCTCGGGGCTCGCGGGAGCGCACCACGACCTATTGGTGTGACCCCTCTGCCAGTGCGTCTGGGCAATTTCCGACAGCGTACCAGACAGCAAGCATTGAGCTTCACACCAGGCGTAAGCGACCAGGGTGTCACTCTGCATTGCCTTCTGTGATTCTCCCACTGAGCCTGCGAGCGTTGTCGTTGCGCTTTGCAGTGTAACCGGGGATGGTGGGAGGGTGTACCCGACCGGAAGGGGTGCCGTTTCCACTGTTGGAGTAGCCAATGCGTCGCTGATGGTGCTGGCGGGTAGCGATGCTGATGTCAGTGTCTCGATGCACATCTCTTCCGCTCACTGATGCTCAATAAGCCCATGTCGTCCGCAGTATTGTCAACACTGACCGCGAAGATGTGTGAAGGACGTTGCTGATATGGGGTGTGGGGTGCACGACGACTACTGACGTCATGTGATCCGCGGAACCGACGATATGTTTCCGACAGACCTGTGGCCTGTGGCCGACGAATTACTAACACAGTACATCTTCAAGAAGGGCGAGGTCTTCGTCCCTTCGCATACCTTTAATAAAAGAACATAGAATTTTCGGGAACGCGGCCGTGCATGTTACCAGAGGGTACACATTGAGTCCCAGGGACGGCAGAAGCAGGCGAAATACCTCACATGTGTCGATCACTGGCGCCTTCAATCGAGCCTCGCTTGCACCGTCCTCCCGCAGCCGCAGGTACCTTTGGTACTCTGTGGGAATGCCATCAAGCAGCAATCTGGAACCCCCGTGCTTGTCACCATCTCGGCTCTCGGCATCTGCTCGGCGTCCTGGGCGTGTGTTATCGAACGCAAAGCCACGCCGGACAGTTAGCCGTGTGGAGGTTGTAGTGGTTCTTGTGCCACATAGTTTCTTACGGCGAGGCGCAAAATAACCTCCAAATCTGTACAATTTCTGCAAACTTGTACTCGCTGGGGTCACGAGCACATGCCAGAGGCCCAGTCGTTGCCATTACGCTGAAAATCTGATCCAAATTCGCCCAAAGATAGATCTCGTTGTACGTCAACCACTCCCACTTGCTTGCTTGCTTCCTTCCTTCCCCACTGTCTTTGTCTTCTCTGCGATTCCTTGCCAAAACGACGGCTGCTATGCACACACGGCAAAAGAGAAGGTCACGACGGGGATCGAACCCGCGATCTCCTGATAACTAGAGATGTTAATCGTAGTCAGACGCCGTACCATTTGGCCACGCGACCTTGATGAAAGTTGAGTTGAAAGAAAAATTACAAGCGTAAACCTGCCACGTGGGGAATTTCTCGGTTCCGTTCCGCGTGTCTCTGAAAGTTGAACGACTGCGCGACTTGACTCATGACGAGCGCTACGACTCGACGCGGCTAGCGTCGCTTCATGTTGACATTGTACACTCACTCTTCTTGAACAACGCAGTTCCCCACCGTCACCATGTCCAAGTCTTTCAGTGGGTTGCCACGACGATCTATCTAATGCCCCTCAGTTTTCGTCACCGGCAACGCCAACAAGCTCCGCGAGGTCAAGGCTATCCTTGCTAGCGGCGACAGCGATATCGAGTGCACCTCGCAGTCGGTCGACGGTGCGTTTTCTGACGCCTGGCTTCTGCGATTATGGAGGGTCCACAATGAGTCTGCTGACAGTTTTCAGTCCCCGAGCTCCAGGGCACCACCCAGGAGGTCGCCATCGCCAAGGTCAAGGACGCGGCGGAGAAGCTCGGCGCTGCCTGTGTCACCGAGGACACTGCGCTGTGCTTTGACGCGCTCAATGGCCTCCCCGGTCCTTACATCAAGGACTTTATGGCCGGTATTGGCCACGACGGCCTGAACAAGATGCTTGTCGGCTTCAACAACACCAAGGCTACCGCTCTTTGCACGTTTGCCTACTCGGCCGGTCCCGGTACGGAGCCGATCCTCTTCGAGGGTCGCACCGAGGGCAACATTGTGCCCCCTCGCGGTCCCACCGCCTTTGGCTGGGACCCGTGCTTCCAGCCGATCGAGGGTGGTGGCCTGACCTACGCCGAGATGGCGCACGAGGACAAGAACAAGATCTCGCACCGCTACCGCGCGCTCGAGAAGCTCAGGATCTACCTCGCCAGCCAGTAGAGGATGGTTATAGACATGGGGTACTAGATTGTAGATGTCAAACTGTACAACAAAATGCATGCCATGCACATGTATGCGCTATCGGTCGCGTGGTGGATGGGGTGGAATGGTTCGGCGTGTACTGAGCCGCCGGTGTAATGTGGGATTCGTGACTGGAAGAAGGCATGTCCGAGATGGTTATTGGATGGGGGTGAGGCAGCGCCTGCAGTCACGCTCTGTGATGATATCGTGCGATTGTAGTGACTTGAAAAAGACATTGCGTGAGGCCGGGTAAACAAATATACGAGCGAGCTCATGGAGCTGCGGTCAGCCACATCGCAACTGCTTTGAAACACACCTCTTCCGAACCTGCCAAGACGTCGGCTAGCTTTGCACAGTCGGAGACGCCGGCGCCATCGATCCACTTATCAATTGCTGCAAGCTTTTCGCGGTCCAGAGAATACTTGCCGAGGTAGGTTACCATGGCGGTGACGGGGTCGGACTCGGTCAGGAACTCGCGCAGTGTCGGGTCCCATTGTACAGCGGGCTTTTCATCGGCATCGTCTTCCTGCTTCTCGGCAAGGAGGACACGCAGTCGCAACCATTGACGCCGACGCACCCACCCCCACCAGTTGAGGGTCATCGGGAAGGCTCGCCAATGCTTCCTGTGGAACCACAGGTTGTACTGCCAACCCTGTTCATCCGAAGCGGGACGCATGTTCACCATCCATTCGGTGCACCAGGTCCATTCTGGTGAAGGCGTCTGGTACGTCTCGAGTGTGTACCCTGATTTGATGGTCTTGCGTTTAAGATTCGTGGGGTTGATCTTGGAGTGTCGACTCCTAGCACCACGCTCCCACCCACGAATGACTTGCTCCGTCTCTGGCAGGTCGAGGGGTAGAGTAAACGGCGTCGGATCACCCGGGAGCAGAGAACGCCAAGAGTACCATGTGCTGCCGAACAACGATATGCCGCGCTGGTTCTCATACATGACTGGCGTCAGTACTGGTCCACCGACTGCAACTCACCTTCCCAGACGTAGCTGGCTCCAGGGGAGGGCGGTTTACCCAGTGCCGCTTCCAGCTCTGCGAGCTGTGCGGCGGAGTGCACGGTCTCCTTGCCAACGACAAGGTCAATGTGCTCAAAATTGAGCTGGCATGCCTCCTCCAGCACCTCTGCCTGCATCGCCTGGGGGTCGAATGCTTCGGCCTCTGCCTCATCGGCTGCCTCGTCCTCGCCAGGATCCTGGTCCTTCTTGGCCTTGCCCTTCTTGCCCTTCTTTCCTTTGTTGTTCTTAGAGACATGTGTGTGAGGACGCTTGGCCATGAGTTTCTGAGCCTCCCGCTCAACGACTGAGCGCTTTGCCAAGTGTAGCCAGGACTTCTTCTTCGCCAGAGTGTGTGCCATCTGCGTCTCTTCGGCCTGGTCCATAGCGGTGACCTCGGGAGGCTGCGGAATGTGCGACGAGCCTGCACCGGATCCGGAGCTAGCGATGCTCGCATCGTCGGCGTCGACCGTCGCTACCGCGGGCGATGTGGATCGGCTGTCATAGTTGCCTGTCGAGGGTCGGAGACTCGCGGCATGTGAGCTTGTCGGCGTTGCCGTGCTGACGGTTGTCGAGGTGTCACGGCGCCAAGAGGGACCGGCCTCCACGGAGGCCGTCGGGGCGCCTGCTGGCGTGCCCTTGCCCTTTCCGTTGCCCACCTTGGTCGGGGCGGTCGGGGCTGAGGAGGAAGAGTCCTCAGCAGAGGGTGGTGATGGTGGCAATGCTTCTGGTGGTGCCGAAGGGTGCAGTGAAGGCTCGCTTGCCATGGGGTGATGTGTTAAGAGAGATGTTGTAACGACGGAGTAGATCAAACGGTACTTCAGTTAGGTACCCCCAATAGGCGATGACGTCAATCAGTATATTAGGCGACGGGTCATTTCGCTCCGTGTATTTGCGGGATTTGTGGTTGTTGGTTAACAATAACGACCATGTTGCTATCGCACGCTTCCTCTCGCACAAATGCTGCACGTTCATGTCCGTAGCCTTGTAGCCTCGTATTCGTGTTTTCTCTGATCTGGCGCAGAACATCGATTGACAGTTGATCTTAGAAGCGCTGTCAGACAAAGTACAAGCCTTCAGTCTAGGACGCTTGACGAGTGAACACAATCTGAAAGACCTATGGAACTCGACATTGCTTCACAAGGTCATACATGTAGTGCTCGTCGTATATGTAATACCTGTCATAAACACCTTCGTCTCCTTCGTTGACACCCTCGTCGAGAGACTCCATCGTTTCAGCAACGATGGTCGTTGATGCAGAAAACACAGAGTGCGTTGACAGCACCTAGCAAAAGCGGCAGATCGCGAGGCATGGGTCCAACAAAACGCCTGCTCATCCGGGATGACAGCCGCTGGCACAAGACTGGGAATGACCCAGTCTCCAAGATCATTAAAACTGGACCAAGTACAAGTACAGGAGTGTTTATCCTCACCAGTGTCTTCGCCACCACTGTGTTCCTCCTGTCTCCTGTCGTGACGATCAACGTAGCCGGTCGCACTTAAAATCATGGGCCGCCGGTACAGGTTTGATCACCTTCACCGCTGGCAACATCATCGGCTCTCAGATCTTTAGGCCCAGCGATGCTCCCCGCTACCTTGACGGAATGGCAGGTTGTGCCATCTCTCTCCTCCTTACGATGGTCTTCGTTCTCTTGTGGCCGTTGTACTACCGCATGGAGAACAAGAGGCGCGACAAGGCGCTTGTGGCCTCAGTGCTTTCTGTCGAGGAGCAGGAGTACCAGCGTATGCTCGCTGGATAGAATGACGTTACGGACCGTGAGGTAAGCATGGGTCATGTCACCTTACCATGCCAGAGGACATCGGCTAACCGAAACAGAACCAGCACTTCCGCTACTACTACTAGGCCATCAAGGGCAGGTGGGTGCCATAGGTTTAGTTTTGTCGCTTGGGTCGGGAAGATGATGGCAAGCAAGCAGGAGAATTTGACATGTAATACTGAGTAGTGACTATCGACAAACGATGTATGTGTACAGGATGAGGCTGGTAGCATCATATTGGGGGGTATGGTCTCATTGTCCACTACTGTTGGCCTCGTCCACTCGAAATGCGCCACTGCCACTCCAGGCCTCAACCTTGCCGGTCACTGTCAGATTATTCTTCCTATTACAGTTCCATGGACCTGGATACTCTTTGTTTTTCCCCAATCTCTTCGGAGTACCAGGTCGGGAGGTTGGACTGAGAAATGCGAAAGAACCGTGCGGGTGGCGGAATATCTCACCTCCGTCATCCTCCGCCACACTTCTTCCACACAATGCCTCGGTCACCAGCAACCACGTCTTCTACATGCCATGTAGATGGCTCATCATGAAGCCATGCTTCAGAGGTATTCGCTGCACGCTTTCCAGCTCCCAAAAGCATGCATAGGGCCCACCAAGGAAAGCGCCGCCTCGTCCGTGAGTTCTAACATCCAGTTCTTGATCGTATAACGGTTAGTATGCTCGCTTGTCACTACAACTCGCGGGAGATCGGAGTTCGATTCTCCGTCAGGAAGGACACCACTTGCAATAGCAAGTCTCCTCTTTTGCTGCACATGTAGAAGTCGCTGGAGGGACAAGAGCCTTACCCGGAACCTGGGAGAGAGCGAGAGTGAGAGTCTGCTCGACAACGAAGAACTTTGACAGTGCCGTCGTGTTCTGTATCTTTCTCTAGGTGTACACCTTTAAACAGCTCATGATCAGAAGCGGTTTCCCTGCGGAGGAGCGTTTGGGACGCTCAGAACGGAAGCTCAAGACCCGCAGCGCGGGTTGTGGGTTTACCATCTAGGTGGTTGCTAAAGATTGCACTTTGGGATCGACCAAGTCTTCTGCATGGAGCTCGCTTGTACCGCCTGCAGCAGCGTCTGATGCTTGAGGGTTGAATTTGTCGGGTCTTCGCTTATGGACGAAAGAGATGTCGGACGATGTTGTGCGCATTTGCCACGGAAGAACTGATCGTCATTCGCTGAAGGCTGATTGTCGCGGCCTTCCAACTGCAGCGGAGGTGATATTTGCGTTTTCACAGAGGTTAGAGCTACAAAAACACACTTTGCGTGCTTCCAAGAATAGGCTATAGGCTGGGAGGCAGTGGACGATAGATACGTGTAACACAACGCGAGAGCACGCATGTTACGTCCAAACAACCTCATTCTAATGCGCCTATCTAACGCGATCTAACGGCGCCGGCGGTGCCGGTGCTCGGCACGACCGCGGCATAATTGGCTTCGTCGGAGTAGTCCGAAATCGGCATGAGCGGCTGATATAATTTGGGAGAACCTACGGCCGAGTTGCCGGAAAATGCCAAGCCCACCTGTAGATGCAACCCTTTTCTTAGCAATAACTGTTAAGCAACGTCCACGCGCGGCAACTATCGCAACAACACACTCTCCTCCACCTTTTGCACCACCCAAGCTTTCCAGCTCGCTACCTGTTGGACCGCACTGGCTCCCGAGAGCCTGCAACAGGACACACCGGCTCCCTCCCTCCGGGCCATCGTAATCCCGTTGCACTCATACGCTGTCCATCACCGCTGGGCCATGCAGGGAGATCGGTGATTTCAACCACCACGCAAAAGCAACGACAATATCAAAAGCAACGACACTCCGTCTTCCAATGTCGTCTAGTCAGTCAACAACGGTGGACACCCCATTCGAGAGTCACGCCATGACCAATATCGATAACGGCGGTATAGACGAGAAGCTTGGTGCGATGGAGAAGGCTGCGCCGATCGACGAGCCCGATAGCTTGGGCTTGACGAAAACAACAACTCAGGTTGCCCATGACAAGTCTGTCGATCCCGACATTGACGAGCTTCCCAATGGAGGTTACGGATGGGTCATAGTGGTTTGCCTGCTGGGGCTGAACGCCTGTACTTGGGGGTGAGTCCTGCACAGTCTGTGAGAAGCGGCAACGAAGTCTGGGGCGGTTGTGGAATCATTCTTAGCCGCCGTCGATCGTCCTATCGGGCCTCCCCCAACTTCCTCCTTGCCTCACGATGCCATCTCCAACTCTACAACTCACGCTATTGCACAGAGTAAATACTACCTATGGTGTCTATTCCGCCGCGTTCATAGAGAACAACTACTACAACGCATCGCAACTCGACTACGCATGGGTTGGTGGCTTGTCTGCTTCTGTGGCAGTGGTCGTCGGCCCTTTGGCCAACTGGATGATCCAGCGGATGGGAATGAAACCCCCTATGCTCATTGGTGCCGTCTGCGTCGGCCTTGGCCAATGCATGGCTGGCCTCTGCAAGTCTTATGGTCCATTCTTGTTCTGTCAAGGAATCTTGTGAGTCAAGCGCGGGACAGTTATTCGGCGACCGCGAGCGTGCCCCAACGTCGTCCGTCATGTTCCATTCTCTCGCTGTGTTCCTTGGCATGTGCTAACGTCTTCAGATTCGGCTTCGGTGTTGGTCTGGTGAATAATCGTGTTGGAGACGGTCGTGCTGACTTCAGATTCTGGTTCCATCACAACCCATCCTCGCTCATTGGTTCGACAGGAGACTAGCGCTCGCGCAGGGATTTGCACAAGCTGGCTCTGGCATTGGAGGCATTGTCTTTTCCAATGTCGCTCCTTTGCTACTTCGCACTGTCGGCATCAAGTGGTGCTACATCATCCAAGGCTGCATCTGCATGGCCATTCTCTTCCCGTCCATTCTGTTGATGAAGGGTCGACACAAGGCCGTGCGTGCAAAGAACGCACCCCTGCAGCTCAACTTCTTTTGGCACCCGGGATTCAAGTGGCTGCTATTGTGGGCCTTCTTGACGAGTGAGTGCTGGGTTCAAAGAAGCAAGTCGCTGACCACAAAGTGATGGGATACTTCATTGCGATCTATTCCGTCGCATCGTACAGCACATCTGCTCTTGGAATGACCCAAGCACAAGGTGGCGCCATTCAGTCCATCCTTGCAGCCGGCCAAGTCGTTGGCCGTCCATTGTGGGGATTCCTTCTTGACCGCGGCGGACGCGTCAACATGGTTATTCTGAGCTACATCATATGTGGCGTTGTCACTATCGGTGCGTGGATGCCCGCCCGTTCGTTTGGCGTCATGGTCTTCTACGCATTCGTGAATGGCGCAACATCTGGAACAATTCACTCGGCTGCGACACCTCTGGCGACCAGTGTCGTCGGCGTCGAACACCTGGGTTCAGCACTGGCAATCTACTGGCTCACACTGGCAATTCCAAACGCCACTGCCCAACCGTTTGCCATCATGATCGTCAACTACTCCAAAACCCATCTCAACAGGACGGGACCGGAAGCCTACCAGATCTCAATCGGCTTCTGTGGTGGCCTGTTCCTCGCTGGCGCGATAGCTCTGCTGGGCGTCAAACACTACTTGCAAGGCAACTGGAAGTTGTTGCAGAGGGCCTGAGCCTGGAGTGCCGTGTGCTGGAGTTTGTTTTCAGAGAGAGTTTCTTGTGTCATTACCGGTTTCCATCATATTGCTGAGCCGCTCTATATCTACCTCACATTCATAGATTGTATGCATAGAACACATACTCGACGCACAGGAAGAGAGCGCGGGGGCGGCCTATGGAATTTCTTCGACATCCGCAGTTGCCACACGTGAAGAACTTACCGGATCCCAGGCATCAATGTCGATGAGCCCTCCTCACTCCTCCCGGAAATTTCCTGTGTTAAGAGGTCATCGCCGGGGAGAAGGTGAAGGCCGCGTAAGGATCACCAACACCGAGTTCATATTGCGACAGGACCACGTTACTGCGTGGAAGGGGGTAAGGCGCATCCATCGAGGAGACATCGTTGCTGTCCAACTCGACCACCCTCAACTTCTGATCACTCGCGCTCGGCTAACGTCATCCAACGTGCAAGCGTCAATGCCTGCGCCGCGCGTGTACCACCAGAAGTGCAAAACGGAACTCTGAGTCAAAGCTCAAGAAACGACAGTGAGTGCAAGCCGATGGATACCATTCGTCAGCCACGGAAAACTTGAGGGCAGTCGAGCACAGCAGCAACAACATTCTGTACACATGGGGTTCCCACCGTTCCCAATATGAAGTATTCAGGACAACTGGTCATTACACATGGCGCTCGTGTACGATTTCCAGCGCCCCACCGCAGTAATTCTGACCAAGTATGAGCCAGCTCCCTTGACTCACTTACTGATACACACTCACCGTCTCCAGGAGATACTCGACTTTCAAGTCATACAGCGGGTACGAAATAAGACATACATTAGAAAAGACTTGTCCGAAAAAAGCTTCTCCGCTCCAGTCCAACCCGCCACTGTGTCCGCCAGCGAGCACTCTCTTCGTTTTGGACAAGGATAACCTGCAAAAGGTGAATCCGACGCTCTCGCATCGTTCTCAAGCCTAGTATGGGGCTCGAACCCATGACATTTTGATATCTTAACACAAGGAGTAAGAGTCAAACTATCTACCGACTGATATAACCAGGCTCCTTGGAAATTCAAACACTGGGTGGTTTTTGAGCGGACAAGAAAGCGCAGTCATTCAAGGGGAAGGACCAAACCAAGTTATCAGTAAATATCCTGCTCAACCACGTTTGGCCACCATTTGGGGCGAATGTCAAAAGAGAAGAAGCGAGGAAGGAAGTCCAAGTCGAGAGTCGAACCTCGCGGGGCGCACATTTGAGACCCCCAAGTGTCACTCAGTTTGACCCTCCAGGGATCCAGGGACATCTACATCTGCAGCAAAAGAGCAACTCGCTGTTGCGAGTGCTGTCCTTCCTGACGGAGAATCGAACTCCGATCTCCCGCGAGCTGTAATGACAAGCGAGCATACTAACCGTTATACGATCAAGAACTGGATGTTGTTGGAGAGTGCCGTGATGCCGCGATCGTTGTCCCTGTTTTTCTCAGCCTCTGTTCGCTTTTTATGCATCAACAGCACGGATACTCTGTCTAGAGGTACTCATGAGTCATCGTCAGGTCGAAGGGAATACTAAATATGAAAGGTGGCCGCTGAGCGTGCGATCTAACTCGGTGGTGTCAACTGCCACATCCACCAAAATGATCGACATTGGCCTTCCCTTGTCTGCCTTCCCCGCCTTCCTCGTCTTCCTCGTCCTCCTTCTTCCTCCTCATCACTCACTATTGACTGCCCTCGTTGTTCACACTTCCCATAGCCTCCATGTCCGCCAAACCACCACCCCCTCGCCCCTACTCCTGGGTGCACATCCAACGCCGCGCCTCTCACATGTCTCCCCTGCCACTCACCATCCTCTCCCGCATCTTTGTTCACCTTCCCCCACCGTCCATTGGGGCTGCCATCCGCGTCAACTCGCAATTCTATCGCGCCGGTATTGAGCAGCTCCACAACCACATCTGGATGACTGAGCATGGTCCCTGGCCCAGCTTCACAGATATGGACCGCTTCCCGCCCCTGCCGCTCCAGCAGATGCTTGGCCGCAGCTGGCTCCGCTCAGTCGTCCACACGTTGGACGTCTTTGGCCACTCCACTCGCGTCTGTATGACCAACCCCGATGACATGTGGGTCACGGCCGATTCCCTACCAGCCCTCCCCAATATCAAGATCCTCCGCATCCACATGACCAACCCCTTTGGAACGTCGCAGCACCAGCGCTCGTTCCATACCAACGGCGACCAGCAGTTCCACTCCAACTCGGCTCCACACATGCATGTCTTGCCACAGTGCCCTGCCGTCTACCGCATCAAGCCCCGTACGCTCGTCGCCCTCGGCGGTCCAATCGTGTACCGCGAGAAACCCATCACGGCCCTGCCTTACGGCCTGCTCGCCGCCGTGGAACGCTACGTCCTCGTCCTGTCGCCCGACGCCGAGCTCCTCCTCGCGGACAAGACGAGCGCCGTCCCAATCTTGCGCGCCCGCGCCATCGCTTCAGACATTGCCAACGTCCCAGACGCCACCGACATTGTGATCGTCTTCTACACACCGCGCCCACACATTGAGTGGCGTGGCGCCGTGGCCACGATGCGCACCGAGTCGCATATCAAGCGCACCTGGGCCGGCCGCTTTCTCACTGAACTGGCACACCTGATTGCGCAGCTGCCCTTCTTCCAGCACATCAAGTTTGTCAATGCCGGTTCGCTGGACAAGTATGCGACTGCCCAGCAAGTGTGGGATCCCGCGGAGGGGATGCGTGCCCTCGAGACCCACTTCCGCAAGCAGATGGACGCGTACGCCCAGGGACAAGGCCACGAGAGAGGAGATCGCATCGCCGAGTGGTGCCGTACCACCACGGTCGACTTTGTGAGCATGGAAGACTACCTCCGCCACACCCAGTGGAAGGGGGAATTTGAGCATGCAGAGGTTGCCGAGTGGCTCCGCCCGAAGCGTGTCTGGGGTTACCTGTAGTCAAGATGTACTTGCCATCCACACCCTGTCTTGCCCGTCACAGCTCGCTTTTGTTCACTGATGTGCAACTGTGTCCATCATTTTGGTGTCTACCATTCTCCCTGCATACAAACACAAACAGTCATGCTACTGAAAACACCAGCCCTAGTTGCCGTTGGCGACCTTTCCGGCAAAGCGCTTCTCCTCCTCCTCGGTACGGGCCTCACCCGCCGAGCCAATGCCGGCCGAGGGCGAGAAGAAGGTCTTGTAAGGGATGAGCTCAGCCTTGGGGTTGAGGGTGAGACCCCATCCGGGCTCGTCTGAGAGCTGGATGCGGCCGTTGGTGGGGAGCAGCTCGTTGGTGAAGAGGTTGCCGAACGAGGGGTGGATCGACTCTCCGTCGGGCGAGTTGGCAATGTACTCGCAGAAGTCCGAGTTGGGGAACGACATGATGGCCTGGAACGAGTAAGGGCCCGAGCCGTGGGGGATGACGGGAATGTCGTAGGCGGCAGCCTGGTTGGCGACCTTGATGAGCTCGGTCAGGCCACCGAGCCACATGACGTCGGGCTGGATAATGGCCACAGCGCGGTTCTCGATGAGCTTGCGGAAACCGTACTTGGTGTACTCGTGCTCGCCGGTGGTGAACTTGATGTGGGGGAGGGCCTTGTGCAGCTCGAGGTGGCCGTCAAAGTCGTCCGGGTGGAGACACTCCTCCCACCAGTTGATCTTGACGCCAGCGTCCTCGACGGCCTTGACGACCTCGATGGTGTAAGGCACATCAAGCGACATGTAGCAGTCGACCATGATAGGGTAGTCGGGTCCCACGTCGTCGCGGCACTTCTTCAGGTACTCGACGTTCTTGCGGATACCCTCGAGTCCGTCGGGGGGACCGTGGGGGAGGGGGACCTTGCCACCCCAGAAGCCGAGCTTCTTGGCAACGGCGGGCTTGGGGCCGGTGAGGTACAGGGGAATGTCCTTCTTGGTGCGGCCACCGATCATCTTGTAGATGGGCTCGCCACGGATCTTGCCAATAAGGTCCCAGACGGCAAGGTCGACGACCGAGAGGGCGGCGAGGGGAAGACCTAAAAGTCAGCTGAGCCTCACACATATCGTAGCTGATGCACTCACCCTTGCGGCCGTAGAACATCGAGGCACGGAACATCATGTCCCACATCTTGTTGGTGTCACGGGGGTCCTGGCCAATGACGAAGCGCTTGAAGTGCTCCTCGATGAGCCAGCACGCGGGGGGACCGCCAAAGCCGGTGGCGTAGCCGACAGTGCCGTCCGAGGCAGTGACCTGGACGAAGATCGATCCGAGGACACCGATACCCCACGAGGTACGCGACGAGCGGTACTCGTCGTACTTGTGCATGGGACACGAGATGTTACCCTGGACGACTGAGGAGCGTTAGTTACAGAACAGGCAAAGTCGAAAGCAGCGCCGGTACTCACTCCAGTGCTCGTTGCCCTGACGGTGGTAGTCACCGCCCGAGCCGTGGGCGCTGGGGATGAAGGTCTCGAGCTTGACCTAAAAGGAGTGTCAGTTACTGCAGTAAACGAGCTTAACGACGCCAGGTCGAGGACGGAGAAGCGCCCACAACGCGTAGGCCGTGGCCGCCACATTGTGGCGGCTCCTACGCCCCGTCAAGGCTTCCGACGGCTCCAAGACTCACGATAGTGGGCCACTCCTTAGGCATTGTGAATGATTGTTTGTGGTGAGAATGAGAGAAAGGCAGAAGACTCTGTGTACGAGGGAGCACTTATAACGGGGCATGGCTCGTTCTCGTAGCGGGTTGCGGCCCGGAGTCTGTCCGGACCCAAAGGGCTCGGTATAGGTTTCTACCGTGATACCGCGCCGGGGAGTCGGAGCCGGCCTTTTGGTCCTGAGGATTGTAACGAGGTCGCGCTGTAGGTGGGAAATCAGACCCGTTCAGCGGTTTAGAATCGGCTGCAGGACTGTAATGCATCGCATTGCCGATCTGATCCCCGGTAACCTTTGTGTTTGCAAGTGCAGGTATGCATGGGAATGCTGCAATGGCGCCCAAGTCTATGCAGAAAAGGATGAGACGCTTGTAACAACCGACACTGGCTCCTGACAGCTCTCGGTTAACTGATGAGAAGTCACGGCGTCCGGCAGAAACACATACCGATGTCCTGTCACTGGCCATTTGTACCGAGACGCCGTCTGGCAACATCCTTATGGCCTCGGTCACCGCAACAACTCTTCGAGCCTCTCACCCTCCCTACTCACCTCGCTACTCATCGCATACACAATGGCTACCCAGCAAACTGCCACCAGCCGTCTCCTTCCCGGCAAGGTCGTTGTCGTCACTGGCTCGAGCCAGGGTATCGGTCGTGCCATTGCTATTGGTAAGCTATAGGTCCAACAGCAATCCAGCTAACACGGCAGCTGCGGCCAAGAACGGCGCCAACCTTGTCCTGCACCACCTTGGCGAGGCTACCGCCGCCGACGTTGCCGAGGTCCAGGACCGTGTGCACGAGGCGGGAGGCAAGACTGTCGCTGTCGGCGGTGACATCAGCTCGCCCGCTACCGCGACGGCGATTGTTGACGCCGCCGTGTCGACCTTTGGCCGCATCGACGTCCTGGTGTCGAACGCCGGCATCTGCCCGTTCCACGCGTTCCTCGACCTGCCCCACGACCTGTGGAAGCGCGTCCAGGACGTCAACCTGAACGGCGCGTTCTACGCCGTCCAGGCCGTGGCCAACCAGATGGCAACGCAGGTGCCCCAGGGCGGCTCGATCATTGCCATCTCGAGCATTTCGGCCATCATGGGCGGCGCCGAGCAGACGCACTACACGCCCACCAAGGCGGCCGTCAAGAGCCTCATGGAGAGCTGTGCCATTGCCCTGGGCCCCATGGGCATCAGGTGTAACTCTGTCCTCCCAGGTGAGTATCGCGTTCTTGGGCTGGCAGCAGTCGAGTTTCGAGCGGTTGATGCCTCGGCACACGGCGGCTGGATGCCCGGTCGGAACAACAACTGACGCCGTGGTTTCGTCGCTGACACTTCCCTACAGGTACCATCGAGACCGCTATCAACAAGGAGGACTTGGCCAACCCCGTCAAGCGCGCCGACATGGTGCGCCGCATGCCCATCGGCCGCCTGGGCGAGCCCGACGACATTGCCCAGCCCGTCATCTTCTTCGCGAGCGACATGGCAAAGTACTGCACGGGTGCAAGCTTGCTGGTCGATGGCGGCGCCGCCATCTCGCTGCAGTAGAGATAGTAGACAGTAGTAGCATGTACCAGGTATTCATAGGCACCAGCACTGGTCCTGCAGCACGCGGTTGGGGAGATACAGATAGGGCTGCAGCGCGCTTAGGTTTCCGTGTTTTCGGACGGGATGGGGACCGTATAGAGGCGGTGGTTCAACACGAGGCTTGGTTTACGGTGTGGGCGTGGGGCCCGTGGGTCTGGTGGGATCGGCGCGCGTTTGTCTTTCTCAATCACGCCTTCTTCGTTCCGCAGAGCAGGTTGGAGGCGATACACTGCGTCATGGACACTCGACCCGTCAGCGACCGCGGGCAAGGGGTCGCGGCATGTCCCGCCATAGTTGAACAGGTGCATGAGGGTGGCCTGCGAGGTCAGTTACGTCCGCGAGCAACTTCCAGCTGAACCCACCTTGAGAGCAGGGATACCGCCCTCGTCGAGCGGGTCCGCCGCCTCCTCCCACGCCTGGAGGCGCTGCTCTTGTATGTTCCATCCCTCCTTGGGGTACATCTGGGTCACGGACGCTGGCACAATGTTCGCAATGCCGCTGACCACCGCTTTCTTCTGCACATATGACCCTGTGGACTTGCGCTGCCCATTCTCGTCCCACTGCCACAGGGCCACACTCCGCATCCCGTCATTCACGGCGCACGCCATGCCGGCAATGTTCTTGTGCGCCGAGACCACGTCGACGATGCTCTCGCCCAGCTTGATGCCGCCGGATGCGTCGGGCCACTCATATATGACGACGGGGACGGGCGACTGGGCGGCCACTTGGGTAAAGTAGTTGATGTAGTCGGCAGGGAGGAGGTCAGTGCTGTAGGTGGAAGGTGGGAGGACGAAGACAAAGTCGGCACCGGACCCGTGCGCGATGGTGATGCGTTCGCAGGTAAGCCACAGGCTGGGCGCGCTGCAGTCCACACATAGCGAGATGGACAACGGCTTGACGACCTTGGCGGCGGTCTCTATCGCGCCCTTCCACTCGGAAGGACGGACGAGGGAGCCTTCCCCAATGTAGCTGTTGACAATGATCCCCTGGACCCCTGCTCTGACGAGACTGGTGGGTCAGCGCCACGGTCATGGTAGGCAGCTGGAGGTGAAACTCTTCGAGCTGTTCATAGCTGCCACCTTTCAGAACCCACCGCTCAATGTGCTTGACAGTCGTCTCAGTGTCCGGATCGCCGTTCCGCTCGTTCATGAAGAAGGACGGGATGGGCACATAGACACCCGACGGGACGGTCAACGGCTCGGTGCTCATGTCGGTTGTACTGTGGTTTGGTTTGGTTCAACACTGGTGGTGAGTGGTAAGTGTTTGACAACGATGGCAAAGGCAATGGCGAGCACGAGGAAGGATCCAGGCAGTATGTCTTGCCCAAGAGCGGTGTGAAGCGAAGGAGAGCGTTAGCTCAAACATCACATGCACCTCCCGCAAACCCACGCACGTCCTTCGGATCCTTTGGGTCAGTCACCTGTACAACCTCCACACCCAAATGACGTCCGGGGTGGAGGCACTGCCCAGCAAATATCCCACGGTCGCACCTCCTGTACACTTCAGCCCCCCGTTGCTCCGGCTCTCGGCACAAAGATGCCCCGGCGTAATGATATGCCGTGCTCCTGAACTCTGCAGAGTGAAGGCGTTTTGCGTGGCGGAGAATCTTGTGCCATTGTCCTTCCTGATGCTACGACTCTGAGGCCCCAATGGGAAAGCGGGTGGGGCAACAGGCGTGCACAGGTGTAGCCGGTGGGGTACCCGGCCGGGTGGGCGGCTATGAGCGTGTCCAGACAAGCGCCTGCAATGTGGCATGTGGCACTGGACAAGTGGCACAATGCTGACCAGCAGGCAGGTAGACGGACATGTTTGCCATCTCTACAGCATACTACGTACTGTACAATACTCTGTATAAAAACTTCAATACACCACAATCCGACTCGACGCCCCGCGCCGGTTGGGTTTCTATGCAGGCAACACGTCCCCTTCGCCGCCCCGCAGGATGCGCTTGACACTGCGCCAGAACAGCGTCTCTGTCGGGTCCACGTCGCCCTCGTTCTTGAATATGTGGGCCGCAAACCGCGCCACATCGCCATAGCCGACCCCTTCCAGGTCCCGCAGACGCTTGACCACGGCCTCGACACTGGCCTTGGCCTCTTTGATGACTTGGCGCTCGCCATCGGCCTCGGCGGCGCTGACGCCGTCGCTGTCGGACGAAGAAGGCTCGGCTGTGGCTCGGAACCACCAGACCCGGAGGGTGAGGAGGACGGCGCGTTTGCCGGCCTCGTCGGCCTCCCATGACCCCGTGCGGTGGTCGGCTGCCTCGGCGCCCTTGGTCCCCTCGATGAGGAAGCTCCAGCCGACTTCGCGCGCGGCCCACGTGGCGTACACTTCGGCGGTGGAGAGCAGCGCGGCCGGACCGTCCTTCTCGGACGGGGCCACGGGGTGGGCGTGGTTGTGGACGCTGTACATGTGGCTCAGTCGGGGTCCGAGGGCCGCGCGGAACAGGGACGCCGCGGCGATGGCGGCCAATACCTCGGACTTTGCACGGGCACGCTCGCCCGCGTCCGACTGGGAGAGGAGGGTCAGGGCCAGCTTGTAGTGCTTGAGCGCGCCGCCGAGCATCGTCCATGCAGTCCGCGCAAGTTCGCCATACTGGGCGTCGTCGGAGATGGGCACGTAGTTGTTCGCAGATGCCAGGGAGGCGAGGGTGGGGATGGCCTGGTAGCTCGGCTTGCGCTCCCAGGCGTTCAAGGGCCGGAACATGGACGACAGACGCCGGCGCGGTGGGGACGGGAGTGGGTGGGTCGGCGCTGGACCGGGCGATCCCGCAGGCGAGATCGGCGAGTGCCAGCGGGGAGAAGGCAGGTGGTTTGAGAAGCTCGTCGTGGCGCGGGCTAGGCGAGGGCGCTGGGAACCGTTGTGTAGGTCGGACGTACGGCGTGCAAGTCCTCCTACGGACGAGGGGTTGAGTGGAGAGAGCGGTGTGCGTGGTGTGAGGAGGGCGGCCGAGTTGAGGGGAGGGAGAGGTGGGAGAGGAAGCGGCGGTGGCCGGTTGAGTTGGAGAGGTGGCGGAGGAGGCGCCCGACCTGTCCGTTTTGGCGGCACTACCGGTGGCAGCGTGTTGACTGGACTAGGTGTGACAACAATCTTGCTCACTGGCGAGGGAACCACTGTCACATCGGCGTCAACCTCGTCGCCAGGTTCGGGGAGTTCGGGAATAGGTGGGCTCTCGATGCTGATATTGGAGCTGGACAGCGACGATGGCCGACTTCGATCCAGACTTGGAACGCCCGTGAGGCTGTTTGCTCGCGACAGGCCAGGAGTGAGCGGTGTCGATGGCTCAGAGGGCAAGTAGCCCGGAATCGAGTTTCGCCTGCCGCGCCACACGCAGCGGAGGATGTTGGCATACAGCACTTTGGTGTCGCCCAGCTGCCTCACAGCCTCAAAGGCCTGGGACGCCGCGGCGGCCCCCTTGCTGCCCTTGAGCCGAGCCGCTCGCTCGCGCGTCTCGTTGACAAGCAGTGTCATGTCGGCAATGAGAGCCGCGAAATCGTCTTCGTCGACCGCCACACCCAGCAGGAACATGTTGCGCAGGCGTTCGGCCGCTGCGCGACCTGACGCAAGCTGGACGCGGGTGATGAGGGCAGCCGAGACTGTGGCGGGGCGTACTTTGGCGGCCGCGGCGACTGTGGCCATGTTGGCCGCCTGGTCGAGTGCGTGTTCGGCGAGTTCGGCGTGCTCGTCGACGGTGTCGGCGTCCGTCGCCAGGGCCGCGACCGCGCCGGCGGACTGGGCGAGCGTAATGAACATGTCGGCCAGGGCCGGGGCCTCGCCCTCGAACGCGTCCCGGCGCAGCGTGCGCGCTCGGTCCATACGCTCAGCCGCGACCTCTTCGAGGGCCTCGAGGGCCTCACATGCAAAACGCCCGACCTCGCCCTCCCAGACCTCGACGGGGTCGTCGGCCGCATCCTCGCGGGCATGCAGCAGGCATGAGAGTCGGGTACAGACTGCAGCCAGCTCTTCGCGCGCACTCAGGCTGTGTGGCGCACCGACCGTGAGACCCACGAGTAGCGACCGGGCTTCCCGTAAATGATCAATCGCCACCGACGGCGTCGAATGGGTGCTCAGGTGGAGCAGGACCGTCGCCCGTCGGAGAGTCGCCCATGCGCTGTTGGGCTTGTATCCGAGCGCAGAAGCAAACAATGCACCGGCGCGAACGAGGTGGTTCCCGGCAGCCTCGCCCTTGTGGCCACACGCTGCCGACTGTGTTTCGTGCTTGATACCCCCTGTGATCGAAATGCGGTTAGTGCCACGCCCCAGGGGCGGGAAATGTTCAACGAGGGCGACTCACCTTCCATGCAACTTTCAAAAGTGTTGTACTGGCCCGTTCGCGACGCAGAGGGCGGGGTCGGTGGCCTAGGGCCTGACGAGCGCTTGGACGCAGTGGAAGACATCAGGTCTGTGGGACTCTGCGCAGGGCTACCAGCTGTGGGGTCTGCCAAGCTGGATCCAGGAGTCACCGGTGTGGACGGACCGCGGTTGAACTGCGATTGGGAAGGGGACGGCAAGCTCCGCGTGGACAGCAGCGAGGAGGTCGACCCCGTTGCGGCCTGGAGGCTCATGATGAGGCCACTGCTGGTCATGATGCTCGTGGGCGAGATCCCACCGCTCGCATTGCTCTGGCTGCGGTTGCGGGTCTGGATCGGTGTCAGTGTCGGCGTTGCCATGCTGCTGGAGCGCGATGGCGGCGACAACGTCATTATCGGGGGCACAGAGTCCGGGTTAAGGGCCTTGTCGGTGGGGGAGGCTGGCACTGTTTCCGGCGGGGTAGCGACAGTGTAGTCGTCTGCAAAGAACGGCTGTGAGGGGCCAGGTAGAGAGATCATGATGAAGCAGAAGCGATGCGGGGTGCAGCGTCGCTATAAAGTCGCTGACCGAGCGATGCTAGCGGGTGTGCCGTGTGATTCTGGGATTCTGGGAATGATGGAGTGGCGTCGGGGGGGAGGTGTGGGGTGTGTCGTGAGCATGTGTCTCGTGTGGTCGTGCGCAGTGCGTCCGCTTTAGCGGCTGCGTTGTCGCTGTCGTCACGTCGTCGTCGGCGTCCGCACACGTAGTCCGCGTATGCGCTCGATGGTGCGTGTGTGTGTGAGTGGGTAAGAGGATGTTTGTGCAAGATGTTGTCCTGTGTGTACTTGTACAAGGCGATTGAATGTCAGTGTCTACGATCAACACAGGGCCTCTTGCTGTCCGACCTGGCCGACCTGTTCCACACCACTGGCCACTGGCCCGACTGGCATGCGCGTCACAACATTGAATGGGCCATCTGCGCAGTGCTGGCGTCGTTCCGGGTCTGCAGGAATGGCCTTCCCCCTGACCGTGGCTGAAATGGGGGGGTTGGAGGCCGAGGCGCACAGGAATGGGGGGGGGAGGAGCGAGCCCATTCAGTCGTCCTCTACGTACTCTCTGGTACTCTGGTGAGGACAACTGGGCAGTCCATAGCATGGGGTTGTTTGGCGCGGTGCCCCCGAAACTCCGCGGCCGTCGGTTGTTGCGGTATGTGCATGTACGTGTTGAGAGGACACGGGTACACGGGGCAGGATGAGACCGAGACAATTAGAGACACGGCTAGAGGCAACTAGGTAACAGTAGGTTGCCCCGAGGCCGGCAGTGTGCGTGGAGAATAAAAGCGGTCCAAATGTGAGACCTAAAAGGAACAACGCCACCAACACCCCAGGAGGAAAAGGCAGAGGGAAGGCAGGGGGAAGGCTCTGGGAAATGGCATAAACAAATCATTCGCGCCTATTAAAATAAAATAGGTCCATAAACATACACATGCCTAATGTCAGTGAATTAGGCGCGCTGTCACCGCGCTGAGCCATGACTATGACGCGGTCAGTGCCCTTCTCGACCGTTGTGTTGTCCATCTCTCGACGCGTTGGATCCATTGACTACAACGCTACAACAACCTCCGACCCTCCTCGACAATGGCCGCAGCGACGGTCCAGTCCTCTACAAACCTCTTCCGCAGGCTGGCATGGAACGCCACAGTCCCTCTCGAGATTAGACTCGCAGACGCAGAAGGCAGTCTCGTGGACAGATACTATGTGCGTGTTGTTGGCCACCGCGACTCCCTGCCGTGGTCGACTGGAGTGGTAAACACGAGTCACGCTATCACCAGTCCTCCATTCAGCAATGGTACCTAAAGTAACCCGTGCTGATGACCTCCCAGGTGCAGGCACCCCGGTACACCTACCTCCCACTCTTGCTCCCGGCCATCCGCGAGAACCTCGTCGAGCTGGCCTTGGACGACGACCAGTTGGCCAAGCTCGACGAGTCACAGTGGTGGTTTGAGGAGGATAACGGGTATGCAACGGCCGGTCCCGAACGGACCGATGGACACTTTGCGCCGCAGGGCGCTTGTAAATGGTGAGTAGGGGTTTGTGGTGGTGTTGCTGCGACCGAGATGAGAGTGTACTGCCGAGCTTGCGGTCGATCAACAAAGCTCGGTCCAGCACTGTCTGCCTTACCCGTTACTGTACTCCCAAGCTAACGCACAGGAACTGGCCCATCGACCTCATCGAGCTGCATGCCGCCATCTCCCTCCCGGCCGCCCCGACCGACATCGACACGTCGCCCAAGGGCACGCCGACCGCAACACCGTCGGCGGCAAAACCCCTCCGCCTCGTCCTGCACCTCACCGGCGCGCCGTCCGACAAGCTCATCGTGCCCAAGGGCATCGAGGCGTGCAAGACGCAGTTTGTCAACCAAGTGAAAGAAGCCGATTTTGTGCGGTGGGGCAACACGAAGCGCGTGACCAGCTTGCGCAGGGGCGACCTCGAGGCCGGGTGGGATGGCGTCGTCGGCGGCGACTTTGACCTGCACCAGCGCATGGCGAGTCGCATCGTGCCCCTCCCCATCCCCCTGCCGCCAGGCGGCAGCACCATCTCCTCTGGCGGCGGCGGCGGCGGAGGCGGCTCGGGCCTGCCGTCACGCCCGCCGTCGGTCGAGCCCGGCCAGAACTCGAGCGCAGCCAACAGCGGCGCCAAGCTCGAGTCGGCGTATGCGGCCCGCTCGCTCCCGCTCAAGATCTACCTGCCCGACAACGCACCGGCGATGCAGCACGTCGTGGCGCCCATCAGCGCCGAGACGGGCAAGCCGACGACGCTGCTTCAGATGCTCCGCACGCATCTGCCCCAGCTGTTCCCGGCCGTCGCCAAGCCGTACGTCCTCGCCCAGCCGCTCGCGCAGGGCATCGTGCTCCCGCCCGACGCCGAGGTGGCGTGGCTCGCGGCGTGTATGTCCGGCGCGGACGGGTGGCTGCGCGTCGGCATCCGGCTCGTCGCCGAGTAACTGCAGCGCACTGTGAAGAGGGAGGGGGAGGCGGTAAGATGGTGATTGTAACATAAACACACATAGGTAGCGCGCTCTTTTTTTTGGCTGGTCGAGCGTTACGCCTAAATATATATATATATAATGTATATCCCCACAAAGGCCACCACACCGGGAGGGATGGGTCTACTGGCCATCGGCAAACAGGCCCGCGGGCAAATCAAACCAGTCGTGCAGGTCGCCCAGGAGGGGCTGGATGGCCCACGCGGGCAGGTGGGAGAGATTGACGTCGGGCGGGGACACATACGGCGTCGACTGGCCATTGACCCCGACGGCCGAGTAGGCCGTGCGCCGGAGGTCGAGGAGGACGTGGATCGCGTCCGGCAGGGACGGGTTGGCGTCTGCGTCGTACATTGTGCCGTTGAGCCACTTGCGTTTGGCGCGTTCGAGCAGTTTGACGTATTGGTCTGAAACATGTCAGCTGGTGCGGCTCACGACGGAGAACTGGCCGACTGGGGACAGCAGCTGAAAAACTAAAACTCACTGGCAAGACTCCAGTACGGCGCCTGTTCCTTGAGCGACTTTACGATGGTGTCAAAGTCGTCGTCGGGCTTGTCGGCGTGTGCGAGGAAGGCATTGACGAACAGTACTCTGGCGGCGACCCACGTGGACCAGATGAACAGCGGGCTCGAGGCCTGCTTGAACCCAATCTCGGCGGCCTGGTTGCAGAGCTGCACGACGGCGCGGGCCGAGGTGACGCACGTCGACCCGTACGGCTCGACGGGGACGCCGTTCGACAGCGCGGGAAACGCATAGTATGCGTTGAGCTTGAGCAGCGTCGCGTGGTAGATGGCCTGGATGACGAGGGTCATGGACGACGGCTCCATGTTGCGCAGTGGCAGGTCGTTGAACCACCTTTTCGCGGCCGACGTCAGTGTCATGGTCATGTCCTTGCGGTGCTCGACCTCGCGCGAGTCGTTGGCCTCGACCGTGCGCGACTGCAACGTGTGGCTGCGGCCCAGCAGGTCGAGCGCTTCGACGAGGTACGCCATGGGGCTGAGGATGGTGCGGTCCGGCACGGCGTCGCGGTGCAGCACGGGGCGAAAGAGCGGGGTCGTAAACCACTCGCTCTGGGCCCACAGCTCGTCCGAGCACGGCAGCCGCCGCTTGATCTCGAAATCGGGCAGCGCAAAGTCCCACCCGGTCGAGACGCACGCGTACCGGTCCAAACAAAAGATGAGCCAGAACAGTCGTCGCCGGCTCTCGTCCTCGTGCCAGTTTCCGGGGGCGGGGATGATGCTTGTCCGGCTCAAGCTCGGCGCCGGTGGCCGGCCAGACATGGACCCGCCGGTGTTGTGCTCGTCCTCCTGGATGAGGCCCAGGTGCACCGCCGAGCGCGTGAGGAGGGCCAGGATACCCCAGCTCGACGGGCCCTGCTCAGACCCGATCAAGTCGAGGGCCAGCAACGCAAGCGCCTGTACACTCGAGATGCTCGTGCTCTCAATCGCGTGGCTCAGGACGTGCGACTTGGCCGCCTGCCGGATCTGCTGCTTTGTGCTCGCGATGCGCGGGTCGTTGCTCAGTCGCAGCGTCACCACCACAATGGCGTACACGATAATGTTCCAGGGGGCATTGAATGTCTGCGGCGCAATTATCGGCGCCCATGGCTGGATGTGCGTAAAGAACAGCGAGATGAGGTCGCGCACAATGTCGTCCGGGGGCAGGAGCTGCGGGTCGAGAAACGAGGTGACGGATCCAGCGCCGGGACTCTGGTTGGTGTTGAACGAGCCCAAGTCGAGCGTCCCGCCGGAACCGGGCAGGTCGGCGGGGCTGAAGCTCATTCCCATTGATCCTGGGTCGCCGCCGCTGCCAATGGCCGGGAACGTACCCGGTCCCGGGGGTGCCATGTTGCTGATGGGTGTGGAGAGCGGAAGCATGGGTGCGGGCGTGTTCTGCTGCCACTGGTTGAGCTGCAGGAGACGCGCCTCGTGATCCATGATCTGCGACTCGTACGCCTGCACACGTTCTTCCAAGAGGTCGATCCGGCGCTGCAGATCCGATCCAGTGCCGGGTCGCTGAGGTCAGCTTGTGTGTGGGCAAAGTATGAGCTCACCAGGCCTGGCTTGAGTTTCACAGGATAGAAGCAGTCGGCGGGATTCCTGATGTCAGAGGACGATGGCGGGCACCAACTCACTTGGCACAGTTGTTACATGTCGGCTTATTGCTGTCGCATTCTGACGCAGTTAGCACTGGCTCGCAGCGGTGTATCGAGACTGGGTCGACCAGACTCGACCCAACCAAATGGGTTGTCGCCGCCGCAGAACGGTCGTCTGTCGCTACCTGTGCGATGGGACAGAAACCCTCTCCGCTCGGTAATTAGGGATGCCGAATGAGAGAGGCTGGGGTGCCGAGACGTCCATTGTGCGCTCTCTCGTTGCCATCCAAACCACCCAACTCAATCCTCCCAGTGACACTCACTGATCTTCCTCGCTCGACACGGCTGGCACGTAATGGCCGTAGGACTGGACCTAGAGTCAACGACGAGTCACCCTTAGAAACTGGCCGCCTGAGGCGCAAAACGTACCGATCCCGGTCGTCCATCATGGGCTGCATCGAGCTGTCTCGGCGCTTCTTGAACGGCGGCTCGCTGTCGGGCGGTGTCGATGACTCGCGGGCGAGAAAGCTACGCCTGGGCCCGCCGGGAGATGGGTCACCGCCGCCGCCGCCGCCGCCGTTGTGGACCGACGCAGATGGCGAGATGCCTGTTTGCTGGTGTTGTTGACCGGGTGCCGGAGGGGGCTTTCCCCAATGGAAGCCCGACGACGATCCGCGCGAGTCGGCCATGGTGGTGGAGTGTGTGCGGGTTGGTGGGTGTTGTTGGAGAGAAAGTGTGATGAGAATATAGATCGCCCGCTACACCCCCCGTTCGACGTGAAGTCTGCTCCTCTGGGGCCGGTGTGCGGGGTAGGGGCTGGCTGTAGGACGCAAGTAAAGAGGTGTGATGACCGAGAGGAGACGCGCGCGAGCAAGGGGCCCACAGCGAGAGAGACGCAGAGAGGCGTAGACTGACGGACCGGACTCGGTGCATCTCTTGTGCCGACACACCGAGCACCTCGGACGCGGGTCCTTTTCTTTTCCTTCCAGCCGGCAACGTGCTCCGAAGCTTGTCCGTAGAGGCCAGCGCGCCAGCGGGCGGCTTGCCATGTGGGGGGGAGGGGGCAGCCATGCTGGGGTATTGTGTGGAGACTGGACCAGCTGGCGACTCGAGCCGTGGGGCAACGCCGCTTGGGCGTCAGTATGGTGCGGCAAAACTAAAAGCTCAGTCACATCTCTGCGCAAGACTTACCACCCCGGGACGCAATGTTACTGCGGCCGGCTAAATGTCGGCCACACCACCATTTGTGGAGCCTCTTCTGTTTGCGTGGGGCCATGTGGGTTGTCGTGCGGGTGGACATTGGACCCATGGCGGTTCAAAAAGGCGAAACACAGTGCTGAGCGTGACAGATCCCAGCGATGAACGGGCTGTACTGGGGGTTTTGATGCGTTGCCACTGGTTCCTTGCCACTCAACGATGCATATCCCGGGTCTCTTGTTATGTACTAGTTGACTAGTACTGCCTCCACCGGGTGCCTCCACTCGTTCCTCGCAATGTCGGTCGAGGCCGTGGATCCACCTTGACATGTGGTACGTGTTCCACTTTTCAGTGGTGACAGAGTCTGTGAACGCCGTTGGAGGCGGTCGAATCGACCAGTGTGGGTGCCGTAATGGGCGCCCTCATACGACCTCTTCGTCTGTGATCATTGCACTGGAGCTTGTGGACGCCACCTGTGATCACTGTGACACTGTGCCATGGAGATGCTCTGCATAAACATGAAACCTTCGCGCTAATTCCCTCTTTGTTTACAATTATACTACACTTGGACACAACACACTGTCGATTCTGTCGGTCGATATCTTCTCTTCCCCTCCCTGCCTCTCCCTCATTGTCTCTGCAGCAGCTCGCGAGTGACCATGTTCACTCTAGCGCGCACACACACACGCCCTACCGCCTAAGCCGCCTCAGGCGGGATGGGCAAAAACTGCCCAATGACCACGCTCGGCAGGTCGAACACGTCGCGGCGGATGGTAAAGCACGCGGCACACGGCACGCTCCCCTTTGCCGTCTCGAGCGTGGTCGCCTGGAAGAAGTTTTGGGTCGTGTTCTCAAACGCGTGTTCGGCGAAATTCTCCCAGTAATCAATCACAGCCTGCTTGGAAAACAGCTGGTAAATGTACATGGTGCGGGAGCGCAGCATGTCGTCCTCGGTCTTGCCTGTGAGTTTGCAAAACTGCGGGGCGACGCAGACAAGCTCGCCCGTGCGGCGCCACACGGCGGTCGGGGTGGCCGAAAAGGAGATGAGCTTCTCGAGCTCGATGAGCGTGCGCTGGAAGGAGCGTTCCAGGAAGATTTCGTCTTCCTCGGTGAGGGGCATTTGGAGGGCGATGAGCGAAGGACGGAACACGGCCAAGGCGCGGACCACACGCAGGATATCGTCCTTTTGGAAGCTGGATGGGTTAGCACGGGCGCGTGAAGCCACCACCCACTTGTTGGTGAGGTACTGCATGAGAACATGGTAGCCCTCGGTGTAGTCGTACGCCTTGACAACACGGGCATACACGTCCTCGGGCGTGAGCTTCTTGGGCCGCTCGCCCCCGTTCCCAGTTGTGGTTGCGAGCATGTCGTCGACGGCGCCCGTGGTCGGCGTCCACCCATTGTAAATGTTCTGAGGGGACAGGTCAGCCGCGAGTGTGGGGTTGAGGGCGTTGTTGGGGTCCTGTCCCAGGACGACGTCGGTCGACACGGCCTGGTTGCCCGAATGGTTGTTGGCAGCGGCATTGTTGCTGTGGTCGCCGAGACCAAAGTTGGACCACATGGACGGCGTCGAGTTGTCTGTTGACGAGGCAGTGGTCAGGTCGGCGAGCGGGAAGTTGGGCGACAAGGAGCCAAACATGGAGTCGAACATTTCATACTCGAGGTTGGCCGTGTTGTTTGTGAAACCTGGCAACTGTTAGCAAAAAAGTGGGCACATGCACCAAAAAACAGATGGCGCTGATGGCGTTTGTGCCTGCTCCCAAAGCACATCACGGGTGCCAGAATGGTGCGACATGTCCATGTGAACGCCTGCACACATGCTGCAACTCGTGATGGCACTTTGGGTAGGCGTTATGACGTAGCTCCCATTGACAGGGGCGGGGTGCGCAGCTCAATCTGGCAGCGCGGCTGCTCGCACTCACTGAAGGTGTCGTTGGGGAGGGTCCAGTCGGTAGTGAGCGTCTGCTGGCCTGCCTGCACCTCGGGGAGCGGTGCAGTGAGCCAGATGTTGTCGGGGACGCGTGCAGTCTCTGCGGGAGCTGGTGGAGGGGGCGCGGTCATGACACCAGGCAGCATCGAGACAGGGAGCTGGCCACCAAAGTGGGGAGCAGGAGGGGACATGGGTGGAAGGGAAGGGGGAGCAGCCTGCTGTGGTGCTGGGGCCGGGATGGGGACAGGAGGCGGCTGGGCTAGAGGAAGAAAAGAGTCAGTTCCACACAGCGAAGCAAGGTGAAGCTTGGCCACCATCAGGACGACTCACCACGCTCGTCACCCTCCATGAGGTACTTTGCCTTCTTGCGGACACCCTCGACACACTGGTCTCCGATACCCTTCTTCATGCAGCGAGTACATGGGCGGCCTGGCAGTCAGCTTTGTTGCGCTCAAGCCAGGACGATGCTGCAAACTTCTAGCGCAAGATGTCGGTTGGTCGAGTCTCGACGGGCTGGCACATTGGCGGGGGCACCGAAGCACCTGCCGACATGCGCGCGCCGACGACAACCAACGAGACCCCGCCATCCCGCGCATACACTGCAGCATCCTTCGTTACTCACACTCATCGCAAGTCAGGTGTGACTTTTGGCACGCGAGACATGCCTTTGCCACCTTTTTGCGGGCTCCCTTGCCCTCTGAGCGACTGTTCTTGCCATTGCGGGGTGGGTTGGGGTTGGCGAGTGCGCGTGTGTTGGTAGGCGGGGATGCATCCGAGTGGCTCGAGCCTGAGCCTGACGCTGAGACGGATGCCTCTGATGTCTCTCTTGCCTTTCGTGACCAAGAGGCCTGGCGTTCTTGCATGCGGGCCATGGCGTTGTGGTATTCTGGAGAGCCGTGCAAGTGGATAGGAGCCATTTGAAAGCGGCCAGGCTGCGTTTGGGTGGGGTGTGGGTGGCTCGCTTAATTGGCACAGCCAGCGGGGTGCGGTGGCCGGTCGGACCGGTGTGGAGAAACCGTCGGGAAAATCCGGCAACAGAGGGAGGCCGCAATGTCCTGCAACAAGAAGTCGTCGTTGTCGTCGTCGTCGTTGCTGCAGTACTTTTTTGGGTGGGTGACTGTCGAGAGAGTATAGCGACAAGAAAAAAAGGAACAGGCCAAGACCATTTCGCGACTCAAGAGCCCCCATTCCCCATCTTTAAAGCTTGTGACTGCTTGTTCCATTCTTCGTTGTCTCGCAACAGGGTCACACGCCGCGTCCACCGCGCGCCGTGCGCCATCTTTCTCTCTCTCTGTCTCTGTCTCTCTCTGGGTCCATCTCATGCCCACACCAAGCGCTTCACAGCCGGGGGCCGCACAGGCATATGCCTTGCCCCGTTCCTTCTTGGTCGTAGCCACCCACACCCCCCCCAACCAAATGCGTCTCTGGGAATTCTGCCGAAAAGCAACGGCGCGCCGCTGCTGCCTGGCGCCGGCCTGACACACATATCTGTGGCCACAGCCACAGGCCACAGGCTCTCTCGCACCCGTTTGCCTTGTCTGCTTGACCCTTCTCGAGTTGCGTGACGCCAAACACAATCGTTCGTGCCAAGGCCCTTCTTCCCCTCTCTGCGCTCTGCCCCCCCTGTACACTGCCTTGTGTCAAGCACAAAGGCGCCGTGTGGTTCCCGGGAGGGCTTCTGTCCCCGGGAGCACAGGCTCTCGTGAGCCATAGGTCGGGGCCAATGGGCCCATCCCCCCCTAGTACGAGAGCTGCCGCTTACGCGTGTGGCTGTCGCACGAGGCTGTCGAGGCGGAGAACAATAGACAGGCAGCTTAATTCTTGCTTTGTTGGTTTCGGCAACGGCGTGCGGCGCGCGCGGCGGTGGCGTCTCGACGCACCCAAAACAACCACCACTGGCACCACTAATCCCCCGACACGGAGGGACGACGGGCCGTGCTCTGAACCGTCGAATCTGTCACTTGCTGCTCACGCTTAGTAGGAGCTGCTGCCACGACCGCGCTTACAGTCGCCGCATATCACGGCCACCTCGTGAAATGCCCCGACCGAACAACATGGTCGGTTCCCTCGACGAGTCGCACGCCGACCCTCGCGGTCGACCCGCGTTCCTCACGTCGTTTGTGGGTATTTCCCTAAGCTCACGCCACATCTACGTAGCTCGTAGCGCGTATGCTCCTTCCTGATACTCGCTTTCTGGTATTTTTCTTTTGTCTCTATGCCCCACATGCTTGCACAGCGCGCACAGATCCTCCCAACTGGAACTGCCTTTGTTTGTGAACTTTGGCTGTGCCAGACGGCCACCGGTGTTTTGCATCTTGGCCCAACCCATGGTGTAGTGGTTGGTATTGATCTCGATTCGACACAACAAGCGAGATGTGCGTCCTGTTGGTGACACACACGCCCAACCACTGTTGCCGAGGACCTGCTGTTCCCTTTGAGCATGCTCTCTGGAGCCACCACGCTCTCACCCTGCTGTACGCGGCACGGCACAAGCAGGACCCGCCGTGCAGAAAGCCGCCGGAGTCACAAGACTCCGTCGATGATGCGACGGTGATCAGCTCAGGAATGTTAAAGGCCCAGCCTGACTCGTCGAGGGGCCGCCGAGGGTCTCTCGGCAGCCAGCTGACAAGAACAACAATGGCCCAACTGCTTTCCATATCTCGCACCCCTGAGACAGGTCATGCGCAGACACCAGACAGGGCGGACAGGACGGGGCAGTACCTGTTCTTCACCCAAGAATAGTTGTCCCCTTTCTCCCATGGTCCTCCCACCAGGCTGCGTGCAACTGCCTGCCTGGCATTCCCAAGCTACGCCCATGGTCATGTTAAGGAATCCCCAATCAACGCCCACCCAGAATGCAGTCTGACACTCGACTCGGTGGTTGGAAACGGTTCACGACCAAGCTTTGTGATCAGAAATCGCCCCCCCAGTGCATTTTCTGCCAACGGTGGGGTTCGACGGCACCGATGTGACCGGGCCGTAAGCCGAAAGCACAGACGCGGCCAGTCCATTCAAGCATCCAAAGCATCAAGCAAGCAGGCGCGCACCCAACACCCAAAAACCCTTCACAGACGCGCGATCCTTTCGAGCTATCTTACTTTTCGTCTACAACTGACAACAGCAACAGCAGCATGAAAGATACATCATGCACAGTGAGAAAGTGACAATACAGGTGGTTTCCATCTTCTTTCTTGCTTTCTGCCCATCACTTTTCTATGCATGATGACTGAGAGGATGATGGAGGGGTTTGTTCGGAGTGGGTTCATAAAACCACTTTCGTTGCGCCTTGGCCTCCCTCTTTGCGTGGCCACGCCCACGCCGGTCGTCTCTCGCTCCTGATGGTCGCCCCCACGCTGAATGAGGTGTGTGGCGCGCCGCGGCGGGTGTTGTCCCTAGTCCCGAGACGTTCACTGACGTCAGGCGCTGGGGATGCGCGCGCTGCACGAGTACGTTTCTTGGTCGGTAGTGCGCGAGCATCACCAGAACACCCCGAGCTGTTGTGCGGCCACAGAAGTAGACCTAGTAGACCATCGGTGAGCCTGCCCGTGGACGTTGGGCCTCGTGGCCTTTCTTGCGTCTCTCAGCTCCATTTTCATTACCCCTGTGATCTTGCTGACGATGCAGATAAAGGTTTGGGCCGCGACGAGTGTCTCCGGTTACGTCGTGCAGGAGATGACCAGCGAGATGAGGGAAAACCTGCTTGAGAGGATGCGCCGCTGCGTTGAGTTGAGTGTGCCAGGGTGCCCGGCCACACAGCTGCCGCAGACACGCCAGCTGGACACGCCGAGCGCGGCGAACGCACTGAACGCGCCGAGCATGCCACTCGCGTGAGCCCTCCCGATCCGCCGGCCACGGGCGGTGTTTTGCAAGTACATGTTCCTCTTGATCGCCATCACGGCCCCGGCACTATTGCGGCGGAGGCGTCGTCGCCGACAACAACCCAGCACCCTCCTCGTCCTCCTTGTCCTGCAGAACCCAGCCTCCAGTGTCGGGGTCAAACCCGAAGGTGCCGGCAACGCTCTCGCACGGGAGATCATGTCGTGCCCTGTGCCGCACGAGTGGATCGTACTCGCCCAGCAGCTTGTCGTTCAGTGGCACCGGGTCGACGGGCTCGGCGTCCACGATGGGCGTGTAGCACGCGTCCATCGCCGCACGGCAAAAGTCGAGCACGGGGTCGCACTCCGGGATGCGGTCGCGATGGCCGGCGTCGCGCAGCTGCCGCCCCGCGAGGAGGTACGCGGTGTAGATGTACGTGTCGGATGCGTCCTGCCACTCGTGCGCCGTCGGCGTCCGCTTGCGATGCGGCCATTGTTCCTGGTTTCTGCGGGAGCGTCGTCAGTACATGGCAACACCAAGGCCACGCTAGGACTCACAACTCGTACGCCCTGCCAAACACGGCCAGACGGAACATGTCCTCGCTCACAGCGGCCCAGTCCTGCTCGTCCGCGGCGCGCGCCCACGCGGCGCTCGCGTCGCGTGCCGCCCATAGGACGCGCGCGCTGGTGCGCGCGACGGGGTCGGCGTAGAAGTCGAGGCGCGCGTACTCCCTGCGCGGAAAGTGGTCCGAGGGCCTGTCCATGTGCGCGGGCTGCTTGGCTGGCGGCTGGCTGGCGGTTGGTTGCGCACGCCGACGCAAATGTCGATATGCTGAGACGGGGCGATGGCACGACGTGGGCGTGAGCGAGGAGGGGGTGCGAGGGCTGTAGGTGGATGCAGTGGATGGTGTGTGTAAATGGAGAAAGGCCAAAGCGTGGACGAGTTGAAGCAATCTGGGCGTGTTGGGTGGCAAAAGGACGCGCAGTAACATTAACATTACGTCACACCATGGCAGAAAGTGACTATGAAAATGCGATACATTACAAATAAAGTACATGTTAATGACACACACGCTGCGTTTTGCGGGCGTCGGTGTGTTGGGTCTGCCGGCTTCAAAACGGCAATCTATTTTCTAATACATTTACGACAGTTAAGTCTAATGGCCTTTGATTTGACCGATTAGGTGGGCAACTTGCGCAGCGGCGGCGTTCGCCGACGGAGGAGACCGATGCTGGAACACCGACAAGCGACCCATCCATCCATCCATCCACCCATCCCGTTCTCCCTTTCCCCTCAACCTCTTTTACCATTCACAGACGCACAGTTCCCTTCTTAGTGGGCGTAACACTGCCATCTGGACTCCTCTGTAGGGCGACGTGCCAGGCAAGAGAACGAGACAAAGACTGAGAGTGACCCACGGTAAGTTCCCACCTCTGCTCTGCTCGGGTCCGAGCTTTTAGTCCTTATCGAATGACTAACGCGCTAGATGAGCGCACAGCCAACAGAGTCGACCCCGCTGCTCGCGGCGGTGGACAACAGCGTCACATCCAAGCCCACGCCGGGCTCCCGCTTCCCCCCCATGCTCCGCGTGTACCTCGTCTCCGTCGTCGGCGTCATGACATTCAGTCTGACCCAGACCGCCCTCATCTACTCGTTCAGGACTATGACGTGTGACGACTACTACGAGACGCACGAGTGGGACGGTGTAGGTGACAGATGCGCCATCCCTGTCATTGAGAGCCGGACAGCCAAGAGCATCGCCTTGATGAGTAGCCTGACGACGGGCTGTAGTGAGTGGTTTGTGGTGTGTGGCTTATGCTGTCGTCTTCCGGCGCGAGCGTGGCGTGATGATGTCTGGTGGTGGCGGGGCGGGGGTGGAGAGACCCTGAGCGCAGTGGTGGGCAGACCACCGCCCTCACCGTCCATGGATAGACCGGTGACGCCGCCGAGTCGTTATGATGGCCGAGGAGCCCACGCCTATCGCGCACATCCCGACACCGCGACACCGCCCTCATTCGGAGCCGAAGCTGACACTTGTTGCGCAGCGGTTATCAACCTCTTTATCTCGTCCACTTTCATGTCCAAGTATGGCGTAAAGGCCGCCATGTTCCAGCAAACTCTTTGGGCGACGCTCCGCAACCTGACCCAAATCTACGCCGAGAGCAAGGGCGGCGCTCTGGGTATCAAGGTCATCACCTTCACCCAAGTGTTCAACATTCTGGGCTCGGGTGGCGGCCTGCAGCTGTGTGCGAACAGCTACGTGTCGATGCTCTCGACCGACGAGGAGCGGACGGCCAACCTCGGTGTCACAGGTGGTGTTGTGATGCTCGGTGCTGGTATCGGCTTCACCATCGGCGGCATGCTAGAGAGGTTTGTGGGGCCACTGGCGCCGTTCCAGGCCGCGTTTGGGATGTTGTGTTTCTGCACATTCTTCGGCGCCTTCTTCCTGCCGTACCGTACGCCCGATAGCGAGAAGGCCAAGTCGGACAGTGATGATGATGGCAAGAACAAAAAGACACCACACGGGTTCCTCGGTCCCCTCAAGTTCTTCGTCCCGCGCAAAGTCGTGGTCGGGACACGGGTCACGCGCGACTGGAACCTCTTCTTCCTCGGCATGGGCACCTTCTTCTCGGTCCTCGCTACAGGTTATGTGGCCATGGCATTGCAGCTGGTGGCCACAAACGTGTTTGCCTTCACGCCCGATACGTCTGGATACATGCTGAGCTTGACGCTGTTTGTGCGCGCCTTCTTCCTGTCGGTCTTGTTCCCGAGGATCATTTCTCGCGGCCGTGCGTGGCTCTCGGGCACAAGCTCCACAACGACGAGCCCGGCTCCCACCGTTCCCTCAAGTCCGACATTGTCCCCTACCCCAACACTGACTGAACACCCCGACGACCCCGACGAGGCCGAGATCAGCGATGCTGTCGGTGCGCCTGTCTACGACACTGCTCCCAAGTTGGTCGACGTGCAGCATGGATCAACGTTCGACCTGCTGTTCCTCCGCTACTCTATCCTCCTTGATGGCTTCCTCACCAGCCTCGTAACGATGGCGACCCAGGGCTGGCACATGTACGCCGCCGCGGCCATTCTGCCGTTTGCGAGCGGCACAGGCCCAGCGAGTAAAGGTGTAACACTCGAGTTTGTACCTGCAGACGAGCGGCCCGCGGCACTGAGCGCAATCGCGCTCGTGGAGAAGATTGGTGAGTCGCTGCATGTGCTCGTGTTCCTGCGCAACTGACATTGTTCCCAGCTCAGGTGACCACAATCGGTCTCTTTGGATACGCCTTTGCTCTGCTGAGCGAAGTGGGTAGGCCTACCTGGGTCTTCATGCTCAACGCGAGCATTGCCTTCATTGCATTCCTCCTGCTCCTCCCTGTGCGTATGCCACGGGTACGCCAGCCGGTGGCTGAAGCGCACGCCTAGAATGGGTGTTGTACTCTGTAGACGTTCTGCATAGATTGGCATCGTGTGTTGCAGGACTCGAGAACTGGCACCTCGGAACCCCAGCTTCAAGACTCTGGGGTGATCGCAAACGTCTTCACCAAGCCGAACTTGCCATACAAACCAACACCGCTCTCGCCCTCTTCTTCCCCCTGCTTCACGCTGCGGCGCACGGTCACCCAGAGGTCCCAGCTCAATCCTTTCTGCACCCCAAACACGACACAAACTCTCCGGCGGCTGATGGCTGATGGCTTCGCGGCCTCGCGGCGTGCAAGCCCCCTCATCGCCGCTTCCATATCCAAACCTTCACGCCATCCCCATGGCCTCGACTTTCGGCGCAGCAAGGCTAGCCAGAGCGCATGAGCACAGATCACGCGGCGGAAATGGTCGGACCGAACGACCTCGTTTTGTTTCGCGTTTTCTTTATTGTTCTCCTCGCCTCAGCAGAATACCCGTGTCGACGATACGTGCGTGCCCGGATAGAAGGCTGTAGCGCAAGGGAATGGGAATGCGCCGCCCATGTAATTCACCTTGACTGCTGCATTGCAACACAGAGTGGACGCCGCCGCGGGCCCGCCGCGGTGGCACGGATGGCCATGGACAACCTGGTGTACGTAGCGGGCACAATCTGGCATTCCGCTGTGAATACCTTGACCCGCAGACAAGGGTCCAAGGCGAGCCCAAACTTCGGAGTATCCAAAGTGATAGGAATGGAACCGGCTTTTCAGAGAATAAGCATGTCAAGCAGAACGGTGAGCTTGCGTCAGAAGCGAGATGGCACTGGTGGTTCTGTCTCGCTCTCGTTGCCGGGTGGACCGTGGCGGTTGCGCCATGGCCGTGACATTCACGCGAGCGTTTGCAGAGGATGTCACTTGGAAGGACATGAGCGCTCCAACAATCCATCTCCCTTCTGCCTGCACAAACACTCGCTGCTCTTGTCGCTGCTGGACGTCAAGCCATTCCGGTGAGTGGCACTTGGGGCCACAGCGGGTCATGTCAGGATACAAGGCCATCCAGGGACTTTCAGCTTTCGCCCAACCGCGACCACCATGTTCAGCATGCCACCTCAAGACGCTGAAGCGCGCAAGACTGTAGAGGAAGCGAGTTGCAGACCATCGCGTCCTCTGTCCGGCGCGCCCACACGCGCCAGAACAACACCATCATCTACACCGTTGGTGAAACGGTATCATGCGTCGTTGCCAAGTGCAAGCTCGACGCGGCAGGGGTTCGACTCCCTTACGGTGTATTCGCGAGCGTTCTACAGTGCTCGCGATCGTTTTTGGCCTCCAAGAGAACGTCGGGAGTAAGGGACATGTGTGAAGGTGTGGTCGGCGAAAATCGCGGAAATTGACCGAAAAATAGCACACGTCCACTGTAAGCTCAGATTTCGATGCATCCCACAGCGTGCGCAACCTAGTGGCGTGTGCGCACTCCAGAGATGTGCCCTGTGCATGCATAACAGGTGTACTCGAATTTGAGCGACATCCGTCCATGGAGTGGGTCCGGGAGGTTTTTTTCCCGGGCCGAAAAGTGATCGTCGGCGGTGCCACATTTCCTCCGACCATCCCACCACCGTCGAAAACACTTCATATCTCTTGCCACACAGCTCAGAAACGTCCAGTTCTTGAATAAATCGACAGCTACGAAGCAGCACAACACGAAGAACAGCATGGCTGGCAATGTGGCGGAGTGGTTAACGCGATTGACTCGAAATCAATTTCCTTCGGGAGCACATGTTCGAATCATGTCATTGTCGAAAGCAGCTGGAGAACTCGCGAGAGGTCTTCCTTTTGGCCTCGAAAATAGGTGGTGATGGGTAAGGATGGATAGAGGTGTCCCAGGTGTAAAGGAGGACTGACGGTTTGCACTACGCGCGGTCGGTGGTGGTGTTGCGCCTCTGCGTACTCCCGTCCTCCACCTTCCCTGTTGCATTCCTGGCGGGCACATGGGGTCAGGTATCCTACGTGGCGCTTGGCAGTCTGGCGGTGGCTGCACCGATGCACCGATGGGCATGGAGCCAAGAGGTTGATGGGCAACTGACCTGTGTGGACATGTTGACGCCGCCCTGGATGAAACCTTTGGCTGGGAGAACAAAGGGGCGCCACAGAGGCGGCAGGCAGTCGTGCAATGGGCAGTGCCCGTCCACAACCAAGCCACCTCACGCACATGTCAGCACACCAGCAACGCAGCTACCCCACGCTGTACAGCCTATGCATGCAGAGGTCTGCTGACTTCGTCGGCACTGCCGCCGGCCCGTGTGGTGTGGGGCCCAGAGGCACGCTCAACCAGGGAATGGCCATGCTGCCGAGACACGCGCGGAGGAAAGACCAAGGGCCATGTCACACAATATTCCAACTTGTTCTCACAGCCCCGTGAACGAGGCTCGTGAGGCACGGCTTTTGTTCTATAGGTCATGTGAATCCCACCAGGGCTAGCGTTAATGGAGTTTGGCATGAAGGACGACTCACCGAACCCAGCGACGTGAGTAAGAGTCTTTGGCACAAGGACGAAGACTTGGCAAAGCGAGAGCGGTGTGGTGCAAGGTGGTCAGTCCACCTCGGCTTTGCCCTATCACACCTATTGGTCCCTAGTTTGTTACGCTTGCTGACTCTCACTTGGTACGTCGCGATACATTTGAATCTCACAACTACTACCACGAAGCGGAAATCGAATCATGTACAATGTAGGGGACAATGCTTTGGGTCGAAAGACTTGGGGTGGCTTCTTGACCTTGAGCCCGAAGTGGCGTGCGCTAATGTTTTAGCAACACCACTTCTCGACGCAACTCGGTTGGCTCTTTATTGTGCCAGTCTGCATTGTATGTAAGCCCAGAGAACCGCGGGGGGGACCATCAGCATCTTGTCTCAGCAGCTATGTCGATTAGGACAGCAGCTAATCGCTGTATGAGAAGACAGATGCGCATCCTACTCGCCTTGAACCTAGGCCACGGGGATGGCCGCAACCTTGGCGTCAACCGCCTGGAGCTCGGCCTCGACGTCCACGGGGGCCGGGGTGCCATTGCGGCTGTGCTCTGGACTCTCGCGCTGGGGGTCCACTTCGGGGACACACACGACAGGGGGCATGAGAGGGGAGGCCTCCTTCTGGGGCGAGCGTGAGAAGATCTCGTGGTTCTCCGAGTGCGGCTCGGTTTCGGGCGCGTAGACAACGGGCACCATGGCAGCCTCGGTTTCAGTCTGCGTGGGGGCCGGGGCGCCGGTGTCGGCGGCGGAGAAGGGCGACTCGTCGCCGGGGATGGCCTCCGCACGCTCGGCGGGGTTGTGCTTGAAGTCGACGGGGGTCGTCATTGGTGAGAGCTTGCGTTGGAGATGAAAGCCGAGAACTGCTGCTTGCCACTGTTCGACAAAGGGGACAAGAGAGCCGTCGTCGGTGCGAAAGTCTTCAACGAGGGCGAGAACCTCTACGACTGCGTTGTGAGGGAGAGGAACGGGGAGGCCGCCAAACGAGTCGTAAAGGAGGAGGATGTCGTCGCAGCGCCTAAACGTAGGCGACTCTGCAATGGCTTCGGGGATGGGAACAACCTTGCACATGGTTAGGATGGGAGAGAGAATAAAGGAGAAAGAGTAGAGGAAACGAGCGAACCTTGGGAGTGATATCTGGGTGTAGACAATACAGTGGTCTCTGGAGTGATGCGAGACTATGCCGTTTGATGGGAAAGAGAAGCTGATTGTGTGGTGATGAGAGCAAAGGCTGTGAGTGATGATGGTGGATGTGAGGATGCCAGCAGTGAATGGGAATACCGGGCAGGCAATGTGTTCTACCCGACCACGAGCCTTCTGGCCTTTATCCACCCACAGCTGCACGCCACCCCGCCCACAATGCCGGAGAACAACGGGCGTTATTGGACCTCGGGGCACGCCGTCCAGCCGCCGCCGCCGTCCAATGTCCAATGTCCAATGCCGACCAACCCATAGCCGAAAACGTGTGATACACCGCGTGTGTGCCCGACTCGCAGCAGCTTCTGGAAGCCTGGCCATGGCTAGCGAACGTGTGGGTTGGGCCTGCGTGCACACAGCGTGCGAACATGAGACAGAAAAGACGTCAGTTGTCCGTTCATTGTTGGGGAACTCGCAGCCGTTCGAATATGTCATCGCCACCGACGTCACTGCCAAGCAAAGATCGACGACTGTGTAGATATCGCACCATGGACGACGACCTATGCATGCACAGTCCTACACATCTGCAGCAATGCTTTAACCCTTCCTGCAAAACCGATGGCCACCACTATGCACCCTTCTTTATTCAAGCAAGATGTGCGCGGTTGCTTCCTGCGAGCGATCCTGCGTCGTACAATAGGAGAACAATGGCGGAACGCCGACGGTTGGACAAACAACAACAACGGGGTTCACGCAAAATGTGTCCGGCGGTTCAGTATTGGAGAGAGGATTCGAAAATGATACGCCAGGTGGCCAGGTGGCTCAAGCACCTCATGCTCCTAGCTACAGAAGGCTGTAGGCTGTGGCCAGGTATCGTGGATACATCAAGCAGACCGCCGCCGAATGTCGTCGTCCATTGTCCGACTTGTGCCTATCGGGAGACCGACGCCGTCCGGTCTGCCTGCGTACACCGATATCGCCACACGGGTAGACCATGTTCACTGCAGGTTGCAGAATATTGTGAGAGTCGGAGAAGTGCGATAATGGCACGGGTGATGGCCTTACGTGGCCTGCAGTCTAACGGGGGCTACTGGCGGTGACAACGGCGTGGGGGCGGCCCGACGTGCCACTCCGGCTATCGCGAGCCGACTGCAGTCGCCGGTCCCGACTGCTTTGGACATGGTCTACACATGCATACAGTGCATCTATTAACAACATGGTGATGCTTATCTACTCGTGTGGGTGCTATTCATGCAGTATTACACAGACTTTGTCTCCACCACCTTCCAGCGCGAATCGCGCCTGGTGTGCAGGTACACTTCCGTCATGGCCCCTGGCTTGGGCTTTGACCAGTCACCATTGCGGCCGGGGATGAGGTTGGACACCTGTGTGTGTTAGTTGGGCTAAACCAACTGTAACCTACCAAGTATCGCTTTCCCTCAACCAGCGCGTCGCCTAGACCCCTGGCCTCCCAAACATTGAGCAGGCCCGTACGAGCAGGGTCTTTGAGTCCCAACCTGGCATCCCGGAATCTCACCACGCGGAAATCGCGGACCTCACGAATTGGACAGATTTCTTTCAGTTGTGACTCGAGCTGGAAGCGTTCCTCCATAGCTGTCTGTTGGAGGCGGCCACGAGCATGCTGCGCGAGGTGGACCATACGTGAGGGTGGAAGAGAACGAAGGCGGGCCATGAGCTCCTGCGGGTTGGCGTTCAGGAGCTTGTCAAACTCGGAGTCAATGCTATCAGGGGCATCGCTGGTGACGGTCTCGTTGATGTCCTCGGCGTGAGAGGCCAAGGTGGAAGCCAAGTCTTCGATCTTCTCCAGATTCTTGCGCATGTCTTCTTGCAGACGTTGCGACTCGGCCTCGTACTTGTCCTGTGCGGGTTAGAAATGCTTGAGATACTTGCACCCACCTTCCACGCATCCGCTCTCTCCTGTTCTTCTTCCTCATTCCATGGGGCCTCTCTACAACCGCGGTCCCCGTTCATGTAGGCCAGGGGATAGACACGGTCGAGGACAACATCCATCAGAACAACGAGGCCGCCGTCGACAGTCAGACTCGACAACCCGGCGACGAACGGCTGGGACTGAGCACCGAGTCGCGCATCCCACCTCGCAAAGTGGGTCGAATTGCCGGACAGGACGAGGTGGGACGTCTCGTACGCCTCGAGAACCTCCGCGCCATCCGCTCCAGACTCGAGCTTTGCACCGGAGATGGCGAGCTTGCGTCCAACCTTGATTTTGCCCGATCGGATGGCGCGGGTGAGGCTGTCGTCGGTGAGAGCACGGATATGGTACCACCCATCCGTGAGGTCTAGATATGGGCGCTGTGGCACCTCTTCGTCCTTTTCGTTCATGGTAGGCGGCGGGCGGTGAATATCGGCAACGCAGAGAACCATTGGGAGGCTGGGTGAAGAGTCGTGCTCCTGGATGCGACGCAGGAGAGGACGTTGAGCAGCTCCAAACTCGCGTTCGTATCTGTCGGGTTAGCCTTTGAACGATGAGCACCTGCTACCCACCTATATTTGAGCTGGCAGATGACTTCAAACCAATTCCACTTCTCGTCAAACAGAGCGGGCTTGGCTGCGACCTGTCCGGCGAGCTTCCACAGGATCAGGCGCCAGTGATTGTCAACCCACTTGGCCGTAGCAAGTGTGCACTTTTCCAACTTGAGACGCTCGAGAGCTTGGGTATGACCCAGAGTGGACGCGTCCTCGCCAATGAACTGATAGCAGATTGCGTTGCTGAGGTCCAAGGTCCAGATCTCGTCGGGACTGGGGATCAGCTGTATCCCCGAACAGGAGACAACTCACAGTCCCCTTCCGCGAAGCTCCAACGGAGAGTAGTATCCCGGATAGAGGAAGGACTCGCGCATACCTTTCCTACCTTCTGGAGCTGTATATGTCAGACCATGCCATTCTGCCGGCGACTCACGCTGCAAATCAAACACCGAGTTGAAGACCTTTTCCGGCGTCTTCATGGGTATGACGGGAGCGCGCAGTGCCGAAGGTGTCGCCACCTTCTGAACCGTGCCAGGAGCCCTGAACGGACTGACAAAGCCCTTTCGCGCCTTGCCGCCACGCGAGGGGGTTGATCCCAGACCTATGCGCCTTGGAGTTACTCCTGGGGTCTTGATTTGGATACCGGAAGGCAGCTTGGGCCGGACGGGTGTGCTCGTCATCGGGGTGGAGAAGGTGTTGGTTCTAGGCTGGAGGGGCAGCCGCGATGGTGTCGAGGGAAGGACACCACCAACACTGCGCATGGGACGAGGGGCAGAGAAGGCAGCCGAAACGGATCTAGCAGGCGTGCCTCCGGTGAGAGGAGGGCGGAAGGAGGAGGAGAGTTGAGGTGCAGGAGTCGACGGACCAGGCTGGGCAGCATCTTCTCCGAGTAGGGCACGAGCACGAGCCAAGTTCTCCGGGTTTGGTGCAGCCGCAGCCCGACCAGAGCCAGTTTGAAATCCAGACGTGGCTGGCGAGGAGCCATCATTCTCGCCAAACATAGCAAGAGCGCGGGCACGGCCTTGAGGGTCGACAGCGGGCGCCGACGAGCCAGATGCCAGTTGGAACGCAGATCCTGACGCAGCATCCGTCTCGTCGAACAAGGCGAGAACACGCGCACGCGCCTCTGAGCTGGGTGCCGGGGCGGCACCTTGCGAGAAACCAGACGTTGACTCTTGAGCTCCAATAAGGCGATCTAACATGGCCGTGGATTTGACTGGAGTAGCAGCTGTATCGGTCTCGCCGAAGAGTGCCATGGCCCGAGCTCGTGCCGACGGGTCGAGAGGAGGAGGGGCAGTTCCAGATCCAAGCTGAAACCCTGTTGAACGGGAACTCAATGGGCTCGCCATGTGCGGTGGATTGTTGGAGCAGACGACCGCTGGCGTCGCTGGCGCTGGCGGCAACATTGGTCCTGGTGCGGGGGACTCGGACCTCGACCGCTTGCTTGGCTCGCCTTCCACGTCCGTCTCGACGTCTGCCAGGATCTTGCGAGCGCGCTTAAGAGCGCCCTCGGATGGGGGCGCAATCGTGCTACCGCGTGCCGTCGCAAAGGCGACAAACTGAGGAATGACGTCGGGAACCGGAGCGGGCGGCTCATCGGCGTACGGGTCGGGGGAAGGAGAGCGCTCTACGGCTGGTGTGACGGGGCGGGCGGCGCTGGTGTCGCCAACGCCAGAGTCGTCATCGAGGTCGTCAAAGTCAAAGTCGTCGGCACTGAGACCATCCAGAAGGCCGTCGAAATCAGTCGACATAGGTGGAGCGGTAGGGGGCGGAAGGTCAGTATCTGACGCGTGCGGAGCAGTGGGACGCGCTGGTAGGTCAGCACGGCCGGTAGATGTCTACACCCACCTTGCCCGACAATTCCAGGCGCGAACAATGTCATGGTGAATGGCTTAACGAAGCGTTCCAAGCATGCCTTGTCGACGGAGGAGTGGTGGAGTGGAGAATGAGGAAGATGATCTGGACGACGGAGCATAAACACGCGCATGAGGGAAGGTCAGTCGCGTACAGTCGCGTAACCACCCAAACAAAGAATCTTACGTAATGTAATTTTATGTTCCCAAATGGCCTTTACTAAAAGAGTTATAATTAAATCCTAATTAGTTACAAATAGTCTTCCCGTACCTCCACCGTCTGGTCCAACTTTTTCTGACCTTGCTCGTCGTCATCGCCACTCAACAACCGTCAACACACCATCAGACAAACAACGATGAGCGACTCTCAACGAGGTGAGCGGTTCATCTCCTTTCAAAGTGCTGACCTATGCAGCTGCTGCTGAGAACAGTATGTTGTTTCGGACGACAGGCAGCTAACATTCAGGCCTTTCGGCTGCCCGCGCCAACATTGCTGCATCTCTGCGTGCACTTGACGTGATCGGCAAGACTTCGTCGAACTCGACTGCCGTGCCCGTCCCCGCCTCTGGCCTTCATGACATTACGATCCAGCTTCTTACCCAGCTGCGCCAGACTGTCACCACCCTCGCCTTGACCTTCAAGCCCCCTCTCACGGCCGAGGCGATCCGACCATACCTCGACAAGCTCACCGACCAGGTCGGCCGTCTGGTGTCGTGCGTCCTCGCCGCAGCCGGAGGTGGTGGCGAGGCGACTTCGTCTCTTGTCGAGTCGTGGAATGATGCCGTGGTTCGCGTCGGTGACGAGATCCAGCGCCTCCTCACCATCCTCGAGAAGGGCGTGCGCGAGCCCCAGGCATCGTCGAGCAAGGGTGAGTCGCCCTACCTTGCCCACACGGGTATGGTGTGGGAGGCAATCGACAAAGTCAGCGGCACTTTGCCAACGGACGAGCGTTCGGCCGTCCAGCAGTGCTGGGAGGGTCAGAAGGATACCGTGCGCGACGCTTGGACAGAGTTCAAGGAGATGCTCGAGGACGCGGACGAGGATGACGACGAGGACGACATCTTTGGTGCTGGCGACGAGGATGACGACGAGTGGGCCGAGCTGGAGAAGGCCATGGGCGGCAAGATGACCGCCGACGAGAAGAAGCGTGCCGAGACGGTGAGCTTTAAAAACAGGTTGACTCTAGCTAACGTTCAGGCCAAGTCGGTGTTCGGACTGCACCAGATCCTGCACGCCACCGTTCCTCGTTACCTTCATCTGCTCGAGCTGCAGCCAGAGATGACCTACGGACCGCTCCTTGCTGCGGGTGCCGAAGTCGTCGCTGCCCTCGACACTGCCATCTCGGGCATGTACCCCAAGCAGGATGTGGCCGAGATTATCGGCTCCGTCGACGCGCTCAACGCCAAGGGCCGTGCCCTCGCCACTGCCTTCCGCGCTAGGCTGGCACAGAGCGCTGCTCCTGAGGACCAGGGTGCCGTGGCCAAGAGCTTCGTTGACCGCTGGGAGACCCGACTGGACCTCGAGGTCAAGGCGTGGGACGAGGCCAAGTTGAGCATGTCTGCTCTTGCGGACGCGTTGGAGTAGATGTGTACCCCTATGCCATAATACTGCACATATCTGTGCCTTTATCGTTCCGTTATCTTGGTGGCCACCACTGACTTCGTCGTGCTTTTAGAACCAGTTCAGCCTCTCTCACAGCGCCTCTCTCACATGGCGCACAATTGCCTCGCTGCTCCTCTCGTTGCAACTTGGATCGCCGGGGGTGCAGTTCACTCCCTCACTGCAGAGTATCAATGAGTGGCGTGATGCATTGCTAAGTGTACACCTCTGTCTACTACGTCCACCGCCGTGGTGGATCTCCTACTTCCGTCCAAGATGGTTAAGCCATTTAAGCGTACTCCATGATCGACGAAACGATACCGGTACCAATGGTACGGCCACCCTCACGGAGAGTGAAACGGGTACCCTCCTCGAGGGCAATGTCGTGCATGAGCTCACCGACCATCTCGACGTTGTCACCGGGCATGACAAGCTTCTCAAAGGCACGGTCGGTGCCCTCGGGGAAGGTGAGGCAGACGGTCACGTCGGTGGTGCGCATGAAGAGCTGGGGGCGGTAGTTGGCCATGAAGGGGGTAAGACGGCCACCCTCCTCCTTGTTGAGGACGTAGATCTGGGCGGTGAACTTCTTGGCCGACTTGATGGTGCCGGGGGCGACGATGACCTGACCACGGCGGATCTGCTCGCGCTTGACACCACGGAGGAGAGCACCCATGTTGTCACCGGCCTCACCACGGTCGAGCTCCTTGTGGAACATCTCAATACCGGTAAGGGTGGTCTTGAGGTTGGAGCCCATGCCGACAATCTCAACCTCGGAACCCTTGGTGATGGTTCCACGCTCGACCTTGCCGGTGGCAACGGTACCACGGCCCGAGATCGAGAAGACGTCCTCGACGTACATGAGGAAGGGCTTGTCGAGGTCACGCTCGGGGAGGTCGAGCCAAGTGTCGGCAGCCTGCATGAGCTCCTCAATCTTGGCGGCACCACGCTCGGGGTCGCGGCCCTCAAGGGCGGCAAGGGCGGTACCCATGATAATGGGGGTCTCCTCGCCCTCGTAGCCGTACTCGGAGAGAAGCTCGCGCATCTCCATCTCGACGAGCTCGAGCATCTCGGGGTCGTCAACCTGGTCGACCTTGTTGATGAAGACAATGAGCTTCTTGATACCGACCTGACGGGCGAGGAGCAGGTGCTCGCGGGTCTGGGGCATCTGACCGTCGGTAGCCGAGACGACAATGATGGCACCGTCAAGCTGGGCAGCACCGGTAATCATGTTCTTGATGTAGTCGGCGTGACCGGGGCAGTCAATGTGAGCGTAGTGGCGGTTCTTGGTCTCGTACTCGACGTGGGCAGTCGAGATGGTGATACCACGGGCCTTCTCCTCGGGGGCCTTGTCAATCTGCGAGTAGTCCATGAACTTGCCGCCACCCTGCTCCGAGAGGTGCTTGGTGATAGCGGCAGTAAGGGTGGTCTTGCCGTGGTCGACGTGGCCAATGGTACCAATGTTGAAGTGGGGCTTGGCACGCGAGAAGCGGCCACCGGCCTCGGCGGCGTACGAGCGGACGGCACCGGCACCCATCAACGAGAGCATAGCCGAGCGAGGGGCAACCGAGGGGCGGGTCGCGAAGGCGCGGGCGGCCTTGGGGGCGACAACGGCCGCGCGGGGAGCGACTTTGTGATTGTTAGCTCAAGAACATCAAGTTGAGAAGGAGAAACAGCATTGTACGAGCGCCAGGAGCGGCACCAGCTTGCTTGGAAAGCGTACTCACCGCGGAGCTCCGCGGTGCGGGCGGCGGCGACAAGGCCAGACTGAATCCTGGAGCGGAGCATGGCTTTTTGGTGGTGGTCACTGGTGTTTTTGACGTCAAAGATGGACAAGACGGCCTCCTCACTTGAAATCTCAGCTCAGGATCGGCGAGTCGGACAAATGCGGAAGGCCGGTGATGTGGCACCCACGGAGGTGGATCAGGCTCTGCAGGTGTGCACCGAGACTGGGTTGTCAAAGCTGCATATGCACAGGGCACTTCTTGGAGCAAGATAAGATGCGTAGAGGGAGAGAACGACTGCCTCAGTGCAGCATGTGAAGGTGCTGAGAACGAGGTAAAAACTGCCTCGAAAATGGTCTCTGGACGGTGGCTTTCGTCTTTGGCTGGGTGGAGGCACAGCCGCTGTGAGCCGCAAGCTTGTGTGCCTCCTCCATGTACCAGGTTCCGCACACCTGTGTCCATACCATACACTAGCGTCACGGCCACGCCGGCCGAAGTACTCTTGAAGGAGTGAGTGCGCTCTCTGCGTGCAGCTTGATATCCTCCCTTACACGAGGTGCGGCTGCCACTGCCTTGTGCTCACCTTTCTCAGGGTATTGATTGGCTGGAGCGGTTCGGGAGACGTCGGAGGCGACGACGACGCCCTGCAGAGCAGTCCTGGATCAAACAATGATGGTCCGCAAGTGCAGCCTAGTGGCCTAACAGTCTGCAAGTGTCCATTGTACTTTCCCTGTGCACTCCATGGTAGTGTACAGCCGGTTTTCAACGATGCAACGGCGGTGTTAGGGGTCCGCCACCTTTGATGACACTCACACCTAGTCGTTCAGTGCTCGCTGATTGATTCAAATCTCCCGCTTCCTTCCTCGATGTCATGGTAACCACTGTCGTCGCTGTGCGTGACAGAGAGCTGGCCATGGCAGACTATGTAAACTGCCTCCTTATCGAAGTAATCAATGTGATCGAGGGTTAAAGGGATCGTTGAAGTCAGAGGCAGTCTGGCCCCACGCCTGTTGTTGAGCGACCACTGGCTTGTCACAACATCAGGCGTCATCCCTCAACATCCAAAAGCAATGTGGCTATATAACAAGCATGAAAGTGTGGACTGCTTTTAGGAGCATGGTGCTGGTGCCCTTATTGGTGTCACAGGGCTCCGTGTGTTCCAAGCGTTGATGTAGGAGAGCGATTCCGTCAGTTGCGGTAAACAACTGTAAGTCCTGCTCCATACGCTGCTCCATATGCTGCTCGAGATTCCTCCGGATTCCTTCCACCTGTTCTTGTACTCACAGAGGCAAATGGGGACCGCTTAAACGCTCAGAGGAAGTGTAGCATCGCCCGGTGGGGGAACGACGATATTTTGAATCGTCGGCGAAGAACACACCGCTCTCCCCCATCGAAATCGCCTCTCCTATTCCGAAAGAGACTCCGCGATCTGGCCCTGCCACCGCTGCACAGGTGTTCCCTTCACAGTACAGCTAGATGACCTGCGCATAGGAGCAGTGGAAGGATAGGAGTTTGTCGGTACAGCGGCAACATTCAAATTGGGACGGCAGTCGCCACAACGACATCAACCTATGTACCACGGGCAGTTCAGCCAGCGATCACCAGTTCATGCGTTCTCGTCATGACACAAAATATGTAAAATCCTCTCCAGTTCACGCCCAAGGCAGTCTTCACCTTTTGGCATTCTACACCAAAGAAGGGAGAGGAACAATAACGGAGAAAAAAGTGCCGCCCAAAAACGGCGCCAACGTAACATGATGCGACGAGGACGTGAGGACGTGAGATGTGATCGAAAGCGAGAGCCTGACATTCGCGTTTCCGCCCTAGTTCGTTCCCTGTTCGACATCGGATGCAGACCAGAAGATCTGCATGCGTATGTGGTTATTATGAGATTATGTGACGTTCCGCAAACCCAAGAGATCGGGTGGATGAGTTTGGGGATGGTTGCACGAGGCGGAGCATGTTGACATGTCGGTGTGGCGGACCCGCCAGCGACCCCAGATGGATGTCCCACCTTACACACCACATTGCCCACTTGCCCCAACAGCGTTGCTTGTGTACCCCTCCTCAGCAAGACCGACGAGTTTCTACATCCTGCGCTTCCGCCAGACATTATTGTACGTATCTATGTGTATGCGCAAGGCACACGTTGCGATCGCTCCACCGCCTCTTACGGTATCGAGTCCGTTGGCATTGGGGTAATCGATCCATTGGAGTGGTGGTGCCGACCTCGATCGTCAGTGCTGCTGCAACTACTTGCAAATGTGGCGGACACTGCTACGTGTCCTCCCGTCGTCGACATTCAGCGGGCCGCCAGCGGCCAGGGGGGGTCGGTTAATCATCGATGATTACCATACCTTCGCATGCGAGTGTCCTAGTCGATGCCTGCCAGCTGTGGCATAGTGTCTGGGTACAGCAAACACACAGAGTACAGTGCCGAAGCAGCGACTCGCACCCTGCCTTGTTGAAACGCCCATTGTGATCTAGCTGCAACAGCAGGACCACTCATCCTCATCATGGCTCACCAGTTGCGCCGACCCGACAGGCAAGAATTACTCCACAAGGGGGGCATAAGTTGCGAAACCTAACTCGGCGGCCTCGTCCTTGCCTTGGCCGACTTGTCACCCAAGCGGCCCAATATCAATTTCACCCGCGATCCAGCCACGAGGACACTGCCGGCATGCGACCCACCTTTTGCGTGCGCTTGGTAATCTTGGCTGCTGGACAAGAACGATGCTGGGACCGGCGGGCCTCGTGATGGCGACGTTTTGACCAACAGGTCCCTGCCACCCAACAGGCCCAAACCATCCCCAGGAACAGGACCCAGGACCAGACTGGGCAGGAGGACCATAAACAACGGCATCGTGCCCAGGATCATGGCGGCGCGGCCAGAGGCCAGAGGCCGGATCTTGGGCAGGAGCGCCGGAAGGGACAGACAGACGCAAGCGCAATCCACAGAAAGGTTGCGGAACCCCATAGCCTCGACTGTATGTGGATCCGCGGAACCTAGGTGCGCAGACCATGTGCATGTTTGGATTTGCACGTGCTGCACACCAAACAGATTAAACGGCTCAAACAGGCCCCAGGAGCATTCAAAACAGGAGTCGTTAACGGCAATGGTGTCCAGATGTGAGGGAACCATCAGGATCCAGTGATGTACCCCAGGCGTGCTGCCGGGCATGTAGGTGATTCGGCGAGATTTGAGGCGCAACAATCCATGGTGCTGTGCCAAGCGGACGAGCCCCTTGCTCTCTTTTGCGAGCTGCGCGCCACGATGGAAGGAGCATCCACCCTCAAACACACCAACCCTCCAGTCCAGGTCGGCGGCTCCAGTGATCGGCACGACGCAAGTCTGGAACCCAACCTCGGACGTCTGGAATTGTGGGGGGTTTCGACGACTTTCGCCTTGCCGCTTGGCTGTTCTACCGTTTGGTGTTACACACATTGCACACCCTGCGTTGACACAGGCTTTCTTTTATTAACAGCAAGGGCAAGGTGGGGGGAAGGCCTGGAACTGGGAATCCGGGGGCCGGGGGAGAGGGGGATGTACTGTATACCCCACAAGAACGACCGCACACCACGTCCCGCCACGTATGTTATGTTACATGTGACACAAAGCTTTCTCTGGCAAGTTCTTAACCCAGAAGGACGGATAACCAAGCTCCGGGATATACGTACGCCCTCAGCGCCCGCAACCCAAGAGCTTCTTGGACGTACATAGTGCGAGGGTTGCAGGGGGAGTTGCTCGGCGGAAAATAAAAGGAAATAATGCGAAGATCAAGGCTCTGAGATCGGAGTCACGTTGATGCGGCGTTGGTCGCTGGGGCCCATGGCGAGAAGAAGGATGTAGAGCGGAATACACCCAGGAGTACGCATTCATGGCGAGTGCGTGGGTCGCGGGAGGGCATGGTGGTACAGCATATGGTGTGTGTCGTTCGGTTCGGTTCCGGGAGTGCCAGATCTGGAAGACAGTGGCGAGGGCGAGGAACCTCGGCCAGCAGCGTACAACCTGTGCAATCCTGGCGTTTGGAGCACTTATGTCTGTGTTGAGTGTGGCAGATGGCGGGTGGCAGGTGGCAGTTTGAGACGAGCATTATGCGTGACTGCAGCCACGGAGATTGTTGGGTGCAGTGTTCAAACCATTATGGTTCGTATGGTTCTCACGAGCAAAACGCGTAAAGTGTACAGCAGCCCTAGGATCTGGGGGCACAGTTCAAGATTGAATAGAGGCTCTTGGCAAACTTTGCGAGCGAACAGCGCCCTCGCTCCAGATCCTTCGTCTTTCGTATCGCCTACCTCCCCACTGTCGGTGGACGCACGCCAACAAGGTGAAGTTCCCTTTACGGCGCGTGCAACTGCTGTGTGACTGTATCTTGGTCACATCAAGTATGTATACAAGTAAAAGGGGGGATGTGATTATACAGGTGCGGAGCAAAGCACTCTACATACCATACCATTCACATCGTGTCGTGTCCGTTTGCCAAACTCTTGGCTTTGCTCGTGTCTCTCGTCGCCGACGCTCGTCGTCTGCGTCTCTGTCGTCGTCTTTTTCGTCCTTCGGTCCCTTCGTCCCTCCGTCTCTCTCGTTCTCATTCTCGTTCTGTTCTCTTCGTTCCCATTCTCGTTCTCTTCTCTTCGTTCGTCGTACCATGGAAACGCGCATTCAGGAAAAAGCTGGACTCTGGTATCTCGGAAAATTCACAGATCGGTATTCTGTATTTGTTCTTGTTTGTTGTTGCTGTTGTTGTTATTGTTGGTGTTGTTATTGGATGGCGATGTTGTCTTGTCGCATCACATGAACCCGGCCGTGGCCGCGACGGGCGCCGGGGTGGGTGTCATTGCTGGTGTGGAGTTGACAGAGGACACGGTCGGCTGGCCAGCCACGCCGCCGACGTTGGGGCCCGTGGCCTGTGTGGCCGCGCCCGAGGACGTGAACGCCGGGCGCGGGGTGATGGCGTTGCCGTCCAGGGGCGGGACGGACTGGTATCCGGCGCTGGCCGTGTCGATGGCCAGGTTGGGGGTCCCGTGCCCGTGCGACTGCTGCTGAGGCTGCGGCTGCTGCGGCTGTGTGGTGACCGCTGCGGGGACGGGGGGGAAGAGGGTCGGGTCAATGTCGCGCACAAACGCCGACCGGCGCGCACAGGCCACGGCGACGTAGTCGTCGACCCAGGTCTTGATGAGCTGGAACCAGCCGAACGACGGGTCGGAGCGGAGCGTCAGGAGACGCATGACTTGGGACGTGAGGAAGACGGCACGCGGGATGAGCATGCGCGGCGTGCCGACACCTGGCGCCAGCTCGGCGCGGGACAGGGCGCTGTCGACGCAAGCGGCCAGCTGCTCGACTGGGTGTATGCTCGGGTCTGAGCCCGCCTCGGCGAGCCAGACGTCAAACGCAGCGAGGGAAGGCTCGAGGATGGCCTCTGAGCAGTCACATGCCATGGCGCACTGGCGCACAATGAATGAAGCGTCGAGCATGCGCCACGACGCGCGCATCGCGGCCAACTGGTCCGGGTTGGCGAGGATGGGCACGATGGCAGTCGTGATCTGGTGCAAGTCGAGGAAGCGCGACAGCAGGTGGGCGACGTGGCTGCTCATCTCCACAATGGGACGCGACACCTCGGTGGAGAGCGTACGCAGTGTCTCGGCATTCATCTGCTCAAAGTTGACAGAGAGTAGGCCGATGGCGGCATGGGCCGACGGCGTAATGGGTGTAAGGATCTTATCCACAAGAACCAGGATCAAGTGCTGTGATTTGAATGTCAGCTCAGCCACAGGGACGTATTTCCAAGCCAAATAAACACTCACGTCAAAGGTCAACGCTGATGCGTCAACGATAAGGTTGGCCAGTGGCTGCTGTGCACACAGGGCGAGCGACTCGGCGGACAGTGTCTCCCAGAAAGACCGATAATTGGTTTCGAAGCGATCAAACTGGAGCTCTGCCACACAGCGCGCAAGCAGGTCTTGGTTTTGGCAGAAGCGGGTCCAGAAGTGGACTACGGTTGGGTCGGCCCCAACCGGGAGAGCCGGAAAGGGCGGCAGGGCACGACTGCCTGTGGTGGGCGACCCGAGACGGACGGCCATGGAGGGGCCCGACCCTCCCGCCATGGGCGGACCCATGCGGCTGATGGCGGGGCGGGCGGAACGGATCATGACTGCCTCGTCTGTCGACGTGGAGCGCGAGCGAAGCACGCTCGGTCCGTGACTGAACCCGTGCATCCCGTTGCTGTAGCCCAGGTCGGAGAGATCAGCGAGGTCGTCGTCCTCCTCCTCGTCCGTGTCGTCCTCTGTGAGGATCTCTTGGTCACCGCCAATGTCGTGGTCGAGGCCACCGCTAAAGTCGCCGTCCTGGGGCGCAATGTGGAGCTGGCCGCTCGAGTCGCCATAGGCGTTGAGGCGGTGCGCCTCGGTGGAGATTGCAGGACGCAGAGACACGTAGTGATACTTGCTGAGAGAAGAGGTCAGCCCAGTGCAAAAGGGTACACCGCATTGAGGCGGGGAGCGGGAGTGCCACACACCTGTTTCCACGGACACCGAGACGACGGGTGCGAATTCCCAGGAACGTCGAGCGGACAACCTTGCCAAACGAAGCCGAGTTAATGGGGCGCAGGCCAAAGTCGTTGCACGACATTGTGTACGAGTGATACAGGCCTTGGCGGGGGACGGTAAAGCCGTTTACAGGTGTGTACGACAGCTTGAGCCTGTGTGGCAGTGTGAGTTAACCGTAAAGCGGCGGCACAACATGTTAATTTCCCCTAACAATCCACTCACCATCTCTTGGCCCACACAGCACGCGCCTTGCCGTGTTGACAGGGGGAAAGGGAGCGGACCTGCTCAGCCTTGGTGGCGAGATCGGTGCGGACCTGTGTTTCGCGGTCTGCCGCTTGGCCAAAGAGTTCAAGGTCCGACTCGAGGAAGTCGAGCGAGTTGGAGCTCTTGCCCAGCGAGAACGAGCGCGCCCTAGGGCGGCCTGCCTGGTTCATGGACCCGGGAATCTCAAAGGGCGTCGAACTAGAGCTAGAAGATGTAAGTATGCGTACTTGCCAAGCCGATCCACGTGCACAAAACACACTCACCGACGGTGTTCGAGGGACATCTGGCTCATGTCGCCGGCAATCATGCCGGTAGTGTTGGCCCAAGCGCTTTGGTAGCTTGTGCCGGTCGAACCGCTGTAGATGGAGAGGATTTCCTCGTCGCCTTCCGACTTGAGTGAGAGCGAGTTGGAGCGCGACGAGACGTGGTAAGGCGTCGGGCGGCTCATGCTGCGGTTACGGTCGTGTGCCATCTTGCCCATGCCGCCGGGCATGGCGTGTCCCTAAGGAGAGAGCTTCAGCATCTGTCGAACGCGGTTGTATGGGTTGTATGTGGGCGGGTACTCACCTGCATGACGGCGTTGGGGGGCGCAATGGGCGACCGCCCCAGCAGGGCCGGAGGAAGGGTACCGCTCAGTGGATTGGGGGCCATGCCAACACCGATACCGAGACCGACGCCGGGCGGGAGGCCGACTCCTGGGTGGGGGACCATGTTTGGGTTGAGGGCGAGGCCCTTTGCGTCTGGGTGTCCATGCAGCATGGATGGGTGGGCATACTCGGCAGAGTTGAAGCCCGCGACGTACATTCCCGGGGGATGACCATCGCCTCCCTGGGAAGCGAGGGAGAAGGAGGTGGAGGAAGACGCCAGGGAAGGCAGGGATGCGGTGGAGAACGAGTGGCTGTGGCCCGAGTGGTGGTGCTCGTGTCCGTGTCCGTGTCCATGTCCGTGTCCGTGGACGGGACCATGCGCAGAACCAGGTCCGTGGGCACCGAGCGGAAGCTCCCCCATGGGGTGGCTCGGGGTGCCACTGCCAGTGGTGGTCATGCCGCCAGACGTGTTTGGACGGCTGGGGTCAAAGGCCGGGATGGAAAACGAGTGTTCGGAAGTGGCTGGCGAAAAGTGTGGCAGGTGACTGTTGTCAAACGTGCCGAGGAAGCCCGGCGACGCATCGACTTGTCCTGGCTGGTAGTCGCCGGGAAACGGCGTGTCGCTGTACTCTGCCATTGCAATGGGGAAGCGCGGTGTGTGCTCACTCGCTGGCCCGGTGATCAGGGCGTGTGCAGGGTGGTGCAGAGCGGCGGCCGGCTCTGCTGGCACAAATGGGCGAGCCGGAGCGAGTATGGCGCCGGCGGGGATGGAGGGGTAAAAGAGCGGGGAGAGAGGGCGGCCTGGGGTGTACCGTGGAACTGGAAGACTGCGGCCGCAAGAAACTGTGTAGCGGCGAGGCAGGCGGTGGCGGCGGTGGAGAGCGCGACCTGGGCGTGGAGAAGTGCAGGTCCGCTCACGGAGGAGGAGGAGGCTGTGAGGGGGGGTGCCAGAACGGGGTTGGGTTCCGCGGTCAAAAGGGGGGGATGACTGTGGCACGTCTAAACGCGTCTCGCCAAACACAGAGGCGTCGCGGCGTCGAAAGGGGTAGTGCGGGCAGATGTAACACAAAACCGCCAAGGAGCGCGAGTGAGGCCAGAGAGGGTGGCGTTGGAGAAACAGCGATACAAAGAAGATGTGGATGCAAGGAGGGGTCGGTGCACGGCACACTTGAGCAAGAAGGCGTGGAGAGAACGGCACTAAGGCCGGACGATCCGTGAGTGGGGACGGGGTCACAAAGCGCTTGGGCTCGAGCACAACGAGAAGAGAGAGGCTGGTCTGTCCGGCTCTCTCTGGATCTCTGGGGATCCGTGTTGCGCAGACGCGAAAGGGAGGTGTATGCACACTCGCGCGGCCGAGCTCTGGAAGCAGTGGGCGGGGCAGTGGTGGTCGACGTCGAATGAGACGGGGTGGGCGCAGCCCAGAGGCGGCCACAGGTGGTGTTGTGGGTGGGGGGTGGGGGGACCTGGCGTAAGGGCAAAAGGCAACTGGGGTGTGGTGGAGGGCGCTCCCTTCAGTCACTCGAGGTTGGTGCAAGTCCAATGACTTTTATGCACAGAACACGATGGAACTGTATGTGGCAGCAGAGGTCTGTCTGCTCGGGGACGGGGCAAGCTTGACAAGCACCTGGCCAGCTTGTGGGGTCACTCTAATGTGTGTTGTTGGTGGGCCCTCTCGGAGGGTGAAACGGAGTGTGTGTGTGTGTGTGTCTCGGAACACTCGGCAAGGTGTGGCTTGGACGGCAATGGCGACCGGGGCTGATATGTGTGTGTGTGCTGGGGAGATGGATCGGAGAGAGGGGAGACGAAGGAGGGGGTGGGGGCTATGCAAGAAAAGGAGAAGAAGGAAGAGATGAGATGCGATGTGGAGAGAGAGAGAGAGAAGAGGGAGAGAGATGGATGGATGAGGTAGGTGTACACTTGGAAAGCAGCCAAGGAAGCGAGACGTGCGACAAACGGCAGGAACGGCGCCAGAGCAAGTGTGTGTTGTCGGGTGCTGGCCGCTGGCTGCTGGTGCACACGCAGGCCTGTCTGTCACCGGGGCGGGGCCTGGGGGGGGGGCAAGGAGAGGCCGTTGCTGCTGCTGCCTCTGTTCCGTTGGGAGAGCTTTGGGCAGCATGCCTGGTTCGGGGGCCGTGTTTGGGGCGGCGGCGGCGACGAGGGGGGAGCAGAGGCTTATCCTCTTCGCAGTGTGTAAGCACAGGCAGCAGCAAGCATCGAGCGCGCGCGCGGTGAGGGTGGTGTGACTGCAGGGGGGGCGGCGGGGCTGCTGCTGTCGATCTGATGCAGCGCGGCGGCGGCGGCCAGAGAGGAGGTATGTGGTCATTTGCGGCAACAGGGGCATGAAAAATGGGTGTGCAGCAATATCGACTGGTCCCTTTGCTCCTCTTTCTCTCTCTTTCTCTCGCCAACAACACTCACACCCACACTAAGGCACACTCCGCAACACCTCCCACCCACAGAGTCCAGACCCCCACCCAGCATCATCTCATCTCATCCCTGCCTCCCTCCCCTCCCCCCGTCCACCTTAAGGGAAAGACGCTCCTGCAGCGCCGCGGATAATTGGAAAACCACCCCTCCCCACACACACCCATACCCACTCTCCCTGTCTCATATCGGTGTCTGCAGTCGGTCACTTGGGCCTCTTGGGCCACACTTTTGGTTTTGGCATCTCGGCGGTCGTGGGATGTGCAAACGCACGACAAACACGACAAGCACACGGCTGTTTCTAACGCCGTCTGGGCCGTCCATGTTTGTCTACAGCAGGGTACCCGATTTACACAGGTCCCAGGCAGTGTCTTTGCTTGCCATTCACTCGAACAGGCTCTCGCTCGCTCGCTTGGCGCAAGAGGGTGTCGCGCACTAGCCGCGCCTTCGGTACGGAGGGTTTTTGGTGTCTGCGGTGTTCTCGAGCGCAACCCAAATATCGGCCGCGGACGCGGCGGGGGCCGCCCCGTGCTTGCTCCAGTCCTCCGCCATGCCTCTCGGCGCCGCGGCATGCGGCAGCGTGCAAGCGTGCCCCATGGCAGCGACTGCGCAGTTTGCACAAGCGTACAAGCGTACAAGCGTACAAGCGGGTTGTGCGGGCAATTGCACTTCGCGCGAGCTCACGGCTGAGACCTGGCTGGGGGGTCGGAGCTGAGGGGGGGGGGGGAAGGAGGGGGCCAAGCAAGGAGATCAGGAGAGAGAGCGAGAAGGGTCCGAGGAACGGACAAGCTGTGTCCTGCGACCCAAGGGGAGGCCGTGTCAGGCAGAGGGCAGAGCAGCATGCGATGTCCACATGCCGGCATACGCTGGCGACCACAGGTGACCCCCCAAGACAAAGTCTCGAATGCTCGCTCGTGCTCGCTCGTGTCTCGCTCGGCCTCTCGCTCTCGCCTCGCTCGGCTCGTCGCACGTGATGTCCTTGATGCTCGAATCCTCGATACTATCCTTGAACCTGGTGTCAAGTGGCGTCGGGACCTGACCACAAGTGCACCCATCCCATTCCGCAAGCCCCCCGCCGCCTTGGCCCATCATTGCAAGCTAAGAGGGACAAGCTAGTGAACGCTGTTAATCCCTAACACCACAGCTGAATCCAGGCTCTCTCTCTCTCTCTCTCTCTCTCGGTCTCTCTTGAGTATTATGCTCCAGACACCGACCTTGTCCCAGACACCGGGTCCTTGTTTCGGGCCTTGGTGGGACACATCTCTTGGCAGTCACATCACACTAGTCGTAGTGCACAGTAAGTACGGTGTATATCGACACGCACAGTTTCAAACTCCACAGCAGGCACAAGGCTCTTCACCGACCTCGCCGCTCTGCAATACTAGACTTGTTTGCTTTTGGAACACGCATTGGCACAGTCCACAGTAGTGTCAGGGGAAACGTCGGTGATGATTCTGAACGGCATTGCGTTCGCAGCAGGGGCGGATCCCCGCAGACACGCGGTGGCTGACGGTGACATACATGCTAGATGCTGCTGTTGCGCAACGACGGGGACCGCGAGAGCTGCCTCGCGGCTCGCTGGGAGGTAAAACACGACACATGCAGAGAGATACAATACTTGGGGGGATTCGGGATGGCCCGAGACAGATCTGATCAACAGTTGGGAGATGTGGGTACATCCGCAAATGTGAAGCGTCAAACGGTACGGGGGTGAGACAGACATGTCGCAATCCGCGCAAGCTTGAGCTGGTGCGGGTGGGGGGATATGACGAGGGGCCAGGTGGGTGACATGGCCAGAACTCGAGCCCAAGCGTACAAGCGTGTGTCTTGTCTCCGAATGCCGAAATGCATGCCGGCAGTTCCGCGAGTTATGGTTTGTGTTTCAGGATTGCGTCATGCCTCTGCCAGAAAACCCCCCGGCCAGCGGTCCATAGGGGCCTCATAATCTCACTCGAGTCCTGTGCATTTGCGTGGCCGAGCGTGTTGGCAGACGTGGTCGCCATTTTGCAAACGCCCTGGCGGCCCTCTACAGTATAACCTTCTTGTCACCCACCCGCTGTGAACCTCGGCAGGTTAGTAGCTGCGCCGAGGTTGGTTATAGTTGGGTGTCCACGGACTGGCGCCGAGCGAGCTCCGCAGGTTTCGCATCGGCACACCCCAGCGCTCACCAGCCAGCCACAACCCACCACTGCACGCCGCCGTCCAGGACGGCCAGGGCTATATCGGGGGATAGGAGCAAAATAGCCCGCGGCACCCTCTCAGCCACGGTACCAGGCCGAGTTGGTTGAGGCGCCGAGGGAAAACCCAGGCGGCCGAAAGCTCAAGCCATCCATGTCCAACGACGTATCCCCGTAGCCTATCGCGGCCGTGGGGTGTGTATACAGTCGCCTGCGATTCGACGAGGTCGGCGAGAACGAGAACAAGAACAAGAACAACCAGAACAAGACCCCAGGGAACGAGTCCGGAAACGCGTGGGAAGTGAAGGGAAGCGACGACGGATGCAGCAACGAGGTACACTCCCCGATCGACGGGGAACGCAGGATCTCAGGTGTGCAGCATGTAATTTAGCGAAACCGAACAGAAACAAACCAGCCCTTTGGTATGTGGACGTTGTTGAGAAAAACGCCACGGACCCGCTTGAGAATGCACATGCGGCGACTTGCTCTGCTACAACCTGGACACCGCAGAGAGGGTGTGGTGTCTGCGTTACGGACATGTGCTTACGCTCTTTTCTTCGTTGGCGGACGCCTGGTTGGTTTCGGGGCGCGGCAATCACGGCAAATTGCGCCAAATGAGACGAAAATGTGGCAGCACAAAGCTTATAAACATGAATGTTTCTCACGAATGTGTGAGCGACCCTCGCAGGTCCTCGTGAGGCACATGTCCTCGATAGGCTGTATTGTGTGGGCTTCGCCTAAAGCTTGATTTGGTGACATCAACGACCAGCGGCGGCCAAGTGGCAGGCAGCGGCGACCCATCCTCGACCACATGGCTCTCTGCGTGGTACTCTATGCCACGCGTTCTACCCTCGCGCCAAGGTTTCCACCATGCCCGTCGTTTACCAAGCATTCCGCGCATCAAGGCAACCGCCCTGTATCCTAGCCAGCTTTTCCCCGTTGCCGTTCTATGCCAGTCCACTGAATTCTGTTCGGGAGGCAAGAACGAGGGCCGATAATTCCAGACCTTCTGGCCCAGGTGAGACACGCGCCCAGCCACAGTGATACAGTAAGTGAGGCGCTACCGACGCCTTGATCGTGTAAACGAACTGTATAGTGCCGACACATGCAGTAGTTTGTCAAGCTGGCTCTCGGCACGCCCTGCGTCTTCGGCGTGTGCTGGCTTGTACATAAACATGTACCCAGCCTCTTCGGGGGCCTAGCTAGATATTAGTCATTAGGGAACGTGGCACACTTTGTTTTTTTTTTTTTTTTTTTTTTTTTTTTTTTTTTTGGCTCGGTTGCTCGGTTTAACACCTTTTCTTAATGATTCTTGTTCGCGTCCTCTTTCTCGTCCTTAGACTGCCGCCTACGCCGCCATGCCACTTTCACACACGCATGTTGTCGTCCTTTTCGGCATGGCAACAAGTTTAAAGTGAGACATGCGGGCCGTATACGTGGCCCGTGCGCTGGACGCGCCGTGCGGTGGGACATGTATACCGGGCCACCTGCCAAGCAACATGTAGTTCAAGTAGTGGTGTGGGCGCGAGATCCCTGCTGCATCGCAGCATCGCAGCACGCATACACACGCCTCGTCGCGATCGACAGCGACTCGGTTGCCACCCGCTGTTGCTTTTCTTGTTACAGTAGTACATACATTACGCTTTTGCTTTTTGAGACAAAAAATCCTAGCTGCGCCGACGTCAGGACCCCGCTGCCGAAAAACCAGCCACCTCGGTTGTTACAGTGCTCTCATATCAGGTAGGGTGCGCTGGGCTATGAAACGCACACGGTGGCGGTATACACTCTGCGGTGGCGCTGTAATCAATGTTTCCTCGTCCTGGGTCTGGGCAGGATAGACTGGCCAGCATGGCAACGGAGCCGAACAACATGTCTTAGAGTACAGTACTCGTATCCGAGAGAGTCCGTGATGCAAGGGATCAGCAATGTAAAGGCTCGGCACAGTCCAGTACCTCAGAACCTCATAAGCGAGCCCTGCTCCACCTGTTCTTGGCTCATTCACTTGTCAGGCTCAGTCAGCATCCCCCCCCGTCCTCTTGTTCATTTATTTGTTGCTGGTTTCGTATCAATGGCCCTTGCCCTATTTCTTTCGTAACAACCCCATCGGCCACCAGTTACGGCCAATTTTCTGAAACCACGTAAAATGCATCGCACATATGAAGTATGCACTGGAGTGATCTAAAGCGAAAACAACAACCACGTCATATCCGTCGGGATTTGGGGGGTGGGTGGTGGTGCGCTTACTGGGCCGAGACCTTGTCAAGGAGGGCCTGGAGAGGACACGTCAGCGACCGAACAAACAGAAAATGACAAAAAAGGCGAAGGTGGAATCAACCCATGGCGACAATGACAGCGGGGGGTGCTTGAAGCGAATTACAACGAGAAACAACACAAGAGTCCATGTTGTTCGACGTCCTTCGCGCACGCTACCCCATGCACGCACGTACGTCTGCAGCACAGGGGAATTGCACCGGAGTGCTGCTGTCTGATCCGACGGAACGCATGCCCAAATACTTGGGACCTGGCTCTCGTCGATTTGCCTAGCGTAGAGAGCCTGGGCCGGGTTTGTCCCCGGCTTTCCCGACATCTTCGGACATTGACATGCAAATGTCTCTTGGGGTCCCTCGTTTTCTGAACAGGGGGGGACGAGGGGGGAAGCAAGGTGACTTACAGTGAGCTTGGCGGGGACAGCGCCCGAGAACTCCTCAATGACGGCGCCGTTCTTGTAGGCCTTGAAGGTGGGCATGGACTTGATGCCCTGCTCCTGGGCGACCTCCTGCGGGGGGAGTCAGCTGGGGAACAAGATAACAAAAAAAAACAAGGAGAAACGGGAGGTTGGAGGGAGCCACACCGCCACACGACTTTAGCAGATCACCACGACACAAGTGCACTGCCACCCCGTCGATCAAACCACACAAAGGAGTGTGGGAATGGCGAGGCCTTTTTGATTCGTGGCCTGGTCCCAGGCACACGGCGGAGTCGATAAACTCGGCACGACACCATCTAAGGCCCGGGGTTGTGAAAGCCTCAAACGAGTTGAAGTCATACACGCAAGTGAGCCAAATGGGCACACACACCGCCTGGCAGTCCGACATTGCTAGCCGCGGCTAACCCGGAGATTGTCCAGAGGCCAGATGTCCATTGAGGGACCGTGCGGGGATTGCGGGACTCATAACACATCGCACGCCCAAACAGGAACCGCCTCATGACCGCAGGAGATATCACCAATGGTGACCCCGGTTCTTGTGAGAAGCAGTGGTGATCGTCGAGAACAGCCAATTCCCAATCAGAAAGACCCGGGGAAAGAAGGAAGACGTGGACGTGGGGCAGGAGCAGGAGTACGCCAACGGCGGTCAAGCTCGCGGATGACCAAATTCGCCCTGTGGCCTGTGGCAAGGACCAAGGACCAAGGACCACCCGGTGCCATAGACCACCTCCCACCGCCACCGCGATCCCGTTCTCATGCCACTCGCATGGCCATGAACGTAAAAGCACGATCACAGTCGCCCCCACCCCTTAGGACGCGAACACGACCTTCACCCGCCACTGTGAACCCATTCCTTCTCACACACACTGCAGCACACGTGCCACGAACCAACATGCCTTGGGACCACAAAGCGTGCACGTAAAAGCGTGACGCTCTGCCTCCAACACAAGATTGGGTTCCACGGGAAGGATAGCCGGAGCTCTGCCTCCAACACAAGATTGGGTTCCACGGGAAGGATAGCAGGAACAGTGACGTGTGCTGTGGTATGTGGGTTTGGGTGCGTCCATTGACCAGTGGCCAATGTGGCAAGGCCGTCCGTCACATCACGCGGCTGGCACCACGCGCGTATCGCCGCGGGTGGTGGATCCAACCTTGCCCGCATGTGAAGATGCCAAACACACAGGCCGGGGGACCGTTCGTGGTCATGCGTGTTCGGCCAGGAGGGGTACAGTGTCCCATGCGATGGGCCACCCACACCCGAATGTGATTCTAACTCCCCTTCTCCACTTGTTCCAGCTCGAAACGTAGTTCCGGTCCCAAGGTAATCCGGTTCCCAAGGTAGCCCCAAGCCCATGCGCTGGAAGCATGTAGCCTCAAGCGCAAAACATCTGTCATGGGTGTCGGTCTGGACTTACACACCACAGTGTTTCGGGTCACGTTTCGGTTTCGACAAGGGGAGGCGGGAGTGGAGTAACGGAGGGGGGTCCATGATTCATGGATGGGAATGGGAAGACTAGGATGTCGCCCACCCTAACGCGCCGCCGGGTGGGGGAGCACGTTCGCACCCTCATGATTGCGGGGTTATGCGTACACTTTAGATCTGATAGCAGGGGGTTGCAGTGACGACACATGCCCCCTGTATCAGATAGCGGGCCTGGCTCTCCCAACCACTTGCGCGCGTGATCTTTAAACGCGTGATCTCAAAAGACCAGGACGCGTCTCTCGTGATCTCCTCGCGCAGAAACAAAACGGCACGACACAATCAAACCCAACAACGACACGACCTGGATATCTCTGGACAACAGGAAATAACACTCACGGGAACCTCCTCGATGTCAACCTTGGCAAAGGTGACGCCGGGGTACTTGGCCTCGAGCTTGGCGAAGTGGGGGCCGATGAGCTTGCAGGGGCCGCACCAGGTGGCCCAGTAGTCGACGACGACGGGCTCAGGGCCGGAGATCTGGGACACACTGTCAGCACCACTGCTGTCTTGTCATGTGCATCCTATCGTGCTTGCCGGATCGCGCGCGGCAGGATGTGTCTGGGGCCGGAGCGCGTGCCGACGCAGTTGGAAACGGAAGGGTGCGAGACAGAGAAACGCGTCCCATAAATGGATTCACACCCTTCCGCCGCCCGCCGAGCTGCAGCTGTAGCACTGGGGTACTCACGAGGGCGTTGAACTCCTCGGCGGACTCGATAACCTTGACCATTGTGATTAATTGATGTGTGACTGGGAGGGGGGTGTAAGTGGGTGGTGTTGATGGTCGAGAAAGGATATGACTGGGTGACTGGACGCGGGGCGGCGGCGGCGGGAGCACGTGGAGTGTGGAGGAGAGTTTGGGCTGAAGGTATAGCTTTCTAAGCTTTCTAGGGCGGGAGAGCGGGTCTAAATGGGGGTGTCTAGATTTCTAATCGACAATTAGGAGTCGACTGGTTATCGGATTTGGTGTTGTGTTGTTGGGAGAAGAAAATCCCCCGTCCCAGCCTTTATATCCTTCCAGCCCCAACCCCCGCTCGCCACCGTCCCCGTCGGCGAGCTGGCCAGATGACTCACAGGTTGACTAAACAGGCAGAGAGAAAGATGTGGAAGAATGTGAACGGAAAAGCGTGCGCTGGCATAATCATGCCCACCGTTGACGGTAGACCCACCTCACCTCTCGGCCGACTGCGCGGGGGTGATTGAGGGGGGTTGCTGACTGATCATCGCGGGTCGGCAGCGTGGGTGCTCAGCACGTCATGGGGGGTAAATTCCCACTTGGCGTGGCACACACCACCGATCCACCGATGGTGCAGCACCTCCAACTGGCGTCATCTGATGTGCTGTGCATACACTCACTTGATGTTTGCCCTGCGTACACACACGTACAGACATACATATGTATAAATAACATACATACGGGTTGGCGTTGGACCCGAGTGGCCACACTGACACCTGTGCCCAAACCGTTGGCTCGTCGCCCCAGACGCACGATCAGTCATCGGCGCCCATGTGCGCCGGTGCCACCTTGTCGACCTTTGCGCGTCTCAGATAGACGCATTATGCTACATGCGTGATCCAACCGACAGCGACAAGCCGAGCCGCTTTGGTTAGCGACCACAGTGGTGTTCATACACTAGACCTCACCCTCCATCAGCAATCTCACTGTGGGGCCGTATCTCGTACATCAAGTGTCCAGGGCTACAGGGAGTCGCCCTTGCTGTAGCCGGTGTGAGACAGATTGAACGGGAGGGTTCAGTGGACGCGATACGCGGGGCAGACCGGAGACGCGCCTGGCCTTCGGCGCGCATGATAACCGGGAGGAAACCTCAACATGGCAGCAACAATCTGTTGATGTTCGACCTGTGGCCCGCTTCACTTCACCGCTGCATCTCATCCTATGTTTCTGGTTTTTTAAACTACCTGCCACTGTCCCTACTGATAAAGCTACACGTAAGAGCTTAGAGCTTGGGGGGAGCGGGGGTGAACTGGACACCCTTCTCGATCGAGGGGCCGAGCTCCTTGACGGCGGCGGCGAGGAGGGTGCGCTCCTGGTCGTCAATGTTGCCGATGGGGAGGATGTTCTGGACACCGTCACGGCCAAGCTCGACGTTGACCGAGAAGTAGGCGAGGTCGGCGCCAATCTCCTTCTTGATGTCCTCACCACCGGCGGCGGCGTTGAGGTCAATGTACGACTGGGTGACAAGGGTCTTGCCGGCGAAGGCGGCCTGGAGGACCAGGTTGGCAAAGTGGGCACCGGCCTGGGCCATCGAGAGGGTAGCCGAGCCAAGACCGTCCTTGGCCTTGACGACCTCGTCACCACCGAACTGGATACGGTTGACAAGGGCGTCACGCTTAGCCTGGTCGTTGAGGATGGCGGCGGGGATCTTGGGCTCCGACTGGGTAAGGAGGGGGAGGATGGTGGCACCCGAGTGGCCGCCGACAACGGGGATGGTGTACTTGGGGGCATCCTGGGGCTGGCCAACAACGGAAGCGACAAAGGTCGAAGCGCGGACAATGTCAAGGGTGGTGACACCAAGGAGCTTCTTGGGGTTGTAGCAGCCGGCCTTCTTGAGGGTCTCGGCGAAGACGGGAACAGTCGAGTTGACGGGGTTCGAGATCACGAGGATGAAGGCGTTGGGGGCAGCGTTGGCAATGGCCTGGGCGAGGGTAGCGCAGATACCAGCGTTGACCTGAGCGAAAATGTCAGCGCCGGCCGGGTATTCACAAACACAACCGCCATGGCAACACTCACGTTCTGTTAACCGGAACAAGCGATCTAGTCAGTGAACATGTCTCTCAGGGGGGGATGGAAAAGGTGTAAAATAACGCACGAAGAGGTCGTCACGGCTGGAATTGTCAGCGAGCAGTCCCTCATAGCGTCAACTCACGTCATGCCGGGCTTGCGGGGGACACCGGCGGGGATGACGACAAGGTCGGCACCGGCAAGGGCCTTCTCGGCACCGTTGTCGGCGGGGAGGAAGCCGGCGACCTGGGCGGGGGTGTTGATGTGCGAGAGGTCGGTAGCGACCTAAGCAGGAGCGTCAGCAGTCGTCATTTCCGGATACCGGACGAGTCGAGCACCCGGCAGATCGGGACAGCAGAGACAAGAGCTCGACTTGGTTCGGCGCGATATGGCCGGTACCGGAGGCGGAGAACCCTGGCGGACACCCTAGCCGGTCCTTGGTATTGGGCCGACCACGGATGTCGGCGCAATGGCTCGACTCGCCCTCTCGCCCAGCTGGCAGCAAGACTTACGCCGGGAGCGTTGACGACATCGTAAAGCGAGAGCTCAGTAACGAGGGGGTTGAGCTTGAGGAGGAGGGAGAGGGGCTGGCCAATACCGCCTTGATAGAGTCAGCACGGAGGACGGATGGATTGGTTTGACGCGATTGGGGAGGCCCGCAAGCCACGTCAAATGGCGTGGGGGGGACTTACCGGCGGCACCGCAAACAACTGCCTTAACCATTGCTGAGAGGGGTGGTGGTGGTTAGGGACAGGTCGGTGTGTGATGGGGAGGAGCTTACTGGATGATGGGGTTTTGTGGGGGGGTAGGGGATGAGAGAGGGAGAGAGAAAGTGAAGAGAGATGGGGAAAGAAGAAAGAGAGACGTGGGATGGATGGTGGTGGAATTAGTACTTGGGGGACCTGTGGGAGACTGGACGCGGCTGTGGGCGTGGGGTGGGCTGTGGGCCAGCTGGGCCAGACGCCAGAGGGGCCAGAGACACCCGCGTGTGGGCAGCGTGCGATGCCCAGCTGGGTCGGAGGTGCTTGCCGGCGCCGCCGGCAATTGGGGATGCATGGCAAGTTGCGGGGTAATGACGCTCCCAGCCAGCCTGGCGCCAGCTATAGCCCACATTTGGTCCCGCTACAACCGAAGCTCGCCCATATGTTGCGGCCAGCGGTCAATCTGCGGCAACGCGGCTGGCCGTCCACAGCAACCCCGCGTGCGCGCGCGCCGCGCACGGTCAAACGGCCATGAGTCCACCGTCGCCGATCATATCCTAGATGGATCCGGTACCCCGCGAGACATGCGTGGTCGCCGCTTATGATAGCACACTCGTCCCGACACACGGCTTACGGGCCCCCGGAAATCGTCACGGACGGTCGGCCCCATTCCACAAGCCGATACCCCCGCCGGCTCACTCTGCGAACTCGGGACGACCCGGAGAGTTTCAGAGACGGAAAAAGTGCGACTGGCTCCGCAAAATAGTGTGTGACCGCTTATCATACATATGAGGTGGGCTTACGTACATTCCGTGGGGCGATGTACAGTGGTGTAGAGGGATATGTCAGCACGTACACTGTCAAAACGTACAACTCGGTGTGCAAAAGGAAGATTGTCAGATGTGGCAGCGCCACGATCGCCTCTGACAGGCCCAACTCTCGTGATGTCGCGACTGCCTTTTTCATGACTTGGGTCGTTAAATCAACGGCTTACGTAATGTTTGATAAATTTGACGTGTAATTGTCGGGTGTATTTTCAGGGACCGATGAACGTGCAGTATCAACATTCGAGATTTCCGAGGAGAGGGAGAGAGGGAAGACATGACAGAATGGCCAGAAAGCGTTCCACAACCACATCGCTCAAACTCATTCATTCACCATGGACTCGTACCAGACCCCCCTCTCCTCGTGAGCTAAAGCGCCCACGGAAAGGTCGCATTCAGCTAACATTGCAGGCGTTATGCGTCCAAGGAGATGTCGCAGCTCTTCTCGGCTGCCGTACGTGATCTCCCTCACCGGTCGCTCCGATAACTGACATTTGGGTATAGAACCGCTTCGGCACCTGGCGCAAGCTCTGGCTCAACCTTGCCATTGCTGAGAAGGTAAGCGAGCATACACTCATAGACCCATTCTGACAACCGCAGGAGCTCGGTCTCCCCATCTCGGACCTCGCCATCGAGCAGATGAAGGCCAACCTCGTCCTGGACGAGGCCCAGATGAAGGTCGCTGCCGAGGAGGAGCGCAAGCGTCGCCGTGAGTACACTGAGACTGTTTCAGGTCGGGGCGGTGAACTTGGGATACCGTGTCCACACTTCTTGTCAACACTCCCTCTACCTCGTCAAACAAGCAAGGTATTGAGGTTAGCTTTTTCGGCATTTAAAAAGCATGACGAGCTGTGTGACTCGAACGCAACACTAGCGGTATTGCCCTGGAAATGAGTGACCCCACGTAGGGTCACTCGATGCGGGGTTGCTGCGCAGGGGCAACAGTCTTCCTGTCGAGTTCACTGGCCTTGTACCTCCTTGGTGGTTCACTGAGCTGACCTTTCAGACGATGTCATGGCCCACGTTCACACCTTCGGCACCGTCGCCCCCGAGGCCGCCGGTATCATCCAGTGAGCTAGTGCGACACGTCGTTAGCTAACATGCAGCCTCGGTGCCACCTCGTGCTACGTCACTGACAACGCCGACCTGATCTTCCTCCGTGACGGTATGGACATTCTCATCCCCAAGCTGGCCATTGTCATCGACCGCCTTGCCAAGTTTGCCGACCAGTACAAGGACCTCCCCACTCTTGGCTTCACCCACTTCCAGCCCGCCCAGCTCGTCACTGTCGGCAAGCGTGCCACTCTGTGGCTCCAGGAGTTGCTCTGGGACCTGCGCAACTTCCAGCGTGCCCGTGACGACCTCGGCTTCCGTGGTGTCAAGGGCACCACCGGCACCCAGGGTTCGTTCCTTGCCCTCTTCGACGGCGACCACGACAAGGTCGAGGAGCTCGACGAGCGCGTCACTGAGCTTTCGGGCTTCTCGTACGCCTACCCCGTCACTGGCCAGACCTACTCGCGCAGGATTGACGGCGACGTGCTTGCTCCCCTCGCCCTCTTCGGCGCCACCGTCCACAAGATGGCCACCGACATTCGTCTCCTGGCCAACTTGAAGGAGGTCGAGGAGCCCTTCGAGAAGGACCAGATCGGTTCGTCGGCCATGGCCTACAAGCGTAACCCTATGCGCTCGGAGCGTCTCTGCTCGCTTGCCCGTCACCTCGGCCCTCTCTTCCAGAACACCCTCATGACTGCCTCCACCCAGTGGTTTGAGCGTACCCTCGACGACAGTGCCAACCGCCGTGTCACCCTCCCCGAGGCCTTCCTCACCGCCGACATTCTCCTCACCACCCTCCAGAACGTCTGCGAGGGCCTCGTCGTCTACCCCAAGGTCATTGAGCGCAGGATCATGCAGGAGCTCCCCTTCATGGCCACCGAGAACATTATCATGGCCATTGTCAAGGCCGGCGGCGACCGTCAGGAGTGCCACGAGAAGATCCGTGTCCTCTCCCACCAGGCCGGTGCCGTCGTCAAGGAGCAGGGCGGCGACAACGACCTCATCGAGCGCGTCAAGGCCGACGCGTACTTTGAGCCCATCTGGAACCAGCTTGACGCCCTCCTCGACCCCTCGACCTTTGTCGGCCGCGCCCCCCAGCAGGTCACCAAGTTCCTCACCAAGTTTGTCAACCCTGCCATTGCGCCCTACGCCGACGCCATCAAGAACGCCCAGGCTGCCCAGCTTTCCGTTTAAACAGCGCGCGCAGCCGCAGCCGTCGTTACAACGCATCCGCTACCCCATCCCCCTTTAACACCTACCTACCTCCCGGTGCCGACCGGCCTAAGCCACGCCACCTCGATAACCCCCCAAAAATACAATTCAACATTGAATCCCCCAGTTGGAACAGTAGTCTGTGTCGAGTTCTCAAACAAAACACAAAAAAATGCATCTTGCGTCTCATTTCCAGCGCGGCTGTGGACTTGTGCTGCTGCGCCCTTTCTGCTCTAACATTTCATACATGAGATGTCTCTATCATCTGCTAAAAATCGAAAGGGGGGTGGGTATACTAACTGTCGTGATCTGGATCCCCTCCTTGTTGTCCGCACGCCTCGCGGCGCAAACAAAAATTGTCGCGGGGGGGTTTGCTAGCTACATCAATACAAGCCGTGCCATTTTAGCTGCGGCTGTGGCGGTGCAAGCGACGGGGGCTCTACCAGAGGTCCCGGCCTCCACCACCACCAAAAGCTCGCGGTGCACAAGTGCGTGGCGCGCGCACGCACGCGCTTAGGTCGAGCCGATAATCTCCTGGATCTGCGATGCGGTGACGGGGCAGTCGATGGTGGCACTCGCGTCAATGTTGGGTTTGACGGTGACGCCGAGAATGACGAGGGCAAGGTGCAGGGTGTAGTCGATGGTGATCTGGCCAGTCGTGCCGCCGTTGAGGCCGCACTTGGTCGAGAGCGAGTTGATCATCTCCTGTCCCGGGTCGTTGGCCATCGAGTAGTTGAGAGTGAGCGGGAAGAGGAACGTCGAGGCCGTGTAGCCGCGGAAGTTGACATTGTCCTTCTCGCCGCTACCAAACTGCGCAGACGAGTTGGTGGCGTCATACTTGACGTCGGCTGAGATCTTCTTAAAGTTGGCATCGAACCAGTTGGGGTTGGAGACGCTGCGAGCATGGTTAGCAAAAAGGGTGTGGGTGTGCACAGCACTGGTAGCAAGCAAGACTAGCTACACAGCCGCGCTGGGCTGCGCTGAACGCAGTTTCCAAATGAGTACTCACGTGATGGAAAGGTTGAGACCGACGTTGAACTCGTGGTTGGTGCTGTCGAGGGAGAGCGAGTTGGAGTCAACCTGCACGCCGTTGAGGACGACCGAGGGAGGGCGAACGTACTTGTGGCAGGTCAGCAGGCTGTCGTAGGAGCCAATGAAGCTAGGTACTCACGAGAAGCACGGCAAGGATGATGCTGATAATCATGAGAATGGCCACAGTGATACAGCAGCAAACGGCACGACCAGTGGAGCGGAAACCACCACCCTGTTAAAAACGCGTCAGGACGAACGAACGGTCAAGAACAATGGCCAGGGAAAGAGCGAGAGGATGGCGCAGCGCAATGTTGGCCTTTTGTCGCGTAGTGGCGCGTCTCCAACGTGTGGTTTTGCGCGCCAAACTCAACTCTCTTCAACCCAGCACTTTGTACTCACGCGAGTCCACTGCTTGCCACGCTCGTCCTTGCGCCACATGCGCAGGATACCGGTCGAGCGCGGGGGCGGGCCCATGGCCGCAAACGACGAAGTAGGGTGGTGGAGACCGGCACGACCAGGCTTGGCACGCTCGGTACCACCAATCTCGCCCAGCTGGTTGACGCCATCCTGGTCCACGTCCTCCATGCCCACTGCGGCGCCATTCTTCTCAATCGAGTTGGTCGAGTAGTTGTTGTAGTTGGTCGCCTGGGCATACGCGGGGGCCTCGAGTTCGTTTGCCTCGTAGCCGCCGTACTGGGCCGAGGGCGCGACTGTCGATGAACCCGAGGGGGTGGTCCCGCCTGGGGTGTTGTAGGGGTCCTGGTAGTTGTAGTGGGCCGCCATTGTGGTTGATGGGAGTGGATGTGAAGAAGGAGGATTCGCGTCTACAGCAGCAATGAAGGCAAGAGGCGTGCAGGTGCACTGCCCGCAGCACGGGCGGTGAGACGCGCGGAAGTAAATGCGTACCGCCTCGCGTACAGTGATAACACAGCACAAGTAATAATAGATCCCAATACACATCATTATGGTGCCCCGCCTGCCTTTCTGACAATCAGCCTGCCATTGCAGACAGCCAGCGGCGGCGACTTTGTCCTCCTCTCTGCTCATTACATTTACTGCTCTTAACACACGCATGCCTGACATCAAGGAGTGGCTAGTCGCGGCCGCGGGCAGTAAGCCTGATGTACACCACTGTTGCTGACTTGCAGCCCTCAGCTCCGGCGAGGTCGTCAAGCCCCCGTCCTTGTCATACCTTGAAGCAATGAATGCCCTCCAAGTACGCGTCCACTGCTTCCCCTTCCTCGCGCCGCCTCACTAACAACGTGTAGATGATGGACCCAGCGATGGACTGGGGAACAAACTTTGCTCCCAAGGGTGAATTTGATCCTTCAGCCGCACTCTCCCCAGCCCAATTGGTGTGGGTGATGGACGAAATGGCAGCCCGCGAACTCGCATGGCACCGCGGGGGTACCATGGCCCAGACGCTGTTCACCAGTTTGCATTACCACAACGCACTCGACCTCGCACCCAACATTTCTCCACGAGACGAGTCATTCCCCATCGTCGAGACCTCGTGCGTTGCTCTCCGCGCCTTCGTGCTCGCCTACGCCAAGAGTATCGAGCTGGCGTATTACCTCCTGTTGGATGGTGGCGCGGTTGCGCGTGATGGAGAGGATATCTGGCTGGACCCCTATGGGATTCCGCTTGATACGACAGAGAGCCCCGAGGAGGTGGTGGGGTACGTCGAGGGCGTTATTCGCTGGCTCCTCGCCGACGAGGAGCGCATGTTTGACCCGGCATGGGGGCAGATCGTCCTGCGGTTGAGGTTTCGAAAGGTGAGTTATCCTGTTTTCGCCTGATCTAACTCTCAGTCCTGGATCGAAGCTCTCCAGCTTCACCCGACTCAACATGCACCGGCTTCGGCATTCTATACCTCGCCACAATCGGTTCCATGGGCATTCGACGCGGTCACTCCGTTCTTGAGGCAGTCCATGCCTCTCCCGTCGCTCAGTATCCCTGGTCATTCGGAGACCTGGGAGGCAATGACTCTTGCTGCCAGCCAGCTCGAGAGCTGTTCTGCCATTGTGCGACTTGACCTGGAACGCAGGGAGCAGTTCTTGCGCACGAGGGTGGTGGGCATGCTGCCGATTGTTCGGACGTTGTACAAGGTGGGTTTGAACACCTACCACATCAGCTAACCCGCTAGACCATTCTGTGCGACGTGGCTAACCGCGACGAAATGGTCGACGAGTGGCTCACGAATGCTGGTCACCCGCGCCACATCCTTGCTATTGTCGACGCCGAAGTGACTGGGCCTACCGACAGGCGGTCGTACTCGTTATGGCGGGACATTGTCGCTGGCGTGAGTCACCAGTGACCCCTCAATTCGCTGACGCTTCCAGACACTCGCACTCAACTTGACCACGTCGCTCTGCAACCCCTCTCGTCGCCGCCGTGCCCTCTCTCACTTATCAAGGACATGGAGCGACCAAGCTGCCGCTGCGGCGCGTCTCAGCCACTACCCACAAGTGGCAGCCCTCATCCCAGCCCTGCACGCCCGTGCCCTTGACGCCGAGCTGCACGCGGCTATTCTAGCCTGGCCACTGGGTCTCGTCTCTGCCGCAGAGGCGAGGATGACCTGGTGGTGGATTCTGCTGCTCGCAAAGGCTAGGAAGGGAATCAATGTCTCTGGGTGGGAGAGGCGGTGGGCGGGCGTTTGGGCTGCCGTGGCCAGTGGCATGCTTCTGGTAAGGTAATCATAACAAGTAGTGCTGACCTTCACAGCTGTACACTGCTCTTCCTGTATCAAAGGAAAACGTCACCCTGCCGCAATTCGTTCTCCGACACAAGATCGTGCTCGGAACAGCATCTCCGCCGCTCAAACCTACCCCAAGCGCGTGGAACAGTGCCAGGACTGCGCTGGACGCCAACTCAAACGTCAGTTGAAGTCCCTTCCCATTGCTAGACGCGTAACTGACAGCTTCAGCCCATGTCTACCCTCCCTCTTGCCCGCGCGTGGCTGGAAGAGGCTCTCAAGCTCCTCCCTGCTGTCGGTACGCGAGAACTGGACATTGCGGGACTGAAGAGTGACTTGGCCGCCAACATTGAGGTTCTGAAGGGGGCGCCAGATGAGCAAGTGGCGTGGGTTCCATGGAGCGCCAAGGAACGGGACGGGGAGAGCGGGGTGATCCATCGACTGGCTCAGCGTCCTCTTCCGTCCACTGCACCTTCTGCTGCTGCTGCAGGTGCAGGTGCTGGCTGGGATGCGGGCGAGGACGAATACAGCTAAAGGCACTCGCGAATATGGCGACATGCGTAATGGTGCATCTCCATCTAATATACTGTACAATCTTGTACCATGCACATCATCTATCTACGCCGTGGCGCGAACGGGCTCGTTCGCAGCCTCCTCCTCACTCGCCGCCGGTGCTGCTGAAGCAGCGTTCATGGCCTCCTCCTCGGCGACAGCAGCGGCGTTCATGGCCGCCTCCTCGTCGTCCGCGCTTGCCACGCTCACCGCACTGCTCTCCGCAGTCCGCTCGGGGGCATCAACCACCACGCCATCCTCGACGGCCTTGGCCCGCTCAGCCCAGACATTCCACTCTGGCCTCCCCTCCAACCTCCGCTTCAACTCGTCCATAAACTCCTTGCCAACAGCCTCGTTGACCACAAAGTGCTCCCCAAGGCCCATGTTGCTGAAGTTGCGAACCACATCGGGGATGGTCTTGGCGCGCGCGATACACTCCATGGCTTCCTTCTTCTGCGTCTTGGACAGCTTGCCGATAGGCGGAGGGGATGGCTTGAACATTGTGAGCAGGAACTTGGTGTTGCCCCAGTTGTTCTGGATGTGCGAGGCGACGTTGAGCAGTTGAGGGGTGAGCATCGTGGTGGCGCACAGAGGGCCGGCAGGTCGGAAGACGGAGGGGTTGCGCTCGGCCGAACGAGCAAGCATGACGCTCGTAGCACCTGTAGGTCCGTTAGCTGGATGGCCCTCACTGCGATCGAGCGCTAGCTCACCTGTCTCGGTCCTGATCGCGTCCCAGTTGGCATAGCCCTCTCCGTCGCCGTTGCAGATCACCGGCAGTCCACGTCGCCTACCCAGCTCGACCACCTCTGCCAGGCGTGCGTGAATCGCCTTCTCTCCGGGCCGCATGTCACGCGTGCGGCAGTGGACTGTCAGGTTGCTGATTCCAGTCCTCAGGATCCTGGCGGCGAGCAGAAGAGTCTCGGCGCGAGTAGGCATGAGGCGAATCTTGGCCGAGATGGGGAGGGGCACGTTGGCTACGAGTGCGCGGAGAATGTCGAGGAGCAAGTCCGGAGTGGAGAGGAGAGCGGCGCCCATTCCGCTGTGGGTCGAGAACGGCTTGGGGCAGCCGCAGTTGAGGTCGATACCCGAGACGTCTTGCGCGACGGTGAGGGCAGCCTTGACGGCGAGCTCGGGGTCGGAAGAACCGATCTGGAAAATGACTGTACAGAAGTCAGTACGTGGGTCACGAACACCTTTTGGGAGGGTTAGAACTCACCGAATGGCTTCTCAATAGGGTGCGTCGTCCAGATCGCGCCTCCGCCCTTGTGGTAGGTGACCACGCCGGTCACAGCTACATCAGTCAGCACACACGCACCACCTTCCTTCCTGTTCCCCACTCACTATCGACATCCCTCTGCGCCCCAATAATAGCCTTGTCCACAATCTCGGGCGTCCAAACGAGCCCTGCACCGTGGTATAGACTGAGCAGGCGCACCGGCAGTGTTCCCGAGCGGACCATGGGCGCCAGCACGAGCGTGTCGCGGTAGTTGGGCTGGTAGGCATATGTGTCGCGCTTGTCCGCCTCGACGGCAAGGGCCATCATGGCCTCGACCTCGGCAAGCTGCTCCGGTGTAGGCTCATCGGGAAGAGGACGGAAGGAGCGCTGTGGGGAAGAGGGCTTGGCCTTGACTTTGCCCGTTGACGAGACAAAGGAGGCTGTGGAAGTGCGGCTGGCGCTGGTGCTGGGGTCCTCGGTGGGCTTGTCGGCGTCGGCACCGGCGTCGGCCTCAGCGGTCTCGACGCGCTGACGCTTAGCGGCCGGTCCCTGGGTAGCCGAGGGTGAGGGGGAGCGGGCGACTGCTACGGGCATCCAGCTGAGTTTGAGGTTGCGGAGACTCGAGGTGAGACGGGAGACCAACGAGGTCATGTGGAGGGTTGCAAAAAACTTGGGTGGCGATTCGATGTGTTTTGAACCGAGACACTAATTCACAAACCGGCCTCATTTGCACCACTTAATGGACTCAATATTGTCCTTGCCAGTCAACAGCAACAGCGACGGAGGTGAAGCAAATGCATAGAGTACAACAGAGATCTCAATGGATCATGCAATCTTATAGGTGCCGTAGTCCTTGTCCGGGTCATACACTTCCCACCGGGAAGCAGGGAAGATCTAACGTCAATGCTGAGCAAGAAGATCATGTTTGCTGGGTGGCAGATGTCTAAACGGCGCGCCACTTCTGCTACTCACATGCTTGTTGCGGTTGTACCAGCTGCGCTCGACGACCTTACCAGCGTGGCTCTCGTCCTTCTCCTTGGTGGCATCCGCAAGCATACGCACGTCGTCGTGCACGTCAAAGTTGAACAAGGGGCCCGACTTGCCGCGCGCCTTGTTGATGATGAAGTCGTAAAACGTATAATGCTGTCATGTCAGCTGACGTTGGGACGCTTTGAGCTCACATGTGGTATGATGAGGTCCTCCTGCTGGGTCAATTATGAACGAAACGTTGAACCCACCTTGATATACATCAAATTGTCAATACCCATCCCGCGCAGCTCGGGGATCTGGGCACGACACTTGCTGAGAAAGGCCGCAATGTCGTCACCCTTCTTGCACTGTCGAGTCAGCTTCCAACCTCTCCACTTGCAGTACCCACATCAACACTTTTGCGGTGTCCACTGCCGTCCCAGTACGAGTAAGTGATCTCGATATCCTCGTTCTTGATACGTTCCTGCTTTTCGAGCCATTGCTTGCGCAGTTCCTCGCGCTCGGCACGCTCGATGGCCTCGCGTTCGCGGTCAGGGAGGAAGGACGTGTCGACGTTGGGGTTCTTGGTGAGCTTTTTCTTGGGAGCAGGGTCTGAAGTCAGCTAACTGTGAAGGAGCGTGCGCTAGCTCACCGTCGTCACTGTCTCGTCCCCGCTTGCCACCAGGGCTTGAAACGGCCGAGAGAATATCCTCCTCCTCATCGTCTGCAAAGGAGAGCTTTGCCTTCTCTTTCCTCTTTGCCTTTTTGGGACGCTTGACAGATGCGCTGAAGAGTTAGAGGGAAGCTCCATGTGTGCGCCAACTCACGCCTTGTCCGCGGCGGTCTTTGCAGCAATCTTGCGCTGCTCCTCCTCAATGCCCTCTTTTGTATTCCTAAAGTCCTCGAGGGTGACGAGACCGATCGTCGACAGCTTTAGCTGTTCATCGACGCTCTCAGCCACAGTGGTGAAGCGGGTGGCTGTGCGGTCACGTTGAGAGTCCTACGAGTCAGCATTGGTAACAAGAAACGGTAGGTGGGGGTATTAGGATGCTACCTTGAGGATCTCCTCCTTCTTGCGCTGGAACTCTTCCTGGTGGGTCAACAAAGGGACAGGCGCGAGTACCCACCGCCTCGCGCTCGCGTTGCTGTGCGTAGACAACGCTGTCTGGCGGTCCTGATTTGCTAGACCCCATGGTTTGAAGATGATGGAGAAGAGGGCAAAGCCGACCTCACAACAACAGTCAAGAGTGGAGGTTCGTGTCGTCCTATTGTCGTTATTATCAATGGTAATTGCATTAGGATGAACACATTGTTACGTAACTTTATGTTTGGGATAAATGGACAAAATAATGGGGCAGATAAAATTCGTGGACCGCAGCGTTGCGTGTTTCTCTGTGGCCCCCTGAGTGCGCTCCCCCTCCATCATCGACGAGAATTAGCAAGAGATCAACTCCAACACATCCTCCACCACATCCTCCTTCTCCTCCCCCCCCCCCCCAATACCCCCACCACATCCCCTAAAAATGTCCGACCCCGTGGCCGCCTTCAAGCTTGTCCTCTGTGGTGACGGTGGTACCGTGAGTATGAGCTGGCTCCAACCCAGCGTCCCCCCCAGCAGAAACATTCGGCCCAAGTGGTCCCATGTTTCTCTGCCTTAGTCCCTTGCTCGAGACGTGTACACAGAGCTGACCATCATCCCAGGGTGCGCACACTCCTCACATTCCCGCGCGTACATGCTGACCTTGCTCCCTTTTCCTTTGTGTTTGCCACCATGCAGGCAAGGTACGTAATCTGCTGTTCTGGCCACAACCAAAGCCTGTTTTGAGAGTGTTTCCAGCTGACACGCACAGACCACCTTTGTCAAGCGTCACCTTACTGGTGGGTTTCCAGCGAAGGGTGCACTCGCACCTGACGCCGCTTTGGGGGAAGACAAGATGCTAACAGTCGTTCAGGCGAGTTCGAGAAGAAGTACATCGGTGGGTATCCAACGACGCCCAGGCAGTTCGGGCGCACGCAGCTTGCTTGCATCCGGCTGTCAGGTCGTCATTCTCTTCATCACCGACCAAATCTCTAACATTGCAGCCACCCTTGGTGTCGAGGTCCACCCCCTCGTCTTCCACACCTCGCACGTGAGTGGCGACTTGCCTGTTGCCGCTGGACGACACAGCGCAAAAGGAACGGCGAGGAATGTCATGGGAGGTCAGCTGTTGGGGCGGTAGTGGCAACTTTTGCCATTTCCGCTTCCCTCCCTGCCAGAGCCCATTTTTCTCGCCGAGTCCAAACAACGCAAGCCTGGGAATGCTGACAAGCTCTACAGGGCACCCTCTGCTTCAACGTTTGGGACACTGCCGGCCAGGAGAAGTTCGGTGGTCTCCGTGACGGCTACTACATCCAGGGCCAGTGCGGTATCATCATGTTCGACGTCACCTCGCGTATCACCTACAAGAACGTCCCCAACTGGCACCGTGACCTCGAGCGTGTCTGCGAGAACATCCCCATCGTTCTCTGCGGTAACAAGGTCGACGTCAAGGAGCGCAAGGTCAAGACCGCCAACGTCACCTTCCACCGCAAGAGTGCGTTATTCATCAGGCCCCCCGTTGGCTGACCGTGCCTTTGGCCACCCGCCGGTGGCCAAAACATGGCCTCTGTGTGTTTTTTCTTCTTTCGCTGACTCTTTGCAGAGAACCTCCAGTACTTCGAGATCTCGGCCAAGTCCAACTACAACTTCGAGAAGCCCTTCCTGTGGCTCGCCCGCAAGCTCGTCGGCAACCAGGGTCTCGAGTTTGTCGCCGCCCCCGCCCTCGCTCCCCCTGAGGTCCAGGTCGACGACGAGACCAAGGCCAAGATCGAGGCCGACCTCGAGCTGGCTGCCAACGCTCCCCTCCCCGACGAGGACGACGCCGACCTTTAAATAGAGTGTCTTTACTATCTCCCCATCCCCTGTCCCGCTTCCCTCTCATCCCCCTCCTTCCCCCCTTGTTCGACATTACCATCCGCATCGGCGGGGACGACCCGGCTCGGCCTTCCGTAGCTAGTAGTTATGTAGTCATGCGCCGAGTCATGAATCTGCATGTCATGCCGTGTCTACTCTAATGTGCAAGAATGGTGGTCTGGTGCTTCTTTACTCCTTACTGTCGCTGCCCGTGCTTGATGGGGGAGGCACCCAGTCTGCACCTTGCTTCTTCAAGTTTGAGACATGACGGTGGGGGAAGCGCTCCTGGATCATGCGCATCTTCTCCCTCTCCTTCGAAATCCTGTCTACGCATAACGCGCTGGTATCCTGTGTCAGCTGGATGTCCCTCTTTTAGGTGTTGACCGTTGCAAGAACTCACTGGGAGCCACAAGCAATACCAACAAAGGCCAACACGGCCACGTTTGCTCCGGCGTTTACACCTGCAGACAGCTGTCAGAATCCCTCTTGCCATTGTTTTCACTCTTGTACGCACGACCTGTTCCCAGAAACCTAACAGCTCCAGCAGCCGCTCCGCCTCCGATGCCAAGCATCAGCGCCTCGCGAACGCACGGCCATGATGTCCAGTTGGTGAAGTCCCGGGGGTGCAATTGCTGTTGGTTGTTTTCTGTCAGCATTTGTGCTGTGCTCCGTCGTAACCTCGTGAGGAGCTATCGCCCGAGCTTTTCTCGTGGGCATGTTTCCATGCTGCGACAAGTTGCACAAGCCAGCCGTCTTGCCGGCGGGTGAACACAGCCTGGGACACGGACATGGAGTTGTTGTTCCACCACCCCACTCACTTTGATGGCCTTGGTATAGTCCTCAACCCTGTTATCCGTCCGCCTCTCGTTAGGAAGCATGTCCTCTGGCTCGGGCGAGACGGGGCTGTTGCCCGCTGGAATGTTGAGTGGTCGTTTGTCGGCCATGGCGCGGGTTTGTGGTGTGGTGTGGGTGGAAAGACGATGGATAGGTTGGTGGATCGGAAAAGTGGACCTGCGTTCGATGACTTCCGAGACTTGCAGCCACGCGAGCGCCCTCGCCGCGCGCCGTCGAACGGGCAGTGTGTTGCATCGTCATCGATCGCGGCCGTCACCGTTGTTTCTTCTCCTTTCCAACAACACCTTGACTTTCCAGCGCGCCATGGCCGCTCTCGCATCCCCACCACCAATTCCAGACCCGGGCCCAAGCAGGCCCGGAGGCTTGCCGTTCCACAACGACGTCGGCGCCGATGAAGCCATGCCGCGCACCTCGCGCGCGACCGACTCGTCGCCAATGCACTCGCTCGACCTTCCTTCCCTCATGCCCCTCTCGCACGCCCACCCTCTCCTGCTACAGCAAGACTTTGATGTGGACGCCTTTTTGCTCTCGCGTATCCACATCCCACTGGATGAGCTGCGCGCCGAGCTGCGTGCCTACCTCGCCGTGCTTCGCGAGGAGCTGGTGCAGCTCATCAACGACGACTATGAGGAGTTTATTTCTCTCGGCACCGGGTTGAGAGGCGAGAGTGAGCGACTGACGAGGTTGCAGCGCCCCCTTGGGAGCTTGCGAGGCGAGGTCGAGGTGCGTCTGTCGCCATTACTCTGTATGTATGCTAACAGCTGCGCTCAGGTTGTGCGAGATGTCTTGAAAGAGCACCAGAACGCTGTGCAGGCCAAGCTGGACGAACGTGCTGCTCTGCGAGAAGAGAAGGCTCTTTTGGACCTGTTACAGCGCTTGTTTGAGACACTTGCGCGTGCCGAGGCACTCCAAGATGAAGTGCACGGTGACAATGACAGCACCGCCAAGGGCATTGCTCGACTCGCGGGCGAGTACACGCAACTCGTCTACTTGCGCAACAAGGCCCGCGGGGAAGGCTGCAAGATTGCCGAGACGGTCTCGCCCCGTATCGACGTCATCCGCAATCGTCTGAGCCACGATCTCAGCGGCATCCTCGCTGGAGCGCTCGAGGCGCGCGATGAGACGCAGACCAAGCAGTGTCTCAAGACGTACGACCTCGTCGAGGGCTGGGCAGAGGCCGAGGACGTTGTGCGCTCCAGCGTGCGTTCATTCTGTGCTGCCACGATCACGGCCACCGCACTCGTGGTCGAGCAGTCGCCTGCGGTCCCCGAAACGCCGAGTAAAGTGTTTGAGCGCCCAAACAGGCTCAAGGACGACCCGTCGCTCCTTGCTGGCATCTACAACCGCGTCCTTGCTCATGTCGAGTCCTACCTCCCGCTTATCACTATTTCCCACCACGTAAGCCAAGAGTTTGACTTCTTCTCGCGTGTATTTTGGCCCGAGGTCTGCAAAGCCATCACCGACAACCTTGGCAACACCATCTTCGCCGCCGGTCGCCCTTCAGAGCTGCACAAGCACTACACGACCACGCACAAGTTCCTTGGCTTGTTTGAAAACTATGCGCCTACCCCAGAAGCTGTGGTCGCTCTCCGCGACTCGAGCGCGTATGCCACGTTTGAGCGCAGGTGGCAGCTGCCCGTCTACTTCCAGCTGCGGTGGAAGGAGATTGTGAGCACGTTTGAGAGCGCACTTTCGCAGCCTGCGAGTGTCACGTCCCCAACGACCAAGTCGACTGTGTTCGCCCTCTCACAATCGGCCGCAACGTGGGACGCGTTCAGCACATGCTGGTCGACCGACATTTACCTCCCAGAGCTGGCCCACCGGTTCTGGCGCCTCAGCCTGCAGATTGTCTCTCGCTACGACTCGTGGCTCACCTCGTCGCTGGCCACGTTCAACGGCGAGGACGACGACGATGCCGCGCTCAGGTTTGCCGCTGCGGCTGTGGCGGACGTGGACGCATTCCGCGCCCGTGTTGCCGAGAATGCCCTTGTGAGCGAGCACGGCGACTTCCCACTCGCGCTCAAGACCGAGGCGTACGCCGACCGCATTATTGGTATCTTGCAAAAGCAGTGCGCCGAGCCGCTCAAGCACGTCCGTGGCGTGACCTCGCAACTGCGTGCGGCGCCGCCCAAAACCACCGCGCCCTCCGTCTTCGTCCCCACGCTCCTCAAGCCGCTCCACGCCTTCTTCGACTCCCGCCCCCACCTGGCCGCATACAAGATTTCATGGTCGAGCGCCGTCTCGCAGCACGTGTTTGGCCAATACGCGTCCATTCTCGCGCAGGTCAACAAGACGCAGGACCTGCTCACCAAGTACCGCAAGACGAAGAAGTCTGGGTTCTCCCTCTTTGGCTCGTCGGGAACCGCCTCGACCGATTCTGCAGACGAGGATAAACGCTTCACCCGCCAGATGGTGACGGACATTGAGGCGCTCGCGGCCGACGCAAAGGGTCTGGGTGTCAACGTCGACGCTATCCCGTCTTGGGCAGAGCTCAAGGACGTTGCAGAGCGCCCGGCAGAGTGAACGCGGTTAGGGGACGGCAAACGCGTCCTTGTTTCCTTGGGTCCGCGTTCGCCGATCCACGGCCCGGTGGTGCGGCAGCGCCGCCCCGTGGACCGTGGACCGTGCCGAGGAGTGGGGTCTGTGGAAGAAGCCCGGCGGCACTCGAGCTCGAGGCGCTGCGACGGCGACCGCCGCGAGACACCCATGTGCATTAGGGGACCGACCCTGGCGGAGCGTTGCGAAGTGGAGAGGGGATTACACGGTGAGGGTAATGATGGGGAGGCGGCCGTGGCGGTGTGCTATAGGCTGCACGGTATGCATTCAAATCTGCATTCAAAAGCAAGTGGTCTCAGAAGCTGGCAGTAACAGCCGTGCAGCGGGCTTGTTCAAGTGTCAGGCTCACGACTCACGGGCTACCGATGCGCACCGGTGCGCCAGGCTCTAAATATCCATTGCAGTCATGTTGGCAGTGTTCCCAGTTTCTCAGCTTCACGTGCAGAGTGGTCGGGATACGAGCGGACGCGTATGGGAATGAGGCGCACCAAGAACAAGAACAGTAGTGATCGCCGTTGGCCCTGTGACAGCTTGGCGCTTGGCGTTGCCTGTGGCCTGTGGGTTTGGCCCAGTCTCTCCAGAAGCTACGATCTCTCATGCATGCGTCCTGTTGGCCATGACGCATGTCCCTGGCACGTGCAATACCGGTGCTGGCATGCTGGCATGCGCTGTACTGTGCGCATGAAGAGCTGCGAGCGTTCTCATCCGGGGTGTACAATGGGACGCGCATGGGTGGGACATTAAGGGGCGATAAAGAAATGTCAAGACCGAAAACTCGGATCTGCTTGTGCAATCTCGCCGTCATCACACTTGCGGCTAGCAGGTCTTCGCTGCGTCCGTGGCACGACCACAAGGGAGGGCCAGATCGGGACGGACATCCGACTACTTCCACTTGGACGATGAGGGTCCAAAAATCTGGTTTTACTCACCGGACGGGCGGGGACGGAGGCCGCTCACTGTACCGCTGGGCAGCAGCAGTGGCAGCTCTCGGTTGTGGACGGCCCAGGCGGGGCATGTGTGTGTACTGTACATGAGAGGGATATGGACGGGCCGTGTGTAAATCCTGGCAACACATCAAACCTCATAAGTGGCAGCTCAAGTCTTAGCACGCACCCAACAACAACCCAACCTAAACCAAGCCTTTCAAGCATCAGCAACCATGATCACCATCCCCCTTGAGATCGCCAAGCAGCTCCCCATCTCCAAGTACCGTCTGCTGGACAGCCTGTACCGCGAGTTTGAGGGACTCCCCCTCCCCCTCTCCCATGAGGTCCTCGCCGAGGCCCTCGAGCTCGCCGACTTGGTTGTGTCCTCGCCCGTCTTTGAGGTCGACGTCAAGACCGAGGCCATTGCCTGGAAGGCGACATTGATGGAGCACGCTGATGGTAAGTTGTTACGTAGACAGTGGAGTGCGGGGGTAGGGGTTGTGGCCCTGCGGTCGATCCTGATCGCCATCGGGTCGCCGCTGGCACCGTCCACTTCCTGAGCTCCGCCGACAAGGGGTACACGACGCTGACATGTCGCTTTGCAGACTGGCACAAGATGAAGAACGACACTGGCGCCGACTCGCCTCTGTACCGCGTGCTCCTGGGCATGCAGGAGGAGATCCAGTCGCTCCGCCACGCTCTGTCCGGTGCCCAGCGTCGTCTCGACACGTACGACGAGGCCCGCTTCAACCACGCTCGTCGCGTCCTGGGCTTGCCTCCGTCAAGGAGCACTCCCGGTACTCCTCCCCACTTCCACAACCACCAGCCTGTGAGTGTTATTGAAACGGCAGTACGCGAGGACGTTGAGCTGACTCGCTGGTCCAGATGTACGCCAACCCATCCGTCATCACGCGCATGTCGGCCGACCGCCTTCGCGACGCCCTCGAGGTCTACCTCGACGAGACCCCGCCCCTCGAGGCCAACCGCGAGCAGATGGTCAAGGCTCTCAAGGTCTGCTGCGGCATGGAGGAGACTGGCTTGTAAGGAGAGCCACGATGGCAGCACCCGGCCTCCAGAGAGGCAGGGCAGTCCAGTAGAATTGCACCTTTCATTTCCTTGTATGTAACATCACCAACTACGCATCGCATACCTTTTGAACACTCGAGCGAGAGAGCTCTACTGATCACTGCGAGTAATGGGAGGAAGAGCAGTGGCCGTAGTGTGGCGTAACCTGAGACATTGGCTCCATCGCGTCGGATCACTGAGGACTGGGACAGTTATTGTTCTCCCAGATCCTTCACTACCAAGGCAATGTTTGCATAGCCACAGACATGTACATAGTACCTACGTCCCCACCCGACATACTTTACGCATTGCCCCCTCGCTAATGCACGGACTCATGGTGAACGTGCCACTTACCCAAACATCGGCCACTCACTATCGGACATGATCGGCCTGGACGTCTGTGCGGCCAAATCGGCCAGCCTCGGGAACCAATTGTCGCAGTAAAGCTGCATCCATGCTCCTGATGTTGCACTGATGTTATGCTTGGCTGCATTGAGAACAAGCTCTTCGGGCCCGAACGGCCAACACCCGCGGCACCGCTCGCACCGGTGTAGAGGTGCCGCCACTTACCGCCTACCCAGGCCCAACACCGGTGTGATCCGCCTCGAGTGCGCGTGTGGCGTGTACTGTGCTACTGAAGTACTTTGCTCTGTGAATATGGTTGCATCACGTGTGTAAGAAGGGGTATCAATGCGTGGTATGCTGTGGCACGGCGTGGTGGTCTGCCTCGAAATCTCAGATCCTGCCTCATCGCCTCGTGCCCCTCCTCCTTAAATGGAGCGGGCGTGGTCGTGATACATCCAGGTCGTCAGCCAGTCGTTGACGACCCTCCCCATCCCGAACGGTGGGCCCGCCAGGAATCCTGCGTCGATCCAGCCATCGGTGGCAGCGCGCACCGCCCAGATCATGTATGGGTAGACCCACAGACGGCCGAGGAAGCCCTCGACGCGCTGGCCAGTGACCCTCTTCCATGACAGTTCCAGGCCGCACCCGACTGCCGAGAGAATGAAGATCATTGCGATACCGGTCGGGTCTGGGACGGGGTCCATGCTCAGCTGGCCGACGATGTGGAAGGCTGCAGAGATGAGGTAGACGAGTGTCACCCTGAGAAGGGAGTGAGCCGGGATGAAGAGCATGCGCTCGAGGATGACGCTGAGGATGGTGAACTCGTGCTGTCGAGTCTGTCAGCGAGGTACCAGCAAGTTACCAGTTAGGACTCACGCGGACCACGCCGTGCCACCTGCGCCCCCAGAACGCCATGATCGAGTCGAGACGCAGTGGTGAGTCGAAGATGGGCACGTCCCACGAGGAGACCTCCCATAGACCGCTCGAGACACAAACAGCTGCCAAGAGGTGGTAGATCCATCCCAGCTGGAGCCAGATCACGGCGGGAACCACGAGGCACACGAGCGCAGTGAGCAACAGGGACGGGAGTTCGTACTGGATCTGGGTCCCGGGGAACATTGTCACTGCAGTGTGTGTGACAAACGAGTCCACCGCCCCACCACCAGGCATGCCACCGGGATAGCAGATGGTGTCCTTGCCGACTCGCTCAATCATGGCGTAAATGACGTCAGCCCCAAGGATGCGCCAGCCAAAGGCGTACAGGTGGCGTAGGATGGTGAGCCACCTGGGGAGCGGTCGCCAGGGGCGTGGGAGGTGGGAAGCGACGACAATGTCCTTGACGGTCGCATTGGGCGGGCCCATGCCATTGTCAAGACCAATGCTGCCGAGGTAGACGTTGCGGACGTTGAACAGCAGGTCGATGGCTGCCATGGGCCGTGACCGGCCCTTCTTCATCCACGGGTCGACGATGGGGCCCTCGAGCATGCCCCATTCGACGTACTTGATGATGATGTAGAGCCAGACAAAGCCAAAGAAGTTGTTCATAAGGTTCTTATGCGGGTCTGCAGTCCTGTCAGGGTTTCGTTGCCGCGCACATCGCATCGCGCACCGTACAAACTCACCGAGGAAGCGGTATGACATGAACGCGTGGGTCAAGAGAGATACGCCCGCAGCGGCAAGAGCAGCGCGTACGGGACGAGTGTTGGGAGCGAGGATGAACCAAGCCTGCCCCACCAGTGGGGCCGTCCCCACCGCCCACCAAACCAAGGCCGCGGGTTGGATGTCCTCAGCGTTCCGCATGATGTGTTCGTGGACAGGGTTGAGAGGCCCAAAGGGCCCCTTGCCCCATGAGGACATGGTTGCGATTGTAGAGTTGGGTGTGAGCATGTGCTGCTAAGTGATGTGTGGTGGATGATATGAGTGAGAGTTGGGGGAGGAAAAGTTGGGTTCAATGTCGGCCGGTTAAGCGTTGTCGTACTGGCGCCTCCCACTGCTGTCCCACGGTGGAATATGTCGCGACGTCCCGAGACGGTCGGCCGTTGGAGGTTTGCACAAAAGCAAATGATCTAAGAACAAGACCACGGGCACATGGACAAGGCAAATCCAAACAAACACAAGAGGACCGAGGATACGCGAGGATCCGCCTTTGTGGTTTGCCGGGTCTCGGCGATTTCCGAGACGACAAAGGTGTGGGTGTGTGGTGTTTGGGTTGGGGTTGAGAGCGTGTGCAGGATATAGACGGATGTACGATGCTCCACCGTACCCCGCCGCGTTGCCCAGCACGCATCAAGGTCGCACTGGTGTGGTCCGTTGCTCAGAGACTCATAACTCTAGATTCAGCAGCTGTTATCGTCAGTGCCTCGTTCCTCTTAGATTGCACAACTGGACGCGTCTCCATCTTCACATAGGACTGTACATATGTGTTTTTTTGTACAGCGGAGAGGGGTCGAATCTGGCCTGCAGGTGGCAGTCCCGCACGGGACAGAGCAACTGTGTGATCGCCCCGCGAGCTAGAGGGCCTAGACACCGGCGGTGGTGCCTGTCGGTACCATGCATAGCGTATGCCTGTGTCCCCATCGGTTCCAATAGTAGAGCTCTACTAGAAGCTACAGTTTGGAGCAACCCTTTCCGTCTCCACTAAGGCCATTAGAACCTCACTCGTCTGTACAGTACCCTGGATGGCAGTCTTGGCTCTCTAGGATCGCTACAAGGCGCCGACATGTTCTGGACGACAATTTATCCACCCATTCACCGAGCGCTGGATCCTGACGTTCAACACAAATGGGTACAATGGCCGCACGCGCAGCAGGGAGTTGCTTGACAGGTATTTTCCCACGCCAGAAGGCACACAGCCAAGCAACGCCACCTTTGCTCGAGTGTGCGGTGCGCCATTCCAACCCTTTTCAGAACCCCACATACCCCCGACCGGTGCCCCACTCTTGCCGTTATCCAGTGGTGAACAGTCAATGAGATAATCAACAATCATGTCTTGATGTCTCCTGTCAGCCGTAGGATGCTCAGTGCAGGAAAGGGACACGGCAGTTGCGGGAGGGGCCGTGGACTCTGTTTGAAACAGCGGGTAGTGCCAAGACGAAGGCCTTGTCCAAACTATGTGTCATGCACGCCTCCTTCTCCGTTGGGAGGAGGTGGGGGGGGGGGGGGGGGGTCAACGGTCAACTGTGCCCTGTGGTTGTGTTTGCGGGAAGCGTTTTTGCGGGAAGCGTTCGCCGAACGGCACGGACAGGCCGTTGCTGCAGAGGTCGTTCGCTGCTGGCGGCTGCTCGTGACGTTGCTTCTGGTTCGTTGTTCGTCTCCCCGTTCCGGCACCACGTCCTTCCATCGGCATCCTTCCCGCATTTCTGGTTCGAGGGCTGCTATACTTGTCCGAGTAGCGTCTTTCCGTCTGTGACCTAAAAAACTAGCCTGCCAATGGCATACACACACGCGGACACCGCGGTGCGAGGCGCCGGCCCACCTCAGGACAGCAATTCAGCAAAAGAATGGACGTGTGGTGTACGCACAGTAGACGCCACATTCCCGGCATCCGACACTGGCTTGGGGTGTCGAATGTCGTTGGGGCCGCAACACTTGTTCGTCTGTGAATTACAGCAAGACGCCTTGAGACTTCGCCCTCTACAGATACGTACCCAACTCCTACATCTTCCACAACTTTGACATACACAACAAGGACACTGAAGCACAGTTCCGGCCAAGTTGGAGCGACTGCGACGCGACAACCCCACGACCCCCCCAGCCATGTGGCCCCCAGCACTACAGCTCCAACAGTACCAGAAGATGCAAGGAACCCGGACGCGTCTCCCAAGAGGCCTTCCTCTGCTCGTCACTCTCGTCGGACTCTCCCTCACCGTCATCGTCCTCCTGTCCACCCAACTCTTGTGGTTCAAGGGTGGCGGTGAAACGACTGCCTTCGGCAGCTGGTCAGGTGTGCCAAACACCGCCCACCAAGTCACTTGGAATGATATCCAGTCCCAGGACGACCGGAGCAACGCCATGAGGATCCTCACCGCTCTCCCCAAGCTGCGGGAGGCCCCTCACAATGACGAATACAAGATCTACACCGAGTCCAGGTTGCGTGCCCTTGCCATGTGTCTTGGCGCCGGCAATTGCCACCCCAACGCGCTGAAGATCATGATCATGGCTTCTAAATGGTGTCACGCCACATGGTATGGACAGCATTGGGATACAGGAGAAGGAGTCTGGTGAGTACACTATTACATTGCAGCGCTGACATGGCCAGGTGTCGCGGCATGGTGAGGAACAGCCGTTGTCCGTGTCGCTCACAGTCCAGTACGATTCACTCGAGAGGCAGGGCTACACCGTGCTCAACGGCGGCGACGGGGACATCGGTGAGTGAGGACTTTTGCTTGGAAGCGTACTTAACCCGGCCTAGACTACGTCAAATACCTCCATCGCCAACTCGGCGACCTCGTCAAAGTTGTTGTGGGTGATGACGATGGCAGGACCTATCGTTCCATTGCAGACCATTTCAAAACTCGGGACCGACCGGACGGTCTGCCTGCCTGGAAGGTGAGTTTATCACACGTCCGGAGACGATGCACAATCGGCCTCCAACTGAATTGACGCTGACTGGACGCAGTACTTTCGCTACTCGTACTGGCCTTCAAACGATGCCACTGTTGTCGGCGAGCCATGGGTGATTACTGCCGAGCCACACAGGTTCGACCAGTCCGACAAGGACTACAACAGTGAGTGTGGTCGTGGTGCGAACTCTGCTGACCAGGTTCTCAGACTTCACATACATTGGATACACGATGAATCCCGTGGGAGACATGAAGGCAATGCCACATGTCCCTTGGGAAGAACGCGACAACCGCGTCTGGATCCTCGGCAAGTGGTTACATTACTTTTACCCCGAACTTTCAGGCAACATGGTTGGAGTTACCAACTTTTCATCTGCGCTTCCCGAACTGGAAAAGGAGTTTCCGGGATTCAAGTTTGTCGGCGGGTGGTTTGACAACAGGCATGATCAAGACAAGGCGAAAATCCCGCTCGACGAACCCGAAGGCATCACCAACTTGGGAAAATTGAATGCGACTCAGTTTGACATTGAGGTATCGAAAAGCAAGCTCATGCTGGGTCTCGGGTGGCCAACTATAAGCCCCAGTCCCTACCGTGCTATTGCTATGGGTGTGCCGTTTAGTAATCCCGTACGTCGAATGTGTCTGTGATGGGTCCCGCTAACTGTGCCCAGTTTGCCACCGACCGCCACATGCAGCACACCGGTCTGTACCGTGAGGGTACCGAGCCGTGAGTGATTTCACTTTCACAGCATCAGCTAACCAGTAGTTACGTGTACATGATGCGCAGGTGGAACTACACTTCATTTGTGGAAACCATTCGCAAGGCGCTCCAAACCCCGGTACACCCGTAAGTCTGTGTGCGCTGGCTCACTGAACACCCATCCTGATATTCTTCTTTTTCCAGGTACACGTTCGAGCGCATGAAGCCAGAGGCGGTAGACGAGCGAATCCGCTGGCTAATGGACACCGACTGGCGTGGCGAGGCGCAACAGATTCTCGACGCGCGCATCAGCGGTCACGAGACGCAGCATCACCCCCAAAACAAGCTTGGATATCAGACGTTTGAGATGTAGGAGCGGTAGAGGGTTTATCAAGAGTTTTTTATCTGGGGTTGACCTACATATATCAATCATGTATCATCAGCTGTGCAATATCGTCCGTCGGCTTCAGGTCAGAGCTTGGAAGCAGCTGTTGTGGGTTACGGGCATGGGTACATGTGTGCAGTTCGGCGCAGTGCATTTGCGAGTGCTGACGAGCACCCGACCGCATTGGCCGTCGGCATGCCCACCATATCACTTCTGTCGATGGCTCTTCTCCTGTCGTTGGCTATCTAATTTTGACTCACTCTTCACAGTTAATAGATGAAGAGAAACGCTCCCAGATAGATGGAGCTGTGTTGGCATCGAGATGGCCAGGCATACCAAGACACGAGACACGCAACTCGGACAGAATCGCTAGGCACCGTGGCTCCGATTTAGTGCAACTCTATTTGGGCCATCGACATTCCACCCACTTTGGACAGCCTTTTCCCCCACCACAGTGATCACTGAGACGGGACAACGGCTGCATGGACCATTCTGCTGCTCTGCTTGCTTTCGCGGACCTAGCCCTGACAAATTCCCTATCCGTGCTGGCTATGTCGGGTCAGAGCTTGCTTATTGTAGACGAACAACACAAGGACACGATTGATGACTGCAGTGCCACGATTCGGCTATTTGGTTCCACACTCGTCGTCATCATGTCATGCTCCACCAAAAGCCAGTCTCACCAGTCATGGAACAATCCCCGTCCATGATCATGTGCCCAAACGTCTTTCAGCCGCCAGCATGCTTCCCACCCGTCCACCATCTCTTGCTCCTCTCTTCACACCGCACTCAATGCCAGACGCAGAATCCACCACCGCACTTCTATACGCCATTGCCGGCTCCCAACCACCACCCTCTCGCAAGACCAGCACCGACTCTACCAGCAGCAGCACCAGCCCAAAGATGCCCTTCACGTCATTCAAGTCGCAGCCCGCCGCCCAGCCCTCGGCCACTGGAGCCGGTGGCAACTCCACCGACCAGCGCCGCCAGTCGTGGGACTACGCCGAGGCCCACGCCCCGGGCTACCAGGCGACCGCCACCACGGCCACGGCCACGGCCCAGGAGCTCCCCGCCGCCGCTGGTGCCAAGCAGCGTCGGCCCAGCTGGGTCGAGCGCCACCTCCTCCTCGGTGACGAGGACGCCCGCCGCGCCCTAGGTATGTGAACTAGGGACACGGCCGCGGAGAACGAAATCGGAACACGCGAAAGACGGAAGAATCATGTACAAAGTCCAATACGCAAAAGTGGCGGCTGAAATAAATGAAAGTGGAAGCAACAAAGTGTCCTCATCGCTGTAGTCCAAAGGGCCGTATGCAACTCTTGTGCGGTCCACATTGCCCTTGGTTGGTGATAGCCTACGGAAGCGTCACAGCGAATGCTCGAAGGGCCAAAGGGAGTCTTAGAAGATGCGGGCCACCTACTCGAAAGCTGTGTTGACTGAACACAACGGGTCTATTGATGCTGATGGCACACGGCCACAATCTTAATCCGCATGGGTTGGTTCCAAAGCCTTCGCCTCACCAAGCTTCTAACACACGTATGGCAGACTCATGTGTTCAGCTGCGGCAATGTCGACGGGTGAGAACATCCCAGTAGCCTGGCTGTCACTAAGACGTGGAACCGACACACCCAGCGCCTCATCTCGTGCTGCACATCTTGATCCCCTGGACAGTTTTTACATCTCAAGAGCCCAAATGACCGGGTCTCAGCGTTCATCGCACTCTCAAGCTCTCTCGCACTGTCGAACTCTCTCGGCTACCTTGGCGCGTTACCAACCGACCCTCGGCAGCCAAACCCGTTCCCATATCTGGAGACATAGCTCAGCTGGGAGAGCGAGCGACTGAAGTTCAGTCATCAGGACTCACATCTGTGAGCTCATCGCTAGGTCGGGTGTTCGATCCACCCTGGCTCCAATGGTACGCTTGTAAAGCGTGCGTTCTCTTTTGCAAGTTGCTCCTATGCATCGTCGGACGTTGTGAGGGCAGTTGTCCTGTAAAAATCAAAGAAAGATGTACGCGGGGTATTTATTTTCTGCTGCGGTCGTTTTTGGTTCGCCGAAAGTGGCACAAGTGGTGCCTGCTCTTGTGGTCTATAATGTTATGAGTCCCTCTTGTTAACAACGGGTTGGGACGCAAGTGATGTCAGGTTTGGTTCTAGGAGTACACTGTAAAGTACGAGTGGCTTACTAGCCATTGGCTGTGCAAGAGCACTCAAATCGCTTGTCTATACCAATATTGATACTTCCAGTCGTCACTGCCCACTTACACGGGTGCCCATTTGCGGGTTCCACAGTCGGCGAACTAGTCTTGAATTATGTGTCTACGCGTTTGGGATACGCTATGCTAGCGGTATCTTATCCGACGCTTGCGTGTACTTTCTAGTCTTGCATATGCATGGGGATCATGTGATTGTGGCTTTCTAAAACCTGTAAGTGGATGCTGAAGGCATGTAACCTGTCTGTTATCTCCCTCCTACCTTTCCCTCCCTCTGCCAGCATCTCTAACTCCAGCAATCAATGTCACCCACGATGTCACCCACGATGGCCCCCTCCACGACCCTCCCAGTGCCGGACGAGCTCCTCTGGGGCCGCTCCGCTGACTTTTTGCCAACCATCCATGACTTTTCGGTGACCGGTGGCGTCCCGCTTCCGCTCTCAGACGAGGACTATTCCTTGTGCATGGACTTTGTATTCAGCATTGAGAGGTACGACTCTCCGGTCGATCGCGCGATGGCCCGCCGTTGGCTACAAAAGCTTTTCGTCCTGAACCAGAAGCGTACGTAACAGCACGGGATGGATTGCGGCGGCTGACAGCGGCCAGTAGAGACGAGTGGCGTGGCTGAGGCTGGCGACCTGGACTCTGAAGCTGAGGAGCACACGGGCGAGGAAGATGCTTCCGACATCAAAAGCATGAACGCCACCGCCGCCGCCGATGGCGACGACGACGACGAGGCCTCAACCATGAGTGGCGACCCTGTCGAAATTGCCAGCGAGGACATCGGCGACAACTCGGTCCTGGACAGCGATCACGACGAGGACAACCCAGAGCCACGCACCAAGCGCCGCCGCGTCAATCCTGAGCCAGTTGACACTGTCCCTTCTGCCACTCAAGGCCAGTCTCTCCAGAACAAGGAACGCCTCACAGCCGTAGCAATGGGCTACCCTTCCAATCCAGCTGAGCGCCTTGAAGCCGCGACGGACCACATCTCGACGCTCCTCCGCACTGCTAACCGTGCACGCCACGCTCTCGGCCGCAACCTCGTCCCCGTTACCAACCAGGACGGCGAGTTCCCGCCCCGTGCGCTGTCTCCCATTGACAGCGCCATGGTCCTGAAGAACCTTGCTGGCCTCGAGCTCGACCAGTGGTTTACATTCTATGACAACCCCACCACCAACGCGGAGCGTCGCCGCTGGTGTATCGCACAGCACATTGGCGTCCCATATGGTTTCAACCCCGTTGACGCAAGGCACGTCTCTGCAGGTGGTGACCTTGCCCGCTTTGCTGGTGTTGAGGAGCACGGCGACGAGGTTGACTGAGTGCGTGCAGAGATGGTGTGCTTTGTAGACTTATATCTACTGGAGATATCCTTGGAGATTCTGTTGATTGTCTGGCTTTGTGTCTGCTGGACCATGTATGTTTGTTTCGGTCGCGTCTGGCAGAGTGCTCTTACGATGTCTGTCCGTTTATATAGTCCAAAACTGTTTACCAAGTTGGGACAAATCCTGCCACGCCAGGATACACAATGACAAATGCTATATGCTACAGAAACGCTGGCCGTCATCTACTCGCTATCGCTATCGCTGCCGTAACCAGCGAGTCCGCCAAGGCCCACAGCCGCTGTCGGTGCCGGAGGCGGCGCAGCAGGCTTGGCTCTAACCACTTTGACCTCCGCCTCGTCCTCCACAACCTTGCGCTTGAGCCTGACCCGCTGTACGGGTTCGGCATCGAACACATCATACCGCCTGGACGTGTTCTTCCTGATCGTTTTGCCCAGGTCCTCGGGTTTCTTCTCTTCCACCGGCAACCCGCGTCTCTCGCGCGCAGCAGCCCACCACTCACTGCCCTTATCCACCTGCGCGTCGCCAAGCTCAATGTCGTCTGCCAAGCCGTATCGTTCGCGGATCTCGCCATCAGCGACTTGCTTCGCCAGCGCCTCCTTCTTCTCGGCGCGAAACTTGGTCCTCAGAGCCCTGGACACGGCGTACGGGTCCGCGCTTTGGCGCGCGCTCGCCTCCTCCAGCTCATCCAGTCGATTCCTCTTGAGGCGCACTACCGCCTGCTGGTCTGTATCCTTCTCCAAGGCCTCAAAGGCGTCCACCTCGGTCTCGGACGGTTTCGGCGCCTCGGTATCGAACACGGCGTGGCCGCCTTCCTTTTCGGGGTCCCAGTCTTCTTGCTTTTGCCTGGCTCCCTCGGTGACGACGTAGCGCGAGTTTTGGGGGTCGGTGCGGATCTCAAACCAGCCCGAGCACAGATGGCATTTACACCGAAAGGCAAAGATGGGCGTCGAAAAGTACTTGCCGACCTTGCTCTTCTGGGCATTGTATCGCACACCCGCACCGATGTGGTTCTGCATTGTCAGTTCGTTCCAGTTAAATAGAGAGGACACAACTCACGTTACACGTTCCGCACCAGATGTTGAACGGCAGCTCGAAGCGGACGACGAGGATGCCCTCGTCAATCTTGGACGCGCGGTTACCAAGGGCATGTTTCTTGCCCTGGTAGCTGTTTAGTGTCGAGTGTTGTTTGGGATCATAGTCTGGCGGAATGTATCTGCGCGGTGTCAGACAAACGCACAAACGGCAAGAGCTTACCGGTTGAAGCCCTGCATCGTGGACAGGAGTGAGATGACAAGTGTTGTCGTTCGAGTGGATTACAACGATGAAACGCAGGTGGAGGTGGGGTGGCAAATAAGGGAAAGCTGTGACGGCATTTAATATGATGCCCCCAAGCCACATCGTACAGCTCCAGCATTAAACGCCATGGGATGCATCTCATTAGCTTCTATGTATGGGTTTCGAGGGGGAGAGCAACAGCTTGCCAAACACTAGAGAGATAATACAGGCTGTCGTCTGACCGTGCAAGCAAGGTTGGCGTTTTCCGCTTAGAGGAAGGGAGGGTAAACGACCCAGCGCCTGCCGGGGAAGACCTTGGGGTCCTGCTCCTTCTTGTAGCGACGGTACTTGCCCTTGGCCCAGGTAGCCATAAAGTACGAGGCGATCGAGAGGTAGACGACAGCTGGATTGTGTAAGCTAACGCATGCGTTGAGCAGAGGGAGGGTTGACTTACTGCCAATGTCACCGCCGGTCACGATGACGAGGCCGAGCACGCCCATGGTCTCGAAGAAGTAGTTGGCGCAGACAATCCACTGGAAGCCAAAGCCAGTGGGGTACTTGCGAGGAGTACCGGGAGGAGTGCGGATCGAGGCCTGGTGGAGGTGGGTGTTGAGGTTGAGGAGCTCATTGATCTGGGCATGCGTGAGCAAATGGCGATGTTAGGCAGAGCCATGGACGTCTGGCAAAGCGCCCTGTCTCCACAACCCATCGACATAGGGGCACACTCACGATCACGAACGCAGTCCAGAAGCCGATCCACTTGGGCGAGTTGAGGATGGAGTCCTTGAGGGCCTCAGCGCCGTAGGCAGGGCGGTAGAGAGTGGCACCAATCAAGAGACCAGTGATACCCCAGTAGTAGGCGCAGCTGGTGGGTCAGCAAGGGCCACGTACATTCTACCCACTTGCGGAAGACAAATGTGATGGGGACCGAGGGACGCGAGAACGAGTGGACGAAGATAGACTCGAGCTCACGCTTGATGAAGTGGCCGACGAGGAGGTTGCGGACAGTGCTGGAGAGAGGTCAGTATAGCGGAGGGCGTAGGGGGCGGGGACGACGGTGCGAGATGCGTTCCGCAGCAGGCGGTCGCAACTCACTACTGGAGGGCGGAGGGCTCGTAGGCGCCCCAGATACGCTGCGAGAGGACGAGGAAGAGAGGGTTGAGGATGATGGGGCCGGCCTGCAGTGGTGTCAGCCATACCCACGCACCACCCACGGATGCCACTATATTCTGCCACTCACGTATTCCCAGACGTAGAGCCAACGGTAGCCGACCTGGAAGCCAAGGTCCTTGAGACGGATGGTGGTATTGGCAGCGACACCATAGTCGGCAAGGGTCTTCTTCTCGTCGGTGAGCGGAGTGGGCTTCTCCTTGCCGTTGGGGAGAGTGAGGCGCTGGCGGTTGGGCTCGAGCTAGCGGGGGGAGTTTGTGTTAGTGGAGGCAAGTTGAGGTTGTGACCATCTCGACTTACGTAGGGGAAGCGCTTGGCGACGCCGTCCTTGATGTCCTGGATGGAGACGTTGTCAAGGCTCTTGCCTGGGAAGTCGAGGGGGATGGGGGCGAGACCCTTGCCCGAGACGGTAACGGCAACCATGGCTGCTGGTGATGAAGATGGGAATGGAGGAAAGATGGAAATGTCCAAGACACGTCCGCCCTAACAACGTCTCTCCCCGCCGGCGCGCGCGGGCAGTCATAAGCGCGTTGGCCGTATGGGACGTGCACACCGGCGTGGATTAGAACAACTATTTGTAATGCATTTACTAATACATTACCTAATATGTTAAATCACGTGATATATGGTTAGCAACGGCAACCCATTAGAACAAACGATAAGCTTTCGGCCTAATTGGCAGCACGCCGACACACCCCGTTTGGTTCCGTGGCTTTTTCGCCAGGCCCAATTTCGGAGACGGTCGCCCAACGGCGAGCAACTCGCCTTCGTTGACGGTCCTCTCAACCCAACCACCCTTCCTCACCCCTCTCACCCAAACACCATGCTCTCGCGCTCCGCCGTGCAGGCGCTGCGCGTCAGCCGGACGACCGTCGGCTCGACCTCGCGTCCCATGCTCGCCTCCGCCCTCCCGGCCCGTACCCGCAGCTATGCGACCGAGGTTTCGAACGGCTCGTGGTCTCCTGAAGAGGAGCTGCTCTTTGGCGGTCCTCCCCCGCCCAAGACCAACACCGACGCTATCATGAAGCGTTACACTGGAAAGGGATTCCCTCGTATTCCCGTAGGTATCTGCAGTGGACTCTCACCAGCGTCACCGTCGCGCCAGAAACACACACACAGCTAGCTAACGTCCGTCTTTAGGGTCTCCGTCATCTCGTTCAACCCTTCCACCCGCATCTGTACCAGGGCAAGCCCCTGCGTGATCTCACGATTGCACGCAGGCGTAACGGTGGACGCAACTGCACTGGTCGCGTTGTGAACCGTGGTGTTGGCGGTGGACACAAGCAGCGTCTCCGTATTGTCGACTTTTACCGCCTCGAGCCCGGAACTCACGACGTGGTGCGCATCGAGTACGACCCGGGACGCAGTGGCCACATTGCCCTGCTCCACCGCCGTGGTGCCTCCGCTGCTGGCGAGACGCGCGTGTCGGCTGCCGACGGCGCCATCCTTGCCGAGGTTGAGCCCACGCTTCCCGGTGGAAACACTGAGGCGCGCCTGAAGCGCAACGAGGTCAAGGCCGGTTGGTCGTATATCCTCGCTCCTGACGGTCTGCGTGCTGGCGACACTGTCCAGTCGTTCCGTGCTGGTATCCCCGAGGGTCTCGTGGAGGGCTGGGTCGACCCGTCCAAGGCTGCCGACGTTGTCGACTCGATCCACTCGACCACCACCCGTGCGCTTGGTCTCCTCCGTTCCATCACCATCAAGCCTGGAAACGTCCTCCCCCTCTCGTTGATTCCTCCCGGAACCAACATTCACAACCTGTCCACTTCGCCTGATGGCCGTATGCAGCTCTGCCGCTCGGCAGGCACTTTCGGCCAGGTCGTCGCCCACCACAACGACGACGGTCACGCTGTGGGTGGTGCCGAGGTTCTCAAGCTCGGCGGCACCATGGGCGATGACGGCAAGCGCCTCAAGAAGGCCGGTACCGTGCTCGTCAAGCTCCAGTCGGGCGAGGTCCGTCGTCTTGACCCCACCTGTGTTGCCACTATTGGTATGGTGTCCAAGTGAGTACAAAGCTGGCAGCAGCGCATTCCTTCCAAGGCACACTTCACTGATACACCGTGTAGCAAGGAGCACCAGCAGCGCTCGATCGCCAAGGCCGGCCGTAACCGCTGGCTGGGCAAGAGGCCAAAGGTCCGTGGTCTGGCCATGAACGCGTGCGACCACCCTCACGGTGGTGGTCGTGGTAAGAGTAAGGGTGGCAAGCACCCCCGCTCGCGTACTGGCTTGCTCCAGGGTGTGCGTACCCGTCGTCCCAAGGACAAGGACGGTAACAAGGCCGTGGTCAGCCAGCGTCCTCGTGGTAAGAACAGGAGGTAAAGGCGCACATAGTAAGGCGCTTTTGTCAACAACAGTAGAAGGTGGAGTAGTCGGGAGAGGATCATGCATGCACTCTGTTCTACACTTTCTAGATGGGGGACATATAAGTAGATGCCAAAAAGAAACAAGATGGGGGTAGTCTGGTCAAAAGAGGGTGTGTTTACCGTTGGCGCATGCCATTGCCGTTCGTGCTTGAATGGTCGACGGCGGTACTTGACCCGGCCGCGTCCGTCGCATTTTCGCTGCCGCCATTGCCCTTTTCGTCGTCGACCTTCTTCTCGTCGACCTTGCCGTCGATGACCTTTGGTGGCGGCGCAACAGAGTACACCAGCGTGCCACCCAACACCATGGCGCCACCAATAACCAGACCCCAGCTCACGCCCGAGCCATAAAACCACACCGAGATGGCCAGCGACGCGGCCTTGCGGAGCGTGAGGATGAGGTTGACAGTGGTGGACGAGACGCGCGTTGTGAGACGGTTGACACCGCGAATACACAGGCCTTGGGTGATGACGTTGACAAGCAGGGCCAAGATGGCTCCGGGCACAGCCAGTTGGCGCCACTGGATCAAATGACGCTTGGCATCGTCGATAGGCCATGCCAGCCTTGACAACTGGGAGAAAGTCGTTGTGGACAAGAGGGCCATGTCGGGTGTAGGGATCGTGGCCAGAGTGACTGGTGCCGAGGCCATGTACGCGTCAAAAGTACGGGAGATTGTGCCCGACATGGGGAGGAAGAAGGGGAGAGAAAGGACGTGCTGGAAGAGTCAGCTATATGTCGAAGGAGGCGATTAGCTGCAACACGTACACAATAGAACAGTGCCTCGCGCCACTGTTTTCCGTACTGCTTATACGTCGCCTCCTGCCACAACCCCAGCCATGCGGAGAGTAACAGTGCGAGCGCGAGCAGGCCAATGCCAGCGATATATTGCACGTTCTCGGGCAAGAACTCGTCACTCGCAACAGTAGTCGCAGCAGGAGTTGGCGCTTTGCGGGGACGAGGAGCTGAGATTGTGGCCATAACGATGCCTGCCGTGATAATGGTACCGGCAAATATTTGACCGGTGGAGTAGCGCTTGCCGCCTGCAAAGTAGCCTACGAGCATGGACACGCAGAGACCTGGGTGTTGCGTGTCAGCTTTCGTCGTGGCTATGAAGCTGGAGCTCACCTCCCGATCGGAAAATGATGTGAACAGTCACAGGGATCTTGAGGCCGAACGCGTAATTGTTCACTGTGAGATAAATGTCAGCTCAGGTGTGATGAGATAGATGGTGAGCTATACGACTTACTAAAGCTGACAGCGAAGAACAAGACGACCTGCACCATCCACCGGCTCAGGGGCACGACATTCTTCCTCCACCGTGGCAAGCGCGATCCCGGGATGAAGTAGAACTGTGTCCAGACGGTCTGGACGGCCACGTAGATGAATTGGGCAAATGTGAGGAATGTACCTAGAGTGTATGAGCATGGTCACTCAACGGCGAGATGGAAGATCAGGCAGGTTAAGGAAACGGGCGCACTGCACAATTGCGTATCCCGCAGCCATGTATCGCTTGCGGCCATTCACGAAGCGACATGTACGCACCGACAGGCCACACACCTGCCACGTCGACAGAACACTGCCATAGTACTCACCACTAGAGGGATACGTCTTGAGGACAGCCTCGAGTGCCCATACATTCCTGTTCCACTGTCAGCACCAGCCCGCGCTTTTGGGTAAACAACAACAAGGGCAGGGTAAGAGGTAGACCAGACTCATACGGTGTCTTGATACTACACAGTGTTGTTTGGCCCTCCATTTACGAGTTGGAGGGTAAGGACTCACGAGCAGCACCCGCCAAACACCAAGCTCAAGATTGCCGCCCACTCGCCAGCTGCCGACTCGGTGAGCGCACTGAGGAACGCGCGGTCGGGCATTGTTGTTGCAGCAGTTGTAATGTTGCTGTTTTCCGTTTTCCGTGCGCAGTGGTATGTTGGAGGCAGCTGGGTGGAGGCGGCAGCTGCGTAGGGTATAATGACAAGGCTAGATGGGGAAAGACAGACTGGAAAGCAACTGGTCGACGACGACAGTCGAGATGACCAAGATTCCAATTATCGCGGTGGCGGTATTTGCGCATTCCGGATCTAGCGCCGAGCGGCGCGCGCTGCACACGCTCATATCAGGAGACACGTGCCCTCCACATCGTACTCGCGTACTCAACCGCGACGCGCGTACGTGCGAATCGCAGTCAGCGCAAAACCGATGAATGGAGCTGATACCATCGTGCCACTGGGTTTGTTATTCACATCGTTATCTGATGCATTCGATCGCGGGATATGGACAGGGGGAGAGAGGATAGAGAGAGGTCGTGTCAACGGGATCAAGCCCCCGGGGAGAACTCATAGGCCGCTGGAAACGGTCCAAGAGACAAACCCAGGGGGGAAAGGTAGGAACGGTAGGAGGTTGGACTATGAAAGGGCAAAGGAGTCGTCTATTTTCTACTCTTTTGAACGGAAGAAAAGGAGGCGACAAAACCATTATCGTTGAACCATTTGAGCGGACCGAGAAGAGGGTAGAGGTACGGGCGAAGCGAGTTTAACGAAGAATGAAGCTAAAGTCGGGACACAGGTTCGGGGTCGGGTCGAGACACGATTGAGACAATTGGAGAGAGGGGGGAGCGCAGCCGAGGCGTGGAGAAGACACGGAGACGAGGAGGCGAGGCGGTCGAGATGGAACAGACAAAGGGAAGGGAAACTTTGGGAAACTTGTTGATTCGGGTCACATTCAGGAGGCTTTCAGACGAGGCGGGACACTTGACGAGCAGGACTTGATACATGCGGGTCGCAGACTGCAAGTGTCAGAACGAGTGACGCTTTCCTCAACTCACGGGTCGAGAAGCTTAGTACTGGTAGGCACCCTGGCCGCCCTGGTTGCCTGTGAAGAGTCAGCACGTTGTCTAAACGTTTATTTATCCACCGCCGTAGCCACCAAAGCCCTGGCCCTGGGAAGGAGGAGCGCTGCCGTAGGCTGTTTGTTTAAACAACGGAGAGGAAGGTGTTCAAGTTCAAGTTCAGGTTTTGAGGGACCGCGAACCATCACGAGGACGGGAGATTGGAGACACGACCGGAAAAACGAAGCGAGACAATGGTCGACACGGATCGGACAAGAGGACAACAGAGAATGGAGAACGGAGAAGCCGGATCAGACACAACACGAAGCCACACGATTCTTTCACTGCCACTTACCACCCTGCTCGCCCGAGTAGCCGCCTTGCTGGTAGCCACCCTGCTGAGCGGCGTCTGCAAGTAACCGTCAGCACCTCCATGGCCTTGTTACGCTATTCCAGAAATACTTACAGCCGCCACCGTAACCGCCCTGCGAACCGGCAAAGCCCTGCTGGGCACCACCGCCGTAGCCCTGCTGACCACCGTAAGCCTGCTGGCCACCGTAGCCGCCGGCAGCGTAGCCACCCTGCTGACCGCCGAAGCCGCCGGCAGCGTATCCACCCTGCTGGCCACCGTAGCCGCCACCGTAGCCACCCTGGCCACCACCGTAGCCACCCTGGCCGCCACCGTAACCACCACCACCGTAGCCGGAGTTGTAGCCTCCACCGTAGGCACCACCGGCGGGCTTGCTGTTCGCCATGTTGACGCGGACGCGACGGCCGTCGAGCTCCTGCTCGTTCATGGCCTGGATAGCGGCCTCGGCCTCGGGCTGGGAGGCGTAGGTCTTTTATTCGTCAGCGGAAGAGCACCCAAGATTAGGGTTGGACGCACGACGAAGCCGAAACCGCGCGAGCGGCCGGTCTCACGGTCCTTCATGACGATGTAGTCGACGACCTGGCCGTAGGCCGAGAAAGTCTGTTTTATGGCGAAGCAACGACCGACCGAAAAATTGAGTGTTTTGTGCATCACGTTTTGCAGCAACGAGCCATCACAGCAAGGAGCAGGAGAAAAACGGAGTGCAGCATCGAGTGCGAGCCAGGAGCCAGGAAACCGGATGTTCAACCGCGAGACGAACGAGAACGATTGAGAGCGAGATGCGAGCCCGGACCAAAGAATTTGCGAGCGAGACGGAAACCGGATTCAACATGTGAAAGACATGGATTGGATTGATGGATAAAATGGTTAAGAGTATGAGCACAACTATTACTGCGGGGAAAAGGAGAAAGGATGCTCGCCTGGTGGAGCACCTCATCGGTGGTGTTCCACGAGAGGTTGCCTGTGAGGAGCGTCAGCAAAGTGAACCAGATGGGATGGGTGGGTCGCATGGAAGGGCGTGGATGGTGGAGGAAGCGGTGCAAATGCCACGACGCGTTGTTTGCGGCCGCAGTGACGACCGCCGAGACAAGTGTCACACCGCGGCGCTGCATTGTCGTCCCGACCGTCGATGGTGCTCAGAGCAACAGTCTGTTTTGCAAGAGGTCGCGAGGACCAAGCTTGGGATGCATGCGATGGGAGAGTCTCAAGGCATGTGAGGCCCCACACACGCGTCGTCCACTTGGTTCACACGCCCCCCAACACTGCCTTTCGTGTTGTAAACACAAGGGTGTGGAGGGTGACGCTCAGGCCTAAGTCTCCAGGTCGCGAGCAAGCAAATGGTGCATGACCGGTGGGAGGGACCACGCCAGGTGGGTGGATTGGGGGGCTTGGATGTGTGGGCATCACTTTACGTCTAGAGGCCTCTCAGGCCCCCATCCTCCGTTTGTTGCCGTTCAAAAGCAATGACACAGAGAAGAGGGAGCTGAATACGCATGACGCAGATGTCGTGAAGGATGGAGTGAAGCGGGGGATGGATAGGGATCGAAGCAAGGTGGATGGAGAGCTCGACACCCGCCTGCGCGGCGTGTTTGATGTGTCTCCCGCTCCATAGGACCAATTTCGCCCGTTCAAACGGGACTGGAATGAGGGAACGAAGTACTAACCCACGTAGACCTTGCTGCTAGCTGCTGACGACATTCTGTTTGATTGTTGTTGTTGAGGGAGGGAAGGAGGAGGAGTTAAATGAGTAGGAGGAGTGGTAACAGCAGAGCTGATGGCGATCAGCGAGCCGTGGGCATTGCGGGCAAGGGGTGGGTTCTCGCGCGGGTCGGGGCGGGGCCACAGCCCAGCGGGGTTTTTGAGATATTTCCGATGTGGCAGAATGGCCAATTGTGACGTCATGTTCAACAACATGATGCGTCACCTCGCATTGCCACAGGTCCTGTATTTGAACCTGCTGTACTGCTGTTCTGCTGTGCTCGTGCCAGGAAGACGATTACTATGTGCTGCACAAATACATGGCGTGTGTCCGTCTTGTTGGTAGTCCTCAGAATTATTATTTACATTTATGAGGCATTGTCGATGCCATCGTCCACCCATCGTTCACACAAGTCGACGCCTTATGAGCGCATTATGAGCAAACTTCGCCCTTACATTGCCCCTCCAGCACACAAAAAACCCTCTTGCACCTTTGTTGATCTGTTGCTCATCTTCAATGGCACTTGGTGATGTTGAGGCGTTCTAGGTCCCTTTGAGCCGCCGTGAAGCTGGTGCCGCTGGCCGCAGAGTTTTAACCCCGACATGTCTGTATTTCTGCGTCTTATGCAGGTGTACGATATGTGGTGGTATCAGAGCATAAGAATGTGCAAATGGGAGCTACATGAGGGTGCATACGAGCGCCAGGCAGATATTGTTCACCGGGGAGCATTTGGGTTTGACTGCCACTTCACTTTTTGGGTCCCATCCACCCGTCTTGACTCGGTCACGTGACATTTCTGTCGGATTACCGGTTTGCCACCCAACGATCAACAATTCGCCGATCGCCTTCCTCCACCACTCTCCTCCATCAGCCAGTCACCCTCCTCACCATGTCCAAACCAGGCCCATCTCAGTCCTCCCTTCTAGACCTCAAAGCCCTCACAGCGGAAAATGCAGACCGCCTAGCCAAGGAAGGGAAACGGTACACAAAGGGCGCACCGCGACCACCAACTACTTCCTCCCAGGTCGCGTCCAAGGACCCGTTCAACCGGCCCTCGCCGGGCCTCGTCAAGCGTCTCGCGCAGCAAGCAAGGTCCGATGCGAAGAGACGAGTGTTTTCCGATACCGATGGAGTAGATGAAGACACGCGGAGGGCGATCATGGAGCAAAAGGCCAGGAGGTATGAGCAGTTGGCCAAGGGAGATTTCTCGGGCATGAGCGAGAGGGAGATGGCCGAGGCTGCAATCGATGTAAGTATCGATATTACACTGTATACCCTGCTGACATCCTTTTCTAGTTTGAGGCCAAAGCCGCTGGGGACTGGAGTGATCATTCGTCCGATGTCAACGAGAGTGCCGCCCCGGGAAGGCGATGGGACGACGGGGACCGCGACGCACCCGACTTTGATACATTCAACGACCGCGAGATTGTCGAGTACGTCGACGAGCTCGGCAGGACGAGGACGGGTACGCGAAAGGAGGCAAGAGAGGCTGAGCGTGCGGCTGGCCGAGGTCGTTCTCGTGACGACGAGGAGAGGAGGGACACTGGCAGCTCGTATACGCAGGTCATGTAAGTTAGCTAAAGGCTGGTACGGAACAAAGCTGACAACGGCAGGGAATCCCGGTTTATTCGTAAGATACTCCCCATCGCATAACGCCCGCTGACGACTGTACAGATGGCGACCAAGGCTACTTCCCTGTCTACCAGCCCGACCCCGAGGAGCTGAAACGCAAGTATCTCGAATCCGAACGCGAGGCGCGCGCACATCACTACGACTCGACCAAAGAAGGTAAGCTCCGGCATGCCTTGCAGTAACTGACTCTTTCCCCAGTTCGTATTCGTGGCGCCGGCGCATATCAGTTTAGTCTCGACGACGAGCAGCGCGCCGCGCAAATGCGTAGTTTGGACGCCACGCGCGCCGAGACGGATGCGGCGAGGGCGAAGCGATCGGGCGGAGCAACGAGTTCCGCGCAAGAAGCCAAAAAACGCAAGATGGCCGAAAGAGCTGCGCTGGTCGAGGCCAAGCGAAACAAGTTGCTCGGTGGAGCTGGGAATGTGGCTAGGATGAGGGAGGAGAAGCGGGCTAGAGAGGCAGACAATTTGTTGGCCGAGTTGGAAGGGGAGATTGACAACAGTAAGAAGGACAAAGTATAGGCGCAGAGTAGTTATGACATGCATTGTACAACATCATCCATCATCTATTCGCGCACGCCGCAGCGTACACATCTATGTCACTCTAGACCTCGACCCAGAACCTGCCCTCGGCGCTGGGTGTGCTCACCTGCCCATTACCCAGGGCACCAGCCACACCACCGCCGCCAACAGCCTTGCCCACACGCTCCATCACAGCGAGGCCAAGGCCGTCGTCGCTGCACCCCTCAATGAGGATCAGGTCGACACCATTCGTAGTTCCGTCCGCCTCGAGCGCGAGCATACCGCCAAACAGGCGCTGTGCGGCGGAGGCAGCATCGGGCCCAAGAGACATGGGGACGAAAGAGTAGTCGGGGCTGCTAGATGCCAGCAGGACGTTGGACAATGGTGAGTTGTCAAAGGACAACAGGCCGAGGCGGGGGTGGGTCTTGCCCAGTGCCTTTGCGAGCGAGGCGACGACGTCCAGAGGAGTAGTGACAGAAGGACGGACGGGCGGGGTCGGGAAAGTGTTGGAAGGCAGGAGGAGGTGAACAGGGATCTTGGGCGAGTAGTGGCGGTACTTCATGCCGGGAGTGCTAGGTGGCAAGTCGGCCACGATGGCACTCTTGGTCTTGGGTGCGAGCGCCGACAAGTTGTGGCCCTTGGACCAAGGCTTGCCGTGCACGAGGACTTGGGTCGTACCACCCAGCTTGGCGTCCACTTGGGCGACCACACGGGCCACATCCTCGACGCCAAGACCGCCAGGGCGCAAAACGTTGACGACACCACCGCCGCCTTGCTTCCACCCCAGGCCGTCCACAACGGTGCTCTCCACTCCGACACCGCAAGCTCCGCCGTCGAGGATACACCCCAGGCCATCACTGCCGTCAAGGTCGTGAGCGACGTGCTGAGCCTGTGTGGGGCTGGGGCGGCCAGACGAGTTGGCGCTGGGAGCCGAGACGGGCAGGTCGGCCGCGTTGATGAGTGCCAGAGCCAAGGGGTGGTTGGGCATGCGGATCGCATTCGTCTGCGGTGCTGGTGCGGGAGGTGGGTTGGGCGACGGGAACAGCAAAGTCAGGGGACCAGGCCAGAATGCGTCCACCAGGCCTAAATAGAGTGGTGACAGCGTATAGGTGGAGGGCAGGAGACGCTCCAGCATGTCGAGGCTGCTGACATGGATGATGAGCGGGTTGTCGGCCGGGCGCCTCTTGATGGCATACACCTTGCGCACAGCGTCGGCGTCAAGAGAGTGGGCTCCGAGACCATAGACTGTCTCGGTGGGGAAAGCGACGGTGCGGCCTGCACGGAGGTGGGCGGCTGCGACGTCGAGGGACGGCTGGAGGGTAGGCGGGATGGTGAAGATGGGAGACTGGAGGCGGTGGGTACCGGAGGGAGAGGGTGCAATGCTGATACCCGTGGTGGGTGCGGGGAGGACGGGGGTGTGAGAGACCATGGTGTAGAGCGTGCGGATGAGAGCGCGCCTGCAGCTCATGAACTGGTTGACTGGAATGGACAATTCGACGCGAGTTGGGTGGCAAAAATCAATGTGGACTTCAAAAATCACACAACGGCAGGAATCTCGGCGCTGGAAATCGAGACACTCGGTATTCCGGCGGAAGCAAAGTTGGATAACATTTGTGTTTGGTCCTAATGAAGTCGTCACTACAAGTCACACCTAAGCCAATGCAATGTAGACCCTCTTCGCAGCAGTGCAGGGGAGTCTGCGTAAAGCACTCCCAAGGTCGGGAATGTAAAGAGTGCCGACAAGAACGCGTCGTCGGTTCATGGCACATGAGAGCCATTGGCCGCGGTGCTACCCTCCATGACTGTGATGCGACGGTATGCAAGCACCAACGCACCCCTGCCCCATCACGACGTATCTGAGCTGGCCCACTCCATGTCTCTCGAGTCTCTCAAGACAAAGCGCCCACGTTACGCCTTAGCATATGGTTGCTGTCCCACATCGCGCAACATCGACCGCCGCCTCGCATGGTAAATGCATGCCACATCCAGGCCGTGCTGTATTCATTTTCCCACGGTTGCTCGTCCTGACACAGAAATTGCCACCCAGCCGGAATTTCTCTCGGCGTTATTTTCGACCAAACCAAAGTCGGTTCGCCGTTGCCAGGTCCCGCTGGGTGGTCGGTGGGTGTCGCTCGCTGGCTGTCTACGACCGAACAAACTGCAAGCACAGGACATCCCTCAACCACCAGACCATCTCCAAAAGTACGCCACACCAACACCCTCTACACACCCGTATACTGACAGTCGCCTCAAGATGCGTGTTGACCGTTGTGACTTCTCGGGGTTCAAGGGTGCGTACAGAAGATTGGAGACGTGCGGATCAAGTTGTGCTGACTTTTGCAGTCTACCCCGGCCGTGGCCGTACCTACGTCCGCGGTGACTCGAAGGTGCGAATTCTCGATGGTCGCGCACGCACGGGATGGAGGGAGGACAGCGACAGCGGAGCAGAGAGCGCAGGAGAAGGACGGAACGCTGGGAGAGAGAACTTGGGGGCGCACGAAAGGCGAAAGTGTGGTCCAGGAAGGGCCAACTTTGCGCACACGCAAGTTGTGGATCGCAGTCTCGTCTGCGTCCTGGTGTGCCGCTCCCACCAATCTTCCCAGCGTTCTGGTCGTCCCGACAGAAGCTCCGCTCGCTCTATCTCTCTGTCCAGGAGCGCGACAAAACCTCGAATCTTTGAAAGAGTTTGGTGCTAATGTTGCCAGACCTTCCGCTTCGTGACCGCCAAGGCCGAGTCGCTCTTCCTCCAGCGCAAGAACCCCCGCAAGATCGCATGGACCCAGGTCTACCGCCGCATGCACAAGAAGGGCATCACTGAGGAGGTCGCCAAGAAGCGCAGCAGGAAGAACGTCAAGGTTCAGGTGAGTGTTCTGTCGTGGTGCTGGCCGGTCCAAAAGATTGGATACGCAGACACCAGCGCCCATCAACATCAACCAAAGGCAGTCCAACTAACTCGTCTCAGCGTGGTGTTGTCGGTGCCGACCTCGCCTCGATCCTCGCTAAGCGTACCGCCAAGCCCGAGGTCCGCGCCGCTGCCCGCGCCGCCGCCATCACCAAGGCCAAGACCCAGAAGAAGGAGAAGGAGGCCACCAAGGCTTCGCGCCCCCAGGGTGCCTCCGCCCCCAAGATCTCGAAGCAGGCTGCCAAGGGCGGCAAGGGCGGCCGCTAAGCGGTTCAGCTCTTAGCTTTTACCTTTGCATAGGGGAGGACTTGTAGGATAGGCCATGCGCATCGCCGACCGATGTACTGGCTTCCATGCGCGAAAAGAGAAGAGTTGCAGCGAGAGGAGGGATGGTGATCACTGATCGGAGCGAGCTGTGGTGTCAATCGTGAAAACTGCAAACTGGGGTGCGCGAGACTGTCCATCGTGAACTGCTACTACATCACTTGGCATCCTCATCCTGCGTTTCTCATGTTGAGCACGGCCCCGTTAGAGCCCATCTTGCAACGAGAGAAGACGTCTGTAACGCTTGGGAGAATGATTTGTAAGTGTGCTGCTTTGCTGCTCTGCAACTATGGCGCGTTTTGTTGCGCTTCATGTCGTCCTCATGTCAGTGCAGAGGTACACGTCCCGCTGCAGAGGGTCCTCTTCAACGCGCACCACTCGTAATAAATGTACAAATGCATATGACTCGTCTCTCACGTGAAGTGCAAATCTACTCCATCTAAACCCTACGACGCTGGTGGCCTCCATCGCCACCACCACCTCCTGGTGCACCACCACCACGGACAAACGGCCTGCTCTTCTTCTCCTTGCCCGCGACCTTCTTGAGCTTCTTGTCGACAGCCTTCTTGACGGCATGCTTGCCACCCTTCTCCTCGAGGGCGGCGAAGCGGGCCTTGAGGAGCAGGTCCTTCTTCTCGGCTGTGGGCTTGTCAGCACGGTTTCTAGTCGAGCACAGAACCTCTCCTGTCCCGAGTCAAACTCACACTTCTTCATGTACCAAGCACCCTTGCCCGAAGCACGCTTCTCCCTCTCCTCTCCCTTGGCCTTGGCAAGCACCTCCCTCTCCCTTGCCTCGCGCTCATTCTTCTCCAAGCGGGTGCGCACCCTCGCCATCTCCTTCTCCAGCCTCTCCCTCTCGGCGGTGTACCTGGGCTTGTCGGAGAGCTTGCACGCGCGCTCGGCTTTGCCAGCAGCGGCGACGGACGCACGCAGGTTCTTGAGCTCAGTCTTGAGCAAGTCGGGCATGAAGGCGTATCCACGGGCATGGATGTGGGCGTCGACAGGTCCACCGGACAGGGAGGAAAATCGCGGGTCGCGGCGGTCGACCTTGGGAATGTCGACGACCTGGCGGTGACGCGTGACTTGGCGCTTGGTGCTGATTGCCGTGGGCCTGGATATGTCAGCTAGCTCTGTATGACCCACCTAGCTGGACTCACGCATGCTTGTTGTCGCGCTTGGCCGGACGTCCACTCTTGCGCTCGTCATCCGACTCGGGGTCGAACCTGGGCCCACGCTTACGGCTTGGTCCAGCCTCGTCGTCGTCGCCAACCTCAACGTCGAGCGCCTTGCCCTTTGCGCGCTGCAGGCCAGCAAGACGAGCCTTCATGGCCGCGACCTTACGCTCGCGCTCGGTCATACCGCCGGCATTGTCGTCCTCCGAGTCCGAGTACGAGGCCTGCTGCGACGTAGTCGACTTGGTGCTCTTCTTCATGCTCCGCTGCGCCTTCATGAGGGTGTCGAGCGGAATGGAGCCGAGGCCCTTTTGAAGCTTCTTCTGAGAACAGTGTTAGCTTGATGCACAGCTTGTAGTAGAGAACCTCACCATCTGGGCACGCTCGTCATCCTCATCCTCGTCCTCAGAGCTCGAATAGTCGGCACCTCCATCCCACTCGTCGGGCTCGTACACGCCCACGCCGTCGCCCTCGTCGTCCGAGTCTTCGTACATGAGTCGCTCGTCGTTCGAGTCCATGTCCTCGTCCTCATCGTCGTCCTCGTCCATCATCTCCTCGTCATCCTCATCCTCATCGTCGGAAGGAGGTTGACGGCCCTTGGACGCCTTCTTGACCGATGCCTTGTAGTTGGCAAACTCGTCCTCCTCCGAGTCCTCGTCGAGGATGCCGTCGTCAAGTTCGGCATACTTGCTCGGCTTGGGTTTGCTGGTGCTACCGCGGGCCATGGCTCTGCTGTGTGTTGAGGTTATTGATGTCACTGTTCGCTCGACACCGATGATTTCCAGAAATCTTGAATGGACCGGCAGACCAGCCATAAACGTCGTTACGTAATCATTTGCCACCGGCCACAAAACGTGTGGCAGCTGATTGAGGCGAGTTATATGCGCAGTGCATGTATCCTTGGAGCGTCGACACAAAGTGTACGAAGTATGGACTACAAACAAAGCGACACGAACAGCATTAACAGTACTCTGAAACAGAGCATCGGGTGGGTAGTGGTATCATATTGAAAAAAAATGTGATCCAGGAGCATGGCCGTTAAGTGGACACACGTTTGACATTTATCGCATATTGAAACAGGAAGAACTGATGCTTGATGCAGTCGCAGCGTCGTGCACCCCGCCACCCTCGCCATCACTGACCATGTCATCATTGATGCTGATGGCGGGTTCAATCATTCATAAGCCGACACCAGCCGCGCCAGAACTGTCCCAGTCCCACCCCACCTTGTACCCAACATGCACGCTCAGGCAATCCCCGTCAGCAGCGTGCCCCTTCCTCCGCTTTCCCACTACCCCCAACCTCCCCCACACCAACATTTCCTCTATCCACCCCCACCTACCAACATCGTCCCGTCGCTGCTGTCCCAGCACTACCTCTCGCCCCCCTCCAACCATATCGTCCACCTTGGGTGGCTTACCATCCCCAAAGGAATCCAGTTGACGGACGAATATCACGAACCCCGTTTCTCAAAAATCGCACTTACTCACTGGGAGCAAGGCGGCATAAGGGACCCACCTGAACCAGTCATCATACTGCTCTTGCATTTGATTGCCAGCATTTTATCGGCAGAGTCCGCATCAAAGGACGAAGTGCTCGAGTTCTTGAGCGAGGTGATGAAGGTGTGCCGTGAGTTTTGTTACCTCTCACTCAGCGTCCGTTTGCTGACTGGGTGGGCTTTCTTCTGACAACTGTTTGATTCCCGTCTTATGGTACACAGGTTTCAAGGTCAAGCCGGACCCGGACGACATCGAAGCAGTCAGGAACATTCCCGACCTCCAGCTCGCCATTCAATGTGCTTTCCGTCGCAAGATTGAGAAGATTGGCGAGAGCCTCGTGACCCAGTTTGCGCCTCGTCAGGAGGCAGGTCCTACTCTGGCTCCCGCTTTGTCTGCGTGAGTCCAAGGTTCCTCGCTCGATTTGTGACGTATCCAGCCTGGACATGTTAACCAGCCCAACTCTGATTGTTGCTGACTCTTTACAGCAAGGAAATGCCCTATCAATTCTTCTTCCGCCACGGCTTGTGGCAGGAACCCGAGTCGCCCAACAACTTGCACCTGCCATACCATGCGCTCAAGATGACCCCTCCCGAGTGGATCAGTCTTGGCTTTGGCAGTCATCCGGTGGCCGTAGAAGACGAGGCAGTGGTCGCCACCGCCGTACCCAGACGTCCTGCAGCAGACGCGGACACAATGTCGCCAATTGAAATGCTCCCTGCCGCCAGGGTCCATCTTCCTTTGCCCTTGGTCGCTGTCGCCGGCGTTGACGAGGCCACCACCTCGTCTGCACAAGTGACCCCACAGGCGCAGGTGATGCCCTTGATCGAGGTTATCCCCCCCATGACCTGTTGAACGAGCTGCAAGGAGAGCGAGCGGCCGCGACAGACAGCTCCGTGCTTCTAACATCAAGCGTGTATAGTGTAGGTGGTTATCACTGTTCGTTGTGGTGTTTAATCGCAATTCTGAGCCAACCGCTGTTCGACTCAGCGTACGCGCATGTGAGCTTCTAGAGTACTACTCTAGCAGGTTCTCTTTTGCTGTGGGTTCTCTGGATGTTGCCAGTTGACATGCGAGTGGGTCAGAAGAGTGTATGATGTGTGGCATGTGAACAGACATGGGCCGGAGGGCGCGCGGATTTTAGACAGTTTAGAGACTGGGAAATTGAAATGAGAAATACAGAGTATGCACATGCCATCGCATGTTCCGTGAAGCACGACGTAGCAGGTGTAACATGCGCCATGACTATCGAGCAAGCACGGATGAGGTTCTGTTGTTTTACGTTACGAGACGACGAACGAACAATGGGGTAAACTCCGCCTCTGCCATCATCAGCGCTTCATTGTACCGTTGTGGCACAACACAGATCGGCCACAGTCTCAGCTTCTTTCTTCTCCGTGTCCCCATCCTTCCTTTTCTTTGTTAACAATCTCCATCTCAACATCTATCCAATCTAACAAAGCAACGACACCATGTCCTCAGCCCTCCACTCTCACGAGCCCACGGCCCTCACACACCTCTCCCTCCCAGCAATCCTCCTGGCCAGCCAAGAACTCGCTCTCTTCCCGGACCTTGTCCGCTGGGCCCACGACGGCTTCACTGCCCCGTTTGAACCTGATCAAGTCTTCCAAGTAATCGGGTTTGTGTCTCTAGTCCAGAGTTCGCCGGACGAGGCAGCGGTCGAGGCTGCTGACGAATTGTGGCTGCTGATGCTGGACTTGTTCAGTGAGTCCAGCGGAGGTTGAAATCTTAGCATTAGCTAATTGTATTAATTAGTGCAAGAACACGCCATGATAGAGTATCTCAAAGACGACGCAACCACCACTGTCGAGAGTACGACAGACTCGAGCGAGACCCTGTCCGTTACTTCATATCCCTCCACACCGTCGTCGTCGAGAAACATGTCCTCCAGTAACAGGCCCCAAGCCTACTACTCGGGCGATTACGAACCCCCTGCCTCGTCCGCGGTGGACAACCTGTTGGACGAAATACATGTCCTACGCTACCGGGTCGCGAGTTTGGAGGACGAGATGTACTGGGCTGAAAGGCGGGTACGCGATCTCCGGATCTTGGAGGAGCTCGGTGGCGGTGAAGGACCAAGCTCTGAGAGGTAGGTGGCCGATTTCCGCGCAAACCTACTGACAGCCACAGCGTCGAGGACGCAGATGAGCGAATCTACATTATCGAGGTCTCTCCAGAGGGCTCGGCACAGTGGTCGCCATCTCAGAGCGTTCTTGTAAGTTTGTTTTGGGGAGTGGGGCTGACGAACCAGTATCCCAGCGACCCCTATGTTGGTGTGGCGCTTTGACTGTGGGGTCACACAACCGTCGTGGATTGTTGGATAGTGTCTCCCCCGTTGTTCTTGTTTGTGTTTTCTTCAGAGACACACCTCTTTTGTGAGACTTTATAGCCTATCCATCTAATTGTCAATGTATGTCTTGGGCCAGGAGTAGCCCGGGTTTCGCAGGAATAAGAGTGCACTCGGGCGGCAGCAAAGGGCAACGGCAACCACTTGAACTTGTTTAGGTGTTTCTCACGGACTTGGCTGTAAATCGTCAGAACATTAGGGGACAGCATGTCTCTGAGAACTAAAATGCCTTGGTTCCTTGGCGGACTTGCACCTTTCCAGCATCCAGAAGCGCCCCGAGTTGACATGGTGCTTGTCATTAGCAACGGCTGCCTCCGTCTGTAGGAGGCATCTATCGGGAGAAAATGGCCAAAAAACACAACATAATAAATTGAAATTGGCATGGAGCCATTAGGACTTTTGAATATCCACCATTTGATTCCGTCTCTAATCACGCCCTTTCCTCCGTCCTTGCCGCCAACAACGCGGCTGTTGAGACGGCTTCATTCACAACATCACCCACCACCAGCCATGGCCACCCCTCACGCAGGCCCATCACACCCATCGCAACCCCAGGCAGCTGTCGGAACCCCGCAGCAAGCAGCGGGCCTCGCGAAGCGCCCCGCCGAGGCGGATGTCGACGCTGTGCGCCGCTTGTGAGTGTCGTTGTCCTCTCGCAGCTCCTCCACCACGCGTCGAGCTCTTTCAACTCCCTCGAAAGCGTCCATCCACTGACCACCTCCTTCTTTAGGAAACACCCCCGCCCTCCTCTCCCCCCTCCTCATGTTCTCCAGTCTCTCGTGCCGGACTCGCCGGCGTTCACCGAGTTGATGAAGATTGAACAAAAGCTCGACTGGACTCTGCTACGCAAAAAGGCCGAGATCAACGACGCGCTTGGACGCAGCACCCGCGTGAAGCGTACCCTCCGTGTCTTCCTTTCAAACACTGTGCACGACCAGGCGTGGCAGGTTGGCGAGTCGGCTGCGTCCGCTGCCGCTGCCGCTTCGGGGACAACAGAGGAGAAGAAGGACGAGACCTCCGGGGACGTCGTGATGGGGTCGATGGAAGACAAGAAGGATGGCGAGGCTGAGGGAGAGAAGAAGGACGGCGAGGTCAAGGTCGAGGACAAGGGCGCTGCTGCTGCTGGCGTGGATGTCAACACTGGCAAGGGTGTCGCTGGTTGGGTTATGAGGATAGAAGGTCGTCTGCTGGACGTGAGTTCATCCGCTGTCGGGCAGCGAACTGACAAACACAGACCGGCAACCACCGCCTGGACAAGCAAAAGCGCAAGTTCTCCCAATTCCTGCGCTCTGTTGTTGTTGAGTTTGACAACCGCGAGGCGCCCACCTTCCCCGAGGGTAACGTCGTCGAGTGGCACCCTTCTCCCACTGCCGCGCCTCTGGACGGCTTTGAGATCCTGCGACGCGGCGACGCCAACGTCAAGGCTCGCGTTGTGCTGCACATCTCCCACTCGCCTGAACGCTTCAAGGTCCTTTCCCCGCTCGCCGAGCTTGTCTCCATCCGCGAGGGCACGCGTGCCGAGGTCATGGCTGCTGTCTGGCAGCTTGTCAAGGCGAGCGGTGCGCAGGACAAGGAGGACCCCACGATTGTGCGTCCCGTCGGCGGTCTCGAGAAGATTATCACCCACGGCGCCGAGGGGATCCAGTTCCACCAGATTCCCGAAGTCGTCACCCGCTGCCTCGCCCACCCGGACCCCGTGGTTATGACTTACGACATCGACGTGTCAAAGGAACACAATCTCCACCCGCGCTGCTTTGACATCCCCATCGAGATTGAGGACCCCCTCAAGAGCAAGATGGCCACTCTGGTCCAAAACTTTGAAGGACAGGCCGGAACCGACATTGTCAAGCTCGAAGACAAGGTCAGCGAGCTGGCCTATTTCGCCCGCGACCTGAAGCAGAAGCGCGATTTCCTCGAATCGTTCGCCCAGTCCCCACACGCGTTCATCCACAACTGGCTGGGCGCCCAGGCTCGCGACCTCGACCAGATGCTCGGATACCAGATCGGCAACCCTGCTAGCCATGGTGGATCGGTGCGTGAGGAGGATCTCCGCAGGTCTGACATGTTCCGCCTGCCCTGGGTCACTGAGGCGATTGCGATTCACGAGCAAAAGCCCAGGCAGCAGTAAGGGTGGAATGTGTAGTAGAAGTAGACAGGGCGCCATACCCCTTGGAGTGATATGGGTGGGCGTTGTAGTATGCATGCTGTATCGAGAGCGGCGGTGTACTCCGGGAACACCCGCGTAAGCGACGACTGAGAATGTGCTGCTGCTTGGCATCATTGCATCGCTGTCATGCCGGCACACACTACGGACTATGCGGCGGTCGGATCGTTGGTTTGGGTCTGTCAATGCTTTGGGCGCGCGACACACGCGCTCTTCCTCGTACGAGGCGCCAGGCGCCGGGCGCCCGCCCAGCCATGTACTGCATGTCTCTTCTTCCTCTCTCGGGGTGCGGGGTGTGGTAAGGTGTCTGTCTACACCTTGAACCGCCTGTTTCCGGAGCGTGAGAAGAACGTCTTGAGAATCCAGATCTGCACCCTGGAAACAGGTGTTAGCGAGTGTACTCAAACAGCACAAAAGTGACGGCGATGACCATACGTCGGCCGTCCTGGCTGCACCCATCCAAGAGAGGAGTTGCAGCCAGACAGCAGACAACAAGCCTAAACCCTCGCCCAAGCTATTGTACTCACAGTCCCATGCCGATAATAGCCACACACTCCACCAGGGTCAACCAGAAGATCCTGCTCTGGGTGCTGATGACAGTGGAGTAATTACGGTGGTGGCGGGTGTGGAAGTACTTTTGGGTACGTGTGACGCTGTTCAGCAGACCGTTGAGCTTGTACGTCGACTCTTCGAGCGCCGAGGTGTGCTCTTTCAACGGGGCCTGCTGGGCTGAGAGGACGCGGCGGGGTTCGGATTCAACCATGATGCTGAAAGGCCGGGTGTCAGCTCGCGTTCGTTCGGAACTGGGGAGGTGAGGGTGGGGTGGGCCGAGGTCAGGTGGGTGTTGCTGGGGACAGCTGGACAGCCGGCTCGCTTCTCGTCGTCCATGGAGCTTGAGCTGGAGGTGTCCGCTGCGTGCACCCGCACACAACACCGCACGCGAAGCAACCAGCTCCAGCACTGCACCGCACTCCACCACCGACAACACGTCCAACTCACTCAAAGTCGACCAGCTTGTCGGTGGCAGTAGCCTCGTTGGCAAAGCAGAACGAGTACTCTCCAATCTTCTTGGCCGTAAAGATGAAGTCGCCTTGACGCTCGTTGTCGCCCTCGACAACAATCTTGTCGTCGGGGTCCATGACGACCCAGTCAATCTCGAACGAGCCACCAGACTGGACGGCAAAGTAGAAGCCTGTAATGTAGTCAGTATGGGAAACGGGAGTGTACGCGGGCGGACGGTGGGGACAAGTGCTGAAGGTAGATCGCAAGTGTGGGTGACTGCGCAGAGTCATGTAGGCGTCTGGGTCATGTCGCTCATGTCGCGTGCAATGGATGCGTGGGGGTCAAGCATGACCCAAAGCACGATGGAGCGTACATAAACACCAATGCTCGCGACTACCCCATCCAGGCGTCTGGCTCACGCGGCCTTCGCGACGTCCATGGTCTGTCCATCTTCGGCGCAGGGTCGTGGAAACGCACCAATCTTCTCTCCAATGCCGTCGACATCTGCGTAAAAGCACGCGCGCTGGTTGGCGAGAAGCAGCGATGTAAGGGCGGTAGCGCGGGCTACTGCTGCGAGGAGGATGCCCGTAGCGAGCGCCGAGACAGCGCGCATGGTCGGTTGAGTATGTGTTGAGGTGTGTGGGTGGTTTGGGAATGGGTTCGGCTGCTTGGCGTGTCGAGGTGGAACATGGCAACGACGACGCGACAGGAAAGGAACCTAATTTATGCCTCCCATTTAAACTTCCGCTGGGCTGTGTGGGCGATGACGATCACACCCGTTACAACAACGAACAGCGAGCACAACCTAATCTACTCTGCTCTCCCTTCCATTCATACATCGACTCTCACCATGACATCCTGGGACAATGCACGCCGGCACGCTCGTGCCCTCGAATCGGCCCTCGACACCAAACTCGCCTCGTACTCGCGTCTCGCAGCAGACATTGCTGGCGGCGTCGGATCCCGTGCTGGCGGGAGTGGTGGCGGCGGGCCCAGCCGCGATGTCCTCGACGCCGAGGAAGGTGTGGGCGGATACAAGCTTGTCGAGGAGGAGATTGAGGAGCTGCTTGGCAAGGTGAGCGTTGTTGCTGGCTGTTGAACAAAACGCAATTGTCAGCCAGCCCATGTCCACTTCCCACCCTCAGTATTGACACCCGACCTCGTAGCTCGAACAAGCCATCGAGGACCTGACGGCGCTCATCAACTCGCCCTCCCAGCCGCCCAGCGCGAGCATGCAGAACGCTGCACAGCGTCACCGCGAGAACCTCGACGACTACAGGCGCGATTTCACGCGCGTGAGGAGCAACATTGACGCGGCGGTGCAGAGGAGTAACTTGCTCGGATCGGTGCGAAAGGATATCAAGTGAGTGGAGCGAGCGTGAGCGAGCGAGGACGACTGCCCAGAGCATGGTCGTGTCTCGTGTCAGCTGGACAGTTTGGCTCTATGGGCGGTCATGATGTGAGCCTGGACACCGTGAAACGGCTCAGCCGTTACCAGGCCAAGCTCATCCGCTTGCTCTCGTTGGTGCGGCGAGCGTGCTGGACAGTTCCACTGGCTGCCGCTTCCGTGATAGAGCCATCTTCAACGCTGCCGCCTCTCCCCCGCCAACGATTTGATGGACAGAAGGACAGCTGGGAATCGCATGGGGCAGCTGTCCTCGTGTTCTGGCTGTTACCTTGCCTTCCGTACTCAGCTATACACTGGGCCCTGGTTCCGGACAAAGCTGACTCTCCTTCAGCGACTACAAGACCGCCCTGAGCTCGCAGACGGACGCGCTCCTCGCCGACCGTGGACGGATAGATTCGAGTCACAGGATGATGGACGACACGCTCAAGTGAGTACATGTAGCGTGTATGCTCCACTGTGGTCCGCCTGCTGTATGGCCCCAACAACCCAACAAGCAGCAGGCGTCGCCACCTAGCATCTAACAGCTTCCTGCTGCATGCTACTGGACGCAAGTTGGCCCCGGGTATCTAACCCCCCCCCCCCCCCCCCCCCCCCCCCCCGCGGCGGACCCCACTAACACTCCCGCAGCCAGGCCTACGCCACCCGTGAAGACTTTGCCCAGCAGCGCTCCATGCTGGCCTCTATCGAGTCGCGCATGGGCCGCGTCGTCGCCCAGATGCCCGGCATCAACTCGCTCATCTCCATGATCTCATCAAGGCGCCGTCGCGACACGTACATCCTTGGCGGCGTGGTTGCGTTCTGTGTGCTGCTCCTGCTTGCATACCTGTTCGGATGGTAGATATTAGGCTCTATGGGTGTAGTTTATGAGAGGACCGAGGTGGCATGTCATTTGACGGTTTGTTAATATCACGCAAAGTCGCAAACTCTGGGAGACACGTTGCCGCGTGTGGGCGCCGCGGCGCCGTCACGGCCATCGAAGGTACCTTGGGAACAAGCTGCAGTGCATACAGTAAAAATTGGTACTGGTATTGGTACAACCTCCGTTACAAACCATTCTCCTTTTCTTTCGTCTCTACACAGATCCAATGGCCTTGGCGCTGGATACGTCTCCGGGGGCCTCGCCTAGTAGTCATCGCCGCGCGACACGACCTCCTTGCACGTGGGCCTGAGCAGAATGGTGTGCTCAAACTGTGCGGTCATGGCTCCCGGCTCGGGGTCCACGAGCGGCGGGTAGGCATTGACAATGTCCTCGCGAACCAAAGTGTTCAGGCCGAGCAAGTAGTTCTTCTCGCCCGTACGCTCGAGGTAGCGACGACAGAAGGGCAAGGTGCCAAAGTTCTTCTCGATGCTCTTGAGGACGGTCTTGGCCGACTGGTGCTTGAGGTTGTACTGTGTAGGACCCTCTGGGTTGATGGCGTAGTGGCTGCACGCACCGTCCTCGATCACACGGCCGCGACCGGTGGAGCCGAACGTCTCGATGGCAAAGTACTCGCCCTCCTCCATGCGCGTGGTGTCCTTGCGGTCGCCAAACTGCTTGACGATGGGCACCGACTTGCCCGGGATACCGTCCTTGCCGCCGTGGATGACATAGGGCACGATTGAGTGGCCGTTGAGGTTGGAGATGGACTTGACGGGGTAGACTTTACCGCCGACCTCGACCTCGTAGCTCTCCATGACCTCTTGGATGGACTCGCCAATGTCGCACAGACGCACGTCGATACCTGCCGCAGCGATACCGGTATTGGTCGCGTCCTTGACGGCGTCGAGGAGGCGGTTCCAGGTAGGCTCCCACGTGAGGGTGAACGCAGAGTCGACGATGCGGCCCTTGACGTGCACGCCAAAGTCGACCTTGAGGACATCGCCCTTTTGCAACACTTTGGTGTCTCCAGGGTTGGGCGTGTAGTGTGCCGCCACCTCGTTGACGGACAAGCCGGTGGGGAAGCCGATACCGCTCTCAAACCCGTCCTCCTCGACAAGTGCACGCGTGCCGTCCTCGATCATGTTGGCAATCTCCGTCATGGTCATGCCGGGCTTGATGTTGCGTGCCGCATAGCCGCGAACCTGGCGATGCACCTCGGCGGCACGACGGATGTTCTGGTACGTGTCGGTCGGGTCACCCTGGAGGAGACGCTCCTTCTCGCGCATCTCCGCAGAAGTGATACGCGAAGTAGTGTCGTTCTTGTACTCGACCTCCTCGTTGACGGGGAACACGCCATTGCGGAAGATCTTGGTCAGGCCAACACGAGGGGGCTCGGTCTGGACCATGGCAGGCTTCTTCTTTTTGGCTTTGGACGCTGTCAGTATATGGCGTAGGCGCAAGACAGCCCGTACTCACGCTTCTTCTTCTTCTTCTTCTTCTTCTCGCCGGCAGAAGCGCCCTCACCGCCCTCGGCCTCGGCCTCGGACTCGTCATCGTCGGCGACCTCAACCTCGAGGTCGGGCTTCTTGTCCTCCTTCTTGTCCTCGAGACTCAACGCCTCCACGCCATTGGTGGGCGGCACGGCGACGGGGGTCATTGCGAACACTGTTATACCAGTCAGCTCTCGAGTCCTTTCAATGGGGGAGGCAAGGCGATGGTAGTGGGAGTGTCTCTCAGGGTCAAGAAAAATGGGTATCTGCTGCGGAGGGTCTTACGCTCCTCGAGAAGTCTAACATATCGTTGTGACAAGCATCCTTGAGACATGGCGCCGGGGAAGAAGAAGGGAAGAAAGGGGGAGACACTCACGTTGTTGCTAGATGTGTGTAGTGGAGATAGAGGGGCAGTGTCCAGCCTGCTTTGGGCAGGCTGTAGATAGAGAAAGAGAGAGAAAGGAAAAAGGGAGAGAAAGAGATGTGGAGAATGGCAGAATGAGAAAGAGTGCAAGTTTGAAAAGTTGGCCGCGAGTGCCAGCCGCCCACCCAGGACGGCCCCGTTTTCGGTGCGAACCAACGAGGCGGCGTCGGCGTCGGTGCCATCCATTGTCGTCATTGCTCATTCCACCGTCTCTCTCTCTCACCCCCGCGTCAAACAAGCAGCGAGCAACGACCAAAAGCAAGCGCACCATGGCCGCCGTCTCATTCACCTACACCGTCGCCCCGCCAGCAGGCACCCCCGAGGCCACGTTCAACGGCTCCCCCGTCCCCACCAGCTCCACCATCACCGCTCCCGTCGCCCCGGCCGCTGCGGCGTCCGACTCGCGCTCGCCCACCGACGCATTCTACGCTGCGGCCGCTCCGGCCCTGCGCGCCGCCCAGCTCGACCTCATGGACGCGCTGAGCAGCTGGAAGGACAGCGTGGGCGACAGGGAGAAGGCCATTGAGAACGTCAAGGTCGAAAAGGGCAAGGGTAAAGCGGCGAGGATGATGATGGCGACCAAGGCGGCGGATGCCGAGGAGAGCGACGACGAGGATGAGGACGAGGACGGGGATGGGTCTGAGGAGTAGGGTACGGTGGGTCTGGCTTTGAGTTGGGATAGAGAGAGGCCACAGCTGACAAGACAGCGCGCCATGTCCAGCACACCGTCACCATAATGGGCAACTGCCCACCACCCCCCGCATCGCACCTTGGAACCTTGGCCTCCATAGCAGCATATCCCAGCGTCCCCGTTTCCTGCAGTTGTCTCATTACCATGCATCTGTATACCTAGTTCCGGTCTGGAGTGTCATCGACGACAGCGACGTTCTCCCACGCAGGTCCACCGCCTGCTCACGACCAGGTCTCTGCTGCAGCACCTGTTGTAGAGGGAACCACGGCTCGGCCATGGCAACTGACGGCCCGACATCTCTCATCTCGCCGCCCCACTCTGTCCCAACAAGTCACGGAATACATTTTATGCAGAGTACAATAATGCAAGGGAGAGTCCTGGTTCTTTCATGATTACGAGGTTTGCTCGTGTCGCTCTGTCTCTTCTCTGCTCTAGTTGGCGAAAGCGGGGATACCGGTCATGGCCTTGCCGAGGATAAGAGTGTGAATGTCAAAGGTACCCTCGTAGGTGTTGGTGACCTGGAGGTTGGCCTCGTGGCGGCCGACGTGGTACTCGTCCGAGCAGGCGTTTCCGCCAAAGATGTCGAGCAGGATACGGGTGTGCTGGAGCGCGTTACCGCAGTTGTTGCGCTTCATGAGCGAGACCATGTCGGGGCACCACTTGCCCTCGTCCTTGAGGCGGCCGAGCTGGAGGGCGCCCAAGAGACCCAGGGTGGCCTCGGTGTTGGCGTCGACGAGCTTCTTCTGGACGAGCTGGAAGGACGCGAGGGGGCGGTTGAACTGCTTGCGCTCGAGAGCGTACTCGCGCGCGCGGAAGATTGAGTCCTCGAGCGCACCCATCACACCCCACGCGATACCGAAGCGGGCCGAGTTGAGACACGAAAAGGGCGAGCCGAGACCGCCCGACTTGGGGAGGAGCGAGTCCTCGCCGACCTGGACATTGTCCATAAAGACCGAGCCGGTGACGGACGCGCGGAGAGCGAGCTTGTGCTTGATCTTGGGGGCCGAGAGGCCCTCGGCGCCCTTCTCAATGATGAAGCCGCGCACCTTGCCCTTCTGGCCGTTCTCGACGACGCGGGCCCAGATGACAAACACGTCCGCGACGGGGGCGTTGGAGATCCAAGTCTTGGAGCCGTTGAGCACCCAGCCGTTGGCCGTCTTGGTGGCTGTCGTCTCCATCGACGACGGGTCCGAGCCGTGGTTGGGCTCGGTGAGGCCAAAGCAGCCGATAAGCTCACCCGTGGCGAGCTTGGGGAGGAACTTCTCCTTCTGGGCCTCGGTACCAAACTCGTGGATGGGGTGCATGACGAGCGACGACTGGACGGACATGGCCGAACGGTAGCCAGAGTCGACGCGCTCCACCTCGCGGGCAATCAGACCGTAGGCCACAGACGAGACGCCAGCGCAGCCGTAGCCCTTGATGGTAGCGCCGAGGAGACCAAGGCTGCCCATCTCGCGCATGACCTCGGGGTCAAAGTTCTCCTAGAGGGACGTCAGCGACACGATCGTTGAACACGGGCAGCGCGCGGGTCCATGTCCCAGTGCGGGCGGATTCCGGAGTTGGCGTCCGGAATCCTTTCCCGCATCTGACCCATATGGCTTCTCTGTACGCACGTTACGGTATGCCTCGGTGACGCGGGGGAGGAGGTTCTCTTGGGCGAACGAGCGGGCGGTCTCCCTGCACTGGTCAGTCGTGTGTCTCCATCGCTTCGTCTGCATTCCGGTCCCCAGCATGTATGTGTGGGAGCGAGCTGCCATTCTGTAATGACGTCGCTCCCACGACACACCCGACGTCCTGGGCCGTCTGTTTCCTCTCCCCACTCACTGGATAGCCTGCTCCTCATCGGTCAGGAGCGACTGCAGGTTGAGGGGGTCCTCCCAGTTGTACTGAGCGAACTCTGAGGGAAAGGGGTCAGCGTTCCTGTGTTCTCTCGCTTTGCTTTGGCCGGGTTCTACTCACTAGCCGAGGCCATGGTGCGGGCGCCCATGACGGAGACGGAGGAGCGGGCGGCCGAGGCCTGCACGAGGGGACGGAGGGCAGCGAGGCGGGGCATCGTGTGTGGGAGAGTGGACGGGAGAGAGGGGAGACGGGGAGACGGGGGGTGAGAGAGCGGTGAGAGAGCTGGAGAGAGCGATGAGGATGAGAAGGAAGAGGAACAGGCGGTGGGCCCAGAGGATTAAGTAGCGTTGGCCGGGTTAAAATGGCCGAGCAGACCCGGATAGGCGAGCAGAGCGACCACAGTGGCACCCCATCGCCGAATACCGAGACTCGCAAAGTTCATCGACGAGTACCTCATGTCCAGAGCGTCCCAATGGTCTCATTGTAACATATCCCTGTGGTGCACCGCATACCCGGACTCGCCCACCCCATCGGACACCTTAGCACCGCCGTAGCCCCGACACTCTGTCTGCAGCAGTAGGTTCAGTGACCAGTGGACACAAGTTGGGGGGGGAACACCGAAAGCCGCAGACACCGAACGCCGTGCCACCAAAAGTCCACGGAGCCGCCGAACACCGACTGCCGACGTGTGGATGATCTTGTTGTTGTTGCATTGTCGCGTCGCGGGCGTCGCTGGCGGGCTGTTGAAGGTCGACGGCGTTTCCGAAGGTAGCTCTGGGGCGGAGGACATCGGCGTCTTCGGAAACTGGTCATATGGGGAAGAGGCGGCGGGTGAACAACCTCTCCTCTGCACTCCTACTCTCACTCTGCCACTACGCCCCACGCCTCTTGTCGCTCACGTCTGAGCTCGACGTCGTCGTCGCCTGTGGCCACCTGGGAACGCATGTAATCCTACATGGGGAGACTCAACTTGGTAAGCTTCCTTGTCTTCCCCTTGGAGTATGCTGGTGCGCCGGGCTTTCTCTCTGTCTGGACCAACAACACCTCGCCGTCACACCACAGCGGTACGTAGCACCTCGGGACGTGGCCTGTGTCTCTGCAGCGTTCCTAGAGAAGCGCTTCGCAGGCCATGTTTGCCGTCCAGCAGGCTAGAGCGGTGAGGGAGATAAGGGGCTTGGCAGCGACTACAGGCCGACATGTGAGCCACTTATATGTGTGTGTGGTTCTTTCTCCTGGGTACGCGGCCAAAGGTCACGTACTCCAGGCTGTGATTCATGGCGCAAATACGAGATATCACCCCGTGGAGGTTATCGAGGATATAACTGTCGTATTGCGTGATCGGCTATCTCCCTCGCACGCCTGTAGCTTTGCATGGCGCCGTAGTCAGTAGCCATCAGGAGGTCAGAATAGGATGTGACCCGGGCCGGCGGCATTGGACCATGTCAGCCGAGCATTGGTTTTGCCCAGATTGGCCAGATTCGTTGCCAGGTCCGGTATCGTGCCGTGCTAACTCTAGATATCTAGATGTCTCCATGCAGTTTATCAATGCTCGGTATTCGGCAGACCTTCTACTTCTAATGCCCATCTCGGCGTCTCGCGGGCGGGCGGGCGTCACGTCCACGTCCACGCGCCGCGTGCGCCTCCCCTGTTCACTCTCCCCCAGCAGCACAAGCCTATCACGCTCTTGGCCCGGCGTACCCGCATCTGCGTGCGCTCGCGTCCTCACACCCAGCGTGGTCCTCACACCCAGCGCATGCGCGCGCCTACTTGAGCTCTGGCTCGGCGGGCCCATCGGGCCTGCCAAAGTTGATGACAAAGTCGTAAATGCCCAAAAACACGGCTCCGCCCGCCGAAATGTGCAGTGTACGCGGGACCCAGCCCGAGAACAGGGCTGCGGGGCCTTCGTTGCGGAGGATGTTGAGGAAGCGGGGCGGGAAGGAGAGGATGGACGGCGACGCGGGCTTGGTGCCGGGCGTGAGGGTGCCGCGGGCCTCGAGCATGACGCGCGTCTTGACGACGTCGAGCGGGGTGGTGAGGGCCGCGGCGGTGCCGCCGGCGATCATGCCGCACACGGCCGCCTCGGCAGAGTTGGGCCGCTTGCCGTCCAGGTACTGCGTGCTGAGCGTGCGCTTCAGGTACTCGTACAGGGGGAACTGGATGGACGTGAACGGCAGCTCGCGCGCAATGGTGATCCCGAAACCGCGGTAGAAGCCGCGCACGCCCTCGTGCTTCATCACGTTGAGCGCCGTCTGCCAGCTGCTCGTGGCAGCACCGTACGCGCCCGTCTGGGTTCGTGACTTGACAACCTCGGTGGGCACGCGGATGAGACACGAGACAAACTCGCCTCCGGAAGCCGCGAACATGTGGTTCAGGCCCGGGTGGGTGTCGAGGCCAAAGCCATAGTTGGCAAGCTGCCTCTTGAGGGCCTCGTATGTGACGAAGAAGGCGGCGGCTGCGGGCGAGAACAAGGGAGGCGAACGAGAGGGTCGTGGTGGAGAGAGGAGGGTTCGGGATGGACAAACATAGCGTCAGCGCTCACCATCGTTCTGGACAGCTGCTGGTCGTTGGAAACATAACCAGCAGCTCTGCTCCACTCACCACCGGGTGCGCTACCGGCTCCCACACTTCCCACACCGCGGTACACGCCGCGGAACCCGCCGCTGGCCCAGAACCCGGCACTCGACTGGACGCGGGTCTTGATCGTGTCGAGGGGGAAGAACATGAGGTCGACCGCGAGACCCGACATTGCGCCGGCCTGGGAGGCGGTTAGTACGTCTGTATCATTCGTCTTGCCACAGTTTCGTGGGGGAAGAATAAGGGGACGCGTCGCGCGGTGAGGGTGGAAGACGTGGGGAGGAGAGGAGAAGGGCGTGTTGGCTGGGTATAAAGAAAACGCGTGCGCGGTCTTCTCCCCGTCTGATGCAGAAACTTACCACGAGGGCGCGCTGGAATGTCGGGCCCTGCTGGGCAGCCGAGTCTGGCATGGTTGGACCAGGAGGAGGGGTGTGGTAAGGAGGGATGAAGAGGGATGAGAGACAGAGAGAGAGAGATTAAAGTCGTGTATTGTTGAAAGAGATCGGGCCCGAAACTCGGAAGAGAGGGCGACTCTGGGCTTTTCCCAGGCACGGATCATACATGGCCTAATCCTAATCTTTGGCAGAGGACATGGACAAAGAAGCACTGCTGCATGTGTGCGTGGATCAACTGGTGGGAGCATCCATTCTTTTCGAGGCGTTTATGCTGCCCCATAGCATACAGCAGTTGGCCAGCTCCATGTGGGGGTTGGTCCTTGGCGGTGCTGCAGGACAAGTAAGAGTCGAAACTGGACAGTTGTACGCCAAAAGTGGACGCTTCACAGGGTGACTGCCACCCCATGACGGGCGACGGGCGCCGGATCGCGCCGGATGTCATTCCAATGACACCGCAGACTTGTCCGTGTGTGTGTATCAGAGTACATGGGTATCCGAGTTGAGAGTTCATGTCCATGCCCCAAACGTTTGCATGTTGGGAACAGTCAGGCCACCAAGGCAGCTAGCGACGTTCACCAGCAGACTAGTCTATACGTCTCGCCACCCGTGTCATCTCACCCCCGAGCCGGCCAATGTTTCTTCTCATCTCCTCACACAATCATGGGGGATCGCAACCGGAAACAGCTCCTATACATTGATTGCATCAACCTTCTGAGCTTCTGAGCTTGCGTCGAACCTCGCTTTGCCTAGCTTTCTCCATTGCCGCCTACGCCACAGGGCCATAGGGGTCACTTGCGGTTCCGCTCCTCTCCAGCAAGCACCATCCTGCCGCTTTACTCTTGCACAAGCGACACGTCCACCCCAGTACACGCACGCAGCGCCTGGCGGAGATGCGACTCCTTTACATTGTCGGCTGGCGGCGAGCCAGTGTAATACGTCAGCCACCTGCGGAGGTGGTCGTTGCCGAGATTGCGGATCGCATCGGCCGACTTGATGGGCTGGAGGGGCGAGGTCAGTCGCGAGTCGGCTTCACATCGACGAAATCGTAGCCTGGGACACTCACTGCAAGGTCGAGAGGGATGGGATCCTTGCCGTTGGAGACGGGGACCAGCGCGCGCCCGAGATACGCGTTCACTTTGTTGGTGTACCTGCGCGTCGAGTCTCAGCTGACTGCAACCTGCTCCACGCCACGCCACGCCCCGCCCCGCCACTCACCTCGCTTCGCTCTGGTCAAACCGCGCCTGCAACGCGGTATGGTCCTGCGTCGCCTGCGCCTCCACCGCTACGAAGCGCTGCAGGAGCCGGTCGTGGAACTCGTGTTGCTGCTGGATACTGGCCGCGACGCGGTTCTCGAGGTCGCTCGCCCCGTTGCCGCCCACAGACGCCATGTCACGCTTACCAGGCGCGCGCAGGCCCGTCCCGGCGCCCACCTCGCGCCTGTCGTCGACGGACACGGCGGCCAGTCCGTCCTCTGGCACCGTCGCCGTCCCCGGGGGCCGGGAGCGGGAGCGGTACCGCACCGGCGAGTGTTCGGGCGACACGCTCGGGTCGCGGTGGCCCAGCAGCTGCGAGCGCCACACGCGCGCCGTGCGCCGCGGGCTGGGGTCGGTGCGCCGCGTCTTGGTGCCCGGCGCGACGGCCGTGCTGGCGACCGAGTTGGCAAACTGCAGGACAGAGTCGAGCGTCTCCGCATCCGGGTTGGCAGGGATGCCGCCGTGCGTCTCGTGCAGGGCCAGGACGGTCGGGTGGTCCTGGAGCGCCGGGTGAGACAAGAGCTCGGGCGGGATGGGGGTGGCCGTGCTGGTGCTGGTGCTTGCCATGTTGTCAGTGGGAGCGGGAGGGAGAGAGATGGAGAAGGGTGAGTGACAAAAAAAGGTGGTGAACGCGAACGTGTTTAAAGACAATTGGGATCCCACCCCCCCTGGCTATACTGTACGTTGCTTGGCGCTGAGGTGGGAGATCACATGCTCTTCTCGTCGCCGAGAGGCACCACAAAATGTCTTGGATCCCGATGCCGGAGCGGTTACCTCGCAGGTCCTCACGCCACCAGCAGCAGTCAAGGGCAGTGGAATGTGCTGCTCGAGTCGTTGCAGTTGCTACATACGTGTACACTGTAGAGTAAGGCCATGATCGACAAAACTCAACGACAACTCAACAACTCATCCGTGGGCGAAGATTGCAAGGCGTGAAAATGCCGGTGTCGGTGTTCAACAACAACACATCCGCTTGGGAGATGTGGGTTGTCGGCAACCTCCCCAGCGATCACAACGTACAACGGAACGCTGCTGTCAGGCGGTGACACTGATATCCTTGTGAAACCTTTGGCAAGGTGTCCACGCCATTGCATCCAACGTAGACTCGACCGTCGTCTCATGGCAGTATGCAGCATGCAGCGTCGCCGTCGCACCTGTGCCTAGTGCTTTCGAGCAGCCCTGTGGCGTCATTGATCATCGAGCTCGGCACAGCAAAGCCAGCGAGCGACATCTTCACAACACCTACCTCACACCACCCCCATGTCCGTCATCGAGATCCCAGACGAAGTGGCCAAGCACAACCCACGACTCCTATGGTTGAAACTGCAGAGTGGTGGGCTCCCCCTGCCTCTCACGGTGGACCACGTTGAGCGCTGCTTTGACTGGTCGGCATACTGGAACTCGCCGGCACGGTCAAGACACGAAGTGAAGGTGTACCGCGACATGCTGACAGAGGTCTATGACAACATGAAGAGTGAGTTTAGAACAGCCGACGAGTCTAACCTCTCAGTGGAGCCTGCCGCGGCTCCAGCTCTCCGCCCCATCGTCGTTCCGCTCGCTATGCTGGCACCATACAACTGGCCGCCGGTCGATGGCACCCAACCGCTGGGCTCTACAAACACCCCGGGTCTTCGGAGGCTCCAGGTCGAACACGGTGGTCTGCCCCTGCCGCTCTCCGAGGAACACTTTGTGCTAGGCATGGAGGCCGTCAACCAGCTGCAAGCGCGAGCAAGCTCGTTGGAAGGCGGCTACGTAGCCCAAATCGCCGTGACCACGTTCGGCAAGGACCTCGTCGACGCGGCCTCGCCACCGGGAGCCTCACGTACGTTTTTTTCACAAACGACACACGCCGAAACAATGTCTGACACCACAGGACCTGCTGTGAAAGGTGTCGGGAGCGAGCGTGACCGTCGCGAGAGGGAGCGTATAGCGTCCGTCCAGGACCGCCTCCACCGCGAGCGTGTTGAGCGAATGCGGCAAAGGGAGGAGCAACAGCAGGGACGGTCGGGAGCAGGTGCGACTCCTACCCAAGGTAGCCATGCGGGACCAGGTACTGCCTTGTTCACTCCCAATGCGACTGGCAAGGAGGATGACGAGATTACGCTGGTGAATGTGTGATTCCAGCGGAGGGTCCTCCCTCCCCATGCCTGCTCCAGCCAAGGACTCTATTGCCTGGCTTGCGGCACCTGGCCCTCAGCAGTTAGCAGCGTCATCCAGTGGTTCCAGGCCCACCTGTGGGCGGTGGCCTCCGCCTGGTCCCAACTATTAGAGTCACAGTCGAGGGACCAGAATAGTCGATTAGAGCCGTTGTTTGTATTGACGTGCCTGATCTGATTAGGAAGTCACTGTAATACGTTGATAAGATCAAGCGCACACTTTGTCACCTTGCTTTCCTTGTTTGTGCTGAAGCGAGCACGCGCTTCCGAGCAGTGTACAGGAATAGTGCGATCCGCATGGAGCGGGCAAGCGAGGCCAGAACGCATGCCCACATGAAAGCAGCAATGCAGCAATGCAGCAATGCAGCAAGTGACCCGCGCCCATAATATCCTAATTGCGTCCGCCTCTTTTTCTCTGCGCGGCCCCCGCCGTCTAGCCCACCCATATCTCTCGCATGCATGTTGCGGGGAGCCCGCCGCCCCCCCGACATCCACAGCAAAGGCCCATCCGTACCATCGTCCTCACCCAGGCCTCTCCATGCGCACCTTGTTCATCAACGGCACCGTCGGCGTCGGCAAGACCACCACCGCCGCGGCCGTGAGCAGAATCCTGTCTGCCCAGGGTCGACCACACGCCGTAATCGACACGGACAGCCTGCGAGATCGGTACCCCACACCCGTGCACGACCCGTTTGACCTCGAGCTCGAGCTGCGCAACCTCGCGGCCGTGAGCGCAAACTACCGCCAGGCAGGGTGCGAGCTGCTCATCGTGGCGGGCGTCATCGAGGACCCAAACGCCGTCGAGCGGTACTGCGCAGCGACGGGCGTGCCGTCAGACGGCACGGGCGAGTTCTTCTTTGTGCGGCTCATCGCCACCCCGCAGACCATCAACGCGCGCATATGCGCACGACACATGGGCGACGAGGTCGAGCGCGACTGGTACCTCGAGCGCGCGCCGCGCCTGGCGTCCATCCTGGAGCAGCGTGGCCTGGGACGAGCGTTTGACGCCGACAAGAGGAAAGAGGCCGTCGCGCAGGCCATCATGGAGGTGACACGGCTGTAAACAAGTACTTTGCCAAAAAACACTAAGCTTTCGTCCCATGCGATCCCTTGGTCCTATTCGAATGTCTGCCGTCATCTGGCAAGAGGCATCCATCCCACATCCCGCTCCTGTTGTCCTCGATGCATAGTCCTGGCCTCTCGCAGCATCGTTGCCGCCGGGTATGTAGGTGGGCGCGGGGAGTGCTCAGCATGGCTTACGTGAGGCTGGCATGTCTCGGGCTGTGCTGCGCGGGTTGTCGTAAAGGCGAACGCGACTGACTGACACAATCTTATCTCCACCAAAGTCCCGCAGCAGTTTGTTAGATCTTCACTTCTTCCAACAGTGCAATCCATCCCCGGCTATCTCTGCCATCGTCCTGAACACGCGAGCTGCAGGCCCTGGCCTCAGTCATGCGCCTTGGGCTGGGCCCTCTCCATCGCCTCCTGGAACCGCACACGACCGTACCCCAACTGTCCCCCGACCGTCCTTGTCCTTGTCCTCGTCCACGCGCGGTTCTATCCACCAGCATCAGCCAACTCGTCTCTCCACCACCCACTCACCAGCAGGCGCAGCGGCGAGCGCGCGGCGCAGGGCCTGCGCAGCCTGCACCAGCAGGCCCGACTGCCGCCCGTACGGATGCCACCCGACCACCATGTTCGCCATTTCCATGCCGAACCGATAGTCGCAGTGCGCGATAGGGACGGGGATGCCGCCGTGCTCAAACGACAGACGCAGGAGGTGGCGCCGGTGGTTGGCGACGGACCTCGCGTTGGGCCACGAGCCGATGCGCGACGTGAGCAGGCGGTGCGGCATGCGAATGGGAGGTGACGCTGGCGCAGGCGGTGTGGCTGTGGGTGTGGGTGTGGGCGTGGCAGTGCCTTGGTCGAGTGTCAGTCGTGCTCCAGAACGCTGACGGCTGCCTCACCATTACGCTTGAGGGCCATTTCCGAGAGCTGCTTGGCAAACGTGTGCAGGTCGTCCTCGTACTGGCGCGGCACTGGCTGATACCATGACCATGACCACACTCGTCTGGACAGCTCGTGCCGGATGATTTCCAACGAAACGACATAGTCGCCCTTCATCAGTGGCACAGGGATCCCGCCGAACCGAGTCTTGAGGAACCGCATGGTGACATTGCGCTCGGCGAGGCGGGCTGGGATGGGGATCGGGTCTTGCATGGAGATGAGGGACGGCAAGAGGGCTCTGCGTTGGATAAGGAGAAGAAGTGAGGGGGCCTTGGCACCCCGACCTGTGAGAGTCTGTGGTTGCTTTGCGGACAGGCTCGAAAGCAGCACACAGCTGTGACGTCTGCAATGTGAGGTAAGGATGTGTGCACGTCCTGCTATGTGACGTACACACTTGACAACATTGGCTTCGCTTGCGCTACGCGTTTGTCCCCACCAGTTGCGAGTCCCCACAGGATGGAGTGACTCCTCTCCACTGTTATCCTCCTCGCCCCACTTCTATCTGATCTCCTCTGGCGCCAAGCATGCAACTCAAACAGTAGCCGTTTTATCACATTGGATCTCGCCACAGCCTCTTTCCGACGACATCGAGCTTGCTCGACGCCACCGCCGGCAAGCCGCACAGACTATCAACCCCGTCTTTCCCCGCTTGAGATTTTGACAACACCTCTCTCCCAACGCCAGCCCCCCCACAGCGCCAGTACGCCAGGCATCTAGCGTGTTTCCAATGCCAAGGTCTGCAGATGGACTCACCATAGACAAACAGGCTACCGGTTATGTGTACGTTTAATGGAATGCTGATGTTGCTATGCCCCAGAGACCGCTGTTGCGCCGCCCGGGCCCCACGATCCACGATCAAAGGGGGACCGGGTTCGTTCTTTCGAGGCGTTCATTGCTAACGCTGGAGATGGCCATCGCGCACCAGCAGGATCTCTGCATACCGCAGCACAGACCACGGAGTGACCGCCAGGTGACTCGGACTGTACAGGCTGCAGACTCGCTCGCAATCTTTAAGCTCGTCTCTCCGACGAAGCATTCTTCCTCCACCCATTCGTCCCTCCGGCCTCAGTAACGATGAACGACCCCACAGTCAAAGTCATTCGTATCCCACTCGATCTGCTGCGACACCCATCCATCGACATTACAAAGCACACCGCCGTCCTACATATGCAGGCCACGACTGGCGGAATCCCCATCCCCACCCCACCAGACGTGTTTGCTGCCGTCTTTGCATTCCTGCTCGATGTCAAGTTCCGCACGACGAGTAACCCCAACACCAAGCTGAACCACCCCGCCGTGGCTGAACGGGCCAACAAGCTGCTGGAGGAGCTGTATGTGTTTAGCATCTGTAAGTGAGGGATGCGGTTACACTGGAAGATGACGGGTGGACTGACTTTTTGTGTCCTTGCAGCGCGTCCATTCCAGGCCTCCATTGACAAGAACCGCCAGGCCGAGGTCACGCAGATCAACATCCTCACCAGCGAGGTCAACATGCTTACCAACGAGGTCGACACCCTCAAAGCCCAGCTTGCCTCGCAGATGGAACACCTGGCCGCCGCCCTCCCGCTCAGTGCCAAAAGTGGTGGTGGTGGTGGTGGTGGTGTGTGCCAGCCCACGCCTCCTTCGCCGGCAACGCTCGAGGCCCCGCCTTCCCCGCCTGGCTCGATCCTGCTGCACCGTCCGTCGCCCTCGCCACCGTCGCGTCTGCCAGCCCAGAACGTCCGTTTCAAGTCTTGAAAAGAAAGCGCGGACAAGCCTGTGTGGTCCTGGCGGCGGGGTGACGGACCCGTGCAGCGTAACGCCACGACCGCGAACGGATCTCCTCGGTGCTTTCTTTGGTGCAGCAATCGCACGACCGCGTTTTCCAACACGTGTTTCTGAGACGTGCGGCACGCAGCTGTGCAGCCGATAGAATCGAAGGGCAGATGGACGCGGGTAACATATGTGAGAGGAGACAGGTAATACCATATGCATTCAACATTCTTTGGGTGCAAGCATGTGCGAGGACTCAGCGATCCAGCCACAAACCAAACATCCCAGCCTGTCAAGGGTCGTCCCTTTGCGTCTATTTTCCGGTATTTTTCAGCAATCAGCGACACCTTTACGCGCTTCATGGGGACCGGAGGGTCAGAGATCAGAGCATGGACAACATTATATACACATGCATAACCGTATGGTACAGGCATAACCACAGTCGTTCAATGATACAAATTGTGAGGGCTCAGTGGTGGGCCGCATGGGGCTTCAGTGCAAGCTGACGTCTGTTGGGTGTTGGTTGTCACAGGATGGTGTAGACGATGTTGGTGACGACGTTGTGCTCTGGGAAGGCGTACCCGGCGGTGACGTATGGTCCCAGGGATGGACGACTTTGCGATACTCGTCTGGAAGGTCTTTACCACGATATCCGCAAACAACGTCGCCGCAGGCATCGACAAGCAGGACCCGCTTCTTGTCCTCTGCCTCTGGGTCGTGGTCGAGCTCATGATTGACGACCGTGAACGCACGCAGAGGAATCGACACTGGATCTGGCATGTAGCTGGCATTCCAGGTCAGTACAGGGTCAACATTGTCAGCACATACCGGTCGGTAAACAAGTCCTCGTCGTATTCAGTGCGTTGCAGCGTACCCAACGAGTCGATGCCTTCGTCCCAGACACTGTCCATGGCGCCCCTCGCAAACTTGCGCACATAGTCGAGTTCGGGCAGCGTAAAGTTTTGGAAACGATTCGATACCGACGTGCAGGCCTGGTGAAGGAGTGAGCAAGGCGCCGAACAGCATTGAGAACGCAAGAGAGACCCACAATGTCGTACGCCGTCTGAATGACAAGGTCCGTGATGGCTCTCCATCCCTCGCCAGAGGCAATTGTACTTTTACGATGCCTTGAAATGACACGCATGTAGTCTTTCATGCGATACGCCACACCAAAGACAGCGACGGCAAAGTCTACGGCGTCGAGTTGGCCGGGGGTGCCAGTTGTCAAGTGGCCGTCGTTGTCGTCGTCGAATGCGGCTTGCCATCGTTTGCTTGCGGTGCATGCTGCCCAGCGAGCCTTCGCGTCCAGCATGCCCCGAGGTATGGGAGGGCATGAGAAAGGGACGTGCTTCCAGTCTGTGCGAGGGAAGCGTGTGATGCTGTCTGGAAACAGCATGGTGGATGGATGAAGTGTGGCCCCGGCCACACCGAATATGTTGTCGTCGTGGGGGGAGAGGGTGCCGACGACGACGAGCACAACAAAGGGTTGATGACGTGTGTTGTATTTTGATAAGACCCACATTTTCGCAACCCTCCACGAAGAACCCCCTCTCCCCCGCAGTTACCTCGCAGGACGACGAGATTCAAGAAGTCGTGCATGACTTTGTGGAGATTTTCCGTGAATCCGTTGGCACCACGATCCTTCCTCCGCACCGGCAGTACGACGCTGAAATTGAGCTCATCCTGGAGCCCAAGCTGGCCAGACCCCGGATCTACCAGTTATCCGGGTCAGAGATGACCTTCCTTCGTGAACTCTTGACCCGTGAACTGAACGCTACAGTGGGGGCTGTCTGCCCATCCACACCTTTCTGTCCCCGGTCAATCAATCGTGCAAAGAGACCCGCGAGGTCAAGGTGTCTTACCTCTCCCGTGACGCGCAACACCCAGTCATTCGACAGCCGACAGTTCATGTCCATTTTTGATCAAGTCGCCGGTGGCGGGGACCGTGCCGTTGGGGACCAACACTCCAATTACCACAAGCAAGTGCTGATGATAGACCCCGGGCGTCTCTACCTCTACGACGAAGGTGATGCGTGGATGGAGCACTGTTTTCGGTCGAGCGCGTCCTCAGCAGCGGCCAGCTCAGCGGCGGGAGCGCTTTTCCGAGGAGTGCGCGAGCAAGGTACGCATGATGAACGAGGCGAGGGGACGCGTGGGCTCAAGTTACAAGGAGAACCTGAAGAGGCATATGTATATCGCGGCGATCGACAAGACGTCGGGATGCTGGCAGCGCTCAGTCGAGAGGTCTCCGCACGGCCCGGCCACATTCTCTTCCAACAGAGTCCAGAGCTGATGCGGTAGGGAACGTCTCACGCAGATGCTTAGAGGATGGCATGGTAGCTCCTAACCCATTTGCCTGTCGCCACCCATTTGCCTGTCGCCACCCATTTGCCTGTCGCCCCTCACAGTACTGTTTGCGACCTATTTTGTTCCTTTTGATGCCGTTTCTCTGGCCATCACCCCTCTCTTGGCCCTATCCTGCTCTTGTTTACCTACCCGTTGCTTGCAATCTTGTTTTCTACTGCGCGGCTTCGATAGTCGTGAGCGAGACACTTACAAAAGCCTGAAGAGCATGATTTGGGTGTATCACAGCGATCTAATAAACACCGCTCGCCGATGAGCCATTTTTTGTGACGCTTTCCATTGGCCTTCGCCTTCAACTCTCCCAGCCTGTGCGCGACCGAGAGCCTCAACCGAGTTGTCCCCAGGTCAAAAAGCACAACCCACAATCAGACGTCGGGAGCGGGCCTCGCCCCCACTTGGCTTCAAAATGGTCGACTCTGCTCAGCACATCGGCGGTTTCGACACCGTTCCGCCTGCCGAGGACGACGCTGCCAAATCCATTGACCTCAACAACGGGTCCAACCCTGTGGCCACCCCCAAGGACAGTCCTGATGCTGTTTCACGCATCGAGGCCTTCCGTCGGCTCTACAACACATCCAAGAAGCAGACCTTTTTCTGGGTGGCTTTCGTCTGCTGGGCCTTGGCTCTCGACATCTCGTCTGCCACCACGGGTCTCTACTTGTCGTTTGCCACGTCCTTTTTTGGGCAACATCCCATCCTGTCGACCATCACGCTCCTGACGGCGGTGATGGCGGCGGTCATCCAGCCGTTCTGGGGCAAGCTCGCCGACATGGCCGCCCGCCCCATATGCCTGCTCCTCAGCCTCCTCCTCTACACCCTTGGGTACATCATCTCGGCCTCGTCCCAGACCGTGACAGGACTCGCAGTTGGTCAGGTCATTTACTCTCTCGGTAAGCTCGATCCGCTCTGCCCCGCTGATTGTCAGGCAACATCGGCTTGTCTTTCTTGCAGTCGCTCATTGTGGCCGACGTCACCACGCTTCGCAACCGCGGTCTGGCGTACGGGATGGTCTCGTTCATCTACCTCCCGTTCGCGTTCGTTTCGTCCAACATCGCCGCCGGGGTTGGGCTGGAGAACTGGAGGTGGGGTTACGGCATGTTCTGCGTCATGATGCCGGTCTGCGTCGCCCCCATCCTCGGCATGCTGTTCTGGGCGGATCGTAAGGCCAAGCAGCAATTGACGGCCGAGAAGGGCCCCGCTGAGGTCGTCAAGGCGCCGCTCGCGAACAGGATCCGTCGAACGCTGGCACTTGTTGATCCCCTCGGGCTAATCCTCATCGGCTTCGCCTTTTCGCTCCTCCTCTGCCCTCCCACGCTGTACGCAAGTGCCGTCGGCGGCTGGTCAAATCCGTCAATGATCGCCATGGAAGTGGTTGGCGGCGTCATTTTCATCCTATTTATCATTTGGGAGTGGAAATTTGCTGCCCACCCGCTCTTCCCTCTGCGGATCTTCAAGCTCAACTACCTGCTCTGTCTCTTTACCACCATCATGCTCTTCCTCGTGACCGGCGTCTACAACACTACTGGACCAGCTGGATCTGGGTCGTCAAGGACTACGACGAGTCCCAGTGGACTTACATGAGTATTGCCGGCTCGGCGGCACTCTGCTTCTTCAGCCTTGTGGCAGGCGTCGTGCAACACTACACCCGGCGCTACAAAATCATGATGATCTCCGGAAACGCCATCGTCTGTATCGCCGCCGGCATCATCTACTTCTCTGCGACAGCTGGCAACACCAGTACCGTCGCCCTCGTCTTCTCGCAGGTCTTATTCCAAGGCGGTGCGGCGTTCGCCCTCATGGCGGCACAGACGGCGTTCCAGGCCTCGGTAAGCCACGACGACCTCGCCATCGCGCTTGCCGTGTACATCTTTGCCGAAAGCCTGTGCAACGGCATCGGAGCGTCGGCCGCCGGATCCATGTGGACCTCGAGCCTGGTCGCCAACCTCGAGGCGGTCCCGGGCCTCAATGTCACCGACGTGCTCAGCATCGCGGGCGACATCACCCTCGCCCGCATCTCCGAGCCGAGGGCCGACATCATTGTGGCCTACGACAAAACTTATCGTAGAATGGCACTCGCGGCCTTGATCCTCACTTTCCCCTCCTTCATCGCTTCATTCTTCAACCGGGAGATTGTGCTGGACAACAGACACAACATCATTGACGAGGAGTCCCCGGCGGTTTGACGATTGTGAACCAACGCGGTACATACAGTACATAATGCAGATGCCTTATTCAGTCAACCAAATCAGCCAACGCCCTCAGAAGCAGCGGATCCTGCCGGTTAGGAAGACCCATCAATTAGGGCTGGAGAGAGAGCAGTCACTGGAAGCGGCTGGGGAGGGCACAACAAAGGGACGTGCTTCCAGTCTGTAGTGTGCGCGAGGGAAGCGTGTGACGTTGTCTGTGAACAGCATGGTGGATGGATGAATGTGGCCAGCTGCACTACCATGGTTGCCGACGAGTAACAACAACAACAATAAGGACTAATGACGTTTACTTTATTTTGATAAGACCACATACAAGGAATGATGTCATTGCCGTCGCCCTCATCGTCATTGTCGTCCTCACCATCCGCACCATCCCTTCAACACGACAACCTGCCCGACGCGGCGGTCCCACTCCGGCGCTCTTTCCGCAGTACATGCGTTACCTGGCGAATCCTTGGATGGTATCAGCAGGGGGATAAGAAGGTCGCGGCGGCGGCGGCGGTTGTGGCGGGGGGCGGGGTGTGCGCGCTATGCTTCTGGTGGCGCAGAAGGGTTTGGGTGCCTTGACCGTGCTGTGGTGTGCGTTTGTGCTTCTCGACAGCAACAATCACATTGACAACATTCTTCTTTCCCACCTCGCACCTCATTCGTATCCCACAACCATGGCATCCGGCGACCACAACCGGCTCGTCAACGGCAGGCCACTCTCCAACCGCCTCGCGCCCACAACGCCGACGACATCGACGTCGGGGGCCAGCAAGCGCACGCCGCCAGCGTACTCGCCAGCTCGGCTTCCCCCGACGCCCATCTCCCTTGCACCCGAGGGGGAGAAAGACGTGTACGCAGAGTACATTGGAAACTTGCCACCACCGGGCAGCGCGGCGCTCCCGACCCCGAGTGTCCGTTTCCAAGAGAACAGACATGCCCACAACCAAGGGGCCTCTGACGACGACACCGACGACGACGACTTCCACAGCGCCATGCCAGCGCCGAGTGCCAGGCGGAGCACGCGGACCCGATCGACCGCACGCCGCCGGCGAGCACGCACCGTTGTGCCCATCCCACTCCCGCTGCTCCGTTCCCAGATCCTGTCCTATGTGTGCCGCGACGCGCTCGTCGCGCTCCAGACAGAACATGGAGGCCTCCCTATCCCTGTCAAGTCCAAGCACCTCCAGCTCTGCCTGGACACATGCAGCGAGGTGGAGGAGTGTCCCAACGAGACGGCGACAGCGAGGGCGTTTCTCGACCAGGTCTATGCTGTGACGCAGTGTGGGTAGAGTAGCATCGTCGGACGCTGACCCACCAGATCCGCCAGACGACGCCGTAGCCAGCCGCGTCGATGATCTCGAGGCGCTGGTTGCCGACTTGGCAAGCAAGGCGCAGATGGCCTGGGCTGGACAAGAGGTGCTGCGTCTGCGTCTCGAGCTTCTCGAGCTCAAATGTGGGTGTAGTGCTTTCGACCAACGCTAACCCAGCAGACAACGGCGGCGGCTTCACCCCTGCGACACCAGAGACGGGCAAGACCGAGACGGGTCCGTCCAAGAAACCCCTCCCTTCCATCCCACATGAAGTCACCACGCTCTCCGCCCGCGTCGACAACCTCACCGACATGCTCAAGGACCTGGGGTGCGGCTCACAGCAGGCCGTTCCCCCCGCCCAGCTGTTCGGGTTCACGCCGACGCGTCTGCCCAAAGTGGTCGCTCCCAAAGAACGCAGTCGGAGCCTGCCTCCCCGTGCCGGTCCACGACCCCGTGTCCCCGCGATCGACCCGGCCCCGCGTGACACTGAGAGCGACGGCGAGAGCGACTCGCCATCACAGGCCAGTTATAGCAGCTTTGACATTCCCGCAACCACGCCGCTCCCGCCCGACATTGTCATCTGGGTGTGCCGCAGTTGCCGGCTGCACAATCCCGACTGGGAGCGGGCAAAGTGCCAGTTCTGCAGCAGTGCGCGTCCGGGCGTGGAGACGGACGAGGGAACGGACGACATGCTGGAGGACATTGAGGAGCGGAGCGAGGTGTATGATGACGATTAGTGGCTGTAGAGTGCTCGCTGGAGGCGCATGTATGAGCCCCGGGTAATATGGGTATGTGGGTACGGCCTGGCCGCGTTTTACGTGACATTTGCACGTCGATGCTTCTTGCCGCGCTTTTCCGATGGCACGTGCAGTGGAATGGGTTCTTTGTTCTTTCCATCCACGCAAAGACCATCTGGTCATCATCTTCCATCTCGTTGCGCACATGACGCAAGCTGCGCCGCCCACGCACATCTTCAAGCCCAGAACTCGTCTACACGACACGCGTCGAGCGTTGGACAATGCGTCGTGGAGGGTCCAGAGATCCCAGAGAGACGTCGTGTATCGGTAATCGCCGCCCACTACGGCTTCGGGGTATATAAATGACGTCTTTGCCCACAACGCGCGTTCTTCGCTACCACCAAACACACTCCATTACCACACACAACCATGTACACCAACAGCGATACATCGCACATTGAAGAGGATGGTGAGTGGTAGCGGTCTGCGTGCATGGTGTATTGTGCTGACATCAATGCAGAGCTCGACACGGGCGTCACTCCCACGACAATCGACATCGAGCACAAGGATCTCCCGACCGCACCACCACCACCACCACAGCGACTCCCTCTCCCACCCGCAGCGCCCACTGCGTCCGCGGCAGCACCGGACCCGCCCACCCCGGTGCTGACTCCAGCGCCGGACGGCCTGCCCCCCGCCAACCCGAACCCGTACGTCGACCCGATGCAGCAGCTCAACCGCCGGCTCGAGTCGCTCGTCAACGAGTTCAGCACGCGCATCGAAGACATTGCCATCGACTTTGGCGCCCAGGTCCACTCGCACGCTACCACGGCGCAGAACGAGGTCGACGCGCGCACCGCCCAGGTCGCCGAGATCATCCAGCGCCAGACGGCCAACCTCGCGGTCGAGGCGGAGAAGCGCACCGCGCTGCTGGGACAGCAGATTGAGGACCGGTCGACGGAATGGGGATCGCGCGTCGAGCGCATGGCCGACGACGCCCGGCCCCGCGCCGAGCGCATCACGGCGGGATGGGGCGCGCGCATCACGGCCCTCGCGTCCCAGTGGGGCTCGACGATCGAAAAGGTCGCTTCGGGTCTGGGGCAGGAGGTCGAGCGGCGCGGAACGCAGTTCGGTCAAGGTGTGGAGGGCTTTGGCGTCGAGCTGGGCCGCACGTTGAGCGGGGAGCGCGGGTTCCAGCAGGCTCAGGCTCAGGCCCAAGCTCAGGCTGAGGCTCAGGCTGGTTCGGCCCACGCTGGTTCAGCCCACGCCGCGGACGCTTCCTCGCAAGGTGCACAAGTCCCGGAGCCTGCTGGACCACCCGCGTACGACGTGGCCCACGACGAAAAGACTGCCGCGGGCGCCGACGAGCACACGGACGATGACATTGCTGTCGATTCCGAGTATGCCACACCCGAGCCTGAGAACCAGCCGAACCAGCCATTGCTCAAGGGCGAGACGGGCGTCAACGAGAAACGTGAGTTGGTAGAGGCCCTAAACGTGACCGCTAACTCGTCCCAGTCTGAGTTCATGATGATATGACCATCATATGATAATAGGAATAGTTAGGACGAGCGTCTGTGTCGCTGTGCGCCGAGACGACTCATGATCTATGCAGCACACGTTTCGGTTTCCCGAATTTCGGTGACACACTCACGGTTACACGGTTACACACCCCTACAAGGATACACCGAGACACGACGACGTCAGCGTCCACTTTGACAGTGTGAATGGTGGACGCTGGTCTATCCGACCCGAAGTCTCACAGCTGACAGAGTCTCTACTCGGTGCATGCGTCGTCGGCTCTTTCACGTTTCTCCCCATCGCTCACTCGCTTGTAATCATACTAGAACCATACACCATGGCAACCGAGAACGCGCCTCTCCTCATGGCCAGAGCAAGCTCCCGTACGTCCCAGACCCTCGACGTCGTCGTCTTCACACCACACTCTTCCTTGCCGACTCTCATCCTGACGCAGTAGCCGACCACCAGGCCCTGTACGACCCGACCCACCCAGACCCCTACGCCGACGACGACAACATGGGCGCGCACGACCCGTCTCATGGACACGTGTTCGCCGGGTCCCGCATCGGATACTACGCCGCGGCGACGGGGATGCACTGGACCGCACTGGCGCGCGGCGTCAAGAGCCAAGTGGGCAGGCTGGTCCATGGCGACACCGAGACACGAAAGGTACCAGAATCGACGGGGTTGGTCGGCAAGCATTAGCATTAGCTGTGAGTGGTCGCGGGGAGGGGGAGGGAGAGGGGGAGGGAGAGGGGGAGAGGGGGGTGAGACTTGGGACAAGGGGAGGGCTGACAGGTAATGTGAAGACGCAACCACTCGATGACGAGACCACATCAAAGGGTGGCAGGCTCGTGTATGATGAGGAGATGTACACTCTAAATGGATCCTGTCCCATGGGTGGCATTCTGGACCTTGCCGTTATTGAGCGAGGTGTGGGTGGCGAAGTCAGTGCTGGAGGAATCATGACATGGCGGTACTCACTGATACTCGTCATACTGGAGCATCCGCCACCCCGCAACTTCGGCGGTACAGCAATCCCGTGGAATCGCGCGGCGCTCGGCTGACTGACGGCCTCGACTGCTTATCTCGTCTGCTCCGCTCCGGTCGGCGATCAGATGCTCTCTCAGCCCTATTCACCCGCACATCAAGGTCCAACCAGGTCGCCACGGCGACAGGCATGGGCAGGATCAGGCACCTGCATCAGTGGCTCCTAGAGCACCGCCGTCCACCAAAAAGTCGCTCATCACCTGACAATGGTTGCCGGTCCACCATCTAGCCGGGGACTAGGCGGGTGATACACGACCGAGTCGGCTGCAGCCGCGGATGTCATGGAAGGAGTCCACTATCCACTATCTCGTGAGGCAGTGCCGTTTCTCCTCCGCCGCCAAGAGATTCTGTCGGCTCGCTCGGCTGACCTCTGTGATCCATCGCCGAGCAGCCACAGATGTTGTTGGAGCCCGCCGCCCATGTCGTTCAGCGAAGGGCAATTCGTTTGTCCTGGCATTGTCATAATATCCCTTGTGGTACTGGAGGTTACGCAGAAGGCATAGCATTCATTTCAGGATCACAGTTTGGGGGGTTATGGACAACACAAAAGAAATAAAATAAAAACATTCATTAAATCGTCGAGAAATTCAAGGCCATTCGCCGCCACGGTCAAATGGCCGTGATCCGCGCCTGCTGCGCCGTCGCCGTCTTCATCATGCCCGCGACCTGGGAGGCATACAGTGCGCTCTGGGACGACTGGAGGAGCCGGAGCTCCTCGACTTCCTTCTTGGCGGCGGCCAGCTCGTTGTTCAACGACGTGACGCGCACGCGGAGCGCGATGAGTTCCTTGCTCGGACCGCGCGGCGCGGCCGACGTGTTGTTTGTCGTGGTGCTCTTGCCCTTGCCAAACTTGGATACCGTGACCACTTCCTCCTCGACGTACGGGTACGGGTGCTCTGTGGACCGGGTTTAGGGACGCTCAGAAGGAAGGGTTAGTGCCGCGGGGAGCGAACGTACTCTGGACTGTGGCGTTGACGAGCTGCACAAACTCGGCAAACTCGGCCTTGAGGTCGGCATCCTCGAACGGCTTGTCGCTGAACTCGACCTCGGCGTCGAGAAGCTGGCGGAAATGCCACGGCGCAACAGGGACGGGGATGCCGCCGTACAGTGCTGCAAGTTCCACAAAGCCCGCTTCCTTGAAGCGGATCTCGGCAGTACGGAGAATCCTGAACGAGATGGGAATGGGAGGCAACGTGTTCTCCGGGACTGGAAGAGCGACCTTGATGTCCGGGGTGTAGGTGGGTGGCGGCGCGGGGCGCAAGGGCTGCGAGCTGCCTCGGTTGAAGAAGGTAGACATTGTGGTGAGTGGGTAAGTGTGTAGTGACGAGGAAGAAGGGTGTATGCAAACAAGGCCCATTATATGCTGGTGACGGCATCGCCACGGACACCGCCACCCACTCGGCCGTACCGGCTCACACCATTGACGGATCAAGTTGGCTCCACGTTCTTTGAACAACTATATCGCGCACTCACCGCCTCTGCCAAGAAGCATGGCGACATACAAGGTCCGACCTGGGCGCCAAAAGATGCAAAACAGTGACTCGTCCATCGCCAGATGAGCTCAGCCGATAATGACATACATGATCCGACCGTGTGCTCCCGGACCACTTGGTGTATTCCGGAGCATCCGATACCTGCACAGCCGCATGCCTGTCAACAAAGACCCAGGGGGCACGGCTGCTCCAATCCATCGTGGGCCGCTCGTCACCCCGCCACTATCGCTGCCTTTGGGCACCTGTCGACCCGGCCAGCTTCCCCAGTCTTCCGACAGCCTGTCCGAGGCGGTCGACAGAGCCACGCTCCAGTGTGGCCACCGAGACATATTGGCGCCACCTCTACCTGTGGTCTCTGTGATGGTCTGTTTGCCTGGTTGTGTATTGTCGTAATAGTGTTACGTATGTACAGTTTCATGCTGTCTAGCTATGTGCTCCTCCTGCCAGTGGTTCATGATCAGAACAAGTGGGCGGGATCCCTCTTCCCGCCCTTCAACTTGGGCCACACGGTATGCGTTTGAAGAATATAAACGTGTGCTCCAGCTACCTGCCCTCATTATCGCCGTCACACAGTGTGGAGTCATCCTCATGGTCGAACTTGCGCTTAAGTTGAACAGTCTTGGTCTCCAGGCTCGCCACATTGCCGGTGAGGTCGACGATTTGGCGCTTCAGCCGGGCCAGTTCACGCTTGAGCTGCAAATTCTGAGTTTCCAAGCGTTTGATCTGGTCTTGACTGGCTTTGGACAAGGGCTTGTGGTCACCGTTGACGGTACGCCCAGTCGACTGGGCCGGCTTCCATGGTTGTTCTGTTGCGTCAGACAGAGACCCGCCGTGTTGGCAACTCACCGGTGCTTATTCTGTGGGCGTCCGCCACCAGCTTGAACATCTTGTCGTGTTCGGTTTTTGGGTAAAAGCTCCTCTTATAGGTTTTGATAATGTGCGAGGCCAGCCGGTGGATAGCTTGAGCATGCTCGGGAGCGATGGGGACCGGGATGCCGCCATACTCGAATTGGAGGGTCCTCAGCAGCACACGTGCTGGAGGGTCCGACGCAGCGTATATCACTTCGAAAGGGATGGGTAGGACGTTTTGCGGCATGCTGGCGTGAAGAGGGTTGTGGAGTGGTAGAGAGGACGAGAGTGAGGTGGGGTTATGCTGAAAGCGACCATACTCACAGGATGTCGTTCCAGTACGGGACGCCGCATGCGGTTAAACGGCCATTAACCAAGATGATTGACAGGAACCGCTGGACGGTTTCGGCAACCCGCATGCCATCGACTGTACAACTGTAACGGGTTTGTCAGTGCAAGCGCGGGTTGATAGACCTGTGCTTTTATGGAAGCCGTCAGCGAGCCCCATGAGTGTGGCGTCAGAGTGACCAGCGAACAAGAAAGACGCTATCCACCCAAGCAGAAGGTTTCGAAAAGCCACAGAACATGCCATCCCGTCTGTGCGTCTTGACAACATGACACCACCTCTGGCTGGTTGCCCCTCAGAACAACGCCTCACTGTGCACTGTGCCCGGTATGCTCACGGCCTACTCGGAAGCCTGACGTCGTGGTGGACAGGAACTCGCAGTGTGGGACCCCTCACCGTGCACGGCAAACCTGGCCGCCACGACCCTTGACGAACGTCGCCACATGCCGTATGGCCCCGGGACATGACTGGCCTTCCTCCCATTCACATAGAGGAGGCTTTGGTATGAGTATGCATGTGTGGGAGAGTGCACTTGCAGTCAGTTGCAGACCCCACAATGGACCTCGTGTTGGAAGAAGCGGTGGTGGTGACTGACCATGACGTGGTCGCCGCCATAGGAACGCAACGTTGCAAACGAACCGTGCGGCGTTCATGGGATCATGGTCCCTACTCGTTTCCCTTTGGACCTGTTCTGATTCTTATTGTTCCCCACAGGTCTCCCCCACACCCAAGAGCATCCCCTGCGAGACATTTCGGTGCGTGGGACGCAATCTTTATGAGCACCTCTTGGCCAACTTTTATGTCTGAACATTTGTCTTCCACTACCACCACCACCACCACTACAGTCGCCGACAATGATCTCGACATACCACTCCCGCCCGTTTGACGGCCTCGTCGTCGCTGTCTCGGAGCACGCAGACGACTGGTACTTGAAGAAGATGCGCGAGATGGTCGAGGGCGGCGGCGGCAGGCTCGTCGACCAGGTGGACGCGCGCACCACCCACCTCGTCGTTCCCGAGTCGACGACCCGCGAACTGGCGCGGCACAGCCGCAAAGTGCAGGCGGCGCTCGCGCTCTCGGGATCAGGATCAGGATCGCCGTGCTATACATCGACGGGCGAGGTCATTTGGATCGTGTACGATACGTGGGTGTGGTTGAGCAAGAAGAACCAGCGACGCGAGAATGAAGCGCCCTACGACGCGCACGCTGGAGACAGGCCCAAGGTCCTCCCGCCCAACACGACGCTCTCGAACCCGTCGACGGGCACGCTCGACTCGTTTGACACCACCTGGCGCGTGTACAACTTTATGGAGCAGATGAGTGCCGAGGCCGAGCGGTTCCATGTGAGTTTTGCGGTCCTCTCCCTTCCGGCTTGCTGACGGGGTGACAGGCCTCTCTGACAGAGGAACTGCGTATGGCAGCAGGCGCCCATCGCGCAATGGTCGAGAAGGAGCTTAACCTGCGTACGTGTTACCGCTAGGAAACGTCTCGGCTTCGCTTACCCTCTCCCCCCTCCCAGTCACACGCTACTGCGACCTGGTAGCCGACGTGCGGCACTCTGCCCTCGAGCTCGAGGACTAGAGCGCTTGCGTTCTTGTTGTCGCAGGTCACGGCCGAAAAGTGACTGCCCGCAGACCATCCTCGGCTGCGTCAGTGCGAGTCGTCACGTTTGGGGGTCCCCTTGCACCCTTTTCGAGCAACATTAGCTTTGGGTTGGGTCGCGGACACGAGCCCTCTGCGCAGCAAGCATGACTGTCCCACAGCAGATACACGTCGTCGACAGGCAGTGCAAGTCGCAAGTCACCACTCCGGCCACCCCTCCTCCAGCCTCCCGCCTCCCACCCTCATGTCCACTCCACGACTCTACGACTCAAACGACTCATTTGACGATACCCACTTGCTCCCCCCTCCATGTCCATATGCATAATACACCCTACCCTGCCTGTACTCCCCACTAGCCGCGCCGCTAGAAGCGGCACCGCGCAGCGCGTTGCATGTCCCGAAGCGACCCGATCCCGAAGCGGAGTGCCAGAGTGTGTACCAGATCCCAGAGTGATGCACCGCGCTTGCTTTCTCTGTTCCCGACCGTCGGATAATCTGTGCGCGGACCGGCCGACAACAGAGATGTTTCCCCGTCACAGCTCTCCGTACCTCTCCGTCCACACTTTAAACTTTGGCGCAGGATCCAACAGGCCAGCAGGACCATGTCTTGCTGGCCCCTGTAGCAGGGGAGGCAGTGGGTCCTGTACAATGACGTAGGATGGCTGACCTTGGCGTTTGTCGTCGCTCGCATGGGAGACCTTGGGCACATTGCGTCCTGGTTGCTTTCGTGACCAAACTTCTGTACATCTCAAAAAACTGGTTTACTAGTTTACACTGCTTCTGCCACAGACCGCATTAATTCGAGTCGTATTCTAAGTCACAGGACAGCAACCTTGGTCCCTTGGGCTTGCGTTCGCTCCCTCGCTCGCTCGCCCGCTTGCTCGCCTACTTGCGCGCCGGCGCGGCGATGGTGTTGGCGCGCGACAGACCGCCAGCGGCAAGACCCATGCCGACCATGCCGCCCGTGTTCAGGGCCTCGAGGGGTGCGAACACGGTGTTGTTGCCATAGGCCTTTGTGCGGAGGACCTCGACACGGTTGCTGGCGAGTGCGCGCGCAAACTCGTCGTGGATCTCGGCGTCGGCCTGGGCCTGGATACGGATGGCCTCGGCGTCGGCCGCGGCCTTCATCTTGGTCGCGTTGGCCTGGGCGTCCGCCTCGATGAGGTGCGCCTCGGCCCACGCGCGCGCCGCCTGCACCTTGTTGGCGGCCTCGGTTTCCGCCGTCGCGCGCTTCATGGCGTTCTGCAGCTCGAGGACCTTGGCCTCGCCCTCTTGCTTGCGGCGCTTGTTGGCGTTCTCGCGGTCGAGGTTGGCCGACTCGACCTGGGCCTCGAGCGCGCGTGTGGTCAGCGAGTCGAGCTTGGCCGCAATCTCGCCCTTGAACTTGCGGTCAATGATCGCAAGGTCCTCGAGCGTGATGCCGTACTCTGCTGCCGCGACCTTGAGCTCGTCAATCGCCTGCGTGCGGACCGCAGAGACAAACACGGCGCCGACGTCCTCCTCCATGTTGTCGTCCATGTGCGTGATACCGTCGGGCGCGGCGGTACGCGTGCGGGCCATGCTCGAGTAGTCGAGGTGGGCAATGATTTGCGTGAGTATCGAGCGCGTCTTGTCCTGGAGCGCGTCGAATGGCGTAGGGTAGCCGTGGCGGGCGAGGAGGAGAGGCTCGTTGAGCTGGTAGCGAATGTACAGGCGAAGGTAGACGGGCACCGAGTCGCGCGTGTAAATGTTGGACGCCTCGAGCTCCTGCTGCACTTCCGAGAGGGTAAAGTATCCACGGATCGTGACTGCCGATGTGGTGAGGTGGTGCTGGCCCGCAGTGAGCTGGAAGAGCTCGTTCTTGCGCTGGAGGATGGCGACGTTGTTGGCGGGAATGTCGAGGAAAGTCGCCGCGACGTGGCCCGAGGGCATGCTGATCTGCTGTGTGTGGCCCAGAGTCTGCTTCGAGTATGGGTCCGAGACCTTGTTGCGCAGGTGGGTCTGGTCAACGAGGCCGAGGACGCGGTACGCGCCGTCGGTAGCCATGGCGACGAAACCCCCGTCGGCGACGACAAAGACACGGTTCTGCGGGTCGAGGCAGACGGCAGCCTGGTTCTGCGAGACCTGCACAATGGTGAGACCCAGCTTGGACAGGGCCGCGTCGGGGACGAGGACGCCACTCGACTGCTGCAGGGGAGGAAAGTTGGTGGCCATGTCGTAGGTGCCCTTCCAGCTGCATCCGATCCAGTTGGCGAGCGGGGTACCAGGGTAGCGACCAGGGTGCAGGAGGATCTTGGGACCCGAGGCGTACTCGTACAGGCCAAATGAACCGGGGTTGACCTCGCGGCCCACGAGCTGGTGAGGACGCTTGTCAGAGAGGAGGGCCGAGTGGCCCGAGGCAATGAGTTCCTTGTTGAGGTCGTGGAGGGCCCCAATCACACCCTCCTTGCCAATGCGGACGAGGAGGGGGCTGCACAGGTGTCAGCATCGTTTGTCCATCATTACCTGGGGGGTTCAACAAACTCACTGCTTCTCGTCAAGGTAGGCGGTGGCGTCAACGAAGGGGAGGTCGGCAACGACGTTGGGAGAACCACGAGGGCCGCGAGGGACCTTGAGGGGAGGCTCCGGGACGAGATATCCGTTGTTGAAGCCGTTGTTCTTGGGCGTGGGTCCAGAGTGGTTGTCACCGACAGCGGTGGCGCCGTCATAGTCGGACTCGCTCTTGCGAGGGTGGGGGAGCATGTTGGAGGGTTGAGTTGGCGGTGAAGCTTGAGGTTAAGCTTGAGTGCGAGTGTATAGAGTAGAGTAGGGGTGTATGTGTGTGTGTTGGTTGGTGAGGATGACCAAGTGGCGAGGCGAGGTCGCTCTTATATAGACGCTACATCAGCTCACGGATCACGGACGTCGGCATTAACAAAGGCATGACTGACCGTCGCTGCACCGCATCACGCATCACGCATCACCGAGGAGCTCTTCCGGCCTCAAGCACGGGTCACCTCAGCAGCTCAACAGATCTATGCAGCAGCGGCGATGGACAGGTGATGCGGTATTTTGGACAGCGACGACGACAGGGCGAGGCATGCTATCGCTCTTTGTCTTCAGGCACACACGCACTGCAGGTTAAAGCGCAACAGCCCGTGTGGGTGCCTGGGGGGGTGCGCTGGGTGCAGTGCATGTTCCACCGTCTGCACCTCTGTCGTCGCTGCCAAGCATACCATCTCTCTCATGAGCTCTCATGCACGCGGTGCAGCCGACGGTAGCGACAACATCATCCTGTCGTATCTCGGTTCCGGCGGCAATGGCGCGCTTGATGACCGACAACACTCGGCCCCTTCTTGGCAGGGGCAGTTGCCAACGTCCTACGGCCGCGGAGCACCACCCTCTCTGGGATCTCAGTCTCACCGGACTCGGCGGTGGTGACCAGCTCGAGACGGCAGCGGACATGGCCGGGCATCCAAAGTCACAGACTTTCCGATACCATCGGCGGTGTGGAGCCTCTCCGTATGGGGCCTGTGGCCTGTGGTCTGTGGCCTGTGGGTTGCTGCAATTGAAACAAACGTGTGTCGAGGCAGTGGCCATGACTGCAACATCCCCCCTGCACACCGATATGCTTGACAAGCGAGCAAAACATCCCTGGACGCGTTCAGTAGTAGCCCAAGCCACACTGTGCGCACGGCTGGCACATCACCGACGCCGCGGTGCAACACAGCAGGTGCGCAGGTAGGTGGTGGTGGTGGGCATCACAGCATCACACTTTGCTTCTAGCTTCCCGACGCATAGACCTGTTGGGTACAGCCCACGTCCGAGAACGGCATGTCCGTCCCGACTGGGTCGTCGTCGTGAATCCCCGATGCATGTCTTGCCAAGCACTGGCGCATGCAAGCTTGACGTCAGGCGGGGCATGCAGCATTGTCAGCATACCAGCATGTTGGGCCTGTCGATCCGACAGGAACCTTGGCAGGCAGCAGGAACGGGCAATTACACTGACCATGAGCCAGGGTGGCCTCTTTGTCCGGCCCAATGCTATACACTTTCCCGAGACTGGACGTCACCTGCAGCGTCTCGTCTGTCCTTGGATCCTTGGTGCAACCTTGGCCAGAGCTTGGCCTGTTGGAGGGAGAGAGCTGCTTGATTGGCCTTCAACAAAACGACCTCGCTGCGCGAGTTTTTATCTGCACCGCTCTCCATCATCCGCCACGGCCGCCACGCGTTTTATCTGCACTGCTCCGGGATCCGTGGCTGGGTGGCGATGTCGGAAACCAAAATCCCGTACACCCAGCTACCAACCGCAGAGCGTTCAAGTGGATGCAACTAGACGTCTCACGTCTAATCACACGTGCTTCAGCCACCGCACTGCGGGCATTGCCGGCCAGCATGTCCTGCCCTGCGGTTGCAGGCTGTCAGGTGCGAGCTGGACGCCAAGTTGAGTGGCAAAAGTGTGGGCCGAAACGCATTGTATCGCCTCGCCGCCTCGGTCAAATCCACAAAGTCGCGCAGTCAGCCATCGGCGGTACCGCGGTACAGGTGCAGTACAAGCAAGGCGGCAAATGGCGCTATCGCAGCCACGGGAGAGGTGGCAGGTCCTGGTAATGCTACTTCGAAACCTTGGACCTTGGAGTGGGAAAGCCCTTGGCGGCCGTCTTGGCTGGCACAGGATCCGGTTTATCAGCCTCCGTTCGAGCGTCGTTGCGGAGCAGCGCTTGTCCGTGTGATGACACGGACGGAACATGGGGTCGCATTTGGATGAGGTTATTGGATCACTGGTAAGTTGGTGCACGTTGTCAATGTCGAGCAGATGGTGCAGAACCCGGTGGTGCACTGGCGGCGAACATCGTGTCCCCCGGTGGTAGCGTCTGCCCCCATCGCTTTGCGTGGCGATACCAAGCCGCCTCAGCCATCCGTACACTCAAACTCTGCCTCTTGTAGGCATGCAACTCTGCTCGAGCAACAGTCTGGCGGGTGTAATGTGTGCAATGTGAAAGTTTACAACAAGTCTCATCTCTGGATCCACATCTATCTCCTCATCCTGTCATGTCAGCTCCCGTTACACAGTCGTGCAGCTCACCTCTTCTTGAACCGTTCCATGACCACCTCGTCGCTGGCCATTTCGGCCTTTGGCGCCCGCTCCTTGTGCTGGTACGGCTCGAGACCGGCCGCCTCGCGGCGTGCCTTCTTCATCTCGCGCTGGATGTCCACTTCGCGCTGCTGGCCACGGAAGACTGGGGAGGATGTCAGCTACGTTGCTTCCCAATAACAGCCCGGCCAACTGCACTCACATCGTGTCGACGCTAGCGGGTCGTCGTCTGTCCTGCGCTGCTCCTGTGCGCGCTTCTCCATGAGCTCGCGCTTGGCCTTTTCGGTCTCTTCAATGTTGCGCAGGCGGTTCCTGTCGACCGTGTCAGCGGGTAATCCATTACCACAGTACTGCTACCCACTCCATGCCCAGATCCATTTCTGGAATGGCAGACAGCATGCCCAGTGAGTTGGTCACGTTGCCCTCCTCGTCCTCGCCAACCTGCACGCCCTCTACCTTGTACCGGTCCGCAAGGTCGTACAGCTGCGTCTGCGGGTCGAGCTCACGCGCCTCTGCGGAGCCTTCGGCAATACCCTTCTTCTTGGCCATCTCAGTCTCGATGAATGCCATCCTGCGAAAAGTGTGAGCTCTGAACAAACGAGACAACGTCTCCCACTAGCTCACATGTGCTTGTTGACATCGAGCGCGTTGGTCTGCTGCGTAAAGTTGTTTTGACGGACTTTACGCGCCAGCTGCTCCCCCTCGTCGTCCCCGGCATCTGCTCGCGGCTTGGAACTGGAACTGGCAGAATGCGACAGGCCGCCAGCGCTCTGCAGGCCGTACGCGTCCATGTCTGCGACGGTGTCTTTGGGCCTTTTGCGCGCCTCGCCGCGGTTGAACTTTTCCAGGTCGATGCCCTGCTGTCCTCGGCGCAGCTTGCGGAGGAGGATCATCTGCTCGATGCTCTGTCTGGAGAAGAGTCAGTTGGGCAGGGGAGAGGGATGTGGGCAGAGAAAGAAAAGACTCACCCCTCGGGGGTGTCCTCGCGCTCGTCGCCCGTGTCGGGCGCGCTCGTCGCCGCCGAGACGACCTCGTCGGCGCCCGTGTCTGGCGTCTTCTCGCGCACGGCGGCGGGGCGGGAACGTTTCTTGAACATTTTGGGTGCTTGAATGGGATACGCCTCCGTCCAGCGAAGGGTGATGTGGATGAAGAAATGGGGGGAAGAATGAATGGAGGAGAGTATGGTCGAGGAAGAAGCGCCAAGTGGAGGCCGGGCCCCATCACATCCGGCTTGTTGACTTTTTGCCGCCGAACGGTGAGCGTCACCGTCGAGGAATCACCCACTCCACCAACCACCAACAACGCAACACCATGGCCCTTCCCAACCTACGCTGTGAGTTGGAACGGACCTGTCTTATCAGTGCCCCAACTCACCATCTATAGCCATCTTTGCATCCTCGCGCACCTCTGAGGAAGAACGCCAGCTGTCCCGCGCAACGTTCTACAAGTTGTGAGTCGCCCACCGTTCGCAGTCTTCGCCGCCTTCCCTCGCCCACCTCCCTCTCCCCCGCTCTTCGCACCCACGCTGACGGCCACATAGCACCGCGTTCGTGGCCAGCTGTCTCGTCATCTCCCTCCTCGCCGCCAAGGGCTCGGCGCGCGACATTGTGCCCAAGGCAGCGCGGGCCATCGGCGGCGCCGCACGCGCATGATGGAGCTTCATGTCCGTCCTCGTGTCTAGCCCTTCCAGCCCACCGCCCCACCTGCTCCAGCCAACCTGACGACCTGACGGCCTCGACATGGGGCGGCCTTGCGTATCGTGGTGGTGTGACTCGGTGTGAGAGTCCCTCCATGGATTGGCAGCACGCCATGCGCGGCGGCCACGGCCACGTCGCGCGGCGTCGCTTTCGCTTACAGACGCTCGGTAACCCCCGGCACGAACCCGTCCAGCCTCCGACGCGTACCTCGACGCGATAAAGCTTTGTGCAAGGTTCGGAATGCACCGTGCCGTCTAGACAGTTTCTGACAAGTGTATCATTATGTCGAATGTATACCACCGTGTGTATCAGTGTACCAGTGTCGAAGGGGTGCTCTGGGTATGATGCTACATGACTGTACATTTCTGTGATGCTTCCCTAAAAGGTGTCTCTTTGGCTTGTCTGGGGTTGTCTCTCGTCTCTCCTTCGAATGCTCCTCGCTCTCTCTCGCTCTCTACATGCGTTGTAGCTCCTGCCCTGTTTTTTGCGTGGTGGTGACACGGTTCCGGTGTTTGGCACGCTCACTTGTTGAAGTGCTGACCCTTGCGGCCGTCAGTTGCGTCGGCAGACTTGCACGCGACAATCTTGATCTTGGGGGCGGTGACCAGCTCGCCGCTTGACCTGGGAGGGTTAGTCCTGATAGGAGCGATACAAGGCATCACACAGCTGCCAGACTTCCACTCACGAAGAACCAGTGCCCTCCATACGGAACTGGGGATCGCGCACGACAAACGTCCACACGTCGTCACAGAGGCGGTAGGTCGCGAGATGGCCCTGCGGTTCTGTCAGCAGTGACTTCACAGCCGGTGAGGTCCCGCGTAGCCGCTGTACATCGCCAAGGATCTAACAGCGGCAGTGCAAAGACACTCCCTATCCCTTCTGAGGAGAAGGGAATGACAGGAGGTAAGGTGAGAGAGAAGTGATACCCACGCGAACGGTCGTCTTCTGCTTGACGCCCTTTTGGAGGCACTCTGTCAACGACTTGTCAAACTGTCGTCTGTCAGCAAAAGCTCTCTCGCACACACCGCAAACGCGTATGTTCCGCACGCACCTGCTGCAGCACACGCATAGCGAGCTGAGGGGGAATGTCGCCCGAGGTAATGAGCTCATCGAGCGAGTCAGTCAGCGCGGTGCCGATGCTGAGAGCGGGGGCCTGTCAGCGCGCGAGTTGCACACGAAGAGAGAGAAGGAAGGTATACACACCTGGAGCCGCGGTAGAACTCGTAGTACTGTGTACCCTTGTCGCCGGATGTGGCCGCCATTGTTGTGAGATGTCAACGATGGAAGTCCAACGAGGGGGAAAAGGTCGCAAAGTGTCCAGTGGCGAAAGCGAGCCGCTCATGATGACCACGCCGGGCGAGTGCGTGGGGTGAGGAGGCGTTGGGTGGAGAGCGGAATCAAAATACTGACAGAGGGAGATAATACTCCCGTTCACCCCCACTGGAGTCACGTGACCCCTCTCTCCTGTCATGCCTGTCACCGCGCACGGCCTGTGGCCTGTGGCCTGTGGTGTGCGTCATGAGAGAGACGAGAGCGAGTCGACGACACACCTGGCACGCGGCGTTGCTTCCATTCGACAAGTCATTTGCATTCCATCGTCGGCATCCATATTCTGGCCACTCCCGCTTGCATCCCTCACACACCACTCTTTCAACCCCCCCCCTCTGCCACCAACAGGCAGCCCCATAGACACCCCCCTTCTACATGATCGTTCCACCAGACACACCAGCGAACCCTCTGGGGCCCCCAAAGTACCGCTTCAAACGCGGGTCCAAGCTCGCCGTACGTTTAAACCCCCGCTCCCCCTCTCCCGTTCATGACTGGCGATGTTGTTTGCCTCGTCGTCGCTGTTCACCCCCCATTGTTTGTCTCCCCTAACCCCGTCCATCTGACATCCTACCCCCCCACCACAGGACATGCCGCCAGTCCCACCGCAGGTCCCTGTGCCGCCACTGTCCACCCTCGACGGCCCCTTCCAGCTCGCCGAATACCTTGCACTCAAGGTCCGCAATGACCCACACGACATCAAAGGGTTGGTAGACGTGCCTTCTGACAATGCCAAGGCGGCCGACCAGCATGTTGTGAGTTGTTTTCTTCGCGGCCCCTGTACTCTAAACTGACGCCCATCGTCCAGTGGATCTATGAGCACCTCCGGTTCGTTGTTTGGGCTTGCGCTCTCCCTGTCGCGTGAGCAAAGGTGTATACTGACGCGGACAGCCGCATACCGATCGACGCGACGCCACTCATCACGCAGCTGCTGCTTCTGTGTGACCGCAGCTCATGCCCAGAAATGAAGGCAGACGAGTGGCTGTACCTCTGCGTCGCACACGGCGGAGGGGGGACAGACCGCTGTTGCGCCATCGACTACATTCTTCACACCCTCGACTCGACCTCTGCCCTCCTCAACTCGTCCAACTACTTTCCCTCGCGTCTGCAGATCCCCAACGCCTCTCTCGCCCATTTCCCCTCATTGTTCCGCCGTCTGTCGCGCATCTTCTCGCACGCCTACTTCCATCACCGCGAGGCGTTTGCGACGTCGGAAGCTGAAACGTCGCTATACGCTCGTTTCGTTGCCCTGTGCAAAAAGTACGAGCTGGTCGGATCCAGCCTGCTCATCATCCCTTCGGAGGGCTACGAGGTGGCGCAGGACTCGGATGAGGAGGATGGAGGCCGCAATGGCCACGACGATGACGACGAGAAGATGGATGAGGACTCGGACGACGAGGAACCTCCGCCAGCGGACAGCGACCACGACCAGGCGGGTTTGGAACGCGACGAGGCGGCCAACGGCCCGCAGTCGCCTCAGTCGCCTCAGTCACCGCAGTCGCCGCGTGGACGGGATGCAGACGGGTCGCCAGCTTCTACCAGATCACATTCCCTCGGCCGTCACCCATACTCGCCGGGCAAGTGGTCAGCGTCGCCTGTGCAGCCGGCCAACAAGGGAAAGCCGGCACCGGCACAGGCATCCGAGTCGCTGAGCCCACCGAGCACTCGTGCCCAGCTTGACATGCCCGATCCCATCATCCCCACTTTGGTCCAAGGAAAGGGTACTCTGAGTCGCGGCAAGGGCGCTCGAGGCAGCACCGCCAACGTCTGGGCCGCTGCTGCTGCCGAGGCCCCACCACTCACTCTCCCCGAGGACACACCCGCGTCCATCATTGGCATGGCAAGGAAGGAGAGTGTCGACAGTGTGGTTCACATTGGCCCATCCGAGGGCCAGGAGGACGTGTCGCTCGCAGTCAGCCCTCCTGCAAACATCTCGCCGGCCTCTCCGAGCCCGGCCAAGAGCGTGCTCAAGGTCGATACGGTCACTACGGAAGTGCACGCCGACGCCGAGGTCGACAGTCTCGTCACCCCAACGCCAGGAGAAGGAGCAAGCCACATGCCACCACTGCCCGAGACCGCCCCCTGCCCGCCTGCCCCCACGCCGAGCGCATTCGCAGCCGCTGCTGCCCCCGCTGCGACTGGCGTTGCGGCCGAACCCCTGGCCGACAGCCCTGTTCTTCCGAGCGCCAATGCGGCTGCCGTGCCGACCCCCATCCCCACCAAGGAGGACCCCGTCGAGGAGCTGGCCTCGCCCATCCAGTCGCCCCCCATCGCCGTGTCCCCGCCCAAGAGCGACCCGGTCGCAACAGAAGCGGCCACCACCACAGACCTGTCCACCTCGCCCACGATCGAGATTGAGGCCGAGACACCTGTCGCCGTCCTCATCGACGCTGCCGGCGCCGCCGAGGACAAGGACCTCGTCGCCCAGGAAAAGGAAAAGGACCAGGACCAGGACCAGGACCTGCTCGTCTCGCCCAAATCGGAGCTGCTCTCCGTCTCGCCAAAGCCCCAGTCGTCGCCCATGGCCAAGCGCAGCGGCGGCGGCGGCCGCGCCGGCAAGTCGCGCCAGCCCAAGTCGTCGCCCAACAAGCCCAAGTCGCCAGTGGCCAAGCCGACGGCCGACGACGACAAGCGCGCTGTGGCGGCCGAGGCCGAGTGAGGCGATACATATATACCCCAATTTTTCTCAAGTGCGCAGGTGGAATCTGGACGCGGGAGGGAGGGAGAGAGAGAGAGGGGGGGGGGGGGAGCGTCTTAGAGAGCCGCGCTGGACGCTGGTGCAACGTATGAGGGGAACGACAAGCCGCTGTACAACGCATGCATAACGACACGATGTCTCTGTAGGAAACTGAACGTGGCTGAAAAAAAAAAAAACAGGCATGTAGGCGACCTGTGGCCTGTGGGGGGGCAGTGTTCCGCCGCTTAGACCATGATGGACATGGCGGGAGGAAGACTTGCAGAGTGGCTCGTGGCGCGGTAGTCGCCATCGCCACCAGGCTCCGCACAGGGGGTACACGACAGGCGCTCCAGCTCAATTTCCTCGACTTCCTCCTCTTCTTCTTCCTCGTCGTCGCTCTGGGGCAGGGGGAGTGTGTAGTCGACGTCCATGAACTCGGAATCACTGGCGTCCGCAGGGTCCGCGGCGGCGTCGTCGCTGGTGATGTCATTGGGTACGTCGTTGGGCAAGAGAACGACAGTCGGGTGGCCGTTGGGGTCGAGGACCACCTTGCCGCGCGGTGGCGAGGCGTCGTTGGAGACGACTTTGCGCACGAGGACGGCAGTGGGGTGGCCGCTGGCGTCGAGCACGACCGTGCCAGGCGGTGGAGAGGAGGGCGTGGCGTAGCGTGAACTTGAAGGCGAGACGGGGTACGATGAGAGCACGTCGCTGGGTTCTCCGTTTTGAACGAGTTCAATGTCGTTGTCCAACAGCGGCCGCGTTCGTCGCCGAGGCGGGACGAAGGGGATATCCACGTAGACCTCGAGCCTGGGCCGCGTGCGTGGTAGCAAGTCCACGTCCTCGATGTACTCGTCGTCCTCCACATACATCACAATCTCATTGGCGAGCTGGGACCTGACAGCAGGTCGGCTCTTGTGAACCCAGCCACGGTTCTTGCGCTTGCCCTTCCTCCTTGAGGGCGAGGCCGAGACCTCGCTCACCACCACTGCCAGCGCGTCCTCGCCGGAGCCGGAGCCAGACCCAAACGCAGGCTCTGCCTCTGAGACCGCCGCGCTCTGGTCGACACTCTCGGTGCTTTCCAACGGCTTCATCATGTGGGGCGGGTGCTCAAAGTGGATGACTGGGTCGGGGCCAGCGAAGCAGTTGCGCTGGATCCGGGCAATCACATGTTCCTGCTTGAAGTTGGTTCGATGCGAGGTGCCGCGGGCAGGATAGGTTGTGAGTGCGTCGGCGTGGGCAAACTGTGGGAGAGGGGGCAGTTCGGCAAGCGTTGCACGGAACGGCACATCGGCGCGTGGACGAGCGAGGTCTCGCTCGGGTTCGTCGTGCTGCTTGGTCGCGTGCTACGAGGGTTAATCAATGGAGGCTGTAATCAAACCCACCCTTTGAAGATGTGAGATAGTCGGAGATCTCAAATCACACCCTGTGCAGGTCAGCATCTTTTAAGGGAGAGGTGACAACCTACCCTCATAAGGACATTGCAGCCACTTTGAGATGTGCACGGCCGTCATGTGTTGACTGAGGTCCGAGACGGAATCGAAACAAGGCTGCTGCGGGCAGTCGCGCCAGTGGCAGCGGTAGTACCGCTGGTACTGCCAAGTCAGCTTCCTCCCACAGGATTTAGGTAGCTGCACTCACCCCTGCGTCAAGTCCTCCCTGCGCCGCATGTCCTCGCCTCTTCACATGCCGAGCAAGAAGCGCCTCACTCGCAAGAACAGACCCACATCCCTTCCACCCACAGGCGTACTGGCCGGTACGGTTGAGCAAGCTATGCTTCGTAAGGACGCTCGCCCACGGCTCCAACAGTCCGGGTCCAGGCCGAACGATGAATCGATCCTGCGGTTCCTCGGGCTCCTTGATGCGCGCTGGCTTGTCGCCCGCCTGCACAAGAACGGCCCTGGGCGTCTTCCAGACCTGCATCCATGGCCGCAACCCCCGCTTCCGAGCTGGGGGTTCGACTTCGTCCCAGTCATCGCGGAACGGGTCGTACACGCCACGGCTAATCAGAACGTCTCGTCGTTTGCGGCTCATGGGCAGAACGACAAACGCATGGTTCATCGGGCCCAGAGCGGGGGGCTTTGGCCTGACAGCACGCTGAGGGCTGGTCAAGTCGATAACAAGCTTGTTCCCCGGTGAGCGTTGAGACGACTGGGAGAGGTGGCCAGTGGACGGCCCTGGGGTCGCCTGGCGAGCGTCGCCCTGCGTGATGCCTTGGGAGATGTAAGAGTCTGTAGGTTGGTATTCTTCCTCCTCCAGGTCGAGAGCAAACTGATCAACTGGCGAACTCGAGTGCGACCGCGCAAGTTGTGTGAACGATCGCCCTGGGGTGGCCTGCCGAGTGCCATTTTCGGGGCTGCGCAAGTCGATAGCAGCCTCCGTGACTGGTGTAGCAGGCGGAACTTGACGAACCGGAACTGGCGGGGGTGGTAGAGAAGGTGACGCTTGGCGTGGACCCTCCTCTTCCTCGGATTCATAGTCTTCGGGCTCGGGGCTCGACGAAGGTTGCTGGGGTGGCCTTGGTGCTCGCGATGCGCCAAGCACCGGAGATGACAGGCGGTGCGCTGCGGTCATGTAATCGCCAGCGCCAGACGGTGGAGGCGAGGCCGAGGCACGCGTTGATTGTGTACCGCCTGCTGCCACTTGACTGGCCGTCCCGGGGGTTGCAGAGACCGCAAAGGCCGAGCCTGTTGATGAGGACGGCTGTGCTGTCGCTTGCGTGCTAGGCCCGGCCGATGCCGACGGTCCCGTGGGAGCCTTCGGAGCCTTGGGAGCCCGCGGCTTCCTCGGCTTCTTCACCGCAGGTGGTGGTGGGGGCGCAGCGCGATACACCTCTGTCTTGGCCGCATCACTGAGACGCTGGCGTGCAGGAAGCGATGTGCGACCAGAAAACAAGGGGATGACCTTCTTGCCAGAACCGAGCGGTGACGCAGTGAGAGGGATTACAGAGCCGGCGCGCAGCCTGGGCGTAATCGGGCTTTGCGACGAGCTCGCTACCGCCGATGGCTGTGGGGCACTGGCTGACGGAGGAGCCATTGGTCCCGCTGTTGTGACCGGGGGACGAGGAGCAAGGGGTTGGGACGACGCCGTGCTAGGACCGATAGGGGACGCGGGCGGGGGGACAACGGATCCGGCCTGCAGCCTGGGCCTGATCGGTGTATGCGACGAGCTCGTTATTGGCGATGGCTGTGAAGCAATACCAGAAGGACCCGTCAGAGGGGTGGCTGACGGAGCTGGAGGACCATGAACAAGCGGTTGGGAGCCAGACAGGGGCGTCGCGCTTCCACTTGGCGTCGGTGGCCGCGCTGGAGTTGGGAAGGTGGTATTTCCGGGTCCATGCTGTGACTGTGGACAGTTCTGAACCGCCGATGTGATCAAATTGCGGAGTGGAAGAGGTTGGGAGGTTGGGGGAGGGCTCATGCCTCTTCTCAGCGTCGGCGGTGCTGGAGTTGCAAAGGTGTCCTTCGTCGGTTCGTGCGGCGCCGCAGGTTGCGGGTTGTTTTGATCAGATCCGTTGGGTAACGCTGGAGGACCATTGGAGTTTGGAGAGAGAGGGCATGTTGTTGGAGTTCCAAAAACGTTTGTCTGGCTCGTGTTCACTTGACTGGCGCTCGGGGTCACGTCCCCGTTGGGAACAACCGACCTTATCCAGTTAGCTTGTTGTCGCGATGAGAACGTACCGAGGAAGCTCCTCGCGCTCGTGTTGTCGATCCATTGTGCCGTCTAGATTCGCACCATTTCCTAAAGAGCAATACCAATAAAGGATTGAAAGTGCCGATCTAGAGGGTCTGGACTGTGACGTTTGTGGTTGTGGTTGTTGTTGTTGTTGAAGAACGGTTGCAAGAACGAGTGGGGGTCCTGTCGCGCCTGTCGACTGCTCTTGTACCTCACTTGTGTTGTTTCCGGGTGGAGGCGTCCATGCATCGTTGGCTCTGCCGTTATTTTGCAAACAGTCTCCAGCCCCAAATAACACATAACCAGCACTCCAGACTGGATTTTGGGCATGCAGGCAACATTATCTATCGGTCCATGCTTTTCATGCATGCATAGAGCTGATGTGAAGCTCTCTGCGGCATGGCAAGCATGTAGATGGGCTAGATGGGGTTGTTTGGTCACGTGACCTCTCTGCCACTAAAACTAAATTTGTATTGACTTTTGGACCTCCGTCCTAATGCTCCTAATGAGATGGCGCCGATATCCTAATCAATATTTGCTTTTCCAATAGCAATCGTGCCTTTTCCAATCCAGCTCACGCAACCGATCAAGCGAACGGCGTCGGGGGCCGGGCAGCGGCGGACGGAGCACGACGACGGGCAGGACCATACATGCGAGTGGAAATGATCATGTCTCCCCACCGTCTGCTATCTCTGCAGCGTCTCTTTCCTCTCCTCACCACATCTCTTCCCCCCAACACCCTATCAACGATGCGCGCTTTCACCTCCGCCGCTATCGAGACCGCTCGTGCTTCTGCAAGCCGTCGTGTCGTTGCCCACGCAGTGAGTCCAAAAGTTGTTCTTTCTCTCATCCGACCTCCACCTGACTCATGCCCCACAGTTTCCGGCCAGCAGCTCGCGCTCGCTCGCGACCGCCACCAACGCTCCCGATGGTGCTACCCCCAAGAGGCGCTTTGCCAAGCTCGAGGACGGACTGACCTTTGATGACTTTGTCTCTGGCGAGCCTCTGCCTGAAGCACCGGAGCGTGTGGTCCTCGGCAACACATCCCAGTGCGTCTTCACCCTCCTTGTTGCGACTTTTTGGCTGGCGGTTCGCTGACTGATTTCAAGGCCCCGTTTGCCATCTTTCCTGAAGCACCCCATCCCCACCGGCAAGTCATACACTGCCATCAAGAAGGACCTGCGTGACCTCAAGTTGAGCACTGTTTGCGAAGAGGCAAAGTGCCCCAACATTGGCGAGTGCTGGGGCGGCGACAAGGGCACTGCGACCGCAACAATCATGGTGGGTGCCATTCTTTTCATGTCATAACCCACTGCTAACGCTTCAGCTTATGGGTGACCAATGTACCCGCGGATGCCGCTTCTGCTCGGTGAAGACCTCGCGCGCTCCTCCTCCCCTGGACGTCCACGAGCCCGAGAACACTGCCGAGGCCATTTCGCGTTGGGGCCTGGGCTACATTGTCCTCACTTCGGTGGACCGTGACGACATGGTCGACGGTGGCGCGGCCCACATTGCCAGCACGATCTCCAAGATCAAGCAGAAGTCGCCCAAGATCCTCGTTGAGGCTCTTACCCCAGACTTTGCCAACAAGGGCTTTGAACCCATTACCACTGTCGCTACCTCTGGTCTTGACGTGTTTGCCCACAACATCGAGACTGTCGAACGCTGCACCCCCTTCGTTCGTGATCGCCGTGCTACGTTCCGCCACTCGCTCGAGGTCCTCCGCTTCGCCAAGGAGACGGCTACCGCTAATGGCAAGGAGATTCTGACTAAGAGCTCCATCATGCTCGGTGTTGGCGAGCAGGAAGACGAGATCCACCACGCTCTGCAGTGTAAGTTTACTTGACAGTCGTTGGGAACTGAACTGACTTTCCAGGCCTGCGCGAGGCGAACGTCGATGTCGTCACTTTCGGTCAATACATGCGCCCTACCAAGAAGCACATGAAGGTCGACCGTTATGTCGAGCCTGCCGAGTACGTCAAGTGGAAGGAGGTCGCCGAGGGCATGGGCTTCCTGTATGTCGCCTCTGGTCCCCTCGTCCGCTCGAGTTACAAGGTGAGTGCAGCTTCGCGATAACTGGGTGAGACCCACAGCTGACAACCAGGCTGGCGAATTCTTCATCGAGAACGTCCTTAAGAAGCGCCGCGCCGCTGCTGCTGAGCGGGCAACAGCTGAGCTCGCTGCTGTTGATGCGACCAAGGCTGAGGAGACGCGCGCGTAGATAGACACCATTTTTGTAACTTTTGACATGGGAGTGATGCACACATTCGATTTATTTGACCGGCCGATTAGATTGGCGACTTGTGCTGCAATTAACTTACATTTGGTCCCGTTAATTACTCTCTTGCGGAGACTGTTGTTCACCACCCAGCGTCTCGATGTCGCTCGTGTTCATCTTCGTTTACATCCATCAACAACAACAGTAGTTGCACACCATGCCTGCCCCGCAACTGTTGGGAATATATCCCGTCGAATCGGTACAGGTGAGTAATCAAACACCATGGATGCTGGCTGACCCCTACAGGAGGTTCACCAGTCGCTTCCTCTCGACCCCCTCGGTCCCGGGGCCGCCGACCTGCTCGCCGGTGATGTCGAGTACCGCCTCCACTTTCTGCTCCAAGAGGCCAAAAAGTTCATGGTGCATGGCAAGCGGTCGACTTTGATGCCAGAAGATGTGGAGCACGCGATGGAGGCGCTCAATGTTGAGGTGAGTTAATGAGTCCTGGCCAGGACACTACTAACTCCTCCAGCCCGTCATTGTACCCCCACGACCGCTGCCGCAGGCCCAGTTCCACGCTGTTCCGGTCCCATCCGGTACCGCTGGATCGTCACAGCAGCTCTACCACGTTCTTGATGACGAGATCGACTTTGCGACGTACTTGCGCGAACCGCTGCCTCCCGCGCTCATCAACTCGGCTGGTGTCAAGTGGAAGGCACATTGGCTGGCTGTAGAGGGCGTTCAGCCTGCCATCCCGGAGAACCCCGCCCCAAGCTCGCGTGCTGGCCGTGGGTACCTCTCTTGTTCATCGCTAACTCGCCCAGCATCGCGACCGCAGGCAACGCCAACGACTGGCGCTGCTTCCCTCAGGCCAAGTGCCAAGGCGCACCTCACCACCGAGCTTCAGCTCTACTTCTCGCGTCTTACTGCCGCCCTCATCCCTCCCACATCACAGCTCCCCAACCTGCCCGGAAACCCTCCCAGCAACGCAACGACTCATTCGTTCCCCGATGCCGAGCGCCATCGTCTCGCTGCCCTCGGAAGCGTGCGGTCCGACGCTGCAGTGGCCGGTGTGCTCGCGTACCTCGTTCGCTGGGTCGCCGAGAGTATCAACAAGACTCTCTCTGGTGCTACGGGTACGATTGGCTGCCTGATTGACGTTGTAGAGGCCATCCTCGACAACGATGTGTTGTTTGTCGAGCCTTATGTGGGTGTCTCGCCAATATGCGTTCTCGTCTGACCCGCGCAGCTGCACCAATTCCTTGGACCACTGCTGTCCATCATCCTGACTGTTCCCCTTGGTCCCCACCCGCCATCCTCGGGCGGTGGCCAGCCTACGCCCTTCGAGCTGCGTACTCGCGCATCCGATGTCCTGGCCAAGCTGGTCACGCTCTACGGCAAGGGCTATCCCGGTCTCGTTCCTCGTGAGTTGCGGAGCCGATCTCGAACTGACAGCTGCCAGGTCTCCTCTCCACACTCAACCGCGCACTCCACTCTTCGCCCTTCCCCTCTCCTCTTGGTGCCGAGTTCCCGCCTGCTGGTCGTTACGAGGGTGCTGTACTCGGTATCACCGCGCTCGGCAAGCACGCCGTCAAGGATGCGCTCTGGGGCGAGCACGGCGAAAAGACTGATGTCGTCAACAACCTCGTGGCCATTCTGTATCCCGGTGATGGCCGCAAGGGCAAGACTGGATTGATGAAAGCGACGTTCCGCGCTCTCGCCACCCTCGCGCGCCCCAAGCCCACCGACTGGGTGCCCACACCCCCGTCATTTGACGAGCTCTCGAACTTCCTCGGTCCCAACTTTGCCAAGGCGCTCGAGAAGCGTCCCTGGATGGCTTTCGAGTTGGCTAGACTGCACAAGGAGGGTGCGGATATTATGGAGACAGACGAGTAAGGCGGGTGGTTAGACGTGCAGGTAGTGGAAGCAACTCTCAGACGATGCATGTAGCGTGTACAGTACAGCACTTGCCTCACCGCTCACTAGGGAGTGTAGTCGGGATGACCGGGGGCCAACCCAAAGTCAGCGAGGCAGAAACGGCACTGAATGGTGTAAAAAGGAGACACATGGAGCACACATATACCTATTGGTTAGCAGCGGGTTCTGTAGGTGACCCAACATATATCTCTTAACACGTACGGCCGCGGTTCTGGCCGCGCCAGCCTGGACACTTGTAGATCGTTGCGTAGCTGTCGACGGGGGAGCTGGATGAGTAGTGCATGGCCAATGGATCACCCTTTCCTCGTTGCTCCTTCCACCCTCTCTTAAGACTTCTCGGGTCTTGATCACTGATGCAACCCAGCAGCAGGGGACGGGTGCTCTGGTGCTTCATATGCCAAACCATTGATTGTTGGTTGTGGACGGAGGTGACCGCCACAGTGGGTCCGCGGTTGATGTTTATACATACTCGCAGTACACAGCCACGCGATTCTGGCTCTTGGATGTTCTTTGCAGTAGGGAGTGGACAGTGGATAGCAGAGTGATATTTGATGCATGTATGGATGGCCTCTCTCTAGTACAAGTCACAACATTTATCCAGCCTGAGACTTGGGCTGTCGACGAGCACGTCCACCTCACGGCCGACGAGCCGGAATGCTCTGCTCCGCCTTGATTCGTCCGCCTGTTCGTCTGCCTGCCTGGAGCATGGAGAAGGGTTCACACGGAACCAGCTCGCACCTCGCCAACTGGAACGAGTTGCGTCCACAAATGGAGCAGTGCATGATTCCACCTGGGCCCACTTCGACTTTGCACGCCACTGTTCAATCGTTAGCCCCGATATGGCACATGGGGACGGCGGTTATCGGTGGCCCCAAGGAGTCCGACACTCACCATCTCGGTTTCGACCTCACGGGTACGCGATGCGCAGAATGTCTGGACCCATCCAGTGGACTCTACGCATGGATGTTAGCCGTCGGAATATGAAGTGGAATGGGCCTTGTTCTTGATGTACTCACAAGGACTCGACCTCCTTTGGCGCTCCATTTTATCGTCTCCGCTCCGCCACCCCTGGTGCATCGAAGTGGAACCTCACTCTTCCCATCATTCGTACCGCCTCAGCCCGCCTCAGCCCGCCTCAGCGAATAATACGGTGTAGGATAGTATTGCAGTAGGTGCAGCGCACGCAGTCGTAAAAGATGACCGGGTCGCAATGGCCTGCATGGAGGGCACGGTCAATTATTGCCCTTCGGGAACTAGAACCCCAGGTGCCACTCACCACCCCGGTTGGCACCGAACGAAGTACCTGCGCAAGCCATGTTGTTTTTCCTCTCTGTTTCGTATGGGTTGTAGAGACCGGATTCCAAAACTGAAGGAAGTGAAAGATGTTGTGAAGCGCAAGTACACACATCCAACCCACACTGTTCACTCCTTTAAAAGTTGTGCGAGCCTGCCCAAACACCGAACCACCACATGATGCTACCCCACTTGAGTCATTGCAGTGACGAAGCTTCGATCACTCGAGGGTCCCCGGCCAAAGCGGTCCGAGCACTGCGGGGTTTGATTCAACCTGTTGGGTGGCAACAGGGCTGCAGGCGGACCGTAATGAGCTGAGAGTCCTGAAGCCAAGTGCTGGAACTGCGAACTGGTCACCGTGCACATCATCAGCAGCGTGGACGAGGATGATCGGACAGCCGTATGGGACTTGGGTGGCGCTTGGCTTGGCCCTGTAGACCACATGCATGGCTGCTTTGAGCATACATCTGTCTGTGTAGATGCAGGCCTCAAAAGTTAGACGTAACTGCTCGTGTTGGTGGCGTAGACGGTGCGCTCTCGGTTCATCGTTCCGTCGTGCATTGTCCAGGGTTACAGGAAGGTGATGGCTCGGGTGGCAGAAGGCTAAGTAATGCGGGGGGTGCTAACTGGAACTGGCACCGCCCACCCCAAGAAGGTCGCACATGCAATGCATTTCCACTTCTGGTACTTCTTCTTTCACTATCTATAGACGAGGAACATGGGCGTTTCCTAGTGGCCGACGGGAATGAACTCGCCGCAGTGGTAGCAAACAAACTGGCCCGTTGGGATGCGGAAGCCGACACAGACACCTGATAGGTTACCCACTGGCCACTGGCCGGTACTGGAATCGAAACTTACGTCCTTTGCGTCCGCAAGGGTTGTTAGGGCAAAAGCGGTTCATGGCCGAAAGTTGAGACGAGTGGAGGAGGTGTGCAGACGGGTTGTGGCAGAAGAAAGGTTGTGGTTGCGCGGGTATCCCTGCATCTGGGCACTCTTTATACGTGCCATACCCGCACGCAAAGCATACCTAACCTCGAAGAGGTAGCCATAGAATGTTACGTTGTCGACACTGGGAGGATGCTTCTCAGAAACGAGTCTTGGTCAGCACAATGAGTGGTTCCCACTTGGTCACTTCGTGAGAAGGAAATGTAAGAAATTCATCGAAATTCGAAGCATGAAGCGGCTTCGCCTATCCATCCTTCTTTGGACTGAGAGAACGCACGAGGGTGGCACGAGCTATACATCAAAGCAACTTTGGGCATGTACAACACGAGGCAACTGGAAAGCCAGCCACCGCCGAACACTGAGTGATGATCAGAGCCGCGTTTTGGGCGGACTATTCGGCGAGAGATCCCTCCCCATACAGGAGGTCAGCTCTTAGCAAATGATGCGGCGGCAGTACCAGCACCGGTTGCCAGAACTGAAGGTGATGAAGAACCTGTTGGTGCAAGCCTCTGTGTGGATCGGTCAGTCACCAGCAGTCGTGTCGGGAAACCAGTCGTGTCGGGAAACCACTTACTGCCAGCGTTCATGCCGCGGTCGTTGCCAGGGCACCAAGGCGGGTAGTTGATGGTGGTGGCAGGATACTCGGACATATTGAGCGGGGGGGGGCAAAGTGTTCTGTGTGGGAGTGGGAATGAGAGAGAATGAGTAGAGGGGGATGTGTGATGTTCAAACAACACTTCAATCTTATGCTTGAGCCCTCCCTTGCGAGTTGACGTGGACTGCAGTGTGTACCTGAGGAATTGTGATTGGCAGGTGAAGGCAGACGTGGCGTCCAACGGCTATGGTTGCTGGGGGTGGATGTCTGATGAAATCAGGCCATCAACGGCCTGGGCTGTAGTCACGCGCATCCTTCACTCTTGTGCATAATGCCTCGTCCCTCGCAGGAACAACTATGGCTCCCGCATGCAGCGTTTGCGGCCCCAGGACTTCATCCACTGACTGGGCGGAGGGCGCAGATCAGCTCAAGCCGATGTACTTGCCACAGAACTGGCACTGAAAGCAGCCGTTGGCGTGGAGGACGGGTTTGCAGGCGTCTGTTGGTCAATACCTTGTTCGAGCACCATGACTCACTCCCATAGTTCTGCGGGGCATGGCACAGGTAACTGGGAATTGGAACAGACATTGGATATAATGGATGCTGGCGGTAAAAGGAAGTGCTTCGCAACAACTATTCGTATTTTGACGTCTTCAGGACGGGCATAACTCGGCTGCCCCATTTATGAACTTCTACTAGCCCCTTGTTTTTGTCTGGATCAAATGAGACTGATTAAAGATTGCATACAGGAATGCCAGCGGTGACTGTTCGACGGGATGCAAGCCCTTCGAGCTGCCACCAGGACCGCACGCAGAATCGTGCAATTATTCGGCGAATTCAGATCGTCCTATGCACTGGCTACTTCTGGCCAAGAGGCATATCCAGAGCACAGTAAGCGCAAATGCGACTGCCGTTGGGATCAGTGAGCATAGTATAGCCCACACAGGGTTCTGCATGGTCAGCGTCTCCCTACCCAATACGAGGTCAACTCACTGCCCCGGTTGTAATGGTTTGGAGGGATACCGTCGCAGAGGCGCCAGCTCATGCTGAAGAATGAAATCGGGACAGTTGGATGACAATAGTGAGATGGGAAAGCTCCGTTTATGTAGCTGGATGGCAGTGGTCATCAGGATGAAGGTCTCCACGAGGTGTTGGCTGGAAACACCCAATGTCCATCACCTCGTCGACCGCGATGACATTGAGTTTCTGTTCGTAACGGGTGAGATCACATTCAGTGGCCGGGCGGGTGTCTGAAACCTAGACCACTGAGATACCCATGGACGTCCTGAGAGGAAAGGTACTGGAATGCGCACCCCGCGATGTTGGGAAAGTGAGCTGATGGGGCAGTTTCAAACGGCGACATTCGCCACTCTCACCACATGGGCACAAAGAACCTTCACCTGATGCCTGGTCACATCACCGTACATAGCTCATGCTGCTCTGCAAAATACTACACCAGAGAGGTATCCGGCATGCGGTAAAATGGCGAGGTTGTCCATGGCCTCCCATGTCTGGGTCAGTTGTGCCACTCTTGGGTTGTCATGTAGCTCACCCACAGCGACATGCTTTGTTTGGTTCCGATCCGCCGCGGCGCCGTCAGTTGGTCTCTCTCAGCAGCCACCAGACCCCCGCACATTCCGCAGCTCAGAAAGACCATGCATTATTATGCTCTACATCATGCTCATCGTCGTCTGTAGACAACTCTTTCAGTGGGGACGGCCAGGCCCACCCGCGCGGTAAACACGCTGACAGTGGACGCAACGCCATTGCAGATGGAGGTCCATGTACGGAACGCAGGGCTCTGGTTCCACTGTCAGCGCTCATCCGATTTTGAAGCTAGTGCGCGGTACTCACGGGTGACGTTGGCGTAGGTGTGAGGAGCGCCGATGCAGGTGCGAAAGTAGTAGTCTGGGAGATATCCACTCATGTTCTGGTAATATTGTGTGAGTGATCAATGAAGAGTCAACACCACAGCTCTGCTCTTTAATCACGTAGTAGCTGTGGAGTTTTTCGTGGAAGGCGGCGTCGTGGCGGCCGGTGCGCCATAAGTATGTGTGTCGCGGTTTCACATCGACCCATCGTCTGTGCTCCCCGCACGCCAGCACTCCACCTGGCCACCTGATGGCTTGGCGATCGTGACCGACGTTTTGTGGGGTATTGATCACATGTTAATTAGGACACGCGAGGCACAAGGCGATCCCCATTGAATGCTGCGGATGCATGGCTAACGCGACACGACCTGTTCATGTCTTCCACACTGGGTCGCGCTTCTCGATAAACGCCGCCATGCCCTCCTTTGCGTCCTCGGCTTTCGCATGTAACGCCATCACACGGCCAGCAAACTGCGCCGCCTCGACGTATCCGTCCCCTTGGCCGCCCATGCCCACTTGGGTCCAATACGCCCACTTGCCCAACGCAAGGGGCTGCCCGGCTGTCTCGACGGCCAGACGATTAACCACATGGTCTACACGCTCTTCCAAGGCTTTGTTTGCCTCATCGGGAGAGTCTGCCGTTGGTACTGGGACGATGTCAAGCGTGCCCTGTCCATTGACCTCTGCCGCCGTCATCCAGTCGGCAGTCGCGAGCATGCGGTAAGTCAGACCGTTGCCCAGACGTCGGGAAATGGCAGTCGAGGGGCTGGTGCACGGAAGACCAATTGAGGCGCCGGGGAGGCGAAATTTGGTGTTGGCCAGAGCGATCGGGTAGTCGGCTGTCATGGCCAGCTGGAACCCCGCGGCCAGGGCCATGCTCTGGATCCGGCAGACGACAGGTGCGGGGCTGTGACGGATCAACTCCATGACCTCAGCGCACAGTCGAAATGTCTCCTTGACATCGTCGTGGCTCAGCTGCACAATCTCCTTGAGGTCGTGGCCCGATGAAAAGACTGGGCCGTCACTCCGAAGGACGAGCACGTTCGGCAGGTCTTGTCGTAACTCGCGCCAAGTCTCTGCACTGGTGAGCCAGAGATAGTCGGGGTGGCCCTGCTCGATCTTTTCCAGAATGGAGGGTTGGAAAGGTGGCAGAGTGAGAAGCTTTCCCGTCCTTGGAGACGTCAGCTTGTCGCGCAGCTGCTGACGAAGGTCGCGGAGGATGGCAAGGGAGAGCGTGTTGCGCTTGGCGGGATTGTTGATCGTGATATACGCCGCCTTGGCGGGCAGTTTTGGGAAGTTCATCGCGTCCTCAGAGAGTGAACCTGTCGAGTGCACTTGCCGAGTGTGTCCTTCGGGTTCTGGGAGCTCTCTGAACTGACAATGGGCAACAGAATGACGCAGAGTGTGAACTATCGATGGATGGGCATGGTGGATGGGTTGGGTCACGTGATGGATTAGCCGTCAGTTCGGCAAATGATCGGCCCGGTTCGTCTGGGGATCGGGAAGAGACCGATGTGGCCACCCGACACAGTAGTGGCGACTGTGGCCACCCGACTGGCCCATCACGCAGCGAGCAAGCATCATCACCCAGGCAAGAGTCACATGAGGCTCATTATAAACCTAGCTACCACGACCCCCTCAAGCATAGAAGCACACGCCGCAGTACTTGCAGATGCGCCCGTTGGCGTACGGAACCGGTTCACACTGGTCTGTGGCCGTCAGTATCGCACAGAACGGAAGAAGTGCGACCTACTGCCTTTGTTGTCGCCGTTATTGTCGCCAGTGCATATACGCTTCTGTTCGACCATGTTGGTTGTGGATGTTGACTGTGATGAAGTGAAAGTCGTGATGGGGTTAAAGAGACAGAGAAGCCCATCACACCCAATTCTTATACCGTGATTCTCCATCTGATATCTGATGGGGATGGCCTCGTGTGTGTACGCCACTCAGTCCCCAAAAGTGTCTTGGAGCAACTGGTGCTGATGGGGGTGGAAACTGATCACCCCAGCTGCGCCGGCCGCGTCAGTGTCATTATGGCACCCACCTGGGGTATTTACATCAGTCTCGCACCTGTGGTGGAACACCCTCTCGCCTGCATGTCTTGGCGTTCTCAGCGGCTGACTGCAACATCTGCTCTGCGGCAACACTGAGCGCAACGTTAAATACATATATCTGCATGGATACGCTCCACATGCGTAAGGGAGTGTCTACTCAATCAGGCTTCAGCCTCATATTTGCCACCCTCGCACCATGGTGGAATCAGAAGGGCCGCCCGCAGACGGCGCAGCGCATCACCCCGTCGCCCATGAGAACCGGAACACAAAGACCTGCGAGGTTGGCGCGTATTCGGGATAAAAAACCTACCGAGGGCATTCTGTCGGCTAGAGCATGGACGCCAGAGAGAGGACATTGAAAGTAGTTGACGGTGGCTGGAGAGTGAAGCAGTGTGGACGCTGTAAGTTGCAGTGTACATGCAGAGGCCTCTGTCGGTGTCATTATATATGTACAGTCTAGTCATTCCTGGATTCCATCAGAAGAAGATGACAGGACTCAGGTATCAAACAGCGGAATGTTGATGGACCCATGTTCTTGGCAGTCACGACAGACGTTGGCAACGAGGTGCATCATTCCTGACAATCAATCATGATCGACGTTGGGGCGTCCGTCCAGTTCGATGAGGGTCTGCTATACGGAGCAACCACAGTAGTAGCACCTGTACACGCCATTACCCCAGTAGATGCCTTTGCAAGCGGCTTAGGTCAACAAAGGAACCAGTGGCTGCCACTTACTGGAGGGGTTAATCTTGCTGGAACAAGCCATAGTGAAGGGGCTATCTCTTGCGAATGGACCGGCCTTGAGGGGGTGTTTGGGCTGGAAGGATGAACAAATGAGTGTGAGTAAGGAAAGATATATACTGCACGCACAATTCCCGCTTTTATACAACGGTCATTCACACGGGTAGGCCTATAGAGAGGTAGTCGAAATGCTCTCCATCAGACTTTGATTCACCCCGGCAGCTCAGGCCCGCCGAAACGGAGCATCACATTGCAGTTGAGGGATCACCCGATGGAGTCAGACCTCTCACATACCTCAGTGAACGACTGTGCTCTTAGGTTGCGCGTGCAGTGCGCTGCAAGCTCCACATGCTACACCTCGCGCTGCTTCACACAGACACGCGATGATCGCACGCCGATCGGCGCCCACCGGACAATTCCGAAAATTATGAGAAAATATGTAGAAATCTGTTCGCACCAAACTGCTCTCAGCAAAGCAGCGGGATCTTACTGTCGTTCCCAGTCCGCCACGCAAGGGATGTATACCTTGCTTGGGCCATGGTACCTGCTCTATATGCAATGTATGCACGGGTGTACAGACTGCAAGATCCGACCATTCATTCTCATAATGTTCGAGGACCCCATCCAAATCGGCGACGACCTGTACCTGGACGACGACGAAATCCTGACCGACGGTATTGGCCGCCAACATGACGCTTGCTGTACGGGTGATGCCTCTGGTAACAACAAGAGTGGTGCGTACTATGCATACGTACCAAGCACACCTCAATGACTTACTGAAGCTGACGGGGCAGGGAATTGCAGTTTCTTTGGGGCGTTGGGGTACCACGTATGCGTGTACTGTGGACGCACCGAGTGGCACAAACGCAAGGGAGCGTAAAACCTACATACCCGCCGAATAGAAACCTGTGTATGGACGAATCAATAGGGCGAGAATGGCGCGCACACAGCTGCCACACAGCTCCGAGAGGCAGTCAATTCTTGGTACCACTGACAAGAGTGCGGCTAGGCCGGGGAAGAGTCGCTTTCGGGTGTACGTCCGGCCTGTATATCGGCGGAAGGATCAGTATGAGTCAAATGAAACGACTGTTGGGGACGTTGCATTGCCAGTATCAGGTGTCAAGGTCCCGGCCCTAGCTGGAGGCACAGAACTCTTACGCCGAAAAGGCCGCACGGACATTTCGCTCTCCCACGATACTGGGGTGTGAGATACCCCGGAGTGCTGCCTGGTCACCGGAGAACCTTGCGCGAAGATATGGTAACGGTCGTCGCCATGGAAGCTCGTATGGGGGACGGCGGAGAAAGTCTGGTCAGGAGCTTCTGGTCCAGAGGGGTTGTGTGGTGGCCGGGTTCGGGTCGTCAGATGCATTGTCCCTTCCAAGATTGCGATGGTGCAGTTGAGCAAGTTCTGTTGTAGTCAGTAACACAGGACCATCACCGCGATAGCACTCGAGGTTATCGCAAGATCGATAAGCTCGCATGTATCGTGTCTAGCGGTTTGGGTTTGTGCCACTGTGCCGGCCATGAACGCTGCAGAACGCATCCAGGCGGGGGGTCATGGGGGAATACCACAAGAAGCTCAACTAGAAGTTTCGTGTTAGATATGCCTACGCACGGGGACGGATGTATTCCAACAGCAAATTCGTCGCCACCACCGAGCTGCGTCTCCAGGACCCCAGACACTATGCAGAAGTGTTGTTAAACAGAAACGACGATCCTTTTGAGGCACGCAGCAGCCACCAGTCTGGACTATGGGTGAGCCGGGTACCTCGCTGAGGGGGAGCATCCTCTTGTTCGCTTACAGTCCTTCCACCGAATGGTAACCTTGTCAAATTCAGCAACCGAACAACTATGGTAGTTTATGGGGATGTCAACGTAGCCTAGGTCCCGTCTACTACCTGGAGGCTTGGGTCTTGTCGTTGTGCGATGCTCTCAGGAAAGGCAATCCGTCCTGTTTACGGAGGTTGTCAATCTGAGCTGCTCTAGCGGCAACGCTCTCAGTAGGCTGAGTGCATGAGGATCAAAGCTGTCGACCATAGCAGTCAGGACACAAGATCATTGCTCCGCCCTTCTACTGTCAACCGAAGTGCTGAGAACATGGACTGACAACGTGGAGGGGGTCGAGGTTTGTCTTGGCCATCTCGGCATGGATTCTGGACGCCACTGACGCTCTCTCCTTCACCCTTAACGCGCCTCATGCTCTATCGACCAGAGCCTCCCGTGCGTCCTTTGCTGAGGGCAGTCTCAAATGCAATATAGCTGTCATCAGAACTTGTTGCTCGTCGATGTCTGTTATCGCTAGCTGTGGTCGGAAAGCTGCCACATGGTGGAAGAACAAAGGCACTCTCGATTGCCAGGCCGGAACCAAACAACGATGGCCCCACACCGGTACGCCGGCCCATCCACCCACCGGTTCTTGGCAGCATTTGTCCGACGATGATGTCCATCACAAGAGTCCTGACATTTTGGCTGCTGCGACCACACCCGATATCCAACCCCTCACTGGCGCCCGTCATCGTCATTGTAGCGACCCTTTACACAGGCCGACGTCGTTCAAAGGACGCCTGCAGTCAGTCGCCCGCGCATATACCGCTCGTCGGTGTGTCCGTGTGCGTTTGTGGTGTCGTCGGCCTCTGTGTGCCTATGGCCCCTATATACTTTGCAACGCCACCGCCACCCAACTGCACGCCCCCAAGTGCTTCCCCCACCCACTGGCCCCGTCGGTCATCAGACATTGACCAACACCCTCATAAGCAGCAACAGCACACTCTCTCCCATCACCACATCCACCCATCACACACTTCCAGCTCACGATGAGCAACTATCAGAACGACAACCAGTATCAGCAGTTTGACGACGGCTACGACCGCTACGCCGGGCAGGGCCTGGCCGTCAACGAGCCGTCCGATGACGAGTACGCGAGTGCCCAGGAGGACCACAGCCGCAATGGCAACGGTGGCGACCGCGACACTTACCAGCGCAAATACTCGTTCGATGACGACACGCGCGAGTATGCCGGTCGGGTATGCGAAGCCCCTCCGGGGTGGTTTGAGGGCGTGGGGGAAGGCGCATCATATGGTGAGTAGTATTGTCTGCGCTTGCACGTGCTTGGAGAGAAGGCGTCATGACATGTGCTGTGTGGGCAGAGGACAGTCGCTGACGCGCAGATGGGGATGGCCGCGGCGAGGATCAGTACAGCTGCCGGACGCAGCAGGCATCGCAGCCCTACTCGTCGCGCAATGCCGAGCAGCAGCAGCAGCAGCGTGGTCAAAACCAGTACCAGACCCGCGATCAATACCCGCAACAGCAAAGCAGCCAAGCCCAGACTCAACAGGGCCAACAGCAGGGCCAATACTTTGAGTACTCGAGATGTACAGGAAACAGGCGCGCACTCCTGGCACGTTCATTGCATCGTGAAGGCAGAGAGCTGACGGTGGCAGATTGGTATAAACTACATTGGTAGCAACAACGCTCTCAAGGGCTGTATCAATGACGTGAACAACATTCGCCAGTTCTTGGGTGAGTGACCGTCTTGCGCCAAGGTGGAGGCAGCCCGGTAGATGCAACACCACCTGGCCCAACCCGTCCCCGCTGACCGCCCAGAGCGTTATGGCTATAACTCGAGCAACACGGTTGTCCTCACGGACGACTCCAACGAGGCCAGCCACCGTCCAACCCGCGCCAACATACTGCGCGCCATGAAGTGGCTCGTGGAGGGTGCCGCCCGCGACGATGCACTGTTCTTCCACTAGTGAGTGCGGTGTGAGACAAGATGAACACCGGACGCTGACACACCTTCCAGCTCGGGACACGGTACCCAGACCACAGGCGGCGGCGCCACCGAGGCGGATGGAATGAAGGAGGCTATCTGCCCTCTCGACTACCAGACAGCTGGGCTGATCGCGGACGATGAAAGTGAGTTACATTAGCTCACACTTAGACCGTGAAGCTGACACGCCACAGTGTACGAGTTGTTACGCTCTGTCCCTGCTAACTCGCAGTTTCAACACCATGGCCAAGCCCCTTCCTGTTGGCTGCCGCCTCACAGCCCTCTTCGACTCGTGCCACAGCGGCACGGTCATGAACCTGCCTTACGTGGTGAGTGGGCCAGTTGTAAAATAGTACACGAGCACCACCTGGATTGGCCACGGCCGAGCTGACGCTTGCAGTACTCCCAACACGGTACCGTCAAGGACCCCAACATGTTGGCGTCGGCGGGACAGGCGCTCTTCACCGCTGTCCCGCAGTACGCTAGGGGCGACACTGCTGGCGCGCTCAAGGGCTTTTTGACCGCAGGCATCTCCGCATTCAAGGAAAAGCGGGCCGACGACCTGCTCAAGGCTGAGAACACGCTGTCGGCTGACATCATTACGTTGTCGGGTTGCAAGGATGACCAGACTGTGAGTTCCGGTGAACTGCCGGAGTTGTGTAGAGATCACCGGCTGATACTTGTGCCCAGTCGGCCGACACGCAAGAAGAAGGCGAGGCGACCGGCGCCATGTCGTACGCGTTCGTCCAGGCCTTCTCCAAGAACCCACAGATCAATTATCGTGACCTCCTGGTTGCGATTCGCAACGAGATGATTCAGGGAGGGTACACACAGAAGCCGCAGCTTAGCGCTTGCCACCGTGAGTTACCACAAGAGGGTGAGACAGTTAAAAAGTCGCTGACATGGCACAGCCATCGACACCAAGCTCGACTTTGTGGCTTAGTTGCTGCAAGTGGTCCAAAGTCAAGGTTGCCTCCTGTTAATTTGTGATAGAACGTTCCTAAAGGCTAATGTAATGTGTATCTCGCATGCCGGCAGTGGTTGTGGTGCTTGTCGTGATGGTGATATCCCTTGCCGGTGCCGTTAGAAACCGCAACTGTCCATCCAGCGCTCCACCTCCTGGTAACCGTCAGCCTTACAGGTCCCCCGGGGGGCCTCGCGGTTTGGGAAATGTCTGTGAACAATACAGTACCCCCGCCAGGTCCCAGAAGCTCTGGAACTTACCATCCGAGTCTTCTCGCCCCTCGGTCCATCCGTCGCGACCTGGATGCTCACTCCCTTGCCTCCGCGGCCCACGCCATCCTCGGCAGCGCTGCCGACCCTGCTCGCTGTGACGGCCTCTTCCTGTCCCGGCTCGGCGACGAGCAGGATCGGGAAACGCGGCTCGTACGTAAACCGGGGATAGGCCCAGCCGGCTTCCTGCGTTGTAGCTTCGGTGCGCGGGTCGGCGTCAGGCGGGGGTGAGACGAGGACCAGGCCGCTGGCGGCGTGGTCGGAGATGTACGCCTGCGCGACGAGACACGAGGGACCCGACGCGACGATAATGGGCGCAAACGGGATGTTGAGCAGACGGATCTGGTCGTTCAACGCCGACTTTGCAGCGGCGATCTCGCGCGGGAACGACGGTGCGCCGTTTCCGGTACTGCTGTCGTCGCTGCTGCCATTGGCGGTGTCTGCTGCTGAGGCTGGCGCAGAGGCGACGCTGACATCCACCTCAACAGTCGTGTACCCTCTCGTAGCGAACATGTCGGCCCACTCGTACCACGTCTCCTCTGTCGCCTTGGACACGCCCACGCTCGCTCCACCGCTCCCCAGGCTCAGGCCCGGCGTGCGGAGGAGGACGAGCGGGGTGGGACACTCACGCGGCGCGCCAGACCACGCATCGCGCACGAGCCACCGCGTGCATGTTGCCACTTGTGAGCTGGACGAGCTCGAGTGTCGGATCCCCGCGTAGATGGAAAGGCCGGAAAGGGATGCGAGCGCGGGACGCAAGGCAGGTCGAAGGGCAGAGCGGAACGACATGGGTCTGGCGTCTGTTGTTGTCGGTAGAGAAGGGCGGCCGATGCCGAGAGGATAATATCAACGGGGGGATCTCGTCGCTCGGATGACTAAAAGGCCAGTTGACGATGTCAGAGATGAGAAACAATGTCAACATCGACCACCAGCCAGTCGTCGCGAGGTGGTGCTGCTCGGCGGTGACGGAAATATGGAACTGACGTCATTATGCTGGCCGCCGTAATCCTCCATTGTCGATACTCCGTGGCCCGAACACCTCGGTAAAAGCAAGCACCTCGGCAGCTAACAGGCTCCGACAACGAGGGTGAGAGCGACGTGGGAACCGAACAATGCTTTAGTGCTAGCTTTAATGCTAAGCCGGGTGGTTGGGGGCTGTCATTCCGAACCGCGTATGCCAGCTTTGTGGGAAGCATTGCCGGAATCACTGGTCATCGTTGCGGCATGTGGGCAAACACTTGCAGGCAAACGGGTATCGCGCGGCAATGCGACAATCACATGCACTGTGTACAGGAACACGCTAACTAACAGGACGGGTCTGGGGGGATTACCTAGTCTACACCATGGAGCTTGCTCGCCTCCGTCTCTCGCCATCTCTCTAAAAGTACTGTTTTATCTGGCCATGGTTTCCATTGGCAGTTTCGAGTTTTTCGGTCCGGTTGGGGATCAATGAAAGGATACAGGACATCGAACAGCCTACTGTTCTCCTGATGTGTTTGCTCGTTCTTTTGGGGTGGTGCGCGGGTTTAGCGGTCGTGCTCATCCTCGGTGGTGTTGGGGCCATTCTTGGCCAGCTGGTCGAGAAAGTCGTCGACGTTGAACTCGCTGTCATCGAATTCTGGCGCGATCGTTTCCGAATGACCGGGGAGGGAGTGGACCGAGGGGACCGAGGGCACAGAAGGCACAGACGGCACAGACGGCACTGAGCTGGGACCAACAGTGTTTGCCGTGGTGGTGGCCGCTGTCGGCGCAGGGGTCTGGTTCGGGTTGTGACCTCCATGAGGGAGGCCACCATTCGGCAGGTCCAGGCCCATGCTCCTCACAAGCGAGTCGATGCTGTCCTGCAGGCTCTCCACCTCGCCGTTGACGCCGACGGCCTTGTGGTACGCGCCGAGCAGGTCCTGGTTGTGGTTGGCCAGGCCGGCGTTGGGAAGAGGAGAAAAGAGCGCCATTGTCGGGTCGGCGTTCTCGGTGGGAGGGGCAGGGGAAGTCGGCTTGTGGGGGGTGGCCAAAGCCTGGCCCTGGACGGAGGCGTTGAGCGAGTTGAGGAACATTTGCGCAGCAGCAGGCGACTGCAAGAGGGAGCCGATCGTCGTCTGGAGAAGGGAGGGGTCGAGGTTGAGGCCAGTCATGTCTTCGGAGCCGCCATAGGCCTGCAGAGCGTGGGTGTTGTCGGTCCGCAGCTCTGGCACGTCTGAAAGAGGCGACACGCCGCCCTGGTGGAGAGTAGGATCCTGGCCCGGTGTGACGCCAGACTTCATGGAGGTGGAGCGCGACTTGGAGAAGGGAGAAGCCTCATCGTCAGTGGCAAGCGCAGTGAAACGGGGGCCAGTAGAGTTCCAAGGTTCAACACTAGCAGGGACGGAGGTGCTATTCACCGGCTCAATGGTCGCCGTGGGTTCTTGTTGAGTCAGTTCAATAATTGGTGTATTGTACCAACCTTGAATCTCACTGAAGCGACCATTGGCCACCCCGTTTGCACTGTCACTGCCACCGTTGGTAGCAATGGTACCATCCTCGATGAGTAGCCTGCGACGCTTCTTGGCGCTTGCCACCTCGTCCGTTCCACTGTCCTCACGGGCACGGGTCATAACGCCGCGGCGCATGGCTTCCTTGAGGCCCTTGAGGCCCTCGCCTTCAGTACCAAAGAGACGCTCGAGGAAGGAGACAATGAGGTCAATGGTCTCCTCGTGCTTTTGCTGGCGCTCGCGAGACTCGATGGCCTCACGCCACAGGTGCTCGTTGGATGTCTGCAGCGCCTTGAGGTCGGCGCCAATAGCGGCCTGGGTCTGGCGGATAGCGTTGATGCCGCTCTGGATGGCCTGCAGATCGGCGAGTTGGGTCATGGACACGAGTGGGCCAGCCTCACCCTCGGTGGTGCCATCGGTGAGGAGGTGCACACCAGGGTAGCCAGGGCTGATGGAAGCGTTGGCAGCAGCCTGACGCGCCGACGACCGTGTGCCAGTCGAGCCCTGGCTGGGCGGCTGTGGAACGGCTGTCACTGGCCTATTATTCTTGCGCGTCACTCGGGACAGCAGTTGAGGTTGGTCGCGCTTGAAGAAAGGGTTGACAAACTCCCACAGCTCGGACGGGGCCTCGTTCTTCAGGACGCCCGACTGCAGGTGCGGCACTTTGTGGAAGCCGTACATGTTGAGCTGGCGGACAAAGCTCGAAAAGTTGGCATGCTTGAAGAAACGCGGGAGAAGCTCCTTGCCAAAACGCTCGTGGTTGGGGACTGGTGTGGGGTTAGACGACTGATGGCGTACCGATGGCGTGGTGGAGCATGGCCATGTCACTCACCGAAGAAGGAGTCGCCCGACTCGGCCCAGTATATCAACTCTTCAGTGTCAGGATCAGACACCATGCTGTTGTTGTCAGTGACTAGTTCATTGATTATTTTCAAAGTGTGGTTGAGCTGTTTTGCCGCAATCAACAGGACGCACCTGTACAACTTGTTGAGGAAGGCGGGGACCTTGACAACCTCTCCATTCTCTCCGACAGTCAGGCCAGGTTTTGTGACGGAAACCTCGTTGTCGATCGAGTTGAGCGGCGAGACAGGCTCGATTTTTGGCTGCATTGCGGTGGTGTACTTTGAGGGGCCCGCGATGGCCTGCAGACTGGTGGTCATTCGGGGGTGGTGTTGTGGGGTGGATGAGGAGAGTTGCGGTGATGAGATGGTATGTACACCCGGTTGGTGGGAGATGGGGTAGGTGTGGGAGGTGCCGGGTGGGGGCCGGTGAGATCAGGGGGCAGAGAGATAGCGGAAGCGCGAGAGCGACAGTGCCGAGAGAGAGAGTAAAAGGGGGTGACGAGAGAAGCGAAAAGGAGAGGAGTGTGAAGTCGGACGTTTGGTGTTGCCGCCGCCGCCGCCGCCGCCGTTGTCGTTGTCGTCGCCGCCCGCCCACGCGCACCACCGCTGTGGGACCTTTAGGAACGGGACAACCAGGCAAAGCTTAGCGATTATCGTTTTTCAGGTTTCAAATACATATTATATTACACGTCATTATTGAATTTAGATACATTCTGTTACGTAACGAGAGCGACGCAGGCCACCACCCACACACCCCGCGTCATCCAAGGGCGTGTCCAGTCGGTGGACGGAGACGGCCACATCCATCATCATCAATCGTCCAACACTTCGCGACTCTCACCGCATCACATCGTCGTTCCCTCCGCCACCATGGCCGACAGCGGAACCGAGAGCTCACCCACACCCCCACAGCAGGTAGACGAGACCCCCTCGTCTCCCCCTACCTCCCCATTAGCTCCCACGGCGGCTCCCGACGACGTCACCGTCGAGCCAACCGCCGAGGTCGTCGCTGCCCTAGCGCCGTCCGAGGGTGACCACAGCACGTCGCCAGTGGTCGAGGCCAAGCCGGCCACTCCTCCCATCGATTCACCAGCCGATACAGCTGGTGACAAGGCCCCGACACCGCTGTCCAAACCCTCTTCCCCAGTAGCCCCATCCCCATCCCCACCTCCAGCTCCCGCAGCACCTGCGAAGCGTCGCCCCAAACCACCAGCCCGCGGCATCCTTAAACCGCCGCCTCCGCCTGTCAAGCCGACCTTTGGCAACCGCCTGCGTGACATTGTCGGTTCGGTCACTGGCGAGCCTCCAGGACCATCTGGTTCTCATCCTCATGCTGGTGCGGCGGCCCATGCAGCTGTCGGCGCCCTCAACGCCATCTCTGGGCGCTTGGGTCTCGGTTTCAACCGCTTCGCGCCCAAGGACGAGGCGCCGCAGCCGCCGCCAAAGCCCTTACCACCTGTTCGACGTGCAGTGTCCGTCTCCGAGGAGCAGTTCCCTCCGCCACCTGCAGCCCCCGTGTCGGACCGCGCACGACAGAAGCAACCACTGAAGCGTGCGACCTTTGTCCTGCCCTCAATCTCTATTACTTACCCAATCTCATCGCTCGCTGAGCCATGGAGCGCCAAAGTTCTCGAGGACAGGGAAATGGTCAGTCGCCCGTGCTCTGGGGATGTAAGGATTCACGGCTGACACCCGCCCGTAGGTCGAGACCCGCCAACGCATGCTCCTCTCGACTGCCAGTGGTGCAGAGTACTGGACGTCTATTCGCCTCATCAAGCTGTACGAGAGCGCATGTCGCGGGCGGGAAGAGAAGCCACGTCTCGGCATCGTTCGTGCTCTGCAAGCTCTCCCGCCAGCTCCCAAGCCGCGTCTTGTCCATCTCGTCCTCCACGAAACCCCTGGCCAGAGCCAGCCGTACCCTCAGCCTTACCCTCTCGACCATCCCCTGACACGATATGCGGCCGAAGCGCTGGCTGACTTGTTGGTGGTGGAGTGGGCACTGGCCGACCTCCGGCTCGAGAGGGGAACGGTAGAGACCGAAGAGGCTCTCAAGCCTATCCTCCACGCTCTCCTCATCAGCGGCACTCTGCCTAGCTTGAGTCTTGCTGGCAACCGCAAGATAAAGGCCGCAGGGTGGCGTTTGGTTGCCGTGTTTCTGAAACGGGTGGGTCTGCCGATGGTTGTGGCCATGGCAGGAAAGATGCTGACACCACATACAGGCGCGTTCTCTCAAGTTTATCGACTTGTCAGAGACCAACTGGGACCGTAAAAGTGTCGACTATCTCGTACAGGCGCTGAACTCGACCCATGTTCAGGCGCTGCACGGCGATTCAGGGCCGACTGGCAAGCAACGGTCGAACACACCCGACGAGCAGCATCGCGCTGCCGAGGAGCGACCTTATGGCGGCTTCCTCCCACCCGCGCTCCTTCTCAGAGACGACATGGACAAGATGCCGGCGGCAGTGGAGACTTTGCGACTGGACAACTGTGGCTTCAGGCCACAGACTCTGGAAACGCTCGCACAGGGCATCCGGTCATCAGAACTGAAACATCTGTCGCTGAGAAACAATCGCATTGGATCTCTCGCAGCCGTTGCTATCGCCGTCATGATCCGTGACTATCCCGACAACCTCTCAATGACGTCCTTTAACACGACCGCGGGCTCTGACGTCTCGGCTGCCTATACCCCTCGTTCGCGTCGTGGCACTCCTGATCTCCAATATCCTCACGATGACTCCAACCTCCCACCTATCCCCCTCGTCACCTCGTCCTCGGCTGGTGGTGTCACTTCGCGCGTGCTCCCCGAGGGCTACAAGCCGCCACCTCCGCCCAAGCATCCGTTGGTAATGCCCGGCGGTGGCTACAGTGCCATGCAGGACAGCGCAGGTTTCGCTCTGACATCCGCCCAAGTAGAAGGCAAGATGACTGCGTCTGAGCACGGCGGCGCAAGCCTTGCCTTGCAGCGCAACGTCCGTGCCTTGGATGGCATTGAGCGTATCGGCCATCTGGTCACCCTTGACCTCAAGAGCAACGAGATTGGCAAGGGTGTCACCTACATTGCTCAAGTACTCAAGCGTAACCGTACCCTCAAGGTGCTCAACCTTAGTGACAACAAGCTTGAGCCTGCCGGTCTCGTTTCCCTCGCCGAGGCGCTCAAGTACAACCCGACGCTTGAGACGCTCGACATTAGCTCCAACCAATGCTGTGGCCCGAGTCTGGAAGGAGTGAGTTGGTTGAATTCGAGCCTCCAACTGACATCAGATTGCGGCTCTCCGCACCTCCTTTACAGTCAACAGCAGCCTCAAGAGGCTCTTCCTCGTCGACACGGGTCTCACCACTGAGGGTGCTATCGACCTGGCCGAGTTTATTCCGGAGAACAGGGCCCTCTTGCACCTTGACGTCACAAACAACCCCGGCGTCGGAACTGCAGGTATTCTCGCCATGGCTTCTGGGCTCAAAGCCAACCAGTTCATCCGCTGCCTGGACGTCTCCGTCCCACCCAACGACCCCAACCTCGCCGAACTGTCGCAATCGATCCTCCAATCATGTATCCGCAACACTGAGCTCGCGGCCGCGTCAGTCAAGGATGGCAAACCCGCTCGTGCGGCTCAAGACGCGATCTGGCGGCCGATCAAGAAGTCGGCGCTAGTCCGCCAGGTCAAGGCGGCTGACGAGGCCCGTGCCCAAAAGGAGCGCGAGCAGGTCGTCCACTCCATCGAGGGCGTCGCTCGCGACTATGTCTATCGTCTCAAGCCCGATGCCGTCGCCCAGGCTGCCGAGGAAACGTCCAAGGGCCTGGAGTCGTGGTATACGGCCACGCAGGCTGCCCGTGCCCGCCCGACGGCCATGTGGGAGCACACCCAAATGCCTAGGGAAGAGTTCCATCCGCTTATTGAGCGTGCCAAGGCCCTTACTGAGCGTATCGCCGAGGACGTGACCACGACGGCCGATCCCGAAGAGCTGGAGCGCCTGTTAGAGCTCAACGACATGCTCATGACGCACATCCAGCACGGCAAGGGATTCATGCCCCCACCTCGCATCCTCCTCCCATCGCAAATCGCGTTTGCATCGCCTGCCGCCCCACCCGTGGTCACCCAGGCCGCTGCTGGTCTTAACCCTCGTGGCCGTCGTCACATGCGTAGCCAGAGTCTCGAGATTTCGTCGCCCAACTTTAGCATTGGTGATTCAGACGCTGAGAGCGATGCCGAGGAGCTGGACGCTACGACGCTTGCTCCCTCGAGCAACCAGCGCAAGGGTTCTGCCAACGATACGGGCAAGGCTAGCAAGGGCAAGAGCGAGCACGAGGACATTCCCGAGGAACACGAGCACGACGAGGTCGATGGCGAGCCAGCTAAAGTACCCGACGCGGCCGAAGCTGCCGCCGAGCAACTTGTGGACCACGAACTTGCGCAAGGTCTCGCCTCCCCTGTCGAGCGTGTGTCACGCGCTTGGGTGTCGGAGGAAGCTGAGATTTTCCGCAAGGGTACCCGCCTCGGTGTGGCCCAGGACTCGGACTCTGACAGCGATGGCGACGCAGATGGAGACACCGTCAGTGTTCGTTCTGGTGCCAGTGGACACAGCCGGAGTAGCAGGAGCAAGGAGGACCTCACCGGGGAGCAGCTCCGGCAGGAGATTATGGAGACGGACGTTCCCCGTTCCCCGCCTAGGCAGGTTGTGGAGCTTAGTGACGAGGAGGTGGATGGAGAGAGGAATGAGCGCGGGGAGTAGATGGGCGCTAGACCGTAGACATTGTACGCTCACGACGACAAAGGGACACCACATGCACCTGATGACAAACGAACCCGAGTGTGGCAGCGGTGGCCAGTGGCACAAGTGGCGGACTGTGTGGATCTGTGGGGGGCCAGACGGAACTATTTTTGTGGACGACCTTCATGACACCACTTGCGGACGCGATGCGGATGGCTGCTCTACCTCTTCTCAACTACACCTCTTCAACAACACTTTGACTGTAAACAATGGGTGGCCGATACGTTCCCCCACACATGCGCAACAGGCCCTCGGCGCCATCGACGCCCGAATCGCCTCGGGCAAGCGCCAACGCGGGCGGGACGGGAGCAAGCCCTGCCCGCCCAACAGGACGATGGGACACCAACGGCACACCCTCGACCTCGAGCCCACGGACTGGCGGATACTCAGCTCACTCGGGGTCGAGCTACAACTCTGGCCACACGAACGGCACTGCCTCGGGGTCGAGGAGCGGGGACGGCCCCGGGTCGGGGTCTGGGTCAGGCTATGGCCGCAGCGGACACGGCGGAGGTGGCGGAGGGAGTGGCCAGCGGCGCGGGTCGCCGAGCCTGTACGTCTTTGGCGACAGCTTTGTGGGGCCCTTCAAGCTCTTGGCGGACGACTGTGCAAAGGTCCAGACGTTCAAGGGGAGCAGTGCCAAGGTGAGTGTCTGCAACGTTGGGTAGGACGGTTCTGTCCGCTGCGTAGCGTCAGCGCCCGTACAGCCGACCGGGGCCGGTCTTACCTCCCGTGGCCAGTTACTGACGCTACACACAGGGCCTCAACAACCCCAACTCTATCAAACAGGTGTCCAACGAGCTGGTGCCGCTCCTCAACCAGCTCCTTGCTCCTCCGCCATACGCATACCTGCCGGCAACGGGCCGGTATGCGCTGCTCATCTTTGGAAATGTGAGCTACAGCGGACCCCTGTTGCACGCTGCTAATGCTCCCCAGGTCGACTTGCAGATCAACTACCTGTGGCAATTGCAGCACAAGCCTATTGGCAAGGCTACCTGGTCCGAGGCGGAAGCCGAAGCCGAGACTGAGGAGGCTGAAGAGACGAGCGTCGGTCCGGCTGCAGACGCCGCATATATCCTCGCCACGGCCACCGAGAACGCTGGCAAGGGCCCTGCGCTTGGCCCAGAGCGGTTCGTCGACACTGTAGTGAAGGCGTACACTTCCTGGCTGGAACGCGAGGTTGTCAATGGCCCTATTGGGCGGCGCGCTACCGAAGTCGCGGCGCAGGCGTCTGGCGAGCGTGCCGGTGCTCGGAAGCTGGCACCCACCAAGGTCCTGGTTGCCGGTGCCCTTCCCCCGTTAGTCGAGGATCCTACACTCCCCCGTATTCCGGAGAAGTATGTCGAGCGCCTCGAGGAGGACCACAAGGCTGCACACCGGGCTCTGGCGGGCAGCGAGCAACGCGAGCGAGGGTCTCGCACGCCGTGGTCGCGTCAAGGACCGACGTCGCCTCCCACGAGCGTGTCCGAGCTGGAACGCGGCATGGCTGCGACGTCGCTTGACACGCCCGGTTCTGCCACCCCGACCAAGGAGGACACCAAGGCCTCGGTCCTCGACCTCTTGAAGCACTCGCCCCCTTTGTGTACCAAGCCCGTGCGCGTGTCCATGACACAGCGGTTCAACGATGGCCTTGAGGCATTTTGCAAGCTTCACCCCAGTGTCCTATCCTACGTGGACATCTCCGACGTCATGCGTTCTATTGACAAGGACGCGGCCGCCCCGTCGGCGGCCGACCTCATCCCTGGCGAGGTCGACCGTGCCACTTGGGCATGCCCCGTGGACCCGAGCAACATCCACCCCCTGTGGGAGCCGACCTTGCCGCTCTGGCTCAAGGCCCTCGCGCCTCTTGGTGTGCCTACCGAATCGTTTGCCATTTCCGCAGACGCTGAAGAGACGTTTAGGAACTATGAGGCAGACAAGCGCCGGCGCACGGAGGAAGGCGAGGCCAAGCTTGAGCGGCTCAAGCTTCGTGACGAGTAGTACCACGGATGGGCAGAGAGGCGTGGTGCGAGGGTGGTGAGAGACGCATCCGTAGCATGTGAAATAGATGCATGTACTGTTGTAACCATGATGGTTGTCTGAGGGAGGCATTCGAGCGATATGCTGCTGTTGGGTGGCGGATCGCGGAGGCAATTTCCGCCTCTGGCGCGTGCGATGATGACAAGTTGGGACGTTGTGGACGCGACCTGGAATCTGTGTCTTGTGGTCTCTTGACACCAACAACACACCCCCACCATGCCGTCTCCGGCCTCGTCGAGCGTTCCCCTCCCCGTCCCGCCCTCGACACCACAGGCTCCTCAGACACCAGCCAAGCACTCCTCGGCAGCAACAGATGCGAGCTCGCTGTTGACAACACCTGGACCTGGCCCGGGCCGGCGCCCGCATGTCCTCTCCCCAGCCTATGTGCGTGTTCCCGCATCTCGCGCCTGGTCGCCAGTGCCGAGCTCGACGTTTTGCAGATCCCCACAGTTGGAGGCTGAGAATGTCTTTGGCCATTTGGGCTCATAGGACCTTCAGGCTACGCCGTCACAGCCTCCACGCCACCTCCAGCTACGACCTGGTGAAAGGCAGCTGGAGACGAGGTTCATTGGAACGTTGGGCTCGTGGACATGACCCCGGAATGTCAAGGCTGACGTTCCAGACAAACTCGCGCCGACACTCGCTGTACGGTATCGAGGACCGCGTCGTGATCGAGTAAGTCTAACCTAGCTGGCGAATGTGGAGACATCGAACTCGAGCTTCAGTCTCGTACTCATCAAGCTCAACTTTGTATTCCCCGTTACCAAGCTGACCTTCACCCCAGTCCAGGTTCGCGCGCGTGGAAGGTCGGATTTTCAGGCGAGCCTGACCCCCGTGCCGTCTTCTGGTCGGCCCGCGATGCCGGGAGGATTGGCGCCGGCGAGATGTGGGACCTCGACCTGGCTGCCGTGCATGGCGCTCGCGGGAGCAGGACCGAAGCGAGGCGGTTGGTCACAGCTAGGATTGACAGGAAGCTGCGTGATGTGTTTCACCGGTGCGTACATACTAAAGAAGGAAGGTGACTGCCTAGCTGACGACTCGCCAGACACCTCCTGGCAGACGCAAAGGCGCGCAAGGTCATTGTGGTCGAGAACACGTTCCTCCCGACCTATGTCAAGGAGGAGATTGCGCGTGCACTGTTCGATGACCTCAAGGTCCCGTCAGTGGCATTTACGCCTGCCAGCCTGCTTGCTCTGGCCAGTTGTGGACGCGTCACTGGTCTGGTTGTTGACTGTGGTTGGCTCGAGACGACCGTAACTCCTGTGAGTACCAACTGCCTTGCCGTGCTGGTGATCCTGCTTCGGTGTGTGCTTCACCAGCTGTTCCGGTGGCAGTTCAGCTAACATCCAGGTCTACTGCTCTCGCCCTCTGTACCATCTCGCGCGCTCGAGCCCCCTAGCGGGCCGCGCCACCCAGAAACGCCTCTGTGCTCTCTTGCGACACTATGGCCAGTATCGGCCACCAGGTCGCGTCAGCTCGCCTCTTCCCCCCGCAGGCGTGCACCTTGCCTTGCTGTCCGACCGTGTTGTCGAGCGTGTGCTCTCAGAGGCGTGCTTTGTTGCTCCTACTGGCCCAACCACTACGCCATGTGCGTCCACTGCCGAGCCGGCCGAGCAGCTCCAGGAGATCGACGATGCAGCACTCATGGCTGCCCTTTCGGACAGATACCAGCCCTCCACCGCCGCCGATTGGCATCTCGCCATTCCAGACTCGCGTGGCGTGGGGCCTGCAGCGGCCCTAATCGTACCCGGATGGATGCGTGAGCGCGCCGCAGAGGTCCTGTTCGGAGATGGCCCAGAAGAGGTCCCTTCGGTTTCTGAGCTCGTCCTGGATACGCTTCTGAAGGTGAGCTGAATGATTGTTGGAGATCTAACTCGCCAGCTTCCTGTCGACCTTCGTACCGAGCTGTCCTCGGCCGTCCTCGTCACTGGCGGCACGGCAAGTCTGCCAGGCATGGTCGCGCGTCTGCGCGACGATGTGCTGCACCACCTCCACGATCCCGAGAGCACTGATCAGCCAATGGACCACCGTGCCGAGCTCGCCGCGTATCGCCACCGGGTGGCCAACAAGTACGCTCCCCTGCATGGTCTCGGACGCAAGTTTGCTGTCCTCAACGACCCCTCTCCTCTCGACAGCACATCAGGCAGCAGTAAAGGAGGAAGCGCGCCACGCTGGGCTCCGAGCCTCATGGCATGGGTTGGCGGCAGTCTTGCAGGGTAGGTGCCGATATTGCTTTGGTAGCAAAAAGCTGAACGTCGACAGCATTCTCAAGACCTCTGCGCCAGAAATCGCGCGCGAGGACTATGACACCCGCATGGCCGACAGCCAGACACGCGGAGATGTCTTCCGTACCGCTCTCGAAGAAGAACGCGACGGCGAGCCTGCTGCCGCCGTGGGACTGGCCCTCAACGACATGGGACCCGGTATGGCTGTTGGTGGTATTCTTGGGCCACTCAGGAAGCGCGGATGGGTCGACACTGGCGCCGTGCCAGACTGGACAACGGCCAGTGTCCGGGCCGGTGTGTAAAGACGGTGATTGTTTTTCATGCTGCTTCATTGCTTTGCTGCTTAATAGCTAGTTTTACGACGTTTTTGTACACATATAGTTTGCATGTACGGGCTTTGACCCGGCCACGACAGACCATGGACTGCGGGCTGCATTCCTGATGGGGGAAAAGAACTCCCTGCGGCCTGGGGATGCAGGGCAGCAAGTGTTATCGGCGGCGCCGACGGCCCCCGTTGAGTTATCAGCCCGCGCCGGTTTGATCTGGACCGCTTGTGGATTCAGTGTGGAATTTGTTAATCGTGTTAGTAATCGTCACCGGGTGACGTAACGACGTCAGTTACCAATCCTAAATGAGCTGGGGGATCGGCCCAAGCCAACGGGTCGGCGAGGCACACACGCTGATGAGCCCGCGCCGTCTACGCAGCCGTCGACTTTTATGCGTGTTAGTGTTCCGTTTGTGTTTTGTGTTTCTACCCATCTATACTCTCTTTCATCGTCGACCCACACTGGTCGATTTGATTCACTTGCCCCAACGGAAGGAGCTCGCGCGCCTCGTCTCGGACCCCGACCTTGAACCTTGAACTCGCGACTCGTGGGGACCTGACTCGGAACTGGAACTTGGGGCTGGCCTCCACTATCACGGAACAGGACACGGAGACACGTCGAGACGACGACGACCAACATCTGTCCAGATCAACAAGGTTCCAGCAATAAGCACACCCGCTGCGTCAACGAGACACTGAGACGCGGCCGCCGCTACGTTTACGCTTGCTCTCGTGACACCCCTTACCCCGTGAGCTAGAACCCGTTGGCCCGGGCTAGAACCAAAACAAACAACACTATCCGGGAATCGACGATGGGACAAAAGCGATATTTCCACCACGCGCTGCCGCCCCTCCCTAACCAGGAGTACCCTCGAGCCATTCCAGAGAAGCAGCCTACGTGGGGGTACTACATCGCTGCCGTCGTGGTGTACTCGGTGTGGGCCATCACGCCGCTGTCCTTGTGAGTGAGGCCACAGGAAGGAGACTTGCTGGCACGTATAGGAGGTTTGGACGTGAGCGCACATGCAGCTACAGTGACGCTATAAGCTGATCTGCACGTTCACCCAATACCCCGTCCACGTCTTCGACCTCAGCCCGGCCGGAGTAGAACATTGCAGCAATGACATACTGACGCCCCAGTGCTTATCTGACATGGTACGGCTACTCGTCTTGGTACGCCCCCACCAACCTCACGGGCCCCAAGGGCTACCTTTTCACCCCGCTAGCCGGGTACGCCTGCCTCGAAGTCCTATTCTCCATCTACTATGCCTACCTTGCGCGGTCGGTGCAGCCGGCCTCGCCCGCTAGCAACATGCGACACGATGACCTGTCGGACCTGTTCCTCCACGTCGTCCACGCCGGCCTCGCACTCGCCACGCCTGTCTCGAGGACGAGGGCACTGTCGGCACCGGGAAGGTGGGCCGAGGTACGCACCAGTATCGACGCGTTGCTGGTGTCAAGTGCCAAACAGTCTGAAAAGGAGACGAATTCCGGTACATCTACGCCTACGGGGACGGGGAGTACGGGAATGACCAAGGCGGAACAGACAACGCGTCGTCGCCTCACGCGTCTTGACTCCACCGTGGTCCCGACCTACAACCCGACAGCAGAGGAGGAGGACGATCCGCTGTTCGACGCCAATGGCCAACCGCGTGTTCTCGATGTTGACGACCCCCGCGCGGTTGAGTTTAGAGAGCAACTCCGCACATGGTTAGTTGTCGGGTTCACCACAAAACTGACACTACAGGTTCAACCATGTCCCATGGGAGTCCCTCCGTCGCGATGACCTGCGGACTTGGATTGCCTGGGCCGCCTTTTCGCTCAAGCTCGAAGATGTGACCGAACCTAAGAAGGTCCGCTTCCTTGAACGTACTTCCACCATGCTTGAGGCCCGTACGGGCACAACCTTCCCTCCTGGACGTTCCGATGTGGAGATTATGCGTCTCACTATCGACCCCGTTCGCGCGTTTGGTCGCCCGTTCATCATTTATCTCATCTCCAACACAATTAACACCTGGTTCAAGAACGTACTGTATCCCTGGCGTGGGGTACAGGTGTGCCGTGTCGGAGACATCGAGTGAGTCAAGTGGCAGATGCATAGCTCGACCCTCGCGTACTCCGAGCTGACCATCAGCTACCTCCTCCGCATTCCTGAAGGCTGGACGCCTGAGAAGGGCCGACACGAGCCCAACGCGATGCCCATCGTCTACCTCCATGGACTTGGTTTCGGCTTGCTCCAGAACCACCTGTTGCTCAAGCACCTCGTGTCGTCTCTCCCCTCTCACCCTCTCCTCGTCCCTCTGGCCCACCACACCGCCCACGCCATCTTCAACGACCGCCACCTCAAGCCGTGGACGCGCCCCGAGCTCGTCTCAGCCGTCAAGGAAGCGTGTATCCGACACGGCTTCTACGACCCCGACTTTGGCGGTGGCGTCTCCATGATGAGCCACTCGAACGGAAGTGTCCACCACGGCTGGGTGCTCAAGGACTTTCCCGAGCTTACGAAGCGCAACACTTTCGTGGACCCAGTGGTGTTCAGCCTGTGGGAAGGAGGTGAGTTGAGCTGGCTTCCCGGCAGACGTCAAGCTCTGACTAACCACCGCCCAGACGTGTGCTACAACTTTTGCTACCGCAAGCCGAGCGAGGCACTCGAGCTGTTGCTCGACTACTTTGTGGCCACCGAAGTCGGTATCGCAAACTATATCCAGCGCCATTTCAACTGGTGTGACAACACGCTGTTCATCGAGGAAATCCCCAACGCGACCGACCCGACCAAGACGGCCTTCTTCCTTGGTGGACAGGACATCATTATCGATGCAGGGGTGAGTGCTGTGGTGCCGGCCAGCCGTAGGTCCGTCGAGAATCTGCATCCAGCTGGCCGGGTACTGGGGACCGTCGTTGACTACGCGGAATGAAGACTATTGGGGACCCACACTGACTCCTTCCTTAGCGCACTCGCCGATACCTCGAACACAACGGTGTCCGCGACGGCCTGCACTGGGACGCCGACGCAGGCCACGGCGACGGTCTCATTGGCGAGCCGCGCGACCGCGTCGTCATGTATGTCGGCACTGGCTCGACTAAAGGCTGGCAGGGCTGGCTCACGAGGGGCCGTCGGTCGCACTCGCTTGGCATGGCGGATCGCCCGCCGACACCTGTTCTGGCCGAGAATGATAACATACGGCGCAGGCATCTCGCCCCGCCAAGCTGAGCGACCTTGTCATTCGGCCGCTCCATACACCCCCATACTACCAGCTCGACTGCACACACTGCTCGGGGCTGTGACTACTTGTAGAATGCATGACAACGGAAACCCCTCTACCATAGACTTAGAAATGCACTGTGTAATGACAACCTAGCTTGCAGCTTCCAGCTGCTCCGTCCCCCGCGTCGGGCGGTCTACCTCAAATGGTGTTGTACATCCTGTCACCTGCGTCGCCGAGTCCAGGCGAGATGTAGCCCTTGTCAGTGAGGAGATCGTCGATGGCGCCGATGTAAATGTCCACCTCGGGGAACTCTTCCTGCACGTGTGCCACGCCGGCCTTGGAGCCGAGGATCGAGACAATCTTGATCTGCGACGGCTGGAGACCCCACTCGGTGAGCATGCCGAGGGCGGCGACGGCGGTGCCACCGGTCGCGATCAGAGCTGGTAGGGTGTCAATAGAGATACGAGGGTGAGAGAGCTGGAGCGCGCTGTGTTTGGTAGAGCTGGGCTGTGGAAGGCCTAGCTCAAACATTAACGGCTTGAGCGAACACTCACGGTCAAGCACGTAGACCAGGTCGGCGGTCACCTGCCTGGGCAGCTTGGAGTAGTACTCGATAGCCTGGAGGGTGGTCTTGTCGCGGAACAGACCGAGGTGGAGGACGGTCGCGTCGGGGAAGAGTTCCAGGGCCGCTGGGTTCAAGTCAGCGTCTCGTTATGGTCGCGCGTTGAGATCGGCCACCACTGCGACCACGTTCCCCAGACGTATCCAATCGAGATAGTGCTCCATTCAATCCTCCACCACGCCACCCGCACGCTCGCCGACAGGGTTGTTTACCGCGTCACCTGCGTCACATGTCCCGTCCCCGCCATCCCCGACCAGACCGGACGGGACCAGCACCGCTGTCCGCGACGACTCTGCCCTCCGCGAACGCGTACTCACAGTCAGTCATGCCGATACCAGCACGCATGATGGGCGAGAGACCAATACGCGCCCCGACCGTCTTGCCCGTGAAGGACGCGATGGGGGTGTGCAGCTGTTTGGGACGTCAGCATTGGGTGGAGGCGGGGTCGGTATGTGGGGAAAGGGGAGAGGCGTAGGGGAACGCGGCAGGAGGCGTCGCCGATAGCGTGGGGGTGGGAGCGGGTGGTACTCCTCCCTCTCTCGTCGACTCGGACTCACGTCTGGGACGTCGGTGAGGGGCACGCTGGCGCTGGCCTCGTACAGGATCATCGAGCTGCGGAGAACAACAAACAGACACGTGCGACGCGACGGTGGAATTGGTGGATGGTGTGAGCGGTTCAGAGATCAGAGACATTGAGAGTCCACGAGGTCCGATAGGTGTAAATAAATGGTAGGATGAACGAGGAGAGCGTGTCAGTGGCCACCATGTTACAGCTCGAGAGCACAGCACATACCCGAGAGCGTGGATGCCCTGGCGAAAGTCCTTGGGACTGAGGTCGTGAAGCCTCAGCTCGGTGAGGCGGGTGGCGACAAGGGGGTGGGTGGAGGTGTGGAGCACCATGGTGTTATGTATGGGTGTGTGTGGTCGGGAGGGGGAGGGGAGGGGAGAAGAAGAAGAGAAAGAGAGAAAAGGAGAGAGGAGAAGTGCAACGTCGCGTCCCCCGTGCTGTATTTATACGTCGCCGTGGCCGTTCTCGCTATCAGCCAACGTCACTGACGCGCCCGCCGGAGATAACCGAGCAATCGACCATTCCCGCTCCAGTCGGGCAAACGTCCGGCCACACAGGTCCGCCATATCTGCTGCATACATGTTGCACGCGTCGTCGCTCTCCGATCGTACACACTAGTCTATGCTCGTCTTGGTACATCGCCCGCGTGTCCACCTCGTGCAGGGTTACGCATGCTTAGAGGCCCTGGCGCGCGGCGTTGGAGATCCCCTCGTGCACCTTGTGGTCGGTTGGTCGCGGCGCCGCCTCGTAGATGATCTCGCCGAGCTTGTTTGGCAGCTGCAGTGTCCATTGTCGATAATCACAGCCAGACGTATAGCAAGCCAATTGGGTAAGAACGAGTCGGGCAACGTATGACAGGTGTGGTGGAATGGGTGGATCGGAGTATCATGCCGATAAATACAGATAGGGTTTGGAGGAGCAAGCGCCACCGTATCAGCGGCCAGTTCATTCCAATGTACCATGCGTTGCGGGACTCACCGGACGCCAGCTGCCGCGCAGACCGACATAGTATATCCTTGTCGTCTCCTCGTCCTCACCCTCGCTCTCGTTGTTCGGGAAGAAGAGCGCCAGGCTGGTCGTAGAGGCAAACTTTGCCGCCCTGTGTGAGTGTCAGTAACGGTCGCATCATTTGGCTCATCGCATCCCTTAAAGGAGCCAACTCGCACACTCGACTCACTTGACCTGGTACTCTCCAGCCTCTCGGGACTCAATAACATCAAAGGCCTGGGTAGGCTCACGGGCCTCGGCGTCGGAAAAGTCGAGACCGGCGGCATTCACAAACTGCAACGGTTAACGAGGCGCAAGGAAGCCAACTGGGCAACTGTTCTGCGTTTCTTAAAACGCACCACACGCATTTCAGAGGGACGAAATCCGCCGTGTCCGGCCTTGAGCGTAATGGATCTCAGCGAGACGGACGCGGTGAATGGGACTGGCGGTCAGCATCGGAGTGAGTGACAAGGGAAGGCATACTGTGGAGAATCAAGGAGTCGTCCAGTTCGCTCTCGAGCCACTGTCATTGTTAGCTTGATGTAGATGCGACAAGTAGCTCACAATCGTCTCGTCATCTTTCTCTGCCCACTCCCTGCCAGTTAGCTATAGCCGCCAGGAGGACAACGAGCTCACTTGATCACCACCCTGCCCTTCTCCCCGCCACCCGCGGCGTTCAAAGCGACGACATGCTCCGTGTCAATGACGGGGTACAGGCTATCCGTCGGTCCGGCGCTGAGGGGGATATCGTGGTCGTGGCCATCACACCCTCCGTGGTCGTGGTCGTGCGCTTCGTGCGAGCAGGACGGCATGGTTTTGAACGTGTGTTAAGTGTTGCTGAAACCTACGTCACAATTCGAACCTCGCAGAAACGATGGAGCACCTCCACCGTGCGCTCGGAGCCACAACGGCCATATCGCCGCCCAACGCCGCCACCGTGTGTGGTGCGCTCACCCAGGCGCTCTGCGGCCGCCGCCGCCACCCGACGACGGTTCTTTCAACGTTTCCAGAGAGCGCCGAGAGACCTCATATACATCTTCTCCAACAACAACAAAAGACAATGTCCGCCCCCGCCCAGCCGCTCTACCTCGGCCCCTCGGGCGCCCAGCAGCAGCCCCCTTCCCTCCTCTCGTGGATCTGGACCAACCAGATCGTCAACCCCGAGCACCGTGAGGGCAACATTTCGTGAGCGTCCACCGCCGACAGTGGAGACGACACGACGGACCGAGACCGATGGACATGGGCAACGACCTGCGGCTGGAGCCTGCCAGCGCGCTGGAGGCGCGAGCTCAAGGATACGGGGAAAGCCGATAAGTGGTGTGTGGGACGCGGCTGGTTCTCTGCCGGCGCCGTGGACAGCTGGTCTAATGCCAATGTTTGCCAACCAGCTGGGACGCCGCCGGCAACGAGACTCCACACCCCACCCTGCTTGCCGTGCTCTCGCCTCGTCTTGAAGCTGCTTGCCACCTTGTCGACCAGCTGCTGAAGACGGGGAGGGACGAGACGGACCGAGGCGGGATACGCGCAGACAAGGCTGCGGGCTCCTGGTCGCTCTCAGCCGGTCTCTTGCGTCCCCGCCTCCACTCTCCTCGTCGCAACGTCGTGACCTACAGGCAACGTGAAAAGCAGGCTGCGGGGTTTGTGCTACAGCCAGCAACGCGTGTGCTTTGTCCATCACGGCGCAGCGATCATCCCTCGCCCTCGTGTCTTGGTGGACTGCCTCCACCCTCGTCCGTCTTTGTCTCGGTCTGAACATCTGTCATCTGTGACGAGTTTGTGCCACCCCAGCTGACACCTCCAGGATCGCCCGCGCCGTCGCCCTCTTCGCTGCTGGCGTCATCTTCGTCCGCTCGGACTGGTCGTCCGCCCTCGTTCCCGTCCTCTAGAGCGATGTGAGTTGTAAATCGCAGATCTCTGGGCATTCAACTGACAAAGCGCCACCAGTGTATCTCCACCATGATGTACAACAGCCATGCATTCACTTCTCTGGCGGCCACAGAGTCTTCTTTTCAAGCAGCAGAGATTGGGGTTGCGGAGGGACGTGTGATACCAGAAAAAAAAAACACTAGCTTTAAAAAGATCCCGAAAAAAGAGCATAAAGGACGACAGACGAGAGACGGAATACACTGGCTTGGTGTCGATCAAGAAAAATAAAGGAAGAACGAAGACTTTGGCTTCAGAGTCGGTATCTCGGAACGCTCAGGGGTATGTTGAGAAACAGATGGGAGACAGAGACAGAGACGAAAAATGAGAGACGAGGCGAGACGGATCCAGTGTGACAGACCGTGTTTTATGACTGTCCCAACTCGGAACCACCTCTGCCGGCGTTTTACTTGGGCACACCCTAGTTCTGCTCGATGATGCCGACGAGGGCCTTTTCGTACTTGCCCGAGGTCTCGCCCTCGACGCGTTGGCGGAGCGAACGGCGGTACAACTGCTGGTACTGGTTCTTGATGGCGCCGAAGCGGGGGCGGTTCCAGTGGTAGCGGGAGATACGGTAGCAGAGACGCTCGTCCTTTGTGCCCATGCCGGCCATGGCAGCCTCGAGGAGCTGGGTGTCGCGGTAAACGCCCTGTCCGTCCTGCTCGGCGCCGCGCGAGACGTGGAGGAGCGCGTCCTTCATGTGGCCCGAGAACTCGGACTCGATCATGTGTGTGAGCGACACACGGTGGCGCTGCGGGAACGCCTGGGCGATGGCTGCGAGATGCGCGTCTGAGCGCTGGAGAAGGATACCGCAGATGGCGATCTCGTCGGTGCCAATCTTGCCCGGGCCGGCGCGGTAGAGCGTCTCGACGTCCTGCTGGACCTGCTGGTGGTTGACAAACGTCGACTCGTCGCGTGTGCCGGTGAGCGCCATGACGAACATGCGCTCAGTCTTCATGCTGAGCTCGCCGCGGACGACCTGGACGAGGTCCTTGTTGTGGGTACGGCGGTACTGTTCCTTGAGCAGGAACATTTCCTCGTTGGAACGGCCAATGAGAATCTCGGTGAGGAGGTCCTCGTGCGTGCCGGCACCCTTGCACGCGCGGTTGAGGAGGTGGACGTCGCCAGCCAGAGGACCCAGCGAGATGAGAACCATGATATATTCAAACCTGCAGAGTTAGCCACGCAACGAGATCCTAACTCACCATCCGCTCAGCTCCTTCTCAAGAGTAAGCTTGAGCGACCGTCCAACAGTCTGCTCAAAGGTGCGCGACAGGACATCCACCTGGAAGGCGTCGAGTGGTGCCAGAGTGTCGACGAGGGTACGCTCGTCGGTGCCAAAGCCCTGCGATGGGTCAGCTATTGCTACTTTCCACCACTACCACTCACCTTGGTAGCCTTGCGGATGCGCTCGGCGTCAAACTGCGGGTTGTAGCCCTGGAGGTTGGCCAGAGGAGGCGCTGGGGGCGGAGCAGGGATGGGCACGCCGAGGAAGCGGGGTCCAAAGCCGGGGGCAGGCTGGGGCGGTTGACCATAAGCCGTAGGGGGAGCGCCAAACTGCTGCTGGTGCTGCTGAGGAGGAGCACCATACTGCTGCTGGGGAGGCGCACCGCCGTACTGCTGGGCAGGAGGAGCGCCGTACTGCTGCTGGGGGGGAGGAGCACCATATTGCTGCTGTGGAGGAGCGCCGTAGCCGCCGGCCGGCTGGCCGTACTGCTGCTGGCCCTGGGGTGCGTATGCGCTTCCACCGACACCGGGACCGGGGTAGCCGCCACCAAACTGCTGCTGCTGGGGAGCACCGTATTGCTGTTGAGGAGGGGCGCCGAACTGAGGTTGCTGGTTGAACTGCTGGCCCTGGGCACCGCCGTATCCAGAGCCTCCGCCGTAGTTTTGTTGAGGGGGTTGCTGGCCGTAGCCGCCCTGCTGGTAGCTGTTACCGTACATGGATATGAGGGGGGTGGATGTGGATGTGGATGTGGATGTGTGAGATGTGAGAGATGAAAAGAAAGACGAGATGAGAAAGCAGGGACGCGTGATATAGAAGAGAGCGAGAGCAGGACGCACAGGGAAGAGGCGGGCGGCGCCGGCGCCGGCGATGACGGAAGTGGGGGGATGTTTTGCCAAGATGAACTCCCCCGCGCACCCAGGACATTCCGCGCAGGAACCACTCTGGTCGCTCGGCACAGTCGTGGCGGTGCGACAGCTTGAAAGCGTCAAACCCGCATGCATCGCATGACGACGCGTGAACATATACAGGCGGATGGCAATCGACCACTGCAGTAAACGGACAGTACCGTGGCAATGGACAAACAGAGAATGAGATGGAGAATCTCAGAGGATCAGAGACAGACAAGAGCCGAATCAGGGCTGTCGTTCATACAAGCATTATGCGTCCACTGCAGAAACATCTCCAGCACAGACGTCTCCATTCATCTGGCGCGCGTCATACATGGCAGCCCCCACGCAAAACAGGCCCACAGATCCATTCTGCAATATAATGCCGGCCCCCCTCCTTGCCGTGCACCGGCCTAAGGGACCCGTATATATGCATGTTCGAACACGATCGACGGGACCGCTCTGGCCAGCGTTTTGATGGCGTTTGGCGGCGGTGCAACAAGGGGGGGCGACGGGCCGCAGTGCCACCCAAAGGGCGAGAAACACATAGAGACCGGCCCGCGGCGATACCTCAGAACCATAGTGCGTTTCTCGCTCACAGCGGGGCGGGCGGTGAAATCCCAGATCGACTCTGGCACTCTGGCACTCCGACATTCTGATGTTCTGCGCCTTCTGTCGTCCATCAGCTGCGGTTGGGAAATTGACGTCGCGCAAATCGGTATGAGACGCCCTTTGTGCGACAACACGAAACCCGTTCCAGCAAGAATCAAGCGTTTCACCGACGGTCGCGGTGGTTGCGGATCGTCTACGTTGACACCCCGCCACTCACGCCCCATCGTCCTGCTGCTACTGTCCATGCATCTAGCTTTCTATCTCGGACTAAATGCGGGCCCGCCTAGAACTTGCCGCGGAGGAGGTTCTTGATCATCTCGCGCGCGGTAATGCGCGACGTGTGGTACATGGTCTGGACGTCGAGGGTCGAGAACATCATGTCGGCGAAACCAAAGGGAAGCATGAGGGGGATCCAGCCGCGCGCGTACTCGAGCGCCCACGACTCGGGGACCATCGAGTACTGCTTGACCACACCGCGCTCAAGGTGGTGCACGCTGCCGGGCAGGTACTCTTCCCGCACGAGCGAGCCGGCCTCGTACGCGTACTCGGCGCCGGTGAGCATGTGGAAGTAGTCGTCGGCGGTGTGGCGGCCAGTGTGGCCCTCGGTACCGATGGCAGAGCCAAAGATGATCAGGTACCTGGAAAGGGTTAGTGACTTCTCCAAGGCAGCAGAAACATAATGAAACCGGCGAGGCATATCGGGTAACCCGCTGGCCATTGGATGCTTGATACCTGCCCCCCGGCTACATGAGCTTGAAACTCACTCAGTAATAGAGGCGTGGATAATGTACATGGATCCCATGGCGCCACCGGCGTTGTTGAAGACCCACTCCGAGCGGTCGGTGTAGTCGGTGAGCATGCTGGCGTCGGGGTAGGCCTTGTCAAGCTCGGTGAGGAGGTTGTGGACAATGAACGAGGCATTGCCGTTCTGGCCCTGGGCCTCGGCACGCGCGAGCGAAGCGTTCACGCAGCCGTGCAGCACCTCGGGGTCCAGGACGTAGAAGTGGTCCTGGTGTGGGTGTCAGTGTGGTCCGTCGTGCAGGTAGTGGCGGTGGTGGGAGGAGATGGGTGGCAGTAAGGGAGGGCCCAAGGCCCACCCCCGTGTCGTCCCGCCCTGGCGTTCCAGTGTTGTTCAAGAATGACGGCCTTTGTTGAAGAACAGCAGCGGAACGGCCACCCTCGCCGGGTCCTTCCTTCCCTCTCTCACCCCCGGGCGCCACGGTCACAACTCACATTGATGCTCTGGAGGTAGCTGCACAGAGCCCAGAAGATGGCGAGGATGCCAGCGCGGATGGACCACTTGGAGAACGCCGAAGACGCAGCGTTGGCAGACATGACGTACGCAGCTGGGGAGGTTGGAAAAACAAGAACACAACAAGAGATGCAAAGCAACCGGCGCGTTCAAAAACAACCAGCCAGAGAGGACGCGTACGATCCGCTGCCTCCGCCATCGAACGACTTTCCAACCAACAAATTTGGTTCCGTTCATTCATGAACACACGCTCAGCGCCGAGTGATCGCGAAAGAGGCGCCGTACGATACATGGTCATGCATAGGGCAGTCACCCGCCTAGAACTCCGCGCAGTCTACAGCTCTATGGGGGCTCGCTGTACCACTGCCCACTCTGGTACGATCCCCTCGTTCTCTCCCATCAACCCTCGTTTCGCAGTGGGCCCCTAATTCTATGATGTGTAAGAACCGTCCAAACATTGCCTCTACGACTGCTCCTCGAGTACATGGCGCAGCTCCTTGGCACGCGCCTCGGCCGCCGACCATGCCTCGTCCAGCACGCTGGCACCCGACTTGCCTGCCACACCGCCAAGGCCCTCGTGACGCACACCGCATGCGCGGCCCTCCTCGTCAAGAGCAACAGTTATGGTTGTGGGGAGGAGCGGCTGCTCAAAGGCAGTGGGGTCCGGGAGGACGTGGCTGCTGTAATGGTGTTAGCTTGTACACGGACAGGGACAACCGGAAGCTCACGACTGGAAAATACCAAACGAGCATGCCAGAGGGATGCGGCCGAGAGGCAAGGGGAACTTGTCACTCGCGTCACAGGTGGTCTGCATCGTCTCGTCGCTGTAGGTCGCGCGCGGGAGGCGGGCTGGTGTGGGTGTCAGGTACGTCACAGCGTAGCAACCTACTATTCCTCAACGCAGCCATAACCGCGAGCACAGCGGCATCGTACGCGTTTCCGTCATAGTTGATGCACACGACGTCAATGTAGATGGACCACGCGGCCTTGCCTGGTGCGATCACGAGCGAGGTCGGGGGCAGTGTCCTCGAGCTGGGCAGTGTGAGCTACAGCGATGCAGGTCATAACTCACGAGACAAGCAAGTCGTTGAGCCAGTTGGACATGGCCTGGGCCTCGTCGACAGGCGGTCCAGGCTTGAACTTGGGCGAGCAGAGAGCAGGGAGGTCGATGTTGGGCACTGCATGTTAACGCGACGTACTGGGACCGACAGAGGGGTCACGACGAGTTCAAAGGTACTCTGCACAGTTTGCCTCATACACCTTTCAACCCTCACCCACCCCTTCGCTCTCTCACTCACCGACAAAGCCCTCATCCGGCGCCGAACCACTTGGCTCGGCAATCTCCGCCTTGACACCACACACCATCGTCGTGTCGCCCATACGCACGAGCGCCGAACCGTCCGCAGTGGCAATGGAGCCTGGCCGTAAGCGCCAACATCATATCAGCTCATTGCATATACCCACCGACGTTGACGCTGACGTCGCGCCATGCATCGAGACGGCGTCCGTCCGGGCGGTATCCCTGGTCGAGGAAGCGGGTGAGGTACTGGTCCGGGTGGAGACGCTTGAAGACGGCGGCGGCCGAGGGGCCGGCAAGGGGTTCGGACGACGACGACGCGTCGGGTTGCTGGACAGCAGTAGCCATTGTGAGTGGGAGGTTAGATCGACGGAGTGGAGCTCTGGGAGCGAGCGTGTATGATGATGATGTATTTGCATCGAGAACGCACAACTTCTCATTTACAACCTCCACCAGAGCTGTTACAAAGTTATCTGGTCCCCCCCTCCTCTTTTAGACGCCCACCCGGGTGACTACTCCACCTTTTGTGTCCGCCGGCCCCCTTGGGCCCTTTGGATCATCGTTTGCTGGAAACGTCCCTCCATCTGAACAGCCACTTTGCACACTCTCCGCACTCTTTGTCACCCGTTTCCTCCCCTCCATCACATCAATCCACCCATCCAACCCCTTCCACGCAACGGGACACCCCAAACCTACCCTCCCAGCGCGGTACATGTCCAGTCATGTCCCCACTCCCGGCTCCGCAACCCCCCACCACGCATCCACCTCGGCCAACCCCGCAGCTGTGACACCGGCGTCCTACCACCCCGCACCGCGCCCAGTCCCCAACACCTTCCCCTTCCACCGCATCGACACACACCAGATAAAGCAACAGCTCCACGATGCGCTGGGCGAAGCTGGCTTGCCGTATTGGAAGGCGCTCAATGCGTACCTCCTCGGACAGCTCGGCCGCCACGAACTCGAGGCACTTGTACGAGGCTGGCTCAAGGGCAAGAACAGTGAGTTGGTGGTGGTGGTGGAGGGTGTCGCACAAGCAAGTTCCCATCAGTCCAGCCGCTTACCCAACCCAGTCCAACTGCACAACCACCTCCTGGCATCGCTCTTGCACAACGCATCAGCACCGCAGTACCACAATGTCCCGCTGTCCCCGCTCAACATGCACAAGCGGCGCAAGGGGGAGATGGGTATCGAGGCTCCCGATTTTGATTCCGACGCGACGTTTATCGAACCCCACCAGCGCGTCCAGTACTGGGTCATGGGCATGGGCGGACGAGAACGTGATCGTGTGCGCCGCGCCATGGAGCCTGGCGATGAGGAGAATGCCGAGGTGGCAGCAGCTCCAGCTCCCGAAGTCGCCGCAGCGCCAGCAGATGCCGAGTGGGACGCCAATGGCCGGAAACGGAGTTGGTCTGTCTTCAACTCTGGCAGTGAGTTTGGTTCGTCATCTCTGTTGTGTAATGTGTGTATAAGCAGCAGCTAACAGATACAGCTGCGACACATGCCCCGCTCGCGCAGTCGTCCCGTACCATCCCGTCGTCACGTCAACTTGGTGTTCGCATGTCCCAGGTTGCCAAGATTGCCGGCCTCGACGTTTCACCCGAGGCCACGCGCGACGTCGGCGAGTTTATGGGTGTGGGCCTGAACGCGCACCTCGGCGACGTCCTGCATAGTGTTGTGCACCTCACTGGACGCGACCGCCCAGGTGCCGAGACGATCCGCGTTCCCCTCGGTGTCAAGACCAACACTGTCAACGGTGCCACGGAGAAACCTCTGCCTCCACCCTCGCTCGCAACGATGCAGTACCTCTTCACCCTCGCGCCCAGCCTGCACCCCCAGCAGTCCCCGACTCTTTACAAGCTCGAGGGAAGCATCACGCAGGCCGAGCTCGACAGCTCGACACCGCCAGTAAAGCCGCCCAGCAGCACGCGCCCAGCGCTGCTGCCCTTGGCCATGACGACTCCTGCCCAGCCGACAGCCGCCCTGCCACCGATGCCCATGTCCATGACCCAACCTGGCGCATCACCCGTAGCTGGTACGGCAGCGCTGCACGCTCCCGGCGGACAGGCAATGACGCCGGGAGGGAGCAAGATGGACTCGATGTCCCAGACCCTTGTCAACACCGGTTTGCTCAAGATTGACAAGGCGGGCCACAACGAGGGCGAAGGCGGCGCAGACCGCAAGCGCGAAAAGAAGCACAACTTGCACTGGAAGTACGAGGACCCGGCCTTGATCCTCAAGGATCTCCTCGGGTAGGCACAATGCCCCCCCCCCCCCCCCCCCCACTGCCTGCCTGCTTCTTGTCGCTCCGTTGTCATGTCGCCCAGTTGTCATGTCCCTCTCTAATACCATTGCACCATCCACCACGCCATCCGCGTCTTGTCCTACACGTCGACTCTTCACGTCACCCGTTCCGTCCTAGCATGTCCCTACATGGCACCTCAGTGCCTCCTCCCTCTCCCCCCTACGCCGTCCACATCCCCCTTACCCACATCCATCTCACTCCGGCCTCGCTGTCGGGCACTACCATGGCACATCTGTAATCATACATCCACCCTCTCCCGAACACTTTTTGGCGATACACATACCTATACACTCCCCCTCCCCCGTATCTCTATTATGTACGCCAACCTCGCATCGCACAGAGCGTCAGAGCGCGGAGTGCAGCCCGCATGGCCACCAACTGACTGCCGGTAACGCGGGTTAACTTCTTTTTTTCTTCTCTGTTTTAAACCCCGGATCGACAGTTTGAATATTGCCCGGTTTTTTTTGTATTACGTGAGCCGCCATTACCGCCTTTGCCGCCTTTACCGCCATGCCGCTCACAGCCGTACAGCCGTGAGCCGCAAGCATGCGGCACGCAAACACCTCTCGGGTCGCTGGCACTAGATACCGTCTGGCCCACCCAAAGTCCACCCCAGCACACGCCGTCGGAGATACTTGGCCCAACAAGACCGCCTCGCCGCCTTGGCACCATCCTCCCCTCTCTGCACGTTTCCACCCCGTCGAGCCCCGCACGCACCCGACGGTTTTCTCCAGACAATGGGACGGGACTGGTCCTCGTGGGATCGTGGGGGTTGGGGAACGACGGGCTCTGGGGGCTCTGGGGGCTGGGGACTGGGGATAGTCACTGGAGTGTCCAATGTTGTACGACAGCTATAGGGCGAGGCAGGGCCCAGGGAGGATCCTCGAGGTGACTGTCCCGCGCATCAAGGCTGGTCCGCAACCCGCACACACACACACACACACACACACACACGCCGCAACTCTCTTTCACTCGCTCACTCGACTCGCTCGCGCGTCTCTCTCTGCCTGCTAGTCCTATGCATATGCTATGCAGATTTTGCTAAAAATGGCGCGCATTTCCGCTTCCTTCGACAGACGAGTGGGGGGTGGTGTGTTTGTCTTTCGTGTTCTACTTTATCGACGGAAGCCCCAGGGGTATCTTGTCCCCCCCGGGTATTCCGTCGCGCGCCGCTTTCCGCCTCCCTCCCTCGCCAGCTAGACCATGACCGTGTCCATCATGTTGGGGCACGGGAGTGGTCTAGTTCTTCTTGTCGCCGTTCTCGAGGATGGTCGAGATGGAGGCCCAGACGAGCTTGGGGCTCTGGGCGGCGTCGACGGGCGACCAGATGCCGGTCTTGCGGTAGTAGTCGACGACGGGGGAGGTCTGCTGGTGGTACGTGCCGAGACGCTTCTTGAGGGTCTCGGCGTTGTCGTCCGAACGCTGGATGAGGGGCTCGCCGGTCTTGTCGTCGGTCATGGGCTTCTTGGGGGGGTTGACTGGGACGCGGTGTTAGCTTACTGGTACAGCTAGAGTCTATGTCATGAGTACTCACACTCGCGGTGGTACGAGCGGCCCGAGGCGGGGTGGACGAGACGGCCAGTGATACGGGCAATGAGGAGCGCGTCGGGGATCTTGAGCTCGATGGCGTGGTCAATCTTCTTGCTGTTCTCGGCAAGCATGGCGTCGAGCTTCTCGGCCTGGGGGACGGTACGGGGGAAGCCGTCGAGGATGAAGCCGTCCTTGCACTCCTTGTTGCTCTCGAGCTCCGACTTGATCATGTTGATCATGATGTCGTCGGAGACGAGGCCACCGGCGTCCATGATCTTCTTGGCAGCCTTGCCGAGCTCGGTCTGCTTCTGGACCTGCGAGCGGAGCATGTCACCGGTAGCAAGGTGGCAGACGCAGTACTTCTCCGAGATGGCGGGGGCCTGGGTACCCTTGCCTAGAAAAGGTGGGTTAGCTCTCGCGCACACGCACACACAGCCACTCGTGACAACAACTTACCGGCACCGGGGGGACCGATGAGGATGAGCTTGGGAGCCTGCGTCTGGCCAACAACACCGTGGACGGCCGCGGCGACCGAGTCCTTGACCTCGGTGGCCTTGGCGGCAGCCTTGCCCTCGAGCTCGGCGATCTTGTCCTGCAGCTAGAGCGCGTGTCAGTACATGGTAACCAACACAGGCTGCGTAGTGTGCAGTTTCCCCTCGCCCCGAGATGTGAACGAGATCCACAGCGGGGGGAGGGGACACAACAGACGTTGTTTTCTGTCGCGATCGGCGATGTTCGGACGCGGCATGAGACAGACATACCTGGGCAGCAAGCTTCTTAAGGTGGTCAAGCTCGGTCGACATGTTCTGTAAGAGTGTGTGAGTGGTGATGCGATGGGGGCGGGTGAAGGGAGAGGAGCGTGGGGGCCACGTACTGTGATGGTGTTGGTGTTTTTGAGTGGGGAGATGGAAGGGAGATGGAAGGGGTTGTGTCCCCCCCTTGTCCCCCTTGTTCTCGCGCCTCATTGCCGGAGACACTCTGGCTGGCCCACACCGGCCACACCCCAGAGTCGCTGGCCGTGGCTCGTTGGCTCGCTCGCTCGCCTTGGTTGGTCCCTCGTAGCCCTCTCGCTCTCGCCCAGCAAACGTCATTCCTCTCTACGGCCACCCGAAAACGCCGCTGAAATCCCCACTTTTTGCCGAGCAACCGGCGTGGGCATTGGGAAGGGAGATTAGAAAAACATGGACCGTAATGTAATCTCGCCTGTTTCCACTGCTCCTAATCATCACCTAATGAAGATTGTTCCAGTCGCCAGTGTACCGTGTCGCAAGCAGCTTTTGGAACAACCGTGTACATACCGTGCCCGTCTGCCGATTTGGTGCTCTGTCTACGGCAGGAGATCAGGAGAAGGTGGAAAAAGAGAAACTGCCTCGACGTGTGGGGTGTGGGGTGTTTTGGACTCCCTTCGGATGGCCTGCGTTTCTTCTGCGACTTTCTTTACGCAGTCGATTTACACCAAGAGCCTTGACGCCTCTCCCTCGCCACCTCCGCTGCCGTCACCGTGCCGGCTGGTGTCCGTGGTCCACTTTCCATTGCACTGCATCGATGCACACCTGATTTTACTGGACACAGGCACTGCTGACCGACGGGTGGTGGTGGAGGATGCATGCAGAGTGGGATGACGGACGAGCCCGGCGGTGGAGGAGCACAGGGGGTGATCGCCGAAGGGGAAGCGTCTCCATGCCGGGCCGGAAGCGTGTGCGTCATTGCGGGCAGAAGTGTAGAGACAGTTTGCTGCCCGTCGGCCAGCAATCTCTCTGTCTCGCTTACATTCTTATATCTGTCCCATTCCATTCCGTGTTGACGTCTCCCCCAACCCGTCAACAACAAGTCTCATCACCATCAACACTCTCCTCTCCAGCTCTACGAGCTATTTACACTGTCTTCTCCCGTTTGGCGCAAAGCCAGCATCGCGCTCAGAGCTACCCTCCGCTCCACATCAACACCACAAACGTCCAGCTTCCGCCGCTTCTCCACCACCACCGCCTCCACGTCCGCGTCCGCAATGGCAGCAGTCACCCTCTCCGAGCCCTCGTCTCCCGTGCGTCTCGGCACACCGCCTCCCACGACCTTGTCCCGTCACCAGCATGGCACGGCCACGCCGCCAGCACGCCCCATCCCTACCGACTTCAAGTCGTCGCTCGCCGCTTGGTGGAGCTCGAACGGCTACCGTGACGCACGCATGGCAGAGGAGCGTCTCCTCCGTCGCATGGCCTACTTTCAGCCAACCCCCCCAGCCCCATCCAAGAGCTGGCTCCCCTGGGCCTCTGTTCCGGAACTAGAGCCCGAAGTCGCCGTGGTCCCCACCATCACCAGCGCGTCAGGGCTTGTCGCGTCGGTTCGCAACGTCTTCATCCCCACCCCAGACCCCAACGATGCCCCCTCGCTCGTTGACAAGGACACCCAGTCGGCCTCCAACTCGGTTTCCAGCGGCGACAAGAAGCACCACCATAACCACCACAACCACAACCACCACCACCGCGTCCACCACCACAAGGATGACGGCAAGCTCGTTGATTACATCAACACGCTGGAAATCTCCCGCCCGGACCTCAAGGACTCGAAGGAGGCAGTGGTCGTTCTGCACGGCTACGCCGCTGCGCTCGGTTTCTTCTTCCGCAACTGGGACTCGGTTGCCACATCGGCTGCCATGACCGGCCGTCGTGCCTTCTTCCTCGACTGGCTCGGGATGGGTCTTTCGTCGCGCCCCAACCCCTCGCTCCTCGCGTCTCCCGGCTCGGCACCCGTCGAGGCCCGCGTCTCCCGCGCCGAACACTTTTTCCTCGCGTCGCTCGAGTCGTGGCGTATCGCCGCCGGCGTCGAGCGTATGGTTCTCGTCGGCCACTCGCTCGGTGGATACCTCGCCTCGGCATACGCTCTGCGCTACCCGGACCGCGTGAGCAGCCTCATCCTCGTTTCTCCCGCCGGTATCCCCCACGGCCCCGACGACCTGCAGGCCGGCGCCAAGCAGAACCCCACGGGCACAAGGGGCCCAACTGGTCCTGGCGGCAAGCCCATCGGCAGCACGCCCACCCCCACCACCACTGCGTCTGCGGCCGACTCGCGCACCTCGCTCGACGAGGCGACCGACGCGGCCGAGACCGAGCTGCACGCCGGACCAAAGGGCGAGGCCAAGCAGTGGCAGCGTGACCAGTCGGCGATGCGCCGCGGCATGGCCAAAATGTTCGTCTGGGGCTGGGAGAAGGGTCTGTCGCCCTTCTCCATCCTCCGCGGCATTGGGCCCTGGGGTCCCATGCTGGTGGGCAAGTACTCGTCGCGCCGGTTCGCCGCGCAGAGCTCCGACGACGTGCGCGACCTCCACTCGTACATCTACGGCACGACCGTGCTCAAGGGTTCGGGCGAGTTCTGCATCTCGCACATTCTCGCGCCGGGCGCGTACGCGCGCATGCCCATCGTCGACCGCATCGACAAGCTCAAGGTCCCCGTCACGTTCCTGTACGGCGACAACGACTGGATGGACGTCGAGGGCGGATACGCATCGCAAAAGGTCCTGGCCAAGGCCGGAAACCGTAACGTCGGCGTGCACGTCATCCCCGGCGCCGGACACCACCTCTACCTCGACAACCCCACCGTCACCAACCGTATCCTCGACGAGGCCATCTTCGCCGCTCCCAAGCTTGACTAGGACGACGAGGCCTAGGCCGACGCAGGCGTTTCTCTCACTGGCATTCATAATACTTGTAACATTGTGTATCAATAACACTAGATTCTGGCATAGATGCACCGCATGGTCTGGCACCGCAGCAGCTGGAGGGGGAGTTGGGCGGTAGTGTTGAACTGAAGAGGCACCGAGGCGTCTGATGCTCCCTTCCTCCGTGCATCTCGCCATCCTCGTTCGACAAGCACGACGTCAAACAAGAGTTCTTCCCCCTCTTCCGGTCGTTCAGAAGAATAGTGCCCGTCTTTATAAACACGCGAGAAATGTACGAAACATGATTCAACGAGGCTCTCGTGGTGTAGTGGCTATCATACTTTCTTAGGGTCCAGTCTTGGTCTTTAAGCCTTACCTCACGAGCTATGGAAGTGGTCCTGGGTTCAAATCCCGGCGAGGGCCCTCATCTTTTGCCAGCTGCGACTGCTGGACGTATGCAGCATTGCAGAATGGGATGGAGGAAGTTGGGAAGATGTGGAAGAAGTGATGTCGGGAGATGGTTGTCTGAGATATGTATGTGTATGGTGGCTGTGTGTGTCACGGGCGGCAACTGTACACTAGCGCGCGCGGGCAATTTGCCGGTTGCGTCTGCCACAGCCGCGGTAGATCGTGATCTCTGTGGATCTCTGGCTGTTAACATTAGGATAGAGACTATTTGGACCGTTTCTATTGCCCTAGCTCGTTATTAGGTTCTGCTCTTTGTATTCGTGCTATGCAGACTTGTTCTCGTTACTCTATCCTCTATCGACCTTTCCAACCTACTACGCATCCGCTTGCAGCGTCTGGAGAGTGCTACGAGTCTCCTCTTTACAGATTAAGAGTCAAACAATCTGTCGACGCGAGTTCACCATACCTACGGTCGAGCTCGCTACCTGCCCATACAATCAGCTCGCGAGAGCCTATCTCGGGCCAAACCCATCCCCCGTCGTCAAATCAAGTTCGCACGCACGCCCTCTGGGATACCGAGCCTACGGATACAAGTTAGAGCCTCATAGGACCACGACTTCGTCGTCGGCACCGTCAAACGAGCGCTCGTCGACACTTCCCCGTACTCGTCGTGCACCTTCTATCGTCGACGTCCCGCTCCACAAGGCTTCCCACACGTTATTGCAAATACCTACGTAACCGCCAACCTTCCCGCTTCGTGCTAGTCTCAGTTCAAGGCTCTGCAACAAGCTTTGTCCCGGTAAACCTACAAAAACAGTCTAAAAACACAAAAATCAAGTCGTACTCGTCAAAGCGTCATTGCTGCGTGCCTCAGTATTACGTAAACCTTCAAAACACCATTTCACGACTGATTTCAGTTCAACTCAATAACAATGGAAACCACCAAAGTCTTCGTTTCTGCAAAGCGCAACGATTGGGCCGATCTGGCCACGAGCGTCAGCAAGCTCAAGGGAGCCAACGACTACGACCGTTGGGATATCGCCCTATCAGACTACTTGAAGGGCAAGGGAGCCTACGGTCACCTACTCGGCAAACGTCGCGAGCCCTACCGCCGCGTCGATATCGTCGACGGCGTCGATCAATACGTTACGCCAGACCTCGAGCTTGGTGAAGCACCTCCTCGTGGCCCGTACCTCGACGTCGACACTCTACGCGAGAAGCTAGGGCCTGCAATAAGCAAGAGATATGACGATTTAGTCGCCAAGGGCGTTGTGACGCCCACGCAAGCTATCGTCTCGACGGACGTTTCCCTCATCTCTCGTCTCTCAGCTCAACTCTCGTCACCCAAAACACCTTCCAAGGGCTCGTCCGTCCTTCCTCCCATGTCTACACTTCTCTCAAAGAGACCAGAAGCCGAGGACGACACGATAAAGCCTGCCGATAAGGATCTCTCACTCTCTCAGATAGAGACGCAGATAGAGAAACAGGTCCTTAACAACAGAGAGCTTGCTACGTGGTCCGACTGGGCTAACAACGAGCGTCTTGCGCGTGTCGCCATACTCAAGACCATCCCTGACGATCTAGCGATCGACGTACGCGAGAAGTTCTCTGCACAGGATATCTACGAGCATCTCAAGACGCGCTTCCGCAAGGAGAATGTTTCTAGAATCTCTCAGATCAAGGCAAAGGTCCACAGCACGCGTCTACAAGCTGGTGCAAACTCTGTAGTCTGCAACACATTCTTCAAGAGCTTCATAACGAACTACGCCGCCATGGCTAGGCTTCAAAAGCCCTACGCAGACGACGAAAAGGTGTCCACCATCATTGGCGCCCTACCTGTGACCTACAAGATCCTCATTGAGACGACCTGGCGCGCGCAGACCGACAAAACTTGGGACAACTTCACCTCCGTGTTCTACGACTTCATCAATGACCTCAAGAACACCGAGCGTATCCCTGCCGTCGAGAGCAACGCCTCTTTGACGATCACCAAGGGCGGCAAGGCTGGTCAGCCAAACGCAGCAAGGACCAAAAAGGGCAAAGACGGCAAAGTCGCTAAACACTGCGATAACCATCCTAACAGCACGTCGCACGACACGTCAGAGTGCGTCAAAGGCCCGCCGCAGAAGGGCGACAAGAAGAAGGACCAGAAACAGGTCGACAAGGCGCCCACGCCCGCACCTACGAGCAGCGCGTCGATCATCGAGATTGAAGACGCCTATTACGATGGCTCTAGCAGCAGCATGGCCGTCAAGCACGTCCCGTTATCATCCTCCGCGTGCGTTTGCGCGTATCATCCTCATAGCGCGCCGCACGCCGTTTCTGAGTGCGTCAGAGGGTTGCATACGAGCAGTTGCGACGCCGCCACTACTAAGCGCCGACCTGTCAATCGCGTCGCTAGCAACAGTAACATGACCGTCGAGTGTTTCTCATCCTCGTCTTCCTCCTCCTTCAAGTTCCTCGTCGACACCGGCTGCACAGAGCACATTGTCGGCGATCAGTCAATCCTCTTTGGCGTCAAGCCAGTTCCGGTTCCTTTGCGCGTACGCCTCGGTGGCTCGCGTTTCCACCTCATCCTCTCTACTGTCGGCTCTATGCGCATCGCGCAAGACGACAACACTACCGTTATTCACGACGTCTACTATTCTGCGGACACGACCGATTTGACGATTTCAACCAAGGCTCTACGCCGTCACGGTTGGACCGTCGACCTCCACAATTTCCGCATCTACAAGGGCAAGGTCATCTTCAAGACGGACGACAGCTACGAGGGCGGCCGGCCAGCGGTCGATTTGCAGGTTACCTCGTCGTCCTACGCTGCCATGACCACCAGACGCCCACCATCTACATCTGCGAGCGTTAAACCTTCAAACGCGCCCAGAACGCAGTCGATTCCCACGCTCGACGCTACGCAGACGAGCGCGCAAACGCCGCAAATGCCGGTCGTGGCGCCACGCTCAACTCGCTCTAACCGCTCGCAGACTGCCACTACGACTCAAACGACCTCTGCAGTACCCTCTGTCGCCCTGCAAGTTAGAGAACGTTCCCCCTCCATCCTTTATCGTCTTCACCATCGTCTGGGCCATGTTGGACGCCCTGTCCTCATTCGGCTCATCAAAAACGGCGAAATTGACGGCGTCAGTCTCGACGACGTCAAGGACGATAACTTCAAACTAAACGATTGCAACCATTGCCTAGCGCATAAAGCTACTACGCGCACGGGCAAAGGACCATCACCACGCGGCCGGGACGCACGCCATGAATTCGTCCACGCAGACATTAAAAGCTTCACGCAACCTAATTCAAAGGGTCAGCGTCATTGGCTCTCTATCGTGACAGATTTCACAGGGTGGCGGACCGGCATACCTCTAGTTGAGAAAAACGCAGCGACACCGCAGTTAATGCGTGAGATTGTCGCCCTGCAGAAGAACTGTGGCGTTTCGGTCGTCGTCATTAGGACCGATAATGGAACAGAGTTCGTCAACGCTACGCTACGCGACTTCACTAGTCGACTAGGTATACGTCACCAACAATCTCCACCCTACTCGCAAGCCTACAATGGTGTCGCCGAGCGTTTCAATCGCACGCTCTCTGAGATGGTCCGCACCATGCTAGCCGCCGCCGGCCTAACACACGACCTTTGGGACCATGCTATGCGCTACGCCGTGACGATTCTCAACATGACGTCGATACGTCCCGACGGCAAGTCCCCATACGAGGTTTACTACGGTCGCAAGCCAAACCTGGCAAAGCTGCTGCCTTTTGGTCAACACGTCTACGCACGCCGCCGTCAGAAGCAAACGCAAGTAGCCGCGCTCGAGCGTCCACGAGCCATTCCGGCTCGTATCCTCAACACCAACGCCGACACACCTGGCTGGGTGGTCCTCACTGACGAGGGTCAAATATACCACTTTGCCGACGTGTATGTGGCCAACAATGGCCAGCAAGGACGCCGCATCCCCGACTACGACGACGAGGACGTCCCACCAACCTTGCTTGACGAGGACGAAGATGCAATCGACAACGTCGAGACCCAGGTCCCACCAGAGACCTTGGACGCCATTTCAGACAACCTCAACGAGGATGAAGAAGACGAAGCAGACGCGCACGCATCAAGCGCTACTTCAGTTAACCACCACCCTCGTACCAAGGATGACCTCGACTTCGCTTACCTAGCGTCGTCAGCCGCGCAAGAGACCTTTACCGATCCCATATCCCTCGCAGAAGCTCTAAACAGTCCGGAACGCGCTTCCTGGATAGCAGCAATGCAAGCAGAGCTCGACAACCTCTCTAGCAAGGGCACGTGGACCGAGGTCAAAGTGCCGCAAGGCCGTCGACCTATCACTGCAAAGTGGGTGTTCAAACGCAAACGCGACACAAACGGTGTCGTCGTCAAGTACAAAGCACGACTCGTCGCTCGAGGCTTCGACCAGACACCAGGTGTCGACTTCGAGGAAACCTACGCGCCTGTCAGTCGTCTCGGCTCGCTACGCATACTTCTGGCTCATGCAGCCACCTTCAATCTTCAAATTCGGCAAATGGACGTCGAGGGCGCCTACCTCAACGGTCCACTGCAAGAAGAACTCTACCTCGCACCACCACCAGGTTTGACGCTTGACGACAAGGCCTGTGACGGCCTACGTCTCAACAAAGCGCTCTACGGCCTAAAGCAGTCAGGCCGCGCATGGTGGCTCGAGTTGTCGCGCGCGCTAGATGAGCTCGGTTTCACCCGGTGTCCTAGCGAGTGGGGAGTCCATGTTCGACGTCGCAAACACGGCTCTATCGCCTACGTTCTCGCATATGTCGACGACATCCTCATCTTTACGCACGGCAAGACCGAGGCTGATGACATTATTAACGCTCTACGCAAACACTGGGTTTTGACCGACCTAGGGGAGCCTACGCAAATGCTGTCGCTTGCAATCGCGCGCGATAGAGCAAATCGCACGGTTTCTATCAGTTCAAAGGCGTACATCGAGTCGTTAGTTGTCCGCTTCAAGCTCGACAAGGTCAAGACTGGTCGTTACGCGCCGCTGCCAACAGGGGAGGCGCACCAGTTAGTCCCAGCAGACGATAACACGCTCGTCGACGCTATCGACAAGTCGCTCTACGCTGTCATGGCCGGTTGCGTCGTCTGGCTATCAATCACGTGCAGGCCGGACCTATCCTATCCGGCAACCATCCTTACGCGCGTCCAGCACGCGCCCACACAAGAGGCGATGAACATGGCTCGACGAGTACTCAACTACGCTGCACAGACGCACAGCTTCGCACTGGTTCTCGGCAACAAGTCCCCCACAGACCTTATACACGCATACGCGGACGCCGACTACGCAGGCTGCGTCGTGACGAGGCGGTCCACCTCTGGATATGTCGTTTACCTCTATGACTCGCCGATCTCGTGGGCATCTAGACGCCAAGGCTCTGTAGCGACGTCTACCACTGCCGCCGAATACATCGCAACGTCAGAAACTGCTGCAGAGGTACAGTGGCTGCGTCAGTACCTCACAGAGCTGTACATGTTCAAGCAGAAAGAGCCAATCACCATCTTCGTCGACAATCTGTCAGCTATCGCAATCGCACGCAAACCTGTGAGCTTCCCTTTGAGCAAACACATCGACGTCAAGCACCACCATGTGCGTGAGCTTGTCGATAAAGGCGTAATCACGCTCAAGTACGTGGGAACCGCACAGCAAAAGGCAGACGGAATGACGAAAGCGCTCGGTGGTACACCGCACACGCTAGCGACGCGCGCACTGGGTCTCAAGGACGTCAAACACCTATAATAGACGTTCAACGACAGCGCAAGAGTGTTCCTCATCTTCTCAACAGCATACCTCGTGAACACTCGCATATCCACCTCGATCCAGCACATCCCGCGTCCACATCTTTGACTTCCTCAAATTTCGCCACTTTCACACTCAATTCGCCACATTCATCCACACTTCATTGCATATCACGCTTCAAACAATGGTCATGCCCCAGCAAGTCAACGCACCAACCCCCGTGACTCAGACGGATGCCAACGGCACGTCGAGCGACTCCTCAGACAGCAACAACGGCCAACAGGCTCAAACGCAAAGCTCTAGCGAGCAGGACGACATGTCCTCCAGCGGCGAGATTGACTTCCACGACTGGGATTCCATTTCAGCCGGCTTCTACGACGTCGACACGATTGGCTACAATGACCAAATGCACCATCGCAACGGTTTCGTCCACGACATCCATGGTGACGTGCGCAACGCAGACGGCTCAATCCACCGTACTTGGGCGTCGCTCTCGACGGACCTGCGCACGATTGACCACCTCATTGACGGTAATCAACATCTTGAAGCCTACGAAAGGGCTCACCAACGCCGCATGGACGACCGTCTCGTCGACTACCTGCGCGGCGCGTATCGTTGGCCCTCAGAATTTGAGTACCCTCCTAACAGCGACCCCGACAACGTGGGCTTTGCCCCTATGCGCTACACGGGGGTGTGGGAGACCTTGCTGGCTTCTCCTGAGCCGAGCGCATCTTAGCTCTCGCTATCGAGCAAAGCTCTAGCGTATGGTGCGCTCGAGGGGAGTGTTAACATTAGGATAGAGACTATTTGGACCGTTTCTATTGCCCTAGCTCGTTATTAGGTTCTGCTCTTTGTATTCGTGCTATGCAGACTTGTTCTCGTTACTCTATCCTCTATCGACCTTTCCAACCTACTACGCATCCGCTTGCAGCGTCTGGAGAGTGCTACGAGTCTCCTCTTTACACTGGCCCGCGTCCGGTGTCACCGTGTGGTGTGTCACCATGTCCTTGGGCTGTGCTCATAGAGCCAGACAGACCGACAAAGGTATCAATGCATGGAATATTACAGTCGTAAACATGTCGTCTAGGTCACAACGACGCCCAGTTATAGCTGGCCAGTCGGCCAGTCAACTCTCTCGCTCCCTCCCTTCCCAGCCCCGCACACTGCTCAGAGAGCTCGTTGCTTGTTGAACCTATCCCGTCAGCTGAAGACATGGCCGGAGCAGCTCACTTTGGCAGCACCTCCCTCAAGTACTCTGTCGCGCCAGACCGCAGCGCCATCTCCTGCTTCTCCCCGCTCCCATCCCATGTCCTCGCATTTGACGCGCCGCCATGCACGACCGTGCGCGACGGCACGAGCGGGGGCGCGGCGCCGGCGGCTGGGTGGCCGGTGGTGCGCATGAACGCGTCTCCGTCGCTGTCGGCCGCCGCCTTGCCCTCGTCACCTTTAACCTGGAGGAACGGGTGCGACGCATTTGTAGCTGTCCCAGCGGCGAACGTGCACTGGTCACCGACGCGCACCCCCTCGACACAGCTGCGGGGCGCGAACGAGTTCCAGCTGCCCATGCTGTTCCCCCCGGCATCGGCGACCAGGTCCGCGACGCACGCGACCATGAAGACGTTGTTGGAACCGAGCGTGGCCGCGCCGGGACCTGCAAAGCGGACGACGGCGTTCTCCTCCACAACGCAACCGGAACCCATGGTCAAGGACGCTCCGGGTCCAACGAGGACCGCACAGCGCGGATGCAGCACACACCCGATGCCGAGGTTGAGAGTTCCCTCAATCCTGGCGTCGGCAGAGACGAAGCAGCCCGCGCTGGCGGTGACGACCGGTGCTGGGTGGCCGTGGCCGTGGCCGTGTCGCGACGAGCGCGGTGACGACGCAGACGTGTGCCCTGCTGCTGATGGCTTGGTCGGGGACCGGAGGGTCGTGTGTGGACGTGACCTGGCTGTCAGCTGCGGTGTCTGTTTTGAAAGTGCGCTAGCTGAACGTACGAGTGTGCCGAGGACATTGTTGTTGCTGTCAAGACGGAACAAAAACAAAGGACATTGCAACAGTGACTTGGCGCTGGCCTCCACCGCGCGCAAGAGGTGGATGGACGGAACCAAATCGACGTCAGCGACACGCCGGCCCACAGTGAGCTATATTGACCATTCCAGCAACGATCTCTCTGTGCTCTTCTTGATCTTCAACCTCCTCTCGCAAGATGGACCGCCCCACCACCGTGCCGCTGCATCTCACCAGCCTGGCCATTCTTGCGCCCTCGAATGCGCCGCTCTACGTCCACGCGTTCACGGGCAAGGACGACGAGCTGCGCGCGTACCACCTCGCCCACGCCGCCGTCGACGTGATCGAGGAGAGGAGTGAGTAGAGCCGGTGAGGCGGGCCAGCCGTTGCTGGATACCCAGGCGACCGCCCTGGCCGCTGGATTAGTAGCTTTATATCACTCGCTGACATTCCAGTCGTTGTCAACTCGTCGCCTAACCGCCCGGCAGACAGCTACCTCGGTCTCCTGTTCTGCATGGAGGACATGGCCTTGTGAGTCTTCCGAGGCTGGCTACGTATCCTGCGTGCTTAGCCAGATTATGACCTTGAAACTCACACCCCCAAGCTACGGCTTCCAGACCAACACCAAGCTCCGCATCGTGCTCTCCGTGGCCCTCGTCGACGCACCCATCAAGGACGCCGACATTGTCGCCATCTTCCGTGTCGTCCACCAGCTCATCCTCCAGGCCACGCACAACCCCTTCATCTCCCTCCCGGCGACGTTCAAGGCCACGCCCGCGCCGCCCGTCCCGGAATCTACCACCCCCACGCCAGGCAATGGCGGTGGTAAAGAGAAGGACATCGTGGACGAGGCGGCCGACGCGGTGGCCGAGGCGACGGCGCGCCTGGCGGTGGACGCGGACGGCAAGGAACTGCGCAACGAGCCCGTGCCCGACGACACAATGTTTGCGTGTGGGCCCGACGACCTGCGGCCAGAGTGGTTCCAGGGCCAGAGGTTCACCAGGGGCGTGGAGCGCCTGGGCGACATGCTGTCCGGAGCGCGGCCATGAGCCGGGAACGAAGGGGAGGAAGACGACGAGGGATGATATTACGAACGCTTCTAGTCCTCGAGAGACCCGAGGCCAGCGGGATACGTTGGCCGCTTAGCATTTGTGAGTTGACGTGACGAGGTTGAGGGAAGGGGCTGACGCGTATACCCAGATACCCTGCAACTGTATTCCATGTACTACTCGCAACCTGGCCCAGCGCCCGCAGACGCACCGTACTGACCACCCCCCTCTCCCCCCTCACCCTCCCGGTCCATCTCCCGCAGCGCCAGCCAAGATTTCACCTGGCGCGTGCCGGCCTCGCACGCAACCCATGCAGGTTGCAAGCGATTTAGACCTAGATTCACTACAAGGTGCCCTTCCATTGACACTGCGCTCAGAGGTCTGTGGGCGTGGTGACAGATACGGGGCGGACATTGTCCAGATTGAGAATGAGCGTGTTATAAAGCTCTGGTGTGCTGTAGGTACCATGCAGATGCAATTGCTATATACCGTTCCGTCCTCACATGGCCCCACGGAGCCACGCGAGCACCTCGCCTGCGATATCGGCGCGCACCGAGTCGCCCAGGATGGTCTCGGCGTCCTCGAGGGACTCGTACCGCGTGCCCGCGAGCGCGAGGCCGATGCGGTCCAGTGCGTCCTGCGCCGCATCGCTCGCCTCCGAGTTGAGCGGGTACAGTTCGAGCACGAGCGACTGGATGAGTGCGTGGCGCGAATGGACGTGCGCCGTCTGGGATGGGTTAGCACCTCGCTGAAGCGGGGCGTGTTTGGGGAACCCACGACGCGGCCAAACGACAGGTCGGCAGTGATCAGGTTGGTGAACTCGGGGGTCTGGCCGTACTGCCACTCCCACGACTGAATGTCAGCTTTGGGGCATCTTGCCAGCTCACCTTGATATCAGCCACGTCGTCCCAGACCTTTGGCAAGTCGACGTCCTTTTCCTCCACAACAGTCACGGGCATGGTACCCGGGTACGTTGCTGCAAACTCTTCTCGGAGCGCGGTGACGAACGCGTCGTGGCTGATCTCGTCGCCGGTACGGTGCGCGTTGAGCGTGCTGACGGGGGCACGGTGGGACGCGACACCCTTCGTCTCCATGTTGGGCGAGTCCGAGTGCAGCGCTTTACCCAAGCTCGACAGCTCGGACGAGATGAGCATCGTGCCGTGGTGGTATGCGCGGTGCGAGATGATCTTGTACGCCGAACCCGAGACCTGGCGGGTCAGTTGAAGTGAGATAAGAAACGGCGACCTGCCTTGAGCTCCGGCTCCGGGTCCCGGATGACCACGTCGTTGCGGTCATTGACCGTACAGCTGGGCACGGAGAGGCGGTCGCGGATAGCCTTGGCCACGAGCTGGGCGCCGCCGGAGCGCGTGAACAAGAGCCGGGGCAGGATGATGGAGAAGTTGGTGTTGCCGAGGTCCTGTGTTGTTAGTTTAGACTTATTAAACGTCAAGAAACCTAACATGATAAACGGTACCGCCGCCAGACCGTCTCCTGACCAGAGGCAGGTCCATGTCCCGCAATGACCGCGGGCTGGTCTCCTTCCATGGGTTCTGGTTGCGGCCGATGACCACACAGGGAACGTTGCGGTACGTAAAGAGGATGGGCTGGTTGACGGGCGTGTTACGCAGTAGCCTGAGTGTTAGCGGAGAAGTCTTCTGTTAACACACCAGTCCTCGTAGCTGAGGTTGAACCATGGGTCAGTCGAGTTTGAAATGTACATTGCAGGCTGAAAGTAAGCAGGGAAGGAAGGCAGGAGGTCACTCACTGCACCGAGCTTGACGGCCTCCTCTGCGCGAGCTGCCGACGCCGAGAACGCGCGAGATGCAGGGAAAGCACACGCCCAGCGTGCCACTGACGGTCCTGAGCACCCGCGTAGGGCTGCTTCAGCACTGGGACGGAGGTATGAGAGCATTGGGATGGGCAAGAGAAGAAACAACAACAAGAGTCGAGAATGCCCCCACATACTTCAGACTTCGGATGGCCGTTGGCGAGGCACGCGGGGCCGAATTTGCCACCCAGCGCAATGCCGCTTTTCAGACTGGACGACGTTTGACGGCCGCGTTTACCGTACTTTCTATGTCACAATTCCACTTTTACGCGTGCAGATGGCCCTGTGCATCATCCGACGCTCGTTCTTGATTTTTGCCGCTTGTTCGTATGCATGCCAGAGGCCGAGATGGTGCAGATGGGGTTTGCTGGGGTGTAACTCCGAATTCAGACGCGGAAGCAAAAGACAGCCGCCAGCGCCAGGCGCGTGCCCATATGGCCTGACGCGTTCTGGGCGCGGGGCTGGTGAAAGCAAAGCCAATGTTTTGACGCGACAACAACGACACACAACACATAATCACCACCCACCCACCCACCATGAATCGCCGTGGTCACCTGTCACACAAGGTGCCCAACGTCAAGCTCCGACCAGCTCCGAGGCGGAGCACACGGCGCCACCCTTCGCCCAGCGACGCAGACGTCGTGCGCGCGGCGTGGAGCGAGGCTGAAGGTGAGTCAACTGGCGGGTGCGAACCCGGTCGGTGTCTGGAGCTGACAATGCCCCGCAGGCGAAGAAGACATGCCGATCGGACAAGGTAGCTCGGACAGGCCTTGGACCAACATCAAGGTCACGTTCTCCGGGGTCGAGGACAAGGCGGCACTCATCCCACTGGTCCGCGAGCTCGGCGGCGAGGTCGACAGTGCCCTCACTGTGCATGTTACGCACGTCATTGCCAACGGCTTCACCTCGCCCAAGTATCTTGTGAGTTAGACCTTTGCTGAGGCAACTGACATGCAGTATGCCATCGAGCACCACATTCCCGTCCTCTCATCGTCGTGGATCCACGACGCCCATGCCAAGTGGCTCAAGGGCGACGAACTCGATGTCCCTGCGGTGAGCTTTGTGGTACGTCGACCGAAGCTGACCCTCAGAGCGTCGAAGCACACCGCCTACAGCCATTCTTAGGCCTCAAGATTGCCGTCACTGGCATTGACCAGATCGACCGTCGCAAGCAGATCATCAAGTACATCAACGCCAACGGCGGCGTCTACTCCAAGGACCTGGAGCGCAGCTGCACCCACCTCGTGAGCGCGGCGCGGACAACGGATACCAAGAGCAAGGCCTCGGAAAAGATCAGGTGGGCGCTCAGGGAGATTGGCGAGTGCGAGATGGCCCGTCGACGCGGTAAGCGTGTCGAGGGCGAAGACTTTCGCGTCGTGTACGAAGAGTGGATTTGGGACTGTGTCGCATTTCGCGGCCGCTGGAAGGAGGATGGCTACGACGCGCGCAAGCCGCGCGCAAGGGGAAAGGTCAACTACGAGGACGTCTTGGACGGCTCTGTCTTCGTCCAGCCGGCCAAGGAGACGAATAACGACGACAACAACAACAACGACAACGACGAGGATCAACCCATCGTCGTGCGCAAACGTAAACGCGGCAACGTCGAGACGCTTGTCGGCGAGCTGTTGAGCACCACCAAGGTCAAGGAGGAGATGCCCGACATCAGAGTTGCCAGCAGCACAGCGGAGATTCCACTCCTTGACGGCGACGTCTCAATGGTGGACGTGAGCCTCCATATGACACCCCGCGTGGTCGACAAGCCCGCTGCCGAGGAGCTTCTTCCCTCCCGAGGCGGGCCTTTTGAGCACCGCCCGTCCCGACTCCACATCTCGCGCGCGGCATCGTTCGCCGCTCCTGCAGCCGCAGGCCCCTCGAGGCTACCCACGACCGCTGTGCCGCACAAGCCCAGCACTGGTGCCTCGATGCCCAACACGTCCGCACCGCAACAACTGACCCGAGAACTGCAGCCTTTCTTCAATGGTCTGCGCTTTAGCCATGCGATCGCCGAGGGCTACCAGGGCCTCGAGAATGCGCTGGTCCAGCACGGCGGCGTGGTTGTGTCCGAGGAAGAGAGGTTGTCCGGAGCACGAGAGGTCGACTTTGTGATTGTCAGACTGTGAGTTACGCTGGACACTCGACACATGGCTGACGCCAGATCTGGACGAATCAAGCCGGTCATTCCCGAGCCACCACAAGGCGCAAAGGCCCCAGAAGTCGTGACCGAGTGCTGGGTGGAGGGCTGCTGTTTTACGCAGACACTCTTGTCGCCCGACGACAAGCTTGTCTTCCGCCCGCTCGCTGTCCCAACTCCCCTTGCTGGCACCGAGTCGCTTCACGTCCACATCTCGGGCTTTTCCACCGAGACGAGCGTTTACCTCCGCCGCCTGCTCAAGGCTCTCGGTACGTGGCAGAGCAGATAAGAGACAAGCCGTGTTGCTGACATTTCGTTTTGCTCCAGGCTGCGCGTTATCTGAAAAGCTGAACCGCCGGACAACGACGCACCTCGTCTGTGCCGCCCCCACAGGGCAAAAGTACGACAAGGCGCTCGAGTGGGGTGTGACCGTCGTGCGAGACTCTTGGCTGTGGAACATGGCGCAGAGTGGAAGCGTCGAGGCGGCAGAGGAACACGCACACGACCAAGGTATGTCAGCAGTTGTGAGATTGCCGAGTATTCGTCACTGACGCAAGCCTTTGCAGGTACCAATGTCAAGACTACATCGACGTCGCCTGCCGCCCTTCCCAGTGCCCCAGCATTGGCCGACTCCCTGGTTGTTCCCACGGCGCCGCCCAAGAAATCACTGTCGCCGTCGCGGATGCTCAAGCGCTCCCCAGCCCGCGTCGTGCGCGCCGGCGCATCACCCTTCCTCGACGAGGCACAAAACCCGCTTTCCCCGCCCAAGGTGCCCACCGAGCGCCTGCTCAACGGCGCACGCGCAAGTCCATCAAGTGCCTCTATGCCACACTCGAGTCCGCGCGGAGGATCCGGCACGCCCACCACGACCGAGCTCAAAGCCGCCGTGTCAGCTCCGGCCGCCATCAAGCCCAGCGGGAGCGGCACGAGCGACGACGTGACGGCCGCGCTGCGTCGTCTGGCCGAGAGCCGCGATGCGCCTTCGCGCACCCGCGTCGTCCGCCGCGCGCGTCCAGGCTTGTCACGGACCACCAAGCTCGGCGCGACGTCTGCGGCCGCATCGGCGTCGACATCGCCCGTCAAGGACAAGGACAACGGCGCTTCATCCCCCGCGGGCCCGGTGCCGGGCCCCGAAGACGAATCGATGCGCATCACGTATGCCGATCCCGTCGCGGACAAGGAACGCCGCAGGCTGCTCGAGGCTGTGATGCGCAGCAGCACGAGCCCCGTCAAGCGCGCGAGGGTGTAGCGTGTAGCGTGGGAGGCAGAGGCAGAGGCAAGCAAGAAGGGAAGCCCCCAGCGCCATGTACGGAGACTAACGAGGGGTAGGACAGTTTTGTAGTAGCGGTAGCGTGTACGAGACTGCGTGCTTGGTGCGGTATGCATGGTGTGCGGATACGCGCATGTCACGCCACGGTGTGTCTCTCGCGAGTGGCAGGCAGAGTGGACGCCGGCTATCCAATTCTGTCGCGTCCACCATTCAACCATTTGAGGGCAAACCACGCCATAGAGGTAGCTGTGGTCCAGGCCAGGACACGGTGTGCGCTGCGCGCTGCACTGCTCCAGCTCCAGCTCTAGCTCTAGCTCTAGCTCTCGCCGGATAACGCTGCCGCGATCCGGACCCCCGATCGCGATTGCGACCCAGGGACCTGCCATGGGCGTTCAAAACGTTATCTGCAATCTGACGACAACGGCACGCAAACGGCGCCACGCACGCACGCACGCGACGCTAGTGTACGTGAGTACGTGGCACACAGACGTACAGTCCTATACAGTACGTGCAAATACGCTCCCACATGCCTCGTAGCGTAAATGAGCTGCGTTCGTAAGCCTCCGCCCGCTGTCTGACTCTCTAACAGCCCAACCCGGCCCAGGACGACAGCCCGCTGGGTGGCAGCATATGTCACTTGCCACGCCCGGGTTCTCACAGCGCTTAAACCCTAGCTAGACCTTACCCCGCGCCGCGTCCTTGTTTCCGACCGGCGTTCACTTCCCCTCCTGCGGAGGAGGCCAGGCCAGGACCGAGGGTCGAGGAACGGGACCGTTGAGGACGCTTTCGCCACTTGAAACGGGCGCGGGTGGGATTGGACCTGGTGTAGGCTTCTGTCGTGGGATCACGGCCGGAGAGGCTAGGGCAAGAGGCCACTCCGGAACTGGACTGGACCGGAGCGGCTACCGCTGCACCGCGAGTCGTGGACGTAACGTGGCGAGGGATATGGATATGGATATGGATTGCGAATATGACGCTCAGACGACGCGCAAGTGCCTCGTGCGGGTGAGGAAGGACGGTGCGGACAGGCGCAGCCGTCCGACGAGGTGTGGAGTGTGAGTGTGTGTACGGGGCGTGGCGATTCCGTGGAACGTACACGAGCCTGTGGCCGCCGGTGACAGACGCGCCGCGCCTAGTACGGGGCCCAGTGGCCAGCGGCCAGCGGGTAACAAAGTGCAGTCGCCAGCCGAGACAAGAGCGGTCCCAAGACATGCGCAAGACAATAAGGACCACTTGCAAAAACGCCCCGCGGCTGTTTTTCAATACGACAGAGACGACCGAATCGCAATCCGCGATCCGCGACACGACTGCCGCCGCAAACTGCCACCCTGGGCACCGTGCAGTCGATCTTGGCACTGCGGCTGGGCAGGTGTGCGGCGGCAGAGGCGCACAACGTGTCCTGGAGCACAGAGACGCAGAGACAGTGCACGGTGGTACACCGGGTATGGGCACGCAGTGGCGCACGACGGGCGGCAGAGGCGGGCGGCCGTCGACAAAGTTTATATTTTTGCGCGTTTTACCACACACACACACGCACGCACGGCCGCCGCTGAGGGCGACGATGGCGGCATGGAATGCCGATGGTCGGGCGGCCACGCTAGGGCCATGCATGCACAGAAGTACTGAGGTACAGAGAGACTACACATGTGCGGGTGCGTAAGCGGCCAAGCTGGCACGACGTCATACGAAGAGAGCGCCTTCGAACTGTGAGCGCCTTTGGAATAATCGTGGAATTGGCTTGGAATCCGGCGTCCGGCGGGCGCTGACACGCGTCAGACTATCAGACATGATATCAGACACTTGCGACTCCAATGCCCCGTTAAATCCCTCTCTTCAATCCCGACATGCAAACAGTAAAGTGCACACGGCCAGCACAGCAATGCCGCAGAGCTGACAGCACGACCACACACGATCTGACAAAAAAACCATGTACGGCTGCTGGACATACCCGGTCCACCCGCTGCCTCGGTAACGTCTCCAGCCGGCGAAGGCGTGGGCGGGCGGGCGGGCGATCGGTCGAGAGGCATGCCACGACTCGCAGCGCCAGAGCTCTGTGCGCCAGGTGTGACACGGCTAACGAGAAAGAGAGAGAGCATGTGGGTTGTTGTTGGTGTGCCGCGGCAACGACCATGGGCCATGGGCACGCGCTTTCCAGGGCGGAGGTTTTGGCCACCCAAAAAAAAGTGAAAAAGGGGGTTATTTTTCCCTGGCGATAAGCAGTGCCGTCGCAAAAAAGAGAAAAAAAAGGCAAAAACGCTAGTAAATGGTAAGAAAAGTATAAATACTGTAAAGTGACTAGGCGAGATATGAATAGTCGTGTCAGATACAAACCCACCACCCCTGTCAGAGAGGGATCAGAGGCCGGGGCCGCTGCCCGTTCCCCGCGCGCGCCGACTGTGGGATGCGAGTGGGCCACTGCATGGAAATTGAGCACAGTGTGCGGGGCCGGACGGGGGGACGGGGGGAGAGAGCATGCCTGGGCGCCTTGGATGGGCGTGACGGCCAATTCTTTGCCATTGCTGCGGATTCCCACGCTCCAGCCCTGACGAGAGACAAGAGAAAGCCAGAGCGCGCATACTCGACACAGCCGCCGCCGCTGCTGCCGCCGTGGCCCAGACGCGCGCAGAGCGTGTACATGCATGTGCATGGAGGGGGGGGAGAGAGAGGACAACACGAATATGCCTGTACGCTCCTCTGGGCGTCGGTGGAACGTCCTGGCACCGCAGTCGGCGCGCGGGTGGTGTGGGACGTTGTATCCGTCTCTCTCTTTGTTGTTGTCGGCCCTCTATAAAGTTGGCCACCGCCTCTCTTGTTTGTTCCAATCTACCCACTCTTCCACCACCAAACCATCGTCCAAACTTCGCTTTGGTCACGTCAGACACTGCAAAGGTGAGCATTTCGTTTGTTTTCTTGCGCGTGTGTGTGCCTGTCTCCCGCCGCCGCCGCCTCTTTGCTCTAGACCCCCCCTTTTGCCATCGTTATCACTGCCGTGCGACGCTTTCCCACCACGCCCAGGCAAATCGGCCCGTCGCGCTGAAAAACGTGTCGCTGGTACGCACGCATCATCGTCGACAGAGCCGCATCCCACGCTGCTCCCACGCTCCCAGGCGTGGACATATGGCAGTGCAGTCTGCCAGCCAGCTGGCCAGCAACCGCACCGCTGGGCCATGCATAGGCAGGAGCCGGGAAGGCCAAGACAGCGCCAGAGCAGCAGCAGCAGCAGCAGCAGCACGGGCGGAGCGGCAATCGCCCTCCTTCCCCCCCGCGCGTGCCGTGCCGCGTGCCGCGTACCACGCCATGAAATGCGAGACACGCTGTCTGGCGATTCTGGCGGCTCTGGCGGCGGCGGCTCTGGTGGTGGTGGTCCGTCGGGTCCATCCAACACACTTTTCTCTTTCTTCTCATCCATCACTCCCTTCTGTCGTTGCACAACCTTCCATATCCCACATCTCTTCAACTCGGAACTCACCTGTCCTCAGTTCACAACCACACACCCCTACCACCACCTCTACACAAACCTCCACAACCACAATGGCCGCCACCGCCCAGCAGCCCAACGGCACCACCCCCAGTGAGTACACCCGTCGTAACCACCCACGTTTGATGGAGAGACCCAACCACCACCACACCACACAAGGACGCGTCGCTGACCATCCCCCTCCCAGGCTTCAAGATTGTCGAGCGTCTTGACTCGGTCCCCGTCCTCCACGACTCGTACACCTACGCTCAGTATGTATCTCCCTGTCGCCACCGCTATCTACGCCTGCCCTGCCGGAAACAACGCTAACCCACAGGTCGCTTATCAACTCGACCCAGCTCACTGCCAACCTCTACCAGACCGCGCTTGGCCTCGCTGTCCGTGAGTCCCCGGGAAAGACAACCACCGTCTAGTGCATATACTGACACGGCCCGTTCCCAGGCTCGTACGACGCTGCCACCCCCGTGCTCGTTCGCGCCAAGCCCCTCCTCGAGTCTGCCGATGGCCTCGCTGTCGCCACCGTTGACCGCGTCGAGGTCATCTTCCCTTGTGAGTCCCCCCCTTGAGGAGAGAAGAGCGCGAAGCAAACGGCACATCATCGCAAGGGCGCACGCTGACCGGCTACCACAGACCCGTTCAAGACCCAGACCCAGGACCTGATTGGTGTCAAGCAGGCCAAGGGTGTCTACGACGCTGTGAGTTTTGTTGCTGTCCTTGAACGAGGAGGATGGATGGATGGTGGATGCCCCGTTCGCTCGTCGTCTATGACGTCGCGCTCATGCTGTGGTGACTTTGCGCACGAGCTGTGGGTGGTGCATTTTCCCTGCGCCACCCAGGACGTTGTTTGCCGTCCTCCTGCCGGCGGCCGGAACGCGTCGGGGCGTGGCATCCCCTGGTCCCACCGGATTGTTCCGTGTTCCCTCCAAGCCTTACTGACACCACCCCCCCTCTAGCGCGTCGCCCCCCTCATCCAGCAGGCTACCCCCGTCATCCAGGACGTCATCTCCAAGACTGCCGCTCTCAACCACGAGCTCGGCGCCCGCGCCTCGGCCGTTGTCACCCAGTCGACCGAGATCTCGCACGCTCTCCTCGAGCAGCTCCACACCCTCCGTGACCAGTCCAAGGAGCTCCCCCACCAGCTCTCCGAGGTCCTCACCAAGGTCACCGCCGACGTCAAGTCGATCGTCCTCGCCAAGGAGGGCACCTACCAGGAGAAGACCAACAAGCTCGCTGCCTACGTCGTCGAGAACGTCCGCCCCGTCATCGAGGAGGCCTACGCGCAGGTCCTCGGCGCCAAGAAGGCTGCCGAGGACAAGGTCGCCAAGGCCACCGAGAAGGTTTCCGAGAAGGCCCCCGCCGTCTCCAACTAAACTCGCTCGTACCGCGTTTTGAATTAAAAAGACGCAGCGCGCCCAAGACGCAAAGACGTCAAGCCCTTGGTTTTCTGTTTTATAGATGTGCTTTATACGACCCCCGTGATCCCTCTCCCGCTCATCCTCCCATGAGCCACGTTCCCCCTCTTTTCTCCACCACCCACTTCTTTTTCTGCTTTTGTATTCCCCTTTCGAACCAAACCTACACCGATGAGATGCATCGTTCCCTTGTTCGGATAACAGAGGGGCCAGGGTTGGGTTGCACAACAAGGTTGACTGACTGATGGCTCGGTGGTGTGCCCCTGTGGCGGGGCCGTAGATGTGACACACGCCGAGAAGCTCGAGGGATCCCGGTAGCGGGCGTGTTCCGCGTCTCAGACAGGTATTGGATGCTGCAACTGTGCAGGAGGGAGATGAGGGCTGTTGGCAGTGAGCTGTCGATGCGCCTCTGCCACCGGGAAGGCAAGTGGCACTCTGCGGCCGCACATTTGTTTATCCGGCCTTCCAGAGTTATCGCACTGCTGCTTTCACCATGGCTCTCTTTCCACCTTACCTAACCTCACCCAGGCGCACCCTCCTTGGAAGAGTTGGAGACTTGTATCGTGGATGTGGGTTCAGCAGGAGTTCGCTCTCCGTGGCCCAAGGGTATACGGGAGGGGGCTGGGGATCCCATCGCCGTCGGGAACGTGGGCTTGCGTTGTCAATGTTTATCTTTACGATGCCTTGCTGGTTCCCAAGCCCACTGGATACAGATAGAGGAGTCGCTAAGGGGTTCAAAGGTTCATGTTAGAGCCGCCATGGAGGGAGTTGAGCGAGGTCTGGGCTGTGCTAACGCGGGGAAATATATGTAGACATGTTTGCATAACGTTCTTTACTCCAGCCTGTGCGGTACTCTTGCGGAATCGTTGCGACCATTCCCGTATGGGATGCTGCTATCTAATTCTGCCACCTGCTTTAATCGGGTGTGGGTCACAGTTGACGCTGGGCACGATGCAGCACTGTAACAATGTCCATTTAACTGAGGCATTTATGCGGGTATGCCACAGCAACCCTCCAAAAAAGGTTGTGCCGTAGCCTGTCGCCATCAGAGGCACGAACATACAGAAAAGTAAGAGGGGACCACACAATGCTTGCCATGGCATGGAACATGTACACGACCAGAAGAGAAGCACAGCAAGGGCAATGAGAACGACAGGGAGGGCCCGCCACATCAAGTGTCGCCTGGACAATACCCGATCAGGCCAGATAGGCCAGAGCAGAGACGAAAGTTGACGGGCAATAGTCAACCCAAGACAGTAAACCAATGGAAGGAGGGACACATGCTACAACAGCAGGTGTCAGAGATGATCCTTTCCAACAGATCTCGACGTTGCTGTTGCAAACCACACCTTATAAACACGCCAGAAACGTACAAAACATCAATCAACGAGGCTCTCGTGGTGTAGTGGCTATCATACTTTCTTAGGGTCCAGTCTTGGTCTTTAAGCCTTACCTCACGAGCTATGGAAGTGGTCCTGGGTTCAAATCCCGGCGAGGGCCCTCATCTTTTGCTGCTGCGACCCTCTGCATGCTTGGTCGTTGTCCAGGACGATGGAAAGAACGAGTTGGAGTGAATGTGGCAGAGACGAGTTGGAGGTGTGTTGTGTGTTGTGTCGACGGCGCGACGATCCCTCCTTAGCGTGGTTTCTTGTTTTGAAACACACACACCGAAATGCGGCCACGGACGGAACCAAAAAACGCGTCGCGTCCAAAACATTGATTTCAATGATTTCGCGACTAACAACAGCTCTCTCATTCCATCCACCACCATGTCGGCCTTCATCCTTGCTGCGGCGCCCGCCCAGCTAGCTTCTTCTGCCGACCTCCACCTCCTGCCATTCGCCCTCTCCCCGACCCCACCCGCCGCCTCTGCCTCCACGGCTGCCTTCTTCCGTCCACGCGACCCCCCCGACAGAACTCGGATACGCGCCGGGCACCAAAGTTGCAGCGTTCCGCGGCCGCGCGGTTGCTGGACAGCGCATCGAGCTGCCGAGGGGATACCGGGGTGTGGTGCTGCGCGCAGACGGCCTGCCTGGCGCTGGCGCAGCTGCGGACTCGAACGACGACGCGGCCGCGTTGACCGCCACGACATCATCACACGCACCTGCTCCTGGACCCGGCGAGGCCTCTACGTCCGCGTCGGGACGCACGACGCGCTCCGCAGGCCGCGCAAAGGGCTCGGGTCAAGTGGCGCTCTCGCGCCCGCGCCGTGCAGGACGGCAGGCCGTGAAGCGCATCAAGGTCGATGAGGAAGACGAGGAAGACGACGTCGTCGCCCCCCTGCGGCGTGAGGCTGACGCCCGCGCCAAGCCTGCCGAGGAGGATGTGCCGAGGATAGAGGTCGTGCGGGCTACCCCAGAGCCGGAGGTGGAGGCGGAGGCAAAGGAGGAGGCCGAGGCCGAGACAGAGACCAGTGTCGCCGAGGTGAATGGAAATGGAGCGGCAGGAGACGACGCCGGCGAGGCCAACGCGACCGAGATGCAAGTCGACACCACAACCACACCGACCACGACCGCCGCAGCCGCAGCTGAGATCAAGCCCCCGACCCACTACCCCGCAGGCGCGCGCGTCCTCGTCCCCTCTGCGGCCTTTTCGGCCTTCATGCTCTGGACGCCAGACGCGCCGCTTGCGGGATTTGACGCCGACGAGCTGAACAAGGACACGACAGCCGAGGCCGACCCCAAGCCCCAGACCGAGACCAACGGCACTAACGGCACCACGACCGACACGGACTCGGACACCAAACCCGACGCCGACGCCGACGTCGACGCCGGCGCGCCCGCACCCGCGCCAGTGTCGCGCCTCGAGCCGTCGTGGTGGCGCAAGGGCGGCGCCGGCGAGGGCGGCGACGAATTCGTGCGTGCCCTCGGCGAGTTTATTGGCCTGGGCGAGATTGTGAGCTTCGGGGAGCACCTGCCATCAGCTGACGGACAGATCCACAAGCGCGTGTACGAAGACGACGACGATGACGACGACGATGACGAGGAGTAGATGGAGGTCGGTCGAGTTTCTTGTATTGCGGGGTGTCTTACGGACCACTCCACTTCCTCAGTGAGTTGCAGCTGAGAAACTGTATGTGTTAAGCTGACATCAGATCAACAGGCAAGACGAGTGGACGGGACGACTGGCGAGTAGCCTTGTAGGATGTGCTTCCCCCATTACCCCCTGCTTCCAGTGCCATGCTCCGCTTCCCCTTTGCCTCTGCCTCATTTCACATGTAACTGGTACTGTGCGTATCAATGCATAGGGTGTGTATCCAACAAGAGATGTGTGATCAATGCAACCTCCTTCCCGCTCCCTCTCTCTCTCTCTATCTCTCTCTCTCTCTTCTACGGCGTCCATCCGCCCTGCGTCCATCCGGCCCCGGACCGGCCCGTCTTGCGCGGCACCGTTTCGCTCGTGACGTACGCCAGCTCGCGCCACACTGCATCGCCCATGGCGCGCAGGTCGCCCTTGCCCTCGAGCTCGGCGTAGCGCAGCACGCTGCCGAGGCCGTTGAGGTCCACCACTGCGAGCGTGCGCAGCCAGCCCACGGGCGGCTGGTGCGCCGTGTACGGGCCCGGCCCGGCGGGCGGGTTGGTCGAGCCGTGGGTGTGCGCGTGCGCGTCGTCGGCGTCGGCGTCGAGGGCGTCGGCGGGATCGGTCGTGTCCAGCGTCGCGGCCACGGTGGCAAACTCGCGGATGGGCGCCGCCGACGCGTCGCGCACCTGGTCCGACTCGAGGAGGTACGGCGCCCCGCGGAAGGTGACGTGGAGCGGGGGCAGGAGCGGGACGAGGTTCTCCTCGATGGGGTCGTTCCAGTGGTCTGTCGTCGGCTTGTGGCTCCGTGCCGCGCTGGGGAAGACACCGTCTTCGCCGGCAATGTCCAGGGGGTCCAGCATGTCGTCGTCGTACATGGATATGGGCTCGGTCGCCTGGGGCGGGACGGCGCGGAGCGCCACCAAGTCTGAGAGTGGGGTGTCGCGCATCGCGGCGGCGTGCGTGTGCACCAACTTGAAGAAATCGGTGAGGAGTGGTGGGACATCGGTGGCGGGGACGGCCTGTGACCCGCGGGCGACAATTCGTGTGTCCACTGGCCGCTCGGGGAGGAGGACGTCGGTGGCGGACTCGCGCTCGAGGCTGGCTGACAAGCTGGTCTCGAAGGGGTGGGGGTCGGCAAGAGGCGTGGTGTCGGGGCCGAGGAGGGCATCGAGGCCGTCCTTGGCAAGGTGCATCTCGTCTGGGGCCAGGTCCTCGCCGTACCGAGCCTCCGCCTCCTGTGCACTAGCGGCAACCAGGTCGCCGAGGCGGTCGACCCACGCGGGCTCGTCGGAAATGTCATTCAGCAAGGTCTCGCGCTCGGCGGCCTTGGGGTACTGGTACTCGAGAGTGAGAACGGGGCCGTCTCCGTACTGGGGGTGGTAAGTCACGCGACGTGTACGCTGCAGGATAGACGGCAGGTGGCTGTCGACAAGGACGGGGGGAACGGTGGGACAGAAGACAAAGGGCGTGAGGTTGTTCCAGCGGCTCGAATCCAGAGTGTCAGAGCCAGCGACGGGGGCGGTGAGACTGAGTGCGGCGTTGGACTCCATGGCTGGGGACAAAAGGTGGCCGAGCTGGAGGACAAGCGAGGATGTCTCGTCGTCTGCTGTCATGTCGGCACCGTTTGACAACGACTGGAGTGTTGCGACGGCAAGGTCACGGAGGACCGCATCCTTGCTGTAACCGGCGAAATTAATGGTGGGAGTGACGGCAATGTTGGCCACACGCTGCTTTGCCTCGCGCTGGTAGACCGACTCGTACTGGGACTGCACTGCAGCAAGGCGGAAGAATGGCCTCTTGCCAATCTTGGCAGCCAGCTTCCATGGCAGAGGCGACGAGGGGGCCGGGAGGTGCGGCGTCAAGGAGACCCCACCCGAGTTGGTGGATGCGCTAACGGCGTTGGTGTCCTTGGTTGCTTCGCGCGCCACCTCGAGGACCATCTCTCTTGCGCGCAGCGCATCGCCCTTGGCCGCGGCGGTTGCCGAATACACGTTCTGGGCATCGACTTCAATGTATGCGCCTGTCAGGTTGGAAACAGCCCACAGGGTCGACTTGGGCGGCTCCCAGCCCAACAAGTCGGCCTTGGTCCACGTTGTCTGCGAGTGCTGCTTGACGACGCCATTCAACCACTTTTTAAACACGTCCAGCTGCGCGCGCGTTCCCGTCACCATCATGGTGTATGCCTGCGGGTTGCCATCCTGGTCAGAACCATGAGCGTCGAACCGCGGGCTCAGGCCCCTGTGGCGGTGAGCGTCGCGGTTACGCTGGAACAGGAACAGATCGGCAAGCGTCATCTGGTGCTCTGAGTATTGTGTCAGTGAAAGGTCGGTTGGGCTTTTCAAAGGCCATCACTTACCCTCGGATTCCACCTTTGTGTCGTACTCATCTGGGGTCTTGTCGACCCAGCCCCACGCAAGAAGGATGCGGTCCACAAGAGCGGCTTTCTTGTCGGTAGCCGTCACGGCCAACCCCATTGCGCGCACACATTCGGCGAGCTGCGCACGAACGAACGCATTGTTGATCTGGTCATACAGCTTTGTGCGCTGTTTGGAATATGACTGGGTCGTGGGGTTGGGATGCCTGAGGGGTCTCATGAGGTCGAGGGCCTTGAGGGGGTTGTTGGTTCCTGCTGGCGGAGTGTGGTTGGCCTGGATTTTGGCCTGTTCAATGCCGCCCGTCGCCACGGCCGCGGCCACCTCGCCCGCTGTGGCATTCATGCCTTTGCGAAACTCTGCTGCGCGGGCGATGGCGTCCTGTCTGGCCTTTCCCGTGGGCTGCTTGTAGAACTTCATGTCGCCCCTCTTGCTGACGGCTGCCGACGACGCAAAGCCCGCGACGGAGACGGACGACGATGCCAGCGCAGTCGGGAACACATGGTGTCGTCCTGCGCATGCCATCGAGCACCCGGAAGAGCGCCGTCCGAGCCGGAGGGCGAGCATGGTGGAGGGGAGTGTGGGTGGGTGAGGTGTGTTGTTGTGGTATAGACTCTCGATGAGGCGGGTTTGTTCCGAAAATCCAAAACCCACCCAAATGAAAGCGGCCAAAAGCGGAGTCGCCCGTGGATCTCCGCGCGGCGGGTCATACAACTCTCCCACGGGCGACCACCCACCCCGTACCGCCCGTTCGGCTCACTCGCCCGACGTTGATCCGAGACGAGCATGCGCAAAGGGCCCAGAAACGTCTCCCTCGTCTCTGCGCTCCGACTTTCTTTTCCACCATCTCCATACCCCTTCCCCTCTACCCACACCATGATGTCCCGCTCCGTCGCCTCGCTCCGCGCCGCTGTGCGCCCCGCCGTCGCCGCCCCCATGGCCGCGCGTGCGTCGCCCGTCGCCGCTGCCCGTGTGCGCTTCTACGCCGACGCCGCCGAGGGTGCCAAGGCGGAGCTGACAGACGACGAGAAGAAGATTGCCGACCTCGAGGCCAAGGTCAAGGAGCTTACCGTGCGTTTTCTGGAACCGAGTAGACCTTTTACTGACGCTTGTCTGCAGAAGGAGATGCAGTACATGCGTGCCGACTACCAGACGCTGTCGCGCCGTTCGTCCGAGGAGAAGGCCAAGGCATCCGACTTTGCCATCATGGGCTTTGCCCGCGCGCTCCTGTCCACCACGGACGTGCTCGCCACTGCGCTCAAGCACGTTCCCCAGCCCATCGAGAAGGGCTCGCCGCTCGCAACGCTCTTTGACGGTGTGGAGCTCACCCAAAAGGCCCTGCACAAGACGTTTGAGACCCACGGCATCGCGCCCATGGACGAGCTGCTCGGCGCCCAGTTTGACCCCAACCTCCACGAGGCCACCTTCCAGGTTCCCTCGCACGTCGCGCCCAAGCGCACCGACGGCGATGCCCCGGCCCCCGGCGAGGTCATCGACGTCGCCAAGGGCGGCTGGACCATCAAGGGCCGCGTCCTCCGCCCCGCCCAGGTCGGCGTCGTCCAGATGGAGTAAACTAGCATTTTCTGTAGCAACCCCTCCACTTTTTTTTTTCGCGTCACAACCAAACACATCCATCCCCCCCTCAACACATCTATTCTCTCCCGGCGGTCTCGTTCTGTAGTTTCTGTAGTACAGCATCCATTGCATGCAGCACCCTTCTCAGGCAAAGAAGCAGCGGAATCTCTATTTGGGGGTGGTTGTATGGGGTATGGGTTTGGAAAGATTATACCGGGGGGGGAACAAGTGGCGGCTGCCGCCGGGGGGATTTTGCCGACTTGAGCCGACAATGGCACCCCCCATCTCGTCGTCCCTCCTTGTTTGGTGGCAACGGTAATTGCACCACCTGTCCACAAGTGTCCGGTGTGGGGGTCTAGGGCAAGAAAACAGAACGATTACAGCAGCCAGAGAGACAGAGAGACAGACGAACAGCTGCTGCGTGACAACTGCACGCGGAGCCGCCCTTCGCTTCGCCCTCGTCCTCCTCCACCCACTGCCCGCTCGACTCGACCTGTTTACTGGGCCTTGACCTTGTCGTACGACACGACCTCGCGCTCAGCGGCGATACCGTCGGCCTCGACCTTCTTCATCTCAGAGGCCTCGACGGCGGCGCGGTCGCCGGCCTTGGCGGACGCCACGCGCTCCTTGTACGCGTGGTACTTGTTGTCGGTGCCGAGGCAGTAGTCCCACCAGCGGAACGACGTCGAGAAGCAGTTGACAAACGCCATGTGGTGGAAGTCGTGGTGGTCGGCGCCGGCCCAGAAGGGCAGGAAGTGGCGGAGCGACCAAGGGAAGTCGTAACCCGAGTGCGCGTCGACGGCCTGGAACAGACGCAGCGTCACCCAGATGTACACGGTCAGGATGTGCAGGTCCTGGCGGAACAGGCAGTACAGGAAAGGGCCCGAGATGGTGCCCTGTGCGAGAATCATGACCTCCATGGGGTGCGCGTACTCGGCGGCGAGACCGATGGGCGCCGAGAACTCGTGGTGCAGCTTGTGGATGTTCTTGTACAGAGGACCCCAGTGGAGACCGCGGTGAGCCCTGGAGAAGGGATGTCAGCTTGGGAGCAGGGCAAGTCACGTATCAGAGTCGCGCGTGTCCACCTATAAATGGGACACTGCGCGCTGCCGCGGGCGCCTTCAACTCACCAGTAGTGGAAGGTGTCCTCAAAGACAAAGAAGAAGGCAATCTGGCACGCCATGAGCCACAGGGGCGAGAAGGGGACCTCAAAGGTCGACATGCCAAAGTAGCAGCAGATGGGGTGGAAGAGCCAGATGAGGGGGGCCTCGCAGGTAAAGTGGGTGAGGAGGACGACACGGGTGCACTTCCAGATCTGGGCCCAGGTGGTCTTCTTGGTCGGCTGGAGCTTCCACTGGTGGAACCAGGGGATCTCGTCGATGATGAGCCATGGGATGCAGCGGCCAAAGTAGACGATCTGGAAAGACGTGTCAGTGGTGGGGTCTGTTTCGGAAGACAAGAGCCGGGTGAGTGCGCGAGGGAGGAATGGAGCAGGCCGTGGCGGACAAGGTGGGTGTGGTGGTGGTGACACAACATGAAATCGTGCCACGATCACGCCCCCAGCGTTTGACTTTTGCGTTGACCATTGCTTCCTCGTCGCGCCCCCCCGCGCATTTTGCCCTCGCTCTCTCGCTCGCTCGCTCGCTCGCTACATTCTATCCCAACACTCACCTCGTGGAGGAGGAACGACATGAGGCCAGTGGCGAGGATGGCGTTGCCCATGTAGATGTAGTAGTTTGCCCAGAGACGCTCAAACCACGACAAGGCGTCGAGGTTGATGTCGCCGTAGAGCATGGCCTGTGTCTGGGTGGCGTTGGTGATGACGAGCTGCTCTGCGAGCTCGGGAGAGTGCTTGCCGACAAAGGCGAGAGCACTCTCGTACAGCTGTTGTGCCGCCATGGTGCTGGTGGTGGTGGTGGGGAAGGAGAGACGGGGAGGGAGTGACTGACGGGTTAGTCGATGAGGAGACGAACAAAGAGAGTCAGAAGTGCAGCGAAACGCGTTGGGCTATTAGGGGTGGTCGGCGGGTGGCCGCCCAGCCAGCGAGCCTCTGCCCAGCCAGCGGCCAGCGAGCCAGAGCTGCGAGCCAGACCCGCGTCGTCGCCGGCTGCCTGTGCCCAGCAAAAACAGTGATTATCGAACGATGGCCCCATCGACCCCCCCATCGCACGACGCCGGGTGAACACTGTGTGGCCCTGGGCTCGCGCGCGCGCGGGCCCGCCCGTAGACTCTGCACGCGCCGTAACGAGCACGGAAGCAAAAAATGGCCCCCCCCCCATCCCCCAACGTTCAAAATTTATTACAACATTAAATCACCCGGGGTGATTAGGCCAATTTTACTAATCCCAAATTAACATACACCCCACTAGGCACAGGGTAATATACCGAGTCCAGGGTGTTGACACGCGGTTGCTGACACACGGGGGCGATCCCCACTCGCAATCCATCCATCCGGTACAAAAAAGAGGCCGCACAGTGCCCGCAGCAGGCCACCACACCTGTCTTGTTGTCTCTCTCGTTGCAAAACGTAATGGTAAACAAATCCATATTGTTGTTGTTGTTGTTGTTGTTTTGAAAAAGTGGGGGAGCAGTAGTATAATATAATACAGCTACAATCTAGTTCACATCGTCGTCGTCATCTCGCTATACTACACACACACCCGACGGGGACACTTTGGAGAGCCTGCCGTTTCCTCCAGTGTTCCTAGTACTGCATGGTCATGGCGGGCGCGTGTCCGCTGTTGCCGTTGCCGTTGCCGTTGCCGGTGCCGTTGCCACTTCCACTGCCACTGCCGTTGCCACTGCCGTCCGCCACAGAGTCAAAGTGCGACGAGGGCGCGGACGCAGTCATGGGCACATCGCGCCCGGCCCTGCGCTGCGTCTCCTCCCAGAGTATCTGCGCCTCCTTCATCGATGTCGGCCGCGGAGTGCGGTTCTCGTTCCCGTTCGGGGTGCCGTTCGCCGCCGCGTTCCACGAACCTGCGACGCCGGCGCCCACCGCGATGCCGGACATGGGCGAGTCCGAGGACGAGCCCGTGCTCGCCGTCGAGTTGCGGTGCAGCAGGTCCGGAGTGGATCCCGACCCCGACTCGTTTGGCGACGGGTTGTTGTTGCTGTTGCCGTTGCTGTTCGCCGGCGAGATGCCGCTGGGCGACATGGTCGAGATGGACACACTGCCCGAATTGCCATAACCCCCAGGAGGCAGTTTCCAGAATCCGCGCTTGATGTTGAGCGCGTTCAGGATACACAGGCCAAAGTTGGACTTGGGCGTAAGCGCCAGACCGCCGACGCGAGGGTGCTCTGGATAGTGCGCTGCGAGCTTTTCAAACGTCGGGTTGGTGGCGCGATCGAGAAAGTAGTCGATCAGCTGCGCGTGGTGGTACCCAATCTTAAACTTGCGGCCGTACTGCGCCAGCGCCAGGCGCGCCGTCTCGACGTCGGTCCGGTACGCCTCGGCGGTCGGCAGGTCGCCAATGTTGAGGGCGTGGCGGTAGAACAGCAAACACGTGCGGGCGGCTGTGACGAGCGCGACGGACGAGGACGAGTGCATGACGGCGCCAATGTTGGTGACACCCTTGGGCACAATGCCCACAAGCTGCTGGATGACGTTGATGACAGAGCGCGCCGCGTTGAGGATGCGACGCGCCGGCTGGTCGTTGGGGTCCGTCACGTCCGCAAATGGCTCATACAGGCAAATAATCGCCGTGTGCGGCAGGACATGGGCGCTGACGAGGTCGACGTCGAGCATGCCACGGTCGTCAAACGTCGTCGGGTTCGTGAGGGTCGGAGGAAAGCTCATCTGGAGACAGGCAATGGCGTTGGCCAACTCGCGGAACTCGGGCCGCAGCATGCCGTCCAGGTCGTCATTGTCCCTCATCCGGCGGTTCTTCCACTTGCGCGCAAACTTGTTGACGCGGTTGAGTAGCACGGAAGCCTTGAGCGCCATCACCAGCGCGTCGGGCACAGGGTGCTTGATATACAGGTCGAGCGACTCGAGGTCTTGCGGGTTCGGCTCCATATTCTCGTTGCCCTCGTCGAAGTCCCTCTTGGACACGGGCAACGGAACCGTAAGCTCATCAAGAGCGAGCGACGTGCCCCACCCGGACGCGGCCGACGCCACCGTGTCGTGATACATGGCCATCCAGACCACCACGCGGCGTTCCTCGCGCTCGAGCGCGTCGGCAGCGGGGGGAAGCATCACCGACTTGAGTGACAGTTCGGCCGAGCGCACGTTCAGGCCAAGGGGAAGGATCATGCGAGAGACAAGACCACAGTAAGTCCAGCACTCGAGCATGCGCGTGTCGTCGATAAACACGCGGCTGAGAATGATCATGGCGCGGACAACGTCAAACAGACGGTTGCCCGTGTTGAGGCCGTCCAACACGGCGTCCTTGCCGTGCGCCGCCTGCTGCAACGAGAAGGGCATCGCCGACGGATGCTTTGGCTTTGGAGTCGAGTGGGCAAAGAACGCCATCTTCGCGTCAAAGTTGGGCGGAGGCGAGTCCTCATACACTTCAGGCTTGCACCAGCTGGCAGCGAGAGCGCAAATGGAATGCAGGAGAGCAGGGTGCGGGAAATTGGAGTGGGTGGCAGGCAATGAAAGACGCGCAAGGAATCGCGCACGGTGCAGCATGCGCGGCATGTTGGGCACAATGTCAAAGAACGCTTCCACGAGTTGTTGCACCACGTTGGGGTCGGGCAGGTTGGGCGGCCAACCAGGCCAGAAGAGGTCCATAAACATGCGCGAGTCAAGGACGCCGTCAGCTGCCATGGCCGAGATGGGGTCAGAGTCAAACGACGACGACTGCGACTTGTTCTTGGACGTTGTCGAGTTGTGCTCCATGTTCGCGTCGCCGCCGCCGCCATTGGCCAAAGAAGCTGCTGCGTTCTGCAGGTTGATCCGTATGTCCTCGGACAGGGGCGGACCCATGTTGTTCGTACTGCCAGGTGGCAGGGTGGGAATCTGCGCACCGCCTATGGACGACACACCCGTGAGGCCACCAATTTGCTGCGCAATGTTGAGTACCGAGCTCATCGAATACGTTGCCGGCGTATCGCTGCCAGAGCCTGATGGCGCCTGGACACCGGGGCCGGTCGCCGCCGGAGAAAAGTTGAAGATGTTGTTCGGCGACAGCATTGGCGTGTCCGACGGCCTGTGATAGCGTCCTCCACCAGACGGAGTGGAGGCAGACGCCTCAAAGTCTGGCTCGGGCATGGGGAGGAACGGCGTCAGGCCTGTCGTCTCGGTCCGGTCCGCGGACGTCCACATGGGAGTGAGACCGGCGAACATGTTGGACCCGGAACCGTCCGGCATGTGTTGTGTCGATGTCGCGGCAGACGAGAGCATCTCGAGGAACGCTGTGGGCGACTCTGCCTGTGTAGGCATAAAGGATCCTGTCCAACGGCTTTCACTTGGCATAGAGGTGGAGGAAGTGGAGGAAGGTGGTGGAGGTTGACCTGCGGCCAGTGGTGGTGGAGCGGCCGAGGAGGAGGCGGGCGTCTTGTTCGCCAACTGGTTCTCAAGCTCAGCTGTGGAGGGGTTAGCAGGAGACTTGGGACTGGTATACGTACCGATACGCTTGGTCAGGCGGTCGCGCTCCTCGTCCAGGTCGTCGTCGCGTTTCTTGGCGCGGCCACCCGAAGCCTTGCGCTTCTTCCTCCGGCTTTCATCGTCATCGCCGCCCTCTGTGGGTGACGTCTGGTCACCGTCCGCACCATGCTCGCGGTCGAGGGAATCGTCATACTCGCACGACAGGACGGGATGTGTGCCGGGCGCGGTGCGCAGCAGGTGGCGATAAGAGCGGACACATGTTGAGCAATGGGGTCGGACAGCGTCGCATTTCTGATACGACAGTGTCAGTGAAACGGCTCATTGCTCTACCCATTACGTTTCTGCTCTTACGGCAAGCGGCAAAGAGCGACGTGGGTTACTCACCAGCTTGCGACGACGGCATGCGAGACATGCCTGGTTGCGGCGGAGGACGCCAGCGACGTCGTTGGGTTGTCCGGCTGCTGACGAGGAGGGCTGGGAGGGGCCTGCGATGTCGATAGGGATGGTGCCCGACAGATCGGGGCGGGAGGGAATGTCAACTGGCATTGGCATATTGTCGTGCTCCGCCCGTTCAAGATGGATGGAAGAGGTGAACGGGAGGGGAGGTGCAGGGTGAGGGGAGTGGGGGTGAGGTGGTGCCGGAGTGGGGCTACGGGCGCGGACGGGCTAGACGAGGAAAGGTGATGACGGCGGCGGCGGCTGCGGTAGCGGTGGGACTGCGAGAAGGACACGAGAGTAGTGGACGCGGGCGGCCGACGGCTTGCCCATCCCCAAGCCGGGATGCCGGATTTGCCACGCAAGCGGGGGACAGTGAGGTCGGCTCCGGAGGGTCAAGTCGGAGCGTCAAAGAGCGTCGAGGTGGGAGGTGTCCTGCAGGGCGGCAGTGATGGGGGGATCTGCAGCGACGTTGGTGTGACGGAGGAGTTTGGGAAGATGGACGAGTGGTGAGATGAGAGAAGACACGGGAAAATGGTGGGACGGATGGATTTGGGAGGAAGGAAGGCTGCCGACGGTGCCGAATGGAACACCTTGTTGCGGGGATGGTCGGGGGTGAGTCGACGGTGTGGCTCTCTTTGACGGTGGAAAACAGGGGGGGAAAACGACGAGCCGAGATAGAGAGGGAGAGAGAGGAAGAGAGGGAGAATTGCGCAGCTGGAGACACGAAGAGACGAGAGGGTCAACCGGACGTGGAGCGGATCAACGATGGCAGCCGACTGGGAGATATGACTAACGCGCGTTGCTATTGTTCCAGCCGGTGTTGTGTGTGCAATCTGCTTGCTTGCTTGCTTGCTTGCTGCTGCTGTCCACATTCTCCTGTTTCCCCTGCTGGCCTGCTGGTCAACCGGTCATCGCGTTTGCACATGGCGTCCCCCCCGGCTCCGACACAACAAGCGCACCACCCCAACGGCCCATGTGATTTTTGACTGTGGCTGCGGTGATCACCGCCCGGAACGGCTCTCTCTCTCTCTAAAACACACGCACACGCATCTCTCTCGGCAGGTCGCGCAGGGGGGTCACACGCATCTTGAGAGACTCCCGCTACACAGCACCGCACCAACGGTGAAACCATTGGCCATGTCTCTCTCTCCTGTTCGCTTCAGTCCACAGACCACCACCTATATCACACAGCCGAGCTTTTGAACGCCGTCCACAGCCATTCCCATGCCCGATGCCCGAGAGGTCAGGCACCGCTTCCCCCGCAAGTGTTGTTACATAATGTTTCTTTCCCACATATTTTTACGTAACTTTATTAATATTACATAATACTGGTAATTTTACGTAACCGTACAACGTTTACGTAACACGTTATCTGCGCCCTCGGACGGCACCGGCAAACCCGAAATGTTCAATGCCACAGACAGACAGTGTCCTCTCATTCCACAACCCTCACTCTCTCTCTCAAAAGACGGCTCCTCAGGCAGACCACACAATGCTGCTCATCCGCCTCAACGCTGCGGCAGGCCCATCGCGCATGGCGTTCCCGCGCACCTTTCACGCCGCTGCCAGCGTGACGCGCTCGCTGCACGCGTCCTCGCATCCCAGCGTGTTGGCACCCTCCCGCACCCTTGCTGCTCACACTGCCACTCGAGGCCTGTGGTCTCGAGCGGTATCGTTCAGCCCGAGGGCGCCCAACACCCATATGAGCGAGGAAAAGTGGCCTTGGTACAGCGTCGAGCCCCCCCTCCACAAGGGCAAGGTCGAGCTCGAGCGCGTCATCTACGCGCGCCCCCGTGAAGGAAGCGGCCAGATGCTGTGGGGATCCATGATCCTCATCGGTGCCTCTGTCGTTGTCTACTTTACCATGCCTAGCATCGACAATATACGCAAGATTGCCGGCAAGGAGTGAGTCGAGGCCCCTCATGGTCCACGCCTGGCTACCTCTTGCTGACAGCGCAGGGATGAGCCCGCGGTGCCAAACTCTTTGATTTGGGCCTTCTTAACCAACGGCTTTATTTACGTCGTACCTCTTTGCGGCGTTGGCTTTCTGTATTTGATCTCTCGCCAGGTATCGCGCCTCTCCCTCGTCCGCTCATACACTGCCTCTGATCCGACCCGGTCCCAGTACTTCCTTCGCATGAACACCGTGTTGAAGGACAGTCTCGGACCACTCGGCAAGCCCCGTGAACTTTCCCTCGACGAGGTCAAGATCAACCTCATTCTCGACCCACCTACCCGAAAGGGCGAGCGTGGTGAGTCTCGTGTCTGCGTCCGACGTCATGTGTGTTGCTTGCTTACCGGCCGCCCTCCCAGCTCGTAGCACTTGGCTCAAGATGTCCATCGGCAACAAGGAGCAGCGCTTGTCGACCCGCCGCCTGGACTTTAGCCCCCAGAAGGTCACCGACGACACCAAGGAGTTTGTCCTCTCGGTTCAGCGCGTGGAGGACGTTTTCGGCCACCTTAAGCCCACCTGGGGCGAAGTGGACGTTGTGCCTGGCGCCCATCAGACGAAGAAGCGTTCGAAGAAGTAGACATATGACTCGGGCGAGTCCACACGGTCTGGCGGACAGAGTCTTTTGCATTCAGTAGCACAAGTACGATACTGCTCTCCCAGTAGATAAATTCACATTGCATTGTTGGGCGTTTAGGACGTTGTTGGCCAGCGGGTTCCGACCGTTGCATGGCAGTAGCGCAGTAGATGGGCGACTGATATTGACACGGAATGTGGTGGATCAACTTGGACTCGCCCAGATCGACCTCCACCGGCCGCGTTCCGTCATTCGCACTCTCTTCACAACACACACCACACCACACCCACCGACCACCTTGTTCAACATGCCAAGGCATTAACGCATCCAGGACTGGTTTCTTGAACATAGCATACCTTGTCTTGGACTCCCGTTGGAGAATTCGTGCAACATGTCAACCGGCCGCGACCTCTTTGGGCGACCGTACCCGTCCAGGTCTTCCCCATCGTCTACCCCATCCTCACCTCCGTCCTTCCCGTCCCCTTCCTCGCTTCAGTCCCGACCGATACCTTCTCGGTCATCACCAGAGGAAGAGTTAAGGCGAGATGCATTTCGCAAGGTATGTCCCCTCACCCGCTTCCATTGACATCACCTCCATGTGCTAATGTCAGCTCAAACCCACCTGTGTCGCGTTGATGGGTCTCGCGGGACAACAGCCTACGAATTCGTCCCAGCACGCCGCTCTCATCGACACTTTGCGGAGTGTCGTCGAGACCCTTCCTGATGAAGCATTCACCTCGGCGTTGATCAACTACCTGCTCTTCCCGGTCACGACAGTGTTGCGGACGACTATACCGACGGCGCTGCCCGACGGGTTCCTCGAGTCGGCGTTCCGCCTGCTCGCCCTCGTGGTGCGGCACTGGCGTACCGCACCGGGAGGGATAGAGGTAGCTGCCTGGGAACAACTGTGGCGGTTCGCTGTGGCTGCCGTGAGCTCTGAGAAGGGTAAAGGCCGTGAGGTCGGCCAGGAGGTCAACCTCCAGGCCATTTCGCTGCTGTCCGCGTTGCTGGAACCACACAGCGCTCACGGGATCGTACACCCTACACCTGCGATGCGCAAGGCCGTGACGGGACCCAAAGCGCCTCTCACGCCTACCCTCTTCCAAACGGTTACGCTCGCGCTCGACTGTGCAACCCCTCTCCTCCCCCACCCTACGCTGCAACGCGCAGCGGTCCGCCTCCTCGGCACCCTCATCACGTACCTTGCCGGCCAGTCCGAGCTCCTTGCCTCCGTCCTCCCCGGTATCGTGAGCGCGTTGACCAAGGCGGTCACGGGGCAGGGCAAGAACCTCCGAGGAGACATTGCAGCTGATATGGCGGGGTCTGTCAAGGACGTCATTGTCGAGACGCTCGACGACGACGAGCTGAGGCGGCTCAAGGTCCTGCGACCTGCATTCAACGACCTGTCCGACCTTGCAGATGTATGGGAACCGCCGCTTGATGCTGATTCACCACCGCCACCGAGCCCTACAGCATCACAAGTGTCGACAGCTACCTCTCCCAGTCCCTTTCCCCCGCTGTCGGCGTCGTACCTGGCGTACACCGCGGCTCAGCTGCAGACCGCGATCCCACCAATGCTCTCGACACTCACAGCACACACGTCCCACCTTGCTCGCATCGCTGCAGCAGACCTGTCACAGACCTTGATCAAGCACTGCCACGAGGCCCTCCCCCGTCTTTCTCCGCCAGCACTGTCGACTCTGCTCCTCCTCTCCAACGACGAGTTTGATCCGGTTCGCATCGACGCCATGGGGCGGTTGAAGAACCTCATGGACGACGGCTCTCTGCAGGGCCTCGACACTGCTCTAGTGGACCTGCTCAGCGGTGCTGTCAATTCGCTTCCGCGGTTGATTCGCTCGCAACAGGACATCCGCGTCGACGAGGTGGCACGGCTGGTCACGGCCATTGCCAAGGCCACAAAAGCCACAGGCGACGCACGGCCCAATGCCATTGCCGCCTTCCTCGGACCTGCAGGTATGGTGGAGCGATGGGGATGGTCCCTGCTCGACTGCCTCGAGTTTGGCCGGCCGCGTGGATGGAGTTCGACTGCCAACACGGCCCAGCGCACTGCCGAGCTTGGCTGGGGCCGGGGTCTGGTCACCTCGAGCCTGCCGCTGCTCATCGAGTCGTCATCGGGGGACGCAAGCGAGCCGCTGCCGCCTGACGCCAAGTTTCCCCACCTCTCCCTCCGGCATGTCGAGACGGAACGCACTGTGCGGGACCTGGCAGCCATGCTCGAGTCCCTCGGCGCAGCCGGCGGCGAAGCGGCTGTCCACTCTGTCGACTACTTTATCCGTTTTGCCAAGACGCACCGCACGCGCGACCCAGCCAAGGCAACCTCGGCAGTGTGGGTCTCAGAGCTGCTCCTCAAGGGTGTCGCTGCCGCACACGAGGGCGGGCATGCACCAAAGGCTGTGCGCAAGATGGCCCGAGAAGTCGCTCGCGTCCTTGTGTCGATGGACGACGAAGATGACGAAGACGACGAGTGGGAGGGCGAGCCCGAGCCCACCGAGTCGGATACGCTCATGCCTGTGGAGCGAACAAAGGGTCTGGACCAGCTCACGACCCTCCTCGATCGCAACCCGTTGCCAAACTCGTCTGCCAAGGCTGAGACCCGGCGCCTGCATGCGCGGGCTCAGCGTGTCATGCTCAGCGCAGTGTCGCTTACCGCGCTCTCGTCGTGTGCCCATATTCTCGGCACGGGGTTCCGCCCGCTCCTCCTTCACGCACTCTACGTCGTCCTCGCCCACCTCTCGTCTCCGCACGACCTCGTGAGGCAGTTTGCAGAGGTTGCGCTGGTCCGCATCGCCTACGACACGGGATACGCCTCGGCCCAAAACCTCGTTCTCGACAACGTCGACTATGTTGTCAACGTCGTCTCCCAGCGGCTCACGTATCACCGGCTCAGCGCGCATGCGCCGCTCGTTCTGATCGCCATGATCCGGCTTGTCGGCGCACCCATTGTGCCGCTCGTCCACGACGTGGTGGATGAGATCTTTGACGCCCTCGACGACTTTCACGGATACGCCGCGCTCGCATCTGCCCTCTTGGCAGTTTTGACAACGCTCATCGACGCCATGGCTACCGATGTCGCTGCCACGGGCCCCACACCGGAACGCGAGGCGGAGCGTAACCAGGCGCGCCGCTTCCTCAACCCGCCCGACCCCACGGCAGACTTTGCCCGCTTCCAGTCGTGGTATGCTGAGCGCTCGACACGGGCGCAGGGCGAGATGAACACACTTCTCGAGCAGGCCCCCAGACGAGCTTGGGGTAAGCAGAAGACGGATGGCGAGGGGGATACTGAGATGGAGGAGGGAGAAGGGGATGAGCACCCACCGCGCCCGGCCAACGCGGACCCCGACGAGCCGCCACCCCCGACACGTACGCAGGAGGTCGCCACGCAGATTCTCGAAAAGGCGACATACTACCTCTCGCACGCCTCGCCGTTCCTCCGTGCGCGGGTTCTGTCGCTGATCGCACATGCCATCCCCGTCCTCGCCCAGGGTGGGAGGGAAGGCGACCTCCTCCCACTCATCAACAAGGCGTGGCCCTCGATCCTCGACCGCCTCGACGACCCACTCCCCTACGTTGCCGTCGAGGCTGCCGAGGTCGTCGCGTCCTTGTCCGAGTATGTGGGCGACTACGTCTCGAAGCGTATCACCGACGACGCGTGGCCCCGGCTGCGCAGGCTCCTCCGTGCCCAGTCCGAAGTGGACAAGCGGTCCGCCCTCGCGCGTCGTGGTGCGGTGGGCACGACTTCCGAACACACCGTCTCGCATCGTCTGTATGTCGCGCTCTTGCGCACTGCAACATTCATCGCCAGCGACGTGCCGGTCAAGGACTCTGTGCTGTGGGACATGATGCTCGCGTTCCGGCCGCTGCTGGACCGCCGCGCCCACGGCGACTTGCAAAAGCACGCCAGGGTGCTGTATACCGCGCTCGCAACGCGCGACGGGGACGCGCTCTGGGTCGCGCTTCACGCCACCATGGGGACGCTCGAAGGCGACCATGGCGTGTGGGACTATCTCCACGACACCGCGCTGGACATCACTGCCAACGCCACTGCCGTGCTCGCGGACGCCTAGCCTTAGAGTATCTATACATAGAGATTTACATGTTGCCTCTCGCTGACTCTACTGCACCTCTTGCCCCGGCATATGCAGTTGTCTGAGAATGACGCCCCCTTCCTCGAGCACCTTTGCGCTCTCCGTGTCCATGCTGTAGCTCTGGTTATACACGACCTCGCGCACGCCACACTGGACAATCTTGACTGAGCACAGCAGGCAGGGGCACGTGTTGCAGTACAGCACTGCGTCGGCGCCGATGCGCTCCCTGCCCGCTTCGAGGAGCGCATTCTCCTCGGCGTGCAGGCACAGGCAGTTGGACAGGCCCTCGCCGCCCTTTGCCGGGCCATTGCAGCGCGGGCACCCGCCGTGGTTGCAGTTTGTCGTGCCGCGCGGCGTGCCGTTGTATCCCGTCGACAGGATGCGTTTCGAGCGCACGAGCACGGCGCCCACGCGCCGCTTCATGCAGTTGGAGCGGTGCGACGCGAGCGACGCGAGCGTCTGCACCGGCGTCAGCGTCAGCGCCGAGTCCACGGGGGGACATTGGTTCAAACATACCATAAAGTACAGGTCCCATCCGGGCCGCAGCCGCTCCTCATCGAGCAGGTCGAGCGCGTCGAGGTGCGCCGACAGCGCGTCCACCGTCGCGAAGCGGTTGCACACCGTCACGTGCGCGGCGGCGAGGACGCGCGCGAGGTCCGTGGGCGGGCCCGTGGCTGCTGGTGCCGGCGCTGGTGCCGGCGCGTCCGCCGCGCCCGTACCGTACATGAGCGCGTCGTGCTGCTCGACAAAGGCCTCGAGCTTGAGGGGTCTGGGCAGCGTGTCAGCTCGGAGAGACGGAAGGGACACTTCGGAGCTGGGCGATAATAACACCTGGAAGCGAGCACAGACTAGACTGTTCGTTCCAGTAGCCACCACTCACCCGTTTGCGCGCGCCGCCTCGCGCAGGTATCGCGAGCGCAACGGGGCGTCGACGGCCACGAGCAGGAAGAAGGGCCGCTTCAAGAACGGCTCGACCTCGGCGTACGTCTGCAGCGAGGTGGTCACATAGTGCGTGCGCCAGTTGCGCGTGACGTGCTCGAGGAGGGTGTCGGCGTCGGTAAACACGGCGGTGTCGTGCTCGTGCGAAGACGAGGAAGGAGACCGTGTCGTCGCTGTGCCGTTGCCGTTGGGAGCCGAGACAGCGTTGGGAGCGTTGGGCCCAGCGTCGGCGTTCAAGGTGAGGGCTTGGAACCCATATTTCGCGACGAGGTAGTCGAGCACAGTGTGCTTTCCCGCCGAGGGTGTACCCACGAGCGCGATGATCATGGCCGGGGAAGAGAATGGACGAGTGATGGACAAGTTGAGATCAATAGCGGCGACGCGTTCATGTTCAGTCGTCGTCGCGTCATAATCTTGCGGTGCCTGAGGTTAGGCATAAGAACCCCCAAGATGTACCGAGGGACCAGGTGTGCAACATTTAGTGGCACTGGCCATGCTGTGGTCTCCGTCATTGTCCCATTCCAAAACACTGGAAACTGTTATCTCGCTTTCCTGGTCCCTCAATGCTGCTGCTGCCGGGTAACAAAATAACCACACCCACGCCAGAGTGGCGCTTTCCTCCCAGATGGCAATTATATCTACCAACCACACATACCGTTCTCACTTGATCGTATGACCCCTAGACCCATTCAATACACACTATAAACCATGCATATGCCCAGTACTAGATGCTATCTGCACTCGCCTCTCTCTCTCTCTCTCTCTCTCGCTCTCGCTCTCTACACACGTCCTGCCGGCACGAATTATTTTGTCGCTGTCACCATCACGCCCTCCTTAAACCATAATCACACCCCTCTCGACACGCGAGCCCACGTTCTGAATGGAGTCTCCATCGGGCGGCGGTCCGCGGATAAACACCTTGCCCTCGCTGTCCATGTACGAGTTCTTGGTGGTCGACTCGACGCCTGCGTCGGCGTTGGCCGCCACCTCGGCCGCGGCGAGACCAAAGGGGTCCTCGGGGATCCAGATGATGGGCTGCGGGTCCTTGGTGGCCGGGTGGAAGAAGGCGTTGGGGTCGTCGCCGTCATCCACGTCGTCGGTGTACACGCCCGGCCCACCGGGACGGGCAAAGTAGCCGGCGTTGTCGTCGTCGCCGGCGCCGGCGCCGCCGTCAAAGTCGCTGCTGCTGTCGCTGCTCTGCGCCTTGCCCAACTCGGCGAGCTCGTGGTCCTCCTTGCCCGAGGAAACGTACTTGCCGCCGCCGACACTGTGCGAGGTTGAGGCTGAGCGGTAGTGCGAGGACGACGAACGGTGGTGCTCCCACTTTTCCTTGAGGCGCCACTGCTCCTGCACTTCGTCCCAGTGCATCTCGTCCCACGTGTTGGCCTCTGCGTCCTCTGTGGGGTTCTTGAAGGGGCTAGAGACGGGCGGCGAGGTGATGACCGAGGGCTTTTCAACAGGCGTAGACGACGTAGTGTGCGAGGTGGGGTCCTCCTCGTCCTCGTCCTCACCCTCCTCCTCGGCGTTGCCGTCACCAATGCTGTCCCTGTGGCCGTCATTGTGGGGCATGCCGTACGAGAGGTGCGCAAGGGAGATGGGCAGCGAGTTGATGAGAGGGCCGTACGCATTCTTGATCATGAGCTGGACGGCGACGGTGCCGACGATGAGGATGATGGTCATGATGGCCTGGCCGAGGCAGCTCTTCAAGAAGAAGAGCGCACACAGGCAGAGCTCTTGCAAGTAGAGGCCAACAAAGATGTGGGTCACGGCCTTGGGGAAGAAGAGACCACCCGTGTCGGTCGCGGGCGGCTGGTCGTCGACCCAGATGTAGATGTACTTGTAGATCAAGTACGACATGAGACAGAACGCGGAACCGACACCGTTGATAATGGGCGAAATAACCATGTACGCGATCACTGGGACGATGAGCTTTTACACTTCCCGATGTGGCGCAGCACACAACTCACTGATAACGGCGTAAATGGTAAAACCGGGGAAATCGGTACCCCAGCTTGGCGTGCCCATCTGGTAACGAGACGAGAAAATCTTGCGAGGGGTACCACCGCCCAGAATGACCTTGACATAGTACATCAGGACAGTGACGGGCATCAGGAGGTTTCCCATAGTGCCCGTAAACTGTGTCATGATGAGAGTGAGGAAGAATGTGGACGCCTTGGGGAGCTGCTGAGCCAGAGTGGTCGCAATGGCCGTTGTGTTGTTTGCAAACGTGCCCAGAGACGCGATGAGGCCAGACGAGAGCGTGATCAGGATGAACGAGTGCACGACAAGGAAGAGGACTGAGATGTGTTAGTGTTGAGGCTCTTATATCCTAGGTTTTAGACGATAAACTTACAGTAACGCGACATGACGTCCAGTTCCACCTCAGTCTTGCTCACCGTGCCCTGGAAGGCTGACAGGTGACGGAAGATGATGGGCAGCAGCATCATGAGCAGGGCAAGAAGCACTGGGGGCAAGATACCCGAGATGACTCCCTGCAGCAGCTTCTTGCCAAACGAGTCGCCCAGAATCCAGCGAAGCCAGTGGAACGTGTCGGTGAGGCCAGTAACACTTGACAAGGATCCAATGAAGGTGACAGGGATAGCCCAGAACACTGATGGTCAGCTCTTAGTCACCACGGCGCAGCTGCCAAACGACGCAACACCGATTATCGCTTGCTGCTTTCGTTCAACTTACGAATCATTCCACCGGTAATGCCGTACGAAATGGCCATGCGAACATTGCGCTCGTACTGGGTGCGGATACCCAGACTACTCCAGATAACGTTCGGGGGAGCCTGTTCGATGTAGCGGTTGTTCATCATGTAAGGTTGGTTGTAGGTGAGACACTGGCGGGCCATGTGCGCTGCGATTTGCTGGTTGAAGAGGATAAACGCAGACGACAGGGGGCGGTACGTGTCCTTTTTGTCTTGGTTGTTGGACGCAATGTCCTCTGCCATTGTCTCGCGCTCAGCATCGAGCAGACGGGTGGTTTCAGCAATCTCCTGACGGCACCAGTCGATAGTGTCGACCTTTTGACCAATGCCGAGGAAGCCGAGCCCGATGGGCGAGTGCTTGGCCTTGAGACGCATGGTGGGACGCATGCTGCGGGGAACAAGCTCGTCGGCGCGAGACTGCGGTTCACCAGTCTCAACGGGGTTGGCCTTGCCGAGGAGGTGCTCGGGGATAGGCCTGCCCTTCTTCTCGAGCTTGGCAATCTGCTTCTCCCTGTCGGCGCGGAACTTGTGGGCCTTTTGGAGCAACGCAACCTCGGCATTCTCGAGCTTGCTGCAAGCACTCATACGGCGTTCCCACAACGAAGGCATGTCCTTGAGGTCACTGGAACGTTAGCGGAGGACCGCTTCAAGGATTTGCACGTACCGAGAAAGCCAGACACGCTTGACGCCGCCGGGAAGGTGGGAGAAGAGCTTGGTGAGCTCGCCTTCGTCCATGTAGTGTTTCGGGATACCAGTGACGAGCACCGTGCTGGCCTGAGCGAGTCGAGAGTGCTTGGGAGACACGAGATGGCGTTGACGGACCACGACCCAGATGCCCATCTCGCGCCAGACGAGCCAGAGCAGCCAGCCGTTGAACACCCAGGAGAGGATGCAGTGTGCCCAGTAGCGGTTCTTGTCGACGACGCTGCCAAACGTGAACATGTCGAGGCCGCTTTGCGCACCTTGGCTAGTTGTGGCCAGCGCACCCGCCCTGTTGATGGGCATGAGGATCACCCATGAGAGGAACCAGATGGGGACAAAGGCGGTACAGAGCATGCGAATGAACCTGACGAACACATAGGGGTCGACACCGTTCTTGCGCAGAATCTCCTCCTCATCGGCTATTTTTGTTAGCTGCTGGCTGGTGTGTCGTGGTGGGTTTGAATGAAACCCCGATACCCTTCCGACCCAAGTCAAAAGGGACGTGACTCACCCATAATGATGCGCCAAATCGGCTTGATCAAGTTGGCACCCAACGGCCGGGCCTGCTCATCGTGAGGGGGAATGTATGTACGCGGCTCATAGCTGTGGGTCAAAAAGGTCAGCGACAGTGTCCACCCAAACGTGTCGCCCCAATGTTGTTGTCTTGTTGTCTGGAGGGGGTGGGTTTTTTTTTTCTCTCCTCTTCATCCGAGACAAGACGCGTCACTCACACAGCACGGACAAGACGACGGACGAGGATCCACGCGAGGAATTCTATACCAGCAATGGCACCGTTGGTAGCCAGGGAGGTCAGAAAGGTCGAGGTGGTGGCCGACGCGATGCTGTCGACATTGCTCGAGTTGTCGTTGCCCAGCAAGTCGCGGGGTTGGAACATGGTGGTGGTGGGCGGGGGGGCCGTGCGGGCGCCGGTGGGGTGTGGGAGGTGTGCTCAGTCTCGGGCCAGCTCTCGTGTATGGAGCAAGCTCTGTGGCTAGAAAGTTGGAGAGAGTGTGTGTGTGTGTGTGAAAGGGAGAGACGGCTCTGAAGCAGGAAAGTGAGAGTCGTGAAGAGTCGTGTTGCAGAGTAGTGATGGGCGGCGGGTGGTGGGGGAGCAGCGGGAGTGATAGCTCGTGCGGCCCAAAAGGATCCATGCGACGACGACGACGAGACGGGCACCAGGGGGGCGGCAACATGCACGCGCTCTCTCTTCCCCTTTGGCTCCCCGTGCGCGCTTGGTCGCTTCGACGCCCACCTTTTGGGCCACACCTTTCCGTTTCCTGACGTCAGAACGTCAGAACGTCAGAACAGTGCGGCTCGCGCTGGTGCCTCCAGGTGCACACCAGGTGGCCAGGTGGAGCGGGGCAAACGGCGGTAAGGCGCGCGCGCAGCACAGACGACCTGGACGACGACAAGGTTAGACATCTTCTGACCCTGGCTGGGCAACCATCACCTTTTGGCCTTTGGAGGCCGTGTCCTGGCTGTGGAAGGCGTTTTTAAGGTATGGCAGACACGGCAAATCTCCCCCCGTTTCGAAGTGCAACAACCAGCACCGGCCGGCAGGTCTCGTCGGTCGGCGCCGGCGACGACGATGGCGTAGGCAACCAGCGTTCCATCAATGGCCGTCGGCTTTGGGCTGTGCTTTGGAGACCACGCTGACGTTTTTGCACGGCTCCCATCGCGATAATACATTATCATCCTCTGTCATCTGTGTTTCACTCCTTGTTCCTCTCACCCTCCTCTCGCCCGCTCCACCCCGCACACACCGCTCCACATGTCCACGACGGACGAGGACTCGTCCCTCGTCACACCCCCGTCATCAGCACGCCAAGACGTCCACCTCGTCCTCCTCCTTCACGGTCTCTACGGCGCCCCAGCAAACTTATGGTGTCTGGAAGAGGAAGTCGCCGCCGCCGGTGCCCGTGCCCGTGAGACGGCTGCTGGTGCTGGTGCTGCTGCCGCTGCCGACTCGGCGCCGGCGTCGCACCACTTGTCCGCCGCCCCGACCCAATCGGGGGCTAAAGGCGTCGACGACCCAGCTGCGGACAGGGGTTTGCAAATAGCCGTCCTCAACGCCAGGAGCTACGAGCATGCAAGAACCTGGGATGGCATCGACGTCAACGCACACCGCGTGGGCGAAGAGGTGAGTGACCACATGGGAGGGAGGAGGGAGGGGGGTCTGCCGACGTTTCCACCGACGATGAAGGACTAGAGAGCAATCGACTCTCTGGCACGTTATCGAGCAGTCATGTATCAACGGGACCCAGCTGACACCTGTGGGCATAGCTCGACGCTGAGATCACCCGACTGGCAGAAGAGGAAGGGAAGCGCGTGGTGGCTATTAGCATCGTGAGTGTCCTAACGGACGGTGAAGGAGCGGCGTAGGGCGGCGTGCTTGGCGGGTGGTGTGGTGCTATTTCACGCGCGCCCCGCGCCCCGCACAATGCCCCACCGCGTCCTCACCAAAACCTGGTTTGGCCCAAGTCTTAACGCCATATACAGACAGGGTACAGCCTGGGAGGACTCATTGCTCGCGCACTCGTGGGCCAGCTGCATGCGCGCACGCCGAGCTTCTTTGACGCGGTTCGCCCAGCAGCGTTTGCGTCAATCGCCACCCCGCACCTCGGCGTGCTGCGGTATGGGTCGTGGCGTTCGACGTGGGTTCACGCCATCGGCCAGCACCTGTTTTCGCGCACGGGCCAGCAACTATATTGCCTCGACACGGAGCGTGGCAGCCCCCTTTTGGCCGTCATGGCCCATCCAGGTGGGTTCTTTATTTGCATGGGTGGAAGGGGAAAAAAGGACGAGGGAGGGTCGAGCTGCTGCGGCGGCGGCGGCCAAATATGCTGCGTACGGCCCTCGTATGTCCCTTGCAAGTGGTGGTATTCCTTGCAGTAAAGTCGACGCTATCTATCCATCCCCCGTGTTGCAGAGTGGCTGACGCTTGGCGTGTAGATCGAGTCTACCTACGTGCACTTGGGCTCTTCCCAAGTGTCACAATCTTCGCCAATGGCGTTAATGACCTGACGGTGCCGTACCCGACGGCGGCGATCGTGGCACACGATCCGTACGTAGACCACGAGAGCACACGTCTGCAAGTGGAGCTCGACGGGCGCGTTGTGCGCAAGCACTATGTCCCCGATACAGACGACGACGAGGTCGAGACCATGGTCGCGCCGACGCCGAGTGGAGCGACCACTCCGGTACCCGTGCCCGGTCTGCGGAGCGAGCGGCCGTTGTTGCCACCAATCTTCTATCTCAACCGCCCGGGCATCATGCGTTATGTGAGTGAGGCCCGAGTCCGCCACCACTTACCAGCCGTCGAGCCGTCGTGGGCACTGACACCGACGGTACCTTCAGGCTCTGTTCCCGCTTCTCCCTGTGATCATCCCGATGATCTTAAGCTTAGTGTAAGTCTACTTTTTTTTTACCTTTAATGCTTGCTTGCCGGCACCATCACCGCCACTGCGCCGCAGCTAACCCCCGGCGCCAGGGCATTGACGTTTGCGTATCACTCGTTCAAGTCGACACAGCGTATTCGTCTGCACCACACGACGGCGAAACGCTCCCTGCTTTGGGACGTCGACGTCGACGGCGAGGGCGAGCCCAGCGATTACGGGTCCACTGGCCAGACCACGCGCAACGACACACCCGTTGAGACCCCCGTCGAGACCCCCGTCGAGACGCCTATCGGTAGCCCAGGCGCCACGCGGCCCGGCACCCCCGGCCCAGCAGTGCGGACAATGGCCCCAGCGCAAGCAGCCGTGGTGGCGGCCGGTACAGACACGGACAAGGACACGGACGCGGACGGCGTAGACGGCGGCGACGACGACGGCACAGCCACCCCGTCAGCCCCGACGAGCATGGGCCAGTACACCCAGCCGCTCCTCACGCCCCTCCAGCACAGCATGATCGAGCACCTGTCCTCTGTCCCGCAGCTCGAGCGCGTCGTCGCATGGTTCCCCAGCGCGTTCAACGCCCACGCCGTGATCATTGCGCGTAATGCCAAGGTGGCAAAGTGGGCGTGGCAAGGCGAGGGCCGCGAGGTCGTGCGTGTGTGGGCGAGCAAGGTCGTGGAGGCTGGCGCAGGGCCATTATAGAGGAGACCGGGGGGGGGTACGTGTCGCTTTGATGTCATAGAGTTTACAGCCTGCTGCATGTTTTACACACTGGTATACACCGGAGGGGCACAGGTCCATTGAGACAGACGCACCCCAATCCGCATTGGTGGGACACGCGAGAACCAGTCCTTCTGTGAGCGTGTGTTGTGCAAGGGCGCTGTGTACAAGACACCCGCCAGTTGCTTCCCAAGTATGGCTGAGCAGGCGCGACTCCGGCGGCGAGCATCATATCCGCCATGGTCCCACCCAAAATTAAAATAAAATAAAACGACAAAAAACAATCAGCTACTGCGGCCCAACGGGATCCTGTGAGTGAGAGAGACCATGCAAAACAGGTCCTGCACTCCTCCCGCCAGGCAGAAATGTATGCTTGGATGCTTGCATGGTATGTCTGGTATGGCTATGGGTGTTTTATGGGGGTAGATCTTTTGTAGGTGTTTTGGCCCCCTTGCGGGGCCAGGAAATGAGCGCGTGCCCAGGAAAGAGAGGCAGGCAGGAGGGGTCTAGCAAGATGAAATATATCTCTGCTCTGCCTCTGCTCTAGGCGCGCCGGCCGCCCGGTGAGTTGAGACAACTCTCGAGCTCTCTCTCTCCTTAAGCCCTCCTCAACAGGCAGTACTCGCCGTAGACGCGGCCGCTGTCTCCAATGTTCCAGGGCAGCCAGACGAGGCGGGCCCACCACTTGGACGACGCGGCGTCGAGGAACGTGGTGCAGAACTCCTTCTCCCACTTGGGCGAGTGGACGTAGTCGGGCTGCAGGGCCGTGGGCTCCTGCGAGGGGAGGTGCAGCGCGACGAGGTAGTTGCACTGGTCGACCGGGACGTAGGTTCCCGGCTCGGCCGAGGCCTTGTTCTCGCCGTTGAAGCGGCCAGGGTGGACCACGCGGGTCTCGGTACGAGGCCACCAGCCGTCGGCCTCGGACTGCTCCCACTGGCGAGGCATCATGCCGTCAAACTCGCTGCGGATCCACTGGATGTCGATACCCTGCTCGATGAGGTACGAGCCGGGGAAACGGTGCCACTCGGAGCCGTAGCAGAGGGTGATGGGGGGGTCGAGCTCCAGGAGGGGAGTGAGGTCCCACTCGGGCTCGACCTCCTCGTCCTCCCTCGGCCTAAAGTCGGGAGGGAAGGGGATGGGCGAGTAGCCGAGACCGGCGAGGATGGAGGGGATGGTGCGGTACTCAAAGTGCAGGGCCAGGTCAAAGGGCGCGTGGTAGAACGAGAACATGCCAATGATGCGGAGAACCGACAGGATCGAGGGCACAAGGATGGCAGCAAACGAAACGTACGAGAAGAACGAGGTGCGGCTGGCGCGGTAGGGCGACTTTGTAATCTTGATGAACGCAGTCTCAAGCCAGCCCTTGACGAGGTAGACGGTGACGGCCGAGTTGAAGCACAGGAATCCGTAAGCGGGGAACATGAAGCGCTCCTCCTTGTGGGGCTGGGCGGTCAGGATGCCGAGCCAGATGTAGAATGGCGCAAGGCGGGTAGCGAGGAGGACATAGGGGCTCGACTCGCCGACCTTGGGCTTCATCTGGGTCTTGCCAAGACGACGGAAGTCAAACTGGTAGGTGATCGCCAGGGCCGGGAGCGACGCAACAGCAAACAGCGAAAGGAAGTTGAAGTTGAGGAAGAGGTTGGCGAGGTAGTAGGTCGACGGCTCGGTACCGTACAGCTCGGGTCCGTTACCGGAGAACATGTTGTAAAGAACAATGTTGAGGGTGGGGAAGACACGCTCGCCGTACGCCCACGAGTCGACGGCAATGACGGGGATCTAGGCAAACTGTCAGTGCTCTGAAGAGATGGCTGGAACATGACGTGTGGCACCACATTTGGCGGCGCTATCATCCTGTTGCCCAAGAGCGCCACCAAAACGACCGTGCAAGTGACTCACCGCAAGGCACGCTGACGCCAGGATCGCCTTGACGAGTGTGTTCATCCGACGCACACGCCACGACGAACGGGCAGCAGGCTCGACAATCTCACCGCCAGAGCAGAGGAGCTGCTCAAAGATGATGGGGATGCCGAGGGCAGCAGCAAAGGGCCAGCCGACAATGGCGCCCAGAGCAGTAAAGAAGACGGCCATGTAGACACGCTTCTTGCCGGTAGCGGTCGAAGTGGCCGGGTGGAACCAGTACGACGCCGCGAGCATGCTCGTGTACATTGTAAACGACGAAGGAAGGAAGGCTAAGGCAAGTTAGCGCAAGCTGATACGTCGGGTTAGGCGCAGCTTACCAACGCTAGCGCTCCACATGCCAGCGCTGAGGAGCATCGAGAAGAGAACGTAGCGACCGACACGCTCGTTTACAGCGACGGCAACGGCGCGGAAGAACGAGGCCTCGGCAAACGACGAAATGGCACCGAGACAGATACGAAGGGCGAAGAACTGCTGGCGCTTGCCGAGGCGGAGGGCCTTGGGGCCGAGGTGCGCGAGCGGCCAGTGGAGGAGGATGTAAGCCCACGACCGGACCGCGAACTGCGGCGACTGCTCCCATGTCTGGAACCCGCTGTTGTGCTGGAAGTAGTGCAGAGGCTCCCAGAAGTTGAACACTGAAATCGAACAAGGAGAGAAAGGAAAAAAAAAAGTCGTCAGACACGATGGTGGGGACATGCGGGTTATATATAAACTCACCCTCATCACAGTCAGAGATGATCGAGTACATTGCCGCCGCCGTGCGGACGAGCAGCAGCAGGCGGAACGCAAACGACAGCGAAGGCACCATGGGCCCATTCTGCTGCCTTATCGGTCAGCTTGGCACTTTGCGGTTTTCCGAGATCGTCGATGCCAAGGCCGCCGTGCGGGGCGCGCAACGATGGCCGCCGGCGGCCGTCATTGATAGAAAGGCTTCGCGTTGTCGTCGCCATCTCCATCTCTCTCCATCTCTCTCTTCCTCTCTTCACTTCACACTCACCTGCCAACCTGGTCCTGGAGAAGGCCCTGGTGTCGCCTCTTCCACCCCTGGGGCGCGAGGGAGCCAAACTCGTCGCGCTTCTCCTCCTTTGGCGCAATTGCGTTGGGGCCCGTGGTCGGGCGCCGGAAGCGGATCGTCTCGGTGCCCGGGAGCGCCATTGCGGTAGCGAGCGGGCTGTGGTCGGGAGGACGGAGAGCTAGAGCCGGCCGGGGGGGCGGGGAGAGTGGAGGGGGGGGGGGGGGTGAAGAGGGGAAGAGAGAGGGGTGGATGAAGAGAGAGAGAGAAAGATATGAACACCGTCCCCCCCCCACCAGCGATGACGGAGCTCGTGCATCTCATTCGCGATCCCAGTTTTCGCCCGGTCAGTCAGCGCCAGGGCGTGACGTCGACCCCCCCAAGGGCGACCACGTGTCGGGCACGTGACCTTGGTTGCACGGCCGCGGCCGCACAGCGCCGTGGTCGGCAGCGGGCCCACGGGCAACACCGCTCGTGTCAAAAGTGGACGCTGAAATGTCCACATCGTCATCTCCCTCAGCACCCAACCATGCGTTTCCTCTGGGGCAGCTCCGACGCAGGACCAAGCAGGCAACAGGACACCGCCGCCGCCGGCGCAGGTGACGCCACCCCGGCCGCGGCTGCAACGACCGCCAGTTCGTCTTCGTGCTCGTCGCCCTCCACTCCTGCTCCCAAGGACAGTGCCGCGGCCAAGACCTCCTCCCCGGCCCCAGAGCCCGCACACCTCCTCTCGCGCTTTGAGCGCACAGTGGCCGACGAGGAGAAGTACCAGGAGCAGCAGTACCAGACCCTCGAAGAGGTGCCCGGCTGCATGCGGTTGTTGTGAGTCGCGCTGCTCAACTCTTGTACACCGCCGCTGACATTTCATTTCCAGCGACGAGTTCCTCATGTGCTACGCGCTCGTCCCCCAGCTGCGCAACATGTACCGCCACGGCGAGCTGCGCGACTGCACGTACAAGTTTGACGACTTCAAGTACTGCATGAGCATGAAGGGCGAGGACAGCGAGGAGCGGCGCAAGCTGTGGATCCGCAGGCGGGCTGAGTGGTGGGCGTCGCGCCGCGTCGGCGCGTCCTCGGAGGACGTGTGGGATGCGCGAACGGAGCCGTTGGACAATTTCCCCCCACTCTATCCCGAGGACCCGACGACGGCGAACATGTAGGCTGTAACGTTTTGTTGTGTGCATTTCATTCTTCATCTCTGCTCTACAACTCCGGAGAGATCTGTCTCTGTAATTAGGATTTAGACCTGGAGACCGGCCATACGGCCCGGGAGGCCGCCGGCAGGCTTGCCAGTGACGTTCCAGATGACGAGGCGGCCGTCCTTGCCCACAGTGTAGACCTTGGCGACCTCGCCGGTCTGGCTCCACTCGTACGGCTCGACGTCGGTGATCGAATTCTGGTGGACGGTGAGGAGGAGACCGTCGGCGCCAACGGGGGTCATGCCAGCGGCGGCACCCGAGGTGGCCGCAAGGGCAGGCTTGGTCTGACCGCGAGTGTCTGCCTGACGGAAGAGGTTGAAGGCCTCGTTGTTGAGACGGCCGGGACCCGAGACGGAGCGCGTGCCCGTGGCAGTCGGGGTGAGGCCGCGCGAGCCCGACGACGCCGGGTCGTCGAGCGAGTGGCTAAACTCCCAGCCGTTCTGGCCGACCGCGAAGACGGTGGGCTGGCAGTCGTGGCCGGCGGCAATGAGCGACTCCTCGCTCGTAAACGAGAGCGAGAGGTAAGGGAGAGTCGGGGTGCGGACGGTGATGAGGGCCTGGGGAGGGAGGCCGGGCCCAGCGGGGTAAACGAGGTTGACGGCCGAGTCGTGGCTCACAAAGCCGAGAATGTTGCCCGAGGGGGTAAACGCAACGTCGTGCACCCAGCCGCCGTTGGGAGCCTTGAACTCGCCACAGATGGTGTTGAAGGGGAGACGGTCACCCCAGACAGTGGGCTCGGGCTTGGCGTCAATGCCCTTGATAAAGGCCGAGAAGACAAACGCCTTGGCATCCGTGGTACCAGCCGCGAGGAGGACGTTGTTGGGGTGCCAGTCGATCGAGAGCACAGTCGAGCGAAGCGGCTTCTTGATGTGCTTGGACACCCACCAGTTGTTTTCCTCGTCAAACGAACAAACAGCAATGGCACGGGCACCACTGCCGACAGCAAACTTGTCCTCGTTGGGGCTCCACTTGACGCAAGTGGCCGCGCGGTTGATGCGGAGGAGGACAAGGGCAGGCTTCCACTCGCCAGTGGGCAGCTGCGTCCAGACGTACGCGTTACGGTCCTGCGAGCAAGTGACAATGCGGTTGGTGTTCGGCGCCCACGAGATGGCAGTGATGAGCTTGTCGTGCTGCTGGTTAGTGACTGCCTATGCGTAGACTAACCCACCTCTGTGAGCGTGGTCTGGAGATCCCACTCCTGTGCCCCACGGCTGTAGATCTGGGCCGCGTTGTTGTTGGGCGAGACAGCAAGCTCTGTCTTGTCAGCTACAGAACCTGAATAGGTGACGCACGGGTGCGGTCCGGGCCAAAGGCGACGCCGGTGAGGGGGCCGAGGGAGAGCTGGAAGACTTCGGGGGCGGACATGGTGAGAGGAGGATGTAGGGCAGAGGACTAGCAGTCTACTCTGATGGTCGTTGGAGAGAGGAGAGATGGATAGATGTGCAGGATGGGATGAATGCAGACACGAGAGAGTGACCGCACAGCACACACCGCCAGCAGGGTACGTCACCAACTACTCGCGCCTATTTTGAGGAGTAGCGTTTAGGCATGCAAGATGTGTCATCAGCCTACCGCAGTTAGGTGCGCCCCATTCGCCCTCCACCACCAGTGGCGCGCGGGGGTCGGCAAGATCGTTGAGGTCTGTTGATCTTGTTGCACACCGTCTGTTGGATTCAACGACGAGGACATTTGCATGTATGCGGCGAGTTTGTTGGTACAAAAAGGTCACACATCATAACCTGCAGAATGGCAGTTATCGCAGCAGGAAGCCTTTTCGAGCGTGCGGGTGGGTGGCGGCCGGGCCACTGAACGACCGGCCCGCCGCCTCACCAGACTCTAATTCTAGCCTCACTTTCATAACAACATCTTCGTCATCTCCTCTCATCTCTCTTGACATCATCGTCACCTCACCTTCCTCGACGACAAACGTGACGCGCCGCCGGCAGCGCGCGTCGCGTCCCCTACAATGTCGTCCTCCAGTACATCGACCCCACGATCACAAGCTTCAACGCACTGCAGTGACGATGCATACAGCAAAGAGCGAACACCGACCACCCCGCTGGGAATCGCTCGCACCGTTTCCGGTATTTCGAACGCTTCAACATCCACATCCGGGGGACCGAGCTCTGTTCAATGGCTTCCAGCTGCCGGAGAGGCCGTCACCGGAGACGTAGAAGGCAAGACTGGTCGAGGACGGCTGGCCTCTGCTGACCAAGAGGCTGAGCGCGAGCTCTCGTCATGTAAGTGGGAGGGAAGCAATTATTGGCGTGACGGGTCTGACGGGACGCAGTGTATGTGACAGCCGAGCGGGCAGCACTTGACCACCGAGCTTTGGCTACCGATGAGGAAGAGCAGGAGGAGGAGGGGGACGATGCCGACGATGCGGAGGCTCCACGTCAAGGATGGGGAGGGGCGCTGGTGAACGGCGCCGTCAACGCGGCCGTGTTCAGTGCGGCAGTAGGACTGTGAGCTTTCATGACGGAATTGAGCTGACATTTGCAGCACGGCATACCGCCTGTGGTCTGGCGGCTGGGGAGCGGACAAGGAGGGGACCGTCGGCGAGAACGACGCAGATCTCCCGCCAGCATACGACACCGTAACCCAGCTGAGTCCAACGACGCCGCGAGCGAACCGTGGCGAGCTGCACGGCCGTGCAAGCCCCCATGCGAGCAGTCACAGTTTCCGCTCCTCCCCGCCAAGTACTGTGGGTACTGCGTCGTCTCCGTCATTGAGAAGGGCCCGTAAGAAACGCACCCAGCGGCCAAGCATAGCGGCGCTTATCGCAGTGGCGGGCCGCGCTCAACATCCGCAACAAGGTGCAGCTCCGCCATCGCCCGTGGCATCTGTCAAGACGATTGTCGCCCCTGTTTCCGAAGTCGTTGCTGAGAGACAAGAACCAGAAGCAGAAGCAGACCAAGGGCCAGCACAGGTCGTGTCTGCAGAGACAGACTCGGAGTCTGACGGCGAGATGAACGCTCGTTTGGACGAGATGTCGCGGCGACTGCAAGGACTCGTTACCGAAGCCCAACGTGCACTCTCTGCCAAGCCCAGCGTGTCAAGATCGCCGTCGCCCGAACAGCCCTTCTCATGGACGTTTACTGGCGACGACGGAAGCGTCCAGGCCGATGCCCTCAGTGAGGGTGCGCCAAAGGAGCGAACGTTGGAACCGATTGGGGACGAGGTCGACAGCGTCGCTAGCCTGCGGCCCGAATCGAGTATGTCTGGTGCAAGCAGCACTGGCACAGCTGGTACCTTTGGCAGCCGTGTTAGTCTGCCTACAACCTTTGCAGGTATCGCTTCTCCAACGTTTGGCACCTTTGGCCTCGACTCAACCACTCCTCCCACCGACGAGCCTAGCTCAGCCGCGTCTACCCCACGCAAAGCCGAGTCAACCCGCCGCTCAGCGACGTCCACGATCCCCGTCCCCGTTCGTGGGCGAGCTCCGACTCCGTTTCAGGTGCCTCCGGGACAAAGTGTCCCCGGTGCCAGGGGCCCGCCTCCACGAGCCCGCACAAACTCGACGGCGTCGCAGACTTCACAACGGAGTACCACGAGCAGTACCACACCCTCGGGCAGCTACCGCGGCCTCCCGCCCCTGCCATGGCGGCGTGATCCCAGCGGCGAGGTCAAGTGGGTCCAACGGCCACTCTCGCCAGCAGCCAAGGCCGAGCAGGCATTGAAAGACGCCGAGGCAGCACGCATCTCGGCATCCTCAACGCCGGCTCCACTCTTCACATCCTCCATCCCCACAGCCAAGGGTTCGCCACAGAAACAGCTCAAACCCAAACCACCCTTGCGGGTCACGACGCCGCCTCTCCGCACACCGATGGCGGTCCTCTCCCCACCGCCCAGGACTCCCACTACACCCAACAGCCCGCGCACGACGCCAGGTACACCACGTACACCGGGCGCGGGAGGCAGCAATCCCAGCAGCATGAACGGCACAGCTAGCTCCACGCCGAACCGCTCGCGAATCCCGCGCTTCACTGCTGGTCACTCACGCGCGTCGTCGCTGGCCAACGGTGTCGACCTCGCCAATGGACTCCACGGGCGCGACTCACCGCGCAGCCCTGGACCCGCGACCCCGGGCTCTGGTTCGACAAGTGTCGGGCGGGCAATGGGCCATCGCCGCCCCGCGTCCGTCTCGGCGTCTACGTCTGCGTCTACGTCCGGTCGCCCCCAGACACCCGTGTCGGTTGGGCGGGCGTCGGCTGGCGCACTGGCGGCGAGGATGGCGGCGTGGAGCGCCAAAGTAGAGGAGCAAGGGGGTGTAGGACACGAAGCGGCAGGAGGCGTTGGACGAGGAGCAGCAGCAAGTGTGGGTCGCCCCAGAGCCGGTACGAGTGGGAGTGTGACTGGGAGGCCCAACCCCAGTGCGAGGGGTGGGAACGGAGATAACAACATTGGGATTGCGCTGTAGCAGCTCGCGTGATCCCCGCGCGACCTCGCGCGCCACGCTCGTCTCCTTCATTACCGAGGACCAGGTCCCTCTAGGTTGTACAGTTACGACGTCCACGATGCATATAGTAGTGATACATACAGACAGACCTATAAACAGGCCACGGGGCCACCGGGGGGCGGGCGGCAGGAAGGAAGAGGGGGTGTGCCATCAGAGGTCTGCAATGTCAGCGGGTTACCTTTCAAGCGAATGGAGGCTCAACCCACAGTAGTCTGGCTTTTTGACGTTGACGCCGTGCTCTCCGAGCGCGAGCGAGAGGTCGTCCATTGTAAGAACGACGCGGTTGCGGTCCACACCGGCTGCTGGGCGACCGCGTCCCGCCGTCGTGCCGTTGACACGGAGCTTGGCAAAGTGGAAGGCATCGCGCGAGAGGTCCGAGATGAACTTTTGGGCCGAGAGGGAGAGAAGACGTTTCCTAGACGAGGCGTGTCAGTAGACAATACACGGTGAACGGTGATTGATCATTGAGACCACTACTCACAACCTGGGATCAGAGCACTCAAAGCCCGCGCGCTGGAGGTAGTACTCGGTGACCTCCTCTGGGATCTGTTTGAAGCAAGGTCAATAAATCGGACGCAATCGACCTTGGGACTGTAGGTACCTACCAACGGCTTGTATCCGTCCAACATGACAAGGAACTCTGCCAGCGAGCGGTCGCGGCGCGCCATCTCCTCCTCGCGGCGCGCAGCGTAGACGCTGGACATTTCCGCGTCGCCGTCCGCGTCCACGTCGTCGTCCTTTGGCTCCGTCTTGGCGACAGCATCTGCGCTTCCCTCAGCGGCAGCTCCAGCAGGGGCCGCGGCCGATCCGGGCTGCACGGGCGCGGTGGATCCAGCAGCCTGGGGAGCGGGAGCGGTAACCGTGGCCGCCGGAGCTGGAGCTGGAGCTGGAGTTGGGGTGGGAGTCGGGGTGGCGGTGACCGGGGGTGTCGGGGTAGCTACAGGTGCAGTGACGGGTGTGGGAGCGGCCGTAACTGGCATGGGCACCTGGGCGCCGACGGGGGCAGGGGGCTGGGGCTGGGGCGGGGGGTTGAGTGACTGGCGGCGGAGGAGGTTGCTGGACGGCCGCGACGGGAGGAGTGCTCATTGCGACTGGAGGAGTTGGGGCTGGTGGTTGCTGCTGAGCTGGAGCGACGACGGGGGAAGCACCGTTTGGCTGCTGGCCTGTGGCAGTTGGCGTGATTGCCGTGGTGGATGGGCCGTTTGCGGGAGTGGACATTGGGTGGATGGTGGATGATGCAGAAAGCAAGTCGGCAAAGTGAATGTGGACGGACGTGGGATGCAGTAACAAGTGTGGTCGGGTGTTATTAGGAAACAAGGTTGGTCTAATTCAAATCCAAATTGTAATCAATTGACAGCTGTAATTGAAAAGCGTGCCTGCCGGTGCGTCTCCCCCGCGCGGCCGTTGGCCCAAAGCATCCAGCGCGCGCGTTGTGGGTCGTGGACGCCGACGCCTCTTGTCTCTCTCTCTCTCATCCGTCATCCTCCTCTCATCCATCCCTCTCCATCGTTCGCATGCTCCCCTCCCAGTAGCATACACGTCTCCCCCCTCGACAACCCCCCTCGCCCCGCACGCATTCCCAAAGAGAGCCCCTCCCCATTCTTCCCCGCCGGCATCCCCCCCTGCCGACAGGAACCCCCGCCCAAACCCACAAACCGCCCCCTCCCTCCTTCCCCCCCGATTGCGCTTTGCTGGCCCGAGATACCGCCGCTCCCACCACAGGTGCAATCGTCTTGTTGGCATTTTCACAACCACCACCACGTTTTCCATTCGCGCCTCTAGATCTCTAGACTGGCGGTTGCCGCCATGCCGATGACACTCTCGCAGGCGGACCCACCCGGGTCGTCTGTACTCGAGACCAACCCGCATCTCGGGCACTACATCTTCAAGCTCGTGCTGAGCAACGCCGGCCCCAGCGTACTTGCCAACCCCACCGCCGCCCACCGTGCCGCCAGCAGCGGCCAACACCCCCTGTCAGTCTCGTCCTCGGGCGAGAGCGACGAAGAAGACGACCAGGACGACGACGAATCTCCGCCCAGGTCCACCGGCGAGGGCCCCGAAAGCGGAGACGGCACTGACGACGACTCGAAAGCGTCCGCCAATGGCCGCCGCGCGGCCCCTCCTGTCGGCCCGAGTCGCGACGACCGCGAGGAGCTCGTCCGCAAGGTCATCAACCTCCTAGACAATGACGAGGAGGAGGACGTCAAAGACTTGCTCCGCACCCACATGGGCGAGCTTGGCAAGGTGAGTGAAACGACCCCCGCCGCCGCCAGCCAATCCTGGAGCTGATCAATGTAGGATGACCTCCTCATGGACCAAGTCTGTCTCGACTGTATGCACCGACACCGTGGTACGTATCGACAATTCTTTTTTTTTCTCTCCCTCTCTCTTCTATTGCATACCTCCCCGTGCCCCCGCACCCATCCCTTCACACTGCAATGTGGTACTGACACACTACAAAAGACGATGTGAGCGGCATGCCTTACCACGAGGGCAGCTTTACACCCACACGCGGCGCCCGTCGTCCTTTCACGCCCACTGGCGTTGGCACCTTGCGCGTCCGTACGCCTCTCGCACGTCCGCACTCGCCAGCCACTGTCGCCCCGGGATCGGGAACGGTCACGCCCACGACCACCACCTCGTCCAGCAGTCTCTCTCACGGCTTGTCGGCGTTGGCGCTCGGTCGTGTCGAATCGGCGCTGTCCCCGACTCTCGCACCCGGAGCCCCGGCGGCCCCGGCTCCAGCTTCGTCGTCAGGTTACTCGTCGTCAGGCTCACCCGCGTCCTCCCCACGCGTCCTCAATGTCAAGGCCGCAACGTTCAACCCCACGGCTGCAGCAGCTCCTACCTCGCGCCACCCGCACATTTCGGCTATCCAGACGGGCTTTTCGCCCAGCAGTGATCCCTGGCGCGATGCTGACGCCGGCGGTGGTGCTGCTGTCAACCCCCCAGCGCGCGCTGCCTCCCCGTACATGTTCGGAGCCGCAGGGGCTCATGGCATGGTGCGCACGGCCTCGAACCGCGCAATCATTGCGCCAATCATTAGCGACCAGTCTAGCCCGTTCCACTCGCCACTCGGTACGCCGACGCGCTCGCATATGAAGCTCGGCGACTCGTTTGCGTCGCCCACGGCGGCTGTGGCGCGCCCCGCCAGCCGTGGCGTCGTCCCAGACGATGACGACGACGACGAGTTCTCGCCATTCGGCACAGGTTTGCCCAAATTGCATCACCACGAACCATCAGGTCTCAGCACGGCTGCCAGGCCGTTTGAGCCGTTTGGTGCAGGCAGTGGCGGCCACCAGGTACCAGAGTTCTTCCCTTCTTCGTCGGCTTCGTCGGGCGCCACCCAGTCTGACCAGTCGACGTCGTTTGAGTCGCGCGGTTCGCTCGATCCCGAAGATGACCCGACCCAGAATGCGACACTCGGCATGACACCCCTCGACGTCCTGTCCTCTGTCTTCTCCACCGTTCCCCGTCGCGAGCTCGAGGATGCCCTCCACCGTGCTGGCTATGACTTTGAGGCCGCCATGGCCATGCTCGTGGCCCAGTATACGCACCCGCGTTCCGGCGCTTCCACTCCTCAGCGTATCGCTTCGCCCCGCCCCATGATCGGACTCGACGGCCGCGGCGCTGTCCACCATGCCGCGCCTAGCCAGGGCTTTTTTACTCAAGGCGGACGCGGCTTCAACAGTGGACCGCTGAACCCGCAGCTGGGCGGCGGTGTTGGTCCCCGGAGCGTGGGTGGCGGCGGCGGGCCCACTCGCATGTGCCGCTACTTTCTCAACGGCGAGTGTCGCCGTAGCGACTGCAGGTTCAGCCACGACCTTGAGCGCGCGCTCTGTCGTTTCTGGTTGCGCGGACACTGTGCCAAGGGTCCCAACTGCGAGTTCCTCCACAACCTCCCCAACAACCTGGACCAGAGCGCACTCAACACGGCAATGTCCCGTCTCGACGTCGACTCGCCCGCGGCCCACTCTCACCCGGGCACGCCGCCAGTCAGCAGCATGTACGGTGCTGCAGATGACTTCCCCGACCTCCTTGCTGCCCGTCTCAACCGCCATGTCGGCCGCTTTGACCCCACCCGCAACCGTTTCGCCAACGCGGTCAAGCGCCCTGTCCCTGCACCACCTCCAGCTCAGATCAACATCACTGGTGCCGCTGCAGGTCGTTTCTCGCCCGCCCCCCAGCAGCCGTACTCGCCTGCTGGAGGTGCAGAGACGCCATCGGCCCCGCCAAAGGTTCCTGTCGTTCCCCGTGCCTCGAACCGCGTCAAGTTGCATGCCCCGACGCTCTTGCCTACGCTCACGACCGGCTCAGCCGCCAACGATCAGTACATGAGCGCGCGCGCGACGTCGATCCGCCTCGGCCACGCTCGCAACGCCTGTCTTGCGCGTGCCGCCGACGCCTTCCGCCGCGGAGACGGTGCAGCCGCCAAGCGCTTTTCGCGCGAGGGCAAGGCTCTCAACGAAAAGATGCTGCACGAAGCCAACGAGGCCGCGCAGGTCCTTGTCAAGGACCGCATGCGTGACGCGCAGCGCGCCGCCCGCGAGCGTGACCCGGCGTGGTCTGACGACCCGCGTGACCGCAGTGAGCGCGGTAAGGAGTGTGGTGGCGGCCTCGGTGTCGTCCTCGGCGTGGCCCGCGCATCGGCTGTGCCCGAAGGAGACCGTTTGTCGTCTGTGGAGCGTGTAGAGGCCCTTCTGGACCTGCATACCCTGCACGGCAGCGAGGGTGCCGACCTGTCCAGCCAGTGGCTCGCTGAGCTTGAGCGTGAAAACTACCGTGGCCTGGGTAAGTTCAACTTCCCATCGTTGAGTGACGAAGCTGACCTCTATTAGCGTACATTGTAGTTGGTGAGGAGAAGCACGTCGGACAGCAGGACCCGTCTCGCGGCGCGTCCAAGGTCCGTCTCGCTGCTAGCGTCAAGCAGTTCCTCGCCGAGTGGGGTTACGCTTGGAACGAGCACGGGGGTGTCCTGTGCGTCGACCCTTGTCGCTAAAAGCAGACTCGAAATAAGCTGGGAGAGATAAACACACGGCGTGTGGCACGAAGACTATCCGCTTGCTCCGCCGTCCACTCTCTCTCCCGCGTCGTCTGCCCACCCCCGGCGCCTGTGCTGGCGCGACGGTAATACAGAGCATAGACCGCCTCATTTGTCCAAAACGGTCGACCCGACCCACTTGTACCAACGCGTGTACCTCGAGTTTCTCCATCTATCTCATCTCCACCACACCCATCTTTCCTCCCTCGTTATCCCCTCCTTGTCCCCCTCCTCGCCATTCCACATTACCCCCTCCAGTTCCTGCACTTGCCACCCCGCCACTGCTACCCACTACCCAGCCCCGCGTGTCCACCCCCCATCCCCTCCCCTCCCCCTCATCCATTCCCCACCACCTTGGCACCTCCCCCATCCCCCACCCCTCGCCAACCGCCCCGCCCTGCCCCTCGGAAGAAGTACTGAAAGCAAACCGTGAGATAAAAGTAGGAAAGAATGCAAGAAGTGTCCGCAGTCTGGCATGTGTGGCGCGGAGAAAGTGTCGATGAACAGGCGGGGGCGTGTCCACTAACTGTCTAAGCCGTAGCACACCCTAACAGGCCATCCCAGACCAATACACAGGCCCAGCGTGTGGTCGAGGTTAGCGACCGGGTCACCCACCTGCGTGTGAGGCGTCTCACTCGGGCACTCGGTCGGACAGTGCTTGGGCGCGCGGTGGGTGGTTCATGGATACCACCCAGGGCCGCGAATCCATAATCCGTCGCCACCCAGCTCCCAGCACGCCTGCAGCCAGTTACCGCGCCGTCTGTGAGCGCATCGTGCAGATGCAAGGCCGCCAGGCCACCCGCCGGCCGCCGATACGATGCTTCCCCTTTACAGCACTGGAGAGGGCAGGCCACTGGCGCAACGGACCTGCAGACCCGCACGCGAAATGCGGCGTGAGGTGCCCGCGTGCGCCCGGGCTCGTGGGTACGGGGGTCTCCTGTCGGTGCTTCGCTCGTAGTGATATTAGACGGGTCCCATGCATGTCTACTTCCCTCTTCTCACCTGCTTCTTGCTGTGACTGTACTCTCGTTTGCTCTAACACTATGCGCTGCCCCAGAATAATCCGCCTGCTTCAAGTCTGCCTCGAAACCTCGCTCTGTCGCCCCGCCACACTGTCTCTCGCCCCCGCTACTCGTTCTCTGCCTCGCTCACCCGCCCATCGTCATACTCGTCCCACAGCGCTTCCCGGACAGCGTGGTATACGTGCACCAAGACGTCCAGGCGCGGCTTGACCGTCTGAAGCGGACACGCGTCAGCACCAGCACCCGCACCGCCCTCTCCCCTTTCACTTTCCCTCTCCCACCACTCACGTCATACGCCACCACGACTGGCCGGCCGCGCGTGCGCACAATGCCGAGGTAGTACCGCACGCTCCAGCGCGTGATGCCCTCGTGCACCACGACCGTCTCGATGTCATCCAGGGGTATGAAGCGGCGCTGGACGGAGAAGACGACCTGCTTGCCGTTGGGCAGGTGCAGGCCGTGCGCTGTGGCGAGCTGGATGCCGAGTCCCGGGAACGGCGTCACGGATTCTGTTAGAAAGAGGAGAGAAGAAAGGGTCAGCAACAGCGTTCGGCGTGCGCTCTCGCCCGTTTTGCCCCGGCACTCACGGTACAGGACGTTGCGCGCGGCCAATGTGGAGGCGAGGACGAGTGCGAGCGCGGCCATGGCGGCCAGACCGCCCGCGACGCGGGGGTCCCATGTACGCGTCACTGTGCCGGTGATGGCGCACATGGACAGCGACACGCCCGCTCCGGTCGTGCCAGCTCCGACGGCGACGACGACGGCGAGCACGGCCGCAGCCACCGCGAGCATGGCGGCCTGCAAGGCCGTGCGCGGCTGGGTTATCCGTGTGGTGCTTGCTGCTAGCGCGTCGCTGTTGTTGCTGCCGGCAATGGCACACCCTGCTCCGGTTACTGTTGGTGTCCGGGACGTCGTTGGCGTGGTCTCAGTCTCAGGTTGTTTCGCCAGGAGCGGCCTGGCGCGTGGTGGTGGTGGTGCTGGCGTTGCATGTTGCTGCGTGGCTGGGTCTTGTTGTTGTCGTTGGCGCGGTGCGTGTCGGCGGCGGTGTGGTTTGCGTGGCTGCACGCGGTGTTCCGCGACTGTTGGGCCTGCTGTGACGCATGCGTACTCTGTGTGGAGTGAGAGATGAGCAGCTCCCATGCAGGCGACGAGGAGTGCGAGAGAGAGAGATGTGGAGGATGGAGAGAGAGCGATGACTGACGGAGTGACGCGTTCATGATGATGGAAAATGGGCGGGCATGTCTCCCAGCTGGCGTCGTTCCTGGGCAGAACGCTCTCCATCCCATCCACCACCTGTTGGCCCCTTCTTCTCGGACGGGCGGTTTGGCGTTTCTCTCTGTATCGCACATTCTCTCTCACACGCTCGCCGTCTCACTCGTCACCTCAACAGCACACTTGGTCGCCCGTAGCCCCCACCCCATCCACCCACCAAGCAGAGGGGTCACCCTCTCCCCCGCATCCGCCCGCGGCCACCGCTCCCCACTGACACTCGCCGCCGCCCACGCACGAACCCCGCGCCGACCACTCCGAGACCCACGCCCCGGCGTCGCCAAAGCACGGGTAACCGAATCGGCCAAACCGCCGGCACACAGGTTCCCATTTGCACACACCCACCATTCCCTCTCCCCCTATTCAACCAGCAGCCATGCAGCAACAACAGGTATGTCACAAGTGACAAACAGCCCCCCTTCTCATGCATGCTGACTGTGGGACACAGCAACATCTGCAACAGGTGCAGGTGGACGCGCAGACTGCGGCTGCTCAGGCACAAGCCCAAGCCCAAGTGCAGGCTGTCCAGCAAGCGCACGCCCAGGCTCAAGCAGCCCAAGCAGTAGCGGCGCAGCAAGCAGCCCAAGCACAAGCCCAAGCACAAGCACAAGCACAAGCCCAGGCTCAGCATCAACACGCTGTCCACGCAGAGATGAATCGGCGTCGGTCGTCAGGCGCGGGCTCCACGTCCGGCAGCGGCACTGGCCGACCGGGCCTGGACATGACCTCGTTCATGGCCACCCATCGCCAGACGCACAACGTCCCAACACCAACGCAGGTGCAGCACATGCACCTCCCGCAGACTGCGCTCGACCAAATGGCCATGCAGGACATTGAGCGCCACCAGCGGTCCCAGAACGGCGGCAGCGGCGGTGCCGGTCAACAGGCAATCGAACAGTACTGGTCGTTGCCCCATGTCAACACTTTTCCCATGCCGACCGGTCGCCCCGCGACCCAGCAAGTGAGGGGAACTGCCGAGAATAAGAACAGCAACGCCGGCGGCGGCGGCGGCGGCGCTGGTATCTCTGGCCGCTCACCCTCCGTGGGAGCAGCAACGGGGACAGGACCCAACACGCCCAGCGAGGAAGACCCCGTTCGGCCATTCCTCGAAGGCCTGGCGGCCGCCGCGGAGACGCCCCAGCGTGCCCAGATGTGGACCGAGCTTATCCGTCTCAAGACCAGGTCACTCGAGCTGCAGATCGCCGAGGCTCGCGCAAAGGAACGCGCTGCCGAGCTTGAACTGCATCGCTTGCAAGCGGGTACAGCGCGCATTGCCGCCGCTAGCAACCACCAGGCTCAGGCGGCGACATCAAATACCGCACAGCAGCAACCCCAGACACCCACGTCCTTCTTCCAGCAGCAGGCGCAGGCAACGCCCCAGCAACAACAGCAAATTACCGCTCAGCAGCAGCAGCAGCAGCAACAGCAACAACAGCAACAGCAACAGCAGCAGGCTCAGCAGCAGGCTCAGCAGCCCCTCCACCCACAGCCAGACGCGACCGTGTTGCCAGACCAGCAGTTCGGGAGCTTCCCTCTTGTTACGCACGCGCGCTCGCCAGTGGTGGAGACCACTGCCAATGCGTTCCCACAGGATCTCATCCCCAACATGCCGGCTTTGCCCGCGACGATGGGCGTGCCCCCCGTCGTCACACATCAGAACCCGTTCGGCAATGGACACGCGCTTACCGCGTTTGACCTCGAGGCCATGCTGCAGCAGGAGAGTCTCGACAACCTCTTTTCGTGGCTGCCAGACACGGAGGGAAATGTCTCTGGAAACCAGATGGGCATGGCCCACGGCAACGACATGCTCGGTGGCAACGACCTCATGATGGGCATGCACGGCATGCCTGCTCCGAGCATTGGCGAGCCGGCCACACCAGCGTCCCCGACAGTCAAGCGCCCGCTGTCCCCCGAGTCGGACGGCTCGCCCCACCAGCCACCGCCCAAGAAGGGCAAGCCGCGTGGCGAGAAGAAGATTGTCATTGAGCAGCACGCTTCCTGCCAGGCTTGTGGCAAGGTCGTGGCGCGCGTCCTCCTCCGTGCGCCCAAGAGCTCCATCCCTAGCCCCGTCTCGGTCGAATTCCGCTGTCAAGAGTGCACTGGTATCCGCGCCGCAAACTCGCTCGACCCTCACGGCACGGCTGGCTCAAACATTGGCTCTACAGAGGCACGCAAGCGCATGCGCACAGCAATGGAGGACGACGACCTCGTCAACGAGGACCCCGGAAACCGTCGGTGTTTCTGCGATGTCTGCCAACGTGTTGTGGCCTGCGGGCAGGTTGTCGGTGGCACTGAGCGCGCACCGCTTGGCAGCATGGCCGAAATCATCTGCACGTCGTGTGACGCGAAATATCAGAGGTACGTTGGTGGGGGTGGTGTATAACCTTAACACGCGTATTGACCTTTTCCCCAGGTGTACCGACTGCGGTGGCGGTGGTGGCCCTCGTGTGGGCATTGGAAAGTGGCGTCTCAAGCAAGTCTTCCAACCTGGGCGCAAGACGTGTTCCCTGTCCCACTCGCGTCTTGGAGACCGCCCACGCGAGATTGGCGTCCATGTCACGCCTACAGACTTTACACCTGAACAGCTCAAGGAGGTGTTGCTGCGGTGCAAGAACCTGTGGACGGAGAAGACGCTCAGCCGTCTCGCCGTGCCGGAAATGCTAGAGTGGGTTGCACATTGTTTGACCCGTTGCTGACCCGCACAGAATCGATCTACCTCCAGGACTAGTCAACCCCTTGCGCAACTACCAGGACGTCGACGACATTGTCACTCGTTGCTGGCCGTCGCGTGAGGCCATGATCCGCGCGGACGGTGTAGACCGCAGTCGTTTCAAGCGCGTGCTCGGCCTCACGTGGGCGCACTCGCGCCCACGCCGTACAGTACGTACGGTCGACCTCGAGGAAGAATACGCGCGCACAGCCGACCCAGGAGAGGATGACGAGATGAGCACCGTCTTGGCCAATGTGAAGAGGAGTGAGTTTCCATGTCTTTATTGAAACTGACGATGCAGCCAACGTTGTTATCCCGGCGGGCTCTGAGCTCATCGGCATGTGGGGAGGCGAATGGGACATGGTACATGGCTCGCTGCTTGTGTCCACTCTCATTCCATTCGAGGGGACCGACGGCGAAGACACCTCGGCTCTCTCCGTGGGCGAGCTGATCTCCAAGGTCCAGCTCCTCCAGGACCAGATCAAGCAGGAGCGTATCGCCGAGGCCGCACGTCTGGGCACGGACCCGGAGCCTGTCCGGCCATGTGAACACCTCTGGGTCGTCTCGGGCGGCAGCATGCCACTTATCAGGGAGCGCATGGCCGACATTCTTGTGCGCAAGCGCTCCTTTGTCCATGTGGAAGAATACCTCACTCGCCACCCCGATTTCCTCGAAGCGCTCAAGGCTCGTCCTGTCGGCCTGCACCCAGACCTGCACCGGCCCATGCCGCACCAGCTGTCGGGCAACGACAAGGACTACCAGCCGCCACAGCCGCTCATCCTCGTCCGCTGGCTGGGCAAAGATTTCGACGCGCAGAGGATACTCGAGATCAAGCAGATGGAGTTTGGAGGCGGGAAGAACAAGGGCAAGCTCAAGAAGATGCCAAAGAGCAAGGTGTAAACATTGTGGCAGTAGTAGTCTTTTAAAAACATACAAAAATCCCCTTAGTTTTATTAATTTCAAGCTTTACGACGACTGTAGCGGGCGATCCCGGATATCCATGCACGTCGAGTGGCGACTCCATCTCTACTCTATACAAAATGCTACCAAACCTTTTTTTCTTAAAAGTCCTGTTTACCTGTCAGCTGTCGTCGGGAACAGTCAAGCTCACCGTCACACGTCCGCCAAACTGCCAGTCGCTGTCGCCAGCCATGAACGGATCGCGCTTGGGACCGCCAACCTCGCCGGTCTTGGGGTTGGTGTCGCCCTCAAACTCGGGCTTGGCGCCCTTCCTCAGGTCGCGGTGCTCGACGGCCTTGATCTCCTCGAGGGTCTCGGGGGTGATCTCGTCAATGGACGGCGCGACCTCTGCGGCCTTGACGAGGGCCTCAAACTCGGCCTGGTCGGCGGCAGGGAGGGGGGGTGGGCCCGGGCGGTTGAAGCTGAAGTCGGACGAGCGCACGGCGAGGGACGTGGTGAGTGTACGCGTGATGAGGACGGGGCGCGGGGTGGCGACGCGGCGGACGAGGGGAGCGAGGCGAAGCATAGTGCTCGTTATTTGTGCTTGTTTGTTGTTGTTGTTGTTGTTGTTGTTGTTGTTGTTGGGAGACGAGTGTCAAAGGTGGAACAGAAATGGCCCCCATCCTCTCTCTCTCTCGGACATGGACGGACATGAGCGACGGAGCGCACTTGAACGCATTACGTAATATATCCGACCCAGCCGAGCACCGCTCTGCCTGTGACGCTGCCGCCAGCGATGACGACTCTGGACTCGTCTCTCTCTCTTTCTCTTGCCCATCTATCACATCGCTCCACCTCTTCCCCCATCATCCAAGCCAGCAAGCATGTTCGGCGCCACGGTAAACCCATACGACGACCTCGTCAGTGAGTATACACTTGTCCTCGTCGCCCACGGCCCGATGCATGATGGGTGGCTAAAAGAGGAACAAAGCCCCGGGAATCGCCCCGGCCCCCAGAGAGCACTCCGCTGACAAGTCCCTCTTCAGCCAAGGCGACCGACGAGAACCTCGCGTCCGAGGACTGGGACGTCAACCTCCAGATATGCGACAAGGTGACCGAAGAGGCTTCAGCGGGGTGAGTCTCAACACGCCGGCACAGGATGGAGTGGGGATGAGGGAGCTCGCGCACTTGGTCGGCGGCGGCAGCGGCGGGCGGCGGCGGTACAGCGCCGCCTCCCGCGCGCAGTCGCGCACCAACCTGACCCACCTGCCAACGGCCCCTCGCTCCCACCAGCGCACAAGCGTCGACACCGGGCCGTCTCCCGGCAACGCAGCTGACATGTTCCCCCAGTGCGCGCAATGCCGTCGCAGCCCTGGTCAAGCGCCTCGCGCACCGCAACCCCAACGTGCAGGTCTACGCACTCGAGCTGGCCAACACGCTTGTCCAGAACTGTGGCAAACCCCTTCACGAGGAGCTGGCGAGCCGTACATGGACGGGCGCGCTGACGCGCCTTGTCAACGACCGCGTGAGTGACGACTGAAGAGGAGCGAGCGCACGGTGAAGCAACGGAGGGGGTGGTAGGCCGGATGGGCGAGCGCGTTGTTGCAGATGGAGCTGTGACAAGGAGCCATCCGCCGCATCTAGCCCACCGCTTCGCCGCCGCCACCGGACGCCGACCAACCACGACGAAGCGACGACGCTGACCCGCACAGGCCACAGTGCAGACCGTCCAGCGCAAGGCGCTGCGGTACATCAAGGACTGGACCAAGCAGTTTGAGGAGTCTGGCGACCCAAACCTGGGTCTCATGACCGAGCTCTACGACCAACTGCGTGAAAAGAGTGAGCTTGTGACGTCCTCTTCAAAGCTCATACTGACGTTCAGACTTTACATTCGACGACAGCGAGCCTGTTCCCGACGCCACGGCGGACGATGAGACGCGCCGCCGTGCCGAGGAGGAGGAGCTCATGCGCGTCATTGAGCTCTCGAAGCAGGACAAGGGCCGTAACTGGAATGCGTTTGAGCGCAAGGATGGCTCGTCGTCGGGTGCTGGCTCCTCGGGCGCCGTTGCCGCTGTCCAGAAGCCTCTTCCGGGCCAGCCTCAGCAGCAACCCTCGTACCAGCAGCCCCAGCAGTCTCAACCGTCGTACCAGCAGGCTCAGCCCGCATACCAGCAAGCCCAGCAGTCCCAGCCGGCGCCGGGTTACGGCGTCCCGCAGCAGACTGCCTCGCCCGTGCCGGAGAACGACCAACCCCTCGACATCAACACCGCCACCCGTGTCCGTGCACTGTACAACTTTTCGTCTGAAGACGTGGGCGAGCTCAACTTTGAGCGCGGCGACGTGATCAAGGTGCTCGACCGCGGCTTCAAGGAATGGTGGCGTGGTGCCGCGCGCGGCAAGATTGGAATCTTCCCAGTCACCTATGTCGAGCCGCTGCCCGAGCCGTCCCCTCGCGAGCTCCAAGAAGAGGCCCAGGAGGAGGCCCGCGTGTTTGCGTCGCTCGGCCTTGTCGACAAGCTCCTCCAGATGCTCAGCAGCATCGACACGGCCCGCGGCGACCGTCTTGACGACCGTCCCGAGCTCGAGGAGATGTACCAGGCGTCCGTGTCGCTGCAGGGCCAGATCAATGCGCTCATTAAAAAGTACTCGGACCAAAAGGCCGAGCTCGAGCACATGAACGCAAACTTCCACCGCGCCATGCGCCAGTACGAAGAGTTGAGGAGCGGCGTTCCTCAACAGGCCCCTCAGCCGGGCCAGCAGCGTGAGTCAATCGATGCCTGTGCTGTTTCTAACTCTCAGCTCCATACGCTGCCTACCCCCAGCAAGCGCCTGCTGCTGCCCAAGACCCGTACGCTCAGCAGCCTGCAGCCCACGACCCGTATGCCCAGCCTCAGCATCAGCCTACACAGGACGCATACCCTCAGCACCAGCCTACGCAGGACCCGTATGCTCAGCCTCAACCTCCCGCGCAGGACCCGTACGCCCAGCCCCAGCAGGCCGCGTACCAGCAACCCCCTGCTCAACACCAGCAGGCCCCTGCCCAGCAACCTGCCGCCGCTCCCTACGGCAACACATGGCCTCAGCCTCAGCCACACGTAGCTCAGTCCCAGGCCACAGGCGACCAGCCCAACCCGATGTACTACCAGCAGGGACCTAGCACCACGAGCATCGGGTCCGCTCACGCGGTCGCAGGCCAGCGCCAGCCCTCTGGCGCTCCCTCCTTCCCTCCGGCCTCTCCCCCGCGCCACCCCACCGCCCCCGGTGCTGCCGGCGTCGGTGCAGGCCAGGACCCAGCTGCCGACCACGCTGCGGCCTGGGACGCATACTACCGGTCACAGGGCCAGGTGCCGCCAGCGCCGCAGGCTGTGGCCGGCGCTCCCGTCACCGAGTCGCCGGGTGTCATGCCCGCGGGCCAGCCCCAGGGCGGATACTACCAGCAGCCAGCGTTCCAGCAACACCAGCAGAGTGGTGTAGACAACGTCGCCGCCGGCATGGGACGGATGAGTGTGGGACAGTAGTGTTTTTATTTTGACCGGGCAGGAGAGGTGGTGGGTGGTGGGCGGTGGATTGTTTATGTAACGTGTTTACGATCTCTAGATGTGTTCAGCTAGGCTGGACTGCGAGAATGGCATACAGCAAAGTTTTCTTGAGATGCCAATGATGCGCAAGACGAGGTGGAACGAGCAGCAGGACCTGTTTTGGCCAAAGCACAATCGATACATGGTTTTCTATCTGTTTTAAAGCATTATCCAAAGCCCTCGCCCTCACCCTGGACATACTCGGAGTAGAGCGCCTCGCCGTCCCGTCCGTCCTCCTCGTATCCACCGTCATACACATCGTGGTCGTCGTACTCGCCATCCGCGGTCCACTCGTCGCCTTGTGTGGCGCCGCCGTGGTGGCCATCGACGTGGTCGTCCACCGCCGCACTGGCAGTCGCGGCAGGGACAGCGGGTGCGTCGCCGTTACCGCTTCCCGCAGCGCCGTTGCCACCACCACCGCCGCCGCCGCCGCTCGTGCCGGCCCCGCTCCCGCCGTCGTCGCGCGGCACAATGTCGATCAAAAAGTCGAACACGTCCGAAAAGGCAATGGCGGCGGCAACGTCCGACTTTTGCAGTGTGCGGCGCTTGTGGCCCTCGGCGACGAGCCATGCGCGGCAGGTGAGTTCCGAGATGAAGACTGCACGGGGACGTGGGTTAGTAACTAACTTGGGGGTTGGTTGAAGGGCGGGGAAAAGGAACAAAGGAACAAGGAAAAAAAGTGAAAGTCACGGGCAATGGCGCCCGCGCATCGCGAGATGCGACTCTGCTTCCCTTCTGGACATTGCCGGTCCAACCTCGTGAGGCGGTATAGACACCCTCATGAGACGGTACAGACACCTCAGATCACGAAGGTCGGGTGTCCATCCGAGACAGTGGGTTGTGCAAGAATCCCAATGTCAATCCGACGAGGGTAGATCTCAGACCCGGGCTAAACCTCGGAGCACGGGGAATCGGTACTCACTCTCGCATGCCTTGGAGAACATGATAGGAGCTGAACGTCAGCTGCAGGAAACGTGAATTCACAGCTGGAGCGGAGGGGAGGCGGCCACATGGCCGCGGACACGCGCTTCCCTCCTAGCGCCCTCCTGGACTCACCCTCGGCACTGATCATCTTGACCTCTTCGTCGCTCTTCATGACCTTCTTGATACGCGCCAGGGGCAAGTTGTACGTTTTAAAGTCGGGTGTCTCGTGCTCGACGCCGGCCATCTGGCGGGTCCAGAACGACTCGAGAAACTCGTTCAGGTCCTGGTGCGGGTGGACGAGGGGGCCGGTGAGGAGGCCGCCGTTGCCGGTCGTCGAGCCAGATGCCGCGCCTGTACCACCGGAAGGGCCCGAGGGGGCAGACGCAGTGCCCGTGGCAGGAGCCGTGCCGCTTGCAGAGGTGGATCCGCTCGCGCTGGGCCCGGCGACGCCGGCGGGCGAACTCGTGTTGGACCCCGCAGAGCTGTACCCGCCGTTAGTGAAGGCCGGGTAGCCGAGCCCGTCGCCCGTGAGGTAGTACGGGTTCATGGTGAGGGCAGTGGCGTGTGCTGTTGTTTGAGGGGGGAGAGGAAGGGGAAGTTGTTGTTGTGAAGCAGAGCCTAGGCGGCGTCGGCCAGTTCGGATCGGTCAGGCCAAGTCCCGCCAAAAGGCAAAAACAAGACGCGATGGGCGGGATGCGATGCCCAGGGGGGCAGCGTATGCTTGTGCTGACCCGGTGTATGCACGCGGGAGGGCTGGATGGGTCGTAGGATGCGGTCCGGCGCGGAGGAGATGGGGGATGGGTGGATGGACAACGACAAAGAGAAGGACGAAAAACCCGAGATGCAAGGAGGCGACCAACATCCGGCCGACAGGGGAGAGAGGGCCCGATGTCTCTCCGGCCGCCGCTGCCGGCGAGGTTGAAAGGCACAATGCGTCTGTTGGGGGAGAGGCCACAACGCATACGACAGCAACTGTCGGGGGCCAGCAGTGTGCATGGGTGTGCAGACAGGTGAGTGCATCGACGGAGAGCAATGAGAGGGGAGCTCGAGGGAGCTGCATGCATGAAAGAGACGACGAGAGAGATTGCGAGAGAGTATAGTTGTCTCCCATTTCTTCCCTTTCGGTCGCCTCCTGTTTTTCAGTCTGGAATCTGGATGATCTGATATCCTCCGGTCACGCCATTCGCCGATGCCTTGCAACAACGCCGTTGGAGCCCTCGTTGCTGCACCCAAAGGTGTCAGTCACAAGTAACACACCGACCACACATAAGATACACTGCATGTCACCACCCTTGTCTCTCACTACCCATAATGGCTCTCTGCACCCGACGCATGAATATTACACAGCAGCAGCAGTCACACTGTCTACACCTGACCCGTGAGCGCACCACCAGCCGCACGCTCCAGGTCTTGGCGCAGCGTTCTGCGCTTCTTGCGGCGAGCCTCGGCGGGTGTGATGCGACGCTGCACGCCATCGGGGCCCTCTTCGACAACATCTTCCTCGGGGTCGCTCTCGTCCTCGTTGATGAAACTGGTTGTCAGCTCTGCATCCTCGTGGTGGCAAAAGCTCACATTCGCTCAATGAAGGCCGCAGCTGCGTTCTCGCTAAACTCGGCCTCGCGCGAGCCCCAGCGCCACTCGATAATGTGACCTTCGGCAGTCGGGTTGGGCATCTTGGCCTGAGAGTTAGGCGAAAACTGCTGGCAATGTAACTCACCTTCTCAAGGTAGTGCTGCTTGGTGAGGAGGTCGAGATACTTGTCGAGGGTGAGAGGCTCCTCCTTACCGTCCTCTGACACGTAGGGAAGTACCGTGTCGCGTGTAAGGTTGAGACGGCGGAGAAGAGCGTGCAGTTGGTCTGTCGTTAGCTCGTCCGAACTACTGCGAACAGCTCACCATCATTGGCACTGCGACCGAGACAGAGGACGAGGCAGAGAATGACGGTACGCACACCGAGCATGCCGATCGCACCACTTGGTGTGCCGTCGCCCTTCTCCCAGCGGATCAGTGATCCCGAGTCCTTTTCCAGCTCGGCCAGGTGTTCCTCGTCGTCACCGCCGCCCTGCGGGAACGGCAAGGGTCGAGGTGTGGCCATGGCTGCCACCAGCTCTGGCGCAAGCGTTGAGCGTAGGATATAGTTCTTTGTGCCGGCTGCTGTTTAGTGGGTGACGTACGAGACATTTGGTAACCCACCCTTGCGTTTCTCCTTGGAGGCATCCGCGTCCTCCTCGTCCTCCTCGGCATCTTCTTCCTCATCATCGCCTTGCCTGGCGCGCTTCTTGCCCTTGCTCTTGCGCCTCTGCGTCTCGGCAGCAGCGGCGGCCATCTCGGCAACATCGCCCTTTTGCTTGGCGCGGAGCTCGACGAGCTCCATTCCAAACGTCGAGCGGAGTGTTTTCTGGGCGCGCTCAAAGACTGTATCGAACGAGCGCGGCTTCTGAGCAAGGACTGACGAGGGTCAGTTCAGATACGTTCAAACAGTGGATGAACATACCCGTCTTGACAATCACCTCGCGCTTGAGGGGTTGCCTACGGTACTCGTGGAATAGGGCGAGACGCACCACCTGGGCTGCCAGACTCTTGGCATCCTGCTCGTCAGCTGGCCGCACGAGGGAAAGGGAAGGGGGTGGATACACACTGCCCGGGAGAGGCCAGAGCCCTCCTGATCGGAATCACCGTCGTCGTCGCGTCGTGGCATTGTGTCGACGTGTGTGTCTGCTCTCTGAGTAGCACAGAGGGTAAAACTGATAGAGAGAACGAAGTGTAAAGTGTAATGTATGGACCGACCAACACACGCGCTCATGGCAACAACAAAGCGCGTCCTTGACTGTCGAGTCAACTTTCCCACGGTGACTTCTACCATTCCGTCACTTTGTGTTGAAGTTCAACTTTCAATTACAATCTTGCAACACACAACCATCTAATCTACACCACACCATTTCACCATGGCGACGCTCTCCCACTCAGAGCTCCAATACATTATTGCGGGTCTCGCGCACCCCACAACCCCGACGCGCGCCGACGGCCGCACCCTCCTGCAACCTCGTGCCGTGGGCGTGAGCTATGGCGACGCACCAGCGGCCAACGGCAGCGCCCGTGTGCGTATTGGCGGCACCGACGTCGTGGCCGGGATCAAGCTCGAGGTGGCGGATGTTGCCGAGGGTAGCAGGCCGCGCACAAAGGTTGATGTCGATGTGTGAGTGTCGTCCATCTTATGCTCCTCGCAGCTGCCAAGCTCTCGCCAGCTGACGCGCGCCCGTAGCACCCCCCAGGCCTTCCCCGGCGGCACCTCGTCGTCCCTCCAGAACCTCTCGTCGTCCTACGCGGCCTTTGTGACCGACCACTTCCTCCCCTCCGTCCCTGTCCTGCGCATCACCGACAAGAAGGCGTTCGTGCCCACGCTGCACCTGACTGTACTGGGCGCCGACGGCTCCGTCCCCATGGCGCTCGTCCTCGCTGCCCGCGCGGCCTTTTGCGACCTTGCCGTCCCCAAGACAAAGGTCATCGGCTGGGAGGGTGCCGAGGACGATGCTCGCGCCGGCAAGGACATGGCAGGCATAAAGGGCGCTGTGGGCGCCGCGCGCGGCAAGGGCCGCGCTCGCGCACGCGGTGCTGACGACTGGGACCTCGAGGACGGCTCGACCGAGCACATGGCCAACCGCGACACGCTGCCCGTGCTGGTGACGCTGCACCTGGTGCCCGAGTCGGACGCGTTCTTCGTCGACGCAGCGCCCAAGGAGGAGGAGGCTTGCTCGGGCAAGATTCACGCAATGTTCCGCCCCGACGGAAGGATATGCGGCCTGCGCACAGAAGGAGACGCAGGTATCGATGCGTCGAGGATCAGGCCACTTCTCCAGGTGAGTGTACCTACTCGCAAATTGGAGCCACCCTGCTCCTATCGACACACAGCTCGCTTCGTGGACTCTCTTGCTAACGTTTCACAGGAAGCAAAGGCCATCGCCCTCGACCTCGCTGCCTCCCTCAACACCGACCTCCCTTAGCCTGTTGTACACACCTATGCATTGCATGCCACTTTTGGCCCGGTTTGGACCCTACTCATATGTTGTCACTGTTGTTTATGCTGGTGGGGAGAGGCTATGTAAAGGAAGGAAAGGAGGTTGGGGGGTAGTCACACAAGTGTTCTCCGTCTCCCCGCTCACTGGGCTGCAGCTACAGCGGTGGCGGCCTCGTCTTCCACCACCTCCTCGGTAGACGACTCCAGGGCAAGCGCAGAGTCAAACGATAACCTGCCTGGGGCAGGTGTGGCCTCGCCACGCGTCTCTCTCGCCGCATCCTCGACCCACGTCGAGACGACAGAGCGGAGCATGGCCTCCCAACCCTCCGTGCGCTTGGCGACCACAAGCGGGTCAAAGTCGATGCGGGGGAGGTCCTTTCGGCGTCCGCCTGGACCGCCAGTCGAGGGCACGCGTGGGGGGAGAGGCGCGGGCTTGCCGTCTGGCAGCGTTGGGGGTGCAAGGACGGCCGAGTGCGGGAGTGTGATGGGGAGGTTGTAACGAAGACGGAGAGCGCTGTGGCTGATTAGCGAGAGCTTCAATAAAACCGGCAGGTGGTACTCACGCTGCCCAGCAGGTCAAGTTCTGGACGCGGCGGAACGTCCATTCCTTGCCCGACTCGGTTGCCGAACTGAGCGTATCGAACATTTCGTCGGCATTGATAAAACCCCACGGCCTGGAACTCGCGTGGAGCGACTCGTTGTAAGCCTGAACAAGGAGGTATCCATCCGAGAGGCGGGCAAGGAGGGCGCTGTCGTCATCGGAAGGTGCAGGAAGCAGAGCGGCGTGGTCAGGCGAGAGGTTGGCAGCGAGGAAAGCACGCGTGCGCTTGGGTCCTGTGCCCTCCGCCCATGCCGAGACGGAGGTAGCGTTGCCGTTTTCGCGCTCGCCAAAGGCAAGATCGACAACGTCGGCCCAGCGCCGTGCGGCTTCGCGAGTAGCAGCGCTGTCGGCAGCCCACAGACCACTTTCGAGAGGCCTGTACGCGCGTTCCTCCGCAACGAGTCTTTCCTCCCACGCCTGCCGTGGCTTGTCCTCGAACTGCTCGGCCTCGCGCGCTGCATAGTTGACATTCCACTCTTCGTCGTCGGAGAAAATATCCTCGATGCTTGAAGTGGACGGGCGGAGGGAAGAGGTCGAGAGACGGCGGTCAGCTGGACCAGGGCTAGCGCTTGTTGGGCAATCAGGTGGAAACTCGTCGACAGGAGACGTGACAAGTGTCGGCTCGTAAGCAGAAGGAATAATGACCACCATGGGGGCGTCGTGCTGAACACGCACCCGCTCCTCGAGAGTGCGGAGCTGGCCGAGAAGGTCGAGTGCGGCTCGGCGGACATGCGACGACGGGTCGGGAAGACCGATGGGGGCCACGAGCTGGCCGCCACTCACGACGCGGGGCATGGCGGGGCGTGAGGGCGTGTTCATGAACGATGGAGATGGGCCCTTTAGGGGCATGGACACGCGGCGTTGGCCGGAGACCAGTGATAGCGCCAGGGTACGCACACGGCGGACTGCGCGGGCCGTTTCCACCAGCAGTGCACGTACGTCCTCTGGCGGTGGGGTGGGTGACGGTGGTGGGGATGACGAGCTTGAACTAGTGCGTGCCACCAAACCCCACTTGCCGCGAACAGTCGCTACGAGGTCACGAGCCTCGCTTCGTGCTTGCTCGGGACCGACGCGCGCGAGCTGGACGTCCTTCCACGGCTTGTGAATGGGGCGTGGGGATTCGGACCCACCGGCAAGGCGCGGTTCATCCTCCTCCTCGTATGTTGCGCCCAGAGAACGAATACCGACACCGAGGCCCGCCCGGTGCTCGAGTCCACCGCCGAAATGAAGGCGCAGGTCGCGAATGGAGGGCAAGGCCGCCACGCTATCACGTTTGGCGGCACTCCGGCTGATATGGCGATGGTACCTTTGGCGAAGGGCGGCGGCAGAGGGCATATCCGGGGTCGACGAACGTTCGCGGTCGCGGTCGCGCTCGTCGTCACCAAAGTCCGAGCCCGTGTCCTGAGCGCTGGTATCCGAGCTCGTAACACGTTGAAGGGCGGCAAAGGACGGCGAGGCAATGGTGGGGGAGATGGGTCCGTCGTGCTGGCTGTTGCCATTACCGCTACCATTGACACGGTGTGCTTCTGGCGTATTGGTGGCGGCGGGAGTGTCAGGCAAAGGTGTCTTGTTCAGTGGTGCCTCCACCGCCGGCAACGGTGGCTCGAGCGGAGCCGGCGTGGTGGGGACGCTGGCGGTCATTGGGGTGGGTGCAATGTATGTGCGTGTGCTGGCGTGAATGTCGTGTGGTCGTGCGGTCGTGTGCTGTGCTGTGTGTCGGCAATGCAAAGAATGCGATAGAGAAGAAGGAAGAAAGAGGGGGTCAAGAGGTGGTGTGGGTCTCTAGGGTTCGCGCAACGTCAGCGGGAGCGGGCGGCGGCGGCGGCGGTGGGGTGGACGAGTCCCGTTGGGCGTGAGCGATGTACACATACCTATATCGTTATGGTCGTCAGCGATGCGATATGCATGCTGTGTGAAAGGGTCGTGAGACAATGATCTGGCCCTCTTGACGGGGAGGTCGAGTGAACGTTGCCGACGCGACCAAAGAGGTTGCTCGTTTGCTGGTGGATGTTGTGGAAACGGAAAACACAAATATCAATCATCGGATGACATCAACTCTGGCCAGAGACATTCCGCAGAAGCGCGTCGATCCTGGGCGGCGCGTCTGGGCCAGGCGCTGGGCGGGGGGTGGGGGGTGCCACACCGTGCAAACGCCGCAAATGGCCGGGAGATGGCTTCGCTGCGCCAGGAGGAGACTATGATGAGGCACACCCTCAATTAACAACAACATTATTCAAACAACCCCGCGCTTTCACAAACATGGACGCTGGATACGGTGAGCTTTGATGGCCCTGTGTCTTAGGCCAGCAGCTAACAGTACAGACGCCCTTGACGCGGCCACGTCCTCGTACACAAAGACGCGAGGCGACGAGGGTGAGTTGAGACACCCTCCACCTTCCCTTCCCTTTGCCCCTCATATTCTGACGTCTCAGACCATTCTTCCTCCCGCCACCGCGAGGACCGCGACCGCGAGCGTGGAGGTGACCGCGAGCGCCGCCACCGCGACTATGAGCGCGAGGACAGGCACTCGTCGCGTTCAGACTACCGCCGCTCGGACCGGGACGATCGCCGCAGCGACAGGTCGCCTCCTGCTCGCAGGCGCGACTATGAAGAAGACTACCGCCGTTCGGACAGGGACGACAGGCGCAGGGACGACCGTTACGACGACAGGAGACGCTACGATGACCGCAGGCGGTACGACGACCGGGGTGACCGGGACTGGCGCGGAGGAGGCGGTGGTGGAGGTGGCAGGGATGACTGGAGGGGCGGAGGCGGTGGTGGGCGTGGTGGACGGAGGCGCGACTCGCCGCAGCGCTCGGCCACTCCCGAAGACGCTATTCCTCTCGAGGCGCGCAGCGTCGAGCCCTCGCTTTGGGATATTGCTCCTCCCCAGTTTGAGGGCATCAGCGCGTTGGAGGCCAAGATGACTGGTGAGCTGTGATTGTCTGGCAAAGCTAACAGACAGGCATGTTTACCTACGGACCGGGCCGTGTGGCGCCTCCTCTTCACCTTGGTCTGCCCTCGAGCTTTGCTGCGGGCATGATCAACCCCCTGCGCCAGAAGCAGCGCGTCTACGTGACCGACCTGACGGAGGAAATGACGGAGAGGACTGTTCTCGACTTTGTCAACCAGCTCATGCAGGAGCGTGGCCTCGCGACCGAGCCAGGCAAGCCTGCTACAATGTGCGAGATCAACAAGGAGCTCAAGTTTGCGTTCCTCGAGCTGCGAAGCGCCGAGGAGGCGACCGCTGCCATCGCGTTGGACGGAGCCGAGCTGGACGGTGTCGCCCTGCACGTAAAGAGGCCAAAGGACATGGTCGGCGTCGACCCCAACCTCGGCTTCATGGGCGTGTCCGGCGATGCCAACAACAAGCTCTTCGTCGGCGGTCTCCCTACCAACCTTTCGTCCGAGCAGGTCATGGAGCTGCTCAAGAGCTTTGGCGAGCTGCGTACTTTCAACCTCGTCAAGGAAGGCAACGGCACCGTGTCCAAGGGCTTTGCCTTTGTCGAGTACCTCGACCCGGCCGTCACCGACATGGCCATCCAGGGCCTGAACGGCTTCCAGCTTGGCGAGCGTTCCCTCGTCGTCCAGCGCGCGGCTACCACTGGCCGCGCCAGCGCCACCGCCCCGACTGTTGCCGGCACCGCCGCCTTCCTCGCCACCTCGTCGATTCTCCAGGCTCAAGAGGACGAAGCACCTGCGTCGCGCGTCATGCTCATGCTTAACATGGTCACCCCGGACGAGCTGTACGACGACCGCGACTATGCCGAGATTCTCGAGGACATTCGCGACGAGTGCTCCAAGTTTGGTGAGGTCGAGGGTGTGCGTATTCCCCGTCCCGTGCCCAAGAGCACCAAGTGGGAGCCTTCCGACAGCGCCGCCCAGACGGCCGAGAAGAACCGCCGTATGGACGACGAGAACGGCGTGGGCCGCGTCTACGTCATGTACTCGGACATTGAAAGCTGCACCAAGGCCATGAAGGCGCTCGGCGGTCGTCAGTTTGGCGGTCGCACCATCCTCGTCGCCAACGTCACCGAGGAGGACTTCCTCGGCCCTGCGCCCCCTCCCCCTCCCTCGCCTCCCCCGGCGCCCGAGGGTGATGGTCCTACGGGCAACGCGTACGACGACGACGGCCCGGCTCCTCCCCCGCCCCCACCCGGCCCTCCTCCCCCCGTCGAGGCCCCCGTGGATATCGAGACCGAGGCGGCCAACCTCCTCAACGACATTGCTGCGGGTCTCTAAAAATTGGTATTGTTAGGTGAAAATTCATGTGGCAGAAGGGAAGGTGTAACTGTAGCGTTCGTTGGTCGATGCATAGCATTGCAGTCAGTGACAGATATGGCATGAGCTCGCCTTGTCTTGCCTTGTCTGCCCCGCTCTCAACCCTGTTGCCATATTGCCATGCATTGATAGTGTGCAGCCCCATGCGCGGGGTGACCCATGCAGAGTCCTGTCTGTAGGTATAGAGAAAGAGAGGAAAAGTCAAGAAAGAGGGAGAGAGAGGAAAGGGGGCCAATTAATGCAAAATTAGGGCGTGGAGGTCGAACAGCACGCCCAGAGGTGTAGAACGAGAAGGTTTGGTTGGTCGGTTATACGAAGGTATTCGTAAAAGGGGGTATCGAGAGAGTTGGAGGGGTGAGGTTGTGGTGTGGTGAGGATGTTGGTTTTTGACTTCGTTTTTGTTCTTGTTGTTGCTGCTACTGCTACTACTCGTTCGCCATCGCGGGGACCGGTTTGTCGAGACGAGACGCACGCGCGCTCACCGACATGTGTACCTAATTTTGTGTCGGGTGGTGGCGGTCGTCGTCGTCGTCGTCTGGCCGTTTCCGTCCTCGGTCTAGTTGTCACTCGGCTCAGTCTAGCTTTGCACCGTTGTTTGCGGTCTACTTGTTGAGCGCACGCACGGCGGCCACCGAGCCGCCCAAAGGAGGGTGGAGCTGGTCGTAGTTCTTGGGCCGGCGGAAGAGGAGGATGTGCTTTGGGGTTTGTTAGTGGCAGGTACGGAAGCAAGGAGGCATGTGGATAGTTACTGGTTCCTGTGGCATGTATGGTCAGTGCGTGCGCCACAACAACAACAACAGGCGTCGACGGGCCGTGGAGTGGAGCCCAAGCAAGCCAGCGCACGAGATGGATTGAATGGCCGGGAACCATCTCCTCGCTCGCGATCGCTCGTCGCCTCACATCCATCGGCCCTCGCGATAACTCACAGGCTCGTGGCGGAGGTATTGCTCCCATCCAGGTGACTGACGAATGCCGAGTCCGCGCCACACGTCTTCGGCAAGGATGCCTGCGGGCACAAACTTGGCAATCTCCTTGGGCAGCTGCGCACGAGGTGAGCATGGACTCCTACGCCGATTTACTGTCAACTCACGATGACATGCCTGTAGGTTGGTGGAGGCAGGCGAGAAAGTAAACATTGGCGCAACGAGGAAAAGGCAAAGGGTCAGCACTCTGCCCTCAATCGTGTGGGCTGCTGGAGATAGCCAGGCTTCAGGCTCACCTGTACTCCCACTCGTCGTCTAATTGTTATCAGCTCTGCACTTGGACACATTGAGAGCTGCTCACCAGAATAGCGTGGGCTGTAGTTGATCTTCTCGTGGTAGCGTTCGATGGCACGGCGCTTGTCGTCGGCCGAGTAGCTCTTCTTGGACATTGTTGGGGAGAGGGGTGCGGTGGGGGGTATGGGTATGCTTACTGTAGACGGAGGGGGGGAATGTCAGTCCATGTGTGGGGGAGGGTAGAGGATCGGGCGAAGAAAGGACTCACACGAGTGTTTGTTTGTTTGACGAGAGGGAATGTGGAATATGCGGGTGTGTGAGGATGCCGGGGGAAGCCACAGACGGAAAGGGGGGGGAGGTATAGGGGAGAGGAGGAGGGTGGGAGAGGGGAGGGAGGAGAAGGGGTATGGAGAGAGTGTTTGCTTTGCCCAAGAGAGTATAGGAGTGCGATGTAGAGAGAGAGAGAAAGAGCAACACACGAGCGAGCGAAAGACGACACCATGTTGTGCCCAACTGGTTGTTTGGCCTGGGCGGGCGGGGGGGCGACAGCCACTACCCCACGGGGAAAACAGCCGGGCGGACGGGATCAAATCCCCCACATGGTCTCATCCGACGCGCGCCACGGCCCTTCTGGCGCAACGCCGTCTGTCTTCTGCGCTTCTGCCCATCTAAACAACACAGCACAGGCAGCAACAGCAAGCAGCAACAACAACAGATGCATCAGTCTGCTACATGTGCCTCAATACCGGAAAGAGCCAACACCCGGCGGATCACACATATCTACAACCGAAACACACTATAGCCATGCGCCTTCGCCTCGTGGTGGTGGGTATCTCGAATCCAGACCCATCACCCGGCCAGTCGATCGTGGGGCGCCATTTCAGACATTGAAAGGTGTGGGCGTGTGAGTGCAGTCGAGTCTTCGGTGTTCCAAAGGTTCATGAGACATGATCGATCAACCATGCCAGCAAGCGAGGTCGCGCAGGTCGTCCAATGTTGTGTGGCCCTGCCGCAGCAACATGACAGCGTGACCATTTGGTTCTGCTGAAACATGCGGGGGTGCTGTGACAACAACAACACCGAACGTCCTCAACCTTCAGACAGATCCATTGGGAGGCCGAAGCTGGGCCTGGACGGATCTCAGGCACCGAGCAAGCTTCGTCTCGGTGCGTGCCATCCGCACAAAAGTGATTGAGCAATGTTGCGTTGCGGCGTCTTGTGTTTCTGGGATATCTCGCAAGAATTTGATTAGGCCGGCGTCAAGCTGCCAGCAAGGGGTGGAGGAACAGCTGGAGAATATCGATTCACACTCTCACGTCTCGGGCGGACATCGGTACGTGGGAGCAGAGCTACACACTTGCGCCTGCACACATTGTGGTGGGGCCGCAAGTGTGTGTTCACGCTTAGCGCGGTGGCCTCTTGGCGCTGCCGAACGGATCGAAGCGTGCGCTGCGGGCGGTCGGCGTCGGGGGTGACGGTGCCGCAGTGGCAGTGTTACGACGCTGCCGGGGTCTTGCTTCGCCATCGTGTTCTCCGACTGCGAGTTGTCGGGAAGCGTGGTCTGGCAGGTCAACATTTGACCTCTCGCACACAGGTCGCAAGCCGCACCCACCGACATTCCTTGCCGCAGCTTTCTGCTCCTCTGCCGTTCTCACGCGCGTCCGACTGGACGGCAGGCCAGCGGACACCTCCGCAAGCCAGGTGGCATACAGCGATATATGCTTGTCGAGCTTTTCCACAAGATACTGATCTAACTTGATGTCGTCCTCGATCCCGTCCTTGGCCCACCTGGCCTCGACGTAGTTCGCGTGGCCTTCAGGTTTACCTTGATCGCGGTCGTCGCGGAACTGCGCCACGACACCTAGGAGGTCCCGCCGTTCGGCCCGGCTTTCTTCGATGGCGCCGTCGAGATCGGCCTTGATTGCCCGGTACAAGAGGATACGGCTTTCGAGACGCCGGCGATTGTAGGCGGTGCCCTCCTCAGAGAAACCCATGGGGACGTCGCGGTGGTTGAAGGCATATTTGTGGACAAACGCTTGGTTGCGCTTTTGGGCGGCGATGATCCCCGCGGCAGTGGGAGCGGGAATGGACGAGGACGAGGACGAGGACGCGGAAGACACAGCTGAGGGGTCCATGTTGAAGGCCGTTTGGGTCGGAGTGGCGCTTGTGAGGCCTGCACGGACGCCCCGCTCCAGCAAGGCGGTAAGCTGGCTGTCGGGGGAGAAGGGCGGCGAGTAGGAGCTGACTGGTAGCTGGCGACTGACGGCCTCTGGGGTGGGAGAGAGAGAGGGAGTGGGGAGGTTGTGGATGTCAGGCTTCTTGTCTTCTGGCTCGCCGAACATGGCCAAAGAATATATCGGTTGGGAGGTGTGGTGATGGTGCAAAGTCTACTCGGGGAGGTATCGCTGTACTTTTATATCGCCTGGGGGCGGTGGGTGCGACCTTATCCTGGATGGGTGATGTGGTGATGTTGGAAAGCTGGAACACCAAAGTGAATAGGTGATGACCTATTGTATTATCAGTGAGTGAGACGCGAGGAACTGGAAAGTGAGGAAAGTGATGCGTGGTCGCTATATATCCCAGCTCTCACATCAGCAAACACTTACGGCAGATTCCACCATGATAAAATCAATAAAACCACAATCCACAATGCTACACACGCCGCCCCCCTCCCCCCTTGTCCCCTTGGCCCACACGTACGCACGGTCGTCATACCCTCACGTACCTCACGCCATGTCTGTCTGTGGCTTCACATATGTGTGTGCGTGTCTTTGCGCCAAGCGCCACATCCGACGCCGACGCAAAACGGGGGGGGGGAGGGGTTCGGTAAGCGAGCACCTCTCCCACGCCTAGAAAGTTCTCCCAGCAGCTGGTGGCCAGCAAGCTACAGACTCGTAGAGTAGATGGTACCCCAGCGAGTCAACTGACTGTCACTTGCCAGAGGCCAGAGGTAGTTGCACCGCTGCTTGGCCTTGGGTGGCGGCCCACAAAGTGTGAATTTGCTTCCGTCGCCTGCCACCAGTGGCACTTGGGGGAACAGCGCTGTGTTGATGTCAGATGCGGGGGAGACAGAACTCTATCGCGTCCTACTAGTATTGATATGTAGATCTGTAGGGTATGAAGGGACCTCACTCGATGCTGGTTTCGTGGGCTTACCATATATAATAAAGGAAACACTGATCAATAACCGGGCAATATACTTACTCAAACTCTACAATCAGGGCCCAGGATTACAACCTTGGGATTTCCACTGAGGTGCCAGACCAGGTTTGGTAGTGTGTGTATCCTATAGCTATGAGTTTGCTCGTTCGGCGACATTCTAATCACCCTCGTTTGCCTCTGGATGCATCATATCCTGGTGTCATCAACGAGTGTAAGTTCCGGTATTTGCGTAATTTTAGGCCTTGGGTCGCCCCGACCTTGTGGTTCTTGTGTCCACCATGGCCCTGTAGATATAGAGTGTAGTGTAGGACGAGAAATACTGCCATAAGCCGGGCCAGCAGCGGGCTCAGTGCCATGTCGGCCTCCAATGCGTGCGCGAACCGAAGACAATTACGCTGCGTACCACCACTATATGAGCGACACGTTTTGTTTTCGTTGATGACCTCAATTTGTGTATGTGAGGACACCATGGGTCATTTGCATGCGGACACAAGCATGCAAGCACACAAGTCGTCGCATGCATTGCAACAGTGACGCCTGGGGCCCAAGATGACGGAGGACGAATGATGTCAACAAACCGACAGGGTCGCCACCCAACTGTGCGGCCAAAAATGCGGACCTGGTACACACCAATTTGCCTCCGTCCCAGCAAAGCAAGGCATATCCATCTCATCCATCGCCAACATCCAGTTCCTCCACAATCACAACAAATACCCACCGCATCGCGCTCAATACGCGTAGGGGAACCCACACAGCTAAAGCGCACATAAAAGTGTACCTCTGGCCCCCCTGATCTCGGCTTTCGACACATCACGCGACCCACGACAGCACATACGGGCCAGCTCAACCAACTGGCATACTTTGACCTCCACCTCGTCTCCCCTTCATTTCAGGTCCACCCCCGCACTTAACCGCCGCCATGGACGCGGCGGCTCTCACTGCTGTTGTCAAGGAGCTCAATGAGGCGAACGCTGGCGGAAAGACTGAGGTGAGAACGCGTGGATGCGGGCTTTACTGACTATCCAAGGATGTTACCAGGCTTCTCAAGAAGCTCAAGACCGACCTTCAGCCTACCGAGGAGCTCCTCCGTGTAAGTCGAGGTGGCGACAGCATATCTGACCCTACAGACGACTCGTGCAGGTATCGCCGTCGGCAAGTTGCGCCAGCACGCGACCCCCGCTGTGAGCGCGTTGGCAAAGGAGATTGTCAAGCTGTGGAAAGACGCGGTCGAGGAGAGCAAGCGCAAGCGCAAGCGTGACGAGGACAAGGGAGAGGACAGCGTCAAGCGCGTCAAGGCCGAGGGTACTGCTGGCAGCAGCGCTGCTGCGTCCCCAGTCGCGAGCACTCCCGGTGCGGTCACTGCGGATGGCAAGGACAGCAGCAAGCCCAACTCGAAGGGTCCCAAAAGCCCCGGCTCGCCCGCACCCCTGTCGACCATCGTGACGCGTACCACCGCGCGCACGTCCAAGTCGGACGGAGTCGACAAGACGCTCCGTGCAGACAACACCGATGCCGCCGCCGACACTGTCCGTGACAAGTGTGTGACCATGATCTACGACGCTCTGGCCATCGACTCGAACGCCGCCGTCAAGGTCCTCTCGGAGCGTGCCGTCAGCATTGAGAGCGAGGCGTTCAAGCTCCTGAACTACTCGACCGGCAACGACTACCGCGGAAGTGAGTAACCCTTGCAGCACACTAGAACTGACCCGAGCAGAGATCCGTTCGCTCTTCCTCAACCTCAAGGACAAGGGCAACCCTGGTCTCCGCAACGAGATTGTTCTCGGCCAGATTACCTCGGACAAGGTGGTCCGCATGTCCAAAGAGGTGAGCGAGGGGTTCATGGACGCGTGACTGAACTCGCACAGGAAATGGCGTCCGAGAGCGTCCGTATGGCGGACGCCAAGATCAAGGAGAACAACCTCTTCAAGGCCAAGGCCGTGGGCGAGATCCAGGCCGAGACCGACGCGTTCAAGTGCGGTAAATGCGGACAACGCAAGTGTACCTACTACCAGATGCAAACCAGAAGCGCAGACGAACCTATGACTGTGAGTTTCCCTCGATACGACCATGGACGTTGAGCTGACGGAATTTTCCAGACCTTCGTGACGTATGTTTGTGATCCGCAACTCATTAATATCCACAACGCATTGCGACACTTGCTGACCTCTGTACAGCTGCACAGTCTGCGGAACGCGTTGGAAATTCTCGTAATGGAAACGTGGGGGAGGGCGGGGGGGAAGTGGAGAAGACTAGCAGCCCACCAGAGGCAGGAGGAGGGTCAGCAGGGTCGGAGAGACGATGAGAAGGACCAGTCGTGTGGAACGCGAGCGGAATCAAGTTTCTGCCAAAAAGCCCAAGAGCAGCGACCATGTCCTCCTCTCTCTCCAGTGCCACGACTTACAACGACCTCCTCCATCCCACTCTCCCGTAACTTGTTTGTAACGCGCATTCACAGATGCATATATATGAGGGCTCCCACCTCTTTGACGGCCACCTTGTCCTTGAACAGGAGAAGCTTGACATCCGAGAGCTTGGTGCACTGCTAGCCCACTGAAAGTCAGATCAGCGATTGTGACGTTGTTGTTGTTGTTGTTGTTGGGTAGAAGCAGTTAATGGAGGAGAAGTGAACGAGGAAGACGCTCGCAGAACGCTGAGAAAGTCCTGAGCCAGAAATTGCACCGCCAGTGCTGGAGGAGCAAGACCACAAGCAATGGAAGCCACCAATATGGCAGCAAGAGCAAGTGTTCGTTTGTTTTGACTGTATTTCAACCCGCCTCCCACGCAGGGCAGTCGTCTCCCGTAATAACATGCCCAACCACTGGATCACTTGGCAGCGGTCCTATGCACCCTCCATGAGGAGCGACAGGACGAACCCCGCGACTTGTAATCTAGCTGGCGTTCGGCTGCTAATCAGGTTAATCATGTTACTCGAAATGATGTTTGCCCATTGTGACACTTGGTTCTTCCGGGGCCACGAATGTTACTTTTGTAATACCACCGCGTCATTGCTATTGAGGACTTTTAAAGAGAGGCCGACCATTTACAAAAAAACTCGGCAGCCCACCTGGCGCCACCTGTCCTGGCCCTTACACACACCCCCATGAGCTGGTGGCCGGCAAAATCCGCGTGGTTGGGTTTATGCGTTTCCGGGTGTACTCTACGGCTAGATACGCTCGCTGGATCGCTGGACGGTGCATGGGGGGGTGCAAATTGACCCATGTTGCCCTGTGTTGGGTCAGTCAGCAGCACGTCAGCACGTCAGCGCCGTGGAAGATTGCAGAGGCCGTTGGGTGTGTCAGCTTTTTTGGCTGTGCCGGCCGTGCCGGCTTGTGCGCCTTGTGCGGGCTTCGCGCGGGGGGGGCGGGGCTGTCTGGGCGGTCAGGTCAGCCTTACCTAAGCCCATTTTGCACCATTTTCAGCTTCCGGCCGATTCTCTGCGTTGCTGGAGAGCTGGCGACCCACACCCCTCCGCTCGGGACGGACGCGTCCTTTCCGTTCTTATCCATCGCGCCAGAGAGATCTTTCCAGTCTCCCTTTTTTTTCATCTCCTCCCTCTCGCCCACCACGTCTTTTATAACTCGCACTCCCCTCCGGGCTCGCAGCTTGACCGCACGCATCACCCCCGCTACTTTCCGTCGCCTCGTCCACACCCCACCACCCCCGCCTCCCCCTCCCCACCCTACCGTGTCAACAGGTCGCCTCGCCGCCCTCTCCTCCATCCCAGACCACCGCAAACAGTCCAAAATGGCCCCCATTCCATCCGTCAACGTCGTTGAGCCCACCAAGGGTGGCGTCCGCTCCGGCAAGAAGCACTCGGACGTCGTCATCATCGGCTCGGGTCCCGCTGGCCACACCGCCGCCATCTACCTGGCCCGTGCCAACCTCAACCCCGTCCTCTACGAGGGTATGCTCGCCAACGGGTGAGTAACGCTGCGTGTACGGCGTAGAGGGCATAGTCGTCTTCGCACGACCATCAAGCTCTGGTCTGAATCGTCTCTCTGTGGTCGCATGATGCCTAAATGGCGGAGCGACCCGGGTAAACGGTTCGCGACCCCTGCAGACAGCCCAGACCCTTTACGCGCCGGTTACACGGACGAACGTCAGAGAACATCACGCTGACTGTGCAGCTTCGCCCCCGGTGGCCAGCTCACCACCACCACCGACGTCGAGAACTTCCCCGGTTTCCCCGAGGGCGTTACTGGCCCCGAGATGATGGACAAGTTCCGTGCCCAGTCGGAGCGCTTTGGCACTGAGATCATCACCGAGACCATTGCCAAGGTCGACTTCTCGCAGCGTCCCTTCAAGTACTGGACCGAGGGCGAGGAGGAGGACGCCGACTTTATGACTGCCGACTCGATCATCATCGCCACTGGTGCCTCTGCCAAGCGTCTCCACCTCCCCGGAGAGGAGACCTACTGGCAGTCGGGTATCTCGGCCTGCGCTGTCTGCGACGGTGCCGTCCCCATCTTCCGCAACAAGCCCCTCGCCGTTATCGGCGGTGGTGACTCGGCTGCCGAGGAGGCCATGTACCTCACCAAGTACGCTTCGCACGTCTACGTTCTTGTCCGCCGTGACGCCCTCCGTGCGTCCAAGATCATGGCCAAGCGTCTCCTCGCCCACCCCAAGGTCACTGTCCTCTGGAACACTGTCGCCACCGAGTGCCTCGGTGACGGCGACCTCCTCACTTCGCTCAACCTCCAGGACGTTACCACCAAGGAGGAGCGCAAGCTCGAGGTCAACGGCCTCTTCTACGCCATTGGTCACGTTCCCGCCACTTCGCTCGTTGCTGGCCAGATCGCGACCGACGAGGATGGCTACATCGTCACTGTCCCCGGCACCGCCCAGACCTCGGTGCACGGTGTCTTCGCCGCCGGTGACGTCCAGGACAAGCGTTACCGCCAGGCCATCACCTCGGCCGGTTCGGGATGCATGGCTGCCCTCGAGGCCGAGCGTCTCCTCGCCGAGGAGGAGGAGGATGCCGACGTTGCTGCCGCTGAGGCCAACGGCAACGGCGTTGCCACCAACGGCCACTAGGGCCAGGCTAGACTTTAGACTAGAGTGATGCAGAGACGTAGTTACGCAGGAAAGCGCAGTGCAGCTGGAGCCAGCAGACTGACCGTTTGGCTGGAGCCAGCAGACTGACCAAATGGTTGCCAGCTTGCAGCTTGAACGGTGCTCGCAGTCGTTCGGTTTGCATTGCATGGACACGGACATCTCGTCGCGATGCCAAGCAACAACACTACACAGGGTAAGAATGCATGACCAAGCTCTTCCCACGGCCCCATCACACGACCCAGCTTCCGGCCTTTGCTTGTTTACGAAGGACGATGTACCACGATGTACCTTCCCAGTAGAGCACACGCTCGGTAAATGTCGGCATTCCCAACGTTTTTTTCTTCTCGTCACCAGTCACCGGCTATTTCGGGTGATAGTTTGGTAATCTGCAGTAAGCTGCAATTGCTGGCTGCAGTGGTCACTGGTCACTGATCACTGAAGCTCCCAAAACTCCAGAACCCATCGAGCATGGAGCGACGGAGCGCGTCTCCGGACATCTCGCCGACACTCTGCATACCCCGGGGGCCGGTGGCGAAGCAAAAGGGCTCTGTCGACCGCAGGGTCAGCTACGCACAGAGCTGATCAAGGCATGAGTAAGTGCCAAGCCTGCTGCTGCGCCGCTGCGCCAACATGGCTGCGCACGCGGACCCGACGGCCGATCGTGCTTCAGCCCATGTCCAGCTGCCGCGCGTCAGTACTGTTGTGCGAACTGGGCCACCTTGGCCGTCCGTTGCAGCATCGCAGACGCAGCGACCAGCTGGCGGAGGCACTATCTGATATAAGCGCGTCGCGCCGCGTGCGGGGGATAGGTTTAAGGGGCTGTGAAAGGTGAATGTCAGACGCGTACACAAACAATCCACTGTGATGTCGCACATGGCACCGTGGATCTGCCCGATCTGCCCCAACATGCCAGCCAGAGGAGCTCCTTCTCTTTCCTTCCCTTCCCTCTCTCTTCGCAATGATGAAAACAGATAGCATTGTGGGAGACTACATGGACCCCCCTCTCAGATCTCGGATGATGCGACAGAACCTAAAGAAAACTCTACCCCTCTCTCCCTCTACCCACCCAAACGCTCACTGTAACACTCTGTACTCTGTAGTCTAAGACTCTACTCTTAGAACATTTGGCGGGTGGCGCGCTTCAGGTGTCGGTTGACAATGGGTCCGTTCTCGTCCCACCAGGGAATGACCTTGTCGTTGAGGACTGGCACCACGGTACCGTGGAACCACGGGGCGATCTGGGGCCAGAGAGTGGGGATCATGGCGTGGGTGACAAAGACGCCAAAGAGGCATGCAAAGATGAAGCGCATAAACTTGAGCGCAAACTCGGTCCAGGTGAGAGGCTTGTGGGGGTGCAGGGCGAGGCGGCGGGCCTCCTCGCGCTGGCGCTTCTCAAAGTACCTCAGCTCCTTGCCGGGGGCCGGGGGAGGGGTGATGAGCGAGAAGAGGTGGGTGTTGAGGACGAACGCGACGTTGGCCTCGCGCACAAGGGCCGCTGGGAAAATGTCAGCTAGAAGAAAAGGAACTAGCTCAACTCACCCTTCAGCTTCTCGTCATCGCCGGCACCCTCGTCCATGCCCGTGCGGTACCACACCTTGACGTCGTTGAGCTTCTTCTTGCGCTCGCCGACAGTCTCCTCGCCGGCCACGACGGCCGCCTTGTCGTCGCCAGTGATGGCAACGTCAAAGTAGTAGAAACGACGGCCGTCAAGACCGGGAAGGTTGTACGCCTTGCGGAGACGGGCACCGATGATCTGGCCACCGCTCAGGTCGCCGAGGTAGCGGACGTAGGCGTGGGCAAGGAGGCGGGGGGCAGTGGCCTCGCTAGCGGCCAGCTCGTTGACGCGGTCCATGTACACGCGGAGAGCTGGGGGAGTGATCACAAACACCTCCTCGAGGAAAGGGGGCAGGGGGAAGGGAGGGAGGGGGACGGAGGGGTTGGACGCGAGGGGGTTCTTGCTCTCCTTGGTCAGGTCCTTGGGGAGACGCTTGAGCAGGAACTTGATGTCCGCGGCGAGCTCGGGGGCACGGGCAAGGAGAGTGGGGTCGTAGGTGGGAGCAAGAACCGTGTTGGAAGCATGCGCCGCCAGGCCCTGCTCGAGCGCGCTTCGCGAGGCGTCAGCTGATGATCAACGGGATGGGTGGCAACTACGACCAAAAACACTCTACTCACTCGTAAACACGCCAGAGAAGCGCGAGCCAGCGAATGTACTCCTGGAGCTCGAGCTGGCCGTTGGTGAGCGCGACAGCACCCTCGCTGTGCTCGGCGGCAACGTGGGCACGCTGAGTGCCCTTGCGGAGCAGCTCGGAAACGGGACGCGTAAAGTCCAGCTCCTCGGGAAGCGGCCACTCGTCGACAGAGGCCGGCTTATTGCCGTCTCCAGCGCCGCTCTCGTACAGCAGGCCCTCGAGGGTCAGCTGGTCGCTGGGGATAACGGACGCGGGCGCGTTGGGCTCAAAGCCGGGAGTCACATCGCCATTCTTCTCGTCGGAAGCCTGGGCGGCGGCGACGGAAGGGTGGCCGGGCGGGGTGGGGGTGTCCTTGTGGTGGGGGACAGGACACGACATGGTGAGAGAAGGGGAAGGGGTGGCGAGGAGGGGGCTGGGATGGAGTGATGAGGTGAGCAAAGGAGAGATGGGAGGTGTTCACGTAACGTTAGCAAATGGTATCTGATAATGGCGCCATATGGGTCTCCCCTGTCGGGCCTTGGCCCTTTTGTCCAGCCAGTCAGCGGGGCCAGCGTGCAGACGACGTGGGGGATTCCTCCCAGCGTGGTGGTAAATAATGGTTCTGCCTGCGAGATCACATCTCTTGGCGTCTCGCTTTTCGAGCGGGGCGCGGGGTCGCCCCTTTGTTCGGACCTTCGGCCGAGCATGGTGGCGAGGCTGCCTTGCTCTGCGTAATGTTCTGTGCATATCGGTGCCACTCTGGAGAATGCATGGATGGATGCAGCATCCCGGGGAAAGGCTTGTCCTTCAGAGCCCCAATGCACAGAAATGTTTCTCGCCCTATCAGTGTTCATTTGGCGAGGAAAGCGAGGCCCATGCGCCCATGTGTGCAGAGCCACGCGAGACGTACAGTATCGACGTTCGTGGCGAATGGCACTCCGCCATCGAAGTGGGGCAGCAGTGATACCCCTATCAGCAGAATGTACAGGACCCATGTCAGGCAGTGACTAGTGTACAGTGTTCTGCCTTTGACCTCGTTACCACTCACTCCTTGCGAAACAGCCGCCCGTTGCTCTGCAACCCGTCAACTTGGCCTCGGTCGGCCGACTGCCATGCCAGGAACCAAGAACGCCGAGAGCACTCGGAAACTCGGCAGACTCGCCACTGATCAATGCTGTCGTCCGCTGCTCACTGACAGTTCGTTCCAGAGACTCAGCTGCCGCATCCTTGGCATGATTTAGAAGCAAAGGAACTTCCGGCCGAGGGTTTCCAGCTACCTGGTCTGCTGTAGTCCAGTGGCCAGTCAGTGGTAAGGCACTACGTGAGCCCAAGTATGTCATGTCACTTCTATCATTTCCCTCTGTCTCCAAGCTGAGGACAAACCGGAGATCCGGCCACGGAGACCGTCCTGGATTCCTGGACTGTGCTCCACAGTTGGGAGTTCATGAAGACGAAGAGATGGGCGATCAGCGGGCGTCGATCAATTCACAGATCGGCAGAGCGATTAAATAGGTTTGATATGTGTTTGATTAACCTCCGATAAAGGCCGCCGTTGTTATGGCACTAATGCATCATTAGAGAATCTCATCCCGTCACATGAAAAACACACTATGGGCCGGTTGACACCCCTGTCGAGCTGGGTAATGCGTTCTCCCAATCTGCTCCCGCGCTCACCGCCTCCACTCGCAGCGGACGGCCTCCAACGCGCGCGTTCCGGTTATTGACGTTGAGCGTTGACACGCTCTAGTCCACCCATCGGACAATGCGGCAGAGGGTGTGTGTTCCTCCTCCTCCTCCTCCCCTCCCTTCAAGCTGACCCTCTACAGGCGACGCCGAACTCGACGCCGCCCATAACCCCCGTCATGCTCCCCTCACATCGCGACGAAGCCACCATCCCACTCACCACAATGGGCTCGGACGACCTAGCAACCGGGACGGGCGCCGGCATGCGTGAGCGCAACGTCCACAAGCACCATGACCATGACAAGGGGTATGGCTGTGGACCCGATTGCAACATTACCGACCTCACCATCAATATTCCAGGCTCGACACGGCGAGCCGGGGCTGACGACCCACCACCAGCCCGCTGGCGCACTCCCGAGTTTATGTTTTACGGGCTGGTCTTTGCAATTGTCGTGCCAATGCTCATCTGGTGGCCCATCAAGCTCAGTTCATGTAAGCTGCGGTGCCTGCAATGCATAGCTGACATGCAGCTCAGAGCCCCAACTACTGGCTGTATTCGCCACGCCTGTCACAAGGGTGGCTGTTCGGTTGGAAGGTCGACGGCAGCGACCCTCAGTACAAAACGTTTCGAGGCAACCTCAGCGCGCTGCTCGGTCTGGGTATTGCCTTCCTAATCCCATCTCACCTAGTCCGGTTCGCAGGGTACACCAGCCCACAAGCACGCGTGCGGTTCATTACATGCTTTGCAGCTCTGATGCTGCTGGTCCTTCACGGCATTGGCGCGTTCAAGGTGGCGATCATCCTGGCCATCAACTACTTCATTGCTACGGCGCACAAGCCGCCTGCAGTTGCCCGTGTGTGGCCCGCTGTGGTGATTGTGCTCAACATGTTCATCTTGTTTGTCAACGAAAAGTGTGACGGATACAAGTTTGCCGCTGTTAGCGAGAGCCTGGCATGGCTGGACGGAAAGTCGCTCAACGGCCTGCACCCGCGCTGGCACGTCAACTTCAACATCACCATGCTCCGCATTGTATCATTTGCTCTGGACGCGCATTGGCGTGTGGCCCCGCCTCCCACCACACCTACCGACCAACGGACACGTACGGCCGCGTCGCTCCCCGACTCGGAGTACAGCTTCCTCAACTATTTCGCGTACGCCGTCTACCCGCCGCTCTACATTGCCGGGCCGATCATGACGTTCAACGACTTTGTGTGGCAGCTCCACAGCCCCGTACGCGTCACTGCGCGTGAGCGTATCAGCTACGCCATCCGTTTCCTCTTCTGCTTCCTCACGATGGAGTTTATCCTCCACACAATGTACGTCATCGCCATCAAGGACACAAAGGCATGGATGGGCAACGGGCCGGCCGACCTCAGCCTCATCGGGTTCTGGAACTTGGTCACTGTGTGGCTCAAAGTGAGTCTGAGGTGGCCAATTTGCGTCTCCATATGAGCTAACCTCCATCCCCAGCTTCTCATCCCATGGCGCTTCTTCCGTCTATGGGCGCTCCTCGATGGTGTCGACCCACCCGAGAACATGGTCCGCTGTGTTGCCAACAACTATTCGACTCTGGGCTTCTGGCGTTCCTGGCACAGGAGCTACAACCTCTGGATTGTGCGGTACATCTACATCCCACTCGGCGGCGCCAAACGCGTCGTGCTCGCCACCACCATGGTCTTTACGTTTGTCGCGCTGTGGCACGACCTCAGTTTCAGGCTCTTGGCCTGGGGCTGGCTTGTGTCCTTGTTCATTGTACCTGAACTGGTGGGCCGCGCACTCGTCCCGGCGTCAAAGTACGGCAAGGAATGGTGGTACCGCCACGTCGCGGCCATGGGCGGCGTGGTCAACATCCTGCTCATGATGAGCGCCAACCTCGTGGGCTTTGTGCTCGGCCTCGACGGCATGAAGCACCTCGTCCATGAGCTGTTGACCACTGCGAACGGCTGGATGTTTACCGGGTTTGCGTCGGCATGTCTCTTTGTCGGCGTCCAGATCATGTTCGAGTACCGCGAGGAAGAGGCCCGCCGTGGTATCGACCGGAGGTGTTAGGTGTGTTTGTTTTGCTGTGGTTTCTTCTCCCTCCTTTCCTAGAATGTTACATATATCTCTTGCAACAACCAACCAGCACTGTGTAAAGACTGCATTGGTGTTCGTCTGCAACTGAACAAAACTATACTACTATGTCACAACTAAACCAAAACCGAACTGGTATTTCAAAGCCCATCGCCGGGGGGTTTGGGTATTTTCACGACCATCTCGTCGCTCTAGCTATATCTAGGTGCACCCATGGGAGAGGCTCAAGTTGCCCGAGGGGGGACGACTGGCCGAGTTGTCCATCGGTGAGACGAACGGGTTGATACGCCTCTCGAGGTCGCGCTGCCTTCGACTGTGGAGGTTCGAGATGATGCCGGCCAGCGCGGCCGTGGCTACCTTTGCGCCATGCACGCTTGCCGTGGCGATGCTCGGGGACGGAGACAGCGGCGAGGTGGGCGAGAGCGCCATCGGAGACTGGGGGACAGGCGAGAGTGGAAAGCCAAGACGGAGGAGCGGTGTGACGAACGGGTCGGAGTTGCGGCGGTCACGCTCGCTGGGAAGAGGGGCAGGAGGACGCGCTGGCGATGGACCGAGGGACGGGGGTGCACTGCATGCCGGAGTGGTGTTGAGGCTCAGCCTGCCCCCACCGCCAAAGCTCGTACCGCTGGCTCGGCTCGGTCGCGAAAAGGTGGTGGCATAGGTCATGCCCGATTTTCCACTGGGGAGACCATCGTTGAGGTCGGCGGCGTAGCTCCCCCGCTCAGAGTCGACCAACTCGACGTCATCGGCACCTCCACGGCCGAAAGGGTCGGCCTCGTCACCTGCCTCACTGCCCCAGGCCGCCATCCCAGTCCCGGCAGACTGATGGTGGCTAGCGGTACTGCAGTGTGTGCTGCGACTGGCGCTGCGACCGACACTGCTGCTGCAGCTCGTCCCGCGCCACGCGCTGGGCCCCGATTCTGACCCGGAGCGAGACAGGGACGTGGACGGTACCGCAAGGTGTCCGTCGGCAGACAGGTAGTGGTCCGAGGTGTTGGCACGGCTCATCTCCTGGGTCCCGGATGGAGGGCCGGGCGGGCCATGGTTGGTAGACGAGATGGGGCTCACAGCATCGGTTGGAAAGTCACTGACGGCGCGAGGAGGAGGGGGAAGGGAGCGCCCAGTGACACTGGTCACATCGCTGACACTCATGGCGTCCTGGCTGTGTGCATTCATGACCACTAGGCGGCGCACGTCGTTTGTCGGGATCGGGGTACCGGCGGCATAGTATCCGCCACTACGGCGCCAGCGCGCGGCGACACCAAGGGCCTCGAGCGAACCTGCGAGCGGCGTTGAAGGAGGTTCGCCGGTAAGTGGCGCCGGCGAGGCGAACGGGATGTCGAAGTGAGGTGTACGCGCAGTGCCGGCGCGCGAGGCTCCAAAACTGCTCTCGCTTGGAGTTGGCTGCGGGCGGAGTGCGCGCAGATACGCACCCACTCCGCCTGTCACGCGCTGGAGCCAGTAGGCCTGTTCGACAGGCGGGGCCACCGGGTCAAGAAACGGGCCAAACGAGCCACGGATCTCGGGTGAAGCGGGGGCAGGGGGCACAGGCGCAGGCGATGACCTGGATTGTGCTGGAAGCGGGGTCGACACATAACTCCTCATGGCGAGGAAGGCGTTGCCCGGAGCAGCAAGAGAACGGAGGCTGCCCCGTCCGGCACTGCTGCCCTGCCGGCTGGGAGGCGAAGCCACGTTCAGACCACTGTCTTGACCAGGCGTGTGCCTCCCGCCAGAGGCCTTTTCGCCCGCATAGTCAACGACGGCGCCGCCAGGCCACTGACCATCCTTTTCGCCGGAAGGTCCCTCCGGAGGCGGTGGGGGTCCCTTGCTTCTCCAGGCAAAGTAGTGCTCACGTCCTCCAGAGTTCCAAACCACAACGAGCAAACCAATGAGGACGAGGACAGCGTACACTGCCAGGAGGATGGCGTAGATTGTGCGCTCGGCGGCGAGAGCCGCTTGAAAGTGGTTGACGAGGTCAGCGATGACGCCCTCGTTTGGGTCGTTGGAGGTGCCGGCTGCAGCGGCCGAGATAGGTGCCACCAGTTCGAGCATGCTCGCGTTGGACAGTTGGAGGACGTTTGGGTCGATTGTTGGAAGGTCAATGTACGCGTGCTCCGACACCCAAGTGAGACCCTTCTCGAGGTTTGTAATCTTGGATCCGAGGATGCAGTACACAAAAGTGTTGATGGGGTTGTACAGGATCGTGCCACCAAATGAGGCGTTGAGCACTGCGCCAGTCAGCTAATGCCGCAATACTTGGGATGGACAACGCACCAGTCTCAACCTCGGAGTAGAATGTGACGAGAGTAGAGTTGAGGGTGACCGCCGTGGTATTGACCCAGCTACCAAAGAGGTCATTGTTCATGCTGTCCTGGACGGTCGATATGGCAGCGTTCATGTCCTTGGCATAGGACGCAGACGCGTCGGCGCTGAGAGCATTCAGGCGGGCGACGAGGTCGTCCGTGGTGGCCGCGATAGTTGCGTTGGCCGACTCTTGCATGCGGTGCTGGATGGCGTGAAGCGCGACCATCTGGATCTCAATGGCGATGAGACCAACAACGGCCATGCAGAAGAGCGTGAGCATGGTCGGGTGGCCAAGGTAACTGAGCAGCCAGCGGAGGTTGTTGCGTGTGCGTGGCGACGCGTTCATCTTGTTGAGGACGGGCCTGGCATACCTCTCAAGAAAAGGATGCTCGACCACGGCCACAGTGGCCCATGCATCCGTCGGGCGAGCGGATGCCCACTCGGTTTCGACAATGACCACAGTGTCTTGGAGAGCACGCCAGCGGCGCCATTGCCAGAATGCGAGCACGCCCCAACCGCCGAGGAGGATGAGGACCATGGCGACAATGCCCCAAGTACCGAGCTTGTGCAGCGCCGACGCCGTGTCGTCGATGAGGGACGTGTTGAGGTCCCCACACAGCGCAGACTGGAGGCTGGACGCGTCTTGGGCACCCAAGGTCGTGAGGCTCGGAACGGGGAAAGCTGAGTCGTTGAGGTTGGCGGCAATCTCTAGACGCGTTGTGTTGATCTCGTTCTTGAGCATCTCAAAGGGGGTGTCAATGAGCTCGTTGATCTTGTCCTTGAGCTCGTCCAGAGTAGGCATCGAGGTATTGAGCTTGATGAGCGTGTCCTCAAAGCCGGTCGGGATGGTCACGTTCTCGAGAAAGCTGAGGGCGGGGATGGTCATGTTTGGCACAAACAGGTTGACATCGATGAGGGACGTGACAGACTGGGGGGTCAGCTTCCGGCCCAAGTCGTTTCCGAGCTCACGTTGATGGCTGACACTGCCCCTTGAACAAGGTTGTTGGCGGACGCAATGTCAGACTGGATTTCCTCTCGAATGGAGTTGAGTGAGCTTGTAACCGCCGTGCTGATCTCCTCCACGGCTGCGATCAGGATTTCCAGCGTGCCCTGGACCACGAGGTACACTGTGCACAAAAGGAGAGAGCGATATGTGTCAACAATAAAGTTGAGGACTTGCTCAATGATGGTGATGCAGTCCATGAGAGCGATTCCCACGGCGAGCACGCTCGCACGCGTGGCGCGAAGGACTTGGTCGTTGGTCTGCATGGCGAGGTAGCGAGGGAGTGCCTGGAGACTGCTGGCGCCGGTTGCAAGGCCGCTGCAAGCGCTCATGAGGCTGCTTCGCAACGTGGCGGCGAGCTGAGCCGTCGAAGCACGCGTCTGTGCAATGTGCACAATGGTAAAGACAAAGGGGAGGAGGGCAGGCGAAAACGTCGTAAGGAGGAGACGCGGGCCAAGCGAAAGAAACGGACGCAGACCAGTCGACTGGGCATGCGGGTCTGGCGGGTCCTTGAACGGGTCCGATGAGTAGTATCCGCCCTCATCATTGTACGTCTTTGGAGTAGGTGGCAGCGCAGGGGTGACTGACCTGCTCGCACGACCGCCGCGAGAGAAGCGGTAGGCTGAAAAGGGCCAGCTTGTGCGAGGAGTGAGAGGAACAGTCGTCGCGCCGGTGTCCTGCACCGTGATCTGGGGGTTCCCCGACATGGCGATAGTGCCACAATGTAGGTGGCAGGAGGGTTCGAAGAAGAGGTCGGGGGACAAACTAGGATGCCGCAATGTAGGCGGTGGTCGGGATGAAGAGACGTTGAGAGGAGGGATGTGTAGGATGAGGTGGTGAGCCTGCGCTGATGGATAAGTGTTGTTGGGGGTTGGGGGTCAGTTGGGAAATCAGTTTGTGGACGTTCAAAGGCAGACAAATATGAATCTCCTCCGCCACAAAGGCGAACGCACGGTGCGTTTACCCCCAGAAACATTGGTTCACCGCCGCACCTTTGAGACACCATCGTGTTTACCCCGTGGCGTCCCAAAACCCCATGTGTTTTGAGTTGGCTGGTTTTTTTGTCAGCTGCAACGCGATGCGCACTATGCGCGCATCGCTCGAGTCTTTGGTGTCGTTCTCCGCTACGGGTTGGGGACTGTGAGTGTTTGAGAATGATCAGAACAATGGACGCGAGGAATGGAAAGAAGCAACAAAAGGAACCAAACAAGTCAAACCGCCCGTTAACCAGTTGGCAAAATGCCACATCGTATATTTCCGCTCCCACGTGGGAGTATATCACGTGATGTCACCGACGCGCGTCCAGTGGTGACGCTGATGTCGACCTGATGGCTATCCGACTGCTCGTCGAGGCATGACGAAGTATCGTCTAGCACAACCACACAACCACCAACAACCATGGCTCTCTTCGCCGCATCAGCACAGCAGGAGGCTGTCGCCGCTCCCATTCAGCAGTAAGTGCAGCTTAAACCTGGTGGGAACTTGCAGCTCACGATCAGCCGCTTCGACCCTTACGAGGACAACGGTGGTACCATCCTTTCGATTGCCGGTGCCGACTTCAGCGTCATTGCAGGCGACACCCGTCAGTCCCAGGGCTACAACATTCAGACCCGTTACGCTCGCAAGGTCTGGCAGCTGTGAGTATACTTGTCAACGAGCTGAGTGAGCGCAAAACAGCCAGCTCCGGCTCTCCTCCGCGCCGCCCAGCTCACACAGGACGATTAAATGACCTGGAGCTGACATGTGCAGTACGGACAAGGTTGTCCTTGCGACCAACGGCTTTGCGGCTGATGGTGCGAACTTTGTCAAGAAGGTCAAGCAGCGTTTGGAATGGTACGAGAACGCGCACCAGAAGCAGATGAGCATCAAGTCGATTGCGCGCATGATCCAGACCATGCTGTACGCCAAGCGCTTCTTCCCCTACTACGTGTACAACATTCTGGGCGGCATTGAGGAGGACGGTACCGGTGCCGTCTACTCGTTCGACCCTGTTGGCAGCTACGAGCGCGAGGCGTGCCGTGCTGCTGGTGCCGCCCAGTCTCTCATCCAGCCCTTCCTCGACAACCAGATCTATTTCCGCAACCAGACGTTCCCCGCCGACCAGCCCAAGCCCATCCCTGGTAACCTGCCGCTGGGAACCGTCCTGGGTCTTGTTATCGACTCGTTCACGTCGGCTACGGAGCGCCACATCGAGGTCGGTGACGGCCTCGAGATGTACGTCGTCATGGCCAAGGGACGCGCGGTCGACGACCTCACCAGCAAGGGTGCTCTGCCCGAGGGTGTTGTGGTTGAGGAGCTTGGCCCTCTCGGTGAGGGTGGCGGTGAGCGCACCTTCCTTGTGCGCCGTACCCTCAAGCGCGACTAGGCGGGGGTTCTTGGGGCCGACAGGAAGCGTACAGTACGTAGAGTGTACAAAGGGGTACAGAGCAGCATGCATGTAACGATACATCACCTATCTATCTAAGTCTCACCACATGACCTGGGAGCGCATCGTGTAGTCTCTGCCGTTGGAGCCGACGAATGGCCTCAAGTGGGTGCGACGCTGGAAGGCATAGGCCTCGGCCACCGATTTGAAGGTGATGGCCCAAGCGCTGGAGGGTGTATAAGGGGCGGTTGGCAGACGAATTGGGTCGACACCGCCCGAATCTTGGGCCAACGGCACAACCTCGTAGGCCTGGAGTGTTCCAGGCAGGCCACGGACGACTACCCGGTGTCCCGACATACTTGGTTGCAGGGCCCACTCGGCGGTGAGTCTCGGGTCGTCCTTTGTCCTATAGGTATCACGGGCCCTAGCCTTGCGGAGGAGTTGAGTGGTCCACTCCATCGCCGACACATCACAAAATGTCACAAACGAGCCGTCCTCGTTAGCGTCGCTGCTGAAGACATAGTCTGGTCGTCCAGAGCGCACTAGAGGAGGCACGCCAGTGCAGCCAACAAAGAGTGGCCGAGCGTTCAAGATTTCCCACATGTCCTTTGCCATCTTTGCGTCGTCCGTAGTGATGTGGAATGACTTGAACATTGATGGTCTCCGGACGGCGCCAATGGGTAAAGCTGTAACTAGGTAATACGTCAGTGCTTGCGCGCAGAGCAGGAAGTAACGCAGCGTGTGCGTTGCGGACAGCTCCTTTCTACACAAGTACTCACTTCGTCTCACTGAGAAACCTGGGTGGACGACTTTGCCCTCCTTGAAAGCACGGAGAATGTCATGCGGGAGAGCTGACGCCGGACCATTGATAATGAGGTTGGATGCCGTGCCGCTCAGTACTAGGAAAATGTCAACACAAACACGAACGAGTTGGAGAGGCCGCCAGATCACGCAATTGCAGGGGTTGCGAGGGCAGGCCATCAAACTTACCTCTGTATCTTGTTTTCCTGCCGGCAATGTAACGCAGCAGTGTGGTAGCCTTCATGTGGGGCGGCTGGTTGCTGAGCGTTCGAGTATGAAAGTTGCTTTTGAGAGTGTCCAAGTGCATCGGGTCGACCTCCAATTGTTGAGCGCGCGAAACGGACATTACGGGAAGTCCGTATCCAATTTGTCAGGCACGGAGTGTGGCGGCAGGTCGTGACATTACTCGAATGCGTCATTGTCTCCCGTATCACCATATTCTGAAACCTCTGCAGTTCGTCGGACGTCCGCTGGTTCAATTTGTTCATTGCTCACGCCAACAATCAAAGCGACGTATTGCACAGTGCCAGTTACATTGCTGTGTTCAGTTGTTTTTTTTAGATCAGATGCACATGTCACAATTCGATGTTTGACAGCAGAGAAATGGGTAAATCGTCGCCACCAACATTAGCTCAGTTGAAGGACCTTGAACCCCCCGGACGACCAACGAGTTTCCGCGGCCTTCTAGGACGGCGGACTTACTGTCCTCCCGCAGCTTGAGGCGACGTGAGCATGTGCGACCAATAGTGGTAATCTGAGAGCCTGACATGCTGATTCTGTGGCACCTGACTTGGACTGGAAGTGATCGCTCGCATCTTGATCGCAGTGTGCCCCGACCTGTCGTGGTGGCCTGTTTGGAGCCTCAGCTGCCTGGGGGGATATCGCAGAACAGCCATCCATGGATGGTCATCTGCAGGGCTTAGCACGAATAGTGGCGTCTTGTGGACAGTGGCCGGTAGGTTCTATCGACCTCATGGTATGCACGGCAGACACCCAAGCTGCCGATTTGAACAATCAGCACACATGACAAACGCTGCCAAGCCGTACCCACCCGAGTAGCGCCCGAGTTACTCACCGCACCTGCCCTCACGTCCCCAGGCTCCCTAGGAATGTCATACCTCAGCCTTCGTTTGGTAGTGTATGGCATGTAATGCCTGTATTCAAGGTTGGTAAAGGCTTCATCTCCGTTGTCGCCTTCTCGGGCTTCACCGAACATCCCTAGACGACGTATGGGTTCAGCGTGCGTGGAGCGCGGGGCGAAATCTTGGCATCGACAAGCCGCACCGCGATGGCGAACTGGCTAATTACATGGAAATACAACGCCCTCTCGTCCCGCACTCCCCTGACGGGGAAACTTGGTCATGTGGGCACAACACAAAATGCATTAGTTGAAGGGGACCTGAGGCAGAGGCGATGGACAACAAACAATGTGAGTTAGCCGAACACGGATGCGGATCTCACTCGGATGCGAACCACTAGTCAAACTCAGTCGGTCGGGCATGAGACATCTGGACAAGCCCGAATTGCTTGACATCCCGCAACACAGCTACGAGCACAAGTGCTCCGCTCCGAACTGTTCCCTGCTGCGCTGGGTCCGAAAGACAACTCTGCCTGGCATGTACACCAACGGTACTTTAGCGAACGAACACGAACCGACCATGCCATGTGCCTATGTCCGCTGGCATTCCACTTCGCCGTCACGCCTGGCTTGTGGATCTTTGGCCTCAGAAAGAAACCCAAAGCATTTCTTGTGTCACGCCGTCGTCGTCGTTGTCGTCGGCGTGCGTGCGTGCGTGCGTGCGTGATGAGAGCATTAGTCTGTTTTGGTACGGTCTGGGCGCCGAGAAAGCGAGGGCATGACTCTTCGGTAGCCCCAAAGGATTGAATCTGCAGGAATCGATTGCCAGATCCACGATCAACGCAGCTTCCCCCCTCCCTCGTCCTTTCGCTGTCGCTGTCGCTGTCGATCTCCAGATCCCGTCCCTTTTGGTCCTCTTGTGCGAGATCTCAAGGAGCGTGCTCCATGGAGGTCGAGGCCTTGGTCGAACGCGTAAGAGTTACACCTCGCTCAGTCAATGTCGTCAGTGTGCGTGCAGTCGTTGCCACGACTTTGGACATTTGCGCGCGCGACAATGGCAGCCAGTAAGAGATCTGTAGGATATACACCGCCTATAGGCAAGAGGCCACACAATTCAATCCAACACCGACGCCACACTACTGCGCTGTACTGTACTGTACCTGTATGAACCCGTGGTCATTGGGAAGAATCGCGCATCGCAGCATGGCTGCACGCGGTCCTTTGCCTCGCATGTCGCAGAGCATAGCACAGCAGAGCAGAGCACAAGACGAGGTGCTCGCGCGCGTCAGGCGACAGCCGTCTGGCAGCTAGCAGCCGTACAGCCATGCGCGTCATCGACATCCAACATACGAAAATAGCAAATCGCCGCGGCCCGAATTGTTGCACAACACAACGTCACGAGATCCCAAGGTAAAACTGTCCCGGGAGAGAGGAGGGCCCTTGCCCTTGCCCTGCCTGCCTGCCTGCCGTGTTCCACCGCCTTCATCTGTTCTGACGAGCCGAAGTGCACCCTTGCTGTGGAAGAGATGCCCAAGGTCATGGGGCCACCACAACCCCCCTCGCTCGGCGCGTGCTGCGCTTCTCGTTTCCCCCAAAAGCACTGCAACACCCCATGTGAACCCAAGTGGCGGTTGCGCGTATTTGACGCGTAACGGGCGGTAAAAGACCCAAAACGACACAGGGCGGGGGGTACGTGGGTCCTTGGGCCCTTGCCTGCACGGGGAACGGGGACAGTCACGAGCTGGGCTGACGTTAGGCAGTCGGTAAACGTTGTGGTGATCTGACGCAAAAGGGAGTCGTGAGTGATGACTTCATTGGGGTATCTCAACAGCGCGTCCAAGGGCGCCAACAAAACTTCACCAGCTGCATGGTTTGCGTACAGAGCAAGGAGGCGTACAGTACAGACGACGGGGGCGCAGGGTGTGGGGTGTAGGTGGGGGAGATGGTGGAGCTGCTGAGATGGCGATGAATGTGGCTTGGAGTTGCGATCAAGCTGCTACAGGGTCAAGAATACGGGTTCGAACTCTAGATTGGGATGATACACGGTGGCGACCACTGGTAGTGGCGCTCGTAGTTTGGCTGGTCTTCTTGTTATTCTGGCTTCTCTTTGTGGTCGTTGGTCTTCTGCCGAGCTACTCTCTTCACTTCGTCACGCCAAAAAAAATAAGGTTGTCGGGAGACCGTGGCACACAGTTTGTCAACTTGGTTTTCCGGTTTTCGACCAAAATGTGTGCGCGCAGAGCCCAATGGGGCCTGGCTGGGATTGTTCAAGGGGGGGGGGGGGCGCGCCTGCGCTGCCCAGGAATCAAATTGTGGTGCAAGTGTGGACAAGGAAGCAGATGTCGCCAAGTGGTGTCAGGAACCCGGCGAATTCTACGACGCGCGCGAAGGGTCTGTGGACACCCAGCTTGTCTGCAGCGCCATGGGCATGTTGGGGGTCTTGGCCGCCGCCGGACCAGACCCGCGACGCGAGTTGGGGGTTGAAATATTGTCGTCTGGCCCGCCCTCGTCATCGGCCCAGGCAGAGAAGGAACCGCGCTTCTGCGAGTCGCTGATGAGCGTCTGGCTCGCCTGACGCTTGTTGCCAGGGCGCACATCCATGGAGTGGTACAGGTTGAACATCTTGGTGGGCGTCCTCGAGTTCCTGAACATGTTGCCACCGGGGGTGAGGAGGGCGCCGTTCTGGTCAATCATAGGCGAGCCAAAGCTTGGTGTGCGCTCGGGTGCCAGCGTCTGATCAAGGGCCGACGAGTGAAGGATGTGGACGGGCGGGCGGACGAGTCGGTTCGTCGAGGACGCAAATGTGGCGTTTGTGAGCTGCTTGGTGCGCACATTGAGGTCCGGGTCGAGGTTCATGCTGAACGAGGCGTGGCGCTGTTGGATGTGGTCCTTCCACTTTGCAATGGTGGCATCATCGCGGGGGTCGATCATGCAGTCACGGTCGTGCTCATGAGCATGAGCGAAGCCGTCAAGCGGACCAGGGAATGCAGGGTACGCAGCGGCGTCCATGGGGGGAGTCGTGAGGTCGGGCATTGAGTTGGACTTGCTCAGACCACGCGGCGTCTCCAGGTCCACGAGATCGACATCGGGCATCTTCTCGGGCGTGGCAAGAGCCATGGGATCGAGGAAGTACTTCCAGAGGCCGTCCGAGCTGCTCGGGGGACGGCTGTTGGGCTGCAGCTCGTTCTCGAGGAACGGGAAGGTCGTGTGTCGTGGCGGGTACTGGAAGTTTCCCATCTGCTGCTGTTGCTGCTGCTGCTCAGCGACCGGCATGACGGGAGCAGTGGTGGGGTCGTCGAGCCTCATCTGCTGGAGAGCGTTGGCCCACACGCCCGCACTGGAGCGACGGCGGTGAGGGACCGAGTCCTCGTTGGCAGTACCGGGCGGCGTCTCTTCATCCTCCGAAGCCGCGAGCGCTGACCCAGACGGAAGGGTCGAAGGGTCAAATCCACCGGCAGAGTTTGGCCAAACAAACCGCTGGTTGGTCTGGAAAACGGTGGGGAGGCCTGACTGGTCCGAGGTGGGTACGTAGCCGTTGACAAAGTTGACGGCCGACTCTTGGCTCACGACGCTTGGAGGCAGGCTCCAGCTACCAAGCATGGCACTGTTTGAGCTGCCACGACGGTCGGTGCTCTCTGATGTGGTCGGGCTGGTAGAGTTGGTGAGGGTCGGCGTGAGGGTCAGACCCATGGCCCCAGAAGTCGGAGACTGTGAGATGAACTGCCCGCCCAAGCCAGTCTGATGTCATTAGCAGCATACTGACATGATGGTGCGGCTGAAACTCACCGCCACTTGGAGACCCTGGCGTCCTTGGGCAGGGGCGGTCTCCCACTGGGGATCAGGAACAGGAGGCCTGCCATGGAGGCGGTTGGCGCCAAAGAGCGCGTCAGAGGTCAGGAAGGTCATGGAAGCAGGGCCCGAGCTACGCCGTTCGTAGACGCTGTGGGTCAGACGGGGGCTGCCACCAGAAGAAGGGTGGAAGCCAGCCGTCGGAGATTGAGCGAGGCCGCCAGCAGTGGGTGAGGTACCCATCTGGCCGGCAACGGTCGCGGAGATTGGGTAGGCGATAGAACGGGCACGCTGTGGCTTGGTGTAGGTACACTGCATGGACCTGTGAGAACACCGGGCTGGGAACTAGATCAGCCTTGTTCGTCATTCTGTCGCTCCCTGTATCCCTGGCAAGGGCATAAGACGGAGGCTGCCTTTTCTAGGAAAAGGGGGATGGAAACGCCGCTTACCACATGGCTCTGCAAAGTCGCAGCGCACCTTTGAGTGATTGCATTGATCACAGGCACGTTTCTTGAGACTGGACTCAAACCCAAGGGACGATAAGGACGAGGGCATGCTCGATCCAAAGGCGACTGGCGAGGTCGAGGACCCATGCTCAGACCCGGAATAGTGCATCGTCGTGGCACCGAATGGGTGACCAAACGAAATGGCCGAATGGGAGTCGAGTGAGCCCAGTTGCGTGGCGGGAATGTCAACACCATAGGTGGTGCCTCCAGCGCCTGCGCCCAGGTCGAGCTGCGTTGCCGACCACGATGCGGGGTGGTTTTGTTGCAGCAGCGGATGGTTGGGGTACATGCGCTGAGCCTGGTACGGCGTCGGCTCGGGCGGTGCTGGAACAAGAGTCGACGTGCTCACCAAAGTTGGCGGCGGAGCGGGTGCGACATTGTGAACCATTGGCTGCGTGGGCAGCGACTTGCGGCGGTTCTTCTTGTCATTCTTCCGATCGTTGTCGTGCGCGCCGTTTGCTTTAGGGTGTGCCTTGTTTACATGGCGCGAGAGAAGGTCGCTTCGAGCAAAGCGCAGGGGACACTCTTTACACTCGTACGGTCTGTCGCCGGTGTGGGCACGAAGGTGGCGACCGACATGCTGAGGGCGTGTAAAGGTGGCAGAACAGAGCTGGAACAAGGTTAGCGAGGTTGCCAGGGGAGAGCGGTTGAGCACGGGACAGCCGTGCATACGACTTTTTTGTCCCAGGCGCACGACATGGGTATCCCTGTCGAGTTTGACCACAGCAGACAAAGACACGTACTGGACATTTGTGGTCGCCACCCATTGTGAAGGAGGCAGTCACCAATCGTTTAAGCGAGACAGAGATGTGGTTGGTTGAATAATGTGTTTTGTGTGATTTGGGGGGGAGGGGAGGCGGGGGCTGCTGCCGAGTCCTGAGTAGATGTGTTAGCACAGCAGCATGCCGCAGTGGGTGCGCATGTATAAACGGGAGACGAAGTGGACGACGTTCAGAGGGCGCTGGCAAATGGCCAATGTTGCCGTGCGAACGACGCAAGGAATGCGGGTTCGGCGCTGGGGGTGGGGGGGGGGGGGGGGGGGGGGGTTCTGGCGTCGCGGCGTCGGTTGGGGGGTTGCAATACGCTTGGACGGAAGGAAGCGCAAGAGGCAAGAGGGGGTTATGACGTCGATGGCCCACCGCGAAAGGGGGGTTGCGAAAACGACGGAAATCTCCTTGGCACACCTAAACAAGTGACGAGCCGCAACGGGACGAGTGCCGTTGGGGCTCACGGTGTTCGGAAGGCCACTCACTATGTTCGACGCGGTCTGGGTTGCCTGTCAATGACCCGCGGCTAAAAAAAAGTTGGGTGGCAAGGAAGGGGTTGGTGGCGGTGGGGTGGTGGAGACACTTGACCCAAGACAGATCAAGATTTGAGTCGGCGAGATGTGACGGCAAACCGCGAACAGAACTGACGGCGCACGTTACGGACGGTGAGGGATTGTGTTGAATGACAAGCGCGCGGGGTAGTATGGGCGCACGGAGAGGGAGAAGGGGGGGGGGACCTTTGTATGCTTGCTGGGCGGAACGATTAAGGCTTGACAGAGGGCGTGGTGGTGGGTGACACGGGGGGGATGACAGAGGGACGGACAGAGTGCGAATGTGGGTGTGGAAGAGCAAGGGGCGGAGAAGAAGCAAAAGGCGAGAGACAGAGGATGCGGGCGAGATTGGCGAGAAGACTGGTGAATCCAACAACACACAGACACAGACACAGACACAGACACACACTAAAGGGGGTGTTTGTGGCTGCTGGTGAGGAGGAGGAGGAAGGATAAGCTGCTGGGGGTCGTGGGGACGTTGACGACGTGCACACGAGGCCAGTTGGCTATAAGATACTTGTTTGATGAATTGGACAACAGGAAGAGGGGGACGAGTGGGGGAGACGATTGCAAAGATGGCGGTGCGTGTGTGGCCAAACTGGGGGTGGGGGTCCAGAGCAGGGGACGAGGACAAGCATATGCAACCATGAGTTGGTGGGTGGTCGCCCGAGTGTGCGTGATCTCTCCGTGGTAACTCTTTGACCCGGCGGTGGGCGCGGCCACCAGGTGACAAGAGGCCTCTCTCATCGCACCTGTGACGCCTCTTTCATTTTCCGTCCTGGATCCGGCGCGCCGTGTCTCGTGTTCTGTCGCCCTTCCTCTCTCTCCCCTTCTGTGGGCCTCTCTTCCTTGGCATACCTCAAGCGAGGCGTTCTCGCGGCGCGCGCACGGCCAGACATCACAGAGGCTCAGAGGGTCGTTCCCCCATCATTATCATCATCATCATCATCATCATCATCAGGTGTCCAGCGTTGGCAGCATGCAGGCTCTCGGGTTCCCCGCTGTTTCCCTGAACCTCCCCCTCCCTTTTTGCTCCTGTATGTGCCCTGTAGGTTATTTCGAATGTACAGAGGAAATATCCTCGGTGACCTGCATGACCTGGAGCCTGTGCACAGCTGGCAGCGCGAGATAAGGGGGGCACGCACGCAGCTGTTCCGGGGGGGCAAAGACAGAGAGACCCTGTCCAGACTGCCAAACTCTAGGGCGGCTGCAGGATACCCACATTGGCCCAGCTCGGCTTTGGCGCGCTCTGGACCGTGCATCTGGACCTCGCCCCGCAAACCAACAGCTCAAAAGTCCCCACACCGCCCCGGTGCCCGTGGTGGGCTCTCGGTCGGTGCAAGAAACACAAGAAAAAAGAAACAAAGGCAGCAACAGAACAAGGAGTCATGCACACTTTTCGGATCGGAGCTGAGAGAGAAATGGAAATGGAGGCTGGCTGTGAGCGGCATGGAGAACAGGACTCGGGCAAAAGAAGAGAGAGAGAACGAGAGAGAGAAGCAAGAGAGGGAGAGATGACGGGCTGTGGGGGTTGACGCCGCCGGACGAGATAGGTTTGTTCCTGGCAGGTTCCCATTCGGTCATTCGCCCCCCGCCCATGTCTCCCCTCTGCTGTTGTGCAAGTGTGGGCAGCTGACAGTGAGAGCATCTGCCCCCCCGAAGCAACGAGCGCCAGACCTCGGTACGACGGGCAGGAGCGGAAAGGCCAAGCGACAGGCGTTATTGACCCGGTGACGACGGGGAAAACAGTGACGTCAGTGGTTGGGCACATGACTGAGCGACAACTCATTCGGCTTTGATTAAGGGAAAACAAAATAAAAAAGCACACGAAAATAACAAACGGCAAACGAAACGAGGGGTCGAGACGCAGAGACGAGAGAGAGCAGCAGAGACGAGAGCGCGCAGCTCGAGAGCACTGCGCGCGCCGCCATCATCATCTCACCAGAGACACCGCGCCACACCCTGGTTCCTTTCTTTCCAATGACGCCTCCCCCGCGCTGGTCCCTTGCGGCCCTCCTTGCGCTCCCTGGAATGCCCTGCGGGGCAACACGGGACGCAGCAACGACGAGGACCGGGCCTCTGGGCCCAAGCCTTTGGGACACGCCGCCCCCGTCTCCGACACCGACGGACAGAGAGAGCGAGAGAGAGATCTGGCGAGGCGTTTCCCCTTGTCCTGAACGATCGCGATCAATGGCCACCCACTGCCACCGCCAACAGCCAACAGCCGCTTACAGCCTCGAGACACACAGGTACATACCTCTAACCCCCTCTTCGACCTCTTCCAGGCTATATCCTAGGACACACAAACACTACACTCAACACATGCCCGCTCCTCCCCATGGGGGGCCAGGCCCCGAACGCCCAGTTCCCCCAGTTCCCCCCCAGTTCCCCCCAGTTCCTCCCCCCCACTCTCTACCCCCTCTCCACCCCTTGCCCCCAAAATAAGAATCCAATCAAATCATCCAAGATTCCTTGATGAACCTTCCGTTACAGCTCGGCAACTCCGCGCTCACAGCACACTCACAGGGGTACAGGGAGAGCCCACCGATTGGGAGGTTTGGGAGATATGGCCAGATCTCCCCCGCCCCCGCGGTACCGCGGCTAGTCTGATCACAACGAGAGTCTTAGCGATCAGCCAAATACATCTCGACGAGTTATCAATAGGTCTCGCACGGTACGGGAAAGAAGGGTTACGGCTCTTTGTCGTTCTCTGTTGACATAAACTAGTGCTTTTGGCCAATCACGGTTCCAGACCCAGAGGCCCTCGTTTGGCAACCGCAGGAAAAAAAAAAGGAAAAAAAGGAACTCTATTACTTGGCAGTACCATTCGTGGCAGTGCCGTTGCTCGTGCCGTTGCTCGCGCCATTGGCCGCAGCGTCGGGAGACGGGGTCGATCCATTCGCCGTCGACTTCTTGTCCTTGTCCTTGTCGGTGGCGGCGGCGGCGGCGCCAGCGGCTACACTCGGTGTTCCAGCGCGCGACGACTTGGCAGCCGACGCTTGGCTCGTCTTGCCAAGCGCAGCGAGGTTGGCATAGCCGGCGGGATACTGCGACTTCTGTGAATTGTGTCAGCGATCGTCCAAAAGCTTGGAATATATAGCTCCGGGTTGTTCCACCATTGACCCGTTTGCTTCCGGTGGCATGCATCCATCCGCAGCTTACTGCGGGAGGCGCGATCGCGATCGCCATCGCCGTGTCGACCCGCAGGTCACACAGCCGTGAGACCATCGGTCCGATGTGCACGCGGCGTGGAGGAATGATGTTGTCAAGCGAAACCAGTTACTCACCCACTCGGGACGGATCACAACATCCAGTTCCTCTGCGACTTTTTTGCAGATCCTGTGTGTCCATGTCAGTTCCAATTGTTTGATTTTTCGTGCAATTCGTTTATTTCAGCCACAGCTAAAACAAGCGCGCCTGTCATGTACAGCCACCACAACAGCGCTAGCCGCAGCTAAAACGTCTAGCTGAACTCACAGTTTGATGGTAGACTCGGAGACGCCAGCAATGTCGGCGACCTCCTTGGCAGTAGTGGCCTTTTCAAACAGAATGGTCGTAAAGAAGAGGACGCCAGCAGCGATCGAGAGCGGGGAACGACCATCAATGGCAGACTTGGCCACGGCCACAGTCGCAATGTGCTTGGACGCGTTGTAAATGGCGTTGCCGAGATCGAGATAGTTACAGAAACGACCGAGAAGACCCTCGGCGGACTGGTTGGCGCTGCTGAGGCCTTGCGGGTGCGAGATACCCTTGGCAGCGTTTTCGGCCTGGACGGCCGTACGCAGCAGGGTGAACACGCGGCCGAGCTCGGACTTGGACACCTTGGTGACCTTGCAGACTTCGCGGAACGAACGCTCGGCACCAGCCGCACGACATGCGTAGATGATGCAGGCGGCAATGACGGCGTCGTCGTTCTTGCCACGAGAGATGCGGGCGCGGTCGCCAATCATAAAGGCGTGCTGGGCACCGTCGACCACAGAGCGGGGGAGCTGCATCGCGTCGCACATTTCGCTCACGCGACCAAAGGCCGCCTGGAGCTGAGCCGGGTTCGAGTGGCCACCGGGACCGGTGACCTGTTGGTTTGCACGGCTCTGCGCGCGCTGAAGGTCACGCGACATGCCGGTACGACCGTCACGAGCCGAGATGGAGGTTTCGAGAGGCGAGTTGGCCAGAAGAGGGTTGGACGGACCACCGACACGGGACGGGTCGTCACCACCTTCGTCACCAGCAAAGGTCTGCAAGTCAGTGATGGGTCTTGCGCGCAAGCACCAAAATCAAATACGTACACGCCCTGTAGGTCAGCCTTCCGTCACGCCATCAGCATGTAGCTGTACTCACACTCGCTACGGGTATCCACAATACGGTCACCAAGGATGGTGCCGCAGTCAGCACAGACCTGTGACGTCAGCAAGTCGTCGGTAGGTATCCGATCAACGCACGAGGTCGCCATGACTGTACTCCTCAATGATATTGGGAGGGTCGACTCGACAGTTTGGGCACAGGTGTCTAACGGCGAGGTTGGGTGCGACGGGCTGGCCGTACTTGCCCTTTATGGCAAAGAGAACGCGAGGGACATCAATCAGCAAGGGACGTGTGAGAAAACGGGTCCATTGATGGCGAGAACAAAAGAAACATCATGTCAGCGAGGCTCAACTCCCAACCAACACAGACGATACCCACCACGGGGGCCTTTGGGCCTGCGACAGCGTACATTGTGCTGAGATTACGCTCTCGAGTGAGAAGCCGGTTGAACGGATCTAGACTCGTGCGATTTTAGGTATGGGTAACAACGCCGACCTGAACGGAGGACGACGGGTGGGTGTGTTGATGGGCGCAAGTACGAGACAAATAGCACGAAGCAATGTCAGCACAGAGGCTCAAAGGGGTGAACAGAATACTGTTACCAACACTGAGCGAGGAAGAGACATCCGAGCGGCATCGATTGGCAGTAGATATGGTAGGGTGGCAAAGAGAGAAGAGAAGGCATGTCAGCGTCCAGTTTTACAACTTACTCCGATCCCCGACGACGGCGCGCGCGCTCCATTGCAGCACAACAAGGGTTACATGGGGTGCTCGCGGCCCCTCTCCAGCCATGGCACAACAAGCCAGGTGGATGTAGGGGCACTGCGCTGCCAACCGCGAGGCTAAGGACTGTGGGAATGGGTAATCACTCACCCAAGCCGGCCCGCCCAAACGTGTAATGTCCCGAGAGGGATCGCTTCGCGAAGTATTGGACGTCGTATACGTCGTCAATCCAAGAATCTCTTGGCTGCGGTGCGTTTCTGGGACACGTAGGGAGGGTCGTTGGGCGACCACAAACGAACAATGTGGATGAAGACGAGGCAACATGTTTGCAGAGCATCGAGTGAGCATTGTACTGGCGCGAGACGGGCGTGGGAGTGGGGGGAGAGCGGGATCAAAAACTCGCTTCCTTTATTTACGTGCCCTCGAGAACGCCCAGGCTGCATGTTTGCTTGGTGATTTTGCTCCCGCGTTCAGTGCAACTCCCTCTCCATTCGGGCGTCCTTCTTCCCTCAAGTGACAAGCAGCCAACTAATCACTACTGACCCCCGCTACCTTGCTTGCAAGAGGTTAGTCGCGCACCCCCGACCTGCCCACGCAGCGTGCTCCTGACTGGCAACCCAAGCTGACAAGCAGTACCAACTTTGGAGAGCTAGGACGAAAGGCAGGATCCGTCGGACGAGCCCCCCGAAACGCGGTCCCGCGCGTGCTCGTCATTTACATCGTTTCTGTTCGACCTGGTCCCCCATCCGTCGACCCTCGACATCACACCTGTCCCACCACGAGCTTGTCGCTGAGACCTTTCTGGTGATACCACTCTCAAGCGCTGCCCCGATCGTTGGAACGCGTCGTTGTCGATTCAAGTCCCCCTCCTTGTGCGTGTCTTCTCCTGACCCATCCTGGATCCTCGAGACTGTACCGCGCCCACGACGCTGTGCTGACATGTCTCACGATGTTCCCTGCAGCCTCCTCTACGTTTTGAATCCCAAAACTCCCTCCTAGCCCCTCTCTGTCGCCACCATGGCCGCCCCAAACCCCAATCACCAACCAAACCAGTTTACGACGGACGAGTATGTCCTCGCATACCACGGCCCCCTTCTCTACGAAGCCCGCGTGAGTCACACGAGAACGAGGCCAAGGCCACTGCGCTGCTTTTGAGGGCGGTTGGGCCGTCGTCGTCGGCGGATGTGAACGATGATGCTGACAGATGCGCCCCTCCGATCCGCCTATTGATCCTTCCCAACACGTTCACTTTTGTGCTGTGCCCATCCCACAGATTCTCCTCGCTGAGAGCTGGAACGAGTCCAACACGCTTCTCGGATCGGTGGGACCCCACTACTTCATCCACTACAAGGGATGGAAACAGACGTGAGTGGAGGGTAAACTCACTTGGGCCAAACGGACACGCTCCGCCACGTTTCAGGCCAACTTGTTTGCTGACTTGGTATCACAGATGGGACGAATGGGTCCCGGAGATGCGCCTTCTGAAGCTGAACGAGGCTGGATTCGCCAAGCGCCGCGCGCTGCTTGAGGCCCAGACGAAGAAGAACCGTCCTGCGCCTCCGCCATCCTCCGAAAGCCCAGCACCTGCATCAGTCAAGGGCAAGGAGCCCAAGGCCCCTACGGGCAAGAAGGGAGAGAGCAGCAGGAAGCGTGGACGAGACACGGGGCTGGACACTGTGGGTGGCTCCCTCCTCCAAGTTTGCTGACCCATTGCAGGAGGCCGAGTACCTGAAGCGTCCTGAAGTCAAGATTGTGATTCCCGATGTGCTCAAGCTGCAGTTGGTGGACGACTGGGAGAACGTTACCAAGAACAACCAGCTTGTCACCTTGCCACGCAAGCCCAACGTTCGCGAGCTGCTGGAGGAGTACAGGGAATATGTCAACTCGACCAAGAAGGAGCGCTCGACGTAAGCCCCACCGTGTCGTCCTTCCCGCTCGTTTACTGACGTCCATACAGACGCTCCACTGCTCTTCTTTCCGAGATAATCGCAGGTATTACTCTGTACTTTGACAAGGCACTCGGCAACAACCTCTTGTACCGCTTCGAGCGCGCACAATATGTCGAGCAGAAGCGTGCGGCGGGCGACAAGCCGATGAGCGAGGTGTACGGTGCCGAGCACCTCCTCCGTCTGTTTGGTAAGCTTTTCGAGACGGCGGAACTCAGCTGACAGCAGTCAACTTTGGCCCTTTCATTGCCTACACCAACATTGACACCGAGTCGCTCAACATTCTCCGCGAGTACATCAACGACATCATGAAGTGGGTTTTAGACTACCTTGCCCTGCTAACCCGTACAGGTGGATGATCAAGGAGCAGAAGCGTCTCTTTGTCAAGGAATACGAGACGACGACGACGCAGTACCAGAACCTTTCGAGGACATAGCGAGCGCGCTAGTCTGTCTGTTTTTACGCATTTTTTTGTGCGTGTTAGAGGGAGAGGGGTAGTGAGTGAGAAGGAGAGGAGGGTACAAGAGAGATCCCTTTTAGTAGAACCCATTGGTGGTAAGACGCATGCCGTTGTGTTCCCTATGGATGGTAATACAGCGAGAAACACAGAGCTGTTCTGCAGTGGACACTGTTACATGCCTGTGGACTCTATCAGATTGGCACAGATACCCCAGATGAATGCCGGGGACCCGTAGGAGGGTGGGTGGAAAATGACTTATTATGACGACATCATGGAGGGGCGGCGCGCCCACAAGCGCCGCTTGGTGGGTGGGGACATAAAGTTGCGAACGAAACGGTGATGCTGGGACGCTGAGAAATGGGCAAGGCAAGGGCGAAGGCAAAGGCGGAGGGGGGAGCGCTGGCGGCGGCACAAAGAGACCGGCGCGAGTGGTGGCTTCCGCGAACGTGAGGTCTAAGACGTCTTCCAGAGGAGGATGGCGACGGTGGGGCCGAGGTAAAAGTAGATGAAGTTCTTGGTCTCTGCATATAGGTCAGTGATACGGCCTTGACTGGGGAGGAGAGGGGAGGAGAGGAGCTGGCGCGCAGCGCCGCTGTCGCACTCTCCAGTCTCCTCCGAAGCGACTGACCGTGAGTGACAAAGCTTCCAAAGCTGCAGTAGTGTCAGCTTGGTAACTCCGAAGGCGTGCAGTAAATGATACAGCTCCTGTATCTGGCCAGCGCTGACGCTGCGGTGGGACCGGTCGGCCGGTCCGATGGCCAGAGACAAACGTGCCGCCGTCCATGACAACAACAACATGCTAGGTCCACTCTGCCGCAATACGTACTTCTTGCCAACCACACAGTGCCATGTGGTGTTGTACAGCCGGTCAAACTCCTTCTTGATGTACATGGCCGCATCCTTTTCGTGGTCCTTCTCGTGCTCGTACTTGGCAAGCGCAGCAATGGCCGTGTCGACCGCGACCTGCTGCATCTCCTCGGACACTGGCATTGGTCAGCTTCAGGATGCAAGTGGGCGAGAAAAGCTGGATGAACGGTATGTCGTCGCTCTGGAAAGCTGGGTGGGGGGCGCTGACCCAGGTCACAGGCCGCCGGGAGGAGGTCCAGCGCGAGCAAGGAAAACGTACTGTCAACACTCTTGATGGTGGCCTTGTGCTCGTGCACGGCAACGGTGGGGGACGGGGTGGACATGCTTGCGCCGCGGATGTGTGAGAGCTAGTGGGACTGAGGGAGGAGCAGGGGATGCCGCTGCCGATGATGCCTTGACGCTGGAAGCCGGGAGGGCCGTGGGTGGTGGAAGCGGGCGTGAGTGGGAGGGTGTTTTGATGGAGGATTGAGGACTATGCCCAGGACGATGTCATGCGGGGTCGGCAGGTTGCGGGGTCTAATCGTTTTGGAAACGTCAAAACAGGCACGACACTGGTCGTAATTCAAGGTCCTTCCCCAATTATGGTTGACATTCCCCCCCATTTCTGGTCCGCACCTTTCAACGCTCTCCGGTCCAGCTTTCGTGGAACGCTTGTAATGTTTTCAGCCCACGTCCTCACTGCTCGCGCGACTCCAGAGTCATGCAGCACAGGCGGACCAAGTCATCTGACAGCAAAGACATAAGAGCCCCGTCGGTGGCGCAGTTCCCATCCCCACAGGCAACCACATACCGTGCCGCTCCGTTGGGGCAACCCCATTGTCCGGCAGTGGGCGCAATGCCGATGGCGACAGCCGCTGAGGGTGCAATTTCTTACTGCATGATCTGGAGTCGATTTATTCTGGAGTCGATTTATCGGACGAGGGGACGTTAAGGCCAGACACTGATGGCGGGTAGCGGCCTCAGCTGGAGAGCAGGGGTGAAGCAGTTGCGGTGACCGCCAGTGCCGCCGGCCCGCCAATCTCGCGAAGCGAACCATATTCGTAGGCTCGCAGTGGCGGATCGGTCCGATGTTTCTTTCTTCGCCAGCCAGGCCGTGTTGCACGCGGTATCCTCTCGTCTGCGCGTTAGCAGCTTAGTACCCTTCCTCGGGCAGCGCCATGCTGTTGGGACGTTGTCGGACAACCGAGCCCACTGGGCATGCCAAGCGAACAGCACGAAGACTGCACGTTGGTTTATCATCTGCCTCTGCGAATGTCCTCACGGTGTTGGGTGCAAAACGAACAGGTCGGTGTTCATTACCAGCTCGTTACGCGACGGTAGGGACACACAGTGCCGTGTGAAGTGGTCTTCAAACATCGTTCAGTGCGACCTTTCTACCTCACCAGTGTTGTCTCATGTGCTCACGTCCAGGAAAGAGTGTAGGACGACAGGTGACACATCACAGGTTACCTTTCCGCGTCAGACGCAATGCTCGGCGCCAAATGCCCGACCATGAACAACAATGCGGATGTCAGCAGCTACTGGGCACCAGTGTTCGACTTAATCGACTCCAACGGCACCTTCGCCGTTGTACCCTCTCATCTACTGCGATAGACACTGTACATAACAACCCGCTGGGCAGGGCTGTCGCGTTCGCAAACGAATGAGGATCTCGCAGGCCTCTCCAACCAGCGATATTGGTTCTATACGTCGGCCCCACATACATGTAACAGGAAGTGTGTGCCCAATGGCACATCCCTGGACCACGTATGTGTGCAGGCTGTGTACTGTTTTCTTGTATTTATGTTTTACATGCCCATGGCCCGCAAGATCATCACCGGAGGACAGGCTTACTTCCCGTTGGGCGGATGGGCACTCGACAGTGACATACACTTTGGTCATATGGCGCTCGCAGTTGGTTTCGACGCGGATTCCACTGTGGAGGTGAACAGCTTTGTCTGTCCAGACACCCATCCCATGCTGTACCCCCAGGTGCGTCCCAGGTGCGTCGAGGTCTCGGATCAGTCTTCTGACGAGTTTTGGATTCATTTCCATGATTTTCACACTTGTCCGAGGAGCTGAGGGCCAACTGGCGGCCAGGTGAGGCCAACTTGACTATGTCGGATGGTGACCTCACCGGCGTAACATTCCACACAGACTTCATGGACGGTTGGGACGTGAACGTGTTGCAGCAGGTTCATAACAAGTGCTACGGCAGACGTGGACAACTGTCGGGCGACAATTTCGGAGTGCAAACCCACCGAGAATGCTAACTGCGTCCTGGAAGGCGATATCGTGGACCAGGAAGTCGGGCGCTGGAGGGCTCTCATCGAGCTCCCAGGCTGCAACCTCGTTTGGCCATGGGACGGTCCGTCTCAGAAGCCTGAGATGTGTTCCCGAGGCCTATAAGAAGCCCGGATATTAGTCGCCGAACGTTCAGACAAGCAGCAATTGGACATCATTCACGGTCCCCTTGGTGTTTCCCAGTCACAAGGACCTGTCCACCGACAACATCGTTGTCCTTTGTGGTTCTGACAACGTCCACATCTGCCCCATGTTCACTCAATGGCCCAGTACAAAACATATTGATACCAACGTCGTGTTCGCCTGCAGGGGCATTCAGGAGGACATCCTTGCCAACCAGGCGACGTGAGCAACTAACATCCGGATTGGGATCTCTCTGACACCCACATGTCAACAACGTTCCCACTGTCGCTGGTCTGGACGGCGGTGCGACCTTTGATGACACGGTGCCGCTGTTTACGGACTCGCCATTAGGGTTGTCATGCTTGGTAACGGACATGGGCTCGGCGCCAACAACACCCGCAACGGCCACGGCCACCACAACCGTCACATCGGCGGTACTACAGCGGCCCCCGCTTTCACTGGTACCTCCTTGTACCTCATCGCCAGACTCGTTTCACTGGCGACTGGTGGCAGAGGTTCAGAGATTTTCCGGTCCGGACTGACTGGGATTGTGGACAGACTGGAATTTCAAGCCGACCCTATCCATGAAACGAGTTCGGGACCCCGACTTGTGCCAGTAGTGCCAGCGTACAGCGTCCTGCTATCCTGTGACGTGAGATCATGGCAGGCAGTTATCAGCATGATACGCGGCCCGAACGGCCGAGGGAATGTCGCAATGCGGGGTGACAAGAGTGTGGCGCCGTTAGCTTATGGTTTCGGGATGTGCCACCGTCAAAGGCGCCGCCGATGCCGCCGATGGCGTCTGCAAACGGGTCCTCCCCGGCCTGGCTATCTGATTGTGCTGCGGACTTGCTGCGGGTATAGGGCTCAGTGCTGTGTTGTTGACAGACTGTCGGGTTATTCTGGACTGCAAACTGGAAATCGACAGGCGCGGGGTGCGGTGTCCGGGGTAGTCGGAGAGCATAAAGCATCCCATGATCAGCGAACAGCGAGGCACCTGGAGGGGAGTAGCAATTGACTTCTTGTTTGTGGCCTTCTCTCCTGAATGTTGGCCTGCAATTCCTGCAAGTGTGTCAACCTTGCTTTGTCTGTTGCATGTTGCGACTGACGCACGTTTTGTACCCCTCTGCCCCTGCCTCCATTGCAACCCTGCTGTCCCCTTGTTTCCCCTGCTGCCTTGGAGCCTACTCGCTGCATGTGCATGCAACACACTCTTGCTAGGATGGATCTTGCGACGGCGAAACGCAACTGCGCCACTCGGCGTCCAGGAGAACACTGGCCCACAGGCCCCCAGGTGCGCGGGAGTGCGCTCTGTGCGACGCCAAGCGCGGTAGACTCCACCCAATGTGCCCAGCGCGTGCAAGCGTCTTGTCGAGCCCCAAGCACACTGGCCTGTCACTTGCCGCAGCGAGCCCCGTGGTCGCCCCGCATGTCGTTCCCCTGTAGTGTACCAGTGTCCTGTTTGGACCAAGCCTGTGTGTGCCTTTGTCTCTGCTCTGCTCGGTAAACTGCCCGCTTGACATCGCGTGTACCGCGAGTGACTGGTGAACGCCAGCAGGGCCTGCTCCTCGGTTTCCGTGTGCATGGACACCCCCGCTCTCCAAGACCTGCATGCATGGAGACTGTTGCCCCGCAGTTGGGTTACTGTCAGGATCACGGGCAGCCTCTCACCGGCGGCCAGGGAGGGGGTGGGAGCCAGGAATCCCAGGAAGCGACGAGGCCCCACCGTACGATGGTCGTCGCATCGCCTCTGCCAAGTGTGTCGCGTTGCCACCACCAGAAAAAAACAAAAAGCGCACACCCGATCACCCGATCTGGCCAAGCAACATCCACACGTCTTCGCACGCGGCTCCATCCCGCACGCCAACACCTCTTGGTCTTGTGCATTCCCACCACCACGACCTCGTACCACCCTCGCAGTTCCACCCATTGTTCTGCACATTGGCACACTTGCAATTCACGCACGCGCAGCCAAACATCAACTCCACTAGACGCCAGAGGGCCCTGCTCGATTACACGCCGTACGCCGTTTCACGTGTCCACGCGGTCTTGGCGCTCAAAGCTGTCTCTCCCGCCGGCGCCGCTCCCCTTTCTCCCCTCTCTCTCTCTCTCTCGCTCACGCGCCCGCACTGTGCTTTGTGGTACGTTTCCGCTGCGTTCGCTCGTCGTCGCCCAGCTCCCAGGAGCCCCCATCACGCGGTGCCTCCAAGTGTACCAGCTCCGCGAACCGCCCGTCTCATCCATCGCGACGTGCCGTGCCCGCCCTGTCATCCTCGTGTCACGTCACACACATCCCTCTCCGCACCGGCAAAGACATTCATGAGCTGACCTCTTCCAGCGCGTCTTTGTTGAGATATCTCTCCCACCCACCCGCACAGTTGTGCTTCTCATACCTCCCACCGACGACAACCGCCCCAGTCGACCTCACATCTTCCACCTCCACACGCACGCCGCACGCCGCTAGCGACGTCGCCACCCATCTCTCACCATGAGCTTGTTCATTGAGAACGCGCGACTGGTCGGCCGCTCGATCTCTGTATGTTTTGCGCGACGCGCGGAGGCCATGGCGAAATGCTCCCCCACACCCTCGGTCCCCTACTGACACCTATTGCAGTCGAGTGTCTTGTCTGGCGCCGACCCGTCGGAGTTCGACCCTAGCAACGTATGTTCCAAGTCGATGGGCTCCAGGTGGCGCAGCAGCACTAACTCTTCCGCAGCCCATTACGTTGTTTATTATCCAGCTCTTCATCATCATCTGCTTCACCCAAGGTCTGGGATGGTGCTTGAAGTTTATGAACCAGCCAAAGGTCATTGCCGAGGTCATTGGTGGCATCATCCTCGGCCCCACCGTCTTGGGTCGCATTCCCAACTTTACGGACAGCATCTTCCCTAGCGAGTCGATTCCCTACCTCGACCTCGTGGCAACCATTGGCCTTATCCTCTTCCTCTTTGTCGTTGGTCTCGAGGTCGACGTCTCAACCGCCAAGCGCAATGGCCGCAACTCGGCGTTGATCTCATTTGCGGGAATGGCCCTTCCCTTCGCCCTCGGCTCCGCCGTTGCCGTCCCCGTCTACCACAACTTTGTCGAGACCGAGACAGTGACCTTTGGTCACTTCCTGCTCTTCATCTGTGTCTCGATGTCCATCACTGCCTTCCCAGTGCTCTGCCGTATCCTGACAGCAACCAAGCTTCTTGACACCAAGGTCGGTATCATTGTGCTTTCGGCCGGTGTCGGCAACGACGTCGTCGGCTGGGTTCTTCTGGCTCTCACTCTCGCCCTCACGGGTGCCAAGAGTGGTGTCACCGCCGTGTACATCCTGCTTTGCGCCGTGGCCTGGTCTATCCTTCTGCTGTGGCCCATCCGCAAGGCCTTCCTCTGGCTGTGTCGTCGAACCGGATCCCTTGAGCACGGCCCCACCCCGGGTGTCATGACGATCATGCTGCTCATCGTGTTTGGGTCCGCTTTCGTCACGGGCATCATTGGTGTCCACCCCATCTTTGGCGGCTTCATCGCCGGTCTCATCATCCCTCACGAGGGTGGCTTCGCCATTGCTGTCACCGAGCGCATTGACGACCTCGTCTCCATGCTCTTCCTCCCGATCTATTTCGTCCTTTCGGGTCTCAAGACCAACCTCGGCCTCCTCAACACTGGCAAGATTTGGGGCTTTGTCATCATGCTCTGCTGCGTCGCCTTTTCGTCCAAGTTTATTGGTTGCGCCGGCACCGCCAAGATTCTGGGTTACAGTTACCGCGAGTCTGGTGCCATCGGCATGCTCATGTCCTGCAAGGGTCTTGTCGAGCTCATTGTCCTCAACGTTGGTCTCCAGGCCGGTATTATCGACGAGCAGCTCTTCTCCATGATGGTTCTTGTCGCGGTGGTCCTCACCTTTGCCACCACCCCTTGCACCCTCTTGATCTACCCCAAGAGGTTCCACGTCCGTCTCTCGGCCACGGGCGAGCCTCTTGAGGACAACGCCACCAACGCTGCTGCTCGCGCCGATTTCCTGCGTGCCTCATCTGGCGGTGCTGCCGGTGGTCGCGAGTACACCTCGCGCATCCTCGTCGTTCTCCAGAAGCTCGAGCACCTCGGTGCCACCATGTTCATCACCCAGCTCCTCGAGCCCGCTCACCCGGTGCATGCCGAGGCCCTCAACTCGCTCAACTCGAGCACCAACGGCAAGACTATCGACAGCGGTTCGAGTGAGGCTGGGAGCAGTGATGATGGCAGTGCCAAGAGCGTCGTTCACATTGACGCCCTCAAGCTCGTCGAGCTCACTGGCCGTACATTTTCGGTCATGCAGTCGGCTGAGAAGGACCAGCTCCTGCTTACCGATGACGCGCTCCAGCTCTACAAGCAGTTCGGTCGCCTCCGTGGCATGGACATTAACCCCCACATTTCCGTCATCAGCCAGGAGGGCTATGCGAGTGCCGTTGCCGACTATGCGATGGAGCTCAACTCTGAACTCGTCGTGATTCCTTGGACTATTCCCGCAGGCGGCCCGATCGTCACCCCGGAGCCCGAGGAGAACGGTGTCAGCTCGATGGCCAACAACTCGACGCCATTTGACAACATCTTTGCCGGTGACGGTTCGCCCATGTACACTCACTTTATCCGCAACATGTACACTACCACCACTGCCGACGTTGGCGTTTTCATTGACCGCGGCTTTGGCGGTGCCACCGTCACTCCCCCGGGCTCTGGCCAGCACATCTTCTTCCCCTTCTTTGGCGGCCCCGACGACCGTCTTGCGCTCCGCATGGTCGTGCAGCTCTGCCACCACGCCAACGTCACCGCCACTGTCATCCGCATCGTCCACGAGGACGCTCCCGACTCTGCCTCGGACGCTGGCACTGTCCACGAGACCAAGCCGTTGTCGGAGGGCGCCCAGGCTCACCAGGTTGCCTTCCAGAGCAACCAGCTTACCGTCGGCGGCCCCAAGCTCGAGGAGCAGAGCCGTGTCGTCTCGGAGACGGCTGACAACATTGCCTGGACCTACTACACCTCCACGGGGGGCGCGTCGTCGGATACCGCCCTCCGCCGCATCGTCTTCACCTCGGAGGACACGGCCACTCCTCTCCAGTTTGCTGCGCAAAAGGCCGAGGCGATCCTGCAGGCGTCCCGCGGCGGCCGCATGTGGCGCCCCCTCCTTGTTGTCGCTGGTCGTGGCCGCAGGCGCGCCGCGTACAACCACGAGAACGAGCTGTCGACCATCCTCGCCAACCGCGGCCAGAACCCCATTGTCGGTGCCGAGCTGCGCAAGACTGTCGGCGACCCTGCGACGGCCCTCATCCTCGCCGGTGGCCAGGCAGGCCAGGCTTCGTTCCTGGTCTTCGAGGCCGGCCAGTAGACTAGGAGGAGAATCACACAACACTACTATACCAAACTGCATGTGGACAGCGGGATAAAACCAACGAATGCCCCCGACTATCCATTTTCATTATTATTCAAGCTCTTCTTCAACGACTCATGAGTGTGTACGTATATACTGGAGCGGAGGAGGAGGGAGGGAGGGAGAAGTTGTTGCCCTGGAGGCCTTGAGGCTCGTGGATAGCGCGATGAATCATGTAAACACATTGCGTCACACAACCTGCTGCATCGCCGAGTTACTACTATAAAGAGGGACCTAGTGGACTGTGCCGGCGTGTCCAACTAAGCGCGGAGGCCGTACTTTTTGCGCGCGTTGGGCTCCACATAGAGGTATCCGAGTGGAGTGAGCTGGAGGATCGTGGCAGCCTTGTAGATGAAGGGCAGGAAGAACGTGGGCTTGGGAGGGAGCGCCAGGCCCGAGATCCACGAGAAGGGCGGGTATGGGATGAGCGGGTACTTGCCGGTCGGCAGGGCGAGGTGCGTGAGCACCGTGTCGACGACCTGGGACGGCTTGAGCAGAATCTTGTCGCCCCACTGGGACTTTACGCCGTTGTGCACCTCGCAGTTGCCGCCGGTCTGCGCCGTGGCCGTCTTGGTGCGGAACTCGTTGTCGATCGTGCCGGGCAGGAGCGAGAAGAAGCGCACGCCCATGCCCTCGCACTCGACGCGTGCCGACTCGACGGCCATGTACGCGGCCGCCTTGGTCGCGCTGTACAGGCAGCGGGAGGGCGCGGCGATCGCGGCGGCCACAGAGCTGAGGTGGTGCACGGCCGGCGACGGCGACGTGCTTGCCAGCAGCGGGAGGAAGGTCGCGAGCGCCAGGACAGTGCCGACGTAGTTGATCTCGCCACATGCGCGCGCCTCGATGGCGAGCGCGTCCAGCCCCGCCTTGGCCGGCAGCGATGTAGGCGCGAGGTTGCCCGTCTCGTCAATGGCGGTGGGGATCAGGCGGGGCTTGGCAGACGTGTCCGTCGGGTCGGGCACGAGGTTGACGCCCGCGAGCTGCAGGAGCGTGCGGGTCGACGGCACGCCCGCGAGAATGTGCAGCGTGTCAAAGCCCTCCCACGCTGAGAGAGATGCGTCAGCAGTGCGTGTGGGTGACGGATATCGGGGCTACATCAACTGTGACGTACCCTCCAGAACGGCCTCGCGGACGGCGATCAGGTCATCAACCTTGGTGATATCGGCCGGGACACAGAGGACGCGGTCGGCGGGGAGGCCCAGAGCAACAAGCTGGTCACGCACATCATCGAGAACCTCGGCGCGGCGAGCGACGAGGCAGCTGCTCGTCAGCGTGTGATCATCCAGATTAGCTCTCGTTGCAGGAGGATGAGCTATTCTGTGTGTGCTGTCGCGCAACCGTGCGGACCTGGCAGCCCGATGCAGACGCACCATACTCCACATGGGCTACGGACTGGGACTCACATCTTGGCACCGCGCTTCGCATATGCGACCGCGAGATCCTTGCCGATACCAGAGCTGGCACCGAGGAGGACAACACGTTCCGAGCTGGGAGGGAGGACCTGTTCGCGCGAGGGCCCCCTGCGTGTGCGCAGGAGACGCAAGAGCAGAGGGAGCGCGAGAGCGGCGGCCAGCAGTGTCTGGCGCTTGTCGAGGTGAGGAAAGGGAGACATGGGGTGTGGGATGTGGAGATGAATGACAATGGTGGTTGTGTATGTATTTAGTACCCGTTGGATTCACGCCCGGTCTTTGGTGTTACCGGAAATTAAGGCGTTAACGCGACAACATTAGCTCGTGGTCGGCCCAGGGCCGCCTTCCCTGCCAGCATATCCAGCATTCCGTGCTTCAATGCTTGGGGACTCGACGGTCTTGTGCATGTGCGTTAGCGCTCCTTCAGCTGCTGCGGAAACTGCCGCCGAGCCGTTCATCGGAGGAATGGGTCAAGTTCGCATGGGAACCGCTTGGGGGTGTTGACGAGCTGGCTGCAGTGTTCACGTGGATTTGGTGATGGCACAGTCGGCAGTACACCCGGCAGGATGATCTTGCGTGACCGAAGAAGCGTGTGGCCATGGGAAATGGGCGGAGGGGAGACGTCATGAGTGGCGGGAGAGGAGACTATCGATTGCAAGGACAACCACGGGTCGACACCTCAGTCAGCGATCAGCGACGAGGTGGTACAGGCGTGCGACGGTGATCTGGGATAACTTCACGCTCTTTCATTTGAATAACGTATATACAGCTCAACATGTGCCCACGTTGTTTTACGTCTTTCTTCACTTCTTCTTCTGGGCCTCGAGGTACGCGGCCCTCTCGGCCTGAATCGCCTTCCACGAAGCCAGGTCAGAGAGCTCCTTCCACCAACGCGTGACGTTCGGGAGGCGACCGTCAGTGAGGGAAGTGGTCCCGCCAATCTATACGTGTCAGCTTTGGTTTGACCAGGAAGGTGGGTGCGACAACAATGACGGTGGACAAGGAAGTGGACGTGGCGGACAGAGCCACACTGGCATCCTTCTTCGGCCACGACCACGGCCGCAGCGTCCAGCCAAGATCATATTGCTTACCTCAGTAACCATGGTCCCGTAAGGGAGGTGGAACAGGTCGGCAAGGGTCATCTGCTCGCCGGCGAGGTAGCGCTGGCGGCTGAGGATCACCTCGTAGCTCGCGAGCTTCTTCTCCAGGTTCTCCTGCTCGAGGATGACGCGCCCGGGGTCGGTGGTACCGCCCTTGCTGTAGCGAGTGTCAGCATTTGTGCAGCGCCTGGCTGCAGAGCCTCAGAGCTTGGCGGGGCGAACTTACCCAGGCTTGAAGACGAGCTCGTTGCAAATCGCCGAGGCCGAGACGTCAAAGTCGTTGTTCTCGATCGAGCACGCCTGCTCAAACTTGCCATAGGTCTGCGCGTCCGTGGGAAGCGGCATCAACTGAGTGTTGCCCGACACGGCGGCGATGTCTGCGGCCACTGTCAGCCGGCGGACAATGGCGCGACCACCATACACTCACACTTGGCGATGGCGCGCGACTCAAAGAGGGTCCAGCCGGTCTTGTCCTCGACGAGGACGGGCATCTGGCCAAACGGCTGAGCCTCGAGCCACCTGGGCGTCTTGATGTCGGTGAACGCGTGGTTGACGAGCTTGACGCCTGGGGTAGTTAGCAGGCAGGCGGGACGAGGAACACGTACGGTCGCTCATGCCGCACTCGGCAGCGCAGACCAGCACACGCCGCGTGCACTGGACGGTCAGCACGGGTGTTCGTCAGTGGCGTTTCCCAGGTGAGTTACGCACTGTAGACGCGATGTTGGCGTTGAGAGAGTAAGTGGGGGTGGACATGGTGGATGGAGGAACGTCATGAGAGCCTGTTCACACTCTCGCTGGTTATCTACTCGCCCGTCTCATCCCCACGTCCAAGACGACCACATCCCACGCTAAGCCCTGCTCGCCTGGGAACTCGGGCGGAATCCGGGAATGGAAGTGAGGGAACTGTACAGAATCGCACCGAATGACACGAGGCAAGGTTGTAGGAAGAGATCGCGTCTGTTGAGCACATATGACGTCACACCCGTGGATATCAGCTGACAAGGATCCACCCGCTACCATCGCGACCATTTTTATCAGAATATGATCAGATTCATTGCATGCTTCTAGTTGTGCCACTGCTTTGATAGTAGAGGCATTCAAGGCTGTCTTCCTCACTTGATCGCTTACCCATGTGACGGCAGGTATGATATCAGCCAGAGGATCCATGTCATTGCCGGACGACGGTGTGAGGCAACAGGCCTAACAGGCACAGTTCGGGACCATGTTTGGTACATAGCCAAGCCTCACACCACCGTCTCGTCTCGTTGCTTCGTTTCATGTCTGGTTCGCCCGGTACAAGATGGCTACCGCTTGGGTTTGTTTGGCTCAAGCGTGGTCAGCCTCTCAGTTCCTTCCGACTCCGCAGGGCTCTGGGCTCGTGCCACACGCAACAGGTGATGTTCCTGTGCCTCGACGGCCCCCTTCTCCCGAAGACAGCAAGTGATGTTCTTGCCATCAGATACCCTACCAACAAATGCGAGTCTCTGGCCAGTGTGGCGGAATACAAGTCAGCACGAAAGAATTGTGTGGCCTGGCACAGGTGTGCAGTTGACAGCGAATCACCCTTCCCCACTCCCAAGATGAAAGTGTGCCATGCGCGTTGCATTGTTGTACTGCCTATCTTCAAATCCGTTTCAACTGTTGTCGAAACCCCCGATGCCCTTGATTGTTGATGCCTTTCTTGCTCCTAGTTTCCCCCGTTGGCCTTGCGCTCCTCGGCCTTGCGCAGACGCTCTGCCTCCTTGATCCGCCGGGCCTCCTTCTTCTCGTCGCGGATGCGCTTCTTGTCCGACTCGACGCCGACGACCTTTGTGCGGTGCTCGGCCTGGATGGAGGGAAGGGGCTGCCAGTAGCAGATCCACATGCCACGGGTCTGGTCGTCCGCCTTCCACTTTTTGGCAGACATGCCGAGCTGGACGTCAAAGTTCTTGACGATTTCTAGGCGCTGCTCCTCGGTAATCTTGTTCTTCAGGCCGGCGCCGGACCGAGTGGCAAAGATGAGGTGCACGCGGTCGCCCTTCTCGAGAATGTTGCGGGCAGTGTTGATCTTGTGCTGCATGTCGCTGGGGGCCGCATTCCAGGGCACCTGGAGCTCCTTGTCCTCCATCGAGGTCTTGCGCTGCAGCTTGGCCCTGGCGTCAAACTCGCGTTTGGCGTGACGCTCTTCTTCGAGATTGATAATCTTGACAATGGGTGGATCGGCCTGGACGACGACGAGGGCCTCCTGGCTAAAGTCCATGTTGCGCAGAATGCTGGACTTTGATTGGGGCTCGTCCAGCTTGTTTGTTGCCGGGTCAACGAGCTGAACGGTCTGAAAGGGAATGTCATGGTTACGGCGCATGAGAGGGTTGGCAGCTAATTCGGCAGCCTCAGCGGCCGCGGCTGCCCTCTCCTCTCGACTCTGGCCAAATCCTGGACGGTAGAAGCGGACGGCAGCGAGGGACGGCGAGAGCAGCGGAGAGTGGACACGGGTGGACAGAGGAAGGCGAGCGCGAGCCGAGTGGACGATGGTGCGGCGTGATGGACCGGACGTGGCTGCCGCGGCGATGCGGGAGGATGCTGTGGCTGCCGTTGCTGATGAGCGGGCAGCCATGTTGAGGAATGGACGGGACATGGCGTGGGGGTGAGGTTGAACGACAGAACACAAAGTCATGTAGAGAGACCCACCCTAATATGACACCACTCGATTGAGACGTTGGAGCGGGAGCAGATTTGGGTGAGCGCGCGTGTGGTGCACAGGCCCCGTCCCTCTGACGCTGGCCCCTCTTTGCCTCCCAGTCGTCCCGCGGCGGGCAGTGCGCGCGTGGTTGTTGGTCGTGTCCTGTGCGTTGCTCTGTCGCGACCACATCGTCTCCCTCTCTTACACCTTTCATCGCATCATCCACAACCCCCGCATCTCACAGCCCCCGCTAGCTCCCCCCTTCTATCATCATCACCTCACGTCACTCTCGCCCTCTCGCGCCCAGCCGCGCCTCCCTCGAAGAGCCGGTTCCAAGTGATCCCGTCCGGCTGATCTCTTGTCCTTGTCCAACCGGCGTGTAGCTCGCCTTCCCTCCTCCATCAACACTGCCACGACCACCACCTTCTCTCCTACACACCCAACTCTATTCGTCTTAATCCAAACACTCCAGGGACCTCCGTCCCCTTTCTATCTCTTTCTCCCACCCTCCCCCTCCCTCCACTCCCAACACCACACCCTCACAACCCAGCACCACTCGCTCGACCATGGAGGCCTACGACGACCGCTATGTGGTCGACATTCCGCGTGGACAGGACAGCATGGATAATGGCTTTCCGTACAACAGTCGTCCTCGCGCCCACTACGGCTCTGGTGCGTCTGCGTCTGCTTCTTCATCTGCCCAGCCAGTGTCGCATCGCTCCAACCCTCCCGACTCGAGCGGGGTGTGGCCAAACGGGCCGCGCACCGGCATGGCGGACAGCAACCGTCGAGACCCCCTGTTGACCCGGACAGGCAACATGAACGCGCCGCCTCCTAACCATGCGTCGTCGTCGTCCTCAGCTGCCGCGTCCACCAACACCACTGTCACCGCCAACGAGCAGGTCTCGGGACAGCCGCAGGCGGCTCCACACGCGCGCCGCATGTCGTCTAGTTCGGCTATGCGCAGTGATTCCAAGGACGAGGGCGCAGGCGTACCCGTGGCCTTTGACGAGGGTATCCTTCGGGGCCTCTGCGACATGGACGTGGGTTTGCTCTCCTCCATGGCATTCGACGTGATTACTAAAACGAACAGTGCGCGCTCCCCCTTCTTGCGGACCGAATAAAGCAGTCGGTGCAGTCGTGCAAGGTATGTGTGGCGAGTGGCGGCGGCCCGGCGCGCAGTAGCTCCTGCTGACACCGTGCCTACAGCAAGTCGCCCAGTTCTTCCGCGACCGCTCTGCCATCGAGGAACGCTACGGCAGGAGCCTGAGCGAGATGACGCGTACCTCCAACGACCTGTACAGCCGTTCGGACGGCAAGGCCGGATCGTTTGTCGCCGCGTACCAGTCTTCCCTCCGTGTCCAGGACCAAGTTGCCCAGAACCGCCTGCGCTTTGCCTCGCGCCTGGGAGAGATGAGTGAGGAGCTCAACAGCTTGGCTCGTGAAGGTGAAAAGCAACGCAAGATTGTAAGTTGACCAGTGTCTCTCGCTATGGCGAAGAATCTGCGTCTGCGGCGTAGCATTTGGTCTGACCCTGCAGCACAAGGAGAACGGCGCGCGTTACCAGGGTATTCTGCAGGAAAGCGAAGGAGTCATGGACAAGGTGAGATCCACACTTTTGGTTTTATGGACACAACTACAGACACTAACCGCTGTAAGGCCAAGGCACGCTTTGACGCCACGGCCGAGGAGCTTGAGCGTATCCTCGTCGCCAAAGAGGGCGAGAACTACCGCGACGCTGCCATCCGCACCGAGCCAACCTCTGCGCCTAGACAGCGTGGCTTGGGCAAGGCTCTCAACAAGGGCTTGTTCAAGGGCAAGAACCCGGCACAGATGGCAAAGCACGAGGACGACGTTCGCTCGCGCATGGCTTCGGCGAGCGAGGCGTTCCGCAAGGCTGTCCTCGATAGCCAAGCGTTGCGACAGGAGTACTTCAACTTCCAGCTGCCCAAGATTGTTCGCGTAAGTTGACAAGCTACGATATACTACGTGTAGCTGACACGACACTCAACAGCTTCTCAAAGACAGTGCCGACGAGCTGGACCTGGGCATGCAGTACCACCTGACGCGTTACGCGTTCATGTACGAGTCCACTATTGTCGGCGAGGGCTCGATTTTGATCCCAAGCAACCCGGATGATGGTAGGTAGCACATACCGGGCCACCTAACACTGTTGCTAACTATTCCCACAGGACCTGGCCTCAAGCACATCTTCGAGGCTATCGACAACCGCAGCGACTTCAAGTCGTACATGCAAAACTACGCGGTTGCCCGTAACACCCCCAAGGGCCCGCGCCGCGAGGGTCTGTACGACGAGGGCTTCATTCCTGCTCTGCCGCCGCATGTGCAGGCCCAGCAGAACGCTACAATGACTGCCCCTACTCCTCCCCCTCCAGCGCCGGTGACCAACGGCAATGGTGTCCCCCAGCAGGCCGCTCCCCAGCCCGAGTTCGCATCATCATTAGTCCCCGCTGCGACCGGCGCCACTTTCGGTGTCGACCTCGGCGACCAGATCCAGCGCGACGGCACCGAAGTACCCAAGGTTGTTGTCAAGTGTGCCGAGGCGATCGAAGCGTACGGTCTCGAATCAATGGGCATTTACCGCTTGTCGGGAACGACGTCCAGGGTGCAGGCACTCAAGAATGCCCTCGACCATGACATTGAGGGCACAGACGTCATGGACGAGCAGTGGAGTGCGGACATCAACGTGGTGTCTGGCGCGCTCAAGCTGTGGTTCCGCGAACTGCCCGAGCCTCTCCTGACATTTGGCCTGTACCACGGCTTTGTCGATGCGGCACGCTACGAAAACGACCGGTTACGACACATCCGACTGCACGAGCAGGTCAACGAGCTGCCAGACCCCAACTATGCCACGCTCAAGTACTTTATGGGTCACCTCGACCGCATCCGCCGCAAGGAGGGTGTCAACCAGATGTCGACGTCCAACCTGTCCATCGTCTTTGGTCCCACACTGTTGGGCGCCCCGCCCGAGGAAGGCGGTCTGAACCTCGAGCACATGAACTACCAGTGCAAGGTATGTGACGGCGGCTGACTCGTGTGACTCTGAGAAACCCCCATAGCTGACGCTCGCTTCAGGCCATTGAAACCATTCTGGAAAAGTACCAGGAAATCTTCGTCGAGGAGGACGAAGGAGGAGATACCGCGTCGGCGCAGGCGCAGGGAGCGGCATGAGCGGAAAGCCCATGAACATTGTAGTAGCTTTTGGAGACGACACCCCCCACACCCACAAGAGGATGCAGAGATACCACTTGTTTGTGCGTTTGCGGTTGGCAGAGAAAGAGGGAGGAGGACGAGGAGGCAAGGAACGGACCAGCCACGGGCAACGCTTATGCCACTTGGCCCACTTGGATTCAAATGCGACACCGGTTTTGCGATTTCATGCAGCTATATGTACCGCTCTTTCGGCATCTAAGGGTCGAGCGAGGCGGGGAAGGTGCCGTTCTCGACCTGGTCGGTCCACTTGGACGACCACTCGTCTGCGGAGACAGCGTCAGCATATGGTGTGTGGGCCTGGCGGACAAAGTCGGCCGCTCGGCGCTCCAACGACGACACGCCATTTGCGCGCGCCGTGTTGTGGCCTTGCGGCCGCTCCATTGTTCGCCAAGGAGCGAACGGATACGCACTGGGGCAGAGCGACTGGTAGGCGCGCTTGAACTGCTGGCAGGGAGCAAACTCCTCGCCCTTGGCGTTGACACACTTGTGGTAGTCGACAAAGTTCTGCTGCAGAGAGTGTTAGCCCGCGGTGGTGTGGTGGTCGCAAGCCGGTGACGACAGTTCGGCGGACGTACCCAGCTGTATTGTGTCGGAAGGGAACGGAGGGTCAGTGTTCAGATATTCGGTTGTTGCGCGCCGGCGTCGGCGGGTGGGGGGGTGGGCTCACCAGTGCTTGGTCTGGTTCTGGTTGGGGAAACGGGCGCTGGAAGGTCAGCGATGGCTCATGGACCCAAGTGCGATGCAAGGCGACACTCACTCAAAGCCAGCAGTCTGGAGCTTGGCGGGAAGTCAGTTGGCAGTTCTCGGAACAGGCTTGCAGGCGGATCCAGGGGGGACAAGGGAGCGGTCGAACAACTCACAACGTAGGTCCTGCGAGCATTGTCAGCCATGCCATGTCACATCCGTTGTGCGCGCCACTCACTTTTCCTCGGCCATTGTGATGATGTGTTGTGGTGATGAGTGGTGTGCGGTAATAGGGTGTAGGACGACGACGAGCAGCCATGAGCCAACGAGGAGAGCCGGAGAGAGCACCAGCCTGGGCGGGCGGGGGTGGGAGGACAGCCAGGAACGGTGAGCTGTCGGTGTTAGCTCGGGCCTTTGGCGAGTGGCACTAACGAGGGGGTGGTGGGTGGGGAGATTACAGATGCACTCTGGGTTTGTAACCACTCCATCCTTACACCACTTATTCCCATTGCACTCTTATCCTTCTCGCACACCATGAACCGCCCACTCGATAACGCCGCCCCGACCATCTTTGCTGCGTCGTCAACAGGCCGCAGGAACGACGCGCTCTGGGCCGACGCCTACAGCGAGGACGCCGCCGCGCAACCCGAGCTGGCTTACCTCCACAACAAGCGTGTCGGCAGTGACGAGGAGGGCTCTGAGGACGAGGAGGCTGGCGAGGAGATTGATGCGTATGAGGTGTTTGGTGAGTAACTGCGTTTGGTCGTAGAAAGGAATGGCAGTGGCGAGAGGCGAGCGAGGTGTCGCTCCACCTCCAGCTTCCCCTTCCATGTCGCCGTCCAGCCCAGAGACCCAAAGCTAACACTCCACCCCAGACCTCCTCCGCTCCGTCACCGACCCCGAGCACCCCGTGTCGCTTGAACAGCTCCGCGTCGTCTCGGCCGAGGACATCCACGTCGCCGGCAACCGCGTCCTGGTGTACTTGACCCCGACCATCCCGCACTGCTCCATGTCGACGCTCATCGGCCTGTCGCTGCGCGTGCGCCTCCTGCGCGCCCTCCCGCCGCGGTACCGCGTCGACATCCGCATCAAGGCCGGCACGCACCAGAGCGAGCACGCGGTCAACAAGCAGCTCAACGACAAGGAGCGCGTCCAGGCTGCCCTGGAGAACAACCACCTGCTCCAGGTGGTCGAGGGATGCCTGGCGACGGCTGGACGGAGAGGCGCCCCTGGTCCCGAGGACCACAGCGGCCACGGCCACTGAGCTGGAGCTGAGGGAGACGGAGATGGACCGCAGAGTGGTCCGTCAGAGGGTTGGAGCGCATTGGTTGTGAACGTGCGAGGTTCTACACTGTTGTATATCAGCGACACATTTGGCATATTGGAGACTCGACGAGGTCGAGATGCAGGTACAACTATCTATATCAACACTCTCTACTATAAATGTCTCTCTCTTCACTGATCTCAGATTCTCTATCGCCACACTACACGGGCGGGCTACGGCGCTCAGTCTCACGGCGGGCAATGTACTCCTCCCTCTCCTGCTTCCACTCTGGCATGATCGTCGAGAGTGGAACGGCGTGGTCGGTTCCCGCCACCCACACATCGGGGTCGATGGTGCGAATCTTCGAGTCGTGCGGGATCCCGAGGCCTTCGTCCACGGGCAGTTCGTCGTTCTCGATAGAGTGGACCTCGGCGCGCTCTTGTTCGTTTGCGTTGCGCTTCAGCTTGGCGAGGAAGGCGGCGTCGTCGAGCCACATGTCCTTTTCGACCAATGCCCCGCGCGCGACCATGCGCGAGATGACTTCGCCCAGACGCCGGTCGATCTCCGAGTGGGCCGCGTTGGACCAGACACCGGCGTCGGCGGCAGAGTACGCGCGCGCCAGCGAATGCGCACACTCCAGGTCTGTGACGACGAGGTAGCGCTTGTGGTCGGAGAGGTGCGGGGAAGGGAAGGCGCGGACGGCGGCAAAGACCGCGCGGCCCTGCTCGAGCGAGATGTGGCCGAACCCCACGGCATCACGCAGGCCATAGTCGAGGCGGTCGGCGCAGAGGTGCGGCGCGGGGCGCTCCACAAGCCCGTACTCTTCCTCGTCAAAGATCTGCTCGGTCGCGCCGTGGGCGGCAAGGATCGAACGCAGGTTGGTCATGGCGACGTACTCATCCTTGTGCTCCTCGTGGTACGAAACGGGCGAGGGGAAGGCGCTGTCGGCCACATGGCTGAATGCAGTGTGCGAAATGTCGTGCAGGAGCCCAGCGGCTTGCTCTTCCACGCTCCCACCGACGGCGCGAACGAGGATCATGGCGCCCACCGAGTGTTCCAGGCGAGTCACGAATGGAGTGTGTCCAAGGTGGGCGGTGATGCCGTGCTGAGCGACATGGCCCAGGCGGCGGACCGCCGGGGAGGTGAGGAGGGCGATGAGGAGCGGCTCAGTGAGTATGTGGGAGCCGTAAATGTCGTCGACGACGGTGGCCGACGTCGAGGTGATGATGATCTTTTGGAAGTGACCAGACGGAATCGTCTCGGTGGTGCTGTTTGTGTCCCCAGCGGTGTTGCTGTTGACGTAGTCGCTGCCTTCGTGGTGGTAGGCAGCGCCGTCCTTGGAAGCAGCGGTGGGAGTGACGGGGTGTGTCGCAAGGTCTGTGGTCATGCTTGCTATGAGTGTGGTACGGGGGTGAGTGATGGCGAGGAAGGAAGGAAGGCAGGATCGGTGATGGAGGTTTGTTGTGGGGGGTGACTGCACATGTCAGGCACCAAACCAAACGTCATGTCAGTCCACTCAACCGTCCGCTTCCGCTTCCGTCGGAGGGAAGGTGTGTTCCCCTCAGTGACAGTCTTCCTTTCGCCAACACTTCTTCTCCTCCAACGTTCTGTTGCATGAGACCAGAGACCATGAGATCATGAGGTCGATGGGCACGTGTACGCTCACCATACAGGACACAGCTCCAGGAGTCGTCCACAGTTTCAGGACTCGAGGAGATCGCCGAGGGTTGTTTCGGATACGCAAAGGCCTTTGCAAACGTGGTTGAAATGCGACGATTTGAGAGCCAAACAAACGTCCGTACGTGTCCTGTGGCCTGTGGGCAGGTTGTCAAATGCAGACCAACCCGCCTGATGGCCTCTGGTGGTAGCATGCTGTCTTGGGACCACCCCATCTGGGTACATGTGGTCTGCACTGTAATGGTCGACCTGCATAACACCCACTTAAGGGTCGTCACTGCCGTCCTCTGGTGGATAAGGATTAACCCTGCGATAACAACCTCGGGAGAGACGACTCCTTTTGTCACCTCACGCTTGCTGCCGCAGTGTTTGTCTACTTGTTTTTTTGGACAAACATACAGCAGGGTGTGAGCACGACCTGTATGACACCCGTAAGTGGTGAACCCAAACCCAGATGTGTTTGTTGTGCCCATGCCCATGTCTATTCTGTCGTTTGGCTTCACTTTACGATCAAATGGGGGCCCCGAATTCTGACTTGTCCCTGTGATCTCTGGGTAACGCGTCCCTCGAGCGTTCCTGTCCCATCCAGCACACACAAACCGCCGTTGTCTTGGCCGATCGCGGCAGGTGGCCAACAATTTAAAGCCAGACGCGCAAACAAAGCCCAGTCATGCCAGTCATGTGTTGAGCCGTAGAGACTGGTTGGTAGAGAAAGAGAGAGTTTGTCATCTGATGCACGTTGGGTTGTGTGCAGCAGGGCTCTGCAGCACGGGCACATTGAGCTGCTGGGCGAGGAGAGGGTTCGTCTGATGGGTGTTTCAGCACGGGCCATCCACAAAGTGCTCTCCAGAATTGGGCCATCAACAGGCACACACCCACACCCACATGCGACCCCCCCTCTCGCTAGCGCTTGCTATAACTCTGCGTTTTGCGCTGCTGTCTCTCTTCTCCTTTACGCCGTCTCTGTTGTCCATCACAAGACGCGTCTCCTCCAGCTACATCGGCAGGTAAGTGCCCACATCCATCCACAACCCTCACGCGGGTGGCGGCGCCGCGGGAGTCTGATGGGCCCACCCGGAAAGCCGGAAGGCGTGGGCTGCGTGACGCGTGCCATGCTGCCAGTGCCCACGATGTGACAGAGGGAGGGGACATGCCAACAACAATAACCAGCCCAGGGATCTCCTTCTCAAGTCGTCTTTCAAGACTGCTCTTCACGTTGTCACTTCTCGTCCCCCCCATGTCGCCCGCCGAGCCCGCCGCCACCGCGGCCAACACCTCGTCGCCATCGCCCGCCAGCAAGCTCGTCAAGGACCTGTCGTTTTCCCGGTACGTGTCAGTCTCAGAATACGTGACCCCCCGCGTCCGCGGGCACGTTCCGAGCAGCAACTTCGCAGCACATCGCTAACATTGGCCAGCAGCGCGAGCCGTACCAAGCCCAGCCCAAACAATGCCGGCCTCCCGAGCCTGAAGCAGCTTTCCGACCGCCTGCAGCCATCAGCCAGTGTGGGTACGAACACCACCGCCAAGCCGGCGCTCAACGACGTGACTGTGAGCACGACCAACCTCCCGACGTCCTCGTCGGGCCCGTCGCTGTCCCCCTCGCGCCTCAAGCTTCCCCAGAGTGCCATGCAGCGCGCCAACATTTCCCCTCCATCACCTGTGCGCGGCGCCTCAGCTGCCCCTGATGCCGGCACCGAACTCAGTGCGGGAAAGACCGAGAAAGATGTCGTGGCGAACAAGGTCGACAAGGAAGCACAGGACAGTGACAAAGACGCTCAGTCCACCGATTCTCGTGCCGATCTCCCCAACAACAGTACCACTGCCAGCGCTGGCGCAGATGCCACCGCCCCTGTCACCGCCGCCGACAAGGAGGGCAGCTCCAAGGCCACGGAATGGCGTCGCGGGGGCCGAGCAGGCCTCGGCGTCGGCTTCCCTGGTGCTGCGACCTCAGGCCCAGAGACTCCCAGTCGCCCTGCGGCGATCGGCAAGGCCGTCCCCGAGATCGTCGTGGAGGCTGGCACGCCTACCAAGGATGTCGCCGGGGGCGAGACAACCCCGCGTACCACCACCGCTAACGGCGAGCACCCACTCGCTCACCCTTGGTAAGCTGTGCATGCCGGGGTCTTGAGCTGACAATGCAGGACGATATTCTACGACTCGAAGACTTACAAGCCCGACCCCGCGACGGTCAAGAAGGACGACATGCTCAACGAGTGGGAGGCGTCGCTCCTCACAGTTGGTACATTTGACACGATCGAGGGCTTCTGCCGCAACGTCAACAACATTCGCATGCCGAGCGCCATTGCCAAGCACGCAAACTACCACCTGTTCAAGGATGGTATCCGTCCCGTGAGTAGTGGCCCTTATTTGTGGCTATGTGAAACGTTTGCTGATCGCCAACGCTCTAGATGTGGGAGGACCCAGCCAACAAGGACGGCGGCAAGTGGGTGGCCCTCATCCGCTCGTCACCTGGTTTGATGGACCATGTCTGGTCCAGCCTCTCCATGGCGCTCGTCGGCGAGATGCTCGACCCCGAGGACGGCGTGTGCGGCATTGTCGTGTCGGCTCGTCCCAAGATGGACCGCATTCAAGTGTGGACTCGCAAGCGTGACAACATTGAATACTTGAACACCCTCGCGGCCCGTATTGTCGACTTTATGGGCCTCGAGCCAAGTGAGATGGGCGCGGTCTCGCTCGAGTTCCAGGGCAACGCCGCCGGCAGCACCCCGCCTCCCGGTGTGCTCACCCGTATCCCCTTTGGCGGAGGCCGCTCAGTGTCGGTCGCAGTCCCGCCCTCGGCCGACAGCCCTCGCGGCGGTGGCGGCCGCATGCGCAACCCGTCATCGCCAGTTATGCCTTCGTCTCCACTCGGCAGCCACTCTCTCACGATTCCGGGCTCACCTCGCGCGGGAGGTGGTGCACCTATGCGCCGTGGCGGCAGCGGTGGTGGTGGTGGTGGTGGTGGTGGGTCAGGCAATGGAGGTGGTAACAATGCCTTTTCGGGGCCCATGGGCTCTCCCCGCCGCCTTGTTAGCACCCCTGCCTCTGGCGGTGCATAGTTAGCTCTCTGCTGCAGCGTGCATGTGTGTGTGTGTGTCACTCCTCCCCCTCGTTGTGTTATAGGCCCCGTATGTAGGCAATGTCATCCATCTCTGAACGCATATACAACCCGGCGAATTCAAAGTGCCACACGCCGGCGTTAAAGTGAGTGCGCGTTAGGTTGAATGACGGTCACCCCCATCTGGGCCCATCCTGGCACGGCGCCTCCTCGCCTCCCCGCCCGTGACAGCCTGGGCGCGCGTATAGGTGGACACTCACTCTCCATTACAACTCGCCATCCCTCCATCCATCTATCTCCACTCACGCACTCCCATCGGGCACACCAGTCGCCCTACACACATCTCTGGCGGCACCCCCCGAACGGGATAGATCCCTCCCTCCCCCCATCCCCCCTCCTCGTCACCACTCTCTGCACCGGTCGGGTGCTAGCTCGTCCCACTCCCTATATCTTCGCCCTCCACTTCCCTCCTACAACCGACTCTTCCCCCGCCCATAGCTGGACCGCGCACGCGTAGCGAGCGGCACGCGGCCCAGCTTGACATCTCCATCCCTCCCTCCCCCCCTCTGTCCTCTTCCTTTGCACACAGAGTGCAAGCGCCAACCCCGTCCCCCATGTACGGCAGCCGCGGCTACGCCACCGGGTACGGCGGCCTGGGCGACATGCCGTCCCGCGCGTCGGCACTGCAAGCCCAGCAGCAACAGCAACAGCAGCAACAACAGCAGCAGCAACAGCAGCAGCAGCAACAGCAACAGCAGGCTGCCCAGCAGCTCGGCACCAGCGGCTCTGGAGCCCCCCTGTTGCTGAACAACCTCGCTCAGCACCTCAACAACCCTCCTCCCCCACAGAGCGGCCACGGACAGCACCCCACCCAGCCCTCGACTCCTGGCCTCGGCAGCGCAGGCAGCGCCGGCGGCTTCCCTTCCACAGGTGTCCCCGGCGCGCCGGCACAGGGCACTGGCAAGCTCTTACTCCTCCCGAACGGGTCACCGCCCCCTGCGGGCTCGGAGGAGGAGAAGATTTACCTGCTCATCACCGAGCTCCTCGACCCCGAGACGCGCGAGACGGCGCTCCTCGAGCTTAGCAAGAAACGCGAGATGTATGAAGATCTCGCGCTGGTTCTCTGGGGTGGATTTGGTGAGTCACATTGCGGGGATCTGGCGGCTGGAAAGGCTGGAACTGGCCTGGAACAGCGGTCGAGTACCCTGGCACAAACTGATTACATGGCTGAGGCTGACCTCGTACTAGGCATCATGTCCTCTCTCCTCCTCGAGATTGTCAACGTCTACCCCGCCCTGTCTCCCCCCGTGCTCACTGCGCATGCGTCCAACCGCGTGTGCAACGCTCTTGCCCTTCTCCAGTGTGTCGCGTCCCACTCGGAGACCCGTAGTCTCTTCCTCAACGCCCACATCCCCCTCTTCCTGTACCCATTCCTCAACACGACGAGCAAGACTCGTCCATTCGAGTACCTCCGCTTGACGTCGCTGGGTGTCATTGGCGCTCTCGTCAAGCAGAACGACAACTCGGACGTCATCAACTTCCTCCTCTCGACCGAGATCATCCCCCTCTGCCTCCGCATCATGGAGACTGGCTCGGAGCTCTCCAAGACGGTCGCCATCTTCATTGTCCAGAAGATTCTCCTCGACGACCTTGGCCTCCAGTACATTTGCCAGACGTACGAGCGCTTCTACGCCGTTGGTGCCGTTCTCTCCAACATGGTTACCGCCCTCGTCGAGACCCAGGCTGTCCGCCTCCTCAAGCACGTCGTCCGTTGCTACCTCCGCATGAGCGACAACCCCAGGTGTGTATATTTCTTGTCCTCTTTCCTGTCAAACATGTGGGCTGACGCTTGCTTCCAGGGCGCGCGAAGCACTGCGCGCTTGTCTGCCCGAGCCGCTTCGCGACGGCACGTTTGCCGCGCTCCTCAAGGGCGACCTCGTCACGAAGCGTTGCCTCCAGACACTGCTCGTCAACCTGAACGAGCGCGCCGAGTAAAGACCACCACTGAACAATTACCATACAAGGAATCGCCGTCGGCCGCACCACCCATGACATTTACACACGAGTTCGTGTTGGTTTGACACAGCAACAACAGCAACAACAACAGCACCACCACCACCAACAACACCAACACCAACAACCCTACACCTTACCTTACCTACCTTAGCATTTACCCACCCGGCGCCGCCTCGTGGGTGGTTGTACGCACACAAACGAAACGAAGCAGAGCAGAAACACAGCATGCGCGCAGCGGGCGTTGCACACCGTAATAACTGGTGGCCGTAGCGTCATAGTCCCGTCCCGCGCCGCCTGGCGAGCCAGGTTTCCAGTCCTAGTACTGCATTCCATACGTTCCATGACTTTTTCCTAGCATCGGAGATCTGAATGTACGACAGCTGTACCGAGCAAGATGAGCGAGCGAGAGAAGGAGCATGACGCCCAGTGGACGCGAGGTTGGCATGGTGCTCTTGGTGCTTGACTTGGCGACACCAGTATAAGGAAGATTCGCGCGCAAGCATATGCCACTGGCCACGGGTATCTCTGTTCCTTCCAGCGAAGGAATGGGTGGTGCTGGGATCTGAAGGCAAAGGGTGATAAGCGGTGATCGTGTGATGGCCGTGACATGGGTGGCGTGAAATCCGGTGCAGGTGTTTGGGGAACCAAATACCAGACTCTACCGCGGCCAAAATGTCGGATCCACCTGTTCCTTCCTTCCTTCTTCTCTCAACTCCTGTATCCCTTTGTCTCTATACCCCAGTGCGTGTCCTACCTCACCGACATGGCCGGCACAGCCCCAGCCGTGACGGCCACGGGCTCGGGCTCAGTCCCCCCCTCCATGTCCATATCTTCTCTTGCGTACCTTGTCCCCGAGACGCCCACCAAAGAGTCCGCCGTTGCCACTGGTCCAAGTCCGCCTTCCTCGCTTTCCTCCACGCCACCCACACCTCCGAGCAAAGGCACCTCACCCCCACGCCCGCTACGTCGTTCTCGCGCCGTCCGCTGCTCCCTACTGCCCGGAATGGAGGGGATGGGCCCCACACCGCGTGTGGCGAGTCTCACGCGTCGGTCCAAGGTCTCCTTCCTTTCGTTACCCCAGGAGGTTAGTACGAGCGCACGAGCGCCAGACAGTGCTGACCCGCGCACAGGCTACCTTGGGTGTGCTCGCTTACATCACCGTGCCCGACATGAAGAGCCTGCTGATGGCTGTGGCCCCGGATCGCAAGGCGTTCCACAATCTACAGGTGAGTCGGGGATCGGAGAATGAGGTTTGGAGGAAGGAATGGGCGGCCCGCGAGATCTCCAGCACACGACGGGCGTCGAAACGCATTGGGATGGTCCCCAGCTGTCCTTAAGGTGTTTGGACCTTCAGCTGACAACGCCAGCTCCACATCATTGCGACCCTCATTGAGCGCACCTGGTCGAGCAAATCGGCTGCGACGGTGTGGCGCGAGGTGACCATTGAGTGCGACCGGTACAAGTGGCACCTCGTCCACAAGCCTCAGATGTGTCCGGCCAACTGCCGACACCCGGAGATGCACATGCACGACAAAGGAACTGAGCTCGACCTCGCTCGGCGCAACTGGGCATCCAAGGTGGGTTTAAAGGGAGCTTTGTTGTTCTGACCCAGCCAGTACATAGAGCGCCCGCCAATCTACCACAGCGAGGTGGTCCAGACAGTCAATGGCTGCGACTTTCGCTTCCAGGGTACCTTTAGCGAGTCGCACGCCTGTCGCGTGATGCACAAGAGCGAGGTCGAGTTCTGTACCACCATCCTGCACGACCTGTACGAATCGCCTGGTGAGGACGACGCCGCGTCAGATCGGTTCCTCGTCGAGCTCGTCGCTTCTGACGGGGTCAGGCGCATGTGGGATGCCATGTACGCCAACCCGCCCGACTTTGCGTTCATCTCGTCCGTCCGCAAGCTTTCCCGTCTCTACTGTCTCTGCGCGCACGCCCTAAGCATCAATCTTCCTCGTGAGGAACAATGGCTCAGTCTGTCGGCCATCCCACCCATCGATTGCAAGGGCCGCGTGGCGTGGGAGGACGTGTGGGCGGCGTTGGCAATCATTGGTGAGATAGAGTGTACTCCGAGCAGAGCTGACAACAGCACCTCTGGCAAGGATGTCGATCAATCAAGGGGATAACACTGGACATGTTAGCGACGCTTTGGCTTCTCTAGCCCGCCCATCGAAGCTCCTTCCCATGGCCGACATGCCCGTCCCCTCTGTCCGCATCAGCCTCTCGTGCAACCCGGCCGCTCTCGCCCCCAAGGGACCATGGGACTGGGCCGACATCTGCGGCACCTGGTACATTGCCATGGCGCAGTTCCCGGGGGGTTCTCTGAAACTCATGTCGTATGGCTGTGTCAACCTCGTTCCCCGCGCTCCCGACGTGATCAGCGACGCCATGGCCAAAATGGACGCTGAGAATGGGTTTGGTTTCAGCAACCCGCCATCCTACGGAGCCACTCTTGCTACTGGCTTGCCCAAGTCCGATGCTCTCCCACCCATTTACTTTAGCGGACTCACTCAATCATCCTCTCTGTCCCGTTACCACCTCCGCGGCATTGCCCAGCTCACGACCGACCAACCACCCGAGGTCCGCTACCGCGTAATCTTCCGTAACGCCGAGACCAGCCTCGACGAGCTGTGCTTTGAAGGCGTCCACATCGGTGGACCTGGATCCAAGCGCGGCGTTGTTGGTGTAAGCTTCGACAGTATAAGCGGTTGGCCGAGCTGACCCAAACAGGTGGCATTCTCCCTCATGAACAACATTTGGTACAAAGGACTCGACCTGGACCGCGACAATGCCCCACCTCCTCCCCCTTGCGATACCCCCTTGGCCTATGCCGCCTGGTTCTGGAAGCCTGAACCCACCGGCCACTCCCTCCCCACTTCTATATAGCCTCTCATGTCCCCGCGTAGCCTGTAGTGCATGCCACGAGCCCCCCTCATGTCCTCATGTCCTCTCCCACATTAGCCACATCTGCCTCCACTTGCCACTTACGTCAGACCTCCACTTCCGGACCCGACCACCAGAATAGCCATCTGTCCAAGACATCCGCTTTCCCATCTCACGTCCACCACCTTTGTCAAACCATGGGCGTAGACTTTCTATCCTACGACCCGACGTCTCCGCTCGCCAAGGATTCAGGTGCGGCCGTGGTCGTCGTGGACGCGACCTCGCCCACCCCGTCCCCACCCAACGCCTTGCCCTCGACGACGACCGCGCCACCGGCTCCACCCAAATCGCATCCTAGCCATGTCCGAATCATCACCCCGCAGCGATGGCCTGGAGCGCTCACGCCTCCCCCTGTGATCGTCGAGTGCTCCCCAGCACCCAACCAGGTCAACAGCAGCTTCCTGCTGCTACCACCCGAGGTGCGCTCGATGCCGGAGCTGGTGGGATCGCGCGGTGGGGCCGGGGCTTCTTGATAAGCCGTGACCGGGATAGAACCTGCACCACGGCACGCGTCCGCACTGGATCCCAGTACCATTGCCACTGACACTCACACTGACACGCCCACCTTCAGATCCTCCACCGCGTCCTCGTCGAACTGGGGATCGCGGCACCGTCCCAGCTCGCCAATGTCGCAGCGACGTGCCAGGCCCTCCGGGTGTTCATTTACCAGGTACGGTGGCTTTGTTCCGGACGCGGCGATGATCTCAGCCAGTGGCCAGTGGTAGCCGGTGATTGCGGCGGAGGCCGAAGTCGGTCAGCCCGAGCCTCATGGACGAGCGACCCCGCCTCGATCCCACACTACTTGCTGCCGCCGCATGAGCGGCTGCCAACCCACACACACTTCGTTTAGCTGCAGCCAGGCTGACGCGTCGCAGAACAAGGACGCAGCGCTGTGGCGCGACGTCCTGCTGGCCCGGTACGACGATCCGCGCGCTGCCGGTGCGTTCCCCGTCGAGCGCAAGGAGGTGGCGTGGTCCCAACGCCTGCAGGACCGTGTGTTTGTGGACCGGGTGTTCGCGCACTGGGACGAGGAGAAGGGGCCTGACCTGGTGGGTACCGAGACAGGACGCCGGTGGTTGGGAGGCTGAAGAGGAGGTGGACGTACCTGGCGGTGGGGTCGAGGTGTCTGAGCTGTGTGCTCGGCCCAGGTCAACGTACCTCCGGGCGACATGTCCGACATGTCCGGGCCGGCCTGGACCCGATTGTTCACCGATGCGATGCGCTGAGTATCCCCGACTTTATCCTGACATGACAGTCTTCACACCTCGACCGGCTATGCACCACGCTTCTGGACCTGTACCTTGACCTGCCGGCCCGTGACCCTACCAAAGACGACGACGGCCCCGGTTCGTTTTTCGCTGCCCCAGCGACGCGCAATGGACCTCTGCTCGAGACGGCACTGCGGTCCAACGCGTTTGGGCACATGTACCTCACGCTACTCACGCGCGAGGCCTCGCCGCCGACACTACGCCCCTTGGCCGGACTGGGGATGCGGGATCACCCGCTGCGCCGGCGCCGGCGTGAGGTCATCAACCCCACGCTGGCACGGCTGCACACGCTCCTCGCGCCGCAGCTCGAGGTCGACGTCGAGGAACACCGCGAGCACAGGGGATACCTGCGTGAACTGGTGTACGGTGCGAGCAACTATCGGGCCGACAACGACTGGGCGCCGCTGCACCCGTCCGGCAAGGTCAACTGGACGCTCGTGAATGCCGTTAGCTCTGTGATGAGTGAGTTGACCGTTCCCAAAAGGTTACCTCTGGCCTTGGGCTAAAGGTATCTCCAGGGGCAGCGCTGACGGCAGTGCTCAACGCGCTCGACGTGATTGGCATGGGCGAGCAACTGTGGAGTCCTGCTGTCCTGCCCATGCGCTCCGGCATCGAGGGGGTGCGCGGGCTGGGCTTTGCAAACCTTAAGCGTCCCGACAACCTTGGTCCAGACGAAGTATGGGACTGGGCCGGCGTCGAGGGCAAGTGGTATGGCTCGTATGCGTTCTTGGAGTGAGTCCAATTTTGACAGATTTGATTTGGATTTTGGGAATTTTTTTTTTCGGGTGAGAGAAGACTGACACGAGTCCAAAGCTATGCCGACTGGGTCCAGCTCAACGAGCCCCACCTCATGGCCATTCGCCGCGGGTTCCTCACCCCACTCGACCTGAGCACCTATGCCGAGGCGATTGGAGACCTCATGGATCTGCGGGTTGTCGTGGACCCGGGTCCCGACGCCGCCGATGCTGCCTATGCCGAGCTTCTCGCGCGAACAAGCGCCACTCGGCCACCGGTCAAGCTCCCGCGACTGACTACCCCACTTCCGACATCGGACCTGCTGCCTCCGATCCACTTCCACGGCACAAGCGCACAGCAAGGTGCGAGCATCACGCTGCCCTCCGAAGGCCCCCTCAGTTTTGTGCGTGGCGTGGTACGCCTCACCGCAGACGACCCTCCCGAGATTCGCTGGACGATCGTGATCCGATACAGCGGCGAGGACAGGTGGCGACTCGAAGGCGTTCAGGTCGGAGGACGATGTAGCCGACGAGGATTCTTTGGGGTGAGTGAGACTGCCTGTTTCCTGTTTACTTGTTACCTGGTTGCCTTCTTGGCATGTTGCGTGCTTTGTTCCTACCGCTACGGCCGACCGTCCATGTCGCACCGTGACCTCTTGTGCCCTTTACCATGTTCCCTAGACACACACCTGGGAGCATTGAGATCTCGGCGTGGCGTCACTGTGCCAAGAGTGGCTCGTTTACGTCGTTTAAAAAGTGACCGAAACCCTCAATCGAAACAACCTCCCAAACCTGACGATTCAATTGGCCAGGCGACAAAAGTTGGCAGATTGGGCAGAGTGGCTGACACGTTGCTTTTGAGGTATGGACAGACGCACTCAAGGAGCAGCACTCGCCGAACGGTCCGGTATGGTACTGGAAGCCGCCGTCAGCATAGAATTGAAGGATAGGATACCGTATAGGAGGTTTGAGTAAGTGGATGCCCCAGGGCTGGGCCACATCCCAGTCCGTCCCGAGACCAGATCCGACCGAACCGAAACGCCGCCCAAACCTGGATCTGTGTTCAAGACATCAAGAGTCCTGGCAGAGGCTGAAAAGGGTCGGTCGGCTTTGGGTCAATTAACTACGGCTTTCGGCCTCCACCGGGCACGGAATGCGCAGTTGCGGCGATCGGTGTGTGCGTTGTCATTTTGTGTTGTATATTCTCCTATCTAAAAGCTGAGGTATCTCGTCACCACTTGATGCAGAATTTGGTTTTGGTGTATTGAACAGAGGAGGGAGTGTTACCTTTTCAACTGTCCGCCGTCCACTTTCTATGACGCAGACGACGAGGGATGGCTATATGGTGCGGCTGCTGTTGATTGTTAATGGTGTCTCGCTATCTGCATTGCGTTACCCGGTAGAATTTATGTGTTGTATTTACCGTTTCTAAGCTTGTCATTGGTGAGACTGGATCCCATCTCATTCAACTAGATCAGTACTGGGAGTGTGTACATGGTGCTGGTGAATGGAAACGCCTCGTTACTCATCACGGTCAGCCAACGGCTGTCGTTAGCCACACACGACGCCTCCCCAAGACATGCAAGATATGCAAGACAGCCTGGTTGCAAACGCCGTTTCGGGCATCAGGCATCAACGTCACCATGCCGTTTTTTGTGGGCGCAAGAAGAACCACGTCGTGTGCTGTGCTTTTTCGAATATCGGATGCCTGCACTGCCATCTGGTATGGCAATTGTCAGTTCGTGTTTTTCCCACCATCCTTATCCAGAAGCTGAGTCTGGACCGCGTCGCTCGCGCAACACACCCCCGGAACGCGAACAACGCTCCTTGTCAACGACCCTCACAGGATGCCAGGAGTGCCAGACGCCAGACGCCAAAGGAAAAAAAAAGGTGGTGGCCTTTGGTGGCGGGCAACAACGCAGTCCCTCTCTGCGGAGTTCCGTCGTGGAGGGCGAGCCGGCGGGTATAACGATCCCGTGATGCCTATCTGCCCCGCAGTCCACGCCACGAACGCTGCGGCCGGAGTTGTGTGGCCCGCCACTTGTCCATTTTGGTGGCTGTCGTCAACGGTGATGCTTTCCTCACTTCAATAAAAAAGCACAAAGGGTGTGTGTTTGTCAGGAGAATGAGTGACGATACACGAAACAAGGTTTCCACGAGAGTGGAATGACGGTCGGCAAGGAGGCGCTTTGCCGACAGACCTCTGCGTGAACTCACTACGGGCCTCTGAGCATCCGTAGCGCGTCGTCTCTTCCCGAGGCCTATGCCACGGCCCATCGCTCCTAGTAGACTGTTGAAACTGCCGACAGGCGATGGAGAATAACGATCCAAAGTCGATAGCTAAAGCTTCTAACGGGTAGCGCCTGTCGAAACGCGTCGTTTTTGGGACGTCTTAACCGTCCGTCACGTTCCACACGCTTTATACTTTGTAAAAATAGATTATTAGAGCTCATCATTCCTTGCTTTGCACTTGTCTGCACAACGTGATAGTTCTCGACAGAGGCAAGAAAAAAAAGGGAGGGGGGAAGAACTCGACGCACGACGAGCACGTTCCAGCAACCCCCATTCCGGTTCCCACGCATGCGCTCAGCAGTCACCTCTGCCCATGGCCACTTGCTTTTCGACAGGGGGAGTCGGGTACCCCGCAGGCCGCGCCAGGCCGTTGTTCACCGCCTACAACCGAGCACACTCTGAGGCATCTGTGGCATGGTATGCCAACAGATGGCGTTATTTCCGACCAGGCAAGGCATGTGTAAAGAAAGGGGTTCTACAAGCGAGAAGCGCAAACGGCGACCGACACGGCCGACCCACCACCACACCGCGCCGACACGCACCGACATGCACCGACCGCGGACCGACAACAACATACCGCCGGCCGCCAAGAAGGCAGAAGGCAGCATGGAGCAGCGACACACAAAAACGAGGTGCAAAGGTACCCAACATTCCGCGACCTTGCGCTGGGCAAGAACGGAATGGGCTAGGTGTGGTAGTAATTAGCAAGCGCGCGCCTCGTAGTCGTATGCCTCACCCCTTTGCGTGTCTTACTATCTCAGCCTCACATATTCTGGTTGCGTAAGGCTTGTTCCTGTGCCCACGCAAAGAGTCCCACGGCACGACGGAAGACGTGCGGCAGTGCGGACGGGCGGACGGACGCGCGCATGCCGGCGTGTGACGCCAGAACACCCTGTGTGTATACGCGCGCGTATAGTGAGTGTGTTACCCAACGGCCGCGTCGGCGCATAGCTTTTTGTGTGCCGTGGGTACGTGAGTGGGTCCATATGGGTTCCAGGTGCCGCTTGCGGTCCACGTACGTACGTCTCTCTTGCTCGCTGATCCTGATCCTGATCTTGATTCGGGCACTGTACATCTGTGGCTGGCCTAGTCTACTGAATGGCGGCTCTTGTGCTCTCTTGGCTCTTGGCTCACCGTGTGTGACGTGTGTTGTGGCCTGAACAGCGTGGGTGTGTGCAGTTCTCGGCGTGTACTCGGCACCCGCCGCTTTTCGAGCTAGGCGCTGCGTGCTAGACGCTGCACATGCCGCCGCCATGATCGCCCCCACCCGGCTCGCGCGGCCGCCACATTCACGATCGTCCGGCTGTTTCTTCAACACACTATGGACGAGTTGTCTAGAACATGACACCATCGACTACGACGTTTGCTCCTCAGCTCGCAGCCTGGAAGAACTTGGATCACCCGGGAGAGGGACCTGGACCTCTCTGAACGAGTCCTCACATCTGGTGAGCACGTGAACACACACTGCCTCGTCCGATCGCGGTCGCGAGCTAGCTGACCATGATGTCTGGTATGACCTGCGATGTACGAGAAAGGGTGCACAGGCAAGTCATGCGAAGCGACGTTCAAGGGGCCATGGTCCCTGCCACACGCGTGGCCAAACGTGTGCTGTCCTGCGTTTGTTCCATCCGATCTCCCGCAATCTATCTCCGCACACCCATGGGGGATACGCGAGGGCGGAACGTTCCCCGAGAGACTCACAGCAGCGTCACTACTGTTCAATCGCCTCCGCCTCACATGCCCAAGGCTCGCTGCTGCACCCATCACAGCCCGACGATCAAAGTTCTGCCTATTTTAACTTCGGGAGACGTGGAGATGGGAGGCAAAAAGGTTCAACAGGCACCGGCCATGGTCTGCTCCATCGAGAGATGTGTGCCGGAACCCTGTGAGGAGCGGGGGCGGGCGACAGGCGGATATCCTGCACGAGGAGCGAAATTGTTGACTGTCCCAATGCCGAGAGATGACCACTACTACTACTGCCAATGGCATGTGTGCATGTGTGGCATGAGCGTCACACTCCTCCCCCCCGACCCACTCTGTGCCGCCCTTTCTACAGGGTTTACGTCGGCTGCAATAATCTGTTGTGCTACACATGCTGCACATGCATCCCAAATTGGCACGTTTGGCACACCCACATCAATGCCATATAACCCTCTTCTCAGCAAAGCTTATGCTGGGGTTCACAGTCCTGCCAGAGTACGAGACTGCTCTGCGTTCTTCACACCTACTCAATCTCGCATTTCACAAAATGAATACCATACCGTACTACGTACCGGTTATCCCATATTGCAGCACTACAGCGCCTACCGTTCTTCGCGACCGGCGGCAAGTTTTGAGGCCGAATTCCGCTGTTTGTTCGGGGGTATACGCCGTTGCCGTAGCGTGTACCCAGTTAACAGTAGTCCTGGAACACGCTCTCTCCCTCTTTCCCCATTGCGTGGCCATATCCCGTATCGTGTGCGCCACACCCGCGCTCGCTTTCTCTCTCCCAATGAGAGAGAGGCGATCGGCTACGACGGATAACCACCTCCGCTCCCCATGTCCAACCTCCGTCGCCGCGCACAAAACAGGAACCTGGCTCAGGCCAGGTCCTGGTCCAGGACGAACAGGGGAAGAAGGGGGGAAGGAGGGTGGCCAACCGACAGCGAGCGGCGGTCGCCGTCCAATCTACAAGATACAGATGGGGATTACGCACACCACACCCACTCCACCATCATACCCAGGAGAAACCAAGATGGGTGGGGGCCGGGGGACCAATATCTGTAGTAGTGTGGTGTGCTTGCTCGCACCTGCACCTGGTGGGACCATGTTTCGGGAATGAATGACGTCTATTCTAGAACCCTCAACCAGCAACGGATTTCGGAGATTGGCCACTCATCGGAGGAGCAAGGGAGCGCTGCAAGGGGAGCACGCAGGGCGGGCAGTAAACGAGGGTTTGCGCAAGCGACGCCGAGCGACAGAGCCAGAGAGGCCAGAGAGAGTTGGGAATCGGCGGAGTCGACGGACACGGCAATAACAAAACCCGCCGAGGCATCTCCGTCATGGCATGTAGACGTTAGACACCGCATATTGTGACCCCCCAAAGCACACACATGCTCCTGTATCACCTGCCCCCCGGTGGCGTGCGGCCCATAGCCGGGTAAAAGAGGGGGGCGGCTGCGCCCTGGGCGCAAATGCAGGCCAGCCAGGCAGCGGGTTACGGGGCCGCCACCTGCTGCGGGTGGACGGGATGCGGACGGTGCGCAGCAGGTCAGGAGGTCACGATCGGGTGGGGTCTCGCCGGTGGCAAGGGGCGAGAGGATTGAGAGGACAAACAGGACGACGGGGGTGTTGTCCCCCGGTTGCGCCTGGGGGCTGGGCTGCATGCATGCATGCATGTAACACGCCGCGACGACGACATCGCTGCGGCAGCGATGGTGGTGGCGGTGAGCCCCACGCTCTGCCACAACACCTCGTTCCACTGCCAGCGCCGAGGCGTCGGACACACACACACACACACCCCCGACAATGGGATTACGAAATGTTCTCGAGGAGAGGGAAGAGGCGGGGCGCGCGGGGGGGAGTGACTACCTGGTGCGGGATGCAGTCCTGGCGGAACGACGCAAGGGCGCGGCGGGGGGATGCGCCACTGACGCGTGCGGGCAGAGACAGACTCTGTGTCCGCCAGCGGACCAGCGTGCGTCGGCGTGTGCGGCGTGTACGGCGAAAAGTGCGAGATGCGACGGACACGGGCGGCGGTCAGCGCAGATGCAGACGTGTAGCCGGATGCGGACACGGAGGGCAATCTGTGTGGACCAGGGCCCATCCAACCCGATCTGGAGGGCATATGGGGAGAGTGACAGCGGCTGACGACGGAGACACACAGGAGAGCGAGCGCGAAAATCTCTCTCTTGCGTGTGTCTGTCTGTGTGTGTGCGGCGCGATGGATTTGCCGAGAGGCGAAAAGAGTGGTTCTCAGGGGCAAATGGCACCAGGCGCGGAGAGAGCCAAAAGGCAGAGGAGAAGGGGAGGGTTCAAGGCACCCCACCCCACCCACACCCATCACTCCGAACAACGGGCGAGAGGAGAGCAACACAGTGGTTGCACACTAGCCTGTTGCGGAAGTTGGACCCCCGCTTGCCTGCGTCTCTGTGCAAAATACCAGGGACGCCACATCGTTTGCCATCGGTCATCAATACGCGCGCGCTCCACCGGTGGGGGAGGAGGGGGGAGGAGGGGCAGCGGGGCTGAAACGGCCAGAGGAAGACAAGGGGCCAGATGAGTGTGTGTGCAGGGCCAGGGCACAGGCGCGCTGACGGCGACGGGAGAAGCAGCGGCGGGGGCGAGAGATAACATGTCCGGCGCTGGTTGATCCGGTTCGGTCTCTCTCTCTGCGTCGTCGCTGCGATCTCTGTGCGTTCTCTCTGCGTCTCCAGGGCGGGCGGCCGGGCGGGCGGCGGCCACCCGCAACGCCCACAGTGACCGCTGACCGCCGCCTTCTCCCCCACCCCCGATCCTCCTTCCTTTCTTCCTGCATCCTGTCGCGCTCCCGCAATCGGGTCAGTCCTTGCTCTTGCTCCGGCCCCCTCCCCTTCACACCGCCGCGTCTCACGATTGCAAAACACGGTTGTTGGGTCCGTCGTTGCCCCATACCGCAAGCACAGAGCGAGACACATACAGACAGAGGGAGAGAGAGACGCAACGAGAGAGAAGAAGAACAAGAGAGGCACCCCCCTTCCTCCTCCCCTCCTCCCCCGCCCGTCGCCGCTGCACTGCCCCGATCTCACCATCCCATCTACCCCATTCCTCCCCCACCCCCCTTTGGTACGATGGGTCTCTCTGGCATTCCTCAGTCCTCGTATCTCCTCTCCCCTGCTCGGTCTCCTGCCTCCTCCTTCCTCAGCCTCCCCCCACGTCCTAGGCCGCTTATACTACGCAACCGTCTCACAACAGGTTGAGCATATATACAAAGAGGACAGCGACATCCTCTTCCTCTGTCGTAGAACATATCCCACAAACCTTCACCTGCACACCTTCCTCACACGACCCTCCCATTGTCGTCTTCTCTCTCTCTCTCTCTCTCCCCCCCTCTCAACTCGCAACCTTCCTCCACCTTTTGCTCCCCTCCGTCTCCCTCCCTCCCCGTCTCCTCCAGACGTCATCCCATCTCTATTCCTGGGTACAAACCCGACCTGTCCCTGTTCCTGCGTGGAACACATAACAGCGGCATCCGACCTCATTCCCCCCCACTCGACAGATATATATATATTTTCCCTCGTTCCTCTCAGCCCTTGCCGTCCCTAAGGCATAGTTGACACTGGGGGTGCCGTACACCACACACATCCTGCAGCTCCCGTGCCACACCATCCATCCATCCCCACCACCACCACCACCGTCCACCCGACCTCGTGCCCTCCCTCCCCCCAAGCGCCCGCGTCGCCCACCCTTCATCTCCTTCCCTTTTGCCTCTCCCTGCACAACCCCATCACCCCCGCGCTTCACCGGCCACCGGGCAAAAAGTGTGATCGTATACAATCGGCGGCGTCGGCACCGGTAAACTGGTCAACGCAAGAACCCACCCAAGCACGCACCCAAGCACGCACACACACAAGCACGCGCCGCCCGACATCGGACCCGCCTGTCCTTTCCCTACAACACGCAAAACCACAGAGGTTTCTGCGAGTCTTGTGTTACTCGGCCCACACGGCGCAACGGACCATCCGAACACAGGATACATGTGGGTACTGTCTCTCTCTCTCCTTGCTCGCTCTCGTGGCTCTCCTACATCATAACGTGGGCCGTGCACCTTGGCCATCCCCCCCCTCCTTCTCATCTCTGTCTCCCACCCCACCCCCCACCCCCCTCATAATAACAAGAGCCGTTGCATGACTGCTGTCACCCACGCCTCTTCGTCCTCCCCATTCCTCATTTGTCTCTCAACATTCAGTTGATCCGACACCACCACCCCCACCCCCCAACTCAACGTCCCAACGCCATCCGCGCCTCTCCCGACAACCCACGCGCATACATCATTCACTGATACATCCTCCTCCAGCGCCCCACCCAACGCCCAGATTGTCGCGCGTTTCAAACCAACCAACCCACACCCCACCCAACACTGCCTCCCCCAAGCACACGATTCACGATTGCTGTAAGTACCAGGCCCAGCCTTGCGTTTCTTTCCATCCTCTTCATTCTCGCAGCATACTGACTACTTGAAAGGTCCCATTTCGACGCGAACCACCAACCATCTCCACCAAAGAAACGCGTTCACACTGAACGCCGTACTTTTTGGATTTCAGTCGTCCAGATTGTCCAACATCCCTTTGGTCTACCGCGACTAGCCCCAACCTCGTCCCCACTATTCTTCTCTCTCGCACAGATCCTCATTGCCGAGTCTGTGCATACAAGAGTGGTACCGCCCCGAAAGCACCACCTCCCGTCCTCCCGTGCCCATGAGCATTCAAGACATCACCACGTCTGAAATTTCATACCCATCACGTCTACCCGCGGACGACAGCCTCTGCAACCAGTTCTCGGCACTGTACCAAGCCGCACCTTCTCCGAGTCGCCTTGCTTCCTGGGCTCTCAACTCTACCCACACCTCGCCAGACGACCAACAACTTCCTCTTACTCCGGACCGCCTCCGCCCCCACTCGTCTTCCGCCGACCTCTCCAACGACGTGACCATGCTTGGCCAAGGCTACAACCTCCCCGAGTCGAACAAGTACACTTCTCCCACCAACAACTTTGCCTTTGAGGCACCTCAGACCAAGGTCACAAACACGACCACCGTCACCTACCCACTGAGCGGCCAGAACAGTACCCAGTTCAGCCTCCCCACCGGCACCATGTCGGGCAACGTTACTCCCAACGAGGCTCTCCCTCGCATTTCGCGCGACTTTGCTCCTCCTCCCATCGACACTCGTCGCCCCGCGACCGCGGCTGCGGCCCTTCACGGTCGCGACTTTGCTGCCCTCAAGCGCGGCAGCCTCGACGACATTCGCGAGCACGGCGGCTTCCAGAACCCATTTGCTTCGCCTGCCGGTGAAATCGTTCCCTCGCAGGCCCCTGCCGTCGACCCCCACTACGTCTCTTCGGATTCCACCCAGTGGCAGCCCCAGACCGCGTCCCAGACCGGTCTTGCCTACCCGGCCACTGCAGTCGGTGCGCCCAACTATGGTTACAACAACGGCCTTGCCAGTGCCAACCAGCAACGCATGAACCGCCCCCAGACTTCGGATGGTCTTCCCTCGTACCCCCAGCACATGGGCGCTCTCCCTCCCGCTCGCACGTTGGTCAACCACATGGGCTCGTACCAGTCCAACGTTGCTGTCCCCGCTGGCTACGGCTCCGTGTCCGTTCAAGGCATGGGCGGCTACCAGCGCTACGGTGGTTCATTCCCCAACCCCGGTGCCAACCGCTACATGATGGGCCAGCAGGACGACATGCAGTTTGTCCCCCTCAGTGGTCCCACCCCCAAGAAGCGTGCCCGCCGCCGCTACGACGAGATTGAACGCATCTACGCGTGCGAGTGGAAGGGCTGTGACAAGGCCTACGGCACCCTCAACCACCTCAACGCTCACGTGGCTATGCAGAAGCACGGCGAAAAGCGCCTTCCAGCTCGTAAGTAGGCACTAGATCCGCTTCCAGGGTCCGCTGTCAATCTCGTTGTGCACGCACTGACCGCCTCTGCAGAGTTCAAGGACATGCGCAAGGAGTGGCGTCGCAAGAAGCGTGAGGAAGCGGCTACTGCGGCCTCGAAGGAATACGCTGCTCAGGCCGCCGCTGCGGCCGCCGGTGTCGAGGGCCCAAACCAGTCGCAACAGTACTACGATGCTCGTCACTCTGCCGACGCTTCGATGTACACTGGAGGAGGCCAGCAATACAACTCCGGTGCGATCGACGACCCTTTTAGCCACCGCAGCTCGACTGGATCCTTTCTGACCTCGGCCCCAACCTGGTCTGGTTCAGACACCCGTCCCACCACTGCCAACACTGTGTCCTCTGGCGGCGGTTCGCCCACCGACAGCCGCTTTGCATACACCAGCACCAACTCGTGGGGTAACGTCAACGGCCAGTACGATGCTCGCGTCAACGGTGCCGCCAATGGCTACGACCGCAAGGTCCTCAACATCAGCACCCAGCTTGGCGGTCGCGTTGACACCGATTACTCCACGCCCACCCAAGCGACACCGACCTTCAACCCTTACACCATGGCTCATCACAACCTGATCTAAGCCGATTCAAGGGGCCTCTCTGTCTCTGTGTAGGAACGTGGCCCTTCCGTGATGCCCCCAACAACATTCCTCGCCCCGCTCCCGTCACCCAACGCCTCCAGGCACAACCTGATACCACCCTTTGCTCTCCGTCATCCCACCCGCTATCAACGGGTAAGGCCCGCGCCGCCGCCCCCCCTCTGTATCCCCACCGAGCGCCGCACAGCCTCAAGCTCGATCGGCATCCTCTGCAGCGCACACGATACACGGCCTGCAGAGAAATGCCTCTGTGATTCCCTCTCACCCCCCGCTCCCCACTCTTCCGATTCTGATTCCGACCCCTCCGTGACATTGTGAGTGTGTGCTCTGTGAGCCTCGTTTTTTCGCAACGGCCGCTGACATTATCTGGCAGGCAGTGATCCCTATATTCTCTGAAAACTCGGTTGCTTTATCGCAACCTTCGTCACCTTTTACTCCTCTTGCCGACCCCTGAGCCCGTCGAGAATTAAATTTGGCAATCCTCGTTGGCTCACGTACGCTGGCAAACCCGACGTACACAACCCATCGAGATTGCGTCTGTGTAGCGATACATCCATGTAGCTTGTAGTATGCAGCCGTTGAACGCGTGCACTTTTTCCTTATTCTTTCTCCGCCGCTAGTTGTTATCGCGCTCGGGGACCCAGATTATGGACCATTCCAGTGGCCCCTTTAGCACCGTGATGACAGGAAGACTAATAGGTTGTGCTCGCGCTAACGCCAGTCCAGGCTGTTGGGTCCACCTCGCTTGGAGACCCATAGCAGTGAAGCAACTGGCAACTGGCCACTGGATCTCACGATCCCAATTAGTGCTTCAGCAATAGGAATGTTCCAGCCGAAGAACAGCGTTCTCGTAATGGAAGGTCATGATGGAAATCGGCACCAATACTGGCGGTAACTGGCGGAATGTCATCGATTAGCCTGACCCCCCACTTTCCCCCACTTTACGACAAAACATACGTGTCATGCATAGCAACCCATCGTCTTTCATGTTGCCTTCGCACATATCATCATCACCATGCCCAAGGAAGACCAGTGCACGCTCACCAACGACGCACCCGCGCCTCTTGCTGGAATCGTGAGTGTGGAGAGGGAGAGGATGTGGCGCCGCGACGACCAAATAACGCGGATGGCGTGTCGTGACACCTTTCATGCATGCCAATTAACGCGTCCCGCCCTGTCTCCATCCCCCCGCCCCGAGCCCTTCTAGCCCCGCTGACGCCTTCGTTCTTTCGACGTCTCTTTCGCAGTACTCGCAAGCGGTCCGCGCGGGAAACTTTGTCTACACGTCGGGCTCAGTCGGTATGACTCCTGAGGGCAAGATGGTGGCAGGCACCGTTGGGGACAGGACCCGACAGGTCATCAATGTGCGTATCATCAACCCAACCCCATCGGCGAAATACAGACGTATGGGCGTCCGCCCGCAGCAGCCACTGACTGACAACCCATTTATTTTTCCTTAATATTTCAGAACCTCGAAGCCGTTCTCAAGGCCTCGGGAATGGACCTTACCCATGTCGTCAAGGCCAACATTTACCTGTCCGACCTCTCGCGCGACTTTAACGCCGTCAACGACGTGTGGAAGGAGATGATGCCCAACCCCAAACCGGCGCGCACCTGCGTCGGTGTCGCCGAGCTCCCTGCCGGCGGCACCGATGTCGAGATCGAGTTCGTCGCCTACAAGGACTGAGCAGCAGCAGCAAGGGCAGCTTTGCCAAGCCGGTGGCCGGTGGAGCGGTATCAGAAGCCGATGCACGAAATATTGGTTATTTGAAACAGCCGCTGCGCAGGACACCAACTATCGGTCCGGAGTCGACCCTTTTCGGGCACTCACAGTTCCACCCTTCGGGCTCTCTCACTTAGCACACCGACCTCCTCCTCGTCGGCGATGGACATGTGCAGATCCACACGGGCAAGGGGTGTGTCCTGAGGACGGCAGCGTGCATAGCCGGCGAGACATTGGCCCGGCGTTTTTAGGGCCCATGGCAGAGATACCCACCAGCTCGGGGTCCGGACAACGCAAGAGAGAGAAGAGGTGACTGACCGACCGATACGAGCGTCCCTGCGCGTTTCACTAGGGACAACCTTCAGAATTAATTTTCTAAATTCAACCGAGCCATCCGTCCGTCCGTCCGTCCGTATACCTGCGGATGGGCAAAACCACGCAGACTGCCCCGTTACAGGATGCTGTTGGGTCGCTTGGCATGTTGGCCCCTGAGGGAGAGCACATCCAAGGTCGAGGGAAGGGACATGGCCCGCACGCTGTGGTGGCGCCGCCAGTATCCAGGACACGAATGCAAGAGGCGATAGAGGTACCAAGCCACCCCCCCAAAGGACGCCGGCCGGCCGCGGCGTCCTCGCTTCTACTGTGGCGGACTGTGCGTCCAATTTTTTTTCTTTTTCTTTCTCTGACTCTGACTCTGACTCTGACTCTTTGACACAAGAAGTCTTGCTTCGATCCAGAACTGGGGTCCGTAACACTTTTCACAGACACGGGACGGCCCCCAACCCTGGTTGTGTTGCTGCATGGAGATCCTGTGTCCGGCGCATCTGACAGCCACCGGGCAGCTCGCTCGTTGTCAACCACCACCACCTCCCCGCAGCCACCGTCGTGCCCATCTCGGTACGCCTCGTGCCCTCCAGTATCAGCCGCAGCACTGCACTGCGCGTATCCCGTCCCAAATCTCTGCGCAGCCTGTATCCCGCCCATCCCGATGCCCCATATCCACGATCTGAATGACCGGTACACAGGGTGCCTCAAGACCGCGGGGGTTCACGGACTTGTCATCATCGTCGATTGGTATTTTACCCCCACCTACTCACAATACAAAGTGCACAGTTCACTTGCTCACTGGAACTGGAACTGGGCACGGTGCGTGGGCGGACGCCGGGCGCCACCTTTGCGCGTGGGTCCAAACGCGATCATCACCGCCTCCCACCACCACCCCACGGCACATCCGTGCAGCGTGCGAGTGGTGTGGCGCAAAAGATATGACATGAGAGATGGCAGACCAAGACCGAAAATAAATAGAAAAAATGTAATAAACCATAGGAAAATTAGAAACAGTGGCGGGGCCGGAGGTGCCGTGCGCGTACCGTGTTTCGCACCGTAGCGTGTCGTGTGGTGGCCCCTGCTGCGTTCCCAGATCTCTGCCACCACACTTGCAATTGCCACTGTGGACCTCGTTGAGATCTCGCATCAATGTGTCCACCCGCGCGAGGCGACCAGGTCAGCCAGGTCCCATGGCGCCACTCCATACATGTGCTCATCACTAGCGTGTTCGGTGTTTGCTTTTCCAGCCCAGTCCACTTTGCTCCCTGTGAGGTCCGTGTTGATGATCGTTGGAGCCAGGACAGCCAGGACCGACCGGCCGTTTACTCCCCCACCCCCACCGCCCCCGGACCTCTACCCCGCATAAGCAATCGCGTTCGCAGGATCGCAGGCTGGGCGGTGCCCAGCCGCTGCCCAGTGGTGGCAGTTGCGGCATCCGGGGTGCGTAGTGGGGGTTTCAGCCACATCGCAGCGCCACAGCCATTTTGCACCCTACAGTTCTCCACGACTGGGCGCCGCGCTCCACAAACGGCCACACCAAATGGGTCGCCCCAATGAACCAGGTAATCTCAATCTCATATGCACACACGTGAAGCAGCAGGGATGACCCCCCAGATCTGTGATGATAGAGCAGGGAGAGAGGGAGGCAGGTTCGGTTAACAGAATAGACAGTACTGTACCTGAGGCGGTCACCGCGTCTGATCGATTATGGCCAAGGGGTCACTGGATTTGGCGATTGCATTCACAGCTGTGGCCCCTGGACCGAATGCGCAAAATAGAGTGGACGCAAAAGTGGACGAGACATGTCGTACGTCGGCGCTCGATCCCCGCCCCACAGGCGTCGGCGTCGGCGTCTCGGACCCGCTGGCCGCTGGGCATGGACGCGCACAGACCTCTTTCGCTTGCTTGCTGTCTGTGGGGAAGTCGTTATTTTCAGCCGGCGATTCCGTTTCCGTGACGGGAATCCCATATGTTGCTCGGCCAGTCAGAGGCGGTAGCTGAGACAGAGGCCCAGAGGCAGGCACTGTGGTTCTCCTGTAGACGAACAAACGACATGCTCATGCCTTCTTCCTAGACACACCGTGCTCGGGACGCATTGGCCATGGCCGGCCAGCAAAACATGGGCAAGGCGTGGGCGACACGGTGCCCGCATACCCCCGTCGGCCCGCCGTTGAACAAAGTCAAGGGGGGCTCCCCTGACCTGCATACGCGTCCCAGCACTGCAAACAACCCTCCTCCGTTTCAACCACACCGTGTCGTTCCGAGGATCCTCTCACAGAAGCGAAGGGAAGCCTCCGCTTGTGGTTGTGGCCGGGCAACGTTCGGGTCCTGTCGTCGCAGAGGCTTACTCCATTCCTTATCGGGTTCAAAGAGGGGAAGAGCTTGCTTCTGTAACTGGGCACCTCGTTCCCCACTCTCCAGGCACTAGGTCAAGGTACATCCTCTGGCTGCACCACAACGCACCACAACTTGTTGCTCCGACGCGATATTTTCCTTGCACAACGCCATCAGCCATGGTGTCTCTTTTCATTATCAAAGGACGTGACGACGCGCCTCCGCGCACGCGCTATACACTCCTCATTCCACTAGCGCGGATTGTGCTGATTGCGTGTGGTGAAGGCAGTTTCCTTGTATTGTCGGCAGTGCCTCGAACACGATTGCCGGAGATGGTGCGCATTCGTCGTCCCCCCGTCTCCCCCTTGCCCTCATGTCTCTCCTGATCGTGCCTGTGCGATTGGCCTGACGGAGAGGCCTACCCCACCAACCCCACATCCAACCGAGAGGATGGAGACGTTACAACTCCTCTGTACCTGCCATCACGGTACGAAACAGAAGCTGTCTTGCTCGTCTCGCCAGCCTTCCCGGTGTGAGGTGAGCGCCACGCAGTGGGGTCAATCAGGTCCGTCCCGGGGTGGGGTGTGGGTGGTGGGTGGGTGACAATGGCGTTGGCGTGCGCTGGTCGCGTTCCTCGACATTGTCGTCCTTGTCCATTATCTCTTTCATGGAACCTCCCCACGAGTCGTCGCGGCACTGGTACCATTCACATTCACCGAATCGCACTTGAACACTTTGCACCAGTGCCTTCTCACCCGAGTGCCTGTAGGATCGACCTCGCAAGCGCTAGGCATGCTTGATCAGGTCCGCCCTCGTCGCCCAGTCGTGGGGGCGCCACAGCACATGTGCTCTTTTTTTTTTGTCTACGTCGACCCCGCAAACCGCCCCACCCGGGCTCGTTAGTGCCCGCTTTACCGGCAAGGCTTGTCGGATTTGTTCCTTGTCTTTCACCTGGCCACCTGGCCACCTGGCTTCCTTGGCTTGCCTTGGTGCTTGGGCTGCCAGTTTCGGATTGCGGTGTTTGGTGGTGGCGGCAGCACCGTTTTACGTCGTCGTCGTTGCTGTGGCGGCGGTGGCAGTGTGGCGGCGCGTTTGGGGCGTTGGCGGTGGCCCCGGGGGGAAGACGTGACATGCTTCAGAGGAGCGAGTCTTCTTTGGCCCATGCATGTCTCCGTCGCCATTGTATTCAGTGGAACATGCAGTGGAGAGGACAGCTATGGCATGCACAGTGGGTGCGTCGTGGGGGTCCAGCGTGATTTGCCACAGAGTTGGTCGAACGAACTGTGGCCCCGACTTGGTTCCAGGTAGTCTCAGCTACCTGTGGCAGGCAGCACCTGTTTAGGATCGTGGTGTTCTCGTTGACTGCATACGTAGCACGGTCGCACTCTCTTCGAAACCATCGCCGTGCTCTCTTCGCCATTGCCCGCGCGATGTTGTCTGTAGATCATCGGTACAGTCTAGGCATAAGCGGTTGTAGAGGACGGTCGCCTTGATTGACGTCGTATACATGCCCCACTACACACCTACTGCACATCGGTCGGACTGGCTTCCTCGAGACGTGGTAACCCCCAGTGGCCGACTGGCAATTGGCCTAGAGCGCGAGTGCCATATCAACTTTGATATGCCACAGTGTACAGCGATCCCGACGTGTCCTCTCAGTCCTCTGCCACATGCTCAACTGGTCCGACTGCATAACAAACACGGACAGGACATACAGAGTGCCACAAGTGGCAGGGACGTATCACCGCGAGCCGAAGAGTAACGCTCACTAGGTCTTCTCTTGGTTGAAGATCAATAGCATGCATCGAGTGCCGTAAGACCAGTCAGTAAGCACAGATTGATGCTGGCCACCTGCCACTCTCTCCGATGTTTGCCATTTGTTAGTGTTTTCAGTCCAAGTTTCCACTCTTTTGCTTGCCACTGCTTCGCGAACGTTGGTTTTTCTCAGTCTGAATGCAATTGTGTTTCTCGAGAAACATGCACGTCTACATGGGGGTGAAAGACTATGGAGGGTATGAGTACGTTCACACAAAAATATTGAGGGCATTAGGGGTCATTGCACTACACTCCCGGTAATGATTTTTTTTAAAGGCCAGCGGCGGCAACCTTCTCGGGCACGGAGGCCTTGAGGTGCTCGACGAGGGCGCGGAGCTCGGCGCGAGTCTCGGGGGTGGTGTCGTCCTCGTTGGCGGGCGAGAGGTTGTAAGCAAACGCCTGGAGGAGATGGTCAAGCTGGGCCTCAAGCACCTGGGGGTGCGAGCGGAACAGGGTGAAGATGGCACCGTAGACGGCACGGTTCTCGAGGGGGTCAAACTGCAGGGGCATGACCGACGCGAGGGCCGAGACGACCTGGTCGAGGGGAAGGGCAGCGGCGTTCTTGACAACCATGCGGCCGAGGGCACCGGCGGCGTTGTCGCGGGCGTTGTACACGGCGGGAGCCGAGTGCTCGGGAACGGTGAAGAAGTTCTGGAGCACACCGAGCACGGCGGGGAAGTGCTGCGAGAGGTCCTGCTCCGAGTTCTGGATCAGAACACCGGCGGCGAAGGCCGAGTTGGAGCGGACGTCAGCCTCCTCGTCCTGGAGACCACGCGAGATGACCTCGAGCAAGGGCTGGGTGAACTGGGTGACACCGCCCTTGAGGCCAACAATGACCTCGCCAAGCGAGCCAATGGCCATTGAGCGCTCCGACGAGATGCGCTTAGCCTCAGCGTACTTGGAGATGAGGGGGAGGACCTGGCCGAAAGCCTGGGCAAAGTCGGGGCCAAGGACAGCGGCCATGGCGCCGAAGACGTCGGCGGCGTTCGAGATGAGAGCCGACTCGTACTCGGACGAGTCACCGTCAGCGGCGGCCTCGTCGTCTCCGTCGGGGTCCTGCTGGCAGAGCGACTTCTTCTCGAGGATCTCAATGGCGAGGGTGGCGACAGTGTCGAGGTGGCCCTCAACAAGAGCGGGGCCGCACTTGTTCATCGAGTCGGCGAGCTCCGAGCAGAGAAGGATCACAACACCCCTGCACAGTCAGCACGTAGTCCAAACAGTGCGATGGAAAATGGAGGGGGAAGAGAGAAGGATTCAGATAAGTTTGTGATAGGTTGGTCTCACGGAGCCCCTCTTTGGGGGCGACCACTCGAAGTGAGCTGAGTAAAGTTTGTCATCATTTGAGAGCAGAGTCTCAAACGTGGGGAGGAGAAGGGGGAAAGGAGGAAAGGACAAATCAGAAAACAATACGCACTTGTCGTCCTCAGTCTTCCAGTTCTCGAAGATGTGGGGGAGGATGTGGTCGACAATCTTCTTGACGTCGGCGTGGAAGGGAACCTTGACGACAGCTCCGGGGACCCAGTCCTCGGCACCGGCAAGCTCGTACACAGCCTTGATGAACTGGAAGAGAGCGCCGACGGCAGCCTTGCGGATACCCTCGTAGTAGTGGTCAAGGAGGTCGATGAGGACCTGCATGGTCTCCTCAACGTAGGGAAGGAAGGCAGCCTTGGTGGCGTTGAACAGCTCGCCGATAGTGTCGGCGGCAACCTCCTTCTCAATAGCGACGGCCGAGTTGACCTTCGAGAACATGGCCTCGAGAGCGTCAAGGTCGGTCTCCTCCTCAAGGTCGTCCTCGTCGTCGGCACCGGCACCGGTGGCGAAGGCAGCGGCAGCGTCGTTGACGTTGGTGCCCTCCTCGAGGTACTCGTCGGCCGACTCGTTCTGCTGGCACGAGGCAACAAGAGCAGGGACACACTGGGGAAGGAAGACGGAGAACTCGCCCTCGAAGACCTGGGCCATGACACCGAAGAAGATGAACGACGACTCGCGGAGGCGGGTGTTGTCCATGGTGAGGGCCTCAAAGGCGGCCTTCATCATCTCCTGGAAGAAGGGGCGGAAGAGCTCAGCGCCAACAGCCTCGGCGATGGTGCCGATGGTGTCGGTGGCAACACCACGGAGGTCCATCTCGTCCTCGTCACCGGCAAGGGTGATGAAGGGCACAAGACGCTTGATGGTCTGGTCAAAGTAGGGGCGGAACTTGTCCTTGGCGGCGTGAGCGGCCGAGCCGATGGCGCCAGTGACGGTGATCTTGACCTTGACGGGGCCAGACTCGAGGAGGATGAGGAGACGCTCCATGAGGAGGGGGAGGTAGTTGACAATGTCGTCACCGAGAATCTCGAGGTACGAGTCGAGGCAAGTGCAGGCGTTCTTCTGGGTGGCGGGGTCGACGATGAGGTCGAAGAGGATGGGGACAATGGTGGCGTGGCGGGTAGCGCACTCCTCCGAGAGCCACTCGCACATGCAGCCGAGGGCAATGCAGGCGGCCTTGCGGACAATCACCTCGGGGTCACGGAGACCGCCCTCGATAACCGACCAGAGCTGGTCAACGTGGGGGCGGATGTACTCCGAGCAGCCCTCAACCGAGACACCGAAGGCCATGAGGGCCGACTTGCGCATGCGGGGGTCGGCCGACGACATGTAGACCTGGAGCTGAGCGGAGAGAACAGGGAAGACCTGCTGGGGAGGGAGCGACTGCGAGAGCGAGTCGAGGCAGCGGAAGGCGAGACGCGAAGGAGAGTCCTCGTCAGCGTCCTCGGGGTCCTCCTCGCAACCGATGGGAAGGAGACCCTCAACAATGGGCTTGGCGAGGCCAAGAGCCTGCACCTTGGACTTCTTGTAACGGACAATCCAGGCAAGGACGTTAAGAGCACCGCAACGCATCGACTCGTCGACCTCCTGGTTCGAGGCGACACCAAGGAAGAACTGGACAAGCTCGGTAACGTGCTTGGAGACAAGGGGGGTGTCAAGGATAAGGAGGGTCTCAAAGACATCGTAGCCGTGCTTGACGCCGTCGTGGTCCTCGTCGGTGACGGCCTGCTGGAGGACGTTGAGCATGGGGACGATAAGCTCCTGGAAAGCCTTGATGTCGTGCTTGTCCTCGGTGGTGATGTACTCGGCAACCTTGGCAAGGGCACGGAGGGTGGTCATACGGACCTCACCCGACTGGGGGTCAACGAGCGACTTGGAGAAGAGCTCGAAGAGAGTCTTCAGGTGCTCCTCAAAGGTGTCGACGACGGTGTCAAGGAGCGAGAAAAGGACGTAGATGGCAGTCTCGCGGTGGATAACCTCGGTCGACTGAGCAGCCTGGTAGAGACCGGGCATGAGGTCGGGCCACTGAGGGGGGTTGACAGTGAGCTCGAGGTCGGCAATGGCCGAGACGGCACGGGCAAGGGCGTGGCGAACAATCGAGCTGATGCCCTGTCAGTGCTGATTTCTTTTGCATATATTTTTTCGGTTCACGCGATAGCAGTGATGGGGAGAGGTACCTTGATGGCGGTCTCGCTCCCATACTCCTGCGCGTTGCGCAACACTCACGCGGTCTCCTGAGTCAAGCGGGTGAGGATGTTGGCCTTGATCTGGGCGCGAACAGGCTCGGGGGTCTTCTTCCAGAGCTTGCCGTCACCGAACGACACCCTCTTGCGAAGCTCAACCGACGCAAGCTGGCGGATCTGCGAACCTCGTCAGCCCTATGTTCCTCTGTCTCTACGGCAGTTGCAAAAACCATGGTCCAAGCGTGACATGCTGCCAGCAAAATTCTGCCAGAGCATTCCGCGCAGGAAACCAGGAAACCGCCAGTGTGTGGGGGACACGTACCGCCATGTTGGGGCTGGTGGCCGCGATCTCATAGAGGGCGGGAATGCACTCGGGGTTCTTGTAGTACTGAGTGTTGAGGGTAGCAGTAGCCTGGAGGACTTGTTAGCTGCACATTCCGCGTGTGTGGTGTCTCAGTGGCAACGCACCTGCTTGATCACGGCAGTGTCGGGCGCGATGCTCGCCTCGAGCAGCTGGTGCAGGGTTTGAACGAATGCTGGCTGTGAACGAGTTAGCACCTAGGCGTGGCAATTGGCGCGGCCGACTCACGTCCATCTTGACTACCTCGTGCGCAGGTTATTTTCGCCCGCGCTCGACCAGGTTGGAGATGGTGACGAGATGAAGAATGAGGATGGATGGTGGGGTGCGAGAAAAGTTGCGTTGTCGACGCGGACAAAATGTTAGGTGGAGGGCGGATAATGATGTGTATTTTGATTTAAGCAGCGACCACCCCCGGCACCCTGTGCGCCAACGCCCTTGTCTGGTCGCTACCGACGGGCGCGCGTGCGCCTGTGCGCCTGGGGTGTGCGTGCGCAGCCGTCGTGCGGTCATTGCGGCCGCATGTCATCCAGCTGGCTGCTCACCTCTTCCTCTCACCATCGTCCGATATCTTGCACTGGCCACTCTCGCTCCTCGTCCGCCACTGGCCACTCACCATGATCCACGCGGTCCTCATCTTCAACACCCACGGTCAGTGCCCCCCCTCTCCCCCCTTTCCGCTCGCACCCTTTTGCCACGTCGCTGCTCGTCGACCTTGCCACGCCATCGCACCTGCCGCTGACACGATCCACAGGCAAGCCCCGGCTGTCCAAGTTCTACACGCCGATACCGCCCCTCACCCAGCAGGCACTCATCTCCCAGATCTTCTCCTTCATCTCGGACAGGCCTGCTGGCGTATGCAACTTTCTTGACGCTCCCGAGCTCGTCTTTCCTGCCCCGCCCAACGCGGGAGCTGCCAGCAACGGCAATGGCAATGGCAACGGCGGTAACGGCAAGGGCAAGTCGACGGCCACCTCCACTCGGGACGACGACACGCGCGTAATCTACCGCCACTACGCCACCTTGTACTTTGTGTTCGTTGTCGACGGCGCAGAGTCGGAGCTCGGTATCCTCGACCTCATCCAGGTCTTTGTCGAGAGCCTCGACCGCGCGTTCGAAAACGTGTGCGAGCTTGACCTCATCTTCCACTTTGACGAGGTGCAGTATGTTCTCAACGAGATCATCCAGGGCGGCCTGGTCCTCGAGACGAACATCAACGAGATCAACCTCTGCGTCCAGGCATCCAAGCGTAACCGCAAGGCATCAGCCGCAAGCGCCAACCCACTGTTACCGTCCATGTTGGTGGCACCAGGGGCTGGACGTGGCCGTGGTGACGGCGGAGGCGGAGCACGCGGCTGGCTGGCGTCCATTGGAGTGTAGAATACTAGAGAGGGAAGGGACCCCCATTGACACCATCTGTTGTATCCATATATGCAATGACAATGACATGAGCTTTAGGTACTTTATACACTGCTGGTCTACTTCTTCCTCCCGTTGGCTGTCGGTGACGTCCCACTTGCGCCGCCGTTGACAGCCGATGTCAACTTGAGCCGGCGATGGTACACTTGAGGCTTGCCTCCTGTTGGCTCAGACTGTGCTGTCAGCTTTTGGCTCAAGGCTCCGCACAGCCCAACTGACCACAATATACTGCAACAACCCCTTGTCAATGATACCGGCGTCGCAGTATTCAATGTACTGTCTCACTGCGTCTGTCTTGTCAGCTCTAATATTAACTAGCCCAAAGCTCACCTTTAACAGCCGCAACGTCCGTCCCCTTGGCACCCTCGGCCTCGTCAAATTGGATATCGAGACCAAACTTGTCGCCCAGCTCTGCTGCCGTTGCTGTCGCAGTCGATACTGGCACCTCGTCCACCATGGCGAGGACCAGGGCAAATACGGCAAAGGCAATGATCGGCGCAGGGTGGAGGACGGGGAGAGGCGAGAGATATCCCTCGTTGAGCATTGCCCAACCAAGCTCACATACGACAGCCTCAGTCGCACGCGACTTGCCCTTCGGGTCGCCATTTGCGCTTGCATCATCACCCTGGGTACTGGACCCGTTGGCGGCTGCGCGCGCCTCGGCAGCGGCGCTGGACTCGGGCTCGTCCCACACAGTGTTGAGGCCCTTGACAGCTTGCCAGAGAATAGGCCACGGCTGTTCAACAATCATGTCAAAGCACAATGCCTCGAGGGCCACCTCTTCAATCGCAAGCAGCTCCTTCTCCCAGCGCCGGTGCTCGAGAGGCTGAATGTCATTGTCGCCCTGTGGTTCCCAGATGGGCGAGCCCGGCTCAAACTTTTGCAAACATGCGTTGATGATGTGGCGTAGGCGCATAGGGTCCTCTTCGACTTTGGAAGCAAGAAAGAGGATGGTGGGTGCGATGAGCTGTGGCATCAGCAACTGACCTTCACCGACGGAAAGGAGGACGCACTTTTGGCTCGAAGTCCTTGACGGATCGGCGCATGAAGAAGCGGTGGACAAGCGTTGCAGCGGCCGTGAGGGGCCCCTTGAAGAGATAGCTCTCTGGGTCTTCTCGGGGCGGCTTGATGTATCTGGCCATTAGCTGGACTGCGTCTTGCTCTCGAACTCACTGAGCTACCCTCAACCAGAGACTTCGCATGAACACAATGGCCTCTTTCCGGCGCTCCAGCTCCTCTTCCAGCGAGATACCGTCCGCGCGCGAGGGGGTACGTTCGAGCATGGCCGGGTCAAATACCCATTGCTGTTCTGCTGGTCGAAGTGGACGCATGACTGCGGCAGCAGGTCGTGTTGGTGCTGTCATGGCGGTGAAGTTGAACCAAAGGACTATGGTTGTGTTGTCGACATTGGCGGTCAGAGCCGAGGACGCGGGTTTTATGACGTGTAAATTAAATTTCATGTATCAACAGTTCATTGTCGACCTTGGCGGACCGACACCATTGTTGCAAAGAGACTCGACTCACGATCACCACACCAAGCCCGCGATACATGCCCATTAGCCTCCTGTGTAGCTCCTGGACACGCACGCTTGCCCGAACCACCTACCCTCTTTCATTTACTCGCACCGCATCCACAAAAGCAACCAGAGCCATGGCCGCCGCTACCGTCAACAAGTCGGCTCACGAGTTCGACAAGGGCAACCTTGACTCGATGCTCACCCGCCGCTTCTTCTTCGCCCCCGCCTTTGAGATTTACGGCGGTGTCGCTGGTCTTTACGACTATGGACCTACCGGTTCGGCTCTCCAGGCCAACGTCCTCAACGAGTGGCGCAGGCACTACATCATCGAGGAGGACATGCTCGAGCTGGACACCACCATCATGACTCTCTCCGAGGTGCTCAAGACCTCGGGCCACGTTGAGAAGTGAGTGGCGAGAGAGACTTTGCTGGGTGTCGTGTCTTGGAGAAACTGTAGCTAAACGAGACCAGGTTCGCCGACTGGATGGTCAAGGACAGCAAGAACGGCGAGATTTACCGTGCCGACCACCTCGTTGAGGCTGTCCTCGAGGCCCGCCTTAAGGGTGACAAGGAGGCTCGTGGTATCAAGCTGGACGAGGTCGTGGAGGAGGACGACAAGAAGAAGAAGAAGAAGAAGGTCAAGTCGACTGCTGTCAAGCTTGAGGACTCGGAGGTTGCCGAGTACGAGAGCATTCTTGCTCAGATTGACAACTACACCGGCCCCCAGCTTGGCGAGCTTGTGCGCAAGTTCAACATTACCAACCCTACCACTGGCAACGAGCTCACCGAGCCCGTCGAGTTCAACCTCATGTTCGAGTCGAACATTGGCCCCACTGGCCACATCAAGGGCTTCCTCCGTCCCGAGACTGCCCAGGGCCACTTTGTCAACTTTGCTCGTCTCCTCGAGTTCAACAACGGCAAGGTCCCCTTCGCCTCGGCCCAGATTGGCCGCTCGTTCCGTAACGAGATTGCCCCCCGCCAGGGTCTGCTGCGTGTCCGCGAGTTCACCATGGCCGAGATTGAGCACTACGTCGACCCCCTTGACAAGCGCCACGCGCGCTTCAACGAGGTCAAGGACGTTGTCCTCACCCTCCTCGCCAAGGACATTCAGGTCCAGGGCCGCACCGACACTGTCCAGATGACTGTTGGCGACGCCGTTGGTCAGGGTATCGTGGACAACGAGACTCTCGGCTACTTCCTCGGCCGTACTCAGCTCTTCCTTACCAAGATTGGTATTGACCCCAAGCGTCTCCGCTGCCGTCAGCACATGGCCAACGAGATGGCCCACTACGCCGCCGACTGCTGGGACTTTGAGATCCAGTCGTCGTACGGCTGGATCGAGTGTGTCGGTTGCGCCGACCGCTCGGCATACGACCTTACTGTCCACTCGGTCCGCACCAAGCAGCCCCTCCGTGTCCAGCAGCGTCTCGAGACCCCCCGCGTCGTTGAGAAGCTCGACGTCCAGTTCGACGCCAAGGCCTTTGGCATGAAGTTCAAGAAGGACGCCGCCACCATCAGGAACACCATTACTGGCCTCGACGAGGAGCGCCTCCAGTGCCTCAAGGACGAGCTTGACAAGGCTGGTGTCTCCGGCGTTAAGTGCGCCGACGGCAAGGTCTACGAGGTCACTCCGGACCTTGTCAAGATCAACCCCATTACTGTCACCGAGCACATGCGTGACTTCACTCCCAACGTTATCGAGCCCTCGTTCGGTATCGGCCGTATCCTTTACTCGCTTCTCGAGCACTCGTACTGGGCTCGTGAGCAGGACAAGGCCCGTGGTGTGAGTAATAAGTGTGGCAACACTCCAAACGCGTTCAGTCGCTAACCCCTGCCAGGTCCTTTCGTTCCCCGTCAACGTCGCGCCCATCAAGGTCCTCATCGTCTCCATCTCCAACGACCCCAAGCTCACCGAGATCGTCTACGAGCTTACCCGCAAGCTCCGCAAGCTCGGTATTGCGTCGCGCGTTGACGACTCGAGCGTGTCCATCGGCAAGAAGTACGCCCGTAACGACGAGCTTGGTACCCCCTTCGGTATCACTGTCGACTTTGCCAGTAAGTGTTGTTATTGGGATTTTGCAGCCGGTATTATTCTGGGATTTGTGGGGCCTGTGTGCGGCTCTTAATTTTGGCCGGAGACTTGTCCCCAATGTGCATCGGAGGGCGCGGAACCCAAAAAGACCAGGGCCAAATGATGCTTGCTTGACAATGATCGAGATCATCAGGCATAGTGCTTGCAATCGCTCCACGCACCGAAAGCGTGGTCTGGGTGGACATTGAAGGATGTCTTTACCGATCGGCATGCGTTACATCCCTCCACGTGCAGCTATACTGTCGCGTTGTCGTGATATGGTTTACCCAGAGCGCGGACGAGAGAAACATGTTGCTAACACACGCACAGCTGTCCAGAACGGCACTGTCACCATCCGCGAGCGCGACACCACCTCGCAGTACATTGGCAAGATCGACGACGTGCTTTCGACCGTCGACGAGCTCGTCAAGGGCAACGTTGACTGGGCTGGCGCTGCCGGCAAGCTCGAGGTTTACTCGGGTGTGCAGGACGTCGCCGAGTAGATGTCGATATAGTTTAGGAAGTAGTTTATTTGGCGTCGGAGGCAGCGTGGTCGAAAGCATCTCACTACCCACCCACCCCCTTGTGTGGCACATGGTTTCTTGGACAACGGGCCATGCATACACTCCAAAATATACCAAGCCAAGGACCTCGGCCCCAACGGTGCCATGAACTAGCACAACTCCAACGGGAGGGACGTTCCGGTCGCTGGCACCTGGCCATTCTCCCAAACCCCTTGCAGTTTCACTATGGTGCACGCGTTGCGACGTGCCTCGTTTTGGCGGGACATTGCTCCACATGGGCGATAAGGTTCCTCGCCTCACAGTTTCGTCCCTGTTACAAAGTTACAAGCGCGCTCCAACTGGGAACGCTAATGCAACACTCACCGGCTGCTAGCCATTAAGCGACTGGTTAACTGGCGCTTGTGGTCACCTAGTGTCTGAGACGCTAAGGCCTTTGAAATACGGCATGCGACACGTGGCCATGGCCAGACATGTCGACATGCCAGACATGGCGACATGGGGGGGGGGCACCAACGGAGGTGAACACGTCGTCCAAAGAGACCAAGTCACAGAGATCCTGTCGTCCCGGCGGCTGACAGAAAGATGAGAGAGAGGGGTGAGAGTGTGGCTGTGACAAATGGGACTACCCTACAATCTTGCATCGCTTGACGCAGGCAGTTCTAAAAGCAATGCTCGCGTTTTGGCCCTTTTCTTCTCCCTTCACCCTCAACCTCGCAGACTGCGATGCCAGCTCGCCACGTCGGCGCCAAGGCTGTTGGCTTGTTGGGCAGCGAAGGGGTTGTCTCCCGGCCTCTGGGAGGCGTCACAGACCCTCCAGTGTGTACAAGTTTGAAGTCACGCCGTCACCCCAGGTTGACAGCATCCATTATGGCAGCCAGTGCCACGATGAGCACAATGAGGGTGCACCGCTGTCCTCGTCGTTTCAATGTCAACTCCTTCCAGTTTCAGCATGTTGGAGTGTTGTAGGTTGCCAGCTTGCCAGGTGGCTTGCGAGGTGTAGCCATGGCCCCCTCGCAGCTGTACCCTTTTCCAAGACTAACAAACGACATGCATATGCCGGGCATCACGGGCCACGCACGGCCGCCGGGACGACCAGCAGGAACCCTCGATCGTATTTTGTGTGCACTGCTACCCCCCGCGCGCGGTGCGTGCACAGTAGTACATCCCGCAGCACGTTGCCTTGGAAGCTTGGTACCGACGGAGGTGTGGACCATGGGGGCCGGGGCTTGGCAGGCGTTCGGGCCAGGCTCAGAGTGTGGTGGGTTTGCACGGACAGCGAATACGGGCCGGAAGATGGCTGCTGCTGCGACTCGCAAAAAAAAAAAAAAACGCGCATATTCGGCTGCGCCTCGCTCCCCAACCCTCCCAGTAAAAAAAAAAAAAATACATGGGATGGCACCAGTTGTACAAGGGAACATGACTGCCAAGCGTGGCGGGCGTGGCATGCAGAGAGGCCCTTTCGCTTCCGTAGGTCGAAGGGTTAGAACAGAATAAAGAGCCACAGGATCCGAACACTGTGTGGCGCCGGACGTGGCGGCGGAACAGCAGGATATCGCGGTCTCGAGGGGGGCTGGCCACCGCCGGCTGCACGACCCTTTGTAAGCATACCGACACACACATATGCCTGATTCCTCGATGCTCCAAAAGGCAACAATTACCGAGTTTTTTTTCTTTCTTCTCATGAATCCCAGTGTACATACCAAGCGTATTGTGCAGCCATGTGGCCAAAGTACACGCTGACACCCCCCGTCGGTTGAACCTGGGACCTGAAAGGAGGGGAAGGGACGGGCCATGTTAGGCGGACAGCTGCAGCAGTTACCATGACGTCTGACGGATAGTCTTCAGGCCCCGTCGCATAGGTAAAAAAAACATACACCGACTGCGGCGGGGCGGTGCTGCTCCAGGTGGACAAGATCCAGAATGGCCAGGTGCCTCGTGAACCCCCGTCGCCGCGTGGGCTCTGGTACTGCTGGATTTGCTGGATCGTCGCGTCGCGTTGCCGCCATCAATAGTGTGGGTTTTGGCAATGGCAGTGGCGCGGTCAGGCAACGACGACGTGTGAATGACACCCGTTGGAACTGCCAGCGGGGGGTGGCTGTGTGAACTGCAGCGTCTTTGTTTTACAACAACTTTTGTGCTGCAAGTCATGTGCAGCATGATATGTGTGCTGTGTTGTAGAGCCTGCGGACTCTGCAGTGCGCGGGTCGTGGTGTTTGTCCGCAGCCTTGGCCGCGGAAGTAGACGACGACGACGAACGACGAGTGCTCTCCTCTAAAACAGCCATTGTGGCCTGGGGTGGGGAGGATCTTTAATCTCAGGGATCGGGCCCTCGAGATCTCGTCATCAACCTGCTGCGTATATACGCATGATACACTTAATCATCTACCGCGCCGCCGTGGCCCTTTGGCCTTTGGGGGGAGAGGGGACCTTTGCCTGGGCGGCTGCGCCTCTGGCCCCCACCCCATAAGCTTTTGCCCGTGCTCACCGCCTGCACCCCCTGCCATGCCACTGAACAGACCACGCCGCAAGCCACAGCCTCTCACCAACAGAGTATTTTTGCATGCCATATGCTCAGCAACAGCACAGTCCATTCCAGGTCAGACCCGCGGAACACCTCTCCCTTCACAGCCGTCAAAGGCCCAGCCCCACCGCCACCAAGCCCGTTCCGGAGGTCATGGACCCTAGCCATCCCCAGTTCCGTCGCCATCGCCTCGCCACTGGCCACAGGAAAGCACAACGCAGCATCTCCTCTCCACAGGCCAGAGGCCAGAGGATCAGAGGACAACGTCCAAACACTGCCTGCCGACCACCAGAGCGCGCCCAGGGGCTACGACTCCGCGTTCCAGTCGGGTGCCAGCACTACTGCGTATATGCTGTACGGCAGCAGTATAGTGCATGTTTGGGTATGCATGTCAGGCGCCAGCTTCCGTTGTTAGCGGCGGCGGGAGTTGAGCCAAGCCTAATGTGGCGTGCAGTGACTGTCGCAGATGCCGCCGACAAATCTGGGAGAGCTGGGAGAGGCTGTGGAAGATCGTACACGGGGGGAGGGGGGTGTCACTCAGGCTTGAGTGCAACAGCCAGCTGAGCCAGGGAGACTTGACCTCTTTCACACTCGTCGCTATCCTTGGAGCCAGCTCGACACCAAAAAAGCAAAAAAGAAACGAAAAGAAAACGATGCGCAGTATGACTGTCAAGTGCGGTTTATTCTGGCACACGGGCGGTGTGCAACATGGTTTGGCGAGTCCTAGGGGACGACACACTTTAGCTGCGATGGCGTCCGCGGGACCGCAGCCATCGGGGCATGTGGGGCGGCTTAGGGGTCCAAGATAGCTTAGAGGCAGTTTAGCGACGTTTTGGAGATGCATGTTGGGAGCGCAGCCAGAGGGAGTGGAACAGGAGACTACGCGAAGGTGAGACGGGCCAGATCTTGCAACCAGCACAAGAAACGTCATTATGCTTCACGCCAGGCGACCAGCGAGAGAGGAAGAGGGGGCAAGCTCGATTACGGCAAAAATGGCTGCAGGGCTCTGTCTCTAACGGATAATGCTTTGCAGGCCCGCAAACAGAGGCTTTTCGCGGGCGGCGGCGGCACAGTCGTGGTTCACGTTGCGGCACCGCAGCAGCAGCAGCAGAGGCCAAAGGGGCATCCATCGCAAGCCTCCCTCCCTGCCCCCCCGAGCCCAGACAGAGTGTGTCGTGTGTCGATGATGTGGGCTTGCAGCCTTGGAACGCATCGACTAGTCGTTTCCCCTGGATGCACGCATGCGCAGTTGGGGAAAAAAGAAGGAGCGCGGCCGCCACCCAAAGCCTCGTTTAGTGCCGTAATAAAGGCAAAAGGTCGCCCAGACAGCCAAGCACAGAGGCACAGACGGAGGGGGGGGGGGGACGGCCATGAGCGTTGCGCGCAACTGAGACCGCAAAGAGCGGTCAGCACGCAGCTGCCGACGGAGGACGACGACGTTTTGAGACACAAAGAGGGCCACGCCGCCCGCCCCGTGTTGTCAACGTTCCTTTCGTATCAAGCTTATTCTCTCCTTTCAACGATCCGATCTCAGAATTGCCCCCCCATCTCTCTCACATCATCCACACGCCCCGCCCCCGTCTGTCAGCAACATTCACCACACAGTCTCACAGTCTCTTGTGTTTCCCTACACCTCTTTTGGCCCTTGACACCATCCAAACTCCCACACTTGGCCGCAGACACACACACCGCACAGCACACAACCGTGCACTGCTGCGCCCGCAAGTGCACCCCGACAACCTTGGGCACAAAGCCCGAGACAGAGAGCAACAGACCAGAGAGAGAGAGAGAGCGTCTCCCCTTCCTCCCCGCCCACCGATCCACCGACAGACAGACCCACCCACCACCAGCACAAGAGCACCCACCATCACCACTACCACCTCATCCATCGCGTTCCCCCCTCTCTCCACCGATCCCCAATGACCATGTACCCATCATCATCGACACAACAACCAGCGGCGATCTGTGCTCTAAAGTCGCCAGCCGATGCGTACGTCGCATCAGCAAAGAGGAGACGAGGATCCACCAGAGGCTGACCCCAACATTAGCATCCATATTCTCGAGGCAGTCCGGCTCGGTCTTGTGCCGCGCGTAACTCGTCGTCTGACAGGCCATGAACGCTCAATGATCCGGCCTGGCACTGTCTGGGTTTGGGAGGAAGGTGAGCATGAGCATGCACAAGGAGCCCGTTGCTGACGATGCAGAGGAGACAAACATGCGCCGCTGGACGGACGGTCGCCGCTGGGGCGCGTCCCGCGTTGGAGGTGGCGGTTTCCTCGTCTATACCGAGTAAGCCTCTTAACGTTGTTGCTGCCCCAAAAGCTCACGCCCAAAAGGTCATCGGATTCCATCTCACCTCCCCCATCACGACCAGACTCGCCTAGCTACGGGCAGCAGGGCTACTACGGAAATGGTGTCGAGGGGTCTGGCTCCACACCTCCCCGCCGCCCAGAACCTCTTGTCAAGCAGACCTACTCGACCAGCATGACACACCCAGTCACCGGCAAGGTCAAGAAGTTCCATGTGGTCGCATACTCCTCCAAGCGCAACCCGCAGGGCGACGGTGCCAACCCTCTGCCCCTTCCTCACCAGCTGCCCAACCTTGCCAACATCAAGATCACTCCAGGCATCTGGCCCGACTGGGAGAGCCGTCGTGACGAGTATGGATCCCGCCGTGCCCCACCAACACCTCACAGCCACCACTCATCTCATGTTCCCCTCCCCCCTCACCACCCCCACTCTCACCCCCACGCACCGCCGCATCACCCAGCGGCCACTGGTCCTAGCACACCAGTGACGGCAACGGCGGTGCCATTCCCTCCCCCACCAGAATCGTACCGTCCTCCATCGCCTCACATGGCCCACCCTCCTGCTCCCCCTCCAGGACACCCCGATGCCCGCCACGCTGGTGAGCCGACCTACGACCGTCGCTACCCTCCGTACTACGAGGCGTATGACATGCACAGGCCGCCGCCACCACCACCACCACACCCGTACGACATGTACCCTCCACAGGAGCGCGGCTACCCTCCGCCTGACCGCTACTACCCGCCGTATCCTCCTGCACCTAGTCGAGGCCACGATGCGCCCCCTCATGCTGGGTACCCGATGCCGCCTCAGGAGTACCGGGGATACGATGAACGCTACTTTGACAGGCGCGAGCGAGAGCGGGATCCCCGCGACCCCCGAGACCCCCGCGACCCTCGTGAGCTCCGCGAGTATCCCATGGACCCCCGCGACCCCCGTGCCGACCCTCGTGATGATCCCCGTGGCCGTTCGCCGCCTCGTAGCTACCACCCACCGCCGCCCCAGTACTACCGTGAGGCGTACCCACCGCGCGAGGGCTCGTACTCGTCCCGCCCCACCAGTTCCGGGCGTCCACACAGCCAACACGGCCCACCACAGCTTGTCGTCGACAACAGGTCCCCCGAGTTACGCCCGCCTCCGAGCGACCTCGCCGAACCCAAGCGCATGCCTTCGTGGTCGCCCCACCCCCACCCGGCCGCCCGCTATCCAAGCGCCGAGCCGCGTGCCATTCCGCCGCCCCAGATCCACGCTCGCCAGGCCTCCAACGGCTCTTCGCACGGCTCCATCTCCAACATGCGCGACGAGCCACGTCAGTTGTCCCATGAGGTAGACCGCGACCCCCGTGGTGAGATCCGCGAGGTCAGGCCAGCGTCGTCGCGCGGCCGTTCACGCTCGCCGGTGCGCGTCAAGGGCGAGCCGATGGCCAGTGTCATCTTGCCTCCGCTGCGCGACGCTCTTGGTGACAAGAAAAGCGAGCGTGTCAGCCCGCGTGCACCGGACAGGGACGTTGCTTGGGGCCGTGTCCCCGCGTAAAGGGGGGTTGAAAAAGACCAACAGAAAAAGGAAGCGCAGGAGAGAAAGCGCCGATAAGGACAAGCGAGAAGTGGCAAAGAACCCGGATGTCTATTCTATATACACGGTTCAACCCCAAACACATGTAACCGCGAGGTCGGAGATGTACAAGTACACGCCTATGCATTCACAAACACGAATAATACAATGTATCTGTCCACCGTAGAGAACACGATAACGAGCGCAGCATGCGTGGTCGGTTGTGAAAGGCAGCGGGCGGGCCGGGTATCTGTGAGATAGGTTTGGCACATTTGGCCCAGTGTGCCTCGGGTGGATGGACCCGGGGGGGGGGGTGGGCCATCAGGATCAGAAACACCCGTTTGTTATCGCGCCGCCACCCAACCCATCATTGCATTCCACTCATCTCGCCTACCCACCACTGGGTCTCACCATCTCCCGCCAACATGGCCTCCGCACCGGGTGTGGACGAGTCCACGCCACTGTTGGCAGACCTCACAGTCGAGCAGTACTGCACGGTACGTACATACATGTCCCGCCAGCTCGGTGGGAACAGGGCAGACCCCCACGCACGTTCAGCAGGTCTTCCTCCATCCTCCCTGGTCCACCCGTGATCGCACCGCCGTTTCAACAGTGACGGTGTGCAGTGGCCCGCCAGCCAGCACCCAAGCGACGATAGCACTCGCTACACATGCTGCGGCCTGGGGGGCGGTCCAGGAGCCACGGTGCATGCATGCTACACCCGCTGACGCTCCCAGGTGCCAGTGTACTCACTGATCCATGAAATCCGCCTCGACGTCGTGGCGCATATTGGTGCGTGCGCCGCGCGCCGCCCGTCAAAACAATTGGGACTGGGGCCCGCCCAGACGCAGCGTCACTGACACCATGCACAGATACGCCGCTCACCGTCGACCAGCTCCTTGCGCCAGACTCGACGTACACGATCATCCGGTACGCTGCTGCCATACTTCCAAGACGCTCCAGCGTAGCTGACATGCAACACAGACCTCTTACCGAGAAGTACCTCCTGCGTCGGAACCCTTCCGTTGGTGCGTTCGTCTGTTGCCTTGGACTGCGCCCCCTGGTAGCAGCGGGCCGACACGCGGTCGCTGCTCGGTGGGGCCGGTGGGGTGGCTTCTTGGGGGTGCGGGGTGCTTCCTGCCTCTCGCCTTCCTCGCATTCCCTCGTGCTGAGCACGCGCCTTGCCTCCACCCAAGTGTTGCTAACGAATCAGTCTTCTGCCTGCTTCTCAACAAGGTCCAGTTCACCTCGGACAGCAGCCAGCTCTCCATCTCGACGCTGTCCGAGTCGCGCGCAGCGCTATGCGAGATCCTCGCAATCCGCGTCCTGCGAGGGTGGTCGGAGCGCAGTCTGCACCTCGCAACCGTGCTGCTCACTCCCTGGCCCATGTTCCAAGGTGCCCCCGAGGACGTTGTCATCGGCGTCCAGAACGATGGCGAGGAGGAAATGCTGGGCCGGTCGGGAACAGCCATGGAGGTGAGCTTACGTGGACGGATGATCAGCTGACAACAGATGGCTATCATCTCGACCTCCAAGCGTCTCATCCGCTCCCCGTCCTGCCAAAAGGTCATTGGTGAGTACATACTGGCGCTAGCCACGTCGACCTTTGTCTGACGGTTTCGCAGAGGGAATCTGGTCCGGCAAGATTGTGTACTCGTCTCTCAGCACGCACGCTCTAATCCAGGATGTGAGGCCTGCATCAGTGCTTGCTACTGACCTCTCAGAACTACAAGAAACGTCCCATTCAGATGTACAACCCCCACAAGGCGCCGCTTTTGGACCACTACCGGTGAGCTAACTAACTGCTCATTGCGCAGCTGAGCTGACCTTCCAGTCTCAAAGTGCCCAAGATCCGTGCCATCATCGAGTATGCCAACTTCCTCTGCCTCTTCGTCCTCTACATCATCGCCATTGAGAACATTCAGATCGAATACATGAACACTCCCGAGATCATCTTTGCCATCTACGCCGTCGCCTTCTCGCTTGACAAGCTGGCCGCCATCCGCGAACACGGCTTGAAAGGTGGGTATCCCCCCGCATCCGTCTTGATCTAACATCAGTGTTCAATAGTTCACTGGTCAACGGCTTTGACATGGTCTTTGTCATCATCTTCGCTGTATACTTGGGGCTGCGCTTGATTGGTCTGTCTACACACAACCACGCCAAGCTTGCGGAAGGAGCCGACGTACTGGCGATTGGTGAGTTCTTCATATAGCGCCCTAAACTGACCACACAGGCGCCGTTCTAATGTTCCCCCGATTTGCGTTCATGACCCTCGCCAACAACCTCATGATTCTGAGTATTCGCTCCATGCTAGTGGAGTTCTTTTGTGAGTCAAAACGCCTCTACTCCTGCAGCTAACGCCCCTAGTCCTCATGAGTGTCGGCATGTTTTGCTTCCTGGGATTCGTCTACGCGCTCATGATTCTCGGACGCGGCGAGTGAGTAGCTGCCACTTTCGACATATGACTCACTTTACAGACACCCCTTGTCCCAAATCTGCTGGTGGCTCTTGGAAATCTACTTTGGTCTAGACGCGACTGGGTTCGAGCAGTCGACAACCTTTAACAAGTACATGGGCCCAGTCCTCATGGTGGTCTATGGCTTCTTATCCAACACGCTTCTCCTCACCGTCTGCGTGGCGATTCTCGGCAACACGTTTGCGACCATCAACGCCGACGCTGCTGCCGAGTCCATGTTCCGCAAGGCCGTCGCGACGATTGAGGGAGTCAAGGCCGACTCGGTGTTCAGCTACCAGCTGCCATTCAACATCCTCGCTGTCCTCGTCCTCTACCCGCTCAGCTTTGTGCTCAATCCGCGTTGGTTCCACAAGGTCAACGTTTTGATGATCCGCGCTACCAACCTGCCCGTCCTCCTTATAATTGCCCTATACGAACGACACACGTACCAGCACCAGCAGGAGACACTGTGGGAACAGATCTGTGACCTTGCTGATCACTATGTGGGCAAAATCACAGCTGCCACCGGCTTTGAGGGCATTGTTGGTACCCGCATGGACGTTTCCCACGTCTTTGAGATTGAAGAGGAGTTTGGTACAGCCTACAAGAACTGGGACGACGACTATGACGAGGACGACGACGACGAGTGCGCACTGTACGATGACGATGAAGGGGAGGAATCGGACGTGGAAGAGGGTAACAACCACCCCACCATCGCCCAAAAGGTCACATTGTCGCCAATGGACGAATCGTTCGACCAGTCTGGTAACAACACTCCTCACGCATCGCCGGTCACATCGTTTAACGCTGCTCGTCGTCGTCAGAGTTCTCTGGTCGCTTCCCATGCGCATGCCGGTATTCACCATCCACCGGGACCGTCGACATCACCGACGGTACCTGTTGCACCACCGTTTGCGCGGGCTCGGCGCAACAGCGCTGTCATGGGCCCCAGTCCTCTTGCTCAGCTGTTCGTTCGTCACGCTGTGGATCAACTCTCGGCACCAGTTCGTCGCAACACCGCCGCTGTTGGATCGTTGCCCGTGTCATCTTCGATGGGGGCTTTAAGTCACTCGCCACGCGCCCGCAACCGCATGTCCTTTGGTGGTGCAGCTGTCGCTCCTGGTTCCGGTCCAGCTGGGCTTTCCACCAGTCTGAGCGTCAGCTCCCTCGCGGAGCGTACCGTCCCAAAGGCAGCTCGGCCCAGCGTCACGCCCATCGACGAGCACCCACCGTCAACACCCGCAGCCAGTTCACCCAGGACGCCGACCTCTGCCAAGCCGTCGCGAGTCCCCTTCCCCACGGCTGGCAGCGACGCAGGCGCGACGCCGTCACCACGTCCTGCTGCTCGTGTTACTTTCAACGAACCGCCTCTCACGCCCAGAGCAGCTCTTGCAATGTCGTCGCCTGCGTCCTCTGTCACATCCTCTGCCCCTTCAGGAGTGGCGCAGTCAATCACCTCGCCACCGACTGGAACTCGTCTACTGCCTTCGGAACAGCGTCCCACGTCAACCCCTTTCCCATCGGATACTTCGGTTGAAAAGGCAGCAGACAAGTCGACGGACAAGCCAGAAAAGCCGGTTAGGCCGCTGCCCACGCCAATCAAGCCAGCGGCATCACCGCGCCTCAAGCCAAAGGAGTCGCCCAACCCGAACCTCCGTGTACCAAGCGACAGCAAGCTCAAGACGGCGTCCCAGCTCCTCGAGGCCCACGAGTCGCATGTCGACAGTGGCGCGCAGACCCAGATCGCTGACATGGCGGCGCGGCAGATGCGTATCGAGCAGATGCTGGAGCAGCTGCTCGCCAACCAGGCCGGCGACAGTGGCGTGTCGGCCATTGCTGGCGGCGTGACCATCACGCCACGCCGCCCGTCGGAGCAGCGCGACATGTTTGATGACCTTGAGTAGACCGCTGCCCGAGTGTGTACGCCGCAGCTGGTCTGCGTATGTTTCTCTCTGTCCGTCCTTCTGTAGTTTATTTCCAGCATTGTGCATTGCCATTCCCGTAGCCTCTATGGAGACGTGTGTCAGGTGTAACTTGACCGTGGTTTAGACGCAGGCTCCACCAAAGGCCACCAACAGGCCAGGTCCAGGCGCCTCGATTCCGATCGTTTTTGGATGAAGCTTAAAGCGGCTCTTGCGCTGCTGCCTCCGGTGTTCCCGTGGTATTGCGCTCACAGCTTCTTTCTGGCTTCCCGAGTTCCCATGCCATTGGGCGTGTACTGAGCGAGTCAACGCTTTCTCTTCAATACAGCACGTTGCATTATCGGTGCTGCCACATCTAGTTCGTCTCGACCATTGGAGCGCCTGCAGAGAAACCCCTCTCCACCCTCCATTTGAATTTGGATTTGAAGGCAGTCATTAGTTTTGCCTCAGGTATCCTTTAGGATGATACCCCTGGAGATCCAGGAGCCGCTATGAGAGTTGGGGCCCGAATAAAAAAAATGCCGCCAGCCAGCCGTGTGCCAAGCTTTCTGCTCCAAAAGCACACATTGCACGCACGCACTCTGACTCGCCCCGCCGAGAACGACGGAGACGGCAGCTGAACAGTACCGTAGCGTTGGGCGACAGCCGTGAAAGGCTCCAAGGCTCTTGCGCTCTGGGCTCTGAGAGAGAGAGCGAGACAGACAGAATGCAGAATGCTGGAGAGAGCGAGGCCGCTGGACGTGAATTAGGCTATGACGTGACCACTGATTGCACTGCCCTATTGATCGCCTGAAACCCCCCCTTCATCCCGCCCCGCCGTCGTGCGAGCCGTGTCCGCCTGGGCGCCTGGCGCGCGCTGGCCCGTCGCTGGCTCTCGGCTGTGGGCGTTTCGAGATCGCTGCACCGACGAGACCATGTTTCCCACCAGCGAGCCAGCCACCTCTGATGAGGATGAATGTGCTATTTGTCTGTCCTTGTTCTTCAATTTCCATTGCTTCTCGCATCTGTTCTTCTCACACACTTGCACAACACCTATCACCCCGCACTCTTTGGTCGAGAGCACTGTCGTCGTTTGACGCGTCGCACTCGTCCGCCCTCTCTTGCACCTTGTCTCTTGTTTTCCCCCGCTTGTGTGCCCTGGGTGCCCGGATCCTCCGGCCAGCCTCGTTTTTCCCTTGTTCCAGCCTGCAGCGCCTTTTACGACGACACACCGACAGATACCTTTCAATCTCTCACAGCCACATCGTCTCCCCGCCCCCACCGCTCCATTCTTTCGTCTTCTCGTTAATTCCTCATCTCCCTCTCTCTCTTGCGCGCGCGGACACTTGCTGCTACTCTACACCGGACACTGCCTCCCACCCATCCCCGCCTAGCGTCCCAACATCGCCCAAAACACATATACACATCTCGTTTTGGCACAGCATCGCACGCACTCCGTCGATCCCAACCTCCACCATCACAAACCCCCACACCCTCGAACGATCAAAGCACAGTCGCGTGTTTTCCTTCACGACAACCCCCCTCCCCATATATTGCTCCACAACCCCCACCCCACACTCTGACTTCTCCCTTCCCTCCACCACTTCACCTTGACGACATGACTGTTCAGAACGGCACCGCCATCCCCGCTACCAGCGGCGTCAATGGCAGCAAGGTCGCACCGTCCCTCGACGTGACCGAGCTGCGCGCCACGTACGAGGGCGCCGGCCAGGGCCACGTCTTCGAGTTCTGGGACAAGCTGTCGCCCGTCGACCAGGCCCAGTTTGCCGACCAGCTCGCCAGCATTGACGTCGCCCGTGTCAACCGCATTTACAAGAATGCCGTCTCTGCCGAGGCTCCCGTCACTCCCGACGTCGAGATCCCCCTCGAGTCGGCGTCGCTCCAGCCTCCCGCGGCCCACCTCCTGGGCCTCGACCGCTCGCGCTCCCCCTCGCCCCGCCCCGAGGAGGTCACCCCCCTCCCCCAGAGCGCATGTGCGACCGCCGTCAACAACCCCGTTGACGAGGCTCGCTGGCGCGAGATCGGCCTCCAGGCCATTGCTGGCAACCAGGTCGCTGTCCTCCTCATGGCTGGTGGCCAGGGCTCGCGTCTGGGCTCGAGCTCGCCCAAGGGCATGTACGACATCAAGCTGCCCTCGCACCGCTCCCTCTTCGAGTACCAGGCCGCGCGTATCAAGCGTCTCCAGACCATCGCCGCCGAGGCCACCGGCAAGCCCGTCGACGCCGTCCGTATCCCCTGGTACGTCATGACCTCGGGCCCGACGCGCCCCGAGACCACCGCCTACTTTGAGAGCAAGGACTACTTTGGCCTCCGTCGCGACGACGTGATCTTCTTCGAGCAGGGTGAGTGAGACGGATACAACACATTTGAGCAGTGGCCGGCGCAGGCGCAGCAACGGGGGGGGGGGGGGGGGGCACTGGGGGCACTGGCCGGCGGCTGTGTTTTTTTGGACGCCTAAAAATACAACACGTGCCCCCAATCCGGCCCACACGTGTCGATTTGTTTGTTTACAATAGTCGCTGACGCCTGCAGGTGTTCTTCCCGCCCTTTCGAACGAGGGCAAGCTCCTCCTCGCCACGCCCTCGAGCCTCTTCACCGCCCCCGACGGAAACGGCGGTGTCTACGCCGCCCTCCGCGCCCCCCTTGCCCCCGGCAAGCCCTCCGTTCTCGGTGACATGGGCGCCCGTGGCACCACCTACATCCACGCCTACTGCGTCGACAACTGCCTGGTCAAGGTCGCCGACCCCATCTTCATTGGCTGCTGCCTCGAGCGCAAGGCCGCCCTCGGCACCAAGGTCGTGCGCAAGACCATCCCTACCGAGTCGGTCGGTGTCCTTGCCCAGCGTGGCGAGGGCTACGCCGTCATCGAGTACTCTGAGCTTTCGCGCGAGAAGGCCGAGTTGACCGATGCCTCGGGCCGTCTTGCCTTCTGGGCCGCCAACATTGTCAACCACTTCTACACGCTCGAGTTCCTCGAGTCGGTCGAGGCCATGGAGCGCAAGATGGCCTTCCACATTGCCCGCAAGAAGATCCCCTGCGTCGACATTGCCACTGGCGAGCAGCTCAAGCCCACCGAGCCCAACGGCATGAAGCTCGAGCTCTTCGTCTTTGACGTCTTCCCCTTCACCAGCGCCCTCACCGTCGTCGAGGTCGCGCGCGCCGAGGAGTTCTCGGGCCTCAAGAACGCCTCGGGCGCCAAGGCCGACACCCCCGAGACTTCGCGCCACGACCTGCTCGCCCAGCAGCGCCGCTGGCTCGTCGCTGCCGGCGCCACCATTGCCGACGACGTCGAGGTCGAGGTCACCCCCGAGACATCGTACGGCGGCGAGGGCCTCGAGTGGGCCCAGGGCAAGACCTTTGCCCGCTCCGGCGTCGTCACCTCGGCTGCCGACGCTGCCGCCCTCTTTTAATATATAACTTTTGCCCGTGCTCCCGCTCAGCGCACACTGGGCCCGGCCCCATACTACTAAGACTCGGCCAAGGACTCTGCCAAGGATCTGATTTCACTGCATATGTACATACGCCCTTGGGGCATGCATCATGGTAAAAGCGAATGGGCAAGGGAGCGCGCGAGGAAGGGCTGAAGGGTTGGGGGCTGTGGGTGCACGAGCTACGCTGGCAATGACGTCGATGATTGTCTCCCGTACATAAGCATATTTGACAACTGCCTAGCGGCACCCCACGCTGTGCTCGCACGACCGTCGCGCGTCAGAGCGGTTGAACGGCTGTATTGACCTTTTAGATCCAAGTTTTGGGTCCTTTTGGTAGCGTCGCTCACCAGGTCCAGAGCAGAGGACACCGACGTGTGGCAATCTTCACCATCTGAAAATCTTGGTACCTGTCCCTCGCTGGGGGATTTGGTTGGCAGCAAACGGCAAGTGATTGCAAGTGACAGCACCCATGACCCGGGGCAACAACGAGGAGTGCGCTTTGTCCCTCAAATCAGTGGTCGCTGGATCACATGGGCAACTGGCAGAGCATGAGCTCGCACGGAAAATGGTCGGTATCCCAGATGCATCTACTCTACGTGCTCGTCCGACAGGAATACCATTGCCGGACGGGGTTCTCGCCTCGTCAACCCTCATCACCCTATCCTCACACGATCCACTTTATATCACCAGTGGACACACGCTTACGACAGGCTAGCGCCAGCGAACGACTTGGCCTTGCAGACACCGTCCTTGGTACGGATACGGTGGACGGTCTTGGTCTCGGGGTCGGTCCAGACAGCCTCAAGGTTGTCGAGGGTGGAGAAGTTGGGCTGGATGGTCTCAAACACCTTCTTCTTGGGGTTGAGGGTCGCCTCGGGGGTAGCGTTCTCGTACTGCTCGCCCTCAAAGTAGACGCGGTCACCGGCCTGGGCGCCCGCGGGGGGGAGAACAAACTCGACACCACCGTCCTTGCCCTCCTTGCTCGAAGCACACAGGAGCATGGCAAACGACTTGACACCGCGCATGGTCACGGGCTTGAGGTTGCACACGACAATGATGGTGGCGCCACGGATCTCGTCCTCGGTCATGTACTTGACAAGACCCGAGCAGACAGTGCGGGGCTCGGCCTCTCCGACGTCAATCGACTCGACGTAAAGCGAGTCGGCGTCCGGGTGGCGCTTGACTGAGAGTTAGAAGGTACGACGCATGCAAAACTCACCGTCAAGGACCTTGCCGACACGGAGGTCAATCATCGAGGGGAGGGGCACGGCGGGGGTGGCAGGGGCGGTGGGGGCCTTGGGGGCCTTCTCCTTCTTCTCCTTCTTCTTGCCGTCCTTGGGGGTCTCGGTACCAGCAGCGGGGGCAGCGCCCTCGGCCTTGGCGGCCTTGTCCTTCTTCTCCTTCTTGCCCTCAGCGGGGGCGGCCCCCTCGGTGGCAGCGGCCTTGTCCTTCTTCTCCTTCTTCACCTTGGGGGTGGGGGCGACACGGACAGGGGCAGGGAGCGACGAGACGTCAACGTCAACGGCGGGGAAGGCGTTGGGGAGCTCCTTCTGGGCAGCCTGGACGGAGGCAAGGTCCTGGACGTGGAGGAAGTAGCGGAGGACAGCGGGGTTCTCGGGGTGCTGGGCAGCGGGGGCTGAGGCCTGCGAGAGAGAGTAAGGTCAGTCATAGGTCCCTCTGCATGCAGACATGTGACCCACGATGGCCGAGTGGAGGTTGCAGTAGAGCGAGACGTCGGCGGTGGTAGCAGTGTTGCCGACGAGGTAGGTCACGGGGGTGAGCTTGGCGTTGAGGGCCTGCAACTTGTTAGCGACGAGGAGGGTGTTATAACAACCATGACCTCACCTTGAGGTCCTTGGCGAGAGCCTCGGTCTCAGCAGCGACCTTGGAGATGGCAGCCTGCTCCTTGTCGGCACCGACGAGGGCGGGGTCGGCCTTCTGGGCGGCGGCGACGAACTGGGCAATGTCGGACATGGCGCGAACAAAGGAGATGCGGGGGAGGGTACGGTGAAAAGGAGTGAGAGATGGACGGGCGAGTGTGGACAGGAGAGAGAGGCGCATGCACACTTGCTTTGGTGACAATCAAGCGCTACCAAGTCGACTTTTGTTGCGCCGCCCAGTGCGCTGGGTGCGCGTTTCCACCAGGACAGAGAAAGAGGGATGATCGGCACACAATTAGGTTAAAAATGACGTGTACTCAGATTTTGAGCAGCGCTTCTGTCGTCGGTGTCCCTGCTGCCCATTGTCGCCGTGCCACCTATCCACCACCTTTTCGCGAGTCCATCTCAGATTACATTCCATTACACTACTCCAAAACTAGGCCTACACCATGTCTGGCCAGCCCCCCTTCAACCCAGGCGCGTTCGAGTTCCGCCCCGGAGCGTCGTTCGTCCCCCGCGGCCAGCCCCAGCAAGGCCAGCCCGGCCAGCAGCCTCAGCAGCAGGCTTACGACCCTTACGCCCAGTACGGTGGCCAGCAGCAGCAGCAGCAGTACGGTGGCGGCTACCCCCAGCAGGGCTACCAGCAAGGTTACCAGCAGGGCTACCAGCAGGGTGGCTACGCTGGTTACCAGCAGCAGCAGCAGCCTCAGCAGCCCCAGCAGCGCGCATACCAGCCCGCTCAGCGTAACGTCCAGGGCTTCCAGGCTCCTTCGTTCGGTGCTGCCAAGAACGCTCCGTCGCTCTCTATCGGTGGTGGTGCTCCCAAGGCCGCCCCCTCGCTGTCTATCGGTGGTGGTGCCCCCAAGGCTGCTCCTTCGCTGTCGATCGGCGGTGGTGCCCCCAAGGCTGCTCCTTCGCTCTCTATCGGTGGCGCTCCCAAGGCCGCCCCTTCGCTTTCCATCGGTGGTGCTCCCAAGGCTGCCCCCTCGCTGTCCATTGGTGGTGCTCCCAAGGTTGCCCCCTCGCTCTCCATTGGCAAGAAGGCTGAGACCCCCAAGGAGGAGGCTCCCAAGGCTGCCACTCCCAAGCCCGCCACCCCCAAGCCCACGGAGCCGAAGGTTGAGAAGGTTGTCGCTGCCCCGGTTCCGAAGGCCGCCACCCCTGCCGCTTCGACCCCGGCTGCTCCCTCCCCTGCTCCTTCTTCCAAGCCTTCGGGCACCTCGACCCCCACCAACTTCTCCAAGGTGTCGGCCAAGAACGACGCCGACGCTATCCACCAGGAGCAGCAGGCTGCCGGTTCCGAGGCCCTCAAGGACCTCTACGGTGGCAACGAGGTTGACCCCAACGTCAAGCAGCACCTGAACATCATCTTCACCGGTCACGTCGACGCCGGAAAGTCGACCATGGGTGGCCAGCTCATGTTCCTTACCGGTGCTGTCGACAAGCGTACCATGGAGAAGTACGAGCAGGAGGCCAAGGCTGCCGGTCGCGAGACCTGGTACCTGTCTTGGGCCCTTGACCAGAACAAGGAGGAGCGTGCCAAGGGCAAGACCATCGAGGTCGGTCGTGCGTACTTTGAGTCGGAGAAGCGTCGTTACACCATTCTCGACGCCCCCGGCCACAAGACGTACGTCCCCAACATGATCCAGGGTGCCGCCCAGGCCGATGTCGCCATGCTCGTCCTCTCGGCCCGTAAGGGCGAGTTTGAGACTGGTTTCGAGCGTGACGGTCAGACCCGCGAGCACGCCATGCTCATTAAGAACAACGGTATCAACAAGCTCATGCTCGTCGTTAACAAGATGGACGACCCCACTGTCCAGTGGGACCAGGCCCGGTGAGTGATTTATTTGTTTTCCGTGTTTTTTGGATGGGGACGGCGCTGATCGTGTTTGAAAGTTTCGAGGAGATCCGCACAAAGATTTCGCCCTTCCTCAAGTCGGTTGGCTTCAACCCCAAGACCGACCTCACCTTCATCCCCGTGTCGGCCCAGATGGGTCAGAACATGAAGGAGCGTGTCGACAAGAAGCTTGCTCCTTGGTACGAGGGCCCCGCCCTCCTCGAGTACCTCGATAGCATGGAGATTCTCGACCGTAACATCAACGCTCCCTTCATGCTTCCCATCTCGGAGAAGTACAACGAGCTTGGTACCATGGTTATGGGCAAGATTGAGTCTGGCCGTGTCAAGAAGGGCGACTCGCTCCTCATGATGCCCAACAGGCAGTCTGTCGAGGTGGCCGGTATCTACACCGAGACCTCGGAGGAGATGGACGTCGCCTTCTGTGGCGACAACATCCGTATGCGTCTCCGTGGTACGAGCGACGAGGACGTTTCGCCCGGTTTCGTCCTCACCTCGCCCCAGAAGCCCATCCACGCGGTCACCAAGTTCAGGGCCGACCTTTCCATCATCGAGACCAAGAACATTATCTGCTCTGGTTACTCATGTGTCCTGCACGTCCACACCCTCGCGGAGGAGGTTACCCTTACTGCCCTCCTGCACTATTACGACAAGAAGACCAAGCGCAAGTCGAAGAAGCCTCCCCAGTTCGCCAAGGTCGGCATGCTCGTGTCGGTTCTTATCGAGACTGAGAAGCCCATCTGTATCGAGACGTGGGACAGTTATAAGATGCTTGGAAGATTCTCGCTTCGCGACGAAGGACGCACCGTTGCAATCGGCAAGGTGAGTTCAGAACGCGTTGGAAGAGGTGGAAAAGAAAGAAAAAAGACGGACGGAAGGAAAAAATCCCACCACCGCCACACGAATTTTGATCCCGCCACTAACGCCCCCAGGTCACCAAGCTCATCGAGGACGGCCCAGACGTGGCTGGCCTTGCTATCAAGGAGTAATGTGCTGGGCAGTTATATCAGGATGCGATTGCATAGAGTAACGTGATGAGTATAGCTCTGTACCAGCCGTTTCAGTGACGACCATTTATCTCCGGTCAAGTGCCTTCCCTCGTTTCCTTCCTCACAGTTGACTCACCTTTTCATCCTTCTTCCTAACGCTCACCACCTCGTTCCATCCATTCCACATCGCCCATCCACATGCATCCATCGTCGACATGCACAAGTCCCAACCACCACGGTCCCCCCGGTCTTCACCATTACGTCGGCTTCGTCCTTGCTGCCCGTCGTTAACATGCTTTTCCTCGCCAACCAATATCGCCGCCACACCAACGGCTGACGGCTGCCACTGCCTACGTGTCGCCTTGGACCGCGAGATCAACCATGTCCCAGAACAAAGTATGGGGTCAGCTACCTCCAGGGAAGGAGGTCTACACGGACGAACTATCGGCCACTACAACGCACACCTCACTGGATCACTGCCAACAGCGAGTCGGCTTACGGACACGACGGGTCCTACTTCGATGTGTTCACCCTGTTCCAATTCGACATCCGCTCCCTTGGTGCCTGTACCTTCAGTGAAGGCGAGGCCACCGCCGCACGCATCTTGACCCTTGTTTGTAAGACCTTGCTCACCGTTTGGCTAGGGGTGGCTCGTGATGTGTACAGCCCCGTGTGGGGGTTCATCGACTCCCACCGCGGCTCGAACTATCGCCTCCCCACCCAACAAGCGGTGTGGGGTGTGGCCCAGTACGACGCAGAGGAGTGGCTGGCACGCCGTCGGGCCAACCAGGTGCACAAGACCGAAAACCAGAGGGCCTACCGCGCAGCACGCACCAGTGAAGAGCGTGAGCACGATCTGGCTGAGCAATGTCGCTGTCGATCCATGCAAACACCCGCCCAGCGTCAGCAGAGACGTGACCGCGAGAACAACAACTACGCCGACAACAAGCCCGCCCGCTAGGCAGCTGGCCGTGCCTCATATACCGCTCTGCCCAGCGACCTGAAGGCCGCGCGGTATGATAGGAGGAAACCATACTTCCAGGACCGGTACAAGAGCCGCACGGATGAGGAGCGCACTGCCATCAACACGCGCCGCCGAGAGCTCCAAGCCAATCGCACCCCCGCACGGCGTGCCCGTGACGAAGAACAACCAGAGCCGCGACAAGCCCAAGGTGAGGCAATGACGTGTTGACACCAATAAGAGTGTGTGGGGTGCCTGGGGGACTGGAGCTCATCGTTCGTTCAATGTTCTGAGCCTAGGACATTCGGGGAAGGCCACAGCAGAGATGGTTTGCAACGCCATCTCCCGCGTGCCCAGTGCCCGTAACTTTTTGAGCACTGGGGTTATCACGTATCCTCGAATCGAACCCTGGTTATGGAGCCCCGGTTATCGAGTCGCTAATTATCAATACAGTTTAATTTGCAACACAGCTGGCTGTAACCACTCAGCCAGCACAACCACAGAGGAGGAAGCGTGCAAAGGATGATCTCGATAACCAAAAACGCAACGCGCGTCGCGCCAACTGGAGCCCGACTCGTAGGACGGCAGAAGTGGCCAAGGAGAAAGAGCGCCAGAAACGCCATGAAGACAAGCAACCCGCTGGCACCTCCTACCACCAGAACTATTGGGCGAGCAAGACTCCCGAGGAGCGCAAGGCTCGCAACGCCAAAATCCGTGCGTGCCAGATTGCTCGCGAGGCGAAATGGACTCCCGAGCGCAGGGCTGAGGAAGCCAGAAAGAGGCAGGCGTACAAGTTGAAGTACAAGTTGAAGAAGAAGGAGGAGAAAAAGAAAGAGAAGGCCGAGAAGGATGAAGAGGACCAGGACAGTGCCCCCGCAAAAAAACCTAAAAAGTAGTTGTCGGCTTCCCTCGAACTGCCATTATAATTGTACAATGCATTGCGTAGCTGTTGTGGCCGTTGTGGCCGTTGTGGCCGTTGTGGCATGTGGGTGGCACGTGGTTTGGCGGGACCCAGACTACAGATTACGTCAGCGTGGACATGATTGTCAGGGTTCGACGCGTCGCGCGTCTTTCCAAATCCGCACCATCAAGCGACCAGCCACCACCGCCATTCTCTCATCTGGCGCATCTCCACTCTGTCCATTTCATCCACACATCACCCCGTCTTGTGTGTCCACGCCTCGCCCATATTCCATCCACCTCCTCTGGCAAGTCTTTAGACAAGAGCGACACTTCCCCTTTCCCCATCCTTATCCGCCCTTTCCCATCGCCCCGCCATGGCAAGCGCAAACGTTGGAGTGCTCCCAGTCGCGAGCCTTCCTGTGAGTCGCGTCGCTGGAAAGTCCCATGTTGTTGTGTACTGATGGTTCTTAGATCAACTATGACGAGGAGATTGGTACGTGCTTCCTAGACCGTACAGCGCATCCACACCAATATTGGCCCTCGTGCTGCGTATTGATGGCCCGTTACGCGCCTCGTCTCGCGAAGTTGCTAACCCACTTGCAGAAAAGATTACCGACTTTGTGTCGCGCTTCGTGCCCGACCGCAGGCGACGCACCGCTGCGTTGCCCGCCGATGATGACGAGGCGGCAGAGGACGAGAGCGAGGATGAACTCGAGGACCTGGATGACCTCGACATGGACGAGGGTGAAGGCCGTAGCAAGGCCAAGTACATGCGCATCATGCGCAAGGTCGCCAACCGCCAGACCACTGAGGTGGTCGTCGACCTCGCAGACTTGCAAAAGTTCTCCGAGGACCAGTCGCTCCTCCACAACATTCTCAACAACACGCGTCGCTACGTCCAGCTCTTCGCCGATGTCCTCGACAAGCTCAAGCCCGAGCCAGACCAAGCGCTTGACATGGCCGCCGCCGACGTTCTCGACATCTTGATGTCACACCGTGCGCGGAGAAACGCCGAGCTCGAGGAGGACAGCGACGAGACCCAGTTCCCTCCCGAGCTCATGCGTCGTTTCAACGTCTACTTCCGCGCCCCTCGCAGAAAGGAAGTTCTTGCCGTTCGCGCTGTGCGTGCCAGCCACCTCGGCCACCTCATCACTGTGCGCGGTATCGTTACCCGCGTGTCCGAGGTCAAGCCTCTCCTCCTTGTCAACGCCTACACTTGTGACTCTTGCGGAAACGAAATCTTCCAGGAGGTTGCTCAGAAGTCGTTCACGCCTCTCGCCACCTGCCCCTCCGAGGCGTGCAAGACTAACCAGACCAACGGCAACCTCAACATGCAGACCCGCATGTCGCGTTTCCAGCCCTTCCAGGAGGTCAAGATCCAGGAGATGGCCGACCAGGTTCCCGTTGGTCACATTCCCCGTTCCATGACCGTCCACATGTACGGCTCCCTCACTCGCTCGGTCAACCCTGGTGACGTGGTTAACATTACCGGTATCTTCCTCCCCACCCCTTACACGGGCTTCCGTGCCATGCGCGCCGGTCTGCTCCAGGACACCTTCCTCGAGTCGATGCACGTCCACCAGCTCAAGAAGCAGTACTCTGCCATGGAGGTTACTCCTGAGATTGAGGAGGCCATTGAGGAGCTCAAGGAGGACCAGAACCTCTACTCGCGCCTCGCCAACTCGATTGCTCCTGAGATTTATGGCCACGAGGACGTCAAGAAGGCCCTGCTTCTCCTTCTTATTGGTGGTGTCACCAAGACTGTCGGCGACGGCATGAAAATTCGTGGTGACATCAACGTCTGCCTTATGGGTGACCCCGGTGTGGCCAAGTCGCAGCTCCTCAAGTACATTACCAAGGTCGCCCCCCGTGGTGTCTACACCACCGGTCGTGGTTCGTCTGGTGTCGGTCTGACTGCCGCTGTCATGCGTGACCCCGTCACCGACGAGATGGTTCTCGGTGAGTATTGTGTCGCCTCTCAAACTCTCACTAACGTTTTACAGAGGGCGGTGCTCTTGTTCTTGCCGACAACGGTATCTGCTGTATCGACGAGTTTGACAAGATGGACGACTCGGACCGTACCGCCATTCACGAGGTCATGGAGCAGCAGACCATTTCGATCTCCAAGGCCGGTATCACTACTACTCTCAACGCGCGTACCTCTATCCTTGCCGCTGCCAACCCCCTGTACGGCCGCTACAACCCCAAGGTCTCGCCGGTTGAGAACATCAACCTTCCCGCTGCCCTTCTCTCGCGTTTCGACATTCTCTTCCTCATCCTCGACACGCCTACGCGTGACGATGACGAGCGTCTTGCCCAGCACGTCACCTACGTGCACATGCACAACGAGGCACCCGAACTCGACTTTGAGGCTATCGAGCCCACGCTCATGCGCCACTACATTGCCGCGTGCCGTAAGATTCGCCCCATCGTCCCTCCCACCATGAGCGAGTACATTGTCTCGTCCTACGTCCAGATGCGCAAGCAGCAAAAGGAGGACGAAGCCGAGGACAAGAACTTTACCTACGTCTCGGCACGTACCCTTCTTGGTGTGCTGCGTCTCGCACAGGCTCTCGCCCGTCTCCGCATGGACTCTGTCGTCGGCCAGGGCGATGTCGACGAGGCCCTCCGTCTGATTGATGTCTCCAAGGCGTCGCTCTACGAGCACCAGACCCGAACGGGCGAGGACACGACCGACACGTCCAAGATTTTCCGCATTCTCAAGGACATGGCCTCGGGCCGCGGTGGCGCTGCCCGCCGCCGTGGTGGCCGTCGTGGTGCCACCGAGTCGGACGAGGATGAAGACGACGAGCTCGAGGAGCTCACCATCGTCGACGTCCGTGCCCGTGTCCTGGCCAAGGGCTTCACCGAGAACCAGCTCATGGACACCATTACCGAGTACGAAAACATGGGCGTCCTCATGCGCACGGCCAACAACACGCGTGTCCGCTTTGTCAACGCGGACGAGTATTAGTAGTGGTGGTGTGGTGCGCTTCTTGGACGACGATGACGGTGTTGCCTGGGACACCGAATCCTTGGATGTATGTTGTACACGCTTTCACAGCGAGATAAAGCCCTATCTGCCGGGCATATGGATAACCGTTCTCGAACAAATACGCTTGCACTCTTCGCCATAGCGTTGTGAATTGCACATGGCCCATCAAGTCGTCCGAGACCTTCAACACTCAGTACCGATCTCGCACAGTCGTCAAACTCATGCATACCGCTTGCTGCTCCTTGTCTCTGTCTACACTACAACGCCCGAAATCTCGAATGAATGTGTGGGATCCCGCATTGGACATTGGTGTTTTGATTCTCTCTCTACCCATGCCATGTCACCATGTCACTTGGTCGGGGGGGATAGGTTAGTGGCGGGGAGCGGGCGAGGGTCGTGGGCCACGCGGCTTGCCCGAACGCGGCCGGGCGAATGGCGCGTTTGCAGTCGCCGTGTCCGTCGTCGTTTCGTGCTCTGACGAGGCGCGAGCTGGGGCCGTTACACCGGCGTCTCCATCCGTTGCGCAGCTTCCGTCGTCGGCACCACTGCCACCACCCTCTTCTTGTTGCCGATGCCGCCCCGCCGCGTCCCGCTACAATTGCAGCACGTTCAGCCGTTGTCCGCTCACACAGCCGACAACGTCGCCAGTGTGCGAGAATGCCAGGTTGTTCACCTCGGTAGGCGCGCTCCATGCCTTGACGGGCTGGATCTCGAGCGCACGCGTCGTTCCGGGGGAAGGTGTCCGGCCACTGGGCGTCGCTGGCGATGAGAGTGTGTACGGGTCATTGTTGCGCGATCTCGGCCGCGTCTCACCCTCGGTGGGGAGCGGCTTGGTCAGGTCGTACAGCAGCAGTTGCGCGTCATCGCCTGTAAAGCGTCAGCAATCGTGTCCCCATGCGAAGTAACCCACTGCAACTGGCAATCCATCCACCTCCCGTGGCTCCACTGCTACTGCCGCCGTTGCCCCATGCGATACCGCTCAGCGCAGCGCCGTGGCCCAGGAGCTCCGCAACGGGTTGTCCTGGGCTTCGCATGTCGAGGATTAAAGTACGCGAGTCGTCCATACTGAAGCACGCGAGCATGTGCCTGCAAGTCAGCTTCAGTTCCGTTCCGAAAGGAAGCTCACTGTTCGCGGTTGCTGAAAGCTATCCTCGCCAATGGCGCTGCGTTGGGGGTCTCGTACAGAATAGTCGAGTGCTCCAGTTGACGCAGGTCAAATGCGCGCAGTGAGCCGTCGGCGCCAACAGACACAAAGATGTCAGAGCTCTGGGGGAGCCACGACAGGTCATAGACTGCACGGTCGTGTGCGATGAGCTGCGTCAGCGCTTGGGACGTGTTGATGTCCCAGAGCGTAGCAGTAGTGTCTGTTGAGCACGTCACGATTGATGCCGGTGCGGTCGGGTTCCAAGAGAACGATGTGATGGGGGGAAGGTTGTACATGTGTTGCTTGCTCTGCAAGGGTAGCGCCGTCAGCACCTGTTCACCTCCGCCCATGTTTGCGCACTCACGTTCGAGAGCATACTCCGTTCTGTGAGGGTATAGTTGTCCGCACCCGTGTCCATGTAGCCATTTCGTCCATATCCAACACGATTCGAGTCGGGGCCCTCCCACATCTTCAACTCCCAGATGCGGAGTACGTCACCAGTCGTCGCCAGCAGCTCGCCGCGACCTCCGTTCCCTTCATGCCGCGCGCCAGCGAGCGACTGTTCGGGCTCCCAGCCCACCTTGGTGGCAGGGAAGGCGAGGTTGCCAGAGGCCAGCTGGTGGAAGTCCTGGGTGGGGGTGTACCCCGATCCATTACTCGCGTTTGCGTCGACGACAAAGAGCTTGTTCGTCGGACCCGTGAAGTACGATGTCAACGCGATGCGCTGTGGGTGCTGCGGATTCTGCGAGAATGCAATCCCATACAGCGGATCTGGATGGTTAGCACATGTGACGTGGATTGGGCCTGTCAATGTGTTGAGAAGCCACTAATCCACTTACGAGTCGACTCATATTGCAGGAGGTTGGAATGGGCCATGGTGGTCGCCGTCGACGTCTCGAGAGATGCGGGGCGGCGGCTTGGCCCGATGGTTGCCGGAGAGGAGCCGCCCGGTGTACAGGGGCGCTGGGACGGAGACGCTTCTACGTCGCCGGGGCGGCAAGCGGCAGGGAGCTGTGAGGGGGTTTGTGGTGGTGGTGGTTGCAAGAGTGAACAAAGGTTATGCTGGATGCGCGCTATGATGTGGTGACGGGGGGGTGTGGTGGTTGCACTGCGGGGGAGAGCCAGGGAGGGGAGAGGGGAAGGCAGGACGGCCGGGGCGGGACGGCACACACACCACAGCAAAGGCGAGGCGAGCGAGGCGCGCGGGGCACAAAAACGGAGATGCATCTCCGCGAAACATGTCAGTCTCGCCGCCCAAATGGGTCGTTGTGTAATGCGAACCACGCAACAACAAACGTCTCTCATCGCCCCCTTTGCCCTTGCCTAGATAACAGCGTCCAGCGCTCACAGCGACAATGTCTACTGCAGACTACGTCGCAAAGTACCCCCGCCGTCGTGCGCTCCTCGACACGGTGGACAAGTACTGGTTGGACGAGGCATACCGTGAGTCCTTGGTGTCTCTCATCTCGAGGCGACGGCCGTTCCTCGGCTCGGCTTGCCGCTGTCATCTGTTGTTAACGCATTCAGGTCCACCTGGGCAACTCGAGTCATCCCTCAAGAAGCACACAACGCTCCTCAATCGTCTCAAGGGTGCATTACTCGTCGGCCCGTCGGACGCGATCATCAAGGAGATTGACGGACTCGTGTTGACAAAGTACCTCGAGGAGATTGTTGCAGCTGTCGTCGAAGGCGCGAGCCGTGGACGTGGCGACCCAGAGGCCGCTGTTGAAGTGTGTACAGTGGCTAACTGGCAGGACGCCGGTGAGCTGACAAACAAACCAGATCATTGTGCATCTCCACAAGCGCCTCGCACCAGAATTCCTCCCTCTCCTCCTTCCCCCTCTCCTCGCAGTACTGGCGCCCGCTGCCCCTCCATCAAAAGACTCGAGTGAAAAGGATCGCGAGAAAGATGAAAAGGAGCGCATTTCGCGTCAGCGTCCTGTACTTCGTATCGTCGCCGAGCTGGCCATGGTCGGAGCGTGGCCAGAGGGACCCACCAAAGGAGCCTCCGAAGTCGGCAAGGTTCTCAAGGGATTGGTGAGTTAATTACCTCGTGGAAACGGCTGTTGATTAACATTTGCAGATGACTGGTGACCCCCAGTACAGTAACATCCCGGTTATTACGAGCTTCTTGAAAGCGTTTGGTCGCGCCTTCCTCGGGCCTCAGCCTGCCAAGAACGGTGACGCTACGCCCGAGGAAGCGAGCCTGCCTGACGGCGTGGAAGAACTTGTCCCACCAGAGGTGCAGAAGAAGATGCGCGAGCTCTTTGTCAACTATTTTGAGACCACGAGCAAGACGCTCGTCAAGGGACAGATTGTGGGTTGGCGTCTCTGTTACTGTACTAACCTCCCAGAAACTCCTTGAACAGGACAAACGCAACCACGACGCCTACATCAAGTCGGGCGAGATCTTCGAGGACCGTCAACACGCATATGAGCGCATGACGCGTGCTGTGGAGCGCCTCACGACAGGTGTGCAGGGCCTTGCCGACCTCCTTGGCCTGAGCGCCCCCGTGCTTCCGACTGCCGCCTCGTTGAGCAAGTCTGGCCTGCAGATCGTCAACACTGCATCGTCATTTACCGTCCGCGAGGATGGCATTGTCCCCGGAGGAATTTGGGATGACGAGGAAGAACGGCGGTTCTACGAGGACCTCCCCGACGTGGCCGACTTGGTTCCCCCTTCTCTCCTCGGTATCAAGGATATCAAGAAGGATGTCAAGGGAGAGAAGAGCGACGACGAGACCAAGGAGGGGTGGCAGGAAACGGAGGCGGATGCTGAGGCTCAGCGTCGTGACGAGGAGGATATCCGTCGGCAGCTGGCCCAGCTAGAGTTGGAAACACCAGCTGAGGCTCCAGCCGATGGTGCGGCCCTCGGTGCGCCGATCGACCGCGTCCTCTCCGCTGTCTCAGATTCCTCTGCCGTCCTGTCGCCTGTTATTGGTGATGACGAGACTCCTCCCACCGTCGTTGAAGCTGCGCCCGAGGACGACGCCCTCCAGTCGGGTCCTGCTGCGCGCCTCACAGCCCTGTTTGCTTCTCTCCCTCAAGCTGTCAACCGCGAAATGGTGGATAAGCTGGCCATCGAGTTTGCTTCTCTGAACTCCAAGGCGGCGAGGAGACGTCTTGTGAAGGTGAGCTGACAAGTTCGAAGAAAACATCATTCACCTCCCAGTTCATCACCTCTGTGCCGAAGAACCGCACAGACCTGCTGCCTCACTATGCGCGCTTCGTTGCTATTCTCGACAAGTACATGCCAGATGTCGGCCAGGGTATCCTTGAGAGTGTAAGTTACGGAGAATGCTTGTTATCTGACTGGCTTCCAGCTTGACGAGGAGATGCGCTACCTCCAGCGCAAGCGTACCATTCGTGAACTGGACAGCATGCGCCTGAAGGTGTGTACCGCCTTCGATTTGCACTGACAAATAGAACGTGCGCTTCTACGGCGAGCTCGCGAAGTTTAAGGTGGCACGTCCGTACGCCATTCTCCATGTCCTCAAAGTCTTCCTCGACGACTTTAGGTTCAATGTCGAGAACATTGCCAACCTCTTGGAAACTTGCGGTCGCTTCCTTCTCCGCTACGAGGGCACGGCCGAGATATCCAAGAGCATGGTGAGGTTTGGCCAGTCTCGTCATCACGCTAACCATATCAGATCGAGTTGATGAGGCGCAAGCAGAGCGCGAGCCATCTGGACCAGAGGCTCAACATTATGCTTGAGAATGCCTTCTACCAGTGCAACCCGCCGGAGCGCGTCGCCCGCGAAATCATCGAGCTCCCGCCCATGCACGCCTTCATCCAGCATCTCCTCCACGATGTGCTCATGAAGCGCACGCAGGACAAGGTGCTCAAGCTGCTGCGCAAGATTCACTGGGAGGATGAGAGTGTGAGCTCCGGGACCTTGCGCCATTAGCTGACAGACAGGACTACCAATACATCTTGACATCATTTACCGACGTCTGGGAGCTCAAGTACGAGAACATCGGCCTACTCGCCTGCCTCGTCTACGACCTCCAGCGTTACCACGTCGAGTTTGCCATCGCAGTTGTGGACCAGGTCATGGAGGACATTCGCATTGGCATGGAGGTTGGTGCCGCTTTATTCGGCGCTGACCAGCACAGGACAACATCTTCAAGTTTAACCAACGCCGCGTGGCGTCGGTCAAGTACCTGGCCGAGCTGTACATGTACCGTGTCGTCAACGCCGCTGTCATCTTTGACGTCCTTTGGTCACTCCTCTCCTTTGGGCACCGTGGGTTAAGCATCCGTTGAGGGAAACTGACAAGCAGCCGAGGGCCTTCCTGTGCCCGGACGTGACAGCCCCATCGACTCTGCTGATGACTTTTTCCGTATCCGCCTCGCCTGTGTCCTTCTTGACACTTGCGGAGTGTGCTTTGCAAAGGGCTCGCTCCGCCGCAAGCTCGATCAGTACCTTGTTGTCCTCCAGGTAAGCTAACTGCGTCTCTCGTACCCCGGCTAACAGTTCAGTTGTACGCTCTGTGCAAGTCTGAGATGCCCCTCGACGTCGAGTTTATGCTCGACGACCTCCTCGAGACGTTGCGTCCAAAGGGTCGTCCTAAGGGTGTGAAGGACGGCACCAAGGTGGCGCGCTTGCGCACCTTCCCAGAGGCCGCTGCTGCTGTGGACGAGCTTCTCGCTACCAACTTGCCTGGTGAGCGGTAGCCCCCTCGTGTTCCAGCTGACAATCAGGCATCAATGACGATGTCGACGAAGAGAGCGAGGACGATGGCGACCGGAATGCGGATGATGGAGAAGACGACGCTGAAGAGGTGGGATTGCAACCCGTACAAGTCTGACCCATCAGCCCACACCTGCCCCGATGGCACGTTTAGATGACGATGACGACGAGGAAGAGGACGACGACCTGGTGGTCATCCGCGAGCACAAGCCCGACGAGTTTGACGAGGCAGCCCAAGCCGACTTTGACCGCGAGTTTGCGCGCATGCTCGCAGACACGACTGTCGAGCGCAAGGCCGCTCCTCCTATCTTTGACCAGGCCGTCCCCGTGTTCCGCAAACGCCAGCCCAACGCTCCCGCCCCAGCGGCACCCATCGAGGCAGACGAGAACAAGATGCAGTTTATGCTGCTGTCCAAGAAGGGCAACAAGTCTCAGGTGAGTTGGCGTGTTTTACACACAACTGACAAGCAGGTCCGCTCTGTCGACATTCCGGTCGACTCGACGATTGCAAGCAATGTCCGCACCCACCAGTTGGCCAGCAAGGCCGAGCAGGAGCAGCTCAAGCGCCTTGTCCTCCAGAACGAGCAGCGTCAGGAGAACGAGGGGCTCATGGCCGTAGAGCAGTCGATGCGCAACCGCGGTATCAAAGTGCGTGTGATCAACTCGGGATAACGAATGGGGCTTCAAGCTAGGCCCAGGTCAATCCTGCCCACAGACACTCGCACCGCTGCGCAAAGCTTGTTCCTATGGTAGCTCGCCATCGATCGGCTCTCCACTTTGAGAGTCCGAGAGGTCAGCACGCCCACGGGTCGCCACACCACCCTGTGCAAGGCCATATATATATGCAGGGAGACATGCTACTTTGTTCATGGTTGAAATATTCGTACATGACTTGAGATTAATTAGAATCCAGCAGCAGCAAGGCGCTGAGCACCGCGCGGTCCAGCGAGCTTGGTGATCACGTCAACGCGGGCCTTGACCTCGTCGTCGCCAACGGTAGCCGTGGGGTTGTCCAAGTCGTGTTGGACGATGCTCTTGAGCGTGCTGTCCTGCGCCGAAGAGAGGATGACCACAAGCAACTGAACGCGCAGGCTGGTCCGCTCCTCGTCGTCGGTGCGCCACAGGAGCCCTGCAAGGTGATGCACTGCCAAGCAGTAGAGGAAAGGGTGCGTCTCCTGCCTGAGCACGCCGACAAGTGCGCGCGCCTGGCCCGTGAGCACCTGCTCGTCGGTCTCGAGTGGAGCAAAGTACACGTCCACCTTGCCGCTTTCCAGGGGCACCTCATTGTCCTTGACCCTAATGGACCGGATGGCACCGGCCTGCTCGGACCAGAAGAGACGGCGGTAGTCGACATCATAGTTCATGGCGAGGGGAGGCAGGAGGACGCGGCCAAACTGGTTGTCGCCAAACGACACAGACTCGTACAGCGCGTGCAGGTCGGTGTAGAACTGGAAGAAGGGCACACCGGGGCCGAGGAAATTGAGCGCGGCAGACTCGAGCGGGGCGTGTGGTGAGACGGGGAGGAACGTGCTCGGTCCCATCTGGCTGTCGAGGATTTGCTTGATACTGGCTGACACGGCTGTATCGCGGAAGACGTCGTTTTCGGCATTGGGCGCGTCCTGCTGTCCGTGCTCGAGCATGAAAACCTTCATGCAGTTGAGCAGCGTGAGAGAGCGTGGCACAGTCGACGAGGTGACACTAGCGTCCACGAGGCCGAGGGCAAGCGTCGCACGCGTGAGCTGCGTCTCGGTCGCGTCCCAGTCTGCCGGGGCGAGGGAGAAGGCCGGGCTCGAGCCAGACTGGAGGAGCTCGTCGAGTGGGGAGAAGACCCAGTCTGGAGCGAGCGGGAGGCCGGGTCCAGCCTCGGTAGGGGCATGCAGTGGGCGGAGGGTGCCGCTCGCCTTGAGGTAGAGGTGTGATGGGCGAGTGGGAGCCAGCACGCCCTCGAGGTCTGGGAGAATGGAGTGGTGCAAGAGCGGACGGAGGATCTGGAGCCCGTCCTTGTGGTCAATACCGGCAATAGCCTCAGAACCCTTGACGCTGGCAGCGACCCAGTCGGCGCGCAAGACGTCGTCGACGAGCTGGAGTGCCAGCGGCTCATCGCCCTGCGTACAGCTGATGATAGTGTCGAACACTGACGTGGCCCACTTGGGCACGTCAAGGACATTGTCGAGGCGCGCAGTCTCGAGGAACGCGCACCGGAGGTTGACATCTTTCGTCTGGGTCGTGGCGGCAAACCACCACAGGTACCGCTCACGCTCGGGGTACTCGAGGAGGGCCATGCCGGAGACTCGGAAGAGGTTGTGCAGGCGGAAGATCTGGGTGAGAAACTCGTTGAAGGAGACACGGCCTTCGTCGTGCTTGGGGGTGAGATGGACGTGGCCTGGGAGGCTGCCGATAATGTCCATCTTGGTGAGGGCGTCCAAGACGTAGCGCTTCTCCTCTTCACCGTGGCGCACGCCGTTGATATCCACGCCGACGACGTACTCGACCAGCGCGGACAAGACGGACGCGAGCTCGCCCCACCTTTCTGTGGCCAGAAGGGTCTGGGTAGCGGTGAGCTCTTCGTCGACCCACTGGAGAGCCGACGCCTGTGCCCAAGTAAAGTCGTGCTCGGGGGTGGTGCGGTGCGGGTCGACAGCACACACCGTCCAGACGCGAAGCAGGTCAAAGTATGCCGAGACGATGGGAGCCGAGTTGGGCGTCGGGTTGGCCAGCTGCTCCGTCACCCACTTGCCGAGGTGCTGCCAAATCTCACGCGTGGCAGTCGCGATCGAGGCCGAGAGGCCGTACCGGCCCAGAGTGTAAAAGATGCGAAGCACCTCGAGGACAATCGCACGGCCCTGAGCATCGTCTGGGATGTCAGATGCGACAAACTTGAGGAGTGGTTCGTAGACGCTCGTGGTGACGAGGGCCTCGGCAGCGACCCGGGACGAGGCCGTGACGTCGTGGAGGAGACGGAGAGCGAGGCTGTTGGGAGGACGGGCAGGGTCGAGTGGCCAAGCCGCACGCAGAACATGTGCCTTGACGACGGTGGGGACGAGTGTAGCCACAGTCTCGGCTCCAGTGGGCGAGTTGAGAGCGCCACGCTGGAGGACGCGGAGAAGCTGCTCGAGGGTTGCTGGCGGCAAGTCACCGGCATCAAGACCGAGCGTCTCCTTGAGGCGAGGAGCAATATCGTCGTAGGGCACGGCCGCCACACCGGTCGGCTCACCGTCCTTCATGGGCTCGGGGCGGAAGGGCACAGCGTGGGCGTCCTCGGGGTCCATCCATGCCCACTCGTAGCCGCCAAGGGCGTTGAACAGGAGATCAACAGCGGCTACGAGGACGCCGACACTGCGGGTGTGCGATCCAAGCACCGACGAGCCCACTTCGATGCCCTTGGCCATAGTGTCGTCCTCGCGGCACGACACCACCCACGGCTCCTGGCTCTTTGCCTCATCGGCAGCACGGGCGCGCACAATGAGCTTTGAGAGCACACCCATCATGGTGATGCGCTGCGAGGCGACAGTCGAGTAGCACAGGTGGACAATCTCGGTCGTCGTGTATCCGGCGAGGTCAGGCTGGTCGCCGTGGTGGTGCAGACCGAGGTGGGTGGGTAGGGCCGCCGCAGCTTCAGCGGTGAGCACAGTGCCACTGAGGTCAAATCGAGGAGCGTTGGGGTCAGACGATGACGATGCACCCGTCGGGTTGGCGCTCGCGTTCATCCATTCCAGCTTGGCCTCGTCGGGGGGCGCATGGGGAAAGTACTTCTGGCGCAGCTCGTTGGGTGTAAGATCGTCGTCCTGGAAACGAACGGATCGCCGACGCTGCTTGATGTGGGGCTCTGGCTCAGACTCGGATTGAGAAGAGTGCGGTAACGAGTGCTGCAGTTCCGACGACGAGGTGCTTGCCACAGCGGCTGGCGTGATGGGCGACGCGGTTTCGGCTGAGGGAGCGCCATGCGTCATCTGGAGACGTCCGGCAGCACGGGCGCGCAGCCTGGCAAGCAGAGCCGGGTCAAAGCGGTCCTGGAGGTCTTGGACTTCTTCAGCGACGTCCGCAGCGCTCATGTGTTGCAGCTTCTCGCGATTCGCGGCATCGACGTCAGCCCGCAGCTTATCGGTCTCGGAGGGCGCAGCGATGCGAGCGGGTCCAACATCGGAGAGGGAGGCGCGGCGCTTGTTCAAGAGGTCCAAAGAGTCAAGACCGTGGTGCTGCTGCTTGAGCTCGGCGGCCTCTGAGTTGAGCTCCTTGTCAGTCATGCTGGCGAACCGAGCGGCAGCCTCGACGCCTGCGCGTTGGGACGCGTCTGCGACGGCCATGACTTGAGGGACAGTGTCGACTAGGCGGCCCTCGCCAGTGGCAAGGCCACCAGAGGCACGGGTAGCATCGTCCTTGCGAGAGCGCGCAAATGCTGAGGTGGGGGCAGGACGCGTCGAGCGATGCCCCGCGAGAGGGAACCCATGTTTGGATGTCCCCGCGACTGGTGGCCGGGGAGGGAGAGGAGTGCTCTTAGGCTCGCTCGGGTTGGCGGTTGGGCGTTCGACAATGTCGCGGACAATCATGGCTCTACTGTAGATGTGGTATGTCCAAACTGCAGCAGTAGAAAGGCGAATGGTTTGCGGTGGGGTGATGGAAGATGGTGACAGAAGGTGTGGAGACGCAGGTCAACTTTTGGGTAGGTGCAGCTCGGAATGTGCACGCCAGGTCCCACTGGATGACGTTGGGCGCGACTGGCAGTGTTTAGGTAAATCATTTGCAACGTATAGCCCAGTTGTGGCCAGTTGCGGACAGAACAGAGTGGAAGGGGCAGAGGTGCATGGTTACAAGAGTAGTATACAAAATGGTACATAATACACTGGCTACCGCGGAGTCTTACCCGTCCTGCACGCGGTCAAACAGTCCGCCTGCACCTGCAACCTAAACCCCAGGCCCGCGACGAAGGTACAACGGGTGACCCAGAGCCGGGATGCAGGACGCAAGAGACGACGTGCCGGAAGGTCAGCTTGTCGACCTGGTGGTAGCAAGAGCGCCATGAACGTGACCTGCACCTCATTGCGCTTCTCGCCACAAAGCCTTTCAGTGCCACATGGATGAGGGGACGGTTAATGGATGACAACCGAGGTATCTTCAACCGGTTCTGGACATGTTACAGCTGCATTCTAGTGATAGTATACTGTTTAAAGTCAGCTTTACGTTCCAGATAAAAAACCAAAACTAAAAGAGGATAGGTGTAGATCAGACATGCGAAATTAACGCCTCCAGCCTCACAACCATTGGCAGTCCGAGGACCACCGCTGGCAAACGTGAGGCTGTCGTACTGACGTGCAAAAGTCGTGCGTTTCGTCCCGAGAGAATATTGTGAAAGAGGAGGGGAGGGCGAGGTACCGAGAGCGCGACTTACGTGTCTATGGTGGTTTCCCGAGGCGAGGGAGTAGAGGGGGTGGGTGCACAGAAAGGGACGTTGTCAACACACCCAACTTTTATCGCACAGGCCAGTGCGAGGGCTCAAAGCCATATCCAGAGTGCCACACGGCCGGCGGAAGGCGATAACGCCGTTGGGCGATGACGGGTGGGCGCTTCTGTGGGTGGCGCGCGGGTGACGGAAGGTTTTCAGGGGACGGGAGCATAATTCTTCCATCTTTGCAGCCGCCGCTTGGCGGGGCTTGAGGGGAGGACTGGCGCCTAGCAGGCCAGGCGGTGTGACCTACATAGGGCCTGGCTCCATCAGCGCCCTTCTAACAGCTCGTTCCCCCCTATCCTCCTCTCATCTCTCATCTCTCTCTCCCCCCCCACTCCTTCTCTCCAACCCCGCAGAGAACACGTCTCACAGCAGACGACTATAACACTTTCATTCAGAACCCCTCTTTAACAACAAAACAACTCAAAATGGTGGGTATCCCCCCTGCAGCCCGGGCTTGGCGCACTTGTCGCCACCCGCGCGCAATTCTTCACAAGAGGGTCTCGTGCTGACATATTTTCTTCAGTCCGGCGGTTACGGCGGCGGTTACGGTGGCGGCGGCGGCGGCTACGGCGGTGGTGGTGGTGGCTACGGCGGCGGCGGTGGTGGTTACGGCGGTGGTGGTGGTGGTTACGGTGGTGGTGGTGGCTTTGGCGGTACGTATCACTCAAAGGTCGAGAAGGAGATCACCTGCTTCCTAGCGAGTGATCTTGTTCTCGACCTTCCTGTCATGAGGATCATGACTAACCCAATGCGTAGGCGGTGGCTACGGCGGCGGCTTTGGTGGTGAATACTCGCGCTCGCAATACAGCAGCGGTGGCGGAGGCTATGGCGGCTTCTCAGGCCAGTTCTTGTGACAAGACTGCGTCCTGGCCGGATGGATTATGCTGACTCTTTTCACAGGTGGTGGTGACCGCATGAACAACCTCGGTGCCGGTCTCCGCAACATCGACTGGAACACTACCGAGCTCGCCAAGTTCGAGAAGAACTTCTACATCGAGGACAAGCGCGTTACCGCCCGCTCCGACGAGGAGATCAACGAGTTCCGCAAGGAGAAGGACATGCGCATCCAGGGCAACAACGTCCCCCGCCCCATCACCACGTTCGACGAGGCTGGCTTCCCCGAGTACATCATGTCCGAGATCCGCGCCATGGGCTTCGAGGCCCCTTCGCCAATCCAGTGCCAGTCGTGGCCCATGGCCCTCTCGGGTCGTGACGTTGTCGCCATTGCCGAGACCGGTTCGGGAAAGACCATCTCGTTCGCCCTCCCCGCCATGGTCCACATCAACGCCCAGCCCCTCCTCTCGCCCGGTGACGGCCCCATTGTCCTCATCCTCGCCCCCACCCGTGAGCTCGCCGTCCAGATCCAGGCCGAGTGCACCAAGTTCGGCAAGTCGTCGCGCATCCGCAACACTGCCGTCTACGGTGGTGCCCCCAAGGGCGCCCAGATCCGCGACCTCCAGCGCGGTTGCGAGATTGTCGTTGCCACTCCCGGTCGTCTCATCGACATGATCGAGTCTGGCAAGACCAACCTCAAGCGTGTCACCTACCTCGTCATGGACGAGGCCGACCGCATGCTTGACATGGGTTTCGAGCCCCAGATCCGCAAGATTGTCTCGCAGATCCGCCCCGACCGTCAGACCCTCCTCTTCTCGGCCACCTGGCCCAAGGACGTCCAGCGTCTCGCCATGGACTTCCTCGACGACTTCTTCCAGGTCAACATTGGTTCGATGGACCTTACCGCCAACCACAATGTTACCCAGATCGTCACCGTCTGTACCGACTACGACAAGCGCGGTATGCTCCTCAAGCACCTTGACCAGATCTCGCGTGAGAACGCCAAGGTCCTCATCTTCGTCGGCACCAAGCGTGTCGCCGACGACCTCACCAAGTTCCTCCGCCAGGACGGTTGGCCCGCCCTCGCCATTCACGGCGACAAGCAGCAGGCCGAGCGTGACTGGGTCCTCGCCGAGTTCAAGTCGGGCCGCAGCCCCATTATGCTTGCCACCGATGTCGCTTCGCGTGGTCTTGGTAGGTTCCATTCCCTTTTACTCACCCTTTTGCACAGGCGTTGGCTCTCGAAATTGAAGCGGATCAAGAAAACATCTCTGAGATGGCGCGCAACCTGTCCCTTTCGCGGCGTGATCTCCGACGGCCTCGGCTGACCCCCGGTGCAAGGATGACAATTGTCCTTTGCTACCGCGAGCGTCACACTCTTTCATTCACCTTGTTTGTGTTTTGAGGGCCGTCAACAATTTGCGAGATCACACCTCAAGTCCGCCGGGATGGAGCGCAGCTCGCCTGTGGCGCAGCGACTCCCGAGTCTTTCCACGTCGGTCTGTTTCCTGCAGGCCTTCTGACTCTACTGTCGCAGCAATAAAGCCTCGTTCTTCTCGTTTTGGTTTCCCCTGCTTCCTCGACAGAGCCCTCGCGTGCAAGACCCCAACCCGTGAGACCAATTTGTTAACCACTGCGCTTTTTTTTCCCCCGACTTTATTTGAATCTGCTCACTACCATGTGACTTGTTCTTCTAACAGATGTCAAGGACATCAGGTGAGTGGCGAAAGCACGAATCTATGTTCTCCGTCAGCTAACATTGCCCAGCTACGTTATCAACTACGACTTCTCTAACAACTGCGAGGACTACATCCACCGTATCGGCCGTACCGGTCGTGCCGGTCGCAAGGGTACCTCGTACACCTACTTCACCACCGAGAACTCGAAGCAGGCCCGCGAGCTCGTCGGCATTCTCCGCGAGTCCAAGTCCGAGGTCCCCCGCGAGCTCGAGGAGGTGAGTTTCACGTGTCCCTTGTCTTCGACTTTGAAACAAAGACTGACTTGTTCACAGATGGGCAGCTACGGCGGACGTGGCGGCGGCGGCGGCCGCTTTGGAGGTGGTAGGGGCAGGGGCGGTTTCCGAGGCGGCAACCGTGGTGGTCCCTCGGGAGCCAACGGTTGGTCGGGTGGCAGCAACCGTTGGTAATCCGCTGGTGATACCTTCCTCGCCGCGTTACTTACCTCCCCCCAACGTCCAACTCGTTGGTCCGTTGCTTCCACTAACAACCTGCGCATACCCTGCGCCATTATAGACGTGTGATGTATTATACACTTTAACAAGCTGCCGTTGCACGAGAAAAAGCACCAGAAGCAGGTGCTCGGAGGATTTACTGAATTAGTGGGGGTGTGGCACAATAAACCCCCAAAAAGGAAGGCAAGTTGTCGCGACATACCTGCATCACGACACCTGTACCACGTCATCTGTACCATGACATCGGCATGCACCCTCGACGACGACGACGACGACGATGACGACGAGCAACAGGCCAACAGGTGTAGACAGTGGGCGAGTAGTGCTCGTATGTTTGGTAGGTGACGGAACCAAAAGCGGAAGCAGAAATGGCCAACATAACGGTCACGTGACCAGAAGAAACGCACTATCGACGACGGCTCCCGTGAACAGACGCAGTACCCCCCTCAATGTTGTGTTTTCTCCTCCTAGCTCCTAGGATCCTAAGGGCACTGCAAAAAAGACGCCCCGCGGATGGTACCGTGTTCTGAGTAACTTTGCCATCCCCTTGTCAATCATGTGTGATGGAATGCGTTCTCCCTTCTATGCGGTCTGTCTCTGTACATCGTTCGGAGCGGTCACTATGAATCCCCGTCCCCACTTTCACTTGCCCAAAAGTCTGTGAGGCCACAATCCGTGTCCAACCGCCACGCCACCGTCAATGTCCTCAAACTTGGTGTCACCTAGCTCGGTAATGCCAAGTGAGACTCCGGCTCAGACTGTGGTTCATACTATAAAAGATCCAAATCCGTATCCGTCGGCGTCGTTCCCGCTGATATGCCTCTTGGCTGAGAATGCGCTTCCAGGCGTAGCTTGTTGCGTAATAGTCCTGCGCGGCAATGTCGTTATGGGGGATTGAATTCCTTACGGAGAGCAGTAAACGGCTCCCACGTGAGGTCCTCGTAGTTGAGCGATGGCACATCCGGGATCCGGGAGCCCCTCGGGTACATGGTCGCGGATGGTGCTGGAGGACGTGCCGTGAAGAGCAGGAGAAAGTTGGGGAGATGAAGGGGCAGAAGACAATGGTGAAGACCAGGGCGAATCGGGCCCCCAGGTGCCAGGGGGAGGTGGACGTGTTGTCTGGAACGTTACGTTGGAGAACGGCGTGGACAACGTCGATCTGTGTACTGTGTGCGTGCGATGGCCAATCCACCGTCGGCGAGAGAGACGGAATTGAAGTGCTGGTGCTCGTGAACGTGGGTCATCCAGAGGGGAAGGTGATGGTCGGCGGAGCTTGCCGCGCGCAGCATGGCGGCGGGGTAAACGTCGACGCCGTGTACGCAACGTCAGCGGCATATCGGCAAACAGCACGTCACGCGATAGAAAAGACAGGAGATCCAGAGGACTCAGAGGGAAGGTCGTCGACGCGAGGAAGGTACCGAAGGAAGCCAGTCTGTATAGAGGAGAGAACATATGCCGGGAAGATCGAAAACGGCATATGCGCTGGAGTGGATCACTCACCAAAATGGACAGAACACGTTTGCGGTTGATCTATGAGCCGCGGCGTACCCGTTTGCGTAAGCTGTTCTCTTGCTAGATTTGGGTCGCTGGGTAGTCAGGACAGCGACTCGCTTGGTCGCTTGACTGGTTGGTGGTCGTCACCTCGCCACTTGTCATAGAAAACACACGCGACTGGTGCCTTGTTGGCGCTCGGCGCATGTCGGGCATGACGCAGCCGCCTTGTCACTCTGCTTCTACATTCACTTCCTCATTCCACCCATCTTCTACTGATATCGCTCTGAATGGACTACCGTCCTCCACCACCCACCTACGTGACGCAACAGTTGCCGCCGCCACCGCCGGGCGAGTTGGGACTTGTGAGTCAATATGTTGCATGGGGGCCCCTGGCTAGCATTTCACCTGTGGGGCCTGTGGCCAGTGGGCAATGCCAAACCAACACTTCGTACGCGCACTGACGCTACGCTACAGCCGTACCCTCCAACAGTCTCGCAACACTACTACGCCCCTGAGGGATCACAGGACATGCAAGTCCGTGAAGGCGGCGAATACGTCCAGCGCAAAAGTCGCAAGTGCCTATGTTGCAACTGCTGCGAACAGCGCTCGCCTGGAGTGTACACCTGCTGCGTGTCGTGCTAGCGGCAGCGGCGGTGCGATATAGAAACCCATGTTGTACATGTCAATATGTATGAAAACAGCTACAAACGAACCCATCACTCTCCCTTCTCGCGTATCGCCTCTACGACCCTCTCGATTCCCTCGGCGGTGACATCCACAAACTCGCCCTCTGGCACCTGGCCAGCCTTGAGAGTTTCGACAAAGGCCCTCAGAGCGTCAAAGTACACGACCTGCTGTTCGAGCTTGGTCCGTTCCAAGCCGGACGTATTGGGCACGACCCAAAAGTAGACGTAGCCTTCGGGACCCGAGACCGCCAGGCGGAGAGGTTGCGGCGCGTCAAAGATAAATGGCGGGGCCTTGGGTTTCGGCTTGGGTGTGCTCTTGCCCTTGGCCTTGGCCTTGCCGCGCTTGGGTGCTGCGGGTGCTTCTCCTGGCTCAATCTTGACCAGTGCGTCCTCATCTTGCTCGCGTGACACCGCCCCGCCGCTGTCAAGAGTGTATTCGACGACGCGAGCCAACTGGGGGGAGGGCGAGGGCTCGTTCTTGGCTGACACTTTTGGGATGGACCGCTTGGCGACGCCCGCAAACACGTCCCAGATCATCTTGCCGACAAAACAGACAACACGGGGACGGTTGAGCGCCATCTTGGTCGCCAGCGGGGCCACGGCGACGCGTTTCTCGTGGCCAGACAGTTCGGCTTGCTGTGCATGTTCAGCTAGAAAGTCAGGTTTACTCAGCTTACCTCTGCAGTCGTCCTCGACACCAGGTTTGTCATGCCATAGTTGTACTCGTCCGGCAAGGTCACGTCCTCCTCGGGCGTCAACAGCCTCGGGGTCAACCCGCCCCCATGCAGTGCTTTCCAAAACTTGTTGGTCGGGTGCGCAAAGAAGTGGCCCGTCTTGCTACTCCTCGTTCCCGGGTTGATGCCCACAAACACAATGTCGAGGCCAGGCCGCAGGGCGTCGGACAGAGCGGGCAGGTGTGCGTATCGCGACGGTGAAGCGAAGCGGCGCGGCTTCTTCCAACCAAAGTCTTCCAGCGAGCCATCGTCGCGCCGCCTGCGCGAGCGCGTGGGTGTCGAGGGTGTCTCGGGATCGTCATCCATGCGGACTTCGCCGGTCCTGCTGAAGTAGGGCGACTGGCGGGTGGGAGTGTCCGAGTCGGAGGGCGCAAAGTCGCTCGCATCGGAGTCGCGTAGCCGTTTTTGCTGCGAGTTGCGCGCCGAGCGACGAGCAGGTGGAGGATCAGGCGTCTCTTCGTCCTCTAAAGGCTCCATCTTGACATCCACATCGCCCGTGCTGGCTCTGGCACTCGCCAGCGCGTTTTGAAGTCGCCTGGCCGAGGTCGACGGCCCACTTTCCGGAACGCCGCGCTGCGCCCCGCGTGCTGGCGACGGCTCACTTTTCACTTTGGCGGGCGAGTACGCATACTGCGCAAGCTGAGCAGCGATGCTGCTAGCTCCTGCCATGGCGGATGGAAGTGTGGGCGAGAAAAGTTGGAATAGTGGGTTGAGGTGCAAACGAGGGATGTTTTGGTGGATCGTGCGGGTGGAGGTGCCCCGTCGACTTGCTTTCATTGTGGCGACGGAAGCGAGCGACTACAGTCATCTTGGGACTGGCCGGACTGGGGCGGTGTTGGTCAGTTCGACTCATCTTTGTGCGGAAGGAGGATGCCTGGAGCCACGAGATGATCCTTTGCAGTTCCACTCTTGCAACTCTTGCCACCTGGGTGGTTGTCACCTTTGGATAAAGGAAGGTATGGGTCACAGCCAATATGGTATAGGTGAGACAGGGTCAAAGTAAGCCGAAACAAGCACGACGTCGCGCCGTGAGAACCGTCTGCTAGCTGCTATCTCGAATGATCCTCCATCTCAGATTCCAGCAGCGCCTCAGCTCCACCAGTCAATCAGAGCGCAGACAAGGTCAGCCATCCACCCTTCTCGATAAACAGCAGCGATAGTCATGAAACAAGGTGCCAGACGCGAGCGGTCTGCGGGAATTTGCTTAATCTAGTCGCCCGATAAGAGATACGTGATGGCCTCGGTCCCATGCACGAGTAAAGCCGGCTCGACTGTGCTGGCGTGTGATCGTGAGAACTATTCCGGGCCGCGGTGACGGCGAGGCGTTGGCGCGTTCGCCACCGGAACAGGCGATGGTGGCGAGAACATGAGCTTGTCAGGACTCTGGTACTCGGGGGGCGGTCGGTCTGACAAAATGTAGACTACGTCGTCGTCCCTCACTGCCGACTGCCGCCTTGTCCTCTTTGTTACGCGACTGACGTGTCCGTACTACGCCCCAGTGATCCGGTGACGAACGCCCCACACTGACACACAAATGGGTTTGGTGCTCGTAGGCGGGCGTGACGTTTTTGCGAGCAACCGACTGTCCAGATCCGTACCAGTAAACGCTCCACAGACACCGTCGGGGACAACATTCGGCGCCAGACTGAAGGAATGACATAGGAAAGAAGATCATCTACAACCTTTGGGTCTATCGAAGGTTGTCGGCGCGCGTATAGGGTGCGGTAGGTTACACTGATCGCATGTGCGCCGGCGCCGGGGACGTGTATAAATTATGGGCCATGGAGCAGCAATCTGGACGTTTTCGAAGCTTCAAAGTAAGGATGGAAGTTCTCGTCACGAAAGAGGTCCGCTGAGGGGTCTTAGAACAGGCAGTCGACACAGAGGCATGCAGCGCAGAGACCGGCTGGCAAATGTTAGCTATGGCGGAAAGTAGGTGGGCGGCGGCTGGCCGCGGCTGGTGGACAATGACGCGGCCGACGTGGCTGTGCAGCTTGTTCTACGGCCGCGGTCCAGCCCACACAAATGTTACTCACCGAGACAGCCGAGACCTGCTCCAGCACCACCAGCACCACTGCTCTGGGGCTGCTGCTGGACGTAGATGGGCTGCTGCTGCTGCTGGCCGTACTGCATCTGGGGCTGCTGGCTGTGACTGTTAGCTTCTAGAAGCACAGACGGGGGATGGGGGTTCCGTGCCGCGGAAGCATCATAGCCGGAATCTCTTGGAGAAAGCTGTAGCGTTCCCAAGGTGGGAGGCGCTGAGAACCAAACAAGTTCCAGCAAAGCAATAATCGACACTGAGTGCAAAGACGCTGTACGAGAGCATGGTGCTCGTGCGCGCGATGCCAAGACTTTTCCCGCAGTTCCGCAGCTGTCCTAAGCCACTTACCCGTACTGAGGCTGCTGCTGGTAACCCTGGGGCATCTGAAGAGTCAGTACAACGTCACGCGCGCGCGATTCGTTCTCCCACTCACGTGCTGCACTGGGTACCACTTGCCGTCGCTGGCTTGGTACATGTTCTGGTTGGACTGCGTTGTTAGCGTTTGCTGTTGACGGCAAGGAGGGCGGAGGGCGGCGAAGGGGGCGGGTTGAGAGCCCCCCGGCGCGGGGGAGGGGGAGGGGGAGAGGCCGATCAGAGTTACATCCGCGGCAACTCGTGCGAGTCGTGCACTGCGTGATCTGCGGGACATTCGTCTTGATCTCCTCGATGCCGGGTACGCACCATGCTGTTGTGAGTTGCTGTTGTAAAGTTGGGTGAAGAAGAGTGCGATGCTGGAGAAAGGGTGTCAGGTGGCGAGATGTTACGTCGGAGGCTGAATGCTGAATGGTTGCGTGCACATTTAAGTCCGCGGCGACGAGTGCAACGTCAACAGGCGGTGCACAGCCCTAATTAACATATTGAATGAGCCGCTCATTAGAAAATTGGCTAATGGCTGCGTATTTTAAAGGACACAGTGGACGCATTCGTCAGTGCCACGTGTATTTGATACCGGGTGGCGCGGGTGGCATATCTGGCATCTTCTCGGTGGTAAGGCGGCGAGGGCCACTAAGCTCGTTCCCTCTGTCCTGACATTGTTGAGCTGGTGGCAAGCCTCGGTCAAGTACGTCAAGTCCAAGGTGGGTGTCCGCACCATGGGTTAATGCCTGGGGCGGTTCTCGATTCTAAATTGAGCCCCCGAGTTTGCTGTTGGGGGATAGGGCTGCGCTCGGCTGCGGCATTGGTGAGGAGGCTACGTGGTTGGTCGTCAGTGACGCGGCTTGCTTGAGAGAAGGGCCGATAATGTGATGTGGTCTATTGTCAAACAAACGTCGAGTGGACATCAGGTGTAAACCAAGTCGCATGTCAAAGCCAGTGCGGTGATCTGCAGATCTCCTTGTTAGCTGAACTGATATCTCCCTGAGCTCCGCTCAGTCTCCAGTCTGCCTGCTGGGGTATCACATTGTGTGGGCTTCCCGCATGCTTATCAGGTTGGGTGTGCCAGACCGCCGCCACCGTGGGCATCCATGGGTGCCTTGGAACTGCCTTGGGTCAAGCCTGCAGAGACCTCATGGACCACAAAGTGCCACTGATGGCTGCGTTGCGCACCGCCTGGGCAACGTCAACCGATGGCGCCCAGGGTACTCGAAGCCATGACACCTGGCTCCCCTACACGCAGCCCCAGAACCCCGTCTGCTACCGATCCCCCGCGATGCTGGCCCCGTGCTGCCCCGGGCCCGCAGCTAGACGCATTGCAATGTTCGGGTCATGTCGCGTGTGTGCGCATGGTAGATAACCGGATGGCACCAACGGAGATGACCATGCCCCTGCGGCTGCTGCAGTGGACGCAACCATGAGATGGAACAGACTCCCCCGGCTGATGCTTTATTCCTGTGGCCACCGAACTTTTTTTTTTTTCACACCTCCGAATCAATTTCCACGAGAGGCTGACCCTTCGGGCGCCCGATACCACTCGGTGGGCGCCAAGTTGCCCTTTGCCTTGCCGCTGCCTTCTGCCAACCACAGCCAGAAGCATGAGCTGCCGCCGTTGCCGCTGTTCCTGCAGGTATGCCCCCCGGAGCCCCCGCCTGGCCACATCAACTGCCGCAAAGGTCGCTGCGCGCAGGGAAACGAGTCTCTGTGACGTGCTATTGGGTCTGGCCCCAGCAATATCTCTCTGCTTCTTAACCGGAGTGCCGAAGCACGCACATCGGGGGAAAGGGGGGCCGTCACCCCGAGAGAGCCAAACTGACAGCTGCGACGTGTTTGCTGTTGCTCAAACCATGTGGGTGTGCTTGCTGCCACATTGGCAAATCCCTGCCCCCCCGGTCGGGTCTCCGTGGATCCAGATCCACAGTCATATAATCCCCCCCGTCCCACTTGTCCGTGTGCGTGCGGGGGAGGTGAGCACAGGAGCGTCCCACAGGCCACAGGGGACTGCGATCTGAGAATGGGCAACAACAGTGACTACCCGCGTCGCATACGGCGCCCCGCTCGGCGCGACGTGAGGCAGCCGTCGCGTTGACGATGTGGATGTCGACGACCATGACCCGGCCGGTTAGGTCACCATCGCGGACCGGCGTAGGATCACGCCGAAAGCCGGACGGGCCGTCCATCAGGCGATGGGCGTCCGTCAAGGACATATGGGTGTGTGTGTTCTGTTGACGGCGGAAAGACCGCGACAGGAGCGGCCACGCCGGGAAACCTGATCTCAGGTGAAGAGCAGGCTGGGGTTTGGGTTCTAGTCGAGTCCAATTGCCAGTCCCGCGTATGGCACCCAGCGGACAACCGGGCCGGCCGCCGTTTGGGTCATGCCAGGCCATTACGATGTATATACTGCTGCTCCTCGGGAATAGTCGGCACACCTCATGGTGGTTGCAGGCTATGCATGGTGTTGTCACAAGCTGCTGCTATAAAGAGGTTGCAACAAGACGCCGCAGGTGAACTGGTCCAAGAAAGCACATCTAACAGAAACGCCGTCGCTGCCAGTCCGTCCGCGGAGAGAGAGACCTTTTTTGCTGTTATCCTCCCTTTACGAGAGAGACCCTACCGCAATCTTCCAATCCGACTGCTCCTCTAGTGCACCGAGCCGCGTCTGCCGCCCGTGCTGCTTCCTGGCCGCCAAAACACGCACACCCACCCACCCCCCCGTTGCGCCGAAGCTCCGTGTTTCCCAAAGAGCTCCCATTGTACGAGTCGGCGGATTATCAGAGGCCCCTGTATCTCTCGACCCGGCGCGCCTGCGATTGGACAGCCAACCCCCACAGCCAAGCCCTCCGCCTGCCCAACCCTGCACAACCCGCCGCCGGCACAGGAGGTCCCAAGTGACCCCCCCGTTCCCCCGTTCCCCCCGCGGCCTACATCCACATCTCTTCACATCTTTCTTCCTCCCATCCCATCTCTCTCCCATCCACCCACTCCTCCTCCGTAGTCCACACATCTACCTCTGGCACACAGAGCTAGTCTCGTGCTCCACCGCGTATCCCGCTGGCACTGCCTCCTTCTTGTCCCGGACGCCACTCCTGTCCCCAGGATCGAGACATCGGCTCCCACCACCCACAAGATAGCCGCAAGCACTTGCCTGCCCCCCCATCTCACCTTCTTCTTCTCCTTCCCCCCCACTAGACAACAAGCTCCATAACACTCACAATGGCGTCTGAGGCTACTACCGCTCCCGTAAGTGCATCCTCTATATTGCAGCGCCCTTTCGCACATGCGTGGCTAGAGAATGAAGCGGCGGCGGCCACCGCTCTGGGCCCTGGCTCGCCGCCTGCGCGGTCATCGGCCACGGTCAGTCCGGTCCGTACAGCCTGCCCCCGGATCTCGCCTGTCGTCTCCGACGAACAGAAGGACAGCTAGGCGCCAGTGGGGCGTCTCTAAACGAGATTACCTGCCCATATCCCCACCCTCCCCACACTTTATAAGCGCGGACAAGAGTTGCAGTGCTGACATGTCGTTGCGCTTTTGCCTCGTCACCAACTATTCCCCATTCGTTATCGTCTGCAATGTCAATGGACCCACGCCACGTACAACGTCCTCGCGCGGCATCCACCCATCAGCTTGACGCGTGGGCTCAGCACCTTGGCCTCGACAAGTCGGTGCCCGGCACCCCCGGCACTCCTGGCACGCCGCTCCAGACGTGAGTATTCGCTATCGGAAGCAGCTCCGACGTCACTCCCGACGTCATGGGGACGATGTCCGATATCGGGGCCTCCGCATGGCGTGTCCGCAAAAGCTGACCATTTCACCAGCGTCGACAGGCTTCGCAAGCAGCAGGCTGGCCACAGCGGCCCTCTCAAGAAGGTCCTTGTCGCCAACCGTGGTGAGATTGCCATCCGTGTCTTCCGTACTGCGCACGAGCTCGCCATGTCGACCGTGGCCATCTACTCGCACGAGGACCGCATGAACGCGCACCGTTACAAGTCCGACGAGTCCTACCTTGTTGGCAAGGGCATGTCGCCCGTCGGTGCCTACCTCGCCCAGGACGACATTATCCGCATTGCCCTCGAGCACGGCGTCGACATGATCCACCCCGGGTGAGTCGCGAAGCGATGGGGAGATGCTGCGCCCAGACCCAAAAGGCAAAAGGGGGCGCACACTTACCATCTGTTTCATCTGTGGCTTCTGGCTTACACGTACCACAGTTACGGATTCCTTTCCGAGAACGCCGACTTTGCCCGCAAGGTCGAGGAGGCCGGTATCGCCTTTATCGGTCCCCGTCCCGAGACCATTGACGCTCTCGGCGACAAGACCAAGGCCCGTGACGTTGCCATCAAGACTGGCGTCCCCGTCGTCCCCGGTACCCCCGGTCCCGTCGAGTCGTACGACCTCGCCGAGGGCTTCATCAAGGAGTACGGCTTCCCCGTTATCATCAAGGCTGCCATGGGTGGTGGTGGTCGTGGTATGCGTGTCGTTCGCGAGCAGTCCGAGTTCAAGGAGTCCTTTGAGCGTGCCGTTTCCGAGGCCAAGTCGGCCTTTGGCGACGGTACCGTCTTCATCGAGCGCTTCCTCGACAAGCCCCGCCACATTGAGGTCCAGCTCCTCGCCGACTCGCAGGGCAACTGTGTCCACCTCTTCGAGCGTGACTGCTCGGTCCAGCGTCGTCACCAGAAGGTTGTCGAGGTCGCCCCTGCCCCCCACCTCGACGAGTCGGTTCGCCAGGGTATCCTCAACGATGCCCTCAAGCTTGCCCACGCCGTCGGCTACCGCAACGCTGGTACCGCCGAGTTCCTCGTCGACCAGCAGAACCGCCACTACTTCATCGAGATCAACCCTCGTATCCAGGTCGAGCACACCATCACCGAGGAGATTACCGGCATCGACATTGTCGCTGCCCAGATCCAGATTGCCGCTGGTGTCACCCTCGAGCAGCTCGGTCTCACCCAGGAGCACATCCACCGCCGTGGTTTCGCCATCCAGTGCCGTATCACCACCGAGGACCCCGCTGCCAGCTTCCAGCCCGACACCGGTAAGATCGAGGTCTACCGTTCGGCCGGTGGTAACGGTGTTCGTCTCGACGCATCGTCGGGTTACGCCGGTGCGCAGATCACCCCCCACTACGACTCGCTCCTCGTCAAGTGCTCCGTCTCGGGTGCCACTTACGAGGTCGCTCGCCGCAAGATGCTCCGTGCTCTTATCGAGTTCCGTATCCGTGGTGTCAAGACCAACATTCCCTTCCTGATCCGTCTTCTTACCCACCCCGTCTTCGAGTCGGGTAAGACCTGGACCACCTTCATCGACGACACCCCCGAGCTCTTCAAGCTCGTCCAGTCGCAGAACCGTGCCCAGAAGCTGCTCGCCTACCTTGGTGACGTCGCCGTCAACGGTTCGTCGATTGCTGGTCAGTCGGGTGAGCCCGGCCTCAAGACCGAGGCTCTTATCCCTACCATCACCGACAAGGACGGCAAGGTTGTCGACACTTCGGTGCCCCAGCTCACCGGTTGGCGCAACATTATCGTCAACGAGGGCCCCGAGGCCTTCGCCAAGGCTATCCGCGCCTACCCTGGTACCCTCATCATGGACACCACCTGGCGTGATGCCCACCAGTCGCTCCTCGCGACCCGCATGCGTACCGTCGACATGGCCAACATTGCCAAGGAGACCTCGCACGCCCTCGCCAACGCCTACTCGCTCGAGTGCTGGGGTGGTGCCACCTTTGACGTTGCCATGCGCTTCCTCTACGAGGACCCCTGGGAGCGTCTCCGCACCCTCCGTCGCCTTGTGCCCAACATTCCCCTCCAGGCCCTTGTCCGTGGCGCCAACTCGGTCGGATACACCTCGTACCCGGACAACGCCATTTACGAGTTCTCCAAGAAGGCCGTCGAGGCCGGTCTTGACATTTTCCGTGTCTTCGACTCGCTCAACTACTTTGAGAACCTGAAGCTCGGTATCGACGCCGCCAAGAAGGCCGGCGGTGTCGTCGAGGGCACCATCTGTTACTCGGGTGACGTTGCCAACCCCAAGAAGACCAAGTACACCCTCCAGTACTACCTCGACCTGACCAACCAGCTCGTCGGTGAGGGTATCCACGTCCTTGGTATCAAGGACATGGCCGGTGTCCTCAAGCCTGAGGCTGCTACCATGCTCATCGGTGCCATCCGCAAGGCTCACCCCGACCTCCCCATCCACGTCCACTCGCACGACACCGCCGGTATCGCCGTCGCTTCGATGCTCGCCGCCGCCAAGGCCGGTGCCGACGTTGTCGACGTCGCCATCGATGACCTCTCCGGTCTCACCTCGCAGCCCGCCATGGGTGCCGTCGTCGCTGCCCTCGAGCAGTCGGGTCTCGGCCCCGGAATCTCGCACGAAAACATCATGGCACTCAACATGTACTGGTCGCAGGTCCGCGTCCTTTACAGCTGCTTCGAGGCCAATGTCCGCGCGTCCGATTCGGGTGTCTTTGACCACGAAATGCCTGGAGGACAGTACACTAACTTGCAATTCCAAGCATCGCAACTCGGCCTCGGAACGCAGTGGCTCGACATCAAGAAGAAGTACATCGAGGCGAACCAGCTCTGTGGAGACATCGTGAAGGTTACGCCTTCTTCGAAGGTTGTCGGCGACTTTGCGCAGTTCCTTGTCTCCAACAACCTCTCCAAGGAGGACGTTATGGAGCGCGCTGGCACCCTCGACTTCCCCGTTTCCGTCGTCGAGTTCTTCCAGGGATACCTTGGCCAGCCGTACGGCGGCTTCCCGGAGCCCCTTCGCTCGCACATCATTCGCGACAAGCCCCGCATCGACTCGCGTCCCGGTCTCACCATGAAGCCTCTCGACTTTAAGAAGATCAAGAGCGAGCTGCGTGCCAAGTACGGCAACCACGTCAGCGACTTCGACGTTCAGAGTCACTGTGAGTAAAGTACCCTAAACGGGTCATTGCGAGCCGTCGGCATGCCTCGGTGTTGCTGCGAACGGGCGCCCACGGCGTTCGGATCGTGCAAAGCACCGAGGCCGATTGCGTTCAGGTGCTGTGTTGTGCAGAAGCTGATTTTTTTAGGCATGTACCCGAAGGTGTACGAAGAGTAAGTGATATTTTCCCGTTGTTTTCCGGCTTTTCTTTTTCCTCTGCTCTTTTTTCGATTTTTTTTCGTTTTTTTTTCGATCTTTTCATCAACTTGTTTTTCAAACACGCCCAATTTGGAGGATTAAGCTGACTTTCTAGGTTCCAGGGCTTCGTTGAGAAGTACGGCGACCTTTCGGTCCTCCCCACGCGTTTCTTCTTGTCCGCTCTTCCAATTGGAGAGGAAATTCAGGTGTCCATTGAGAAGGGTAAGACCCTCACCATCAAGCTCCTGGCCGTCGGCCCTCTGGACGCCAACAAGGGTACCCGCGAGTGCTTCTTCGAGCTCAACGGAGAGACCCGAGCGGTGGTCATCACCGACCGCTCGGCCGCCATCGAGCACATCTCGCGTGAGAAGGCTTCGTCCGACCCCGGAAGCGTCGGATCGCCCATGGCTGGTGTGGTGAGTAAACTGCCTTGCAGCAATAAACCTGTTTCTTCTTACTGATTCGTTCTTTCAGGTCGTCGACGTCAGGGTTCACGAGAACCAGATTGTCAAGGCTGGTGACCCCCGTGAGTTATCATTTTTCGCGTTGGTTTCAAAACATGTTGCTGACGCCTGCCTGCAGTGTGTGTCCTGTCCGCTATGAAGATGGAGAGTGTTATTTCTTCGCCTGTTTCCGGCAAGGTGAGCAACATCCTGGGCCATTGGCGGTGGCCAACCATCGTTCTGTGTGCCTCTTGCTGACATTTATCTAGGTGGCCCGTGTCCTTGTCAACGAGAACGACTCGATTGGCCAGGGCGACTTGGTGGTCGAGATTGTGGCCGAGGCCTAAAATGTTCTCGAGTAGGTGTGTATTTACGGATGAAGTGTAGTAGACGTTGGGTAGATATGCAGTTTGTGGTTACCTTTTTGGTGTTGCTTTCCGGTACATGACTGATGATTGACTCCCCTCCTTAGACGAGTGTGTTGCATGAGGGGACAGGAGGTCAGAGCACGGACCATGCGACCACACCCGATCTGACTTGCTCCAGAACCCCAGTGGCACAACCATAGGCTCACATCCCATCTTCTCTTGTCGCCACTAACATGAACACTGCGGCCATCACCCCCCAAGTCTCATCCAACACTGCACCGACCTTGACCACCGGCTTCTTCTTGCCTACCCCGCTGAAGGGTGTCAAGGGGTGTACGAAGAAGACAGAGTAAGCTCCACGCCTTGCGTAGTGTTCGTTTAGCGCGCGGGTGCTAATTTAGACGTTGGGATGGGTCCAAACACAGCTATGATCGCCGACCGCTGCGCACACACCGCCTAGCCACGTACGCAGCATGCATCTGCACCCTACAACAACCGTACATTCTTTAACAACACCCGTCGCATCCTCATCACATCCAGTAAACTGAAGTCACGATAACCGTCCCTCGCATACACACATCGCAACTCGACGCCACTTCCAACTTGCATGACGATGACGAGCCCAAGCCCGAGCCCACATATTCCGATGGACGTCGACTCAGATGACGGAAGGTGAGTGTCTCAATTGGTATCACTCTTTACTGTACGACCATTGACTCTTCTTCCTTCGCATAGCGACAAGGCTGCAAGCGTCTTCACTCCGGGCGAGAAGGATGACACCGAAGGCGGACAAGCCTCGGCGCACATGCCGTGAGTCGACGAGGAGCCCTTGGCAAAAGAACCTAGCTGATTCGTTGTAGTGTCCCAGCTACGGCGTATGCATCGACAACGCTTGTGAGGACCGCCGTCGGCGACCTGAAGGTGATTGGCGCCCTCCGTCGTGGCGACATGTTGATGGGACGGGATAGTGGCATGCGCGAGGTCCCCTCAATGTCACCAGGGGCAGGGGCCACGTCTTGTACACTCTGGCGCTGGGCGGCTCTATCTACACTCGAGGACAACCTCTTCTGATGTGCTCGCCCACGACAAGACTCTTCCTGGTGCGCGTTCCCCTCGGCGAGCTGAACACGGAACCGAAGCCCACAGTTGTTCCCGGCGATTTGCGGTCCTTCCAACAGGCCGTAACCGAAGGAATTTCCTGGCTGCTCCAGGTCCAACTGCGTGGTGCCGGAGGAGACAACACATTCGTCAACAGACTGAATGGTGTCTGCAACTTCTTTGCCGGCTCGAAGACGTACCAGGGGGTTGGCCATGTCGTCAACAACGACAGGACCAAGACTACTGGCAAAAGTCTACTTCAGCTTCGACAAGGCCTTCGCTGGTCCGTCAACCACAGGCTTTGACACCACTTGGTACGACAGCAAGGAGGCGGCGTTCGCTGCTGCCGTCCAGTGTGCCCGACACCAACAAGACATCGGTGTCGCCATCGACACCCTTTCATCCCGATGGCGACAGGAGCTCCAGAAGAGCAACAAGGCGACAAAAACGGTGCTGGTCGACAGCGCCATCGAAGGCATGCGTCTGGTGCAGACTGGGCAGGGCTACCCGATCCACCTAGTCGAGAACGAACACCAAGGTGAAGGACAATCGCTGGGGTGTCCAGACTCGCCGTCTGAGCCACCGCTACGACTTCAAAGGCCCTGTTGGCCTTGATGACCCCCTGAAGCTGGGCAACACCACCATGTGCCCAAGTACGAGATCAAGGAACTCGGCACATATCTCGCCATGCCGCCAGAGGAACAGCGTCTCTGGCACCTCTACCGCCCAGATGGACTCGATTTCCCTGCCCAGCCTGTCCCCGTCGATCCCCAGTTTCTGGGTATCTGGCTGGGCTACGGTGACGGCAGGTTGACAAACAACGCCAACCTTGGTGACGCCGACTTTGACACCTGGCTCCATGAGCACGCCAGTGTCATCGACCAAGTCCTCTCGCGCAGCAACCCTGGCGCGTACCGCACAATCTACCAACAGCGGTTGGACAAGGGTTGGAGCCCGCTGCCGGTGGAGTCACGTCACCAATGGTGCCTCCCAGATGGAGCCATTTGGCCCGGGACTGGTGAGGAGCTTGCCGAGGGCGAGGGCGAGGGCGAGGGCGAGGGCATGACAGCGGCAACCCGAACAGGCCCCTCTCCGTACTCGCCGTCCCTTTGCATACCTCCAGGACGTTGCGGCCGCTCGTCGGTGATTTCGCAGCTCGGGATGCACGAGCTTTCGACGACCCAACTTTGTCAAAGCATCCCGGCACTCGCCGAAGACGAGGAATATGACCAGTCTCGGCTGGGCGACTGGTGGGAAGGGGACGATGACGACGACATGCTCGCGGACGCGAAGAGTGAGGACTTGGACGCTGGAATCGCATTCTTTAAGTCCATCGATCAAGAGATCACAGAAGACATCGAGATCGAAGAAGAAAACGACGTCTTGCAAGATGACGAGATGATGCGCGACGATTTCGAGGACGTGCCACGCACAAGGGGCCGCGCCAACGCGGTGCGACTCAACGTCAACCCGCGACACTATGGAAACATTGCCCAGGAGGAGCTCGACAACATTCTCCAACATTCTCCACCACCTTGTCGACGACGTACGACGTTGGGCAGGGCGAGGGGCAGGGACAGGGACCAGTGGATGAGCGTCACGTTGATGGCCTATCGTTTGGTCGTCCTCGTCGTCGCGGCCCCCGCAACCGCCTTCTCGACGAGCTGCGTGAGCTCGAGCTTGCGCCAAATGGCACCGACAAGAGGGGTACGCCAGCCGATCGCAGGCACATACCCGATATGTACCTCTTCAATTCGCGCGCGATCCGTCTACAGCTCCTGGCGGGACTACTGGACAGCGACGGTCACTACCATTCGGTGACCGACACGTTCATCTTCCCCGGAGGTGGTCGATGATGCGGCCAGCTTAATGGTGACATCTCGGTGTTGATCCTCTCCCTCGGCTTCAAACTGTGGCAAACCTACGAGTCGAGCACCGACACGTTGGTGCTGTACTTCTCTGGCGTCATGCTCCACGAGATCCCGACCCTCCTCCGCCGCCGCAAGTCCACCTCCCACAAGACTCGTGACCAACCAGGGTTTGGCTTCACGGTTATGAAGGAGGAATCTACTGTCGGCTGGACGGCCATCAGCGTCTCCGGCGACAATACAGTTCTCCGACATGACCACCTAGTTCTTTGCGGCGCGGAGAATACAGGCTCTGGTCGCAATACCGCCCGACGTGTCATCTCCATCACAGCGTCCAAAGAAGTTGCCAACCGAGTCAAGGACATGACAATCGAGGGGGCGATCGGTCCCATGGTCCAGTTACTCGTGAGTGACGGACACAAGTCGATGGACTGACATGGAACAGCGTGGACGCCGCCTTCCTGCACCCGGTCAAAACCGCTCACGCCCTCGACCGGTCATCCAACATGTCCTTGGGTTGTTACAAAGGGACCAGCATACCAATGGCGCACGGTCCCGGGACACGGCTATCGAATTGGAGAACTGTATCGGTTCATTCGCGAAGCCTTCCCGATACTTTGAGGCGTGCCACAGAAGATCGCGATGGCAGCGTCTCGGTAGATGCACATACCGCTACATACAAGCTGCTACAGCACGCACCGCGCACCACACACGACATGCATGATTCTCAATACTACTAGGCTTTTGCACGTAAATAGTCTCTCACCCACTCGTGCCCTTCCATATATGCCCTCAGCAGAGCGACACCTTGGGCTGCTTGCCAGTGTTGACCTGGTGGTTGAGAGGGCAAGATGTGGCCCTGCCAAGTTGCACACGAGAGCGGCTGTATCGTTGTATAAGCAGGCTGACTGCACCGGAAGAGCCCATGGAACGGACAGAACGGAAAAGGGGAGTGCATTAACCAGCTTGGTGCTCCCACACGGTCTTTACACGATCATTCCTCCTCTTCGACAACGCCATCCGCAACGTAGAACTCGGCGCGCTTGCGCGCCATGCTTTCGGCATGCTAAGGATTAGCTGGGCCTACACACATGTTAACTAACCTGGATGAGCCATTCAGGAACTTGCTGATCGGCATCCTTGTACGCCTCAATCAGACCGATGGCCGCAAGAAGGGACTGTTCGGTTAGCTATTTCTGTTGGTCAGGCCGCGAACACAAACTGCGGTCAACTGAGCATTAGCCATTGTCTTCAATGTACAGGCATCCGTCAAAGACATACCTCCCGCGTCTCGTCGCCTTCGCCAGCCAGGATGGCCTCGGGAGTGAGATCGGCTGTGGCGTGAGTTTTTGAGGTACCACTCTACGGCAACAAGCGTACGGTCGTCCAGGTCGTCGGCGGGATCGGTAGCTTCGGGGTTGTCCTCGCGGGCCGCAGATGACGATCCTTGGTTCATCGACTCGCTTGTAAGACCTTGAGTTGGGCGGTGCGAGCCAAGAGAACTGTCGGGTGCCACTTCCTCACCCGAGTACACACCCTTGTCGGCCGTACCGCCACTGCTAGGATGGCTGTCGCCAAGGGCCTGCACGTGATGCTCGTCCGAGTCGACAGTGTCACCAGAGGCACTCTGAGATTCTTCCTCGTCGGTGTCCATGGCCGCGTTCATGACTGTACCTGCGACATCGGTCAGCACCCAACTCTTTAATATGCAAACAGAATCCATCGTTCAGTCAGTTCCCCCAGAGCGCATCGGCAGCACCCAGCGCGGGTTGCCCTGACTCACGCTGGCGCTGAAGCGCGGCGGCGGCCGCTGCCTCTGGGTTGAATGCAAAGGCGCTGAGATTGAGGCCGTTGGGAAGAATGACCGGCGCTCTGGGAGTCCGAGGGGGGTCATCAGAAGCGTAGCTGCGACGCGCACGGCGAGACATTGTTGTTGTTGTTGTTGTTTGTTGGCGGTGGTGGTACAGTAGAGAGAAAGAGAAAGAGAAGAAGCCTGTTCTCGCACGTCATGTTTGCTGCATGGTGGCGGGAGCAGAAAGAACCCACCCCCCTATGATACGCGTGTGCGTGTGTGTCTGTATCGGCGCGGTCGGTGCGGGTGGTCGTGTGGGGGCAACAGATGCTGAAACCCAGAGGCCACCGGCCACGCTCCAGCCGACGACAGAGGCCATCGTGAGGTGGGTCACTCGGCAATGTATGTGTGCATCAAGACGACGTTTGACTATTGTTTGAGCAGACCTCTGAGAATACAACAAAGCTGCTGTATGTAACGCTACAATACGGGTCAAAGGAGCGACAGAAGGGAGAAAGACACCCCCAACAGAAACGCCCAAAAAAACACCACAAAAATAGTGGCACTCGTCCAAGGCATCGGACCAGCCACTTCTGGGCCCGCTCTTTTTCTCTCTGGACGATGCCAATCGCTTTCAACAATGGCCCCTCTCTTGCATCTCTGGTGACAAAGTCATGGTTCTTGGACCAACAGAAGCAGCTAGTACATCTGCTCACCCGGTTTCTATGCATTAGCACTAGAGCGGGTCGCCAAGTGACGGGCCGGTGCTGTTGTGTGCCAGGAGTGCCAGGAGGCCAGGAAGGGATGGCTGTCAGCGCACACTCCGTTCTCTGTGGATCTGTGGGGCGCGTTTGTGCTTCTAGCTCTTTGTCTTCCGTGCTTCCCATGACACAGCATTCCCCACGAACAACGGGCCCAAACAAAGACAGAAACGAGGGGACAAGAGGCCGCCCGCTCCCCCCCAACTTCTCACCAACTTCTCACGCTTTCACCATCTCCTCTCTTTCTCATCTCTTATACACATTACACGCCCTCATCAACCTCACCAACCATGTCCTACTCTATCTTGTGAGTAACGAATGTTGGAAAGCCCAGCATGTTAACAACCAGGCCCGCCCGAGTCCATCAGCACACCAGCACCCACACAACAGGGTGTACTTGAGGACAACTCCGGCATCGTGTCAGCGCAAGGCAATGAGCTGAATACTGCCAGCGACAGCCTGCCGTGAGTATTCTTGAGACACCACTTTTACCTTTCATTTATTGACTGTGCAGTGGCCACGGCCCCGAAACCCTTGCCCTCTGCGCAAGCGGTGTGAGCAAGGAGCTCTCGGACGTCAAGGTCGGGGACGTGTTGTGTGGCCCGGATTGCCGCCCTCGTCTTGTCCTCAAGATCGCCCGAGGCCCCGCAACAATGACATGCCTCAACATGAAGAGCGCTGCCGACCGTCTCCTTGCGACAGAGAACACGATGGCGAGTTGTGCCGTCAACAATACGACCGTCGCGCCTGTCGCGCAGATTTACGGTCGCGGCAGCGTGGCGGCCCGTGCGTCCTTGGAGCGGATCGTTGGCGGTCCTCTTCCCGACCCCCTCGTCCTCTCGGACAACGACAAGCGAAAGCAAACCGTTGTCCACCGCCTCAAGGTTCCTTCGGCGCCTCGCTTCGCCTGGAAGCCTCGTGTTGCTTGCACCTCGAGTGCACGCCCAAAAGTCGTGCGGTTCTGATGAACGCCCTCCTGGACATCGCAATCCAAGAGGATGCGACGTCGTTCATCGTCCGCCACCAGACCAAGGGTGCGCTGAAGCTCGAGGTATTCTCGTTCAAGACCACTGGCCTGCGCGCCACCTCCACCGCCACCCATGCCTTCGAGAGTCGCGCCGAGGCCTTCTCCGCCGCCAAGGCTTTTGTGACGAGCAAGCGCACGCGCACGGTCGACAACCTCGCCGACCGCTACGAGGAGATGCAGGTCGACTACCACCAGCACTCTTCCCTCGTTGTGGACGACCGGATTCCGGGTATCTACCTGAATCGTAACGGCCGCACCGCGCCCTTCCTCGCCGTCGTCTACCAGCCTGCCTCCGGCCCCAAGAGGCAACAATTCTTCCACTTCAACGGCGACATCGCTGTTGAGAAGGAGGGTGAGGGCTTGGACAACGAGGAGGACGAGGAGGACGAGAAGGACGAGGAAGAGGAAGAGGGTGTCGACAACAACGACGCCACCGAGGCCGCAGCTCCGTCGCCGAAGGGTGCCACCTTTGAGATGTCACGTCTCCGCGACGTGCTCTCCCTTTCGGCGGCGGGTCGCAAGAAGCGTCTTCTCCACCGGGCCGTGCCTGTGGAGTTCCCCTCCCAGCCCCTCCCCATCGACCCCACATTCCTGGGAGCGTGGCTGTCCGATGTCGGCGTTGGCGCCAAGGCGCACGAGGAGTCGACTGTTGTCGACTGGCTCAAAAAGAAGGCCGAATACCTCGACCACTCCTTGGTGTACCGCCAAGCCACATCGACGGCCGTCACGACGCGCCCCCCGCATTCCACCATTCGCGCGGCGCGTCTCGAGGCGGGCCTCTTCATCCACACCAGCCAGGACACCTACACCTGGTCTGAAGAGGCCCCCTCCGATAATGAGCTCGACGCTGGCACTGCCGCCGACGACCACGATCTCGACGTCATGGACGACGACGACAAGAACAACGACCACGACGAAGACAACGTGATGGACCTGGACGACCCTCCTCCCCACAATGATGGTCCAGAGCACCAGGGTGGCGATGGCCCCGACCACGACAACGACAACGACGAGCGCCCCGACGCCGACGAGGCGACAGAAGAGTCCCCTGGCCGCAACCCAGCGGTTAGCGGTGACGTCCAGCCTATGGACTTCGATGGAGGCGGTGAGGAGGAAGAAGAGCAGGCGGAGGAAATCGACCCAGACTACCACTCATTCTTCCCCCTCGCCGTGCCCAAGATGCCGGCCGACTTGTCCTCCAACGGCGCTCTCAAGGGCAAGGGTGCATGGTACGGCCAGGTCACCGACGAGGAAGCCGAATTCCTCGCATCCAACCTCCTCCTCATCGCCCCCGACAGCTCCCAGGACAGCCCTTCAGCTTCCGAACAGCTGTGGTCGGCCCTCGGAGTCCTCGGTGCTGCCCCGACCGAGGCTCGCGACGACCCGGCCAGCAGGCGGCTCCCAAGCGTGTACATGTACAACACGTTTGGTGCCCGTCTCGACCTGCTGGCCGGCATTGTCAGCGCGCGGAGCAACTTGAAGCCCGGCTCCAGGAGTATCTGTGTCCAGCTGCCCATCAAGTTGACGAAGCTCATGGACGACTCCTCGTCCTCGCCCTCTCTCTCGGTCTCCGGTGCTCGAGTAGCACCACCAAAAGGAACCTCTCCATGACGAGGACTGCAGATATGCTCTATGGTGTTGCTGTCGTCCTCACCAGCACCTGGGTTGCCCGTGCTCTGCGCACCCCTGTTGGCCTGGGCTTCACCTCGACGGCCTCTGATTGTGGTGAAGCGGTGGCACTCTCGATCTCGGGTGACGGCAAGTTCATCCGCGAGGATGGCCTTGTCCTTTGCGGCCAGCAGGTGAGTACTACTGGGTTACACCCTAACAGTCATGTGTCCATGCTGACAGCTACAGAGGACTTGTCGGACGACGAGTTTCCTGGCGTCCGCGGCCTTCTTGTGTGTCTGGGAAGCAAGAAGGGCGAGATGGCTTCCAACGAATTTCGTGCAGCTGTGGTGAGCGTTACTCCGGTGAGTGGTATCGTGCTTGAGAACAGTCCAGGACACAACATTGACACTACACAGTTGCTGTAGAAAAGGACCGAACTCCGTCTTTTGGTGAACAATTTGTGCCACGTACATATGCACTCGCCGACACACGTCAGGTGAAAATGCCTCCCCAATGGGTCCTCTTATGCATGACTGCCTTATGTGCACACCAACCGCCTACTACTTCGCAGCGCGCATGGTATCGCGGCGGTCAATAAACACAAGGTACGCGTCTGCGGCCTCCCTGTACTCCTGCTAAATCAGCACCTGAATGACCACCAGCGCGACACACGTCTGACTGACCTTCTGGACGGCAAAGGGAGCGCGCGCGGGGCTACCGTACGACACCAGGATGTCACCAGCCAGTTCAAGGCGCTATTATCAGTTGGATGCCTCTTGTGAGATCTGTAACGCACCGCATAAGCCTGGGGGTTGCGGGTCAGCAAATACATGCGACACATTGCCCTGGTCACTTACCTCCGCGTGTCCCTCCATGGCTAACAGGAGTGGGTCGATACCATCTGCGGCTGTCAGTACCCTAGTCGATCGAGATGCGTGAGACATTGCCGTACCTTCGTCAGAGTCATCCTCCTCTGAGCAGTCAGCAGTAACCCATTGGCTTTGGCGAGTGTGTGCTTACCGTGGCTGATGTGGAGAGCTTGGAGGGCTTGGGTTGCCTGGCCTTCTTGCTCGTCTTCCTCATCGTCGTCAGGCCAGTCGTCCTTGTCAGACCTGGAGTCGACTTGCTCGCTCGCCTTGCGCTTGGTGGGGATGGTTGCGGTGCTTTTGCTGCTCTTGCCGGTGTGGTCGATCGTGGGGTCGCGAGGGAGAAGAGCACCGCCGTCGCCAACAGCATCCTCCGTGGCGTTCTGGTGCTGTTTGGGCGAGGCACTGGAAGCCGCCACGTTTCCCTGCTCGTCGTCCTGCTCGCGGGGCTCGCCAGCGAGGTGCGTGGTCGACATGATGGATGGAGTGGTGGTGTTTTGGTTGTAAAGAGAAGAGACCAAAAGAGAAATGGTTGTGGAGTGCGAGAGAGGAAGAGAAAAGTGATCTACGGGAAGCAACAACTGATACATGATCGCCAGGGGTGGGCAAAGAGCGCATGCTCGCAAGCCTATGGGCACGGTAGCGGTTTCCATCCAAGCCTTGCCAACCACTGCATCCATGTTGAATGTATGCACCTCGGAGGTCGTTTCCTGGTCGTCACTGGTGACCACAAGTTTGTGGGCGCGGTGATGTGTGGTGGACAATACGTGTGTACGTGAGTTGCATAACCGTCGCCAACCGCCACTTTATCGGATCGGAACAATCAAAAACAAGAAGTGGAGTACAATAAGTAGAGTACTCTAGATGGTCGGGTTCGATCTCGATCTCAAGATTCGAACCCTCGTATTAGGCGCCTACTCCCCCGCTCCACTCCACCCCTCGCTCGCCCCCAGCACCCTCTCGGTCGGTCGTAATCCTGTGGATTCTTCAGAGGTGCTCTCTTGCGGTCGGGTGCAGCCCTGGACGCCCCGGACGGGGAATGGCTCGGGCCAGGAGCCATCCATCCACGTACGCGCACGGAATCTAGGTATTAAAGGCGGGCCCACCCCAATTAACCAGTCCGGCAACGCAGCTTCATACTTTACTGGTGTTGAGTGTCCCTATCAGTTTAGGTCCCGTCCCGTCTCTCCTATTAGGCTAATCCCTTGTTGTTATTACGACTAGCAGTCCGCTCGCCACCCAGCTAATGGAAGGCGGAAGCAAATTGGACGCGACTGCTTTGGGCTGGCCACCGCGTCAACATTACGCGTTGGTAATTTCTCAACAACAACAACCACCACCACCGCCATGAACGAGACAGCATACGGCGGTCTCGGAGGTGAGGTCACAGACCAGACCCTCATGTTTGTCCCTCTCCACCTCCGAAGCTGACCCCCATCAGCACGACCGGTGTAGTTACTCCACTATGGCTCCTCCGTCCGCTCCCCCTCGCGCGCATCAACCCTGCCGCCGCCGACCGACCGACGACCCACCGCGGCAAGGCCGATAGCCTGCGATCCTGTTGCCTCTCGGTCATCTCGCGCAGCTTTGAGACCTATGACCCCACCACACTGGCTGCTCTGCCCCCCATCCTTGCTGGTGTCGTCATGGCTCGCGTCCGTGCCGACAGGCGATATCCGGCTGGTGGAGGACAGGCGGACCCGGTATCGCGCGCAAGACCAGACGAGGCGACGATGTGGGCATACTCTGTGCTAGCGGACCCCGAGGGCGGAGTAGAGAAGACCCCAAGTCACACGCTCGCCCTACCTACCCACATGACATGCGCTCAGCTTCCCCAAAACAAGGTGGCCCGTTACGAACACCCCTTCACCGCCTTGCCGCGCCTCTTCGAGTCCCTCAACCTCGACACATTCTCCCTCCTCACAACACTATCACTAAGCGGCATCAATGCTTCCGTGGACGACAATTCCCTGCAAAACCTTCGCTGGTGCACGCACCTCACGGTGCTGCGGATGAAGGGGTGCAGCCGAGTAACGGACGACGGCATCCGCATGCTCTCTGCTGCCCTTGTGCTCCCCACAGAATTTGAAGAGGGGCGGGGAATGTGCCGTCTTCGAGCGTGGTATCTTCACAGCTGCATGGGGGTGGGAGATAGGAGTATGCGCAGCTTTGCACGATGGCCGGGTCTGAGCGTCCTCGGTGAGCTGAAAAGGCTTCTGCCCTAGCTGACTTTCAGATGTGCGCGATACCTCATGTACCGAAGCGGCGTTGGGTATTCTCAACCGTACCGGTACCTCGCTCTTTGGTGGCCTCCAGCCGCCGTTCCAGTCATGTACCGAAGGCTTGAAGGGCCTGTTCACGCCAAGCGACGAGTCTGAAGATGTTCTCAACAAGCTCTGTCTCACGCTCCTCAAGCCAGACCTCCCCACAGGCGCTGGAAGACGATACCTCGCACTGCACCTCGTACACGCTGACGAACCTCCGCGCGACGAGTGGCTTCACGCACCGTTGGTTAGTCAACGTGCGAGCCGCATGCTAGGAGGGAAAGAAGCGAGTCGATTCGTCTCCGGCGGCGTGGGACAGCTGTACGGTTCGGGAGTAGAGAGAATTGTCGACGAGGAGCATGCCAAGCGGAAGAAGCTCGCTCTCGCTCTCGAGTTTGAAGCGGAGGAAGCCCACGCTCTCAAGTGTATGTCGGCCGGTGTTGCCCCACCCGAGAGGCGTATGGACCGCGAGTGGCGCGAGAGACGCGAGATGTGGGCGCAGGAAGCAGCCGACAAAAAGAGTGGCGCCTACCAGTGGTCGTCGGAATATTCGCACCCACACATTGTCGGCAAGGCGTTCAAGGACCCGGGAGGCGATGCCAACGAGCGCAGCCGCGCGTTCTTCTCCACCAACGCCAGGCGTCTTGCTAGGGAAGACGAGGACGGCGACGATTTGGTCGGGGGCAGCGTGCACCTTATGATGGTCCGCATGGCCCACCCGGAATGGACACGGTTGGCGTGGGCTGTCGGTGGGGTGAGCAACAAGCCAGACGACGTGATTCGAGTCCGCAAGCGTAACACTGCAGACGTGGCAGATATCTTGTCGTTTACGCAAGACGTCAAGCGCGCTGTGGGCTCCTCCTCGCAGCCACAGATGGTCGCCAACGCATTCTCGCCGTGGTCGTCTCCATCGCCAACAAGGCTAGCGTCGTCACCGGAGCGTAAGCCCAGCCGCGCCGAGCCGACGGGAACGGTGTCGCAAAAGGCCAAACCTTCACCGTTTGTCCGTGGTGAAGTCGCCGGTCCCTCGTCACAGAGCACTAAGCCTACTCCATTCTGCCGCGCCTCGTCGTCTGCCTCGCAACGCCCGACAGGCCGTCAAGCAGGTCATAATCCCTTCCGCGCCGCTGCTCCGACCACCTCGCGCTCAGGTGTGCGAGCGCTGGATGTCAAGACAGAGGTCGACGTCGACGTCAAGCCCGGTATCAAGAAGGAGACCAAGAGCGATCCGCTTGCGCGGGTTAAACCCGGCTCAAACGCGAGACCGATAGCGACCAAGAAGGATCCGTTAGCGTTTGTAAAGCCAAGTCCTGGGGGTTCGAAAAAGGAAAACAAGGGCGACCCGTTGGCGTTCGTAGGCTCGAGCGCGGGTGCCAAGCGGAAGTGGGATGCGAGGGGCGAGCAAAGTGATGATGCCCAGCCCAAGCCAAAGGGTCTGAAGATGTTCTTTAAACCGTTGTAGCCATAATGTAATCAACAATGTTGCGTGAAATGACCAGTGACGATGGCGGGCATATTTCAGTTCACTGACGAGAACGACGACCGCATCCCGGTCCCACAGTTAATGCCTAGGGTAAGACGCCGGAGTGAGATGGAGTGAGATGGAGTGAGATGGAGTGAGATGGAGTGACAGATGGCTGGCTGGGTGGGCACAGGAGGGGGCGGGTATCACGCCGCTCTCGCAGTGGGGGCGATCCTTTTGGTCTTCACCATGGCCAGAGGGAAGGGGCGCACACGTCGACGCTTCTCAACACACGGCACCCAACAGCATACTTACAGTTTTGCAACAAATATACCAACACACAATTCTGTCTCGTCTGGGACGTCGGCCGAGCCCTTCGGTGCCTATGTATGGCACCGCCACTTGGCTGAAAGCGCCACAATGACCAGTCCAACGGGCCACGACAACCACACCCATAAATACCTGTGAGTGTCTCAATTACTATCACGCTGTATTGCACAAACACTGAGGTCTTCTTCCTCCACACAGCTATCCTTCTAAAGGATCGTTCAAGGGCAACAACGTCACTGCAGGCGCCCAGGCGACAACGGGCATCCGGTGAGCCAACGAGGACATGTTGTTCCATTGCAAAGGAAACCTTGCTAATTCCATTGAGTGCACCTGGTGCAGCGTACGCCAGTTCAACCCTAGTGACGACCGCCGAGGGCAAGGTTGTCGAGATTGGCAGCGTCCGTCGCGGCGACCGGTTGTTGGGCCCTGATGGCAGCTCGTGCGAGGTGCTAGATGTGACGTCTGGCACCGGTTAACTTTTTTCCGTCGGGCTCAGTGGTGGCAAGTCGAAGCGAAACCGACGGCCACTTCTAGGTTCACCTACAACAACACTTTCCATGGTGCGCGTGCCGTACAGCCATACGGCTGCGATGCTGGTGAAGCACAGTGGTGTGGACGAGCAAATCATCACGGAACGATTGAACTCGCTGCTGGGCGGCGGCGAGTTCCCAACTGAACCACTGTCCCAGCCGGAGGCAGGCGATGTGCCAGAGGACAGGGCCGTCCACGACGTGCAGTCTTTCGTCGACGCCATTAAACATGGAGTCGCCTGGATGCTCGAGGTACGGACTGAATGCTCGGGACGCACGCGCTTGATAAACCAGCTCAATGGTGTCATGAACGTGTGCGTTGGCCCCAAAGCCTACTCGGTGAAAATTCGGGTCTTCAACGACGATTTGTCAAGAAGCACTCGCTTGGTCTACTTCAGTTTCGACCAGACGTTCACGGGTCAATCGGCGGGAGGGCACAAAACGACTTGGTATGCAAGCAAAGAGGCGGCCTATGACGCTGCCGTTACATTTGCGCGCGCACATCAAGACAGTGGAATCACCCTCGGTAACCTCACGACACGCTGGCAAATTGAGAGATCGGATATGGACAAGCCCATGCGCTACAGCAGGGTCGATGCCGCTATTCCAGGCATGAACCTCATGCAGTGTGGACAATCCGACCCCTACCTGTTTGTCCAGGCGTACAAGAGGTACAATTTCGTAGGCCCGGTGACACTTGACGTCGGTGCACGACGACCCGGCGCTGAGTGCCATGGAGGTCGACCGGCTGAAATACCAGTACCTGGAACTCGCGGCATACTTGGCCATGCCGCCCAACGAGCAGAAGCTCTGGCGCGTCGCTCGCGCCGGCGCGATGGACTTTCCGGACAAGGACGACCCCCCTACACCCCCAGTTCTTTGGCCTGTGGCTGGGCGATGGTTCACGCAAGTCAACAGCCATCTGAAACTTCGATGAGCCTGAGGTTGTCGGTCTTCTGTCGGAACGCGCCACGTCTATCGAACAAGTTTTGTCGTACCAGGGAGGCATCAAGTACGCAACCGTTGAGCCTCACATTCACCCACCATGTCCATCTCTACCATTCCCAGAAATGAGAGGGCTGGAAGGCCGGGACGAGCCGCGCAACCCGATACCGGAACGATGATTCACCAACAGAGGTTCGACAATGGTGGACAAAACTCCCTGATAACAACTTTGGCATCGGCACAGTCACGAAATGCTCTGGCATCGATATGGCAACGGCTCGAATCAACTTGGAGGCGACTGTCTGGGTGGCAAACTGCCCGATCCACCCACATGTGCTTTCCGACAACGATCAGCGAAAGGACCGAGTCATCCACCACGTCGACGGCTTTTTTCGAAGCGAGAGGGGCCGGGGTTGGGACAGTGGTTTGTTGATCGCTGGAGCTCCGACACGCGTGACATAGTCGACACCTTCCTACACACACCTTCCGTCCCGCTCTGGCCCGACCAAGCCCCATCATGCTCCTTGGGCTCGAGCGCTCGAGTCCTCTGGGTCACGCGACTGCGCACGGCGGCCACTGGGTCCCGTTTGCAGGCGATGTTCTCAGGCTCTACAGTAGCTACATATGTACAGTACAGTAGCTCCTGAAATTGGCCCTGGAGCATGTCCAGAGGACCGGGTCAGAGGATCAAGACTTGAAGGGATTGCGGTTACGTGTAGGGCATTTGTCTACGTCCATGACGTGTGGCGGCGTGCGCGGCGTGGCGACATGGCGACGTTGGCGACTCGATGTGAACACGTGCAGAAACAAAAGACGCAACAAGATTGCCGCTTGCTGCAGAAATAAAAGACGCAAAAAGATCGCCCGTCGCCTTTAACTGGTTACTGGCCGTGAGACGACACTGCTTTGATCGTCTACAGAACAGCAGAACAGCTTTGATCGCTTTGAGAGGCATCCTGCCAGGCTTTAAGCGCTTGGAAACCGACTCTGTCCACCATCTCCCATCTCCCACTCCACCATCGACTCGACAGCCACCACACACACACACATCCTAGCTAACCTCCTATACTCGTCAAACAACGCTCTCACCCCCACCATGTCCCTTTCTAGCCAGCCTTACATCGGCTGTGCCAACCAACGCAGCAGAGTCGCCACTGCCATGTAAGTGTCCCATTGTCCCACGCTTCTAGGGGCGCAAAACTAATCTCTTCACAGTTCTCACGGCGTACACGTCCCCACCTTTGCGCCACCTCTTGCAATCCTCTGGCAGTCTGCGGACGCGACCAGGTGAGTTATTGAGCAAAACGATTTCGCATGGGCTTCCCAAGTTGACGCGTTCCAGGGTTCCAGGCCATGCATACGCCAACTCCACCCTCGTGACAGGCTACAAGGGGAAGAAGGTCGAGCTTGGCCAACTCAAAGTCGGCGACCACATTCTCGGCCCCGACGGAAAGCCTCGCGAGGTCGTCGAGCCCCGCCCTGGTGTCGGCCTTCTCCACCGCGTCAACATCATGGCACTGCAAAAGTCCGCCAGCCTGCCCGGTTTCGACTGTTCTGCTGCAACCTCGCTGTCTCTGGTCCTGGTCGACAGGAGCTACAGGAACTACAAAGCCGTCGAGTACGCAGGCGGCACCGACGACGACATCAAGGCGAGGCTGAATGTCGTTCTCGGCGGTGGCGATCACTCTGCGCACCGTACCGTCTTGTGCGAGGTCTGCCGGCATGGCGTGTTCAAGACTGAAAAGGCCTTGGTCGAACACTTTCGTAGCCACGCGCCCCCAAAGGACAAGTTTGACTTTACGCCGTTCCTCTCCAACCCATCATACCCCCTCCACGAATCCAACATCGTCTCCTCGGTCATCACCATTGACGGCGACTTTGCTCTCCCGGTCCCCGGCTTGGCTCAAGAACCCGGCTATCGTTGCTCCGGTTGCATCTATGTCACTCGGTCCTTGGCCAAGCGCCACGTTCACAGCAGCGACAACCACCGCATGGTCGAATGCCTTACCCAAACCTGGTACGGCAACCAATCTCGCGGCGGCTCTCCACGCGGCCCCAACGCTCGCCTCTTTGCGGTAGCATCACACGTTGTTACAGAACCCGAACCTGTCACATCGGCCGATACTTTGATGCGTGAAATGGGCAAAGTCTGCCGCAGCGTCACGTACTCGGACGCTGCTACTGTGCAGAACCGTCGCCCCGGCCTCGAGCGGTGCCGTTGGGTCACCCTGGTCGATGGCATCACCACCAACACGGCACATACGGTCACGTCTCAACCCGTGCCCCGCTATGCATCGCCGTCAAGGCCGAAGCCTCCGTCTAAACCTCGATGGCCGCTACTACGGCGACATTCTCGGTGAGGAGATGGATCAGCTCGTCGACCAACTGGTCGACCAGACATTCGACGCCAACCCATCGGGCGACTATCACCGTGGCCCGAACAAGCTGCTCAACAGCCTTCGGTCCCTCAACGTGGTGACAGATCGCGGAGGCCGCGGACCGGCGGCCGACCGCAAGCACATTCCATTGATGTACTTGTTCAACACGCGCGCAGTCCGTCTGCAGTTGCCCGCTGGCCTGATGGACTCGGACGGCCATTACTCGCTTGCAACAAACTCGTTCGTCGTTGGCCAGTGAGCTCTCTCGACGACTCCTCGCCCGACGTCGTCCAGGTGCGCATGTACCGTGCCATTACCAAGCCCATGGGAGCCACATGGAACCTCTACAGCGAGGTGAACAGTGCGACCATCAAGGCGCACGTTGCCAAGTACAATGTCAAGCAGCCGAACGTTGGCCGCGACATCGTGGAGGTCTGGGTCGACTTCTGCGGGGAACTTGCCAAGCTTGTCGGATTTGTCGACACTGTTCCTCAAGTCCGCAAGGAGTTGAAGCAAGACCGTCTGGACTCGAGCCACGCCACCGTCAACAACTACCGCCGCCGCCGCTCGAACCGCTGACCGTCACCGCCATTTGGTTAGACAGCATATGCCTTGTAAACAGCGCTGTTGTATTCCATCGATCCCATGTACGCTCTCATGTGTATGTGTATGTTCTGGTTCTGCCTTGGGACACGACCGATAGTGTTGTGGGTCAAACTATCAGTGAAGCAAAAGGAGGAGGCAGGGGGGAAGGGAATTTTGGCATATAACGCTACAAGAGAAAGAGAGAAAAAAAAAAGAGGGAGAGAAGACAGAAGAAGAGAATATCCTGGGCCCGAGTCAAGGCCTGCGAATCTACGTACACCCCAACGGAGTGGACGTATGGCGGGCCTCCGGCTTATATCAAGGCCAGTAAGAACCAACTTCCCGTAGGAGAGAAGGCTCTCCCACTCTTAAAGCAGGTGTCAGCCTGCAAAGTGGGGTTCTGTCTACCCCGCGACCGGGTACCGCCAGCTACGGGAGTAAAGCTGGCAGGGGCCGGCGCGCGCGTTCTTTTCGTGAAAAGAACGTGGAGGCGCTAGCGGATCGCGGGGGTGTGGGGTGGGGTGGGGAGGGGGAGGGGAGGGTGGGAGGGAGAGAAGATGAAGAGGTGGAGGAGGGGGGAGGAGGGGGAAAAGTTAGCAGTGAGCACAATGGAACGTCTTGGGCGTGTGTGATGCAGATAGGCAGTGACCGCAGTGACCGCAGTGACCGCAGTGACTGTGAATGTGATGGCGATAGAAAAAAGGAGTGGAAGAGAGATGAAGAAGAGAGAAGAGAAAAAGAGAGGTCCGAGAGACCGAGAGCCAAACTGCCGTGTCTGCCTCCACATTCGCGTTCCCGCACGAATCCAGCGGAAGTAAAATTCCACGGGAGCAAAATTGACACGCCAGCCTGCAATACAATACAGGTAGTACCTGAGCGAGCGAGCGAGCCAGAGGCCACAAAGGAGAGCGAGAGGCGTCCAAAAGAGCCAAGCAAAGGGACAGTCAACTCTTTGTCGTTCAACCGTCCCCCTCCCATCAATCGCCTTCCTCCCCCATCTCCCTCATCCTCCTCCCTCGACACACCTCCATCGCAATGGCCCTCCAGCCCGGCAGCGCCAGCTCGGCATCCGGCCCACCCCGCCGCACAAAGAACACCATGGCCGAGCTCCGTCTCCGTCGCCTCCAGGAGCACAACCTGCGCCTCAAGGAGGACCTCGCCCGCCCCAGGATTCGCGTCAGCGAGGCCAGCATGTCGTGAGTAGACGGCTTCTGGGCGTTCTCTTCTCTTTGCCATTCTGCTCGTCGTGGGTTGCGCGACAATGAGGACGGCGGGTCCCGGATATGATCACATCAGCGCAGCCGGGCAGTGGCGACGCGTTCCCTGCGGTGTTCCTGCCCGGCTCGGCCGACGGCAACGGCAACGGCGACCGCTGCAACCTGCACGGCAGGGCTTCAGTATGCTCTGTTGATGCTCGTGTGCACTCGCCACTGCTTCCCGCTCTCTCGTCGAGCAAAGGATGCCAGAGTGGGCTGCTGGGAGCGTCACGGCGGCCGATGTTGGTTGTCACAGTCATCCAGTCGAGTCACGGCGCGCCAGCCTGCAGCCTGCGTGGTGGCGTCCTGGCCGCCGCCTGGCTTGTATGGCGTACTGTCTACGCAGCTGTTATCCGGCACCATTGCGCACGCACAACCGAGACTGGCAGCGGCCGTCGTCGTCGACGCTGTTGCATGTCCACCTGGCGACGGGCGTGGGCATCGAGGATGCAGCAGCATGTCTTCATTCCCCAAAGTCTCGTGGCTCTGTTCTGTGTTCATACACAGATTGATGCCCCCCTCTTCTGGCCTCTGGCCTTTCCTCGAGACACACGAACCAGTCCAGCTGACATCCAACTCCAGGCTCATCTCGTACTGCACCCAGACCCGCGACCCACTCCTCCCGTCCCTCTGGGGCGAGCTCAGGAAGGGCGAGGACCCGTACGCGCCCCCCGAGGCTGGCTGCTGCCTTGGTACGCCGATAACATAGCGACCCCCGACAAAATGTCCACTGACACTTTCTGCAGTCATGTAAGCGCGCCGGTATGCGTTTTTGCATTCTCGCTCCATCACGCGAACCCGTCATCGAATGGTCAGGTCATGCGATCTTCCACCGGCGGATCGTCCATCTTGACCTTCCATATCCCTTCTCCACCACGCCCCCCTGCAAGTGGCTCACGGCCCGCCATGTGTCCATGCGTCGGCGCGCCCCCTCCTCCACCTTAGTTCTTCCCTTTCGTCTGGCCACTTCCATTGCCTAGGCCACCCACACATCCCCCTACACGCACTTATATATACTTTTTTGGCGAGAACCGCGAGGCAGTGCAGTTACCGGTGGTCTGGTAGTTGCAATATAGCCACCGAGCTGCTCTCGCGGCCTTCTCGATTTTCGATTTTCCTATGCTCATGTACAAACCTCTACCCCCTGCTGCCTAATATGATACATGGTGCCCACACTTCCCCCCCCCCCCCCCCCCCCCGCGTACAAAACAGAACAAAAGCAGTGTCTAACCCATCATCTGGGAAATGCTGTCTGGTGGACGGACAGTTTGCGAGAAGGTGAGCAGCCTGAGAGCGATTGTCAGCGTCGAGCTGTGTAAGGTGGGACACGAAGGCTGGAAGAGGGTACAATGCGCCTGCGTGCACGGCACAAACAACAGGGCGCGACGGTGGCGGCGGCGGCGCGAGCGGGGGCGAACAATGTGGTCGTAGACTCCCGCACACATCGGCGTCATCCCCGTCATGACCGGCCCGTCGGTCGTGCATGTCACTGCAGCCACCGCAGGTGACGTGCGGCTGTGATGTGCCGGCCTTTGCTCAGAGAGACAACCCTGGCACACCTTGCACGCCTCCCACCTGTGCCGTTCACCATCTGCCGTCGGCCGATGACGTCCTGCGTGACGATGCGCAGACTCGCCAGCTCGTGCGTGTCTTTCGCGACACACGTCCCCGCCCATGTACTCGTACTCGTACTCGTACTCACCTCTTGACGGCCTGGATATACTTTCTCGACACCTCGTCGTTGAGGACGTGCGCAATGTTGTCTGTGATCTTGCCCTGGGACGAACGCGCGTGGATACCGACGCTGGTGACGCCGAGCGGCCAGGCGGCGTTTCCAATGGACAAGCGGAGGTACGCGTCGTTTGCCTTTTGGTACGAGCGGATCTGGACGTAGTGGACCACCTCGGCGAGGAGGCGGACGACGCCCTCGGGAGCCTCGCGGCTGCGCAGCATGCGGAAGAGGGGCTTGAGGTTCTGGGCCGACTGGGCGTGGTTGGCCGCGGCCAGCTTGCCTTCTGTGCTGCGCCTGACGTCGTCTGCTGGGTCAGAAGAAGGGTAAGCACTGGTACCCACCTGGCCTGGCAGCGAGCCACTCCTCCCACTCGTTGAGGAGGTTCTTGAACGCCCAGTAGATCAGCGGGTGGAGCTTGTTAAAGTCTGTCTTGATCAGGCCGAGGTCCAGCGGGCCATCGGGCTGGCGCCGCTTGTCGCTCTTTTCCTTTTCGGCCTGGGTCTTGTCCTCTCCGCGAGCCTTACGCTCCAGCTCACGCGCCTCGAGGTCCTCCACGGCGCGCTTAAAGTCGACCTGGTCCTTGCTTCCCCTGTCGCCGAGCAGCTCGAGCGCGCGCAGACGGTGGCGGACGTCCTTGTCCGTCTCGCCGAACAGGCGGATCGGCTGGCCCTTGGACCGCAGTCGCCGCACGCACTCGTCCCACGTAATGTTCTGACCGCGCTCTTTGGCCGCGGCGTCCGGGGCAGGCGAGCCGCCGGGCGTGTCGTCGCCATCGGCAAGCGCGGAGAGCGAAGCGTTGCGCATGGCCTCGGCCTGGGGGGACATGTCAGCTCGCGTCTCGATAGGGGCCTAGCAGACACACTCACCTCCTTGCGCATCCGGCCAGCACGCTCGCTCTTGCGCTCCCGCTCGGCGTCCTCCTCCTCTTCACGCTTTCGACGATCCTCGTCGCGCTTGCGCTCACGCGCTGCTTCGGCGGCGCGCTCGGCTTCCCCGCGGCGCATGTACTTGCTGCCGCCCGAGCTCTCGCCTGCGGTGGCCTCCTTCTTCTTGTTGATCTCAGCGAGGAGGCCTTCCATATTGTGAGTTAAACCGGGGCTAGGGGCTTTTGGGCGTTGGAGATGGGTAAATGTCGATGCAGGTTGGTGTACCGGCCTTCAGGCATCTGTGCTGAAGTGAAAGCTCATGGGCGGCAAAGGCGATCGCGGAACCAAATTCACAAACAAATGACGGTGGCACTGTGGCTCTCGGTGATCTGCATTTGGGTGCGCAGCTGTCTTGTGCATACCGCAAGCGCTGACGGGGTCTCGTAAGCATAGGGCGTCTTCTCCTTCGTAGATGTATACATAATCTTCTCTTCATCCCTGCTTTAACGTGTCACTCCTATCGCCTTGTCGGTTACAAAATGGATGGTATTCGGCCACCATGGGCGGTTCTACTGCGCAAGCGCCTTGTTGAACACGGCACAGAGCGTGACAATCATGCAAGTGTCGACTCCCGGAGCGACCTTGATCTCAAACTGCTGGGTTGTAAGCCATGGGTACACGCCAGGAGAGGATCCGGCATGGTTGCCGCTAGCCTTCGTACTCACCTCATCCCCGGCGTCGCGCACGTGCGCAGCAGGCTGGAGCCGGTCGACGGTGGCGAGCACGACCTTGCTCGGGTACGCGACAATCTCAGAGCCGTCGCCCCATGTGCGGTTACGGCTGCGAAGCTCGATGCTGCGGTGGTCCGGCTGGATGCCCCCGCGCAGGTCGACATGGGCTTCGGCAACTGGCAGATGTTAGTATGTACTCCGAGCAGCGTCGGATGGCGCTGCGACACGACACAGTAAGACACGACACTCACAGCTGGGACGGACGTGCACAAACAAGACGGCGTTTCCGTCCTTGCCCTCGCACGACACGAGGCCATGGCCGGGCTTGCCGATCCCCTTGAACAGTGCGGTATCGCCCTTGCTCACCACTGTGATGCGTCAGCCGGAAAACACATACACCTGCGGCGGCCGCGGCGGCTACGAAACGTATTGTGTTTTTCGATGCCCCGCCTCCGCCTCCGGCTGCGTGTCCATGTTTGCATGTTGTATGCTGCATGCACTAAGCGTGACTTACCCGTCTTGGATCCCACCGCGTGGACTTTGAACACCTCCTCGCCGTCGGGCCTGGAGCTCGTGATGGACACATCCTGCTGCTGCACCCTCTGGTTAGCGATGCGCGTTTGTTGTTGCCACCAAGCCAAACCAAAACACTTGCCTTGGCGCCCTGTGTGGAGAGCACGAAAGTGGTCACCTCATCAAAGCACAGGTCTGCATACACCCCGACCTGCGGGGTGACGTGGTTCAGCTGGGTGATGGTCATGGCTGTAAGAATGTGTAAGGAGGACGATAGTTGAACGAGTGTGCAGTAGCAACGTGCGTGGGTTCTGTCTTATTGTGGTGTCGTCGGCAGTGGTCGCAGTGAAACGCCACAGTTGGCGGGCACGGGCCGGGGACCGTTCTCTTGGATCCGGGGTACCGGGCTATCGGGGTATCGTGGGTATCGTGCTTGGCATATCCCGGCGGGGGTGCATGGGGCAAGACGCCTGAGCGTGTAGAGTAGTGTCGTGGACGATGGGACGGCATGTCGCAGAGCGAGTCAGGCCCCATAGGCCCCATTCACTACCTCGTCGCGTCGCACACGACGCTCAACCCTCCCCATCACCTCCCCTCGGTCCTTCTGAGAAACCATCTCGACGAGCATCTCCGCCGCACCGTAGGCGTCATCTGCACATGCGCTCGACATGGCCACCCCAGCGTCCCCGCCAGCCGCAGCCGCACACCTGCGAGCCGCGACCAGAATGTCCTCCGTCTCGGCCATTGCAATGGCGTCGAGGTGGCGCAGCGCAAGAGCGTGCTTGTATCTAACCCGTGTGTCAGCCGTGTCGCAATAGCTGATGGTGTGCCCCGCGTATGCGCGGTGTATCTGGTATATTCTGTCCTACTGCACTTACCCACGCACGGCACAGCGGATGAGCTCCCTCTGCGCCAACGTCTGAGCCTCGCGGACGAGCCGAGGCCCAATGGCGAGGATACACTCCCTGCGCGTCGACGCACCCTCGGCGGCAAGCGGTTCTCTGGCCACGACACGGAACGCAAATCCAAAAGCGAGCGCCCGAATGGTGACAAAGTCGTGCAGGTCCAAGTGCGTCTGGCCGAAAGGGCCAGGTACTTGTACAGCAGGCAGTCTTCGACCACGGCTGGGTGGTCTTTGGGTGCCACGACGACGAGGTGGGTGGCAAGGGCGTATGGTGGGTGCGGGTTCTGGGGATCACAGGACATGGTGAGGGGGGGGGAGGCGAGGGCGTGTACTGTGTAAGGGTGGGTGGGTGAATGGTAAAGTGGCAGTTGCTAGTTGATGGGGATTGATGGCGTGGGTCCTCTGTGGCCGCTTGCCATCCCATCACTGGTGAGCAAAGGCATCCATCGAGGTTTACAGCTGTGTGGAATGCTCCAATAACCGCACAATGACATGTGCCAATACCGGTACGAACAGCGGTGCTAAGGGGGAGCCCGTGGTGGCACTCAAGCCCGGGTGGCAAAGGAAAAGCGATGGAAATCGCCCGCCACAAGTAGATCAGTGGATCAGTGGATCAGTGGCCACTACGTCCCCACCCGCAACGTCTAGGCCAACATCACAGCATGCGGAACACAGAGTCTATGGCATCGTCATGTCATTCACAGCGCTTCAACGTCTTTGAGAAAGACACTGCTACACACACTCATCCAGAAAGTTGCCCCACTCCTCGACCCCGTCGTCGTCCCCGTTGGACCCGACCTCCTCCTCCTCCTCCTCCACCCCGTCTTCTCCCCCGCGCCCACGCTTCCACCACCACCACGCCCTATCCTCATCCACCTCAAACCCATCCACAAACGCAGCATCATACTCTACCTCGCAGCCCCGGAAACACTCTCCAAGGAACACCCCCAGCGTTCCCAACCCAGCGACATGCATCCCGCGCCGCTTAAACTCGGGCATGGCGCAGCGCACCACTGCGTCTGGACGCGCGTTGGCAATGGTGCTCAGGAGGACGAGGTCGGCGATCGAGTCGGCGGACGCGCCCGCAAGCGCGCCCGCAAGCGTCAGCGTGGCGGCGGTGGGGCACGACGCGATGGACAGCGCACACCGCGCCGTGTGCCCGATGGTGGCGATGGCGGCGAGCTGGTTCGTGCGCGTGTCGGACAGCCACTGGTGTTGTGCGGGTTGCGAGGTGGTGGCGGCCGGGGGTCGTGAGGTGAGGGTGTGGATCCGGTCCGCGGCGAGGTAGGCGAGTGCGGCGTGTTGGTGTGCGGCGAGGAGGGAGGAAGGGGAGAATGTGAATGCTTTGAGAGGGGGAGGGGGAAGGGGAGGGGGGAAGGTGCGGGAGGAGGAACCTGGGTTGGGGGGGTCCGGGTGGAGAGGGATGTGGCGGCGGGTTTGGCCCATTGGTGCAAGTGGGCAAGTGGGCAAGTGGGCAAGTGGTCTGGGATGAGCTTGTTGACTGTTACCAAGGGAAGTAGCTCACAATAGAGTCCTCGCAGTTGAGAGTGATAAAGTAGAACGATGATTGGGATCAGCGCATGGGGGAAGGTAAGGAAGGCGGCGAGGAAGGCAGACGGCAGTCGGCAGAGCGCAAGCAAAGGTGGCACCGGCTTCCATCAGTTGCCTGCCTTCACCGCTCCATCACCCGAATCACTGATCGCTGATCGCTTCGTTCATCAAGTCGTGTTCCATCACGCATGTTTACTATGATTCTACTATCTTATACAGACCCCAGAGTGTCTTTTTAGTGCCCATACGAGAGACAGTTTACACAACAGGCTCGTCGGCGGGGACGAGCTGCGGGGCCTCGTCGTCGTCGTCTTCAGGAGGAGGCGGGTGGTCGTGCGTGTGGCCATTCCCGTGGTCGTGCTTGTGGCCGTGGCCATGCCCATGCTCGTGACCATGTCCATGACCCTCCCCATGGTCATGGCCACAACACCCGCCCTTCATGCGCTTCTGGTCCTCTGCGGCGGCAGACAGCACCCCGCGCGCGCCGACCTTGACCTTGATCTTGATGGGCCACTCCCAATCGGCGCCGACCTTGTCCTCCCCAGCACCGGCGCCGGGCCCATCGCGCGCGTCCTTGCCGTACAGGAACGACCACTGGTGGCTGTTGGTGTGCGTCGTCGTCTTGAGCAAGTTGTCCTCCCACGCAATGGGCGGGGCGTACACCACGTCAAAGGCGAGCGGGTACGACCCCGCACAGCGCGACAGCTGGGCGCGGAGCGGGTCGATTCCCTTGTCGCGCGGGTCAAAGCCGCCAGAGGCAGAGGCAGAGATGGACCCCGGGCCCGCGTGGACGTAGCCCTGGCCCTCGGCGCCGTCGTAGATGGACACGCGGCCGAGGCCCATCTTCTTGAGTTCGGCCTTGGCCGCTTCGCTGGCGGGAACAGCGAGCGTCGGCGCCGCCAGACCCTGCGCGAACAGCCGGACCGTCTTTGTGGCATTCGCAATGGCGCCCGTGGGGGGCTCGCCCATGGCCAACATCCACCCCTCGGGGCCCTTGAGGTACGTGAAGCGGACCTGCTCGGCCGGGAGGGGCGGGTCGAGGACGACGTCGAATTCGACAGGCTTGGGTCCGCCGACCTTGAGGTGGACCTTGGCTACCACCTCGTCTGCGGTGAGGGCCTCCTCGAGCTCCTCGGCGTCGGTCGTGTGCTCGTACTTGCGGCCCGATGAGGTAAACTTGAGGCTGATGAGGTTGTCGGCGAGGGGCGCAGGCGCCATCTTGGCGATGGGTTCGAGGGGGGCAGTGGTGACAGTGGCCTCGGGCTCAGCTTCCTTGCGGATGTCCTCGTGGCCGTGCTCGTGCTCGGCCTCTTCATCTCCCCCGTCATGGCAGTGGTCATCACCGCACCCGCACCCGCCCGGAGGACCCCACGCCGCCTCCATAGCCGCCTCATGTGTCTCCGCCGGCTCTGCTCCGTCATCCACCAACGCCTTCACCCCGTCGATTCCCACCTTGACTTGCAGGTCGACTCCCCACGGCACACCCGCGAGCGCGGTCGTGTCCGCGTCGGGCGGGAAGAAGACCTCGCCCCAGCCCACGACCCACTCGGGCCCGTTGATGGCCGGGATGACTGCAATCGGGAGCGGCTGGGACGGCGGGAAATGCGGTGCGAGCGCGAGGTCCCACGCCATGGGGAACGGCCCCGGCGAGCGGTGCGACAGGCGCGCGAGCGGTGTGTCGGCGTGGTTCTGGCCGTCGATGCGGTCCCCCGAGGGGCCGTACGCCGTGATCCCCCAGTGGACGGGGGTGGCCGCGAGCTGGGCGAGCGCGTCGGCGTCGGCGTCGGCGTCGGTGTCCAGCGGCGACGGGGACACGGGGTCAGCCACGCCGCGCGCGAGGATGGTGATGGACGTGCTGGGGTTGATGACTTTGGGCCAGCGCGGGTGGTCCTTGCCAAACCCGAGGAACCAGCCGTTCGAGCCGTGCTTGAACGTCGCGCGCACCTGGTCGGCGCGGACGGGCGGGTTAAAGTCGACATGGACGTTGACGGGGCTGGTGTCGCTCGGGACGGTAAGGGACAAGGCGGACACGAGCGTGTCGGGGTCCAAGCCGAGAACCGTCTCGTCGCCCTTGCACGTCTTGCGGATTTGTTTGTTGGCCGCCGTGACCACTGCCACCGGGTAGGTGCGGCCGCTGGGGGAGTCCGGGGGCGACTCGGGGCTGAGCGAGCGCGTTGGAGAGGTGGGAGTGATGGGAGTGACCTGGGTAGCGTCAGTGGGACGTCGGGGGCGTAGCATGCCCAACTCACAGAGCCTGTGCGCACGTCAACCATGGTGGATTATTTGTGAGGATGGGTGAGAGAGGGTGGAAGACGAGGAGAGCCCGGGGAGGTGGGAATAAGTATGCACACTTTGCCTGGGGGTGAGTGATGGGGACAAGGTGTGTGTGTGTACCACCACCACCATGACACACAACATCCCCCGGCCCTTCTTTGTGTGTTCGTGTCGTCTGAGCGCGCATTGACAGTTACAGACGTAGACTTCGGGAACGCCACAACTCAACCCCCCCCCACCTCGGTTCCACCCCCAGAAGCAACCGAGCTGGAAACGGTCACGTGACCTCAATGGGACCCGTCGCTCCTCGTGTCTCACCCGTCCACCTTTGGTCGCTGCGTCTCCCTCTTTCACAAGCCAACTCACACCCTTCCTCTCCACGCTCGACAGCGACCCTCTCTGCACCACGCTCCAGCTCTCGAGCGTACAGCAGCGATGCACTGCCTTCGCAACGTCCTGCTCTATGCCATCCTCATTCCCATGCCCGTGAGCCTTCTCCCTCTGCGCCCCGCGCCGAAAAGTGTGGAACCTACACTGACACTGCCTGCTCCACTGTCTTGTTCCCTCGTCGCCAATGTCTCTCCTGGCACCATCTCTGATTGCATGCGGCCCGAATCAATGATGCGTCTGTATCACGACGACACGGACTCTTAACTTCTGGTCTTGATTGCGCAACGCTGTGACTCCCCTGTCCCCCATCGCGATGATGGATCCCCTGCCGCCTCGCCCCGTTCCACATCAACACAGTCGGCATCACCCATGTTCCTGCTGGTGTTCACCGTGGCAGCATACTGGGCCATCAAACCGTGCGGATACTGCATGACCATTGTGAGTGGAGTGAGCCAGGTGGTTGGGGGGAAGGGGGGCCTTTGGTTGAGTTCTGGCTGGTCGAGTCACACCCCACAGCCAGCGTCACCACCTCCACTTCCTCCACATCCCCCGGATATTCCATTTCACGGTACTGACACACCCACCCACCACCCCAGCTCGCGATCCTGTTCTGCTCGACGTCGCCATCATCGCCGTTCCTCTCTGCGCTGTCCACGGCCCCCGCGACGCCGCCGCCCATGGCAGCGGACACGCTGGCCGCAAGCTACGACACCAACGTGGGCAACCGCGGCGCATTCAACCTCAACGGCGGGCGCATCTTTGACCCGCTGCTCGTCGGGTACCAGGAGATGCAGCGCGTGTGGGCCGAGACGCTCGACCCGACCAAGGCGGGGGCCAGTGGCACCGGCAGCAGCAGCAGCAGCAGCAGCGCGGTGACACGGTCTGAAAATGTTGTCGACGGAGAGGCAGAGGCGGCGCCCGACGGCACGGACGGGGACGCCAGCGCCAGCGCCAGTGCCAGTGCCAGCGTGCGCGTGCGCGTGCCCGACTCTGGTTCCAACCCCAACTCCCACTCCCACTCCAACCTCGGCTGGTGGCCCGGGCGCTGGCCACTGGGCATGTCGTCTGTGGGTAAGCGGGCCAAGACGTCTGAATCCCGGGCCGCCAACGCAGATGGGGAACAACCCCTTGCCGCTGCCGCTGCCGAATCCCCGGCTCTTCCGCTCACGGCCCCGACGCGAGCCTCCGACACGCGCCTTCCGGCTGGCTATGTCGATCTGCGCGTGGGTGGCGTCGGCCTGGTGTTCGACCTCGGGTGGCGGCGCACAGACGCGGCGCTGCGCTGGGAGGTCGAGGACGTGCGGTATGCGGCCGAGCAGAAGCGCTGGCGGGGCGCGGTGCGCGAGCAGCGGCGGCGCGGGGGGAAGAGTGTGGATGTGGGCGTGGGTGTGGGTGACGCTGCGGGTGGTGTGGCAGAGGCCGCGGTCGGCAGCGAGGGCAAGAAGAGTGGGTGGGCGGGGGCATCGTTCATGGGTTCGTGGTAGCATGCGCGCCGTTTTTGCGTCTACAGATGGGGATATGCATTGTGTTGTATGAGTGTTATATTATTTTTGTTCGTTTTCGTTGTGGTGGTCGAAGCAGCGTGTCAACGTCACTGATATCACTGGGCAAATGACAATGTTCTGATGCATCCATATCCGTGCCGTGCGATGGGTGACCTGTGATCTTGTGAGCGGACTGTTCGAGTGCCGCCGGTGCGGCAGTGCGCCAGTGCCCGTTGATTGCCGCCGTTTCCCGTGTGCGTGCCGCTCTTGATCCCCCGCACTGGGGCTCCCGGGGGATGGTCCCTCGCCAATCGTCTGGTCAGGTGGTCCAGGGTTATGGGTCGCTGGGCCGCCGGGAGTGTCGTTGGCAGAGATGCCTGCTGTATGGTTGGGGCGGGAGACTACGGCAAAAAGAGAGAGAGCAGGGAGTGGGTGGGCTGCGCATTGTACGTGGGCGTGGGGGCCAGCACAGGGAGAGGTAGGTAGGAAAAGGGAAGGAAAAGGGTCTGGCCAGTCTCTGGACGAGATGGCAAGGACAAGGCAAAAGAGAGGGAGAGCAAAAAAAAAATAAAAAGCAGGCACAATATACAATAGAGAGCCAGAGGAGCGCCGAGAGCGGGCCGAGAAGACGGTACAGGCTTATGGCGAGCGATGTGCGACGACGATGGGGAGTGCGGCTGTTTGGAGCCAGCTGACCGCCCCGCCCGCCCGCGCGACTGGACTGAAATCATGCGAAGAAGAGCCGGGGGGACAAAAAAGCTTTTGCGGCAGTGGGCGGCAGAGAAAGAGTGGCACAGAGGTACAGACGGGCAGCAGAGCAGAGGCGGCAATGAGAGACCACGATGTGCATTGCACGAGCCGGCGGCGTGTCGAGGCCGTACCGCGGTCGAGAGGAACTGCAAGAGAGACACAGGAAGAGACAAGCGGCCACAAGGCACGCTCCTTGTCTAGCCATGGCCACATGATGGGATGGGATGTACATGCCCACCACACTGGTTTTCGTCTTTGCTGCTGCTGCAGTCTGTGCACCACCCCGCAGTGACGAGGGAGCATGGAGAGATGCACTAGCTTGTGTTTGTGCATGCCCCCCCCCTCCCCACAGCTGGTCGATCCTGCATGGTGTTATCCTTAGTCGCACTCACTCTCCCTGGCGCGCACTGCTTGGCGCGATGGATCCATGGGCCGTGTGTGTGGCTGCCAGAAGGAAAATGACGTTGTGCACATGCGGGCCCACCCTGTGGGGGGTGAGATGATTGGCAGGAGAGGGAAGGCGGCCGCCCTGGGTGGGAGCTCTCCCGCCCCCACAGTCGGTCCGGCCCCGTTCTCTCATTCCCCCCCCCCCCCCAGCAGCAAGCCCCCCCCATCCCCCACCACCCACCCACTGCATACATCTCTCTCCTCCTCCTCTCTCTCCTCCTCTCTTCTCTTCTCTCACATCTGCTCCCCCACATCCTCTGCTTCTGCCTCTCATCGGCAGAAAATCTTCCCCTCCCCCGCCCCATTCCCCAGCTCTTATCCAGGAGCAGCCCCCCTTCCCTTCCATATCAAGCAAGCACATCCCCGGCTTGCTCCCCCCCTCTCCCCAACCACACCTCACAACCCCCCCCATAACCCCAAGACTTCATGTCCACGGTCCAGCGCAATGTCCACCAGCCGCTCCTCTTCGAGTGTGCTTGGGAGGTCGCAAACAAGGTCGGCGGTATCTACACCGTCATCAAGACAAAGGTCCCCGTCACCGTAAAGGAGTTTGGAGACCGGTGAGTAAAGAGAGTCGGCAGACTCGTACAGCGCACACACACGCGCAAGTGCGAGATGAGAAACGGGGGCAACCACTGACTCTATCCAGCTTCTGCCTCATCGGCCCGCTGAGCTACAAGTCGGCACCCATGGAGGTCGAGTCCGAGGAGCCGTGAGTAACAGCTGTGTCGGAAGGAGGCCTGCGTGTAGGCAGGCGGCGGCCCCACCCGACACGGGCCGAACCAGGATCACCAGGATCACCCGATCACCCACCCGCTGACACTGGATCCCTACAGCGAGCCAGGATCCCCCATGGCCGAGTCGCTCAAGGCGATGAAGGACCGCGGCGTAAAGTACATTTACGGCCGCTGGCTCATTGAGGGTGCTCCCCGTGTGCTCCTCTTTGACACTGGAAGCTGCTATGACCGGTAGGTTTCGGATGGCACCTTGCCCGCAAAGCATGCCACTGACGCCACATCACAGCATGGACGAGTGGAAGCAGGACCTCTGGAACATTGCCGGCATCCCCACCCCTCCCAATGACCACGAGACGAACGAGACCATTGTCTTTGGCTACATGGTCGCCTGGTTCCTTGGCGAGGTGAGTAGAGAAGAGAGACGCAAGGAAAGGAATGAGGGAGCAGCGCGATGCTGACATTTGTTTCTCCAGTTCTCCTCCCGTTGCCTCGACACTGCGATCATTGCCCACTTTCACGAGTGGCAGGCTGGTCTTGCCATTCCCCTGTGCCGCAAGAGGCACATTGACGTCACCACCATCTTCACCACCCACGCTACCCTGCTCGGCCGTTACCTGTGCGCCGGCAGCGTCGATTTCTACAACAACCTCCAGTACTTTGACGTCGACCACGAGGCTGGCAAGCGCGGCATCTACCACCGTTACTGTATCGAGCGCTCGTCGGCCCACTGCGCCGACGTGTTCACCACCGTCTCGCACATTACCGCGTACGAGTCGGAGCACCTGCTCAAGCGCAAGCCCGACGGCGTCCTGCCCAACGGTCTGAACGTGGTCAAGTTTGCGGCCATGCACGAGTTCCAGAACCTCCACTCCATCTCCAAGGAGAAGATCAACGAGTTTATCCGCGGCCACTTTTACGGCCACTACGACTTTGACCTCGAGAACACGGTCTACATGTTCACTGCGGGCCGTTACGAGTTCCGCAACAAGGGTGTCGACATGTTCATCGAGTCGCTGGCGCGTCTGAACCACCGTCTCCAGAAGATGGGATCCAAGATGACCGTCGTGGCCTTTATCATCATGCCCGCAGCCACCAACTCGTACACCATCGAGGCCCTCAAGGGCCAGGCCGTCACGGGCGCGCTCAAGGACTGTGTCAACCAGATCACCGACCGCATTGGCAAGCGTCTCTTTGAGCACGCCGCCCGCTACGACGGCACGCACGGCACCGAGGTTCCCAACCCCGAGGACCTCATGTCCGCCGAGGACAAGATCCTGCTCAAGCGCCGCGTGTTTGCGCTCAAGCGCAACTCGCTCCCTCCCGTTGTCACCCACAACATGGCCGACGACTCGACCGACCCCATCCTCAACCAGATCCGCCGCGTCCAGCTCTTCAACCGCACCTCGGACCGCGTCAAGATCATCTTCCACCCCGAGTTCCTCAACTCGAACAACCCCATCCTCGGCCTCGACTATGAGGAGTTTGTCCGCGGCTGCCACCTGGGTGTCTTCCCTTCTTACTATGAGCCATTCGGCTACACTCCCGCCGAGTGCACCGTCATGGGTATCCCCAACGTCACCACCAACCTGTCCGGTTTCGGCTGCTTCATGGAGGACCTCCTCGAGGCCCCCGAAGACTACGGATGCTACATTGTCGACCGCCGCAGCCAGGGTGTCGAAGAGTCGGTCGACCAGCTCACCAACATGCTCCTGGGCTTCACCCTCAAGTCGCGTCGCCAGCGTATCAACCAGCGTAACCGCACCGAGCGCCTGTCGGAGCTGCTCGACTGGAAGTCGCTCGGTCTCGAGTACGCCAAGGCGCGCCAGCTGGCCCTGCGCCGCGCGTACCCGGAATCGTTCACCGACGACGAGCCCGAGTTTACCGGCGTGCAGCGCGTCGCTGGCCCGCTCTCGGCTCCCGGTTCCCCGCGCTACCGTTCCGGCATGATGACGCCCGGAGACTACGCCACGCTCACCGAGGAGATGGAGCACCTGTCCACCAGCGACTACATGGGCGGCAAGAACTGGCGCGGCATCAACGACAATGACGACGACGAGGAGAACCACTACTCGTACCCGCTCGTCATGAAGCCGCGCAACCGCTCCGACTCGCTCGCGTCCGCCATCTCGGGCACCATGACGCCCTCGGGCGGCCTCAAGCTCAGCGAAAAGGACCTGGCAAAGGCCGACGCCGCGCTCGAGACCCACAACACGGTCGCAAGTAACGGCCACTAGGCGCGCCGAGCGGGCGCGAGCGGGCGCGGCGGCGGAGCGAGAGCGAGCATGAAGACCCCAGCAGCTCCGTCCATCGGAGTCAACAGTGTCGACGACCAGGAAAGAAAATAACGACGTGTCTCTGCCAACCAACCAACCAACCAACCAACCAAAAATCACGAAATCTCGCCACAATGATCTATCTCTGGCTACGGAACGGATTTCGCCTACGAGAAGACCGGGACGGCGGGGAGCGAGCTGGAGGGAGAGAGGAAGGGGTGATGGTGACGGGGGTTGTGTCTTTTGACGACGACGACGACGGCGGCGGTGGTGGAGGCGGTGGAGGTCGATTGTCTGCGTTTGCGTTTTGCGTTTCCCATTTTTCCTTTCCTTTTGCGTCTTTTGCGTTTTCTTCTTCTTTTGTGTGTGTTTAATTGGGGTGTGCGAGTGAGTCAAGTCAACCGAGGCGTTCCATAGGCTGGTTACGTGAAAACAATATGCAATGAATCATGTGTGTCCCAGTCTAGCAAGTTGCGAGTGGTGGTGCGTGGTGGTGTGTTGTGCTGTGTGGTGGTGCTGGAAGTTGGATCTTGGGAACTGATCTCTGGATCGACTTTGTGAGTAGTCCAAAAGCAATCATTCAGGTATGTCGGGCACGGTACTGGCCATGTACTTCAACAGAGGTCGCATAGTCTGTCGCCAACACTCCGAGAGCAACGGTATTGCGTCCTCTTGAAGGGAGGCGTGAGTGAGAGTGGCACCAAGACTCTGCGGTGACCTGTGGATCCGGCATCGTTGCCTCGGCCACCGGCGCGCCAACCGCCACCACATGCTCGCAGCTCAAGTCTATAGGTCTACATATAGACGCGTCCACATGGGCCATCCACCTTGGTCATCCTGCGCCTCATGCACCTCATGCACTTCATGCACACCCTCGGTCAGCTACTTGTGATCTCAGAACAAGAACGCCGGCAACAGAGCCGGGGGTAGCAGCCGGACATGTCGTCGCGGCTTACGACCTCCATCTGCCCATCTGTGCACCTTGCTCTGCAAGTGCGCGGCGAGCGGCCGCCGCGCCCCGCCGAGGTATTCATGTAGTTGGAAACTCGGCGGGCATAATCCGCATTCTTATGTGTGTGCTGGCCAACTGACACACACTGCCAACACCAACGTCCGTCGGCGGAGATACGCGGCTGCGGCCGGGCGGGCGCGTCCACACTGGTACATACAGTGGCCACGGGGGTCGTTGATCGCGGCCGTGGGCGTAATCGATGGCCCGCGTCAGCGACATCCCCCTCCCCCCGGGGCCCAGAAAAGCAACACGGCGGGTGGTATACCGCTCTTCCCCCGAGATCTGGGCCAGCCACCCGTATGTATATGCGTCGTGTGGCCGTGTGGACCGGTGTGTGTCTGCCCCGAATGTGTGGCGTGGCGTTGCAGAGGTCGTGTCGCCCGCACCAAAGGCCCCTTTGGACGGATCCAAGCTGCCTGAAGGGGAGACAAGATGGAGAAAAGACTGGACAGCGTACGCTGACTGGCCTAAAACGCATGGGCAAATACCCATGACACTGTGCCATCGCCGCTACTAGCAGGACAGCGGCGGTACAGCGGTTGCTGGGGTGTGCCGAGGGCAACCACTGCTGCGCGGTGGCGGACGGAAAATCTCGAGACCGACATGTCGATTGTTGTTCCCGCGCCATTTGGTACTCGAATATATGTTCATATGTCCTCCCCCCCCTGATCACCTGACAACGCCAGTCGACTGTTGCTTTCGTTGCACAGCTGCGTCGCTTCCAAGGCTCGTTGTTGGCCGCGGAGGATGGACGGAGACTCCGGAACGAACCCGCATGGCGGACTGTGGACTGCGTGCCAAGCGTTTTAGGCCCTCCGGTAGCAGGGCGATCAGGAGCGGTTGGGGGGAGGGTGGGGGTCGCTTGTCGCCTGCTCTGGACCACTGCACCACACTGGACTGCACCATGCATGGCTGAAAAGTCGCTTTGACACACTTGTGGAGGTCCCCTTGCAGACGCGCAGATGCTTTACTCATCAATCACTGATCAAGCACAGCACGGGTGGAGTGGAGTGTTTCTTTGTGTCCCACGTTGTGCTTGATGCAAGCCTTTGCGGACGGCAGATAGCGGGTGCCTCTCTGCGCTGATCTCAGCACGCAGTCGGCTCGCAGCAGCAGCGAGTGGAGGGAGACGAGGCGGGCCGGCCGCGCCCGGCCGAGAGGACGCGACAGTGTTAGTAACAGGAGGACACCAATTTTTTTTGGCTTTGATTCAGCACAAGAGCTGTCTCGTTGTGGTGGTGCCGCAGCGGCCCGGAGGCCGAGTGGCCGAGGACAACCGAGGGGAAGCGAGACCAAGCCAGGGGTGGCGCAGTGGAGGAGGCGAGACAGCGACCAAAGTGTGTGCCGTGAATAGCAGCAGTGCAGTTTGCCGGGTGCCTCAAATCACGCCAATGGACCCAGATGTAAGACACGGAGATCACAGAAAGAGAGGGAGAGAGAGCGACGGTCCAGGCGTCAGCAAAAACAACCATAGATTATCTCCACTGGGCCCATGTGGAGGCGAGCTGCTGCGGCGATACGCCGCTGACGGCGGTTGTCAGCATGATTGTTGGGTTCTGTCAGCAAGAATCAGTCGGCAGTGGAGGTTTCTCTTTTTTGCAAGCGATGCGGCGGCAGAGACCGCAGAGATCGCAGACAACTGTGCATATTGCCATGCAACGGCCGGCTGGCTATTTGACACAGCATGAGAAAAGCGTCGGTCGAGACGACGAGATTCGAGCCTCGGGCATGCAATCCACACACCCCCGAGGGCGGAGTTGGACCCTAACCGCACATGGGAGAGGGGCAACTTGCTGCAGCGCGCTGACGGCGCCTCCAAAGACCGCTGCGGACGGCGGCAGAGGCAGCAGAAGCGAGAGGAGGACGAGGAGAGGGCCTGCACGGTGGCTCGGCACCCCGGTCGGCCATGACGATTATCGCTAATCAGCCACCCCCCCTACAATCCACCCAATGCTTCCCGTCCAGACACTCAGGACTTTTAAAGAGGAGCAAATCTCATGGCTCCACCAACAACAATTTCATCCCCCCTCTCCATTCCCATTCCTCTCCGTTCCATCAACCAACGCACCCCAGTTCACTTCGTGCAGCAGCAGCACACTCCACTGCATATTCCTGGCTCTCATAGCACACCTGCTAGCCCTTTTTCCTCTTCTTCGCCATCCCCCACCTCCACTACAGCACACTTCACACTTCACACTTTCATTCTTCAACCATGGCTCCCGCGCCCGCCACCATTCCCGAGGAGACCGCCTCGGACGGCTCCACCATCGCCCCGCTGTACACCGGCCATGTCAACGACCCCGCCGAGCCCCCCACCCGCGTGCTGTCTGGTGCTAGCTCCCGGCCAGGCCTCAAGCGCTCCATCACCACCGAGTCGCGCTTGAGCCGCATCACCTCGGCCATGCCCAACCCCGAGGCAGACCTTGCAAAGGGTGTCAACCTTCGTCGCCCGCCTGGTGCCGGTCCTCCAGGGGCTGGCGGTCCTCCCGGTGGTGGTGGTGGTGGTCCTCCCGGCCTCCGCAAGTTCTCCCATGGATGTGAGTGTGGACACGGCGGCTTGCAGTTGGCTTGCTGCCAAATAAAGAAACCCCCGACCCAGCAGCTAACGTGATCGCAGTCTTCGACCCCGAGTTTGCCACGTTCCGTGGCATTGCAATCAAGATCCTCGGTGCTGTCGTTGTCATCACCACTCTGGTCATGTGGGCCTGCGCTCCCTTCTACTGGGGTTCTCGTGAGTACACATTGTGTCGTCACTGCCGCGTGTCGTGGCAGGACGATCAGTGGCGCCGATCAGTGGCGCCAATCCTTCCCACCCAAAAAAGCAGCAGCAACTGACATTTGCCCACAGTCTGGAAGTCAAACCACTACATTGACAAGCTTGCTGTGCGCGTGATTGACCGCGACGGCGGTGCCATCGGCGAGGCCGTCTCGGCCGGTCTGGTGAGTAGACTGGACTGGCTTGCTCTTCACGTGTGTGTCGACACTGACCTCCCCTCGCAGCTCAACATGACCGGCTCCAAGACGCAGCTGCACTACTTCTGGACGTCGCCCACCGAGTTCCCCACCATTACCGACATTGAGAACGACATCCTCGACGAGGGCGCCTGGGCTTCCATTGTGATCAACACGGGCGCCACCGCCGCCCTCGCCGCTGCGCGCGCGGCCGGCGACTCGACCTACCTCGGCACCACTGCCATCTCGGTCATCTATACCCAGGCCCGCCAGGAGACTGCCGTCGGCAACTACCTTGTCCCCTACATCACTGCCGCCCTCGCCCAAATCACAGGGCAGCTCTCGGCCCAGAACGTCGCCCAGTTTATCGCTGCCAACTCGGGCAATGCCACCGCCTTGAACCTCGTCGCTCAGGCTCCCACGACACTGACCGCGCCCATCTCATACGCGTTTGAGAACATCCGCCCCTTCAACCAGCCCGTCGCCACGGCCATTACCCTCGTCGGTCTCATTTACATGCTCATTTTCGCCTTCATTACGTGTATGGCCAACAAGTGAGTGCAGCCTGGACTAAGCAAAACTGTGGTTGGAAGCTGACAACGTCCCCGCAGTGGTGTCCGCGAGATCATTGCCCCGTTCCTCACCACCCGCTCGTACCTCATGTACCGTATCCTCGCTCCCCTGAGCCTGTACGCGTGGCTGTCGCTCGTCTTTGCCATGATCAACCTGCCGTTCAAGGTCGACTTTGGCGCGCACTTTACGTACGCCGGCGGCTTCTTCCTGTGGTGGGTCATTCTTTTCCTCGGCATGGCCTCGGTCGGCCTCGCGTGCGAGTTTATGATCACCGTCCTCGGCCCCAAGTTTATCGCCTTCTTCCTCATCCCGCTCATTATCGCCAACGTGTCCGTCGTGTCGCTCCCGCACGAGCTCCAGCCATGGATCTACCGTTATGGCGTGGCCATGCCGTTCTACAACTGCTCCAAGGCGGTCCGCACCATCATCTTCAACACCAAGAACGAGATTGGCCAGAACGTCGGCATCCTCATCGGCTGGGTCGTCCTCTCGATCGTCACCACGACCGTCGCCACGTACCTGTACCGCTGCAAGGCCGTGCGCGAGCACATGCGCGAGGTTGGCGAGCAGGAGCTGGACCGGAAGCTCCCGGACGGCCGCATCGTCTAAGTGCGAACAGCCCAACACCGAGGGTAGTCGGTCAGTCGCGTCGCGCGGCCACACACTTGTGCGAGCAGCCTCCTGAAGAGAGAGCCCTCCACACCACCCCGACTGCGACTTTATAGATAGCGCTGGAATAGATGGGCTGAACGGTTCGAAACATTACAAACCGCGCCGTTGATCACTGTATATATGCACCTTGCTATAATTTCTGCCTGCATCGAGCAACGGAGCTGGCACAAGGGTGACAGGCTGACATTCCAAAGAAGCACACCTCTACTCTTGGCAGAGCGGCGGTGGGACGTCGGACATGAATCCGTCGTCCAGGTCACCCACCCTCTTGTTGGCGCGCGTACACTGCGCACTGCAGACGCAAGCTCTGCCCGCAACGCACAGCGCACCTACGATCGAGACGCTTGAAGACCCGACTCGCCACCTTTGTCAAGGCCAACACGCCAGCCGCCGTCATAGAGTGTGCCCGATGCGTGACCGTTCGCCGCCGTCTGTATGGTGCCCGCGATCCGCAGCCAAAGGGCGTGTCGGGCCTGGACGCGGCCTATATCGAGACACAACCTGCTGCCCAAGAACAATGCAATATATAAAAGTCCATTGGAAACTGTGTCCTCGACCCCACTGGCCGGGCGTGCACTGCAATAAAAGTCTAATTGGACTGTGTGTGTTCGCGGTATACTGCTCATACTACTCACTTGCGGCCATGTGGCCATGAGCAGTGCACTCTGCACCGCCGAGACTGAACCGGCGTCGTACAAAAAAAAGCTCTTTGAGATCTCGACGGAGATTCCGTACACTGGTCCGCCCCGGCGGCACGACGCGCCATGGCGAGATCCCATATCCCACGTTTGCGGATTGTGGATGCCATATGCCTATGCGCCTCGTGCTCACCGGTGTTGTTGGGGTGGGTGGAGTGGAGTGGAGTGCTTTGGGATATACATCGGCCACATAGGTTCATCTGACACCACCACGCTCCATGGAATGCCGCGTGTGCGGTGACTGACCGTCTCAAGAACGTAACACACCGAGCCTGTTGCGCATACGCAGACAAAAGACCCACCGGCAAACCCGGCCAACCCAGGATTGCTGGATCAACCCCGGTTGACGGCAGCGGGAGACGTGCGTGCGGCGCGTGCGGCATGGGTCTCCAGCGGCACATGCATAATGCTCGCTCGCCTCGCTTGAATGTCCTAATGCAAAAGGGTCTCTCCATGTGGTGGTCCTGCATGTCTGCATGTCTGCAGCTAGTACCCTAGGCTAATGGGAGAGCCGAAAAAGATTGAAGGCAAGGACAATGAGATGTGTGGGCGGCGACGGGCCAGCGTGTTCTGCACCATCCGCAGGCGTGCAGATCAACAGAACAAACCGTGGAGAAGAGAGAACACGGCAGGTGGGAGCGAGAATGGCATGGCGTCCCATCCCAGATCCTCAGATCCTCAGATCCTGCAGGACTGCAGGACTGCAGGACTAGGACTGCCGGTACGAGAGCCGGTCTCCCTCTGATGCATGCGCAGGGGGGGCAGGGGTCTGTCTCTCTCGCTCTCTGGCTGATACGACGCCAAGCCTCTCTCTCTCTCTCTCTTCTTCTGTCTCACATTTTACAGTGCCACGCGTGTGTTGATCGGAGCTTTGAGCAGTGGACGCCTGTGTGAGAGTCAAGCGTCAGAGCATGTGGCCGGGGGACGCGACGAGGGGGAGCAACGACGCACCGCACGCGCATGCACAGGGACGCTTTTCTCGTGTGAATTACACTTTCCTGCCCTCCCGGCCCGTGTCATGCATATAACCTTTCGGCAGCGGGAGACAGGAGAGAGAGGACGACACGGCATGAACGACGGAGGCGATGCACCACCCATTATTGAACGGAAGCTGCCCCTGTGCCCTCTCTCACGGACGCGCGCGCGTACCAGTGCACACGCAGTGCAAAAGGCGAGAGGGGCGAGAGCAGTGGGCCCATCGCAACAGCCAGAGAACCCATGTGCAAGGCCCACAAGGCTGTCGGGGCGATCACGCACCTCCTCGCTGCTCTCTGTCAGAGCTCTGCACCGCCGCCCGTACAGTGCAAAAAAGGACAACTACTGTGACTTGTTAAAAACACCCACAGCACGTCGCAGCCGTCCACCTCTTTTCCCCCTTTCTTGCAACCTCCCCAGAGCACCCATAGTCCCACCCCCTTTCACGTTCGCCCGTTCAAACACGACTTGTCCCATCTGTCCAGCACACCGTGACGTCCAACAGCACAACCGACATCCCCAGTAGTGGCCAGTCTACAGAGTCTACTGCGCCCACTGCTTCCACAATGAGTAAGTAGTGTTACCAAGGGCCGTTTAATGGGCCGCGCCGTGCCAAGGGCCGCCGCAACCGTCACATGGACAGCATGGACAGGTCGACAGGCATGCGGGCAGTGCTGCTACACATACATATATTGAGACTGCAAGCACAAGAACACATGCTCATGCCCAGGCTCCGACCCCATCATGACTTCTATCGGCGTCACCACTGGCCCGGTCGTAGACCCAACCACCAGCGTGGTCGACCCGACCACCATCCCGCCACCTACCACCTCCCCTACCGACCCCACAACATCACCACCCACGTCCGAGCCACCCACAACCTCCCCTCCCCCGACCACTGAGCCAACGTCGACACCTCCCCCAACGAGTGAACCGCCCACTACATCCTTGCCTCCCACCACGAGCGATCCCCCAACGTCCACGCCACCCGTAGAGACCACCAGCGCCCCGCCGACAACCTCCGAACCCCCCACGAGCGTCGCTCCCACCACCACCACACCCACATCCGTCGCTCCAACCACCACCGAGCACACGTCGTCGTCCCAGAGCACCCCCACGAGCCAAAAGCCCAGCTCGACGAGCAACACGTCGACAAACTATTCGACCGTCACGCAGACGGATACCACGCACACCACCGCCTCGGGCGGCGCGCTGGACGCAGGCAGCGGATCGGACACCACGCACACGGGCGCGATCGTCGGCGGTGTGGTGGGCGGTGTCGTCGGGCTCGCAGTGCTCATTGGGCTCGCCATCTTCCTGCTGAAGCTGCGCAAGCGGCGCCGGCACTCGAAGGCCTTCAGCGACAAGATGTTTGAGCCACCTGCAAACGCGCCCTACTCCGACGGCAACCTCCTTGACGACGAGGTCCGGATCGAGCCGTACGCGATGCTGTCGCCCACGTTTGGCCAGGGACAGGTGTACGCCGACGACGGGGGTTACGCCGCTGGTGGTGGAGGTGGAGGAGGATACTCGCAGCAGCAGCAGCTGGGCCAGACCCAGGGGGGATACACCGAGCCCGAGTTTGAGCACGTCCCGCCTGCGTCGACCAGCCGCGCAAACAACGACGAGCGCAGGTACTCGTACAACGACTACAGTGAGACACCGTATGCGTCCGCCACGGCGGCGCTCCTGAGCGGCACCGACGACCAGTCGAACGCGCGCGACGAGTACAACCACCAGCTGGCCGCCGAGTCGCAGCAGCGCGCGCAGCGCCTGTCGACAATGGGCGGCAGCGGCAGCGGCAGCGCGGTCGGCGCCGGCAGCTCGCTCGCTCGGTCGGCCTCGATGGCGTCGAGCGTCTACTCGACCCCCTCGCCCGACGACTACACCGCGCGCAACTCGGCATCGAGCAACACCCCGCTGTTCACCGACAACGCCCTCGCCGTCGCCAACGACAACCGCAGCTCGCGCCAGCTGGCCCCCGCCACGTCGGCCGCGCTCTCGGCCGCAGAGGCAAAGTACCGCGAGGCGAGCAGCAACGGCGGCTCGATGGCGTCGAGCATGGCCGCGGAGCTTCCACCAAAGTGAGTCTAGCCGAGGCTCCCGTTGGCAACAATTGTTCTTGTTTGTTTGTGCCCAGCGCTGACGCCCCCCTCCCCTTTCAGCTACGACGCGATTCCCAAGAGGACGTAGACTCGGTTTGTGTGTGTGTAGGTAGATAGGATAAAAGACGGTGGGTCGCGGCCGAGGTCGCGGCCGTGTACCTAATATACAAGAGACGTAAGCAGTCTAGGGACATTGGGCTCTTAACGATGCACAAACAATGTATACATGTGTAACCACACCACACACTTGCACACTTTGCGCCTGCCAAACGTGTCCGCTGCAACTCCAGTTACATCGCCAAAGTTATAAAGTGTCCACGTTTTCAAAGTGGTTGATTGTGTCTAAAATAAGTAACGTTCCACCTTCCTTCCTTCCTCTTGGCCCCGCGCCTATGCGATGGTGGCCTCCTTGCCACGGGCGGCGATGTGGTTACGCGCCACGACCGACTTCTTGGTCTTGGTGGTCGACAGCGAGTGGAAGATGTTGGCCGAGTACTCGAAGCCGTCCTGGGGCGCCACGCCCTTCTTGTACACCTTGTTCCAGTTCTTGACAATGCCCTGGACGATGGGGTTGCCGACGATGAAAATGTTCTCGGTGGCAGGGGTGAAGCCGCCCTGCGACGCCTCGAAGGCAGTGAGCGCGTCCGAGCCCGCGTAGCCGCGGTCAAAGTCCGAGGCGGTGCGCATGAGGATGACGCGCGAAAAGTCCATGAGGCCCGCAGTGGTGGCGCGCATCATGGCCTCAAAGGTCGCGTTGTCCTCCTGCGCGGTGAGCGCGTACTGGCCGGTACCGTTGGTCCAGAGGGCAGTCTGGAGAGAGTCAGCGTGGGTCTTTGAGAGTAGTCTGTAGCGAGGGCAAAACGGGGGTCTTGCTGTGCGGTTCCAACGGAGCCGACGTTTGTGGCACCTTGTGACCGCCACTCTGCCATTCCCGTCTCAACCACTCGGTCTACTCACAATGTTGCCAAAGGCCTCCGAGAGCAGGGTACCAGCAAAGTAGACGTCGGAAGTGGCTGTTGGTCAGCACAGGTACACAGCGGACACGGTGATGGGACTCACTGACATCGCCGTAGAAGACGGCGGGGGGCTGGTTGGCAGGCGCATAGTCGTACTTCTGGCGGTACTCAATAGCAGTGGTCGAACTATGTACTCGTCAGCGTTCTGGCTCTTCCTGGCACAACTTCAAACTCACTCGTTGAGGGTGACGTTGGCGGCAGTGACAAAGGCCATGGCGTGGTCGCGGAGGTTGGTGTTGAGCTCGTAGTACTCGGTACCATAGTTGCTGGCGTCGACGAGGGTTCCGGGCTCGGCAGTGCCCTGGACCCAGTAGCCCGTGGTCCAGTTGGAGGGCATCTGGCGCGCGTCGAGCTCGTACGCCAGCGCGCACTGCACGGCGTAGCGGGCAAGACCGACCGAGCCAAGCGTACCCATGTACGGGTTAACACCGGCGATACCACCGATAAGGCTTTTTGAAACGCGTCAGCCACATGCCGCAAAATGAAATGTTCCCCCAAGCCGGTGGTGACTGTCCAAAGGTATACACTCACAAGTACGTCTTGGAGAAGTCGAACACGGGCGACAGGAGCATGGACGTGACCGAGACGGCGGCGTTGATCTCGGCCTCGCCAGTGGTCATCTGACAGATCTCACCGGCCTTGTTGCAGTGGATGGCAGGGTAGAGGGGCGACAGGCCCGGGAGGGTGTAGTTGGTGTTGAGGTCGAGCGCACTCCAGACCTCCTCGTACTCGAACATGGAGATGATGAGCACCTTGGGCGACACAGTCTTGGAGTGGCCGCGCGAGAACATGCCGCTGAGCGGGGTGGCCGACGCCGCCGTCGTGACGAGCGCAGCGAGGATCGCAGTGGTGAACTTCATTGCTGGTGGGGGAGTGGGAGACGAGGGAGTTTTGGGTTTTTGTGAGGAGAAGTCTTTGTCTCTTTGCTCGCTCAGCTGCTCTTTAAGTACTGCTTCCCAAGGACGACCAGGGCCGGGCGCCGATATTGCAACAACTGTCCCCCAGCGAGACGTTCTCTTCCTCTCCAGCTGTCCCCTATCCGAGACAGGCAGTTTCGCACAATCGTCAAACCCGCATTAGCCTTCACCTTCCATGAGGCACCAGGACCCAGATCAACTTACAGGAGCGGAAGCGGGGGTTGCTCTAGTCACAGCGACATGGATCATGCGAGGCTCCCTGCGCCAATTGAGCCGACCCTTCGGCGCCTCTCCGTGGTGGGCCATGGAGGAGACAACACAACTTGCTCGACGCTGGTGGGTGATAGTAGTGGACCGCAGGCCGCAGGGGTTACAGCCTCTGCCTGCGCAATGAACGTCTCAGGGACCGACAACGTCTCTGTCTGGCACTCGTTTTCTGCTGCTTGGCTGCGTTAAAAATAAAACGCACATGCCGCGCTGCCTGCCTGCAGGAGCGTGGCGCAAGGCACCACTGCTCGAAACCTCGGCCTCGTTCATGCTCTCTCTTGCCCGCATGGACGTCGTGTTGTCGACCATGCGGTCCGCATCGCTCGCGGACCCTCAGATAAGCCGCATGCGGCCGTGTGCGGGCGGCCGATAGCGAATGGTGCGCCGAGGCTACCGGGTTTCCATCAAAAAAAGGCGGCCTGCGCCCGACTGCGCCGGGTTTCCATCAATAAAAAGGAAACCGCGATTCCTGGGTCGCGGGGTTGCGACCCGACGGTTGCGGGTTTGCATCAGCGTACTGCAGCTGTTGAGCGCGCCGCTGACCGAGCAAAAGTGACGGGTGGGTGTGTACGTAGTCCTCGGTGACGGCCGTGAGGCTGTCTTGCGAGATTGTAATAGACACTTTGCTCCGGTCTATTCTCCCATCGGCTTTCTCGATAGGTATTGGTGTATCTACAGATCCCCTTGGCATTGTGGCTGCAGCACAGTCGATGTCACAAGACCACCCGTTGGGCTGCGTACATACGTCGGCTCTGCTCGGTAAACCACTACTGCCGTAGGTGTACACATTGGTCGTGAGTCGTGGGGACATTCGTGATTGCTCCCAGGGGGCAGTGGGGTAGATTACATCCAACTCGGCTGGCCGCGTAGGGTCGGTTTCTTCCCTTGAGCGTTTATCCCTGCTGGCGCCAACCAAGATCGAGATCGGGATACCATGAGATGTGTCTGTGCTCTCTGAGGCTCTCTCCATGGCTCTCTACAACTCGGCTAGTCGTTCGGGGGGCCTGGTGCAGGACGAGCCGAGCCCTGGCACCGGCGTTGCCGAATTGGTGACGGCCCCTCTCCCCATCCCTCTTCCATTCCGACTGGGCTCGCATCGTTTCTCGCATCGTTTCTTGGGCCATCAATGCGCAGCCACCTGAATGTTGAACTTTCCCATGCCTCTGCTTGACTCATAGGTCATCTGGGACAGAGGCTGGTGGTGGGTTTTGTTGGGCAGTCGATCAGATCAACTGGAGGAGGCCTGGTCATGGGGGGGTGAAAAAGTTGGTAAAATCTACAAAAATCGCCCGAATGGCCAGGGAGGTTTGCCGGCCAGCGGTGTGCAAGAGGCCGACACCACGGTGGTTGACGCTGTACCACTGTGCTGGATGCTCTACCGGGAGTTGCATGTCACACTAACAAGCGCTAGAAGATGGGACACAGGGGACACACGGGTGCAAGGTTGATCGACACGGCTTGTGGCACGGTTCGCGGCTGATCAATACCATTCAAGGGGGTGGGAGGCGGGGAGCGTCACGTCTGTCGCGCTAATACCTTCTGCAATCTGAAAAGGAAACATGTGCTGTATAACATGTCCCCCTCCACTCTCGCGTCTGCATATGTCTTCTATCCAAAGTGTGTTCATTATGGGCGTATGTAACGGCCACAAGGTCCAGACGCGGTCTCGATCGTCTTGGGATCTTGGGCGTTGCCGGCCCCGTGTGCGTGTGGTTTGGGCGCAAGGAAGAGAGGAAGAGCACACAGGTTCTCCACGCTCACTCAACAGACACCTATCCCAACACTTTCTCAGTCTCCACTACACCAAGAGACATCCTCCTCATGATACCCGTACCCACCCCCCTCACACCCACGCCGACGCGGCGCGCGGCCCCGCTCGTCTCCTCGCCACTCCGGACCAGCTCGCCACTCACGGCCACCTCAATGGCGCCATCCCCGTCTCCAAGCCCGTCCCCCAGACCCCCAGCGAGGTCAGCGTCGGCGTCAGCATCCACGCCTACTCCCACTGCGGCAGCCGAGACCCCGCGCTCTACTTCACCAGCTACCGCGGCCGAAATCGCCCGCCTCAAGTCTGAGAATGGTGAGTCGGGAGGCGGTGGCGCTGAGCACCCGTGCTGACCTTCAGCCGTCCTCACCGCGCGCCTGGCCCATGTCAATGGTGAGTACTGCGTCCTTTGGGCGATGGGACGCTGGAGCAGCGGTAGGGCGGGGGCTCACACCGGACCCGACAGCGCGCATCGCAGCGATGGAACAGGAGCAAGCACGCAAGAAGGCCGCCGTCCAAGCCGGCCTCGAAGGCCTCGCGCAGGCCCAGGCTGCCGCCGCGCGCCAGCGCCAGCAGCGAGAGAGGGAGCGCGCAGAGCGCGAGTGGGAGCGCGAGCACGCGCGTACGCGTACGCCGACGGGACACGGGCGCACGGGGATGGGCATGGGCGGCATGCCCCACGCCGGCTTGTCACACCGCCCGCACGAGTACGGTCATGCGCGGTCCTCGTCCACCCCGTCCATCGGCACCAGCACCAGCACCATGCGCACCCCGCCACGCGCATCGCGCACCGCTACACGCGCGACGGCGACGCTCGCACACGAGATCGAGTGCGCGACCATGCCCGAGGAGGACGAAGACAGCAGCGACGACCACGCCGTGTTTCACGAGGCGCACTCGTTTCAGCCCCGCTCGCTGTCGTCCGAGCTGCGCGGCCACATGGCCACAAACGTCGACTCGGACGCGCGTGAGGAGGAGTATGCCAGTGCCCTCGCCAAGCTCCAGGGTAGCGGCTAGCCAGCGCAAGAGGGACGCTCTGTAGGTATAGTCTTCTTTTCATCAGTCGCAATAGTTAGTTTTTGTGCGTTACAGTTGCGATCGTGTGTGTGTGTGGAGATGCATCTGGCCTGCAACCGTACATCACCATCCAGAAAAATCGCCAAACCCTCCTGGCTTGCGCTTCTTCTTGTCCACGCCAAACTCGACTGGCGCAGCCGCGGGGCCATCGCGCTTGGTTCCCGAGCCGCCAGCCTTGAGGTACTTGCCCACTCCAGCGTCGTCGGCCTTGCGTTTGCGGTCGTCGCGCGTCGCTGTAGACTCGCCCTTGACGCCCAGGTCGGTGCCGAGCCATGTCGTGCGGTCCTTTTCGCGCTCGGCCGCCTTGGCGGCACGCTTGCGGAGAGCCTCGTCCGACTGGTCCTGGCGAGCAAGGCGTGCTGCGAGGCGGACCTTGTACTCTTCGAAAGGATCTTGCAACCTAGTTGTCAGCTCATGCATGCAGTCGGCTTAGCTCACACTTGAACACCAGTGATGACAATGTCCTTGGTCGGCCGGTCCGATCCTGGTCGCACGGTAGTACGCTCGATGCGCTTCAACGTGTCGTCACCGCCAACAAGCTTCCCGAATACGGTGTGCTTGTTGTTGAGATGGGATGTCTCGTTGAAGGTAATAAAGAACTGGGACGAGTTGGTGTTGGGCCCGCTGTTGGCCATGGAGAGCACACCACGGCTGTCATGTTTGAACGCTCCCTTCTCGGCATACTCGTCCCTGAACGGCTCGCCCCAGAAACTCTTGCCTCCACGACCGGTGCCAGTCGGGTCACCTCCTTGAACCTGATATGGGTCAGCCGCGATGTCGTTCGATGAACTACCCACCATGAATCCAGGTATCAAGCGGTGGAAGACGGTGTTGTCGTACTTGCCCTCCTTGGCCAGCTGGATAAAGTTGTACACCGTCTTGGGGGCACGGTCGCCGTGAAGCTCGACATTCAGGCCGCCGAGATTGGTCATGATGGTCGCGTACGCCTTGGACTTCAACCTGTCCTTCTCCTTTGTCGCCTTCATGAGCTCCTCGAACATCACTGTGTCGTCAGAAACGGCAAAGGCGCGGCCCGGAGCACTCACACTCCTCCTCGTCCAACAGTTCACGCTCGTTGACGACCTGCGGGCCAAAAGTCGTACTTGTCAATGACGCAGCCGCACGGCCGGTGGTGAAGTTGGTGGCATTGTCTGAGTGGGTAAGCAAGTCGCAAGCCTGGGTGAACCCACAAGCCATCTGGTCAACCTTCCTCTTCGCGATCACACCCTCCTTCTTCTCGTCCTCCTTGCCATCAGGACCTGGTGTACCTGAAGGTGACGCTTGCTGAGCTTGCTCTGACCGAGTCTGCGTGGGTCAGCCTTGTCCGAACAAAAACCCTACCTTCTCTGCCAGCATCTTGAGCACCTTGCTGGCTCCACCTGCGGCATCCACGTTGATGCCCTTGAGAGGGTCGCCGGCGAGCTCGTCCTCTGGCTTGTCAGCTACATTCCAACCAAAATCACTCACCTGCGACCTTCTTGTCCTGCTTGACATAGTCGTACTCTCGCAAGTCGCGCGACTGGAGGTTGGCCGGGTCCTGGATCGTGATGATGTCTTCCCTCTTGAAGGGCTCGTCGCTGACGAGGTCGCGCCACGTCTTGGACTTGATGGCAAGGAGCTGGATCGAGGCCATGTCGAACACGTTGCCCGTGCTCTTCAGGAAGACAAGGTGCACGTGCGGCGAGAACACCTTGAAGGTGATGGGGTCGTGGTAGTTGCCCTCGGCGTTCTGGTGGGTGTTAGCTGCAATGTTCAGACCTGATGGCTACCCACCTTGAAGAAATTCAGCTTGATCAGCGAGCCCGTCTCCAGAGGCTTTCCAGACACGGGGTCTGACGAGTTAGCCAGCAGTACCGTACAGTAGAGAGCCTAACTCACTCGTCTTGAACTTGCGGATGTACGGCACAATGTTCAGCAAGTCAAACACGTCGGCGCGCAGCTGCTCTCCAGGCTCCGTGTCGGCAATAACAGCGACGGGGTTCTTGAACGGCTGAAGTGACAATGCACAGCTGTCACTGTAACACCCATGTCAGCGGCCTCGTTCGCCACCCAGCCAAAGGGAATCAACTTACAAGGGAAGACGCATGACCTCCGACCTGCCCGTCTCGGCGCGCTTGCCGCCACTGGACGCGGTGTGTGCGCCCGCGGCGTGCTCCGAGTGGGTCACGTACATCTTGTCCGAGTTGTGGCCCATTGTGGATGCGTTGTTGGCGGTGTGTACGCCGCCAGGCTCGTCGAGTGGGAGGTAGATGAGGCTTGTCAATTGTTGCAGCTCCCCATGTCGGCGGCGAGAGAGGAACAGTGGTGGAGATGACGCGGGATCAATTTCCACGTGGCAGAGAATAACATCACGGAGATGGGGCCATTGTCCGCTTTAAACATGGGTTTTTTTGTTTTTTTGTTTTTGTTTTTGTTTTCCCGAACGAACAAAGCCCTTGCGTGCGTGCCGTACACAATGCACTTGGCTTTCACCCCGGGTTCCTGCTGACGTGAAGACATGTTCTGGTACTGTAACCGTCTCTTTCCGTTCATCTCACCGCCTCTCCTTTTCGTTACATGCCGTACAGCCGACACGGTTTTCTGATCTGGTCTGCTCCCGACGTTTGGGGTCACACTGTTCATATGCGGACCAACAACCTAACAAGGGTGTGCCACCCACTACTGCATTCCACATACTGCACTGATTACTTTAATTTTACTTTAAATGCGGAAGCTGCCAATGTTGGCCTTGAGGACCGCCTCGGACGCCTGGCGGAACGTGTCGGTGATGAATGTAAAGTACGACGCGTAGAAGCGGATGAGCTTCTTGTTGGTGGCGTCCCACTGGGGCCAAGTCTCTTTGACCTTGGTGCCCGTGCCGGTACCACCGCTGTAGTCGTTGGGGTTGAGGTTGTAGACAAAGTTGACGTAGTAGCTCTGGATACCCTTACTGGCATAGTTGGGGAGGATGCCGAAGAAGACCTGGAGAATGTCCGAACCGTGGAACGTGCCGAGGATGGGAGTGCCATAGTCATAGCTAGCAAGGTATGACCAGGCGGGGACGGAGGGGTTGAGAGTAGTGGCGCCCTCGAGGAAGATGCGGCGAGTGATGGTGAAAGTGGCGTCGCCCAGGATGGCAGCCAGACGCTTGAAGCCCGGGTAGATTTCGTTGAAAAGGCCAGTGTTGAACGGCGAGCCGTCGAGCAGGCTAGAGGGGTACGTGTTGACCAGACTAGTGATCTGAGCCGTGGTGGCGTCGTGGAAGAAGATCTTGCTCAGGTAGTCGACCAGCTTGGCGGTGGTGGAGGTGGTGTTGGACTGGAACAGCGAGAAGAGAGTGCCCTCGTCCTCCTGGTCACCGATGATCATGGGGACGGCGGCATACTTCTTCTGGGCGAGAAGCAACTCGGCGCTCTGAGTGAGAGCCGTGCCGTCGGGACGGGGAATGTACGTGAGCGCGACCGAGTTGTACGACAGAATGGCGGGCTGCGAGTTGGCGGCCTTGAGGAAGGTGTCGTAAGGGAGGGCACGGAGGCAGTTGAGAGTGTCCGACGAGCCGCTGCAACCGGCCGCGGCGACGACAGCATCGTACACAGCCTGGCCCTTGGGGCAGTCGACGGGGTCGGCCGGGATGACCGATCCAGAGTTCATGATGGCACCGCGGAAGAGCGCCTTGCCGTTGTACGTGTTGTCGCCGTCGTACATGGACATTTGGTTGTACACGGAGATGGCGCCCGCCGACTCGCCCCAGATGGTGACCTTGGTAGGGTCACCGCCAAACGCCGCAATGTTGTCGGCGACCCACTGCAGGCCCATACGCTGGTCAAGGTGGCCAAGGTTTGCCGAGCCGTCGGCGAGAATCTCCTTTCCGGGCATGAAGCCAAAGCCGCCAACACGGTAGTTGACTGCCACAAAGACAAATGGCTTGCCGTTGGTGACAGCGTTGGAGACAAGGCTGGCGCCGTCGTACATGGCACTCCAACCAAGCTGTCACAGTCAGCACCTTGTTCAAGCGTCGCAGTGTGTCATCACTTACCTCAAAGCCACCACCGAAGATCCAGAAGAGGACGGGCAGGTTGTCGCCAGCCTTGGTGCCAGCCGGACGCGAGACGTCGATGGTCAGGCAGTCCTCGGAGATCTTCAGGACGTCATCGGCCACCAGAGGGGTGTTGATGAGGGTGGTGAGGACCGAGGAAAGGAAGTCGTTCGAGGCGGCATTGGCGGCCATCTGGGGGCAGGCGGGGGCCGCCTGCGTAGCATCAAAGTTGACGAGAGTGTCCGTGTACCTAACAGGAGGCTTGAGGCGACGGCTGCCAGTGGGTGCGTAGGCGTAAGGGATACCAGCAAAGTTCTCGGTCTTCTGGCTCGTAACAATTCCAATCACTTGGCCGGCAGGGATGGTGGCAGTGATGGTGGTGGCACGCTCCTGGAGGCCCTCGTGGCTGGCGACAGGAGCTGGGGCTGCCAGAACGGTGCTGAGAAGCGAGGCGACAAGGGCGAGTGTGACCTTCATGGTTGGCGGTTGGCGGGTTGGAGAACACAAGTCTTGACAGGTGGCCTAGCTTATATACTGTGTACGGATCGGATGACACACCCACACACCCACAGATCCACAGACCGTAGTGGTGGTTTATGCATTGGCCGCCGCATCCCTGCAGGAACAACATTCAGCCAGCAGCCAACCTCACGTCGCGTCGCTGCGTTTGATGTTGTTACTGCCAGAAGCGACGCATGTTGATCCGGCTCGATGGAAATTGGTAGCCGGCCCATGCGGGGTACCCCTCCTCCCACGCAGACACTCGGCCCAGATTTGTCCGATTTAATGTCGCGCGCTGATCGTGGCCTGTTGAAGATGGTACGCGATCATGGTTCGGATGGTTCGCAAGATCGCTGGTTATCCGCGGTGCGCCATCCGCACTGTCTTAACGTGCAACTCGGGCCGAATTCCCCACGCCCACCCGGTGGCCCGGTGTTCAGTACACAGGGTTGCTCGCGTCCTCCCATGCCTCGGTTGGTGCGGGTGGTCTAGAGCTTTAGAGGCGACTTGAAACAGGCTGTGCGAGTCGCCATACCCACTGCGGGGCACAAATGGCGCAACAACCTTCCTCTAAACCTTGGTTCTTCTTTCGCGTGAGTGCTGACACGCTCCTCCAGCGTATTTACGTACGACTTCACCATTGGTCCTCTTGCGTACTGTATCGTTGGCGAGACATCCGCCACCCGCCTTCGTTCCAAATCGGTTGGACTTGCGCGCATGACTTACAACCTGGACCCACGGGGGGCATGCGCAGTCGTCAATTAGAACCAAACATATTAGAAATGTAGAGTTTGGGTCACGCGCTTTTGAAAGTGAACGCCCTGATCAGGTCCAAGGTCCGCCGGGTCCCAGTGCCCATCAAGAAGCCGGTGTTTGGCCATCAGCCAAGACGCGCTGCGCTGCTTTGTGCGCTTTGCAGATGCAAACGTACCCACGAGTGCTTGTGGAAACTGGGCGCGTCGGATGACACTAGCAGTGGGTCCATGTTCGGATCGCCCCTGACCGAACCCATGAGAGGCGTCAATTGCAAGCTGGAAATACCTTCGTGTCACGCGCGTGTGGCTGTCGGCGTCGCGTTCATGGCGCGGGCTGTGGAAGAGGCGTGCTGCCGCATGCGGGGGCCCAAGGCTTCCATTGACACCAGCGCGCATCACCGGCTCGGGGATCGTGGGGGAGGCGTCGGGGGTAACCGAAGAACCTGCTGTGGCCCTGCCAAGTGAGGTGAGTGCGCATGTCCAGCTCTCCACGCTGTCAATTTCCGGTCTAATGGTCACAAGAACTTGGCCTCGCTCCATGACGAGTGCCCGGCTGTCAACAGCCGATGACTTTGCTCCATCTGACAAGGTTCAAGGTTCAGCTGGCTGCCAGTAGTGAGATGTCGGGTTGACAATGGTAACCGACCAGAGGGCAACACCGGAAATGCCTACAAGGCCAGAGGATAACACGGGAAATCCGAACCACTTCCTCATTATACTGGTGCTACAGCGCTCATGCATGCAACAGCAGTTGAGACGGAGGGGTCTGCGCAATCCAGCTGACTTGTTTCTCGTTAATTTCTAGCCCCGGGCGCTTGCACATGTGAGGAACCGCCAGTGTTGTTGGGGCGATACAACGGCGGGTGGTGATTCTGCAGATTTTGCTTAATCTCGGAACAGCTATGCTTGTGCGAAACATGCGTGCTCTACCTTGTTGTCAATGACCTTCTTCCTACATACGCGTGGTCGTCTTCGTGCTTTCGTTGGACGCGTTTCATAGTGACCTCGCATACCTCACAGCCGTCTTCGACTTTTTGGCGATTGAATAGGCTTGACATTCCGCAACTGTACGCACCCACGCACACTACTGCACGGGGTACCTAGGTCATTGAACAAGCTACGGGTCTTCCTCCCCGTGGCGCGTGCGGCGTAAAGAAGCTAAAAGGTCGGAGGCTGCCAATTACCAAGACATGGAGGCGTCTTGCCGAGCCGTGCGCGTGCGGATGCCGATCCGCCTCAGTCTAATGTTTAGCAGGCCGCCACACCGTGGCGTTTGCTTCTGACCCATTGTCTGTACCTGTTCGGTTTCCAAGACAGTCGCCACCCTCCACTAAGCCAGGGGCGTGCATGCGCTTGGCTGGCTCAAGTATCTTGACAGCTGCTTGCTCCCTTGTTGGTGCGGACCCTGTTCCAGTCTGTGACATGAACATCTTTGAAACGAGCAACGAATGTGTGCACTTCCAGTCAGCGACCCCGAGGACCGGCTGTGTGACCTAGATCTTTGGGGATATCTACAGGGGCCTGGGTTGAGAGCAACCATGGATCTGCTGAGCACACCAGCAGCTCATGACTTGGATAACCACAACCCGCCGTGGGTCTCCACAATCTGCAGCTGACTCCAACGTGGTGGACGCCACTTTGAGTTGCATCTGCTTCCCCGGTAACAACTTGTCCGGGTGCGTGGATATGCCCCACCGAGCCCCGCCAAGAATTGAGCGCCTGACTTGCACGCCGCGGGCTGCCAACTGCATTTGTGTTGGCATGTGGCCAGCGGCGGACCCCGCAATCTAACACTTTGTCTCATTCATGCGCGGCTGAGGGCGGCCGGCGGCCCGACATGATGTCAGAAGAACGGTGTCTCCGCATGCGAGCTCCGCTCCATCATCAGCGATGCAGGTGCTTCGGTTACAGATGCTGCACCCAGAACGCTGGAAAGTGCATCGCAACAATCCGGATACCGTTGTGTAACCCCAGTCCCGTACTGTATCGTATCCGCAAGCCGAACCCACCGAAACATGTCGCAACTTGAGACGAACTCAAAGACCCTCCATCTTGCGTACGTCCATCGCACAGTAAACCGCCACAAGCCAGCTAGGGAGCAGCTAGAAGTTTGCCCAGCACCACCCCCGAAACTGGGACCTTCACTTACAGATATGTCCTAACCTCTTGTGCGATAAGTCCTCGTCCTTCCAAGTACCCCGTTTTGACCAGACCCCGGGGGCCATGACACCGTGCACGAACAGCACCCCAAGTGCCCGCCAGTGCAGCAGGTAGAATTCGTGACCAGCGCCAGAAATGGCACCTTGGTTGATTCATTCCGGGTAGTCGTGTCCACCGTGTTTGAGCACGTTTCCCGCATTCGTGAGGCAGAAATACCCCATGTCCCACAGAGGCCAGAGCCATTGCGACTGAGAAGACACGAACTCACAGACATGTCCATTTGAGCGACATAGGCAGTTATCTGAAACGCTCGGAACGGTCACAGCGCCTCAGTGGAGTCTCAGGCCCCAACCCTCCCATCTGACATGTATACTGTACGATGAGCAGATGCCTCCCCAAAACAGCCCTACATCCCCCCCCCCCCCCCCCGGAGTCGGGACACGCTCTGTGGGAGTCCCGCTAGCGGCATGGCGCTCGCAACTAGTAGCGCGACTACGGGCCTGCTTGCGCCGTTCTTTGGGGGCTCGCCACCGGGTGTGTCAGAACCGTTATTCCCCAAGAGATTGAGCAAACGAACCGCCACCGGTGCCACCCGGTCATCCAGTACAGATCCAGAGCGCGAGTGCGGCGTCGCGACGCATAGACGCGCGTCAGAGTCTTGAGTAGCCAACCCGCCTCGCGTGAAATACTTGGCGCGCTCGCGCGACCGGTTAACGTTTGGCATTGTACGCGACGGTCCTTTGATGTGCGAGAACGTTGAAGAGACACCACAACAGCTGACGAATAATTTTGTACATTTTTCAAGACAGTAAATCCCCCCGCTACATGTTGTTAATCAGCAGCAGTCGACGACATCACGCTTGTCTTGGCAAAACCAAACCCCACGGTCGTCAACAGAGAATTCTGTTCTATGCTTGGAAAATGTCTGATCTCGTGAGTCTTTTCACCAGCATGCAGCGTGCACAATTGCAATTAATTAGGGGACGCAGCATTCTTCAAACGGGGTCCCTGCAACCCGCTCTTTTGGGTTGTCACGCACGTAAGTACTGCATACTCTGCTGCAAAAGAGCACACCTGCAGATATCCTCATTGGGAACCCGTTGCGCGTTCCAAGGATTCTCACGACAGTCGCGTGGAGGCGACGAAGTACGCAGCAGTGGACGCGGATCACCAACCTGCAACTGAAGGCACTACCACGGCACCCGCCCTGCAACGCACACCTCTTTTGGCATGCATTCCTCCCTTCCCCGAGGTCGCCAAGAGCTGAACCCAAAGCTTGTGCTGACGTGTTTTATGAGCGTCGTGATGACTGGTAACGTGACTATACCGCCGCTGATTACAGACGCCAGTCATGTCTTGCGGAAAACAAGCTCCAGAGATATATCTAATTTGCTGGTGCGTACGTCCAGGTCAAGTGCGTGTGTTCGCGTGGGAGAGACATGCCGCTGCCAGAACGGTACCACTACTGGTGTCCGGGTCGAGCGGCTTCTTCTCCTGGACACCTAGCTTCGCCTGGACACCTAGCTTCTCCTGGACACCTAGGGCATGTTGCAAGGCGACCAGCGGTTGAGACGTTGTCTGTGGGTCGCTGGCAACAGCTCCAGCTTATCACCAATTCACCAAGGACACCTCTGGCCTCTGGCCACTCTTGTGAACAGTTGCAACAAATACCCCGCGGCGGGTGTTGCCGCCTCACGGGTGGTGGGCTAATCCTCGCGGGCAACCGGTTGGATAACCAGCTGGCCTGAGGCTGTCAGGTTTTGGTGCCCAGGTTGCCAGGTTTCGGGTCTCTCTTTCAGCGTCGAGCAAGCCAGGCAGCCCAGTACGACAGCACGTCTCTTCACTCGCAGAGGCCAGACATAGACATTTGTGGAACGGCGATCACCGTGGCGCCGGACCATCCCATCCGTATTAAGTCCGAAGAGTCTTCCGAACAGGGCTCCCCTGAGCGGAACCTCCCGCTTAAGCGGGACGAAGACTCTGCCCTGTTGTGTTGTACCGCCATGTCTCTCCTCGTCGCGGGCGGCGATGGAGTGGGCGACAGCAGTGACGACGAGGCGTCTTCCAACATTAGCGACATGTAATGTGGGGAGCACCTTGATCGTCACAAGGTGATGATCGTCGGTTTTTGGGAAGGATACATGTACATAGCCGGTAGTACGAGCGCTCTGGACCTTGACGCGTCCCGCACAGGAACGTCATGTCTTCACGCGTCACAATGTTCCGTGTCTGCTTACTGCAGCCAAACTCTGGCCAGCGACGGAGTAATGCTCGCTTGGTGAGAAACAGTCTCCAGCCGGATGTCTGTGAATTTATAGTTAGAATGTCGGCCTTCTCGGCTCTGCGTAATTGCGTCAGGGCATCCAACGGAGTCGTAACCGCGGGCCAGAGATCAGAGGCGACAGCTGGTGGCCATGGGCTGGCAGTCGGTTCCATCTGCGTGTCCCTGTCGTGCCCGTCCCGATGGGCGAGCGGCTCGACCAAAGGCACAACCGGCCACCGAAGGCATTGTCGTTGAGCATAATGATGAATGACCAGAGCGTGGAACAAACCTTGTCAAGGGGTTCTGTATATGTACAGTACGAGTTTTGTGATGAGTTGTTGCCACACCACGTCCAGGAACTTGCTCCAGGTCGTGCGGAACGTGGGATCTTGAGAACAGGAACTGCATTGTGCTGCGTTCTCCCCCAAACGTCTATACTCTATTGCTGCCACTCACGAGAGCAACGGCTGTCTCATGTCTCAACATGGCACTTTGTGGCGTCAAAGATCAGGCGCTGGGGGTAAATGTGTGGAATTATCCTCTTGGGTCGCCTCGGTTCGGATGCTCCTCGATTGTCTTTGATCACCTCTACTGAGAGGCCAGAGGGGAGGGAGCACCACACCCCCTGCTGCTGGAACTGCTGCGTGGTGTTTGCAAAAGCGCCACGCTCCTTCTGTGGGCTGACGCAGAAGGACGCCACGGGGGTGGGTGGGTGAGATGTCTAGGGGTTCCCAGTCGGTAGCGATGACTGATACATACCAGGGTCGCCACCCGGAGTACTGGTGCTCTCGGGTGGTCGGAGGGATCGGGTGCAAGCGACGTACTCCCGCTGGAAGGGCTTTGGAGCAATGTCCCGGGAACAGCACTGTCGGCCCGTTCATGGATGCCGTCTGTCCCGTCTCACAGACCCTCGTATTCTCATCGCATGAGCTAAGAACAACTCCACTGCGGGAGACGATGAGGTCACATGGGAAGACGGCAGTAGGCATGGAGTGCCATGTGTGGCCAAACATTGGGGCTGTTGGGGATGGCCATGGCACTGTGGGACTGTGGGGTGGGGCAACACGTCCCAGATGTCAGACGTCAAGCTTTGACTGCTCGTCAGCTGCTGCGGGTGAAGGTCGACATGGGGAGTGAGCTGCAATGCTGCGTCACCGTCCTCCCCGACAGAGTGGCAGTTGTCAACGGGCAGAGCAACGGAGCAGAGGTTGTCAACGAGGCACCACCACATCAGCACCAGCCGCTTCTCGCTTCCCCTTGCGCCTCTCCTTGTCCCCCCCGGCCCCCGCTTGCTCCCCCCCCCCCCGCCCCCGGCGAAGACGGTGATCTTGCGCTGGTCCGTACCCTTCAGGATGGCTGCAAGCCCCTGGCATGCTGGCATCTGAGGTATCCAGCCTGACTACAATGCCCGACCAACCTGGGTTCATGTCATAAGATACTCGACGGGACGACGACCCCGTTGCCCATCATCTCTTCTTGCTTTGCTGCACGACTCACTTTCAGCTGGCTCTGGTCAGTCAACAAAAGCAGCGACGTTCTACTTCTTTCATCCCGACTACACCTTGTTCACCTCGTCCCCTCTCTTCAACCACCCCCTCTGCCACATTTTGCCAGCACTTCGTGGCCAGACCAGTGACCCCCGATCACTCGCCCGCAGAGCGCCCAGGTCGCCCAGAGCATATACGCTCCTTTTGCCCTTGGGCATTCATTTCACTTCTCCGACGGCACACTCTCTTCTGTCTCTGCTGTCTTTGCTGTATCTGCCAACCGTGTGTGCAGAGCCCCAGTACCGACAAGAGTCCAGACATTGCGGACCCTTGAACGCCCAACGATCGTTCCAGTGATCCAGTGATCCAGTGAGTGGATTCCAGTCCAGCCCTGGCCAGACGAACCGAGCGGTGGACGCTCCAGTTGGTTCTATAATGCGTCCAGATCTGGTGCATGTGCGCATGTGCCGATCACAGGTCGCACAGATGGAGTGCGGGAGTCTCGGAAGACGTCTGTACAGGCTGTCTTGCATCCCAGAAACAAAACAGGAGGAACATGGGGGGAGGGTCAAGCAGTGGCGGACGTCTGGACCCGCCGGGGGCCCAAGGCACTGGCGCACTGGGCTGTGTTCTAGCCCCAGGTGGGAGTTCACCCCCCGCAATTCACCATACCTATCGCGTGCACGCATTGCTCTGCAGCTCTGCAGGACGCTAACCAAAGCCGCAGATCCACAGACAGCGGGCAGGCGTACGACGACGACGACGACAAACAACAACAACGACGACGCAAATACACACGGAGCTGGCCCCCCCCCGCCCACCCCACGTCCGAGACCGCCGCGAGAGACCTCGTCTGCCTGAATCCGCCGTACGCCGTGCTGCTGCTGATCGTCTCGGGCGAGACCCTTTTGACCCATTCAATCACTTTGCACTCGAACAGAGTCCAGTCCAGTCCATTCCGCTGCCCCGCACCCCACCCCCCACCGCCGCCAAGGGCCCCCCGTGCACCACTTGAATTGCACTGCCGCCCTCTTCGTTTGCTCCTTTTTACTGAACAAACTTCCAACCTCATCGTCGTCCTTTCTTCACACGACAACCTGTCAACCTCGCCCCAGTCGTCTTCAAGATGGAGTCTGCGTTCGACTCGTTGCAGGTGACCGTGCCCAGCGCAAAGGTCGTCGGTGAGGTCGCCGTCAACGCCCTCCACCAGGTGAGTGAGACACACGACGGAGCGCGTTGGAGTCGCTGTCCATCAGGCCCGACGCTAACCCTATTCTTAAGCTTCCTTTCCCTCTTCTACTCGTCATCTTCCTTGCTTGCCTGTCCCTGTTCCAGTGGCCGTGAGTTGTCGTGTGCTTAGGTTTCAACAACATACTGATAGCATGCCATAGGGCGTCAGCATCGCCAGTCCTCCCGACGACTCAACCTCACCAGGCCCTTGTCCAACTGCCGTCCCCGCGCCCAGGCCAGTTTGTCTACCTCGACAAGCCCAGCCGCCAGCTCGTCGTCTCCGAGACCCCACTGCTCCCCCCATCCTCTGGTCCCACCGTGTCCAGCAAACCCAGGACCAACCGTGCCCGCCAGGTGCTCCGCGCCTACCGGTCGCCCCTCGGCTGTGTACCAGAGGACATTGAGATGGACCCTTCCCTCGCCGTGTAGACGACTAGAGCTCCACCCCCATACGACGCGTCGCACCTGGACAGGTGTCCCGTGGTTCCTCGAATCACAGACACAGCGCACACGCCCCGCGTCACCATACATCTGCTGTGAACCCCGCCCCCTTTACTGCTCTCCCCCCCATCCCCTCTTATCACGGCCAGCCCTACACACGCACCCGCACAGACACTCTCTCCTGCGGCACTTGTGTACTCCGCCGCAAACACCTTCCTTCCCCACTTGCTCTCTCAAGAACGCAAGCAAAGCATGAACGACCTTCCGAAACAAGACAACAACACCCCACGTACGAACACTGTCGTCGCGCGCCGTACACGGACTATTTTACCGGCGCCGGCGCCATGAAAGGCACACGAAATAGACGCGTCCTACCACACAACACAACACAACCGGCTGCCAGCCTCCCCATTCATCCACAATTCGAGAGCCGCTCTAGCTCTGGCCAAAAGGCGGCTGGCCGGCCCCCCCCCCCCCCCCCCCCAGGATATTGAACACTTTGTACACACACCTCTACTGGCACAAGGACGCTATGTAACATACAATGCCACCATATCAGTGCTGATGCATGGCGTGGCAAGAAACGTGGAAAGTGGTTGTCGAGAGTAGGCAGTGCCTCACTTGATGGCTTGGCAGATCGGCGGGATCTGGTGCAGGAGAGATGGCGCTGTGAGGGCGATCAGTTCCCTGCCCCGTGCGGGCTGCACTGCCAGATCCCGTTCCAACAAAGGACAGTGTCATCCTCACTACCAGTGCCGTGGAGGGGCTTAAACTGTTGTACATCTAGTCCTACTCTATACTATTTCACTGCCACGCTTTGGCAATCGACGACCAAGAGCGGGGCCGTGTACGTTGCGCAATCTGGGCGCCAAAACGTGTGGATCGCGGAGAAGGCTGGGTGGGGAAACATCCGCAATGGCCTGCGAGCACCGCCAGCCGTCGCCGAAGGGCGGGTAGGGTCTTGGTGCGGTTCCTCAAGCGTGACCACCGATAACGAGGTTCTCGAGGGCGTCCACCCTGCTCTCCAAGGACGTGAGGAGGGCCTCCTCACGCAGCGCGCCGTTCGCCGTCGAGCCGTTGGCCGCGGCACCGCCGCCCATACGGCCGAGCGCATCCTCGAGCCCCTCCATGTCGCGCTGGGGGTTGCTCTCCAGCTCAAACGCGTTGTCGTCGCCGTGCTCGTCGCGCTCGTGGTCGATGCGCTCCGTGTCGATCGGCAGCACATCGTCGCGGCGCACGCGGGACAGGTCCGACACGAGGGCACGAACCTGCTCCACCAGGCTGGGATCCACGCCGCCCGCACCGCCAGCAGCGGCTCCAGCGGACGTCGAGCCAGAGCCCGAGCCTGCACGGGTACCTCTCGCGGCGGGCGGCGCAGAGACTATGGAGAGCAGGGCGTTGGCGCGACCACGGAGCGCGCCGAGCCTCCTTGATGCCGGCACGCTGGCGGCGAATGAGGTGTCAAAGCCCTCCTGCAAAGTCGCGAGCTTGCCGTCTGTGATGCCCTCGCGGTATCCAGCCTGCACAGTTAATAACGAGCTACAGGGGTGCCAGTGGCCAGCGGGTTGGCTGCGAAAAGGTGCCTTTGTGGGACCGTGACCTGCCCTCATCCATCGGGCACCCAGTGCAATGGGATGGTCCTAGCCAAGGCCATGGTTCGAGGTACTCACGTCGGTGTATCGCTGCTCGATGCGAGCATACTCGGCATCCACGAGGGGGTCGGCAGCACCGCCCTGCGTCGGCGCAGTGCCAAAATCGTCGTCCCAGTCGTCCATCGGGTGTGAAGGTGTGAGGTGGTGTGGGTGGGTGGGTGGGTGGGTGGGTGGGTGGCAAGGAATAGAGCAAAGTTGAGAACGGAACATTCCTGGGTCAGTCAGCAAAATGGTGGGGGCCCACATTTGGCGTCTGTCGGCGGCAGGGAAGCGTGCGTCATGAGCTGGCGATGTTGACGCCTGTATGTTGTCGAGACGAGAGAGAGGACATCGTGGTATTGGTTGTGTTCCATGTTTTGTATGCAGCGCAAAGAGAGTGCTAGAGTGTACAACAAATCGCAGCGTAAGGACAGTCGCGAGATGAGTAGGCGCGGGTGGGTGATGAGTCAACCGATGCAGGCTAACGCGCGCCCTACCCCTCCTTTCCTTCCTCCGTTAGCCGTCTTTGCTTTCGCCTTTGCACAATGTCTCATCCTCGACAACCCTCACCCATGGTAAGCAAGGTACACCACCGATACATGTCTCTAATCCACCAGGGAAGTGCGATCAGCTGTATGCGTCCACGCAAGCGGGCAAGGAGCGATGCGGATGCGGATGATGCGCACAGACCCTCTGTCAAAGTCAAAGTGGAGGACGACCAAAACACCGACGGCGGCAGCGACAAGCTTGAACTCGCAGCACCCATCAATCACCTCTCGGAATCACCATCTTATGGTGAGTGGTTGCTTCTCCTTGTTTTGTCCTAACCATGCAGATTCTCTCAAGTCGCAGTATTACACTGCCAACAGCTCCATCTTCCTCGAAGCCGACGCGACCCTCCATCCTCCATCCATCGGCGGCCGCCTGCCTCCAAGGCTGCCGAGTCTCGGCACCATGCCCAACCTCCTGAAGAACATGGATGACTATGTCACTCCAGACGCTCCCGGATGGGCCAAGACGTCTTCCACCACGTTCACAACGTCCAACGGAGCGAGTAGATCACGCACACCACCGGGGCTAGCCCCCGTTCTCCCTCTCGAGCTGCTCCACATGATCTACGCGGAGCTGCCTCGCAGCAGTCTCGTCGTCAGCCTCAGGGCGAACAAGTTCTTCCACACGTTTGCCATCAAGAAGCTCTACTCCCATCTGGTCCTCCCGCGAAACACCTTGTGGCCCTCGCTTGTGGACAAGCCCGTCAAGGACCCTTTCAGCGATAAAAAGAAGAAGCTCCCCAACCACCAGAAGCGCGCCTACCTGGCCAAGTATGTCCAGCACCTCGACATCCATGCGCACTCGATCGCAACATGCTGTCCACCCGGCTCTGGTTCTCCGAGTTTCCCGCCCATGGCCTACTTGAAGATGGTCCGCGTCGTCCTCACTGACGGCGTTGGCCATCGAGACTTTCACATCCAGCACGGGTTGCCTTGCAACGTCCTCAGCCACCTGAGGCCACGTACCCTTGTCGTTCGTGGTGCTCCTCTTGTGTACGACAAGGTGCCACCTCTGTTCACGACGCTCCTGCTCTCTAAGGTTGAGGACTATGTTTGTGTCGTTACTCCGGATAACATCCAGGCCGGCCACCTCGGAGGCATTGTCATGGGATGCGGTGTCCCGGGCCTCGTCGAGTCGGTCCCACTGTCCGCCTCGACGTTTACGATCGTGTTCGAGACGCCCGGCCCCGACTTCAAGTGGCGTCCCCGTCCCGTCCTCTACTTCCCCGACGGACCCGCTGTCCCAGATCGCGAGTGGATCATGTCCAACCATGTCGAGCACAGTGTCCTCAAGGAGACCATCAACCTCGAGCGCTCCTGGGTAGGAACGGTGATCAAGGACCTGGCCGCGTTCGCATGTGGCGAGACCACCTCGTCCCTGGGCCCCATCGCTGTCCGGCCCAACATTAAGATCAACCTCGTCAATTCCGGCAGCCTCACCCCCGTCGAACGCAATTCCAAGACCTTTACGCACCCCATGGAAGACCTGGTCAACTGCCTCTTCAAGGAGATGGTGTACAGGGTCGTCAGTCGGCCTGAAGAACGCCTCAAGATCCTGGAGCGCGTCCAGTTCCTCACGATGCGCGAGTACCTCGAAGAGGAAGAGTGGGAGGGGGTGTTTGACCCCGAAGAAGTTGCCCCGTGGTTTGGCAAGGGAGGCGTCTGAGAGTGAAGAAATTGTAGCCTACCGCATGGTGCGTTTCGTGTGCGCATGTATATACGATGTTGTCATGTTCTTGAACCAGCGGGTCGCAGGAAGGCGGGGACACATCGCCACCGGCGCTTGGGCTACTGCAGGACCTTGACGCTCGTCAAGTGACAGAAGGCTTGTTGCACTGTTACCTGTGGCACCAGTTGTGACATCCGGCGCAGTGGGTCAGCAAAGGTCTGCAGGACTGGGCACAATGTCTGGCTCATTCGTCCCTACTGCCGCTGGGCAAGTGGGCATTGACTTCCGCGCCCGCTCCGCTGGGCCTCATAATGGCCGTCAGTATTCACGCAGCGCTGTCGCCGACCCCGTTTGCTCCTGCTCCACCCTGGTCACAAGATTTATTACACTGCATCTCACCGAGAACACTGTTCAATTACCAAATGCCAAACGAGTCCACATGCGCGCGCGCCCGAGCACCAGCCGACGACAATAAAACGGGGGGAGGGGGGCCCTTGTCTGCGTTTTTTTCTCACTTGGCGGCCTCCTGCTTGGACAGCTCGCCCTTGTACCACTCGGTCCAGCGCTCGAGGCCCTCGGTGATGCCGACCAGGGGCGTGTAGCCGAGCAGACGGCGGGCACGCTCCGAGTCGTAGTAACGCTGCTGGGTGGCAAAGGTGACGCGGAAGCGGGTGAAGCCCGGCTCGCGGCCTGTGACCTTGCTGAACATCTCGGCGAGGGTGGCGAGGACGAGACCGACACCAGTGGGCAGGGTGATGGTGTATGCCGGGGTGTGGCCGAGCTCGCGCCACACGGCGCGGGTCCAGTCCCAGAAGTTGACGGGCTCGCAGTTGTTGATGAAGAAGGCCTGGCCAGCGACGGGGGCCGACTCGGTCTCGGCTCCATCGGCGAGGTCGCAGAACTGGTCCATCTTGGAACGGAGGACGGGGCGCAGGTCCGAGGGGTCGATCTCGTCGCTCTCGAAGCGGGCGGCAATCGCCTTCTCCTCGTCCGTAGGGTTGGTCTTGGGGCCGAGAGGGTGGGCGTGCGAGGTGGGGATACGGTGGTGGCCGAGGCTGAGGTCGACCTCGGGGAGGGGCTCATGCAGCCCCGCGATGGGGTAGGCCGTCGCCAGCTTGTCGGCGGCCAAGAGGTGGGCGTGGGCGACGTTGCCGACATATGTCCAGTCGAAGAGGTTTTCGTTGGAGCCAATCTGGAACTTGGTCTGGCCATTCTTGATGACCGAGTGGAAGCCAGAGATGGCCTGGCGGTCACCAGGGCCAAAGATACCGCTGGGGCGGAGAGCGCAGGTGAGGAGGCCGTCCTTGCCGTTGGCAGCAAGAACAAGCTCCTCGGCACGCGCCTTGGTGTCGTTGTACGCATCCAGAGCCACCTTGGGGTAGGGGATACGCTCGTCGGCGTCGACGAGGTTCTCCTGACCAGAGTAGATGACACCCGCCGACGACGTGTACACGAGCTTGGGGACACCCGCCTTGGTGCACGCCTCAATCACGTTCTCGGTACCCGTAACATTGACCTTCTCGTAAATGTCCTTGCCGAGACCGTGGGTCGGCGACGCAGTGTGGATCACGATCTGGGCACCCGACTGAGAAAGTCAGTTTCTGCTTTCATACACTTTTGGAGATGACGCTCTGTCACCCACCTTGACCACAGCGTTGGACACGTCCTCAATCTTGGAAATGTCGCCAATGTAGAAGGTCACGTTCGAGTCAAAGTGACGCTGGACAAGGTCGAACACGGCAACGTTGGTCTCTCCACGGCCGAGCAGCGCCTCGACAATGTGCCTTCCGAGGAAGCCGCAGCCGCCGACGACAAGATACGACTCGTGAGTGGGAGCAGCGTTGGACATGGTGGGCGGAGGGGAGGATTAGGTGAGAGGGGTTTGGGAGGAGAATGAGCCGGTGTGGGGTTTTTAGTGAGCCGAGAGCGATGGAGCCAGTCGACGACGAGGGTCACGCGCGGGGTGGCGAGTGTGGTGGAGAGGAGATGCGGGCGGGTGGGCTGCGTGTAGGAGAAGCGAGGACAGATGGCGAGTGAGTGTTGTATGGAACAAGAGATGGGAGAGAGATGTGGAAGGTGTCGTTGAACCGCCGGCCCGGGCCTGTGCGCCAGCGGGCTCTCAGGGCATGTTCCCAGTCAACAGCCGGCACCACCGCCCACCCCCACACCATCGAACGACACTGTCGCCGAGACCAGAGCAATGGCTCCGCTCTGGCAGATCCGCTCAACCGGGGCCCTCATCGCTGCTGCGACACATGCAACGCAACTCGTCATCCTATACATCTAGTTTGCAGTTGGTATACAAAAGGTGGTGCGCTCTCACCAGTGACACTCTGGAGAGCTTCCAGAGGCCAGAGGTGCCGAATGCCCGTTGCTGCCGCCGGGCCGTTTCTCACCAGCCGAGCTCCTGCTCGTGAGGCCCTCACACGACCCGAATATCTACACCCTCGTCGTCGTATTCGTCTCCATTGTCTCTCTCGCTCTCTCTCATCGTAATCTACCGTCCGCTACGCTGTACCGGGATAGAGTCAACTGCTGCGAACGTGGGCCTTAGAGGGCGTCCTCGATGGGAGGCGGGGCACTGCCCGACGGCCAGACCTTGAAGAGGAGCCAGATGAACACGACGCCGGCGACAACGTACGCAATGGTGCGGTACTGTCGCAGCGTCGAGTTGGCCGCCATCGAGCGCGAGTGGTGGCGCGAAGTCGAGAACAGGCTGTTGGCGAACGATGTAAAGGTGTTTCCCTGCGCGCGTGTGTGAGCTGAGCCTCGTCTCTCCACCACACCACCCAGCACAGCGGCATCATAAGGTTTCCTTTCCAACGGAGCAAGCTGCTCAGCTTTCCCAAACTTTTCAGAAGAGTTGCAGCCTGCTCAAGCGGTTGCACACACGGAGGATGATGCGAGGAGGGGTGGGGAGACACGTACTGTCCGGTCAAGCTGGGCACGTCAGCTATGGCTCCCATCACCTGCGCCTTACCTGGTCATTTTGCCTCGACGAGTCGTCCAGAATGTCAATCGTGACCTGTCCTGTCAGCTACAAGTCCCCCCCTTTCAGAGCAGTACGACAGTTCTCGCGACGCGCAAGATGCCTGCGAGGCCCTCGGTGTGCGCGCCGGGACCATCCCCGCACGGCCGCCGGTGGGCCATGTACGCACCGAGCGAAGCGCCTTGATCTTGCCGTGGAGCGCCGAGAGCTCCTCGTCGTTCTGTTGCTCGAGCGTCTGGTCTGTCGTGCTACGGCTGCGTGTGTGAGCCATGGTTATGGTTGCTGTGCGACATTGCAACGCGAGGGTATTTGGCGGTGGGGAACCGAGCAAGGGGGAATGGGGGAGAAGGCGCACCTCGGCATGGCTCTAGTGGGTTTAAGCCGGCTTGGGGGGATTGCGGGAAACGGGGGACGGGCTGTCTATGCTATGCAGTGTGTTGTATGAGGGATGTGTTGAGCACAAGCAGCGGTGCGTGCTTTGTATGTGCGTTGAGAATGAGTTGGGCGGGTAGTGGATGGAAAGAGTACAAGGTTAAAGGACGGCAAAAGGGTGGACGGCGGCGGGCACAAACACACCCAACGTGGACCTGGCAGGCACTATAGTGACTCCTTAGGTGGCAAACGCGTCCACGCCCAAAATCATCCAACGTCAACGACGTGTGAATGCCCAGCGCCTGTTCACGCACTACGCGTTTCGATAGCAGCACACTCTCCCTGCCGCCTCGTGACATCCTGGTTCTGCTGGTAGGAAATGCTGATACGATACATGAGGGAAGATCTCTCTACGAGTGGTCCTTGGATACAAGGAGGTACAGGCCAACACTGCCAAGCAACGCATACTTGAACTGGGGGAAGTCGTTCTTTTAGGTATCAGCAAGCGTCTCTCTTCACACTCTATATCTGTGTGCAACAGATATTCATGTGAACTCACAATGGCGATCGTGACGTAGCCAAGGTATGGCAGGAAGCTGGGTTCAGATCAGCAACCGTCGTTTGTAGCACCACCCCCTTTTCAGCAAATGCAAGTAACCCAAGAGCGAGTAGGTGCGAGCTTCCCACCACACTGCACTCACCCCTTAACCCTGCCAACCACTTGATGCGAGTCCAGCCACTCGGGGCCGCGGTACAGCGAGTAGTCGTCCCAGGGGTTGGCGTCACCCTTTGTCAACAGCAGCTGGGTCGTGTTCCTTGAGACCGTCGTCAGCACCTCCATTCCACACTGCAGACACATCAACCTACGTGATGTGCGACGCGATCACGCGGTGCACGATGGGAGTACCTGCCTCGTCGCCCGGACTGCGGGGATGGTGTCAGCAACGGGACAGCTTCAGCCTGGCTGGTTGTGGCAGACGCATGGGCCCGTCTGGGGTAGCGCCACTGTGTCAAACCATTGGATGGCTTGTACGCACACTTTGTACACTGTGATGTCTCCAATGTCATAGATTGCGTTGGGTGGGTTGGCGAGGAAGAGGATGTCGCCACGGTAGAAGGCAGGCTCCATCGAACCCCTGGGGAAGTTGGGTCAGCTTCTAACCCTGATGCAGTGTGTGGAGTTGTGGGGGTAATGAACGGAGGGTACGAGTGATTCTGGCCCCACGGTGCGAGACGACGTACGAAAGCACCACCACGACGGGGGACTCCGAGTTGGTGACGAGGCAGAGCGCCTTCCACATCACCAGTCCCGATGCGACGACATTGAGAAAGTTGTAGAGCTGGTACAGGACCTGCGGTGGAGGTCAGCAACGTGTCGTCTGGGGCGCGGCCACGACATCCGCTGCGGTGGACGGCAGTTGGGAGCTGCGGGATGGTGTCCCGCGCGCGCCAGCGATATACGTACTCCTGTGACGCCCAGTTTGCGAATGGTGGCTATCTCGTCTGCGAACATGGTGGTGTACGGCGATGAGGTAGAAGTGTTGCAGGTGTTGTTGAATGGAGGTGGACGTCGACGTTTGGCTGGGCGGCCGGCAATGAGCGCGTGAGCGCGTGAGCGCGGGCGGACACGTGCAGCCACTGGGCCCGCCATTGCACGTTGTTTATCCGGCCCCCCCTCGACAACGTCTTGTGGATGTGTGGACTCGATTCAATGTCATGGTGCAGACCGCTTTCTCTCCTTTCATCCCAACTACTCTACTCCACCATGCCCGCCAACCTCGGTGACGACGAGCCACTGCGCCCGGGTCAGATTACCCCCAATGCTATTGCCAAGCAGTTCTCCCAGCTCGACCTCCCGGGACCCGAGCGCCTCGGCCTCTCTTCCCAACAGGGCGCGTCCAGGCCTGCAGGCCGTGATGGCCGCGACTTGACCGCCGCTCTCTCGAACCTCAACCTCCCCGAGCCAGAGGCCCTCTCCAAGGCCAGTGCCCACCGCCGCTCCGAGAGCCAGAGCCAGGACCTGTCTGAGCAGCTCTCCAAGATGAACCTCCCCCAGCCCGAGCGCATCTTTGGCCCCGACGATACCGAGTCGTCCACGTCCCGCGGTGTCAATGCCGACGACTGGGAAAAGGTTCAGCTCGCCGATGACGTCCCCGAGGCCGTCAAGAGCCCCACGCTTGCTCACTTCCGTCGTGAGAGCCGTTCTGCGTGAGTGTGTTGGGAACTGGGGCAACGAACTGGGAGGCGTTTCTGTTTGCTGACTTTTATCTCAGTGAGGTGAAGCCGCCTGCCCCTGTTGCTCCTGCTCCTGCTGCTGCTGCTGCTGCCCCTGCCCCTGCGGCCACAACCAAGGGCGCTGCCAAGGAGCAGATGATCAACCCCTTTGACGTGCAGGGCGGCGTTGACGAGGACGGCAAGGAGATTGGAATGTGAGTGTTGTGTTGGAACATTCGCGCCTGGTGACTCACACGTTTCCGCAGTGACTACGACAAGCTCGCCAACCGTTTTGGCGCTACCAAGATTCAGCCCGAGCTGCTCGAGCGCTTTGAGCGCCTTACTGGCCGTAAGCCCCACCCCCTTCTCCGCCGCGGTACTTTCTACACCCACCGCGAGTTCGACAAGATCCTCGACCTCTACGAGGCCAAGCAGCCCTTCTACCTCTACACTGGCCGTGGTCCTTCGTCCGACTCGATGCACATGGGTCACCTTATCCCATTCCTCTTCACCGCCTGGCTCCAGGAGGTCTTTGACGTGCCGTGTGTGATCCAGGTCACCGATGACGAAAAGTACCTGCTCAACCGTGACGCCAAGGCTCAGCAGGCCATGCTCAAGAAGAACCCTCAGGACAAGAAGTCGCCCTACTGGATCCTCGACAAGTACCACGAGATGGGTCAGGCCAACATTGCCGACATTATTGCCTGTGGCTTCAAGAAGGAAAAGACCTTCATCTTCTCGGACCTCGACTTTGTGGGCGGCCAGTTTTACCGCAACGTCGTCCTCATGGCCAAGACCTTGACCGTCACCCAGATCCGCGGTGTGTTTGGCTTTGATGACTCGTCCAACGTCGGCATGATGCACTTCGCCGCTGTCCAGTCGACTCCTTCCTTCTGCAACTCGTTCCCGCAGATCTTTGGTACCCGTACCGACATCCCCGCACTCATCCCCTGCGCCATCGACCAGGACCCCTACTTCCTCCTCTGCCGTGACTCGGCCGACAGGCTCAAGTACAAGAAGCCTGCTCTTCTCCACGCAAAGTTCCTCCCGGCTCTCCAGGGTGCGGGCACCAAGATGTCGGCTTCCATCCCCTCGTCGAACATTACCCTCACCGACACTCCCAACGTCATCAAGAACAAGATCCGCAAGCACGCGTTCTCCGGCGGTGGTGCTACCCAGGAGCTCCACCAGCAGAACGGTGGCAACCCCGATGTCGACATTGCCTACCTCTACCTGTCGTACTTTGAGGAAGACGACGCCAAGATGCAGCGTCTTGCCGACGTAAGTGGAATCGTTGCAGACAGAGACATTCAGCTGACACTTTTCACAGGAGTACCGCGCCGGTACTCTCAGCACCGTCCAGCTCAAGGACGAGTGCATTGCCAAGCTCCAGGATGTTGTCGGCACTTTCCAGGAGGTAAGTTGACTCAGTCATGTTTTTTTGCGTGTCAACTGACATCTCTCCCAGCGCCGCGCCCAGGTCACCCCCGAGGTCGTTGCCTACTACCAGGACGCGACCCGCGCGATCGACCCTACCCCCGGCCCCGCCGCCCAGTCGTGGGTCCAGTAGATGTAATCGGTCCTGATCCTGACGTAGATAGAAGGTTATCTGATATTATGCACCCCGTCACGCGCAACGCTGGGGCTGTTCAGCAGCCATCATCAGCGTTCATGATGGGCGGCGCTCAAGTGAGGAGGCTGAGTACTGCGTCTGTGCCAGTGCAACGGCCCATGGTGCAGCTCACGGCTCGCACACTGGGCAGTGCGCACAGGGAGAGGCTAGTGCGTGGGTTGTTTACTGTTGTGAGACGCCCCCGCCTGTGAAGTAGTATATCTGCAGGCGTATTCCTTATCTGGTCTGAAGGAACAAATCCGTCGAGCCATTCCATCTCGACTTTGGTAGACATTTTAGAGACACCACTCACACCCTTGCATGTAATCAACACCTCCATGACGACGTGCCAACACGGCTGGCCACTGCTGTCCCCTTGCCGCTTCACCCTATGCATCGAATGGGCGAGAATGTACATGCTCGGACTGCCTCCACCTGTAGACTTGTGGAGTCCCGCCTGCACACTGCCACACTGGCGGTAATTCCGGCCACGTGGCTTTGGCTGGCTTGTCGACGCGCGTTCCGTCATTGAGTGTGGTGGTGTCTGCTGGTGTGTGCTTGGGTCAGCGTCGTCCAAGATCAGTCAGTGGTGACCAACTACACACTTTCCACTACATCCCCTCCCCTACCAACAGCATCACTCGCACGAGCCAGCAAGGCCACTTCCACTAGAGACGCCTTTGCTAGCTCTCCCTCTCACAGAGCCCCCTACAACCACCCCTCCAACCCCAGCCCGACGCGGCGACTACAGCCATGGACGAGCGTGATCCCAAGGTGGCCACGATCATGGTGCCGTCTGAGGACCCCGAGAAGAAGGAGGACGACAAGCCCAAGCACGACAAGGGAAAGCTGGCGGAGAAGGATGCGGACCTGCCTGATATTGTGGGTTGAGCCGAGCTGGTTGCGACATCAGCATTTGCTAACTGTGCCCCTTACAGTCCGAGGAGGACCTTGCGCTCCAGAGCGAGCTCGAAATGCTTGTTGAACGTCTCAAGGTGAGTCATGGAGAGCTAGCACGGGTTATTGTCAAGAGCTCAACTGACACGAACTCCAGGAGCCCGACACTGCGCTCTACCTGCCCGCGCTCGAGTCGCTCCGCACGTTGATCCGCACGTCGACTAGCTCGATGACCAGCGTGCCCAAGCCGCTCAAGTTCCTGCGACCACACTACGAGGAGATGGGCAAGATCCGCGACAGCTGGTCCGCGGACCTCAAGGAGCAGCGCGCTCTGCTCGCTTCCATCCTTTCGGTCCTGGCCATGACGTACTCGGACACTGGCAAGCGTGACACCCTCTACTACCGCCTGATTTCCGGCTCGGACGAGTCGCCCGGTACTTGGGGACACGAGTACGTGCGGCACTTGGCTGCCGAGCTCGGAGAGGAGTATGTCGGTCTTGTCGAGGGCGCCGAGGACGACGAGGAGCCTGCTGCTGCCAACGGCGCTGTCGTTGCTGCGTCTGGCGACAAGGCGGACGTCAAGACCGAGGAGCAGCCCAGCCGCAACTATACCGTCGAGCAGCTGCGTTCGCTTGGTCTCGAGCTTGTCGATTTCTTCCTCAAGCACAACGCCGAGGTTGACGCTGTCGACCTTTTGCTCGAGCTCGAGTGCATCGAGGTCCTCACCGACAAGGTCGATGACAAGACCTACCCGCGTGTCTGCCAGTACATGGTCAGGTGAGTGTCGACTAATGGTGATGCCATCAACTGACAGCGTCCCAGCTGCGTCCCCCTCCTTGTTCCCCCAGATGATGATGTTTTCCTCCGCACCGCTGCCGCCATCTACGCCAAGCACGACCGTCTCCCCGAGGCCCTCGCCCTGGCCATCAGGTTGCACGACAGGAAACTCGTGCGCAAGTACTTTGAGGCCCCGGCGAACCCCGTCATGAAGAAGCAGCTCGCGTTCCTCATTGCCCGTGCCAACATTCCTGTCCACTGGGTCCACACCCCGGACACCATGGAGCCCGAGAACGACGAGGGCGACGAGTGGGGAGCGCCCCCTCCCGAGCTCAGCACCGAACTTGCCGAGTGCCTGGGCAACCACAACCTGTCGACGCATTTCAAGAACTTCGGCAAGGCTGTCGGTGTTGAGGATGCGCGTACCCCAGAGGACATTTACAAGACCCACCTCGAGTCGCGGTCTACAGCTGTTCACTACAACTCTGCGCGTGACAACCTGGCGTCGACGTTTGTCAATGCCTTCGTCAACGCGGGCTTTGGTAACGAAAAGATGATTGTCCAGGCCGAGGAGGGCCAGAGCTTCATCTACAAGAACAAGGACCGCGGCATGATGAGCGCTACGGCCAGTGTTGGCATGTCGCTTCTTTGGGACCACGAGGGCGGCATCGACCACATTGACAAGTACACCTACTCGCCCGAGGAGCACATCAAGGCCGGCGCCTTTTTGGCCATTGGTGTCCTCTACTCGAGCATCCGCACCCAGCCCGACATGGCATGGGCCCTTCTCGAGGAGCACGTCGACAACCCTAGCACCGAAATTAAGATTGCCGTCATCAATGCCATCGGTATGGCCTACGCCGGCTCGGAGCGTCCTTACATTGTTGAGCGTCTTGCCCCCTACGTTGCCGACGAGTCGTCGTCGATCGACGTCGCTGCCAACGCCGCTCTCGCCCTTGCCTTTGTCTTTGTTGGTTCGGGTAACGGCGAGGTGGCCAGCATCATCCTCCAGACCCTGATGGAGCGCGAGAACAGCCAGCTTGACTCCGAGTGGGGCATGTTCTTCGGCCTCGCTCTGGGTCTCATTTTCCTCGGTCGCCAGGATGCCGCCGACGCCACCATCGAGACCCTCAAGGCTATCGAGCACCCCGTCGCCCGCTCCGCCGAGATCCTCGTCGAGGTCTGCTCGTACGCTGCTACCGGCAACGTCCTCAAGATCCAGTCGATGCTCCACCTGTGCGCCGAGCATGCCAAGACTGACAGTGACAAGCCCAAGGACGAGGCAACCCCTGAAGTTGATGGTGCCGCCGACGAGGCCGCCGCCGCCGCCACTACGGCTGCGGGCGACGTCGACATGGACGCCGCCACTTCTGGCGAGACTACCGCCTCGACTGACGCCCCCGCTGAGCCCGAGGCACCCAAGTCGATGAGGCATCAGGCTATGGCCGTCATTGGTATCGCTCTTGTCGCCATGGGCGAGGATGTTGGCGCGGAGATGGCTCTGCGCCAGTTCCAGCACCTCATGACCTACGGCGACCCCATTATCCGCAAGGCTGTGCCCCTCGCCCTCGCCCTGATCTCCGCTTCCAACCCCCAGCTCACCATCCTCGACACTCTGTCAAAGTACTCGCACGACTCGGACCTGGACGTCGCAGTCAACGCCATCTTTGCCATGGGTATCGTTGGTGCCGGAACCAACAATGCCCGTCTGGCCCAGATGCTCCGCGGCCTTGCTGTGTACTACGCCAAGGAGCCCGACTGCCTGTTCATGGTCCGCATCGCCCAGGGCTTTGTCCACATGGGCAAGGGAACCATCGGCATCAACCCCTTCTTCCACGACCGCCAGATTCTCTCGGGTAACGCCGTCGCCGGTCTCCTTTCGCTCCTGGTCTCGTTCGGCACAGACTCGCACGAGTTTGTCCTTGGCAAGCACCACTGGCAGCTGTACTGGATCGCCCTCGCCATGTTCCCCCAGTTCCTCATCACTTTGAATGAGGACGGCGAGGAGCAGCCCGTGACAATGCGTGTTGGACAGGCGGTCAACACAGTGGGCTTGGCTGGTACCCGCTCGACCATTAGTGGTTTCCAGACCCTTACCTCCCCCGTGCGCGTTGGCACGACGGAGCGTGCCGAAATGGCGACCAACGAGTACTTCCCGTTCTCTCAGACACTGGAGGGCTTTGTCTTCGTCAAGCGTAACGAAAACTTTGACAAGGACGAGTAAACAACGACGGCGGGCAGCATCGCAGACGACGGATAGGAAGAGTACGAGAAGGAGTAGCATTAGACTCGCTGTAAATGACCGTACAATGCATCTGTGCAGGCAAAAGTAGCAGCCGCCTGAGGTGGCCACGGAGCAAGGACGACGTGGACACGGCTGGACTCGACGTGCAAACGACATGCCTTGTGCCAGGCACATTTAATAGAATTCCCAGGCACGATTACGTTTATTAGCTTTGACATCAGTAAAGTTCCTAATGGAATGGGTGCAACTGGAGGCGAGAGCGTGGTGCTCGGCGGTAGGAGTCCATGCCTGCTGTCGTCCATGTTCCGGTTACCGCTTGCTGACTACTGAGACGTTGTTGATCAACAGAAACCGACTGAGCAGACGCGTGGATCAGGTGGTGAGGCGACGTTGTTATTGTGACGCAATTTAAACGAAACCCCCCGTTAACCCTCCGCACGCGCCTGTGGGCGGCGCGTCCTTCATTGAAATCAACACAACCCCAGTCCAGTCAACTGACTCCTCGCCCTTGCTTCACAACCCTTTCTCCCATCCCCATCGCTGCCACCCACAGCCCCCTCACACACCACATCTAGCCCGCATCGTCGGCACCGTCGTCCTCGCCCACGATGCCGACACGTACCGCAGCCATGCACAAGCTCGTATTCAACGAGAAGCTCATGCAGAATGGCAAAGGCGCGGGAACCGACGCGCTTTTGAAGCGACTCAAGGTGCGCGCGCGCTCACCCTCATGCATTCCATCCCATCCCATGCATCCAGGTGCTGATTCCCTCTCCCCACAGACACTGCACGGAAAGCTTGCTGCCCTCGAACAGGATGCGACGGATAAGAAGAGTCTGAACGCTGTGAGGAAACAGCTCATCGACAGCGTCATCCTCCACCACAAGGAGTAAGCACGGGACCAGCGGGGACAAGGAAGGCAGGCCGACCTTCCCCTCCGACCCATCACAGCGACAACGCTTCTGATGGCCAGAGCCTATACACCATTGCTGACACTCTCGCAGCCGCGGTGTCAAGGCCCTTGCAGCATGCTGCCTTGCCGACCTTTTGCGCTTGTACGCGCCGGATGCGCCATTCACCGCCGACGAGCTCCGGGACATCTTCCAGTTCTTCGTTGTCCAGATCACCCAAAACCTCAAGCTTCCCACCGGTAGTGCGCGCCCGCTTGCCCCCAGCAAGCGAGGTGCAAACAGTGCCACTTCGGACAGCCAGCAGACGACACTCAACACGCGTATCACGGAGATTCCTTACTACACCGAGTACTGCTACCTCCTTGACAACCTGGCCAGCATCAAGTCTGTGGTGCTTATTTGCGACCTTCCTGGCGCCGAAGAACTCGTCACCACCTACTTTGAGAGCTTTGTTGAGGTTGTCCGCACCGACATGAACAAGAACCTCATCCGCAACCTGGCGAGTATCCTCGTCGAGGTGCTCAACGAGAGCGAGACTGTTCCCACCGGGGTCATGGACTGCATCCTTGCCCAGTTTACACCCGAAAGCAAGGCGGATTCCCCTTCCTTCCAGCTCATTGTTGATGTCTGCAACCGCAGCGTGAATAAGCTGTCACGACCACTCTTTACAGTGAGCCACGGTAGTCTGGGCTTTACTGACAACTCAGATGTACTCTGACATTCAGCTCGAGCACGGACGTGACCCTTCCCCGGAGGACCTGCGTACCCTCACCGAGACAAACGACCAACTCCTCGTCATCTTCCGCAACGCACCCAACCTTCTCGTCAACATTATCCCCTTGCTCGAGGAGAACCTTCGCGCAGCAGACGAAACACCCCTCCGTGAAATTTCGGTCAAGACCCTCGGTTCCATGTTTGGCGAGCGTCCGCTCTTCGGTAGTGGTGTCGTCGACATTGCGCGTGCCTTCCCATCTGCCTGGCGCTCATGGATTGGTCGTCATGTGGACAAGGCGCTGCCTGTCCGTCTGGCGTGGGTTGAAGCGGCTGGTCCCATCCTTGTCAACCACTCCGAGTTGCGCAAGGAGCTGGAGCGTGAGTGTTTGCTATTCAAGCAGGATCTGACACAACAGCCGTCCTTCAGGATCGTATCCAGGACGCGGACGAGCGCGTGCGTGCTGCCGTCTGCAGGCTTATCGGCTCGCTCGACTACGAGACTGTCCTTCATCACGTCAGCAAGTCACTGCTCCTTGCCATCGGCCTGCGCATGAGTGACAAGAAGGCGGTTGTCCGTACCGAGGCCATCAACGCGCTCGCCAAGCTGTGGGGAATGGCAAAATCTGAAATGTGAGTCTGCCCGTGGTTACACTTTTTTCTGACCCCACCAGTGAGGCCAACGACGCAGACGCTGTTGACCACTTTGCCTGGATTCCCCAGGAGATGGTTCGCCGTATCGCCGTCATCGGTAGTACCGCCGAGATGAAGTCCCAGATCATCGTCGCGTTCAAGACGCACATCCTTCCCCTCCCCACCAAGCCTGATGACGAGCAGGCTTGGGTCGACGACTTTCTCCTGGTAGCATCGCACATGGACGACCCGGGCCTTCGTGGCCTGGACAAGCTGACCGGTCTGATCGGCTATGCCAAGTAAGTTGATACTGGATCGCCGGTATGAGAACTAACATTTGCAGGGGCATGTCACCATACGGGGCGTTCATCCCGACTTGCGAGCAGAACAACGGGGGCGCTGTAGACGGCGCCGAGGGACAGGCTGCCAAAGACAATCTCGCCTACGTTATCGACGCCATTGTTCGCCTCAACTTTGGTGACGCTGACAAGGCCCGCAAGGACTTGGAGGCGTTTGCGGCCGCCAATGAGCCTCGCATGTACAAGCTGTTCAAGGCCCTTGTCGACCCGCAGTCCGACCTCCGCATGATTGTCAAGTCCAAGAACGAGCTGCTCCGTCGCATCGAGCAATCTCACACTGCAATCTTGGAGACCTTTACCGTGGTCATTGACGCGGCTGCTTGGAACGTCGTCAACCACTCGAGCATCCCAGGTTTCATCAAGCGCATGCAGAAGCCTGAGGGCCCTCTGCCCGAGAAGATCAACCTCGTCTGCGCTCGCTACCTCTCGCTCATCTCAAAGGAGTGTGCGCCAATGTACAAGAACCACGTCCCTGAGCTTGTCATTGTCATCAACGACAAGAAGAATGACCTCCTCGTCGAAGTAGCCCTCCAGGCCCTTGCGGCCGTCTGCAAGTGGGACAAGTCGGTCGGCCCATCGGATAAGCGGCCCATTGAGCGTGCCAAGAAGCTCGCTCTGTCGGGTACACCGCGCCAGGCCAAGTTTGCATCACGTTTCATTGCGTCGTGCAACGACTCCAAGGCTGCAACCGATCTCGTTTCTGTAAGCTGCCGACAACACTTCTGACGCTGACATCTCAGTCCGTTTGGAAGGCCCTCCAGGACGGCGACGAGGAACAGCTTCTTCCGCTCCTGCGCTCTTGCCAGGAACTTGCCCTTTCGGCTGCTGTGGCGTTCGAGACCAAGACTGCCGAAATCATTGGCTATATCATGTCCGAGGTCATGCTGCGTCGCTCGCCTTCGGAAGAGGACCTCGACGACCGTTGGGTGGAGGAAGAGGAGCTGGAGACGCTCGATCGCGCAAAGCTCATTGGCCTGCGTGTCTGCACGCATCGCTCACTCGGCTGGGCCCGAGACGCCAACGCACTCGACCTCGTGGCGCCGACCTTCAACTTGTTGTCGCAGATCCTCACGAATGATGGTCAGGTCAGCGACGAGACCATGGAGGGGTAGGTCACACTCGTCCACTGTCCCCACGCTAACCTGCCAGTGGAAAGGCTCGTTGCCACATGCGCCTGCGCGCAGCTCTTTGCATGGTCAAGCTCGCCCGTGTCCGCGTGTTTGACAAGGCGATCTCGCCTCACTTTGTCGACATTGCGTTTACCATGCAAGACGTCAACTTTACCGTTCGCCACCGGATGCTGAAGAAGCTCCACGAGGTACTCCCCGGTCAGCGCCTGATGCCCAAGTGGAACCTTCTGCCCATCCTTGTCGCTCAGGACCCTGAGGCGGACAACATCAACTTGGTATGTATTAGGGCCCCACAACATGACTGACCCGACTCTAGGCTAGAACCATCATGAGCCATGTGATCCTGGCCGCCCACCGCCTGCGGCCCGAAGACCGCATTGACCGTGTCGAAATGCCGCTTGCCCGCCTGCTCCACCTCCTCACCCAGCACCCGGACCTGGACTGGAAGAATGCCGAGGACCTCAAGGACATGGCCCGCTTCATCGAGCTGTTTGTGGAGTGTATTGCGCAGCGCGAGAACATTGCGCTACTGTACACTATCGCCAACAAGCTCAAGACGGTGTGTGTTGCAGGTGAAACAATGGACGAGGACAAGCTCCGGCTGCTACTCGAAGATTCAAAACAACCGGCTGGCGAGGATGATGACGACGAAGCCGGCGAGGAGTCTGCGCCCCAGGCGTCATCGCCTACAATCGTGAGTGGTGTGCGGAAAAAACAACGACAGCCAAGAGATCTGAAGCATGTGCCCTGACCATCCGCCTCTCATACCCAGAACCTCTACAAGCTCAGTGAACTGTCCCAGATCATTTTGCGAAACTGTGCTCAGCGCAATTCTTGGCCACTGTCTCCTTACCCTGGCAAAATCAAGCTTCCTAGGGACATTTTCCTCAACTTGCCGTCGGCCGCTATCGCGCACCAAGTGTCAGGGCGCACCTACCTTGGCGAATCGGTGGCGGTATGGGCAAAGAACTTTGGCAAGAAGAGTGTGGCTGTGCCTGGCTCAGTGAGTTGACTGATCGATCGCCTCCTTTTATTTTTCGCCGATTCCCTCTCATCTCATGACTCTCTCTCCTTTTTTTGAGACGATTGTTTTGGGTGGCGCGAAAAGGAAGTGAAAAACACAAAAAAAGTGAACCTGACTGACATTTGCCCCGAAGCGACGTGCGGCAGCCGAGACGTCGGGTGAATCTCGCAAGCGGACCCGCACGGCAGGAGCGCCCCGTGCGCCACGCAAGAAGCGTCGTGCATCGCGCACGGATGACGAGGACGACGAGGATGACGAGGATGGAGAGGACAGCGAGAGTGACAGTGGAGAAGACGAGGACGATGACGAGGTGGCTGCCAATGAGTCGGATGCGGCGGAGGGTGACGAGGGCGGCGGTGGCGAGGCGGTGATGGGGCGTGGAGGCAGGCGTAATGCCAAGGTGAGTCAAAATGAGTGCACCCAAAAGTGCGGGGCAAAAGGTCAAAGGGAAGCCAAGACAGGAACGGAAACTGCGGGGAAAGTCGAAGAGAGAGAGGTTTATAGTTAGATTGCGTTCCGTTCCAGGTGTGGGGGGGGGCAGCACGCTAGTGAGTGACGCTGGGCTGACATTTACAGACTAAGGCCAAGAAGGCCGTCACGCGCAAGGCCAAGAAGAAGAAGGTCAAGCAGCCTGCCGAGGACTCGGAGCTTAGTGAGCTCAGTGATGAGTGATCGCCTCTGCTCTCCGAGGCCAAAGGGGCCAACATGACTGGGGGTGGGAAGGATGGCTGGGTGTGTGACGTACGCGGGGTATATATATTTTTGTGTGCTTACAGTCGACGGTGTGGTCGTCGTGTTTCGATAGTGATATGGTATGATTGCTGGAAATGGACTGTGACATGTGATGTCTGTTGGTTACGCTACGGGGACGTAAGCCCAGGGGCGTGCGTCGTGGTGGGTGGGTACGCTAAGTAGATTTCCTGGCACTTGACCGCCGCCGCCGCCGCCACCCAACAGTGTCACTGTGCGTCCCAACCAACGTGCCCAAGCAGTGTGCGTCCCAGCAGCAGGGGCAACGCAGGCAGGGAGACAGTGCAGGCTACCAGCAGATCAGCAGAGCAAGGTTGAGTTGCAGTGTTTGTACCTGGAGCGACCAAAACGTCCGCGCACTGGCGCCTGGGATGCCGTGCCGCGGCGGTAGGTTATCTGACACACTTGGGGGGCAGCAGGTGTCGGGTCTTGCACCAGGAGTGAGGCATGTCAGCACGTTTGGAACACCATGCTCTGACATTCACCCCCACCCAACACACACACGCACACTTGGGCACACGCTGTCGCTCTCCAGAGCGCCAGAGCTCTGCCCCCCTCGCTCGCTGGTCGTCGTCACGGGGACACAAGCTGTATTGTACTGTATTGGTCTGCCTGCCTGTCGCTGCCTGCAGCTGCCTGCCTGCCAGACGAGCCGCGGGGTGGGAGCACACGCAGGTGCAACATGGCGACCAGAGACCAAATTCCCAGCATTCAGCAGAGCTGTGTGGGTGGTGGCCGTGGTGGGCCGTGGTGGTGGTGCAGCGGCGGTACACGCAACCCGCCGTCCTTTCGCCGGCGCCACCATTTTCTTGCTGCAGTAGCAATACGCCCGACAGCGTTGAGCGCTTGCTGGTGTGGCCGGTGGGTGAGATGCATTGGAACGAGACAGCTGGAGCGTGAGCAGCAGGAGGCCAGCAGCGGCGCGAGAGCGGAGGCATGCGCGTGCTCACATTATGGGATATTTGTTGTCCTGGGTTTGTGCCCTGGCCCATTGCCTTGGCCGACCGCCCTCACCCTGGGTGGTCGCTTCGGACCAAAACAAAGCGAGAAGGACCAGTCGGTCGGTCGGAGGAAGGCAGGAGGGGGGGCAGCTGATCCAACGCTCTCTCTGGTGCGCGCGCACTCGTGGGTGGCCGCTTGCATCCTCCCATCTTGCTTCCTCACCACCTCCGTCGTCGGCGACGTACACACACAAGACTCCCTCCTCGCCACTGCATCTCCCCCCTTCCTCCCCCTCCTCCGCAGTGAGCTCTGGTACACACAAACATCAATCTCTGCGTCGTTGCCAAGCACCAGGCCGCAACCCATTTCCCCCTCCGCCCGCATCGCATTTTGTCGTAACTGCATCGCACACACACACACTCTGTAACCAACAACCAACCCAACTCCTTCCCTCCATCGACACTCCCACTTGTCCATTCCAACGCCCCATCCTACCTCCTTTGGCACCATCCTCACGCCCGCCCACGTCGCTCACCGTTACGCTAGCTAGGATAACTGCTTTGCAAGCATTCATCCGACCATTCCACTACCCGCACCCCCCTTAGGCTGGTCACCCGCAGTGCACACGCGTAGTGCAAGCACTTGTCCCACTCTCCACTCCCATTACGGCCGGCTGCGTCCTGCCCTCCTTGCTTTTCTTTTGGGCACAGACACAGTCTAACACGTTGGCGCGCCACCGCCGACTCACCTGCACATCGCTTTCTCTGGTGACACGAGAGTGAAAGCCGAACCGGGCGACACTGCGTCTTGTTGGACCTTCGCTTAGGCAATTCAACCCAACAAACCCCCCGTGCAAGGCGCCCACAAGCTACAAGGCCACAAGCCTCCATTCCACCCGTTCCTAGGTACGTTGTCTTTCTCTGTGCTCTGCGCTTTTCTTTGCTGGTCACCTTGCCCCTCTTCCCATCTTCGCTGCTCTCGAGAGCAACGTCCCAAACACCTTCCCCGATTGCATGTATAGCTGCTGGTTTTGTGCATCCTCGTCCTTGCTCGCACCCTTCTCGCTCCATACTGTGCCAACTGGCCCACTGGCCTGTTGCTCGCCCTCGGAGCCCCGAGCCCCGCATTTACGAGCCCCGGGCACGCAGCCACCCAGGGCCGGCGCCGCCATACGCCGCCGCCGGTGCCGAATGAGGAAGGCCAGTGAGGCTGACGGACCAGTCGCTAGTCGCCGCCGCGCCCACTGCGCGCAGAACAGCAACGCCGCATCTCGTCTCGGCGTTCTCGCTCTCTCTCTCTCACATATCCCTCTCTCCACACACACACACCCACATCCGTCAACGCCAAAGCGTCGTGCTAGCCAGCGCGCAAAAATACCACACTCAACCCGAACCGCAGCACCGTCCCCGGCGTTCAGGACCCACGCGGACAGTGTCGCCGTTTGCCAGCCACCAAACATACGCTTCAGGCAGGTCCGCTTGTGCTTCCTGGATCGACAAACTCTCACTGTCTCTCTCGCTCTCTCTTTCTCGCCCTCGAGAGAGATTATCACAGAGCGAGTGTCAAGGAAGTGCCAACGTGCTCCCTTTTGTTGCCCGTGCTCTGTACCTCCGATTACGCCAGCCGCCACCCCGTTGGCGCCGCCGCCCCTCCCGAAGTGCGCGGTCGTTTACACAGACACACTCTCTCGACAGAGAGTGGTAGTGTCCGCAACACAACGTCTGTCGGACCACCCGGGGCTACGTCGCACGCCGTGCTCATTGTGAGTGTACCGCCGTGAGCCAACCGACGAGCGATAGACTTGGGGACTGCGCGCACGGTTTCTCGTGCACCCCGCCGTGAAACACGCGTCACTGTCGCTGAAGGGTGCGCTCGGACCGCCATCAAACGCGCTCGGACCCCCCCTTGCTGCTTGCACGCCCCCCGCCGCCACCAAACCCGTCACCCACAGACACAACACACGCGGCCGTCTCCTGCCATCATCATTCTGCTGCAGCTTTTACACATCACCCGTCGCTTGGCCGCCATACGGCCACCACCCCCACCAGTGACCGCAGCGACACCATGATGGTCGTCTCCCAGCCCGTCCTGCCGCCAACATACGAGCCCGACTACCCATCCCCCGGCCCATCTTGTGCGGCAGCAGCTGGCCCCGGGGCTGCAACAGCACCCTCCAACCCCCTCCCCTTTCCTGGCCTCCCAACAGCATACACCACACGAACACCATCATCCCACTCTCCACACATCCTCCAGCAGCGACCGACTCCCTCAAAGATTGATGCAGAGCTCGTCGTCAAGTCGGCCTTGCCCCCTACCCCAGACCCCTCGCCGCCCACAACCAAAGTGCTCTTCCCGGTCCAAATGGTCGCCCTCGCGCCACCAGCAGGCGAGTCATACGAGGACTCGTCGCGATACTCGCTTGATGAGGGCAGCGCATCGCCGCCGTCCAGCAGCGACTCGCATGGCTCGCACAGCACGAACCGGAGCGTCTCTCGCCCGTCCGTTACTGTCAACACTCGGGTGTCTAGGGGATCCCACTCCGAAGTCCTCCGCTCACCTTCCCCACCAAAGGCCTCGGCTATGCCCCGGTCAGAGACCCAGCCCAACCTCAACAACCTCAACATCTTGAGCAGACAGTCGGCAGGGCGGGGTAAAGCGGTCGTACCGGTGGACAAGGACAAGGACTCGGAACGCAACGACAGCCGACAGAAGAAGGCGGCGCGAAGACAGACAGTGGCAGCACCAACGTCCGTCCGGATGACCGAGTCGCGGAGCGCCGACTCGCGCGCGCGTCTGCGCTCCACTACTACTTCAGGTGGTGCCAAGCTGGCCCGTTATCCGACGATCGCCAACGAGTACCCCAGTGCTTCAGCCCAGGCGCGCGCTCGGAGTCGCCGCCAGACCGATACGCCGCCCAGGATTGTTCTTGGCCGCGCATCAGCAGGCGACGCAGAGGACCTCGACTTTGGTGGTCCCGGCGGCCTCGAGGCAAAGCTCGTGCTGCTCGGCTCACAAGGTGTGGGCAAGACGTCGCTCATCCTCCGCCTCACCACCGGATCGTACTCGGCCATCCCGGCACCAGCTTCTCTCGACGGATCACTGTACAAGCGCAAGCTCGAGCACAATGGCGTGCCCATCAAGCTTCAGATTTGGGACACGGCAGGACAGGAACGGTTCCGCTCCATGGCGCCCATCTACTACCGTGGAGCACATGTGTGTATCCTCGTGTACGACATTTCCGACCGCAAGAGCTTTGAGGACGTGCGTTCATGGCTCGACGAGCTTCACATCAAGGGCTCCAAGGACGTGATCATTTACGTCGTCGGCGCCAAGACTGATCTCGACGGCAAGCGCGTCGTCTCGTGAGTGTTTTTGACTGAGACACGCCTTTTGTGTCACGAGACAGGTCACCAGGATACTAACGTGCGTTTCACAGTTTTGCAGAGGCCCGCAGGACCATTCGCAGCTGGCTCAGACCCCCGGCACCCGAGCCAGAGGCCGAGGTGCTCCTTTCCCCCGTTCCCCGAAGCTTGTTTCGGAGCACGTCCAGTCGCGCTCGTACAGAGTCGACAACTGGACCACCTCCTGTTCCCGGCCCGTCGCGGGCACGCCCCCACTCGATGCACGGCCTGGCATCACTCATGGCGTCCTCGGCCGACTTTAGCCAGTTGGACACACCAACGCCAGTCGTCTCGCAGCCACCCATCGTCACCTCACCGTCGCCCGCACCTACCGTCCACTTTCCCTCCAGCATCGCATTGTCCTCAAGCGCAGCTCCGTCCACCGCATCCGCGTCGACAGTTACATCTCCGACCACCGCGAACGGTGAACGAAGGCAGCGCACGCACCGTGTCTCGTTTCACGCGCCGGCACCTCCATCGGATCCCATCTTTGGCACCACCGTCGAGACGGCCACCGCGTCCACTGGCGCACACACGCACCACCATACCCGCTCCAACAGCCGCTTCTCCATCTCTGGTGTCCTGGGCCTGTCACGGACGACCTCGGTGTCCGTTTCCGACGCCATGTCCAACTTGACACACCTGGCCGAGGCCAACCCTGTCAGTCCCCGGTCGCCCACTGGCCCCACTGGCCGTGGAGCACTGTCGCCCCCTCGTATCCGAACGGAGAGCTCGCCCATGCTGAGCGCCGACTTGACCAAGCAGCGCAGCGAGGAGTGGTCCGGACGCGGCTGGGGCCGTGGCGAGGGGCCCGGCGCTGCCGAGGCCCTTGAGGAGTTTGGCGCCGTCATTCGCCAAGCACCGTCATCTCGCCCTGCATCCCTGCCCCGTCGTGGACGCGCACGCGGTGGTTCTTTGGGACGCGACTCGCGCCTCTACAGCGACGACCCACGGCGCTCTGAGGACTCGGACGGCGAGGACGAGCCTATCAATGGATGGGGCGTCGAGGTCGAGGGTGTACGCCTCGGTGAAGTCAGTTCCTTGACTGGCGAAGGTGAGCTTGTTTTTCTCTTTTCTTATTGTTGTTGCCCATAGTCTCCTGAGCTAACTGGTTCCCCTTCAGGTGTCGAAGCCATGTGTCGCTCCATTTCAGCGTGCCTCGTTGAACGCAAGGACAAGATTGAACGCGAACGTACACTCCGCCACAAGAACAGCGTCATGCTCACGGACCCGACTAAGGATGCGTCCACTAGCAAGAGCAAGGGCCGCTTTGCTTGCTGTGTGTAGACAAAAATACGCAACAACCGTCATTCCCACCCGCCCCCCCCGCATACACACGATATCCAACACAATCCGCCGCTAGACGGCGTACTGCATTCTGCCAGCCCAAGCTGGCCCCCCATTTTATTTGCACGTCACTTCCCACTCATCCCACGAAACGAACACGACCCACGATCTGCACCATCCGCAACATTGCATCACTCGCATGCCGGACCCAGCGTGCGAGATAACCACAATACCCTCTCCACCCCCACCCACCCCATATTTGTTCCCGGCCAAAACATGAGCCCCGCCCTTTTTTTGCTCTCTTTCTCGTCTGTCCCGTCTGTCCCGTCTCTCTCGCTCCCAAACGTCCCGGATTCCTGAATACGCTGTGTGTCATCCTTTACCTTTACTCTCTCATACAACTCTCACCTCACCTTTTTAGTGGCGCTGTAGTAGTCCATAAGCCCGTCCGCAGGCGGGCGGTTGTGTTATGCCGAATTGCATGCATCTTGATTTCAGATCTCAACCCAACCTCACCCGCGGGACACGAGCACGTCAGCGCCGGCGCGTTTCGTTTCATGGTTTCAGCTGTGGACAGACGGATGGGTGCAATGTGACGGATGGATGGGTGCAATGTGTGCGTGCCCCTTTGATCGTTTCGCGCCTTCTTGGCTGTTCTTGGGGCCAGCTCCAGAATTGCCGCGCTCGTCAGGTTGGTGAGACTATTCTTACGTTGCACGCTCGGCCTGTGCGTTTCATGTATCTCTCTGTGCCCCACCTCACCCCTCACCCTCTTGCCGACATGCGTCATTGCAAAAGTGGTCGCACGAGGCATGGCACTTGCACTAGCACTACACCCTCACTGATCACTGACAATGCACACACTGACGCCACCAGGCCACCGGGTCATCCTGAAACTCGATGCAGAGCTTGAGCATTCACGCCGACGACGTGTGGGGTGGTGTGCCCGACCGCCCGACCGTTCCGCGTTCCATCCTCTGCATCTCTGGGGTCGCACACATGCACAAACGTGGTGTATGGTTGTGCGACGGGCGTCCAGTTCTGGCGGCCCCCTAAACGCCCCACACACCCGCTGGGCGAGACTGTGCGATGGCGCGGCGGCGAGGTGTGCGCCAGGTGTGGCCAGGTCTCGTCGGGCGTGCATGTGTTCCGAGCGTGTGTGCGTGTGTGCGGGGCTCGTATGAGATCAAATGTGACGTGTGATGGACGCACAGAAGGAGGGATCTGGCACGGCCAGATCTCGGGGGGTTCATTGGAATCGCACGTCGAGAGGGCGGGGTGCGGGATCCACAGCGGTCGACGACGTCATGGCCGACTGACGCGTCGAAAATAAACAACGTAGAATAAAAATCAATCACGTCGGCCGTCCCGTCGATCTGTGTGGCGTCATCGTTGGAGCGTATGCTAAAACTCGTCCTGTTTTGGTCCGTGCCCCGTTGACGTAAGAGCGTCATTCGGGATCTCGGGAGTAGCTTATAAACTGGGCTGCATTCCGTTCTGTCTATATACATGCTCTGGGATCCATATTGTGCCGCGCGTATCAAAACCCCCAGCATTCCAGCTGCGAGGGTTTCCTGCAGCTTTCATATAATACTTGCGTCGGTTTTTCTCCGCGAAAAAAACCTCGGCTTTCAGGCTCGACCCCTGTCCGGAGGCCTGGAGGGGAGGTTGGCCATAATTAAACGTCCTCGCCGGCGTTGGCCTTGGCGGTGAGCTTGGTCTGGTAGACGAGGCCGGCGGGCGCGTCGTCGCGGGGCATGACCAGCTCAATGAGGCGGAGCTTGTCGGGAATGTTGAAGACGGGGTTGTTGAGGAGGGCGTTGAGCTCGGCCTGGGTGCGGACAATGTGCGACTCGCAAGGGGTGGCCGGGTTCTTGCCGCCAAAGAAGGGCAGGAGCATTTGGTGGTCGTACGACTGGATGTCGTTGTACTGGGCCTTGGGGCCGTGGATCTGGCGCTCAATCTCGTAGCCGTCGTTGTTCTGGGAGGTTGGTTAATAGTTGCTCGACGATGGGCAGAGCTGCAACTCACCAGGACAAAGAGGTAAGGCATGACACCACGACGGACCATGGTACCGATCTCCTGGACGGTCTGGAACGTTCGTTAGCGAGCGAGCCGTGGGAGTGGACGCCCGTGCGTCTAATGTACACTCACGAGCTGGAGAGAGCCGTCGCCGACAAAGAGGGCGGTGCGACGGGGGATGGAACCCTCCTGGGCCGCAAGGGCAGCACCGAGGCAGGCACCAACACTCCAGCCGATAGCACCCCAGAGGACCTGGGCGACATAGTGCGAGTGGCTGGGGAGGGCGTAGTTGAGCATACCAAACGACGAAGTGCCAGTCTCGGCAATGATAATGTCTGGACCAAGTCAGCAAAACAGCATCCATGCTTAGCCTAGGCCTCGACCACACCCACCGTTGTCCTTGAACCACGAGGCCATGCGGCCCCAGAGCCACGCCTGCACAATCTCGCCGTCGGGGAGCTTGGGCTCGCGGATGAAGGGCAGGACGCGGCCCTCCTTGATCTTGGTCTCGAGCGAGTCCATGTGCGGGGCTTTGCGGTAGCTTCCCTGCGAGCGGATGACCTCGGCAAAAGTGGGGAGGAGGCGAGGGAGAACGTGGCGGATATCGGCCGTGGGGAAGGACGCGTACCCGACGACAGTCTGGTACGAGTGGAGCTTGACAGTGTGTGCGTCATCGACGTGCACCGAGAAGGAGCCAGAGTTGAAGTCGGACTTGAGACTGCCGACGTACAGGACAAAGTCGGCAGCCTCAACTTCGGCCTTGACGGGCCCAAGCGAGTTGGATCCGGCGTAGCAGCCACCAAAGAGTGGGTGGTGCTCGTCAAGGAGGGTCTTACCCACTGGCATACGTTAGCTGGCGTAGAAGATGTCTTGAAGCTAAAGGCTTACTGGGAGCTGCGGCGTTAGCTTTCATTACCGGAACAGTGTCAGTGAAGCTCACTGGAGAAGTAGCGAATGCCACACGTCTCAACAAGGGCGCGCACGGCATTGCGCATACCGAAGCGACCACAGCAAGCGTCGACAAGGATGACGGGGCGGTCAGCCTTGGAGAAGAGCTTGGTGATGAGGGCGACAACGTGGTTGATCACGACGTCGCTGCTAGCCTCCTGGTGGTCACCAGCAAGGTTGTAGAGCGAGTTGACTGGGTGGGCCGAGCCGGGGTTGGCGCGGGGGACCAGCTGGTCGAAGGGGGGAGCCGAGTGGGGCGTGGGCTGTGATGTAAGCGTGTGTTACATGGGGATGTGTTTACAGCCACTCACGAGGGGGAGCTCAAGCGACTTGGAGCTGACAAGGGCGCGGACAGCGTCCATGGGGAGCTCGACGTAAGCCGGGCGGCACTGTGTAAGGCAGGCGCGGAGGGCGTCGTCAAACACGCGAGTGTAGGAAGTGTCGGTGTCGGGGATGACCTCGTTGAGAAGAGCCTGAGCGCACGACAAGGGGGCCGACATGTCGGCAAAGGCGGAGAAGCTAGTAGGGGTGTTGAGGGTGTGGTGCAAGAGTGCGTTATCCTTCTGCATCTTGGTGCTGGGGGCGCCAACAATGTGAAGAACGGGAAGACGCTCAGCGAGCGAGCCCGCCACACCGCTGAATCTGGTCAGCTACACAGTTGGCAGCACACATGGATGACTGCTTCCGAGCGCCCGATCCCCAAGGATCTCACGCAATGTCTTGTGTACTCACCACAAAGCGCTCAGCTCGCCGACACCAAAGGTGGTGACGATGACGGCGAGGCCGCCCTTGATGCGAGCGTAGCCATCAGCAGCATAGGCCTGGATGATGGAGGCAGGTTCGAGACAGTAGCAGGTGGAGCAGAAACGGCAAGTGTTCGAGAAAGAAGCGGGTTGGGGTCAGCACGGCGTGGGGCGAGACAAAGCAGCAGGGAAGGGCCGTTGCCGACGAGTGCCGCCGGCGATGGCGCCGACACCTTACATGCTACGCCACACAGCAGACGTACCGCATTCAGCTCGTTGGCGTTGCCGACCCACTTGAGCACGGGGTCGCGCTCAAAGTAGTCGAGGAACTCGAGGTTGTAGTCGCCGGGAACACCAAAGATCTGTGGTTGTGTGAGCCTCGGCGCGCTTGGAACGTGGGGGTCGCTCCCATCTCATTCTCCTGCTGAAAAGGCCGCAGCCGGCGGCATCGGCGACTTGGACCCTCCCCCATGAATACCCGACTCACCTGCTTGACGCCGGCCTGCTTGATGCGCTCGATAATGTAGGCAGCAAATTCGATCTGCTGGGAGTCTGACATGGTGGTGGGGGTGGGGTTGTTGTGGAGGATGGTGGGAAGACGGCCCACGAATGCACAGTGTCTACATTTATCCCACCCCAGCCGTCAAGGCTACGTAGAGGCACCACAGGCGCCCACGAGCATCGTCATGACGTCGCGCCACGTGAAAAGACGTTCGGAACGGCGCGAACGGGCGGACGCCAACACGCGCGCCATCCCCCGTCGAGGCCAAAGGTGTTAAGGTGGACCTGCCGGGTCCGCAGCCCCCCCGCCGTTCACCTTCCAGTCCGGCCGCAGCTCCACCCAGGCTTCCCGTCGCCCAAGTACAGTACACACCACTCTGCCTATCCCAGTACATGCATGCAGGCCCAAAACGGCCCGTATGTGCGGCACTCCCTGCGGTTGGGCCGGACGTCGGCGCCCTCGGCAGGTCGCCGCCACGCCACCGAGGTGAGCCACCGTTATCGGAGCCATTGTTTGCCCAATTGCCCAGCCCATTGTTCTCGCTTTCCGCGTGTCCCCACCAAACCTATCCCATAAATCGGTACACCTGGCGCATATGGACCGCCGGTAGAGGCCCTTAGGGAGGTGCGCCAGCGCTGTAAACTTGCATTGTGCACGTGAACGGATGCGGCGAGGGCGCGAGGGGACGTCTAACCCCGGCTCTCATTTGAGGGTGGATGGGTCCGCCGAGACGGGTGAGTCTCGCGATCTGCGACACTTCTAGACTTTCCGAGCAAGGACAAGTTGACGCACTTGCAGGGCGATAAGGGGAGGTGCAAAGCTACGTTCTGGCAGGATGGCTAGTCGTGCAGAGCTAGTCCCTGCCGGTCGACGGCCGAGAAGATGTGAGCTCAATGGGGAACAAGATGCGATTTCGCCTTTTGATTGTGAACGCGGCCGGAGCGGGCCTCTCGTGAATAACAAGTCGTTTGTCACCCACGTTCCCGGCGGCAGATGCTAGACGTTCCGGAGCGCGTGTGTCTCGGTCCGCCTCGCCGTGGCGAGTGTCCCGTGAGTGCGTGTTCCGGCTGCTTAGAATGAGGCTCCAAGAGGCACCTACTTGCAAGTCATTGCGCAAACCCCCAGGACGTTCCTTTCCATTTCAGTAGCCATTGTGCCTCTGCTAGATCGGCAGTGGCACACAGCAAAGGAACAGCAAGGCTGAACATTGTGGTGTCCTGTCGAATGTCCTGTGTAATGTGGCCTTTCGCTGACGTTACAGTGGACCAGCAGCCTAGGCTAGCCTAGGCTGTGGCTATAAGCTCACCGTGAGATTCACTGCAGGCGTCAGGCAATACCTGCCCTCCCCTCGTTAACATCGTGACGGCAAGTAATCATATGTCTCTGCCCGGAAATTGGCGCAAACCTGCATGCCGCACATTACGCATTCACAGTTAGTGCAGCGCCGTCATAACATGCGCGGCGCCGATTGTGTGGTACGGCGATGACGCAGCTTAAGCGCATATACCTCGGTGTTCTTGGTGATCAGTCGACGCCAGCCTGATACCGCGGCCATGCGTCTGCGACCAAGCCAATCGAACAACAGTGTGCCGGTAGCATAACGTCTACAAACTGGAGCCAATGTCTTGCCGAGCAACGAGCTACAACCCGACCACCGGTCCGTTCCTTTCAACAACTGTTCAGAGACTGGTGTGTACGGAAACCGTGTGTACTGCGCGCCTGCGCGGGGGCGTGTCTGTTTGTCTGTTGGGGGGTGTTTATAATTGCGTAGGTGTTGTTAACCGCGAAAACCCATTAAAACCTAGTGACGCTCATCGGAGAGAGGCGGGTCGGGCATGAGCTGGAACGTGTTGTGGCCAAGCCCAGTGAGGGCGGCGCTCAAGCCAAACTGGTCGCCGGCGGGTCTTGCCTGCTCGGGCGCGGCGTGGCTCGAGTGTTCGCGGTTGCTCATCGGACGGGATGAGCCCTGCAGACCAGGCGAGGTCTTAGGGGACTGGCCGGTAGTCTTCAACGACGTCTCGTCGGCCACAAGCTGGGGCACAGGCTTGCGACGGAGCGAGTTCTTGCGCTCCGGGGCACGTGGCGTGTTGGCAAACGACGATGGGCCGTGCGAAGGGAGGTGGTGCGACGCGCCAGAGTGGGCACCACCGCTGTCCGACGACTCGCCGCCGCTGCTCTTCGCGCTCTTGTGGCCCGTGTTGTCAGCCGAATGCTGAGCAGACATGCCTGAAGGGTTTGTCGGCGTGGTCGGGAGCGATGGCTGGGGTGCAGGCGAGCCTCCAGGGGTGTAGCCGGGTGTGTAGGGCGCTGGAGGAAGACGACGGGGCTCCTCAAGGTGGTCATCGTCGTCGGCGCCAATGTTGACAACGCCACTCATTGTGCTCAGGCGATAGTCGTCACCAGGGCCATCAAATGGCGCAAGGGTGCCGCTCCGGTCCGAAGCGGTCAGGGGAACAGACGTTGGGCGATGGGATGGAGGAAGTGGGGGTTTGCCGTGGGGAGGGGGAGGACGTGGGGGGTAGTCGTGGGGAGGAGGGCGTGGGGGGTTATCCGAACCACGCCTCGCGCCACCAGCAAGTGCAGCGGCAGCAGCGAGAGACACACCACCTGCGTCGACGGGGTTCGTCCTCTCCTCGAAGGGAGTAGACGGCGCAGTCTCGAAGGGGTCCGTGTTGGTGCTCATCGCAGTGGTGCGGCCGTTACGAGGTGGGGTTTCACGTTTCTCCCCACGCTCGGCATCGGTGTCGTGCTCGCCATAGTCCTTGGACGAGAGGGCAACGGTGCCAAGGCCCATAGAACTGCCACGCTTGAATCGAGACGGGGCTCCAATGAGCCTGGCACTGATGGGCTCGTTGCGGCCACCACGCGACGAATAATCGCCACGGCGGCGGCGCATGCAGTAAAACAGGACGGCTCCCAGAATCGCCAGACCGGCCAGAACGCCGATCACAACGCCAGCAATTGCACCGCCCGAAAGACCCTTCTTCGTGGTGGCGGTGTTGTTGGCGTCGGAAGTAGCTTCCGCTGATTTGCTGCTGGTGCTGCTCGAGGTGGTGTTGGTCGTGTGGAGACAGGTAGTGTTCGAGCCAGTAACCACAGTAAACACGCCAGATGAGCCAACAGTGTGCTGCGTGTCGTTGACAATGGCGTAAATGCGGTACTTGCCCGCGGGAACGTTTGTAACCCAGTTGTATCTAACGTTGGCCTGCCAGTTGGACACGATCGACGAGTTGACGTTGGCACGGCCAACGAGGAGCTGGTCACGACCAACCAGGGTGGTGCCAGCCTGAGCGGTGGTCTGTGATTGAGCGGCAGCGGTCGTGGTCTGTGACTGAGCAGCAGCGGAAGTCGTTTGTTGCTGAACAGCAGCCGAGGTCGTCTGTGCTTGAGCAGCGGCAGACGTGGTTGGAGTCGTTGATGCTGCTGCGGACGCGCTGGTGACTGCTGGCTGAGCCGACGTGGTGGAGGGCGTGCTCTGGGCGACACCCAGGTTGTACACGAACAGGTTTACGACAAACTTCTCGCTGCCAATAGCCTCATTGTACAGTGCCCACGTGAGAGCGTTTGTCGCACATGCGGTCATGGTGGCCGGAAGGGAGAAGGAAATGGCGGGCAGTGCTGTGGAGGAAGTCTGAGCGGCGGCGGTTGTCGTCACTGCCGCTGCTTGCTGCGTCGTCGACGCCGCTGCGGCCGGAGTCGATGCGGCGGGGGTGCTCGCCGCTGGGGTGCTGGCTACGGCCGTAGTTGACACAGCGGCGGCAGAGGTTGCCGCCTGCTGCGCCGCTGCCAGAGGCAACAAGAGAGAAAGAAGTGCGAACACCTTCATTGCTGGTGACCCGCGATAACGTCAAACGCGCTGGGGAAGGGGTGTCCTGGTGTCCACACGGGCGAGTGTGACACAAACGAGAGGTCGGGTGAAACCCAAAGGGTGTGCGGCAAGAGGCCTAAAAGGGCGAGACGGTCGGATAGCTCCAGGCCAATGCGAAGATGGTGTGTTCAACGATGAAAGCAGCAGTATCGTGCAATCACGATGTACCGATGCGGGCCTGCCGCAAGAAGAACGAGGCAACGACGTTGGCCGTGAAAGGGGCGGTGTCTGAGGCACGCGGGGCAGATGGAGCAACGGCAACAGGAGATCGGAAGTTAAAGGCCAGCACAGCCAACCTGGGATTCTGGGTATGGGAGACCGGGTGCGGTCCGTCGGCGCGTGGGGAGAGGATTGAGAGTGCGGGGTGTGGCAACGGTGACTGTCGATATTCACGAGATCACGAGAGGTGTCTGACCAGCGACACGGTGTAGTCACGGGACAAGGGCCTTGGACGGCGTTGGTGGAGTGCGGTGGTGATTGAACTGAGTGGGGAGTACGCAGCTCTGACTTGGCGACGATGACAACAGGCACCAAGGAATAATACCTCTGCTGTCAACGTGGTCGACGAACAAGGGGGGGCCAAACGGCGGGGCAGGCGAGCGTGGATGGTCGAGCAAGGACCGCGGCAGTGGCTCGCAAGATCTCAAGGTTTGGGCGAATTCGGTGACCAGCACCGATCGGATGGGATGGATCGAAAGAGGCGAACGGGGAGGTGAGATATGGGTAGAGGGTAAGGTAGTTGTGAAACGTGAAATGGAGCTACAGGTTGTGAAGTAAACGAGTGTGGTGGAGCGAGGAGAGACGAGTCGACGGCGAAGGAGAGTGTGTGAGTGAGAGAAGCAGAGAGATGCAAAGGGAAACCACGCAAAGAGATGCGCGCGCGCGCAAAGAAAGAGGTGTTGGGTGGGGGGTTCCAAGGACCACACATTTTGTGTGTCAATCAGACCAGGGCAAACAAGGGCACCCCCACCCCCCAATCCCCCCTTCTAGCCCCCCCACCCCACCCTCCTTCTGTCCTATCCATCACTCTCTGCACCCCAGTAATAGAAGAGGCCCTGCATCTGACGCATCCACATGTTCGCGTCCACCCGCACGCGTCCATCACACTGCACCGGCGCTCCCCCCTTTCGACGCCGCCCGACGCCGCCTGAGCGTTCGGGGTGCGCCACCCAAACGTGAGACGCGCGCGACGACCCAAAAGCCCTGCCAGTCCTCTTCTCTACCGATACTACCGAGCCTCCCAGCCTCCTTGTGTGGTTGTACTTTCGCCTCTGATGATGACGCCGGTGGCCGGTGGTGTCTGTCTCATGCATGACACGCGACCTGGCGCGTGTGCTCGAGCGCACGCGATTGTACGCGCCGGTCCGCGCCTGTGCCGCCCGCGTTCATCCAGCCATGTCTCGGCAAGCCAGCCCCTGCTGCGTCAGACCATCAGACACACCTTCTGGGATGAGACGTCACGACCCATGGGCCACCGCAGTGTCTGGCCCTGTGCGCCGTCTGGCAAACGCGTCCTGTCGTACAGACTGAATAGGAACAACAACATCACAGAAGCACGAGGTTTGGGCTGATAGGTGGGGGTCCGGCCCTGTGCCGCTTGGTCACCACCCTCTAAACGCAGTTCGTTCCGCAGAACTATATCCTGGTGCTCCTGGGTCCGAACACTTTTAGCTATATCTGGAGATGAAACACGTCTCGTCTCTCTCTTTGGTCTACGCGGTGGTCAAACACTCTAACAAAACACTACGACGACGACGCACCAACGCTCAAAAAAATCACCCCCACCCAGGCGTCCACTGATCCACTGATCTACGATTACCTCGTCCTCTCTACAAGTCGACCAGGTCGCCCGTGGACCGCCTGGAGCTGCTGGGAGGTGCACCCATCGGTTCGGCCGTGAGGAGGTCTGTGTTTCAACGCGTCAGCGAAACCCAAAGCAAACCAGGCAAGGAGACGGGCTGCCAGACCCTGTGGCGACTGCCGCTGGCGTTCACGCCGTGCGAATTGAGGCCCCGCCGCAGCCATTGGCATGCCCCTGATGCTGATCACAACCACTTACCCTCAGCAGCCTTCTTCTCTGCACCCTTGAGCGCGTTATCCTCGTCACCGCCGTGGGCCTTGAGGAAGGCCTCGACCTCGTCCATGACGTCGTCCTCGCCTCCCTCGTCTTCGCCGTCGCTGTCGCCAATGGCGTCGATGGCAAAGTTGGGACGGTGCATGACAGCCTCCTGGGCCGCGCGCACCATCTCGCTCTCTTCGCGGTAGCGCATCTCGACGTCGGCAAGGGTACGCGAGTCGTTGGCAGTGTTGGTCGTGCTGGCGCTGGCCGACGTCTTGTTGCTCTGCACAGACAGCTGCGACGCAGACGAGGCGCTGCGCACACGCTGCCGTTGTGACGGCGTGAGCAGCGACTCGCGGGCACGCGTGTCGATGGGGACAGGCGCGTTCTGGTCGGCCTTGGAGATGGCCGGCTTGCGCCACTCCGCGTGCTTGCCGAGGGCTGATCCAATGCCGTCGGCGAAACGGTTGAAACGCGACTTGTTCCTGCCATGTTAGTCATTGAGGTCCCTATGAATGCTACCCACTCGTCGTTGACGACCAGGTTGACAAGGCCACCCAGCAGGCCATCGGGCTTGGCGTGAGTCTTGTGGTAGTCCTCTTCTTGAGTGTCCTCAAGCTGGAAGGAGGCTGGCAGGTCGTGGCCGAAAAAGCTCTCCAGGAGCTCGTCCGCAAGAACGACCATACGGAACGTAGCCAGCGACAGGTAGGGCAGGTTGTGGGGCCCAGCTTGCGAGTTGGACCTCTCGCGCGACTGCGACGCGGTCTGCTCGTCACCGTCCATGGGCACAGAGTCCTGTGGGTCGGGCAGACTGGACTCGGGCGCGGTAGCGTCGCCAAACTCGTATGCGTTCAAGATGAAGCGCGACACGGCGGCGAGGTAAATGTCTCCTGGCTCGTTGCGGAAGATGAAGAGGAGCGACTCGGACAGGCGGATAACCTCGTCCTTGGTCAGGTAGCCGTCCGCGTCCTTGTCGTGCAGCTCAAAGAACCACTCGATCGACTCGAGCAGGTCGGCAGACATGACGCGGTCAAGACCCATGACTACGTCTTGGAGCGAGAGCGTGCCAAGCTTTTGCGAGTCCCACATGAAGAATAGCCTGTCAATCATCTCATGATCGGCAATTCGGCGCTCGGTGCGCTGCATGAACGCGTTGGTAGTAATCGTCTCCTCACGCGCCCACGTGGCAATGCCGGACAGGAGCACCTTGAAAGTACGCAGGTCGATACGGGTCTCGACGCGGCCCTGGGCATCGACGGCGATGCGGGGTTGTTCAAGCTCACCAGGGCCTGCTGGCGTCACAGCACCGCTGCCAGCCTCGGGTGAGCACACGGCCGCAAAGTAGTGGTCGTAAATAATGCCGACCTGCTCCTTGTTAAACCTGCCCACGTTGCGGAGGTTGCGGACGGCAGCACGCTTGGAGAACTTTTCAATCTCGTCGGCAATGATGGCACGGAGGCGACGGCGCTCGCTGGTAATAGTCTCGTCGGTGATGACGTTGAATTCGCGGAACGCAACGACCAAGAGTTCCTGGAAGTTGGTAATGTTGCGCACACGAGGATCGGGGTGGGTGGGGTGAGCCGAGTCGCCGATAGTCGAAAAGTAGCTGCGCATGAGGCTGATGAACATGCCGTCATCGGTGACTTCGAGAAGAGCCTCGCCGTTGATCTTGAGAATGGCAAGACCGATCTGGAAGAGAACCTTGGCGCCCATGGCCAGCACACAGTCGACAATGCGGAACGCAAAGATCAAAGGGAGAGAGTTGATGTAGAGCGACAAGAACCAGGGCAGGGACGCGACCGAGATCTGGACGTCGACCGAGCGGAAGTGGTCGTGGATCATGGGCAGGCAGCGCTTCACGAGCGACTCGAACACACGCTGGTCCAAGAGGGTGCCCTCCATCGACGGCGAGTAGTAGCCTGGCAAGATCCTGTCGCACAGAACCTCGAGGAGCCAGAATGCCTGCTCCTCAGACATGTAGATGAGCAGACCGGCGACAACAATGTTGAGAGCTTGGCAGTAGCCAAGTTCGGGGTTGCGGAACGAGTAGGCCACCAGGACACGACGGAGACGCGCGAGACCCTCGTCGGTCTGGTACGCCTTGTACTCCGGCAAGGAGCGGTTGAGATCCTTTTCAATCTCGTCCGTCGACTGCGAGCTCTTGCCTGCATTCTCCGACAGGAGGAGCGAGTAGGTTTGCGGGTTGGCGAAGCGGAGGTCTGGAGAGAAGATTGTCAATATCCGTTGCCAGTAGACTATGCCTATCAGGCACCTCGATTCCCGGTGCTACTCACAGACAGAGCCCGACATGACCTCCCACAGCTCTCCGCGTAACCTTGAAGGCAGACCAACCTGAAGGAGACGCTGGAATGGCGGATAACGGAGTAGAGTCATATTGCGTCCGTGGATCACAAAGTACTCCTTCCAGAGCTTCATCTTGCTGCGCTCGCGCATCTTGCGTGCGTCACCGGGGAAGCCAAACGTCTCGCCAAGGCCACGCTCATAGGTGCCGCGTCCCTCGCCGCCAGGTCCGCGAAGGTCGCCCTCGCCCTCGAGCGGCATATCGACCAGCGATGCCTCGGCGTTGGGCGTCGATGAGCCAGAGTTCAAGAGATACTCAGAGTACAGGGAGGGCAAAAAGGTCTTCAGGACCTTCATCTCGGCCAGCTAAAGAGTCGCTGTCAGCCACCCAAAGTCGCCGACTTGCGGGACGGATTGAAGTCGGGGGCCCACTGGACGGCCCCTTACAGCTTCACCGCGAGCGCACTGCGTTTCATGGTACTCACCTGCGACTTGAGCGCATCGCGGAGGAGGATGGCAAAGTGCTCGGCAGTGGGGAGAAGCGACGTGAGCTGCAGAATCTGTTCCGAGCGTTAGCACCGTCTCCCACGCCTCCGCAGGTCCGAGGGCCCGCACTCGATATCACTTACGATACGCATTCCATGCCACGTCGCCAGCGAGAGGGCAAACACACCGGCACGCGAGTTCAACCTAAGAGGTTTAGCAATCTGGAGTTTGGGTACAAAGCAGCCAAGGGACTTTCGACTTACCTCTCAACCCGTCGAATGGTGTAAAGCGGGAGCGTGCAGCGGCACGAGCGGCGATCATTGGAGACAAAACACAGGAAAGGGGGGAGGAGAGAGAGCTTGCCGGCCTGGTGGTGTCAGTTCTACTCGCACAAAGGTATCCGAGTCTCCATGTCGACGGCGTTGCCAGCTACCAGCATCGAGGCGAAGGCTAGTTGAACTGGTCCGCTCCGCATGTCTCGGAGGCACCCACGTAGACGTCCTCCTTGCCCTCGACGGAGAGGACGGCGATGATGTCCATGCTCGACAGACCAGCGGCCGACCCGATAGCACCTTTGGCACCGCGAGCAGGCTTGGTGACGACGGGCGGCTCAGAGGGGGCGGGCAGTTGGTCGGGGAACGGGGCGTTGAACAGGTCGCGCGTAAGCTCGTCCTTGGTCTTCTCCGTGTATGCGCGCAGGTGCATAGGGAGCGACATGGTAGGCGGCTGCGCGTGCGCTGGGGTTGCAGGCAGATGCCAGAGAGTGAAAGCTAGAAATAGGGAGGCAGATAAACGAGAGCGGGAAGAGGTTGTTGGAGATGGGTGGACTGAATGGGTGGTGGTGGTGGTGGTGGTGGATGGAGGTTGCGGGACGTGACGACGAGGCAGCCACGCGACGTGCGTGGCGGAGGCGGATGGTTGTGGCGGGGTCAGCCGTCATTTACGACGCGTTGCTCTCAACCTTGTCTATCGCCAAGCTGCACCGCAAAAGATGCCTATGCATGTTAACCCCTCTAAGTCACAAGGGGAATGGGCTTCTACATGCACTTTTAATATGACAGATAAACAACCACACAGCGCCTGCCCCAGGCATCCACAGTCTAGCGCCGGGCACGGTCACGCTCATCGCGCTCCCGCAAACGGCGGTCACCCCAGCCCTCGCCGGGACGACCAGGCGAACGCATTCTCTTCTCACGGTCTTGCTGCTAGATCAGCCTTTTATCCTGATAAACACTAGACTCACAGGATATCCAGAGGGTCCATCAAGCGGTCGCTTAGGAGGTCCACCACGGTCGCGGTCACGGGGGTCAGGTCCAGCGGCAGGCATGTAGCGGTCGTATGCAGCCGGGACACCGTTGCCTTGGCCATTCATGCCGCGGTCGCGCTCACGATCACGCAGACGGTCGCGCTCGCGCTCACGGTCCAAATCGCCCCCACGAGGTGGCCGACGATCGAATCGAGGACCGCGGTCGTCTGGGCGCTCCATGCGGCGCTCGTTGGCATGGCGCTCGTTGGGATGGTCCATTGCAGGGCGCGCCCCAGGTGCGTTGGGGCCGTATCGAGGCTGTGGCGAACGGTCCCTGGGCTGCAAGTTGGTAGGGGGTCGTTGCTCTGGCTGGCGGATATCAGGTCGCGCGTCAGGACGCGGCCCAGATGGACGGGGCTCGGCTACAGCCTTGGAGTCGGCGGCGGTGGTGCGAGCGGGTGGGTCGATTGGGCGGTCGCGAGCAGCGAGAGCAGGTTCGCGAACATGATGAGGAGGTGGGTCGCGACGACCAAAACCTGCGGAATCCAAGGGAGGTCCAACGGGCTGGCGGATAGGCATGCCGGGGCCAGTGGACATTGAAAGGCGGTTGTTGGCTGGTCGGTCGCGGTTGCCGGGTCGGTCGTTGCGCCGGTCATCGCGGCCACGCTCCTCCGCCCCGCGCCTGTCGTCCCGCCTGCGATCATCACGACGACGGTCCTCCGCACGCCTCTCTTCATCCTGCTTGCGCTCCTGCTCACTCTTCTGCTCCGGTTGAGCAGCCTTGGCCGCAGCAGCCTCGATCTGCGCTTCTTCCTCAGCGAGTAGCTTGAGCTCCTCCTCAGCCTTGCGCTTTCGCTCGCGAATGAGGTTGCGCTTGGCTTCAGCTTCGTCAATGGCCGACTGTTGCGGTGCGGTGGATGGGGCAGACGAGTCGGTTTTGACGTTCGCGATATCGTTCCTGCGCTTGGCCTCTTGCTCCTTCTTGAGCTCCGCGACAGGTGGCTCTAGCCGAGGGGCATCCCTCCTGGGCTGCTCCCGGCGGTCATCCCTTGGCACTGGGCCGCGGGGTGGCCCACGGTCGTCGCGCCGAGGGCCGTCGCGCCGAGGGTCATCACGCCGAGGGTCATCACGCCGAGGGTCATCACGCCTTGGCTCATCACGCCTTGGCTCATCGCGCCTTGGTTCATCGCGCCTTGGCTCATCGCGCCTTGGCCATCGCGGTGCCGGGTCGTCTCGACGGCCATATCCTACATCACGAGAGTCCCCAGGCGCAGATCCGCTCCCTGGACCATAGGCACGCGGAGGCAAGTCGCCGGCGGGCCGTGAGTCTGAGGCAGGCGGCCTGGCAAGCCTACTCTCGTGAACAGGAGGGGCGACTGAACGTTGGTCAGGCCTGTTGTTGGGTTGCGATGCAACATCTTGCTGGCGAACATCTCGTGGACCGTCATCTTGCCAGCGACCAGTCTGAGGGCGGGTGTCCAGTCGGTCGCGGAGGCTTTGAGGTTCACGGCCGGCTTGAGGACCTGTCGGGGCGCGTGGCGGGCTCCTTGCCCTTGGGGGGCTGAGAAGACGCGGTGGGCTGCGTGCACGTTGCGCTGACATGAGCGCGGGTTTCTTGGATGAGGCCAGCCGCGCCGCCGTATTGATAACAACCATACCGGTCAATAGCCAACGGTACTATGCCAAAAAAAGTCACGGGACCGTCACAAGAGTAGGCATGGCCGGCGCGGCTGAGATAATGGCGAGAAACGTACAGGGTCTGTTCTCGTCGCGGCCTGGAGGACCCCGGCGATCGGGATACATCAAGCGCTCGCGCTGTCCGTCAGGGTGGGCGATGGGCTGCCGGTCCACATTTGGACGGTCAGAGACACGATCATAGCGACGGTTACGGTCTCCACCCCGCTCTTGCATGCGGTCGGGCATGGCGCGGCCCATTCGGTCTGGCTGACCACGGTCACGGGGGTACACCGCTGCACGATCGGGGTGCACCGGTGGGCCTGGACGCTCGGCAGCTGCTGCTGGAGGCTTTGCTTCGGTATCGGTTGCCCCATCACGGTTTTGCCTGTCATGAGAGCGCTCTGACGGGGTGAGGCGCTCAACGAGCGCGCGGCCAGCTGGACGGTCTCCTACCCTCTCCGTCTCCTTCACACCGCGGGATGCCGCGGGCCCAGTTGGTGGGCGGCGGTCACGCCCATTGCGATCCTCGCGAGGACCCGTAGTGGGCGCACTACGATCCCTGTCGGTCTCACGCTCTTCCTTGGGCTCATTACTCCTCTTCGTCTCAGGCTCGGCAACTGGCACGTCCCAACTGGTCGTGCCGCTCGCGGTGTGGTGGTAGAAGAAGTTGCCGGTCGAGTTCGACAGCACTTTCTTCCATCCTGGGGGAAGGCGATCGTCATCGCTCGTTGTCTTGCTCGCCGGGGCACTTGTGCGCACAGTCTCTGTCGTCGCGTTGTCCGGCGAAATCGATGGACTGCGAGCAGCTGAAGATTCCTTTGGCACCAGAGCTGCTTCCTTCCCATATTCGCGGTCAACTTGCGAAGGCTGCATTCGTTAGTTTTGTTCGTTTGGGATTACAAACATTGAATAATTCAGGTTGAGGGATAGCGTCACTGTCTTCAGTCTTGGGTTTCTCCTCTGGTGCTGGAGTTGCAGTGGCCGACGCCGACGCGGTGGGCTTTGGGGCAACAACGTCGACCTGGATATCTTTCAGAGTCAGCATATTTCGATGGGGGACCGCCCAGCTTACCAGCTACAGTGAGCTCTTCCTCCCCACCTAGACTAATACAGTCGTCGTCGTCGTATCCCCAGTCGACTTCCTCTTCAGCCATGGTGAAATGAAATGGCGAGACGCGAGAGTGTGTTGACAGAACACGGGCGGCAAAAGTCAAAGCAACTCGTTACCACACGAGGTGGGTCGTGGGCGGAAGCAATTCCTCGGGCCTTGGTATGGCGCAACCTTTCCCAGCCGCGACCACCAATATCAATCTGCTCATCGCAAGCATGCACAGTCTAGGTCAGCCTTGCTGGCCATGCATAAGCGGGTCATGTACACCAGATACACGTCTATGAAATCGAATGTTGATCTAATGCCACGACTGGCCAAAGTACAGCTCCAGGGTTGTGCGCGCAATGTTGAAGCCCAACAGGCTCAGAAGGTAGCCACCAAAGAGAGGCAAGAGGGGGGCAAGGAACAGCTCGCTGCGGGCCACAAACGGCAGAGCCGCGTAGCCAAGGTACGTGACGTAGATGTACTGGAAGCCGGCGATGAGGAAGAGGGTGCTGGCGGGTCAGCCAACTTGCGTTCATGTCATAGCTAACTCACTTTCCGAGCAGCAGGCAGATCCAGTTGTTCCGCACCACAAGTGCCGCCAAAGGCAACAATGCAACGTAGGTGGTCAGGAAGGCGGGGAAGAACGAGTTGACGGCGACGTCAAACGCGTACGCAAACTCGACACGGTTGTCGGTAATAGCGGACACTCCGGTCGTCGACACCAACAACCTGTTGGCGGTTGCCCAGAAGAGGAGGGCAATGCCCAGGGAGAAGAGGATGAAGTCACCTGGGTGTTAGGATTGCCGGAAGCTCGAATCGAGGAGCACTAGCCCGCGTTTTGGGCATAACTCGTGGGCAACAGTGATACTCACGGAACACCATCTTGAGGACAAGCCCAAGCATTCCAAGCCATGTATAGTCGTGCACATAGCCCCACACCGCTGCCGCAACAGCGAGACATCCTGCGATGAGGATGAGCATGGCAGGGTCGTCGCGAGCCCAGACATTCTTTGTCTGCTTGCTACAAGTACGTTAGTCTGGCAGCTTCAATAACCACGGCAAAACGCCATCAACATACTGGTGATAAGTTTGCTTGTACACTCTCCTTGGTGCAACGACGAGATATGTCAGTTGCCAGAACGCGAGTTCAAAGTCCTGTAATGTCAGTTCGTGTCGTGTGTGGAAACAACACGCTGAAGCGCAGGGTTCTTGGTACTGTGGAGCCCTCGACGCGTTTCCAAACGCAAGTGGACACTCCAATGTCTCCCAAACCTGCTGACGAGCATACGACAGACCTACCATGGACTTGAACTTTGTCAACCTCCTCAGCATGATTGGCACGCCGCGCTGGGGCAGCGCGCCCTCGTCAAACGACATACCCCCAACGGAGGTCGGCAAGAGGGGCGCCATGGTTCGCGGGCGGAGGCGAATGGCCGACAGGGTGGCGAGTGGGGTGCGGGATGCGCAAGGGGAGGGGTGTAGGCGGGGGTGTAAGAGACGATAGAGATGTGCGCGACGACGAGCGAAACCACCTCGTCGCCATGTCCCTGCTGTACGCTGTACTCGTCACTCGGGCCCCGAGAGACCATCTGATTCTAATGTAGTTGCTTGCCGTGCCTAATAATAGTAATAGGCAGGTCTAGCAAGTCATACGAACCAGCGCGCCTAACGAATTGGAAACCTTCTTCCACGAGGAAACCACGTGACACTATTTGTTTCCGTGTGGGCCCCGCGACGCTCCTGAACTTCAGAGATTTTTGCGGCACCCACTCTGTTATGTGTTGAAGGCAGTCCAGCTTCGAACACCAACAACACTCGAATTCTTTCAAAAACGGGATGACGGCCAACGTTCTCCCGCTGTTCTGGCACCTCGCCTCGTCGTCGCGTGACACGCGACTCGGTGCGACTGCCGACCTTGTTTCCGCCGTCGAGTCCTTCCAGCGGTCCTTTGTCGAGGCCAAGGCGGCCAACGGCGATATTGAAGAAGATGAGGATGAGGATGAGGACGAGGATGAGGATGACGAGGAAGAGGATGACGGAGACGAGTCCGGCATGGAGGTCGACGGAAGCGACGATGACGAGGAGGAGGACCGCGCAACCCGTGTCAAGGCACAGCGTCTTGACTCGTCGCTCGCACGCAACAACGCCCCCGATGTTGTGTACACCATCAAGCGTCTCGTGAGGGGTCTTGCAAGCTCAAGGGAAAGCAGTCGTTTGGGATTCGCTGTGGCTTTGACTGAGGTGAGTCTGGGCTATTACTGGCTGCCCTTCCCGGGACACGGACTGACAAACAGCTCCTTTCGAGGACACCATCTGTGACCGCTGAGCAGGTGCTCTCGGGCATTACTCGTTCGTCGCAGTGGAGCAACGGTGGCAAGGGTGCCGATGAGCGTGACATGATGTTTGCGCGGTTGTTTGCCATTGTCGCCGTTGTCGACTCTGGTGTCGTGTTTGCCGATTCGGGTCGTCTCGAGGACTTTGTGACCGTCCTCGACTCGCTCGCCGCCCTGTCGGAGACCAAGGTGTGGATCGCCGAGGCCGCGGGCTGGGCAGTGCAGCGGACTGTTGAGCTTCTCCTTGCCTCGAACGTTAGCTGGAAGAAGGAGGCTATCGCGCAGGTTGTGGAGAAGTTCTACTCGGACAAGATCTGGACCCCGGAGAAGATTGCCCTCACTCTTGCCATCGCCGACGCACCTGGCATCGACCTCAAGTCTCTCCTCGCCCCCACCTTCAAGCACACTCCACTCCTTGCCGCTGGTAACCTCGTGACTCTCGGCCGTGTCCTCAAGGAGGGCGGTGTCGACGAGGAGGACAGCGCCACCCGCACTGGCTCTTACAAGCCCCAACTCCACTACGTCTGGGACTCTATCCTTGCCGCCTACTTCTTGGAAGAGGAGGCTGCCACTGGCATTGCTCCCTTTGCCGAGTTCTTCCGCGTTGTTGTCGACGAGTCGCTGTTCGCCAACACTGCCTCGGCTGAGCGCAAGTACTGGGGTTTCCAGGTCTTTGAGCGTGCCCTCCCCAAGCTCCCCGCTTCGTCGATGCCCCTCATCTTCACCCCCAACTTCATGCGTTCGTGGATCAACAACTTGTCCAGCGCCGACCGCCACCTGCACAAGGCTGCTATGAGCGCCGCTCGTGTCGTTCAGGAGCAGGTCAAGGCCAACCCCGCCGCTGGTATCACCCTTCTCTCGCAGCTTGTCGGCAAGCACGGCCGCCCTGACTTTGACCGTGTCACCAAGACCAAGACTGTCGAGTCTATCATGGCCAACCTCACCCCAGAGGGCGCCAGCGAGTACGTCGCCTACCTCGAGCAGGTCGCCCTCGGCTCCGACACCGACAAGTCGGACGCTGCCGGTCTCGAAGAGCGCCGTGTGTGGGCACTGGACCAGCTGGTCGCCCTGTGCCGCAACCGTTCTGTCCCCAAGACTGACGACTGGGTCGCTCGTGTTCTCGACTTCCTCCTTGTTCACAGCTTCTTCATTGTCCGCAAGGCCGACAAGAAGAGCTCGAACAAGGCTCTCCACTCTGTCCCCAAGCCTCCCTTCTCGGAGACCACCGCTGCCGCTGCTCGTTCCCGCTTCGCCTCCGCCATCATCGACGTCACAGCCGCCGCCCCCAAGGACGGCCGTGCTCAGGGCACCGACGCTGCCGGCAAGCTTTGGCTGACCCGCGCTCTCGAGACCATTGCTACTCTTGAAAACGACAAGAAGCACGTCGAGGTCGTGAGCGATGCCGACGATGAGATCAAGGCCATCCGCACTGCTGCTCGCAAGGTGCTCTCGTCCATTCCTGAGAAGAATGACACTGGCCGTGGTGTTCAGATTCTCCTCTCGTTCCTCCTCCTCCAGACTTACGACGAGGTTGAGGATGCCCTCGACCTGCTCGAGGACGCCGTGGGCGCCGCTGAGGGTCTGTTCGGCAAGAAGAAGCAGGCGACCGACGCCGACGCTCCTGCCCCCATTGACGCCCTTCTTGACGGTCTCGTTGCTCTTCTCGACAAGAGCTCGGCCGACCTCCGCGCTCTCGCCAACCTTGTCTTTGGCCTGGTCGCCCCTGCCCTCACTTCCAGCTCCATCCAGCACCTCGTCGCTCAGCTTGAGCAGTCGGGTGCCGCCCAGGAGGCCGACGCCGAGGGATCGGAGAACGATGACGACGAGGAAGAGGATGACGACGAAGAGGATGAGGATGATGACGACGACGAGTCTGACGCTGCTTCATCCATCGCCGTCGAGTCGGACGATGAGGATGACGAGGTCGACCCCGAGTTCCGGAAACGCGTTGCCGAGGCCCTCAAGGTCTCTGGCATGGCTACTGCCGAGGGCGAGGGTGAGGACGAGGACAGCGACGACGAGTCCGTTTGGGACGACGACCAGATGATGAAGATCGACGACCAGCTCGCCGCCGTCTTTAAGGCGCAGGGCAACTCGAAGAAGCGTAGCGACCTCAAGCACGCCGCCATCGAGTCGCTGCACTTCAAGAACCGTATCCTCGACTTCTTTGACACCTTTGCTCGTCGCCAGTGCGCCTCGCCGCTTGCTCTCGACATTCTCACCCCTCTCCTCCGCCTGACGCGCGCCGGTGGCGACCTCGCCAACAAGGCCGCCGGTATCCTCCGCACCCGTATCGCCAAGGCCGCCCACGCCCCTTCGCCCTCGGCCGTCGACGGCGCCCACGCCAAGGTGGTCATTGACGAGATCCACGCCCTGGCCCGCAAGGCCCCCACTGCCGAGTTTAGCACTCTTTGCTCGACCGCTGCCCTCTTTGCCGCCCGTGCCGCCCCCACTGTTGCTCTCGAGGCCTACAAGGCGACCCTCGCCGACTTTATGACCCGCAAGCAGTCCGACGTCCAGGCCGCCTTTGTCGCCGAGTACGTCCGTCGTCACCCCGCCAAGGCATGGGCTCTCGCCACCGACCTCATTGGCTACGTCGCCCCCAGCGCCGAGGCCACTGTCAAGCCGTACCGCCAGGTCCAGGCGTACGCCATGCTCTCGACTCTTGCCACCCAGCTCTCTGCCCTTGTCAAGGCTGGCGACGTCTCCGCCGCCGACGCCGAGAAGGTTATCAAGGGCGCCATGGCCGACGTCTACGCCTCGCTCGAGACCGCCGCCACCGACGGCGGTAAGGCCGACCGCCTCAAGGAGGTTGTCAAGTCTGCCCTCGTGTTCGCCCGTGCTGCCAAGGCCCTGGACGGCGCCCGGGCCGCCGAGCTCTGCGACGCTTCGCGCCTCGCCACCGTTGCCGAGCAGGTCAAGAACGGCAAGACCAAGGAGATGAAGGGTGTCCACAGCCTGCTCAAGCAGCTGGGCTCGATGCTCGGCCAGAAGCAGGAGAAGGAGGCCAAGAAGGCTTCCAAGAAGGAGGCCGCAACGGAGGAGGCTGAGGAGGAGACCGCCAAGCCCAAGAAGCGTAAGGCGGAGGACAAGACCACCGAAAAGGCTGAGAGCAAGAAGCTCAAGGCCAAGGCCAAGAAGGCCAAGGCATAGACGTTGCATAATGCATTGGGATATACATAGAACTTGGGGGGTTACGCACATGCTGGGTAGTGGACAAGAACAAGGATGCGGGGATGGGGGGGATTGACAAAACTAATTTATGCGTTCAAGAACTGAAGGGCGCTCTCGACGCGCGCGACCTCTTTGACGCCACTGCCGGCCTTGATCGCCGAGTCGAGAGCCTTGAAGCGCTTGGCGAGGGCTGCGACACCACGCTCATGAGTGACACGCTTGAGGTCGTCGGCGCGCTCCTGCGCACGAACGAGCAGTGGGCCCGGAAGACCAGCGAGACGAGCACACCAGACACCAAAGGAAGCGTCCGCGAGTCCCTTTTTGAGGTGGTAGAGGAAAGTGATCTCGGCCGAGCCGTCGGGAAGGGTGTGCTCAGAAAAGGCCATGTGCCAGTTGGACACGTCCTTGGGGAACTGGAATAGGTCAGCATTAATGAAGAGTGACTACCTACTTCGTTGGCTAACTGCTCGGCCACCAGCGGATAGTGCGTAACGAAGAGCGTGTTGCAGCCGACCTGGGCCAGGTGCGCGAGCGTGGCGTAAGCGATAGCCACTCCGTCGTAGGTCGAGGTACCACGACCGAGCCTGGGTGGGTTAGTTACAGCTCCCCCCTAAGTTACCCACTCGTCCAGGATGACCAGCGTGCGAGGCGACACGGCACGAAGGATATCACTTGTCTCGCTCATCTCGACCATGAATGTCGACTTGCCACGCCCAATCTCGTCGCTGGCTCCCATACGCGTTTGGACGGCGTCGTGGATGCCAAGCTGGACCGAGGCTGCAGGAACAAAGCTGCCAATCTGAGCCATGCACACGATGAGAGCCTTGACAGTCAGTGGAGGACACATACAAGGGTACTCACAGTGGCTCGCACGCAGCTGCTCTTGCCGGCCATGTTGGGGCCCGTAATAACCTTGGCGCGTCCTTCCTCGGTGCTAAAGTCAATGTCGAACGGCACATACGCCTCGTCGCGCATCGACTCGACCATCGGGTGACGTCCGGCCTTGATCTTCAAGCTGGGCTCTGCCACAAAGGTCGGCTTGGTGTAGCCATGGGTGAGCGCGACTGTGGCAAGCGAAATCAGGCAGTCGATTACGGCAAGGTGGCGGGACACGGTCACGAGCGAGTGCACCTCGGCAATGTCGTTCTGGAACGACACGAAAGCAGCCTTTGCCGCAGCGGCCAGGGTCTCCTTATGCTGCTCCCTCTCCTTGGTGATTTTGATAATCTCCGGGGTATGGAAGCGAGCAACAGACTTGGTCCTGGCAATCAGCACGGACCGCAGCGCAATCATTCACGCACGATTGAATCTTGACCCATTTCGGAGGCACAGACTTGGCGTCACGGACCGGGACTTCCACCAGGTACTGCGTGTCAGCTACCGTGGGTCTCACTCAGCTCACCTCCACGCCGGAGACCGTCACATAGTTGAGCTGGGGCTTGCGCACAATCTTGCGGACCTCTTTCAGGTGAACGTCAAGCTCGCTCTCGCAAAGGCAGATGCACTGATATCAGCCGGGACTGGTCTTATTGAGCTTACGTCCTTGGCATCTTGAATCTCGGGATAGCGGTCGGGGTCGGTCCATAGATCGGCCTGGTCGTCAACGCTCCGCCGGGAAATGCCACTTACCATGTTGTTGGCACGCGCCGCTTTCAAGTCAAAGGCACTCATAAACTCCTTGGCAGGACCAGCAATAGTGGGCAGCGTTGTGGCAATATTGTTGAGAAGTTCCGACTTGAAGATCCTGCTTTCATCTCGCTTGAACTCTGAACCGACGCGCACGAGGCCGACGAGAATGGTTGCCAGTTCAGTCGGGGTCGTCTTGGCATACTGAACCCTCGTGAGGCCGCGGACCAGGTCCGGCATGTTGACAAGGAGAGAACGGAGCTTCTCCAAGTGGTAGGATTCGGAAGACATGGCCTCCTCCACGGCATTGACTCGAGCACGCAGGGCGACCACGTCAAGAAGTGGACGACCAATCCATTCACGCATAAGGCGGCGTCCCATGCGAGTCTTGGTGTGGTCCAAAACTGAGGGTTAGAGGCAGCTCGTCAAAATAGGACTCACGCCACATCAGGCTACCATAGTGGCCTCCATCGGTCTGGTTACGGTAGACCTCACTGGCAGTTAGCTCCTTCAAGTGCACTAGATAGCTCACAGGTTGACGAGGGTATTACCAGACAGCAACATGTGCGCACGGTTGACAAACTGACGAGAATCAGCTCAGTCTAGCGCCATTGTCTTACCTTGGTGAACGAGGACCTATGGCGGAAGGCATCTTGAAGACCGAACGCTACAGTGAGCTAAGAAGTGGACGTTTTAGCTCACGTGTCATATACTCGACAGTCATGGCTAGAGCCACGACCACCTGCTTGGGAAAGTCGACAAGAGCAAGCACCGCGTCCTCGTCTGGTGAGTTAGACCTGGAAGCGAGCATTTGAACCTACCTGGCAGGCCCGCTGCAAGGCCAAGCGGGTCGGCAGGGCGAGAATCATCCTCGGCAGTTGGCGGTGACATGCTGTCATCGTCCCCAGTCAAGTCAATCTCAATCGGCGTTTCCGACTTGTAGAACGCCGTCAGTGAATCAAAGGCCTTGTTGTAAACGGGCACATCCTTGAAGCGCTCCACGCGCACTGCTGTTGATGAGCGCGAAGAGGCGACCATGTGTTTCAGGACCTTCTCCGTCGCCTTGCTCAGTGCCTTGGGAAGGATGAGCTCGGACGGCTGAAGATGGGTAAGGCGTGTTTCAAGTTCGGAGCGCACGGGAGAGTCTGATGTCAGTAACAAGAGCACCAAACGGGAACCCACCTTCAAACTCGTCCCAGATAACGTCGCCTGTTCCAGGAACGACGCTGACCAAGGCGATGCGCGCACGGTCACCAATCTCCTGTTCCACGATCGTGACGAGTGCGTTGGTGGCAGGGGGTGCAGCATTGGCAAGTGCCGGCTGGTCACGAAGGTTGGACGACGATGACGTGTCTTCTTCGACGTAACTGACAACGTCAGTTGAAGTCAAAGGGACTTTCCAACTCACGTCGTGGCAGTGTAGAGGCTGGTGAGCTCTCGGACGAACGGCGCGTTCCTGTTGTCGCCGGCCTTCTTGAGCGCGGCGGTCTCCATCTGCGATACAACGCCAACCTTGTAACCGAGGGAGATGAGCCTGAGGTCAGCGCATGGCCTCCAAGGATGGACATACTTTCGGACGTGGATGTGTAGACGGTGGGTCGGAATGGAGGCCACATAAAAGTTGCGCGATGGGAAACTAAATGTCAGAGCAGTAACGGAGCGAGATTAGCTTACGCGGCGATGCCAAGCTCCTTGGACGCGTTCTGACGTCAGCTATAGCGAGTATGAACAGCCCACCTTTGCGTCGTCGCCGTGAAACCTTTGGTCAGCGCTGTCACTCAAATCTCGCCTTACTTGTACTTGTAGCCAACTGCGTGGGTCAGCGGGATCATCGCACACATCGCCCACCTTCCATGAACAGCAAGACGTCAGGCCACTTGGCCTTGATCTCCATGTACTGCTTCTCCAGCGGAGTGTAGGTCATTCCACTGGGACCCAGCTCCTCCTCCTTCTTCTTTCGTCCTTTTTTGACTGGAGCAGCCGTCGCCGTGTACTTCGAGCGCAGCTTGGCAGCCGCCTCGGTCGTGCTGCCATCCACACCCTCTTCGGCGTCACCATCTTCCTCGGCCGGGTCGATTCCCGCCGCACGGCGGGCATCGGCTGCTGCGGCCTCGTCTAGAGCGAGGCTGCGGCGACGGGGCATGACGTTGCCTGCAAGAAGCTGCCACGCTTGGTGGCGACGTTCCTGCTCGGCAGTGCGCTGCGTCGATGGGGGGAGTGCCTGGGAAGGAGGGGGCAGGTTGTAGTTTCCAAACGCACTGCCTGGGGCGGCGGCGTCGGTAGACGAGACAATCTTTGGAAGGCGGAACGAGTCGAGGGCGACAGTGGCAGTTGGCGACGACTCGCGAGGACGCTTGGCCGGAGGGGTGCGCGAGCTAGAAGCAATGGCCGGCGCTTCAAAGTAGCTTGAGGCTTTTGGGGGCGCACGAGATGCGGAGGAGGAGGAGGCTGAAGCAGTCGACGTACGCGCCTTGCCGTTATCCATACGCGCACGCTTGGGAGGTGGTGACGCAGGGGGAGAGTCGGTCAAGTCCACAGCGTCTGCGCAAGACCTGCCCTTCTCCAGCTCCATGGGAGTGGGCTTAGGGCGGAAGAAGTTGTGCAAGGAGGACCTGTGTGTTAGCTACGCCCACAGCTTGCGCGGGAGGGTTGGCTCACTGTGTCCCCTTTTCACCCTGGCTTGACCCCACCATGATAAGTGAGTTGGAAGTGCTGAGGTGGACGAGAAGAATGTATTGTTATTGCTGCAGGAGACGGCCGTCATGACCTGACTCACCTCCACCCGATATGCACGCGCGCCGGTGTGTGGCCATGTGTGCCATGTGTGGTGACGCGACTTTGACTTTGTTTTATCGACGCCGCCCTGTTAACTGGGGTGTGGGATGGCGGGAAATGCTCCCGCGAGCTGGCGCGCTCGGACACGCCGTCATGGGACGACCCTGACTGACATCATCGCCACCTGCGCAGCCACGGCGCGCGCCAGGAGCGTCACACCCACTGACCCGTCCATCAGAATGTAAACCCCCCTCTGGTGTCCTCTTAAGTGTCTCCTATAACCGGTGCATCCACGCCCCACTCGTCTCTCTTCTCTCTCACATCTCAACACATTTCAATCCCAGTCCCAACATGGCCTTCACCTGCTCAGACATCCTCAAGATCGTTCTTGGTGAGCACTCTACTGACCTTGCGCCCTCTGTGCCATGCTTCCCACCGGCGTCGTCACTCCGTATCAGCGGCGTGACTCGGACACGGCGACTTGCGGCGGAAGCCGTGGACACCGGGAACAGCGGACTGGACGCTCTCGCACACCTACTGACACGCTTCAGCGGTCATCCTCCCTCCCCTCGGTGTCTTCCTCGAGCGTGGCTGTGGTGCCGACCTCCTCATCAACATCCTCCTCACCTGCCTGGGTTACATTCCGGGGTAAGTGTTTTCTCGCACTCGCAGTCGGCGCGGCGAACTTTTTTTTCCCCTGTCCTCCTCGGTGGCAAACCAAGCTAACCTTTTTTCAGTATCATCCACGCCCTCTACATCATCTTGAAGTACTGATCGTGGCCGCGTAAGTGTCCAAAGTGTCCAGCTGGGTGGCGAGCTCGTTCCACCGTGCCATCTGCATTTCTCATTCACCATTTGATGCGGGTGGCGGGAGGAAGCGGGGTGGCGGGAGGAAGAGAGGTGCCAAGCCCCCAAAGCACCGCAACGCATCGAGTAGCAATCACTGACAGCGTCTCAGACCCATGAGTCCTAAACACCCATAGGAGGCGGCCTTAAACAACGCTGCAAACCTTTTGTATCGTAGTTAATGTCTGACCATGTCTGAACGAGAGGGATGACGAACGTTAATATGCAGTTGTGCCAGACGCAGAGCATTGAGTAGTGTGAACCGGGCAGCATCAATTCAACTCCGTGGCACTCGTCGTCAATCATTCAATCAGTCGATGACGATCCGGGCGCCGGCCGGCTCATGTCTCGTGCCAGCGTGCCATTGTTAGATAGTTCGGTTGTTTACGCATTTCCGTTGGTGTGCTCGACGTGTTGTTGACGTCGGTGGAGTACCACCACCGTTGCTGTTGCTCGTCATCACTGGACAGCATGTTAGCAGCAGGACGTCACAGGGGCAAGCGGGAACGCGGTGGACCCACGTTGCTATGGAAGTCGCGCGCGCTCCGGTGTCCGTCGTTCCCGCTATTCCGGTCCTATCCGACAATCCCAACTTGCGCACTTTTGTCACGTTCATAAAGTTCAACGTTCTGGGTCTCAGGATCAAAAGGAACCCAAGGGGATGCACGTGAGTAGCTTGTTTTTTACCTTGAAATCTGGTCGTCGCGGGAATAGATGGCCGCCAGTGCTCGCCCTGGCGCCTATATCCAACTGGGCAACATTGTCGATTGTCCTTTTTCTGCGTCGTGTTCACGGCACATTGTTGAAATTGGCACCAGTAACAGTGGACACGAAAGCATCGTGTGCGGAAGGTAGTCTTCCAAAACCCCGGGACAAAGGATCGTTCTGGAAGCGGCCTTCTGAGCATGCGGACGAGGACCACGACGCTTGTGGGCCGGACAGTCGTGGGTGTGAAGGTGACGGAGAGTGTGCTATTGTGAGCTGTCGATAAGGAATGCAAAGTGGCAGATGACGGCCATCACTCCACCGCTGTGGAGTCTCCACCGACGCCGCGCGTCACCACACTGGTATTCTGGAATTCCCACCGCCACGTACCAGGTTCCCAGAGATGATGTGGCACATTGCGCTTCTGCACGTGCATACGGTGCTGTGGGTGCGTGGTGTCGTGATTTCGACGCGGCATGGCGTTGTGTGTCTCGCAGGTGTGGTGACAGGTGTGGTGACAGGTGTGGCACTGCGGGTCGCGGATGATCAACGGCCAGTCCACCCGCGGCCACCCGGCGTCAGGGAGGCGCAGTGTACGGCCTACACGTTGACATCATTACGGGCGTCGAGTAAAAGTCCTGGCGCCGCCCCCCACGCACCCAGAAAAAAGACGGACCGGATCGTGGCGGCAGGGTGGCAGCCGCGTCTTGGCAATGGCGCAATGGGTTTCAAGGACGGTTGTGGGCAGTGGTTGTGAGTGTGTCGCACCGACATCGAGCTGCCCATCACATCGCACTGTACGCACTGTGGCAGTGGGTTGATCGACATGATCTGGTCTTGTGTTACCACCCCCTTGCAGATTGCCCACATGCCAGATGCACAGTACAGATCTCGATCAGTACTACCTCCGGTCCATCGTATCGGGCATGGGCAATGATCGGATGCAAACGGGGGGTGATCACGGGTGTGTTGCGGGTTGTTGCAGATGCCCACCAAGTAGACGCAGAATTAGCACTACCGCCGCTGGGCTGCCAGCCACAGGCCACAGAGCGCGTGTTTGTGGCTATGGTGATGACGCCAGCGTCTGTGCCATTAGATCCCCCAGATCTGGCTCGAGGTTCGCGCAATGGCCCGTTGCCGGTACTTTGCCAATGGAAAGAAAGGTGGAACCTTCGCGTACGACGAAGGTACGACGAATGACTTGACTGTCAGCTGTCAGTAACCTACACGCCACGGTACCACCTGGTAAGCGGCCAAGCGGCACAGCAGGACGGCAGGACGGCATGTGCGCTGACACATTTCGACCGACACATTGACCGGAACACATCTCCCCCTTGACACACGCACACACACACACACATACACACACACGGACGCCATGTCCGCTCTCCCCTTTTCCTTGGAACATTCCTCAGCACGCTTCTGCCTAAACCATGCCACCATGCCACCTGTGCGCCTCGTTGCGCCTCTGGCCTCTCTTGGGTGTCAAACCAATGTGTTTTGTACCTCCTGGCTCCTGGCTCCTCTGAAACTCTAGGCTGTGGGAACCCCCCACACACAGAGAGGGCAAACGACAGTGTGTGGGCGGCGGCGCCTCCATGCGGTCGCAACGCCGCAGCTTAAACCAAACCCCTCGCCGACAAATGGGCCCAACAAATTGGGAACTGTGCGGACGGACCCGACCCGAGCGTCGACTGTGTGAGGCCGGCGTGCCACAGACCCCACTCACAATTGCGCCACTGGGCCACGGTCGACGGAAACCCGACTCCCGCGCAGCTCGTATTTGCTTCCAAGCGGACCACCGGGCAAGGCAAAGGTGTGAGGCACACGCCCGAGCCCTCACACCCGTCAGATCCCACAGATCCCAAAAAGATCCCAAAGATCCAGTGTCCCCCCCCAAACCCAGATCTGTACAGAGATCTCATGCCCAAGGTCACGATAGGGAGTGGCTGAGATGCACCTGCTTTCTTTTACGGGACGGGGATCCTGCTGCTGCGCGCAAAACGCCACACCTTGCCGCACACTTGCCACACATCTTGCCACACACACACACACCCCAGTGCATGGCCGTTTGGGAAAAACAGACATCATCATTACCAAGAATTACAACACGATGGGTACACCAGTGACAACGGTCAATGTTCCAGACATGTGACTCCTCCTTGCTTGAAGCTCCTCGCCGCCCTCGTTGTCGCGTCCTCTGAGCCTCTTCCTTTACGCGCCCTTTGCTGCTGCTGCTGCCTTCTCCTCCTGCTTCTTCTTCTTGCGCATCATCTTCATGTGGACGAGACCCTGTGGCGAACAGTCAGCTCTGACTGAATCCAGAGGTGGGCACCATCCTCTTGCCCGCAGCCCATCCCATCACCATACCACAAAGCCTGGCACTTACACATGCGTTGCACAGCGTTCGTGGACCCAGTGGGCCACGGCGCCATTCTGGGGTTTCTGTCGCGCCGCAGCCCCTGCAAAAGGTTGCAGACTTGTCCTTTTCGGTGCCGTTGGTCATGCGAGGCCGCTTCGTCTCGGGCGGGCCGGATGGCAGTGCTGATCTCTGAACGGGCCCACCGAGTCCTGGCGGGGGGACCTTTCCTGGGGACCGACCCGACAGGACGTCGAGCGCCGTCGAGGCGCAGTCGAGGATGGAGCGGTACGACTGGCCCGATCCCGACGACATTGTTGGGGCATCGACAGCACGCAGGTGTGGGATGGCCGCGCGGATGTGTCTGGCGGCGTCGAGTGCCTTGAGGATCAGTTAGCGATCGACACAAAAGGAGATGGAGAGAGCAGAGCAGTCGCGACTTACTTGTGTGTACTCGAGAGAGCCGATGTGGACAACCTGCTCGATGGGGGCTGAGTACATGTCATGCGGCTGGAAGCTCGAGGTGGGCGGCAGGTAGCCTGGGATCATGAACTCTGGGAACGCTGATCCCATTGAGCCACCGCCAAAGCTTGGTGACTGCTGGTGTGACTGGTTGTATGACGGACCCGCCACGGGCATGGAATACCCTCCCACGCCGTACGACTGCTGCATCCTGGGCGAGGACGACCGGCGGCGAAGGTCAAACATGGGCTGCTCGTCCCACTGGCGCGGCTTTGGCTGCCAGGGCTCTGAAGGAGGCGGTACTTGCTGTGAAGGTGGTAGCAACGGCGGCGGCTGTGACGAGGACGAGGACGAGGAGCCCAGTCCAAACGAGTACGGCTGTTGCTGTTCACGAGCGTTCGAAAGGGACGAGCGAGCCTCATGAGATTGGGAACCCGTAGCCGCCGGGCTCGAAGGAGGATAGGTCCTCCAAGTGGAATTTGGCGGCGACGTGGTGAGCGTGTCTGCTGCCGGCAAGGTGACGCGCGGCCCAAGTGGTGGGAGTGTTGTGCTAGACAATGAGGAGGAAGAGGACGTTGTTGACACGCCGCCGGCCGCGATCGACGTACGCGGCTGGAACAATGGGGGCGGAGGGATGGAAAAGGAGGTCAGCGAGGTGGGCGAGTATCGCGCTGAGGGCAAAGACGATGTGATGGATGGCAGAGTAGGTTGGATGGACGGTTGAGTCATTGGGCGGCGAACGAATGGGTATTTCAGGCGAGATAGGCCGGAGATCCGGGACTTGCTAAGAGGGAGGACCAGACGAAGTGTTGCTGCGGTGACAGGGAAGTTGGGATTGGGGTTTGGAGACGCTCTTGTTGTTGGTCAAGGTGTGAGGTGCGATGCGGCGGGTCAAGCAGCATAGGATGGTTGTGGGTTTGGTGAAAAGGGGGGGAGGACAAGGGATGTGTTTTTTTTTCTTGTGCGTGCGATGTATGTATAGTATGTGGGTAGGAAGGTAGGAGGACGAGGACGAGTGGAAGGCAGGGCGAGACGAGTGTGTTGCATGCGGAGACTGGTGGGCCGGGGTGGCAGTGTCAGGTCAGGCGGTGCGCGGTATGCGGCGTGGCGGCAGGCGGTGGATTGCGTCAAGCAGGCGGCCTGCCATGGCCTGGCACGCTCTCGCCAGCTGGGCAGGCAGACATGCTCCCCGTGCGCCTCTCCAGTACGCATGTACGCAGCTCCGAGCGAGCAGCGACAGAGAGAGAGGGGTTCATGGCCGCACAGGCAGAGAAAGCGCGATCGGCCCACATGCCCTCTGCAGCTGCCGGCTGCGCGCGCGAACACAAGGCAACGGAGGCTAATAGACTTGATGTTGGCATACCTCGTTGTCGTCAGCTCTCCAAGTCGTGTCTATCTCTCGGTGCGCACCCTTTCAGCCGTCGTGCGCCGTGCGCCGTGCGCCGTGGCCGTAGTGTGCTTGGGGGATCATGCCTAATCCTGCCCAAGCTCTCGAGCTCTGCTGCCTAAACATGGCGCTGGGCACTCGTTCATACCCCATGCCTGCATCAGCTGGACACAAAAAGGTGTCGGACGCACCGAGAGGTTTCCCAAAAGCCACCCCCGTCACCCGCCGCGGCATGCATTTCAGCCAAAGAGCACCACCACCAGGCCACCACCAGGCTGGCACCACCACCACCACCACCACCCATACGCACCATATGGCCAATGGGCCACCCAGCGGTCAGCGGCCCAGAGGCGCAGGAACGCGGCGCCGAAGAGGAAACGCCAACGACGATGCAAAACAATAAACCTGCTCGTGGTGCATGCCGTCGTCAGCCCGTTGGCCCCCACCCCGCCCAATGCAGCCAGCCCCGCTCGTTGTCTCAAGTTCCCTTCCCGCTTTTGTGCTCTCTCCCAACACCATGCCTGTTGCCACCCACCACCACCCCGGCCACCCCACACTTGCAGCTTTGGCCTATTAGAAACAGCGATGCAAAATCAACCGTCACAACTAACTCTCCGAACCGGACAACTACTGACACACCGTGGCGCTCTGTGCAGAACGCTTTAGGTAATCACACTGGAAGCGAGCCCACGTGATGTTACGTAACGTGATTCCCCGCGCAATGACGACGACGGCTTCCGATCCCTCTCTGTGCATCCACCTCTCATATCGAACACATAGACAACAAACCACACCCCTTCCGCCCACAACCAGCACCATGGACGAGGACGGCTTCCACTCTATTACTTGGGACGACGCCCCACCTCGCACCGGGTTTGCCGACATGTCCTCGGTCGGCATGGACGACGACGACGACGATGACGGCTTTGACAAGATCAGCCCCACCTCGCCTCCGGCTCACGACGCGTACGCCGCCGCCTCTGGCAGCACCGCAACCGTTCGTCCGCACGCTGGGCTCGAACATGAACAGATTGACCCAGCAAACTACTCCTGGGAAGGGCGGTGGATGGCCATCGACGTCAAGGAGCCCGTCAAGGAGCACGAAGGCAGCAAGGACATGTACGTCAGCTATGCGGTGCAGACAAAGGTATGTCCAGTCCAGCCCATGTCCCGGCGTGATCCAGAACGGCCTGTTCACAGTCGAGCACCGTCTTATGGCGGTTGTCCTCAACATGTTCTGTTCTCACACTACCAGACCAACGTTCCGACTTTCAAGGACCAATCACCCATCGTACGCCGCCGCTTCCAGGACTTTGTCTTCCTCCACGACCAGCTCCAAAAGAGCTTCCCCGCTTGTGTCATTCCGCCAATTCCGGACAAGCACCGCTTAGGTGAGGCAGCCGATAAGGCAACCGACGGGGTGCAGCATTGCCGTGGTGGCGGTCCCAGTGGCCTGCACAGCGAGCTGTGGAGCATTTCCAAGGATCTGTGACCCCCGTCCCGTGTACACCAAAGCAAGCGGTGGTGGTGGGACTAACACCCACACAGAGTACATCAAGGGTGACCGGTTCTCGTCTGAATTTGTCGAGAAGCGGCGTCTGGAGTGGGTAGCAGTTGGACATGTGAACAGCACTGATGTTGTGTGCAGCCTCCAGCGCTTTGTGGACCGGATAGCCAGCCATCCAACACTGCAACGGTCACAGATCGTGATCGACTTTCTCACAACCGAGGAATGGACCGTCGTAAAGCACAAGCACATTGCCAACCCGCCCCCCGAGTCACACTCTTCGCTCATGGACTCGCTGAGCGATGGGCTGGTGAACATGTTTACGCGGGTGCGCAAGCCCGACGCCCGCTTTGTGGACATGAATGACGGGCTCGAGCGCTTTGAGGACGGACTGGGTCAGGTGGAGCGCCTCGTGGCGCGGAGCAAGAACCGTGTCGATGGTGAGATGATGCGTCCTTGATTTATCTGACAGCAGACCTTTCGGCAGACTACCAGGACATGGCGGCTGCCTACCAGGGCCTCGGCTACCTCGAGAGCGGCATCACAGAGCCTCTCAACCGGTTCGCAGAGAAGATGCTCGACTTTAGCACCTTGCTCAAGCACCAGGTAAGGTCTACAGTGGAGTCTGGCTTGGAAGTGACGTGCTACCAACCTCACTCCTCTGGACTGCCCTCAGACTGACTACTGACACCGGCAGAACCAAGCTTCAGTCGAGCCGTTCCTGCAACAGACCCACTCTCTCCTCCAGTACTCCGGGGCTCACAGGGCAACCATCAAGCTGCGTGACCAAAAGCAGCTCGACTTTGAGGAGCTCAGCGCATACCTCTCGGCCGTTGCTGGCGAGCGCGACCGTCTCGCGGCCCTCAGCTCGGGCCACACTGGTGCACCCGTTGGTCTCGGCACGTATCTCCGTGACCAGGTCGACAAGCTCCGCGGTACGGATGACATCCACACGCGCAGGGAGCGAATGCGCAAGCTCGATGGGCGCATCAAGGAGGTGAGTGATTTGGCCCGCGGTTTCGTCGTGTTGTGTGTTCGCAGAGTGGGAAATGGAAATGGGCATGTGGGGAGATCGGTCTCGCGGGCAACGGCGATTGATGGGCAAGAGATTGCCCATTGACATTGGCAGCTCCGAACCCGAGCGATCAGCCGACACGTCGGCATTCTGATCCGTCGTGATTGTGCTCGTGGAGGTCGTATCCGTGGCGGTCCGGTCGGACACGGACTACCTGAGAACGTGACCGGCGATGGCCATTGCCTTTACTCGGTTGAGTGGGACAGGCGAGCTCGTGTGGTCGGTTCCATACTCTGATTGGTGATGACCGACATGTTGGTCAAAACACCTTACGGTCTTTGTCTGTCGGTAGCTCAGGTGACACTCGACATGTGCAACTGCTCAAGTCGAGTCGAGCTGCGAGTGGCTGGTGATGGTCACGGGTCGGTGAATGGGCATTGAATATGTCCTCCAACCGAGTAGCTCCGCAGACTGGTGACCTCACGTGTGGGGTAAACGTGGGACGTGTCCTGCGAGTGTGGAGAAGATCGACAGCCCATGTCGGGCTGCGAGTGGACAGCTGCCCATCGGAGAGTCCCCGTGCGATAGCTCGGAAAGATGGAAGACCACCTCCACACTCCTCGTGTGTCCGCAAGGCTGAACAAGCTGGGGAAACGTGCGGGGCGATCGGTTATCCCCGCATCGTGACCCCGGTGAATCGCGCCTTGGCGCGGCCGGTCGCACGTGCGGATGAAGAACGTTGGCAACGACAGTGGCTTGCCGACACGCATGCGGACTTGCCAGTCACCGTTCACTGGACAATGCTGGTCGGCGTCGGTCGGACACGTGCAGATTGAGTTGGAGATCGCCAACATGTTAGATCACTTGACACGGTCCGACTCTCCGAAGGGGAGAGGTTCACCGACTCGGCAGAAAGTTGCCGAGGCAGAAACCAAATCCTCCTTGCGACTCGCACGTTTCCAAGGGCCAACTGTCCGTCCCATCGGACAGTTGCAGCTGCCGCAGCGCAGTATCAATTGCTGGACACTGCTGTCTGCTCTATCGAACGGACCGATGAGGTCCTCTCTGCCACGATTCCGGTTCCGATTTGGCTCTATTTCACTTCGCTTGCAGCGATAATCGGCGATTTGTTTCCTCCTGGACCGAGTACCTCCGCGTCTCCATTCGGGGCCCCCAGGTTCCATTCCACTTCACATGTCCACTGTCCCCCGACTTTATCCATGTTCTTCTGGCCGCGTTTGCCGAAACCCGCACACACACACATGATGCTGACGCAATGTAACAGCTCCAGGAGGCGGTGACCACCGCTCACGAGACGTCGGATGCTTTTTCGGACGAAGTCCTGAAGGAGCATGCCGTCTTTGAGCTCAACAAGCAACAGGAAATGAAGGAGATGCTCGGCCGCTACGCCGACGGTCAAGTGGAGATGCTGCAGCGCGCCATGGACGACTGGGACAGGGTGAGTGCCGCGCGCGAGTTTTTTCTTCTCTCTGCCTGTGTGTCTCTTTTTTTCGTGTTTTCTTTGCAAGCACGACTGAAAAAAAAAAAACGAACAATGTCGTGAACACCGGCCTCGCCTCCCTACAATCCCCTCCCTCCCTTGTGCCCCTCCCTCCCCCACTCTCTCCCGCAGCGTTCGCACCGAGGTACGCGCTCTGGCCGCCGCCGCCGGCGACGCGCGGGGCGTCGTGGGGGAGTGGGCGGGGGTGCGAGCGCGTGGGGCGGGGCCGGCAGGCCAATGGCGGGGGTGCGAGCGGGGTGCGAGCGAGTGCGTGGTCGGGGGCAGCGAATGGCGATGGAGACCCATCAACCAGCGACCGAGAGGCGAGAGGCTGACTCCAATCCCTAAGATCATCCCGCTCCTCCAGCGTATCCGCGTCGACGTCTAGGCGGCACTTGCTCTGCCGTACCCTGGGGGGGGGCTTTGTGGTGATCGTTGGCCCCGCCCGCCATAGATCCATCCATTCCAGAAACGCCGGCCACCGCCCACGCAGCGTGACTGGGCGACAGCTCTTCCCCAATTCCAACCAAACTGCAACGAACGAGACCCTACAGTTCCGCCGCCAGGGGTCGAGAGGGGGAGAGGGAGTGGGGGTGGGGGTGTGGGGAGTGGGCAGGGAGGCGCCGAGACTGACGAGTGGGCAACCCAGCTCAACGTCGGGCGAAGATTGGTCGACACGGGTTGTCTGACAAGTGGAAAACGACGAAAGTAAGAAAAAAACAAGGAGCGCAGGAGAAGGGGTGGGTGGAATGTGCGCCGTGGCAAGTTTCGGCTCGATGGCCTGCAGGGATCCGGCACAGCGCCAGCGCGGCGTCGAGGGAGGCAGAGAGGCGGGGTTGAGGCGGTTGAGGGACAGCGTGAGGGACATAATGTCCACCATCACGACCTTTTTTTTTTTCCTTTATTACTATTCTCATGTTGTAGTGCGATGCACTGAAAATGTCGCCAAGGGAACTGCGGGCGGGGTTGGGGACGTGGGGTGGGGGTCCAGGCCACCCGCCGGCCGAGCTGGGGTCCAGGTAACGGCGGGTTCCAGGCCAGGTGTGCGCGGGTACCCCGTACCCCGTCCAGCCGTACCCCGTCCAGCCCGTCTGTGGCATGCACGTGCGGCAGCCACCAATGCGAGTGCCACAGCCAGACGGTTGCGCAAGGGACAAGCGTTTGGGTATGAGACCGCCAGCCCAGGAAACAGGCAAAGTGACATACCGCGCCGCCCGTCGGATGCAGAATGAGATTTGGCCGACGGCAGACGGCAATTCACGGCTCGCGGCTCTGCCATTTTTCGGGTTTGGTTGCCTTTGCCTGGTCGTTTTCTGTTTTTTTTTTTTGGGTCGACCGCGTGGGGAGGAGTGCAAAGAAAGGGGTCGGTTGGAGGAGAGGGATCAAGGCCTGCAGAGGCTGGATCTCCATGTGCTCCTGGGCCCCAGACATGCATGCACGCGCGCATGCGCGCCGTCGCGCTGCGGCGACGACGACGGCGGCGGGGCGAGCCTCGTGGGTGTGTCTCACTGGTTACAGGGCCGTGACGCGAGGGGTCTTCCCTTTCGTCGTCGACGGGGTGGACAGAAAAAAAAAGAGGCATTGGGTACATGTGGCACGTTTGAGCGATACACAGCCCACCGACCGCGCGGTTGGCCAGTCCGGGCGAGGCATGCGTGTGGCAGTGCGGCTGCCATAATGCAGACTACCCGGGGGAAGCTTTCCGCAGACACGGCCGAGGCGATATTTGGCGCTCCGAGCAAGCGAGGGAACACGCTGGTGTTTTTTATTCTATTTGATTCTTTTTCCAAGCAGCCTTTGTTCGGCTGCGGTCCCTGCCAACGTGTACGCCGTCCCCCGTCCCCTGTCTCCTGCCACAGTCGGCAGATTGGATGTGAACGTGGCGGCTGGTATACGTTGCTGCTGCACGCACGGCTATACATGAATTGCAATCGACTGCTAGGTCCAAGCCCTCGCACGTTGCTTTGCCGAGTAGGACGTAGGTCACACTAGTGTCCACGCGGTGTTCTCTGTGCTGTACGTGCTTCAGCAGAGGCGTGTGGGGGTCTCCCTATTGGATGCGAATCATACCCCGGTCCGCCTCTGACCTGTCGTCTACTGGGCAACAATGCCAGTGCCACGGTCGGTCGTGCACTAGCTTCCATGCCGCGCCACCATGGACACACAAGGAACACGGATACGCATGGGGCATCCGTCTTCTTACGTCCAGAATCCCAGCCAGGTCCCGACATGGACCTGGCAACGTGCAACGTGGGGGCATGCATGCATGGCCAATACGCTTGTTCTGTGTGTTTGCGCTGGTGAACAACACCATGGGCGGGGGCCGTCCGGAATGACAGGAACGGCAGGAACGAACAATCTAGCGGCGGGCGAGGAACCGCGCTGGAAGAAGTATAACACCGACCTCCACAGCCTAACACCCAACACCAAACAAAAGAATACCGGTCAGAGACAGAAACAGGTCAAGGTCCAGTAGAGGACACCGGGGACCTTGACCTCGAACCTCTCCGACCTGGTCCTGTGTCGGCGAGTGGGGTTTTGGGGTTGGGCCATTGGGCCATTGGATGGTGCGGGGCGTCGTTGCCCTCGCTGCCACACGTACGATATTCCCACTCGCACATCTTCGCCAAACGTCACAGACACCGGAAGCAGTCCTACGAGCCACGGATGATATTGGCGATGGAGCAGCTCCATGCCATGTCGTTGCAAAGACGCCAAGATTGCAATCTCGGATGCACCTTGTGTGCGGCGTAGAGAGGGCCGGCGGTCGGGTGGATCTGGCGCCAACGAGCCCCCCGTCGTGGTAATCTTTTGTCCAGACGACAAAGGAGCGGGTCCGACCAATCGGTCGGGATGCTGCACGAGATGACACTGACAACGGACGGGCGGATGGTAATCTTGATTCCCAGCAACAAGAACCAGGGCCGCGGGGTGATGTTGGAATCACCCACGGGCCGCCACAGAGAGGGCAAAACGTCTCGACATGGATTCCCAGGTTCTTGCTTTTCTATTTAGCGTGCATCTTCGTGCTCGGGCGCACGAGTACGATTTCTATTCTGCCAGAGTATGAAAGCAAGGAACAACCCAACCCCCAAGACCAACACCATGGGAAACAATCGCCGATGAGACATCCTGTCTCTGATAAAGGGAGTACGCAACACACTACACTCCAGCGCTTGCTCGCTTGGCGACGAGTCTCGGCACGCGCTGCGTGCACTGTCCCGGAATAACGACCGCCGATAACAAAACTGAGACACAAACGAGGGCAAGACCAGTTCTGGCTGGCATTGGGGGGAAGAAAGAGATCCAGCCAAGATCCACCGGACACGTGTGTGTCGGAACCCACCTGGCCCACCTGTCCTGGCGCGTTGTTTGGGGCACGCTAATCGCTGGGACTGGAGGTCGAGTTGCTGTGGGGTCGGGTCGGGGGGGTTGACGACCGGTCGTCGCAGCAGCGGGGTTGCAGGCAGAGGCAGTCGTAACGGGGTGGTCCGATGGGGAGCAGGTCTGGCCCCGCTGCGCATCGGCTACGGCGCGCAGTGGAGCCCATTGGCAGTCCGCCGTCATGGCCAAAACGTGTCACGACCTGATTGTCAGACTCGTCAGCGCGGCGCGGGTGACGCGCGGGAGTGTGGCGGCCATCGTCACTGCTGCGCAGGATGACGGCGACGGTCGGCCCCACCAGCACGTACACTGTACTGCCAACCCATGGAAATAACAGAATACACTCGGAAATGGCCAGAAACGCACCCAGGGGCCAGGGGTGGCATGCATGGCGTGCGTGGAAACCGGATTCCCAGTTCCCACATACACCGACCAGCCCCCCGGCTGCTGCCATTCACTCACGCGCTGTGGCTGCCAGTTGGCCAGTTGGCCAGTGGCCAGTGGACCAGTTTGCCGGTGTTGAGCCCACGTCCAAGCTTACCAAAAAGGACAGCCAGGGAACCGATCCATGCAGAGAGCAAGGGCGTGCGAGGGTTTGCCACGATAGAGACAACAAAGTGCCACCCCCACCCCCGCCCCCGGGAAAGCCCATGAGCCCAACCCCGCAGCGCCCGGCGCCACCGCCTCCCACTCCTCCCCCATTTTCCCCGCGGCACCACACGCGGTCCGTGTGCTGTACGTGCTGTGTGCCACTTGGCCAGGCAGCAGGCAGCCTCGTAGCTCGTAGCTCGTTGGCAGCTGACAGCGAGGACGAGTACGACGGCCCCGCCGCACGCCGCTCGCCGCTCGCCCCCCTGTCCCCCGTGCCCCTGCCCCACTGCGGCCTCGGTCGCCTTCGTCATGCTCTGTCATGCGCCGTCAGCTGTCCTGCACAGAGCCTCCATGGCGTATGTCCCCCCCACCCCGGCTCCCCCAAATCCCTGCATCGGGGCTGCATCAGCATGGGCCTTTGTTGGAGCGTACATGCCCCTCGGGCATTGTCATCCCAAGGCGACGGAGACGAGCGCGAGCCGCGGTGGAGCCGGCGGCCGGGCGTTGGGGGGGGGGTGGCCGAGGCGCGAGGTGGCCGAGCGCCGCACTATATGCTCGAAAGCTTGGCGGGTATGTAGGTTGCTTCAGCCGTTCCTCGACTGTGTATTGTATTGTACACCCGTGACGGAATGTGGCAGAATGGCATCAGTTGGAACGGAATGGAATGAAACGCAACGGGTCAAAGAATTGGCTGATGGTATGCAAGTTGATGTGCATGCGAGAGCGATGACTATGTAAAACGACAAATGAGGGGGGGTCATGAGATGTATTGTTGTGTGGGTCGTGATTGAGATATGCGCAGCCTCCGCCAAACTTCTTCTTTTTCTTCTTCTCTCTCTGTGTGTGTGTGCGTTGCGTGTTGTATGGTGTGTGCGTGGGGGTGCGATGAAACCTTCCTCCTCTCTTCTTCGTGCCCTCGGCACTGGGCCTGGCTTTTTCGGGGGGTGCAAGTTTTGTTGAGAACTCTTGATAATGTACACGGACGGCTTCCAGTCGCCTCTGTTTTGGGTTGGGGGGGTAGGTGGTCACGGTGGGTTACACCAGCACGCGCTGGGCGCGGCCACGCTCGGGGCGCTCGCCGAGATTCAGCGCAAGGCCGAGCTCGGGCTCGTGGCGGGAACGAGAGCGCAGACGGGTCTGGTCACGGTCGCGCGAGCGCGAGCGCTCGCGGGAATTGCGTCCACGCGAGCGAGAATCCCGCGAGTCGCGGACGGGGGCGACCTCGCGCTCCTCGTGGTGGACGAGCTTGGCGTTGCGCTGCTCGGGGGTCATGTCGATGCGCGGAGGCAGGCGTTCGCGCGAGCGACCGCGGCGGTCATCGTGTGCCACGGGGAGGGTAGACGATGCCGAAGCGTTGGGAGCACGGGTGACAGCCGGGAGAGGAGCGTGCTGCAGCGAGGGAGTGTTCTTGCCAGTGCTGGCGTGCGCGGGGCGGGGGTGAATGCCCGTGTTGGCATTGCGCTGGAGACGAGGCGAAGGGGGAACGGGGTCGGAGCGCGAGCGCGACAGAAGAGACGAGCCGAGGACAGTCGAGATGTTGCGCTCTTCTGACAGGGTGGTGTACGCCGGGTTGGGGGTGCGCGGTGTGCGAAACCCGGGGTCGGAGACCATGCGAATGGAACCGTACGCTGGGACGAGGCCGTCGTCGTTGAGGGTCAGGCAAGAAATGTCTGGCTCGCCGAGACGCTCGCGGGAACGGGCGCGGTGGCCGAGAGCACGTCCGCAACCACAGCGGGGCGCAAGGGCGAGCGGTGACGTGACGCTGTTGGTGACGCTAGGCTTGCGGCCAAAACGAAGCGTGTCGATGCTGGCACCGGTCGGGTACACAGTGGTCTGCGAACCCGGAGTGGAAGTGCCAGATGCCGAAGCTGATGGGACACGTGATGCGAGAGCCGAAGGGATCTTGACAGGGACGCTGCCAATGAATCCGTACGAGGTCGTGGGGTACGCAGGAGGAGGCAGGTTGAACGCCTCCTTCTGGGGCGAGTCGCCAGTGGTGGAAGGGTTGGTCTGAGGCGAGTGGATGGGCGATTCGGACAGCGACGACGACGACGACGAGTTGCCACGGCGGCGACCGAAGAGCGGTGATGGGGCAATGTGGTGCACTGGGCGCACCATGGGCGAAAGCGACACGGGAAGCTGCGCGGTAAGGCGAACAGGAGGGGTCGAGGTCGCCTTGGTCGCAGGCGACGCCGAGCCCTTGTCCTGTAGCCTGCACTCGGAGGAGCAGTAGAGGCTGTGGAAATGGGTTAGCTAACTGATGGCGATGAGCATGCGCTGGTTGACTCACCCCTTGGAAGGCGCCTGGCAGATGAAGCAGCGCTCAAAGTCTTCTTCAAACATGGTGGTGGTGGAGGTCGAGGTCGAACACGTTAAAGGTGGGCGGTCGAGTGTGGGTGGGTGGGGGAGAGCGGCAAAGCGCTGTTGGGGGGTGGAGAGTCGACTATGCGACTTTGGTGTGATGGGATGCAGATATCCAAAGGAGGTTGTGCGGGGGGTTGTGAAGCAAGATGCGACAACGGGATGTGGTTTTAGGACGACGGGAGACAGTGGACTCGATCAATTCAAGCCAAGAAGCGAGTCGGCCGAAGAAAGGGAAACCGGGTTGTGAGGGCGATTATCGTTCTCTGGATGGGATGGAGGGGTAGCTGGTTTGCTGGTAAGCGACTGTTGATGACGAGGTTGGGCTTTATGGAGAGTGTAGGTTGCGCTAGCACGACCGCTCGGGTGCGTCGGGGTGCGAGAGACACAAGGAGATGGAGTAGGGGGGTTGGGTTGTCACTCTGGACAATAGAACCACAGAGGTGGCACGAAGTCTAGGGTTTTTTGGGTGTGGGCGGCGGAGGGTTGCACGACGCGGGATGACTCGACTTTACGAGGTCGATGCGTGCACGGGGTGTGTGATGGCGTGTGCGATGCGATACACAGAAGAAAAAAAGTTGGATGCAGTGCGAGAGAGAGAAAGGATATCGCACTGCAAGGCTTTTGTGCAGAGCAAGCACGCACACACACACACCAACACCCCCCTCACACACCAGTGGTGTGTCCCAGAGCCGTCACACGTTTGTGCGGGCCTGGGTGAGAGACGCCGCCACTGAAAAATGAACCCGACCGTGGGAGAGACTTACCTGGGTGGCTGTGTCCAAGGGGGCGGGGGGGGGGGGGGGGGTGACGGGGGCGGTGGAGAGCTGGTGGTGGTGGGGTGAGTGTGCGATGTGGGCAACGGTTGTGGTGTTGGCGTGTGTGTGTGTGTTGTGGTAGATGAGAGAGTTGAAGAGGACGCTGTCGACGGGCGGGGGTGCGATGGATAATGGAAATGGGATGGTGCTGCGTGACTCGATATGGGGGACATGGGCTCTCTGTCTTTTTTCTGGCTGGGCACGACTCTACGAGACGATATGGTGTGCGGCGGCGGCGGCGGCGAAGGCCAAGGCGGCGGGGCAGAGGCGCAGAGGGACAGGCGGTGGGCAGGCGGGACAGCCGAGGGGGCCTGGGGTGGGGGGTTTGCGTAAGCTCGGCATAAGCTGGGCGTTTTTTGCTTGTCAGTCAGCGAGCGTTGCGTGAGAGCGGGACCAAAACAGGGCAGCCGTTGTGCGTGTGTGTGTGTGTGTCGCATCATAAAGTCCGAGTCGTCGTGGGATGGCGTCGCCCCCCCCGGAACCCCTGGCTGACTGTGTGCGGCCCTGGCCCTTGGGCCTGCAGCCCTCTCCCCTCCCCCTCTCCCTCTGGCCCCCCTCCCTCCCTCTCCCGGACTGCGACACTGCTGGAAAACGCATCACCGCCCTCGTCACCGTCGCACACAAGCACATGGTGTGTTTTTTCGACGCAACTGTTGTCATCACAGCGACAGCCCCCCCCCCTTCTTCTTCTGTGCACAGCCGGGGGGGTCTCTCTCGTCTCCATGGCGACTTGGGCCAGCCATGTTGGTGATAGCAGTGTTCGCAGCACGTAGCATATTCTAGCCCCCACTCCCATGTATCAATGACCCCATTCTGACTCACAACGTTTATTGTGTCCCCCATACACTCTATCCCATTCCCCCATTTGCTGTCTCGCGCGGCACACTCCGCCGACCGACGGACATGGTACACCAGACACCACACAGACACACACGTTCAGCCTGATGATGTGGCCCGTTGGCCGTGCCCAGCGGGCACGGAACCGTGTGACGTGACGGCCAACTGACCCGCCAAAGGCCCGCAGTTTTAGCCCAAGTCACAGCGGACCCTTGCCCCTAAACTCGTTGGCCCCCCCGTCAGCCCTACACCAAACTGCCAAATCACGCCGGCAAATCGCGCAATAACGCAAACTTCAAAGCAAGCCAAATTACCATCCTGGCAGCTGGCAGAGAGGACAACAGCCGAATTAAAACTCTGGGTGCGACTTTTTTTTTCCCTCCGCCCCAAATACCCGGTAGAGTGGGCCGGGCGAGCCAAGACTCATGGCCCAAAAGAAATGGGTCGGCCGTCCAGCCAGTCATGGCCGGCGCTCAGCGCCGACAACAACGTTGGCTGTCTTTGCATTCCGACGCCTCAGGCCGGCTTCCGCCTCACACAGCAGCCCAGAGCGCAAACGATACATTGTTCGTAGGCCATGTGGCGTGGCGTACTCGGGAAATGGAGATCATTGGGCGATCACTCCAAGCAAAAACCCAGGCCTTGGCGGGGGGGGGCTCCCTCTGGCTCTTTCATTGCTTTGCATTTTGCGGTCAGCGAGCGGCGTTACGAGTCTTCCTTGTTCGCAGCCCGACATGTTGCGGGGGGGTCACAGTGGTGTGTTCGTGGGCACGGTGTCGTGGCGGTGGCCATCGGGAACGCCTCGGGCGAGCGCAAACCGCCATCATGGGTCGCAGTTTCCCCCCCACAGCGCTCACCCACCGTCTGTCACGTCCGACTTTGTGCTAGGATTGCCGAGACGACCGATACACACGAGAGCGCCAAGCATGCCTCTTGAATTCTCCACTGCATTCCAGGATACCTTTCCACATCCGACTTGGTCGCAGCGTTATTGACATGGGGGGACCACACACTAATGACCGCCTGAAGGGCGTAACCCCCCGCACCTATCATTTACGTTTCAAGCGGCCGTCACCGTCACTACCACTCTGTTGCAGCGGGCCGTTGTCACTTGTCACATGTCACTGCTCGCGAGCTCGCGGCCCCGGAACCAGCCGGTGATGGTACACCAGGCGGTAAGGGGACCGAAGAAGAACATGCTGGCTGATGCAATGGAGAGGACAGGCACCACATGCACACACATGTTGCATACCCCCGTCCGGCAGAGTGGAATAACGGAAAATAATTGTCCAATAAACCCCCCATAAATGCGGTCACCGTGCTGCCACGAAACTGTTTGCCGATCACAGTGTGCGCGATGCCTGCACGCTCGCTTGCGCGTCGCGTCGCGTCGCGTGCAGACACAGAATCTGCAACTAACCGCGCCCCAGTCATGCTGTTGCGGCGGCTGGACAGGCGCCCTCTCGAAAACTCGGACGCGAAAGCGGAGCCGGGGGAAGCAAACTCAAACGCGTCAGCAGGAATGTCATCCAGGTGCTCGTGCAATGTGCCCACCCCCAGTGCCGTTAGGTCAAGCTCGTCGACCCCCAGTGTCATGGGTTAGTAACCAGCCGTCGTACTAAGCAGCAAAACCGGCAAAGATAAGCGTTTCCGGTGTATTGGGTGCTTATCTTTAGCCTTTGCACCTGCCTTTTATTGCCTTTTGGAACACGGAGACGGAATATACATGCAACTCGCTGACGTCGACAAATGTCTTTGTAATGACAGATGACGCGCGCGACCGAACTGCTCGCGAGTCCAGATGCGATCGGTCGGGCATGCACGCGAACCCGCTTTGTCTCAGACCCGATGTCCGAGGCGCACACGGATCTCGCTATTTGCCCCAGAACCAATGTTATTCCTCTTTTCCTTTTCGTCTCCGCCGAAGCGAACCAGGCTTCTGGCCAAGCGAAGCGAATAGGTCTGCACCGCAGTAATTACATGCCAGGGCTGGAGGCCTCCGACGTCACGCTGTAGGCGCTGTAGGCGTGCTTCGGGTTACCGTAGTAGCAGTGTCGCCACTGCGCGAAGCGTGCACGCACTGCACCTGCACCTTCCTTTGCACACTGGCCACCGACCGGCACGGGCATTTGGCTTTTGCCATGCACGTCTTGCCCGAACTCCGACGTAAGCGATCCCACCAAGGCCCGACGGACAGACGCCATGGACGCCAGATGCCGCAAGCCACGTTCGCCTTCTGGATCGTGTGAGTGCGCATGCCGTGGCGCCACCATACTGGCTACTGCCATATTTTTTTTCGCCTGTCACCTCCTTCACTCACGCTCGCACGCTCGCACGCTGTTCGCACGCTCTGCAAGGACTGTGCGTCGCTACCGCACCGACATGCCGCACTTTTGGCCAACCTCTGGGCGCCTCGGTGCACAGCACTCACACCCCACCCCACCCAGACGCCCAGGTGCCAGGGCCAAGGCCGCCGCGTGCAGGGCAAAGTGAGCGGTGTTGATCGTTGGCGATACGCCGCCCACTCTATCGGAGATTTGCGCTCGACGCCACCCAAATCTCATCTGCGATGGTGCCTCCCCTTGCGCGTCGCCTCACGCAGGTTTTTCTTTTTCTTTTTTGATTTTGGTATTGATTTTTTTTTTTTTTTTTTTTTTCCCTTCGCCATCGTCGTTGTGTGCGGGTACAACCGGTGTTTCAGTCGCGCTACCTTACACCTTGGCAGGGGGTCGAGTGTATGTGGGCCCGTGCAACCCACTAGCCCATGCATTGGCGCACGTGACAGCCCACTGTACTCTATACCCCTGGCGCGAGGAGACGTGAGACACCGAAACGCAGCCTCGTTGGGTGTGTGTTTTTTTTTTTCCTGCAGTCTCTTGACAAGACGCACGAGCACTCTCAACCCGTTCTCGGGGAGACGCCAGAGAGTCTAAACGGGTCGCTCGCTCTCGGCGCGAGGCGAGCGCGAGCAATCGCCCGTGCCCTTGCCTTGGGACGAACGTGTGGCACCACCATTCGCCCACGGCAAGCACGGCCTGACAGGGCGTGGCGCGGCGTCGTTATCTATCGCGCTAACCACCTGTCACGACATCTGGTGCGAAGTGCATGTGCTTGACTTGACCACTCAACGCTGGGGGGAGCTCAGGTTCATGCCAGCCTAGCGGGCCAGCGATCGTCCCTTTGCTTGCAACGACATTTGTGGGTACAAGAGAGCGTGCCGCGTACAATGCCATGCGGCGGAGTGCGGGAAACGACGCCACGTTCCTAGACGTAGGTAGGCCTGGTCCACCCCCAGTGGCGAGTAGACTTAGACACTTGGTTCCCAGGGAGCGCACGCAATGGGTCGCCGCACACCTCGCCAAGAGTGCGATAACAGACACGCGCACAGCGCAAAACTTTTTTCGTGGAGTGGAATTTTTCACAGTGTGTGTCTGTTTTCTTTTGCAGCACGCAGGCAGGTAGGCACATTGACTCGGACGCGGGGGCCGTCAGGTCCGAACAAGGTTCCTGGTCCAGACAAACCCAGCGCTGTCCATGATCTTATTATTCTGTTCCGGGGTGCGAACAGAGTACAGAGTATAGGCAGCACCCCGTTATCAGATTTTCCTCGCCCCCACAGGTCCGTTATCTGGCCCTCATCTGGGCCCACTGTCGTCGGCCGAAGGCGACGTACCCACCTGCGTGCGTGGTGGTGGCGACAGACACACGTCTGCACCTCTCCCTATTCTGGTGTGCGGTACGGTTCCGAAATTATCCCCTCGGGCTCTCCGTGCGCAGCGGCTCCGAGTACCGAGTCTGTCATGGCGGATGGTCGCGGACTGAACTCGGCCGTGATGGTCTTCCACCTGTGGGTCGTCCCGAACACAATACTGTAGTTGCGACAACTCTGCGCCACCCGTAGTACAGTTAGGCAAAACTGTGCTGGGGGGCAAGTTCGGCGCAGGTGAAACGTGCGATGCGAGGGGCCGTGGAGCCGACGCAAGAGCAAGGTGCGAGACGACAGGCGCGACGCGACCCGATACAATATCAGTGTTGGACAAAAATCTGCGCGACTAATTTTACTTTTTGTCGCACTCCTCCGCTCCAACGTTTCGCCGTCCCAAACGTGTATTAAGAACACTCGCACACGACATTTGCTCCACAAGGCGGCGCCATTAAGATTTAGAACCTCCATTTATACCCAACCCCTCTCAGGTTCTTGGAGCCCCCCACCCCCACCAAGCACCTCAATATCGTTCCTGTGTCCTATTTGTCGTCGGCCCTCGCCGTCAACACCGTTCGCGCCCTCGTGCACCTCCCTCCTAGCTCCTAGCACGTTCGCGTACTTCAGTTCAGGTGCCCGTGGTAGCACGTTGTTTGCAAGTTCAAAAGCAAGGAATCGACGGCGGTTACTAACCGACTGATATCATCAGAGTTTTGGGTCGCGAGTACGTCGTTACCCTCTCCTTGGCACCTCACTTTGTCCCTGTTAACAAGCCCACCAAAGTCCATAACCCTGTTCACAACCCTTACATCTTCTTACTCCACCTTGCGGGTGTGTTGTGCTGTCGCGCGCGGAAAGGGAACGCTTCGGAAGCAGCACCTGTGTGGTGAGGCTCTGCACCGCTGCACCGCGCTCCTCCCTCTCTCGCTGGCTGCTCTCTGCTGGCAGGAGCGAGCCAGGCGATCATGTGACGTCACTTCCAGGTTTGTTGGAGACGCATGCAGAGCCTCTCGTCCATGCGTGACCCCCCAACACCGCGGTGGTTGAGGGCAGAACGTGCACGGCTGGCTCTTCCGGTTCGGGTCGGGATCGGGTTTTAGTTCGGGTTTGCAGGCGGTCGTGGTTGGCTCTCTAGGAATACTTCAGGCCCAACTCAAGCGCCCCCGATGCATGCAAGGGGGTGCACAACGAAACCCAAAGAGAGACAAAAAAAAGTCGAGGATCCAGTCGCGGAACACCGGCGGCGGCGTGTGTTACACACCAGGAGCTGGCAGGCAGGGATACGAGGCGGCTTGCACTGCCACTGCCATAACAGCCAACCCTCCTGGGTGAGATGAGGTCGCGTATCGGCGTCCCCGACACGACCGGAGTCTCCAGCTCGACTAGCGCAGGGGATGATCCACACATTTCGATGTTCGCTCGGAGCGCGCCCCGTGTGCTCGTTGCTCGCTCGTGGCGGGCGAGCAATGAAGGGAGAGTGGGAGAGGAGAAGGGGTTACTACCCCCCCCCCCCCCCTCGTGTCGATCGGACGTGATGGACAGACCGCAATTGTGCATTTAGCTGTGTTAGGTTGCTGGTAGCGTCACTGTGCGTCAACGTAAGGACGGACATTTCAATCCCACTAGTAAGTACCCAGGGAAGAAAGTGGGTTTATTCTTTCACAATGTGTTCGTGGGGGATGCTGTAGGAGGCTCCCGCTTGGCCGCCCTGTGGCAGTCGGCTGGGCTCCCAGTAGCGTGTTCCGACTGCGACCGCAGTGCACGTCCCATTCCACCTCACCGGACTGTAGGCGGACTGTAGGCGCATTTGCGACCACTTGACGTCTGCGGCCTAACAATGGTTAGCCCTGTTGTTAACCTTTCTCAGAAGTTGATCGCCGTACCGGCTGTTTCTGTGGCGCTTTGAATTCTCATGTCTTTGGCGCTACTCTAACACGACATGACGTGTTCTGGCGTCCTGTCCCGCGGTTCCCGCGGAACTCTGACGGTCGTGCAGTGTTTACGGATGGCCCCTTTCCATATGTACTCCTGTATGCACATGGGAAGGGGTCCTTTGAACGCTTGAAGACGACACTGGTCAAGTTCAACAGCCGCCACTGGCCACTGGTGATCAACCGTCGCGTCGTGCGACACATGCCACACAGCTTTTAGTGCAAGTGTCCTGCTGATCTGCTGACGGAATCAGAGAGCACGAGCAGGAGGATGCTAACCAGCGTACCAGCGTACCAGCGTACCGGCGTACCGGCGTTCTGAGGGATCTCACAGCGTTTATGACACATTAGCACGTAACAGGAGGCCAATTCAGTTGGCTCACCGTGTTGGAGAGACCTCACCACACAACCACACGGGATCAAATTGGGAACCTGGTATACATTCGAAGTGACGCTGTAGGTACCGTCCTGCGCGCAGCCGGAACCAAACAAGTGTTGCAAGTGTACCGCCGCCTTCCTCCACCGTCATGTTGAACGAAGGGGATCCAGGTCGACGACCTCGTGTTCCATAGTCGTCCTCCAGCACTTGACGGCGGCCACCCATGCCGCTCTTCCCCGATGAGCGCGCCAAGCTCAAGCGCATTCTGGATCAAACCGACGCCCTCCAAGACCTGCACCAGATTATCGAGAACGACGAAGCCCGTTGGGAAGCGCTCCCTCGACCTGCCGAGATCCCTCGCAGCCCGTTGGATGCTCTTAGGCTGCATCAATGGCCAGATACATATGCCAGCACACTCATCGAGGAGGTTGTCCGCCGCCCTCACTCTACCCATTCGACTGGCGTCGCTCAGGCACTCGGCTCCCACCCGCTGCGGGTTCGCCACCATGAACAGCTGGCCCCATTCCTCGGCACGTCTGTGGCAGAGATCATCTCGCATGACGTCGGGCTCGAAGACTCACCGGTCATGAGGCAATGGAACCACGGTTATCTCATGTCGTGTTTGACAATGCCGAATGCGCAGGTGACGAGCGCGCGAGACGTCTCTGCCCTCGCGTTGGGACTCTTTGGCACGCCTCTCAACCACCTGTTGGCAAACTCGTTGTCATACGTCTCGGGCACTGTACCGCAGCCCGCACCTCGTTGGAAGCGGCCTATGCCCGCCAGTGATATCGGTGGTGCTGATTGGGTTTGCGTTGGGGGCCATGACGAGAACGACGCCCGTGCCCACGTGAAATGGAAGGCACTCGACGCACTGCCCGACCAGCACATGGCCGACGTTTTCGTGGCAGCAAGCGCTGGTAAAACCACAATGACCTGGCACCCTTTGAAGAAAGGCTTTGCCATATCGGCGGATAACGGCAAGCTCACTTCCACATCGATTCGCGTACGTCCAAATGCCTCAGAGGCGACTGTCCAAGCTTGGGCCGCGTGCCATCACCACCAGTGCCGCTGGGCCCTTCTGTTCAACACAAACTCCGCCATTGTCATGTTCCTCGCGGACAAGTACGAGCTCTGGGTGTCTGGCGTCATTGACCGTCACGACACTGGTGACGATGTCACCCTCACCATTGCCCTCGCGCTCGCAGCCATCGGGCTCGTCAAAGAACTCCCAGATGGAGCGGTGCCGGCAGACGACTTTGGCTACCTTGACCTGTCCGAGAGGAAAAATGACACGACAGATGAAGGTTCGACAACACCAGTCGCGCATGGCCAACTTTCGTCGCGGTCATCATTGGAAACGCTACGACAGCCAACTACACGTCTGAGCGACGATGCCATTGTAGGCAACCTTGACTCGGTCCCGACTGACAGGCAGGAGTCATCTGGTGTGGTAGGGGGACGCCGTTCAACTGGAGTGCGACTTTTGAGCGTATGGGGTTCGACGATGGTGGTCTAATGAAAGCGACCCCGCCTGGTGCCGACGCCGTGCCGCCGACAGTCGTGTATGTCCGCCGCCCCATCGCCTCAAGCCGCATCTGGACTGTCTACGAGGCGTATGCTGAGAACAACGTGGACATGCTCGGGGACAACATCACGTTGAAGTGGGATCCGGCCTGCTGGGTTATCGATACGCCTGTCGCCGACGCCCTCCCTTCGACGCCGACTCGTGCGCCAAGCGGCCCATTCAAACCTGGAGAATCACCCTCGCCTGCAAAGAGCACCACGTACAACCAGTTAGCCTCTTACGGAACCGCGCCGTCGGATATTAAGCCTCCCCTCCACCGCATGATAATCAAGATTGCCGCTCCCTCAGCAAACAGCAAGATCAAGGGCATCCTTACCGAGCTGAAGACGTTTGAGTCACTCCACCATCTCCAAGGAAGCGTGCTTCCTGTTTACGGTGGTCTATTCCGTGCCCCGCTTACGGAGCGAGTTCACGGAGACGAGTGCCAGTGGGCCTGCGTCATGGAGGATGTTGGCGCTGCGGTCGTCGACGGCGACGGTGACGGCTACGTCGAGGATCGGTACCCCCCGCGTAGGTATGCCTACTCCATCTGGCGTCTGTTTAGCGCCCTGCATGATGCAGGTGTGGCGCATGGAGACGTAGAGATGAGACATGTGCGTCGGGGCTACGGTCTCGCCCGCGACCCTCACGCTGTCGCCGATGCGCCACGCAGTGCCGACCTCGGCCTCCGCCTCATTGACCTCGCCCGCGCATCTACTAGCGCTGCAGCCATTGAGCGCGAGGGCGACTACTTGCGCCGTTTGCTCCGCATTTCGCCTGACTGAATAGACAACACTCTACTCTCGCCAGGTGGCGACACCTCCATTCTCTCGCTCAAGTTTTCCTACAGCCCGAACCCCAACCTCTGTGCAACCTCCCTCTTCGTCAAACCTCTCATGTACCTACCACACGCCCGTCCACTCATGCCGGTCCTTTCATGCCGGTCCTCAATTCGCTTGATCACAGCCCCAGCCTCGGGCTGCTCACGCAACGCGGACCGACAACGTCATATACACCCCCTGCGTCGTCCACTATACTTGTTTTTTGTATGTTTTCATGTTTCTTCTTCGTCGTCCACTCTACTGTTTCTATTCGACGTGCTCTCTCAAGAGGGTAAATAAATGCATTGTGTTGTTCATGTGAAATCCCTTCAGCCGCTTAGCGTTGCTAACCGCCTTGAAACGTGAGCACCTTGAGTTGTCGCTGCAGAAACGGTGTGGCCGAGGGAAAATTAAATAAATAAATGAATCCCACCAACAACATTTGAAGGGCGATTCGGATCTGAGGTACCCCCCACCTTGTCAGAGTTTTCGTCACAGCATACCGTCCAAACAGCCTGCACGTGCAACCCATGACACTGTCACTGCTACAATGCTACGAAACCCAAAGAGTATATCAAGTTGGCCAAAAGAGATGCTGGTGTTGATGAATGATGCTGGGCCAGGCCGGCGGAGGCCAGAGTGCCAAAGTGCAACGGAGGGGAGACAAATGGTCAAAACTAAAGCGCCGCCGAAATGCGCAAGCGTCTGGAAGAACAAGATGGCGCTTATCCACCCTTGGCCCTCAGCTTGGTGCGCAGATTCTGCACCTCCTCTTGTAACGAGTTGAGCTCGTCCATGAGCTGCATCATCTGGAGGGAGCCTGCGCCGCGCTCTGCTTCGGCGTCCTGCTTGGCCTTGGCGGCCGCCTGGGTCGCCTCTTCCGTCTGCTTCTTGAGCACGTCGATCTGGGACTGCAGGCGAGTCGACAGTGCGCGCTTGTCGTTTTCGGCATCCTCGGCGAGTGTCAATGTACGCGCCGACAAGGAACTGTTGACGTCGTTGAGGCGCTTGATCGCGTCTTCCTTGGCAAACACCTCGTCCTCGAGACGGCTGTTGTGGGCCATGGCGTCGTCCAGGTCGTTACGCAGCGTCTCGACCTGAGTAATGAGCTGGTTGAGCTCGGCAGTCGAGCCTGCGTTCCGCGACGTGTTGCCGACCTCCTCGGCATCACGCCGCTCGATGCGCTCCTGGAGCTCGGCGACCTGGTTCTGGTATGTCGCGAGAGCGTCGCGCGAGTGGTCGACTAGCTGGGCAGCCTTGGCCGCATTGGCCTTGTGGCGCTCCTTATCCGTCTCCATACGCGCCATGCGCTCGACCATGAGGCGGCCGTCGTCGACGATATCGCGCACGCGGGAAACCAGGTCGTCGATGCCAGCATAGCGCTCCTTGTTGGTCGGGCCGGCATATGCGCGCTGGAGGGCAGCAAAATCGACGACTGAGTTGGGCGACACGACACCGGGGTCCATGAGACCTGCTTCGGCACGGGCACGGGGAGTCGGGAGGATGACCCAGAGTTTTGTGAGGCGGTCGGTAATGTTCGAGAGCTCGGCCTCGAGGGTAGTAGCCTTGGACTCGAGGACGGGGTTGGTGCTCACAGACGACATGTCACGGCTGCCCGGATCGCCCTGCAGCTGTGCCGTGAGGTTGTTGACCTGGTCATTCTGCGCGCGGATCTTGCGAACGAGCTCGGTCATTTCCGTCTGCACGCCGCGCTGGGAGACGGCAGCGTCCTCGGCCTTGGCCTTCCACCTGTCGCGGTCGGCATTGACGCGGCGCACCTCCTCCTCGAGGCCATCGCTGACCTCGCGGAGCTCCTCCTTGAGGCTGTTGACCTCGCTGTCGCGCTGGTCGATAATGGCAACGACCTCCTCGAGCGCAGGCAGGACACCGGCCTCCGAGACGTTGCGGCCCAGGACGCCGGACAGGGTCGAGCTGAGGCGTTCGGTGGTGCCGCGTGTGAGGGTCGATGTGCTCTCTGCGGCAGCTGTCAGACGCGTGCGCTCGTCGCTGAGCAGATCACGCTCGGCCGAAAGCTGCTCCTTCTCCATGAGCAAGGCGTCGCGCTCGGCCATCCATGCCGAGCGCTCCGACTCGTACCCGCCGGCATTGTTCTGGGCGTCGGTGTGCAGCCCGTCGCGCTCAGCCGCAAGAGTGACGAGGTCGGCCTGGAGGCGCTCGGTCTTGGCGTGCAGCATGTCACGCTCAGTGGTCCATGTACCCTTTGACGATTCGTGGTCTCGCAAGGACGACTCGAGCCGTTCCTGATCGGCCACAAGGTCGTTGCGCTCGGCCATGAGTTTGTTGTGTTCGGCAACTAGCTGGTCGTGCTGCGTCACCCAGGTCTCGCGCTGAGTAGCGTGCTCGCGGGTAATGTTTTCCAGCTCGATGCGGTCGGCGTGCAGTCGGTCGCGCTCGGAGATGAGCTGATCGCGTTCGGCACCCCATGCGTCGCGGCTGGAACCCATGTCGCGGGTCTGAGACTCGAGTTGAGATCGGTGGGCATGCAGCTCATCACGCTCCGCTACCAACCGAGCCCTCTCGGCGTCCCACTGGTCTCGATGCTGCTGCCACTGTTGACGCTCTTGCTCGCGGTCCTCCTCGATACCCGCGAGATTGTCATTGTCACGCTTGGCGTCGTCCTCAAGCGCCCGTTCTCGTCGTCCAAACTCGAGCACCAGCTCTTCCAGCTCCGAGATACGTCCCACTCGGCGCTGGCTTTGGTCGCGCTCGGTTGCAAGGTCGCGCTCGAGCGCACCGACGCGGTCGGTAAACTCTTGCTCGCGGTCCTGGGACTGCGGCGCATTCTCCTCGAGCTCGGCCAAGCGGTTCCGCGCAGTCTCGACTGCGGACACTTGTGTATCGTACCGTGCTGAGGCCTCGGAGGCGGAGCGCTCGAGTCGCCGAACTTCCCATGCCATGACACCCGCCCAGTGCTCCATGAGCTGCCTGCGCAGTGCTGCCTCGCGGTCGCGCAGAACAAGGACCTCCTGGGTACCGTCAGTTGGGGTTGCCTGTGGGTAAAGCACTCACCTTTTCGGCAGCCTGGACACGCTTTTCCGACTGCTCAAGGCTGTCCATCGTCTGCTTGGACATGCGCTTGTTGGACTGGTTGAGCTTTTGCAGTGTACGGGCGGCTGTGAGGATCTTGACCTCGCGCTGGTGTCGCGCCTGCAGCGCCTCGAGGCGGGTGGAGAGGAGTGACAGTTCCTGTTAGAATGTCAGTTAAACCGATGGGAGTGGTATGATCATCTAGAGCGCGCACCTTTTTCCACGACTCGACATCGTCCCACGCGCCGATGGGAAGCGCGTCGCAGTCCACTGCAGCCTGACTTGCAAGCAGAGCCATGAGCATCTCGTCGCCGCCGAGAGTGCTGCTGCTGGCAGTAGTCGCAGCCGTCATGGCGGTGCTGGTGCTGCTGTTGAGAGGTTGACGGAACGCGCTCGCGTGAGCAGTGGAAAATGCTGTCGCGCCGCTCGACGCGCTCCCGCTCATCGCACTCTCATGATCGTCGTGGACTGGGATTTTGGAAATGTCGATGCGCTCGTGCGGCGGTGGGGACTGGAGCGCGCGCGGCGCTATAGTGACGGCCTCGATGCGGTTCATAGAAGTCTTCTTCTTCAGGCGCATAGGAGGCAAGGCAGTGAACCTGTCACCACCTCCTGCTGGAGGGGTTGGAAAGTCGTCGTCGATAGGGGGTGGGGGCGGCGCGTACGAGACGGCAGCAGCCATGTGTGAGGCAGGCGAAGGACCTCTGCTGTTGCTATAGAGGTCGCGTTCAGTGCCGTAGCGGTCGCTGCGGTCGCTCTGCAGGTCGTTGCTGGGGCGGCGACCAAAGAAACGTCCGTTGCCGTGAGTGGGCGGAAGCGGTCGTGCGAACGGGTCCGAATCGTAATCTTGGTGGTGAGAAGATGAAGACGTAGCAAAGTGCTCTTCGTAGTCGTTGTCGTCGTATCGCGAGGGCTTGTAGGATGGAGCACTGGTGGCGGCATGCGACGATGGCCCGTGCGTGTCCGCCCATCGAGCGACGGCGGCGCCGCTGGCGGCGGCCGGAGACTGCCCCGCCCTGGCGCCGCCTAAACGGTCACCAGGCCCGTTGCGCGCGCCGCGTCCAGCGGCTGCCTGTGCGCTTGGTCCCCCAGCATGTCCAGCAGGACCGGATGCCTGTCCTGAGCGCGTGTGCATCTCGGTGTCGTCGTGGTATGCTGAGCCAGGTGCTGAGGGTTGTGCTGGCGGGACGCGCGCGCCGCCGACGCCGGAGGTGCCAGCGGTTACGCTCGAGAAGCCCTGGCGCGCCGCGTTCTGCAGGCGCTGACCAAGGCTGTTGGACGAGCTCAATCCTCCGGGTGCTGTGCTCGAGGGCCCCATGTTGGCTGTTGGTGGCGAGCGCGAGCGAAAGAATGCGCTCCTCGGTATGCTTGAAGGTTGTGGGAGCATGCTCGTCCCGTTCATGATGGCGACGGGCATGCGGAGGATGGATAGAATTAAGATTTCGGTAGGGCGCGGGCTATTTGCCTCTATATTGTTATTCGGGCTCTGGCAGCGTTTTATTTGTCGCGTGTGTCTGCGTCTGCATATGTGGCCAACTGCTCTTGTCTGCTGGGCCGTGCCTCGTCGCTCCATGTTTGATCACCGCCAAGCGGCCACCCATCCACACGTCCAATGCACGCGACATGTTGGATCCAACACCCCCAACAAACCCCTTGCCCTTCAGCAACGACCGCAAACAAACCATACGACATGCATCGCGCGTCACATCCCATAACAAAATCTCTAACACAAGCAATCACATCCCCCGCCAAAATGCTGCTGCCGCCTGCTGCGCTGCTATCCTGCTGATGCAAACTACGCGCGCTTGCCCTTGGCCTTGGACAGCGCGTGAGCACTGCGCACACGGCTCTTCTTGGCCGTCACCTTCTTGGCCACGCGGCTCTTCTCAGCCTTGGTAGCAGCAAGCTTCACAGCACCAGTCTCGCGGTGCGCGGCAGAGACCTTGGCCTTCTTTTTGGCGATACGGCGCGCCTGGCGCTCGGCGTCGGTGGCCTTGGCCACCTTGCGGTCCTCCTTTGACAGGTCCTTAATCTTCTCACCGAGAAGAGGGTTGCCCTTGGGGATGGGGCCGGCGGGGACGAACGGCTTCTTGGCCGGCTTGCCAGCAGCAGCACCCTTGGCGCCGGCCTTGGAGCCCGAGGCAGCAGCGGCACCGGTGGGGGCGGGGCGAGAGTTGGACTTGGGGGGAAGAGTCTTGCACGACTGGAGGCGGAGGGGCTTCTTGGCAAACTTCAGCTTGGTGCTGGGGAGAGCGATGAGCTCGTCGACGCTCTCGCGGTCGATAAAGTGGACGTAGCCAAAGCCCTTGCCGAGCTGGGTGTCCTTGTCGCGCACAATGCGGACGCCCGTGACCCAGTGGGTGTGGCCCTCGGGGGCAGCGCCGCGCTCGGTGACGACCAGAGCCTCAAAGAATGCGCGCACGTCCTCCTCCTTGGCAGCGTAGTCGAGGCCACCAACGAACAGGCTCGACTTGGGGTCCGTACCGGTCGGCAGCCAGGCGTCGCGCTTGCCAAGGGCGTTGTGGGCGCTGGCGAGACCGACAGCAGAGGGCAGGCGGACGTGGTCGACGCGGATTGTACGCTCCATAAACTCGGAGCCGTTGGCCTCCTGGACCTTGACGGCGGCCTCGTAGGGGTTCATGATGGGGGCAACGTTCGCTGGCCTGTCTGGGTGGGCGTGGCCAAAGACAACGTAGGCGTTACAGGTGGCGGCGTCAGAGTGGAAGTCGTGCTTGATGAACGCGACCTTCCTCTTGCCCTTCGAGTCGAGGAACGACTTGGACTTGTCCACAACCTCGTCGTCACCACGGCGGTTACCGGCGGCACCAGTCGTGCTGCCGCCAGCCTGGGTCGCGCGCCACTCGGCCGCACGCTGCTTCTCCCTCTCCGCACGCTTGGTGGCCTCCTTGTCCTTGTCCTCGGCCTCCTTCTCGTGACCGGGCAGAGCCGCAGTGGGGGCGGCAAACGCGACCGAACGGAAGCGCACAGACTCGATCTTGGCCGAGGGGGCAAACGTCAACAGATGGGCCTTGAGCTGGTTCAGGATGGACTGCAACCGTTAGCATACTGCCTCGCAAGGGCTTGACCTACCTTGGACTTGATGGCCTCAATGTCCAGGTTACCGATAAACACTGTCCTCCTGTCGCGGTCCTCGTTGGTCTCGTCGGGCGGGGTCCACTTCTGGGCACCGGCGCCGGCGGCCTCGCGCTTCCTCCTCTCGGCAGGAGTCTTGAGGCTCTCGTGAACAAACTCGGTCTCCTCCTCAGCATCAGAGTCCTTGGCGGCCTCGGCTTCGTCCTTGTCGTCGACCTCCATAGACTCCGCGGCCTCGGCCTCCTTCTCCTCGACAACGGGCGCAGACTCGACGGCCTTGGCCTTCTTGTCCTTCTTGGCCTTCTTGCGGGACACCTCGGCGTCGACGGGGGCAGCAGCCTGGACGGTCACCCTAGACGAGCTGGCAGTAGCCGGGGTAGGGATCGCGAACGCAGCCTGTTTGGGAGTCAGCACTTGCTTGTGATGTGTGTATACCCACGGCAGCAGAGAAGAGACCGCCGAGGTCCGAGTCCTTGTTGCCGCCGAACAGCGAGGAGGCGGGAGCAGCTGCGGGGGTGACCTCAGCAGCCACCTTGTCGTGCTTGCGCTTCTTGTCGCCGCCCTTGTTCTTGTTGCCCATTGTTGTTGTTTGTGAAAGGTGGGTAGGTTGGGACCGTTGGATGGCAAACTTTCCACAATGACAATCTTCAAAGATGGAGGTTTGCGGCCACGTGGGTTTTGTGGGGCACCACCAGCCACTTGCAAAATGATTCAAACTAACCTGCCGCATCTGTTGATGCCTCGCACTGATGGCACACAAAGCACACAAAGCATACAAAAGCAAACAGCGCTCAACAGACGGAGGACAACGCATAGTAAATCTCGCAAAACGGTTGCTGTTCTCTGCGGCCAAGCCATAAACGCAACTGTTCGCTCGTCCGCGGCGCGGCTTCCCGAAAAAAAAAAGTTGTATTTCTACGACATCAATGCATCTTGTCTGATGAACCCAATGCTCGACATGAACCCAGACCAGCCTCGCGCGCCGTCTAGTCCTCCTCCTCCGAGTCGTCGTCGCCCGCAACGTCCATGTTGGCCTGCTCGAACTGCTCCATGAGAGCCTTGAGCTCGGCGTCGTCGGTCTCCGAGACAACCTTGGGCTGCGAGGGTGTAAGCAGATGCGCTTCATCAGTGGCCAGCAGAGTACACTCACGGCCATCTTGACGACGACGTCACCCTTCTCCTTCTCAATCGAGGCGGTGATGGCGGCGACGGCCTTCTCCATGGTGTCAATGGCGGCAGTCTTATCAGTTGAGGTGGTCGACATGACGTAGAGGGGGGGAGCGACGAGGCGGACCTTGATGGGGACCTCCTCCGTCGACAGAGCCTCACCGGCCTTGAGGGCACGGCGGATGGCCTCGATACCCTGGTAGTCGAAGCACTTGACCTCAATGTCGGCACGGACCTTGACGGGCTTGGGGGTAAGACGACGGGCAATGGTGTGCTTGAGCTCGACGAGGGTGTCGGCGTCAATGCCGAGGGAGCCAAAGACGGCCTCGGGCTCCTGGATCGAGAGCTTGAAGGCCTCGTACGAGTGGCCGTACTTGCTGTGAAGGGGCCAGGCAATCTGCTCGTACAGCGACTCGGTGGAGACGTTGCGGCGCTTGGCCACCTGGGTGAGGATCGAGTCGACGGCGCGGCCCTTCTCGTACTGCTCCTCGCACTTGACGACCTCCTCGGCGGACACCCTACGCTTTGACAGGTCAATGTAGCCTGGGAACATGTGTTAGCGCGACTGGCGGCGGCGGTGGGAGGGTGCGAGTAGCTGTGATTGATCTCACCCTTCTCGGGGTCCACACGCATCACGACGACGACCTCGTTACGACCGACACGAATGAGCTTTTGCACGGAACGGATTCGCCTGCGCGAAAGCTCGGAAAGCAGGATCATGCCCTCGACACCGTCGTACTCAAGCTGTGAGGCCAATGTCAGCCTTTTTTTTGCCACTCAAATATACCGCCATCAAGAGCGAATATTACGCACGAGCTTGACGTAGGCACCCATGTCCTCGATGGACTGGACCTGGACCATGACGAGCTGGTCCACCTGTAGAGTGAGCACTGGGCCCTTACACTGTCGATGTATGGCGTACCTCGGGGTACTTGTTCTCGTAGAAGCGGGTCATATTGGCGGTGGGGGGGAAGGGGAAAGGTGGGTCGTGACGCGTCCGTTCAACGACAATTGATGAACAACGAGAAGAGGCAACGAGTCGAAATCAAAAGGCGAGTGATTTCGAGTGAGCTGCTTGTGCTAGTTGGCGGTACTAGCTGAGCAGGTCTTTGGGTGGGGTATTATGCACGCTGGGTGTGCTTTGTTTTTAGAGTGTGGTGGTGGTGGACAGAGGTTGTAATGAACTGATGCTGCTCGCTGGGACCGCCGCTGGCAGGACGCTCGCGCTGCTGGACTCTGCCGTCTGCTCTCTGTGCGCTGTGCCCTGCCTGCACGCACACCCAGCCAGCTCTCGCCCAGCCAGGCGGTGGTGGCACACGGTGTGACTCGTGCAGCTGGAAATCCACTCCTCCACTGTAACGGAGAAACGCTATATCACCGCTCCTGTGGCAGTTGCAAAATGACTCGTTACATAAGCGGTGATATTTTACGTAATATTTTGGTTAATCTGGTTACGTAATCGTATTTTGAGAGATTCCTGGCTGATAGCCGTGTGCGAAGTGGTGGTGACGTATTGGCGAACTGACTGTACTGTACCATCTGGGTCTCGATGAGCGGTGTTTAGCTTCCCAGCTACACAGCTGATGTTGTCGGCGAGGAGATGGTACAAGGAGAACCTTGGAGTGTCATGAAGAGCTGTCACTGACTGCACCGAATTTGAACTCGCCGTGCACACCCTACAGCCCTATCTCGCCTGAATTCCGTAGTTGTATTTGTATTGGCATTTTGTATTACACTGGTTTAGCCCATTACAAACGCGCCACGCTGGCGGCAATCACAGCCGCGTCTCGGCTTGAATCCCGTGGTTTTGGCGAGTCCCGAACTCCGGGCCCACTTAGCCGGGGCTTGGACGCACCCACGGTGCTGGCGGCTGGCGGCCGGACCTCACACACTCACACACGGGGGCCATCTCGTTTCTATAACAACCCCCACAACGTCTGCCCCATCGCGTACACTGTCCTCCCCCTCACACCCACCTCTAAAACGATAGCCACCATGATGCTCACTCTCCGCCCCGCCGTCGCCGCCCGCACTGCGTTCCGCCAGTATGCCCGTGCCATGTCCACCCAGGCCGAGCCCATGGTCCTCACCTCGCGCTCCGAGTCTGGCAAGGTCGCTATCCTCACCCTCAACCGCCCCAAGGCCCTCAACGCCCTCTCGACCCCGCTCTTCGACCAGCTCAACGCCGAGCTCGAGAAGGCTGACGCGGACGAGTCGGTCCGCGCCATCGTTCTCACCGGCGGTGAGAAGGTGTTCGCTGCCGGTGCCGACATCAAGGAGATGAAGGACAAGCAGTGTGCGTAGAAGCAAAACCACCCTCGCGTCAAGGCCCCTTTTACTGACAGTTGCTCAGTCGCTGAGGCTTACAAGAACAACTTCCTCGGCACCTGGGCCAAGCTTGCCGACATTCGCAAGCCCATCATCGGCGCCGTTGCTGGTTACGCTGTGAGTTTCCCGCCTACGCGCGCCCCGGTGGGAGAAGACGACCCTCTACCCCCCACACCCCGGGACCTCCACACCGCTGCGGCCGTCATGTGTCGCGCCTGAAACTGACCAATCAAAGCTTGGCGGTGGCTGTGAGCTTGCCATGATGACCGACTTCATCGTCTGCACCCCCAAGGCCGTCTTCGCCCAGCCCGAGATCACCCTCGGCATCATCCCCGGCGGTGGTGGCTCGCAGCGCCTCGTCACCCTCATTGGCAAGGGCCGCGCCATGGACATGGTCCTCACCAACCGCAAGGTCAGCGGTGTCGAGGCTGGCCAGTGGGGTCTCGCCTCGCGCGTCACCGAGGACGGCCAGTCGGTCGTTGAGGAGGCCGTCAAGGTTGCCGACGGTATCGCCAAGTTTGGTGTTGTCGCCGCCCAGGCCGGCAAGGAGGCCGTCAACGCCGCCCTCGAGCTCCCCCTCGCCCAGGGTCTCCGCCTCGAGCGCCGTCTCTTCCAGGCTCTCTTCGCTACCGCCGACCAGAAGGAGGGCATGGCCGCCTTTGCCGAGAAGCGCAAGCCCACCTGGACCGACAACTAGACGTCCCAACGGGACCCAAACCAAATGGGGATATGCATGTAGCAGTTTTGCAGGACACTACTGTAAGATCCGAGACCTGATACTGACGTGTTGTTGGGGGATGTGTGACCCGTGTGGCTTATGGGGGGGAGACTGACCTCCCAACAACCGTGCCCGCTGGCCACTGACATGTAGCGTGTAGGTACAAGGTTATAAAGTGAGACAGCCACACAGGTGGACGGTGCACGTTAATATCAATTGTGCAGGATCAAGCCGAATGGACGCCACAGTTGCCTAGCATGCCTAGCTTGTTGCCGACGCAGTCTGGACGCACGAGCAAGCGAACAATGGCGTACGGCCGAGCGGACAGCTGACAGCACGGCAGACACGTCTGGATTTTTGGGTTTTTACCGTCATGGTCTACCGATCCACCGGCCACCGGATCCCACCGATCTTGCAACGGCAACCTACTTTGGCGTCGAGTTGGCGCTCAATCATGGCGCCGCTCACGAGGCAAATATTATTATTTTCAGCCATACAGTACAGCCATGCAGCCATGGAGGGGTCGGGCACTTGCGAGATCTGGGATCTGGTATCGGTAGTATGCACGACGAGGACGGCAAAAGGCCAACAGCGCAGGGTGTGTGAGTATCCTCCGCAAGCCCCGGTGTTCGGCGGAAGCCGCTTGGCCGCTTGGCCTCGCTTGACCCCATCGTTCCATCGTGTCCATAATTTCTCCTACTCGTCGGCTTTGATCGTCTGAAACGCGTGGAACGGCAAGGGAGCGTCTCTAGGACGACCTGACAACAGGACACGGGCGGTGTCTGCCGCCAGAGTCCACCATGCGGGACATCTATAGCCGGGGCACGCAGAGGACCCCATGGACCGCAGCCTTTCTCTTGTGGCGGCAGGTAGGTAGGTAGGTGGTCGCCATCCAAAGGTCGCAACCCCCTGGCAGGATCGGCGTCGCGGGGGGGAGAAAGTGATAGCGTTGGCGGTGCCACAAGGAACACTAGGTATGAACAGACGAAGGGGGGTGACAGTGGGTTATAACACATGCTCAGCGCACGGCACCGGGGCGTTGATGCCTCGTCGAACAGTGCGCGCACTGCTCCCCTCCCCATGAATCGGCGCGAGGTCAACAAGTAAACACGCACAGTGCACAGAGACTGTTCGGCATGCCCGATGCACCGATGTTGGTCTTTTCCGAAAAGACGCAGCCGTGTTCTTGCTTCTTGCCCATTGTTTTCGGCGCCACCCGACCCTCTCTGTGCTCTCGCAAACCCTTGAACGCCTCTGGACGGGGGGGAACGACGACGACAAGTCTCTTGCCTCTCTCTGACGTATCCTCCCTGCTCTGTGGGGTCTTGCTCGCTCCTATCCAGCAAGCACACTCTGCGCTCTGCCCCTGCCTGGCAGTTGCGCGCCATCCTGCACGCCGCATTCCCCACATACCTTCAAGAGCCTCTCTTCCCAGGGGCCCAAAGCCCAAACCCTTCGCCGACGCCTGGCACGCCGACGCGTCCTCTCCTCACAAGGTACAGCGTCTACCCTCGTACGCTCCTAAGCTCCTGCACAGACCGAGAACGCGGCCCACCGAACTTGTGTCTGAAAATGAACAAGAACCGACGCCAGCGACGGAACGGTTGTGTCATCTCCCCCCCACTGTTCACGTCGTGTTCAACCATGGTGGCCGACAACGCAGGTCCACTTCCATTTACACAGCCGCCACGCCCTGGTCCGCCAGCTTTCAATCAAGAGGCACTTTGTGCGCTCGCGGCTCGTAGCTCGGAAGCCATGGTGAGTGGCGACCAGTGGCCCGGTGGCTTAGTCTTTCCGCACTCGGCACGCATTTGCTGCGCGCACGACAGGCAACGGAGGGAACAAACCATCCCACACAAGGCAGTAAGCGTGCGTGTTTGCTGACTGTTCTCGAGCAGGTCGCCACGAGTACAAAGGCCAGCCCGCGCGACCCGACGATGCGCGCGCCCGTCCGTCGCATTATCATCACGCCGCCCGGGTCGTCATATCGTGCCACTCGTGCCCACAGCACTCCTCGTCCCCGCCGTCGATCTTCGGCTGCAATCTGTACCCCGACTGCATCCCCGCACGCGTACAAAGCAGGACAAGGCGAGGCTAGCGTCAAACGGTCGATCGGCAGCCTGATCCATTCTCTTCGCGCAGCAGCGATCGGCACGGTCTCCCCCCCATGCGAAATTAGCCGCTGGAGCAGCTCTCCGGTGAGCGAGGAAGCACGTACAGACTCGCACTCGTGGTTCCCTCGCAAGTCGACAGAGACAAAGGAGTCTACTCGGAGCACAGCACCATCCACGACGTCCACCGCCGTCTCGCACAACAGCAACACGTCGTCGTCGCTCAAGTCTGCACACGAATCGGGCCGGTCCAGGATTGCCTCTCGGTCTCGTGTTCCTAAATCTCCGCGGTCAATGAAGTCGTCCAAGTCCGGTTGGCTGTCGACCCTCGAAGACGAAGACCACGAAGTGCCCCCGCTGCCTGAGCTTCCTCTCCCCCGCGTCCCACTCCCAAAAGGCAACGTCTGGGACATGTATGTTCCCCCAAACGCGCCCCATCCGGGCCGCGGGCGCCGCATGGTTACTGGGGTGCTGAAACGCCTCACTCCCAACAAGAAACGGTGAGTGGGTTTGCCTGCCGTCTGCTGTCGTGTCCTGAAAAGTGCGATCTCTCTCCTGTCCTGTCGGTGCGCTCGAGTTTGTCCGCACCCCGGGTGGCGCTGACCGGCGACGGCGTGTGCGTCTCACGACCACTCGACTCGCACTCCATGCGGGGCACGGTCGCTCTGCTAGTGTCCCCTATGCCGAGAGCACCGACAGACCCTGTCGCAGTCTTGCCCTCCCCACCCACGACGTCTTCACATCACCGTACGCGGCCCGATGAGCTGCGATGTTGCGAGGGGGCTGATCTTGTGGTATCTATCGCTGGACGGGGGCCGGAGTGCGAGTGACCGCGAGTGGGGCGGACTTGAATATCCGTCCACTTGTGCACAAAACTGTGCCACACATTCGCCACACGGTTGGCCACATGCGTCCACCCGCTCCTCCGTTGTTTCGGGCCACATTGCAGCAACGCATGCGGTGGGCGATCCTACTGCGAGACGGCGTGCAGTCCTGCAGGTTTTGCGTGCCTGCATGTTCCATTGATCCATTGATCTTGATGGGGTTCCATCTCGTCCCTGCTGCCCATCCTGGATATCCCAAAGGGATTTTCCTGGAATGCACCGTGCCACCGCAAGCAGGTGGCGTCTCCTTGGCGTCTCTCCCAGCGTCTCTGTCGGCGCAAACCGCATGTGTGCTGACACGCGCACCAGAAACGAGCCTCCCATCAAGCTCCTGCTGCATGACCACAACAACAGCACCCTCAACGTAGCGCGCAATGGGTCGACAGCCACGCTTCTCTCGGCAACCTCCCAGGCGTCATCAACTTACCCGACCACCCCCGCCACTGCCACTAGTGCTTCGACGTTGCAGGCCCCGCGGAGGCCGTGCCCGTGGACCGGATCCATTGATGGTATCTCGCCACCCCAGTCGCCAAGCGCTGTGGCACACGTCCTCCCCCCTGTTTCCGATGCACCCGAGTCGTCCATCGGCAGTTCGTCGTTTCAATTCTCCTGGGACCTCGAACTCACCTCGGAACTCGAACAGGACCGCTCCGAACGCCTCCGAGGCCCGGTGGCAGTGCCTCCGCCACCCCGGCGTCCTCGTGTCGACACGAGCGGCGAACGGTTTGTCGCCTCGCCGCCACTCTCCCCATCGGGCTCTCCATCGAGCTCCTCCAATTCCCGCTTCAATTCCTTTGAGGATGCCACGAGGGACCTGCAGAGGCGAACGAGCATGGGAGGCATTTCCACGCCAGCCATGTCCAGACAGTCAAGTTCGTCAAGCTGCACGTCACCCACGTCCACTCTGCCTACCCTTGTCCCGCGTGCCTCTGCCTCGCCTCTCTATACCAATGGCAGCCGTGGTCCCTCCATGCTCCGCCATGTGCGTGCGAGCAAGTCGATTATCAGCGCACCCACGCTCGTTTCTACCACTTCAGAGCGCGCATTTGCTGCGTCTGCCGCTGGCCGCCGCCACTCAATGAGCCCCACGACCCCGCGGGCGTATGACGACAGCTCGTTGAAACCTGCCAGCCCTCAAGCACCTGCCCTGCCTTCGCCCGTGGAGGAGGATGTCGAGGAAGACCGTTTCGAAAAGATCCTCGAGGCGACCCTCGAACGCCAGCGTCGTGCTGAGGCTGACCGCTTTGCCGCGTTTCAAGCACGCAAGGCCGCTGAGCGTGCCGCGGCCGCGTCTGGATCCTCGACTCCAAGTGCAACAGGTGACGGTGTTCTCAACCGCACCCCTAACGACACGGACACACTTCACCGGACCCCTTCTCTCACCAACACGGTGACAAGTGGCGGTGACTCATCGGTATGCACAAGCCCCAGTACCGAGGACATTGTCTCGCCCGTCCTGGCACCCACCCTCCTTCTCCAGGCCCATCGCGGACAGCACGGTGTCAAGGGACTCGACCTGTCTAGTGCACTCGAGCCAGTCACCAGGGAGAATGAGAAATCGGTGGCGACTCCCACGTCCAGCGCCGCACTCACAGACGCCACGGCTGTTGATACCCGACTGTCCCCCCTGTCGCCAACCACGGCGTGCAATACTCCGGACTCGTATCGCGGAGACACAAGCATGGACTCGGACACGGCCCTGATGACCCCACCGCCCAGTTCCTTCATCACCACCAAAATGGCACGCGCAGCGGCTATCGCCGCTGCCGGTGACCCACTGAAACCTCGGCGCCTGTTGCAACTCCTGCCCCGCCACAACGCTCGCCACCGCGCGTCCGTGTCCATTTCGGCCGTCTCGGTGCCAGCCTTGGCAGCCCTTTCGGCGTCGACCTCGTCGTCAGGATCAAACTGTGAAACGGAACAGATCCCATTCGACGTTGCACGCGAAGATGTTATCAGCGAGGAGACCCTGAGAGAGTCGCAGGAGCTCAAACGCGACCCTCGTCGCGACACCCTCATGCCTGCCCCGCGCGCACCAGAGTCCATGGTGACAGCCAGCCGTCGCGACTCACGGCGCGACACCATCATTGCCCCACGCGCCATCAAGGTCCCCGGACCACCGGACATGGAGTCGGCGGTGGACCTTACCCCCAAGGAGGGTGGGTTTGTGCCCGTTGACCCTGCTGGCCTGGGCCTCGGCATCCCCATCCCCCCGGCTCCCCACCGGCACGACAACAGCGACAGCTTTGACGAGCCCATCATGTCCTACTCGCGCTCCCGCCTCCCTCCTCACCTTGCCCGCACGTCCAAGAGCTACGCCAGCTTGCCCCGGTCCGAGTCGTCCGAGGTCTCGGTCATGGCCAAGCGCACCGGTAGCAGCAAGGGGGCCAAAGACTGGCCCGAGTGGCCGCCACAGTGGGACGACGTGCCACGCGCCGCCGGCGGCAGCCGTCGTCCCAGTGCCGCGAGCCTGTGGTCCATGGCCAGCGGCGGCAGCCTCGAGGCGCCCGCCGACCGCTCCGCAACCCCGCAGGCGTACCCCAAGCGCTATGCGCACAGCACCAACGCCTCGATCCACACGTTTGGCGGGCGCAGCTTTGGGTCCGGCTCGGGATCGGCGTCCACCTCCGGCCACACAAACCGCGGCAGCGTCGGGTCGACGTTTAGCTTCAAGTTTGAGACGCAGAACGGCGTCGACTTTACGATCCCGCACTCTGCCGGCGAGGCCGGGTGGGACCTCGACGCGTACCTGACGGGCAGCGGAGCGCAGGCGGTGTAAACTACTAGCATGAGGATGGAGACGGAGACGGAAAGGGACAGCAACAACAACCACGACGACAACGAAGAACTTGAAAGAAGACACATCACCAACGAACCCAACACCCACAACATCCATAAACTGTGGAAACCAGTCTTGGCCAGCGCTGTGCGCAGCCCACAAACCATTCTCATTTTTCTGTACACACCACGACCACTACCCACGCCCGCAACAGTTGCAGCCACCTTTTTTTATTATTTGTCCTTCTTGAATATATTTCATAGCTGTTTGTCAACCCCAACCCCAATGCATAGCTATAGCCTTTGTTACTTTGTGCTTGCGCAGGTCATCCTCACCTCTAGGGACAGTTCCATGTACCGGTCGTGGATCCAGGACAGAGGAGGGGGGCAAGCCGGCATTTTATTGCCGCTTTTCCAATGGTTTTCCTGATTTTTCTTTTTTGGAAAACAGAACATCCTGTAACCACCACCTACATCCGTCCGTCTCAAGGGGGCGACCGGCTGATCAAATTCCCGCATGTCCGACGACCTGACATACTGCGTCCATCTCAGCCATCAAACAGCAACATTGTTGCCCCACATGATTACTTTTCCATCGTATGTTCAGTCCAGGTCAATCACCTACAGCATCATTTTGCTCTATCAAACAATAAACATGGTATCCTCCAGAGTACGTGGGTTATATTCCGCAGACGTATCGCTCCCCATTCCCCCCTCCATTGACATCTAATCGGCCGGCTAACGCCCTACACTCGTCACTCGTCATCAACAACACCAACCCTCGCACGCCACATGTCCTCCTTGAGCTTGACGATCTGGCGCCACGTGCGCACCTCCCATGACTCGCCCGTGGCGAACGTCTTCTCCTCGGTCGGGAGGCGCGGCGACGGCGGTGCGGGCCCGTCCTTTGCGGTGGCGCCAGAGACGACGCGGCGCGGTGGTGGGGGCGGGAGCAGGGCGGTGGGGGAGGACGGGAGGGAGGAGTGAGCGGCAATGGTCGGGTGGCGGGGTGGTGGTGGTGGGGGCACGCCGCGGGACGCTGCGGTCGGGGTTGTAGGCTCGTCGACGGCCTTCTCCGTCGCGATCGGCGCGTCAGCGGACTCGGCAGGAGTGGCCTCCTCCTCCGCCTCTGCCTTTGGCTTCTCGGCCTCAGCAGCGGCATCCTTGGACTCGTCGACCGACTCGTCAGCCTTCTCGGCGCTGCCCGACTTGTCCGTCGAGGCAGCAGTCGGCGTCTGGGGAGGGCTGATGACGCTGTCGACGGCGGAGCTGGCGCTGGGGCGTGGCCGTCCAGCCGCGCGCGGTGGGAGAGGGGGAGCAGGGGTACGGGCGGCAGAGCGAACGGGTGGGGAAGGCGACTTGGGCGGCGCGACGATGGCTGCAGAGCCGTTCGCCCCAGACTCTTCAGTGGCTGGGCTGTCCGCATTCTTCTCAGGTTCCTCCACCTTGACCTCGGGTGTCTCCACCTTGACCTCGGGTGCCTCGGCAATGGCCTCAGGTGTCTCGGCCTGGGCCTCGACCTCCTCCTTGACGGCATCGTCCTTCTCCTCCTTGGGCTCCTCCTTGGGCTCCTGGTCTTCCGACGCCTCCTTGGTTTCATCGGCTGCGGGGGCATCGTCAAGAATTGGCAGCTCGCGAGTTTCGGCGTTGGGCGTAGCAAACGAGTCGCCCTCGGACGACTTGACGGACGCACGGTCATCGGCGACAGCCTCAGCGGCAGCGTCCTTGGTTGGCGAGTTGGTTGCGGTCTCGTCTTCTGGAGAAGGCGTCTGGGAGGGCGTCTGGGGCTTCTCAGTGAGGTCAGCCGCCTCCTCCCGGCCGGCGTGATGTCCACGACGGGCGGCTTCTCCTTCTCGTTGAGCTCGTCCTCGAGACCAACGACACCCTTCTCCTTGTCGCCAGACTCGGCAGCCTCTTCGGTCTTCTCCTCGTCAGGCGTGTCCTTTGGCGTGGTGGGGCGACTACCCACCCGCCCCACGTGGTTGTCTTCTCAGACGCTCCGCCGCCGAGCTTGAAGCCCAAGCCCCAGGCGCCCTTGCGCTTTGGCTCGGGCTGTGCGGGTGCGGTGTTGGATGCAGAGGCAGAAGTGGCAGAAGACGAGTGGTCGGTCACGTCCGAAAAGGCCTCGCTGCTGGCACTGGGCGGAGCGGACATGTCCTTTTCGCTCATGACGACAACAGTCTCAGAATCCGACGAGCGGTAGGGGGCATTGGCACCACTAACTTGACGCGAGTGCGCAACGTCCTCCGAGTTCCAGACCGGCACGACGAGGCCTGTGCGGAGGAAATGCCACAGTGCGCAGGCCGCCCGAAGACGCTCGAGACACCAGCCGTTGCGACACAGAGGGTAGCTTTTGGGCTGAGGGTCGTTGGCCATCTTGAAGACGAAGACGGACTGGCTGGCGGGAGCAGCTGGCGAGGCACTTGGCGAGGAGAAGAGCTTGAGACCAAAGCGAGAAGAGGCATTCGAGGTGGACTCTGATCCGCCACCAAAGACACCGCGGCCGCACATGGCGCAGTTGATGGCGTGGCCGGGTCCCAGAGAAGCAGCACCAACGGGCTCGATGATGAGGTCGCCTGCAATAATGGCAGTTCCAACGGCGCGACGGCTGACCCATCCAAGGTCGGCAGCGGCGTCAAGGCGGAGTGTAGGATCGTGATCCTCAGCGACGCACCGCGCCAGGAAGGGCTGGTGCAAGAGGTTGGTGAGGGAAGGGACGGGGTAGAGGTCGCGAGCGCGAATGGATCGTGGGCGGGCGGCACGGAGATGCTGAACGAGCAAGAGGAACTCGGCGTATGGTGGGTGCGATGAGAGGAAGCGGCGGGGAAGGGGGGCGCGAGCAGCGGCAGCGGCCTGCAGCGATGGGAGAGACTGGAGGTGAGCCTGCATGTCGCGCATGGCGGCCTCGGCGGCAGTCAAGTTCTCCTCCGAGTTCTTGAGTCGGTCCTCGGCCTGGGCACGGGCCATGCGCTCGACGGCGACCATCGTATTGGCCTGAATGTCAGCTCCGTGACAGACGCAAGGCAGCTTACCTGCTGGAAGAGCGTCGCGGACAGCTCGTCAACTTCGTTCTCAACCTTTGTGCGCTCCTCCTCGGCGGTACCACGTCTTCTCTCCTCCTCGACGAGGTTGGAAGCGAGACGCTGCATCTCATCACGGATCTGGGCATGCTCGACGAGGAGACCCGTGTTCATGCTCTCCTCCCACTTGGCCTTTGCACGCTCGAGCTCGGCGACGTGGGTCGCCGTCTGCTCACGCTCGTGCGTCAGCCCATACACCTGGTCCTCGAGGTCGGCGTGGCGCGAGATGCTCGCCACCAGCTTGGTGTTGAGCTGCTGCGCCTGCTCGGACACAAGCTCGAGCTGCGTACGCAGCGACGTGATTAGTGACGTCGTTGGGCTATCGGGAGCGTGTCGCGCAGAAGGAGTGTAGGGTACGTCCACGTTGGTTGCGATGTTGGTCACACCCTCTGCGCGTCGAGATTTTGTCTCGTGCTCTTTACCGCCTTCGACCTGGGGGGGACGTCAGTTGAGGGACTGGACGCGACGCGCTCACCTGGATAGTGCCGGTCGACACTGGCGGCAAGTCGCTCAGCTGCAGACCCCCGCTCGCAGCGGCGGCAGTGGGTTCTGCTGAGGCCTTTACGGCGGGTTCGGCAGGGGCAGCTTCAGTCTTGATTTCATCCTTGGTCTCTGCCTTTGATGGCTCGGATACGGACGGCTCGGCAGGCTCGGACGCGGTCGCGGACGTGGAGGCGTCGACTTGGGGCGCCGGGGTGTTGTTCTCGTGTGCCGACGCGTCACCCGCGGCGTCGGTTGTGTTCGCACCGTCTGGAATGGTGTCGTTCTTGTCTGTCATGCTAAGGAGCACGATGGATAAGAGAGATGGTTGAATGAGAGAGAGAAGAGGAGTTGTAACGTGGCGTGGGTGTGGACGACCAAGGGGGGCAGCAAGATGACGGCGAGGGAGTGACCACTGAAGGCCAGGCACGCTCTCTCGCCAAGGGGATGGGTGCCATCCATAGCCAAACGATCACCCCTCTCCACCGTTGGTCCCCACGCACCGCGCACTGTGCAGCTCCAGGCAGAATGATATGGCAAGAAATAGGAATGCAACGTGTACAGAGCCTTGTCCACTGTCTGCTTCTCATTGCATGGCGACACCATGGGTCAGCAAAAGACAAAAGACAAAGAAGAACACCACAGAGCAGTGGCGTGCCGGCTTTCCGGGGGTCGGTCCAGGAACGCGCCGGCCTCGAAGCTTGCGCCAGAATACAACGTCTGCAATCGCTTGCAACATCCTCCTCATCACCTCTCCACCTCACCCCCATCCCCGATGGCAACCTCGCCACCAGGCAGCAGGCGCAGTGCTGCCCCTCACCCGCGAGGCAGGCTCGCGTCACCACCCATCGCCGCAGCCGCGTCCCCTCCATTACACGCAACCCTGCCAGTGAATGGACAACACAGCACCGTGTCACGTTCCACAAGCGTCTCCCCACTACCCGTGCCGCCCGCCAACCTCGCCCTCCCTGCCGCCATGCAGCCTGCTGCGCTGCCCCCACTCGTCATCAACCCCTCCTTGCTCTCGCGCCAGACGAGTCCACGGAGCGGTCGTTCCGCCTCGGCTGTGCAAAGTCGCACGCACACTGATGACGACGAGCCTCGGACCAGCGGAGAGGATGTGACTGAGGAAGCTCAGTACGTCATGGGTCTGCACGCCAGCTTTGTTTTTTGCCAACCGTAGACGTAGCTGACCGCCTCTCCAGTCCTCTGCAAGCGGAGATTGAGCGTCTAACGGCGCTGTGCGAAGACCATTCACGCAAGTTCCGGTCGTCAAAGGTGCGTACAAGCGTTCAAACCTTTTCCGCGATCGACACAGCACTGACTGTAATCCCAGGCCACATTCGAGCATCGTGTCTTCTCCGAGTATCCGTCAATCCTCACCCGACTGGGCGAGCTGGACGTGAGGGCGGAGGTGAGTAGTTGTGTCGTGCTCTCATCATACTTCCTCACTTCCTGCTGCTGTACGGTCTACTCCGAGACATGCCTCTGCTTTCACCCACGACTCGGAACTTGCTGTGTCTCACGATAGACGCTGACTGCCTACCCAGAAAGCGACAGCAGACCTCTACGCAGCGCTGCATGAAGCCGTTCCCGCCCTCCGTGGACGTCTAGCTGCGCTCGAGGACGAACGCACCGCCGACGTCGAGACAATGCGGCAACGTACCACCCCTTGGCGCGATTTCCTCCCCGAGGAGGACGACAAGGAGAATGGACTGGCACTCTCGCGCTCCCGCTCTGGCGGTGGTCGGAGGGGCAAAGTGTCCAAGATTGAGCGTATGCGCGGAGCGGATAGCGAGAGCGATGCCCTGTCCTTGATTGAGCGCTGGGGAGAGGAAGTGGTCAGTTACATGGGCTGACCTGTCCGACAGAAAACTGAGCTGACGATTTCGCAGACCATCTCCCTCACCGACCAGATTGCGCGCCTGAAATCGCAGCTCTTCGAAGAGGGCCGGAAGCGCAACATTGTCATTCGCCTGGTCCTCGTCCTCGCAGCTATGGGCGGCGTGGTCCTCCTGTTCTTTGCGTTGCGCAAGGGCCACGCGTCTATTACATCGTCGTCGAGACCGGCGTAGAACCCCCAGATAACATAGTATTATTCTCGTTGTATTTGTACAGTGTGACGTTCATTATGCCCCTCATGTCATACAATTCTCAAGCTCAAGAGCCCAGAGACACTCCTGCGAGACGACAGGCCCAGGCCCCACGCGTTGACGCTGGTTTCACGCGTAATAGTCCATGTACTCGCTCCACAGCTGTGGCAGACTCGCCCCGGTCATCTCGTACCACCATATGTCGTTGTATCGCTCGCCGGCGAGTCGTGCGTCGAGATACTGCACAAACTCTGGGATCGGTGGCCGCCTCGACTTGTAGTTGCCGGGACGAGGTGGCACCGGCGGCGGCGGTCCCCAGGACGAAGGGTACTGCGTCGCCTGTGCTGCGGGCGCGGACCAGATCGCCGAAGGACTCGCAAACGCTGCGACAGAGCTTGATGGTCCCCAGGACGCGTCTTCGTCAACAGCCCCCATGATCCACATAAGGAAATTGGCGCCGGCATCGTACGCGTCCTCCCAGCCCTTATCACGTCTTGCTTGCCCAGGTTTGCGCCAGTGGGGTGGGCCCAAGTGCGCTGCCATGCGGACGCTGTCTGCAATCGACTCGATGAGCCACCCTGGTGCGCTCCCGCTTCCATCGCGTTGCACCACATGGACGAGTTCGTGCAAGACTGCACAGCATGTCATCAGCCAGATGTCTCGCACTACACGAGCACCGCTTCCAGGAGGGTTGTCTCCAGTTGGTACTCACTGACACCCTTGAACTCGAACGTGCAGTCTTGCATGGTGCGCTTGCCGCTGCGACAGTCGTTCAAGAGGTTGTTACACCACTGCAGCGAGATGGTGATGCGTCCGCCAGACGTCCACGCCAGCCCCGGTTTGTCCTCGAGAAGCACGTCAATGGTCCGGTGGCGCCATGTCGCCATGTCCTGTTGTTGTGGGAGCGTGAGGAAGTTGCGGGCAAACCACATGGCGTGGTACGCAGTTCCTACCGGGTCTGGGAGACACTCGAAGAAGAACCGTGTGCGCTCGCATGTGGTTGGGTCTGGGTGGGACAGCGAGTAGAGCAGCGCTGTGGGCGGTATTGGGACAGCGTCCGGAGTGACGATGGGCGTGAGTGCGGGTGCGTTGGAGCCGAGGGGGTTGCCAGACGCGATAAAGTAGGCAGTCGGCGCGTGAGGAGCGTACGACTGGCTCGAGCCCGTATAGCTGTTGTTGCTATCGCTTGGGTGTCTGTGTTTGGCGATCATGTCACTGACAAGGCCGCCAATGCCTGACGCCAGGCCGCGGCCGTGACTCATTGTTGATCGATGTGTTGTGGGCCAGGAGGGGTCGTGAGAGAGCGATAGATGTGGAGTGTGGAGTGTGTGTGCTGTGGAGAGGCTGGGAACGGCGCCGTGACTGGAAGCCGTCTTGATGAACGTGGAGTTGAGTAATGCCTGCTTTGGTGGTTGCAATGTATTCCGGCTCGTTGGCCGAATGGGGACGATGGGTGGTGGGTGGTGCCTTGTGCTGCTACGCGATCACATTCCCCCCCACAGCACTAATTGGATTTACAATTCAACCCCCCGCTCATTACAAAATGACCCCGGAAGCACCTAATGCTTTAATAGAACCCACCCACAATGCAATGTTCCTGGCACCCCCGCACAAATCGCCCGCGCAGGGAGACCCCACACGCGTCACCCCGCGCAAGCGAGCAACATGAGTAACGGACGAGCAGCATATATATTGTTCTCTCTCACGGTCTCACCCTCCTTCCTTTTTCACACTCTCCTCAAGCACAACATCTCACCATGGCCACAAAGAGGCGCACCTCTCCGCCTCCCCGTGGACAAGCCCCTCGCGCAGCTCTTCCAGCTAAACGCGGCGCACGCGGCGCAACCCCGCTCTCGGCCGTCCTCTACCTCGTCGCGGTGGTCGTCTCGCTCTTCCTCGTCGCCCGCCATGCGTCGTCCTGGGCACGCTACGTCCCCGGCGGTTACTCGATTCTGAACACTCTTGACAATGCTCAGAGCCAGTTTGAGGCCATCGTGTCTTATCTGACATCAACCATGGTCGATGGACACGCCGACTTTGGCGATGGCCGCAGCACGCGTGCCCCCTCCGCCTTTTGCACCCCGTACTCGGACGCGCTGTACCACGTCAATGTCATGCTCGGCAATGGAGGGTGAGTGACTTCGTCTGGTCTCGATGTGATTGTCGGGTCACTGCTGTGTGTGCTCTCCATCTCGCTTTGCACCACAAAAACGGAGCAGGGGAGCGGCTACGTCCTCACCACCCAAGTGCCTGTCTCGTCGAGGCAGACGCTGCCTCCCCTCGTTCTCGAGCAGGCAACAGTCTCCACGTCGCGAAATATTTCGCAGCACGCCGCTTCCAGCCCAATGTACAAGCTGGTCCCGGACCACCGGACCGGTTGGGCAATGTGGAAAGCAACGTAGCAACACAGCAACACTTGGCCGAATTCGTGGACATTTTGGATAACGCTGACACTGGCGGCAGACCCGAACCCGACCTCAGTGGAGGTATGCCCGTGTGGCGCGCCTGCGACCAGAATGCTGACTTTCAGGCATGATCCCCTCGGTCGCCCCGCCGTTCGCCATGACCCGCTGGACTCCCCAGACTCGCCAGAACTGTGAGTCCAGATGCTTGCTTTGGTAATATCTGGCACGTTGCCGGCGGCCCAGCGCTACTGCCCCACAAATTCCACCGCGCTTGTTACCACGAGTGGTGCCACTTCGGCGCCTGTTTGGTTTCCGCAGCCGAAGACCGTCGACCCCATCCCCTTGACCCCACGCTTGGACGCTGACGTAGCAGACGTATCGATGTGCCCTTACAACCAGACCGATACGCGTCTGCACGGTTTTATTGGAACGCACCAGCCCGCCGTTTGGATGGGCGAGTCGGGCCCGGCGCAGGTCGCTGCCGGCCTCGGCGCCGTGGTCACTGACTTTGACAAGCGTGGCCTCAACTTCAAGAGGCAGGACGAGTACGCCAGTGTTAACTACTACTCGAACGTCCTGCGTGGCGAGAACGGCGACATTGACGCAGAGTTGGCTCAGAGTAAGTAGTGTGGCAGATGGGGACGGTCTTTCGTCGTTGCTTACCTGCCTCAGCCTCCCGAGCCGGTCACCTTCGCTTCACCTTCCGTCCCAACGGAGACGCTGCGCCGTACATTGTTCTCGACGCTAGCCGTGCCACCGTCATCACCCATAACCCCAAGAACGTTACCTTCCCTGCTGGCAAGGTTACAATTGACAAGAAGCTCAACGAGGTTTACGGATGGAGCTCTGAGCGCCAGGAGTATGTGTCCCCCCCGTCGATACACCGCCTTGTTTTACTGACATTTTCAGCAACGTTCTCGTTGGCGAAGACCTCCCTGCCAAGAGGTTCAAGGGCTATTTTGTCGCCCGGTTCAGCAAGCCGTTTGTTTCGGGTGGCATCTCACACCACGGCAAGGTCAAGGACAATGTGCTGCAGGGCGAGGGAGAGGTGCTCTCCAGCTACGTGACCTTTGCTCCTGGTACCGAGGTTGTCGAGGTGCGCGTCGGTGTCAGCTTTATCAGTATCAAGCATGCGCGTCGTAACCTCGACTATGAGGTTCCCGACGGCCAGACTCTCGAGGAGACCTCACTGGCGACACGCACCGCTCTTGCCGACAAGCTTGACCGCCTCAGCGTATCTGGCGCCACTACCAACAACAAGACGGTCCTCTACACCGGTCTCTCGCGCACCCTCGTCTACCCGTACGAGGTGAGCGAGAATGCGGCTAGCCCTGAAAAGCCCATGTGGCGCTACTACTCTGGCTACATCGACATGCCTGCCGAGGGTATCTCATACTCTGGCTACTCGATCTGGGACACGTTCCGCGCCACGACCGCCTGGCAGCTCTTTATCGCCCCCGAGCGCATTCCCGGCATGATCAACTCGATGCTCCAGGACTTCCAGCAGGGCGGCTGGCTCCCGATGTGGAAGAACATTGTCGAGACAAACATCATGGTCGGCACACACGCCGACAGTGTCATTGCCCAGGCTATGCGGGCCGGTGTCCGGGGCTTCAACTATGACCTGGCGTGGCAGGCTGTCAAGAAGGATGCGTTCACTCCGCCTGACCGTGACACCGAGCTCAAGTTCTTTGACCGCGAGGAGCACACGCCCCAGGAGGTCCGCGCTGGTCTCACCGAGTACATGAAGCTTGGATATGTCGCAGACGACCTGCACTCTGAGTCTGGCTCGCGTACTTTGGACTATGCTTGTGAGTTGGGAGCTGAATGGCGATGCGGTCCTCAACTGACACATTTCCAGACGACGACCATGCTGCTTCAATTGTGGCACGCACCGTCGGCGCGGACACTGACGCGGAGGTCCTTGAGAAGCGCGCCCAGTACTACCGTAACCTGTGGAACCCCGACACGGGCTTCATGGAGGCGAAGAACTCGGACGGGTCGTGGGCCGGCGAGACCGCTGGCTGGACTGAGGGTGACCACTGGGCGTACTCGCTCAATGTCATGGTGAGCTGGAATACGTGCCCATGAGTCATCACAGCTGACTCTTCTTCAGCACGACGTCCCTGGTCTCATCAGGCTCATGGGTGGACCCAAGAACTTTGTCGACTTCCTCGACCGCCACTTTGCCGGCGGCCACAACCTGCACACCAACGAGCCTAGTCACCACATTGTGAGTCATGAGATCGCCACGCTTGGATAATGTCGACACGCACTCACGCTGCAGCCCTACCTCTACTCGTTTGCCGCGCCTCACAAGGCCCAGGAAGCCGTCCTCAAACTCGGCCAGGAGGAGTACAACCACACCGACATTGGCCTCTCGGGTGTGAGTTTAGCGAGGCGACCTTGCCACCATTCACCGACTGACATATCCAGAACGAGGACTGCGGCCAAATGTCTGCGTGGTACCTCTTCTCTGCCATGGGCTTCTACCCCGTCGACCCCGCCAGCGCGACATACGTGGTCGGCACGCCCTTCTTCGACTATATCGCACTCGACCTGCCTGCCGGCGGCACCATCAGGGTGACTGCCAAGGGCGCCAGCAGCGGCAAGAAAAAGTACATCAAGAACCTGACCATTGATGGCCGGCCGCACAAGACCGTCATCATCGACCATTCCCAGCTGGCCCATGGTGCCGACTTGGTGTTTGAGATGAGCGACACGCCGCAGACGTGGCCTGCAAACTAGATGACGTGCCGCAGAACATGTGGCGCACAGCACATTAAAATCATAGTTGATTTCATACAACAATGCGACAAAAGGACTTTTAAACGGCTGTCGGCGAGAGTGAAGGGGGTCTTTTTGCGTGGTCATATGGTGCTATGTGCATGCGGGGTATAAATACAATATCAGAGACGAACAGCTAGGCCACGGGCGACTCGCCAGCCAGGCTGGGAGCGAGGGTACTCATCCTCCGACCCAGCGGCGTCGGCGCCGCCGTGCCAGCAGGAGTCAGCCCGAGCCCGCCGCCCGGCCCAGCCAACTGCTGCTGCTGGGGTTGCTGTTGCTGTTGCAGCTGTTGCGGTTGTTGCGGGACACGGCCCAACGACGCCAACGCAGCAGCCTCGAGTGCCCGCGCCTCCGCAAAGGTGTCGTACAGTGGCGCGGGGGCGGCGGCAAGAGCGTCCAAGTCGCCGAGGGCCGCGCGCGTCGACGCGAGGGCGTGGAAGAGGTGCCAGTCAGGTCCGGCCTGCTTGGACGCAGACGCGGACCCGGACCCAGAACCGACGCTAGCGATGTCGTCGGCCTCCTTGTCGTTGCTCGACACATCCTTGCCCTTGGCAGCTGGCGTGCCGGTCGCCTCGTCCATCGTTGCGTCCCCGTCCCCGTCCTTTCCCCCTGCTCCCTCGTCGCCCTCCCCGTCCTTCTTGTCCTTGTTCTTCTCCTTCTCCGTCTTGGGTATCGCGCGCCACGCAGCCCCGGCACGGGGGTTGGCCGACGGGCGCGCGCGTTCGAGCGCGTCAAACGTCCGCTCGACGAGGTGCAGCGCGTTCCGCAGCCGCATAGCAGCCACGTCGTGCAGGTTGGGCGCCATGTAGATCTTGTCCTGGATAATAAAGTAGGCGTGGGACACGGGCCCCCGCGAGCCGTCGCGGACCACGGGACGCTGGTGGATCACAAACACGTCGGGCGCGCGTGCGTGTGCGACAATGTATTCAAACCCCGTGCGGAAGGCGGTGAGCTCGCTGGCAGGCGGGTCAGCGTGTATCCTTGGAAAATTGATGCCCGTAAACGTACACCTTCTCCTCGGCATGGCCGTAGCCTGGGTTCTCGACGCGACGCTGGGTCCGCAGGACATTGTTGTTACTCTTCGAGTCCCAGAATGGCGAGAATGCGAAATAGTCCATCCTGGAAGTGTCAGTCAGATGTCTAGAGAGTCCATGTTGGATGAAGCAAGGCCGTCGCGAGCTGTTCTGGAAGAAGCCAGGGACAGCTCGGCCTGGACAAAGTGGGCCAGCAACCAACACTGGAGCAAGACTCTGAGCTCAAGACTCACGCCAGGTCCGAGTTTGCGAGTGACCGAGCCGGGTTGGCAGCAATGGCCTCGGGCCACGACCAGTGGATGTGCGAGAGATCCTTCTCGAGCTCCTCTTCGTGCGACATGGCGGGCGGAAGTCGTGGGGATGGTCGAGAGAGGACGCTCACAATGGTGGTGTGGGTGGCTTGATGCAGCCAGTTGTGGTAGAGGCCACCTCCACTTGTCTGGCTCATCTCATCTTGCAGGGGGATTTTGATTCCGTTGGCCAGCCGCGTTCTGCTCGCCAACGAAACCTTCACCATGGAAGAGCGGCCAGGTGCAGGCAAACGCTCGAGTCTCGCCACCGAGGTTTACGAGCTCTTTGCTGGTCTACATACACATGCAGTCTACAGCGTCACACTGACGCGCTCGCCACATGCCCTTTAACGACACTCTACGACGATACCATCTAGCCATCACCATCGTCTGACCGTTTGCTCTCGTGTCTTGCAACCATCTTTTAGTATTTTCCTGCACACTGCTCTGCATCTCTGAGGTCATGCACAGTATCCCTTGCGAGAGAAGAAATACATCGAGCTACCGAGACCCCTCGCGGTATCTATAGCCCGAGACCGCGAAGCCGCTTAGTTCTTGAGCTTCTTCTTGGGGCGGAGCTGCGAGGTGTGGCCACACTTCTTCTTGCGCTGGAGAGGGGGTCAGCTGGTGAACTTTCACGGGTTTCTTTAGCTTTTGCGCAACTCACGCAGTTGGTGGCACGGGGAGGAAGACGGGCGTAGCACTTGCGGCAAATCTGCTTGTCGCAGTTGTACTTCGAGGCGAGGGCCTTGAGCGAGGGCTCGATGATACCACCACGGAGGCGGAGGACGAGGTGGAGGGTCGACTCCTTCTGGATGTTGTAGTCCGAAAGGGTGCGGCCGTCCTCGAGCTGCTTGCCGGCGAAGATGAGACGCTGCTGGTCAGGGGGGATGCCCTCCTTGTCCTGGATCTTCGACTTGACGTTGTCGATGGTGTCCGAGGACTCGACCTCGAGGGTGATGGTCTTGCCCGTGAGCGTCTTGACGAAGATCTGCATTCTGAGAGGCGAATGTCAGTAAGGTTGAAAGAGTGGTGGAATCAGACAGCAGGGACGTTGAAGGACACGGTTGTCGAAAAAGTCGGGCGGCGCGGGCGGTTTCGGGTTACGTAAAACGGGCGAACAAACGGCGTGCGAGTGCCAGATGCTTCTGGACATCTGCGCAGCTGCTGTTGCCGTGGGACATGCGTAGAAGGAGGGGGAGGTGTCGATGATGAGAGGGGAGGGTTGAGAGGGGGAGCGTGGTTGCGAATGTCGAAAAGTCGCATACGCGTGGGCCACTACGCGGTGGTTCACAGAACGCGACACCCAGGCAACCCTTTGTGGTCTGCGCTCTGCGTTCCAGTCGCCCTGTGTGCGCTCTTGCGCTGGCTTTGGTTGTCGTGAGAGAGCCGGTTGCAGAGAAGCTGCGGGCGGCAAAAGCGTGGTCCAGCAAAAGTCGACAGTTCGGAGAGGCGAGGCCATTTTCGTCCACGCGTGTGCTCTCAGAGTCTCACTTGCGCACAACTCTGCGACACCTGCACGTCTGCCGTCGCTAGGACACGCGCCGGGGTCGACGGGCACACGCGCGAGACTCCACTTGGCCCCACTCCGCTCCGTCCTCTCACTCCGCTGTCCGTTTCTCTTTGCCGCCCATCGAACCCGACTTTTGTGCCAGACTTTCCGGGAGTCTGGTTCGACAAGTCGATTTCTCGTGTGTCGCGGTCGTGTCGACAGTGTCCTCGACGTCCCTGCTGTTGTCGCTGTCCACTTACTTGAGATCTGTTTCTGGTTGACGGTTGGGAAGTCCAGCAAGGAGAGCCATACAACCACCGACAACCGCCAGCGGCCAGCGGCCACCACAGGCGAGCGACCGGCCCAAGTTTCGAGCGCTAACGCCCAAACTCCGCCCTGTGGCACCCATAATTTACTTCCGTCATGCACCAAATGGGGTTTATATTTCCGTCATAAGTGGCACAAACCTATCCGCCTCGACGGCTCGAACCCAGTCGACGCCTCGGATGCTTGCTGTGGCTTCTTGGAGGTTGCTTACGGTTGGCATCTGGGCTCTGCGTCGCAGCTCTGCATGTGTGGGTTCTCGCCTGTGGCTTCCGGGATATGACTGCTGGTGGTCCCTCACTCTTCGTTTAGTACTGGACTTCCCGGTTAGCTTGAGGATGGCAGTGATCCATGTTGCCTGAATATGGTGGTCTCGTGGACGCCTTTAGAGGGGGTTAGTCCAACCGTTAGCGACATGGTGTGGTCAAGCTCTGTGTGGTCCTTTGAGCTGCCGCTGCCGTGAACCTACGTGCCTTGCGGATGGCACTGAACAATCCTTTCCTTGCACAGATCGCACAGACTTGTCTTTTCGGGTTTTTACGCAGCTAGCAACCGTTCCTTGCGACCAGATATGCGCCAGGTTGGCAGCGAATGCATCTACCTCGTACAAACAAATAAATGTGCCTCTGTTATGTTGTCTGTTTGCAGTCTTTAGTCTCTGTCGCTGTCCAGAGAGCCAGGATGACATCTCATTGTGCATGGACGGCGGAAGATTATTTATTATTTATTTTTGTTACGCAGCCAGTGGATCACGCACACCCACGAGACGTTGGCGACTGACGTTTCTATTCTCCCGGGAGGACTGCTGTGATCTCTATCGTGTATGTTCACGTCTGGTAACTGACTTGCTTAGGGAACAGAGCAAGCTGAGCTTACACCTCAACGCCACTGTGCAAATATTAAAGTCAACAAACCGCCGATATATAATACTTGTCGACCCACCATTCCACACCAATCCCACATGCATGCACAAGAAATCCTGCCCAGAAATTATCCAACAGTCCCAGAAACCAAGCGCATACAGCGTCCATACAAGAACTGGAGACGACAATGAAATATGCCACACCTGTCACCCGGCATCCGGCCATGATCCGGTTTCCGGGATCCGGGTTGCCGACCCCGCACCTTGGTCATTCGGTGTTTGCCGAGAGCCGAGCTGGTGAATCACGTCTACTTGACTGTACGCCCACCACGCCTCGCTGTTGACCCACTCACCCTCATCATGTCGCGTACCCTCGTCCTCACGCCCACCCGCGCGCTGCGCGCCGTATCCACCGGCAGGCTGCACCTCACGCCGACGCTGAGCGCGGGGCTCCAGCTGCGCTGCTACTCTGCCGTCCACAAGTCGCAAGCCCGCCTCGAGCCGGCCAACTCGCTGCTCAAGCGCGATGACCTCGACGGCGTCATGGCCATTGTCATGGACCGGCCCGAGGCGCGCAACGCGCTGAGTATGCAGATGGTCGACGAGATGCGCGACGCCATCGCCGCCATTGCCAAGTCGCCCAGCGCACGCGTCATCATCCTGCACTCGACGGGACCCGTGTTCTGCGCCGGCGCCGACCTGCGCGAACGCAAGACCATGTCGCAGCCGCGCGTCGCCCAGTTCCTCGACGACCTCAACGCCATGGTGTGCGAGCTCGAGGACCTCGCCCTCCCGACCATTGCGGCCGTGCCCGGCCCGGCGCTCGGCGGCGGTACCGAGCTCGCGCTCGGCTGTGACCTGCGGACAGGCCAGAAGGAGACGAGCTTCACGTTGCCCGAGACCAAGCTCGGCATCATTCCCGGCGCGGGCGGCACCCAGCGCCTCACCAAGCTCCTGGGCATGAGCAGGGCCATGGAGATCATCTTCACAGGCAGGAGGATAGCCGCCGACGAGGCAAAGCAGATCGGTGAGCTACGTGGTCTGCGAATTAGCTCGGCGTGTCGCTAATGGCCCAGGCTTGCTCGACATCATCGCCCCCGAGGGCCAGAGCGCCCTGGACGCCGCAGGCAACCTCGCCGCGCAGATGCTCACTTCCGCGCCCCTCTCGCTCCGTGCGGCCAAGAAGGCCATCAAGGCTGCGCCCGGCACACCCATCAAGGAAGGACTCCGCCTCGAGCGCGAGGCGTACAAACCCCTCCTGACCAGCGAGGACCGCGACGAGGGTCTCCGCGCGTTCGCAGAGAAGCGCAAGCCCAAGTTCGTTGGCAGGTAGACATACCCGCCCAAAGGACGCCAGCACGCAGTTTATAGTTAGTCTGAAGCGGAGTTGTAGAAATGGGAGACACGGTGAGACAGAGACAGAGCATGGTACAACGTAGTGTGCATATGAAGACGAAGCTATTGCCTATGCGACGGCAGTCGCCTCACGGGTCGCGTCGTGCGTGGGCTCACGGTCACGCGCCGCAGCGAGCTCATGTTCACGCTGCTCCTGCTCGCGCTGCTCCTTCATACGGCGCCTCTTTTCACGTGCCTGCTTGGCCCACACCTCGGCGTCGGCGACGTCCTGGTGGCGGACCTGGGCAACCTCGGGTCCGCGCGATCCCTCGCCAAAGGACAGCCATGTGCTCTTTTCCTGCGAAGGCTCAAACACAAACTCGACTGACGCGATACCGGGGGCCGGGGTGATGCGAGCAGCACCATTAAGCCCCACCAAGGGGTTGTAGCTGAGACGCTCGCGGCCGGCGGTTGATGGCTGGGTGGTAATCGGGACGTGGGGCATCTGGGTGTGTGGCTCATACGCGGCACGAATGACACCGGGCACCCAACTGCCAACGCCAGGCCTCGAGTGAACCGTCTGAGCCTCGGACTCGACCACGATCGTGCCGCCAGTCAACTTGGGCTCCTCGGCCTCGGCCTCGGCAAGGCCAGTGAACACGGCACCAGGAGCCGGGGTAGGGGTCGGCTCGGGGGGCGCTGGCGAGAGAGGCTCGGACGATGGTGGCTCAAAAGTGACCTCACGGGCGAGCGGGTGAGGCCTAATGGCGGGCGTCGATCCAGCCTCGCTCCGGGGCGGCAAGGTGCCTTCTTGTTGGAAGTTGTCTTCAATCTCACCGGCCGCGCGGCGCTCAGCGGTATACACCCAGCCATGCGCGTCGGGTCCCTCCAGGGCGCCGATCCGCTCCTCGCGATACTTGCGCAGAGTCTCGTCGATACGGCGGGCCTCCTCGGCAGTGCGGAGCATCCAGTCCTCCTCGGTCACACCCAGGAGACGCAGGCGACCGCGCTTGCCATGGGCAACGTCGTTCCATGGGTCGAGACCGTTGCTGCCAAAGTGGGTAGTCGGACCGCCGACAGTGTAGAATGAGGCGAGCATCGACTTGTCTGCACGAGTGTCGGCAAGCGAAGTAGCGGTCGCAGTAGGACGGCCGGGTCCACCGGCCGAAGGGTACTGGTTGACCGCCAACTCTTCCTCGAGCACTGGTCCGTGAGGTGTGTAGCCGTTGGCCGCACAGTCTGCAAGTGCCTGCTCCTCGTTGTAGTCATCGTCGACCCACTTTCCGTCTGCCAGAGTCAGCATGACCATCCTTCATGGCTTCACCCACCCTTGACGAGCCTCGCGCCCATGAGCTTGTAGACGTTGCGCACTGCGACCATGGTGACCATGCGGTGCTTGAGGTTACCGGTGATGCGGCCGACATCGATCAGCATCTGGCGCTCGTCCTGGTCGCAGGAGAGCTTGACAACCTGAGGGCAGCGACGGAGGAAGGCAAGCGAGTCGGTGTAGCCACAGGCGCGCGCCGCGTCGATCGTGAGTGCGTACAGGCGCTCGGGGTTCTTGCGCGTCACAGACGTGAACGTGACGAGCTTGTACTCGCGTCCACCTTGGAGGCGGCCCTCCGCGTCCACTTTGGCTTCACCCTTGGGGTTTTCAGGAATAATGAGCTCATCGTCGCCAGCCGTGTACTCGACGCCCTTGACTTTGTAGATCTGGCCAGCGACGACATTCTCCAGAGCACCACGGGGGTCGCGCTTGGGCGGAGGTGGTGAACGGCGACGGCGCGAGCGCGGCGTCTCGTCACTGTCCTCACCACGTTCGGCGCGCTCACGACGAACCTTGTCCCAACGTGCACGGGCTGCAGCCGCCGCAGCACCCTTGACGCTGAAGCCACCACGGCCTCCGGTTCCCGGTTCGCGCTTGTAGGGCTTGTCATCTGCGTCCTTGGTCGTGTTCTTTGCGCGAGTGCGGGTCTTGCGCGGCGCAGGGGTCACGGGCTCAGGTTCGTCCTCGTCATCTGGGTGCCCCATCAGCCGCCATCCATGTGTGTTCAATGTTGTTGTTGTTGTCGTTGTTTGCTGTTGTTGTTTTTTACGCACCTTCTTCTTCGGCTCCTTCATCATCATCGTCATCGTCGTCCACAGGGTCCTCCACATCCATCGGGATCTCCTTGTAGCTGACCTGCTTGATCGAGCGACGACGCGAGGATGTAGGCTCGTCCTCGCCATCCGTCGCGTCTTCTTCGGTCTTGACACGGCGGCGGCTGGTGGTGGACGCGCGGGGCTTGGAGCGGCGCCGTGAAGGACCGGCAGCGTGATGGTCGTCATCATCGTCTTCTCCATTGGCGTCATCGTGGTCGGCGTCGTCCTCATCGTTGTCCTCGTCCACGTCCATGTCGTCGTGACGAGGTGTTTCCGGCTCTGCCTTTGCGCTTTTACGCGACCTGTTGCGACGAACTGGGGAGGCAGTCGCTGCTGCCGCTGTTGAGGCTGTGGATCGCCTTGAAGCGCGCGGCATGGCTGTGGATGATGGATGGATGTGGGGGTTGTTGTTCTAGAAACGCGCAGCGACGAGAGCGCATGCATGGCATGTGTGTGTGTCTGGCGGCGTGCACGGGAAGGCACGGCGCCGTGTGAGGGGGGAGACGGGAGTATTTCCGAGGGAGGAAGGCGGGCGGGATCAAATTTGGCTGTGAGCCACCCCCGTTCCCACCCCTCTCTCGCCCAACGCATATACTTTGGGGTTGTTTTTGTTACCTTTTATCCCAACCCGTGTGTCCCATCCCTCTCCTCCACCCGGCGTGTCCACCTGCCCGTCCACCCACCATGATGGGCACAAAGCTACTGCTGTCCCCAACAGCAGGCAGCGATACACAACACCAATCAACACTCGCTTCCCTCACAGGGCCCCCAGACCTCGATCCCGCCCTCCTCGCGCTCGCCGCATCTCACGCCAGCACACAGCCGACACCCATCGACCCGGCCCTCTTTGCCATCGAGCAAGTGGTAAACGATGTCAACGGTGGCCGCATCGCACCAGAAGACATCGGTATGGGCCTCGTCACTGCCCAACGCGAACCTGAACGCGACGAGCAGCAGCCCGAGCCAGAGCCTGAACCCGAACCCGAGCTGCCCCAACCTCAGCCGCAGCCCCACCATGTGGCCCTCGACCATACCGACGTAAACATCGACATTGGTCACGTCAGCAGTGTCGAGGTCGCAGACCCCAACCACATCCCGCTCGATGATGATGGGATTGACCCGGCTCTCCGTGAGATTGTCAACAGTCTGACAAACGCGCAACAAGTGGGTGGTCTGACTCTGTCGTCACTGCTGACCCACCAGTCCCACCACCCCAACCTCTCTGGCGACAATGACGAACGCGAGCGTCTTGACCGCGAGCGACTGCAGCACACGCTCCAAACCACACTCGAGGACTTTGCCCAGGGCGGTTTCGGATCCTATGGGGCCATATTCAACACCAATTTTCCCCAATCCCCCAACAACCACAACCTCATCCTTCCTCTCGGTGCCGAGGCCGAGGCGCACACCCACGGCGGAGCATTGGGCCACAACCACAACCAGTCTGATAGCGGCAGTGTGGGTGGTGGCGGCGGCGGCGAATCCAGTGTCCCCGCCAAGCGCGGCCGTGGCCGTCCCAGGGGATCCAAGAACAAGCCCAAGCCAGGTCTTCCTCCGCCAGAACCTGCCCCGCCTGTCGCCCGTCGTCCCAAGGGTCGTCCACCAAAGGTGCGCACCGAAGAGGAGCTGGCCGAGATAGAACGCCGGAAGGAAGAGAAGGCTCTCGGCATCAAGCGCAAGCGCGGCCGCCCCAGAAAGTTCCCCGAGCTCGGCCTCGTGCGCGAGATGCGTCTCAAGAAGAACCGCGAAGCCGTCCAGGAGAAGATCCGCGTGCTCGAGGAACGCGCCAGGCTTGCCGGTACCGATCTCGACGAGCACGGCCACTCCCAGCTGGCCGGGGACGACGGTACACACATGGACGTCGAGGGCGAGAGCTCGACGGCGCTCAGAGAGGCTGTGGCCCTCGGCGAGCAGGTGGCGGCTGTGGTGGCGCGTGGTCAGGTGCACGACGACGACGATGATGACCACGACCACGACGAGCACACCGACTACTCGGCCTGGCCATACCAGGATGGCCAGTCCCTCCTAGAGGCCGTGGGTGGCGCCATGGGAGTGGAGGTCGGAGTTGGAGTGGATCGTGGCGGCCTGGACGACGTGACCAGGGTCCTGCAGCAGCAGGCAGAGGGTGTCTTGGCCCAAGGCGACGATGAGATGCGCGGCGTCTTCTCCCTCGCAGACGTCAGCGGGCACGAGTAGATGTTTAAGAGAGTGAGAAAGAAGTCACACCCTGTTGGTAAACCGATGTTGTAAATAGCTGTGTCATGTAAACCTGTCCCTTGTTCTTCTCTTCTATACGAGCAATTTCGGTGCATGGGGGGGTTCTACGATTTAGGCTGGGGTAAAAAATGTTTGTTGGTGGCGGGTGGATGTGTAAGAGAGAGGGAGGCAAGGTGAAAACGGGCTCTACGCGACAACACCACACACGGGCGTGCCGATCGCCGTGTTGAGGATAAGCGCGACGATGAGGCCATACAGACCGATAACCTCGGCGAAAATGAGAATGAGGACCATGCCGACAAACACCCTCGACTCGTACAGGTATGCGCGCACGCACTGGGCAGGTCAGCAAACCGATGGCGCAACCAAGACCTACAGCATCGCCAACGAGACCAATGGCGTATCCCGCCGACAGGCCAGTCAAGCCACAAGCTGGAGATTAGATTAGTGCTGTCTTTTCTTCCAAGCCACGGCAGCACTCACTGAGGCCGGCACCGAGGTGGACAAAGCCACCGAAGAGCGAGTATGGCTCCGTGGGGGACACTGAACGGGTTAGCCAAAGGTACAAGGTGTTGGTGACCCACTGTTGCCCGCAATGAGGACCGAGACGACGAGGCCGTACACGGCGATAACTGTTTGTCAGTACAACGAGCGGGTAAAGGAAGCGACCGCCGATACCCACTACCAGACATCTGCGGTGTCAGCTCATGGAATGTGGTATTGAGGTGGAGAACTCACAACGACAGGGATGAGGGCCTACAGACGCTACGTCAGTTCACGTTCAATGATTGCCAGAATTCCACCGACCTTCATGATGAGCTCAGGCCTGGTCTGTCAGCTATCTTCGCGGATGCGGCAACTCACTTGAAGGTTCCAATACCGGCGATTCCGATACCGGCCTTGGATGTACCGTACGCTGCGCCGATGGTCGAGAGAGTCATCTGTTGCGGAGGTCAGGTTCACGTCCGTCGTCTCGGAGCACGTTGGCTGGGGTGGAAACGTACCGCCGCGGTGACGCCGGCAAAGCTGAAGGAGCAAGTCAGCAACGAGTGTGCGATTCTACAGCGTGCTACCGTGTGAGCTTACCCGAAGAAGGGGGCCCAGGGAGGGCAGTACTCTGTCATGGTGAGCACGACGTTGTGGGATGTGGTATCGGTGGTATCGTTGTTGAGGGATCGGTGACGGCAAGCGATGACACCAGCCAGGGAGGGCGGGCAGGGTGGCGGGAGTTGGCTTATCACAGACCCCGCCTGCACCGCGGAACGAGGGTCCCAAAAGTCCACGTATATATCCCACGTGGCGTGTGTCGCGCGCGCGTCGACGGTCCCTCCCAAAAGCTCGAACATGTTCCATAGAAACGACGCACAGCACCCATCTCTCTCCTCCGTCAACCCACGCAACGAAACAATCCAGCCCATCATGCAGGGCAGGCTTCCTTCGATGGTACGAGACACCGTCAGTTGACCGCGCTTCAGAGCTGACAATACCCCAGCAACCCACCGTGGTCCTCCTGAGGGGTACGTGTTTCCCGTCCGATCTTTATGTGTTGGCACCCAGCCTTGCCACGCATGACGCGTGTTGGCACCCCAACAAGGCATCGCGCAGAGCCATGAGACGCGATAACATGAAGAAATAGAGCGCAGACGTGCTAACAGCTATACAGAGGGCACCGACACTTCGCAGGGCATTGGACAGCTGCTGTCGAACATTTCGGCCTGTCTCGCCGTCGCGCAGACCATTGCGACCACGCTTGGTCCCCGCGGCATGGACAAGCTCATTGTCGACGAGCGCGGCCAGGCAACCATCTCTAGTGAGTCGCCTGGCGTAGCACGTTGCTGACATGGCCAGACGACGGTGCTACCCTGCTCAAGCTCCTCGACATTGTTCACCCTGCCGCCCGCACTCTGGTGGACATTGCCCGCGCGCAGGACGCCGAGGTCGGTGACGGCACCACCTCTGTGGTCCTTCTGTGAGTTTCTCGCGAGCAACAACTGCCCAATGCTAATGGCAGCGCTGCCGAGATCCTCAAGGAGGTCAGGCCATTCATCGAGGAGGGCGTCGGAGTTCACGTCATCATCAAGGGTCTCCGCGAGGCGGCGACTCTTGCCATTAAGAAGATTAACGAGATTGCCATCACCGTCGACAAGTCGGACCCTGTGTGAGTGGTGACAACGAGCATGACGATGGAGCTCCCCCCTTGCTGACGCGCTTCCCCTCTGCAGCAAGTTCCGCGAGCTGCTGATGCTCTGTGCTTCGACGTCCATGTCGTCCAAGCTCATCTACTCGCAGATGCCGTTCTTCTCGAACATGGTCGTTGACGCTGTCATGTCGCTTGACCAGAACGACCTGGACGAGTCGCTTATCGGTGTCAAGAAGGTTCCCGGCGGTGGTATGCAGGAGTCGCTCCTTGTGAAGGGTGTCGCGTTCAAGAAGACCTTCTCGTACGCCGGCTTTGAGCAGCAGCCCAAGTCGTTCAAGGACCCCAAGATCCTGTGTCTCAACGTCGAGCTCGAGCTCAAGGCCGAGAAGGACAACGCCGAGATCCGTGTCAACGAGGTGTCCGAGTACCAGGCGATTGTCGACGCCGAGTGGACCATCATCTACCGCAAGCTCGAGGCGATTGTCGCCACTGGCGCCAAGGTTGTGCTCTCCAAGCTCCCCATTGGTGACCTTGCCACCCAGTACTTTGCCGACCGCGACATCTTCTGTGCCGGCCGTGTTGCCGGTGACGACCTGAAGCGTGTTGTCCAGGCCGTCGGCGGCTCGGTCCAGTCGACCGTGTCGGACATTGAGCCCCACCACCTCGGCCAGTGCGGCAAGTTTGAGGAGCGCCAGATTGGTGGCGACCGCTTCAACGTGTTTGAGGACTGCCCCAAGGCCCAGACCTGCACCCTCATCCTCCGTGGTGGTGCCGAGCAGTTCATTGCCGAGGTCGAGCGTTCGCTGCATGACTCGATCATGGTCGTCAAGCGCGCGATCAAGAACAACTCGGTCGTTGCCGGTGGTGGTGCCGCCGAGATGGAGACTTCCAAGTTCCTCCGTGCCCACTCGCGCACCATCATGGGCAAGCAGCAGCTCATCGTCGGTGCCGTCGCCAAGGCCCTCGAGGTCATCCCCCGCCAGATCTGTGACAACGCCGGTCTCGACGCTACCGACATTCTCAACAAGCTTCGTATGCGCCACGCCCAGGGCGACACTTGGGCCGGTGTTGACGTCGACGACGAGGGCGTCGCCGACAACATGGCTCGTTTCGTTTGGGAGCCCGCTCTTGTCAAGACCAACGCGCTGTCGTCGGCCATCGAGGCCGCCTGCCTCATCCTCAGTGTCGACGAGACCGTCCGCAACCCCCAGTCCGAGGCGCAGCAGGCTGGCCCGCCCGCGCCCCGCGGAACGGCGCAGCGCGCCATGCGCGGCCGTCCCGGCAGGCGGTAGACAGTGTTTGTCGAGTGGGGTTAGACAGTAGGGGTTTGGCCATGCATAGCAGTTAGCACCGGTAGCACGGCGCGCGAGCCGAGCGGCAGCCAGCCACATGCAATTTACGCGTCGGGGTGGGATCCATAATGCATTCTATCGAGCTATTCCATCTACACATATATATATCTTTCTTTACTTTGCACTCGCAGTCGCAGCGAACGTGGTCCAGAATGCGTCCTTGTCCCAGCCGGGCAGGGGGCGAGCGACCACACGGCCGCGGGGACCGACCGCCTCGTCGCCTTGCTGCCTGGCCTCGGCGGGGACGAGCGACCACACAGTGTCCACGCCGCGGGCGACGAGATAGTCGCGCATGGGCAGATAGTTGAGCCCCACGAACGCGACGCCGTGCGAGTCGTCCGAGAGGCAGACCTTGCCGCCGAGCGAGGTAATGAGCTGTGGGAGCCAGGTCAGCACGCCTCGCCGAAAATGATATACCTGCACCGACGCTACTCACGTTCAACACGTCTGCGCCCGGGTAGCTCGTCGCCCAACCCTTCCGGATCGCCGCGGCGTTGGCCTCGAACAGCGCTCCGTACCCGACTGCATAGCGCACGTTGCGCTCGACCTTGTCCCACACGCCGCCGCCGACGGCAGCCAGGCTCACGCCCGGCGTGTACAGGAGACACAGGTCAAAGTGGCCCACGACTTCGGGCTGCGTTGCCTGGAGAAGCTCGTACTGCGCGTCCAGGTATGCTTCGAGGAAGGGCGCGAGCTCGGCGTGCGTCGGCGTGTACTCTGGCGTGAGGCGGGCGTCTGCGTCTACCTCTGCCGCCCTCGGGGAGCACGCGACGACGGCCTTGAGCCATGTCGCACGGTCAAAGTCGATCGGCAGCGTCCGGACGTGGTGCACGCTCCCGACGACATAGTCGATCTCGGGGCGGGCGAGGTAGCGCGTCATGCCGTCGACGTCCAGCTGGGTGATGTAGTCGCTCTCAATACCGATGAGGAGCGTGAGCTTGTCGGCGTACGCGGCCCGCAGGCGCGCCGCCTCGAGCAGGAACGCCTCGTATGTCGTCGCCAGGTCTGCGGGAGTGAGGTCGGCCAAGAGGAGGGTCAGCACGACAATACCAGGGGGGGCATGGTGCGCTCAAGGCTTGGCTTGGGGACCGGGGGCTCACCTCCTCGGGGTACAGGTCCTGGACGCGGTATCGCGGACAATGCTCGGTGAGCGCAAACGTCTTGAAGCCTCGGCGGGCGGCCTCTGCCACGACTGCCGATAGCGTGTCCTTGGCGTGACGGCAGAACTGGCCCGAGTGTGAGTGGTGTGAGTGCGGCATTTGGAGTGAGTGGAGAGCAGTGTCAACAAATGTCGGTGAGAGGAGAGTTCGGCTTTGGCCGGTAAATGGAGGCAGAGATCGAGTCAGGAAATGTCGGACCGCGGGGGTCGTGGGCCTTCCGTTATCTCTACATCTTCATGACAAGCACGCTCAAGCAGCGCGAGCGGCGCCGAATACGCTGTAAGGGAGTGGACAAGAGATTGCCTGCACAGATCCATCACATTGCAAAGCCTCTCCTTGCACACACCCTGCTGCCTCGCCACTTTGCTCACTCTCTGGCCCCTTTGCTCACTCTGCAGGCGCGCCCTCCCTGGCTCATCATTGGCATTGCATAGCATGTCATACTCAATACATCTAGTCGCTGTCATCCTGGATCCTCTGCGCGCGCCTCGCCAGCGCAGCTGCCAGGTCGAGTTGGCCACCGGCCGCAGCGGGCCGGGCGACCTTTCCTGGACCGCCAGCGGCCGGCGCGGCCACCTTATGTGCCGCGGGCACAGGCGGCTTGCCACCGAACCCGGCCGGCTTGGCACCAGGCTTGGGCGGGATGACGGGTTTGGCCTTGATGGCGGGTGGAGGACCGCGGCCACCGATCGCCGAGGTGGGGCGCGACGAACCGGGCGTGCTCGAGGGCGAGACACCGCTGGACCCGCCGTTTCGACCGTTGAGGGCGGCGGCGAGCGCGGCCGCACCACCACCAACGGCGGCTGCAGGAGGCTTGGCCGGGACAGGGCGGTGGGCTGGGGGAGGAGGGGGCGGGGGAGGAGCGACGGGCTGCTCGATGAGCTTGAGGTAGTTGCTCGGCGCCCAGCCCTCCTTGCCGTCCTTGGCAATCATCCACCATCCATTGTCGTCCTTCTCCTTGACCTCGACCTCGTCTCCCTTGACAAGGTTCATCTCGCCTTCCTGGCCCGCAAAGTTGTACAGCGCACGGTAGAGCTCCTTTGCAGGGGCCGGCGGTGCCGCGGCGGGAGGAGGCGGAGGAGGGGGAGGGGGAGGAGCAGCACGGGCACCGCCACCGGCAGCCTTGAAGGGCACCGGAGCCTTGACGGCGGTCGGCACGGCCCTGGTAGCAGCAGCGGCAACGGGAGCAGCAACAGCAGCAGGGGCAGCGGGGGCACCACCAAATGCTGCCGGAGGAGCGGAAGGCTTGGCCGCTCCAGGAAGTGCACGAGCCTGAGGACGGTTCTGCGAGCGGCCAGCCATGGCAGCAGGGGCAGCCTTGGGAGCCTTCTTGACCTTGGGCTTGCGCGGGGGGTTGGGGTTGGACCGAGCAGTGGGCGACTCGCCCTGGCCAACAGTGATAGTGTGCGACTTGTAGGTCGCGTCGCCGGTGCCAGCACCCTTGACTGCCTTGATGCCAACCTTCTTGTCCCTCTTCTTGGCATACTCAATGTTCGCGGCCACGTTGACGGCAATGTTGCCGCCGACCTCGGTGAGAATGACACACGTGAGCTCGGTCTTGAACGAGCAAGTCATAACCGGGTCACCCTCCTCGCATGGGTTGACGTTGAGGATGATAAAGTCGTCGCGCAGGTTGGTCATTGAGATGCCGCGGATGGTGACGAGAGGAATCTTGCGCTCCAGTGACGTGGTGACGCGTCCATCCTTGGCCGCCGAGACGACAATGTAGAATGCCTTGTCGGTGACGATGAGGAAGCGAGGCGAAAGCTTTGACGAGCGACCAAGCTTGGACACGAGGAGATCACCACGCGAGCTGAACGAGACAACCTCGGAAGACGAGATGCCGGCGGCGTTGCGGAGCAGCTCACCCTGGGGGGAACGGCCGTTGACATCGAGGTAGTCACCCATAAACTTGCGCATGCCAAGAAGCGAGAAGCGGCGGCGCTCCTTGCGACCAGCGAGAACGTCGTGGCCATAGTCGCGCTTGGCGGCGTAGACGAGGTTGTCCTTTTGGCCACGCCAGAAGCGCTGGATCTTGATCGCAGCCTCGACCTTGCGACGGACGTAGGCACGCCACGCGCGCTGGATACGGGTGGCCATGGTGTGCCAGTAGCGATCGCGCTCGCCTTCGAGGTAGAAGAGGGTCTCGGGGTTTTTGATAAACGCCTTAGTGACACCCATCTGCCACTCGTCCTTGGAGATGCGTGCATCGGAAAGGATGCGCTCACAGCCAGACTTGGCATCGCCATCCCAGATGTAGTCGCCAGCGTACGACGTCGAGGGAGACAGGAGGTAGAAACGCTCAACCATCTTCTGGAACTCGGCACGATAGGCGAAACCAGCACGACGGACGCGAATGTTTTCCTGGAGACCAAGGTACTTGATCTGGTGGAGAATCGCCTTGTCGTCATACTCCTTGGCAGACCGGTTCTGGTTGGGCTTGATGGTACGGATGTAGTGGGGCTGGCACTGCATGAGGTTGGTGACGAGGTCGTTGGCGGATGCCTTAATCTTGTCACCAGCAGTAGGGGGACGCTTCTTGGAGTCGTGGTCGACCTTGTCTGGGAAGAGGGTGCGGAGGAAGGGGTCTGTGCTTCCCTCAATGAGGTTGAGAATGTCCTTGCTCAGCTGGTCCTTGTTCTTGTCGGTCATACCCGGGACGTTGTAAAGCACATCACCGGCGTAGTGCTTGATCAGGAACTTGTTGCCGCGAGACTCAAAGTTGGGGTTGGAAGTGAGCATGCCCGAGCGCTGGATGAACGAGTTGTCGGCCGCAGAAGGGTCGGCGTGGGCAGTAGCGGTGGCATCGTTGAGGGTGGCAAAGATACCGGCAGGGCGCTTGCCTTCGATAAGCTCACACACAACGGCATTGTCAAAGACTGAGGGAGGTCAGCAAACGGAGCGACGGCTGTAAACACCTACACTTGATGGGAGTCCACTTGATCTGTTCGTTGACATACTCCTCCTGCTCAGCCTTGAGGGTCAACTCGATGAAGATCTGCTGCAGCTTCTCGTTGACGTAGTTGATGCAGAGCTGCTCAAAGCTGTTGTCCTGGAAGATCTCAAAGCCGCTGCTGGGTCAGCAAACAAATGGGCGGCTGCGGTACCTACTAAATGTCAAGAACACCAATGACATAGGACGACTGCTGTTGGGGCTTCATGGATACGTTGACGCGCGAGACGATCCAATCGAACAAGTTGTTGTAGAGGGCCTTGGCAAGCGCGTCACGGCCAGACTGCGCCTGGGATACGTTGAGGGGCACCTCGTAGACCGAACCTGCAATGTCAGCTCGTACAAGTCACGAAGCTCACCTCTGCGGCCACCACGCTGGGTCTCCATGATACGCGTCATGAGCACCTTTTGAATCGCCGCGGAATCAGTGTTCATGAGGTATGCAGCAAAGTCGGTGACGCCAGGGTCGACGATTGCGGCGTTGCCGTCATCGCCCTCCGCAAACTGGACGTTGCCGATCCAGAGAATGGTGGCGAGGACACGGAAAATGGACGTCTGCTCCTCCTGGGACAGACCGATAATGTCCATGGCCTTGATCGTGTCGGCAAAGTCCTTGACATCGTCAATGCTTGGGACATTGAGACAACCGCTGGTGCTGGTGTAGGCGTACGCCTCGGGGCCTTGCAGACCAAACTCTTCTGTGGAGGTTGTCAGGATCTACGACCGACGTGAGGCGATGGCGTTGTACGTACCCCTCTGCTGCGGAGAAGCGCCCTTTGTGAACTGGTAGAAAATGTGGAAGTCACGCTCGTTCTTAATCTGGCCAACGACACGGTTCTGGGGGGTCAGAATGTAACATGGGAGTCCGTACCCACCTTTTCCAACAGATAGTTGGTGATCTGCGCACCGACAGGCTGGCCGAGGTTGTTGAACATGATCTCGAGGTACTTGCCGTGACGCGACGAGTTGTCATTCCTCAATGTCTTTGCGCAGCCAAACGACTCGAGAAGCGGATTGGTAGCGAGGACCATCTCCTTGACACCCTCGATACCACTGCCGTCGCCGCCTGACACGGCTGCAATGTACTGCATGATGCGCTTGGCGGCCTCGGTCTTGCCTGCGCCCGACTCGCCGGAAATGATCACACACTGGTTCTCCTTTTCGGTGGTCATGCGGTAGTAGGCTGCCTCGGCAACGGCGAAGACGTGTGGGGGCACTTCGAGACGATTCTTGCCACGGTACGTGTCCAGTACTGCGTCGGTGTAGATGCCGAGGTCTGTAAAAGGGTCAGTAACCGATCGTATGGCCGCCGCCGCCGCCGGCAGTCGTCGTGCGGTCGGTGTCAGGACGCACCTCGGAACGGGTTGACAGAGATAAGCACATGGGCGATGTAGGTCTAAAGGTGTCAGCTATAGCAGCGTCTACCTGGCAGCATCCTCACGTAGATCTCCTGGTTGAAGAAGCGAGCCTTGAGGTTTTCATTGATGGCCTCGTTGGTGATGGTGGACAGGAGGGTCATGTCCTGGACACCCGCGTGCTTCTTCTTCTGAAAGCCCTCGGCCCAGTCTGCCTTTGCATGTCAGCTTTAGAAGCTTAAGAGTCGAGAGCGTACCTTTGCGACTTTTGATGGCTTGGCCACGCCGCTGCTGGCGAGCAGGCCAGTGACCTTCTTGCCCTTCTTACCCCCGATGGCCTGCGGAGACGAGTCAGTGCTGCGTGTGCTTGTGAGGTGGAGGGCAGGGCGGGGCGACTGACCATGACTGGCTGAGGTCTGTGACGGGGAGAGGGGGAGTGGAAGGGGAGGGATGCTGCTAGGCGTTGAGGGTGTGTCTAGACGAATGACGATGGAAAGAAAGCAGGACAGGAAAGTGAGAAGAGTTTGGAAATGGAGAGAGACGACGACGGAAAGGTGTGCACTGCCTGTCGTCGTCGTCGTCGTCGCAGTGGGCGGCGGTGGTGGGTTGTGGGGCTCGTCATCGCCCACCCAGGGAGACACACACATTGGCTGTGGACGGAATCAATTTGGGATGAATGCATATGCCGCCTGGCCGCCTGTGTGCCCCCGCCCGCCCCGCCCAGCCCACAGCGCGCGCTCGTTTGCCGCCTGTTCATTGATCCACACTCCAGCATCCCATCTCCCACATCCACCCCCATCCCCTTCTAATGACCGCCGCAGCCAAATCACGACACGAATCCCATCAAAGACTCGTCCATCCACAACAGCACCTCCAGCAGGGCGCCGCAAACGGATACAGAACAGCGTCCCCGGCAATGGCATCCTTACAGTCCTCCAGCAGGCAGCAGCAGGCAGACTATGGCATTCACGAGGTGCGTCTCCGCCTTGCCTTGCCTTGCCTCCCCAGTTGATTTGCATGTTGCTCACGTTACAGGTCTGGGCAGACAACCTCGAGGCCGAGTTTGCCTCCCTCCGCGCAGCAGTAGACAACTACCCCTTCATCTCAATGGTGCGTGAGCTGGTTCACGCTGCAGCTGGCAGCTAACGCACACATTGCAGGACACCGAGTTCCCTGGTATCGTCGCGCGACCAATCGGCACGTTCAAGACGGGCTCCGACTACCACTACCAGACCATGAGGTGCAATGTCGACATGCTCAAGATTATCCAGCTTGGCGTCACCCTGTGTGATGAGAACGGACACTCGCCCGAGGGCATGACATGGCAGTTCAACTTCCAGTTCAACCTCAACGACGACATGTACGCGCCCGAGTCGATTGAGCTGCTCAAGAACTCTGGCATCGACTTTAAGCGCAACGAGGAGGACGGCATCGACGTCGAGTACTTTGGCGAGCTGCTGGTGACCTCTGGCTTGGTGCTGTTCCCCAACATCAAGTGGGTCTCGTTCCACTCTGGCTACGACTTTGGCTACCTCCTCCGCATCCTCACCTGCGAGCCCCTCCCCGCGACCGAAAACGACTTTTTCCGTCTCCTCTTCATCTGGTTCCCGTGCATCTACGACATCAAGCACGTCGTGCGTTCCGTAAAGACCCTCCGCGGCGGTTTGCAGGAGATTGCAGAGTCCCTCGGCGTGCAGCGGATAGGCCCCCAGCACCAGGCCGGCTCCGACTCGCTCCTCACCGCCGCCGTCTTCTTCAGGATACGCTCGACGTATTTCAATAACGAGCTCGACGACAGCTACTACAAAAACTACCTGTATGGCTTTTCGTCGGGCCGCACCCGTCCACCAGGCGAGACGACCAAGCCGCCGTCCCCGACCCCGGCGGCGCAGCTTCTCTCGGGCGAGAAGCCCTACTAGAGTGATTGTCACACTACCTTTGTAAACCTCTGAGATACCCCATCTCCCCACCCCACCCCACCCTCAGGCGTGCCATATCATATTGCTGCATGCATGAGCCTGTAAAATTGACCCCCCAGCCTAAAAGTAAAAAAATGTTGATGTTGTTGTTGTCGTTAACTAAGTATAAGTGTCTCGCCGTGTGGCAAACTGGACAAGACGGCGGAACTCGCCAAACGTGCGTGGCGTCTCTGTACGGTTTGGATCTGGCGAATGGTTGTCCGTCGAGGAGCGGTTGAGGAGGGAGGGAAGCACGCCGCCGGACCCAGACGGCAATGTGGGCGAGAAGAGCGCCGCGACAGGGATGACATTGTTGTTGGCTGCTGGGAACGCGTGCGCCGCCGCTGCCGCCGACTTGTCCGAGCCTGGGTCCATGTCCAGACCCGTGAGAAAGGACGTGTCTGCCAGGTCGTCCTTTGTGGACGTGACAGACAGGAAGATGTCGACGAGCTTTTGCTGGTCGCCGCGCGGTGTGCCCTTGAGGTCGAGGATCTTTTGAAAGTTGGTGAACGACCGGTCGCCAATGAGCAGACAGTAGTTTTGCACAAAGCCCTCGGGCACCTCGTCGGGCGCAAGCACGACCTTGAGCATGGTCTCGAGCTGGCCCGTGTTCTTGGTCACATATTTGGTGTACCCGTTGACCGAGTTTTCCGGGTGCGGCTCGGGCAGGTCGAGGAGACACGCCTTGACAGCCTGCACATCGAGAAGGATCTGCTCGGCGCCAATCTTCCGGAGTGGACGCGACTTGACCACCGACTGAGTGAACCGCGTAATCACCAGGCCAACCGTCTTGTCCGCAAAGTTGCGGATATACTTTTTCGACTCTATGCGCGTCCGCACGCACTCTGCCACCTCCTTGATACTGCTCACCAAGTCGACGACGTAGGCGGAGCGGCCCGATACATTTTCCAAGTCGCGCCATGGCGTCTTGAGAATGGCAGCAAACGCAGGGTCGCACGCCGTCTCGAGCTCGCGCAAAAGGTTGGTGATGCACGTGGCCATGCACGAGGTGAAACCGTCTCGTTCCTCTTGGAAAGACACCTGGTCGCGGAGGTCTCCCCGGACCTTGTCCTTGAGGCGCTCCTCGAGTTGCACAGACGTGTTGAGGCAGTACTCGGCCGTGTTGAGGACCAAGCAGGCATTCTTGACGTCTTGCAGTTGTACCCCACTGCCGCGTCCTTCAAACGACTTGCGCACATCTGACTTCTTCATGCTCGATAGCAGGACGTCGTCGCAGTACACCTTCAGCCACTTGCCAAACACCTTGCCGAGCTTGACCATGGCGTCGCCTGACGTGTACTTGGAGCACTGGTCGAGGGTCTGGCCGTAGACGTAGAACAACTCGGTCGAAGAAGGCAGCACTGCGGGTCCGGCATTGTCCTCCGTCTCGATCATGACACCCTCGAGTGACGACCGCGATCGGGCGCCGCGGTACTGCGACAACATGTCGGCGATCGCCTTGTCCTGCGCATCGACATAGACACCAAAGTGGGTGTCGAAAATGGACGAAATGGTCCACTTTGACGAACTCGACGACGGCGAAATGCTATTGACAGTAACGTCCTCGAACGGCATGGCGAACCGGCGCGAAAAGGCGCCTTCAAAGTCGAGTGTCGCCTGGAGGGCGTCGAGGAGGACGCCGACGTTCGGGACCGCCTTGCCGAGGACATTGGCCAGGTCCACGCGCGTCTGCTCGGCAAAGCTTGCCACGAGCAAGCGCGTCACCTCCCACGACGCCGGGAAGAGCGCAGCGTGCTCCTCGTCGTGCTGCTTGAGCACGCGGCGGAACCAAGCGTATCGTCTCGGCACGTTGTCGAGCTGGCCCGCCTCGTCCGTGCTCCGGAAGATGCGCCGGTACTCTGCCAGCTGGAGCTGGAGGTATCGCTCGATAATGTGCTTGCGGTAGTCGCCGCCCAGAACCTCAATGACGAGACAGCTCTCGGCCACAATTCGCAGGTCGGGCGGGTGGTTGGGGTCGTTGCGGAAGCTGGCCCCGTCAGCAAGAGCAACGGCCAAAACCCCAGCGACTTACAATGTCTCCATCTCCACGTTCACCTTCTCCTGCACGGCCTTGCGGTCACTCTCGGCCGCCTTGAAGACAGCGGCCACCTCGGACACAGTCGTGAGCGGGCGCAGGGGCTCCAGGAGCTGCATGACGGCGGACAGGGACGACGCCGTCTCCTTGTACCGCTTTGTGGGCACGAGCTCGCGCAGCTGCTGATGTGCGTGTTCTGGACCGTCAGTGGATACTCTCGAGTAGCGTCGAGCAAGCTGGCCGCATCTGACGTGTGCAGCTTGCACTGTGACGACACTCACTCAGCATCCCCCATCGCTCAATCGTCTGCATTGTCCGTGTGAGGTTCCGCTTGGCCACGTCGAGTCGCTGGATATCGCTCGTGATAGCCTTCACAATCGCCTCGGCCTCGGCGGCCTTCTCTCTAATCGCGTTAATCTGCTGCATGAGGTGCTAACCGAGTGTCAGTTGTGCGGATCTCCAACTCCAAGAGCATGCAACTCACTCCAATCTGGCGCTGGATATGGCCCATCCGCGCGGGGTCCTGGTCGCGCCGGAGTTCGCCCTTGAGCCGTGCGACCTCTTCGCGCACGTCGAGGATCTCAAGCTGGAGTCGCGCATGGATCTGCTGGTGATGGGAGAGTGCCGTTGCTTTGAATGTCAGCATGCGTCTTGGACAGCGAGCTGGACGCGGGCGAGTCCGATATGGGGGAGAGCACACCCCTAGAGGGGCCTCTATGCCAACCACCCAACTCGGATCCCACCCCGCCGGCAACGGGTCTGTACTCACAGTCGCTAAAGTCGCTCGCGAGGCGCGCCATTGCCTGAGTGACGGCCATGCTGCCCGCGACGTCGACCTGAGCCATGGTGTGGTTGCGTAAGTGGACGCGACGTCGACGTGCGGAGGTGACTTGAAACGAGACCGAGCCGTTGGCGTGGAAGGTCTCCCACGGTCGGCTCAGATTGTGCTATGACGACGCCCGACACATCCAGACGCGTCCCACATCTTCCTTCCACTTACAAGCCTGTTCTCCACAGCCCAGCTCACTCCAGCCGCCATGGGCGCGTTCGACCCCGTGCAAACGTTCGAAAAGGGCACATACATCGGTTAGTTGTTTGACCGACTCACAACTGACACGCCCAGAAACGGACACGGGCAACAAGGTCTCGCGCAAGGCCACCATCCTCGGCGCGACCAACATTATCCTCGGTGGCAAGAGCATTATCCAGACCCGTACGTCGCCTCCTTCGCAGCTTCTCATCCAAGATTCCTCATCCCAAGCTGACATGTTCTCCCCAGGTGCCGTGATCCGCGGCGACCTCCGGCGCTCGGCGCCGGGCCAGCACGTCGTCATCAGCATGGGCCGCTACTGCCTCGTCGGCGAGGGCGCGGTCCTCCGCCCACCGGGCAAGATCTACAAGGGGGCTTTCACGTTCTACCCCGTTCGCATTGCCGACTTTGTGCATATTGGCGCCGACGCCATCGTCGAGGCGGCGAGTATTGGCCATGGAGTGGAGATTGGCGCTGGAGCCATTGTCGTGAGTCTGGCGCGCGCAGGAAGGCGGGGGGGTGGGGGTAAAGGGTCAAGGGCAAGAGGGCAGATATTCCCAGCTTAACACTCGTTGATGTCGGGCCTCGAGCTGGGCAGCGTCCCCCTCCCCCATACCGCTTGGAGCCTCTCGCTCACGCCCACGCTCTCGCTCACGCTCACGCTCCGCACAGGGCAAGTTTTGCATCATCAAAGACCTCGTCCAGATCCTCCCAGACTCGGTCCTGCCCGACGGCGCCATCGTCCCCTCCATGACGGTGTGGGGCGGCAACCCAGCCCGGATGCTGAGCTCCCTGCCAGAAACGTACCAGGAGACCATCGAGGAGCGGTGTAAGAGCTACTACCAGCGGTTCCGTGCCGTGTAGAGACATAGCGCGTACCCCGTCGTTGGTTCCCATCTTGCTCTGTCCCTTCGCTTCTGTCTCTCTCTCTCAATATCCCTCGCTATACCCGGCATCTCCAGTATCCCCACAGTTCTCCGTCCCACTTGTACAAACTAATGCATATGTTTACGCCACGGCCAGCCAGTCAAGGCAGCAGAGCCTCACTGCCACACTCGTGCTCCGCGTCACAGAGCAACCAACAGTCAACATTACGCCATGTACGGAAGCTCCCTGATATACACAGTTGCGTCTCGCACATCTTCCTTCTTTCTTTCTCTCTTTCTTGTCGTTTCTTCACCCATCCCGGGCCTCGGGAGTTGCGTGGGCGTGGAAATTTCCGTTCGTTTGTTGTTCGTTAATTATGTTTTCTCGTCTTGTTTCGTTACACGACTGCGTCTCGTGTCGCCCTAGTTGTGGTCGAGGTCGACGCTTGCGCGGGACGAGCCAATGCTCCAGAGGGTGCTGATGCTCGCGCGCGCCTTGTGGTGCTCTGATGGGGCTGGGGCGATCACCTCACCGTGCGGGCCCGCACTGTACGCCGTGCTCGGGGCACTGCTGCCCGTGCCAGACGAAAAGGACTGGGACGACGAGCGACGTCCGGCGCGACGGGTACTGATCTTGGGCGGGGACGTGTACATGGCCATACTCTTTCCCTCTGCGATGAGGCGGGCCTGCTCGCGCTCGCGGGCATCGTATGCGCGCAGAGCGGCGGCGGTCGCCTCGGGGTCCTCGGACGGTTGGTCGCTCAGGTCAACGAGGCCCTGGAGGATAGGGTCAGTGCCACCGAGCGTCATGGACAGACGGGCCAGGGGCGTCGCCCCGGCTGTCTCGGGTGGGACAGCAGTGGTGACGGGGGTGGGCACGGGGACGGTGGGTGCTGTGGCACGCGACAGACGGCGTGTGAGCCATCCGACAGCACCCGTCGAGGTGGTCGGGGTCGTGGTCGATGCGGCGGCCGGAACGGGGTCGACAGCCGGAAGAGGGGAAACCTTGTCCCATGGAGACTCGGTGTGCTGCGTACCATCAGGGGTAGGGATGGATGCAATGCCCATAAGCTTGAGGGTAGCCTCCATGCGGTGACGCTCGCGGCGATCCTCGTCATCCTCCTCCTGAGGCTCCAGCTTGCGGGCCACACTGAGAACGGGCGACGGTGTCGACGTGGTCTTGGGCGGGCTGGTTCCAGCGTTGCTGTTGGTGGCGGCAGCGGCAGCGGGGACGACAGGGACAGACGACGCGGAAACAGCACGCGACGCGAGCTGCAGAGGCTTGAGCTGTGGCTTGGACTCGACCTTCTCAGGTGCTCCAAAGCCAAGAGAGCGAAAGTCGATAGAGAAGGTACGACGAGACTGAGAGTTAGAGGGAACGAAAGCTGCTCCAACTCACCTTCTTCTCAGCTTCCTTTTTAGGGGGAGCCAATTCGAGAACCTTGTCATCGGCGTCTGGAGTAGCGACTGGGACAGGTGTCGACTGGACGATCATACTCTGAGGGCGGGCCTTGGCCTTGGCCTTGGTCTCCTTTGGAGGCGGGTTGACAGGCAGGTCAACTGGCGCAGGAATGTTCACAGGGCGAGGGCGAAGAATAGGCATTGGGGGTGGGCCATGCTCCTCCATGGACTGTGCGAGTTCCTCAACACTGGGGCGGCGCTTGCTGCCAGATACCTGGCGACTAGTGCCGCGGCGGGTGCGATAGTCGACGGACAAGACGTGTTCGTAACCTTCCTGAGCGATAATGCGGTCAAGGATCTGTGGGTTTGTTAGCAGGAAGGTCTCAAAGTAAGTTGGATAGGTGCCTACCTTGGAGCAGTACAGCGACAAGGCCCTGTTGGCCTCCTTGAGGCTCTTCATTTCATTGCGGAGAGACTCCACCTCGACGCTCTGTGGAACGGCACTGAGCTCCATGGCCAGCGACCCGTTCATGGGCGGTGGGGAAGACCTGTCCGCAAACTGGCCACGGTTCAGCTGCTGGCTCAGAACGCGGTCGCTCTCGTCAAAGATGGGCTGCTGCATGTCGAGATCGGCGTGGAGCTCGTCCATCTCCATCTGCTCTTCGAGAGTCTCGAGAGCATTGGGCTCCTTGCGTCGAATCGACGAGAGGTACGGCGTGGAGGCCTCGTCAGGGAGTCCGAGCAGGCCGCCGCGCATGGTACCTGCAAGGGTCCGCTCCTCGATGAGAAGCTGCCAGCTGTCATTCTCCTCCTGGAGACGGCCGTTGTCGGCCTTGACCTCGTGCAGCTCGTCAGCCAGAGTGGTGAGTTGCGCCACGAGCGTCTGGTGGGACACGGTGAGTGTCATGAGCTCCTCTTGCAGCGCTGCGTGGGGCTCTCCATTGCCCGTTCGCGCCACGCGCTCGGTCGACAACGACTTGATGCGCTGGTGGAGATGTTGAAGCTCGGCATGGTGAACAAGGCGCTCGGCCTCAAAGGCTTTTTCCTGTAATAGGGCATCAGCACAGCACAAACCCCATCGCACGGGTGAGTGTCCGGGTGTTCACGCACCTGGTCGGCATAGCGGCGGTGACCTTGGCGTGTCAGGCGCTCTGCGTCGGCAATTTGGTTGCGGAGACGGTCGACACGGTCGTTTGCTGCCTCGAGCTCTGCTTCCAAGGCCGACTGCTCGTTGAACGCCGTATCGTATTTGGCCAACAGCGCTTCGTTGGCCTTGACCAGCTCTTGGTTGCGGTCTTGGTGGGTCGTGCTCACAGTGTCGAGCTCTTCCAGGCGTGCCAGCAACTACGTCGTCGTCAGTGCGTCGTCCGGTGGTCTCTCGCGGCATACGGCGACCCCGATTGAGCATGTTGCCGCACATACCTTTTCGCGGTCTGTCCATTCCCGGCGAAGCGCGTCCTGCAGGGCTTGTCGGCTTGCGCGATGGAGCTCGTCCTCTGTGCGGTCCTCCACGATGCCAGTGTAACGCTCGAGCGACTGGCGCCCCGAGCTTGTCGATGAGGTGTGCCCGCGTTCCTTGCGGAGTTGGTGGTCAATCTCGTTCTGCATGCGCGAGCGGGGGGTTGGAGTTGTCGTCGTGGAAGTGGAAGCGGAGGAGGTCTGAGGGTTGGACATGCGTTTTGAGCGTATGCGGGTAGGAGGAGTGGGTCGAGAGAGAGCAGAGATGGGGGAAGCGTCGGTGGGGGAGACTGCGAGTCCAAGACGGACACCGCTAGCGGTAGTGGCCATGGTGGTGGCAGGTAGCAGAGGGGGGTCGTGTGCGGGGCGTAACGGGGAGGCGGGTGGGTGACCTAGAGGCTGATGTCGTCGTGGTGGGGGTGCATGAAACCTTGTGCGAGGTGTTGAGTATGAGTTGTGTACAAGACGGGAAAAGCGTGTGTAGTATGTGGTGGTGGCGTGGAGGGAGAGAGAGAGGAAGAACGGGGTGGGGGGGAGGTGCGATTAGAAGAGAGACACGTTAAAGATCAAAAGGACGATTTCCCATATTATCTCGCGCGCCCACACAAATAACACGGACACGGGTGGACTTTTGGGTGGGTGTGGGTGCCTTTTCTGAAACTCGGGTGGCGTGTGGTCGAGGCCAGGTCGCGTCCACACAGCCCAGGGTGCAAATGGACACAAACAGGGCAATTCACGCGTGCAGCACCAACACAAACGGCCACGTGTCAATCACGTGACTTTAATAATTGACGTGTCATTTATTGGGGTTGATCATGATAACCCGCATTCGGTCCACTCTCTGCTCTGTCTTGCGCGCATCACGCTTACGGGTTTATTGTTTCGTGTACAGTAGTAGCACATCAGTGGTGGCAAATCAACAGCTGCTACTCTCCACCTCACAGCCTTACCCATCACATCGAGGAAAACCATCACACCAATGTCGGCTCTCACAAAAGATCAATTGAGTCGCCTTCAGGTAAGTAGTGGATTCGTCTCACGCGAGCTTTTGGAGCTCGCCTATGGCAAACAAGTCCTTCGTCCGTGACGCCATCTCGAGCTAACACTCCATCAGGACGATGTCCAACTCGAACTCCAGCGTCGAGAGTGGGCCGAGCCCGACGGTAAGCCTTTACCCTTTCCTATCCATCTGCTGACCTGCAGACACCGTAATGGCCGAGTACGTCTGTGTACTTCTTGGTAAGTGGAGCGTTCAAGTGGAGGGAAGAACACATTACTGACTGTGTTAGCCAACGGCAACCCCCGGGGTACGTCTTTCAAGATCACCTTATGATTGAGTGGACACTGACTTTGCAATAGACCGCGTCAAGTCCGAGATGGAGGACCGTGAGTGATTGCTGGAGCTCGGTTACGAGGAAGCTTCGCTGACATTCTATCATAGTTGTCGGCGCCGACTTTGAAGACTCGTTCCTCGACTGGCTGTTCATCAGCCGTGATGCCCTCGCCCAGCCGGCGCCTACCGTCGCCGCTGCTGCAGCCCCCGAGACCGCGCCTGCTCCCGAGGCCACATCTGGTCGCCCCAACTCTGATGGTCCCGGGGCTGGTTCCCGCATGTTCGCCTCCGCTGTCGAGGGCACCAAGCGCAAGGCCGACCCCATCCCCGAGGAACAGAACAAGCGCCGCCTCCCCGATGCTCCTCTCGGAGCGTCATCAGCACCGTCTGGCCCCCGCGCAATGCAAGGCCACGCTCCCCATGGCGGCCGTACTCTCGCAGACAGGTTGGGGCCTCGTGGTGGACCAGCACAGCGTGGCGGCTTCAACGTGCGCGGTGCCGCAAACGGCGGCCGTCCTGGCCAGTTCCCGGGTGGTCCCATGGCAGGCGCGTTCCGTCCTCAGTTCCAGCAGCAGCAGCAGCAGCAGCAGCAGGGCCAGCAATTCGGCTTCATGCCTGGTCAGCAGGAGATGATGATGCAGATGATGGCCATGCAGGCCAACATGGCTCAGATGGCGGAACAGATGGCCATGATGGCAGAAGTGGGTATTCATTGTTCAGAAACGAGCTAACCCACCCCAGGAGAAGGCGCAAGGCCCGCGTGCTGTCAGGCCGCCCAGGACCACACCCGTCAAGGTTCCGTCTGGCACCAAGCTGGGCGGTCACGCCGTCTCCGCCATCCAGCCAAAGTCTGGCTCCCTTGGTCCCATTCCCGACAAGCCAAGCTCGACCGCCCTGTGCAAGTTTGGCGTCGGCTGCAGCAACGCACGCTGTACATACTCGCACCCTTCACCTGTCGCGGACGAAAAGACTGGCATGGTGTTGAGCGAGGAAGCTTGCGAGGCAGGCAAGAACTGCAAGGACCCGGAGTGTATTGAGAGCCACGTGAGCCCAGCAGCTGTCCATGGCGAGACCGCTGGCCCCAGCCGCATGCTCTGCAAGTACCAGAACTGCACAAACCCCACCTGCCAGTTCCGTCACGAGGACGCCGACGGCAACTTTATCCCTCCCCCGGCCCAGACCAAGACTCCAAACCGCGTCTCATTACCCGCCACTTCGGACAGCAGCAACGAGGTCGTCATGAAGCCTAGCCTCGACGTCGCCCTGGACAACACCTCGACTGCGCGCCCGTGCCGTTACGCTGAGAGATGTACGAGGGGTGAGTTTATTTGTCTCTGAACAGCTCTTGTGGAATCCGTCCTGACCGTATCAGCCGACTGCAAGTTCTCCCATCCGGCTTCCCGCCCGGCTCCTCGTGGAGGCCCGGCCAAGCGCGGCGGCGCGCCCTCGAGCTCGCGCGACTCCATCGCGGGCGAGATGCGCAAGAGCACCAAGTTTGGTGCCCCCAGCGCGGCTCTCAACCCCGCTGCCGGCGAGTTCAAGCCCGCCGGTGCCGCTGAGGTCGACGCGGAGCTACAGGTCACGCTCTAGGTAGACAGAAGTAGAGATTTGTCGGTGTCGAAGGAGAGAGAGAGAGAGAAGAACAAACGTATCAGCATCACTTGTCATGTAGTTGGATGGGACCGCCATGTGGCGCCACTGTGTTCTTTCTACATTGTTGTTTCGCTGCGGCGAAAGCGTGAGGTGCACGGGACTGGGAGGAAAATGGATGCCCCTTGCTGGTATGTGGCCATGTGGCTGTGACCGGGTGTGGTGGCATTAGGCGTGTCTGCTTCCTCGTCGAAGACTCGGTCCACTTATGGAATTCACTTGCTGGACGCACACTGAACCAAGCGCAGAATACCTACCTGCCACGAGATAGTGGAGCCCGTTTCTTGAAACCAGGGCCGGTGGTGTGTCGTTGATGGAAGACGCATCACATTGTCGCTATTGGGAAGCAATTTAAATGTTCATTTTGCCGATCCCAATACAATACATGAGCGTGTTTGGGCAAATGTATTGAGAGGGGCAATAGAACATGCATTCGTAGTTGTGTCTGCACGCGATAGACACGGCCACAGGCCACAGGCCGCATTGCCAGTACGGCGCCTGTCAAGGCCATTGTCTTGACTTTTGTGTCCCGCGGCGCTGGCGGGTGTGTGGGTTGGCTCACTTTTCAGGTGTGCAAAATGCTTTCATAAAGGGTGGAATTTCCTATATTTCAAGATGTCCATAGGACAGTGGTATCATTCAAAAGTTGTAAGCTTTGGGTGTACCCACTGGGACCTACAGACTACACCAGGGGTGACGGTTCGATCCTCAGGATGGTTCGCCATAAAAAAGCGTTGGAGGTTCGAATCCAGTGATAACGCACCATCCTGATTAGAAAAGAATTCCTGGTAATAGAAGCGTCAAGGTTAGACTCCAATGAAACGACTTCTAAAACAGAAAAAATAAATAAAAAAAGAGTACCGGAATTACAACAACAGGATTATAAAAAATAAATAGAAAATCAGAAAAAAAGGTCAAGGAGGACCGGAGCCCCAGCTTTTTGCTAGTCACCGCAGTGTAGGTAATCCATGTGGCTGTCGCCCATAGCAAGTTATACCGTCTTTTGCTGGCCGGTGCGGCACGAGGCAGGTCAGTATGGATTGCGTCAAGCCAACTGACGGCTATCGTGTAAGCTAGGAGGGGTGGATCGTGTGCCTAAGTCTGGGACACTGCGACTGCGACTGACTGCAGTTATAGTCGACTGCGGTTACAGAGCACAGTCTGTGAGGGGATAGTCGATTCTAATTAGAATACAGTTTCACCGCTGATGAACGATGCCCGGTGGAGCCGACGCAATCGTGCAATTGCCTCGTTTGGACAGGTCCCTGTCCTGTAAAGATTGGGCTCGCAAGACCTCGCAATGATTCCATTTGGAACACTTAGGCACATTATTGTGAAGGACCGCTGTTGTGACTGACCGGTGACACCGTCTTCCTGACTACTTTAGGCAACCCGTTCCGTCTTTCTTAATCCCATTTCCCCCCAATGAAAGCAACGAGCCCTGTCATGGCTCCACCGGTCAGGTCTCAACGACTCGCTAGCCTGACCTCGAAGTGCAGAGTGGCGAATGAAGCTCCAGGCCGGTGGCGGCAAATGGGTCGTCTTCCGGAGAAGGCCTTGTTTTGTCCTGCGCCACAGGAAAAGCCCGTGGTGACCACATATGCCGAGGTTGCGTCGCATTGCACTGCTCCACGCGGTGACCACCCGAGTCTGGTAGCCAAGTTCTATTCTTCCAGCGCTTAGCCCACATCAACTGCCAGCCTGGGCTGTTCTCCCGCGAGCAAGGAGTCTGTGTGGAAAGTTCCGGCAGTTACGGCTCGGCAACAAGATGTCAATAGCTTGTCAACAATCTACCACACGGGGTTGCTGGTCGAATGCCCCGGCCACACGTCGACGAGCGACGCGCGACTCTCTGTGCAAGCAAGGACCGTGCCGCATACCGCGGGTGGGTGGTTCAACCCGCATGAGCAAGTTTGTTTGGCTGACGTAGTTTCAAGTGATGATGTGGCACATCGCTGCACTTCTCGTCACCGCAATACCCTACCCTCATCCTGATCATCCGTCCGCTGCTGTCCACTATCCGCAAACGACACATGCATGGCAATAACTAGCCAAAAAGGAAGGTCACGACGGGGATCGAACCCGCGATCTCCTGATAACGGAAGATTTAATCGTAGTCAGACGCCGTACCATTTGGCCACGCGACCTGCGATGTTTTGTCCTCTGGTGCGTTGACCACGATGTTTCGACAGTTCAACCTGTGACGATCTCGTGCCTGCAGGAGAAGAGAACTAGGCCCGATCGGACTTCGTACTCTCATTCCATGTATCCCTGGCATTTTGACATGGATGACGACAGTATGGACAGTGTGGAGCAAGTGGCCTCCCACATGCTATCCCCGGGGCGGGTGCAGTGGACAAGCGTGCGTCTTTGGTGTGCTCTGTGAGATCCTTGCAGCAGAGGCACGCCGTGCACCAACATGCCGGATGCAGGCCATGTTCGGCACAAGGCCTTGCGTTCTTCAGCCACCTTCGTCGGCGGCTTGCTTTGAGACTGAGTTTGACCTGAGCGTCCAGGCCAGATGCGCGCAGATGGTGCCCACTCCTGACGTCCACGGAATGCGAGGTGCTTTGCCTCAACGTAATCCTCTCGGCGTCCGCCGGGTCTGCCTCGTGTACAGAATACTACGGGCAGTGTGACAAACAGCAAGGCTAGTTCGCATGCTTTGGTCGCAACAGGCAGCAGCTGCATGTTTGCGCTGCCGGCCCGTTCGTGGAATCTCTGGTCGTCGTCGAACATGCCTCGTCACAAGCTTCGGCGGCACACGCGTCCACACGCACAGGCCACAGGCCGCCACCGCCACCGTCCATGTCCAGACCGAGAGGGAAGTGGGACGACGAGCAGGCATGTGTTGTTCCACGACAGTGTTGAGTGCAGAGTGGTGGTCAGGGAGCCCATGGGTGGGTGGTTGACAAACCGAGCAGCACAGTTCGGCGACTGAGTTGGCTCAGCCCTGTCTCTTCCAGCTCCCGTGGCCAGCATCTATGCGGCGGCGCCACCGTCACAGGAGAGGAATCAACATGATACAATTGCTGCGTTCCTCTGCCCCTCTGCCCCTCTCGCCTGTGGCCGCTGGTGGTGGTCCGGCCCATTTTGTCTGGGGCTCGGCGGATCCACTTCGGCGCTGCTGGCTGTGTCTGTTCGGTGGGCGGGCCTGCGTTCCGGAGGACCGAGCGCTCCGAGCGGCGTGTCATGGTGTCAGCTTGGCTCTCCGGGGGCGCACCACGGGGAGAGGCGACCGGGGGGGGGGGGGGGGGGGGGGTGGGCGAGGCCTTGCTGTGACAGAACGAAGCGGGAGTCAAATGTGGGTCGAGGCGGGTGGATGATTCTGAGGATTCTGGGATCTTGGAAACCAAGTTTGATTTGAGCCCATGCAAACCGGGCTGCTTGGCAGCGCTGGAACCTTTGGGACTGCTTTTGGTATGCTCCCACAAAGCAAGGAATGGGAAATGACTCTGTGGGTGCAGCATTGCGGGGTTGCAATAGCGCAAGAAACAGCGAGATCCACACCATTCCCTTGTTCTAACAGGTGTTATTTGCCTCCGCGCACCCCCACACCACACCGTCTGTGCTCCTTACTCCGGCTCATTCACTTCACTAATCCACCATCCCTGGCCACCCGTTTCTCCACTACCTTTACTCTTGTTACACACACACACACGACAACTGCTCCCCGCCTCACCTGGCGTGCTCGCTGTACTGTCCACCACCCTGGCGTCCACTCTCCGCACCGCCATCGCCATCGCGGTGACACACCACGTCTTGTCAGCCGCCGCTTGACCCTCATTTCGTCCCACTCCTTGGCCCCTTCCCAACCACCACCGCCGTTGCGCCCCGACCTCGTGCTTACACATGAGCTACTGAGAGCCGAGGTCATGCCTTCAGGCGCAGGATTAGCGTCCAGGCCACCGCCGCTGGTGTCGCTGCCGTCAAGCTCGTCGTCGACGCAACCCAATACCGCCCAACCATCCCCTCCTCTCCGCACCCCGTGTGGCTCCGCCTTCCTCCGCCGTCTACACACCGACCCAAACGCGAGCCATGTCACCCTCACGTCTGCTGCCAGCAGCCTCGAGATTCCTTCCCAGATCAAGCCACTGTACACGGCCGCAGGCGTCTTTGAGACGTCAGTCTCGACTGCCAATTTGTTGACGACATCGCTGTGCGGCGAGCCAGCCGCTGCCGTCGAGACCCCAGCAGCAGCAGCCGTAGACCCACCATACGAGGACGATGATGACCCACGGGCGTCCCCGCACGTGACTGTGACATCACTGCCCCTGCCCCGACCGCTACCGCCAACACACCACTCGTCACTACCAGAGGAACTGCAGCCAGTGCGCCAAAGTTCATTTCAAGAACGCGTGGATCGAGCACCATCGGAGACTGTCAATCTGGGCGGACCATCCTCAGATCGAGCAGCCTCATTTGCGGCAGCCTCAACAGATGCGTCTCCTGAACTCTATTCGCAGCTGATCAGCGAACATCGCACGAGCTGGCAAGAGTTTGCTGCAGCCTACACCTGTGGCCGCTTCGATCCCGTTCGGATCCCTTACCCACCAGAGTTTGAGATGGCCGCCCGGTATGCATCCATCGGACGGTCCTCAAGCTCTCGAGCAGTAGCAAAGCCTCTCGATGCCGACACTTTCCACGCCCAGCCTGGCACAAGCCATCAAAGCACTACGGGAGCGGGCGCACAGTGCTCCGAGAAAACGCCGACTGTGTCGACGCCTGGACGGCAAAAGGCCTTTGAGCTAGAGAACTTGCCCAAGCCTCCCGTCTCAAAGCCGCCAAAGCTCACTCTGCCGGCCTACAAGGTCGCCGCAGCCACTATGCGACTAGCGTCATCCAACATACCCGACTCCATGTTTGCCCCCTTGTCGGTTCCTAGCCCAGAGCGGGAGCTGCTAGACCCCATGGCGTCGTTCATCTCGTCCGCAGCCACGAGTTCCAAGAGCAGCAGCGGCAGCAGCACCAACTCGGATCCCGGTTCTGGATTTGTTTTGAACCGCAGCATGTCAAGTATGTTTCCAGTCGGCACCCCACCACACGAGACATTACCTACCATTGAAGGAAGCCCAACCATTGAAGGGAGCCCGACTGGAACACCAAACGAGTGCAGCGATTCATACCACTACTCCGATAAGAAGGACATTGCAAGTGCTACTGTTGTTGAGGTTCAGCCAAGAGGTGCCCTCCATTCGATCCCTGCAGCCTCGGCACCCCTTCTGCAAACCGAAAGGCCTGAACCGGAAGAGTCGGCGGATGACTACTTCAGTGGACCCACAGTGCCAAAGGGCCCCGAGATTGAAGAGCCTGGCTCTCCTGTACCGGTTCCGACCGTGCATGCCTACCCACTTGTGCATCACCCCCACGAGATTGAGCCATTTTACCAAAAGTATGGTTTCCTACCGGCCCCTATGCCTCCCCGCGAGGCAGAACGTCGTAAGGCGCTCTACAGCTTCAATATCCTGCATACCGGGGGCGACGTCAACTTTGACCGTATCGTCCACATGACCAAGCTTGTGTTCAACACTCGCATGGTCTTCCTCAGCCTCATTGACTCGGACCAGCAGTGGTACAAGTCCCAGTCTGGCTTTGGCGGCTCACAGTCGCCTCGCATGACCGGTATCTGTGGACACTGTCTCTTGGTCAACAGCGACGAGCCATTTGTCGTCCTGGACACTCAACTCGACTGGCGCTTTGCCCGCAACCCCCATGTCGTTGGGCAGCCAAACATCCGCTTTTACGCTGGCGCTCCACTACGTACTTCGGACGGCCACAATCTTGGCTCGTTGTGCCTGGTCGATGACCAGCCCCGCTCCGAGTTCACCCCACGCTCGAGGCACATTCTCAAAGAATTTGCCGCCATCGTCATGCGCGAGCTCGAGTTGTGGCGCGACAAGGTGAGCGATGAGAGTCACCTTCAGAGAGAAGCAATCGTGATACTGACATTGTCTCACAGCTGCAGTTGCGTACGCGCGACAAGATCCAGACGTCCATGGAGAAGTTTACACGCGAATGCCTCGAGATTGACGAAAAGCTCACGTCGACCAACTTTGAGGCAGCGAGCCGCATGGGCCAGGTCTACCAACGAGCAGCCAAGCTGGTGCACACAACCTTGGACCTCGATGGCTGCGCCATTCTTGACATTAGCCAGTTTGAGCGCGTCGAGGTGCCGCTACCAGGTGGCGGCCACAGTGTCGTCTACCACGCCAACCCGTACCACGAGACTCAATCGGTGTTTGAGAGGGTGCAGACGTTTGACTCCGTCAATGCGTTCCCAGTACTGGCGTCAACTCCTGGAGATGTTCACACGAGGCCCTTGTCGCCCTTGGAACACGAGCGGATGGCAGCGTTCCTCGGTGACCAGCGCGACGGCAGGATCTTTGAAAACGTTGCGCCGTCGTGGATCAAGTACATTTTCCCATCAACGCTCAAGTATGGCATGGTGGTCCCAGTCATCGGCATCGACGGCCAACCGTTTGCGCTCATCTGTGCTCACACCCACGACCGCGGGAAACAGTTCCTGGAGGGTTACGAGCTCCAGTTCCTGCGTGCTATTGGTGTCATCATCTTGTCGGCCGTGCTGCGTCGACGAATGCTCATTGCCGACCGCAGCAAGAGTGTGCTCATATCTTCGGTCAGCCACGAGCTGCGCACTCCGCTCCACGGTATTCTTGCCGCGACTGAGCTCCTCAACGACTCGCCACTCGACACCAACCAGGCCGCGTTCCTGGGCACGGTCAAGACGTGTGGCATGCAGCTCATCGAAACCGTCAACCACGTCCTCGATTTCACAAAGCTTAACTCTGAGGCCAAGGGCAACGGGTCGCGACGACCTGTGCACTTGACGGAGCTCAATCTCGCCGAGCTGATTGAACAGACGGTGGAGAGCTGCTATGTCGGTCAGCGTGCACGGTGGATGCAGAACGGCGACAGCGATCTTGGAAGCTACTATGCGCCGTCCCAGAAGAACGGATCACCCGACCTAGCCGTCAAGCGTAATGGTGGCAACGTGATGGAGATTGAGGCCATTGTCGACATTGGACTGCGGCCTCAAGGCTGGAACGTGGCGTGCGAGAACGGCTCCGTCCGTCGCGTCGTCATGAACCTCTTTGGAAATTCTCTCAAGTTTACAAAGGACGGCTTTGTCCAGGTTGTGCTGCGCGAGATGCCTCATCCACCCGACGCCACGAAAATTCCCGTCGAGCTCATCGTCATCGACACGGGCAAAGGCATCGGCAAGACATTCCTCAAGGACCAGCTCTTTGAGCCGTTTACGCAGGAGAACCCATTACAACCGGGTACCGGCCTGGGTCTCGCCATTGTCAACAGCATTGTCCGCTCCGATGCGATGCAGGGCAGCGTCGACGTGTGGTCCGCCGAGGGTGTTGGAACCGAAATCCGCGTCCAGTTCGAGGTCGAGCTTCGAGAAGACCCCGTGAGCCTCGGCAGCAACGTCCCTGAATACCTCGCTGGCCAGGGCTACACCGTGGCGTTCCTGGGGTTCGACGTCGAGCACCGCGGCATCGCCTTAGTACGCGAGGTTCTGCAATCGTACGCCGAGTTTATGGGGTTCGAGGTGATCGATAATCCCGACCACGCGGACGCGATCATTGTGCACGACTTTGTCAAGAAGCGCACCGAGCAAGTCTACTCCAACAAGCCGCTCATCCTCGTTGCAACGCTGCGGAAATCGGACCCGGCGATTCTCGCAACCATGGGACGAGGAGCGTACACTGGTCTGGTTTACAAGCCCATCGGCTCCAGCAGTGTCTTGAGGGAGTTGATGGCCTGCGTGAAATGGCTCAAGGCCCCGACCAAAGCGAACAGCGGTCTCTCGGCCCTCACGGCCAAGATGACCTCGCTGTCCGTGGACGATGGCGAGAGCGGTCACTTACGGCCTCGCATGGTGTCCAACGAAAGCTCTCCATCTCACCTTTCCCTGGACGCTCGCCCATCGCCCCAGCCGCGCCTCCGAGACACTCGTACCACAGAGGTCAAGGCCGAGTCCATGTCCATGTTGTACCGTCGACGATCGGACGAGCGAGACATCAGCCAAGCCCCGAAGCGACCGGTGATGGCGCCACGAGGCCTGACGTATCACTCTGTTCCTCGGCCACCTCCCGCCATGGACGAGAACTCGGTTGGCGCACCAGAATCCCCCGCCGTCTCGCCCAATTCACCAAATTCCACAATCTCGCTGGCGGACGGTGGCGCCATGCTCAAGGCTGCGGCCTTCCCCGAAATTACGAGCGGACGTCGTCGACCAGCGCGGGTCATGGTCGTGGAGGACAATGCCATCAACCGGCGCGTGCTCACCGCCTTTCTGAAAAAGCACGGCTTCGAGCATATGGAGGCAGTGAACGGTGCCGCGGGCGTCGAACTGTTTGACGGCACCCCTCCCGACTACTGGGACGTCATTCTCATGGACATTACAATGCCGGTCATGAACGGCTACGACGCCACCAGGAGTATCCGCCGTATCGAGAGCGCTCGGCGGTTCAATAACAACAACAAGCACAGCCACGATAAGGGCAGCAGCGCTGTCAACAGTCCTACAATGCCGTCGCTCAACCCCCTGTCGTCCCACGCCAAGATCTTTGCGTTGACAGGTCTCGCTACTGTGGACGATAAACGGCAAGCCTTCGACTCCGGAGTAGACGGTTTCCTTGTCAAACCTGTATCTCTTGCAAGCCTGGATCTATTGTTTAAGAGTAAGTTGTAGAACAAGGCATCTTGTGAACCAACTGACACTGTCCGCAGAAATAGGCTTCTAGCTCTTCTAGTGTGTAGTTCTCTAGTGTATAGAAGGCGTGTCATACCTACACCTTACATGATATCCCCAATGCATGCGCACGCAAGGCATCTTGCTAGATATAGTTACAACTATGCGCGCCAAGTGACATGAACGGCGTCAGTGCGGAAGCTGCAGAGTTAGTGCTCACCCCGTGACCGTCGCAACTCACCGTTGGGTCACGCTCGTCTTCTTGATGTCCGTCGTCTGGCCCATGCGGAACGCAAGCAGGCCAGCTTGTGCGATCATGATACCGTTGTCAATCGCGTACTGGCCATCAGCCACTGTCCCAATCTGCCAAACTTTCAATACTCACACTGTCGTCGGTGCCGTACACGTGGCCGCCGCGCTCGGCAGCCATGATGCCCATCATCTCCTGCAGGCGCTGGTTACAACCGACACCGCCAACAATCAGCACGTCCGCAGCGCCCACGTGTGCCATGGCACGCTCCGTAATCTCGACGAGCATCGCAAACGTCGTTTCTTGCAACGAGAAACACAGGTCGTTGGGGGTGATCACGTCCTCGCCCTCCTTGATGGAGTCGAGCTTGTCCCACGACCGGTAGCGCTTGTCGTTGGTGTAGCCCTCCACGGCGGTCAGGATACCGGCCAGTGTGACGTCCATGCCCTTGGTGCCGTATGGCAGGGGGACGAGGCGCTTGCCCCTGGGGAACAATGTTAGCGGTGCCAATGTGAATAGAATGTGGGATGGAGACCGGCTGAAAGGTTGGGAAGGTGGACAGACGGCACATGCCCACAACTCGACTCACTTCTTGGCCTCCTGCTCAATGTTGTAACCAGGGCTGGGGTCGTTGCGGAGCTGAATCACACGCGCGAAACGGTCCAGACAGTTTCCAATGGCAATGTCGAGCGTCTCGCCAAAGATGCGGTAGCGCTGCTGGCTGTAGGCAATGACCTGGGTGTTGCCGCCCGAGACGTACAGCACAATCGGATTGGTCGACGAGGTAATGTGACGGCCCATCTCAATGTCTAGAGATGTTTGTTAGCATGGGAGCAAGAGGGTGGGTAGTGCTACTCACGGCCGACACAGTGGTTGACGCCGACGAGGGGAATGTTGTGCAGCAGCGACAAAGTGCGCGCGACCAGCGCGCCAACCTGGAGCGGTGTGCCCATACCGGGACCTGAGGATGAGCTTAGTGTCAAGCAGCAAAGCTCTAGCGAGCCGCGCGTTACGCGTGCTACTCACCCTTGGTGAAGGCAATAACATCGAGGTCGCTCATCCGCACACCCGCCTTGCGGACCGCCTCGCGAATGACGCGCACGACCCACTCGCGGTGGTGCCGCGCCGTGTCTGAGGGGAGGAAACCCTCACCAGGAGGGGTGATGTAAGTGTGACGGACGTTGGAGAGGACTGTGACGAGGGTGGCCTTGCCGCCGGGCGAGGGCGAGTGGGAGATGATGCCGGCGCCCAGCTTGTTGGCCGAGCCCTCGATACCGAGACACAGCAGTCGCTGAGCTGCAGTGAGTCAGCGAGCAAAACAATCTTATGATGTGCGCGTGCGTGCATACCTGGCTTGGTCAGTGGTGAGACTTTTTTGTGGCCGTTTTGTGCTGTCATTGTGGATATTGACGAAGTGGACGAGTTGAGTGGCCAATTTTCGGATAGGGACACACCCAAATGCCTGATCTCGGACAGCTGCGTGTGTCTCGGGGCAGGCGTCTGCAACCGTTTGATGACTGCAATGACCGTTCATGCAGCGAGAAGTGCATGTGCACAGTCGCCTTTTGGCCCCATTGCAACACAATAATCTGCATGCATGCCCTCTCACCCAGCTGGTGCTACGTGTAACGGTCGTGGTAGGCATAGTGGAGCATTGCCGGTTCCGTGGGCGGGTCCAAAAGAGGGAGCCACGAGACGCCGGCTGCTTCGGTCGGGTAAGTGACGTCGAGGGCCGCTTTTCATAACGTCGAACACTCCATCTCATCTGTGCATCCCACTCATGCGCATGCTCTGGGATCCTCTCTTCGAGCGCCTGTCCGACGTGGCAGGCGCACCGCCAGACCAGATCAAGGTGCGTCTTCATGACCTCGGGAGCCCGGAGCCAGCTGGCGTGTGGACGTGTGGTGCTATCCGCTTCACAAACGTGATGGAAACCCTCCGGCAACAACACGGGCGACCCCCGCCAGTGAACACCTGGTGACCACCGATCAGCATACCGGCATGCAGACGATAGCGGAGGTGGCCAATGTGGGAGCTGATGCTGACGCTGCATTAGATGATCGCGGCGCTGGTGCTTGCCTTCCCTCTCGCCGCCATCTTTGTGCGCCTGCCTGCCAATCGACCCAACCTCGCGCACATCTTCTCCCTCATCGTGACCACGTTCTTCCTTTGGCCCTTCCTTGGTCTCGGTTGGGGTTATCTCGAGCTCATCTTCAGCTGTGTCGTCACTTATGTGCTCGTTGCCACCCTCAAGGGCTCCAACATGCCATGGGTTGTGTTCTTGTAAGCCGAGTGTCCCATACCGCGCGCTTCTGCTGACTGCCCGGCAAAGCTTTGTTATGGGCCATTTGACTATCACGTAAGGAGTGGCAAACGGGGGTCGCCATTGTTTGCTGACATTCTAGGCATGTTCGTCGCGCTATCTGGGCTGTACCCGTCACCGAGATTGAGATTTCGGGCTCGCACATGGTCCTTGTCATGAAGCTCTCAACTTTTGCCTGGAACGTGCATGACGGTCGTCGTAAGACCGAGGAGCTCGACAACATGCAGCTCGCCACCCGCTTGTCAAGCCTCCCCAACCCACTGGCGTTCTTTGGCTACTGGTAGGTTGTAAAGCAGTGTGGGTCTCCTCAGTCCAGTCGCTAACAGCTCGCAGCTTCTACTTCCCCACTGTCCTCGTTGGCCCATCATTCGACTATGCTTCGTACGATGCGCTCATCAAGCACACTCTTTACACCACGCCGCCTCCCAACGCCAAGTCCAAGATCTCGGGCCGTACCCCTGTCGGCCGTCGTCGCGTCGCCTTGCTCCACTTTGCTATCGGCATCTTCTTCCTCGCGATCTTCTCCCTCCTCGGCGCCCGTGGCAGCTTTGAACGCGTCCTCACCCCGACATGGTACACGTGGGGCAAGGCTCAGCAGTTTGGATTTATCCAGTTCTGCGCCTTTGTTGCCAGGACAAAGTACTATGCCGTCTGGAGCATGTCCGAGGGCGCTTGCATTCAGTCTGGCCTCGGCTTCAACGGCTACGACCCCAAGACTGGCCGCACGCTCTGGAACCGCGTGCGCAACATCAACATTCTTGCTATCGAGACGTCGGAGAGCTTCAAGGTTCTCCTCGACTCGTGGAACTGCCGCACCAACGTTTGGCTCCGCGAATGCGTTTACAAGCGTCTCGCGAAGAAGGGGCAGAAGCCTGGATCGTTCCAGAGCATGGCCACGTTTGTTACCTCGGCCTTCTGGGTAAGTTGTCAAATATTGGTCCAATGAGCTAACTCCTATACAGCATGGCGTTGCGCCTGGCTACTACCTCGCATTTATCACGTGTGGTCTCTACTCGTACCTTGGTCGCATGTTCCGTAACATGGTGCGCCCTTATTTCCTGCCTGCATCGTCGCCTGGCGCTGCCAACTCGCTGCCTCGTTGGCCCTATCCCAATCTCGCCAAGCGCGCGTACGACCTTGTCGGATGGGCGTGTGTTCAGACTGGTGTCGCGTACGCGGTCGTCCCCTTCTTCGTCCTGGAGCTCAAGCCCAGTGTCCTCACTTGGGCTCGTGTCTACTTTTATGGCCACGTCAGCATCTTTGCCGCAGTCGCCTTCTTCAAGTTCGGCGGTAGCAGGTGGCTTCGTAAGGGCCTTGCGCCCAAGGCCCCTCGTGTCAAGCCTCTCTCGCCAGCCGATGCCCCCTCGGTGTCCGTCCAGCCTCCGTCGCCACTCGCTGAGACATACGAGAGGTTTGGCGAGGACGAGTCTGCCGCGACTAGTGGCGTGGCCACTCCCTCGAACTTTGTCTCCGAGGCTGACGAGGCTGACGATGCCAACATTGAGTGGGTCGCACACGACCTCCAGAACAAAGACCAGAAGGATTTCAGTAAGATGTCCGACGAGATCCTGTCTGGGTTCGACACGCCCAGGCGGCCTGGTACCCCGACGCAGCGCAAGACACAGTAAGTAAAGCGATGCCCCCCTGTCATATGAGCAGGGACACAACCCAATCGCCACTTGTCTCTGTACGGCGAGCGGGATACAGCATATAGTCCTAGAGAGAGAGCACAGATGCATCTTGTGTCTGAGTGCGAGCCAGTAGGAGCTCGAGTTGATGCGGCGTTGGCCACCCAAGCAATTGTGCCAAGGGGACGCCACGCGTCCGGGGACTGGGCGGTTAAGCATACGGTTGCCTGATTGCTGTGCCAGGTTTGTCGTGTTGACTGCATATAGCCAGGGCTATCTAAGGGGACACCGTGCAGGACCCGGTCCATGCATGGGCGGCGGCCCCACGACGTCCACATGACGGCAGCGGTCAGCAAGCGAATGCGCGATTTCTGGTGGTGTGGTTGCAACGAGTGAGATTTGACACCTCGTCTCTTTTCAGTTTGCGTGTGATCGGCGATGACGTACAGGCCAGCCCGAAACAACGGCGAGGGGTCGTCCTATATAACCGCCGCTCCCCCGCTGCCACCACGACGACCTCCTCTTCTTCCTCGTCTCACACAACAGGCGCCCCCGCTGCCTCCTCGTCGTCCATCCCCGTCCCCCACACTCTACTACGCACCCACAGCCGCAACCCCACTGTCAACAGCAAGGATGCAGGACATCAACCAGGCTCACGCCTTTCTCCTCCTTGGCCTTCCCGACGTCATCGTCAGGCAGGTCTATGAGGGGCAGGAGATGACGCTCGCTGAAGGAGAGCTGAGGTAAGTCCTGTCGTCGGTTGCTGGCATCGGCTGCTCGTGGCTCTGTGGTGTATACCTCCCTTTGTGCTACAGTTGCTACCCGCCAGGTTGAAGCAAACGGCCCCAGCGTACGCGCACTATGGCCCGAGTGTTCTCGAACGCCAGCGCCAGCATGTTATGCAGGCAGGACATTACTAACTCCACTCACAGCCTCGAATGTGTGACTCTCCCCATCCCACCCGAGATTGGTCACCAGACGGCCAACCCGTTCGCGCCCGCCGAGACCCCCGAGACCCATGACCTCTGGCTCATCCTCAAGGTCGGCGACTTTGAGCACACCCTCGTGCCAGGCAACTATCTCACCAGCAAAGCTCCTCCCGGCGGCGACGGCGGTCCCACGTACACCATCACCGAAGGCGGCATCCCCAATGCTCGTCTGGACGTGGTCCTTGCTGCTCCCCGCAACGCGGGCGAGCTGGAGGACTTGTCGACCTTTGAGGGCCTGCTGCGCCAATACGGCAGTGTGCACCCGGAAGAGACCGCCCTGACGGGTGTTGTGGCGCCGACTCTGACCAACGACCCATCGCCAAAGTACGACAGTAAATCTAGCGCATATGTTCATGACGAGAAGAAGCCCCTTCCTCCCCCTGTTGTCCACGGTGCGGCGGGACAGGACCTCCGCGGTCGCCTCGTCCTCGTCGACGAGACCACGGGCCAAGTGCTTGGCGAGCTCGACGGCAAGCCGACGGCCGAGGGCGCCGAGGCGCTGGCCAGTTCCGACCCGACGCGCCCCGTCTTTGTCGACTTGGAACCGGGTGCGGACGGTTATGTCGCCCAGACCGAGGTCAGCACCATTCCTATCGAGGAGCTCGACGACTGGCTCCTGCGCGGCGCCGACCGTGTTAGGTGAGCTAATATTTGTGCTGACCGCTACGAAGCTAACGTTACAGCCGTGGCATCCTCTCGTTTGGCACTTGGGGCTCAGCCAAGATGTTGCAGGGCGCCAGCAAGATCAATCAAAAGGTTACCCCGCGCCCCGAGCCGATCAAGCTTGGCAACACCACCAACTCGGGTTTGAAGCACCTTCACGGTATCAGCGGCAGTGCTCAGACCATCACTAGGACGACTGTCGACGGTATCAACAATGCACTCTTCCGCGTAACTGGCTCAGGTTCGTCGAAGACTACAACTGGAACTACCACAGCCGCTCCGACAGTCACGACCTCGGGCACCGCCACGCCATCAAAGAAGCAAGGGTACTACGCCATGCTCAAGAGCGGCGCGACTCAGCTGGTCTCTGCAGCCCGTTCTGCTGGTGGCTCGACGTCGGCTCCCACATCGGCGACTGCCACCACTGCGCCTACCCTTCCTGCCCGCGCTGGCGAGAAGCAGCCGCCTTCTTACACCCAGGCGGACCAGTTCCCCGAGAAGACGGCCGCGTACGGCGCCATCCAGGCCACATCTACCGGCGTCGCGTCGCCGACCGCCGCATCGGCCAAGGGTTCTCAGTACGCTGCACCTGCCGGTACTCCTCCTCCCGGCGCCAGCCCCTTCACCCCCGGTACCCAGACCCCACGCAAGAAGCGCTCCCTCATGAACCGCAGTATCATTGCGATTGACGCGGTCCTCACCGCGACCGAGACGGCTGCCAACAGGCTGGTCGAGTCGGGCACTGCTGCCGCGTCTTCTGCTGTGGGCCACAAGTACGGCGAGGACGCCGCTCAGGCCACTGCCCTTGTCGGCGGTACCGTTCGCAACGTTGTGCTTGTCTACATTGACATTCGCGGTGTCGGCCGCAGGAGTCTCCTCAAGCGCGTCACCAAGGGCTACGTCAAGGCCCGCATGCGTAACGGCGAGACCGTGCGTATCCAGAGCCAGCAGGCCACTGGCCCGCGCACAAGCGTCGTCGACCACCAGCTTGTGGTCAGCGTCCCCGATGCGGAGAAGAAGAAGTGAACGGCACTCGGTAGTTCTTGTTTGTAGACCTGATTTTTATGATATACACGACCTTTTGACAACTGGATACACATACTAGCTACTGTACATACACGGGTGTGGGCCATAGTAAGGTACACCACAGCCAGAGCTGCGTACCTGCGCTGATAGCCCCGTTTCCCACCCAACGTGACGCGTACATGGCAATGACCACCTTGTCGACAGCGGCGAGCACAAGCTGGACAGAAGTGTATGCTCCGTAGCGATCCCAGCGGGCACGCAGTTCGCCACCACACGCCCTCAGCCGCTCCCTGTTAGACACGGGAGCTGGCGACAATCCGGCACCACCGTCAAGATCCGTCTTAGTAGTGATCGAGCTTGCGCGACGGTAGCTCGTCGGTGACAAGAAGATGAGCGCGGCCGTCCGGCCGTACCGCCGCCCATCCTCGCCCAGCTGGAGGAGATCGTACTTGACTCTGCGGAGCTTGTGGCCCGAGTCGATAACGAGGAGGATGCCGTGGTATCGCGACCATCTGGAGGGAAACGAGTCAACAACGGGGATGTATGTGTCGTGGGCTGTGGGTTACTGACCGGTACGTCACTATCACGGCCAGGACAGCCAGGGATATCGCAAGGGACCAGAGCGAGTACCGCAGTCGGAGGCGGGGGTGTTGTGGTGCCCTGCTATAGTCGAACGGCGTGAGGTAGTGTATCAAGCCCATGTTACGAAAGGTGTGTGACGTTGCAAGATGCAAGAGGTCCAAAGATGTGTGCAGGACATGTCAACACCGCCGCTGCGCGTCTGCTGGAAGTAGCTGGGTGGCTTGGCGGTACTGTTCCTCTACGCCAGCCCCCTGTTGCCGCTCTCATAGCTTGTTGAGCTCGGACCACCGGTTCATCCTGGGCGACGGCGAGCCCAGCTTACCGTCCGTTTCACACTCGGTGATGGGAGAGTACGAACAAATCTCGAGACACACCTCGCACTGTCCATGTTGGCGTAGGACAGTGTGTCGGCAGTGGAACGGGCAGCTACCGGCAGTTCTCATGACTGGAGTTTTGTTCCCTTCGGTTCCGCAGATTCACAGTACGCATACCACTACATGCACCAGCACCAGACGAGAGCGAAACCGCGAGCAACCGTATGGAGCATGGCAGCTGTGAATACGACCGTGGTTTGCGGTTCCAACAAACACGCGGCACCAGAGGAAGGCCTTCTAGACCCATTGTTGGGTAGCGTTCGAGGTCGTATTGTGGCGAAATGACGCTTCGTGCCACTTTACGGTCCAACGGTTATATAACATGCTGCGTGGTCGCCTCGACATTACCTATCCTATCCTACAACCTGCCCCTCCTATCCACAGGCTCACTCCGAGTCCACAAACTTGATCTTGGTCTTGTTCCCCTTCCCCACCCCGGCCCCGGTCTTCTTGCTCTTGCCATTAGTAGAGGCTTTGGACCCGGAACCAGAAGCAGTGGCGGTTGTAGCGGGGGTGGTGGTAGTCTGGGGTTCAAACATGCGGCCACACTGAGCACACGGTGTCAGCAACGTGGCCGGCGGCTAGGCGTCCCCACTCACCATAGCGTCCCAGCGGTACTTGACACCAGCGCTCGAACGTTGTCCGATCTCTGGGTGGTTCTTGACGATGGACCAAATGCCGCCAGTGGCGGCCATGTGCGCGTTGATGGCGTCCAGAAGGGAGCGTTCCTCGGCTTCGGTCCAGCGGACGGTGGGTTTGCGGCCGGTGTTGGTGTTCTGAAGGGTTGAGACGAGAATCATGGGGATGCGTGGGGCGATACGTACGGCAGTGTCCTCGGAATCGTCGTTGGTGGCCTTGCGCTTCTTGGCAGTGGGGGGCATGGTGAACGTGACTTGTGTGGTGATGAATGTAGAGTCAGTTGAGAGGTGGAGAGTGGGAGTGACAACGGACGGTGGGTATTCGAAGGTGAGGGAGGGGCAGGAGGGGCAAGAGGGCATCCCTCGCTCTTCTGGATGGATGTGCAATGGACACGTAGCCGCCTGTGCCCCTTTGGTGATCGACCAGACTGGTATTGACATGTCGTGAGGATCCGACACCTGCCTAGCTACAACAACCGTCTAATCACATCACTATTCCGAGTCCTCGAACTCCATCTTGGGCTTGACGTCCTGTTTGCCATTGGGCTCCTTGCCCTTGCCCTTGTTACCGGCCTTGGCCGTGGAAGTGTCTTTCAGGTCGGCCAAAATGCGGCCGCACTGTGTATGTGGTGAGCAACCAACCTCAGGCCTGAGCTGAGAACGACCCAACAGAACTCACCATGCCGTCCCAGTGCTTCTTGACACCAAAGTTGGAACGCTGGCCAATCTCGGGGTGGTTCTTGATCAGCGACCAGAGTCCGCCAGACGAAGCGATAGTCGCGTTGATCACGTCCACAAGGTACGCCTCCTCAGCGGCCGACCATTCGGTGCGTGGGCGGCGAGCCTTCTTGGTGCTCTGAATAGGGCAGTCAGCATATTGGCATATTTGAAAGGAGGAACGGGGCAGTGGCGCAGTGATGGGCTTACGGGCTTCTTCTCCTCAATCTCGCTCTCACTGGCCTTGCGCTTGGTGCGGGGAGGCATGGTGGGCGGTATTGGTGGTGGGTTGATGGGAAAATGAATGAGCGAGAAACTCGGATTCGATTCCATGGTGGTCTTGGCAGTTTCCAAGGGAAAGGGCGTGTCGAAGAGCGTCTGCTGACTTTCAACATGGGCGCATCCTCACGCAGAATAGGATGATGTGACGTGCAACTGTCCGATGAGGACACCACATGCTGTGTAACTGGGTGGACACTGTCACCCGATTACCAAAGTGGCGGATCGGCCGCCAAAGTCGTATCCAGGCATAGTGCGTGGCCCTGTTGTCCCTCGTGAACATTTGGGAACCAACTTGAGAGTCTTAGCGTCAGCTTACGAGTGATCAGTGCAATGCTGGCAAAGCCCCTTACCCAACTGAGCCGTGGCCGAAGTGGCAGACGTTTGGGGCAAGAAGCATGCGGTGTCCGACATGTGATCAGTCTTATCGCCAAGCCTCCTTGCCACCGTGCCACCGAACCTCTGTCTTAGCGCAGATCTGGTCTCTCTCCCCCACTGGGCACTTGTGGTCGCTTCGCTTGATCAGTTTGCAGCCTGACGGCTGACCGCCTCTGGTTGGCACGTGCACCAGCAGCTGCGGTACGAGAACATGACATGACATCGATTATGTATCATTAAGGCCCCAAGCCCCCAGACTCACCCCAGCTCCATCCCCGGCCCCCCGCTTCTGACCCCCAGGATTACTCTCGTCTTCTCGTCCCCTATTCACAGGATGTCATGGCATGTCCTCGCTCATGAGTCGCGGAAATCGGAAGTGGATGTGTCGCTAGCTCGAAAGTGGCGGATGGGACGATCACTTCTTCTTTTCCGAGTCAGGTGTGCATCCCGCGTGCGGTACAACTGGGAGAGAGTGATGGGGGAAGGGGACGTGACTGCGAGTGGCGTTGTGGATCCGTGGGACTGCGGGTGATTTCGTGTCGCCGCCTCATTCCCATCAAACCATTTGCCACCACCTTTGCCACCGACTCGGCCTGCAGGCAGGGCAAGAAAGTCGTGCCTCCTTCTCGTCTCTTGCCCCCCTCTCTTTTGTAGACCCTCAAGGAACGAGAACTGGAACCTGCACTCACCTTGGGAAGAAGACCAACGACAGTGGCCTTGATCTTGGTGCCGACAGCGGCAATGGTGCCAATAACGGGGAGGGGCTTCTTGTCACCGGCCATTGCTGTTGATGTAGGATAAAGTTTGTGGTAAGGGTGGTTGTGACTACTTGAAGCTGTCGGTAGAAGGTAGTGTTATACGGAGGTTCTGTGAATTGTTGATGGGATGATTGTTGAAAGAGAAAGCAGAGTTGCGAAGGAGGAGTTGATATACCTTCATGGTCGGGTAGCCTCGTCCCACTCCCGGGCACTCTGGGCATTCCGTGCGCTTGCGTGTTTTCACTCCCATTTCCCCATCCCAAGGCTGCCCTCTGTCTTCTGGGGACAGTTGATGGTTCTCGCCTCGGTCAGTGTCAGTCATGGTGCGAAGCTGCCACACTCCCAAGACTGCCCTTTCTTATTGTGCCCCTGTGCACAAGGGGGACGAGCAGCCCGCGTGTGCAAGAAGGAGAAGGACGAACAAAGTCGTCAAGAAGGAGGTATGCATACACAGTGCTGTCAAGATCCCATCACCACGACCGTGATGTCCCCCCTGGTTCTATCGCCACCATTGCGGGATATGGCGACGAGTGTGTGACCTGGGTGGGGCAGCCCGGGGGGCCATTTTCTGCGGCAGGGCAAGTGCTTGGCATGGGGCGAGCAGAGAACCCACCACTCATTGCCCCCAAGTACGCAAGTTATTCGAGTTGGAGGCCCATCACTTGTCAGGCGGACTGCAATCCTCAAGATCAGATATAGGTTTGAAGCTCGGTGGCCGGTGGCAAAAGGCCTTGGCCCTGTCCGCCACCGTTCACAGCCCAGCGTACTTCTGGGTACTGACATGAGATGAGTACATCCCCGATCTGCTCCCATGCATGATGCACAATGTATCTCAATGAGAAGTTTCCACATCCCTTTCCTCCTTGCACATCCTGTCTGCCTGCAGGGCCATGGGGAAAGAAGTCGAGGACATGGGACGACCACACCAGCCCTCCCTTTTCCCAGCCGTTGTTGGCACTGGGGGCGCCACGGGGTGTTCTCAGCTTCTCCCACTGCTCAACCCTCCTTCACCCCTCCATACCCCCAAGTCTCTCTTTCTTCACCCAAACCACGACGATGCAAGATAAGAAACCCTCGGGGTCGTCCTCGCCCACAGAGTCAAAGCGCAGCCGCCAGCCAGCCAAAGAGCAGTGGTCGCCGGAACACGACGTGAGTGGCGTATCTCGCTACAGTCCAGCTCAGCAGTGGGAGCAAAGTACCTGACGCTCAGCGCGCACTTCTCTCAGCCATGACGGCGCGCCTCCTGACCTCGCGTCGCGACATATACGCTTCCCCCGGTCTCGAGTCTGTGGGCGACCACGGCGGCGAGCGCATCAACAAGAAAGTCCAGGCCGCCCTCCGCCGCATGTGTGGTACCGAGTATGCGGACGTTGTGGATGCCGAACTGGCAAAGGTCAAGGCCGCTGGGCGTGGGCGTGCCGATGCAGACAGTGCGCCGCCCAAGAAACGCGTCAAGAAGGAACCGGGAGTCAAGAAGGAGCCAGGCAGCAAGTCCAAACCACCTGTCAAGCAGGAGAAGAGAAGCAGCAGCGAGAGTGACAGCGGATACCGCACCGGCGAGAGTGACCAGTGAATGAATGCCCGGCGGGGGGAGGGCACGGGCGTATGTCTGGTGTTGATCGTGTGATACGTGATGTAGTGGGCATGGCTGATGCTTGATGAATGTGCATGCGGTCATCTTGTCCGTGAGTGGTATATGAGGACGTGGGGCGGCCCTCACTTTCGACACATCCTCTCTTCACTTGTCCTCATCTCTCCCACACATTACTCCCACCTAGCCTCACGCTTCACACACAACCACTCCTACTCCTACTCCACGTCCACCAATCCGCAACCATGCCCGCCGCCGCGTCACCCTCTGCCAAGTGGACGCCCGAGCACGACGTGAGTAGAGCGAGTGCTCCCACCACCACCACCACCACCACCCACCGCTCGCTCACCTCACTAACCCCACTCCCCTTCCAGACCGCCCTGCTCCGCGCTGTCGTGGCCACCGTCCTCGCCAACCGTCGCAACATCTACGCCACGACCGGCCTCGAGGATGTTGCTGGTAACGGCGGCAGTCGTATCAACCAGAAGATCCAGCAAATGCTCAAGAAGCTCGCTGCCGCCCAGGGCCGACCCGACATTGTCGATGACGAGGTCGCTGCCAACAGCACCGCTCGTGGTGGCGGCGCCGGCGGAGCGCCTAAGAAGGTCAAGAAGGAGAAGAACGCCGGAGGCCCCAGCAAGAAGCGCAAGGTCAAGGTCGAAGACTCGGACGACGACATCAAGGTCAAGGTCTCGGACGACGACGAGTGATGATGCCGATATCTGGTGTAGAGTTCCGCTGGGCATGGCCGAGGCCCGCTTTGCAGTGTTAAAACATGAACCCGTTGTCGTTGTACCTGCTTCAGTAAAGCCGTGGACGTGCCGCGCGCAAGGGGCCCAAGTCAGTCAGAGGCTCAGATTCGTGTCGAGCATAAATGACACCAAGTGGGCCACCAGAGAACCACCGTGTGACCGTTTGCGAGCGGGTATGTGTGCATGCTATGTCATGAAGGGTTGTGGGTCTGACTGGGTGTCAAAATGATGGGTGGTCACAGAAACTGCGCGAGTCAGCTTGCCATCTTTAGCCATGTTGGCGCAGCTCTACTCACCTCTAGTTCTCGGGACGAGTCCACTCGTAGTTCCAGCCCTTGCCGCGGGTCTCGGTGGGCACCCAAGCCTCGCGGGGGACGAGACCCTCGGGCCTGGCCTCCTTCCACCTGCTCTCGGGGGTCTTCTTCCTGCCCTGCGCAACACCCTGCGCAGCAGCGACGTTGGCGGCCGCTCCATGGGCCATGCGGACCATTGCGCGGTCGTACAGGGCCTTGTGCTCGCCGACGGACACGCTCTCGAGCTCGGCACACGCGTCGGCCATGGCGTCAAACTTGGCACTCAGCGCACGCTCACGAGCGTCACGCTGGCGACGGCGGTACAGCGCCCACGCGCGCTCAATGGTCTCGTGGGCGTCGACACTGGGGAGGATGTGGGCGAGGCGCTCGGCGTACTTGGTGTGACGGGCGCCGATGGGGGAAGACGAGTTGGGGTTGACACCGTCGGAAGGGTAAAGAGTGGCACGGAGGACGTCGGCACGAACGTCGAGGGCGCCGGTGGCCACGGGAGCCGCGTAGGCACGAGCGGCGCGAGGGGCGACACCGATAGTGAGACGGGAGGAGGATGCGAGGGGGAGACGAGGCATGGTGATGGGTGCTCGCTGTGTTTTTGTGTGTCTATGCTGTCGATTGCTGGTATCTCTACGACACTCTCGGAAATCTCAGCTGAGAGCCACGGACAAGGGCGGTAATACGGCGATAACGGCGTGTGGCAGCGTCCGTTTGCCTGCCTGACCAACGCGCAATGACGTCGTTCCGGCCATTCCGGCCTCTTGGGATGGTCCACTGCCCACAGCGCACAGCCAACAGCCCGCGTCGCTCCTGCCCGAATGTTGCTCATGGGTTCCCCATATCCTTGAACTCTACCTCGTTCCTCCTCCATCACAGACAGCCATGATCGTCGGCCTCGACACTGCCACAAACTTCTCGTTTTACGCCATCCCCGCAGCTTGGGTCCTGGCGTGAGTCCGCCGCCCCCCGTGGGGCGCCACAACGAACAGCGATCAAGCGACAATGGCAGCATCCTGTGTGCTGCAGGACATAGGTCGCTCAAGTCACGGCGCGCAGAATGGCAAGGAAGGCACGGAACAGCCGTTATCTCGTAGCTTTCTTCCTTACTGCGCGTCATCGTGGCCTTGGACACTTGCGCCGTTTGCTGGTAGTGGTCTTGTGGTAACGGAGCTAACATCGCACATCTCCCTTTGACCCTCGCCGCCAATAAACCTACGCTTGTACCCCCAACCAGTATTGCCCCTCACTTCTATGCTGTCGGCCTTCTCAACCTGAAGCACGGCGCAGACAAGCCCGGCTTCGACTTTAGCGTGCGTCCTCCAGTCGTGGTTCCTTTGCTACTCCAGACTGTCAAGCTGACGTTGGCCAGAACCCGAAGAAGTCGCGTGAGCGCATCGGCTTGACAGGCCTCAATGCCGAGCAGCAGGGCCAGTACCTCCGTGCCGAGCAGGCCAACGACAACGGTTTCTTGTGAGTGGTCATTGCTGGGTTGTTATGTTATGCTTTCTTGGGTGCGTCGGCGGCCTATGTTGGGAGGACTACCGGCGGCCGGTGCCATTGTGAGAGTAACAGCGGCCGGCGGGAACGACCGACTGGGTATACCTCGGATGACGAGAAACGCACTGTGATCAAAATCCGCCGTGCTCTTGGGTGATATAGTGCGTTCACGGAGGGGTCGCGAAACACACTATGATAAAATCACCTGCGGGAGCGTCCACATTGTATGTTTTCGGGGGTTGCAAGAAACACCCCAGTGTAAAGGTCGGGAGCGATGACCTGCGGATGGTGCGAATCAGCCTGCTGCCCTCACCGCCTATGAGTGCGGTGCACAGTAATCAGTGGACCATGGGATCAGAGACCGCGATCGTTGGAGAGTACCATGTCCCAGGCTAACGTCTGCAGGGGACTTCCCTTCTTCGCTTGTGCCATCGTGAGCTTTGCTGCGCCTGTTGGCCTTACTTACACCCGCAGCTCGCAGGTAACCTTGCCCGCCTCCCAGCTCACCAGCTCAACTCTGCTGCTGCCTTTTACCTCGGCACCCGCGTGGCGTTCAACCTTCTCTACGTTTTTGGTAATAACAGTGAGTAAAGCGGCGTCTTTGGATCTTGGCAACAGCCGCCAGAAGCCACCTCCACTTGCTGACACGAAAAAAAAAAACAGACGCCATGGGCCTGGCACGTACCGTATCATGGTTTGCAGGCAGCTTCAGCGTCCTCAACCTGTTCATCCAGGCCGGTAAGGTGCTGCAATACACGGACATCGCTGTCACTGTTGCCTAAGGGGAGGGAGGGAGCCCAATTCTGTTTGGTCCATCTTGTCTGTATCGAAAGGTTGAGCCCATGTGGAGACTATGAAAGAAGTGAAATGACACGAGTGGTCTATAAAAGTGGATACATCGCCGAGTTTCTGGTTCTATGGTATTATTGCTGTGCAGGGTATTGACGCCGGTCTTACTGTACAGGCTCTTCTGCCCCTCTACCTTCTCGTGCTTGACGCCGTCACTTGAATCTCTTGCTCTCTTGCTCTTGACACCAAAGCCGCGATCTAGCTAGGGCTACCTCTACAGCCCGTCAGACTTGATCACAACGTCTTCCTCCACAGTACCCTTGTCTCCCTTGTGATCCCCATCTCCGTCCCTTCTTCCCAACTCAGAGGCAGGGTCGGTCCCAAGGCCAGCCCCCGGCTCGGCCCGTTCCACCCGTTCCACCCGTTCCACCTCTTCTTCCACAATCCTCACCACCTCCATCGTCTCCTCGGTGTCCTCCGTTTCCGTTTGTTCCATCGCCGCACTCACCCCCGCGGCCGATCCACCGCCATAGCCGTTTCCGCCTTGCTCGTGGCCGTAGCCTGTGTTGCCGTAGCTTGTGCTGCCGATGCTGCCAGTGTTCCCGTTGGTACCGCTTCCGTTCGCACCCACGGTGCCGTTTGCCGCCGCATTGTTCACGCCTGTGGCGGTGACCTCTGCCACGCCGTTGGGCTGGGTCTCCGGCTCGGGCTCGGGCTTGATGGGGTGGTGTCGCCGTTCGGGCAGAGGAACGCCGGGGAAGGCCTCCTCGACCGAATCGTGCAGTTGCCGGCGGAAGGACTGTGAAGTTAGGTTTGAGCCAGCTCTGCCAACACGAATGTATGGTCGTTGGGTGACAGTAGAGGCGGCAGTGTTGAGACACAAGGCTCTACACCACTCCTATGCCTCCACTACCACCAGCGACACTTCTCGCACGGCCCTACGCACCTCCAACCCCAACACGCGTCCCAGGGCGTACTGGTTCTCGCCGGTCGCGCGGCTGAGCGCAGTCTTGGTGTACTGGTGGGGGTTCTTGTACCTGTCCACATGGCTTGGAAGTGTCAGTTATGAAAGGTATCTTCTTAACTCACTCGACAATGGTGCGCGGGACCGTGTCAGTGATCTGAGGAGCCATGTTTGCGAGAGCGATGAAGCTTGCGTTGATCTTGGCACTGGATGTTAGATCTTCGCTATTACAGGTGACTGAGGTGGGGAAGGGTGACGCTGGCGCACCGCGATGTCATCGCGAGATCCATCTCTCACTGTTTCCCTCCTCCATCCTCACCGCACCGCTCTTGCAGCACTCACAGATACTGAGGGACCATGTCCTCCCTACCGGGCGTGACGTCTCCGGCGCAGACCTCCATCTCGTACAGGTCCTGGCTGAGCTTCAGGAGCTGCGCCTCGAGCTCGGCGCGGGCGCGTGCCGGGTCCTCAGGCGCTGAGCCATTGGTCGTGAACGGAGATGGTGCCGGGGACGGGAGATGGGGGGCGGACATGGTACCGGGAGGGCGAGAGGGGGAAGAAAGACGAGAAGAAGGGGGGTTGCACGGAATCGGGTGACACGCAGAGGTGTATGAGTGGCGTGCGTGGTAGTGCCGTAGAAAGTGGTGATAGGCGCACGTCGAGACGCTGGATGGTGGCAATGTACGTGCCGCAGACCGTAGAGTGGGTGTTGGGATGGTGATCTGGTGTGATGGGCGATTGACGAGTGGCAACAGACCCGCTCCAAATGGCGTATTGACGACCGCTCGAACGGCTTCAATAAATCCGACCTGAATCCTCCACTTATCTTGCCATCGCACCCACCATGGTGGTCCCACTATCCCCACCAAAGATCGAGTCGCTCTCGCTCACCGAGAGCGTGCAGAGCACCAAGTCCTCTTCTGAGCGCGACGCAGAGGCAGAGCTCGCTCGCTTTCGCCGCGAATGGCAACAAGAGGTCCAGGCAAAGCACGCCGGCAGCGGCTCCGTTGTCGCCGGTGCTGGTTCGGCCTCCGACGCCCACACCGTCGAGGTTGGACCTGTCAAATGGAAGGGCAAGGGCAAAGACACTGAGATCGTTCGTTCTCCACCGTCTGCAGCTACTGCTCTCCCTCTCCCTACCTCGCCACGCAAGGTGGCCAGCTCGCCGACAAAGTCACCCCTCGTCCACCCCCTGAGCCCGAAGGCGCTGACAAAGCCGACACCAAATGGGGCCTCCGACGCCGCCGCCGTCAATGGTCCCAAGGATGCGAGTCAAGGTATCGAGCTTCCGGGTCCGCTCGCACCCGCCGGCGTCGAGCTGCCCGACACTGCCATTGCCTCGACCTCGACATGGGGGCGTATCCCCTTCCGCGCACCCCAAGTCCGCAAGGACCGCGATGGCGCCGTCGTCGTGTACGCCCGCGCCGTCGAGGCCGAGCAGGAAGGCCGACTGAACGACGCTCTGCTGTTATACCGCCAGGCGTTCAAGATGGAGGATAGCGTGGACAAGCTGTACGCGCGTAAAGTGCGAGCCGAGGCGGCTGCTGCAGAGGTTGCGGCCGAGGAGGCTGCGGCCGAGGAAGCGAGTTCGGCGGACGTTGTCGACCCCGCTGCGCCTGTCGATGCGCCGTACGCATTCACGCGCCATGTCCAGGTCCACCCAGACTATGAGCGGCGACACCACGACCACGACCACGACCTGGACGCCGCACAGGCCGACAAGGGCAGACTCGCCCCCGTCTCGCGCCTGACTGCGCTGTTCCACTCGGTGCCCAACGCGTCCACAGCTCAGTTCGAGCCCGAGAGCGAGGACCTGCCCATCCCCATCGCCAAGCTCCCCGCGGAACTCATGGACCCCGTCCTTGTCCACCTCGATGTGGCGTCTATCGAGGCGTTGGGAGCGACGTGCTGGCGCGCACGTGGGCTGACTGCCCAAGCGGCGGTGTGGCGCCGGATCGTCGAGGGCATCTACCGTCCGCCCATGGTCCCGCCGCAGGTCGGCGCGCGCGAGCTGGCAAGGAGGCATCGTGGCGAGTGGCGGACGGCCCTGGTCGAGGAGGAGCGAGTGAGGCTTGACGGGTGCTACATCTCTGTCTGCCACTACATCCGTCCTGGTGCCGGTGAGCAGTGGGTCACTATTACGCATATGAGTGAGTGCGCTGCTGGAACCAGAGAACGGACGAAACAGCGCTGATGGTCAGTCACCTACCACCGTTTCTTGCGGTTCTACGCCGACGGCACTGTCATTTCCTTCTTAACGACCGACCACCCGTCCGACGTCGTGCCGAGCCTCAACCGCAAGATCCGCGGCAAGGGCCTGCACTTTGGCCGGTGGAAGCTGATCCGGTCCGACATGGAGGACGAGGACGCCGACAGCGACGACGACGTCGTCATTGACAAGAGCCCAAAGAAGAAGACCAAAGCGCGGACAAAGCGACACGCCCGTGTTATTATCACCGACCTGCTCGAGCCCGACGCCGACACGTGCAAGTACGAGTTTGAGATGGACCTCACGCTCCGCGAGACGAACCGTGGCCGCTGGAACAAGCTTGACCTGGCAACATACTCGTCCGTCAACCTCGCCACGGGCGAGGTCCTGGGTCTGTCACTCAAGCACCAGAAGCCATTCTATTTTTCCAAGTGAGTTGTCCATCCTACGCAGAGCAGTGGACTGCAGCTGACATGCAAACAGGGTTCGGTCGTATAACCCGAGGTTCTAAGCGAGCTTTTTGTTTTCGTCTTGAGCGAGCCCATAGCATATCTCACAATCATGAACATATTCATCTTCAGCTCCACATGCGTCTCGCCTCGTTTTCACTCGCCGAGCAGCTCTCGCATCCAGGCGTCAAAGTCGTCTGCAGCGCCCGACGGCGGGGTTGGTTCGCGGGGCGGCTCGTCAGGTACTGTTTGTTAGCTGTGGAATTGTGATGGTGCACCTAAACAGACTCACCGGCGGCGACTGGCGCTGGCACCGTCCAGTCCTCCAACGACTCGGGTGCGGGGGACACTTCAGAGATGGAACGAGCCAGTGGCGTTGGCACCCTCTGCTCGCGGCTGAACAGAAGCGAACGCGGAGTGGCAGATGTGGGGGTCGGCGGCATCTTGGAGATGAGGAGCCTCGGTGCGAGCGTGGCGTCAATGGCCATCGAGTTGCTTGGTGGAAGTGCTGGCGAGACAGGACGCTTGGGGGGCTCTGAGGAAGGGCTTGCAAAGAACTGGTCAAACTCGGCAAAGCTGTCGACACTCGCCTTGTCGTCGTCCTCGTCGTCCATTGTGATGTCGATCATGGTGTCAAGAGGGCGCACAAGCGGGGACGCTGGGACAGTCTCGGGGAGCTTGGGGACGGGCTGCTGCGGAATCTTGGCGGGCACCTTTTGAGCGACCTTTTCAGACACGTTTGAAGGCTGGGGAGGCTTGGGTGGAACCTCGGCAGATTCAAGGGCCAGGTCGTCGATGATGGACGAAATCTTGAGTCGCTTGCTTGGAACCAGCTCTGTGACCTGCTTTGGGGTACGGCGCTTCTTCTTAGGAACAGTGAGGTCAATGAGCTCCTCCTCGTCGCTGATCTCGAAGATCTCAGGCGTGGGTTCCTTGGCGGGGCGAGCAGACGCCTTGCTGGACTGTGCTTCGTTTCGTGATACACTCAGGCGAGAGGCGAATCGAGGTGGCTCAGGAGCGTTAAGAGAAGCGCGTTCGTCCGACGTTTGCTGCTGGGGGCGATTGCTCGTTGGAGCAGGGGTGGGAGTAGTGACTGCAGTGACTGCGGGCCCTTCGCTGGTCTGGGGATCGTCAGCTACCCGTCCCGTGCGGCCCAGCTCACATCATCGCCTTGCACGAGTTGCGGATCGGGAAACTTGGTGATAGAGATGCGAGGGCGGTACTCGACGGTGGTGGCCAAGCCGGCGTTGTCTTCAACTGGGTCCGTCAGCGAGTGTGACGGCACGGCACCCACCTCCTGCAATTGCAATGACAGTCTCGTCTCTGTGTCGAATCTTGGCCTCGACAACAAACTCCTTGGCGCGGTCGTTGAGCTTGCGAGTGCTGAGAGGTGAGTTATCCACTCGTTTATGGGGAGTTTACCTAACTTACTCGATTTTCCTGATATCGAGGAAACGGTTGTCCTTGGAGCTAATAAACAGCACCACAAGGTTGTACGACTTGTCACGCTCGATAGACTTGGCACGTCGTACACCCTTGTCCGCCTTACGGACCAGGATTCCCTTATGCTCGAGCTTGACACGCATCTGGAGAATGGGGTACTCGTTAGGAGACGCGACGACGCCTTCTTGCCTGCTCAAAGTCAGTTGTTTGCCATGAGACCGCTGCTCACTCGATATGGAGGGTAAACCGCGGAAACTCCTTGGCACGCTCGATAACCTCCTGGCCAAAAGGTGCATGGCGGTTGAGCCACATCTCGAGGCGTCCGGGATCCATTTTGATGAGGTCGTCCCACGCTGAAATATTAGCCTATAAATCGCCGAAAATTGGACTCACAGTGAACGCCATTGGAACCCAGCACTGTGATTGACTTGGGACCAATTTTGTCGATCTGACGAAAGATGGAGGCCGAGTCCTCCCACGCCTTGCCGTTTACTGTGCGCACCAGTTCAAAGGCGGACCGGGCGGCACCACCAAACTTCTTCTCGACCGCCACGAGAAACATGGCTGATGTCAGGACAGCTCGTAAAGTTTAGAGGCTTACCCTTAGCTATGCGAGGTGCGCAGTTGAAGATGACCACCTGGGTTTGCAAAGGCGACGCGTTCTCAGTCTTGGTGGCAAACTTGTCCATGCTAATGTTGCCAAAGCAGACCTGAAGATGCAGGAACACTTTGTCGCTGAAGAGTTAGGCCATGCCTCATCGGTGCATTTGAACTCACGCATAGGTCTTGACAGCTTCATCCAGGTGGAACCGCACTTCGGGGCTGACGCGGAGCTTGTTCAAGACCTAGATATATGAGCGGTGGTTGATGATCACTACTCACTGCTCCTTCGCCTTGACGAATGCGTAAGTTGGAGAACCTGGAGGGTCAGTGTCCGTGGGTGTTACCCCTGGCGGTCGTTTACACCCACTCATCGGCGCCGGCAAGAATTTCCATCAGATCCCGCAGACTGGCATCCTTGTCCATTGTGACAATGTAGCACATCTGGACATTAACACTGGAAACGCAAAACAAACCCACAGTGTGATAGCAGATGAAGTTCTGGCTCATGATCATGCCGAGGTTGGTGGAGATCACTTCATCGCCGTCATGGTCGTCTGCAGTGTTCAGCGCCACAAACTCGTGACTCTCCAAGTCCTCGAGAGCGTTCTGGGACGTCAGTGTAGGTTACGGAGGAGTGTGACACGGAACCTACCTCAACGTAGTCGTCCAAGGCCTCCCACCAAGTCTTGGACTGGTCTTTGACAAGAGCTTTTGTATAGTGCTTGGGGTTTTGTTGAATACGGACGGCAAGGAATGAGCTAATGGTCAGCCAAGGGCCTGAGACGGCTGAAACATCATTTACCCTCGTAGCCAGTCCTGCGCCGTCTTCAGAGACCGAATGGTGCCCAGCCCAATCTCGCTGTTGATATCTGGGGAGATCAGCTTCAGTTTGTGGAAGGTACCTCACGCTCAGTCAGGTTTTCGTGGAGCTGGCTCTCCAGAACCGTTCGACAGTTGAGCATTTCTCGGAACTGCAAAGGTAAGCCTTACTGTCACGTAACAAGCAACTACCTACCTTGGCAAGCTTGTTGGTGTTGCACATGACGACGACTGTACCAGACGTATCAAACTGGGGGCGTCCCGCGCGACCCATCATCTGCTGGATGTCAATGTCGGCATAGTCACGGAACGCTTGGCCGTTCCACATTGACGTTCCCTGGATGACAACCAGGTGAGCAGGGAGGTTGACGCCCACGGCGAGTGTCTGGTGGGTCAGTGTTACCCGTCGTGTACCCACTTACCGATGTGGCAACGAGCATGTGCAAGGCCGAGTCCTTGAACGCCTGCTCGATGGCGCGGCGGTCGAGAATATCCAAGCCGGCGTGATGGACAGCGATGCCGTTTCGCGTGAGGGCCTGGACCTTGGGGTCCTTGAGGACGAGGCGCTGGCTGTTTTCGGTCAGCTAATGTGCATGGGTATAACAGCTCACTTCTTATAAGAATCCCACGGAAGACGGCGACGACCGTCCAAGGCCGCCTCGTAGGCCTTGTTTATGGCCTCGGCTGTTGACATGCACGCCTTGCGGGTCGGGCAGAAAACAACAATGGGAAGACCATCGCTGTGGCGCACGAGTATGGGGAACAGTTCCTTGTCAAGCTTGGTCGCCAGGGCAAAGTCGTTGTAGGCGTCATAGCCGTAAGTGAAGCGTTTGAGGGGAACGGGTCGGTAGTCGTCGCCAAACTGCGTTGGGTCAGCATGTCCGATGTCTTACCCACCCACCTGGAACACAGCCGCCTTTGGCATGTTGTCAATAGAGTCTGGAGTAGGGTTGGAAAGGTTAGGATCCTTGGGACCGATCCACCGCGCCACATCGTCAATGTTGGGCACCTGCTCGTGTCAGAGCACGTCTGTTGTGGCACTCACCGAGGCGGAGACGGCCACTATGCGGACCTCGTTGCTGGTGGCCTTCTTCATACGAGCAACCACGACCTCCAGGGTGGGTCCGCGGTCCTCGTGGAGGAGGTGCACCTCGTCAATCATCATGAGCCGGAGACGGTTGACGGGGTTGTTCTTGAAGCTGCGCCGTGTGATCGAATCCCACTTTTCAGGCTAGGTGTGTCAGACACTATCGGGGTGGAATCACCCACTGTCGTTACAATCAAGTCCACGCTTCCAATGACACTGTACATCTCGTTGATCTTTGAATCACCAGTGAGCTCGGCGACCTGGACCTCGAGCGGAGACAGCCGGTTGCGCCAGTCCTGCGCACGCTCGTAGCAGAGGGCCTGTGGTCGGTCAGACCCAAAGTGGTGGCGACCTGACTCACCTTTGTGGGAGCCATGTAGATTGCCAGAGGGCGCAAGGTGGTGGACGGGTCTTTGAGCATCTGGAGAAAGGTCAACTCGAAGACGACCGTCTTGCCCGAGCCCGTAGGCGCCGAGACGACGAGGTTCTCCTCAGAGTCGTAGGCCGACTGGAAGATGGCGCTCTGCATCTCGTTGAAGTGATCAAACGAGAAGATCTGACGTTCCGCTGCGGTTTCTGCAAAGTTAGCTTCGGACGCCCGCCGCATTCAACTAACCAAGAGCCTGCGTCGAGACAAGTTGACCACCCTTCTTGCTTCTACCAACTGGGTTGGCAGGCTTGGCGGGCTGGGGTTTAGCCACACTGGGTCCGGGGCTGGGGCGCGGTCCACCGAGTGACGAGTTGGGCCGCGATCCAGCCAACTTGGGGAAGCTGATTGCGGGCGAGGTCGAGCTCTTGCGTGAAGGAGGCAGCTGGAGGCCTGGGACAGGACGACTGGTAGCCTGGTCCTGAGTGAAGTATGGCGACGCAGTGGCTCCTCGAGGGGGAAGGGCGGCTGAGTGGTCAGCTGATTCTCAGCAAGCGTGTTTCAGCTCACCTTCGACCCTCTTCACCTCAGCGAGCGCACTCTCCATCCACACATCGTCGTCGCCAAACTCGTCATCGTCGTCGTCGCTCAGGTCGACGATGCGACTGGGACCGGCGGAGGGAGCGGCATTGGTGTGGCGCGCCGAGCTGGGCCCGGCGGCGACCGCCGCAACATGGTCCGCTTGTCCACTGGTCGTCTGGCCGTGACCACTGGCAAGAGGAATGACACAGGAAGTTGTCACTGTGTGTGCTGGGCCCGCGATGGAGGCGATCTTGGCATTGTTCTTGGAGTGGCTGCGGGGTGGGGTGGGTAGGCTCTCCACCTCTGCATCTGGGTGGTGAGGGTGGCGGCGCGGCTCGGGCGATAACGAGAACGGGAATGGCCCACCACGGGGAGGGGAGATGGGGATGGATGATGGACCTGGGACGGCATTGTGTCCAAAGTTGAGTTGGGGGGAAGGGTTCGCAGTGGCCAGGCGGTGGCGGGCGGGAGAAGGAGAGAAGGGGATTGCTGGGATTGTCGGAGTGAACGCCCGACTGGGCGACCAGATTTCGCCGACGTGGTGGTTCAAGAAACCGTGGCCATCGACAGAGCTTGAGCTGTCAAGGAAGCGACGGCGAGTGGATGCAGAAGACTCCTCCGTGGGGCCAAGATCGGGGTCACGGTGGGAGGTTGCCGTTGGGAAAGTAGCGCCAAGGTCAAAGCTGGTACCTGAGAATGGGTCGGGGACAGATGGTAGGGCGTCGAGTGCGGGGTCGCGCACGCGGCCGAGCTTGCGGAGAAGCTCGTCCACGCTGCTTGACATGGCGAGCTCGGTGGATGCAGTAAATGGGATGGGTGAGTGAGCGAGCGATGAGTGAGTGGCAAGAGGGAAGGTCAACCAGATGCAGGGGAGGGAAGACGCTTCTGAGGAGGGAAGGCAGCACCGTAGAGCTGACTGGACTGCTCGGTGCGCGGTGCTCGGAGGGAAGGCGACGACTGGATCGACACAGTAGATTCATATAGCTGCACACGCCTAGGCAACAGGGGTAACTTCGAACACAATCTGGGATGGGTAAGCACATTTTCAGCTGCTTCTGAAACCCACCTTGCCACTGTTCTTGTTGGCGGCCATGTCCTTCTGAGCGTCCTGGACCTTGGTCCATGGGTACACCTGAATGGGTCAGCAACGTCGCTAGTCGGTTTTCACCCACATCGTGAACCTCGACCTTCATCTTGCCGTCGACGATGAGCGGGAGAGCATCGTTCTTGAAGCTGTCCAGGAGCTTGGCCTGGTACTCGACCGTGCGAGAGCGAAGCGTCGAGCCCTTGAGAGTGAGGCGCTTGTAGAGGAGGGTGGCGAGGGGAACCTTGTCCACGTTGGCTCCCGAGAGGAAGGAGAGGTAGACTACGGCACCATCGCGGTTGAGGATCTCGAGGTTACGGTGGAAGTAGTCCTTGCCAACAAAGTCGATGATGAGGTCGACACCCTCACCGCTCTTCTTCACCTCCTCGGCAAAGTCTGTGCAAGACGTCAGCACAACCTGTTTTCCTCTTTTGGTGGCTATCGCTACTCGGTCCCGGCCCCCGCACACGTCACTATCTTTGTGGCGCTCAAATGCCCGCCCATTACGGCGGTGCGGCGGCGGCGGCGGTACGTGACCGTACCTGTGTTCCTCTGGACGCGCGTGGACGCGTGCTGCAGGACGCAAGACAGACGAAGGTGCAAAGAGGTACTCACCCTGGGTCCGGTAGTTGATCACGGTCAGGCGAGGGTCGTTGCCGCCCACGCCTTTGAGGAACTCGACCTTGGCGTCGGTGCCGCAGGTGGTGAACACCTTGCCAGCCCCTCCGACGTGAACTGGCGCACAGTTAGTACAGGAGCTCTAGATACAAACGTGGCCAACGAAAAAAAAAAACAACTCACGGGCAAGCTGAATCGCGGCAACACCAACGCCCGACGCACCCTGTCGGCTATCAGCACCATATCCTTCCGAGAATAGCCGTAGAGGGCCGCGCTGTGACCTGGAGGCTGAGACTAATGATGGCGACAGACACGACACTTACGGCGTGAACGAGCACGTTCTGACCCTTCTTGAAGCCACCTTCGAGGAAGAGGGCCTGGTAAGCTTTGGACAGGGGTCAGTTACGGGTGGTGGTGTGTGGTGTTAGAGCCATGGGAAGCAACAAGGCGCACCGGTCATCCAGTTTTCCGGCAGCGCAGCGGCCTGCACAAACGACAGCTCCTTGGGCTTTGCGATGAGCATGGTCTCGGGGTTGCAAATGTATTCGGCGTACGCGCCCTGGTTGAGACGTCAGCGGGCGGCGACGGTGTTTGGCGGGGGCGACAGAAGGAAGGTAGGAACTTACACCGAAGGCAAGGCCGAAAACCTCATCGCCGATCTTGTACTTGCTGGCGCCCTCTCCGAGCTTGGTCACTGTGCCAGAGAACTCAACGCCCAGGATGGTCTTGGACGCCTGCGGCGGGAGAGGGTACTTGCCCTCACGCTGGCTGAGATCCATGCGGTTGAGACCAAAGTTCTGTAGACACAGCATGAGCTTGCCGTCTGCCAATCCGGCTTTCGGTATTGCGTGAGAAAACTGACCTGGATCTGTTACAAAAGCGTCAATACTGGCTCGTTGGATGGGGATCTGAGCCGCGCTCACCTTGATCTGAACCTCGCCAGCCTTGGGCTCGGGCGTCGCCTCTTCGCCGATGTAGAGGTTCTCGACGGGCCCCTGGCCGTCCTTGACGAGTACACACTTCATGCTCGGAGGAGTGGTGTTCTGGCGGATGTGAGAGGTGTGGAACGCCCTTGACGAGGCGCTGAAGGCGGCTGGAAAGTTGGTTTGGCAAGGAAGCTTGCGAACTGTGCCCTCTGTGCTACGAAGGGATGGGGATACGCGTGAGAGCCGTGCAGCTGGTCGGATTACAGAGAGGAGAGACCGACGAGACATGTTGTGAGGAAAGAAGTCGCTCGAACGCAGGGTGTCGTCATTGACCCTTGGGTAGCTTGGTCATTCATCCAACCTCCACACCTGCTGCGGCGCCGGAAATAACCGCTCCGGATTTGGCTGTGGTAAGCAGCCAGCGTGACCGTAGGGTGTAGGTTGCCGCAGTTTCACTAACTGTCTATGTGCGTGCCGGAGAGAGCGAGAAAGGAGTGCTGGAACCATCAAAGTCCTTTGATACTTTACTTCAGGCGGGCTTCGGCGCTTCGGGCCGTCTCGGGGCCATCCAACAACGTCAATAGCGTGTTGAGGCAGCAGTACAAAGTGGTTCAAATCACGGCCCCAGAGGCGCCGCCGCCGACTGCCATAATTCCACAGCCACATTGTCCAGAGATCCGACGCAACCCGTCCTCGGCGGGTAGCTGGTCATGTGTACATTGCGTGGGTCGTTTCTTGATCCATGACGCACCTTGTGGTGTCTGAGTGACCGTGATGATTCAGATGCCACAAGCCCGGCGCACAGTCGAAAACAGAAGCTCAGAAGGTGGCGGTGGGTACATGGTTGTGGCATCTCCATTCGGCAACTTTCGTTTGGCTCGCTTCTTCATAGCGTTTTGGGGACCGACCGTGCACGGTTGTCTGTGCGGTCACATGGTCTCCATGGCCTGGAATGGCTTTCAAGCGCTGCAGACGCTGCAAAGCTGCATGGATAGCAACGTGCAGTGCGGGTGACTGATTTCTTGGTGGCGGCATCCGCCGCACCGGCCCAGCCGTCCCGTAGTTCACCGGCTGGATAAGCATTGCCGGGGGATCCTGTTACATACAGTCCAGTGGCCAGTGACCACATCTTCGCGGTTAAACTTAAGGGAATGCTCAAAGTCTGGAGAGGAGGCGTACGCCATGCTACACGCCCAGTCGACGCCGAGCGGCAGTCCCCACCTCACCCAATGGCCAGTGTACCAGTGTACTAGGCAGACTCGGGGTGGAAGAGGCGTCATCGGGAAAAGGCGGCCCACCACCAAAGCTGGACGGAATTGGGACGTGGCCTTGGCACAAGCCTCTCCGTGCCACGCCCCGCCGTCTCGAGGTCTCCCGACAGAGGCACGGGGCTGACTGATGACTGAGGGGCCCTGCTGTGTACAACGGTAGACTCGTTGCGTAAGGCAAGGACAAGTATGACTGTTGTAGCTGTATGGATGGATTTTGCGGCCCGTGAACGACCTGTCCCGAATGAGTAGTTCATGTGAAACGTAAATTCGTACTCGGGGGCCATGGCTCATCGGCGGGCGTGAGCGTTTGCAATGTTTGACGTCTTTTGCAGCACTGCCTCACCGCGATATGGTGTGTACAGGACTGTCCACGGTGTGTGCATGGTGTGCCTGCCGTGCTGATAGCGAACGAGAAATGCTTAATGCTTGAGGCTTTAAGCTAGCGCGTGATCGTTCCCGGTTCATCTACAGCCGGCGGCCGGGTCGTGTCGTTGGCGGGGACGGTGATCATGGGTGAATCGCGGTACCGGAACATGTTGCTGGTGCAACAGTCTTAGACTGGGAAACTGTGGATGTCGCGCACAACAAAGAGACACGAGCTCACTCCCAAGAGATCGGATTTGCTTTTTTTTACGTATACGGCGCAAGGAACGGGCCCACAGAGACAACACAAAAGAGCGAGGAGACACCAGACAGAGTTTCGGGCGCGTGTGTCTCGGCGGAGGGCGGATGACAGCATATCAGCATGACAGAACGCGCGTGTGGCTCTCACACGACATGCACGACAGCTGACAGCCAGACACAACTGCCGCAAAGGCGTGTGCTTGGCCGGATCCCTTGGCTCATTGGATTCGGGTGGCCGGGGCGCGGGGCGGCCGCGGTGGCCTTTGTGGCCTTTGTGGCTAGACCAAAGCAAGCAAACGCACGTCTTGCGATCTTGGCCGTCCTCCTCCTTTCTCGATGGTGCCGCCCCCTGCCCCGTTGCGCGCGCCGCGTACGCCGCACGCCGCGCCAGACGCCCCCCCGTATGTGAGAGCCGTTGCGCCGTCGTGCCGCCCGCACGCGTAGCCGCCTGGCTGGCTGGCTGGCTGGCTGGCGTCGGCCCGTCGGTCCCCTCTCTTCCTCTCGTCTGTGGCCGCGCAGAGCCCTCATATACCCCGCCCATACATATCATGTCGTGTTGCACTCTTTGCATCCCACATCCCCCATCCCCCATCCCCCCACCCCCTCTCTATCCACATCCTTGCACCCAGTTGCACCACCTCTATACCTTTCCCAACTTGGTTCGCTGCAACCCAATCCCCCCCCCCCGCAACCCGCCACCCTCTCCCCCAAACCGCTACAGGGACACTGCGTATTCCCCGACCCCCGCGTCTCCCTTTCGTCACTCCCACCCACCATTCCCATTCTTCCTTACTCCCAGTAACTCGCAACCACCATGGCTCCCCGCAAGAACAACGAGCCCGCTTCGTGGGAGGTCAACGCCGACAAGCCCAAGCCCGAGGGCGAGACCCGCGTCCACCGCTCTTACTCGGTCAAGGAACTCACTCTTCGTAAGTGCTGCCTGCTTGTCAGCTCAGAACCGCGGTTTGTGGGGGGAACGGGTTGCACGCCGGAGTAAACGCGTCGTCACCCCCACCCCACTTGCCACCCGTCGTTCGCTCAGCGAGCAACGGGTCGGCAACCGCGGTCAGAGCGGCGAGGGCGCGCCTTGTCCATGTCTCTACACCCCGCGCGAGTCATATGCCGATGCACAGCGGGGTCGTTCAAATGGGGTATGGGAAACGGGGGGGCTTGAGCAGCCTCTGCCGTTCGGCCTTGACGTCACGACACACAGTCAAAACCTCGAGGCCGTCGGGCGCTCACATACAAGAGACAGTGCTGACGAGGCAGGTCCGGCTGAGGGCGTCGACACCGTCTTTGACGTTCTGTCCTATGCCGCCCGCACCCACGGCAGCAAGAAGGCCCTTGCCTCCCGTGAGATTGAGCGCATGATCTCGGAGGAGAAGGATGTCAAGAAGATGATCAACGGCAAGGAGGAGACCATCAAGAAGAAGTGGCAATACTTCAAGCTCACTCCTCTGTCCTGGATTTCGTACGACGAGCTTCTGCAGCAGGTCCGTGAGATTGGCTCTGGTCTCCGTGCCCTCGGTGTTGGAGGTCCCGACGAGACCTTCTTCAACATCTACGCCTCGACTGGGTGAGTTCCGCAGCAGGGTTCTGGGCAGGCCGGGCGCGAAAGATTGCACACACACTGACGCAACACAGCCCCAACTGGATGCGTCTTGCCCAGGCCTGTGCCTTCAACGCGGTCCCCATCTGTACTGCCTACGACTCGCTCGGCCCCGACGGTCTTGCTCACTCCCTCAATGAGACCGAGGTGCGCGCCATGTTCACCAACGCCGAGCTCCTCGGCACCCTCTCGACCATTCTGCACAAGTGCCCCACTGTTCGCACTATCGTTTACGACGGCAAGCCCCACGACCACCTTCTCGACAAGGTTCGCAGCGTTCGCGAGGGTATCCAGCTCGTTCACGTCGACGAGGTCCGCAAGCTCGGTATCGAGAAGCCGGTCGAGGCTATCCCCGCCAACCGCGATGACGTCTACTGCTGCATGTACACCTCGGGTTCCAGTGAGTGCGATGAGAGAGCGAGAGTGAGATTGGAGGAATCACCGCTAACCCCATTTCAGCCGGTACCCCCAAGGGTGTGCTTCTCACCAACGGCAACATTACCGCTGCTGGTAAGTCAAACCTCATGTCGTGCGCCAGGGTGTACATTGCTAACTGGCACCAGTCGGCTCTGTCTGGACCATCCTCTACGAGTACCTCTCGCCCGATGACGTCTACCTTGCTTTCCTTCCCCTTGCGCACATTCTCGAGTTTGCCGTGGAGATGTCCTTCCTCTTTGCTGGTCTCCCCATTGCCTACGGCCGCGTCAAGACCCTCACCGATGCCTCGGTGCGCGAGTGCAAGTCGGACATTATGGAGGTTCGCCCCACCATCATGGTCGGCGTGCCCCAGGTCTGGGAGCTTATCCGCAAGGGTATTGCCTCCAAGGTCGAGCAGGGAAGCGCTCTCAAGAAGGCCGTCTTCAACGCTGCCTTCAAGTCCAAGGCGGCCGGCATCCCCCTTCTCTCGGGTCTCGCCGACAGCGTCGTCTTCAGCCAGGTCCGCGCCCAGACTGGTGGCCGCCTGAAGATCCTCTTCAGCGGTGGTGGCCCCGTTTCCAAGTCGACTCAGCACTTCCTGTCCATTGCGCTTGTCATGATGATCCAGGGCTACGGTCTGACTGAGGGCACTGCCATGGCCTGTATCCTCAACCCCGGCTGGATGCAGTACAACAGTGTCGGTGGCCCCGTCCCCGGCTGTGAGATCAAGCTCGTCGACGCCCCCGAGGCCGGCTACTTGAGCACCAACACGCCTCCCCAGGGTGAGGTCCATCTCCACGGCCCCTCGCTCTTCAAGGGTTACTACAAGCGCCCCGACCTGGACGCCGAGGCCTTCACCAGCGACGGCTGGTTCAAGACCGGTGACATTGGCCAGTGGAACCCCGACGGCACCCTCTCCATCATCGACCGTATCAAGAACCTCGTCAAGCTCCAGGGCGGCGAGTACATTGCCATCGAGCACCTCGAGTCGATCTACAAGTCGTGCTCGTTTGTGGCCAACGGTGCCGTCCTTGCCAACGCGCAGCACACCCAGCCCGCCATGATCGTCCAGGTCTCGCCTGTGGGTCTCCCCCACTTTGCCAAGAAGCACGGCCTCTCGGACTCGTCCGACCTCGAGTACCTCTGCAAGGACCCCGCCGTCGTCGCCGGCTGCCTCAAGGAGCTCAACTCGACCGGCGTCAAGCAGGGTCTCAAGGGCATGGAGCTCCTCGAGGCCGTCGTCCTCACCCCGGACGAGTGGACCCCCGAGACCGGCTTCCTCACCGCGGCCCAGAAGCTCAACCGCAAGCACATTGAGAAGCACTACCACAACGAGGTCAACGCCGTCTACAAGCTCCACCAGTAAATGTCAACAACCATGACTGGCTCGGCTTGGCCACACCACCCCCGCGTTGTTTCGTTTCTCTTTTCTTTTTAATCGCGCCCCGTGACCAGCATCATTTCTCAAAGTAGTGTTCTGTTCTGTCCTTTTTTTTCCAAAGCCCGTTCCCCCCCCTCTCACCGCTTATCGCTGGCCCCCGTGGTTTGCGCATTCATAGTCTACGGAGACATGTAAAAACATACGTATCGGCTGTGAGCAGCGATCGCTAGATGAACCAGTTGTGTCTATGAGGGCGTGTCCAGGCTCACATCACAGCGTTGGGACGGGCGACATGTCCCCGTGTGGTGAGCCATCGTGAATGCCGACGGGCACCCACAACACAACCCCCACACTCCATCCGAGTCAAGCTCTAACATCCCATGACTAATGACAATATGGACCTGACCAGTACACTCCTTCTGGCTGGTCGTGACGATCCTCTCTCTCCCCCTTCCTTGCTTCATTCTCCATATCTCTCTCTACTCGTCGTCGTCGTCCTCTTCCTCCTCCTCGTCGTCACTGACATCCAGGCCCTTTTCGCGCATGGCCGCCTTGTCGCGCTTGCGCTTCTGGCTCAGCTCCTCGAGGAGGACCAGCAGGTCCTCTTGCTCCTTGGCCGACTCGGCTGCCTTGTCCTTTTCCTCGGCGAGGTCAGCTTCGAGCTGGGCGAATTTCGCCTTGTCCTCGTCTGACAGGCCAGCGGGCGCAGGCGCCGGAACGGGCTCGGCTTCCTTGGCAGTGAGCTTGTCGAGGGTCACGGCGTGTTCGGCGCGCACGCTGTCGAGCTCGGCGCGGACGGTGTCCAGCTCTGAACGGACTGTCTCGAGCTGGGTCTTGGTCTCGGCGTGCGCGGCCGAGTCGGCGAGCGACGACGACACTTGGCCGCGGGCAGCGGCGAGGTCGGAGCGCAGGGTCTCGAGTTCAGAGTTGGAGCCCGACTTGGCGGCGTCAACAGCGGCAGTGAGGGTCGCGACTTGAGCCGTGAGCGAGTCAATCTCGGCAACCAGTGTGTCCTTGTCCCTGCTGAGCGTCTCCTTGGTCTCCTTGTCCCTTGCGTGCTCGTCTTGTTTCCTGCTCAGCTGGGTCTGGAGGGACACCACCTCGTCCGTCTGTGCCTTGAGCTTGGCGCGGAGCGACATGATAATCTCGGCGCTCTCGCCATCGTCCACGGGGGGACCGCGCACCGCGTCCGGCTCGACAGCGATGGACCTCTGGATGGTGTCTGAAGTGTCAGTTGTGTCTCATACGTACGTGCAACTTACAGTAGTGGTTCTTCCAGAAATCCACAAACGCCCAGTCAAACCAGAGCTCGAGGCCCTCCTCAGTGTCCTCATTGTCCTCGCTCTGGACGGCGGCGGTGGCGTCCTCGCCCTCGGTGTCGAACGCGTCTGGCTGGACGGCGCGGAAGCGCGGGTCCTCGCGCAGACGGGCCATGCGCGACACAAACTGGTCGGGACCAATGCGCGAGTGCAGGATGGGGTGCAATGTCGCGCGTGTAATCTCTCCAGGCTCGCGGTTGAACTCGTAGCAGACACCGAGGAGGAACGCGCACAAGCCTTGCACAAGTGGGTCAATACCGGTGGGCTGGGTGATCGGGCCGATGAGCTGTGGGGTGAGGTCAGTGGTTGAATGGAGCACCCGTACTTCAACTACACTCACGACCTGCAGGTTGGCACTCTCGCTAAGGAACTCGCGGACGCTCTTGGGGCTGTCCCAGAGCCAGGTGGACAGGAGAACGAGGTAGCCGACAATGACGCGGGTCCAGTCCTCCTCCTCGCCGCTGCCGTGGCCTTCCTTGGCGGCACGGTTGGCAGCGTCCGTCTGCTCGCGCGACGCCATCATGAGGTTGCCGACAATAAGCTGGAGGAGCGACACGCGGTCGTCGTCGTCTTCTGCCACAGCCTCGTCGGCGTCACCCGAGGGGAACGAGATCTCGCGAGCCAGCTTCTTGCCGTGCTCAGAGTTGCGGATGAGGTGTGCAAGGAGGAGACACGAGAAGAGCGGACGGTACGGGTCGAAAGGAGCCTCGCTAGATGGGAAGTCGAGCAGACCCGACATGATCAGCGAGCCTGCTGACTGAGGGTCATCGGGGAAGTTGGCGTTCGGGTTGTCCGCAGGCGGAGGCACCATGGACGACAGGATGCCGATACGGGCATCGTCATTGCCAGTCACATACGCCTAGAAAAATGTCAGCCCCACATTGCCTACGTTAGAGCAACAGGCTACTCACCTCGAACATGTTGACACCGGCAGCACGGCCACGGAGGCCATGGCCACCGGCGCTGGGGTCGCCCTCAATGACCGACGCCACGAGCGCAACGACTGCTGGGCGTGCGGGAAGGCGGATAAAGCCACCGTTCGGGTGCTCCTCGTCAGCGTGAACCGGGACGAGGGGCGAGAGCATGAGGGTGGACAGGAGGGCCTGGTTGGCGACGCTCGATAGCATGATGGGTGTGAGGGTGTTGAGAGCCTGGCACTTGAGACCGTTGGGAGCGTTGGAAGCCAGCGACAGCTCGAGAAGGCAGCGTGTAACACCGCCGTTGGCCATGGCCGACTGGTTGCTGCCGCCGGGCCCGCCGACGAGTGTGCGTATCAAACCGAGCACCATACCAGCGTTGTAGAGCTTTTGCTCCGGCCAGTCCTGGAGGGCAAACGCGTCTGGGGCGGGCACATCGGGAGTGAGGGGGCTGGGGAAGTGGAGCATGGGAGGAAGGGAAGGCATGAGCGAGAGCTCGCGGAAGAGGTTCTGAGGTGTGAGCTGTGGCACACAATCGTAAGCCGCCAACTTACCTGGTTGGAAACATTGTAGCGCAGCAGCGTGCTGATAACTGTCAATGCGTCCTGGACGACAATGCCGCCCTCGATCCCGTTCTCGGCACGGATAATGTCAAGAGTCCTCTCAAACGCGCCCGAGAATGCGATAATCTTCTGCAAGTCGGCATTGCCAGCGAGCAAGGCAGGGAGAAGGAGAAGAGCCTCGTTGCGGAGCATCTCGCCTCCACCGCCAGACACTGCGGTACCCTGCTGCCCTGGAGCCGGGGCCTTGGGGTCGAGCACAGTGAGAACGCCATCGACACCTGGAGGAGGTGCCGACAGAATGTAGCTCTGAGCAAGGCCTGGACGAGCGGTGAGGATCTGTGAGAGGAACTGGAGGGCGTAGAAACGTGGGTAGAAGGAAGGCGAGTCGGACAACAGTCCAAGGACCGAGTGGAATGGCTTGGGTTCCTGGCTATTAGGTGCTGTGACAAGACGACCGCAGGTAGCACTCACCTCGAGGAAGATGTCAATGTGACGCAGGCCGAGGTCATCCTTCTGAGGCTATAAAGTTAGTTCAAAATCGGTACGACGCGACTTACCTTCTCGGCAGTCTCGCAGAGGACCATGAGTGTCTCGAGGACGGCCTTGGCAATCTCGATGTTGTAAGGAGCGTCATGCTCAAGCACAGCCAGCAGAGAAGGGAAGGCCTCCTTGCCGACGTCGAGCTTCCAGTCACGGCTCAGGCCCTTGAGGCCCAGGACAGCGGTACGGCGGTCATCGACGAGCGGGGACGTTTGGATCTTGTCGACGAGCTTGATAATGGTGTCGCTCGCTGTCTGAGGCGCGGCGCTGAGCTCTCCCCTGATCGCCGTGACGGCGGACGAGAAGCGCGTGCCAAAGAGGGACATTTGTGACAGTGTCGAGGTAGTCGTTGAGCAGAACAGCAGACAAGACAAACAGGTGTGGGTGTCTATCCAGCTCGACGTGGTGCATGGCGCGCGTCCCCGCCGTGGCACACTGCGTCACACACAGGGGTCAATGTCGGGCTACAAATTACGTAAAAGATAAATGTATTAGGCGCGTGAACAAAAAGGCGTGAGCCCAGTGATTTAGCAATGAGATCCCAGAGATCCTTATCCTCTGTGCCTGAGGTACAATATGACGAACGCCAGGCGTCCTGTGTCTCTGGCCCATCTCTCTCTCTCTCTGTCTCTCTTGTTCTTCCTTGAAGCCTCGTTTATTGTTCTACCCCCATCACCCCCCCAACGCCTCGTTCCATCCTTTGACAAGCGCCGCCACAGCTATACCCACGCACGGCTTCTGCTCTGCCTGCGTCGACATCTACCCACCCCCCCAGACAGAGCGCCTCACAAGATCACAGGTCGACCACCCCTGCTGAATGCTTCGCGCGCACGGGCCATGGACACCAAACTCCACCTGGCTATCGGGGTGGCGGCGTGATGGCGTCCACCTCACATTCTCATGACTCTTCTTCTGCCGCCAGCTGCAAAATGAGCAGCGCTTCGCTGCGCGCTGCTGTGCCGCCGTGTGTCAGAATGGCACTGTCGCTGGTTCATCTGGATATGCCAGCGTATGTTGGAATCCTGTGTACCTGTGTCCCGGGCCCCCTATGGGCTGTTACACAGTCGCACTACTATGCCGTGCTCTGGCGCTCTGGTATGCGTCGTGCCGTGTCTGCAGACCGAGAGATGAGGAACAGCCGCTGCAAGGAACGGTGTGTGTGGGTGGCGACAGCGGGCCAGCGGCCAGCGACTGCAGCGGCCAGTGACCAGCGCGTGTGTGGTGGCTTTTGTGGAGGCTGCGCAACAGAAACACACACACACACACACACAAGTGGCACACCTCCCCCGAGATCTATTGTGCTTGCGACCTAGATCACCACTAGCTGCACGTTGCAGGCGCTCTCTACTCACTACCACAAAGAGGATTGGGAAGACAACTCATTCTCCTTTTGCTCTCTTGTCTTGTCCTCACCACCTCACCACCTCACCACCTTTCCTCACCACCACCTCGCCTTTCCAAGCTGCCCCCTCTGTCATTTCCCGACAGTCGTCCCCCCACACAGTTATCTGCAATACGCCACTTTATTCGGTGTGACAGCCATTGAACTGCCCCACAGCGCCGCTGCCGCCGCCGCAATGCCGGCCACTCCTAGAGGACTAATGTTCTCAATTGAAGATAACGAGATCACCCTTCTGCTTGGGGGGCTCGGTCTCAGCACCGATTCAGCGGCGACGACGTGCTCTCAACGCTCCGACTTGTCTGCCGCCCTTCCCTCGAGCGATTTGGAGGAGAGCGATGACGACGATGACATTGAGTGGGGGGATCTCCACTCTGCCAACGGCTTGCGAGCGTCCTTTTTCCGTTCTATTCGTATCGATGACCCTACGGGACACGGCCTCTATCCCGCCGTCCCCGGGGATGACGAGCAGCGTCTTCACCGTCGTCCCACCAGTCCACTCAACATTCGCAAGCGTGCCACACCTGTCAAAAAGGACGACAAAATCCTCCACGAGGACGAAGGTACGCCATCGTTGGATCTCAGCCCAAGCCTCCTCTCAGAGTACTCCGCCGTCACTGTTCCAAAGGATGGCCATGAGCGTGAGCTATCTGCTTCTATACGGTTTCGTCACAGCCACTGACCCCTTGCCACAGCGCGTTCTGACCCACCTTCTCGGCGCATGTCCATGAGCACTGCGGGGCCAAGTACCCCGTCGATCACTCCGCTTCCCATCTTTGCGCCACTCCCATCAATTCCACGCGTGTCCGACCCACTGTTCCACGAGACATTGTTGTATGCTTCTCAGATCCCATCACTCAACGTTCCCATCCCGTCGCTGTCCCTCGGTCCGATCCCAGTTCTCGCAGGACCAGAGATCGTCGAACCCCGGTCTCGTCCCGTGCGTCGTCGCCCAACGTCGGATCAACCCCAGGCCTCGCCGCGCGACGTTACATCCACCCAATGGGCTGGGTCTTCCCCCGCAGAGGCGCGTCCTCCCAGTGCTCGGCGGAGCTCTGAAGTGCCATACTGCAACTCGGAGTCTAGTCACAGCACCGAGTATCTGTACGACAATGCGGACGCGGCCTCGTCTCACACTTCGTTTGTTTCGTTCACGACACCTCGCCCAGCACCGAGGATCCCAGCTGTTGCCGGACCTTCGCCGTTCTCCACGCGTGCTATTTCGCCGCTTTCAGCCACTCCCTTGCCGCTCCCAGTGGTAGAGTCCCCACCAAGCCCCACGAGTCCAAAGGGCTCAAAGCCCAAGTTTACCAACCGTCTCCCCAGGCCTGTGTCGGTTCCCGTGCCGGCGGACGAGTCACTGTGGCCGGCTGAGGAGGAGGACGAGCCGCAGTTTGACAGGCGCCCATCGCAGCCCGAGGCCGACACGCTGTCACCCATTACCCCGGCGCCAGTTCCGGCCAAGGCCATCCAGATGTTGGGCATCACCTCGCCGGCCGACAGGCCCATCCCGCAGCCCAAGAAGAAGGGCAACAAGTTCTTGGGCTCTCTCCGCCCTCCCACTTCGTCGTCGCGCACACAACCCACACGTCGTCGTGGCTCTGCGTCTCTCCTCAGCCCAGTCCTCAACAGCCCAGGCATCGGTTTCGACAAGTCTGGCGACCTGTCGCTCAGCATGGGCCAGGAGCAAGCCTCAGAGTGGCTCGCGCGTGACGAGACTGGGCCAGCCAGCTTTGTCCCCGTCGACAACAACGTGCGGTATGAAGTGCCATCCAGTCCGTTTGGCAGCGCGCTGCTCGGCCCCAGCTCTGCAGCGTATGCTGCGCGCATGGCCAACGAGGCCGAGCTTCTCGCCCCTCCCGCGTCTGTACGCATGTCCCTGTCTGGACCGGCGTCGGCGTCGGCGTCGGCGCCCATCTCCAGCTCCTCGTCCATGGCGTTCAGCCCGCCCCGTGCCACCCACGTCAAGACGAATTCCGGGTCCATGCCCTCGAGCTACCACGGGCCACCGAGCTACCCTGTGGAAACGTTCACGCGTCCCGAGAACCCGCGCAAGGGCAGCGACTCGTCCATCGTCTCCAGCGGCTCGTCGTACTCGACCGCCAGTGGCAGCTCGGCGGGTACGTTCCCAAGCTCGTATGGGCGTACCCCCGAGTTCCAACAGCAAGGTACTGTCAACCGACCCGCGGGCGTCAACCGCCAGAGTCGAAGCTATTCGGCGAGTGCTGGTGCGCGGTACGCCTCGCCTCCTGGCGAACACGACCACTCTCCGCACTTTAGCAGCTACGGCTCTCCTCCTCGCGAGCACGAGCTGCCCCAGCACCATCGGTACCAGCAGCACAGGCAGAGCCAGCAGCGTGACCCCGCCCGCGACCGCGAGGCCAAGCAGACCACCAAGCACCGCCCGCCGCCCATTGTCATTGCCAACCCACAGCGCAGCCGGCCCCTCCCGTCCGTCGTCGAGGTCGGGCGCCACGCCCAGACTCCCAACCCACCACCTACCGCCACCATGCGCGCGCCGTCGTCTGTGGGCCGGAACCGTGCGACGGTGGAGATGAAACCTGCCCCCACGGGCGGCACACTCAACCGGCCGAACGGCAAGCCGAGCGTCAACCGCGGCGGCAACGTCAGCGTCAACGGGCGTGTGAACAACGCGTCCGCGTCCGCGTCCGCGTCGCCGCCGCCGAGCGACCCCCAGTTCGTTCCGTACGCCCAGCCCATCGTCAGCTTCCAGGCCATGCACCCCACCCAGGCCGCGGCCGCTCTGCCCGACTTCCTCGCCCTGCCCACTGCCATGCTACCCGACTCGGCCGGCCCATGGACCGCCACGCCGGGCTCGTACGGGTACGCCGCTGGCACGCCGCCCACGGCCGGCAGCACCGGCAGCGGCGACCGGGACCGACCGCGTAACCGCCGTCTGCAGCAGGTGCAGAACTCGCCGCTGACGCCGAACGGCGAGCCGAGGAGTTACTTTGAGCCGCCGACGCCGAGCCCCAAGGCCGGGTGGCTGGGCGGGAACGCGCTCAAGGGGTTCACAAAGGTGCTGGATAACAGGGTCTGAGGAGAGCGTGTCCTTCCTGTTCCTTCCCCAAGCATGACGTCTCTGCGCACCATCGAAACAATGCCTAATGGCCTAATGCCCCGTTCTCCACAACCACGACATGATTCTCACGACCGACCGAACCGAACCGACCCTTGATGGATCCTCACGACGCTGTGCACTTCCCTCCCTCCCCCATGTACATATAAGCACTCCTCCGGGCCCTTGTCGAGCAAGACAGTTTTGTAAATAACGCGCCTATGCAATGCATATAGATATCTGATTCGTACAACAGGCCCATGAACATTGTCCAGCGGGTGTGGGTGGGTGTGAAAGTGGACAAAAAAGTGTTTAAAAAGGGAGCTGAGTTCGGGGGTGCCACAAGGCTCACTCATGCCTTGCGCTCACGCCTTGGCGGCCGGCGACGACGACGAGCCGTTTTCGTCGTCGAGGTTGACCACGCGCCTACGGGGCCGTTTCTTCGCTGCTGCCTTCTTGGGCGCTGGCGAGCGACTCGGCGACGGCGGCGCGAGCTGTCGTCCCACCGGGGTGGGGACGAGTGCGCTGGCCGTCGCGATGGCGTGGAAGTGGTCATCGTCCACCACCGCGGCGGCGGTGGCGGCAGCGGCGGCCTTGCTCGCCCGTGTAGGACTCGCGGTCGCGGTCGCGGACCTCGCCGCCAGGTGGGTCCGGTTAAAGCCTCCGCGCGTGGGCGAGCTAGGGGAAACGGGGGAGGTGGGTCTGGGCGGCGGCGCGGGGGCCGCCGTGTCGTACACGTTGGCCGCCGCCGGCCTTCCCCTTGCGGCGAGGAGCGCGTCGATTCGCCGCTGCTCGGACCAGCTCAGGGGGACATCGTCGAGCACGACAGTGTGTGCCTCCGCAGCAAAGGCTGCGCCAATCTCGGTGCGCCACTCCTCGGCCGGCTTGGCAGCGACGGAGCCGTCAGACATGTGGGTGAGAGAGAATGGGTTGTCGGCGGACCAGACGGCCTCGACAACAGGCAGGACGGCGAGACGGCCCACTTCGTCGGCTTCCGCGAGCAGGTTGCCGCGCACGTCGACGCGGCGCAGGCCGAGGACACGGTCGAGGCCGACAAGGCAGTCGATGCGGTTGCGCGCGAGGTTGATCGTGTGCACGTTGCCGAGAGCGGCGGGGGCGTTGCGCACAGAGGTGATCAGGTTGGAGGAGAGGTTGAGCGAGACGAGGTTGTGCAGCGCAGCCAGCGACTCTGGGATGGCATTGAGGAGGTTGTTGGACAGGTCGAGGTGAGTCAAGGATGTAAGCGGGAGGGCCGGGAAGGACAGCATGGATGTGTGGGTGAGGCTGAGGTGCCGGAGGTTGGGGAAGCGCGACGACGCAGCCTCGGGAGTCACGACTGGAGACTCTGCCGGTGGAGATGGAATCTCACCCTCGATGACCAGCTCGGGCAGCCAGTCGTCGGCATCCTCCACGTCGCGCACAGTCAGACTGTGCAGCAGCGGGTTGACAGGGATCAACAGGCCGCGCGGGTCAAAGCCCTCGAGCTCGAGTCTGGTTGTCAGCTTGGTCGACCAGACGATCGTGGTAGCTTACATTTGAAGATTCCTCAGGACGTCCAGTGGCACGCGCACGTCCACACCTCCAAACTGCGTGTAGCCTCCTGCGTCCAGCAACTCGGCAACTGGAGCCTCAGAGTGGAACGGCGGGTGGATCAAGAGTCCCGGGAGCGTGTTGAAGACGCTGTACAGCTCTAGCAAGATCTTGTCTGAGGGTTAGCGGCGCGTTACGCAGGCCTAAACCCACCTTCATCGACCTCCTTGGGCTTTGACCACCATCCGAACCCGCCACCGTCGGCGGTGCGCGTGCCCATCGAGACGGAGCGGATACTGCCGACCCACGAGCGCACGCTCTCAACGTCACCGTCCTCTCGGCGCGGCTGGTCCCCACGGCCGCGAGCTACGGGGACCACACCATCGGGGACTGGGACGTCTGTGTGGCCCACATGCGACAGCGACTGGGGAAGGCTCTGCCACCTCAAGAGGAGGTACAGGAGCTTGTCGGGCGGCAGGCGGAGGAGGACGGGTCTGTGCCGCGGTGGCTGGGCTGGGGACCCAAACCCAAGTGTGAGGGGAACTTTGACCGATGGGCTGAGCGGCGCCGAGTTGGGATCCAGTCCCAGAGTGAGGACGGTGTACGATTGTGCGAGCCACGACGCGTCCTTTGTCTTACCTCGCGGCGGCGGCGCGAGACGCGTCAAGTTGGCCCCGAGGTACTTGCGGAGTTTGAGGAGGTAGTCGCGGCCGGAGACTGGAGGCGGTTGCGGCGTGGGGGGCGGTCCGAGGCCACCTGGGAGGCCGAGGGAGGGAGCGATGGCGGCCATGGTGGAGAGTGGACGGAGAGAGACGACGACAAACGAGCGTTCGTTGGACGGGCGGCTATCGGCACAACAAGCCTCCTGTGTCTCCCCAAGCGATCGGCTATGGACGATGTGGAGAGAGGGGGCCCACCCGTGGGATACTCGAGTCACGTGGTTTGTGCGTGGGAGGCTGTCTGGACATTGCAAAATGGCCACCCAGGCACGGGTCGGCTGTGGGGGGAATGCCGTCACTGCGGATCACATCTCTCAATCTTGGCGCCATTTTCTTTGGAGCACACAAAAGCGTCGGCCCGGATGCAGTCACACTGAGAGAAAAAAAGAAGCCAGAGCTACCAGAAGAAGACGGTGAGAACCACGTTGCGCCGGCGCTGCCTTATCCGCGCGCCGCGGCTGAGGCCCTTGACACCGGGCTCTTGGGCTCTTGGGCTCTGATCCCGGGGATATGGGGGTGTGCTCGTTTGTGCTCTCGCTGATGGCTGTGTGATGAGTGTGAGACGAGAGCGACCATAACCGTGTCTCCGCTCTCTGGGTGGTGACCCCCCCAATGTCGTCATTGCCACCCATGCCCTCGTGCCCCGCCCTCTTCCCCCTTTGCATGCCTCAGAAGTGCGACATTGTACCAGCTGACAATGAACCCAAATGTCCCAAATGTCCAGCCAAGCCCAACCCAGAGATTCCTTTTGCCTCTCTCGTACATGCGCCAGGCGCTCTCGCCGGCGGGTACAGCGGCCCAGGCCCCCCCGCTCGCAACCCCCCACATGATGCAATGTCGCAAAATGACAGACCGCCTCTGAAAGAGGATATGACAAGGTCGCTCCCCAAGAAGCCAAATCGCCCTCTCTGCCCCTCTCTACCTGACATCAACATCATCACCCCCACCCACCATCCCATCACGATAAGCCGCCAAGCCAGCAGCAATGCTTCCCAGCTCGCCAGCAATGGGGGCTCTCCTCCTCCTCCTCGGACTTGGTAGGTTGATACAACACTGGATGCCTCTGACCGTACCACAGCGACCTCTGGTCGGGGGTCCTCAGTGTGCGCACCAAACGTATGCGTCAAGGGTGGATCCAACTCGGAGAGTGAGTGTGTCGGCGCAATCGATGGAGCTGTCGATACTCATCCACCGATCCAGTCGTCGCCTTTGACAAGAACAGCAACAACTATCTCATCCCTGGCACCTACGTCGGCAACTATGACCCCGTGGTCTCTCTCAACCAGACCATCAGCGCTACCACCACGGGTGTAGTGATCCACCCGCCATCCAACCCCATCACGTTTGCCGCTACAAACTACAAAAGCAAGGTCACGCCGCAGACACCAGGATCCTCTGCTTCCTCGTGGAACAGCTTCTTCCTTCCCGAGGGCTGGTATGCGCTTATCAACCCGGGCCAAGCGATCTGGGGATCCGTGCCGGACCGAAGCCAGTTGCTCGATGCCAACCTTCCTATTCAGCAATTCGCCGCTGGTGAGCAAAAGCAACCCCGTTGTCTTGGCATGTGGAGCGGCATGTTGGGCTTACACATCCAGCGCTTTGCCATCCCATCTGTTCATCGCATGGCAACTGCACAATCACCAGCAGTACCGACGGCTATACCGCCTCTTGTGTCTGTCAAGAGGGATGGACCGGCGAGGCATGCGACCAGTGTGCCACAGGATACGCCCACTGGTCATGCACACGTGAGTGTGGCATACAGACTGTGCTAAATCACACAATGGATCTCACCTACTGACGTCTGCTTTTCTCAGGTTGCCTGAACAACTGCACTCGATGCGATGACGGTCTGCTGGGAACGGGCGCCTGTCTCGGCACAACCTCGGACGCAACCAGTGAGGTGAAATTGTGTTAGCGGAGCTGACCCTCTCACAGGTTGTAACTGCGTTCACGGCACATGCGGGGCAAACGGCGTATGCGACTGTGCGGCTGGCTGGTACACCAACCTCGAGCACTCGCCAGGACAGTGTAACCGGTGCTTGCAGGGCTTTTACGTCAACTCCAAAGGCGACTGTTCAGGTGAGAGAGGCACACATACACACATGTACGCATTGTAACTGACCCGTACAGTCTGCCCCAAGGGATGCGTTACTTGTGGTGTCGGCCCAGGGTTTACGGAACCCACATGCTACTCGTGCGAGCCAAACCTCAACCTCTCCACCACCATCCCCGCTACATGTGGTGCCACGACCAACTGTGGCACTGGCAACTACTTTGCGAACCAGACCTCTTGCGAAAAGTACGCTGGCGCGGAAACATGAACCCACTTTGAAGCTGACAACAACAAAAAACAGATGCGACCCAGCATGCACTGCGTGCTACGGCCCAGGCTCGTCAGACTGCCTCGAATGTGCCGCCGGGCACGCACTCTTGGGTGGCTCATGTGTCGGCCTCGACCAAACCACTGGCATCTGCGACTCGAGCCTGAGCTCATTGCCAGGTACCTATGTCATGAACAATGCCCCCAACCGGCTCAGGTGTGACGGTGGGTGATCGAAGCCCAAGCACATTCGGACCACTGCTAACCCACTCCAGCCTGCCCCTCCAGCTGCCTCGAGTGCTACATTCCGGGCTTTAACACGGCGGCGGCGTTCGAGCCGCGCTGCCATCTGTGTCAGGAAGGCTACCTCTACTACAGCCAGAACGGGACGTGTGTAGAGACGTGCCCCAGTGGCTCGTACCGCTCGTCCGACCCGGGCTTGAATGGCACCTGCTCAAGTGGGTCCACCGACAGTATCATTCCCCGCTGACCTCCAGACTGTGACAGTGCTTGCAACACGTGCACCTTTACATCGACGTACTGCACTTCTTGCAGTAATGGCTACGCGTACCGTGGTCAGTGCGTGAACACATGCCCAAGCTTCTCCATCCAGAACAATGGCGTCTGCTCGCTCTGTCACCCAGACTGCGCGACCTGCACCGTCGCGGGCTCCGTGACCGGCTGCTCATCCTGCCCGTCCTCGCGGCCCGTCCTGGTCAATGGCCAGTGCATCCCATTCTGTCCACAGGGAGAGTACTTCTCCGGAGCAACGAACGGCTGTGCTCCGTGTGACTCGTCGTGCTCGAGCTGCACCACGCTCGGGTCATGCACGACCTGTGCCGATGGGTACATTCTCGAGTCGGGACTGTGCCAGTACGCCACGTCGTGCCAGGGTTTCTTCGCCACCCACCTGGGTATCTGTCTCTCCTCGCTCGTCGACAAGCCCAAGAACACGAACCTGGCCTACCTCGCCCTCCTCTCGCTCCTCGTCGCAGTCATCATCCTCGCTGCCGTATGGTACATTCGCAGGGAACGCGCAAAGACGCGTGCCGCCACACGCCAGTTTGCCGCCCACCTGGACGAGCAAGCTGTGGGACGTCGCATGGATGCCTTCCCCACCTCGTTCTTTGACCGCGTGTTTGGTGGCGGACACATGGACCCGGACCACGCCAACGACGGTGGTAGCGAGTTTGCCCGTGACGCGCGCGCAAAGCACAGACTTCGCAACCTCATCATCCCCTCTCGCGGCGGCGGAGGAGGCCGCGACAACAAGTCTCCCGTGGACGCGACCGTGCTTCCGGCCACCTACTCGACCAACACGGTTGACAACATCCCCCTGTCGCCCATCTCGGCCCGTGAGCGCACCAAGGGCGGTCTCATGGCCGACGCACAGGTCTTTGCAGTCTGCACGCCCAGGCAGGTATCGCCCTCGTCATCGCGCTCCGCCTCGCCCGACAACGACCCGGCCCCCGGATCGCCCTCGTCGTCCGCCTACCCGCCTACGCCGCCGCGCCGCTCGGCATCCATGTCCATGGGATGGTCGCCGGGCTCGTCGGGCTCGTCGGGCGCCCCCGGCTCGCCACACTCGCCGCTGCGTACCCTCCCCGAGGCCGAGCTGTGGCCGCACGCCAACGCAAGGGAGAGGGTCGACCAGGGCGTGCCTGTCATACGCAATGGCGGCGGCCACAGGCATATGAGCAGCAGCTCGTCGTCGGGCGGCAGCGAGCTCCATGACGTCTGGCCGGCGATGCGACCGCGACAGCACTCGGCGTTTTAGGAGGGGGTGTTTCTTGCAAGGAACGAACATTTAGCGCAGCAGCGTATATCTCGGTCTCAAGAACCAGTCCCAATCAGACTTTGTTAGGGTCTGCCCCCCCCCAGGTTGCGCTCATCTGGTCCTAATCCAAGTGTTATCCAAATCTCAAGTAAAGAAGGAGGAGCGAACGAACGGAGGAAAAGAAGTTGTTCTCAGAGTAACATGTGTATTCCAATCTCGTTTAATAGTACACCGACAAAATGTATAGCAACATACCCTCGTTCTCGCGCTCTGCAGCTCGCACCAAGTCTGGACAAGTCGGGCAAGCCCTACTCTTTCCGACTCGGGAGCTTGTTCTCCGTCGCTTCTGTCCAGCTGAGCATGTCGGGGGCAGGGAAGTCTTTGAGCAGCGCGTTGGTCTGGAACGTCAGCTCCGTCAGTGCACTCTAAGCTCACCTTTGCCAGTTCGACAACACTGTCCGAGACGCCATTGTCCATTGCGGCCAGGCGCTCGCGCTTCTCCTGCACGCGTTGCTTGCGCTCGGCACATTCCTTTACGAGCTGCACTGTCAGCTATGTAACAGGGTCCCACTAGCTCACGTCCAAGTACTCCTGGCGGAGATGTTCCCACTCGGCGTCGTAGACCTCGAGGTTGGCGCCGGCAGTGTTCACAAACGGTGTGAGGTCTGGGCGCCACGCGTCCCGCCTCCCCTCGCCCGGGTGCTCGGCGGCCCATGTGCGCGCCTCGTCAATGACCTCTGCAAACGTCTTGAGCCGCTTGTTGACGCGATACTCGTCCAGCAGGTTGTACGCGCCGGTCTGGAGGGTCAGCTATACGATCCGTCAAAAAAACAGGCTCAGCTCACCAGAGTCGACGACTGCAGCTCGTGTACCATGTTGGACCACACGTTCTCGAGCGTCTCGCGCTTCTCGTCGGCGAGGAGCGGGTAACACTCCTTCATTTGCTCAAACCTGCCCGTCAGCTTTGGTAGTCTCCGAGTAGCTCGTACTCACGACAAACGGCCCAGTCCACGGTCTACAGCATTGATACGCAGGGTGCGTACCAGCGCCTCGTAGTACTTGCCATAACCCGCGTCGTCGGCGTCGGCAATCGGCACGGCGGGGACAGCGAGGACCTCGGCGGGCGTGCGCGCCGGCGTGCGCTCACGGGCCCGGCTCTGCCGACGGGGCGTCACGGGAGGGACCGCTGCTGCTGAGGTGGTGGCCGATGGTCCTGCTTCTGGGTACGGATTTGGGTCGCGTTCGCGCTCGGGGGAAGGTGTACGCGGAGCATGGATAGGGCGAGCAATCGACGCGCGCGGAGCTCGTCGGCCTGGGGTCGATGGCGGCATAGGAGGAAGGGGTGGTGCAGAGGCCACAGAGACCGGGGGTGGAGTGACTAGTTGAGCAGCCGGGACATGAGTAGGCGTCGAGGTCGCCGGTGCAGCCTGCGGCTGACGGTTATCGCCTTCCTCGACATCCATCGCTTCGGGATCCAGGTCCGGACTGGGTCCACCAATGTCGGCCTCGACATCCATAATGTCATCCTCATCGTGGCCCGATGGTGGATGCGCGGTCGATCCCGGAGCAAGGTCGCGCTCAACCACTGGCGGCAGCTCAGTGGGAGCGGTGGGAGATGCTTGGGGGAGGGAAGGTGGTGGCGCAGCGGGGAGAGAGCCTTGAGGAGAGCGCATCACACGCGACCGGGGGGCAAACGCAGCGTCCGGGTACGCCATGGATGGCGAAAACGTGTGCTGTCTCTTAGAAGGGGATGCTGATTTTTGCGGTGGGGTGCGTGCGAGCGGCATGGTGATGGAAAGATGGGTGGAAGTGAGAGAGCCAGCTTGTTGCTTCAGTAGTAGGACACAACAACAACAGGGTCGATGCCATGCGGCGGCGCGGCGGCGGAGATTTACACGTGTCATTTGTGTTGGAACGCATCTCCCCGCGCGCTGACGGTGATAAGCACTCGAGGCGCGGGTGTGCCGTCATAATCTGTCTCGTTCCGTCACACCCCTCCTCCGGGACGCGCCTTCCACAGCACCTATCCGCTTCTCCAACAGCTCGTGTCTCGCTTTTACTCCATTGCTCCATTGTCCACATCCCCCATCTCTCTGCTACGCCGCTATTGCACAGCCGCGTGTCCAGACTGGGGCCAACAAAAGCAGTTCACTTTACACCTAGCATATACGAACCCCCTAACTGGTGAGCGGTATTCATAAATTGGACGCCAGTGCGGCGCGGGTCGCAATGTGCCCTGTCCCGTCTCCCCTTCAAGTGCTAACCTGCATAGATTTTCTGTATCCCGACCTCTCTGTCTCTCGCACACTACCATGTGAGTACCCATGGGGGCCAAAGTACTGGTCATGCGCAACCACCGATACTAATCTTTGCCAGGCAACAAGACTCGTCGCAGTCCTCGTCGGGCTCGCGCCCGACGTCCCCCGCCGCAGCCCCACCTCCGACCCGCATCGTTAGCGGAAGCCTCAAGGACCGCATCGCCAAGTTTAGCAATGCCGACGCCGTCCCCCTTGTCCCAGTCAACCCGTATATGGGTGGATCGGCCTCGTACGCTCGCGGCGGGCTTGTGGGAAACCGCCTTCCCAGCCTCGACCCCAAGACGGCCGGCATGGCAGGCCTCGGCGCTGCAAACCTCCGTCGCGTCTCTGAACGGCGTGACCTGATTGGGAACCGGATTCCCAGTGGTACAAGCGCAGCCGCGGCAGTGAATCCGCAAACGACGGGCGGCGGAACTCCAACTGGCGTGACTACCGTCCCACAGACCGGCGGCACGAGTACGCGGTCTGTGCGTTCGGCCAGCCCTGCAGGCTCGGCAGCGAGCAGCAGTGCGGCAGCGAGCAGCTCGCGGGTGTCGGGCGGGCAGGAGTCTGGGTCGACCGCGACATCGCTCTCGTCCTCGCCGGCCGCCTCTCCGGGCTCCAACATTCCCCCTCAGCTTCTCGTGTCGACGCTTCCCGACGAGATGGACGCTGGCGCAATGACACCAAGCTCGACCATCGCCGAGGCCGGTGAGGAGACGTTTGAGCGCAGCATGCCCGCCACTCCCGTCGCGACCGCCACCGAGCTCCCTCCCCCAGGCTACGACCTCGTTCCCGGAAACCTCACTCTGGCCGCCAGCGGTGCCTCGTACGCGCCATCTCTCAGCTCGTCAATGGCGTCACAGTACGACCCGGCGTCCTTGGCCGAGGAGGAGGCCAACCTCAAGGACGTGAGCGGCGTGAGCACCCCGACCGGTACCCCTCGCCAGGCCCACCGCGAGCTTGATCTCGAGGGCCCCGAGGGCAGCATCGCCGGCTCGTCCCGCGATGTCGAGGACCTTGACGACAAGATCGAGGAGCTTGTCATCGACGACCGTGACGTGACTCCCGAGGCCGAGAGGAAGGACCCCGAGCCCATTGCCGAGGACCAGGTCGACATCGCCCCTTCAGCAGAGCCTGTCGTGGCCGTGCCCGTCGCGGACGTTCCCGCCGAGGTCGTCGAGCCCGTCGCCACTGAGCAGGTTACCACTTCGTCGGTTACTGAGTCTACCGAGGAGACCAAGGTCGAGGCCAAGGAGGCTGCGCCCGCGGATCTCAGCTCCGCCGACGACACAGCTGTTCCCACCTCCCACGCTGTGGAGGGCACAGCAGCGGCTGTTGCCGGTATTGCGGCCGTCGGTGCTGCCGTTGCCGTGCAGAAGACGGCCGACGACAAGGTCGAGGAGACCGCCGAACCTGCCGAGCAGACCACCCCTACGGACGACACCCCTACCCAGAGCAAGATCGGGGCCGGAACGTCTGTAGACAAGGAGGCCACTCCCACCCCCGAGGTCGCACCTGAGCCCACGCCTGAGCCCATGCCTGTGCCCACACCTGAGCCCACAGCCGCCCAGCCTGCCCTTGAGACAGACGTTGAGGGCCCAGCCACAATCAAGGCCGCGCCCGCTGAGATTGAGCCCGAGGTCGCCACCGAGGTCCTTGCCGAGCCCGATACCCACAGTGACGTCAAGAACGAAGCGTCAGACCTGCTCAACACCGGCGACGACGAGCCCGTCCGCAGCTCGCAAGACACGTTGCGTGCGGTTGACGACAAGGTCACTTCGCGCGACAGTCTGCTTGTGGAACGCGACTCGACCCCGCAGGCACCGGACCGTGAGGCTACCCCGCAGCCCCAGCCTGCCCAGCTCGCGCGTGACGACACTCCAGTTGCGGCCGACCCTGCGCCGGCTCTCGATGACGACTCTGACATTGTGAGCGTCCAGGGCGCGACACCGTCCTTCCAGGAGGGCGATGAGGCGCCTGGCACTCCTGCGCAGGTCGACGACGACATGACGTCCGACCGTTCTTCTTTGCCACCCGCTCGCGCCTCTTCCGAGCTCGAGTTTAGGTACGAGGACTACCAGGACCATTCTTTTCGTGACCAATCCGCTTCCCAAGCTACCTCAGCGGCGGCGAACGTGGATGGGAGCGGTCACAAGACGCGTAGCTCAGTGGCGAGTGCGAGTGAAGTCGCTGTCGGAGTCGCTGGCGTGAGTGTGCTCGCTGCTGGAGCTATTGCTGCTGCCAGCGACGGTAACGGCGACGAGACAATGTTCCCTGCTGTCCCTACCGCCGACGTCGAGGCCGAGCCTGCCCACAAGCCTGTCCAGGTCCACGTCGAGCCGTCGCCGTACGGCCCCGTCAGCGAGACCAAGGAGCGCCCCTCGGATCTCCCAGTGCCCACCAGCGGGCCCAACGGTCCCACGCTCACAGTCCAAGCGCCATCCCCTTCGGTCGCGAGCTTTGACGGCGCCGAGACCCCAGCCCGTGCTGTCGACTTCCCCGTGCCGCCAACGACCTCCCTCCCGGAGGCCCAGACTCCCTTGGGCTCGCGCCCTGTCTCCCCTCCTTCCTCCGGTAGGACGGTTGCGCCGGCCTTCCCCGTCGTTCCGGATGAGGAGCACCCATACGTGAGCGTCCACACCTCGCCGAGCCGCGGCCTTGGCGGTGGTGTGTCGTTCCCCCGCGGCGCAGAGTCACCCTCGCCTCGTCACTCGCGTGGCAGCGCCTCGTCTCTGTCCCGCCACAGCCCTCCACAGACTGCGCCTCGCACCCCGCCCATGGACTCGCCCAGCCTCGTGGTCGACCACGACCGCGTCTCGATGGACAGCCAGCGCGCAATGTCCTCGACTGACAGCCACGACCACCTCTCCATCGACGGCCACGAGTCGCGTCCGCCCCGCCAGAAGCGCATTTCGTTCACCCCGCGCTCGCCGCTCCTCGACGACGAGGACCCGGGAGACTTTGAGCCCGGAGAGGGCTGGGTCGTCAGTGGTAAGTGGGAGCAGTGGCGCGGTCCCCCCATGCGTCCCCCTCTGCGCACCGCCGGCCGCCCGGCAACGACGAGCACCAAGCCAGCAGCGTCATTCGAGTAATTTCTCTATCGATCGTTTGATTTTTTTTTCGCTCTCGTATAGGTTTTATTCGACAGGACGACAGAAAATGGGATTCTGTCATCATCTGGTTGATGCCCCTCCCCCCCTGTGTTTGTGTTTGTGTGTAGAGAGGAGTGTGTGTGCATGGGAGGAGAAACGTCAAAGTGTACAACATGCATCATGTGTTTGTGCTGGTGCTGGTGATTGTGCTTGTGGCCCAAGTGGCTTGCTGGGCGGCGGTGGCGGACCGAGCAACAATACCTAGAGGCAGTCACCAAGGTACAGACAGCACCCCCCAGATCTGCAGTGAAACGTGCTGGAAGCCAAGCCAAGCCTTCGAAGCCGTGCACCGCGAGACTCTCCCCTGGAGAAGGGAGGCTGTGTCCAACCGTCTCGGCTTTTGCAGGCGCAATCTCGCTTATGACTTGCTTCGCTGGAACAATGACATGGACGGGGGACGACGACGACGACGATCAATCAGGGGGAAAAAAGCGAATATAAAAAAACAACAAAACAACGACTACGACGACCCAAGGCGCCAAGCTTGCGCCACCCATGTTGTCGACGACGGTTGATGTTGAGGTATAGTGGTCAGAAGTACCTCGAGCAGTACCGGCAGTACCACATCTGGTGCTGCCCACCCCAGTACGCCAGGCAGTAGACTGCGGCCCCATCAGCGTCAACCACTTCGCTTTGGCCCTTTGGCCCTTGGCGCGGGCGGGGTCACGTACATCCCCAGTTCCACCCGCCGAGGTCGCCTGGACATCGGCGTAATGGCGGCTCGTCGAGTTCGGACGGCATGCCCCCGACAAACACTGGCAGTGACCGCGGGTTAAACGCCGTCGTCAGGTTGAGGTTGGGGCTGGGGCTGGGGGCCTCGCTCTCGCTCTCGCCTGTCCTCGTGCTCGTGCCCGTGCCGCCCAGAGACGGCAAGGCGGGGGGAGGAGAAGCATGCCGCGCGACGCCGAGGTGGGCGTTGGGTGGCGGGGAGACGTGGGTAAAGGTCTCAAAGGCCGCAGCCTCGTTGTTGCTGGCTGTAGCGGTTGTTGATGTTGTCGTTGGGGCTGGCGCTGGCGCTGGGACTTGGGATGAGGCTGAGGTGCGCGACGTCGGTGGCCTAGCTGGGGTCGGGCTGGCGTTGGGGTCGATCGGTAGCGGTCTGCGTGGCATGGTTGGAGTGTGGTGGGAGGGATGAAGGAAGGACCTGGTCTGTACAATAACGCAAAGGCCATCACCATCAACCATGTAGCATGCTCCAGCAGTCGGTGATGTGCCTGCGTGTGTGTTGGTGGCACACACCTGGAACTACCGTGATGGTGACACGAGTGTGGGGTTGGGCTTGTCTTGGACAACGGGTGATCCCCTTCTCATGATCATGGACAATCCACTGCATATTATACGGCTGTACTGTAAATAACTCTACAACGCAGCTGCCCTCGTGTATGGGCACGCTCATGATGTGTTTCGTGTCTAGTCGTGTCTGGACTCCTTTGGGCTATCGCTCCCCCTCCTCTCTCAAATCACTCCTCAATGGCCTGGGTTGAGGCAGTACTTGCACGACAGGTACTTGCCGCCCGTGTCGACGGTGTACTTGCAGAGACCTGTAGAACCACCATCAGCACTATACATAACCTCTCCCTCAATGGTCATGTACTTACCGCCGGCGTTCCGCCCGTCCCTGCGTCCAGCGCAGACGTGGTATGGCGTCGTGTACCCCGACTGCACGTAGCTCGAATACCCCGTGACCAGCGGGGTGGCCTGGACGGATGCCGTGTGCTGGGGCTGAACGGGGGCGACCTGGACGTGTACGGGCTGGGAGGGGACGACGACCGCTGGAGCCATGTGCTGCGCATAGGTGTACTGGCCCGTCGCGCGGTCGTAGCCCGTGTTGTAGTCGCGCCGGCTTTGCCACCAGCGGTACTCGTTGCGCCAGAATGCCCATTCGCGGCGCCACATGTCGTAGAACATGATACACATGGTGAGTGACGAAGGGGTGTTGTCGGGCTGGTGGAGGGTGTAGGTGGGTGTCTCGGTGAAGATGAAGGTGTGTTGAGGAGGTAAGGTGTCGCGGTGTTGGGATGTTGGAGAGGGTGGGTGGAGATGTAACAAAATGGATCAGCGTTTCGTTTATGGACTCCTTTCCCTCCTCCGGTCTCCCAGGCTCACAGCCTCGCGTCTCCGGTGGCACGACGGCTTGGCCGGGGGCGGTGTAACTCCAACGCAATGGGGACAGGGGTGCGCGTTTGTGTGGGGTCACTGATGGGACGCGGGGTGGGTACGACCATGGGGACACGGCGTGTTTGGTTTTAATCCGGGCCGCCGCCACACAATGACATTTGCTGCTAAGAATGTTCTTCTCCCCAAACGCGGACAACACGGACGCCTCTTGCTCGTGGAATGTGTAGCGGGGGGTATGCCGGCTATAACAAGCTTCCCAAAAGGGTTCACGTATTAGACCTGAGACGGCGACAGACGGCCGAGTGATGGGACCTCAGAAGGAAGCGGGTACGTGAAATTCCGGTTTAATTTGTGCCACACGGACGCCGAAAACGAAGCCGCCCCGGACGGAGCGAAGCATCGGGGTGGGTTACGACTCGGTATCGCGGGCATGCATGTATTGGAAGCTCCTATGGCTGCACGAGGGCCGTGGTCGATGTAATGGGCCGTGTATCAAGGCCGTGTGCACGGCGCCACCCCTCGAGTTCTGAACAGACCGCGCATTTTATCTCTCTCTCCATCATAACACAAATGGTGTTTTACTACACTAAAGCCCTCGCCTGCCAGTGCACACCGACGGACGCACCGAGCAGAGCAATCTAGACATCTAGAATCTCTTCAAGCATACCAAGCATTCCCAATACCGCATGTCGGTTTGGTACGGGACGCACAGGTCTGCCATCAGCACCTCACTCAGCCAGCTTGGCCACACGGAAACTCACCACCGCGGTTGAACCCTTTGCAGTTGCCATTACACTTGCGGTCCCAGGGGGGCTTGATTGGGTCCTCGCCCTCATACGAGGACTCGCTTTTACTGTCGTACTCGAGTTCGGCCAGGTCTACGTCTTGATCTTGCTCTTGGTCCGTCTCATCGTTGGCGTCGTCCACGCTGTCATCTTCGTCGTCGTCCTCGTCTTCGTCGTACCTTTCCTTCCTCTTCGTCCCGCGGGGCTTGGGCTTGGCCTTGGGCTTGGGAGCGGCTTTGGCTTTACCCTTCTCACACTCGCTAGTGCTTTTCTTGACTTTGCGTCTGGGCCTCGTTGGTCTCGAGCTGGAAGCAGTGGACTGCCGAGTGTGTCTGGTCTTTTGGCGTTTGGCCTTGGGAGCAGCGTTGGGAGGGTGATAGGTGGCGTCGCCACTCTCGTCTGAGGACGAGGCCGAGTCGGAGTCAGGCGCGTCAGAAAGGTCAGAAGAGGAGTTCATGGGCGTTGATGGGGGGGGGGATGTGAATGAGGCAACGTTGTCTCTTTGCGAGCCGTTCAAGACTGTCTTTGGCCACCATCAGTGGCATCAGTGGTGAAGCCCATACAGGGGAGTTGTGAGACAGACGTGTGACAAGGACGTGACGGTTACAGATGTTGGAATGGAGGGTGTGTCTTGCCTTCGTAGAAACGACATAGACTGCCCCTAGAAACTGCGTCACTCAAACCAAGGCATCAGTTATGAGTCGTGTCGTACTATCGGCGACTCTGCCATGCGGTCCTTGCAGTCTGTGGGTTCCGTCGGCCCCCAGGTCTTATCGACAAATACCCCTGGAGGGCGCCCGCAGGATGCCCATGCATCTCTCCTGCCATAGCCACCGTGACAATCACCATGCACATTGTAGACAAAAAGCTTTGAGGAATTGCACCAGATAATGTTGCCACATTGCTCGCCCATACGCCCCTCTGACGTCAAATTGCCTGGACCACCTCCACATTGCCCGCCTGTTCTCTCTCTTCCGCTCACTCGTCCATCCACTCTCTCACCCAACCCCACATCTCACACTATGGGCGTCACGCTCGTCCAGCCAGCAGGCTACCATGCCGGCAAGTGCGGCTACTGCTCTCCACCGGGAAAGAAGAAGAGCGCACCACAAACATCCTACTCTCTCGGCTGTGCGTATGCATCGCTCAAACGTGCAGCGAGCTGACGTCAGTGGTCGCGAGCCAGATGTCGGCGCAGGTATGTCTTCTAACTAGCTGGTGACACCTCTGTGCACATTCCCAGCTAGCACCGCGGACGACCCCACCCATGATAAATGTACCGTTCTCTGACGTCCAGTTCTACCAGAACCTGTGCGATCGCGGCTGGCGCCGGTCAGGCGACTATGTGTATCAGTGAGTTGCGCACCCGTCCTCGTTCACGAACCAACTGACATGCCGCCCTCCAGCCCCGACATGGCGCGTACATGCTGCCCACAGTACACGATCCGGCTGGACGTTTCCCAGTTCAAGCCCACGCGGCAGCAGCGCAGCGCCGTGAACCGCTGGAACCGGTTCGTGTCGACTGGCCTCAAGCCTGGCGAGGAGGTGCTGGCTGGGGGTGTCGCGGCGGCGACAGAGAACGCAGCCAGCGGCAAGAAGGGTAAAGGCAAGGGCAAGGGCAAGGACAAGGCCAAGCCGTTTGACCTCGTGACGGAGCTGCGATCGCATCAAGCAGGGTACGGCGCTGGCGGCGGCGAGGCTGCGCCGAAACATCGCTTCGAGGTGGGTGCGATAACCCCCGCGGTGGTTCTGACCCACTCAGCTCGAGCTCACCCCGGCCAAAGTCACGCAAGAGACGTTTGAACTATACAAGCGCTACCAGGTTGCCGTGCACAAGGACGCGCCGGGAAGCGTCTCGCGCGCGGGGTACAAGGGGTTCCTGTGCACGAGCCCACTGGACGTGAGTGTACCAGACTGTGCGTGCGCAACTCTTCTGACGCCGGGGTGCAGGACGACGAGGAGATCGTGTACACGAATGCCACTGCCGCAAGGGGCCTGCCGACCAGCTATGGCGGCTACCACCTGCTGTACCGCGTGGACGGCGTGCTCGTGGGCGTGTCGGTCATTGACATTCTCCCGCACGCCGTGAGCAGCGTGTACTTTATGTGGGACCGGGCGTGGGCGTGGGCCGGGCTGGGCAAGCTCAGTGCGCTGTACGAGATTGCGCTTGTGCGCGACATGGCCGCCGCGGGCGCAAAGGACATGGCGTGGCTGTACATGGGTGAGCTCCCGGGCCTGGTGACTCCGTAAGCTGACATTGACCCACAGGCTACTGGATCGCGACGTGCGGCAAGATGCGGTACAAGGGCGAGTACCACCCGAGCTACCTCCTGGACCCGGGCACGCAGGTGTTCCACCCACTCACGCCGCGCTTGGACAAGGGTCTGGCGCGGATCAAGGGGTATAAGCCCTTTGAGGAGATTGAGGCCATGGCAGAGGACGAGGTCGCGGGGCTGCCCGAGCCGACGATGAGCGAGCGTATCGAGGTAGACGAGGACGTCGGCGGCGGCAGGGCAGGTGGCGGCGACGACGACAACAACAACAAGGCAGAGTTCCCCACCCCCCCACCGCCCGGGTTCCTCGACCCAGCGAGCTTGAGCGCCGCGACCATGGACTCGCTCGTCACCTTCCTGAGCGAGCCCAAACACGGTATCGTGCCGTACAAGGTGAGCTGGGATGTCCCGGTTTCCAAGCTGACGAAAACATAGATGTTCCAGCACATGCTCACGCCGCGAGGACGCGTCATGGTCAAGCAGATGGTAGCGGCTCTGGGACTGGACATGGTCGCCAGCCTCGTAGATCAGAAGTTTGAGGACAAGGCGTTCTTGTACTTTGGCGACTAGGTCACGGCAAGATGCATCTTTTTAGCATAGGCTCGGCTGCCATTGCAGAGGTAGCGGTGGCGCTCCATTGTGACGTCCTACCGCCCTTTTTCCTTCCTGCACTCGCTCCTTTACCACTTCGTCTTCACCACTTCTCCTTCATAGGACTTTTGTCGTCAGCGTGCCCCATCCCCCCCATCACATCCCCTACTCACCGAACATCCAGCTCCTGGGTCCACGTCGAGCGCGGCTGGTTGACAATGTCGACATACACCTGCGCGATCCCGTCTGGCTCGAGCCTCGTCCCTTCCTCGACGGTGGCCGCCTTATCGCCCATGATACCCTTGACGCGCGCCGTGTCAATGAGGCCGTCCACCACCACATGGCAGACATGGATTCCCTGGGGGCCAAACTCGCGCGCGAGCGACTGCGCCAGTGCGCGCCGCGCAAACGCGCCGGGGGCCATGGCGCTAAAGTTGGCCCCACCGCGCACGGCCATGGTCGCGCCCGTGAAGATGAGCGTGCCGCCCGCGGGCAGCATGGCGGGGATGACGGCCTGGGAAAAGTCCCATGCCTGCGCGCTGCGACTGTCAGCCGGACTAGACGAGTAGAGACGAGACCAGATGTTGCGGAGGTGGATTCGCAGCTGGGACAGGCCACACCGACACGACACCACTTACCACGCCTCGAGGTTACCCCGCAAATCGTCAGTCGAGCGCTCGAGGAAGGGGCCCGGCGCGAACCCGACCGACGCGTTACACACGCCGACGTCGACGGTCGACTCGGGCCACTTGGCGCGCGCCTGCTCGAGCGCGCTCTTGAACGACGCGGCCGAGTTTTTGGCGTCAAACGTCGCGGCCAGGACGCGGTCGTCGGGTACCTTGAGCTCAAGCTTGGCCAGGGATCCCGGGAGGGAGCGCGAGAGCAGGACGAGCGCGTGCGTCGGCGCCAGTGCGCGGCTGGGGTGTCAGTGGGGGGAGGGGAGGTGGACTTACGCGATGGCGGCGCCGGTGCCGGGCCCAGCACCAAAGATGACAGCGAGAGGGGGGCTCATGGTTGCTTTTGCAGTTAGTGGGAGGGAGGGAGTGTGAGAAGAAGAACGGATTATGCAGCGGGCAAGTTGCACCATGTTGTACGCTTGGTTGAGAGCACACCCCCCGTCCATCTTTACGTCATTCGCTTACCAGAGCTCGGCCATCGGGAAGCACATGGAGTCCCCACGGGGACTCCTAACCGGGAGTAAAAATGGGTCCAGAAGACAAACAATGGCCTACAATGGCTCTTCTCCTAGCTCGGTTTCGCATTGAAAGAATCAAAAGACCTGCCCACGATCAGTTGTGAGGCCGCGCGTTGGCCCGTCGCATGTATTTTGCATCTTGGTGACATGGGCACGTGTGCGCATCGCCATGGCTGCAATGACCGTAGAAGGCGGGCTCGCGGGCTCGGCGCCCCCCCCCCCCCATCAACGTTGCATCATTTGTCTCGGGGCGTCGTTCGCCACCGCCTCGCCACCCGGCTGCTTTGATGGGGAAGTGTGTGTTTTTCGCTTTGAATGCACCGAAAAACAGGCAGTACCCACAGTCACACAACGTGCGCTGCAACCTCATCATCACTCAACACAACCCCACCTCTGCCCAAACACCGCACCCACCGCAACCCGAACACCCCCAGACGTCACTCTGCCCATGGGCCGGTCGGCTTCCCCCACCCCTGCCCTTACCACCACCACCACCACCACCACCACCACCACCGAATGCTCGAGGACACCAACGGCGACCCCGGACTTGGGCCTGTGCCTCCTCCTCCTGGTCGCCGGCGGGCTGATCGCCCTTGGAATGCGCCTGGTGCTCCCGTCCCTCGTCAAGTTGCGCGACACGGTGTACTGGGTATGCGTCCAGTGGTCCGGATGTAACCCGTTCTGGGACCACGGTGAGGTCGAGCGCCATCAGGCGTACCGCGTCGCGGCCCAGGACCAGCTGCGTGACCCCGTGGTGCACTATTCGACTGTCGAGACCCGCACGCGTATCGTCCCGGGACCGAGGAGACGGCATACCGCGCTGTTGTAAGGGAGTGAGGTGGGGGTGGGAAGGGGCGAGCAGGTGCGAGCAGTCGTTTGCAGTGGTGAGCGGTTGTGAGCAGTGTCTCGGTGAGTTTGTCTGTGTGTGTGCGTGTGTCGTTTGTGGCGTGCGGCTGAGCTTGCAGACTGAGGTTGCCGAGAGGGACCACGACGGCGCAAGACGACCGGGCAAAGAAGCCAAGAAGGCAAGAAGAATCACAGCCGCGGGCAATACTGTACCATTACTGTGAAATGAGCTTTCCAAAGAGAGAGAATTAATGTAGTTACTGTGAATGTAGTCAAACACCTGTGTCATGTTGTTGTAGGGGTGTTTCGGTTGGCGGCTTGCCGGCTGGGAAACATATGGGTCTTGGGTGAGAGAGTGAGGAAAGGTGGAGAGCAAGGTGAGGCAAGCTGAAGGAGGCAAGGCACAGGCAAGAGCCCAAAGCCACAGCTGCATAGCAGCACAATGAGACGGTGCACGCGTCTTGTGCTGTGCTTTGGGCGCCCGTGGTGTATAAACACGAGTTGCAGTATCGCCATGTTTGGGTGTGATCTCGGTGTGCAGTGTGTTATGTGTAGCGCAGGTGTTGAATGCAGGAGATCGAGGTGTGTGTGGATGTGTGTGTGCCGACATCCGAGACATGGAGGGAGGGAAGGAGGAAACGAGGCAAAGAGGAAGGCAGGGAAGGGGGGGGGGGGGGGGAGGCAGGGAGGGAAGGCAGGGGAAGGCAGGGAAGGGAGGGAAGGACACAATGTGACGGGGGGGTGTGAGACTCGCTGGCGTGCCAGAGAGGTTCAGACAGGTGGCCGGCAGGTGGTTAGGTGGATATACAGCATGCTACTGCTGCTGCTGGTGGACAGAGGAGGAAAGAAAGAGCGAGAGGAAATGGATGGATGAAGGAATGTATGTATGTGAGAGGGGGACAGAGGAAGAGAGAGAGAGAGACGTTGTGGGTGACCCGCCGGAGTGAAAAGCACAGACAAGCTTGATGCGCTAGGGAAGGACGGGGGACATGATGATGATGAGACGAGAGCGATCGAGGGGCCAGGAGAGAAAAAAAAAAAACGATGTGCGCACAGATCTCCCTCACCCAAACGCGCGCGTCTGGCTGCGGGGGCTGCACATCTTTCTCGATGCACAGTCGCCGACCCCCCTTGCCATCCCGCCGGCGCCTCCGCCACGGCGGCGTGAGCCCCTATGCTGCACGACGCGCGATGGTCGGTTTGCCTGGTGTACTGGTGTGTGTGTGTGTTTTTGGTCCCGTTGGGCAGTGTGTGTATGGTGTACTGCATGTACGGTGTGTTTGTGCCTCTTTTCAACGCTCCTTTTAGCGGCAGCAAAAAATAATATGTGTGCCGCCAGGGTGAGAGCGGTCTGGCGGCCTGGAGCACGCGCGCTGTGCTGCGGGTGGGAAAAGGGACGGTGCAGCAGACACACACCCAGGCTGCGGAGGCTCTTTTTGGCGCCTGCACACACCAAACACACCACCCTGGCTCTCTCGCCTGGGCAGTGCTGCTCCCACCCTGTGTGCTCCAGGCTCTCTGTTCACCCCTCTCACTCACTCATCGACACTTGTCCGTCTCTCTTCTCCATCTCTTCTCTCTCTCTCTCTGTTCTCTCTCTCTCCACTGCCTCCCCCCTCTCCCTCTTCACTCCTTTTACCACTCCCAACACACACACACACCTCTCTCTCTCCCACAAGAGAGAGAGACCTCCCCTTTCCCCTCCCACACACCCCAGCACAGCACCGAACACACGTCGGCACCCCCGGCGCGCTCGCGCATCGCAAACGTCTCATCCATCCATTTGCCCTCCCCCCCCGCTCAAGCCTCCGCTCCGTGCCCTCTTCTCTGCCTTCTGCCCTTCACCGGCCGTCGCGTAATCCTTTTCCGCCAGCCCCATCCCCTCCCCCATGCCCGGAGGGAGCAAGTTCTTGGACCTCGCTCAGCGCGCCTTGCCCGGACGCGGCCAGCAGCAGCAGCAGCCGTCCTACCGCCAAGAGCGCGGCGACGACAACTCACACTACCACGAGGGAAACAGGTCTCCTTCACCCGCATCCTCCATCGACCACGCATTCTCCACCTCCTTGCACGGCGCACCAATGCAGGAGGTGCAGTACACAGACGACCTTCTCATCCCGCCCAGCCTCCCCTTCTCAGAGGTCACGGGCGGCCAGTATGACAACAACGGATCCCGCCAGAGCTCATACTCGGACCTCACAGAGCTCCGTGGTAACCGCAAGGATGACAGGCCCCCATCGCTGTCTGTAAACTATGTCCCTACAAAGTTTACAAGGCTCCACGCTCAAGGTGAATGGGCACACCGTCGCCCCAAGCAGGGAGGTGGCCGTGACGCGTTCGCCGCCAACGCGCACCGCATGGGCCAAATGGGCACCGTCGACGACGACGACGGACTCGTCTTCCAGCTTGGCAAGGGCGGCCTCAAGGCAAAGCACAAGCCCAAGCTTCGCTGGAACCGCTTCAAGTGGATCCTCTTCATCGCAAACTCGGTCGTACGTGGCTGTTCATTTTTGTGTGGTATGCCCAGATTGCTGACCCTTCCCGCAGCTCATCTCTTACGCCATGGCTGGCCTGGTTTCCGCCATTCTTGTTTGGCTCAACGTCTTCTACCGCTCCGACGTTATCCGCGTCGGTAACCGCGAGGAGCTGATTCGTATGTACCCTTGGGACGCGCTTTTCCTACACCCCACCTGTACTGACCCTCTGCTTCCAGTTTCCACCATTGGGGGTGCCATCATGGTGTTCACTTCGCTCCTTGGTTTCTCGGGCATTCTGCTCAACTACCGCCCCTTCCTTGCGGTCTACACTGTTCTTCTCTGGGTCTGCCTCGCGTTCATCGTGGCTCCCGGCTACATTACCTACAAGCGCCGCACTTTCAACCTCGAGGGCAAGATCAACCTGCAGTGGTCGCGTTCCCTTGGCACTGTCGGCCGTCTGCGTGTCCAGGACGCCCTCCGCTGCTGTGGTTACTTTAGCCCCTCCATCGAGGCCACCGTCTCGCCCCTGTGCTACCCCCGCTCGGTTGAGGAGGGCTGCAAGAGCCCGTACCTCAAGCTCGAGCGTGTGGTCCTCAAGACTTGGTACATCGTCGCCTTTTCCCTTGTCCCGCCCCACATCCTCATCATCCTCGCTGGTCTGCTGTGCTCCAACCACGTCACGTACCGCTTCGGTAAGGGTCTCACCCCCAAGCGCTACCGCCTCGACATGGACTCGATGGCCGTCATTATGAACGACTATGCCACCCAGATCGCCTCGCAGTACGGCCCCGACGTCGCTGCCGAGGCCGTCTCGCGCTCGTCGCTCCACCTCGACTCGCGTCCCGGATCGCGCGCCGGATCCCGCCGCGGCTCCATTGCCGGCGGCTCGTCGCAGGGCCACGGCCTCGCCGGCGGCTCGCGCCTGGCCCAGTCGACATCGTACAACTCGCCATTCGACGACGAGACCGACAACCAGCAGTACGAAAACGCCAGCCAGCAGTACCACGACGCCGCCGCCGGCGGTAACCGCTACGCCGACGCAGACCTGTACAGCGACGACCACCACGCTGCTGGCTCATCCTCGCGGCACAACCAGGGCGGCTGGGCGCAGTAGAAGAGAGAAGACACATGACGCTGTCTCTGCCTACCTCCTGCTCCCCCTTTTCTTAGATATATCCCCTCCCGCCCGCCCCTACCACCCCTACCTTATCCCCTCTATCCCAGCCAGCCCAGCATTAACGACCGCTCCCTTTGCCGTGTTTTTGGCTGTCGGTGCAGCATGGACACTCCCTCTGAGCTTGGTACATTCTGTATCCGCAATGCCACGGACAATGACCCTAGCACGTACACGACGCGTTCAAGCGTATGCAGTAATGCCCCTTTTGAAGCGAACCTAGTGAAGAGCAAGCAGTGAGCAGTGAAAGAGTGTGCATGCTCGATGACGACGACTGTGTTTTTTCGCGCGCAGAGTGGGTTGCGTAGAGTGGGTTGCATGAAGCGACGTTCTGATGATCAGGACAGGCACACTGCGCGGGCGGGCTTTGACTGCACGCTGGTTGTGGTTCTCCGTTTGGTACATACGCTGATTACACGATCTGGCCGGAACAGCTGCAGCTCGTCGCGAGGCAACATTCTTGTGGGGAGGGTGTTGCCGGCGGCCATGGACCAGTTGAAGCGGTTCTGGCGCTTGTCCTAGCTGTTCAGGTGGGCCCCGTCTAACTGCGACCGGCCGAGCCGCGCGCGGCGAGGGGAGGCATGTCAGGCGCGAGGCGGCCACACTGCCCGAGTATGGCTTTCCGCCCCTTGCTCCTCATAAGCACTTCGTATTTTGCAGAAAGCCGGAATTTCTGTTGACGTCGTCGAGGGAGGTAGCTAGGGTTGCGATACTGTGCAGGACGGCGCTTACGCAATGGTCCACTCTGTGGACTGCGTTGCCGTGTTGCCGAGACCGAGACCGAGAGAGAACCTTGGCAGAAGGTGTGCACAGAGTCCTATTTAACCACTAGTCCGTGGCTTTGACCTGCCACCACCAACTCCCCCTCCCTCGTCTTTTCGTCAACGACCACCACAGCCCCAGCTGGAACCTCGTACAATGACCATTGCCCCTGCTCTCCCCATCCCGGCCACCATGCGCGCCATGGTCCAGGGCGACGGCGTGAGTCCACACCCGAACGCGAAATGTTGTTGTGACCTAACAGAGTGGAACAGGACCAAGCCGCCATCCAGGAGGTGCCCGTGCCCAAGCTCGACGAGGGCGATGTTCTCGTCAAGGTCGACTATGCGTCCCTCGTACGTCGCAGACCCGTGTAGGCCACACGTCCGTCCACATTGCTGACCCCGGTCTTTCTCTATGCTCTTTGCTCTCTCCCCTTCGCTTGGCATCTTCCCCAACGGTGCTCACTCTTACGGACACACGGAATAATACCCAACCCATCCGACCCTCGATCCGCGCGACATTCCATCATCGCTCCTTCCTCCCTGGCAACCTGCGTGCACCCGTGGACACGGACACGGAACTCGATATGTGCTGGACATGGAACATGTACCCGCCCCCGGGGGCATCGCTCCACTCCCCTGTGCTTACTCCCTGCAACGGTCGCGCGGTTGCCTGTTCGCTCGTGGCCACATTCTCCATCGTGTTTGATCGCGGCCGTGTGGCCCAATTCATTTTTGTCTTTTGGTCACCGACGTCACGTCATCCTTCTCGGCCACTTCCGCGACACACCCACCCTTTCCTTTCCCTCCCTCCCTCCCTCGTGCAAAAATCTCCCCACACACCGCCCACCTAATGCCACCCAGAACCCGACCGACTGGAAGCACGTCGCGTGGCTGTCGCCCAAGGGCGCCGTCATCGGGTGCGACTACACCGGCACAGTGGTGGCCACCACGTCGCACCCGCGCGTCCACCTCAAGGTCGGCGACCGCGTCGCCGGCTGGGTCCACGGCGGCATGTACCCCGACCGCGGCTCGTACGCAGAGTACCTCCACATCCCTGCCGACCTGTGCTGGAAGGTCCCCGACAACGTCACCCCCCAGCAGGCAGGCGCGTACGGCGTGCCGTACTGCACGGCGTTCCACGGTCTCGTGCACTCCCAGAAGGGAGCTTGGCCGCCTACCAAGCTGAACAAGTGGGTGAGTAAGATGACAAGAAAACAAAATAAAAAAAGCACGAGGGAGAGGTGGTTGGGGGGGCATTTTTGGTTTGTGGCGACGCCACAGACTGGGCCTTTTGGCGACGTGACTGCGCCACGCAAGACTGTCGGCACGGGCGTTGCTGGATCTGCAACCCCGTGTTCTTGCACTGTAGCGGGCTGCAGGAACCTGTAGCTGGAAGAACTGTGCCGAGAAACCAAGAGGCCACAACCACGACCACGACCACGACCGCTGACCCCGCCCAGATCCTCATCTACGGCGGCTCGTCCTCTGTGGGCCTGTACGCGCTCCAGCTCGCCAAGCTCATGGGCTACAAGACCATCACCACATGCTCGCCGCACAACAACGACCTCGTCAAGTCGTACGGCGCCGACGAGATTGTCGACTATGCCAACCCGGCCGCGCACCTGAAGATCAAGGAGATCACGGGCGGCGGCGTCGACGTTGCCATGGACTGCATCTCGGACGCCAAGACGCAGGCGTTCTGTGTCGACTGTTTCGGCGACAAGGGCGGCCAGCTCAACCTCACCCTCCAGGCCGACCCCGAGGTGGAGAAGAAGCGCACCGACGTCAAGCTCGTGTTCACCTTGCTGTACACCCTCTTCGGAAAGGTAAGTAAAAAGGGGCAGCCGGAAGCCATCAGACTAGAGGTTATATATGTCATACACGTCTACTGACACCCGCTCCCAGGACATCAGCCTCGCCCCGCGCGGCCAGAAGAACCTGATCCCGGCCATCCCGCAAGAGCGCGACTTCTTCGCCGAGCTCTGCGCCAAGACGCCCGAGTACATCTCCGTCTTTGGCATCCGGCCCCCGCCCCTCGAGGAGCGCCAGGGCCTCGACGTCATCACCGCCGCGTTTGAGGAGATGAAGGCAGGCAAGATCAGCGGCAAGCGCATCGTGTTCAAGATTGGCGCCTAGACGACGAAAAACAGAGGCGCGTGGACAGGTGCGCGTGTTGTAAGGTGGCTGCTAGAAAAGTGTTTGTCAGTTGGGCGACACGCCGTCAGTATCTTGTCTGGGCACGCTGCCGAGTGTCATGTATATGCTGCAGATATGCGCTGTGTGTGTCTCCTAGTCTACCAGTGTTCCAGTGCGCCAGTGCTGGACCCGTCCAAATCCCTCGCTCGCTCGCTGCGCGCGCGTGCTCGCGGCGCTCTTCTCACTTGAGCTCCTCGCCCGACCCCGCGCCGGCGCCGCCAGTGAGCTCGATGCCCTTACGACCACCACCCTCCGCACGCGCCCTGGACGCGACGACGTCAAGGTCCTCGTCTGTGGGGAGCACCTCGTTCGGGTCGGGGGCAAACTCGCCCATGGTGCGCAGGACGAGGTCGGCAGACGAGAGGAACGAGTTGGACGCCAGGCGCAGGAGGCGGACGGTGGCGGCGCGCACGTAGCTGATTGTGCGCGAGGACACATGGGATTGGAGGTGGAGAGGGTTGGACAAGAGGACATGGGAGAGCGTGCGTGGAGGTTGAGGGATACCGCCAGGACGCGGACATTGATGAAGGCATGGGCGGACATCAAAGCGAACAGGTCGAGCAGCACAAGCGACCACGCAAGGACGGTGTATAGAGCAGGTAAGAGACAACGAGTCATCCCGTCAGCTTGGCATTCTGGCCCACTGCCTAGCTGTGCTCCAGACTCTTGTGACTCACACGACAAGCTCAGCACCCTCCACCTCTGTCCAGCGCTCGACGAGGCCGGCGTTCACCTCGCGGTCGACGTCGAGGGCCCGCTTGCCTATCTCGGCGTGCTCGGCGGTGAAGAAGGGTATCCGCATGGTACTGCATGTAAGCGCTCTGGGTGTTTACAGCGAGGGCATGGAGGGAGGAGGGGTGTGGTGGTGACGCTGAGGAGGAAGACGAACTCCGGACAGCGTCGCCGAGGTGAACGAGGAGGAACAGGGAGAGGAGGTGTGCAGCCTCATGCAGCTGACATCGCTGCACTCAGACAGCTGCCATGCATACACTCACACACTGTGTACCAGCTCTGGCTGTGGCTGTTCTGTTGCTGGCGGGGCCATGATTTGATAGAGTGACGTGTTGGGGGTGAGTGGAGTGGTTGAGACAAATATTGTGTCTCTGAACATGACGCCCAGGCGGCGGAAGAATCCAAAGGAAGGCCAGGCCGCACCCACCCACACTACGGCCACCACCGTCATCAGCGGCGACTTGTAATCTCTTCCGTCTCGCGTTTCTTCCTTAGTCACTCTCACTCTCCATCTCTCTCAACAGCAACACACCCCGGCGCGGTTAGACGCTCGCGCAATCATGATCAAGGTGCGCATACCCGCCCCCGGGGGGCAACGACGGGGAGAGAGCACTACATATGCTGACACAGCTGCACATGCACGTCCCACTCACGCGACTCGATGTCACCCGCCTGTCCTCCTTCCTCCGTCCTCCGGCTTTCTGTTCCCACTTACACCCCTCCACTGTCCGCCATGCCCTCCCTCCTGCATGCTGTGCGACGCGTAGATCTGGTCGATGAAGCAGAACCAGGAGGCGGCGGCCAAGAAGAAGCCCAAGACCACCGCCGCCCAGCTCCGTGTTCAGAAGGGTGCGTGTCGCCGCTCGGCTCGCTCACACCTTGCCTTCCTCGCCGTCGCCATGGCCGTCGACTCCCGAGCCCCAACACCCCTTGCACAGCATAGAGCGGCACCGCTGACAGCCAGATATCACCGAGCTCGAGCTGCCCGACACCATGAAGATGGTGTACCCTGACCCCGCGGACATCCTCAACTTCCGCCTCACCATTGAGCCTGACGAGGGTGAGTTGCTGCAATGCACGCGAGAGCATGCAGTAGCTGTTGTCAACTGCGACGTATAGCTAACGCCACAGGCATCTACAAGGGCGGCGTGTTCGACTTTACCTTTGCCATTAACCAGAACTACCCCCACGAGGCCCCCAAGGTCAGGTGTACGCAGAAGGTGAGTCGACTTGCCCGCGCGCGTGTGTGTGCTGCGTGTGGGTCGTACTGAGGAGGGCGGAGGGCGGAGGGCGCACCGTCCCCGCATGGGGATGAACGGAGGGATAGACCAGCGGCTGACGGCACAGATCTACCACCCCAACCTGGACCTCGAGGGTAACGTCTGCCTGTAAGTTGTCCATCGACATGGGCCTTTGCCCGCTATACGGCTTACACTGGCGATAGCGGGAAAGAAGGTATAAGGCCAGCGTCTGACAGCACAGGAACATCCTCCGCGAAGACTGGAAGCCCGTCCTCAACCTCTCGTCGGTCCTCGTCGGCCTGCAGTACCTCTTCCTCGAGCCCAACCCGGACGACCCGCTCAACAAGGGTGAGTGCAGGCAGGCAGGTATTGCGGTCTCCAGCTGGGATGTGCACTACTGCGGGACACAGCTGGGAGGACGGTATACCAGCTCTGCAGACCTTTTACTGACCTTGCAGACGCGGCCGAGGACCTGAGGCGTAACAGGGACGCATTCGCGGCCAACGTCAAGACATCGATGCGCGGCGGCACCGTCCGAGGCCAGACGTTCGACCGCGTCTTGAAGTAGTATATACATGGAGCATGGCATGATATGGGATATGTAGTACGAAGGCCGCAAAGCCCCCATGGCAGATCGCCGTGTTCTCGTTTTTACTGTGTCTCTACTTGTCGCCCTGGGCCCTGGCGCTCTGCTTTTGCTTGGCCGCGAGCCACTTGCGGAACTTTGCAAAGCTGTACACGACACTCTTGACGAGTCCCGCAGTGACCAGGCCCTTGACACTCTGCGTGAGTGCTGGACGGCGGATGATGTGGCGGACCTCTGCGGGGTTGTCAGCTGGGGAAAACGGGACCGGTTAGCTCACCATTGGCAACGGTCTCACGGAACTTGGGCTGCTGGACGACCTTGGCCCAGAACGCCGGGTCGTCGTGCAGCGCGAGTCCCACGCGCGCCGCGGCAGCTGCGTCGCGCCTGTCGGCCGCGACCTGCGGAGACACCATGGACCCGACAACCGTCGGGCGGAAGTGGTCGGCGACGTTCTTGCGCAGGTGCAGCGGCAGGCCCGCGAGCAGTTTTGTGAAATGCTTGTCGGTCACGGGCTGCTCCATCATCTGCTCGCCGTCCCCGCGCCACTCGCGCAGGCCCTTTGTATTGTCGCCTTGCCACCGGACGTCGACGACCGCGAAAAAGGGCCCATACAGCCGCCGGAAGCCCTCGAGCACGCCGGGCCCGCGCACAATGTTGCGCACCTTTTCCGGATTCTCGGCGCCGGGCACGCTCATGCGCGGGTCGCCAGAGTACGAGATGCCCGCGATCTGCTCGTACAGCTGCAGCTCGGTGAATGGTGTGCCGGGCGGGAGCTGGAGGAGCGCGAGGGCCAGCGCCGAGCGGATGTTGGAGGACAGCGCCGACTTGAGGTCGGGCGTGCACGACAGGCCCAGGACGGGCTTGTGCAGCCGTCCAGAGACGTACAGCGTCGTCCAGTCCTCGAGGTCCCGCCGGAGAGTGGGCGTCGAGATGACACCGTATTTCACTTCCTGTGAGCGTGTCAGCTAACGGTGGAGAGAGAGCCCAAAACAGCTGAAACGGTGCTGCTCGCGAGTCACCGCTTTTGGCACTCACCAACTCGCCAAACTTGACATTGGTGACATACCACATGCCCGCGCCAAACTGTTCTGTCAACCAGGCCACAACGTTGGGGCCCAGCAAGCGCGCATATAGCGGGTAGTGGCCGGGGAACTGGCGGAGGTTGGCCTCGTGAAACTCGCGCGCCGACGGCGCTGCAATGATGAAGTCGGTGAGCGGTGGTGGCTGCCGTCAGCTACGTTGTCTCCGACCTAGCTGCCCCACAGAGGGTACGACAGCCTTTTACTGAACACTCACTCCCTCAGCATTCGCATTGGCCTGGGCCACCACACCCGAGCCATACGCGACCGCCATGTCGATCGGCGCCTTGAACTGTTCCACCACTGGCCGGAGCTGGTAGTACGCCCTCTTCTGGCCGTCGGTCATCTCCTCGTCCTCGTCGAGCCTGGGGTACTTTTTCACCCTGCATGGCTGTTCGGCGGCCACTGTGCTCGCCATACGGCGCGCCGACACGGACACCGAAAGCGACAGCATGGCCACACCGTTTGCCGAGCGGTACACGGCGCCGGCCTGTCGCGGGAGGGCGCGGGTGCGAGACGAGCTCGCGGCAGCGTTGTACCCGCCGAGACTGAGGCTCGTCAGGATGTTTACCTGTCGAGTGAGCTTTACATGGTTGGGCAGGGCGGAAACGTACGCTTGGCCGGGCCATGGTGAACAATGGTGTCACACGAGCTGCGGGTTCGGTTTGAGGTTCGGAAAGAGGTTGGGGCGGCTGGGCGAGCGAACGCAGAGGTGTGGAAGGGGCACAATGAGGTGGCGGGGTGGGAAGATGGATAGCCCTCTGCGCACGCTCGTCACTTTTTTTTCGTCTGCGCTGGACGTGGGCGGGTGCCAGCTGTTACTGAGCAAACAGAAGAGACCAAAGACGCAGTTGCTTTGCTTTTGCCGACTTGTAGAGAGCGAGCGGGGCAGAGCGGTTCGCTCATGGCCGGGCCGCCGATCCGTCCATCCCGCTCGTTCCGAGAGAGGTCAAATAATGGTTACGTAAGCGTTTATTTGTCGGATACAACCCGAGAGGTGACTGGCACCAACTGTATCGCTCAACATTTGTGTACACTCGCCATCACACTCCCAACGCCCACCCAGCATGTCTCGAGCGCGAAGCCTTTCCCCGGCGAGCAGCATGTCGTCGCGTTCGCGCACTTTCTCGCCTCGACCCAGTCCCGATCCCGAGGCAGAGGTAGGTTTATCCAAAAATGTGCTCTGCTGATCCCCACAGGCATGTCCGTTCCTCATCCGCGTGTTTGTCACCAAGAACAAGCAAACACCCATGATCGACTTTGATGACGGCAAGCTTCCTGTCCAGGACGAGTTCCAGGTGTACGGATGGTGAGTCTCTAGCTGAGCTTCACCGCTGCAGCTGGTCACGACATCCTCTTGCTGACACCTTCCCGCAGGAAGCACTCGACCCCGACATCGATCATCCAGCAGCTGTACTCGGTCTTCCCTGCGCCCTACCGCTCGCCATTGGCACGATACGCCTTCAAGCACGTCTACGTCGACGCCAGCGAGCGCGGCCTGTATCGCGGCAAGGACCTCGTGACGTTTACCGGCCGCGACTTTGCCGCCACAGTGTCGCCGCAGGACCAGAACGGGAACGGCGACGGCGACGTCGCGATGGACCGTGAACTGGACGAAGCCGCAGCACCGCGTCGTGGTCGTGTTGTGGAGGAGAAGACACTCGACTCGTACGGCTTCCTCACGGGCGACCTCCTCAGCGTCGCGATCCACATTCCCGAACCCCGCGCTCCGGCGGCAACCTCGATCCGCGGCGCCTCGGCGCGCGAGAGGGAAGGCCGTGACCGTGACCGTGACCGCGACCGCGATGGCTTCCGTGACGCACGCAACGGCGCACCGAGCAGCCGCGATGGCCCATGGGCGCGCGGCGCACCTCTTCCTCCACAGGCCTTTGGCGGCGACCGCGACCGCGACGACCACCGCGCACCGGCTGGCAGCTGGCGCGGCGGCGCTCCCCGCGGCGCTGTGGGGTCACGAGGAAATGGCGGCGGCCGCCTTCCGTCGCCTGACTGGGGTAGGAGGAACCGAAGCCAGAGTCCCGACCGCAACCGTCGAGAGACCTGGGCGAGCAGGAGGGAGAGGGACTGAGGCGTGTGGCGAGTGCGGCATGTTAGATGGCTTGGTGGCGGCTGAGGGAGTTTGTTTGCCCAGTACACACACACACATATGAGAGAGGTCTAGAAGCATAATATCGCATTTCCGTGTGTACCCAGAGGATGTCATGCGAGCGGTGCACATTGCGGCCAGTGACAAGTGTGCGAGCGTTTGGCCGAGAAGCCATGCGAAAGGGGGGCATACGGCAAAGCTGGGGGGACGCATTGGGTGGTTAGGTGGCGTCATCGTATTTTCTTACGTAATATTCTCAAGTGCACCCCGCTTTCTCGGTTGTGCCGTGGATGGGCACGTCGGACACCTTGTGGACACCATCTTTGTCTCTCTCCTCGTCACTCCCTCTCCTTATAAACCTCCCACTCACGCACCCCCTCAACACCCGTCCACACCGCAGCCTCGATTGCTAGCGTAGTGCACCAGCCCCCACCCAGCTCCTTCCCCCACGCCGGCCCCGTCTCACCCCCCGCCTCGCCGCCAGCCAAGCGTATCTTGCACCGCGCCCCACGCGCCGCCGCCGCCGCTGCCTCGTCTGCCCGCCTTCTCCCGCAGTCACCCTTCACACCCATCACCATGTCGTGGAAGATCGGCAAGAGTGAGTGCAGCTCCAGACATGCCAGTGGCGCGTGCACAGCGTGCAGTGTGCCATGCTTGCCCTTTATGATACACTGGCACGCACTTAATCTGCTACAAACGTGTTGCTGACGCATCTCCACCCCAAATCGTCTCGTCACACTCAACTGCTTTCCGTCTCCGTCACTCTCCTCATCCCGACCCACAGAGTTCAAGGAGGGCGGCCTCCTCTCGTCCAAGAGCCACACACCGTCCGCCCCCGACTCGCGCTCGACCACGCCGACACCGAGCAACCCTCACCCTGGAGAGCCAAGGGAGACGCCCGTCAGCCCCCCCGTCGCCCGCAGCGGCATCCTCCGTATTCGTGTCACCGCCGGCAAGGGCCTGACCCTCCCACAGGGTGGTGAGTAGAACGTTTCTGGCACCCCCCCAGATCCATCTGCAACCCGCTGCTGCCAATTGTGCCAAGCACACGACACCGCTGCACGAGTCTGCCGACGCGCAACGCGTGCCGCAGTGGTGGATCGCGGCGGCAGTATGGTGCCTGGGGCTTGGCTGCCAGCCCATCACTCGAGTAAAGAGTGCGCACTGACTCCCCGTCTCCAGTCCACGTTCCTAGTGCCGTGCAGACTGCTCTCCAGCAGCACCCCACCAGCGTCCTCAGCGCATCCCTGTCCTCCTCCCCTCGCGTACAGCACACGCGCAACCCGTCGACGAACCGCGACAGCCTGCAGCGCAAGCAGCTCTGGTGGCTGCCGTATGTGGTCCTCGAGTTCGACAAGAACGAGGTCCTCGTCGATGCGCTTGGCGGTGACCTTGCCAACCCCGTGTGGATGTACAGCGCAACTTTTGACGTGTCGCGTATCTCCGAGATCAGCGTCAACACGTACCTCCGCACCGCGCCCCCTCAGTCGGGCGACGCCTCGGACATGGGTAATGCCGACCTCGGACTGGGTGGCATTCGCTTCATTCCCGACCTCGAGACTATGCGCCTGACAGACGAGTGGATCCCGATCTCGGGTGGTTCAGGCGCTATCCACGTCCAGGTCTCGTTCAAGCCTGCGCAGGGCCAGCCCTTGACCATTGACTCGTTTGAGCTGCTCAAGGTCATTGGCAAGGGCTCGTTCGGAAAGGTGAGCTGACCGAAAACGGGCATTCAGCTAACCCCGCCCCCAGGTCATGCAGGTCCGCAAGCGCGACACCCTTCGTATTTACGCTCTCAAGACCATTCGCAAGGCACACATTGTCTCGCGGTCTGAAGTCACGCATACGCTGGCAGAGCGTACTGTTCTTGCGCAGGTCAACAACCCCTTCATTGTGCCTCTCAAGTTTTCGTTCCAGTCAAAGGAAAAGCTCTACCTTGTTCTGGCGTTTGTCAACGGCGGAGAGCTCTTCCACCACCTGCAGCGCGAGGGCAAGTTTAACGAGACCCGTTCGCGCTTCTACGCCGCCGAGCTCCTCTTGGCTCTCGAGCACTTGCACAGCTTCAACGTCGTCTACCGTGACCTCAAGCCCGAGAACATTCTTCTCGACTACACTGGCCACATTGCCCTGTGTGATTTCGGTCTGTGCAAGCTCAACATGAGCGCCAGCGAGACCACCAACACGTTCTGCGGAACGCCAGAGTACCTTGCGCCCGAGCTGCTGAGCGGCCACGGGTACACCAAGTGTGTCGACTGGTGGACCCTGGGTGTGTTGCTGTACGAGATGCTCACGGGTCTCCCGCCCTTTTACGACGAGAACACAAACGAAATGTACCGCAAGATCCTGTCCGACCCCCTGCGCTTCCCCGACGAGGTCGGCCCCGAGGCCCGCTCGCTGCTCACCCGTCTGCTCGACCGCGACCCCTCGAGGCGACTGGGTGTCAACGGCGCCCAGGAGATCAAGGACCACCCCTTCTTCTCGAGGCACATTGACTTTAAGAAGCTTCTCGCCAAGAAGATTCCTCCCCCGTTCAAGCCATCGGTCGCCAGCGCCATTGACACTAGCAACTTTGACGAAGAGTTCACCTCCGAGGTGCCCCAGGACTCGGTCGTCGCCGACTCGCACCTCTCGCAGACTGTGCAGCAGCAGTTTGAGGGCTTTTCGTGGTCCGTCTCGCCCCTCGGCGAGTCTGTTGGCAGGTATTAAAGCGCATAGGACCAGGACAACAACACCACCACATCTTTGCATGATGTCCCCCCCCCACACACACCGTGTACACCCCGTATCTCGCACACACCCACACACACACACACACACACTCCCTCTCTCCCTCCTTTTCCCCCCAGCGGCGGCGACATCCTTTTTAGCTGCTCTGTATACCCCCCTCTCGTACTCTCCCGTGCATGTATCAGCTCGGACTGGCACTGACTGACAATTGAAATGGGCAGAGGCTGCATGAGGAGCTTCTGTTGTCGGGTTAAGAACGGACTCGGTGCTGAGCTTGGTTGCAGTCAGAGTCTGTCAGTGTATCGGCTCGCTGTCACGGCGCGTCAGCGAGCCTGGCATCTCGACAGCAAGGAAAGGCATTGCTAACCCTACTACTTGGGATCTACGACGGGCCGTCCAAATGCGACGCGGTTTCAGTGCCTCCCTTGGCAGGTACACTCTGTCCCAGCATGCCCCCCCCCCCCATGTTTTGTGTTCAGCACAGGCGTCCCCCATACAGCGTAGCTGTGGTGGATCGAGGGTTTGGGGCCATCTCCAGGTCGACTGTGGGGTGGCCGGGGGTGTGGTAAGGGCAAAGGGCAGCTCGAGGCCAACACGATCGACGAACGCAGTGCACGAACCAGTCCAGAGGCACCGAAACACGATTGGGAGAAACACCGCGCAGCCCGCGTAATGTCGGTTCCGCGGTCGACGCAGTCGTGCAGGCGTTGAAGCTTGAGGCGTACTCTTGGCACGCCGCAGCAGGCTCGCGAGCTCGCGCGAGCTCGCCGAGCGAGATCTACGCCGCCGCCGCCAGGTTCTCTGTGTTGTGTTTCTTTACCGGAACCGCGCTCGCTCCTGGCCGCCAGGCCGCCTGTGGCCGGCCCAGGCCTTTGGCGAAAAAACAGGGACGAGGACGGCATGGAGAACGGCGTTTACGCGTAGGGTGAATTTGGTATTGGGTCGAGAACCCCGTGAAACCTCTTTTTAAGCTCATCGAAACCCCGCAAGACGCGTCTCTCTGCATCATGTAGGGAACATACTGTACATACAGACTCGGTTCCACAGGTGGCTAGGTGGCGAGGTGGCCGGGTAGCGTGAGTGCTGTGCAGTGCAGAAGGGACACTGTGGGTGTGAGAGTGTGCAGGATGAAGCCAAATGCCAATGACCCAAATGGCCCTCGACAGCCGCCCAAGAGGTTTGTTTTGGTTATTTCGAGCGACGCGTCCACCCTGGGCAGGTTGTCATTTAAAGATCACAAAGTATCAAACGAGTGCTGTTGCAGCATGTAATATACAAGTGGTGTCACGGACAACCTGCTGCACTGCCTATGCATGAGGAGAGCGACAAGGAGAGCAAAGGGAGACAGAATTGACCACGCCGTACGCCTTATAACGCCTTGACAACGCCGCCACCGGGGGGAAGAGCACGCGCCCAGAGCTTCCGCCGGGAGTGTTGCAAGACACCCGCGCTCTGTTGCGGTGTTGGTGCTCTGGGTGGGGTGGGTGAAATGTAAAGCGTGCGTACACTCTCTCGTCCGTCTTCTCACAATCGCTCCATCCCCCATCTCACCAAACACACTCCCTCCCCACCAAGACAACATCTCCCCCCTCTAACCATGCGCACAGGACTGGCAGCGGCCGCGTCGCTGCTCCTCGCCGCGCTCACATGTCCCACCACCGGCAACGCCGCGCCGACACCCGCCGCTGCCGCCGCCGTCTCAAACCCGGAACAACCGGTCGCCGACGCGTTCCTCCCCGACCAAGTCGTCGTCCCGCCCACAGACAGACAGTGGGACGTGCCAGTATGGAACCGCTGGAGCAAGCTCGTGCAGGCGTACAAGCACACGGACGCTGTGATCTCCTACGACGGCGTGTGGGACGAGACCCCGCGGTGGCACAAGACGTACGTCGGTGCAAACTCGCCCCCGGCGAGGCTGGGGTTTGAGTTTGTGGGCCTCGAGTTCATCGTCCTCGGCCACGTCCCGCCTGGCTTTGGACAGGGCAGCAACGACGCGACCATTGTGCACGTCGAGACGGACGGCCGGTCGGAGCGCTTCGAGCTCCTGCCCAGCCCGAACGGGTGGGACGACGAGAGCGGCGGCGGAAACTTCCAAGAGCGCTTCCTGATCGCGATGGACGACTACTCGTACAAGGACGGCGAAGGGATTGCGTTTGACCCGCACCGCGTCATCATCACTGTGGAGCGCGGTGCGCTTGCAGTCTTTTCCGTGGTCACACTTTCCGGCACCGCTTTGTGAGTTTTCGAAAACAAGGAAAAACAGCAAGCACCGGAAATACACACACGCCCAGCCAAAAACTAACACTGTGCAGGGAGAGCGCGGTCGAGTATGTGCCCAACTGGGAGCTGGGCCCAGAGTTTGTCGACGAGGCTGTCACTGAAGATGGCGTGCGCACATGGGACAACATCACTGTGCCGTTTGAGGGTGAGTCGCTGGTACGGACAGCCGGGAGCGACGCTTATGCCAGATGCCGAGCCACGGTACACTCCCATCCTCAAGCCGTTGGTCAGCTTTGCCCGAAAGAGGGGTACTTTCCGGTGAGTCTGGCTCACGGCCCTTTGTGAACGACGCGTGCTAAAACGGATCAGCACCGGGTCCAAGATTGAGCGTAAGATGGAGGTGTATCGGGACCGCCCAAGGAGTGAGCTTGCGTACCCACTCTTTAGCTGACCCCCCCAGAACCGACACACGGCATTGTTGCCACGCACCCGTCGACGTTCAAGTTCTACCCACCGCGTGGCGCGACGTACATGAACATCATCGGCGTGACGAGGACGGACATGCATGACGCCAAGGACAAGTCGTACTCGGTCGAGGTGTCTCCTGTGTTGAACGGCTATGAGAGGACGCAGCTCGACTACACTCTTTCCGCCGCGCTGCTCGTCCGCGCCAACCTCTTCTCGTGGCCCCTCGACCCTATGAGGGAGCAAGCGGTCACATTGGAGGCTGGAGAGGGCGTCGTGTTGCTTGGGGTCGAGTACTTTATTGCGTAAGTGTCAGCTAGGTTTCTTGCCACTGTCTCAGCTGACGACCTTCACAGCAAGGAGATTCCAGAGGTTACAGAAGAGGAACAAGCCGTCCCCAATCCGGGTATCGTTGTCACGTCCGACCCCACACACGACTGGCTGTACAACGGCATGATGGTGTTATTGGTTCTGTCGCTCGTTTGCTTCGGGGTGGGTAAACCTGGTCTGCCACCTGAAAACCCATGAAGACTGACTTGTTCCCAGACCGCGTTCGTTATCCGAATCCGACGGGCCCTGCAGCCGCGTAGCCGCGCCTCAGCACATACCGCTGCAGGTGTAGAGTTGGCCGCGACGCGCACGTCGCTACTGGAGAAGAACAGCCGTACCGGACTTGCCCCGCCATGATCGAGCCGGCTGTCGCCGCCGTTTTGGCTCGAGATCAACCCCCCCCCTCCCCCCCTGGATCAGGACATCAGGACAATGACCTTTGTGTAAATTGTATTTTAAGATTGCGCATCATGTACTTTGATACCGACTCGCATCCGCAGTATATGCAGGTGCGCAGACCGCAGGCGCGCACGGCCACTTGTCCATGGAGCTGCGAGGAGATTGACGAGAGAGTGACTACCAACGGCCCTCGCGCCACCCGACGAGATCGCGGTCCAGTGGCCAGTTGCCAGTCTGCGACAGTCCGTTGGGTCACATTTTGCGGAACAGGAGATCAATAGTTTGGGCTGAACACAGTCGACACGGCTTGTTCCTCGTGAGATCCTGCGCGACACCTAGGTTTCCAGCTTTGTGTATGCCCGCCAGGTCACCCTGGTCACCTGGAGTCATGGCCAGTGCGCCGCGCCGCAACTCACGTGTCCTCGCCACCGAGACTGCGCAGGTCGAGGTCACAGGACGCGGAGGGTGCGTAAAAGGTGGCACAAGCCGAGCGTTGAGAGCAGGTGTTCGTCGAGACGGGGAAGATACTCGGATCGTCGGATGATTCTCGCAACAAAACAAACAGCTTGAACCGCTCTGCTGCGTCTGCGACTCTCTGGCCCATGCATAGGTCTGCGTTCATGCACGGTCATGTAGAGGAGATGTATACCTTTACATGCCATGTGCACATGGCATCTATAGATCCGTAACTGGCCGCGCCACTGCGCCGGTTACCTATTGTGCATTGTACTCGGATTCCCAAACCCGCGCTCTCTGTGGTCAATACTTTTTGCGCCAGGCAATCCGCCACCCGAGACGACGCACCCATTATCATTGTCACGGCTCTTGGCGTTTCCCTCTCAACCATGACAATGGCCGAGACAACCACAGCGACGTGTATCTGCGGCAGCATCAAGATCACCACCACCCAGCTGCCGCACGCGACTGCCATATGCCGTGCGTAGCATGGAGCGACAGCAGCACAGTCTAGGGGGACGAAGGAGGACGGACAGCTGACCATTTGGGGACAGACTGCACAGACTGCCGCAAGTTCACTGGCGCCATGTGAGTTATCCGTTGTTCCCTATGCGACATCTACCCACTCGACACCTGGCTTACACGACACCTCCAGCGGCGCATTCTACGTTTCAGTCCCGCGCGACCGCGCGACTATCACAGGCTCGCCGAGCGCGTACACCAAGAAGGCCGATAGTGGGCGGTGGATCACCCGCAGCTGGTGTGGGAACTGCGGCTCGTGAGTGGTCGTGTGTCACCCATCAGCTCCCCCTTACCTCTCCGCCTGCGTCTGCACGTATCCTTTGGCGGCGTACACCGTGCGGCGCGCACCTCGGTGCAGTCTGAGGTCCCCGCGGTGCACAGCTGGGTCCGTGGGGATGATAGTGGGCGAGTGGGGAACGACCAACATGATATGACGTCACCTCCATCCACCACCACTCGCCAGTGGTTCTGTACTGATAATTCCACAGAAACCTGTTCGACGTCGCTGAGAAGCATCCCGGACTGCTCTTCCTTCACGGAGGTATGTGTCCTGCTGTTGTGCATATGCCGTTGCTCCCATATCCCCATCCGCCCAGTTCGCAACCATGGCCCAAACACCACGTTTTGCGCACACATGGTGATCGGAACTACCGCCCAAGCTCTGGTGCCATGAGGATTGCCGATCAGCTGTTGTGAGACCGTCGGGCTGAGTCAACCCCGACCCCGAGGACCATGGACCATCGCTTGCGCGGCACATGTTTACCACTGTGGCTACAGCAGCTGCATGGGTCCCTCTGCACTGCCACCACGCAACAACGGGAAACTACTGCCAACTGGCGCTGACATGACCCGCTCAGGCATCCTCCCAGTCGGAAGCATCCCCGAGCCCAACATGGAGATGTATGTGCGCGGCTGTGAACGCTGGGAGGCGCGATACCCGCACTGCATCGTGTTTGGCGGAGACGTGTTTGAAGGCGAGACGTTTGAAGGCGAGACGGCGACATGAGAGCAGAGTCAGAAGGTACCCACCCGGCCGTAGGATGATCGATCAATGCAAAGTCTCAAGCGGTATACTTACCTGACGAGCTCGCTCCCAACTCACTGCGTGCCTGCATCAGCTCAACGCCCCATGTACCCACTTGGCGACTAATGTCCATCGCGTCTATGTATTATGTGGGGTTTCTCTGTTTACGAGCAGTGGTTTGGCGCTTCAGCCTCTATAAACTCTCCCTCTCTCTCTCTCCCTCTCTCCTTCTCCACCCACAAACTATTATACAGTGGGGGGTCGTCTTCGTACCTTCGATGCGGAAAGCTACATTCACACAACACGCCTTGCTGTTTTACGCAACCGAGCTCTTCTCAGCCTTGCCAGCGTCGCGCTGGGCGAAGCGCTCCTCGACCTCACGGATGCGCTGGCGGGTCTTGATGTGTTCTTCCTCGGTGGAGATGGGCTGGTCGTAGAAGACGACGTACGAGGCACCGGCGGCGGCGAACGCGCCAAACACAAACCAAAAGCTGCGCGCGTTGGTGCGCCAGTCGTGCAGGTCGGGCGCCTCGAGACCGGCCTGGATGGCCAGCAGGATCGCGCCGCCGACCTGCGACATGACCTGCGTCCACGCGCCGGCGACACCGCCCATTTCGGGAGGGCAGAATGTGATGAGGTTGATGCCCGAGCCCATGTATGTGATGAGGGCGCCGATGGAGCCGAGGACTGAAGAGAGTGTGAGCGGGGGAGGAGGGGGGGGGGGGGGGGGGGGGGCGGGGGGGAGGACGGAAAGGAAGAGGACTTTGGTGGCAAACACTTACTGAACGCGGGGAAGCAGTACTTCCAGTAGTCGAGGTTGTCGACACCGCCGTCAGAGTAGTACATGAGCACCTCGGAGATCATGATCACTAGAGCGTAGCGTTAGCACAACAGTCGACTCGTTGGCCGGTGGGGAAGCACTCACGGACGGAGCCGATGGGAACCGAGATGCGGGGCTTGGTAATGATCTGGGGGAAGGCCTGGGTGGCGCCTCCGACGATCAGAGCCGAGATACCCTGCGGGAGGATGGCGGCCGCGACGTGCAGAGGCTTCCAGCCGGTGACCCACTGCCAGTACGTGGCGTACAGCAGCTGCGAGGTGGCCCAGTACGCAAACGGGAGCATGACGACGACGGACGCGAGGGTCATGTTCTTAATCTTCCAAACCGTGGCCGGGAGCACGGCCGACTTGGGCTGGATGCGGCCCTCCCAGACGAAGAAGAGGGGCGCGAGGAAGAACGCAATGACGAGCGGGGCAATGAACGACGCCGACCCCCAGCCGTCAATCGGGCCCTGGGTGAGTGCGAGGATGAACGTGATGAGCGCGCCGGCCATGAGGATGACGCCGACAATGTCCAGGCGGCGCCAGCGGGGCACGCCGTCGGGAACCCAGCCCGAGGGGGTGTTGGGGAGGAGGAAGATGGTGAGCACGCCAAACACGATGCAGATGATGGCCATGAGGCGGAAGAACCAGTGGTACGACGCCAGCATCGTGATGCCGGCCAGGACGAGGCCGAGGACGTTGCCGAGGGCGCCGGCGAGACCCAGGAGCGCGAGTTTCTTCTCCTTCTCCTCGGGGTCCGGGAACATGTGCACCATGAGGTGGTAGGCTGAGGGAATCGCTGCGGCGAGTGTTAGTGAACCGGTTGGCGCGTTGCAAGTGGCACTTTCCTGTGACTCACTCATCGATCCGGCAATGCCACCGAGGCCACGGAGGATCAGGAAGCCAAACTTGTTGGTGGTGACAAACGAGGTGACGAGGGAGAGGATACCGAGGAGGACAAATCCCGTCTCAAAGACGATCTGGGCCGGGAACAGGTCACTCATGCGGCCCATGAGCAGCATGCACGAGGCAAAGCAGAGCGAGTAGGCAGTGATAATCTGGGCATATAGTTAGATAAATGACAGTGCATGGCCAGCTCGTGTGGCGAACTTACCCAGACAGTCTGGGACGTCTTGAGGTCAATGTCGACGGCAATCTGCGCGACAGCAATAGCGACGCCTGAGACGTTACCTATACAAACAGCGTCAGCCATTGTTTCAGAGGTAGGCCACACGGCCACAAACGGGTACTCACAGACATCGACAAACGTGGCAATGGAGAAGATCAGGAGGAGGACGTGCTTGCGGACACTGCTGAGGACGGCAAGCGGGTGCTCCGGGTCCGCCTCGTACTCGCCCACCTCGGCAGCGCGCTCGTTCTTGGCGGTGACGAGCTCGGTGTGGGTCAACGTCGGAGACGCCAGTGGCTCGGGCTCCGTCTTGTCCTTGTCGTGCTGTGGCGTCGCGACTGCCACACCAGTGGCGGAGCTTGCGGCCGAGGAACGCTTAATATCGCCCATGTCTGCAGTGGGCTTGAGGGTGGGGGAAGATGTGGCCGTGGACATGCTGGAGGCAATGTCTTTAACAGGCCAGCGGAGGTGCGAAAGTGGGGGGGGGATGCCTCGCTCGGACAATGTAGGGAGACGGAGATGGTACGCAGGAACCGAGATGGGGCCGAGTGACACGCAGCCGATCTTGCAGGGTGTGGCGGCGCAACGAGGATCGCTAGGGAATGGAATAGCCCGAGGTTACCGAGAAAAAAACAGTGGACTGCTTGTTGATGGACGAGGACGAGTCAATGTTTGGACTCTTATCAGCTGGAGAGGGGTGGTGAAGGTGATGATGGGATGTCAGTGCGTCTCGTCAAGACATGTACTGTTATATATTCAGCATGCCATTTCTGCGCTGCCAACACGACACATTCGGCGACCAGGCTCGGCGGCTCGGGCATGGACTGTCTCCCTCGGAGCCGACGATGATTGATCGTGTTGAGAAACAGAGTGTGGCTCGACCAGTCACACACACCGCCACAAACAAAATGTTACGCTGTGGGATCGACGGAATCAAAATGTCGCGGAGAGGCGGGAACCGCAGACCGTCGTCGCCGTCGGCCTGGAGCTGCGCTGACAAGTGCCGACACACCCACCACCGTACATACCGTTTGCAGGGGGGCGACGCTGGTCGACCACGGACTGGATGAGCAAGCATCGCGCCCAGACGGAGACCAGGTGACCGCGTCGGCACGTGGCACGATCGGTCGCGAGCTCGCGAGCTGCGGACAGCTTGCGAGTTGCTAGATAATTAGATAAGTGTCTGCCGGAGGGGCCGTGTGTGCGTCTCGCGCCGAGCACGACACGGTGCTCGCTTGCGGCGAGGCTGACGGGTCACAGCGCCTCGCAGCTCACACAACGACGTCATTCTCTCTGGAACTCTGGGCGGATCTACACAGCGGAGTCGTCGGGTCCCGACTTGCGAGCAGAACAGGCATGCCACACAATGCATTCACTCTAGCCCCTCGAGGAAACGCGCATACTCGTCCTCTGCCGCCTCCGCCTCACCACCCTTGGACGCAGCCTGGGGGGCTCCAATAACTCCCTGCAGTTTACCCATCAGGCCCGGGCCGGCGGCGCGCTTGACGCGGATCTCGTCGCCCTCGGCATCAATCGTGCCAGCGTTCGGCGTCGAGTTGACAGGCGCGAGTCCTCCCGGCGCCTTGCGCTTGTTGACGCCGCGTGGCACGAACACGGTTGTCTCTTTGCGGAGGTCGCGCAGTTGTGGCGCAGCGGAGATGGTCACGGCGGCCGGTGGGGCTACAGCCGCCGCAGCAGTGGACGTATCTGTCTGCTTGCTCATGGTAGCGCCCTCACTGGACGGCTTGGTCAGGCCGGGCTTGGCAGGTAGGGAGGAAGGAGGAGGAGGAAGTGTCGATGGCCGAGGGGCAGAGGGCGCCGACCCAGACGCCCCGCCGCGCGTCCTCTGGGGTCCTCGGGGAGGTCGGATGGGAGGAGCAGGCGCCAGGTGTCCCCATCCTCCGGGGTTCTCCGCTGAGAAGGGCACGTTCGGTGCCACTGGAGGCGGCATGAATGGGGGCCATCCCGCCGGAAGTCCGTTTGGCAACATTGGCATGACTGGCGTCTTGCTTGGGGGAGGGCCGGAGGGCAACGGGATGTCCAGCGAGTCGTCCGAGGCATCCGAGTCTGACTCTTCCGCTCCAGGTGGTGGTCCCTCAGGCATCACAATGTCGTCATCGCTGTCGTCGTCCGAGTCGTCCGAGCTCTCGCTAGGTTCTGGAGATTGGGCTGAGCAAGGTTAGCCGACTGTAAAGTTATGTCTGTCCAACACCCATAGAGCTGGGTAGTCTCCATCGATCGCCAGCTCCGTGGTCAAAAACAAGAGGCTGGTAACGCCCACAGAGCTCTCGCGGCAAAACCTGAAGCTCCTGTGGTCACCACCCGCCCCGCGTCCAGCAACCCGTACTTGTACTCACTGCGTGCACGGTACGGCATCCCTGGAGGCGGCACACCAAACGGATTGTACGTCGCGTCATAGTAGTAGCTCCTTTTGGGATCCCTCAGTGTACCGTCGGGGTTGTACAGGTGCGCCGTTGGGTCTGGCTGGTGACTCGACCCCTCGCCATCGTCATCGCCTTGGCCGCGCGGCCCGCGTCCGTGTCCATGTCCATGTCCGTGTGCGCGCTCCGGGCGGTCGGTGTGGTATACCTTGTCGCGCTGGTCGGGGTTCTTGGACACAAACTTCTCCTTGAGCCCAGTGAAATACTTGAGCTCGCTCTGGAGCTTGGAGAGGCGTTCTTGGCCCTCGTTGCTGAGCTTGTCGCGCGCCTTGAGGTCCTTGATTTCCGCCTCGAGGTCTGCGTGTCAGCTTCAGGGACGAGCATATTCAGCTCACGCCTAGTGTCATGGTGGACTGCGCGGTCGTCGCGCTTCTTCTTTCGGTCGGACGCGTTCTGCCATTAGCACAAGTTGACAAGACGACATGCAGTCGAGGTACCTTTCTGAGCTGCTTTGCCTTTTCCGCCTTGCCTGTGGATATCAGCTGGTTGCGGGCTAACGGTCAACATAGCTGTACTCACGGAACGCATCCATGGGGTTTCCCATTGTCGTTGCTGTATCAGCTGCTGCTGCTGCTGCTGCTGTTGTTGTTGATGTCAAGCAGCGGTGCTCGCATGAACGCAACATGACCTCCTCCATTCACGCCCTTTGGTGGCAAACGGCCGTCACGTGACATTTTTACCGGTTTATATTCCATCCGCCCCGTTTAGCTGCGGACACCGCCGTCATCGCTCTGTCCATCCTCTCCGTGGCCAACGCTGCAGTCTGCTCATTATCCTGTTGTCGCGCATCCCCATATCATCCCCCCCCCCCCCCCCCCCATCCCACCCGTGCTCACCATGTCGAACGAGTACGCCTTCCGCAAGATCGACATTGACGCGCTCGACGAGGACGCCCTCCTCCCGTCGGACCTCGTCGACCCCGACCCGCGCGGGCCCGACGGCGCCCTCAGCGACGCTCGCGCGCGTTCGACAGAGACCCGCAACCTCGTGTCCAAGTGGGTACGCTCAAGGGCCTGGGGGCTGGGCACAGCGTGGGGCCAAGCAGTTGCGGTACTACTAGGACGGTACAAAGCTGCTTTGGCCCCGTCCACACATTTCTCACCCTCCTGGCCGTGTTGACCGCCAATGCTGACGCGGTGCACAGGGGCGACATTGCCGGCGCCCTCACCACCATCCTCACTGACCCTCCTTACGGCGACGGCGTGGACGAGGCCAAGGTAGGTGGAACGTTGGATGCAGGGCGCGCCTTACCTAACCCCGCCCTACCAGAACCTCACCACCTCGGCCGTGCTCTTGATCCTCAACTCGACGCGCGCAAACGACATTCCCAACGTCATCAAGGGCCTGGACCAGGAGCAGCAGGCGCACCTCATGGCGTACCTGTACAAGGTAGGTGGTGTTGGCACACTGTCGGCAAGAGAGAGTGCGAGAGAGAGAGAGCTGACGGCGCGTGCTACAGAACATGTCGGCTCTCGGCAGCGGCGCTGACATTCCGGGCTCTGTGCTCCTTACATGGCACGAGAAGGTGGGTACAAGGCCTCTTACGTACGTCTGGCTAACCCAACCAGCTCACCGAGGCGGCCGGTGTCGGCTGCATCGTGCGCGTCATGACCGACCGTCGTACACTGTAGTCGCGATACGGGTATGCATCATCCGTTGTAGTCTAGCGGTGGCCTGCAGCCGGGTCGGAAGCTCATCATGGGTCTCAAAGAACTGAATAAACTCCCAACAGCGCACAAAAGCGCGCCTATCTCTGTCTCTGTCTCACACACACGCACTCTCTCTTTGCGATTGCCTAGTACAGCTGCACGCGCACGCACAAAGCGCACACGTGCGAGCGGCACTCGTTGTTGTTGTTGTTGCTTTTGTTTTTCCTCTTCGCCTTCTCGCGCAACTCATCGCGCGCACTCTACTTCTTGCCATAGCCCTTCTTCTTGCCAAAGTCGAAGGGGACGTAACGGTACTTGATCATGTGCCTGGGGTGATGTGTCAGTTGCAAAGAACCAAGCGGAGGAGATCCAACTGCAACTCACTGGATCTGGCGGCGCATGGTGAGCGCGAACAAGGTGCAGAAGTAGACCAGGAGGATGGGCCAGTACACGGGCACGTCGGTGACGCGCGACAAGGTGCACAGGAGCGCAATGACGGTTGCCTTGGTGGCCGAGTACCAGAACTTGAACTCTGCAGAGCGTTAGTGAGGGAGACTGACTTGTGTGTGTGTGTGTGCGCGCGCGCGCGAAAACGTACCAGGAAGACGGCGGATGAAAGGACGGAACTCTTCGTCCTCGGGGTTGGGCGTGAAGCCAGAGAAGAGGCCACGGAGGCCCTGGGGGCCCTTTGCCTCTGAGCCGGGGAGACCCGGCGCGCCCTCCTCAACGTCGTCGGCCGCGAGGTCGGCGGCGTGCTGGGGGTCGAAGCGGGGCTGGAGGAACGCGAGGAAGAGGTTCAGGATGTAAATGGCCAGGGCGTCTGCAAGGCGTCAACAAAGTGCGAGGGAGGGGAACACGGGGGCGGCGATGGGAACAACCAACCGCCCGCCTCAAGGCAATGCCTTGTACGCACACATGACAATGTACCATCCTTGGCGGACGACGACGCTGAGCGAGAACAGGATAAGCAGCGTGCCGGTCACGAGCCAGCGCTCAGTGACGTGCGGGGTGGAGCGGTCGAGGGCGGCCTGGAACTTGCGGGCGTACACGTTCGAGTTGTCGCGGAGCGCGTCAAAGACGTTCTTGTCCTCCTCGACACCGCCGCGGATGCCGGCACCGCTGCCGGGGATGAGGTTTGCAGGGGTAGTCATGCTGTGGGGCTGCATGCCAGCGAGTCCCGAGCGGACGGGGAAGCCAGAGCCCGGGCCGGCGACGGGCGGCGTCGAGCCGACGACGGGGGGTGTGCCGCCGGTGGTGGGCGGGTAGGGCGACACATTTGGGTATGCCTGCTGGGGCTGAGGAGGCTGCTGTAGGGAGATGGGTCAGAAGGTGGATGGGGGATGGGTGGTTGGGATTGTAAGGGTTGCTCACGTTCATGGTGGGCCCGTGTACCGATATGGGAAGGGGTGGTTGGTGGTTAGGTGGCAAACGAGGAGATAATGGAAACAACAGAACCCGATGCGCTTCGACACGTTGCCCGTCCGCCAATGTGCGAAACAGCGTGGCTCTACACGCGCCGCGCGTTATGCGTGGGTTAGTCCGTGATAAGGGGTCTTTGTATTAGACAGCAGCGCGTGGATTAGAAATATACACACGTCATTACTCACGCTATTATACATCCGCCGCCGCCGCCGACGCTCACGCTCACGCTCTCGCCCGTTGTTTGGGTTGAGTGTGTGTCGGCGGCTGTGTTGTGATTCACCCAACTCAAATACATTCACGGCTTCACGGCTGCTGCATCTCCCACTACAAGCACTCGCCTGCCTCGAGCTCCACCGCGAATACAGTCTCAGCTGTCACCAGTTACCCAGGAGCAACCCCCACGAGCCTGTCACCCTCGCCGTGTCCCAACCCCTCTAGCCTCCCTCCCACCTTCTCGTCTTCCCCAGGATGGCCCCGCGGCCGTCGGGCCCCCACCTCGCCCAGCGGCTGCGAACACTATGCCTGTCATGCCCGCCAGTGTCAGCACTCTTCTATGCCCGCCTCTACCGCGCTCTGTTCCCGCCAACCGACACGGAGCATGACTCGCTGCACATTCTCGCCCTGTGTTTACTCCAGTCCGATCAGGCGTACCCGGCCCTCCATGTGGTCCGCGACCTGGCCGACGCCGACGCAGACCCCAAAGACGACATTCCAGACTATGAGAATGGTATCCCTGCTCGTCGACCGGGCTGCTATGGCTGCGCGGTCATTGTGGCCAAGTGCTGCGACAAGCTCAAGCGATACTCGGAGGGACAACAAGTCCTTGGACGTGCTATTCGTCGCAGCCTCCACATGAGTAGGTCGACGAGGTTTGGACTCTTGACCTGCGCTAACACTCTCAGCCCTCCCCACTCCGTCACCCTTGGATACGGCAGCGACAGACAGCCTCCTGCTCGCATCGCTCTCGCTCAAGGGCAAGGCGCCTGCGCAGGCCGTCGACCACTTCCGACTGGCGCTGGGACAGGACCCGTGGCTTTGGGAGGCATTCACGGGTCTGTGTGATGCTGGTGAGTGTTTGGTTGTTTGGTTGGCTGGGGGTAGCGTGACGCGACTGACCTTGTAACCCAGGCGCCCCACCTCTGATGGACTTGGTGTTCCCGGACCCACCCAGCAGCTCGACGAGGTCAACATCGCAGCGCACGTCGCGGCACGCGACCGTCTCGCCAGGACCGATGCCTCGGTCGTCTGCGTCTGAAGTGCCAAACTTCCTCAGCCGCCGGCAGTTGAGCCCTCTGGCGTCTGGTGCGCCCACGGGCGGGTTCTTCACCCCAGATGTCGGCGCCTCTGCTGCACCACCGGCTGCCCCAAGGCTGGGCATGTTGGGCACGGTGACGTGGGAGTGAGTTGAGCCTTAGGCATCACCAGCTGACCCACAGCACACCGTCGATGATGGCCGACACGACGTTTCCCTCGATCGGCGATCAAGGCGGCCCCAGCGCCGCTCGCCGCCCGTTACCCAACCTCATCTCTGCATTCTTGCCATCGGCGTCGTCTGTGCTTCCTGCTGCATTGCGTTCGACGCCCAACCCAGCGTCCGATGGGCTCCCATCCAAGCCGCCTGCCATGAAGCGTCCTCGCGGTGCCAACGCTATGCGCAGGCCTGCCGAAACCCCCGTCGGCGGACCTCTGACTGTCGAGTCGCGGTTCAACGGCCGCGACGTCAAGATGATGGAGCCCAACGGAGACAAGTACCTCGACCCCCCAGTGCGCCGCAGCTCGAGGCTGAACACGGGTTCGGGCAAGACTTCGTCGAGGGTAGGTTGCGCTGTTCTCACTGGCGGCTAACCTTGCAGCTGGCTCGTGAACGCGAAAAACGGTCTACACGCTCCCACTCGGTCACGTCGTCGGCATCGGGCCAGGGCCCCGACACCCTGGCAGCGACGACCATTGAGCAGCAGGTGCAGGCCCAGGTGGACGACTGGCTCCGGGACGTGGTCCGCCGGTGTGCGCGGGCGTACCGCTACCTGAGCATGTTCCAGTGCCAGGATGCGCTGAATGAGATTGACCAGCTGCCACTCGAGGTCCAAAGTTCGCCGTGGGCGTATGACATGGCCGCGAGGTGCTTTTACGAAATGTGCAGCTATGTCAAGGTGAGCTCGCCTGAATGTTGGACGTGAGCTGACGTGCAGGCACGCCGTGCATTCCAGGCGCTGCTCCACGAAGAGCCGTACCGCCTCGAGGGCATCGAGTACTACTCTACGACGCTGTGGCACCTCAACGACATGTATGCGCTCTCGCACCTGTCCCAAGTGCTCGTGTCCGTCGACCGCGACGCGCCACAGCCGTGGATCGCTGCGGGCAACTGCTTTTCGCTGAAACGAGAGCACGACGAGGCCATGCGGTGTTTCCGGCGCGCGGCGCAGCTCGACCCCGGGTGCGCGTACGCGTGGACGCTGTGCGGCCACGAGGCGCTCGAGATGGACGAGCACGACCGCGCGATTGCGTTTTTCCGCACGGCCATCCGCGCCGACGCGCGCCACTACAACGCGTGGTACGGCATGGGCGTCGTGTACATGAAGATGGGCAAGCACCGGCACGCCGAGCACCATTTCCGGCGCGCGACCGAGATCAACCCGTGCAACTCGGCGCTCCTGTGCTGTATCGGCCAGGTCCTGGAGAAGCTGCACAACTACCCGGGCGCGCTGGTCATCTACGAGCAGGCGTGCCAGTACGGCGACGACAGCGCCATGGCGCGGTTCAACCGCACGCGCGTGCTCGTCGCGCTGGGCCGTGTCGAGGTGAGTGGGGAGGAGTGTACGGTGTGGTGGAACCACTGGCTAACTTGTTCTACAGGAAGCGATCCGTGGCCTCGAGCCGCTCGCGCGCGAGACGCCCGACGAGGCAAACGTCCATTTCCTCCTGGGCAAGACGTACCTGCGCGCCGGGCGCAACGCCGACGCCATGGTGGCCTTTACGTCGGCGCGCGAGCTGCAGCCCAAGCTCGAGGGCGCGATCCGCGCCGCGCTCACGGCCCGCGGCGAGGACGGCGACGAGGACGACGAGGTGTAGTGGGGAAGAGGGGGGGGGGGGGGGGGGGGGGGGGGGGGGGGGCTGGGAAGAGAGGAGGGAGACCACATACGCACGCACGGCAACAGCATAGGGGACTGCACACACCCCGCGCGCCATCAGTCGCTTTTGTATTATTTTCTTGGCCCCATGCCCCATGCCCCAGCCCCAGTCCACGACGGACGGTGCGGTTCGCGGCCGAGGCAAGGGGGTTAGGGCGCGGGCAAAACATTAATGCATCTGGCATTGTAACACGTCGAGCGAGGGAGAGCGAGGGAACGAGCGAACGTGCCAGACGTGCCAGACGTATGCTGCCCAAAGGTCTGGTCTCGGAGGAGAACGGCAGAACAGACGAGTGAGTGAGTGAGTGAGTGAGTGAGTGGCATAGGGTACGAGTGACATTGGCACCTGTCAAAACAACAGTCACCACATGGTGGAGGTGGGTAAGCCTTATCTCGGCACACCTGGCGGCTAGCCGGCCCTCGTATGGACGTACTTGCCGCCCAACCCGAGGATGGGGAGCAGCACCGACTCTGATCTCTGAACTCGTGACTCTGGACTTTGCGGCCTTGTGCCCTGGGGCTTGTGGCCAGTCTTCTCGGCCATGCTCATGGCCATGCTCATGTTCCGGCCTGAAGCGCTCTGAAAGCTACAAATGCCCGTGTATGTACCGTACCGTACCGTGTACCGTCTGCCGCGGGACCGGGGGCTGCAGGTGGACACTGGCGAACTGTCCATATATGACCAAATGCACAAGGTCTCGCCGTGGACCCCGATGCCCGCATGCCACAGACCACAGGCCACAGGCCACAGGCCAGTCGAGTCAGCAGACGGCACCAGCGCGATCACCTGACCCTTTGTTATGGGGTCAAGAGAGTGGTGTTTGTCGTCGACCGTTGTGAAGGGGAGGATTGATAAGCCAACTGGCCGTGCCCGGTGGCCGGTGGGGCAGGCGTGCCTCCAGGCCTCCAGAATGATGTCTCCAGAAGGCAGAAGCGGCGGTTTAGGCTTTTGGCATCACTTGCCGACATGGCCCCGGGTACCTTCGGTGTAGAGGGAATGGCATGCCTGTGCCGGCGGTGTCAGTGGCCCAGTGGCCAGTGGCCAGTGGTCCAGTGGACGTCGACCTCTGGCAAGTAGCAGTGGCAGGTGGTCGGTTCTGACCATATGGTCAAAAGCGTTCCAGTTGCGAAACGCACCGTGCCATACCATGCGTGAGGCCAGGGCGCTGCCACATTGACATGTGGCGAGGCGAGGAGCGGTGCGTGTATCCAGTAGACTTGGTGTCCTGGCACGCCCTCTGTACGATACGGGGCACGACGATGGACGACGGAGGATGGGGGACCTGTAGGGCTCACTGCAGAGCTCGTCATCGACGCGTCCATGGAAACCACAGTCGGAACGCTGGCGACGTGGGCAAAAGGAAGCCCCAGCGCCATGACAACAGACACCCACCACCCGGGATACGACGGAGGGGTGTGTCGCCTCGCTGACACGTAACTGGACGCAACTCGCCTAAACCGCGTTCAACGTCAACCGAGAACACATGTTGCGTCGACGCAGGTGCCCGACCTCGTGCGTCTCAGATACGCCTCGCAACGCCAGCTACGATACGACCTCACGACCTGTACGAGCGCGCGCCCTAAAGGATAACCACACTAACCTAAACCCGACCCGAGAGGTGGGTTAAGGTGGCCTTTGGCGGGGGCGTCTGATACACCTTTGTCGTCGTTGCCGGATCGCGAAACGGGCTGTTCCAGTACGCCCGGCGGAGCCTCTATTGCCCGTCGCGACACACGTGTACTGCACGCAAAAGGCTAAAGGCACAGAGCTCGCGAGCTCGCGAGCGAGTGTGGCGTGGCGCATCCGACGCGGAAAGCAGTACGCACGCACGTACGCACGGTGGGTGCCGCAGTGCGGCGTTTGGCGACGCGCCAGTGGCCAGTGGCGCCTGGCCGCCTGGGCGTTTGGACCGAGCGGCAGAGAGAGCTGTTTACTGACACTAGCGTTATCGGCCTGTGTGGGACCTCTCTGGTACCTCCTCGGACGGTGTCTCACCACGCACCACTAGCTGATTGGGGATCTCTCCGCCGCTGGCCGCTGGCCACTGCTGGGACACAGATCTGGATCTGGACAGGCAAAGGCACACTTTTTTTTGTATTTGCTGCTGTATTGCATTCAATTGACAAGTAAGCGTCGATGAGGGGGGGTTATTTCCGTCTTTGCCGCCTGTCGCCCTCTCGGGGCCCACAACCACTTCCACTCACCCTGGGGCTCTGGGACTACCCACCTCGCGGCGACACTGCAGAGATCACAGGGGCCGTATCTCCCGCTCCGCCGCGGGGACTAGTGAGTGGGTTTTATAACCACCTGGTGCGGTGGTGGTGGCACATGGTAAAGGCGATACTTGCCGTGGTGCCCAGTATAGGTGCGCTGTAGGTTCCAAAAGTGACTGTGTTTGTGGCACCGCGGTGGCTGCAACAGAGCACAGCTTGACAGCATGAGCCCCGCTTGCACGCTGCACACTTCTGGGTTCTGGGGCCACCCAACCGTGTCCCAGTTGACGTGTTGCCAGAGCCCCCGCTGCCATGTCCCTTATCACACACCACACCCATGCCGCACCCTCTGCACTCTGCACTCGCAGGTCAGACCCAGATGCTGCCAGCTGCCAGATACCTGCTGCCTGCCAAGCTACCATGCTTCCAGACACGCTTCCGCGGCGGAGTACGGACACGCCGTACACCAGAGTATATATTCCGTCCCGGAGTGATAGCACTCCCTCTCAGCACATGCTTTCTTGTCCGGGGCCGTGGCGGTGGCGTTGGCGTTTGGCACTACTGTGGCGCTCCCGGGTGGTAAAAGAGTGCCGATCGTCCGGAGGCTGCTGGGCAGTCGCCGTCGTGGGATCCGTGGGGGACGTGGGTGTGGTCACCCTGGCATGCTGGGCATGCTGGGCAGCTTGACCACCGGTGCGGTCTCTCTTGTCTCGCTCGTATGCTGTCGACTGTCCACTGCAGTGTCGCTGATCGTCGGATCCCTTTTTTCTTCCTACCACTCCTGTCCTCCCTGAATGTCTCCGCGGCCGGGGGTGAGACACACCCCGGGGCACCTGGTCAAACTGGGGGAGATGCAGCGGACAGCACATGATCGCACATGCTCGCACGCCAGCGAGAGAGCGGTTGGGTATCACGTACACTGTCGTGGACGATCGATATCGGGGTGTGTGGCAGCGTGAACGTGCCAATGGGTCACACAGGCAGCTGCAGCCAGCCAGCCGGCCAGCCGGGGTGAAACGGGTGCGAGTGGAACACACCCTTCTTCTGCACCTGCCTCGCACCTGGCCACACCTGGCATCGCATTTTCGGGTCTCGTTTGATGGCTCCTTTGCATATGGTAACGAGACGCGAGGGGACGTACGTGCGGACGTACGAGAAAAGTTTTTGCGCGTTACCTTGTGCACACACCTCCAATGCAGACCACTGGTGCCACTGGTGCCACTGGGCCGTGAGAGAAAAAAAATCTACTTGAGTCATGAAAAAGTGGAGCTAGTGGAGGTCCATGCCGATCCAACACCCATTCATGTTTTGCGACCAAGTGGCCGTGGTGTTAATCAGCATTTTTAGTGATACGAGACACACCCAACGGCCCAGTGGAACAGCCCATTTGACCCATTGAATAGCAATCAATCAGCAATCAGACAGGTACGGCCATATGGCCATGGCCCCCTCCACCAGACGCCAGACGCCTACCGCCGCCTCCTCCACCTGCGGCCGTAAGCAATGTGTAAGCCGTGGTGGAGACGCCAGAGTAAGCAAATTGCAAGTAGCCACCAGCCGTGGTAACACCGGAGAGGCGTCCACCGACGGGGTGGCCGAGGGGGTTAGTGAGCATGCGCGCGCGGGGGGCATGTTTCCATGCCGTCTCGGGGCCATGTTTCGTGGGTGCGACATGCCATGTCCGAGCGCGGAAAGGGGGAGAAAGGGAAGAGGGGAGAGGGTGGACGCGCAGGCGAGTGCACGAGTGACACACTCTCCGTGTGCATCAGCATTGCAGCATTGCAGCACCATATGCATGTGTCCGTGTGTGTGACGAGTCTTAGTCGATGTGGGTACCGAGAGGCAGTGTCAGCACACGGCCAGTGCACGGGTTTGCCGTGAAACCGCGCAATGGCTCCGGCCGGCGGCCGTGTGGGGTGGCCTCCGGGGTGGTTGGCCGACGGGGGTGTGCGTGGATATCTCTCTGCTCATTTCTCAGCATGGTACATGCACAGGAACCGTGGACGACGTTTGAGAGCATGCATGGTGTCCGTCGGGGGAGCCCGGGGGTTCCGTCGTCGTTGCTGGAATCGTCGTGGTTGCTGTGCGTGCGTGCGCTGTGTCGCTTGGGCCGGCTGCACCAGGGTGGTACCATGGCGCGCATCTCTTGGCCACTTGGCCACTTGGCACACCCATATGGGTGGCCACAGAGGTGACCGTGGACGTGGCCGAGGGCCACGCATGTGCACTGCAACGGCCGTGTCTCTCCCCACCGCCACTGCCACGATGCTAACCATGTTAATAGCGTCGGGTGCAAGGCGGGGGTTGGCACTGACCAAGCGTGCATTTCATGGGGCCACGTTTGTGTGATTGCAGTGTGGTGGCTGCTGCTGCCAGATACGCCTCCACTTTCTGTGTGATCAATCGCCACAGCTCTGCAGACGAGCGCGTGCGTCCAGAAGCGTCCGGAAGCGAGCGGCGCGAGAGGGAGATGCATTATCGACTCGCTTGCTCAGTCGCCGTTCTCGCTGGCTGACGAATTTGGCCGGGGCGCGCGCAATCTCCGCCGTCGGGCAGGCAGAAACACCACAGGCGCCAGGCGAGAGCAGGCGAGAGCGACCTCGGGCCCGGAGGGGCAAAGGACGAGGCAAGACACAGGGACACCATCCACCCACCCTGGCCGAACCCCCCATGCCCCCGGCGATCGGCATGGCGCAACACACGGATTCCACCTTTTGGATTATAACCACGGTCCATCGTCGTCCTTTTGGGTCCTCTTCTTCTCAACAACCACCACCACCACCACCAACCCACAGCCATGGCCTCTGTCCACCACATCCCGCGCCCAGCGCACGCGTCCCCACGCACAACAACAACAACCCGTGCAGCCTTTGCAGCACCACACGCTCTCCACTTTGCCATCCCCATCCTCCCAACACCCACCCCGCCATCCCTCCTCAAGCGCCAGAGCTCGTCCAGCGGGTCGAGCAACGCGAGCAACTCGGCGCGCACATCCCCCTCCCCGCGCTTCCCAGAGACGTCCCCGCCTCTGCGCTTCACCAGAGCCCGCCCAGCCAGCGCCGCCAGCAGCGGCCGCCACAGCCGCACCTCCACTCGCCGCCCAGCGTCGTCCCCCTCGTCGCTGTGTGCGTCCCCCGAGCTGCCCCCGGCACCCGTGGGCACCCCGCTCGACGTGCAGCCGCTGCAGCTGTCGTTCCCGGCGCTCGACGCCAATGCCAGCCGCCCGGTCCTCGTCCGTCGCGACACGCCGCGCCCGTCGTCGCCGTCCCCCTTTGAGCCCCAGCTGCCCCTGCGTGACCTGGCCCCGCGCCGCCCAACGTCGCTCAACATTGAGATCAACGAGTTTGAGACCCACTTCCGCGCCATCCACCGCGATGGCGGCATGGGTCTGGGTGTGAGTGTGTAGAGAGAGAGCGACCGAGCGACCGCAGGTCGCGAGCGTCCTCTTATCCACACAAACATACACGAACCATACACGAACCAACTCGCACACAATCACACACAATCACACACGAGATCTCAACACGACGACAACGACGCTGTATCCACTAGTCACCAAGGCGCATGGGCCACCACTTTTGCATAGCATTCACTTTCCATCCTGTACCATATCATGCACATTATCATCTGCTCTCTCTACCACCCCCCCTGCTGCTGCATCGACTCACCGACGCATACCCCGGTGTGACCTGATAGTCGCCTCCCGCCGGCTCGCCGCCGGCCGAGCAGTCGCCAAGCCCCGTCCGTGTCCGGGGCGATACGGCCGCCTGGGGGATATGGAAAAAGTCGCCGTGCGCCACCGGCCACCCAGGAGCCACACGGCCATCTGGGAAGAGCGACGCGGCGGCTCGGCAGGTTTTGGATCACTAAGCGTGTTTGCATGTACATGTGCATGTGTGCTGGGATGACTGATGGTGGATACATGCTGATACATGCTTCGTGACTCGCCCCGTTCACACGCATCCATCCTAGCCATCTGCACAACAGGCCATGCCCGTCGGGTGGGGCATTCTTCCACTTTTTTTTCTGGTGCCATCCATTCCGACCTTGTTGGGCGACTAACTCGTGGCACCCCGCCGGCACAGCCCCGCCGGGCAAACGTGCAACTGGGTCGTCCGGGGGTGATGCACAACGTGGGATCTGTGGATCTTGCATTCCTGCTCTGCTGCTTGCTGCTTGCTGCTGCCCAGGGAAATGGCAAACGCAAACTGCACCTGATTACCAGTCGGTCGTTTGTCGTACTTCTGCCTGGGTCCTGAACGCGAGAGGGAGATCCGGGGACGACGTCGTTTTCCGCCCACACACTCCGGGTCGACTGCCAGCTCTGGCAGCTGCCAGGCGTTTATTCCGTCCCAGCGCTGTTGGTGTCTGTGCCTTCATTTCATTTCACTGGTAAGAGATCCCTTATGGTCTCTCTCGTCCCGCGCACACATTACCACAGCTACCAGATGGCATTTTGGCAAGCAGCGTCGCACTCACATGCGCCACAGTGAGCGGGATCTGTGCTGATCCGCTGTTGATCACCCCACCTGGAATCCCGTTTAGGCTTTGGATACACTCTCCCCCGATAAACAAATTCAATTAGGAACCACCTGGTGTCCCTCCTGCAGTCGGTTACCCAACTCGCCCTGTTTGTAACACCGTCTCGACCTCCCTGGGTGGGTCGATGGGGTGCACCCACGTACCCAGCGTCCACGGTGCACGCGGCGGTGGTCGCCGCACAGAGCTTGTAGCTTGTAGCGTTTCATGCCCTGGCCCTTTGCTTTTCCTGCCCTTTTCCTGCCTTTTCCTGGCCCTGTCCGCTGTGCCAGTGTGCCAGTGTGCTTGGCCAACTGCGACTCTGGGTCCTAGATCCCACAGTCGTGCAACCCACCACAATCCTCGTCCCATCCGTTTCACCCCGCACAGCAAGCACCCCCAGACAGCAAGTAACAAGCCCCCTCTGCGTCCTCCTCAAGCGAGGACCCCAGCTGGCAAGGGGGGCAGAGGGCCGTTCCCACCCCTCTTGCCTGTCTTGTCCTTGTGAACTCGTCTCGGTTGCAGACCGACGGGTACGCTCGCGACCAGCGTGTCGCCAGGTGTCCATGCCAGTCACATACAACGCTTGGCACGGTCTCACTCACACCTATTGTTTGGGTTTACCTATGCGATCTGCACAGTATGTACGTGGTCTACGCTTTTCCTGAACCACCTCATTACTCTACTTTCCAGTCGCCGCTCGGTTGTGCTGGTGCCTCGCACGGCCGTCCCTTACATCACCTCTTCTCGTTTCGAGGCCTAGGAGGGGGGGGGGGGGGGGGGGGGTCGTCTGCAACGCAGTCGTTGTACCACCACCGGCGCGCGCGCACAAAGAAAGTCGAAACAACACCAACACCTTGGCGAGCCCCAGATCGCATGCCGCCCAGACCAGACCCACGCGACCTGCCACTTCCCACCTGCGACCCGCAACGCGCAAAAACCCTATTGCGCTCGGAATTAATCAGAGATCGTCGAGTGTGCACACTCCATAGTCCTGGATCCTGGGACCAGTACGCGCCGTATGTAGCCGCCTTTGTAGGCACAGGGACACATGTATGTTTACGCGCTCTTGCTTTTGTCTTCGCTTGGCCTTGTGCTTTCCCTGGTCATTTGTCCTTGTCCTTTTCCTTTGCACACCGGCCTTTGCGCTGGTGGCCTCTCTGGTCGTCTGGTCGCCAAAAGGCCAAAGGTCGACGACAATCTCCACACCCATGCACCCCCATCTGTCCAAAATGCCACACACTGTACCAACCTGCCTGCCAAGAGACGCGCAGATCCGGGGTCGTCGCCGCCATCCGAGACATTTGGCCACCACCCACATGGCCGCCCGCGTGGCCCGGGGTGGCGCTGGGTATACCTCCTGCCTCCTGCAGCCGTCCATTGCCACACCCCCGGGGACCGTCGACTGCCGCAGCGCCGCAGCGACGCAGCCTTGGCATCGACATGGTCCAAAGGGCAAAGGACAATGACAACGCACGCAGCATGCGCAGGAGCGATGGTGTGAGCCACGGGCCATGGAGCCATGGGGGCGACACGGGTTCGGAAACATCTTGTCGTGCGGAGGATTCTGGTATTCTCTCCGGTATGCGCGCGGATCCGAGACGCGTCAACAGTATCACACCGTCACTTGTGGGCCTGTTTGGCACACATGGGAATTGTGACCAGATGTGAAAAGTGTGCAGTACACGCGACTGTTGTATACCGTACCATGGCACAACCGCCGCGATCGGGCCGCCCTATGTACTTACCTGTGTTGACGTCCAGGCGTATGGTCCTCCGCGGCGGGGCGTGACTGCTTTCCCTCCCTGAAGAGCACATCACCACCACATCGCAACACATTGTACAGTGCTTACATACTTGCACTTTGCGTGAGAAAGCTAAAAACATCGCCATTCGCACGATCGCTCGCTTGGGATTAGTAGAACTGAATGTTATATGTAGTTGGACCGCTCTGCCACTCTGCCTGACTGAATCTTGTCCAGCAATAAACGCGCGATCCGCCACGCCACACACCAAAACATGACATCCCGGTCCGGGGCGAGGGTGTGAGGGTGCGACTCGCTCCCCCGTGGCCGTGTCCACAGGACGCAAACACCCTCTCTTCCAGCAGCACGCTTACCACTAACCCCAGTCGGAGCACCTGGAAACAGAAAGCGGTGTTTGTACGGTACAGAGGTGCACAGTGTTGGGGTACACTGTGGACCTCGCGAGGAGGGTTGCAGAGTATAACTGGCCAGAGCGGATCCGGACCGAGGAAACGCACTATGGAGACGCGCATTGTGTTGGCGACTGTGTCTATGTGTTTCTGGGCCTTTTTATTAGCACCAGTCACAGTCATTTAGGAGGGCTTCCCATTAGGTTTCCACTTCTACTAATGGATTAGCGAAGCCCAAAAGGATACACAAGTGGCGCCTGCAGCAGCCGCGCCCCAGAGGTGGCGAATTCACCCCGCCCATCTCCGCTTCTCTAAACTCCCATCGAGCCCATCGTCAAGGGCACTAAAGGGAGTAGTCCAGCTTATCCCATACTCTATGCATTGTATCGTAGTCATCAATAAGTACACCCATTGCAGTATGCAGCTGAAGCGTCCTTTGCCGCGCTCAGCGCTCTTGTTTCATGTCTCTGGCCAAATTCGACCGGTCCGAGTTGGCCGCAGTAGAAACACTGTTGGTGGGGGGTCTCGTGACGTTGTGTGTTTCCTTTGCTCTTATCGTCTCGCTGTTGGAGACCTTGGGTAAATACCTGGGACCGGCTCTTGAGACTCGTCTCTGCCTCGGCTGTTGGAAACAAACACGCCATGTGCGACACCCAACGGCATGTCTACAGGCTGCTGCTTGGAGAAAAGGGCAATGCCTCTGTTCCCGGTCACGACGTCGTCAAGAGTTCCATAGTCTACATGTCGCAGAATGGGACGGGTGGATCACGGAACACGGATGTGGCAGTGACGTTATTCTTGTTGCATTTACATATTCTTCGGAAATTGATTGATTTAATTACTGTACTGCTTGTTTACAACGACCTCCCCAGCCACCTCGCACCCTACACACACACCACCACCACCCCTCATCCCTGGTATCGGAACAGATCACTGTCCTCGAGCACGACCTCGCCCCTGTCCGCGCGCCTGTTCTGCCTGCGGAAGTACGCGCTGAGGGCCGCCGCGCCCAGCACGACTGCGGCGTTGCACCCAATGGTGAAGAAGATACCCGTCGGATATCCCTTGAGGTACTCCTTCTGCATAAACGTGATGCTGGCGAAGATGCCGCCGAGCCCGCCAAACGCGACGATGACGGCGGCGTAGAAGCCGCGCTTGGACTGGGAGCGGATGCTCGTCTGCGCCCACGCCATGACGAGCGGGACGTTCGAGTTGGCGCCGCCGACGGCGAAAAACACGCCCGCGTACCGCGCGGCTTTCTGGTGCAAGGGAAGCTGCGAGTACATGGCCGTGCCCATGATGAGCATGCACGCGTTGACCATGATCACGGCCGCGCGCATGTGGCGGTACCTGTCAGACACGTATGCGCCGAGCAAGCCCGGGATGATGGACCACGCCGACGCGGGCGTGCCGAGCAGCATGGTCTCGACGTTCTTGAACCCCATGGTCGCGAGGATGACCGGCAGGAAGTATGCCTGCGAGTAGCTGGCCAGCGTGGTGGCCATGAAGAAGAAGGCAAAGAGCCAGACCTTGAAATCGGCGCAGTAGTGCACGACTTTACGCCACGTGAGCTTGTCGGGCACGGCGTCGCCGCGGTCGCGGTCGATGCGCGTCAGGACGATATCCTTTTCCTCTTCGGTGAGAAAGTGGCTCTTGTGTGGAAAGTCGACGAGGAAAATGTACGCCAGGCCGCCGATCACAATGGTGATGATGCCAAACATGATAAACACCCATCCCCAGCCTGAAATCCCGCCCAGCCCGTCCATGAGCGTAAAGCAGTAGCCGAGCGGCGACGCAAAGTTGCCCACGACAGAGGACGCAATGTAGAACCACGTGTTGCGGCGCTGATCGCGCGTTCGCGCCGCGTCAGCGGCGAGGCCCAAACCAAACCTCTAACGCAGACTCGGTCTTACTCACAGCCATGTCCCTCCGCGGGTACCAGCACGAGATGAGGAACGTGGCGCCGGGGAAGAGCGCGGCTTCGAACACGCCCAGGAGCGCACGCAGCCCCGCGAGCGTCTGCCAGTTGGGGCTAAAGCCCATGCCCACCATCACCGCTCCCCACGCCGTCACGGCCGTGCCGAGCCAGAGGCGCGCGCCGAACGCGCGCAGACCCAGCTGCGACTGTGCCCTGTCAGTACAAAGTACGAGGGCTAGCGTTCCCTCGGCGTTCGTTTTCGGCTCACGGGAATCTCCAGGATGATGTACGGCACGAAGAAGGCGAGCGTCACGATCGTGTAGTGGTTGTTGGTGCCTGCCAGGTCGAGCTCGGCGTTCATCTTGTTGTCGTTGGCCTGGCGCGCCAAGGAAAGGTTGGTCCGGTCGATGAGCGACACGCAGTACATGGCCGACAGGATCGGGAGGAGGCGCCGGTCCACGCGCCGCATGGTCCGTTTGACCGTGGCCGGGTCGAACCCGGCGTCAATGTCCGTGGTCGCCGACGACGCCGTCTCGGCCTCGAGGTCGGGCGCCTTCTCGCCAGACGCAGACACGCTCGGACGTATCTCGTGGTGAGCGATCTCGACCTTCTTGTCCTCTGTTCCATCGTACTTGGGTTCGTGTGAAGCCATGGTGGTGGTTAGATTATTGGTGGGGGATGAAGGGGGTGGCCTCCCCTGTGCCACTTTTGGCCCATCCCTTTTGAACCATCCGGCTCCTTGCTTTGTCCAGTGGGAATCGCATTCATAGCCGGAAAGTGGGCGTCTGGTGTTGGTGAGCGCAATCAACTCGCCAAAGGAGGGGACAAGGGCGCCTGTCTTCGATCCATGCCAAGAGATCACCCACCATCGTCGCCGGCCAGCGCCGTGGTCTCGTGAGGTGGCCACCACCTCGTGACCACCGCGGGCCTGGTGGCGGATGCCACACCTCGTGACCGACTGTATTGCGCATGGATCGCTGGTGTTCTTCGGTGTTGGGCACAAACGACACGGCTGCGAGATGCTTTCCCTGGTGCTTGAAGCGACACTTCCTGCCGCCATGACGCTTGCCGCTGTGTACGACTCTTGTTGACTTGCGGTGGTCACCGGTATGTACGTGACGCCCCCCGTGTGTGGTTCTGCCACTTTGCTATTTACTCCACCAAATCCGCCAAAGGTGGGCAATGCCTGCCCACCCATCCCATCCCATCTCAACCATAACCAGCAGTATCCGAGACCGCAGCCCAAACCTTGCCTGCCATACACATGCCCGAGTAAAGCGAGATCCTCACCGGCGCCCCGCGCTATCAGCTGATGTTGGAGAGAGGGGGCCCAGATGTGTCGGGTTTGGGCGACTAACCAACCGACATCTCTCACCCCAGCAGCTAGCAGCATGACAATAGCGGATGATCCAGCAGCATTCTCCGCCACTGCCGCCTCCTAGCCAGCCTCTGTCGGTCTGTTCCACTCGTTGTCTCCGAGAAACACGCGCCCCCCATTCCAGATCTTTGAAAACAAGCGTGCGTCTCTCCAGCGCGCCAGCGCGCCAGCGCGTCGTGTTCTGGAACAGCGACAGAATGTTCGGCGGCACCCGACAGCAGCAGGCGTTGCAGGTGTGTATGTGCATGACGTCTACGATGATGTCAATGGCGGTGAGATGGTTCAGTCGCTCGCGCCTGTCCTCGTCATCGTCATCCCCATCCAGGTCGTACAGGATGTAGCAGGAAGCAGGACGTACGCCTCTGGCCTCTGGTGTCTCGTCTTGGCGCACCGTGTCGCCCACCTAATTTCAATCACCATGATTCATGCTCACACGCTCTCACATGATCTCACATCTGTGTTCAGAGGTGGGGTCGGGCGTGGGGTGCGGGGTGTGGGGGCGGGTGTCTGAGTGGCGAGATCTATTGTGTTGACAGAGAGATGGGGTTTCGCATATCGCCTACCCGGCCAAACCAATGTTTCACCGTCGGCCAACACCGATGTGGGGAGGAAATGGACATCATCATTCTGCTCCATAAGTGATCAAGTGATCCAGTGACCTCTGGCCAGTCGCTGCAGTCTGCTGGGACAGACCGATTATCTGGATGTTTTTCGGTTCATTTTAAAAGCGCTAAAAGGAGGTGCTTGGTGGGGGGGGGACGTTTGTCGTCTGTGGCTCCAGGACATGTAGTGCATCAACAAGGGCGTTGCCAACCATCATGTTCACCTGTCGGCCTCTGCACCTTACGCCTGTAAGCGCAACCTCACGATGGGTCACTTTGCATACCACCGTTCACATGTTGGCCGGAATGTTGGCTGGAATGGAATCCGGTGCCGACGGATTCTCGGATATGAACAGCAGGACCCCGGCTCACGGCACAGAACCCAGCGGCACTGTACGTCTACCAGCTCCCGGCGACTCCACTTTGGCATCCTCACATCCCTTAGCACTCTCTCCGTGACTTCCAAAGACGCCGAGCAGTACCATTGCTGCGAAGGCACATACATATCTCCCGACCCCGGTGCTTCTGACTGCTGACAGCCTCACAGGATAGCCGTGTGAAGCGGCATCTCACCTTCCCTCAGTAGGATTAAGCATTAGCCTACAGTGTGCCAACCCGGGTGGAATACACGTAATACGGTAATGCGCGGTACCTGCTCTCGCCTGAAAGACGTGATTCCTTGTGGCACGCACTGCGATTCCAGACGGTTAACGACAGTCAGTCCCACTCGCTGCCTTTATCCCCCCCCCCCCCCCCCCCCCAGGCCCCTCGAACTCGCGTGATTGTTGTCTGGGCTGGGCAACATGAGCACGGGATATCGTCGAACAGGGCCATGGTCCTCCCAACAAGGTCCATGGCGGCAGCACTTTGGGGGGTCACCATCTACTCCAACAGCTTGCCACAGAGCCCCGATACATGTTGGCGTGCCTCTCCCAGTCCTCCTACCTGAAGGCACAAGGTGGAACCTCTGGTTCTCAGCGACTCAGCGACTGTATCAGCAGTAATTCCGTTGCAGACGGCGTCACCCCTGCTACGACAGCGGGACAAGGCAAGGCCTGGGGCAGGCCCGACGGTGTTGACAAGGTCATGGAAGCAAGCTGCAAGTCACCCACAGCCCAGCCTGCAACGAGCCTTCAACGAGCCTTCCTTCTCAGACCGGGAAATGCCCTTGGCCGCGGCTGTTTGGTTATCTATATGACTGTAAAGGGGACAGGTCGCCAGGGACGGCGACACCCCGGCGTAACCGCCGGCGACGTCGTCGACGTCGCCGAGTGGACCGAGTACAAGGGGACACACACCTGCACCCGGCCATGACGTCGGCGAATCGGCAAACAGCGGGGGTTGCGGCGGGATGGCATAGCGTGCAGCCTTATTCGGTTCAACGGTGCCATCTCCGCCGCGCCGTAGATCGGCTCTCGGCCTGGCCGTGGACGATGAGATACGAGGCCCGGCAGGTAGCATGTGCGGCGACGTGGTCCATGACGGACGGCTACGGTCCAGACTGCCACGGTCTCGGAACAGCCACAGGCCACATGTGGGTGCACGGTCCTTTGTTCACGCGCCTCCCTGATCGTCTGTAGGCATTGTTCGTCGGAAGCCGTCGTGTGGTGCAACTGGCAAAGGCGAGGCATGGGATACATGTCTCCGTCAAAGGCGACATGCGACGCCGACCGCCTAGCGAGAAACACACCATTTTGCTTAGCTGCAGTAGCGGCATGCTCTGACTGTCACAGCTGGTGTGCCCGATGCATATGGTCCTGTTCCCAACTGGCACGACATGGCAACGTTCCCCCCCCCCACTCTGGGATAAGCGCGCATCTTGCCGATCCCACGTGAAAATCACGCGTTAATCCCCTGAAAATACGCTCTGAGTTGCGAGATTGTTCCACCGCATGCTGCCGAGTTGTGGGCTGCTGTGGGCTGCTATGGGCTGTTCGTGCGGAATGACGTAGCGACTGGCAGGTGCGAGGTGTCCCGGCCCGGTCCTGGAACGTCCTTGTTGCCGTGTGCCTGTGGGGTGGGTGCTACAGTAGCACCAAGTGCCGCACAACTGCCCCCTTGGTTGACGTCGTTATATCTCCCATCGTTCACACATCCCGGCACCCCCATCTCTCTCTCTCTCTCAACTACCAGCTCCCTACCCACCTAGCCGCCTAGCTACCCAGCTACCACCTCTACCCACACCTTTCCACCCTCCCTCCCCTCCACCATCCCACCATCCACCATGGATAACTTTACAGACAAGTCGTCTGAGGCCATCAAGGCCGCGTTCGAGAAGGCAGAGGAGATGGCCAACTCGCAAGGTGAGTGCCTCCCACGCTAGCTGGAGGGAGGTGTTGCTGGCAGTGGTGGACCATCCCCATGGGCCATCCCCATCAGATGGCCTACCCACCTGACCGGTCGCACACTCCCCAGCAGTCACTTCGTCATTAGCATATCTCAGTCACTGACATGCCACAGTTGTGCCCCTCCACCTGATCGCCGTGCTCTGGGAAGAGCCCAATACAAGTGATGTCAACGCCCAGCCCACCCTGCTCCACTCTGCCCTCGAAAAGGTCGGCGGCAACAACACGGTGTTTGGTCGCCAGCTCATGTCACGGTTGAACAAGCTGCCCGTCGTCGACCCCGCACCATCCCCTCCCCTCCCCCTGTCCAACACGTTCCATGCCGTCCTGCGGGAAGCCCAGAAGCTGCAAAAGGAGAACAATGACCAGTTTGTCGCTGTCGACCACCTGTTGCTTGCCCTCATCCACTCGGACAAGTCCGAGTTCAAGGACATGCTCAAGCAGACTGGCGCGACCCCCAAGGCGCTCGAGGACGAGATCAAGCGCAAGCGCGGCACCCGCAAGGCCGACTCGCGCGGCGCCGAGGGTCAGTTTGAGGCGCTCGAAAAGTACTGTGTCGACTACACTGCGCTCGCTGCCGAGGGCAAGCTCGACCCCGTGATCGGCCGTGACAACGAGATCCGCCGCTGTATCCGCATCCTGTCCCGCCGCACCAAGGGTAACCCCGTCCTCATCGGCGAGCCTGGTGTCGGAAAGACCGCCATCGTCGAGGGCCTTGCCCAGCGTATTGTCGACCGCGACGTCCCGGCATCACTCATCTCCCGCCTCCTGTCCCTCGACATGGGTGCCCTCATGGCCGGTGCCAAATACAAGGGCGAGTACGAGGAACGTGTCAAGGCCGTGCTCTCCGAAGTCGAAAAGTCTGGCGACGAGGGCACACAGATCATCCTCTTCATTGACGAGATCCACCTGATCATGGTGAGTTTGTTGGATCCCTACTTGATATAACACATGTGCTAACTTGGACACAGGCCGGCAAGGACTCGTCTGGCGGCATGGACGCTGCCAACCTCCTCAAGCCGATGCTTGCCCGTGGCAAGCTCAAGGTCATTGGTGCCACCACCCTCAACGAATACCGCGAGTACATCGAGAAGGACTCTGCGTTTGAGCGTCGTTTCGCACAGGTGCTCGTCGAGGAGCCCAACGTTCCTGACACTGTCGCCATTATGCGTGGTATCCGCGAAAAGTACGAGACCCACCACGGTGTCCGCATCATGGACTCTGCGCTCGTCCTTGCTGCCCAGCTCGCCAAGCAGTACCTCACTGCCCGCCGCCTGCCCGACTCGGCTATTGACCTCCTCGACGAGGCAGCTTCCGCCGTCAAGGTCGCCCGCGAGACCCGCCCCGAGGCTATCGATGAGCTCGAACGCAAGAAGCTCGGCCTCGAGGTCGAGATCCACGCCCTCGAGCGCGAGAAGGACGACATCTCCAAGGAGCGCCTCGAGGCCGCCAAGAAGGCCGTGGCCGACATTGTCGACTCGCTCGGCCCCCTCAAGCGCGAGTATGAGAACGAAAAGCACCTCTCGGACGAGATCCACGAGCTCCGTCGCCGCATCGACGAGCTCCGCGCCAAGGCCGACGACGCCGAGCGCCGCTACGACCTCGCTACCGCTGCCGACATTCGCTACCAGGCTATCCCACAGCGTGAGGCCAAGCTCAAGGAGCTGGTCGCCAAGGAGGAGGAGCGCGGCAGTTCCAACCAGACTGTCAACCCCGAGATGATCGCCGAAATTGTCGCCAAGTGGACCGGAATCCCCACCTCGCGTCTGGTCGAGACTGAGCGCGGCAAGCTCCTCCGCCTCGAGAAGATGCTCTCCAAAAAGGTCATTGGTCAGCCCGAGGCCGTCACCGCCGTCGCCAACGCGATCCGTCTCAGCCGCTCCGGTCTCGGCAACGCCAACCGCCCCATTGCCTCGTTCCTCCTCGTCGGCCCCTCGGGTACTGGTAAGACGCTGCTCGCCAAGACCCTCGCCGGCGTCATGTTCAACAGCGAGGACGCCATGGTCCGCATCGACGCGTCCGAGTTCTCTGAGCGCCACGCCATCTCGCGTCTTATCGGTGCTGGCCCCGGTTACGTTGGCCACGAGTCTGGTGGCCAGCTGACCGAGGCTGTCCGTCGCCGCCCGTACTCGCTCATCCTCATTGACGAGATTGAAAAGGCGTCGCGCGAGTTCCACCAGCTCTTCCTGCAGGTGCTCGACGACGGCCGTCTCACCGACGGCAAGGGACGCGTCGTCGACTTCCGCAACACCATCATCATGATGACGTCCAACACGGGTTCCGCCTTCCTCAACGAAAACCCCAAGGAGGGGCCCGTCGACCCCGAGGTCCGCCAAAAGGTCATGGGTGCGATCCAGCAGACGTTCCCTCCCGAGTTTATCAACCGTATCGACGAGATCATCCTGTACCGCTCGCTCTCGCGTAACGACATGAAAAAGGTCGTCAGCGTGCGCCTGGCCGAGGTCCAGCAGCGTCTCGACGCCAACAACCGCAAGGTCCGGCTCGAGGCCGACGACAGCGCCTCGGAGTGGCTCGCGACTGCCGGCTACTCGCCGTCGTACGGTGCGCGCCCACTTGCGCGCCTCATCCAGTCCGAGATCCTCAACCCGCTCTCCAAGCTGCTCCTCCAGGGCCGCGTGCGTGACGGCGAGACGGCCCACGTCACGACCGACCACGTGCGCAACCGCCTCGTCGTCGTGCCCAACCACGACGCCGACGTCACCCACCCAGACGACGACGACTCGGACTCGGACTATGACATGGACGTCGAGGTCGAGGAAATCGATTAGGACAAGGCCGGGAGGCGGGGTACAAAAAGGACCAGTCCGGCGCCGGCGTCGTCTTCGTCGTCCCCGCTCAAACAGGAGCGACACGGGCACGGAGCGACAGGCGTAACCAGTCATCAACAGCCACAGCATCATGACCAGCAGCAGCACCAACAGCAAAAATCTAAAAAGCCAAAAACGACGCACACCTCCACCACCAGCGAGTCGCCGCCAGATATCAAAAAGAAGAGGAAGAGCAAGGAGGACGACGAGGAGGGCAACAGCGCCAAGGGCTCGACGGCGTCGGCCAGGACATCCAAGAAGAAGAACAAGTAACAGTATAGTGGTAGACATTCTGCCACCATCGGGGGCAGAGTGCGCGTCAAATGCATAGCAACTAGAAGGGACATTGTGGTGCACGTGAGATGGGAGGGACCTGGTGAACTGACAAACTGACAAGCTGACAAGATGACGAGCTGCCTGACGGACGTGGCGCTGACATGGACATGGTGTGACCGACAAGTGCCACTGGGGCAAGTGTGTGGTGACTATGAACAACAAGGTCAATCCAATACCAATCCCGATGCTCTCACGCTCTCTCACTGTCCAGTCGAGACGCGACGCGGCCAAGTAGAGCCCGCAGCCCGCTACTGATGATGATGATACTTGCAACCGCTCCGGACATTGATTACCGTTACTGTTACTGTTGAAATATGATGCATGCAAGACCTGCCGATGGTGCTGAACGCCGTGTCTCGGTGTCTCGCGTCTGCGATGCGTGTCTGCTCTCCACTACCCTTGACCTAAAATGCGCCGCGCCCGCTACTTCGTCTCCTCCTCGTCGTCGTCGTCTGTCGTCTGCCGTCTGCCGTCTGCCGTCTGTCGGTCGTCGTCTCGTTTTATTTACTCTTCGCTCCTCTCTCTCTCTCTGTATCGCCGTCCTCTGGGCGCTCTACCTCTCTGTCTCGCTCTCTCTCTTTCTGCGTTTAACCCCATTCTATCCGGACGTCCGTCACCAGACCCAACCCCACTCCGCTCCGCTCCACTCCACTCCACTTCCTTTCCCCGGCCTCTCGCTAGTCGCGGCGCACAATCTTGGCGTAGCTCGGCGGCTGCCTGCTAGACGGGGCCAGCACACCCTTGACGCTCAATGCGGCGAGGCGCGCCTCGACCGAGTCGTCGGACACGGCAGGCACGGCGGATAGGCTCGATACCGGGTCGGGCGACACCGCAGCGGGAGGGGGAGCCTGAGCGGGTGCTGGAGCTGGAGCGGGTGCTTGAGCTAGTGCCGGTGCCGGTGCTGGTACAGGTGCTGGCGCAGGTGCAGGTGCAGGAGCCGGTGCCAATGTCGGTGCTGGCGCTGGCGAGGCGGCGACAGAGGCCGAGGCGGGCACGGGCGGAGGAGGCATGGGCGACTGCCGCGGCGCAGGCTGGGCGGGACGGGGCGCTGATGGGTCATACAGCGACGGCGTACGGGAAGGCATGCGCCTCGGGAAATCGGGGTCCATGTCCGCCGACACCGGCGAGACGGGCTGTGCCGGACCGACAACCTTGTTCGGGTTGGGGAGAATGGTCACGGCTGGTGGCTCGGGGCTGTGGCTGAGCACTACAGCCTGCGGCTGGTACTGCTGGCCATGAGGGTTCGCGCCGTGGTTCTGGTTCTGGCGCTGGGGCGACGGTGCGTGGTGCTGGATGTTACGCGCCGCGGCACCGTTCCACACTGTCCCGTTTGATGGCCGCATCTTGACCTTTTCAATCTGCATTGGCTCGGCGTTGGTGGCGGCGGCGCCACGATGCAGTGGAGGAAAGTCGGACGTGCTGGGCTCTTGTCCTCCGGGCAACGGCATGGGTGACGGATGGTAGGGCACATTGTTGGCCGCCCAATCGGGGCGCTGGGGCAAAGGATGTTGCCCAGGCTGCGGCTGTGTAATGTGGATTGATGACGTGCGCCGAGACGACCGAGACGAGGTCGTCGACGCGGGACTCTGGCGACCACTACGTTTGGGCTCTGCAAACACCATCCCCTTGACGCTCGTGAAGCTTGGCTGGGCAGGCTTGACGGCCTTTTGGCGGAACCCGTAACCTGGCTGCTGACCAGTCGAGTACATTGCACCTAGCCGGACGCTGCTGGCTGCGCTGCGCGTACTGGTGGTGGACCCACGCGAGTGCGGGCGGGAGTGGACGTCCTGGTACGAACGGGACGAGATGGACGACGCCGTCGAGCTGAGCGGGTCGATACCGGGACGCATTGGCGTGGGCTGCGCGAGCGTCGGTTGCTGAGGCTGGGGGATGGGCATGGGCTGTTGTTGCTGAGCGTATCCAAAGCTTGGCGGGTACGGCATGCCCTGCGGGATCATGGGCATCATGTTGGCTGCAGGCGACGCCATACCCATCTCTGGTGGGTACCAGCCTTGTCCGCCGACCATTGGAATCATGACACCCGACATCTGTCCGCTCATCATGCCCGGTCCCGGGCCCATGACTTGCTGCTGCCATGGCTGAGCGTAGCCACCCATCGGCACTCCGCCAGGGTACGGCTGGGCATTGGCATAGGACGGCATCCCATACTGCCGTTGGTCTGGGTATCCCATAGCCTGCGGCATATAGCCCTGGTATGGTGGGGCCTGGACGCCGGCATAACCGTATGGCGCGTTGACTTGTGGAGGAGCAACGCCTTGAGGCATGGCCGGGGTCGTCTGGCTCTCGCTGGCCGAATGATACAGTGACGGATACACAAACTCATAGTCGGGCGGATACGCTCGTCTTGGCACAGCGTCCAAGTCGTCTTCCTCCTCATCGCCGAACCGTGACGCCTGTCGAGACCGTGGAAGGCTGGCCGTAGCCGACACATTGTCGTCGTCCAGGTCATGGTCGCCGATAATCCTCTTCCTCGCGAGCGCGTACGCTGCCGTCCGCTCCTCGAGCGTCTTGCCGCGCGGCCCCGAAGACTCGGTACCGTCCTCGCCCGACACCACCGAGGTAGCGCGGGACACGCCGTCGTCGTCGCTTGCTGCTGCCTCACGCCGCATAATCTTGAACTGTTGCGGTTGCGGCGCAGTCGCCTCGGGCACGACAGTCGAGATCTTGAGCGTTGTACTGTATGTGGCTGCGTCAGCGGCGTTCCTTTTGCTGCGTCTCCTTGTGGCCTGCTGGCCTTGCCCCTCCCCGGCGCCTCCCTTCGCAGCAGGGACAAAGCACAAACTCTACTCACGCTCGCTCTTCCAGCGTCCCCAGCACGCCGACGACCATGGCACCGTCCACACCCGCGACGGCGCGCAGGCCATACCACTCGGCAAGCTTGTACGTGAGCATGCGGTGGTACTTGGACACTGCCGCGACGTCAATCTTCTTTGATGGGCCGAGCGAGTCCATGACCGAGGTGGACGCCGAGGCCTGGGACGAAGGTATACGCGCCGTGTGCTCTCTTCGCACGACGCGGCCGATAAACACCTCAAACTCCTTGCCGAGCATGAGGACCCACATGCGGTCCTTTGACGACAGAGCCTTCTTGATCTCCTCTTCGGCGTGCAGAGAACCAAACCCAATCTCGGCCTTGGGGGTGGGTGCGGCGGCTGGTGTGCCTCCCGAGCTCGCCGGTCCGGTCCCAGAAGCACCGGGGAGACTCGAGGTCGAGATGGTGGTGGGGTTGGGCGACGTCATGGCACTGCTGCAGGGGGCGAGCGAGTCGGTGACAGAGGGCGGAGACGTGGGTCTGTATAGCCGGGGTGTTAGCTCTGTGAACCTTGTCCAGCCACTGTCTTGGTCACCGCCGTTGACCGCCGTCCCAACGGCGTTTGTCAAACGGCGTACGTGGAGGGTGGTGGGCGGAGTAAGAGGGAGGACGAGTAAGGGGAACGGACACGAGAAGCAGTGTTCAGAAGAAGAGGGAAGGACACTCACCCGTTGGACACAGTCAGTGCTGGGCTCGGCGACCGGCTGTCGTACGCTTCATCCTCGGTGCTCGCAGGCTGGGCGCTGGTGTTGGCGCTGGCGCTGACGGTGGCGGTGGTGGCCGCAACGTCGTTCGTTGCCATGGCCGAAGCATGTGTGTCTGGCCAGAGAGCGAGTGCAGCGAGCGGCGTCGTGAGCGGTACTGCTCCCAACCGGGGCGTGAGCGTTGGCGGAGGTGATGCGCTCTGTCCCGGCACTGGTTGGTGACACGCCGACGACGCGGGCGCGTACATTTGGAGAGAGACCGGGAGGCGAAGAGTGCGCAGAAGTGGAGTGGAGTAGCGAGAGAGAGAGGGAGAGGGAGAGAGAGGGGGTGGGGGAAGGCGGCGAGGCCGGGAGGGAGGGAGGAGGGGTGTTGCACAGCACCAAAGTGGTCGTGTGTGTCGTGGACGAAGCGGGGCCGAGGAGCAGGGGCAAATGGCGTCAGCGCGTGGGGAAGGAGCGGCGCGGCGCGGAGCACGCGGCGTGCGAGGTGTTGTGGGGCAGCAACCTGTCAGCACTCACGGGGTACGCTCGTCATGGTGAGCGGGACAGAGGCGGGCGCTGGATCAGCAGCGCACACGCCAGAGGAGAGGGTGGGGCGAGAGCTGTCGAGGACGGCCGGGGAGTGGTGAGCGGGATGCTCGAGTGAGGGGTGGTGAGAGCGAGAGTGCGGGAGACGTCACGTCGTTTGTCTCGCGTGCGTTCCTGCTGGGTGGTGGGTGGTGGTGGGTGTTGCTGTTGGTGGAGGATGAGCAGTTGCGAATGGCCGGGCCAGCGACGAGGCGCTCAGTCAGGTCCAGGCTGGAGGACAAGTCAGGTCTCGTTGTCGGGGATCAGGCTGCGTTGGCGGTCGGGCCGTCACGCCGTGAGGCCGCGAGGATGGCGACTGCGCGCGCCGGCTGGTTCGAGCCGAGCTGCGCACAGAAGCAGGTCGTGTCCGTGCGACGAATACGCGTGCACCGGTGGCAAGGGCTGGAGCGGGAAGCGCCGTGCCGAGCGAGGGTGGGGGTGGTGGTGGTGGTGACGAGGGAGGAGAGGGTGTGTGGAGACGGGGTGACAATGCAAGTCTAGGTGCCGAGGAATGATTCAACCAGCGACCACTTGCTGGAAACCGGCCGACCGACGCCGCCGCCGGCTGCGGGCGGCCCATCACATGCACAAACGCGAGCGTGGCACAGCTCGGGGCTGGTGGGCCCAATACATACATTACGTGCTCGCAACCCAATTCATTACAGTGTCGTCCCTATGGCCCCGCAGCTGCAGCTCGACATTGTATGCATGGCACCGCAGCCTCCTGCTGTGGTCTCAAGTTGTACAGTTACAAAAATACATGACTCTTCTGCTCTAAAACGCATGGTAGAGGCCGCTGCGGCGCAAACCCTCTGTAAGCAACAAGTGAACCCGTCGTTCCTTCCCTTCCCTTCAAGCTACACACACAAACTCCGCGCCTCACACTGCCATCGAAGCAGTCCTGCGCATGCCGCGAGGGGGAGGAGGTGCATTTTCCTTGTCGTCCGAAACAGCAGACAGAGTGGCCGCCACGCTCCGACGACGCACACTGGGCATCACAACATCCGGTGGGCTGGGCCGCCTGATGGGTGCAGCCTTGATGGCCGTCGACGTGGTAGCGGCCGCCTTGAAACTGAGCTTGGGCGCAGCACGCGTGCGAGCACCGGCACGCGACTTGCTGGCGCCAAACATGGCCGCAGAGTCACTCTGTGTGCGGGCAAAAGCACGAGGAGCAAAGTTGAGTTTGCTAGGCTCACAGTTGAGCTTGCTAGACTCGGCGAATAAGTTTCCAGAGCCCGGCGTGCTGGGCATGCCAGTAGAAGGCGGCTCGGGCTTGAGCTTGGTCTTCTTGTTGACAGTTTGGTTCTGAATGCTGTTTCCGCCAGTGCGCTTGCTCGGAGAATCGGGAGTTGGGGGTGTAGCGCGTGGTGTGCGCTCATTAACCGGCGAAGGTGGACAGGAAGATAAGGGGGACGAGAAAAACTCGGTGTACGAGTCCGACCTGGGAGAGAGCTGGGATGCCGGGGGTGTAGGCAGGTGGGAGATTTCGTCCTCGGGAAGGGGGAAGACGGGCGCCACAGCTTGGGGTCAGTTTCGCCGCGCGAAGCGCACAACTCACCTTTTGCCTTGGGCTTGGCCCTGGGCTTTGCTTTTGTCTTGGCCACAGTACCATGCACGACTTCCTTGTCGAGGACAGTTTGGAGCTCCCAGTCCTGTGGACGAACACGCTTCCACTCCTCCTCTACACGCTCGACCCAGCGGTCGGTCTCGCCCTCGATGTGGTAGTCGATAACGCTGTCCCACTCCTTGCTTGGCGACGTGGCGTTGACAAACACGACAATGCCCTTTTTGTCGTGGACGACACGGGCAAAATCCTTGACGAGGCGCTTCAGACCATGAACCTTGAGCGACGTGCCCATTATCAACAAGACGTCGGGGCCACGGCGCATGTCGTGCGTCTGCAGCTCGCCAATCTGGTCGCCGAGGGGATGGGGCTCGTCGTAGAGCACAATGGAGGGACGAAGGCTGCCAATAGGGGTCGCACGGGCTGAGCGTGACAGACGTTCCATGCCTGTATGTATTAGCGGCGCCGTTGAATGGGGCGTGTCTAGTCCACTTACAGCGTTCGTTGCACGCAGGACAACCAGGTGCTTCTCCCTCGCGGAACATGGCAATCCACTCGACGCGGGCCTCATAGTCTGTGTAACACAGGACGCAGCGGACCCGGCCCAGGTCACCGTGGAGCTCGACGTTGCGGGTACCGTTCTTCTTCAGGCCCGCACCACGGCCGCCCGACTCAATGCCCATGCGGCGCTCCAAGCCATCCACATTCTGGGTGTACGAGCGGAGAAGCTTGCCCTTTGACTCTAGACGGCGAATGAAGTGGTGGGTACGTGTAGGCTCGGCGGCCTGGCAGGCGAGAGAGAGTTCCGCGATAAAGGTGTAGAAGATGGCAGCGGTGGTTGGGTGCGCGAAGAGGCCAGACGAGAAGAGGTCCTTGCCCGAGACGAAGGCGTCTGGGTACCGTCCCTTGACGAGCGAGTACAGGCCGTTCTCGGAGCGGAAGTCCTGGGGTTACGTGTTAGCTCCGGGGTATTGTGTTGCCGTGCTGAAGATATGGGTTGGTGACGGGGTGGAAGGCAGAGGCGGAGAGGGAAGGGGCGCTCGTGGACAAAAGGGAAGGAGGCCCACTAGAGCTGACTGGACTGGGTTGGGTGTGCTACTCACAGGGATACCCGACGAGCAACTGATGCCCGCGCCGCTCACAACCAACACCTTGCGCGCTTTCACGACGCGAACATTGACATCCGAGAGGGTGCGGCGGCCCGAGAACTCGGCGGGGTCGGTGGATGCAAGGAGATGGGAGAGGGGGAGGTGGGTTATGGGCATGATGGGTGGGGCAACAGGTTTGGGCCCAAAGGGAATGGGAGAGATGTGGTGAGGAATGGGGTGCGGGGGGGGGAGAAGGAAGGGGTGACGAGAGTGCCGGAGGGGGTTCCCGGCGTGGTCTGTGGATGCAGACCTGCTCTCTGAATGGTCGATGGGTCAACTGGATGCCGTGGTGGGATGTGGGGGCGGCAGGTAAAAGCAAGTAACGAAGAGGAAGGATAACAACCGTTGTAATTGCGGGAGGCTGGTCGTCGCCTCGCTCTGTTGTGATCCCAAAGTTAGACGCGTCCCCGAGCGCCTGAATTTGATTCCGTGTTGTCTTTTGTCCGTCGGAAAATGGTGATGAGACAATACTAATTACTTTGCTGAATGGCTGAATATACAACCCCTTTGTGATCTTTTGAAGGCGAAAAACACACTGCTGCACCCACAGTCGCCTCCCGCCCCAGCAGTGCGTTTTACAGCGCGAAGCTCGTGCACTCTGCTCCTGCTCGCATTCCTCTGGTGGCGTATGTACAACAACTGGCATCCTGCTATGACTACAACGCATGAATAAACACATGCGCATGTTCTTCCTCTCTCTGACCTTTTACTCTTCTGTCTCTCTCGCCTCTAAATCCTCGTGATCTGGAGATCCTCTTCCCCAAACTCCTCGGGGACCCAGTCGGTCTTCTCGTTGGCCTCGCCCTCGCCCTCGCCCGCGGGAGGCAGGTCCAGCCCGAGGATCACGCGCTCCTTCTCCTTGGCCACCTCTTCAAAGAAGGCATTCTCGCGGTCGTACGGCGTCTCGACGTTGAACCCAGCAGACTTGGCAAGGTATTCCTTGTCTGATAAAAGTGGTCAGCACAGCAGCACCCACACTCGGGGCAGTAGAATTAATTCTCACCCATCGGCTTGCGGTTCAAGATGGCGTCTGTCATGCGTTGAGGGTTGTTGCGGTTCTCGCGGGTACCCTTGTTCTTGAGCTGGCGGACCGAGCGGCCGGGGAAGTAGGCCTTCATGAGGCTATAGTTTTCGCCAGTCTCGCGAAGGACCTGGGTAATCGTCAGTGGCTATCCCCCCATTCCCGGCAGCCAACCCACGTCAAAGAACAGCTCCGTCTCCTCGGTGGTCCAGCGGTCGTTGGCGACCTTTTTACCCCAAGTAGACGAGTTGACAAACTGGGTGTCGTTGTCAATCAGCTCGACGGGCTGGTCGTGGTCACCCTCGAGAATGCGACGACGGTGTTCTTCGTTACGTTGGTGCAAAGCGGCGGCATGGTTGGTCTCCTTCTCGATCCAGTTGCCCTCTTCGTCGAGGTAGCCACCTTGGTAGTTGCTGGCCTCGAGACCTTCGAAGTCGTCGCCGTCTTGCTCGACAGGAAGCTGGAAGCCCTCCACAACCTCGCCAACGTCCTCTTCCTCCTCGTGGTCATTGTCGGCGCCATGGCCGCCAGTCAAACCCAGGCCCTCAATGTCCTCGTCGCCATCGGCCGGGGCACGCATAGCACCGGATCCCTCTCCTCCCTCGCCTTCGCCCTCGGCAGCCTCATCATCGACAGGCTCAAAGACGATAGGGGCGACACGCTCGGCCTTCTTGGGCGATCCAGGCGGCGTGAGACGGTCCGGGTCGGGCTCGTAGTCTTCCTCCGAGTCGGCTTCGTCTTCCGAGATCTCAGCAGCGGCATCACCTTCCTCCCTGGCAATCTCGCGGCGCTCTTCTCGGCGCTCGTTGCGGAGCTGGCGAGCCTTGCGACGGACAATCTGCCTGCGGCGCCAGTTGCGTTCTGTCTTTTCAACACGCAGCTTGGCCTTGCGCTCTCCTTCAGAACGCTGGAACTGGTGCAGCTTGAGTGTACGTGCAGAGACACGGCCCTGGGAGACGAGGGTGGTGGCGAGGTCGCTCATCGTCATGGTTGTTGGGTTGACTTCGGTTCCGACCAGCTCGTTGACCTCGACGCCATCGAGCTCGGGGTGGGCGACGGCAACCTGGCGCTTGTGGGCCGTTGTGCGGCGGTCATTGATCGTTCCGGCCTTGCCGCGTGAACCGTACTTTCCTCGAGGTCCACGCTTCTTGCGTTCGCTAGCTGGCTCGGCATCCTCCTCGTCATCCTCCGCATCCTCGTCCCTGTCCTCCTCCTCGTTGTCGTCCTCAGTCTCCTGCCGCCTAGCCCTAGCCTGCGCTCCTCGGCGGCGTTTGGCGGATGACTCTTCTGTCCCAGTCGTGGCCTTGGTCTTGCGCTTCTTGGGCGTCGACGACTCGGCGGCCTCGGCAGGGGCCGCTCCGGCTGCGATCGCAGACACAATGTCGGCTGCAGTGTTTGCCGTCAATTGTGCGGGCGAGGATGCGCGGCCGACCGCAGGCGGGGCATCATCCGCGCCTGGGAACGACAAGATCGTGGGAGGCATGTCGCTTGCGGTGCCAAACGTTGGAGGAAGCTCGGACGACTGGCTCGCCATGGGTGGAGCAGGAGCAGACGAGCCGACCACAGGAGGGCCCCACGAGCTCTCGGCCTGTATGGATGGTGGTGGCGAGCTGCGCACGGTGGACGAGAACTCGAAGACGGTCGACTGTGTGGGCTGCGTGGGGGCGGGCGTCTTGGGCTTGGGAGTGGGCTTGTCCCTCCCTCCGCGACCAGCATGCTTTCGCACGGGAGTCGTGGACGAAGCAGCAGCGGCAAGGAGAGCCTTGGTGATCCCTCCACGGCCTCCGGGCCCTGCAGAGGGCCCCCTCGAGAACGAGCGGCCAGGCGTAGCTGCACGTGGTGTGGATGTTGGAGTGGCTTCGCGGTTGCGCTCGCGTGCAGGAGGTGCAGGAGGTGCCGCAGGCGCTGCGATGCCTGGTGGCGGGGGCGAGGCAACTTTTTGGGCCGGAGCAGGCTCAACAGTTGGAACGGGCGGTTCAGCGGCTGGGGTGAAGCCTGGCGGCAATTCCGACACGGCCACGGGCACAGGGGGTTGTGGTTCTGGGTCGTTGGGAGTGGATGCTGGTGGTGGTGGCCGTTGTTGTGGTGCGGATGCCGGGGGAGGAGCGGGGCGAGCAGGCGGCTTGGAGGGAGGTGCGCCTGCCGGTGGCCTGCGCACACCTGGCTTGACAGGCTTTACAGGTTTGAAGTTTCCCTTTCCCGCTGTCTGTAAGCTGTCTGTGGTGTTGCTGACGATGCGACTCACGGATACGGAGGGCCATGGCTGGTGCGAGGGCGGACGGTGTGGTTGAAAGATTCTGTCTGGGTGGAGGAGATTGCACTGAACCCTTTCAACAACAAGCCACTTGCGTCCCTGCGGTGGCAATAATCTCTCGCCCAGCCAGCTGCCAGGCCCAGCCGCGGGGGACTGCCACACGGGCCATAACGCCGTATACCTCCGCTGGCTGGCCGGCTGGCTGGCTGGCTGAGCGTCCGTCCCACCCACTGCCCCCGCTGCGTGCTCGCTGCCAGTGTGTGGGCCAACGACGCCAATGGTAGCGAGTCCAATACACTTCCCTCCCCGGCCATCCTTACCACCATGATCCGTCCCAGCGCCGCCCTCCTCCGCCCCATCGCGCGCCAGGTCGCCGCACGCAGGTTCGCCAGCACCACCGCTGGCGGCATCGAGCACCACTCCCCCTCCGACCCCATCCCTGCCCCTCCCCGCGGCGTCGCTCCCGACCCCCAGCGTGCGTCTTCAGTGGTCATGGCAACGACAACGACCAGCTGATTCGCGCGCGATTGGTGTGCATAGTCGGCTCCCGAGGCCCGGCGCGTCTTCTGTGTGGAGCTGTCCGCGCTCTTCTGTGCTAGCTCGTGCACACACAGCGCGCGTGCAGGAGCTCTCGCGCTTCACAGGCTTGCACGCCATGCCGAACCAGCTCGTCGTCGTTGTCGTGCTCCGACCGTGCGCACTTTGCTAACTCACAAACAGTCGTTGGCCAGGACTACCCTCAGCTCCCCGAGGTCTCGCTGCAGACCAGGTCACCTTACGGCTGGTGGGACAGGCAGGAGCGCAAGAACTTCAACGAGATTGTGCGTCTGGCCATCTGGCTGCCCGTCCACAGGCCACAACACAAGCGCATGTGCTAACTTGCAACCAGGTTCTGGAGGAGGAGGACCGCCTGGGCATGTGGGGTCCCGACATTCACAAGACCACCCCCTTCTCGGCTCTCATGCAGCTGAGCCTGGCCCTCTCGCTCGTCGGCGGCTTTGCGTACATTCTCTCCGTCACCCGTCCCGAGAGCCCCGTCGCCAAGCGCGACTACCCCTACAACGGTCTTGAGAAGGAGCTCGGCGGCCACGGCGGCGCCCGTGCCGAGCAGCCTGTGCTCGACGACGAGTAAACAGACACCACACTATAAAGCAACAGGGAAGAGAGCATGCACGCAACATGATACATAGCGTGCATTGCGGCGCTAATGTTAAATGCTAATCTACAAGTGTTGGTGGTTCTAACCATACCTTACTTGCGCGTGCGACGTGCACGGCTAGAGGGCTGCGGGTCAGACTCGAGCAGCTCATTGTCCGAGTTGGCCGCCGTGGACGCAGCGGCGGACGCTGTGCGGCGTCGTGACTGGCGCTTCGGACGGTCTACCTCCGCCTTCGCCTCCTCTTCTTCCTCGTCGTCATCGTCATCATCCTCGTCGTCAACTACCTCCTTGCTCTTGCGCTTCTTGGACGTGGCCTTGCCGCCGTCACCTCGGCTCTTGCGCTTTGCAGGCTTTGAGCTGCCGAGACCCTTGGGGTCTGCCTCGTCCACACCGGCGAGCATCTCGCTCCAGCCCTGCGGTTGCTGGCCCTGCGAAAGCGCCTCAGCCTCGCGGAACCGCTTGACAACGGCCATGAGGCGTTTGCTGATGTTGGCGGTGGTGCGCCGGCGTGGCGCATAGCTGGCGCCCGAGCCGGCAGCATTGTCAAAGAATGGCAGGAGGGTCGTTTGTCTGACCTCGCCGCCCCGTCCGCGTTTAGCGATACGCTGGACAATGGGCGTGAGCTCGTCGTCGACCTTGGAGATGGACCAGGAGAGCTCTTCGTGCAGGAATCTGTGGTGGGTCAGGCCACGAACCGTCCAGGCACCTACGTTCTCAGAGCAGCCAGTCGGGGAAAGCCCCAGTGGAATGGCTCGTCAGACTCATCGGCGGTGGGGTACAGATATGCTTCGCGGACGTGGGCGTTGGGCCACTCTGCCGACAGGTGAATCGCGCCCGCAAACCGCTTCTTCTGCGTGGGTTAGCGACGCAGAAGGATTTCACCCACGAAGCCTTGTTTCCACTTGGTGTCCGACTCGACGGGCAAGTCGGTTCCGTTCTGCACCTTGAGCCACCATTCCTTGAAGCGATGCAGCCCATCGGCTCCCGGAAATTCGGCGAGCAGCTCCAGGGCGAGCACCGGGCCCACACCCAAGAGACCGATGTCATAGTCCGAGCCCAAAAGGTAGGCAAGCGAGATGAGACGTTCGCGGGTCAGGCTCAACTCGCGCTCGACGTCCGTGGCGAGGAAGCACTCTGCAAACTTTGCGTCGTTGAAGATGTTCTTGAAACACTGCGTGCCGCCAAACAGGAACACGTCCGAGTCGTCCGTGATGATGCCATCGACGAGATCGAGCTCGGCGAGCTTGGCACACTGTGCTTCGGCTTCCATCGGCGCCGTAATGTACGGTATACCAAAGTGGCGGAGCAAAGTCTGGATCTGGACCACCATCGCCTGCGTGATCTCGTCGGAATCGCGCATCGCCACTTTTGTTTGTTGGTTGAGCACGCGAATCTCGTCGTCAATCTCGGCCCGCACGTCCTTGAGATCGCGGTTCTGGATCTGGGCGAGGAAACGAGCATAGTCGTCTTCCTCGGCGACCATGTCCGCTGGCGCCATCTGGCCATCATCGTCCTCGTGATCGGCTTCCGATGCGATTGAGTGGGCAGACGAGCCCTTGCGATTGAGCGGGGGCCGCGGCAAGGGTGTAGGCGACCGCGACCATTCAATGGGCTCGTCGTCGTCTTCCTCCTCAGAGTCAAGGACATACCGCCCATTGGACTGAAGAGTCTCAGACTGGAATGATTCGATGTTGAGCTGTGTAGGCTCCATGTCGTCATCCTCTTGCTCCAACTCGGGGACAGGAGAAGGCGATGGTGCACCACGGACTGGCGAGGGTGATGGTGCTCCACGGACCGGCGAAGGCGATCGAGCTCCAGGCGACGGAGACGGGGCGCCACGGCGTCGTGAGGGCTCGTCTTCCAGTGTCGCCTCTGGCGCAAAGCCATCGCCTTCGTCATCTTGCTCTGGGGTCGGGGAATGGGGGACAGCTTCCTGAGTCTCGGGCTCATGTGGGCGCTGTGGCGAGGCAACGTGCGGGACTGGCGGAGGCGGAGCAGGAGCAGGGGGGAGAACAGGTGCTATCTCCTCAAACTCATCTTCACTCGTGTCGACGTCCAGGACCTCTGCCACTGGCGGCCTCGCGGAAGCCGGCTTGGGGGCCGACGCCGAGATCACCGCTGGGGCCGACGCCGTGGGGCGAACACTAGCCGTGATGGGCCTCATGACACTCTCTTGGAGGAGAGCAGCCAGCTTGGCCGGCTCATTCCTGGGAGTTTGAGGAGGCAGGAGGCTCGTAAGCAATGGAGCGGGCTTGCCACCGGTAATTTCGATACCCTCGTCATCACTGTCAGGAGCAGGCGTATTCGCCGCCGGTGTAGCGTTGGCAGACGGTTCAAGCGACACTTCCTCAAACTCGTCCGAGTCGCTCCCGTTGCCTGGCGAGCTGGGACCGTTCGTCGCGGCCTCGCGGCGACTGAGTGCTAGGGCACGGGCGAGGTCCGGGTCTGCCTCTTCTTCGTCTGAACCGAGCTCTTCTTGCTGCAGCGCGAGAGCAAGGGCCTCGTCGTTGGCTGTAGGCTCAATCTCTTCAAAGTCCACTTCTTCTTCGGCAGAGTCGAACAGGGGAGCAGCGCCTGGTTGGCGAGCGGGGCCAAAAGACTTGACCTCGACGTCGAGTGACGGTTTTGGCTGGGCAGGGGCATACCGAGAAGCGATGGCTTGCAGAACCTCTCGTCTGCGGTGTTGACGGAGGTCGTCGTCCGGAGCAGGCTCGACACTGTATCGTTAGGTCAATTGCCACAGACACAAACCTACACTTCCATGTCGCTATCCTCATCGCTGTACTCGTCCGACACAATCTCCTCCTTCTTGGTGTTGACCGGGCTCTCGGGTTCTAGAACAATGGGCTTGTCCTTTGTTCCCTCACGGATACCGAGGGCCCAGCCTCCTCCTTCGTCCTCATTCCGCTTGACGAGCAGGTACTCGCGGTTTCGTTCAGCGGCTACGCGGACCGGGATAGTCAAGTGCGCTTTGCCGACCATGTCCGTAACGGTGAGGAGCTGCTGCGTGAGGGCGTTGCGCTGGGAGAGTTGCTTTATCTGGGCCTTGGAAAAGTCGAGCGCGGTGGGTGCCCCACGGAGCATGCTGTTCAAGCGAGCGTGGCTATGCTGTCTAGAGCGAAGACGCAGGTCACCGATGATCTCATACTGTACCTCGGTGGGGAGAGCACGGAACTCGGGAGACTCGATGTCAATGTCTTCCGGGTTGACCTCGTCGATGAATTGCTGCAGTTCGGCCTCGGTTGCCAGACGAGCGTCGGGCTTGTCTTCTGACGTGTAGGCAGGAATGGTCGTCTCGGGGAGGTAGTATCGGTCCTTGTTCTGAAACCGTTTGCGCTTTGCCTCGGGAGACTCGAGGGCTCCAGGTGCACTTGCCGTGGTGGTCACGGCGCGCCGTGATGGCCCAGCACGGGATGCCCCCTCCAGCTCGTCGAGGTAGACTGCGTTGTCGGCAATCCTTTCTCCTTCCTCTTCGTCATCATAATCCATGCGGTGGATTGCCCTTGCAGCTCTCTCTTCTTCTGCACTGTGGGGTCAGCGCAAGTCCACGACCCTGCTATCTACCGTTCAGCCAGGCGCACGGCCTCGCGGCGCATCTGTGCCGCAAGGAGCTTCTCGGCCATCTTGGAGTGATTCAACGCTGCGCCGGCCTTTTTGCGCTTGCGTTCTGCCTGTATATGTTAATGGCGGACGATACACAGACATACAATCGTGCTTCGCTTGAGAACAGGCGCTCCTCCGTCAAAGACGAATACCGGCTTGATGCCGTGGAACAGTAGTTTGTTGATTCGTCTCAAGAAGCCTGGCGTCAGTTCGGCATACCTTCGAAAAACTAACCTAGCACATGCGCGTTGACGAGGACACGTCCATCCTTGTCGCGCATAGTCGATTGGAACTGTACATTAGCTCAATCTCCCTCGGATGCACGCATGAAGGCATGGTCGTACCTGGTAGAGCCAGATGGACGAGTCAATGGCGAGACGCTTGCCCTCGAGACTCTCGATCTGGACGGGCCTAGCCACGGGGTTGAGCAGCGACCATAGGCCCTTGACGCCCATGGCGCGTGTTCTGTTCTTGTTGTGTAGATAGAAAGTGAAGATGGAAACAAGTCGAGCTGCTCAGTCGTGACACAAAGTCCAGTCAACCGACAACAATCTGCTGCCGCCCGGCGCGTCGCCACCGAGTGGAGGTGACGATGACGACATGGACGCGGGCGACTGTAGACGAGTTCCCGGTTGACTTGTTTTTCCTTCTGCTCACTCGTCCACAATGGCAGACCCAATACCACCTGTTCAGAACCAGATACGTATCCACACCCCAGAGTCTGATGCCCCCGAGCTCGCCAATGGGCCAAATGGATTCGACCGCAAGAAGTTTATGGGCGCCTGGCACGTTGTTTGGAGCACACTTCCAATGTGGAAGGTGAGTCACAGGCACTGATCAAGTGTTGACGCTGACTGTGCAGACCAACAAGAGTGCGCAAGATGATGCCATGGGACGCTGACCGCAGGTGTCCTCATTACATACACGCCGCACAGAGAGACGGACGAGGATATGACAGTCTTCAATTCATCGGTCACGTACACCTCCCGTTCGGGGGGCAAACAAAAGGAGGTTGCTGGAGTGGAGCGACTTGCACCTGGCACGAACGGGGCCACGTTTGACTGGACGGGAAACGGCTGGATGAGGCTACTGCATTCGCACTGGGGTGTGGTTGGTACGGGCGAGTTGAATGATGTTGAGTGGTGTGTGATAAGTGAGTCTCGCCCGCGTCCACGTCGCGCTGACACTCACAGCCTTCTCCAAAACTATGTTTACCCCGGCTGGGTTGGATCTGTTTCTCCGCCCAAAGAACGGAGGGGAGCTCACAGAGGGTATGCGACAAGCGGCACGGGATGCGATCCAGCCTCTTATCCTGCAGCAGCCCGGAGAGTGGGGCAAGATTGCTGCAGGAGGCTTTATAGTGCCGTAAAGAGAGTAGGGGTACCACACTTCAGGTGTGCGAGCACATCTGGGCTCTGGCAGCGAGGATGACATCGTACAAAGGGTGGGACAAGATCTAAGTCTACCACAATAAATGCATGGGTGCTTCAGGTACCTCCAATGGCTGCAGTGGTTTAACCTTTGAACACAAGCAGAAGGATGGAAAGCGGAGCAGCATGTGAGCCCCAATATTGACAAGGCAGGCAGGTTCAACCTCCTTCCTCCGAAACCTCCGGCACTGCACCTCCTGCCGATTTCCCAGTCAACCATGACCACAAGAGTTCCAAAAACTTCACCAAAGATGTACAAGACACCTGGGATGCATGCATGACCTTCAAAGAGGCCGTAGAGGCAGCAAAACCTTCCTGACGGAGAATCGAACTCCGATCTCCCGCGATCTCAATGACAAGCGAGCATACTAACCGTTATACGATCAAGAAGGCGATGTTCTTTACATTGCCTATGTGAGCGCGTCTCCTGGGCCTCTTCAGAGACGTTTACAGACAGATTAGACGTGCCAGGGAGATGCAGAAGTGTCTGATGTCCATGTAGAAGCCTGCCGCCTGACTGGGGAAGCCGAGGAAGGCCGAGGAAGGGGTTCGCCAGGCGGGGCATCGTGAACGTCGGTGATGTCGAATGTACTGAGAGTCTAGTGTTTTATGCACAAGCCTGGGGGCCCTTAACATAAATAACATACACCGTGGACGAGATATAAACAGCGTGGACACATGAGAGCTAAGTGGGAGAGCCGCAACAACGCTCAAGACATTCTCGTTGACTCGAGATTTCCGTGCCCCCCGCTGTCTGAGAGAGCTACCTTGTGGACGAACAAGCAGCTTAAATGCTTCCAAGGTGAATCTATTGAAGAATATCTTGCCTCTAGTGCAGTGGCGGGCCCGGGGGTGGGGGGGAGGGGGACTGAAAGCATAGACGACCGTGCCAAGCAAGTCGTTTGCCACATTGTCCAAACGCTGCCCCCAAGAGCGAGTGACCTCCACCGGAGACCTCCGACCCGTCATCGTTCGCCCCTGAGCTGCTTCGCGTTTCAGCGGCGACAACAGTGTCACACATGATCACACACGCACCACCATTCCCCATCTCACGTCTTCCCATTCTCTCTTCCCACATCCATGTCTCTCGACCATGGCAGCCTTAGTCGACCACAGAAACTACCTTGCTGATGTGCTGGCACGACAAGCTGTACGCCGACGCATCGCCGATCCAGGCCACGAGTATGGTGCCCAACCAACACTATCGCATGCGTCCTCTTCCCACTTGCCGCCGAGTCCCCCACCCGAACTAGAGGCCGGACCAAGCAAGCCCAGCAAGACCAACGTAGTCAACTACGTGCCCGCTGAAGAGGCGGTGCGCAACGACTACGCGAGCTGGTACGGCGTGTCCGGGGAGTATCCCAGCAACCATGTCCTGGGCGCCGGCGAGCGCGAGATCTGCGAGGAGTGAGTTGCGGGTACAGCCTGGCCACAACTGACGCAACAGGTTCCCGGCCCTGCGCCGACTCATGGACCTCAAGGCCGAACATGTCGCAGCGGTAGCACATCCCCCACTCGTTATTCCTCTTCCATCAACCAGCGCATCGACAGTCGCAGCTGCCGCCGCACCCCACCGCTTTGATGTCATCCTCATCCACCCGACGAAGAGCTGGGCTGAGACAGCGGCACTGCCCATCCGACAACTCTCGGCCGATCCGGGCTTCGTCTTCCTCTGGGTCGGCACCGGAGATGCGGATGGACTGGAGCGAGGTCGCGAGTGTCTCGCCAAGTGGGGGTTCCGTCGCGCAGAGGACATTGTGTGGGTCAAGACCAACAAGAATGACAAATCGGACGGTGGTGGGCCCGGAGGAGGTCTCTTTGCGTCACAGAAGGAGCACTGCCTCATGGGAATTCGCGGCACTGTGCGGAGGAGCACCGATTCAAGATTCGTGCACTGCAATGTGGACACGGACGTTATTGTCTGTGAACAAGGTAGGTGAAGTACGTCGTGCGTTGCTAACCTCCCAGACGCTGGCACTCCACCCTACATCTACAACCTCATCGAGAACTTCTGCCTTGGTTCCCGTCGACTCGAACTCTTTAGCAGCGCTAGCACCCCACGGCGAGGGTGGGTCACCGCTACCCTTGGTCCGGCACCCGACACTGTCCAGCTCTTTGACGGCGCGCTGTACGCCTCGTTCTTGCCGTCCAAAGAGGAAGGAAAGCCTGTCCTTCCCTTCCACGCCGAGATCGACATGTTACGCCCCAAATCGCCACAGCGTCGCGGGGCAGGTGGTGGAGGACGTGGCGGTCGCGGACCCCCAACTGCACCCGGCAGCCCGCCGCCGACCCCGCCGTTCCGTCAAGGCGGCAGCAACGTCATGCGCATGGGTGCGCTCACGCCAGCTCAAGGCATGGGCGGCGCTGGCATGATGTCCAACTTCAACCCCAACCAGGGCATGAACCAGGGCATGATGACCGGATACGGCCAAATGAACCCCGCGCAGAACATGATGCCTGGCTACGGCCAGATGGCGGGCTATGGCCAGGCCGGCATGATGTCTGGGTACGGACAGATGCCGCCGCAGATGCTTGGGTACGGTCAAATGCCGCAGATGCTCCCTCAGAACCCTCAGCAGATGATGGCCATGCAGGCCATGCAGGCCCAGATGGCCCAGATGCAGGGGATGGGGATGGGGGGCATGCAAGGCATGCAGATGGGGCCGGGGATGGCCATGGGGATGGCCATGGGTGTACCGGGTATGAACCCGAACATGTCCATGATGGGCGGGATGAGTCCCGGCATGCTGAGCCCCAACATACAGCAGGGGATGGGCAGTGGAATGGGGAGCCCGTATCTCGGCTCGCCGAACATGGGTCATGTTCAGCTGGAGGGCGAGGAGCAGCACGACTGGTCTGGCCATGGCCAGACCATGGGACAGCTTGCGATGGGTATGGGAGCGATGGGGATGCCGTACTTGGGAGGCGGTGGATATCCATACAATGGATAAGCACATGTCTGTATGCATAATCCGGACTCGGCAAGCAGCCTCAGGTAGCTTAGGTTCCAGTACTTCACACTTTAACATTCTCAAACACAATGGTACAATGATCACATCACGACACAACTACGCTTACGGCGGGGTGGTGGCGCAGGAAGAGGCGGAGGCGGCGGAGTGGGCCACGGTCCCTGCTGGTCCCATCTGCCCCAGCCGCTGTGACGCATGTGGTTGAGCTGGACTTTTCAGCACAGTAACCCCGCAAGCAACAGGCCACACCCCACTCACGTATAACTGAGAATACTGTTCAGCCTGATTACCGGGGATTCCATATCCCTCGAGAGCGAACGGCATCTCAACCTCGAGGATGGGAGCCAAGTTGGCCACGTCGGTGGCGTTGGGATCCGGTGACCTCATAGAGTGGTACCGCATGAACTCTGAGTTGCGCTGGTAGATCATGAAACCAATGGGGAGAATGAATTGGAGCTGTGGATTTAGATATGCATGCGAGCTAACTGGGTTGAGAACGTACCTGGTCCTCTGGACAGTTGCAGGTATTCTCCATTCGCTTGATATAGTCAGGAGCGGGGCGAGGCATGGCGCGGTTGTTTTGGTGCTATGGTGCACGATGGGAAGAAGGAAAGAGGCGAGGGTGATGGGGGATATAATGTGCACACGCATCTCAAGAACAGGATTCCCCAATGTTCTCGACCTGAGACAGCACACACAGAACCATCAGAGCTCATCAGTCACACTGCGGAAGAGTGGCGGAAAAAAGGTGGCGAAATGTGAGAAGATCGCCGCCACCACACACTGGCCACTGGCCGCTGACAGTTGATTGCTGATGTGATGCAGCAAACGGGACCCAGCTTCATTCACACTGCTACCGAAATCCCCGTGTTATCTTCATGGGACTAGCCTTCCGAGAGGGTGCGCACCCACTTCCAATCACTTCTTCCAAGTTTTGACGAAGTTGTTCTGCCAGTCAGCTTCCAGCGTGACCCGTTTGGTGCTTCGTTGCATGGGGACTGACGATGAACGCGGTGACGTGAGAGTGAATGGTAGACCTAGAGCGTCCCGTAAGGCGTCCATCGGCCTTGACTGCGCTGTACATGTTGTCCTTGAGAACCTTGGAGGCAATCTCGAGCCAGATAGCTTCCTCCTTGGGGGTCCAGTCCTTCTTCCTCGAGGGCGACGCCTTTGACTGCGCACGTCAGCGACACGACGGTGGCGAGTGTACCAAAGATTTAGTAATGGGGAACCCACCTCTGGAGCACTGTCGCTCTCTTCAGCCTTGCGCTTCACCATTTGAAGGACGGTGTGTGGTTGACAGGGTTTGGTTGGTGTTGAGGGTTCGGTTGCTGTTGGTATGTAGCGGGAGGCGACTGTGGAGGATGATGTTGATGAAGAACAAGGAGACCTACCGGGCCGACAGTTATCCCCTGGCTCTTTATATGTTGTCTGCCCGCCAAGGGTGACTGGACGCAGCGCAAGGACCCACAAGCTTGGGGCACACAAGTTGCCACGCCCTTATCCCGTCAGGCAATCAGATCCAGTGGAGACGGGAAAGGGCAAAGCATAGCATGGTCACATGGATACATCACACGACTTCCTACGCCCTCCACGCCCCCTTACTTCTCCTTGGCGGCAGTCGACTTCTTGTTGCCAGCCGTCTTCGTGTTGGCAGCCGACCGCTTGATTGGAATGCCTTTCACTTGACCGAGCTTGACCGGTTAGTGACATACAGAACGGAGCTGCAACTCACAAAGGGTCTGAGGTGTGAGCCAAGGCAGCGGCCTGGAAAGTGTCCCGAGGCACGAGCAGCAGCGACCATGTTGTCCTTGAGTACCTGGACCGCAACCTGGCGCCAAAGAGGTTCTTCTTCTTTGGTCCACGCGCTACGTGACTTCTGACCTTGGGTCAGCGGATCGGCCGGCATTAGGGTATGTGCAGGGGCTCACCTTGGTGTTGGTCGCCGAAGAGTCCGAGTCGTCGTGCTCGCGCTCACGCTTGATAGGCATGGTAAATGGTAGGTGATGAGTTTGTACGCGGGAGTGTTGGGAGTGAAGAAAGATGAGGAAGTCTTAAAGCTCCAGGGCGTGCTGCTACCCTCTTATGGGGATGCCTGCGGCAGCGGTCAGAGTATCATGTCATCACAAGAACCCCGAAGCTTGCCACACTCATTCCCACCCCGCCAAATCTTCTGGGCGCTACGATTCCCCATAACATGTCATTTTGAGATCCGTCGCACAGGGGCCCATGCGCCGCTCTCTCGCTGCACGCTGCAGGTTCATACGCCCTGGTTGTGCCGAGCTCCCTTCGTCACCGGATGACCCAATCGGTCATCACAATACTTGTGCAGAGCGGGAGGATGCGGCCGTCAATTCCACTTGCAGCCACCACATTCCTGTGGCTGTGCAGAGTGCCTTTATGAGCTTCAGTCGTAACATTCTCGAGAGTATCTGCTGCCACAACAACCTCGAACATCTCCCACGTCCCACTTTTTCGTCTTCCCCAGATCCAACAGCCGTTAAAGGCAGTAGCGGAAGTCGGGGTTCTAAATTGTCAGCTGCTACCTCCCCACATCCCAAGCTGCTCACCTGGATATCAGTCAAGTCCTCGAAAGCGTGGAGGTTCGCAAGGCCCCTGCCCTCAACCAGCTCCTTGGCCTCAGCGGCAGCAATTTTCTTGCTGTTGCGGGTGGAAAGGATCTGGCGAGTGAGAAGGGCCATGCCAATGAAGCACGCGTAGCAGCCCAGGTGGATGTAGAGACTGTTGAAGTAGCGTGGCGCCCAGCGCGAGTTAAACAGCTGCGGCGCGGCCGCGTTGCCAGAGGCCCATCCGCAGACTTGCGAGGTTAGCAAGTGCTGCTTCGTTACAGAAACCAATCCAGGACTCACAAGTGATCGCATAGGTGATCGACCTCTTGGTGTGTCCAGCGCTGTTGCGGGCGAGGAGCATGAGGATGGCGGGGTAGCACTGGATTGTCAGTTGACAGTTGAGATGCGAGAAACTCACTGCGCCGTAGATCTGCATGATGTAGTATGCGAAGACCAGAGGACCTTTGGTCTTGTCGCTGGGAGCGACGGTGAGGAGCACAATCGTGCCAACGATGTTGGGAATGGTGAATCCGATCATGCAAAGACAGGTCTGGCCGGTACGCTTGACGAGGAATCTGGCTGGTCAGCGCCTGGTCACGCAAGGCAAACCGTGGGAGCACATACCCCATGAGGACGAATGTGAGGATGCTAACGACTCCGACAGGAATATTGAGCAACTGGGCGTGCAGGTTCTGTAGAGTTTAGCGATAGTTTCTTAGTACTAGGTGACTACTCACGCTGAATCCAAACGCTTTGGTAATCAAGAGGCCGCCGAACGTGCCGATACCGCCCACGACAAGCGTGTTGAACACGCACAGAAGGAAGAGGCATGCCGAGAAGGGGTCGGTGAGTGCCTCAACCATTTGTTCGCGCTTGAAGCGCTTCTGCTTGAGTCCTTGGTTGTTGGAGCGCACACGCTCGACGAGCATCTTCTTCTCGTCCTTGGACGCCCAACGGGCCTTTGTGGGCGAGTCCGGAAGGAAGATGAAGATGATAACTGGGATGGGTCAGCATGGGTGGAAAAATGTGCTCTACTTGGGGCAAGACTAACCGGCACAAGTGAAAGAGATGAGGGAGATGGTGATATGCAGCCACTGCCAAGACTTGAGCTTGCCGTTTTGAATGTGATAGAAGCCGTACTGCTACGTTAGATCTGCATGGAACATGCAACTTACGGCAAGAAGTGCTGTGAAAGCGTTGGCTGTGCCGAGCATGCACCTTAACAAGTCAGTACGTTTTGTCTGAGCGGTGCGGAGAGGATCGAGAGGAGACTCACTGCCACATGGTAGTGACGAAAGGCTGCTCAGCCACAGTGTACCACTGGACCATGATTGAGATTAAAACGGGGCCGATAAGCGACTCGAAGAAACCAAGCAGGAACCTGAGGGCAAAGACGGGAGGCATGCTCATGGAGAAGCCGATACCCAAGAGGAGCTGCACGATGAGCATTGCTGTATACAAAGGTGGCAATATGTACTCACGACCGACCAAATGACAATGCCTCCGGCCAGAAGCTTAGCCATTGGAAGACGACGGATGAGTTGGTTGGCCTGTAGCGTCAGTAGATGTACTCCCATGACCCGCAGCAACGAACAAATGGCTCTGCGAGAATGATACCACACCACAAAACGGTGGTGGTGAGGGCGTAGTCCTGGCCGACAGCACCGACGTCCGTGATCCAGTTCATGATCCTGGGCTCGTCAGTCTGTGACGTGTGATCTGCGGCTTGGCTGAACACTCACGATGCCGCGGAGATCGTTCCCTGATTACATTAGCTCTCGTCTACGGCAGTCAAGGAAAACATACCTTGTCCAGAGCCTGGCAAAGATAACCAAGACAGAGGAGAGGCAAAATACTGTTTCGGTTAGTTTAAGAATAACAGGTCAACCGTGGACTGACCGACGGTGGATGCGGCGCCTGAGCCGCTTGTTATCAGCCTCAGTAAGAACTAACGTCGGGTCGACATAGCCGTCGGCCTCAGTGTCCTCGACATGTTCCATAAGCTGCAGGTCTTGTTTGGTTTCGATTTGGTCTTCGGCGTAGGCCGGCTTAACGTCGTCGTGAACTTGCACCATTGTAGACAAGCGGGCGGAGGGTGTTGGTATGTTGTGGGCGTAGTAGGTTGTGAAGAAGAGTTATCGAAGTGTGTCTTCCTGGAGGGTGGGGATCCTGTCGACAGCCCAATGCCTGGCTTTATGAACTGTTCGCGCTTTGCTGCGAGAGTGGAGCAATCTTGTGGCTTGATCGGTATGTCCTTTGACCGTGTCGGCGTTGCACCCGCGAAACGCAGTCATGTGTTTGCCTGTATATCCTCCCCCGTGCAATGATCCCCACGGGGCCGGTATTACAGCTGGGGTACGAGGATGGTGTTGAGGACTGAGAGAAGGGGAGAGGATGTGGGCAAGGAGCATGTGTGTGTGTGGTTCATATGTGGGGTATCTCCGGCGCATCTCCCAGGGGTGGCAAGCGGGCCGGTAATTCCGTGTTATCTCCTGCCAACCTCCCTTGGCAACTTGGCAACGTGTACGTCGACTGAACGACATGATGACGGCGCGTGTCTCCGCTAACCGGGTCCTGTGGAGCAAGATCTCGACTCCCAAGGGAGCACACAAGAAGGGACCAACGGGCCGGCGGGCCGCAATCAGTCTTCTCCACAATCCGCAGTGGAGTGGCAGGGACAGCAGGCAGCCAGATTGAGAAGGTCACGCCACGCACAGCCCCATGGGGACGGGCCGACTACTGTAGAGCGGCAAGCAGGGCCAGACCTTTTGGCATGTTTGTGAATTGGTATACATTATTACAACACGTGATTTTTGGTCATGTCAGAGAAACGCGGAGAAGTCGAAGTCGAGGCCGAGGTCGTAGGGGAAGAACGAAAGGTTGACATTGTCCACGCTGCCCACCGACTGAGGGTCGAAGGGCAGTGATAACTCAGGGCTAACGACAATGTCTAACTGTCAGCTGTGTTGCATCCTCAACTTGTGCTTACCAAATGCCTGTGCCGCCGCTTGAAAACCCAGGATCAGGTCTGAGCAGACGGGCCAAGTATTCTGGTGCTTGTCAAGGAGGTCGATCATGAGCTGGAATAGTTGCTGTCCTTCTCGTTTGTGGAACTCGCCGGCGTCATAGCAAAGAATAAGTAGCTGGCCTGTAATGACCAGACGCTGCAACTGCGGCCATGACGGGTTGAGGTGGTTGATGCTGATGAGGTCGACATACGTGTTGAGAATCTGCCCGACTGCTCGGCCTATAGTGGAAAAGGCATTGGGGGCCAGGTTTTGGTGCTGCAAGTGTGGAATATAGAGCAGGCAACGGAGCCTGAGAAGTGAGCCCAGACTCGACAGGAGGACACCTACCAGTTGTACCGCAGTTGCGACCAGGCAACAATGTATTTTGGCGTGCCAACGTCTTTAGAATGGCGCAGTTCACGCATGTTGGGCATCCATGTCGCCTCTGCCGAAGTGACATACGCATGCGACGTGGTATCAATGCCCGGATCTGCAAGGTCGGCCAGAAACTTGGCAGTAAAGTACGAGCACTCTGTTAGACATTCCGGGAACATTCGCGGAGGAGGGGCGGGGTCCACATCAAAGGCATCGAATGGTAGGCATGGTCGAAGGTCGGTAAGGTGTGCACGAAACCTGCTATCAGAATCATGATACCTCATCGAACTCACATATCGGTGTAGAAGTAGGCGCCAAACAGCGACTGGACGTGGTCATGTGGCTGGTAGAGTGACGCCGTCTCCCTGCGGTGGATGCCGAGCTCGGTTATCTGCCATGCCCACTGCCTGATGAGGTCCTTAGTCTCGTTTGGACCTGCCATGCCAGTTGTGTACATGACAAGGTAGTAGAGAGCCCCTAGATATCAGAATCCACCTTCAACGGCCAAAACTCACAGATGGCGGCAAGTGATGGGCGGTTCCAATCTGAGAGGGCTTGGCAGGCCATTTGGTAATAGGTGATGTCTTCGCGAGGCGTGTCCAAACTAGTGACCGACATGCCGTCGTTCATTGTTCGACGGAGCTGTTCAAACCGGGCGAGACACAGGGCAGCCAAAACCATGGCCGTCTGGTCGTCTCTGAGGGATTTCGGCACTGCTCGATATCGACCAAAGAGCGAGCGAAGGAGGGTGCGGTCGGCTTCGTTGCGTGCGTTGTCTGGCGACGTCGTTAAAAGGTGCTGCATAAGCTGGTCCTCCAGCTCTGAACGTAGCGGCCTTGGCGGTAACGGAGTGGAAAGGACATCCGTTAGGCGCGTATTGACCTTGAAGATCAAGGACGAGACAGAGATACCTGAGGTGTTAGGACGCTCACGCTCCCATGTCACACACCTTTGTCAATGCACCACAGCCCTAATAATCCTTCAACTTCATCCAGAGGTCCCCGATTCGGTGTAAATGCGTCATCGAGTGCAGTCGAAGCATCAAGATGCACCGTTGGGACAGTCGTGACATCCCTTGAGCCCATAGATGTAGATGCCAATCGCATCGTCGCCAAACCTGGAGTCTCGGTTCCGGCACCAGGCAAAGCCGACATGTCAAGCAAGGGCGAGCTCTGTTCCTGCAAGTGCTGCAGTAGCTTGGACGATGGCGCACTGTATCATGTCGTCAGTACAACTGCATCTTTTCTGCACATGACTTTTGTTCATACCGTTTGGGACGTGCCTTCACGCGTATTGTGCATGAGGTTTCCACGCCAGCTGCGGAACAAGCCTGGCACGGCGGTGGTCCTTCACATTTGATTCTTCGAACGCGGCATGGTTCGCATGCCTTTGAAATCCGCTTTATTGGATACATTTGGCGGGCTGCCTGTGACTCGGTCCGAAGAGATGATTGTTCAACAGGCATGTGGATGGGAAGATGATGGTCGGACGGAATTCACAAGGAGATAGGTGTGCACATAGGTGGAGCAGACAAAGTGCCCGCACTGGGGAGCGGGCCGACAACGGGCCGGCCACCAAACGAGATCAACCGGTCATGTCCGCTCCCTCACCGTAGGTCCGTAGGTCCGGCGTATCTCCGGCATACCTCCCCATGCACCATGCGGCTATGTTGGTGCTTGGCAATTGTCAGTCGGCTGCAAGGCTGAGATGGTGTCAAACAGCGAGTGGTCCTCCAGCTTTATAAGTGGAGTTCCTTACCGTTCATCTGTTCCCACACATCACCTATTCTTACGACCATGGATACACTTCTCAACCTCCCAGCCTCGTTCCCCGAACTCTACGCCGTCAGCGACTCCATCAAGGTGGTCGAGGCCGCCAAGAAATACGGCCAGCAGGAGGTGTGTTGCCTGTGCACCTATTTGCCTGGGTAAGCTGTACTGACTGTCGACAGCCGATTGATAAAGTTCCCCATTATACCACCCCCCAAGGCAGTCACGCATATTGGTGCCAAGACAGTAAGCTCCGCAAACGTTGGCATGTACTGAACACCCACAGACGAGACGTCGTGGACTCAGGGATTCTTTGTCGGCTTGCTTTGGGACCTTGTAGAGCGTCAGCGCCTTCTCCCAAATGCGGTCGAGAGCAGCTACACCGAACAAGAGATAACGGACCTGGCTCGGAGGTATCAGGACGGTTTCAAATGGATGGCAAACCCTGCGTCGAACCACGACCAAGGCTTTCGCTTCCAGCTTAGCTACGGCAAGTACGTGTGACTGAGTTATGGGTGGACGCGATAAGCGTTGCTGATCAGACCTAGGGATCTGGACCTAACCGACTCTAAGGAGGCCAAGGCTGTCGTCATTGACGCGGCGGACTCGCTCGTGGACCGTTTTGATCCCCAGGTCGGCGCTATCCGCAGCTGGGACCGGATGGTTCGCGTCGGCCAGCCGGATATCTGGCGCGAGGACAACCTAGACGAGCACTACCTCACCATCATTGACAATATGGCGAGTTCCAAGAAACGTCGTGAGAACTGACAATCCAGATGAATCTTGACCTCTTATTCCTTGCGACCGAGCTCACTGGCCACAAGAAATACGCCGAAGTGGCAATCAGCCAGGCCGAAGTCTCCGCTAAAGGACATGTCCGACCCGACTTTACCACGTACCACGTAGTCAACTTGAACCGTGACGGAACTGTGGGGAGTTGCTTGACCCACCAGGGCTACCAGGACGAGTCCACATGGTCTCGCGGGCAGGCCTGGGCAATCCACGGCTTTGCTCAAGTGGGTGAGTGTATCCAGTCCGTGGCATTCAAAGCGCTGACTCCTGATAGCCCAGCGCACTGGACGCAAAGATTTCATTGACCTCACTCGAAAGCTTACGGACAAGTTCCTCTCGCTTCTCCCCGAGTCCGGTGTGCCCTGGTGGTGAGCTACGAGGTTTGCACATGTGGGCGCCCAGCTGACATCGCAGGGACTTTGACGCCCCCAGGCCTTGTCCTTATGACGCATCTGCGGCCACTATTGCGGCTTGCGGTATGCTAATTCTGTTCCAGATCCTTCGTCCGACGGATCCAACCGCAGCCGAGGCTTACTTGGAGAGAGCGTTCCAGCTTGTCCGCGACGTTCTTCGCGAATGCAAGACTGGCGAGGCCTCCCTCAAGGACGTAAAGGTTGACTTCGGCGAGGGCGAGTGGGAGACGATCCTTGAGGTGAGAGTGCATACATGAGGTATAGCTGACAAGTAGCACTCAACCGTGAACGGCAACCAGTATGGGCCCGTTCCTATCATGGACCACGGGCTAGTCTGTGAGTGAGGACGATGGAACCGCCAACTGACAACAGACGCGGACTACTACCTCATCCAGTTTGGAAACGCAGCCCTCAAGCTCCAGCCGCTGCCCAACTAAGACGTATCATAGTGACATCCGATGTATGCATACGATGGATCTTCGCTTTCCACCCGAAATTCCGGAAAATAGTATCCACTTGGGTGCAAATTGCCCCGTTTGATGCCTTCTCTTCTTTCCACCGTCTCCTACCATCCCAAGGACCAAAAGGAGTTGCTCAAGTACTCTTGTACTCAGCATCTACACCGTAAGGGAGTCGAACCCCTGCCGCGTCGAGCTTGCACATGGCAACGACGCATGATACCGTTTCACCAACGGTGTAAGGATGTTGTTCATTTGAGTGGCATCGGCGCGGCGGCGCGAGTTCTGTGGCGTCAAGGAAGCACACGACGCCCAGGCCCGAGGCTCAGCTGATAGTACAGTTTACAACTGCTACAAGTCTTCATATTCATAGACGGGCCGGACTGCTCAGTCCCAGTGGGTGGCGAAGGGCCGTCACCAAGTCAAGACATTGGCCAATGAGGGCCATGACATGCCCAGGGAAGATTTGAGGGAAACACGGGAGTCTTATGCCAGGCAAGTCGATTGCCAGAAAGCCCTCAATCATGAGAACACTGGCACCCACTTGGGCAAAGCCCGCCTGACACCCTCCTGACATTCAACGTCACGTAACTGCTTCTTGTGACGCACAAACACACATCGTCTACCCTATGGCTCAGTTGGTTAGCGCGTGGAGCTGTTACTTGCAACATACTCCGAGGTCCCAGGTTCGAGCCCTGGTGGGGTAGTTCTCTCCTTTTTCCTGGTCTGCAAGGCATCTGGAGGTCTCCTGGAGGTGTTGTTGGACGTTCGGAGGTGTTGGACGGATGGTGGGAGGACGAAGATCGCAGGTGCCACACTGCCACTGAGGTCACGTGACGTCTGATCCCATATCGCTTTCCTCCGATCTCCGACCTATCTCTGCACCACTTCACACCTTCCCATCCGCAACCATGGCTCCCAGACTCTCATTAGAGCCACCACTGCTCAATGCAGCTTGTCCATGGGCATCGGACCTCTCGTTTTTGAGACCGCTGTACGCATCGCCCTCCACCGGCGCAATCACGACCCGCACATCTCTTGTGGACGGATATCCTCACGATGACGCCAAGAACACCTTCCTGTTCTACGACCCCTCCAACTCTTCCTCGTCCACTGGTGTCGCGCCACAGTCCTTCCCATCTCAGCAGCCATTGGGAAACTCTGGGTCGCTGAATTGCTTTGGTCTCAGCCCCCACGTCCTTGCAACTTACCTCGACTGGGTTCGTACGCTTGCGGCCGAGTTTCCCAACTCTTCCAAGCCCATTATCGTTTCTGTGACAGGCGAGACTCCCGAGTCAAACGCCGACGCCGTGCGCAGGGTCATTGCTTTGGCATCTGAGGTTCACACTCCGCTCGCTGTGGAGATTAACCTTTCATGCCCCAACGTGCCGGGCCATCCTCCTCCCGCCTACGACGCCAGCGAACTAGCCGCTTACCTCGGTGCTCTGCCCGCAAACCCACCTATCCCAGTCGGTCTCAAGACCCCACCATACACCAGTCCCTCCCAGTTCACCATGCTCGTCAACGCTGTGGCAGCTGCTCAACCGAAGATCTCGTTCTTGACAGGTACAAACACACTTGGCAACTGTGTCGTCCTGGACTCGGCTGGTGCGGCCATTCTCCCCTCTGACGGTGGATTCGGCGGACTGGCAGGACCTGCCATTCACCCTCTCTCCCTCGGCAACGTTGTTACTCTGCGAAAGCTCCTGAACGAGGCCGGCCTGGCCGACACGGTGGACATTATCGGTGTGGGAGGCGTGTCTGACGCCATGGGCTATAAGAGAATGAGGGCGGCAGGTGCCAAGGCTGTCGCTGTCGCGACTGCACTTGGAAAGCAGGGTGTAGCAGTGTTTGATACTATTCTCAAGCCCACAGCCAAGTTGTAGAGATTTGATGGACGTTTGCAAGAGTGCAATCTTCTTGATTGTCGGATATAGCCGTCATAGTCACGTGATCGGCTCGGTACATGACGATGCCATGGTCCATACTTGATCAGGTGGAGGTGACCCACGCGATGCAAGTTGATTTAGCCACGTCGCCGGCAACTCTTGTTGTACATTCCTCATCCATTTGACCATGAGCGATAAGCTAAACCTCACGCGCGATGAATGCGCCAGCCGTAGCAAGCAAGTGAAGGTCGACACCTACAAGATCGAGCTCGACCTCAGCGACATCAATGACGCCAAGACGACCACCTTCGCATCCGTGTCGACGATCAAGTTCACCTCGACTGGCCCCTCGACTTGGCTTGATTTGGTTGCCGACAGTCTCACCAGCGTCACCGTAAACGATGCTCCTCTTGAGGTCCAGTATGACGGCGCGCGGGTGGCAATCAATGGTCTCAAGAGCGGCGAAAACACGGTCACCGTCGCAGCCCGCTGCGTCTACAGCCGTACTGGCGAAGGCCTCCACCGCTTCACCGACGTTGTCGACGGCAAGACCTATGGCTACACCCACTTTGAACCTACCGACGCTCGCAGGGTCTACGCATGCTTCGAGCAGCCCGACCTCAAGGGCCGCTTTACGTTTCTTGTCAAGGCCCCGATCGGTTCTGAAGTGTTTGGCAACCAGTCTGTGGCAGCGGCCGTGGTTGGCGACAACGACCAGACAATCACCCTTGTGCCTACCCTCCCAATCTCGACTTACCTTACCGCGATTGCCGTTGGGCCATATCACGTCGTCCGCGACAGTTGGAGCAAGGGCGGACTTGAGGTTCCCCTCTCTGCCATGTGCTGTAGCTCAATGGCTCAGTACCTCGAGGCCGACGAGATCTTCCGCATCACCAAGCAGGGTCTCGATTTCTTCGATGATGCCTTCAAGTACCCTTATCCTTGGGGCAAGTACGAACAAGTCTTCCTCCCGGAATACAACATTGGCGCCATGGAGCACGTTGGACTTGTCACGCTGCGCGCTGATTCGTACCTGTTCCGCGGAACAGCCAGCACCGCCCAGCGCGAGTCACGCGCAGAGGTCATTTTGCACGAGCTCACTCATATGTGGTACGGAAACCTGGCCACCCCATGCTGGTGGAACGACACTTGGCTCAAGGAGTCGTTTGCCGACCTCCTTGGGTACCTTGCTGCCACCGAGGCCGCGGGCTTTGAGGGCTCTTGGATCACTTTTGCGCTCTCCCGCAAGCAGTGGGCCTACACCCAGGATATCCTCCCTACGACCCACGCCATTGTTGCCGACATTCCCGACCTCGAGGCTGCTCGCCAGAACTTTGATGGTATCACGTACGCCAAGGGTGCCTCCGTGATCAAGCAGTTGATGGCCTATACTGGCCGCGACGCCTTCTTCGCTGCCTCGCAGGCATATTTCAAGAAGCACGCGTTTGGTGCCACTACCTTGGATGACTTCATCCAATGCCTCAAGGAGGCCTCGCCTGCCGATCTTTCGAAATGGGTGCCTTCGTGGCTCGAAACTACTGGGCCCTCGGTCATCACCACCGTTCGCGAAGGCGACAAGCTCTTTGTGACCACCGAGTCTGTCGACGTTCTCAGCCAAAAGCCTGTCACCCGTAACCACCGCGTGACTGTCTCAACCTTTGCCCGTGGAAAGGGCGAGGTGGAACGCACCGCCAGCGTCTCGGTGCTTCTGGACCAGCCCCGCGTCGAGGTTCCCCTGCCCGCTGGTACCGTTGTCGACCTCGCCATTGCCAACGACGAAGACCTTACCTACGCTCTGCTCCGCTTTGACGAGGCGTCCGTGCAAGTCCTCGTGGAGCAGATCTCGACTATCGACTCAACCATTACCCGCGCGGTTGCGTGGTCGGCACTGTGGAACATGGTCCGCGACGCCAAGCTCCACCCCTCGCAGTTCCTCAAGGCCGTCCACAACAACGCCGGGTCCGAGACCGACTCGGGTATTCTCGCCCTCGTCCTCGGCTATGCCAATGGCGCCATTTCTGTCTACCTCCCTCCCTCATCCCACGACGCTGCCGCCGACCAGCTCATCGAGACCCTCTACACCGGTCTGCGCGAGGCTCCTGGCGGTTCCGACCTCCAGCGCGCTTGGTCATCTGCCCTTGCCTCGTTTGGCAGTCACAGCAAGAAGCAGGGTGTTGCACCTCTCCGTAACGTCCTGGATGGCGACATTGCCGGTCTCGAGCTCACTCCGACCCTGCGCTGGAGCCTGCTCGCCGCTCTCGCGGCCCTTGGTGCCGCAGACGAAACCGAGCTCCAGGCCGAGTACCACAAGGACAAGACGATGAACGGTGCCACCGCCCTCGCCCGCGCCCTCGCGTCCATGCCTGGCTCTAGCACCAAGAAGCGCGTCTTTGAGGAACTTTCAGAGGGCCAAGACCTCACCAACGACCGCCAGGGTGCCCTCATCTCGGGCTTCAATGCCGGCGACGTTTCTGACCGCGTCCCCTTCGACGGTCTCTATTTTGAGCTGCTTACCTCGTGGTGGCAGTCCAAGAGCATGACCATGGCGTCGCGCCTTGTCAAGGGCCTCTTCCCTAGCACAACGATCGAATATGGCCCCATTGGCGAGAACGCAGTGGAGAAACAGGCGGCCTTGTGGCTCACCGAGAACAAGAACGCGCCCGGCGCCTTGCGCCGTATCGTCATCGAGTCGTTGGATAACACGAAGCGCCAGCTCCGTGCCCAGGCACTTTGATAGAGGGAATAGTACACAAGGCAACAGCAGCGATAGAAACCATGCACATTACATAACATACTGCGGAAAGTTCTTGGTTCTGTATACGATGCTAATATTAAGACTGAGGCGCGTTGGTGTGTTTCTCAGCGTAAAGCTGGGTAGTCACCGAGGCAATCTCGTGGTTGATGGACTCGGACGGTGTGCTGCCGGGAGGCGAGACATCTGTGGGCAAAGGTGGGGCCTTCTCGGTGACCACCGGCGTCTCGGCAGCCGTGTTTGGATGCGAGCTGTGGCTAGCGCGCGAGCTACGACGCGAAAGGATAGAGTGGCGGCGACGGCGGTGGTGGTGCTTGCCTTCTTTGGTACTGTCCAACTTCTTGTGCGGCTGTTGGGCATTGTCAGCACGGCTGTTGATCGTCGTCCGGAGGAGTTTTGTTACTCACCACACGGAGGAACCAGTAAAGAAGCAACGACGCTGATATGTTGAACACGATGTAAACCCAGATCAAGCCCCAGTTACGCCAGCGATGAGAGTAATAGACATCGACGCTCTTGAGGAACGTGTTGGTGGATGAGATGGCGCAGAATTCGCAATTGGTAATCGCACTCGGGTCTTTGAGGTATCCACCAGCAGCAGCCATGTATGGGCCCATGTACTCGGCACAGGTGAGATTGCCGGGCGGCACAATAGGGCGATACTCGTTGGCAGCGCAGACGACCTCGGTGTTGGCTGTGGCGACCGAGAGCATGCCTTCGACAAAGTAGGTAAATGGGGAGACGCGGTTCATAAATTTCCAGAAACCGGGCAGTTTGCTCCTGGGGACCATGACACTGGGTGGCGAGTTAGCCGTTGCTCAAACACCAAAAAAAAAACCCCCCGGTCAACTCACCCGCAGAAGATCAGAGACATGGAGAACATGAAGTTGGCGAAGAAACTGGCCGTTTCAGCGAGCTCGACACCGGCAACGACCATGTGGGTGAACGTGGAGATAAAAAGCATAAAGATGACCAGGTAGAGCCACATGAGACCGCCACGCTCGGTGACTTGTCCTGCTTCAATGGCGTTGCGGTAGAACCCAGGCGGGTAATACCATTGGCAGAACATGGTCGTGCCTACAGCGACTATCGGGAGTTAGACAACTACAAGAACAGGCAACTCACGGTCCCATGGAATTTCGGCCAGGATGTTGGACATCATGAACACGATCCAAGAGTAGGTCCTGGACGGCCGTTCGCGGACTTCGTACAGGCTGCGCTGGGTGACGAAGGTGGGCATGATTTGTTGTGACAGCTGGCCGAACGTTGTAAACACCTGGGGTTGTTGTCAGCGTCATGGTCGACTGTGATCGATGAAGCTCACCATGAAGACACTGAACAGCTGGTTTTGCAAACCCTGTTGAGATGTGCCAGCCTTGAAGAACGAGAAGCCTATAAACAGCCCCGTGACACTGGTGAGCAGGAACTTGGACCAGATGTACGTCGGTGTGCGCCAGTACTGCTGCATGATGCGGACGTAAACTTCGCGGAGTTGTTCCCCGAAAGGCGCAGCGTAAGACGAATCTTGCACCGGGCCATCATCTTGGTGGACCTCGGCCAGTGCATCACCCTCATCACGAATGCGGGTAAGTTCGGCGTGTACCTCGGCCTTTTCAGGAGATTTGTTCCAAGTCTAATTCGTGTCAGCCGCCACCCGTCAGAGAATAAACGGGACCCCCCCCCCAAAATAAATAAATAAATAAATAAATAAATAAATAATAAAAGCAAAAAAAAGGACACTCACCTCGACCCAGTCAACGTCCGTGTGGCTACCGGGGGCCGCACCGATAGCATTGAAGATCCACTCGGCAGGGTTACCGCCCTTTGGAGGAGGGGGGGCACCGTTGCGGACAAAGTAGTCGACAAGGTCACTTGAGCCCTTTCCAATCTTGCCAAAGTAAACTGGGCGGCCGCCCTTTGCGAGGAACAGAAGCCGGTCAAACTGCTGGAAAAGCATAGCCGACGGCTGGTGGATGGTACAGAGGATGGCTTGCTGGTGGGCCGTGAGCTTTTCAAGCAGCTTGAGAATGTTCCATGAAGTTTGCGAGTCAAGGCCGGAAGTCGGTTCGTCGAGGAACAAAAGGAGCTGGGGCTTGGCCACCAGTTCCACGGCAATGGTGAGGCGCTTACGCTGCTCTACGTTGAGGCCTGCACGAGTCAGCTGCAGTGCTTATCTACAAACCAAATCTTACCCTCTCCGGGAGTTCCAACCACGGCCTCTGCATAGGTGTCCATCTCCAGGAGCTTGAGGATCTCCTCGACGTAGTCGTACTTTTCCTTGCGGGGCACCGAGCGAGGTTGACGAAGACAGGCACTGAAGCGAAGGGCCTCACGCACAGTGGATGTCTCAAGATGCAGATCTTGCTGTTGAACGTAGCCAATCTTGCGTTGGAATGATTGATCACGTGGGCTACCGTCGACGAGAACATCGCCACCGATAACGCCAAGAGTCATGCGCTCGGCGAGGGTGTCGAGAAGAACTGTCTTTCCGGCACCAGAGACACCCTGTAGTGTCAGTTAGGGCAGAGAAATGGTTCGCTTACCATTAACGCAGTCAAAGTACCAGGCTTGACCCAACCGTCAACGTGGTCCAACAGACGGCGAGGTTCGCCCTTGATTTTGATGTCAAGTGTGACGTCTTGCCACGAAAAGAGGCTTGTCTGCTTTTGAATGACAGTGTCTTCGAGCTCTGGTTGTCCTTTGGTGTCATTGGCGAGATGAGCCTTACGTGCAGCTCCAGCCATGGCGGCCTCGGCGTCATCCTGTTTGCCCTTGTGCTTAAACTCGTCGGGGATCCTGAGACGCGGGTAAATGAGGACCTCGCCCTTGGACTTTCGGGCCTGAATCGACTCTTCCGAGACCGTCAGCTGGCATACTCGCATTACCCATGGCACACGTACCAGTAGCGAGGAGGTAGAGGAACATGAAAAACAGCATGAGGCAGATGATGAAGCCGACGTTGCGCCACTTGTGGCTGTGCTTGTACCCGTAGGCTTCCCACAGGTACGTGTCGCCATTGACAAAGTCAGCGCCTGCCGCGGCACCAACCGTGGTGCACACTCTGGCGAGCCCGGTGACGTTGACATATGGTCCCATGGACGGAATAAACTGCGAACAAGTGAAGTTACGGTTGGTGAACTCGTTGATGAGGAGCGATTCGAAACCGCTGGGGAGACCATTAGACCAGATCCTGGTTTCCAAAGAGATGACTCACTATCCGATGGGGTTGATAAACCGAATCCAGCTTGCCCAACCCAGCATGTACGCTTTCGGAATAGTGAAACCCGTGTAGAGGACCAGCGAGAGGATCATGAGACCAGCCAGCGGCATTGCCTGCTCACGTGTGCGGGAGATTGAAGCAATGGCACGGAACAGCATTGACATGGTCATGGTGAGCAAAAAGGTGACGAGGAAGAAGAAGAAGAATGCGCCTGGCTCGCGGCGAAGGTTGACCATGAAGCTTCGCAGTCAGTTATAGGACTGCCGTGGCTGGAACCCACTAGGTGACAGTATTGAAGGCAACGGCGTTCATAAGCTTGTACGGGATATCGCACAGGATCGAGGCAAACGCTTCTGCGGATGGACGGTAGAAGGCATACTCGTTGTGCTTCTCCACAATAGGACGCTGGGCGTACTGGGTGAGAATCTCGAGGGCCGAACTGAACGCGTTGAGGAGAATGGCGAAGAACAGAGCGGCGCAACGAGAGAAGAAGGAGCCGGTGGTGGAAGCTGGGAAGCGTTAGCCGGGATGTAAAAGGCCAAGCTTACGAAGGTTGTAGAATATAGAGCTGGTGATGAGGGCCATAACACTGTTGCCGATAAGCATGGCTACGACCATTGAAGGGTCGGAGGCGAGGCGCTGGTAGCCACGAATAAGGCAGAGTTTGATCTGGCCGCCGTATGAGAGCGTGTAGGGGGACTTGACGCGTGCGTGTTTGGACTGCTGTTGGCGACGAGACGCGAGGAACTTGTCATACTCTTCGCCATTGACAGGATGGCGCTGCTCAAAGGCGGTGATATCGGCCAAGAGCTGCTCATACTCGGGGCTAGCCTTCCAACGCCGAACAAACTCGTCCGCGTTTGTCGGTACGGTATGCTCGAATCCCCACCGGGCCTGACGCTCGTTAGGGCTCGTGAGGGACGTGAGGAAGTCTGGAGTCGTTTGCTCGCGCGGGCAGTGGAAACCCATGCGCACGAAGAAGTCCTTGGCCATGTCACAACGACCATAGAAGATTTGTTGGCCATCGTAAATGACCGACACCTTGTCGAAAATGTCATAGGCAACCTGTGGTGCCTGGTAAATGGCAACCACGGCGGTCGTGCCAAAGTACTCGGTCTGGGCGCGAATGGTCTTGCAGAACTGGAGCGCATTGGCAGAGTCGAGACCACGCGTCGAGTTGTCCCAACATTGCAGCGGGGCGCCGGCAAGAGTCGCCTCGGCAATAGTCACACGCTTGCGCTCGCCGCCAGACACGCCACGGATGAAGTCGTTCCCAACCTTGGTGTTAATGGTGTGCGTGATACCAAACACGGCCATGACGATATCCTTCATGTACGAGGCAAACTTGGCTTGGCTTAGCCCGCCAGGAGGATTGACGGGGGCGCGAGCGCGAGCGGCAAACCTGTGATATCAGCGAGTGCACTTTAAAAGTCAAGACTCACGCAAGGGTGTCGCCCACAAGGAGCTTGGGGAAATGAACGTCGACCTCGGCAGTGTAGATGGACTCTCCGCGGAACTGGCTGTTCATCTGCTCCAAAGTGATACCGCGGTAGTTCATCTCGACGCCTTCGTCGAGGTAGATGCCGTGCATGTTCCCTGCAATCGTCTTGAGGAAGGTAGTACAGCCACTGCCGGGAGGTCCAAGAACGACAAGCATCTCGCCCGAATCGAGCACACCGTCAAAGCCCGTCAAGATCTGGACCTTGCGGCGACTGTGGCCGAGGTGGTCACGAGCCTGCTGCAGCAAGTGGTAGAAGATGTTGCCGACCGTCTGCTGGTAGTCTGGGAAGCATTAGCCAGTGTGATCAAAGGTCTATGTATATCACGGTCCCCACACTCACCTGCCTCTGAACCATAGCCGTACACTCCCAAGTTGCGGAAAGCGACACCGCTCGTGCGACTGAGACGGCCCTCATTACGGCTGACCTCAGTGAGCTGTTTGGTCCACTGTTGGGCGTCAAACGTCTCGCTGAAGGGGTCGAGGTGGCTGCCTTTGACGTAGTTGAAGATGTCTTCTTTGCCGGCCAGGGAGTCGCGGGAAAACTGGCGGGCGAGGCTGGCTACATGCTGCTTGGACTTAAGAGTGGTCTCGGGATCACCAAGAGTCTCGTCCTGCTGCGACAAGTGCCGTTCGTGTCTTAAAATGTCCTTAGTGTGGGGGGAGTGGGGAACACCGTCTGATTGTTCGGTCCGGTCGTTCGGCCCAAAGTTGAAGCCCCCAATGAGGGACATGGTGTGGGGTGGTGGATGTTAGAATAAGTGTTGGGTCAATACTAGTATACTTTTGCAGCCATATGTCTCCTTTCTACACTCGCGCCGTTTGCGTTTGGTGTAGCGCATCGGGGGCTCGGGCTGGTGAAGCACCTCGGCTCTGTACATGGAGGCCGAGGTGTGTATGCGCTGTTAATCACTATGGTGCGGACCATGTCGCATTGTTTGTATGGCAAGGGAACTTGCAGCGACGGGTCGTGTCCATGGACCATCGGTCGCCGGGGGCTTGGCAGCCTGCGGTCCGAGGGTGCTGCAGGCTTGACTCGTCCCAGAATCTTGGCCGTAAGCAGTGTTATGTCACCGTACGCGGCGAGCGCCATGTTCACCTAGGTGTATGTATGAGGCATGAGGCCATGTGGAGTGATGTGGGGCGGACACACAATGTATGGAGAGAGAAGAACAATCAAACGACTTGTTGGCCTCCTATTGTCCTCGTCCCTTGATGGCGTTGACCCCGGCGTCAGTGGCGCGGTGCCGCAGTCGGTCCAAGCCCCGCTTCTACTCTGCCGCTCAGACGTTTACAATATGCTTTTTTGACACGATGTGCATTGCTTCGTTGTGCGTTGTCACCGTGGGCTGGGCCGGCGGCCCAGAGGAGGACGAGAGGGTGCCTCCATGCCTGCAGTTTATCTGTTGAAGGGGCAGGTGGGCCTGCTGTGCCTCACACGTCCGCTGAGCACAACCCCCTGATCGAAAGTTCTGAGACGTTCTTGACAGCATGCTTCACACACTTGTAGGCTGATGTGTATAGTAGCACCGAGGAATGTTCTGTTTGCAAGTGGTACGCCAGCCCATGCGTTGTTGACAGACGAGCAGAGATAGAAAGCCGATATCGTTTTGCCAAGTCGGCGTATATAATATATAGCACTGTCGATCGTGTCGTGCCTCGCCAAGGAGATGTCGGTGGGTCTTCCATCCGGGTGGACTTTTTGCCTCCCTCGTCACTCATCTGCAATCCCACCTCAGCAGATACACCACTTGCCTCTGTGCCTAGAGGTGATTTCTCAAGAATATCCTCATTCACACCATCTGGGCACAGAGGAGCGACATTTGTGCACGAAGGATGGGGCGAGGGGGCGTAGGAAGCTGGATAGGCAAGGACCAGAAGGGCGTTTGATGCGGTGGCCAAGGCAGTCTCTACGGACCGGGCGCCCTGCTCTCGAGACTTACATTTGAGAACAGAGCGAGGTGCAACTGTCTTGCCATTCACTTCTCCACCTCCCACCTTGTCCAATTCAGTCCTTGCGCTCTTCGCTTCACAACCAACCGCAAACACTCACCATGTCCACCGAATACAAGAAGGGCGACCACCCCTGGAAGGAGGAGCACTCTGTGGGCCACACCCTCCGTACCACTTGCTGACGACACAGACCATTATTGCCGAGGGCATCATCAACCTTATCATGGCGCACCGCTCCGACCTCTACCGCCTCCCCGGCATCGCTGGCATCGTCGATGGCCACGGCAACGACCGCACCAGTCGCAAGATCAAGCAGATGGCCACTCAATGCGCCAAGACTCTCGGCGTCTCCGAAGACCTCGTCAAGTCGGCCAAGGCCAGCAGTACCGGTCAGCGCGGCCGCAAGCGTACCTCTGACGGCGAGGCCACGGCGTCCTCCCCCAAGACTACCCGCAACAAGAAGGTCAAGCAGGAGAAGGTCAAGCAGGAGCGCACGCCCGAGACGGAGATGGAGTAGGAATACATAGTCGGATTATGTGGCATGCACACTTGTGAAGTCGCGTGGCTAGCAACTGGTGATTAGACAGGAGAGCTTGGTACAGGTTCATTCGCGTGACACACTACAGCTATCATGTAACTGATGCTCGGCTAGCGGTTGCGACGACTCAGTTGGGATGGGTGGAAGCCTTCTTCGCGGCGCGGGCTTGCTGCTTGGCGAGGTTGGCTGGTTTGTTGCGATAAGCCATCTCGACCTGTTCGGCGGAAACAATAGCCTTCAGAGCCGCCTTGATGATGGGGGCGACGTTGCGGCCGTCATAGCCGTGTTGCGCATGGAGCTCCTTCTTGAACGCCTCTTCGTTGTGAAGTGCAAAGTTGAGGAACCACTCGCCGACGAGGTTGACGATAGCCGGATCAGGCTGGTGGGTCAGCCATAGGAAGCGAGCGTGGCGGTTTACCTCTGTCTTGTTACGCTTGTTGCTACCGCCTCTGGCGGGGCTGGGACGAGGACTAGGGAGGGAACGCTTGGGAGGCATGGTTGCGTCTTTCTGAGAGGGAGCTGGAAGAGTAGAAGAAGGAGACGAGGTCTATACAGGCGTCTCAGAGGCTCATTGCCACAGCTGGGGCTGGGGGGGGGGGGCGAAGTCCCGATCCCATGTCACAGATTCGGAGTTCTCTCTCCTGCGCCATTCTCTGCATTCCCAGCGGGCCATCTGCCCCTCTTATCCTTGAGGACACCGGAGGCGGTGCTATAAAACCGTCATCTCTGAGAACCTGGTGCAAAGGGGCAATGTCTGATGGCGCATGTTGGGCGCTGGGGACACTGGAAGGGCACAAAATGGTCACTTGGGTTCCGACTCTTCCCACCGAAGCCGCGTCTCCTCAGCAGTATACCCAAATGCCAGACCTGTCTGCAGCGACTTTGTTCACTCTATCTTCATCAACTCTCATATCCAATACAGCAAACCATGCCCAGCAAGCCAAACAAGCACGGTGGTGGAGACGCCGAGTGGACGCCAGAGCACACAGTGAGACTGGCGGCTCGCCGTCGGCAGATCCAAGCTAACGCCCAGCGTATCGTCGTTGCGGGCATGATTGAGCTCGTCAAGGCAAACAAACGCACACTTTACACACTTCCTGGAATTGTGGGAGAGGTGGACAACCACGGCAACAACCGCACGGGCTCCAAGGTCAACCAGATCCTCAACACCCTTGCGAGCAGCTATGGCGTCAGCGCGGAGACGGTCACAGGCGGCACGAAGCGCAAGAGTGGCGACAAGTCGACCACGTCCAAGCGCGCCAGGAAGGTCAAGGTGGAGGAGATTGAAGAGAAGCCAGTGATCCAGTGAGAATGTGTATGCTTTGAATGCAGTCCTCGTCGATGACAGCGCAAACGTCGATGTTGCGTGGGTCTTGTGCGTGGCCAAAGCATTACATTAGCCGAGCACTACAAAATCGTTTGTAATCATCAACCCTCCCACGGTGACGCCCAGCCACCCCGACGCGTTGGCCCAAAAGCAATGTTGTGTTGTTTGTCAATCGTCGCGTCGACTGTCCCTTTGTTCTCACCCATCCCACAATGCTCTCATACAGCACACCGGTGCAACACTCACATCCACAACGTCAACAACACCAAATGCCACGCACATCGTCTCCGCTCAACCCCCAGCGGTCGTCATCGCCCACCCCGCTCCTGTCGTCCCCGACACCCGGCGCGACTCCGCAGCTACACTTTGGCGCGTCTTCGTATGCTGCCCAGCGCGCCTTGCCTCCTCCACCGCGCACCCAGCGCCGCGCCGGCTCCCTCACCACCCCGACCTCGCACGCATCGAGCAGTACGGCCACTGCCCGCCCCCTGTCGGCGCGGTACGCTCGCACGACGCCGGCCTCATCCCTGTCGGCGCGGCGGCCCAGCGGCCGCCTCTCGCTCGCCCTCCCGCCGCCGCCCGCGCCGCTGGACCTCTTTGGTGCCGGCCCGACACCGACAGAGGGCGCAATGTGGCGCGACCGCTTGCAGCGCCGCATGGCCGACCGCGAGCGCCGGAAACGCGCGCGCGACGGCGCCATCGCCAGGCGGAGGGGCACGGACGTGGCGCTGATGTCGGACGGGATGGACGAGGACGAGGACGAGGCAGACCGCCAGGCGCAGGCTGATGACGAGGAGGTGAGTACAGTAAAGTATAGCAGCAGGCTGCTAGTTGTTTTCATCGTCAGCTATTGACCCGTGGTGCCCAGTTCTTCCGCCGCCTGATGGTCGTCCAGCGCAGGAGGGAACAGCACGCCCAGCTCGTCTCGTACGAAGTGTCCACCGGCGGCTCGGACCCGCTCCTGCCCGACTTTTGGGAGGAGGAGCTCGACAACCTTGCGCGCGAGGAACGCGCCTTGATCAGCCACCTCGACGCGACGGAGACGGCGTCCAACCACTCGCACGTCTCCACCGACCCCATGGAGGTGCACAACGAAGAGCTCGAGCAGTGGGCGCGAGACGCGGCGGCGGCCGAGGCTGAGGAGGCCGAGATGGCCGTCATGGTCGAGATGGAGATGGCGCGCTATGCGCCAGCAGGAGGCGGCAGCGGGGGGTATGATGCCGGGATGGAGGAGTTTACCGCCGACGAGTGGGCCGCGATCACGGCCATGGACGAGGACGAGGCGATGGATGTCGAGTAGGAAAGACGCCACCACCCAGCAACGAAGCCAACATGCACAACAGCCCAACACGATACACCACCTTGCACCAGCTCACCATGACAGCCACAGCAACACCAACCATGCCAAAGGACACCGACAATAATTTACGCCCCCCTGTACAGCCTGTACCAACATGTACCGCATTGCACCACACCCGACACCTGCGCACCATCCCCTGTCGCGCGCTACCGTGTGCCTTCCACATTGCCCCCACTACCACGGCGCTTTTGCTTCTAGCATCGTGTGACATATGCATTCTGTGGCTATGCGTAGCCCGTCAAACCCTCCAGCGATGATAGATCTAGCTGACAGGGCCGAAAACGGGCCGGGTTTAGGGCGTCGTGGCAAAGAGCGGTGGTCCTTTTGAGTAACGTTGTGTGACGTTTAGTAGACCTTCTTCTTCTCGTCAACGGAGATGCCGCCAGGGCCCATGTTGACGAGGAGGAGGAGACCGCCGACAATGGCTGAAGGGTCAGCTTTGGCAGAAAGAGGGATATAAGCAGCTGAGACTCGACCCACGCGCCTCACGGCTGTGGGTCTCGTTCATGGGTGGCACTCGGTACTCACACAGGGTCTGGAAAAAGTCGTACTTGAGGAAATCGCGCTGGGGGTGGGCCTCGTGGACGCTCCACCAGTTGTTGATGAACACGTTGAAGACGGAAAGGAGGGTGACGAGGAACGAGGCGGACCACTTGGCCTTGAATCCCACGGCGACCATGACGCAAGCGACGAGGCCCACGATCGAGACGGTCACACGGGCAATGGACCACTGGCCCTGGAAGACGAATCCGATAAACAGGAAGATGAGGAGGATACGGCCGGCGAGCTGGAAGTACTTGCGGCGGTCGTTCTCGCTGATCGACGGCAGGCCAGCGAAGAGCTTCTTCTTGGTGGCAAGGCCGTCCGAGAGGACCATCAGGAGACCGCCAATAACCGAGAGGTTGCGGAGGAAGAAGGAGAGGTCAAACAGCAGACCGTAGCCGACGCCCTGGAGGAGAACCACGCCGAGGAGCGCGCCGACGGAGATCTCAACGTGGCGCTTGGTGATGACACCGAACGAGCCCGCGAGCATGGCCTGGGTACAAGGTTAGCTTACGCCCAACAACAGTCCCTTTCCATGAGGCCACTGGCCACTGGGATGCTCCACACCCGTATGTCGCTGCCGACGAGTGCCGCCACGTTTGTACTCACAACAATGTTGACGAGGAGGAAAATGTGGCTGAGGCCCCTGGGGACATGGCGGTGGCTGCCAGTTAGCGCCGATTGTCAAACACACCCCCTCTCCATCGTCGCTCGTCGCTCCGACTCACGTCTGGATGTACCACAGCTGGTCGGACCACTGGCTCAGGATACGGAGCGAGTCTGCAATTGTCGTTAGCACCAGACGTTCAATTCCCAGCCCTCCACTTATAACTTACCCTCCAGGAAAGTAACAACAATGAGAAAACGCGCGAGCGCGGGGACGTATGGCCTGATGGGCTGGATGGTCAGCCAGAGTCGTGATGAGGCAGGCAGCTGCCGATGGTTGTCTAGTTCAACGGAGCGACGCAGGAGACCACGTGCATGTGTTCGTGCGTGGAGGGGAGCAGGCCAGCCACACCTAGCGTGGCGTCGGGCGCCGATGCGGGCTCGACGTCCCGGCAAATGGTTGTGATCCCAACCTTGCCAGCGAGCTGCAAGCATCCAACGGCCGCGATGGCGACGTGTCAATCGACAGTGGACCCCACGACAACGGTCGCGAGCGACGCGGCAGTTGAAGCGCAACGATCCGTCGATCCGTTGCCCTCTTCCCATGTCCTCCCTCCACTTTGTGCGCGCAGTTCTGTCCGGGAGAACCAAACCAGTCACAACAACTCACCTGGGTGTAAATCTCAATGGCGTCCTCGATCTTGGACGACACGTCCTGGATCTGCGCGAGAATCTCGTTGTCGGGACGGGCTCCTTGACGCGCGCCGCCAGTGTTGACGCCGATGGGGTCGGGCATGTATGTGTTGTTGGGCGCATAGCCCATGTTCATGGGCTGCTGCTGGCCGCGGTTGGGGTTGAGGTGGATGCGCTGCGACATTGTGGGATGTGGCCGAGCCGGCGGCTGGGTAAGGAGGGAGGGAAGGGGGAGAGGGAAGATGGGCTACTGTGTCGGAGACAGTAGCTGTTTGCGAGATGCGTGTGTTGGCAGCAGCGCTGGGCCGTTGGGTGCAGGCTATTGGACGAGTGGCGTGGAGGTCAGGCCAGTTGTGCCCAGTTGAAGCGGGGTTGGAGAGGGAAGCCCGGGGAATGTGACTGGGGGTGCCCGGGGATGCGTTCGTGCCAGCGCAAGGATGTGCTTGTCGGCTGGAGAGTTGCAAGAGAAGGAGTGTAAAGAGACGGCGAGAGAGAGGGGGAGAGAGTAATGGATGAATAGATGTCAAAAGTGTTCCACTGACCACCCCCCCTTGTACCAGAGACACACCGCCCAGGGCCATCCCACCACAGGACCACTTGATCATTGCCGGGACAGTCGGTTGTCGCGCTGGCATCGCGCTCACGGAATCAAATCGCCACGTGATTATGACGGCATCGACTTCTGTAGCCACGATCTTTCGTCCAGCACGGCCAGCACCCTGTTCCATCGCGGCCCAGATGGGGCCATCAAGATCCCGCACCACGTTATGCTTGAAATGCTCCCCCACCTCTCCTTGCAGTCCCGTCCACACAAGGGGGGGGGTTGATATAGTTACATCAATACACAGTCTCTTACACTCGCTTCCGTCCCAGCAGTCCTCCTTCTTGCGCACGACGTCTCCTGCCACCCCAGTTGCCGCTCGTAACTTCTTCCTGCTCGCCGCGACGTGCGCGAGACCCTTTGCCCTTGATACTGTCCAGGCCAAGGGCATACCGCATCTCTTGTTCGTGCTCGTCCACTGGCTCTCCACTGCGCGAGAACCCTGGCGGCTCGACGTTGTATGCTGGCCCGCCAAACTTGCGTCGACAAATCTGCGACCCGTGCTCCAGGTACTCGGCCCGCGTGACAGGGTAAGACTGGTGGTAGACGTCGTTGGACGTCAGTGCCACAGCGGCTTGGTAAGGGGCAGAAGCAGGTCTGGATGTGGCGTTAGCCGCGTTTTGTCTCTTGTCAGTGCTGGGTGAACCACTCACTCGAACACTTCAAAGATGCCAATGTCGTAGTCCACAGGACACAGTGCACGCAAGTCCCGTTCCCTGTTGGGTCAGGTTGGACATCAGAACAAGTACCCACAATCTCTCGCCTAATGACTGGACGTTACCGAGGCCGCCCACGATGCCAATGTGTGCCCAGAACATGCCCTGCAGCTCTGGGGGCATGGTGGAGATGACGTGGGCGATGGTTTCTGGCAGGCCCATCTGCTGGATTCCTGGTGGGTTAGCAAGCCAACAGCTCGGAGGATACCCACCAACGTCAGACGGATGAAAGATGAGCTCGTTGCCGGCGAACCGTTCATTGGCCATGAACAAGACCTGCTCCTCCTCCTCGCCCTGGTGACGGCGCTTGGACGGAGGTGCGGCTGGTTCCTCCTTCTCCTCGGGCTGCTCCGGTGCTGCAACAGCGTTGGGACCTGAGCGAATGTAGCCAGTGGCCGAGAGCGACTTGGCTGAGAAGTCTGGCAAGACGTATTCCTGAACGATGGGGTTGGAGTGGGGGTTGTGTCTGAACGTCAGCTTAGCCCGGACACGCCAGCAAGCTCACTTGCACAGCTCCAAATCGCCCTTCCAGTCCATTGACACGTATCCGCACGCCTCACGGACGGCGTTGACGACATGGGTCTGGTCGAGCATGTTCCATTGGCGGAACGAGATGAGGTGTTTGAGGTGGTTTGTCAGCAGCTTGCCGCCAACATCAATCCTAAGAGGGTCAGCTTGGCAGAATAATGGCGCCGCCGAGCCCACCTCTTGACGTGCTCCCACACAATGTCCCCGCCGCGGATTGGGATGACGTGCGTAAAGGAGTATCCAGCGTCCACAACAATCATGCACTCGGGAGGAATGTCGGTCTCGTTGCTGAACATGCCGCCGTAGGGGATGAGTGAAGCGGCTGGTGGGTCAGTAGGGCTCGAAACCGTAGAATAACCCACGAGTACACCGGTAATAGGCTTCAAACTCCCACTCTTCAAACACCATCTGGTCATACGTCTCGGCAATGTTGGGGAGGTTGAAGTAGGGCTCGGTCACGAGGAGCGAGGTCTCGGCCGGTTTGATCTGTGCGTTAGGTTAATTCTCAGAGACACGATAACGCACGTCAAGACCTGCAGGCGAGAACAGCCTGTCCCAGACGGGCTTCTCGGCGTCCCACGCCACCAGCATGCCCTTGGGCTGCGTCAGCTCTGCGTCCTACTCCGCTAGCTACGACCTACCCGCTCAAAAGGGCGGCGGTACACAATCCCACTCAAGTCTCTACAGTTGTCAATCTCGTCGCTGACATACACTCTCCTTTCGGCCCTTGAGCGCGCCGTCGAGTTGGGGAAGAAGCTGAAGTGTTAGCAGAGGAACAACAGACAGCTGTGGGCATCGCGTGCAGGCCACTAACCGCGGCTCAATGTCGACGCCCGAGACGCCAGCCTTGATGCTGTACGCGCCATTGTCCAGGATGAGCACTGGCGGTAGCATGTCGCCTGGCGCTAGGTCGTGAGGTTGATGGGACGGATGGAGTGTAATGTCGAGAGAGGGTGCGTGAATGCACCTCCACTTTTGTGGTTCACGGCGTCAACAGACGATTTGGTTCCGTTCGGGGGTCGATCGACCGCCCACCCCCAGGTGCCACAGACTGCGCCCCTTTCCTCCATTGCCCCCACACACGCGCGCTACAGTCGCGTCAACTCCTCCTCCTGTTTTATCGCACTCATCCATCATCCTCATCCCATTGTGTACTTTATTTCACACTTCTGCATACAGACACAAGGTCACACTCCATCCACGCCACCCACTCGTCAGAGTCACTGGATACACACAGTTCCTGCCACCCTGCTGTCACCTCCCCCACCTTCCCTCCTGAAAACATCGGGGAACGCGGTGTGCGGCAAACACGACCATTTTATTCGACCCGAGTAAGCCATTTGCCGATGATGGGTTTTGCTCTGACGCTGGAACAGTACACAATGACTCTTGTCTGCGACACGCGCGACGTATGTATGGAAGGGTCAACCGGCGGCGAAGGTAGCAGCGAATGGCCCCTCAACCCACCGTCGACCTCTACCGAACTGTACCGCGACTCATTGGATGAGACCAACGCTCACGCCGACGCCTTTGACTGGTACTATGCCGAGTTGTACCTCCAGCATTTCCACCAGCTCCCTCTTGTCCCCTGGAACATTCCCTCCGTTTGGGGCATGGCGGACGTTATCGCCTCCTACCTCCACTTCCAAGCCTCGTCTGCCAACATAAACGGCGTCGCTATCATTATCACTCGCGGCACGCTACAGAGATGGACACGCCACATGATCATCTTGGCCGAGTACAACCTCCTTGGCTCCAACTCGCCCACCTACGGCACAATCGACCCTCGTGTTTTTCACGGTATGCTTCCCGACCGTTCAGACTCGTTGCCTGGTCGCCTCTTTACCTCCTACGTCCCCGACATTGAAAGGAACTTGAACCTGCCCTTCGGTCCCGAGCAGGTCATTGCGCCCGTTCAGGTGTACCACCCGCCGACTCTCCCCAATCCTCTTCAACACATCCCGGTTCAACCAACTGGACCTACCGTCAAGAGGCACCGCGAGTCTCCCGAGGTCGTCAGGTCCACCAAGCGCCAGAACATGGTGAGAGGTCCCGTGGAGAGCCTGTGCTTACATTAGTACGAGGCAAAGCATCCTGTGGCCCCAGATGGCTGGGTTTGGGTCGATCCCGAGGGTATCAACAATAGCACCGACTATAACCCCTTGGCCCACGACTCACTCCCAATCCAATGCGAGGTTACTCCCTCGGCACTCTTCACGCAGGACTTCAACGATCCGACCAACCCATTTGCGTTCGCCCCCAACGTCCCCGGGCCAGCTGCGGTCCCCTCCAGCACCACGTACTCCGTCGGCCAGGACCAAGGCAGCCCTTGCAACGGTTCTGTCTTTGTCGACACATTGGCGGCCGCATACGTCCAGGCTACCAGCAGTGATGCGTCCTCCACGCTCGTCAGCAGCCCCAACAGCGGTGGCGAGTTGGGAGACGTTTCTCAACCCCATGTGATGGATGCCGAAACCCAACAGGCAGCTTTTGCGTCCTTATAAAGCCCCAACAGCAGGACATTACCGCCGGCACTTTCACCATTGTATGTAACAAAGAGCTCCTCGGCCTCATTCCCCACTCGCAACCAGACAAGCCAAAATTCCGTTTTCCGAACGCGCCCTTTTCGTCCCCTTTTTCAGTCATTTTCAGTCCAACCCCGTCTCGACCGACCACATGCATTCCAGTTGCTCATGTATTACCTCGTTTCTGCACCCATTTTAATGAAACCAGAATATCTGTTGCTACAGAATCCACTCTGGGTATTGTGCGGTCGTCCTCGTGGGACCCAAATGTCCCCTGGGGTCATCATCTTGGTGGATGGACCGTCGTACCCCCGGCGTCGTCTGTTGACCTGGGCACCGGAGGCTGTCAAGTCGAGGTATTCCGTGAGGGGTTTGTATTTGACTGGAGATGTGGCAAGTCTGAAGGGGGGTGAGTTGAGGTATTCGGCCAGAGGCCAGAGGTTTTTACGGTCTCTCGCCTGTGTCAGCGCACCCAGCCGAGGAAAGAATGGTTGGCCGTCCAGCAGCAGAATGCCAAAATGATGTTCGAGTCGCGCACCTGTGGTTGATACCAGCCATTTTGAGATGCTGGGAATGTGGTAGAGGTTGCTTGAGGTGAAGCGTGAAAGTAGGAAGACAGTGGTGGCCATCAGAGCTCAGAGATCAGAAAATACGGTACATTGTTGGCCTGGCGGAGGGTGCGGATACAAACTGGCTAATCACTGGTCACTGGATCACTGGGATCACTGATCTTCCACCACCGTGCCGTGTGCGAGGGAAGCATGGATGTGACGCGGTCAAGAAAACGCCAGAGACCAGGAGGGACGTCGAACAGCGTGAGGTCGACCTTGTGCGCGCAGCGCTCAATCTCAACGGGGACCCGTGCACCGGAAGCTCTTGTGAACATCCACAGTCGACGCCCGTTTCAGCCAAGTGCTACCCATAACCCCTTCTCTTCGATCTCTTCCCAGACGGACAAGCACATTCTGCATTCCATGCTATAAACCCATGCACCATCGTTTCCGGGCACCTGGAGGCCCATTCCAACCACGTTCCTTCACAAACACTACCTGGTATATCACACAGGCTCCTGTCTACAACTGTTCCTTGTCCATTCTCAGCCCCAGGGGGTTGGCTCGGGAGCCAGACGCGCGTTTGCGGCGTCGTCGACGAGCATCTTGGCGAGGTGACGCATGTGCTCCTCGCCCTTGGTCCAGTTGAGGAGGAAGCCGAGTTCGGTATTCACCCAGATATGCCAGGGAAGGCCCGGGGTCGGGGCCGGCCAGATGGGGTGGAAGAGCGAGTTGTCAACGCCAGACCACACAGCTGTTGCCAAGTCGTTGTGGTACCAAAATGTATGGAGCTCGGGGAAGGGCGGGGGGGCAAACGTCATGGGCAGGGACGTGGCCGGGTCGTCCTTGTTGTAGTTGCCACTCAGAATTCTGTCTCTCTCGCCAGCCAGCTGGGTGTAGCGGGCAACTTGGATGTGGAGGGCAGTCAAGAAGTTGACTTGGAGCGGGGAGAGGCGAGGAAGCATATTCCACATGTGGATGAGGGCGCCGACTTGGGGGTGGGGGTGCTGGAGTTGCTGGAAATGGGCGGCATGCTGGGTGAGGACCGGGACGTCTTCCTCGGTCCTGCCCCTCTTTGACGCCGAGGCAGCAGTCACTGGAGACGTTAGAGAAGTGTTCGAGACATAAAATGCTGAGATACTGCTCGGGATAGGCGGGAACGTCCCCGTGGGCAGGGATAGGTCTTGCCAACTCACCATCCTGTTCATCGTCCTCATTCTCCTCACTCTCAGTCTCCCCGCGCCTGCGCTTGTTGGTGTGCCTGACGTTCATGTTGGGGGCAATCAAAGCAGGAATATAGTTGATCGTATTGATAGACACAGGGCTGAGGATGGCAGTGGCATCGTCTGCATCTATCAGTTACTCTGAAGGAAGCACAGGTGCGTGGCGACGCTTGATGTCCACTGTCTCAAAACCGATGTACGTACCCTCGTCCTCAGCGTCCTCAACACGAGCACGCATGTCGACAGGCGTATTGATGCTATCGTAGGTCATTGTTGTAACCCGTTGCCATGTAACAGCGATTGTATGACGGGGGGAGAGACATGGTGGGGAAGACAATCCAGTGTACCAGTGTGGCGATTCAGATGAGTGGACTACTGGAGCGAACAAGCAATTTCAAATTACGTAATCACAAACTTGTCCCCTATGACCATCCCGACTCCACGACGTATCTTCAACAATGTAATGCATGCTATATCTACATCTCCTCAGCTGAACAGCTTGCCCACGCTGGTGTTGGTCTCGGCGCCGCGCTTGAGAACCTGAATGGGTCAGTAAGGAGAAAGAGATAAGGTTGGTCCGACCTCGAGCATTGGTGGCTCTCCGGCCCGTGTTTGGGCCATCTGCCAGCGCCCAATACCTCCAGGACCTCCAACATGCGCCGGGAGACGCTGTTTGGTGTGTTGCACGTACCTTCGACACCGCCATCTCAAAGTCCTCCTGGCCCACATACTGCCTACGCTCGCGAAGAGCGTACATTCCGGCCTCTGTGCAGATTCCGCGAACCTCGGCACCGGAACAGTTGCCCATCTTGTCGGCGAGGGAACGGAAGTTGATACCACGCTGCAGCGACATCTTGCGCGAGTGGATCTTGAGAATGGTGACGCGCGCGTCGGGGTTGGGAGGGGGGAACTCGATCTTGCGGTCAATACGTCCTGGTCGCAAGAGAGCCGAGTCGAGAATGTCGATACGGTTGGTGGCCATGATGACCTTGATGTTCTTGGTGGGCTCGAATCCGTCAAGCTGGTTGAGGAGCTCCATCATCGTGCGCTGCACCTCCGAGTCGCCACCGCCGCCGCCCTCGCCACCACGCGACGAACCGATAGAGTCGATCTCGTCCATGAAGATGATAGAGGGGGCGTGTTCACGAGCCATGATGAACAGCTCACGGACCATGCGCGAACCCTCACCAATGTACTTTTGCACAAGCTCGGAACCCGACACGCGAATGAAGCGGCAGTCGGTGTGGTGGGCGACAGCACGGGCGAGGAGGGTCTTACCCGTACCGGGGGGTCCGTACAGGAGGACACCCTTGGGCTGAGCGATACCGAGCGACTCGAAGAGTTCGGGGTGCTTGACGGGAAGCTCGATAACCTCCTTGATTTCCTTGATCTGCTTGTCGAGACCACCGACCATCTCGTACGTAGAGTCGGGAACCTTCTCCACCATCATGAGCGAGACGAGCGGGTCGACCTTGTTTGGCAGGATCGAGTGGAGGAGGTACGAGTCGGCGCGGAGAGCGACGCGGAGGTTGGGAGTGAGGGAGGAGATGGGGATATCAGGCGAGAAGTCGACAACGTACTTGCCCTCGGGCTGCACCTTGACAAGGACCTTCTTCTTGCCCATCACCTTGACCACCTCGCCGACGTAGCTTCCGGGCTCCTGGAGGACCTGGAGCTCCTCGCGCAGGAGACGCACTGGTCGTTAGCTAACCGTTGCCAGCAGGGGCAATGGCTCACCTCTTGTGTTGAGAGCATTGCGCTGGGCCTCGAGTCGCCTGAGGTTCTGAGTCTTCTTGGTGATCTCATGCTCGGCCGCCTCGATCTTGTTGCGGTAGTACGTCTTGAGACCGCCGCCAGCCAGCTGCACCTGGGACTTGGCGGGAGTCTTGGTGACCGTCGCCATCGCGGGAGAGGTCGAAGAGGAGCGGGGGAGGGGGAAGAGTCGAGTGGGGAAGGGGATGGGTTGTGCTGTTGGAGACAATGGAGAATGCGTGTGTATGTGAAGGGTGGATGACCGAGTGCTGATTCAATACGACACCCACACGCAGCGCTTGTCAATGATGCTGGTGGGTCTGGTGGTCGCAACGACGCGCACGCAGTGACGCTGCCAGCGACGGAAGCAAAATGGGGGCAGAAGGGAGAGGCAGCCCCCGAAGCGCTGGGCGGGGATTGCGGCGAATTGGCCCCGTGGCGAGAGGACGCGCTGGCCACCCATTCTGGCAGCCGACTTGGGATGACGAGCTCCACCTCATTGACATTGAGACACAACAGACAACCCCAAGCATGATCCTCAGGACTCTGTCAGCAAGGTGAGCTACAAGCCGTTGACGTTCAGCTAACGACCAGACTGGCGTTCTTCCTCGTCATCGCCGTCCTGGCCCTCACAGTCTCGGCATCTCCTTCGGTCTCGTCCGATGTCCACACCTTCCAGACGCGTGCACGAGCGGGCAAGAAGCCAAGCTACGTCGCCGAGCCCGCGGAGAACCTCGAATGCGAGCCGTTCGGAGAGTGCGAACCATGTCCAGAGGACGATGTGAGTAGAGGAGCTAACAGGCTATGTGGTAGCTGAGCAGTCACTGACCCTCGTCCAGCTGAAGCAGCCGTTCTGCATGCCCTTTGGGAACCGCCGACTGCTCCACTGCGTCCCCCGAGGAGCAGGAGCAGATGCGCACAAGATTCCTGCGTGGGAGGCATGCGGCAAGGTCGTCAAGCAGGAAAAGCACGACTTTTACAGTTTCATTGTGAGTGAGGCTCCTATGAGTTGATCCGCGTGGCCGTCAACTCGCCGTTCCGAACCTGACACACTGCAGACGTCCAATCTCCTCCTCCTGATTGTGTGTCTCGTCATTTATGGCGTGCGGACCAGCACCCTCGCGGCTCAGCAGTACCGCCAGCTCGCGGCGCGCATCGGTATTCCCAGCGGCGCATTCCAGGTGTAGCCCGCTGTCGGCTGTAATGCTCGTTCCCTCAGTCTCCGAGGACACTTGGACCACCTCGTCATTCAGGTCCGCCAGCAGAGACCCGATGTGGAATAGGGCGCCTCGCCTGAATCCTCGCAGACTGCAACTCTTTTGGAAGCCCGAGTGAAGACACATTGTTGTCGTCCCGTGGCCCTAGTCTCCGCTGACTGGAGCTCGTCTAGATGCCACACCTCCATAGACCAGGAGCTGTGCCATGTTGTATGCATGTAATGGGTATCCTAGTAGTTTGTTCGTGTGTCTAGGTCGTCTTGAGGAAGTTGGAAGCCTTGATTGCTGACCGGTTCCTGGAGCACAAAAGTCAGCTAAATCGACGAGTTGTCAATCAGCTGAACTTACTGAGCACGCAGACGCCTGCGCACCGCCACAAAGTCAGTCTCGCCCTTCTGCGTCTTGGATGTAGGAGCAGCGGCCTCGTCCTTGTCCAACAGAGTCCACAGCCAGGCGGGGTACTCCTCGTCCTTGAGCGCAACCGGGTCGTCCTGGTCCTTGAGCACCGACAGGCCCTCCATCTTGGTGCCTGCGGGGCAGATCGAGGCGGCTGCGGGAGAATCGTCAGCGATGTAAAGTCGACATGTGTAGTGCTCTGCGATGACCTTGTAGAAGCGCCGCACAAGTCTGAGACAGCGTACGGCGCTTCCAGGTGGCAACCTAGAGAACAACAATGACATACGTCGTGCTTTGATCTCGCTCTTCGCAGGGGCAGGGGCAGCGGCGGCGGAGGCGCGCAAGGCCGAGGTGGAGAAGGGAAGGGCGGCACGGGCCGAGACCTGGCGGACGGCGACACGGGAGACGGAGGCGAACATGGTGCTTGGAAGGAGTGTTGTTGGTCGTCGACGGAGCATCTCGACATTTTCAGTGGACCCGACCAGCAACGAAGTGGATCGGCAGCGCCAGGAAGTGATATATACGTGTAAATTATATTCACGTTCAAACCACGTGGCTCTGGTGCCTGAATTGATAAAGGCTCATTTCGACCGCGAGCGCGTCGCGTCGAGGTGCCATGTTGACGCTCCGTTGCGTGTTTCCTCCACAAACAATCACTCAAACAACACCACCCACCACCATGGACGCAGCGCCGGACGCAATCACGACCGTGCCCTGCCACCTCGCGGGTGTGACCCGAGCGTGCTACTCCCCAGATGGCTCGTAAGTGGCACGCACTGGGTCTCCGTGGTTCTCGGCGTCGTAACCCAGAAATCAATCGCGTCCAGCCAGGACCTGTTTGGTGACTTGCTGACTTGTTAGAACAATCTACACTGGTGGTATCGACTGCCTCGTGCGTATCCATAACACGGAGCTGCCCGACTCGGAACCCGGCTTTCACGACAACCACACGGAGGCTGTCACGTCGCTCAGTGCAAGCCGTGACTGGCTCGTCTCTGCGTCGCTCGACAACATTGCGCGTCTCTTCACGTGCCCCGACGACGACTTTGAGGGATATGTGACGCGTTCGCCCGGTGTGCCCATTCGTTGGGTTCAGATCGACAAGCAGGGCGAGAGGGTAGCTGTGTGCAGCGAGTGAGTAGGCAATACCATCCAGCAGGCAGGGGGCGCTGGGGTAAGACGGCAACCAGGTTGCTGACTGGCAGCGACTTTCTCGTCAAGATCGTCCACGCCAAGGACACTTCCCGCGTCAGTCTCCTCTCAGATAACACCAAAGCCGTCCGTTCGGCAGCTTGGGACCCTTCGGGCAAGTACCTCGTCACCGCTGGATGTGATGGCAAGATCAAGATTTACGACACGTCCGGCAGCACGCCCGTGTGCGTCAAGATCATGGAGGGCGTGATTGCACCGAGCGAGGCAGAGTACGTACAAAAGGGTACTGTGGCTTTACCCTACTGATACATTTTTCAGCGCAGAGACTTCAGTGTACGCTGCCTGGCACCCCAACGGCAGGTACTTTGCCGCCCCATTGCGCACCAACGACATTGGCCTCATCAGCACTGATGGCTGGACCAAGTCGATAAGCTTTGCCGACGGACACGTCGCACCCGTTAGCGAGCTGGCGTGGTCTGCAAACGGCAAATACCTTGCCTCGTCTGCCGGGCGTCAGATCCTCGTATGGAACACCGAGTCTCGCTCTGTGGTCGCCAAGCACACCGTCAGTGACAACGTCACTGGCCTTGTGTGGTCCCCAACTGCAAACATGCTCGCATTTACGGCGATGGACGGCGCATTCCACCGCTGGGCCGCGCCTGTGCCTGCTGACATGCCCTCTCCTGTCCTTTCCGAAGCCGCGCAGGCCAAGAAGGTCGACCGCCTGCTGGACGACGGCCTCTTTGGTGACGACGACGAGGACATGGAGGAGAATGGCGAGGAGCTCGGAGATGGCGAAGAGTTTGGCGACGACTGGATCGTTGATGACGTTGATGGCGGGTACGCCGGTGCCGACGATGACGAGGACAAGTGGACCAAGGGCCGTACCGAGGTCGTCAACGTGACCAAGGCGCAAGAATCGTTCGTTCCAGGATCGACCGCGTGGCGCAGTAAGAAGCGCTACCTCGCTTTCAACATGATCGGTGTCGTCGACGCGACGGACCAGGAGACGCACAACGTGGTCAATGTCGAGTTCCACGACAAGTCTGCGCGCCGTGGATACCACTTTGCCGACCAGAGCAAGTACACCATGGCGTCGCTTGGCGAACAGGGTATCGTCTATGCCGCGCCGAGTGAGGGTACGAGTGCATCCGTGGTTCACTACCGCCCGTACGACTCGTGGGCGTCGGCTGCCGACTGGAGTGTCTCCCTTCTTCCCGGCGAGAACGCGCTCGCTGTCGCTGCTGGAGGCTCCGCAGATGGTATGGGTGCTGTTGTCGCCGCTACTTCTAGCGGATACGTTCGCTTCTTCACGGCCTCGGGTATTCAGCGCTACATGTGGCGCCTTGGAGAGGAGGTCATCACCATGGCTGCTGGTCGCGATGACTTGCTAGTCGTCCACCGCGAGGGTGGTACGACGCTCGATGGCTGCCAGAACCTGCGCTACACCCTGATGGACTTGGATACATTCGACATTTTGCAAGAGGGCCGCGTGCCACTCCCACGCAAGGTCTCCCTCAGCTGGGTCGGCTTTGGTGCCGACGGTGCTCCCGCAATGTACGACTCGGCCGGTCTTTTGAGCGTCCTGGACAGGTACCGTCGTCCGGGCCAAGCACGATGGGTTCCCCTCCTCGACACCACCTCGCTCGCCAAGCCCGGTCGTCGCGAGACATATTGGCCTGTTGGTATCAGCGAGGCCAACCTATCCTGTGTCATCCTCAAGGGAAACGAGACCGAGCCGTGGTTCCCCCGTCCGCTTGTCCAAGAGCTCGAGCTTCGCATGCCTCTTCTCGGTGTCGAGAACGCTGCTGGCGCACTGGAGGAGAGTGTCGCACGCTCCCGCGTCGTGGCGTCGCCCACGAACCTCGAGGCGGGCGTTGCTACCGACCGCCAGCTTCTCCAGCTCGTCCAGAGCGCATGCAAGGCCGACCAGCTCGCTCGTGCGCTCGACCTGGCGCGCATGATGAGCAGCACATCCACTCTCGATGCCGCGCTCAAGCTGGCCAGCTTCTACCACCTCCCCGGACTGCAAGAGAAGATTGCAGACGTCAAGGCCGCAAAGTCCAACCCATCTGCCTCCAGCCGCAGGGTGTTCCATCGCGAGCGCGAGGTGTCACCTAGGAAGGATTACGCTGAGCGGTCGGACAGGAAATCGGATGCCGCGCGCCAGTTTGCAGACTTTGCTCCTGGTGGAAGGAGGAGGACGTTTGGTGGTCGCTCAGCGCACGCGCCAAACACCCCTCTCGACAGTCCTGGCCCTGGTTCGCGCGAAGTTGTGCCAGAAACCCCAGGTGCCGACGACGACATGGACACCTACGCAAATGACACGTTTGACGGTGCGCCCGACTCTTTCTCCGCTTCGACTGCCGCCCTCCCCACATTGCCCTCGTTGCCGACTACCAAGCGCCGCCGCGACGACGATGACGACGACCACACAAATTTCCCACCTCCCCCGCCAGCCTTCGCTCCGCGCTCGGAGAACACGGCGCCCAAGAACCCCTTCGCCAAGAAGACTGCGGGCGGAAGTAACAACCCATTCTCCAAGCCGACGCAGGCGACTGCCAAGCCGCTGGACTCTGTCAAGAGCACGAGTTTCTTTGACCGCGTTGATGTCATTGAGGCCAACAAGTGTAAGTACCGAGCTTCGCGAAAATGAGAGCTGTCCGTCGGAGCTGACATTTTCTTCTCAGCCAAGCGCAAGGGCACAGTCGCCAAACCTGCAGCCAAGGGCAAGCAAATGACTCTCAACGCCATGCGCCGCCCTGCCCCAGTCACGCGCGACAGCATGACCGAGACGGAAACCGACGGCGGCGACACCGCGATCGACGAGGAAGAAGAGACGCCTGTTGAGAGTGACGTCCCACACGGCGTGCTGGAGGAGACGCAGGTGCAGGAGACGTTCGTCGATGAGGATATGTAGACAACCACGCCCCGCCAATATGTGCTTATTCTTGAGTATTCATCCCACATGCCATCCCCGTGTACAGTAACATCAAAATCGATAGTTTCACGGCAGAGGCCACCGAGATCTATGGGTTGTTCCATTCTGTTTTTGTTTTGTTTTTTTAACCATGGGAGCGGTGTTGCTTTTCTCTACTGTCGTCGTCGTCCGCCTTGGCGCAAAATCGTGAGATTCATGGGCGGGACTAGCACTCGCTCCCGAGGCTGCTATCTCGCTCTCGCTAGCTCTATGCCTCAATGACGCCCACGACGATACCAGCCATGAAGATCTCAAGCGAGTCGTTGTACTCCTCCGTGGCCCACGCGTCCATGTCCATCAGCCACTTGGAGGCGGGCATGTCAGGGCCGCGGCGCGATGCAGTACCGGGGACCATCTGGTTGATGTCTGGAGAAAAGGGTATAATGTCAGCTCACTTGTTCTGCGAAGACCGAGCTACACGTACCAATGGCACTCCAGTGGATGTTGAGTTTCTCGCCTTCCTTGAGGTCCGAGACGGTAAACTCGAGCTCGAGCTCGTGCTCGTCCACCGAGGTGGCCGACTTGATGTGGTGCCTCTTCTTGCCCGCCGGTGGAGGGATGCCAAACTTCCAGTCGGAAATCTCGGCCACAAACGCAAAGCTGGGCCACGCGAGACCGGCGTGCTCGAGCGAGAGGTGGATGCGGGTGCCGTTGGCGACCTGGGTGCGGGTGACCTTGTGCTTGATGCCCGGCCATTCAAACTCGACAGGCTCCAGGGGCCACTTGTATGTGATCAGGAAGGAAGAGACGGGGTAGAGCGTGTCCCAGTCCGAGTTGTAGTCGTCAAGAACGGTGGGCACGAGTTCGGTTCCTTGGCCGTAGCGGGCATGAATCTCGTTGACGAGCTTTTCGTTACCGGGAAGGTCCATAAAGGCCAAGTGAGCGGTCGGGGTGCCCGTAGTGTGGTTGTAAGTGTACTGGACAGCCACGCGCTTCTGGTGGGTAGCGTCGTACGGCGACCACCAAGGACCAGCGAACAGGACCACGACCGAGATGAAGGCGACAGCAAGGCCGGCGAGCGTACCGCGCTGGCCGGGGCGCGAGGCGCGAGCGAAAAGGGGCACCATGATAGGGAAGAAGGTGAGCGTGCAAATGGCCGTGATGCTGGCAATGAGAATCTCGTGAGGAGCGTCCTTGCCCATGCGACCCGTGAGGGGGACGAAGATGTCAAGGGTGGTGGTGTAGGCCTCGATACCAAAGCCGATGAAGAGGACCAAAGGGCAGACGTAGGCCATGACGAACGGCATGCTGTTGCGCTCCCAGACAATCCTGCGCACCTGGTGGAAGACGGCGCCAATCATCATGACACCGGCAAGCACGGCAAACACGTAGGCCGAGCGAATGCGGAACGACTGCAAGAGGAGCGAAGTGCCGCACAGGAAGAGGATCTGAGCGTAGTAGTGCGCACGCTCCAGACCTGAGCGGTTGACAGGTGAGAGGAGGCTGCCGAGGACATATTGGGTACCGAGGTGGCCAAAGATGGCGGCGGGGCCATAGAGTGCCACGCAAAGACCCTCGTGCGAGAACCATCCCATCTGGCGGTCAATGAGCATCATCACGCCGGCGATAACATTGGCAGAGACAAGACCGAAGACGATACCAAGGGGAGCGCCAACGAGGGCAACAGTGAAGGCCTTGATACCGTGGCCCGACAGGTTGGCAATAGCAAAGATGGCGGCAATGGCTGCGACGACGGCGTAGGCCTTGTCCGCTGTCTCCATTGTCCAGTGAAGGAAGATCCGATCGTACAGCGACATGTAGACGACATCGGGGGGCGACCAGGGCTTGTCGTTGTGGAGTGGCGACTCGGCGGACAGCAGATAATCGAGAATGGCCATCACATTGGTGGTGAAGTGCTGCGACGAGCCACGCTCAATGTTGGCAGTAATGTCCCTGGTGATGTCAGCGGCGAGCGACCAGTATCATTGTGCACACTCACTTGCGCGTGTGGTAGTAGTAGCTGTGGCCAACAATGGCCATCTGTCCGCGTCAGTACGCGTCCCCGGACGTTAACAATTACGCCAGGCACTCACGTCGAGGCCGGAGACACCCTCGAGGTATTCTTCAAACTGGCCAAAGTCGGTGCTGCATGGCGTCAGGAACCGCAGAAGGAGGTCAGGTGAACTCACTCTGAGAGAATAATGCCAGAGGAGAAGACGTCGTTGGCGATAACCGTTCCTCGGGGGCTGGTGGGTCAGCAATGTCGCGTAATGACTGCCGGCGGCGGTGGCGCCTCGGAGTCTCAAGAACCAGTGACGTCGCCCTCAATTGGGATTCCAAGGACTCACTAAGGAGCGTGCCAAAATGCCTCAATCATCTCACGAGACGTGGCCTGGAAGAGCAGAGCGCCGCCAGTCGTGCCAGCAGCCTCGAGGTTAATGACGGCCTTGACAGTGTTGGCGCTCTCATGTTGGGTGGAGTACAGGTGCGAGCCGTCCTGAAGAGTCTCCTCGCCACCGTTCCACACTGACCAGTCAGCGCTTCCGTACAGACATTTTGTCTTTTCTCACTGAAGATGACCGAGTTGTCGAAGGGTTCGTTACGCTCAATGAGAACGCGGGCAATGTCCAGCATGACGCCGACACCCATGCCGTCACTGTGCACAGCGTCAGTGGAGCCCAAGAAGACCGAAAGGGTGTGGGACTCACTCGGCGGCACCGGGAGATGGAAGCGTAGAATCAATGTGCGAACCGAGGAGGACCGAGTCCTTGCCAGGAGCCTTGCCTGAAGGGGGGTTCTTGGCCGAGATCTTGAGAACGACGTTGGTGATACCGGAGTACAGCTTAAGGACGTCGTGGCTCATGATCGAGAACCTAAGAACGTCAGCAGTTGGTCTGGTCCAGTTTGGCCATCAGTCGTACAAGCGTACTCACATGTGATAGCCAGCACCCGTCTGCACCCAGACCTCGCAGTCGAGGACGCCGCCAGCATCGCAGCGTTCCTTGAGAGCGCGGGCCTCAGCCTCGACATACTTCTCGCCGAGGACGGCTTCGTATGTGCCGACAGTACGGTAGCCAATGTCCTCGAGCGCCTGAATGTGCTTGAGGACAATCTCCTCACTGGGCTGGGTACGGCCGTTGGCATCACTGTAGAGTAAGCGAGAGGTCCTTCTAACCAGAGGGAGATGTTTGTGAGAACTGGTGGGAACATACTAAGGAGGAAGAGGCTCGGGGAGGGAGTAGTGCAGCTTCGAACAAAGGAAGGGGACAATGGTGAGGAGGGGGACGAGCCACAGCCATGGTGTGCGCTCACGGCGGGGCTCTGGTGCCCTCTTGCCCGGAGGAGGGGCCATGTTGCGAGATGGAGAGAATGGGGTGAGATGGGATGGATGATGGAGGCAACACAGGCCAGCCCGTCATCGCCGTCGTCACCGTCAGCGAGAATGCACCCACGCCACCCAGCGCCGGTCCCAACGTCCTTTTCGGGCCCCGCAAAATGGGAAATTTCGGCCCTCACCACCATCCTCCCTTGCTGTTGTTGTCACTACGATCACTACCTTGCCCCCCTTTTCATGCTCCCATCCCCCCCGGCAGCAACAAGAGTACTCCGCTCCGTCATGTCCCGCTACGCCGAGCTCTCCCGCGAAGAGCTCGTTGCCCGCCTCGCAAAGTATGAGGCCGGCGGCCCAAGCATTCCCAAAGCAAAGCCGGCACGTCCAGAGGCCGCGGACCAGCGTCCCTTCAACTTTGCCGCCAGCGCAACGCGTCACATCGCCATCCTCGTCTCGTACCAAGGCTGGCCGTACTCTGGACTGGCGATCCAGCCTACTAGCGGCTACCCTACTGTCGAGGGAGAGCTCCTCAAGGCGCTCGAGAAGACGCGCCTGATTGAGGAAGGGACTGGATGGGAGGGTTGCGAGTTTGGACGTTGTGGACGTACCGACCGCGGCGTGTCGGGTGAGGGCCAAGTGCTTAACCTCTGGGTTCGATCTACACGCAAGCCCGATGATGGCGGTCACGACCTCGGCGATGCGTGGCGCGCACCTCTTGAGGAGAAGAAGCCCCGCGTTTCCAAGCCCCAGTCCGACTCGCCGCCCCCATCCCCCAAGGCTGTCGCCAAGGCCCTCAAGAAACAGGAGAAGGCCAAGGCCACCACCCCGGTCGAGCTCAACTACCCCCGCCTTCTCAACTCTGTGCTTCCCGACGCCATTCGCGTCCTTGCCTGGTCTCCCGCTCCGGCTGACTTTGACTCGCGCTTCTCATGTGCCCACCGTCACTACAAGTACGCGTTCCACCGCCATGCCCGCGCCGGCGGTCCTCCCCTCGACCTTGACCTCATGACCCAGGGAGCTCAGAACCTGATTGGCGAGCACGACTTCCGCAACTTGTGCAAGCTGGACGGGTCCAAGCAGATCGAAAACCACTCGCGCCGTGTCATGAAGGCGTGGTTCGTTGAAGACGAGCAGCCCGACATGATCATCTTCAACCTCATCGGCACCGCCTTCCTGTGGCACCAGGTGCGACACATCATTGCCGCCCTTTTCCTCGTCGGAACTGGTGTCGAGCCACCCTCGCTGATCTCGGACTTGCTGGATGTCGAGCGTTTCCCCGGAAAGCCCACCTATGTCATGGGCAACCCCTTGCCCCTCACCCTGCACGAGTGCGCATACCCTGTCGACTCGGGCCTCGACTTCCGCTACGGCCCCTATGACGGACCATGGCAGTCGCTTGCTGGCGAGGAACGTGAGGCTGCTCGCGCACAGGCTGAACTGGGCCGCGACGCGATGGAACGCGCCCTCGACCAGCAGAGGCAAGAAGCCGAGATCCGCGCGTGGCAGACCGGAGGTGCTCTCCGCCGTTTCCGCGACGTCCTGGGCCACAGCGACCACGTCTCGTGGAACGGCACGTTCTACCCCACAGGCGCTGGTGAGCTCCAGGTCACCAAGCACTACACACCGGTCACCAAGCGTCCTATGGGTGAGACACCCGACAACGTCAATGCCAAGTGGCGCGAGCAGCGCGGTGTTCGTCGCGCAGAGGTCTACGCGACCAAGCAGGCCGCCAAGGAGAAGGCGAAGGAGGACAAGGAGGCGGCCAAGGCCGACAAGGCCGCTGCCCAGTCGGCACAGGACGAGGCGTGCGCACGAGTTGCAGGCCTCGACCTCGACACGGGCAGTGCCTAACTTGGGTTTTAGACTAGACAGAATGCTACTATTACATGCATGCCACTCTCTCACTGAATCCCCACATCCGCCCAGTGTATCAAGGTCTTTCTAGTTGCCCATCATACGCATACGGTCCGGGTGCACACCGCCACCCTGGCCGCCTTGCTGGTAGTGCTGCTGCTGCTGCTGCTGCTGCTGCTGACCATAGCCACCACGGTCTCCACGGTCGTCGCGGCGGTCGTTGCGACGGTCACCGCCACGGTCATCACGACCACCACGGTCGCCACCCTGTCGCTGCTGTTGAGGAGGGAAGGGGGGCATGGCACCTCCAGGAGGGGGGAAGGGAGGCATCGCGCCGCCAGCGGGGGGGAAGGGGGGCATCGCGCCGCCGGCAGGTGGGAAGGGGGGCATGCCACCGGGGCCGCCGCGTGGGGGGAAGGGAGGGGTAGCGGCAGGAGGACCGCCTTGGAACGGGGGGTAGGCAGGGCCTGTGGAGTCAGTAATCTCACTTGTCCCGGATTATCATCTGTACTCACCGCCTGGAGCAGTTGCCATGGGGTTCATGAATCCAGCACCGAGACGCATACTGGGTGCGGCGAACATCTGAGCACGGCCACCGCCCTCATGCGAGTTGACAATGTTGTCGATGGTGCTCTGAGTCCTGTCGGGGCCGAGGTTGGCAAAGTAGTCGCGAACGTTGGAGATGTGGTTGCGACCGGTGTTGTGCGCCTTGCGCGCGTTCATCGAGTCGTGCGTCCTGCGAGCGAGGTTAGAGGGTGAGGTTTGTTGTGGGCGAGGGAGGGCAACCAGCTCGGCTATAGCTCACAAGTAACTGCAGGTCAGCACATGAGCTCAAGAAGTCACTTACATGTCACAGTAAGTAAAAGGCCAACCCAGCCGCCATAGACAAAACGCCAAGGACCAGAACGGGGAAAGGCCAAGGACGAGGACGGGGACGAACATCGGTTGAAGAATCACACGAGGAAGAACGGGAAAGCAGCAGGGATGCCGTCAGCGCTCGGCCTTGAACAGGATAACGTCGGAATACTCATTCGCAATAGTACTTGCCCATCTTGTCGATATTGTTTGTGGATGGAGAGGAGTTGTTGGATGGGCCCAAGTCACTGGATCAAAGATGGAATCGTCCACAGCAATTTGATTCCGTCCATCACTCTGAGGCACGTCCCAAAGATCAACATGCGACCCACCTCCACCTCGTTGCTCACGCAACCAGAATGCATTGAGAAATCTACCTTGTAAAAGAAATAGAGAGAGAGAGAGAGAGAGAGAGAGTATACTAGATTGAGTTGAGTCTAATCCATAGATTTGAGTTGAGTCTATTCCATAGTGAGGGCGTCCTGCAGGCCAGCGACCTCCATCACGCCGCCAACGAGGTGCAGCGATCCCGCAACGAGGACACGCTTCTCGCCCAGCGGGCGAACAATGTTCACAGCGTGCTGAATCGAGGGGACGGCATGCACGCGCTCGGCATCAAAACCGGGGTTAAGCGCAAGCCAGGCGTCACGGAGTGCGCGTTGAGTGGCGAGGGCGGCAAGGTCGTCGGGGTCAATGGCGGCAGCAGTGAGGTCACCCTTAAAGTGGCCGTCGGTGTAGGTTACATTGGTGCAGAAAATGGCGGTGTCAAATGTCTTGCCGAGCTCGGCGGGGGTGGTGCCAGCTGTCTGGGCGCCAGCCTCAAGGAGGGTGCCGAGGAGCTGCTCGGCCTGACGGCCACCAGAGCAGTTGAAGATGAGAACGTTGGGAGCACCGCCAGTGTTCTTCTCCCAAGCCCACTGGCCACAAGACTGGAGCGACTCCACGGTGTGCGCTCCGTCCAGCATCCAGGTGGTCTCACCCTGAGGCACGGTCTGACAGCGCCCGGGCCACTTTGTGTCGGCGAGCGGCTTGACAAAGGAAGCGGGGAGGACATCGTCGACGTCGGCAGGCGTCTTGCCCTCGGCCTTGAGGAATGTCCTCGACAGAGCAACAGCGAGCGACGCGTTGATGCGCTGATGCTCGCCACGGAGACCGAGAGGGGTAGAGGGGATCATAGGGACGACCTCGAAGGGAGCCTGAGGGGTCAGCAGATGTAGCGGGTGCATAGCTGCGGCAAGCACTCACGCCGACAGCGGCAGCACACTCAGCAAGAACCTCGCCACCAGCCTCCTGCTTCACACTGAGAGCGGGAACCCCAGTCTTGTAGATGCCACCCTTGTTCTTGGCGATTGACTCGATGGTGTTACCCAAGACGGCAGTGTGGTCCAGACCGAGAGCCGAGATACCCGCGACGATAGGCTTGGGCACAAGGTTGGTTGAGTCGTAGGTACCACCAATACCGACTTCAAGGACGGTAGCGTCCACGCCCAGTGAGAGGAAGGCGTGGAAAGCAAGAAGTGTGAGCAGACGGAAATAGATGGGGAAAACGGGAGTGTGGTCGGTCAGCGTCTGCACCAGGTCAGCCATGTCAGACGCTTGCACACGTGTACGGACCTTGGGGTCAGCCTCAAGACGCTCCCACACCTCAAAGAAGAACTTGGCAAACTCATCCTCTGAGAGGGGCTCGCCGTTGACGCGGATACGCTCGCGGACAGCGCACAAGTGGGGGGAGGTGTAGAGACCTGCATGTCAGGGAAGGTCGAGACCAAACAATGTGGATACGCACCAATCTTGCCGCCAGCAATTTGAGAGCGCAGGATACGCTCAGTGAAGGCCGAAGTCGAACCCTTTCCCTTGGTACCAGTGACGTGCACGACGTTGAGGCGGTTCAAGTCGTCGGGCTGAATGTCAGCTGGTGGTCGCAACGAAGACTACCCACCTGGTAGCCAATACGGCGAAGGTAGTCAACCATCTCCTTGACAGCCCAGTCGTTCAGGCGACCGCCCGACTTGCGAATAGCCTCAATACTGAATATCAGCGTGATTCGTCTACCTAACCGCCTGCTCAACGGCCAGCTACAGGCTCCCCATCGCTGTCCCTCGGATTGCAGGGACAACCCCAACGCTCGCAGACTCGAGTAGACTCACGTGGCAGCATTCGACTGGCAAGTATTGAGCAGCCTAATGGCCTCCTGTCACTGTCAGCTGGGATACATCCCGCTCCACTAAGCTCACCGAGTAAGACCTTGTGCGCGCCATCCTAACCAGTGAGGGGAGCATGAGTGAGCGCGTGGAGCCGAGATTTCAATCGATTCAATCGACGCTTGGTGCCTTCGTTATCAGTCACCTGTCGCAAAGTGCTGTCGAGATCACGTGATCCACTTTGAAATGTCGGACATTGTTGACGGTCTGGACACCTTACCATTGTCCCCCGTCCTCTCTCCATCTCTACACGTTCCCCATGGCCCTCCACCAGTCCAGGAGACACCTCCCGCGCCTCCTTGCATGTGCGAGGACAACACCTTTCCGCGCGGTTCGGTACAATAGCTCGCCTGCAGCTGCTGCGGAGCCGGCTACCTCGCCGAGGACTGTGCCGTCCTTCTTCACACCTGCAACGGGAGACCTCAAGCCGTTCTTCGTCACCACGCCCATCTTCTACGTCAATGCTTGTGAGAACAACTTTGATGATTTGCAGAAGAAGCTAATGTTCCAGCCCCTCACATTGGCCACCTCCACTCGGTCGTCTTGACGGACGTCTTTGCCCGCTTTGCTCGTCTGCGTCATCCTCAGCGCGAGGTTGTCTTCTGTACCGGCACGGACGAGCACGGTCTCAAGATTCAGCAGGCAGCGGCCAAGGCTGGGATCTCTGAACATGCTTTCTGTGACGATGTTTCGCAGCGCTTCCGCGTAGGTTCCCATATTTGATTCTCGACCTAACAGCTCAGGACCTCTCGGACAAGGCCAACATCTCATACACCGACTTTATCCGCACCTCCGAACCACGACACTACCGCGCTGTTGAGGCGTTTTGGGACAAGCTGGTCAAGTCGGGTGACATCTACAAGGGTCGCCATGAGGGATGGTACTCCGTCTCGGACGAGTGCTTCTACTCGAACAAGCAAGTCGAGTCCAAGGACGGCGAGATGATCGCCCTCGAGACTGGCAACGTTGTCACTTGGCAGGAGGAAGAGAACTGGAAGTTCAAGCTGTCCAACCACGCGGACAAGTTGGAAAAGTGGCTCGAGAACGAGGAGTGTGAGTTACAGGCACACTGCAATATGTAGCTGACTTTCAGCCGTCTCCCCGCCCCAGTATCGCGCCGACATCCTCAAGCAGGTTCGCAACGCTACCGAGCTGTCCATCTCGCGCCCTGCCTCGCGCGTCAAGTGGGGAGTCCCTGTCCCTGGCGACCCCAACCAGACCATCTACGTCTGGGTCGACGCTCTGATCAACTACATCACCGTCGCCGGTTATCCCGGTGCCCATGCCGCCTGGCCCCCCGAGATGCACCTCGTTGGCAAGGACATCATCCGCTTCCACGCTCTTCACTGGCCGGCTCTTCTCTCCGCTGCAGGCGAGGAGCTGCCAAAGCGCGTGATGGCCCATGCACACTGGACCATGGGCAAGGCCAAGATGTCCAAGTCTCGCGGTAACGTCGCCGACCCTATTGCCGCCATGGACAAGTATGGCGTCGATGGCGTCAGGTGGTACCTTATGCGCGCTGGTGGTGCACTCGCAGACGACGCAGACTATAGCGATGAGGAGCTGGGAAACAACTATGCCCGCCTCAAGGACCAGGTTGGCAACCTCGTTGGTCGCATTGGCTCCCGTGGACTCCTCAAGAAGGTTGGCGACTGGAAGCCCGAGGACCGGGATGCCTCGATGGACGCTCTCCTCTCCACCTTTCGTGACTCTTATGAGACGCGTTTCGAGGCCTACGAGCTCACCCAGGCCGCGTCGAGCCTCATCGGCCTCATCGAGGAGGGTAACCGCTTCTTCACCGCCAAGAAGCCCTGGTCGGTCGACGACGGTACCGCCGCCATTGTGTACGCATACAACGCTCTGCGTCTCGTCGGTATCCTCGCCCAGCCCATCATGCCCAGCAAGGCTGTGGAGCTTCTCGACCGTCTCGGCGTGCCAGCCGACGAGAGGTCATGGGAGAACGCCGCCTGGAGCCCCGAGACTGTCAACACGCAGCAGATGGTTGAACGTATCGCTGCCGCCAGCAAGTCGTTTGCTGGTACATCACTGTTCCCCCCCGTCGAAGAGGAGAAGGTGAAGGTGACAATGATGTTGAGAAGGCTAGGGCCGAAGCGAAGGTAGCCAAGGAGAAGCAGAGGGCAGAGGCCAAGGCACGTAGAGAGCAGAACAAGAAGAAGGCGACGGAGAACAAGGAGACGGCAGAGGAGAAGAACGACGTGAAGGCCGAGTAAATTCATCTACGGCGAACAAAGGAGACAGTAGAGCATTGCATCATGTACACCTCTCAATTTTGGGATGGCGGAGGCTTTCGCTTATTGACAACAGGAGGTCGGCCGGAGCATTGGACGCCCTCCACCTGCACCTCGCCACCATTCACAGGAAAACGGGTGGTCCTTGGGCCCACATTGTTCTCGACTTCCCACTCACTATCGCTTACCTACCCGTCGCTACCTCATCAACGTCATGGTGGGTGCCATTGTGGGACGTGCTGTTAACCTGGGTGCAGGGAAACGCATTATCATGTGTTGCCCGCAAATCGACCGACGAACTCCCACGTACCATTGCACGTCAACAGGACACGAGCATACCAGGCCAAGACAACACGGCTACTACAAGCCAGTACGGTGCCACCCCTCAGCCCACAGCTTCTTGCTCACCTCATGAGCCGAGGTCACAGGCCCCTGATGGCCCACGGAAGAACGTCAACCCACCCCCAGCGGTCCCGGAAGATGTTATCGCCTGTATTTTGGAGTACCTACCACGCCGCCACCTCTATCCCTGTCTTCTCGTCAACTCATCGTGGTACGCCCTCGTCTTCCCGATTCTGTACGCTTGCGTGCGTGACAGGCAACGACTTCGAAGCCTGCCCGGACCGCATGGAGCCGCGCTCCGCTCTCGCTTTGGTGGACCAACCAGCAGACGACCTCTCCTCCGTCGCGAGTGGTGGGAGTGGGTCACAATGCTCCAGATTGAAGACTGGGAAGACAGGCCGTCCCTCGAGATCAGCAAGTTCCCCCGATTGCACACTTTACGACACGATGGAATTACCCAGCCGCCTTCCAATGGTTTGGGACCAATGATCTTAGACTCCTATCAGGTGCCTCCACAGATCCAGACACTTGTTATTGGCGTTGTCGCTCCCATATCGTTTTTTTCGAGTGGTGGTTTCTCTTCGTGCCTTGTGCCGAAACTATCGCGTCCCTTGAGTCATCTCGTTCTCCTTATCAACGAGTACAGCGAACACGAAGAGGCCATTCTCAAGTACTACCTTACTCCAACAAACCAGCTTTGGCTACACCTCACGATCATTTTCCGACCACCAACGGCATATCCCGAGCCCTACCCGCGCCCCAAACCAACACCTCCGAGCTGCCTGCACTCCGTTAGGCCATTACCAAGACTAAGTTCCGACGACGTGTCGGCTGGGCGGACAGTGAAGGTTGTCAATTGGTCAAAGGGTCCACGTTTACCAGGTGACCGGCCCAGCCTGTTTGACGTATTTGACGTGGGCCCAACCAATCCGAACGTTGTCTTTAAAACTATCAAGGAGTACCTCGATGAGGATGACTGGACCGACATATTTGAGCCTGATGACGTGCAGAGGTATCTGCGCAGCCTGGACGCCGTTGCCTGAGACTTGTATGATTGGTGAGGACTATGACCTTTGAAACTGCTGTGAGCAATGTGACACCTGTAACTATGCACCTGCAGCTTGCATTCGACTCGCCTGGTGAGGCGATGTTCCGCACAGTACTGGCATCTATTACGCGTGGGGCGTAGGGTGTTAGGGGGTAAGGCGTAGAGTGTGCAGGTGTTGGGAACGAAGGAGCACAGACCGTATTTATGGAGATAGGTGTGAAATGCCTCGTTGGCGCGATCAAGGAAGAGGGGATATTCACCCAGCTTGTGTGAAGAGCTTTTCGCGAGGAAGACGGGCGTGTTTACAAACTCAGGACAGCATTGAATGCACTCAAGGTCCGTGGCCAGTAATTCCTCGAGGGAGTCAAATGGGAGGACGCCGCGGGTGAGCAAAGAGCGGGCAAGCGAAGTTCAGAGGGCGGTTCGCCGGATTGTGAATGTGATCATGAGGCGCTTGCCCTTGTTGAAGCCCTTCCAAGAGGTAATAACAGGCGTGACGATAGAGCCGGTAGTTTTGTTTGTGGGGTCTCGCTGAGGGTAGAAGAAGACCCGCTGAAGAAGGACGAGTGGGTATCAGCCGGCGATATCATGTACTGAAGATGCGAGACACGAGACACATACAGTACACCCCAAGAACTCGTCTGGGTGGGCTTTGGTGGCCAGCAGTGGCGAGTCACGGCCTGCCGTGAAGAGGAACAAGACCAGTTCAGCATCTTCCTGGACAGCCTGGACGTCGTCAGTTGATATTCAATGGGCTGCTGTGTGGAATAGCTTACGAGCTCAAAGTTGTTGCCATGGTACGCGTAAACGGTGGAGATGATGTCACGCAGCTCGAGGGCGCGTAGGTCGAGTTTCTGCTTGTTGGCCACTCGGGTTGAGGATGGTTTTCTGTTCCGGGTTTGTTCAATGCCTGACCGGTTGAACGGTCCATCTTCCTGGATTGGAGGACACGGATGGTCAAATTCCGTCCCAGGCGAGCTGAGGACGAGTACATATGTCAGTAGTGAACGAACGAACCGGTGGCAGAGGGCGTACACTCACACACGATGGTGGACTTGTCGGCCTCGGTGCCAACGACATGGTAGATGCCATCAAACAGCTCTGGGTGCTGCTGTGAGCCAATATTATGAAGTAGAGGACCTCGCGTTGCCAAGCGACTCCTTGTGTGGGTGGTCACTGGCAGAAAAAAGAAAGCAATCGCGTGCCCTTATGGTGTAGTCGCTATCATACTTCCTTTGGGTGTACGCTCGTTCGACAAGGTCGATACCGGGCTCTACAACAATGGAAGTGGTCCTGGGTTCAAATCCCAGTGAGGGCCTTTGCTTTTGCATGTGCAGCTGGAATGTCCTCCTATGCATGGTTTTTGCTCTTGCTTGCTTCTTGTGGACTGGTTACGAGCGGCGGTGGTGGATGTTGCAAGTGCCACTTTCAGGCGTGGGCGACCACATTTTGGTTCCGTACCGTGCCAGCTGCATCATATCGTACATAACAGTGGAAACGATGTGAGGCAACAACGGGAAGCAGGGGAGTGGACTTGGCAGATCTGGGGGTTCTTGGACTGAGGAGTGACATATACGTTGTTGCATCAGAGAGAGTACGAGCTGCGGACCCTCTTCCACACGAGGACGTTACTGGACCATGAACAGAGAAACACAATGAAATAAAAACAACTTGGGCAACTTCCTCCACCCGCCACATCAAGGCATACACACCACCTTAGAGCTTGGCCTTGGGCTCAACAAGCTCGCCGAGGTTGTCACGCTCGTTGTACTTGACCCAGTCCTTGGCAATAGGAGCGTGGAGCATGTGGTCCTCGAGACCGAGAGAGTCGACAAGAGTCATGGCATCGGCACTGAGCTCGTGAATCGCCTTGGCGCGGTTCTCGGCAACCTTGAGGGCATCCTTGGGAGCCAGAATGCCGTTGGTGAGGAAGTAGGCTGCGTCGGCGTGGACAGTCTCCAGCAGCCAGACACGGAGTGCGAGTGCCAGAAGGGTGGCCGAGTGACCAGCAGGAAGTGAGGCGACGGCTTCGATGGCAGCCTCCATGGAGATGCGCTCGCCGTGGGCCTTTGCCAAGGCCTGGATGAGGTCGCTCTCGTGGTGCATCCAGGTGTCAAAGATGGCCTGGCCGTTCTTGGCGCCAGCCATGCGCTTGGCGAGCTCCGCAGCCATCCCCTGCTCGCGGATGTGGATCAGGGCCTGGAGGCTGGCGTCATCGTCGGCGCTCTTGAATGCGCCACGGGGGACGGCCTTGAAGACGACCCTCTTGGCACCGAGCGCGGCCAGGAGCTCCTTCGAGACCTTCTGCATGAGCACAGAGTTGTCTCCCTCGGCGGTGATGCCGGCGTGCGAGAAGCCCAGGTTGAGGCCGAACAGGTTGGCAGACAGGTAGCCTTGTCCACCACAGCGCTCGCGGCAGGTTGAGGTCGTGTTCTCAAAGTTCCATGTAATGAGGGGCTTGATCACGCAGCAAAGGCGCACAATCTCGTCAGCGGGGTAGTTGGCCTTGTTGGCCCAGCGGTACTTGATGTAGTTGAAGCCAAGGTTGAGGATGACGGTGCGGGCGAGGAGCGGAACAAGGGCATTCTGTTGCAATTGGTAGTCCATGATGGGTGTGTCGGCCTTGCCAGTGGGGCCCACCGAACGGCGCGATCCCGCGTAGCGGAAGGTGGTCGCGAGAACCGTCTTGGTTCCGCCAAGACACATACTAGCGATGCAAAGACGTCCGGCAAGGAGCTGGTCGGCAACCATGAGGAAGCGGGCGCGGCGGGCAGAGATGCTCGAGACGTAGTTGCCCTGGGCGTCGACGTCGGCGTACTTGTTGAGGATGTTCTCGGCCGGAACGCGCACATTGTGGAACAGGAGAGCGGCATTGTCCACACCCTGGTTGCCCATCTTGTGTCCCATCTCGCGCACCTCCACGCCGGGAAGGACAGCCATGGTCTTGTAGTCACGGATAGGGACGAGGAACACGTTGATTCCCTCGTGCTTGCCGTTCACATAGGTCTGCGCAAAGACCAAACAGAACTTAGCGTGCAGGCCACCAGAGGTAATCCAGTACTTCTGAGCGGCGGTAGTGGGTGTGTCGACAATCCACTCGCGTGTCTTCTGGTCGAAGATCGCAGTCGTCTCCATCTCAATAGCCGTGTTACCATAGCTGAGCTCGGTGAGGCCAAAGCATCCGACACCCTCCATCGTGTCAATGGCGTCGAGGTACTTGCGGTGGCGCTCGGTTCCGAGGTTGATCATGGTTCCACCAAAGAGGTTGATGAGGACCGTGAGCTTGGTGGTGTACGAAGGGTCCACCATGCCGGACACCTCGTGGGCGGCGATAACGTTGAGCGGGTTGCGCTCAAAGTCGTAAACCGAGACAAACTTGTTGCGAACGACAGCATCGAGACGCTCAAGCGCGAGATCGCGCTCCTCGTCAAAGGGAATGTTGAGGCGAGGGGTGAAGAGGGGGTCGCGGAGGAACTCCTTGTAGCGCTTGCGGTTGTCCCTGTTGTCTGGTTCAAGGAGCTCGTTGATTGCCCCAACGGCCTGCTTGTCAACTGGACGGAACACGGACATGGTGGGTGGTGTCTTTGGGTTGTGTGAGAGAAGGGGGAAAGCGATGGTGGAGAAAGAAAAAGTGATCGTTGCGACGCAAACGGAACGATGGGAAATGGAGACGACCCGGCAACCCAGTAACCCAAAGTAACCGGCCAGACCGTGCTTGTGACTTTTGCGGGACGAAAGTGGGAAATGACGTCACCAAATTCACGGAGCGCGACGCGTTCCGCGTTCGTAAACGTGCCCGTTGCTTCGAGTTTCTTGCATCTTGAGGTGTTACATGTTCCAGAAGGAATCTTTTCTCTCAACGGGAGGTGAACAAGACTGAGTTGAAACTTACCAATACAAGAATGAGTAGACTTGGGGAGACGGACAAATGACCGAGACGCTGTGACCCAGACACACTGGTCTTGACCCAACTATGGTGTTGGATCGCCTTGTCCTGCCCGTTGTCGCTCGTGTCGTCCTTTAGCCGGCCTTTAGAGAGATCGCAAACACATATGAGGAGACGAGCGTGCGGCGCGTGCGGACCGTGCGGGAAGCACTTCAAGCCAAGCAATACTATGTGTGTCTAATCGACGGCGGATTCAATAAGTCCGGGCTTCGGATTTACTAGGTGCCGGGAGTAGAATACGTAGCCGCTGTATCCGTCTACGTCTTTCCCATCTCACTCTCATCCTCATTCTCAGCTCTCTCACTCACCTCACTATCCAAATGTCCGAACAGACCCAAGTCAAGTCGTGCTGTGTCTCGGGCCACATCCACGAGGGAACCCCCAAGGGCAAGTTTGAGACTCTGCATGGCCTCAACACGTACGTCACGGGCAGCGGCGCGGCCACGATCGTGTTCCTGCCGGATATCTTCGGCATCTACCCCAACGTTCAGTTGCTCGCCGACACATGGGCTGAAGAGGGCGGCTGGCGCGTCGTTGTCCCCGACCCATTTGAGGGTGACGCCGTGAGCCTCGAGCATATCAACACGATTATCCCCAACCTGCCCATTCTCGACAAGCGCACGCCCGAGCAGGCGCAGGCCGACGGCAGCAAGACGATGGAGATCCTTGGCCCCTGGCTCGGCAAGCACTCTGAGGCCGTGGTCACGCCTCTTATCAACACCTTCTTCAAGGGTGTCAAGGCTGAAGGGTGCGTATTTCAACGAGGAGAAGGGCTGACGGAAAACAGTGGAAAGGTCGGAACGGTCGGATTCTGCTGGGGTGGACGGTACTCGTTCCTCGTTGCTGGTGCCGAGCCGCTCGTTGACGTCGCGATCGCCATGCACCCCTCGTTCCTGTCTGAGGCGGACGTCAAGGCTGTCACTACACCCGCTGCCATTCTTTGGGGCGACCGCGACGAGATCCTCTCGGCCGCGCAGCTCGACGATTTTGAGAAGATCCTCCGCACCGACCTCGGCGACGCAAAGGTCCTCATCAAGCGCTACAAGGACACCGTGCACGGATTCACTGTCCGCGGCGACCTTACCGACGACCGCCAGCGCAAGACCAAGGAGGAGTCGAATGAGGAGGCTATCAAGTTCACCAAGAAGGCCTTTGCGGGTTCTCTTTGAGTGTTGCAGTGCAGCCAACGCAGGTGCGGCCGGTCTAGCTCTGCATCAACGCAGGATGTAGAGATACGCAAAGCAGCGAAAGGTCGACGTGATAGGAATGAAATGTGATTGAAGCACTTGGCCGCCGCCGAACGTCACCCCCTAATCTTCTTCGTTGACGAGGCCACCATTATCACCAGCTAAAGTATCCTCGCGAACGGTATGCGTGAGGCCTAATATGGACAGGCCCACTCCTCCTCACAGGCTTGCATCTTCGCTCACTGGGAGGACATCGCGTGGTGCATGTCACTGCAAGGTCCCATGTCAGTTGTCAGACCCGCCAACTTGGCAGCGGGCGACACAGCCATGTCGTCCGGCCCGGCCGACGTGGGTGTTGTCTGTCCACGTCCTCATGGAGGCTGTTTATCTGGGCAAGCTTCAGGAGAACACAGTTTGCTAAACCTATGGGGCGCCTAAAGCTCATCATAGCAAACCCCCATAGCAGTTCCATGCCCAACACCATTCTCCGGCAAAAGGAATACTGAGAGCGGCTGCTACGTCTCCATGCAAAAGGGGAGCACTCCTGACGAGTGTCTGTTTTACTTCCTGACGGAGAATCGAACTCCGATCTCCCGCGAAACGCGAAGTCACGTGACAAGCGAGCATACTAACCGTTATACGATCAAGAAAGCCATGTTAATGTGTCATGTTAGAAACACGTGACCAGATTGCTTCCTTTGTATGATGTCAGCAGTCCCCCAAGCGCTACCTATATAAGATGATCTACCGCTAGTATGCCATGCATCTCCATTTCTCTTTCACTCTATACCTCATACCCTCGTTACCTCGCTGGTACTGTCTGCAACAGTACTAGTATCGACATCTGAGGCTCTCTTTTCTTACATGTCAGACCGGCATTGCCGAGTCCGTTGAGGTGCTACCTGGCTCGCTCCATATGCATCTGACGGTCAAGGCCGTGAGCACGCAGAAGGCGAAGCACCATTGTTTGACGTAAATAGGATCTATGATAGCCCGAGAAGCTTTGTTGTCGCTGTGGATTGCGTGTATATAGGAGGTCTGCCAGCATTACTCAACGCGCCCCCAAGATCCACTGAAAGGCAGGAGAGGGTGGTGCACACACGGCGCAACCCTGGAACCATGTACCATGGGACCGGGCATGGCTACGGTATCCCAATGGACCTAGAATTAGAGATACCTTCATGACCCGTGACCGTCTCGCGTCTAGTCCCCTCCATCCGCTTGGACAACATTGTTGCAGCCTCTGGGTGGGGAGTGGCCGTTGCCACCCTCCCCCAAGGCCTACCATGTATGCGACCGAAACAGCGTGCTACCCAAGCACCCACGATCCAGTGGACCCTTGCGACCGAGAAAGACCTTCAATAACCTACAAAAACGAAAGTAGGGGGCATTGTTTGTTTAACTGAGGGTGACCGAGGTGCGAAGGACTGCGCGCCGGATGACCATACCCACATCTCACCCACGCCATACCCATCGGCGGCAGCAAATATAGGATCAACAGTCCGCGTGCCGGGCCCCTAAGCATGGTTAACGGCCGCTGCAACATTGTTCTACTCTTCTCATCACCACTTGTCATCCTTTTTATCAGTCACATGGCCCCTAAACATCCTGCAGACCTGGGCATCTCGGAGCCCGCGGATGGGCTGTCCTCAACACCCGTCACAGACAAACCTCCTGAGCCGTCCGCTCACTCGTCGCGGAACTCGACGACGGCAGCCTTTGTTACAAGTGATTTGCCCTCAATGACGTCTCTCGACATGACTCTCAACATGCCCACCGCGAGCGTCAACATCCGGGGTGCGAGTCGGACTAGCACTAGTGAGGATCAGCAGTAGAGCAACGTTGGGACTTCTGAGATCTGACAAGCGCCAAGTCCGCACCGCCGGCCCCGTCACCATTGACCACTTGTGGTACCCACACATCATCGATTCTATCCTCCAGCACCCGCGCTCTTGGATTCCTATGCGTACCACTTCCAAGACCTATGATAACCGCGTCACCAACCTCATGTACCACCACGTTCGCCTAGACTCGAGCCTCGAACACTACGATTGCGATTGTCCACAGTTTAGCGGCTGCCCATTTCGCGCGGCCCAGTTCGATCACGACCCGGCCATTCCCATCAACATCCTTTCTCTACAAGGAAACAAGCTTCCCCTGCTTCAAGCCCCTTGGGATCATCTTCCTCGCCCGGCGGAGGTCCAGACCAAGAAACAGACAGCGGAACATCAACTGTTTCTGGCCAGAGCTTGGGACCGTCTTCAAGAGACCACTGTTATCGATATTCCGTTCCAGTTCCATCGCAGCGATGTGGAGTGGTTCACGAAAAGTCTGATTAGCCTCCAAACAGTGCGCTATTATTGGAGTCAACATCTCGAGGGGGTTCGCACCGGCGGTGACTTCAGCTTCGCCGTCCCATTGACCGCCGCGACCGTTGTCATTGGGCCCGAGCGATGGACCCGCCCCCAGTCGCCTCGCGGTCTGTTAAGAGATTTCCCTCGCAGCGTCACCAAAGTGGTCGTCAATGTCCCATATTCGTGCGGCGATACCATTTCGGGCCCACTGTTTCAACTCGGACCCATGACGTTCATCGTGACGAATCCCGAGGAGGAACCGCCTTTCATGATCCATACGCTCGTGTACATCTTCCATTCATTTCAACCGCAACGTTGTCCAGCAATGGACGATGGCATCAAGACATGCGACCGTTCTGTGAGTACACGGCGTTGACCGCCGCGGATAAGTTGATCGCCGATGCAGATAAGTGGTGCGACCTCATCTGGTTGTTGGCCAACGACGGTCTTTTACACTGGATGGCGACTCAACTTGGTTTCGCAACTCTGAACGACCTCCCGCACTCCCACTTGGTAGAAGCTCTTTTGGAGTCAAAGGGAACTCCACATGGCCCACCGCTGGTGACTCTCGTCGATCTGCCTTACTCCAACCGGTACCCCATACATTCACAGGAAGGCCACCAGGGATTCTGCTCTTTGCGCGACCACCTCATCTTTGAGTTGGGTGTCGCCTGCCGACTGAAGGGCGTGTCCGAATTGTTCATCCCTTACGTTTTGGCACGGGTTGAATTTGTCGACATGGACACGTATGCGGCGCAGCTTCCACCCGGTCAAATTGAGTTGGAGTACATGCCACTGCAGAAGTAATGGTGGGTTCGTGGCGGGAGCGTGTAACGGACAAAACAGTCGCTGTTATGTACCTTTCGAATCCTGACACGGCGAGTTGTGCGCGGTATGGTGTGGCCTACCATTGTAGACCCGACTTCGAGCGTCCCCAGGGATGCACTGTCATGTGAGACAATGCCTGTTGACAAATTCGCTGTGCTGCTGCATAAGGTGAAGTATCCATCTCGCTTTTAGAGACCCCCTCATTGATCATTGATGGGCTCATGTGTGCGCACTGAGAGTGCCACGGTGGTGGAAGCGGACGCCGATCAGCGGTGGCAAATCGTGTCTCTGTCAGCACACCTCACCTTGCGTCCCCACTCTCACGGCTTGGTCTCCACTCTGCCCATTCCTCATCAGCTCTCTTATCTCTGAACACCAAAATCACCCAACATGCCCGCCGATACTCCCCAGGGGCGAACCTCTGCTCGCCTGGCTGCGGCGGGCAACCTCAAGAATGGTCCTCATGGTCCTCATGGCCAGTCGTCGGCACCCACGGTTGTCGGAACGACCAAGCCGCCTTCCTCAAGCAAAGACCCTTCCTTCGCCATGGTCTCAGTCGGCATCGACAAATCCCTCAAGGAATGCAACACACACGTCCACAAGTCGGGTCGTAGCGAGCCTGAGGCCGCCGACAACAACATCACCGCGGCCAGCTCTGGCCGTGAATCGAACCCAGTCACAGGTCAGTGTCGTTTGGATCAGCCGCAGATTCTGACCTGTCCCAGCCGCGCCATCGCCGAGCCGGCCTCTGCTCGACCACAAATTCTATCCTCACATCATCGACGCCATTTTGGAGCACCCTGTCGCCTGGATCCCCTTTGGCGCTACCTGCAAAGAGTATCAGCGTCGCGTTCGGCGCCTCATGTTCCGCCATGTTGTGGTCTCGGCTGTCCGCCGCAGTTACGACTCGGACGAGTCTGGCTATGAGAGTCCCGAGTGCCATTGCTCTGCGTGCGCAGAATTTCCTCTTCTGTTCGTTGAACTCAAGTTGTCCTCTTCTCGCCTCAACGATCGTCTTACATCGCCATTCCCGCTCAGGCGCTACGATAATCTCACGGGAAACGACCGTCGCAACGTCAAGCGCCTTTTGAATGCCTATCTCCAGCATACAGAGACTATGGATGTCCCCATTGGGCTGGAGAACCAAGACTTCGACTGGTGCGAGAGCCACCTCCAGAGCCTTAAGACAGTCCGGTATTACAATGATCCCGATATCGAACCTGTCGATGAAGAATACGTGGAGGGCGAGTACACTCTTCCCCTTACCGCCAATACACTGGTGATCATGCACCGTGGTATTCTGGACTTCAACCAATGGCACTATGTGCCACCAATACGCTCAAGTGTGGTTCAGAAAGTCGTTATCAATGTTCCCTACACTGTGCCAACAGGTCCCATCGGTCACTATATGCTCCACGCTACCAGTGACTTTGATTGTCCGCAGGTCGTTCACATATTCCACCACTACGCCAAGAACGATGCCCTTCCTGAACCGCCCGGATTGGTGAGGCCAGATCACCACGCACGACTGACCCACAGATGCAAGAGACACCGGGATGGCAGAGGTACATCGAGTGGCTTGTCGAATTGGTCCTCGTCTGGACCAATGAGTCGATGGTCTTCGTCGACTTCCCAGTTTCTGCCCTGGGCTCGCCTTCTCAAAGCCAATCCCCCCAAGCCCAATTTGTAGCCGACCTTCGCGCGGCACTGGATGGGTACCCCGGGCCCTGTGTACGACCATTGACGATTGTCTTGAGACATTCCAGTTCGTCACACTTGAAGAGTACGCCTCCCGCCTCACTCCTCAAGAATTTGAGCTGGAGTATGTGTTGTGATTATAGGTGAGTTCAATGACCAGTCCACGACCGGGCCTGACGTTAGGGGAGCGGTGACTGACAAGGCTGCAGGATCGATTGCCATAGGAGAGAACAAGAGGGTATTTCCATAAACCATAGCTGGGAATTATGAATGCAGCCGCAGTGTTCATGGTCATCTTGCACGTGAAAACGGCTAGGGTGTGTTGACGAGGAGGCAACCGCTAAGGCTCCTGGGGGCGGCATATCGTCATGTTTAGCAGCGGTGGCAAAAATCGCCACCCTCGCGCCCCAGCCACACGACACCCAACAGCAACTCACACACACGCAATCTTACATCTTCCTCATGTTACCATCACTCTTAGAACATATCCCCCAGTATCAAACATCACATACCCTCCTCACTGCTCTGGGAAACACCACCATGAGTACCTCCTGCCCAGGAGTGGAGGAGCTGCCCGACCCTCCGGCAAAGAACAAGACCCGCAACACCGAGGCCGAAGGTTCATCAACGACAATCACGGATCAGGCCAATGCCAATGTTGTTCTGCCACCTGCAGCGGCCAGTGAGATGGGTAAGTATAACCTCTCCCTTACATTCACTACTTGTTGACCCATCGCGCCAACTCGGCCCACACGGACAAGGGTGCTTACTTCCTTTCAGATGCTGCGCCGACTGCCGTCACCATCAACCACATCTTCTATCCGCACCTCATGGATTCTATTCTGCAGCATCCCGACTCATGGTTGGCCATGCGCACCGCAAGCAAAACGTACTACCAGCAAGTGCAACGCCTGATGTACCGCCACCTCGCGATCGTGAGCTACGCGGTGGAGCAAAAGCCCGATCCCAACATACGTTGTCCGACCTGCAACAGATCAGATTGTTACTCTGTCCACCCGAAACCCTACAACGAGCTCGAGGTCATCTCTCCTTATGGGATGAGAGTCTGGGTAGACAGCCAGCGATACGACATACTGCCAGCAGGCGAAACGAATATCGAGGGTTTGGGTCCATTCTACAAGCTTCTTGAACACACGGAGATTCTCGACATTCCGCTTGGTCTCCCTGCTCACGACCTCGACTGGTTTGTTGACCAGCTGGAGAATCTGAAGGCCGTTCGGCTTTACCAGTTCGCCCACCGTCCTGCACCGGGCCATGGTGAGATACATTACTCGACTGAGCAGCTTCCTCTCGCCGTACCAAAATTGGTCATTGCGTGTCTTCCACCTGGTATCACGGTTGCGACCATACCCTAAACTTTCCTGACCATGTACGGAAAGTGGTCACCAACATCACACACTGGATGTCAGTCGGACCAGGAGCGTATTTCATAAACGGCGACCCGTTTGATTTGACCTCGCCCTTGCTCCAGGACATGGTTTTCATTTTTCACGCCAAGCAAGATATGACCACATCGGCGACTTCCGTGAGTGTTATTGTTTATGTGCAACGCCTAACTTGCAAGCACTTTCAATGGGAGCGTTTCGTAGACGTCATTACCGACATCATGGTGCGGTCAGAAGAGTTCACAACGACTACGACGTTTGTCGACTTCCCAACAGCTCCGAAGGACCCAAGATTGCCACTGGCCACACTGAAGGACGAGTTTCTCGAAGCACTGGAAACGGCACTCGAAGGCTGCGACGTTGCGGACCGCTCGGCGTGCTTGGACAAGCTACACTTTCTCTCACTGGACGAGTACGCTTCTCAACTTGCACCTGGGGAGTTTGAGGCCGATTACAGACTGTGAACCACTGTGAGGCCACGCCATATGAGAAACGATGGAGCCATCCTGAACTGAAACTGGGCCAGGCAATGATGGTAGCGTTGGTGGGTTCGATTCAACCGACGGCGGTGTTACATGTCATGGCAAATAGCATTAGACCAGCCCCGATTGTACCGCCAGGCCGCCGTAGAGGTGACGATAGTCTACATATGCCAAGTTTTCATGGACGGTTATCATTGTCAACACCTGTGAAGCTGTGCAGGCCGCTTGCCTAGCTGGCCGGCACGCCGGGGTTGACTCATCCACGGAGAATGAGCGGAAGTAAATTCCGCCACTCACCCACCCCCACATACCACACACGTCAACTTGCTCTTCTCCATCTCCAACATTGCCGAACACTTCAGGCTTCTTGAATCGTTTCCAGAAGCTGATATATTGCCAACACGTATCGGGGTCGCCCATTGGGTCGGGTTGACTGTTTGTTGTTCAACATGAGCAGTCTGCCACTTCAGAGAAGCAAGACGGCTGGGGGCGCCAAACAACCAGCCTCAACGTCGTTCTCTACCAAACCTCCAGGCGAGAGCGACACGCACATGCAACCCGAGGCAGACACCCTCAAGACTGTGGTGCTTACTTCCACGGATAACGGTGAGTTATCCCACACATGCAGCCGAACCGTGCGCTTTCTTGCCTGTACGGCCTGTACGGGAAGGCTACGGCAGCAGGCTTCCTGGTATGAGCGAAGCGACCTGGCACACACTGTTTGATCTCCCTGTACTGACTATTTTCAGTTACGTTGTCATCCGCCATCACAATTGACCACGCCGCCTTTCCTCACCTAATCGACACGATCCTGCAACATCCCGTTTCGTGGGCCGCCATGCGTAGGACCTGCAAGAAGTACAACACCCAAGTTACTGGTCTGATGTACCGCCACCTTCGGGTGTCCGCCTACCCTGTTGACACAGCCACCTATGACTATGGTCTCAACCACTACATTGACTCGCCTGTCGAACTACTGGTAACATCACCCTACGCCCAACGTCTACCATTCTTTCGCAAGCGTCGCCTCGACGACATGCCGAATGGCTCATCGCAAAGCCCAAGTTTGGAGCCCTGTGGTGGACGACTCAAGCATACCGAGGTCCTTGATATCCCTTTCGGTGTTTCTAAAGAGGACCTAACGTGGTTTCGTAACACTCTCAAGAATCTGAAGGTCGTTCGTTTTTACACCGACCCCGACCTGTTTGAGCGGGCTGGTGGCCTGGGCTCCTTGCTCATGTTCAGGGAGCATGTTCCGACGGTCATCATCTTGCCACAATACCCAGAGTATGACAAGGCCCCCGTCTCGCTCCAGCCACTTGCGGCCAGGGATGTTCCAACTACAGTCTTGAACATGGAATGCTCTTTGAACATGGTACCCACGGCCCACCACGCTTTCGAAGGCCCTGAAAGTCGGCACAGTAGGGTTGTTTACATCTTCCACCACAAGACCGACTCGGCCGAAGGTCCGAACTACAGGCACTCATGTGTTGGTTTTAGAAGTTTACTTGGCCAGGCTGACAGTTTGCTTTCCAGCAGCCAAGACGGAACCTGGTCATACTTCACCATACTGCTCGCCCTCGACTTCAACCGCATCGGCAACGCATATGCCAGCCCCCCCTACATTACCATTGTTGACTTTCCAATATTCCCGGCCCCACCCTCGTCCAAGTTCAGGACCTTCAAGGACGAGTTTATGCTTCAACTTGCTTATGAGCTCGCCCGTCATGAGACCGACCAGAGTGGTGTCACGAGCTTTTGTGACAACATCTCATTTGTCACTCCCGACCAGTACAAGTCCACACTCTCCACTCGCCAGTTTGAACTCGAGTACAGGCTGTAGCCGCTGGTGAGCTTCCCTTCCGACGACTCTGACAAAGCTGACTAGTCTTCCAGAAATACAACTTCTACTCGGGCGATTCGGGCGGGGCATTCATCCGGCGCTGAGGTTGGACACTGAGGCATTTCATAGGGCGAGGAAACTCTCGCCACGCCGTATGAAGGAGTTTTTCCTTGACGGACATGACCAACAGATTGTCAAGTCAAGCACTCGGCGTCCTCTCATTGTACGTGGTGAGGATGAGGGCTTAGCCGCCTCTTTCCACACATATGCAATAACGGCTCTTGCTAGGTGGGCTGACATTCTTCTGGGCGGCTGCTGCTGCTCGGCACCGCTCGGGCACCGCTCCGGGCACTCACATTCCTTATGACGCCGATCCACTGATCCACTGAGATCTACACATGCTGCGCACGCGGGCATTCTTAATGGCCGTCACCAGAAGCGCGACCAGTAAAGGCCACATATCTTTCCTGCCGCGCATGCCGAGTTCCAGATCCTGTGACGGATGAGATGGAGAGGAAAGCACGAATTACAAGACCGGATATCGCCGCTTATCAGCCAATGAGCAATTGTCTAACCCTGTGCAGAAGCCAAAAAAAGAAAACCAACCATTCCTCCGTGATCAATCACACGTGTACTGCCCAGTGTCAGATTGCCCAGTGTCGGATTGCAGCCGCGGCTCCGGCTGCCATCACCGCCTTCTTCGCTGCCGGGTGCTCAAATCAGATGATCCACGGTGGTTGTCATTATTGAGTCCAGACTCTTTGTACCACTGGTTTTGTTAGCATCTGATGCCGTTTTGAGCCGAAGACCGATGATGGTCTTTAGCTGGCAAAGTGTTTTTCATACGAGAAAGGGGATGTATACACGTTTACAGAGCTAATTATATACCCACATGCGGGAGGTCTGAGGGTCACATAGCGATACCAGGACAACAGAGAAGTTGCAGCAGCGCCACTCTCGTTCTCCGGTTTTCTCGTTGACACATTGTGGCGGCGTAATTGATTACTGATCCCGACTGTCTTGGCGCGTCGCCCCGCAAACCGCGGAGGGCTATTCTGGAATCGACAGCTTGGATGCTCCGCCATGCGCTGTAGTGGTTGTGATCATGGGACGTGTGCAGATAACGGGAAGGTCATTGTACGGATTGGACTATAGAACGAGACTGTGTCAAGTGACACGCTGGTTGAGATGTGGCATCTGTGCAGTCCCAGTGGGACAGCTGCCAGTTTGACTTCACAGTCTCACTGGCCCTCCTGGGATACCCTGTACAGTGTATTGTCCGCGCTACTGGTCTCTGGGATGTGGGAAGGCATATAAAACGTGGCCGAATCTCCACCGTCGTCCACCACAGCACCGCGCTTCCACTGTAACCCAGCATGTGGCTCTACATTCAGTTTTTGGTGGCAATTGCCGCCCCAGCTCTTTCTTTCACCTTTTCAATCGATAAAACACCTCCGTTGTGGGCATGCGATCAGCTCACATTTACCTGGTGTGGGGGGATCCCCTCCTTTCAACATCCTCGCCATTGTAGGCGAGATTTCCGTGCATCAGATTCTGACATGCCAGCCAGAGGGTGATATCCCGGCGAACATCACTGTTCCCGCCAAGGCGTACAAGAACGGCAAGGGTTCGCTCACGCGGTCTAAAGGATGTGGGTACAAGGCAACAGACTGCCATGCGGCCTTGGCTGGTGATTGCTGACAGACGAAACAAGTTTGGGGCGGCCAAAGGATGGTCTTCGTCATGTCCGACGCAACGGGGCTAGCGGTGGGTCACTAACGAGGGGTCGAATGCAGACTTGATGAACAGACTGATGTCTCAGTCTGGTGGCATCTCCCAGATCTTCAATCAAACCACCCTTCCCAACGATGCGCAAGTGGACTGTCCCCAGGTCAGCAACTCTGCACCATGGTTGTAAGTCTCCAAAGTGACAGATTCACCTTGCCACTATGTACGTGCACGAGCGCTGACTAGTCTAGCCTTCTGGAGTCGACAACTCTTTCAGTAAGCTGAGGACTCTCCCCGTCACTTGGTGAAGCGTTCTCACACTCCCAGCAATGCCAGCCAACGAACATTGATTGGGCCTACTTAAACAATCCAGTGCCTCCGCTCCCCATTACCCTCAACGCGGTAAGCATCGATGGGCTCCCTGGCCAAAGCACTTCCATAGTCATAGCAGAAGGCACCAATTACAGTGAGGGAAACTACATACCTATACACCTACATGTGCAGCAATTGAAGGTACTGACGGATTGAAGCCTGGACACCAGACATCCCTCAAGGACTTCAAACCGTGTACTGGGCCACGGACTCCGCGGGAAACAACTGTGGCGCCTCCTGATTCATCACTGTGGCATCCTCGGGGGTTACCTCCTGCCTTTCATCGACAAGCTGGGCTGAGGCCGGCAACAACTCGACAGAGACGTGTTCGGCCAGCGGGCCGGACTCGACCGGCTCGTCAAGCTCTAGCGCCAGCAGTAGTGGGCCTAGCGGTTCTGGCAATGCCGGTAGCACTTCATCAAGCCCAGCGGCATCCATGTTCCAGAGTCTGAGGTGGTTTCAGTCAACTTCGGGGCTGAATTTGAGTGGCAGTGTCGCTGGTGTTCTTGTCAGTTTTATCGTCGGCCTTTCACTTGCACACGGGTAGTTGGAGGAACATCAGAGCCCGCAGGTGCCCGTTGTCGGCATTGGGCCCTATCCGAGCGACATCTGAGCCACAAAAAACGTGCTGTGGGAAACGAAGATCATATAAAAACAAATTCACAATTCAGCAGGATACTGCAGGTATGGTCTGCGCGGAAGCGGCGGTATGTGCATAGTATGGCGGTAAAAGCAAAATATCACAGTGTCTCAAGGTTTCAGAGATATATGTACACGATGCCCCAGTCGCGCCAGTCGAGCACCGCGAAGCCTTCGATGCGTAATATGTCTCTTTGATTACCAGCCAACCAACTGTTAGTCGCCACCTTGCTGGAACTGCCATAGAGATTTGTTTCGACTCGGCCCTCATCGGTGCCATCGTTATGAAGAGTGCATGGAGTTGAAGAACGCACTGCCACAACGAAATCGGACGAATTGACCCAGCGAAACCGCACCCGTCGAACGTGTAACGCACATCCCAGTACTGGCGTCCTTGTGGTTCCAATGTTATATGCAGCTATCCTGTGTTAGTTATGGATTCTTAGCAGCTCGTCCAGGCAGTGACAGTGGTGTGCACACCCACGTGCTCGTACACGAGAGTGATATTGACGGGGGTTCTTCGGATAAAGCGACCCCACGGACGACGGCACGACGGCACATATCTGACGTTCTGGGCATGCAGCATGCACTCTTGGAGCTGTGTAGCTGTACCTTCACTTTATACAGCTATCTATCTCTCACTGCGCTCATTGCATCAGCCCTTTAACCTCCAAAGCGCCAGAGCGCCTGAGTACTACACCATCACACGTCATACACCGTGTACCCACGCTGTATTTGCGCACGAGCGGCAGCAAATCTTGTTGGTTGCACACCTCACCCACTCGCGGCGCCACAACAACACACCTCATCATTTTTCTCTTCTCTCCTCATTCTCCTCTTCCCACAATCCCTTCCAAACTCTCTTCCTCCCGCGCTTCCATCACACCCATTAGCATTTGGGGATTTGCTCCATCTGCAACGTCCCGCACCAAGATGAGCGTCCATGCGCCGTCGCAGGACGTGGGGTCAAGCAAGAAGCGCCTGGCGTCCTCCCCACCTCCAACGACCCACCCTAGAGAGCATTCGAACGATCAGAAGCGTCTCAAGACGGAAATCTCCCCATCCAAAGTCACCGATGTCCTCGCAACTGACAATGGTACGTCTGGCCAAGCCCAATCAAGTAAACGTGTCCAGCCTCTAACAGCGTAGTAGTCGTTCACGCCAGTCCCAGTATATTGGACCACTCCGCCTTCCCTCACATCATGGACCTCATTATCCAACATCCTGCGACATGGGTGCCAATGCGCCTCACCTGCAAGACGTACTGTAGCAAGGTCGAAGCCTTGATGTACCGCCACATCGTAATCCGAGGCTACCAGTGGGCGGACGGCTCAGATTACTCCGAGTATGAATTCCATCCTATCTTCCCCTCCAAACCCACGACAACCATCCGCGTTCTGTCGCCGCACCTACCCGACCTTCCGGGGTTCCATGGTGAACTAGAGGATACGCACAAAAGCCGCGGGCAGCGCCTATACTTTGGCAGGCACCTCAAGCACACCAAGGTAGTCGACCTGCCCTTTGGGATTTGCCAGGACCAAGTCCGCCGCATCCTTACGCGTCGCCTGAGTGTACAGATGGTTCGGCTCTATTGGGATGCACAGTTCGCGTATCTATCCAACCGCTTGCACATCGTCCGCCCTTCGACGTTGGTTTTCATGCACCCTGAATACCTGGATATCGAGTACAGCAGGGGCTCGAAAGGCGTGGCAATGGCCCTGCCTGGCGCTACCAAAAGGGTGATCATCAATGGGTTGTACTCGCGCGACACTGGGCCGAGCATCTACTGCAAGCCTCTTCCTGCCAAGGACAATGACCAGTACACGCAGGACTTTGTCTTTATTCTGCACCCCTGGCGATCATCTACCTTTTCCTTTGGGAACACCAAGGAGAAGCCAACCTGGAACCACGCGAAGTGGAAGGAGTTCGTTGTGGTCATCCTGGAACTGCTCGTTCACAGCAAGAATCGCGACAAGCCTCACATCGCCTTCGTCGACGCTCCTTCCGCGCCTTGTGGTCCTCCTAAAAGTCCTCCCTTCCAGTCCTTCTCTCACCAACTCGTCCATGTTCTCCGCTACGCACTTGCAAAAGCCGGCTATCCGGCGCCTCAGATCAAGGACCACTTGGCCAACATCGAGTTTATCACCAAGGAAGAGCACGCCGACCGTGTTCCGTATGACCAGTTTCTCCTGGAGTACGCGCCGCCTCCCTACGTTTTACGCAGATAGGGATACAAGGCCACAGCCGCTGGCAAAGCTGATTGTGAATTTCTCCTCGCCCTATGAATACAACACAGCAAGTCCGTCGAGTCCGTCGAGTTTCAACACCCACATTGTACACACATGGTAGGCACACGGCGTTTGAATATGCGACATGCACATAAAACAGGAGACACAGGCTCTCTGTGCGTCTGGCTGCACCGGAGGCAGGCACAACGGCGGCAAGCAGATGCGGATCGTGAGGGCTAGGTCAGACAGCACTGGAGCTTCCGCCTCGCCTGGAGATGACAACTGGACTGCGACGGCTGCGTTCAGGCGATAGAGATCGCCGTGCCAGGATGTTTGTGTGTGTACCCCAGATCACCATGCCAGGGGCCTGAACAACGTCTCGCCGGAGCGGAATATCCCGCGCGGCCGGTGAGAGGGGTGCAATTGACGGGACACTCACACTCCAAGACAGCATCTTGGCGGCAGCCACGATTGAGAAAGGACCCTTGATGGCGTTCAGGTTGTGTCCCCGATGTCATCATGCTGCCCACAGTGTTGTGAGACAACCACATGGCCGATGGCAATCACTTGCCGCGCTGCGAGCAACTCAATCGTCAAAGCTGGACTCACCCCGGCCCGTGAGTAACACGGTTCCATGCAGTGTATCTATCTTGAAGTTGCACCCCTACCACTCTCCATCCAAAACAAGCCAATGCGAGGCAAGCAATGACCCAGCCATCACAACTGGGCCCTTTGTCAGGTCCACCTCGAACTCGGCTCCGCACGATCCTCTCCTCCATCGGCCGCCTGACACGCAATTCCGCCGCGAAAGCGTATACCTACCCTTCATACCCAAGCAATGGATCAGACGACACCACGGCGAAACCAGAGCACATTGAGCGCGAAGCTGCAGACATTATCTTTGCGAGTATTCCTCCACCACGTCCGACACGGCAGGACACCGCATGGCCGGCGAAAGCGGCCAGACGCTCATGGGGTCCAAGGACACGGCGCAGCACAGAGGCCATGGGTCAACAGGAAGATGGGCCATTGGCTTTATATCCAACGCAACAGCAGCATGATTCGGTCTCAGCGGTTGTCGTCGATAATGACATGTTGGGCTCTGCACCTCTCCATGCAGCGCATCCGCCGAGCCTGTACGAGTCTACGACTGGCGTTTCCCGCAGCGGAGCAATGTCCGACGGCATGTTCGAGGCTTCCTCTCCTCCGCGATCCGACGAGTCCTTCGCCACCAGAGTCAAGGACATCTTCGTGCACCGAATATGGGTGGCCATCTGCCACTTTTCCAGACAGACGTTCCCGGAGCAAGAACTGGAAGAGCGCTACCAGCGAGAGGTGTGTTTGGAAACAGTCTCGCGCGCGACATTACTGACTCTCTAGACATGGGCCAACGTGAAGCCTGGCGCTCTGCTGGGAACCATATTCTTCTTCGTCATGTGGCTCGTCTTCTGCGCATTCCTTGGCGGGACACTGTTCGTGTGGTATGTGAGTACACATCTCGTCAGCTATGGGGCTAATCAAAAGCTATACATCGCAGTCTGCGGGGTGTTTACAGTTGGAATGCCCCTTATGGTGGCATTCAACATGTCACTGCGCTGTCCTTGGGCATACCAGCTATGCCTCGTCGGTGCCGTATGGACGTGGCCTGTAAGTCATGTGTGTACGTCAATCCCGCTGACACGAGGCAGTTCTTTCAGTTCGCAGAAATGACAATATGTGGCGTGCGTACATTACCGACAGTGGGGAAAGCTGACGCCCACCAGTTCTTCAGTGCCAACAATACGTGTCATGGTCTCACATTTATCACCCTCTTTGGTCCACTGTTAGGAACCCCAACAATCGCCATGTTTGTTCTGGGCCAAAACCGTATCCTCAACAGCATCTGTGCCTTGGCTTGGGTGCTGGCAAGCAGCATTGTCATGAGCAAGCAAGGTGCAATGCCCACGGTGGTCGCACGCAACTCCATTCAAGGTACATACCACAACTGCCTTCGACGCTCGCTAACAAGACAGTTGGACTGTACCACCTATTCTTGGTCATTTTCGACTACGCTCGGTGAGCTAAAATGTTCATTGGTTCTGAAGCTGACGTCGCAGCGAACGCTACAGTCGGCAGCTGTTCATCCTTCGAAACCAGCTCAAGATTCAGTATCGGGCGGTCCAATCGGCCCAAGTCATGGAGCGCAAAGCGGAGCAGTCCAAGAAGCGCTTTGTGTCTTACAGTAAGTGTCCGTTTGGAAGTGGCGAGATTCTTACACCACCACCTCTAGTTTTTCACGAAGTGCGAGTACCTCTCAACACGGCCCTCTTGGCGGTTCAGAACCTCAAAGGCGAAGGAGTCTTTAGCGGCTTGGACGACGACATGGACGACATGGTACATGGTTTGATGGGCAGTCTTACCATGATGGAAAAGGCAGGTACAGCATGGAAATACTCATGTATTAACAGCCCAGGTCCTAAACGATGTGTTGTCTTTCAGCCGAATGGAGAACGGCAAGTTTGTTCAGGTCGGCCGCCCGTTCGATTTCCACAAGAGCATTCAGCTGGTGGCCATGAGTCATCGGCCTCAAACCAACGTCAATGGTGTCCAGCTGGAGGTTGACCTCGACCCTGCTATTACCAAACTGGGAACCTTCATCGGAGATGAGATGCGCCTTCGTCAAGTAACAAGCAACCTCGTCAGCAATGCGCTCAAATTCACTGTCGACGGCTCGGTCAAGATTGTCACACAACTGCGACACACAATCCGACGGAAGCCGCTGGACGAACCCCACACTCACACCGGCAATTCCTGGGGTGCGGCGGACCCGGAAAAGGGACATGTGGCTTCAGAGGATCGTCGAGAAGAAGGTGCAACGCCTGAGGATAGGGCCATTGTTCGCGTTGAGATCCGCGACACCGGCGTTGGCATCAGTACCACCGACCTTGCTGACAACCGACTCTTTTCGCCCTATGTGCAGACCGAGATTGGAAGGCGGCAGGGTGGAAAAGGGTCAGGACTTGGCCTGGCCCTGGTGCGGCAGATCGTCGAGCTGAGCGGCGGACGGTTGGGTGTAGACTCTGAGGTGGGAGTAGGGAGCACATTCTGGTAAGTGCCAGGACACGAAGACGACGTTGTTAACGAAGCAGGTTCGAGCTACCATATACTGTCGCACCGACAATCGAGACACCTGCAAGCCCCACAACGCCGACTCACACGAGTTCAGAACCAGACATCTCGCCTCCGTCATCTCTTCCTGTCCGTCGGGACTCGCTCAACAGCCTAATGTCCTCGACAGGTTGTCCTTTGACGGCGCCCCTGAAGGTCCCTCAGCCTCAGTCAGCAGTCCTGTTGGAGGACGAGAAGTTTTTGGATCAAGCCACTACACCAGGGAGCACAGGACCCCTGCCCTTGCCCATGACATTGGGCATCGGCGAAACAGACGGTATCGCTGTGCCAGCAGCCGATGGATCCAAAGGAGACCGACCACACTCGCCAATCGATACAGTTCTTGAGAGACCCCTGCGCGCTCTGGTAGTTGACGACGACATGTGAGCACACTATCCAAACGACACTGACACACTCCCAGGCTTACGCGCAAACTCATGACACGCATGCTCGAGCGTCTTGGCCACGAGGCCGTATCAGCAGACAACGGCGAGTCTGGACTGAACCTCATTACCGCAAGCTATCGCCCTGGGGCTCGGCGATTCGATGTGGTGTTCTTGGACAAGTAGGTGTTGCCAAGTTTGTGGAAGCTGACGTTTCACAGCCAGATGCCCAAGTTGTGCGGTGTAGAGGTGGTTCGCAGTATGCGGGAACAGGGCATGCGGCTGCTGGTGGTCGGCTGCACGGGTAACGCACTTCAAGAGGACCAGGAAGAATACCTGGCAGCTGGAGCGAACCGCGTTCTGTCAAAACCCATACACCAGAGCGCAATCGAGGCGGCGCTGCTAGAGGCAAGGAGGAGAGCACTAGATGTGGGCGACCGTAATGTTGTCTGAGTATGTATCGTTAGACAGTGCTACGTTTGGACCATGCGACTCGGGTATTTGGTTGGCGAAGACGGGCATTTGCATGACGTCAGGAGTCGCCTTGGGTTGGGTTGCGACGATAAGTGCCCGTCCGACGTTGCAACCACACCAACCACCTTAATTCACAATGCCCCACACTCCTCCAGACGAGTACATCCCTGGAGAGGCCAAAGCCCTAGCTGCGGAAGCCCCAGTGCGCGTCTCGGTCTTGGACCCGCCAGAGGACGACGAGGACGAGGCCTTTTCAATCACACGTCCACCCAGCCAGCGTCGCCTCTGGGAGGCCGCTCAATGCCTCTTGACGGACGAGACCGGCAAGGAGGTGACGTTTGGCTCACTCATGCCCTCATGGCCTGAGGGCCTGGGACCAAGTCAGCGTGACGCGAGCTTGACTCCTCGCACAATCGTCCTTTTCATCAGACACTTTTGGTGCGGGTCCTGCCAGGACTATATGCTCCATTCGGTCGCCAAGCTCGACCCCGAGGTGCTTGAGAAGCATAATGTAAAGGTCGTAGTCATTGCTTGCGGAGGGTGGAAGACTATCAAGAGCTACCGCAGTCTGTTCAAATGCCCGTTCCCAATGTACGCCGACAGCCCGCGCAAGCTGTACACGTTGATGGGGTGAGTTTTCTCGCATGGGTGTCGCGCAATTTGCTAACTCACAGAATGATCCGGCCTCTGCCATTGGGGGGAGACCCGTCCCAGGTCATGCCGTACAACCAAGGGGGTATCGCGCATGCGACGTGGCAAGGTATCTCGAGCGGCCTCACCCGCCTCCATCAGTCATATCCGGGTTACTGGAAGCAGCTCGGTGGCGAGTTTGTCTTTTCGCCCAAGTACCAGTGTGACTTTGCCCATCGTATGACGTATGGAACGAGTGAGTGTAGGAAGCGCGGGGCATAACCAGGTCGACGCTGACGGGCAGACCACATGGAGGCTGTAGACGTGCTCAAGTACGCTGGGCTGGACGAGGACGCTCGACGTGCTGCCGTCCATGGGCAAGAGCCTGCGACTGCCACTGACACCAGCACGACCGCTGTCCCAACCGAATGTGCCATTGACGTTGCCGAGCCTGTCGAGCCCCCGGACGCCGACAAGAACGACCTGGACCGCCGGTTTGCCGAGGAGATGGCTAGAGACAAGAAAAGGGACGAGGAACTCGAGCGTGGCGTAAGTGCAGCGTAGCGAATCGCTGCGTCGCTAGTGCAAGGCGATTTCATCTGGCAACCAAGCCTTGTGATCCCGTGAAGGGGGATCAAGTTACATACGAGTGCAGAGTATTCATACATGGGTCTTGATCTTGGTCCGTAGCAGTGAAAGGTGTAAAGCCCACACGGCCTCACGGCGCCTCAGTTGCATCAATCGCAGGTTGGCACACATAAACGAGAGGTGATATCGAGAGGCCGCGAGAGGTGAGGCGAAGGCGGAGGTATTTTGTCTGTGCGATCACCCACACACAACACCGTCACCTTTCCACGCCTTCCTTCTTGACACTGCACAATCGTCCATCATCCTCACAGCCACTACAGACAAGACCATACATCTGGGCCCCACCGCCATGGCGTTACCGTCCTCAAGCGACCTCCAGGAAAGCGACGGGCGCTCGCGTGCGCGCAACATGCGCTCTCAACCGTCGACATCTGGCTCTGACGCAGACGTCGACTCTGCTTCACAGGCCAAGATCGACACTTACATGACCCGCAAGAAGAGGTACACCAAGTCCAAGTCCTCCAAGGTTCCCGATGGCAAGACTTCCAATGGGACAAGCGGTAAGACGGCCTCGTTGTCGGAGGAATCCCCCAAGGGTGAGTTATGCGTGCAATGGGTGCACTAACGCAGCAGTCACGATTTCTCACATTTGGTTCCCCCATATCATGGACAATATTCTTCAACACAGAGTCGCCTGGTATCCCTTCCGCTCCACCTGCAGGATGTACCGCGACAAGGTCGACAAGAAGCTGCGCGAGCACCTCGTTCTCAGTGCCAGTGTTGACTGGATCTGGGAGAGGGACGATTGCCACTTGTGCTGCGACTGTGATTGTCATTGCTGCGACGATCCAATCTATTGCTCTTGCGACCTCAGCACTTGCAACTTCTCTGATGGTTGTATTGAAGTTCCGCCGTGCCGCTGCCAAGGCCCAAATGACGATTGGGACCCACGCTTCGTCACCATCGATGTCAAGGCTGCAACTGGACCCATCCCTCTTGTCAAGCCTCGGTACTACGATGATCGTGGTCGCCAATGGGATAAGCTCCATCCAGGTCGCGCCAACGCCACGAAGTTACGGACCGTCAAGAATTATCTCCACCAGGCTCGAGTGATCGATATTCCTATTGGCCTGTCTGAAGAGGACCTCACCTGGTTCCTGAAGCATCTCAAGAGGCTTGAGATCGCTCGGTTTTACAATCTCATGGACACCGAAGAACCTGAAATCACTACTGTTCCCGTCTCGGCCCACACGGTTGTCCTCCCGTCATTCACGATCGATGACGACAATCGTTGGGATGGATACCTTCACCCGGACAATGTCAAGGTGGTATTTAACGTCCTCTACCGCCCTGAGGAGGGGTCGTTTACCTACGTCAACAGCTGGCTTCAACCACTTCAATTTCTTGTCAGAGTCCAACAATTAGTTTTTCTGTGCGCCGTGCCTTTTGGCCCCCTGGAAAAGTATTCCTCCAACCTATGCGAAGAAGTGTGTCATCAAAAGTCATCCCTCCATAAGCGCTAACGATCAGCAGGAGGCGTTCCTGAACTGGCAGGCCTTCGTGGAATTTCTAGCGGACATCGTTGTCCTCAACAACAACCTAGTCGTGACGGCTGTCGGCATCCCCTTTCCTCCAGTCACGGGTGGCGTGACCCCTCCAACTCCGCAGCCCCTGAAAGATGCGCTCCACTCCACTTTTACACCGTACTTGAAGGAGCACAAGGGCTGCAGCGCGGAGGAGGTGGGGTCGTGTCTGGCACGATTTGGAGTTTTGACAACGACTGAGTACGAGTCTCAACTCACTCCCGGTCAATTTCAGTTGGAATACATGCCTTGCGACTAGTAAGTCAGTTTCGGTCAATGTTTGGTCATAATGGAAGGTGATATGAAGTTCGCCGACTTGCGAAATGCTGGCCCATTATTAAACACTCGCGAAATCATCGTCGACGTATGAATGCACGGCCCTTCACCAAGCAATTTCCATGACAAGTACATACATGAACCAGTGCCGGCAAGTTTGAACCCTACACGTCCGAAGCTGACGACAAGACGAATTCTATGTGAAGGAGGTTGTGGCACAGTGACGGCTGGGTGCGGATAGCAGGTTGGGATGGATTATGTGACATAGTTGAGTGTGCATGCAGTGTGCCTGGGTAAGATCGAAGTTGCCTCCGGCAATTCGGAGTGCAGTAGACGTGAGTTTGCCCTCATTTCTTCCCGCCAACTACCAGACGAGTCAGGCTACAATAGATAGGTGTTACATGAGGGTCGGTGAAGACGCCTGTAGAATACATGGCCATTTTTGCCCTTCCTACAGTAGGTCAACTAAACATCATTTCGGAACATTTTTTTCTTGAATATTTGGGGGAAGGCAAATGGCCAACTGGTGTATTCCTGCCCTCCTGGTCTTTTTTTTCGCTCCACAATTCCCCTCTCCCACTTATGACCACATCATTAAACTGTAGTTTTGTACAGCTTAGCACACCGTCCGCTTACTTGACGGCGTGTGAAGCGGACAGCTCCCACTCCCACCAAACTATGTTGGAGAACAATCAGCGTTATTGGTCCCTTATTCCAGGTGCCTGCCGCTGGCCGCTGGACCACGAATCTCGGGCGCATGCTCTCACAAGTGGCAGCATTACTGGCAGTACACTTTATTTGGAGGTTATAGAGGCCTGAGTGACAAATACAAGGTTGTCGTGAACCGATGCATGTCGGCTGCTTGCTTGGAGATTCCGTACAGCATCTGGCAGTGCCAGTGTGGTGTACGGTGCGATTCTCATGAAAGCGGTGGCAAATCCAGGCGACACACCCAAACACCGTCACCTGGCGTCAATCATCTCGACTCTTCATCAACCTCATCTCTTTCCATTACAGCTTCCTCTCACAACATGGCCTCCTCGTCTCCCGGCAGCTCCCCCGGGCCAGACAAGAACCCCATGTACGCTTCCCTCCGTCAACACAGTCCGCCACCACCAATCCTTGCCAAAAGCGCCGCCGACGAGACCCCAGTCATGACACGCCCACCACCATCCACTGCCAACAAGTTGAGCACCGTTGGACCTGCAAACTCTGGTAGGTTATTGCATTGAGCCGCAACATCGCTGACGGGCAAGTCTGCCTCGATCACAGATTCTTTCCTCATCTCATGGACAACATTCTTCTGCACCGCGAAGCCTGGCTGCCGATGCGCGCGACATCAAAGCACTACCGTGACATGGTCGACCTTATGCCCCATGGCCACCTTGTGTTTGCCGTTGAGATAGAGTACTTGGCCTACTCCGCAGAGGACTCCGCAGAGGACTGCACACAGTGCAGATACTGTGGAGGGACTCGCTTCCCTTGGTCCTTCGACTACAGCATCGATGACGACAGCAGTGACGACGAAGAGGAGCCCTGTGTCTGTCGGGAAACGACCTACGGTTTGGATCGGATAGTGCACTTTGACATCAGCACCCCACATCACAAGCTTCCGGGTATCCACCCCCGCCCATACGATGCCTCTAGTTCTGAACTCGTCAACGGAACAACTGCCGCTGCTGTTAAAGCACTGGTCAAGAAAGCTCACATTCTCGATCTTCCCTTGGGTCTGGCGGAAGCCGACTTGGACTGGCTTCAAAGCGAGGCAGAGAATATCGAGATTGTCCGGTATTATTCTGATCCAGCCATTGCACTTGAACTGGGCCCCGATACCATTCCTCTCATCGCCTCGACAGTCGTGTTCTCTCTCGACGTTTATTTACTCAACCTATGGCTCCTGTTTCACCACACCACGTCCAAGGTGGTCTTCAATGTGGCGGCGCACAGGCCTCAGACGTGGTTCAGTTTCGATTATACTGATCACGAGGTGTTTTCCCATGTCAACAATGTCGTCATCCTCTTTCACCATATTGAGGGTCCGAGGTCACAGGCAAGCGGCGTGCAACAACATCAACTCGTGAGTTCGCCGAGTCGCTGCCACTAACGGGCAGTTGGGGTTCGCCCGATGTATTGTCGATGTTTTCTACCCTTCTGTGACCACAACAGCCGTCACGACCCAAATCACTTTGGTGGACCTTCCCTCTATAATTCCAGCCCGTGACGGTCTCCAAAAGCCGGCGAAGCAACTCTTTCTCAAAGTGGCACAAGAATATAGCGAGGACGATGGACTTCCCGATGCACTGCAAATAAGGGATTGCCTGCAATTCCTCACGACCGAAGAGTACAAGTCTTCCTTGCCTCCAGGCCAATTTGAGTTGGAGTATATGGGTCAAGGATACTGCGAGCTTTAACGAACACCAACTTTGCGTCGTCAGGTGGAGGTAGTGCTGATCAAAAGCCCCCACGAGTGTATCAAACGGATAAGAAAACAGTGTTGCTCGGAGCGCAGGGGCCTAAGTAGATTTTGTGTAAAGTGTGTAGTGGGAGCCAACGCCTCAATGCATGGTTAAAGTGCAGACACCTGCAAAGTTGTCACTATCCTGATTGTAAGCGACATCCGCGATCAACCAGTTGTCGGTCGGTATGCGGGGATTAATTTCAAAGCTCCAGCATTTGCCAGTGTGTAAAGGCTATAAGTGGGGTACACTTTCAAAGGAGCCTTACGCGCACGACAAGCCCAACACAACCAACCTGTGCGTACTGACAACAAACAGAGGTACAGAGCACAGGCGACAACATCCACATCAACAACAACAAGACGACAAACCAAACCAGCAATGGAGGCTTACGGTCACGACATCGCCGACCGAATTGTATGGGATGCCAGCAAGGTCGATCCAGAGCGCGAGCAAGAATTCCTCGAAGAACTCAAGTCTCACAACCTGCCCAAGCGCGAATGGAATGGAGCGCTGACCCGTGTCATTCGACAGCCGTTCCTCTTTCGCATGGCTCTCCTTGCACCACCCCGTGACTTCACGCGCCTTCGTGTCGGCCAGGAGACAGACCTCTCCAAAATATCACTGGCCACGCCCAATTCCAAAGCGTTTACCGATGTACCAATGCAAATGGCCCTGGTCCAGCTGGTTCTGTCGCGAAAGCACGGCGCAATGGTATGTCTGGATCCCAGTTCTTGAGTGTCCCACTGCTAGGATAACCTCTCAGGCGGCTGCCACTGCGCCGCGTCGCGGTATCGGTACACATATCCCCGACCTTGCCACAGTGTTGAGAGCCATCGTTGCCGGCGAGTCTGGGAGTGTGCGAGGTCTGTTGTCATTTGTCGGCGAACTTAAGGTCACAAGGTTGGAAAACAGGTCCGGCAAACACGTTGTCATTGTATCGCGAAAGGACGACCCCGAGCTGGCCGCCGATGGCGACGACGGTTGGGATGAGGCCACCCACTACTCTCTCTCCTCGTCAGCGAGTGCGGATGAATCTCGAATCGCCCAAGTCGACGGTCGCACTAAGTGGTCTGCTGGGATGTCCAAGACTGTTGTGTACCTGCAGTCAGCGTACGAATTCTGTGGCACTGTCCTCGCGACGTTCCACCTCGGATCCCGGTACTCGCGACTGCTGCTGCTTAGCGACGGTGACGTGGCGGTAGAATGTAACGAAGCATTTCTTACCACACGCCCTGGCCGCACCCTCTCAATGGTGGAGTTCTTGCAGGACGAGCAGAGCCTTAGCCACCTGGCGTGGGATCTCTGCGCTTCCACAAGTAGTGAGCTACCGATTCTCAATTGGGATGAAGGCGCCCGACACAAACTCTTGGACATTGTCAAGCTGTCCATCGACATCATTGTTGTGCACATGAAGCGCAACCCTTCCCAACCCTTCTGCCGCCTTCCATCGTTGGCGACCCTTGGTCTGAATGAAAACAACATCCCCCATACCTTGAAGCGCAGGGCCCTCAAGGTCACCCTTGGTGATCAGGACAAGGCCGCTGTTCTTGAATCATCGCGACCCCTTCGAACGCGCAAGCGCAAGTCGGAGCCTTCACTGCCCCTCGCAGCCAAAAGCGACCAGCCGCCTCCCGAAGACGACAGCGAGGGTGGACACGAGAAGAAGCGTTCACTCGGCAGGGACCCCAATACAGGCGGAAGACAGGGCGATGCGACGAGCAGCGTATGGCCGGGCGTGACGCGCTCCCAGGCATCGCCCGCCGCTACCTCGTCCAGGTCTCGGGTACAAGATGAGAGGGAGGAGCACGAAAGTATGTCCATTGTCCCAAGTAGCCATCTAACTGCTGTGCAGCTTCAATCCTCAACTCGAAAGTTGGCGTCTGGCTGCATGGGATCGAGGACCCGGCCACGAGCTCGGTCGATTCGTCCCCCAATACCTCGCTGCGGACTCCTGAAGATGCCGAAGGGGATACCACCGCCCTATTCGACAACGAGCTCAGCCAGGTCCGTTGTGCACAGCACATGTGTCAGCAGGATGCCAACCGGGTGGCGAACCATGTCGCGTCGGATTCCGACTTCGGCACCGACGAAGACATCGCTTCTCCCACTGCCCAGGAGCTCCTCCAAGCTATTGGCGAAAAGGGCATAATCGTCACCCTCGTCGATTCGGCAACCATGGATTCCATGCTGGCGGTTATATCATCTACCGTGTCGCAATGGCAGGGGTAGGCGAATTCGTCAGAGTGCGGTACTATCGCATGCGCCTCCCCCCTTCCTCTCAGGTCGATGCCTTTAGCCCACGAACCCCGCTGCCGTACTAGCCCAGTTACTCACCAAGCCATATCTGCGGTGTGCCGGCGTCTGTATCCAACAAGCTTTGCCGCCAACCTCCTTCCCTCGTCCTAGTCGTGCCCACTCAAGTTGTTCTTCACTCCTCACCATCGGTATCTCAAGTTGTTCTTCACTCCTCATCATCGGTATATCGATCCATGGTTTACCGTCGCTTCCGCTAGGAATGCGCACGCCAAATTCAAATTGTAGCTACACCATGTACATTGTGTCGTCGTGGGTGCCACCTGGGGTTGTTCACCAAAACCCTCTTAAGGCCATTTTGCTCCCGCTGTCCGATTTCCTGTTCATTTGGTCCCGCTCCTCATCTGCCATGGCCATGGGTGATTGACTGCCAACCACGGCGCCAACTGCAATAACATCTCCCCCATCTCATCGCCTGCCGGCTTCCCACATCCCACAACACCTGCTGCCCACCATGGGCAAGATGGCAGAGATGCAGCGCAAGCTGCTCGAGGTAAGTCGCATGCCGATGCGTGGAATCTGGAGCTGATCACCGACTTGTGCACGACCTCTGTCTCTCCGCCCACTGTGATGTCTCGCGAATGACGTTTTCGCTTTCTGCAGCAAATGATGGGCCCCGAGGCGATGGGTTTCCAACCGCCCAACCTCGACTGGTGGAATGAGAAGGTGTGCAGGGATTACCTTTTTGGTACCTGCTTGCACGACACTTTCAGCAACACTGTGAGTTGGCTGTCTTGCCATGGTTCTTCACCTGACGGCGTCCCTTCAGAAAATGGACCTCGGACCGTGTCCCAAGACCCACTCGGACCGCATCCTGAAGCAGTTCAAGGAGGCGCAGGAGGCCGACCCCAGCGACCCACGCATCAACGCGTTCCGCCAGCAGCACGAGAACACCATCTACCAGTTTGTCGACGACTGCGACCGCCGTATCCGCGCGAGCCAGCGCAAGCTCGAGAAGACACCAGAGGAGAACCGCAAGACGGTCGACTTGGTGAGCACCCCCACACACATCTTTCTAGCATTCGCTGACGTTTGTCCAGATGAGGGAGATTGGAGAGATTGAGCTGTCCATCCAGGGCGGTACCGAGGAGATTGAGGCGCTCGGCGAGGCCGGCAAGGTTGAAGAGTCGATGGAGAAGCTGGCCGCTGTCGACGCGCTCAAGCAGCTCAAGTCGGACAAGGAGAAGGAGCTGCAGATCCTGAACGAGAATGCCGGCGCTAGCGGCCACCAAAAGCTGCGCGTGTGTGAGATCTGTGGTGCCATGCTCTCGGTTCTCGACTCGGACAAGCGTCTTGCCGACCACTTTGGCGGTAAGATGCATCTCGGCTTCCACGAGCTGCGCAAGATTATGGGAGAGTGGGCCGAGCAGCGTATGCGCGGCCCTTCCCACTCGCACTCGCACGCCCACGGCCACTCGAGCGCACCGACCGGCGCGCCTCCCTCCTCGGCACCTCCCCCTCCCGCCGGCGCGCGCCCCGCTGTCCCGCCCTTCCCCCTGCCCTCGTCGTCGGACAAGCGCGACTCGAGCCGCGACCGTGAGGGCCGCGAGGCTGGTGAGCTGGTCGAGGACGGCGCACCCCGCGGCGCACCCAGCTCGGCGGGTGGCCCACCCCCATCGCGATACGACGACAGGGACCGCGACCGCAGTGACCGCGATCGCTCGCGCGGTGATCGCTATGATGACCGTGGCGACCGCGACATGTACGGTGGCCGCAGCAGCGACCGGTACGGAGACCGCGGCGGCGACAGGTATGGAGGCGGTGGTGGTGACAGGTACGACGACCGAGAGCGCCGAGACCGGTACAGTGACGACCGGAGACGTTCGGAGCGCTCGAGGTCGCCCTCCAAGCGCAGGGTTGTGTAGCATGGTGTCGTCGTATGTATTAGTTGCAGCGAGCACATGAGATGGCGGGGCGGAGCCAAAAGTTTCTACTGAGGATACATTTTCTGCGACTCTACGAACTACACGAGCACTGGAATCCGAGCATGGCCTTTGGTCCGACGCCAGCGAGACGCGCGCGTTCGGCAGTCTCTCCGTCGCACACGGAGATGTTGCCCTCGGCGTCCTCGCCATACGGCTCGAAGGGATTGGAGGACAGCTGCGGTCAGCTAACAGGCATGTGAAGCTAACTCACCTCGAGCACACGCGCAAGGGCCGTACGCGCCGCCGGGATATCGCCCGCAGTCACCGCCGTGTCCATCGTCTTGATCACGTCCTCGAGCACCCACTGACGGAGAATGAAGCGCGGGTTGACGTTGCGCATCGCGTCGGCGCGCGTCGCCTCCCATCCCTCCACACCCTCCGCGACAGCCTTCCACGCCGCCACCTCCTCCTCTTCGTTGACGCGCGCAGCGTACGTCTTGAGCCAAGCGGCAATGTCCTCCTCGGCGCGGCTGACCGAGTCCGAGGGGAGCGAGCTGGCGGCGGCGGCCACCCACTGGCGCGCAAAGCTGCGCACGTACCCGTCTTCGTCAACGCGGGTGGGAGCAAAGAAGGAGAGGCGGCGGAGGGAGACGCCAAAGTCGCCCGAGGTGGCGGTCAGGAGCAAGAGGTGGTTGCGCACGACGTCGCGGTCGTCCGAGTCGCGGAAAGTCTTAATTCCGAACCGCTGGGGGTCAGCTGCATGAATGACGCTTAGCTCACCTTTGCCCAAGCGGCACGCTGCGTCTCCTCGACAATTTCGTTGAACTTGTCGTTCCAGCCCTTGATTGCCTCGAGACCGGCCTCATCCCATTGGCGGATGTCGTCGGTTGTTGCCTTTTCGCTCCACCCCTCAGCCGGAAGGGCCGAGTTCTTGGCCTCATAACCAAGCATAGGGAGGAGAGAGCTGGCGAGCGAGTCAAGGGCGAAAAGCACACGCTCAGGCTGCTTGCGATAGCTGTACAGACCAGTGGGGTCCGAGTGGTCTGAGAGTGAGCTCCACGCACTGACTGGACAAACTCACTGCAGATGTGGTTCACGTCCCAAGTGTCCATGAACGCGTACGGTCCGTAGTCGATGGTGAGACCGAGGATCGAGATGTTGTCAGTGTTCTGCTGCGTTAACTCGTGCAAACACTTAACCACCCACCAAGACACCGTGCATGAACCCGTAAACCTGCCAGAGGGCAACCGTCTCGGCATTGCGACGAACGACGTCCTCAAACCACTCCTTGACGGTCTCGTGGCGGCCACCCATGATCTCGTCCTTGACCCAGAGGGTGAGGTCACGGAGTCCCTCGAGGTTGCCTTGTCCGCCGAGGGCGTCGTTCTTGTCGACCTCCGCCTCCTCTGCGCGCCAGGCGCCGCCAAAGAAGAGGGTGTGCACGTTCCGTCCCGACTCTCCGGGGTTGAGGGCCTCAAAGTGGCCGATACGGATAAAGGAAGGCGCAATGCGGGCGACGAGCGAGGAGGGCTCGGGGCCCTGCTCGCGCATCACCGTTACGGGAGAAGTGAGAATGGCGAGCGAGCGGGTCGTTGGGATGCCAAGAGCAGCGAGCGCTGTGTGTTAGGCCAACTTTGTCACAGACCAGCAACCTACCCTCGCAGCCTAGGTATTCCCTCACACCAGACCGGAGTACGGCAAGACCATCTGCCGAACGCGAGAAGGGCGTGCGACCGGCACCCTTCACCTGGATCTCACACCTTCCCTTCTCGCTGGCCGTCTCCAGCAGCGAGATGGCACGGCCGTCACCGAGCTGGCCGGCCCACTGACCAAACTGGTGGCCACAGTACCGGGTCGACCACGACCCATAAGTTCCATCGACGTTTTCGAGCACGCGACGTCCCGAGAGGACATCTACGAGGGCGTCCCTGCTTTCGTCCTGCGTGTTCTCCAAGGCCTCGGTCTCCACAGGACCAACCTCGAGATGAGGCAGGAGCTCATGGCGAGCCGACTCCACTACCCCGAGAAGTACCGGGGCGAGCTTCAGGCGATGGGAACTGGTACCCAGCCTCAACCCGCTCTCCTCGTCTGCAGCCTCAAAGTCGACTGGGTCCCACCGGCGCAGCACATCGTTGGCAGTGACCACGCCGCCCTCCGCGTTCTTGGCAAACTCGGCCGCCTCCGCCTCGGTGATGCGCAGTGGCCAGTCGGTCCACAGGGGCAAGGTGCGAGCCCAAATTCCACGTCCATTGGGAGCGAATGTTGTGCTCCTCCTCTGCGAGCTGGGCTCGTCGTCCAGGGCGAGGCGGGCGAGGGACGCTTGGAGTGTCTTGCGCGGCAAGGGAAGGCGGTGGATTGGGAAAGTTGGAGTGTGTGTCATGGCGTTTGTTGTACCAGCTGTCGCGCAAATGTGCCTCCTAGCTGCTGATATAGTTGACTGCGTTGTTCCTATTGCTGTTCGATAGGATGAGAAGCGTGATAGCATGGAGCGATGCCGGTTACTCGTCGTCGTTGGCGTAAGCGTTGTCTGGCTGCACCTCTGTCAGCAACAAACGGCTTTGCGGTTACAAACGACCCCACCGGCCGTGGTTGCCGAACCCCTGTCGGCAAGCATCCAGGGAGCAGTTACGTAACCGTCGACGTCGCCCCTTTTTGCCGCCAAGTCTCCCACGGTGTCCGTCGGCACTCACCACCCGGCCGCCGAGACGCATTGTTGTCGAGATTTTTCGGCAACTCTGATATTTTATCTGATTAACTCCACACCCACACCAAAAAGTAACAAAAATGGTAGGCGTCACAGTCACCCCCGAGCAGCTCGCGACCCTCCGCGCCACGCTCCTCAACACCTCGGGCGAGACCAAGCTCCACGAGCGCTTCCGTGCCCTCTTCATGCTCAAGGCTGTTGGCGGCCAGGCGGTCATCGACATTATTGCCGAGGGTGAGTCCGTCCATGCTGCCCAGCCAAACCTGGGCTGTTGCAAGCTCCGGTGTCCCAGTGCTAACAAAATTTACAGGCCTCAAGGACGACTCGGCTCTCCTCAAGCACGAGCTCGCCTACGTCCTCGGCCAGCTGCACGATCTGGCTGCCGTCCCCATCCTCGAGGACGTCCTCATCAACCCCACCGGTTCTCACTGCGCCATGGTGCGCCACGAGGCTGCCGAGGCCCTTGGCGCCATTTCCAGTCTCGACTCGCTCCCCGTCCTCCGCAAGTACCTTGACGACCCCGCCCGCGAGGTCCGTGAGACCTGCGAGATTGCCGTTGGCAAGATTGAGTACGACCACACCGAGGAGGGCAAGGCCCGCAAGGCCAAGTGAGTGGAGAGAGGTGGCCTGTACTGGATGGTGTATACCTCAACTGCGGTCCATTCAGCTCGCAAGTGCTCTCACGTGCATCTAGCTGACCATCTTAGCCCTGACTTCCCCACCATTGACCCCGCCCCTTCGTCCGCCCGCGAGCCCGTGCCCGAGCTCCGCGCCGCCCTCCTCAACACCAAGCTGCCCCTCTTCGAGCGCTACCGCGCCATGTTCGCTCTGCGCGACTACGGAGGTGCGAGCCGTGACGCCGTCCGCGCGCTGGCCGAGGGCTTTGGCGACTCGTCTGCCCTCTTCCGCCACGAGGTTGCCTACATCTTCGGACAGCTCAGCTCGCCGCACTCGATCCCGTCTCTCCTCCGCGTCCTCCGCGACGACAAGGAGGAGGAGATGGTTCGCCACGAGGCCGCCGAGGCCCTGGGCGGCATTGCGTCGGACGGTGCCGACGCCGACATTGACCCCGAGGACGAGCCGCTCCCCGAGGGCGGTGTCCTCGTGATCCTCCGCGAGTGGGCCGTCAAGATGGACGCGCCCGAGGTTGTCCGCGAGTCGTGCCAGGTCGCCATCGACATGTGGGAGTACGAGAACTCGACCGACCAGTTCAACCCCCTCGACTCGCTCGCTGCCAACGGCGAAAAGTCCCACCTCACCGGCATGGAGCGTTCCGCCCACGCCGCCGTCACCGCCGGTATTGCGGCCTAGACGTTTCACGACCACGGTTGTTACTAGAGAAAGAGCCCAGGATGGCTGCGGCTGTGCCCCACCTTGGCCTTGTCTCGTTACCCCCATAGATGCTAGATGTACGTAGATGTACCTAGCCGATGATGCATGTACCTTCTCACGCTGTCCTATGGGTTGTCGTCCTTTTTCCCTCTTTCTACATCTACGCGCCTCTACGCACCTAGCGACGAGATCTCACTGGCCAGGTCCGTCAGGCGCTTCTCCTTGAGGGCGGCAGCACGCGCCGACACGAGTGTCTTGCCGCCCTGAACGTCGCCGACGCTCAGGCCACCAGTGAGTGATGACGAAAGCTGTGGGGGTTAAACACGAGTCAATTAGCGGACCACTCACAAGGTTGCCGAGCGCGACGGAGGCACGGTAGATGGTCTCGCTGTCTGCCTTCTCGTTGTCCAGGATCTGACATGTCAGCTTTCCACTCAGCGCGCAATTAACTTACGTGGTTGATGAGCCGGAGCAGGGGACCGGCCTGGCTGGCGGGGAGGGAGCCAGTGACGGCCAGGATGGAATAGCTGCGTTGTGAGCTTGGAAGTTGGAAACGGCGTGGAGAGCTCACTTCAAAGCCACGGTTGCCAATGGCTGCTTGGCCGTGCCCACCTCGGCCCACTTCCTGCCCTTGACCAGCTCGAGGAGGAAGCCCTGTTCAGCCACGGCCAACATGGTTTGCCGACCGTTACCGGTAAGGAAGAGGTTGGCGAGGGTGCGCATGGCCAGAACCTGGTTGGTGGGAGCCATCTTGGCGGTGCTCAGTTGAGCACCCCAGCCAGCAGCCTGCAGGAGATCACCGGGGGCAGACGAGATGCCACCAAAGGCTGGAGACAGGAGGGCGAGGACGCGCAGCAGGTCAATCACTGTTTGGGTCAGCCGACATACGGGAATGTTAGACCCACAAGGGAAGCGATGGCTGTCGTCCCACTGGAGAACAAGAGCGAGGATCTTGGACGGGTCGTATGTCTCTGAGACGGCGGGCTTATCGGCGGCCACAATCTTGAATGCCTCGGCGAGGCTGGCTGCTGTCTCGTCGTCGATGGCCAGCCCAGAGGAAGACGCCTTGAACTCGTCGTTGAACTGGGTCACCTTACCCTGAGCGGCGGCCGCATTGATCTTCTTGAATGACAGATACGTCTTGACAGGTAAGACCTTTGGCGTCGACACGGGCTGGGTAGAGTACGCGCCACCACCTTGCGAGGTCAGCCAAACTCAGCCAGCACAACCTCACCTGTGAAGGGGTCGCTACCTCCACCAAAGGACCCTTGGCCTGGCTGGACACCACCGCCAGTGTAGCGCGATCCACCTGTGAGCGGGTCACCACCGCTGCCGGTAGGCCTGCTAGTGGGGACACCGCCGCCTGTGTACCGCGAGCCGCCGGTGAAGGGATCCACATAGGCAGTGTCGCCGCCACCGGTACCGAGCTCGACACCACCAGTGTTCTTGTGGATAAATTCTACGACCTGCTCGCCGTAACCGTGAGGGAGCTCGTGCTTGTCGAGGAAGCGTTGGGCGGCGATCCATGGGTTTTCTGACGGATAAGCACCATCACTGGAGCAATGCACCCACCAGTGACATTGTATGGAAGCTTGAGAGGAGGCATGCCCTCCGAGACATCAACCTCGAACACATAGTCGTACTCCTTTCCCTCGTAGAGCTGCTTGCGACCAGATCCGATGGCGTCGACGACCTGACCGATCTGCTGCCAGGTCGAGTTGGCAGCCTGCCACTGGTACGCCTCGACGTTGTCATTGTTTTTGATCATCATGACCTGTCCGTCGTGTTTGCCTACGTTGTGTCAGCTTGAGATCGTTATGCACGAGCACAACAGCTCACCTTCGCGGCCGAGAGCGTCCATGCCAGGGAGATCGGAGCGCTTGACGTCGCCAACCTGGCTCCTGATAATGTTAGATGAAACCTGGTGCGAACGTCGTACATCCAACTCACTTGTCCAGCTTCCTCTGGCTGACCTCCTCATCCCAAGACGCGAGGTCCTGAGCAGGGGCCATCAACTCCTCGGACTGCGTGAAGAACCGGATCATCGAGTCGGCAGACGAGGACGCGAGGTAGTATCCGCTGCTGCCGGGAACCGGGACAACCGCGCAGGACCACAGCGACATGGAAGGCTGGGCAATGGTCTGCACGAGCTCGGTTTCTGCTTGGTCAATTACATGCAACTTCGAGCAACTCACCAGACCACACCCTCAGAGTGCCGTCCTCGCCCGATGAGATGGCACCAGAGCCATCGGGGAAGGCCGAAACGGAGTAAACAAAGGAAGTGTGGCCAGAGAGCGAGCGGACAGGTGCAGGGTTGTCAAACGAGTAGAGGTTGACCAGGCTGTCGTTGGCACAGCTCCAGAATCCAGTGCCGTCTGGGCGGAGAGCCAGGCCGCGAACACAGTCGGTGTGGCCGGTGTACGTCTGGAGAGGGTGGGTCGTGCCGTTGGCGACGTCGATGGCGTGAAGAGTGATGGTCTTGTCGGCAGACGCTACAGAGGTTAGCGTACTAAAAGAACTATGGCCTCACCAGTAAGAACACGGTCTTCGCCGACAAACTTGACAGCCCACACGGCCTGGGAGTGGGTCTTGATCTGAATCGCCTTCTTAAAGTCCTTCCAGATGATGACAGTCTTGTCCCACGACCCCGAGGCAATGAGACCACCTGCGCTAGCGTCGATGCAGCACAGGTTCTGGCCATGCTCGATAAGAGTGTGAAGGGGCTGTTGCATGGGAGCGTCAAGTGCTGGTGGCTCAGAGTCGAGAGAGGGAAGGAGGAAGGACGACAACATGCCGGACGCCGATCCGGTGAGCAGGTATGCTGACGGTTAGCTTGGTTGCGGGTTCTTTGTAGCTGAACCCACCTTGTCCTTGGTAATTGACCATGGTCACACAGCTGACATACTTCCTCTCGAGCTCTTCGACGCGGAGCTTGGCGTCCCATTCCTTACTGGGTGACGGACCCCAAACGATTGCTGAGCCGTCGCGCGAAGCCGAGAGCAGGAGGGGCACCTCTGTGTTTGGGACTGCGAGGTTGCGAACATCGGCCGAATGGCCGTGGAGGGTGAATGCGAGCTTGTATGGCGGTGCCATTGCAGCTGAATAAGGATGAATGTGTGTTGAGAGGAGGGGGCGACTGTGATGATGGGTCATGAGTACCGAACGTCAGCGACGCGCGTAGCAGGGCTGGGGGATGACACGGGGTGGACGTGGGATCACGTGACTGCGGGGTCTCCAGCAATGACGACGACATAGCCCTCGTCGACCACCGTGTAACCCAAATGGGGACACCAGGTATACGTTGTGACACAGACATTCAATCCATCAACTCATTCATCCACACAGCACCACAACGCTCAAACACACACCAACGAAAGAGTCGTGAGAACTGGTGGTGCAAGTGTCCTTCACCAACTCTGCCCGTTCACCGGTCGTCGCTCTCTATCCAACTTGCCCACAATGCCAATGGATTTGATGGCTCCACAGGTCATCGCGGCTTGTGAGTTTAGTGAACCTGACTGCGCATGACGGGCCAGAATGCTTGGCCCGCGATACTGTACACAATCCATGTGCCTGTCTGACTTGTATGTCTAGCTGGACCCATTGTTATCGATACGTTTATCAAACACTATCTCACCACGACGAAGAAGAAGGAAGTCAAGGATGGTCAGGACTCTGCTCGTGTGGACCTCATGTACGATGAGGGTGAGTACTGCCTTTGGAGCCGCCAAGATGCCACAGAGCTGACTCTTCAGCGTTCACCATCATGAAGGTAAGCGGCATGTACCGCCCTCTAGGCTGACCACAGAACTTCCTGGCCATTGCCACCCAGTGCGTTCTCCTACAGCCGCTTCGTTGTCGCATAGCTCACTCTGCAACAGATACCCTGTGGCATCGCTTCAAAAGTTCGGCCTCACTCGCACACCCGCACCGCCATGGGTAGCAGTCCACCGCCTCCGCATCCCACAGCACTCCCTCAAGCAGTCTGCGGACCACCTCGTCAAGGCATTCGGCGGGGAGGAGATGGCGTACAAAGTGGCCGGTGGTACAAAGTGGTGGCGAGCACGCGCAAGTGCTGGTGTCGAGGCTGAGTGGATCTGCATGAAGAGAGATTATAGGCTATACGTCAACGAGGAGAAGGCTTGGCAGAAGAAGAGCGACACGGAACCCGAGGCGGTCGACACTGGATGTAAGTCACAAGACTGCTGGACCCGTGCTAACCTCTCAGTCTTGCCCGAGATGGACCGTTTGCGGTGTATGCTGTACAGTAGGTGATACGCCGTAACGCAGGCTGACCACGCAGTTCATGGCGGAGCGTATGTCTACATCGGCGCCGTTGCACCACTGACGTTTCCAGTTACTACTGGGGATCGATCAATACCCACAGATATACAATCTGGCGGTATGCTCGGAAAATGAAGGGCCGTTGCTTTGCCGTCAACTATCGAAGTGGGTCCTAGATTCGTCCTCTACTGACACCCACATCAGAGGCACCCCAGTATCCCTTCCCCTGTGCCATACAAGACTGCCTCGCTGCGTATCTTTACCTCGTCAACCCACCACCAGGCGCACCGCACCGACCAGTGGATCCCAAAAGCATCATTATCGCTGGCGACTCGGCAGGAGGCGGTCTCGTCTGGGCCCTGCTTCAGATTCTTCGGGACACGCCTGGTCTCGAGCTTCCAGCTGGTGCTGTCCTAATCAGTCCTGTGGGTTGTTTGTTGCAGTGAGCGTCGCTAACCCCCCTAGTGGTCTGATCTCACCCACAGTTTCCCAAGTATTACTCAGAACACGGCCACCGTGAGTAGCCCTCCTGTCCGTAAAGCTAATCCCACAGGACGTTGTCCCGCCGTACAGTTTCATCCATGTGAGTTGCGTAGACTTCAATTATTGACAAAGCCAGAAACCATCGTCACTCTGGCCCCCACCACCGCCCGCTCTGACCGAAGAGGTCCAGTCGCGGCTCTCATTCAGAGTGAGGGAAGCGGCTGAGAAACTCAAGGTCAAGCACCATGACACCAAGATGGACGAATCCTCAATGCTCGGCCCCGATCTTTTCTCGCCTCTCGTCCCCCAGTCCTCTCATCAGGCCTCGATCCACACGTCGGATCCAGAGGCTGCCGGCAAGCTCAAGGAGCTGTTCAACAAGCGCCGTGCGGGACAACTGCCAGATGCCGACGGCCCCCAGGCTGTTGTTAACCCCGCCGACTCGTTCCGTACGCTCAAGACCAAGTCGAACGACGGAAGCATCGCGGGACGGGCAGCTACTACGTTAGCTCAGAGTCCAGACCCCATGAACATCACGGTGCTCGGTGAGAAGGTCACAATCGACACGCAGATCCAGCTGTACGCCACCAACGGCCAGCTGTGCCACCCTTGGGTCTCTCCCGCCCTCGGCTACCTCGGTGGTCTCTGCCCTCTCTACATTCTTGCCGGAAATGACGAGGTCCTTCGCGACGAGATTATTTACGCGTACGCTCTCACTTCTTTGTCCTGCCCGTTGCTAACGGAACCAGCGCGCACAAAGCCGCGGATCCTGAAAAGTACCCAGTTCGCGACGATGTCAAGAACCTCCTTCCTTCGCTCCATGGCATTGAGGAAAAGCACGGGCCCACCGATGTGCATCTCCAAGTCTATGACGGTACGGTGCATTTGCGGTGACACTGCTGACAATCCAGGCGCCGGTCATGACCTTCCTCTCTTTTCGATGACCCGCCCATCCCGTGGCGCCTTCCGTGCTATTGCTGCGTTCTGCCGCTACGTCACTCCCCACAGCCCCGGCTCGCTTCTCGCCGACGCAGAGACACAGTCCTCAATAGGAACTCCGCCTGTGGGCACTCCACCCACTATCACGAGCGAACCGCTCGTCGAGTCGCCGCCGTTGACTCGCACCAGCACCCTTGTCGCGCCTGAGCGACAGCCGGGTTCCGCTCAGCCTTCTGCTGAATCTGAGCTGCTAACCATCAACACTGCTAAACTCGATAACCGTCTCCAGAACCTAAAGCTGGAAGGACTAGACAACGTACCCGCCTCTGAGACGGACGCGTCGCCTACCGATATGGTGTGGTCTCAAGCTGAGATAATGGCCTCACCAGTCCAGATGACGCCAACTTCTCCAATCGCCGGCATCCAACCCGGCCAAACACAGTACAAGCGGCAAGGGACAATGTCGAGCTTTACATCCAAATGGAAGCGTGGTGGTCCCACAGCTCGTTCGGCCCAGTCCACCGTGCTTGCGTCTCAGCGTCCCCAGCCTGACCGTGAGGCCACTGTCAAGAGTGGGGCTAGCGACGCACCGGAGAGCAAGTCAAAGCCCGGCGAAGCGGGATACATTGGCATCTATACCGGACCTACCGTGAGTGGGGGAATTGTGGATTCAGTAGCTCACATCAGCCCTTCACCGACCACATGATTCGTGAACGCGTCGACTTCAACGGCATCTGCCGTCCACTCGAACCCGTGTCTGAGCTGGGCGCTTTCAAGATGCCTGCCGAGGAGATTGGCATGATTAAGGAGGGACCTGCCATGCGGTACATTGAAGGCCAGGCCATTTGGGACCACAAGTTCCGCCGCACGCGCCGGACTATCGAACGTCACCGCAAACACAACCTCAAGCAAGCGGTGCAACATGACCCCCAGCATCTCATGCGCAAATGGGAAGATGTGGTCTCCAAGGCCAAGGCTAAACGAATTGAACGTGAAAAGGCAGGGACTGAAGCTACCAGCGGTACTGGGACCGCGCGCTCGAGTATAGACCCCGATCTGGGAGACAAGACTGCCTCCGCCAGCGGTGCAGGCACCCCCGACTGGACCTCTGAGGAGGACTGGGCCGACGACTCGAACGACTCGTCGTTTGCGTGGCAATGGGCCCTGGATGGTGAAGCACCCCCTCCCAGTGCGATTGTCAGCAGGCGAGACCTGGTAGGTCGCTTCGGTAGCGCGTCAGTAAGCGACTGTTGTTGACTCTCCACAGCCAGAAGGACGTCAACTGGCCCTCCTTGCTGAGCCTACGAACGGCAGCGCGGCCCCCGCCCTCAGCCTCGGGGTCCTCCTCGCAACCTTTCTCGGCAACTCGTCCGCAGACCGTGATCGCGCCGCCGTTGCCGTCAAGGAGGCCAAAGAACTTCGCGACGAGCAAGAGAAGGAAAAGCAGGCCAAGCAGGCCAAGTGGTCAGCCACGTTGTCCTCGACCTTTAGGAGCAGTCCAAGTAAGCCGCGCAAGCAGCGCTCGGGGACGACCATGAAGTCCAAGCTGGGCATCGTACTGGGGATGAAGAGTAAGACCAACGCCGCGCCCTCTCCCATTGCGGAGGTTGGACACGAGTCTCAGCGACAGGAGACCATCAAGGCCGCTCCTCATCATCAGGAGACGACCGCCCAGCTTGAGCCAGAGGTTGCCGCGGTCTCTGGTGTCTCCGCTGTCACAGAGGGGGCAAAGTAGAATGAAATTAATTTGTGGTGTAGACCTTGTATGTGATCGGGTTGTGCGATACAGCAGACGTCGTCGGCTGAGCGTTGGCCTGACGGGACGTTGGGCATCGCGCAGCAATCAAGGCACGGTTGTTGACAAAGTCGGAGGTGACCGAAAATGTGGATCGGACTTTGACTCCCATGCTCTCAGCCTCGCGCCGTGGCCGCAGGCGTGCATTGTGTTGATGCTGATTGGAGTGCCAACCCCTCGACAAGATGTACTGAGGAGAACAGCATGTATAGAGAGGTGGGACTGGACGTGGAGCGGCTCGCTCGGCTCGGCAGCGGGTAAAGCCGTCTCGTTGTTCGCCTCCACCGGCAAGCAGCACCATGTGCTCCCCGTGATTTCCTGGCACGCGCCGTCAACGCGCATTGTAGGCTGCCGTCCCTTCATTCAACCTTTTGTTCTCCGCCTACCCGTGAACGGCGTCTGCAGTCATGATCGACTACAGCAGCTACCCGCACATCATCGACCACATTCTCTCGCTGTCCGCGCGCCCAGAACTACTTGTCGTGCGCCAAACAAGCCATGTGTTTCGGGACAAGGCCGACGCGCTCCTGGCCGCCCATGTTGCTGTCCGCGTCGACTCTGGACGGGTAGTCGTCGAAGCAAAGCATGTCAGCGGCGAGGGTGCGTCGTCTTCCGTCTCCAACCTCCGTCTACCTGCTCTTGCACCATTCTCAACGGGCGCCGACGGCGAGCACGCTGTGCTCCAAACGCGCGTCCTCCCCCATGTCCGAACTTTCGACCTCGACCATTCGGCAATGTACCCTCTCGACCCAGATGCTGTAGGGCTTGCAGCCCGCCTCCCGCGCGTACACACGTTTAGGGGATCCTACGACACAAACTCGCCCACGACCCTCCTTACCGCGCGGGTGCGACGGGGTCGGAGCTCATGGTCGGACCGCATCCAACTCGTCATCAACGTCTGCACGGATGTGTGGACGCTCCACCTCGCTGAAGAACTCTTTACGGCTGTCCAGGCCGTCTTTGCGCCGTTGTTGGCGGACTCGCCGGACGTCGTGATCTTGTACGGGGCCAAGAGGTACGCGGCGTGGTCGCAGCGTCCCGGCGGGCCGGACTCTAGCTACGAAGGACTCCGGCTTGCTCTGGCCAGCTTTGTGGCCCAGAGACCGGGTTTGCGAGTCGCGCTTGTGGGCTTTGACGGCATCGAACTTGTGCGCACGCACACCCGTACGGGCGACGAGGACGAGGACAAGTACGAGTTTGTCAACTGTCCCCGGCTCATGCGGTCACCGGCCAACCACGACCTCGACGTTGCATACTACACGCGTAAAGAGTATCGGTCCCTCATCGGCCTCCAGCGCTACGCTGCGCAGACGACTGTGTCTGGCGATATCTGGTCGTTTGACCACGAGGTCATCCTCCTCGGCCCTGCCGGCCGGCAAAAGTACAAGGTCAAGGGCGCGACGCTCGTCAAGTGGATCGCGTATGATTACTGCATCATGACAGATATCGACACGGGGCGTTCGGCCCGCATGAGCATGACGCTGGAGGGAGAGACGTTCGCTGGTGAGGCGAACGTCCTGGACATGGGTCTCGAACATGGCGACCATGTCCAGGTCGTAGAGGTCTAGAGATCTAGGCACAGACCCATGGTATTGCATATTGCCCCTAGGGACTGATGTGGGTTCGCTACCAACGGCAATGGGTCTCACTGCGCTGCCAGTGGCGTGGGCAAGGTTTCCCTAAAACTGCGCCCCCAGGTCTTACATAGGCTGTAATCCAGCCGTCAGCAACACCCTTTGGCGGAGATGCCACCGACCGGATCGTAAAGGCGTAGCATTACCTCCATCTTACAGGCCTGGTCATACACCGCAGACTTATGGTGTTGATGTAGGAGGCGGCGTGTCATATTCGAAACCATCACTGCACCATCGACTGTCTCTGCAGGCCACTCCCAAACACCATCACTCACTGATGGCACAGAGCTGGCTGACTCTGGCACTCACACTGGTCCTACTCTGAAAACATCACTCTGTCTCCTCCGAGTCTCTCTAAGTCTCTTTTGTTCGGCGTCTCTCCTCACAAGTTCGTCGTCACCAACTTGCTCCCAATGACAGCCACCTTGCGCGAGAGCGAACCTCGTTCGCCCAAACAAGCAGTCGCCGAAAGGGTTACTCTGCCTGACCTCGCAGGACCAGTCCTCTGTGAGGAAACTACACAGCTATCGAGCATCGACCACTCGGGCTTCCCGCACCTCGTCGACCTCATTGTCTCTCATTCACCGTATGAGTCGCTTCTCGTCCTCCGCAAGGTGTCCAGGGACATGCGTGATCAAGTTGATGGGCTCATGGCGCAAGATATCGAGTTCAGCGCAGCCAGAGGTGACGCCCAAATCCTTGAACCTATAGTACAGCTGCGCACGGCGGGTGCGCGCGGTATTCCCGCGTTGTATCCCAACGACTGTATCCAAAAGACGCCAACGCAATACATGGCTGGATGGACTATCACGCAGCGCACTCGAGACCTGCTGCCTCAGATTCGCCGGCTTACCGTCCGAATCGATGGGTGGCAGCATGAGGGGAGAGAAGCCATGGCCATCTTCTCCATGGGTCAGTTTCTGACTAGTGTCCAAAGCGTAACGTATGAGATAGCTCCCGGGTCGACCTTGGTTGTTGCGACGTTCCTTCCCGCTGCAGCGGGCAAGCGCGACCTCGTGGTCAACTTGACCGAGGACCACACAACGGATATCCCCCTCGGTAGCCTCAATGTCAGCCTCGAGTTTCTTTGCGCCATCGTCCAGCACTTGAACGACCTGCACACGGCCACCATCATCACCTCGTGCCGGTGCCCGGACCTCGTAGAAGCGCACCCACCCCTGGGTCCACCAGGCCACTTTGACGTGCCCGATGGGCGCCGGATCCTCCTCATCCCACTCTCCAAGATCCGCCGCCAGTTTGCCAACATGGCCACCACGTTTGTCGGGTTTGCCGGGTACTACAGATGCTACCAGCCGCTCTTCTCGTTCGCAACCACTACGCGGTCGGGGCGGCTCCGGCTCCCAGATTCCGACTCGACGTTTTACACCCACCGCGCATACCGCGCCGAGGTGGGAATGGAGGCGTATCGCGTGCACGCGCTCAAGTGGCAGGCGCCTTACCACATGTGTCAGCACGCTACGTTGAACGTCCCGTGGGGCGAAACGAGCATTTCGCTGGCCACCACGGCGGCGGAGCTTTGTCGCGAGTACTGTGAAGCGAACGACCTCGAGTGGGAAGTTATGAAGGGCAAGGTTCGGGTGCTGTATGAAGGAGAGACTCTCTTGGACAACGAGACGCTGTGGGAAAGGGGTGTTCTCAACGGTGACAGGATCCAGTTCCTCGAGGATGTGTGAAAGCGATTGCGTTTATTTTGCCTATTTTATGCAACCCATGTCTTCAAAGCTTAACACTTGGCATACATATCAACCGGGGTGGCCGCAGTGTTTCCTCACGCTTATGCTACTCCCCAGTGTAGCGTCCGCATGCATAGCAGGCTTCCTTCGGCTCGCAGCACTGCGTAGACAATTGTTTACGTAATTGGGGGTGTAGCTCAGTTGGTAGAGCGTGTCATTAGCATCCTCCTTCTATCTACGTTGACAAGGTCTTTGGTTCGATTCCTAACTCGTCCACACTACTCCTTTTTGGGCCCCAGGAGGGCAGGGAGAGTCGCAAGGACGTCGAGCGGCAGGTGGAACAACTGGGGAGGAAGTGTTGGCGGCGGGTAATCCATGATCGGCACTGTGGCGGAAGATTTCGGTGAAATTCCAAGAAATACATCAACGAGTACAACAGACCCAGCCAAAGACAGTAGTCTCATGACCTAGCCAAAGACAGTAGTGGCATGGCTGGTCGGGTACCCCACGCCTTATGTTTAAAACTTCTCCCTGTAGTGTAAACATTTCACAAAGACTGGCTGAGCAGTTGTGCCGCAGAGTTGTCTGGTGGCACTCCTGTCGCCCATGTACGAAGCCGCAATGTGTCCTGTGGTCTCATACGATGTCCTTTGCCTGTCAAAGAGATTCCCCCGCTGCTCCTCCCGTCGTCAACCGTCCCCGTAAGGCTGAGCCATTGGCCCGGGACGGATACAAGCGGCCAAATCGCTCACGGTGGTGGTCACGAGCTCTGCGCGGCTAGCGCAGTGCCGAGCGCCGCTTCCTTGCTTCCTTGCGAAGCAGACCTCAGGCTGGTACCTTCCTGTGCAAGTTGTGGTGCCAGGAAGAGGAAAAAGAGTAGTGTGGACGAGTTAGGAATCGAACCAAAGACCTTGTCAAGTAGGGTAGAAGATGCTAATGACACGCTCTACCAACTGAGCTACACGCCCGACGCTGAAAACGACAATGGCGGGTTGAACAGGAGGCTTCACCATCCCTCTCACTTTCTGTTTCCTCCCTCCCTCTCCTCTCTCTCCGCGACATGGCTTTGAAGACCTTGCAGGATATGCTACGTGTGGCATGCAACCGACGACACTGACACCAACCTGTGAGGTCGTTAAACCATCTAGCGGACGTGCATCCCCGTATGACCAGCGCCGCGTCGGCCGACCGGCCACTCACTGGCGCCACCATCACGTTGGACATTACTTTGGCGACGCCACCTGAGGGCTGGTGTGATGGCCCGTCCACCTCCCTGTGCGCTTATCCAGCTTTGAAGCAAGCCCAGAGTCTATTCGATATGATGATGGCCAGCCCCCATCTCCGTGGCCAGCCCCATGCTAACAGATTTGCTGGAGGCAGTGTGTCGACGTGGTAAACAGCAAGTTCCTGGTAAAAGTTACCGCGTTTTACAACGTGCAGATCCCGCCGGTATTTGCGGCATGGAGACTCTGGAGACTCTGGAGACTCTGGCCCCTTCCCAGCTTTCCGAAGTCTCGCGGTGCGCATAGAGGCATGGGGGCTATGAAAGGCTTGCTCGTCGCTCCTTTGTAGTCCGCAGCTCCGAAGCACCGAAGCTGCTGAAGCACAAGGAGGGATGCAACAGCAAGACATTGCGCGGCGGTGATGCGCGAGGGTTTGCAGTGGGAATTCCTGACTGCGCACCACCTCATCCTCCGGTGCGCCAGTGCGCCGGTGCACCAGAGCAGTGTCTCCAGAACGTCGAAAGTTAGGCGCAGAAGTTGGGCCAAGGGCGAGGCCAAGCTCCGCAGCAGCAGCAACGATCCAGTGGGTGCACAATTGCGAGTGCAGACGTGGGCCACAAGCGGGTGGTGAGACAAGCGGCCAAGAGCGGTGACGTAGGATTGCTGTGGCTGGGATGGACTGGAGCTCTGGAGAGCAGTGTGTGCCTTTTGCCAAGACCTCTGGCGAGAGACAAATCCCAACACCGCCCCTCTCGAGTGTGCCACCCACACCACCACACCCAGTGCGCAGCCACCGCTCTCATCCATCTTCCCCCCCTGTTTCCTACATCTCGCACATCTTCTGTTTTGCAACATCTGCATACCCCCATCTTATTCAAGCACGTCCACCACCCTCGTCAGTCACAGCATCACACACTGCGACACAGGCTGTCTCCCCTCAGTGCCAAGCTAGACTACACGGCTCCACATCACCCCAGGGCCGCGCTACCCACTGCGGCTTCTTGCGCACCAAAAACAACACCGGCTAGTCTACGGGGCAGTGTCCGGTCTTGTACCCCCCCGGTTCCCAGCAGCACAACTTGGTGCTGCCCACTCTCCCTCCCCACCACCACCCCCCACCACCACTCGCTATGAGCAGGCCATCACGGACACGAGCCATTGCGCGTTGGACGGCCCTCCCGTTACTGTTGCTCGTTGCAGTCGTCATCCTCGCCGCTAGCGCAACAGGTGTGTGTCTTGCACAAACCATGAATGGATGGACTGGATGAGAACACCACTGACACCGTTTGCAGCACGCTCGCCCCCACCACCACCGGTGAGCAGGGTACACCATCCCGAACGCTCGTCGTTGCGTATCCTGCCTCGCGGCGGCGCCAATGGCCTGTCGGCGCGATCGCGCTTTGCACCATCTCCCAAGTCATTGCGACACGACGATACACTGCTGCTCACGGTGTCGGTCCCTTCCCTGCTGTCGTTTGACGTCAACCTCCTCCTCAACCCCACTGAGCACCTCCTCCACCCCAACGCGCAGGTCACATTCGAGTCGACCGGCGAGTCGATCCCATTGCGGGCCGAGGACTGGAGGCTGTACAATGGCCAGGTCATCCGCCCTCACTGGGTGGAGCGCACTTGGGTCGAGGAGGCAGCCGGTATGGGCCGCAACCCCGGTGCCGTTCTCGGCCGCGCGAGCGTCATGGTTCACGAGGTCGGAGACAACGATGTCGTGTGGGAGGGTGTGTTCACCGTCCTTGGCACGACATACAATGTCATGACGCGCGAAAACTACCGCCGTGTCAAGACGGCCGACGACGCCAACCCGACACCGTTTGGTGACGACCTCGTCATCTTCTCTGACGCTGACATGGTTCCCCGGAACGGAAGTGGACCGGCCCAGTCGTGCTCGCACGACAACCTGGCGTTCAACGTTGACGTGAACCACCCCGTGCGCCGTTCACTCGCCGCCGACATCTTTGAGCGCAGCGACATGGGCGGTACTGCCCCCTCGACCAACTACATCAACGACATCAACTCGACTACTGGTTGCCCCACGTCGCAGCAGATCGTTTACATGGGCGTCGCTGTCGATTGCAACTATGTGGGCGAGTACGGCACTGCCGAGGCAGCCCGCACCAAGGTGCTCAACAACTGGAACTCGATTACGGCGCTGTACAAGTCGACGTTTAAGATCTCCTTAGGTATCACTGAAATTGTCGTTATGGACGCAACATGCCCCTCGACGGCTCCTTCCACCGCAGAGTGGAACACCAACTGCTCGGCATCGGTTACGCTCGACGACCGTCTCTCGCTGTTCAGCACCTGGCGCGGCAACCGTTCCGACGACGGCATTGGTCTCTGGACGCTCATGACCGCCTGCCAGACTGATACCGAGGTCGGCGTCGCATGGCTCGGCCAGGTGTGCACGACCGACGCGAACACGCAGACGGACGGCACCATCGTTTCCGGAACTGGTGTTGCGTCATACTCCAAGACCGAGTGGAACATTATCGCCCACGAAATTGGTCACGGCTTTGGTGCCATTCACGACTGCGAGTCTGGATGCTCGCTCAGCGGCTCGTGTTGTCCGTACAGCACCAGCAGTTGCGATGCCAACGGAGCGTACATTATGAACCCAACGACGGGCTCGACTGAGACAACTTTTTCGGCGTGCACGCTGGGAAACGTCTGCACGTTCCTTGGCAGCAACTCCAAGTCGTGTATCGTCACTCCAGACTCGTCGCACACCATCATCTCGCTCAACCAGTGCGGTAACGGTATCGTCGAAGACGGTGAGGACTGTGACCCGGGCTCCAACTCGACATCCTCGTGCTGCACGTCCGACTGCAAGTTTACCTCTGGCGCCGTGTGTGACCCGTCCAACTCGGCGTGCTGTACCGACTCGTGCGGGTATGCGGCCAGCACCGTGGTTTGTCGTGCGTCCATCAACTCGATCTGTGACCAGGCCGAGTACTGCACTGGCACCAACGCGACCTGTCCCACGGACGTGACCGCGGCGGACGGCACTAGCTGCGGCAGCGACGGTCTCGCATGTGCCAGTGGCCACTGTACATCTCTCAACGCTCAGTGTGTTGCTGCCGGCACGTCGCTCAACCTCACCACGGCATGCGGCCAACGCAACGACAAGACGTGTATGGTCGTCTGCAAGACGCCAAACGCCACCAACATGTGTACCGAGCTCCAGACGGTGCTCATTGACGGTTCGCCCTGTGGCTACGGCGGACACTGTTACAGCGGCGTGTGCAAGGCAGGCAGCTGGCAGGACACCTTCAAGGCCTGGTACCGCCAAAACCTAAACATCTCCATCCCCGTGACCATTGCGGTCGGGCTCATCGTCCTGTTCATCCTCTACTCCATCTCACGCTGCATCTGCGGCTGCTTCCGCCCGCGCACAAAGGCCATGCCCATGACGCGCACCAACGGTCGTGGCGGACGCGACGTTGTCACCGCCCCGCCACTGGTCGCCACGTACCAGCCCATTGACCCCAACATGCACTCCCGGCAACAGTCGCTGGGCCTGAGCCCCACCAGCCCAGCCGGCGGCAACACCAACGACGGGCACGCAATGGGCCAGCTGGGCGGCTACCATGACCCGTACAGCAATGTCAACGTCGGGTACGGTGCGCCGTATGGCGGCCAGCCCGGCGGCGGTAACAACGGCTGGGTCGATGCCGAGCAGTACAACGGCCCGAGCTATCCGGACGACTACCGCCGGCAGTGGAGTGGCGCCCCCAACGCTGCCGCTGGGCACTAGAGAGCGAGCGAGCGAGCGATCCCGTTAAAGTAGGAGGCGTGTATCCCATGTTTGCGCACACTGTGGACGCTTTTGTGCTATTTTCATCTTTTCTCATCGACCGACACGCATACACGCGCGCATACGACCCGCAGTGCGAGCACGAATCTCAGCAGCACTGCTATGATATCAACAGAGCATCGATACCAAAATGTACCCTGTAGTGACCCATGCCACGAATTCTTTTCGTACGCACCTGAGCGGGGAGACCAAGTGACCCAATGAAGGGAACAGCAAGCTTGACGTGAGGAAACGACCCAAAATGAACAGCCACGACTCGCGGCCATGTGCTCATCGCCACTTTCAGCGTCGGGCGTGTAGCTCAGTTGGTAGAGCGTGTCATTAGCATCTTCTACCCCTACTTGACAAGGTCTTTGGTTCGATTCCTAACTCGTCCACACTACTCTTTTTTGGGCTTCGCAGCGGGCCCTCCGGTCCTAGAGCGACGCTGGCAGCTGTCTTTTTATGCATCAGTGTCTCCGGGACCCATATGGTGCCCTCGAGCTGCACAGTGTGGGCAAAAGAGTGGGCAACGTGTGGTGTCTCGGTGTTGACGCTTGGCGGTATGTAGCGAAACGGCCCGGCGGTTGTAACCCCTTGTCTTGCATGTCTTGCGTCGCCGGCGATGGCCGTTTGGGCGACTCAACAGCGGTACAGCGCCCGTCGTCATATTCCCCCCCCAAACCCATTACCTTGTCCTTTCCCTCCACTCCACTACTACTCTACTATCCCATCTCTTCACCCCTATCCCTCATAAAACCATGGCACGGCCTGTCGATTGGGCGGCCGAGGAGCGCAAGCTTCAGCCTGTGTATGGTGCGTTCATCCTCGCAGTGGGCACGAGCGGTCGGGTTATACTCGAGTTGGGCCACAAGTCCGCGTGCTCCGGGAAACCGCAATCTTGCCTCACCCCGGCCCTTCAGCTGCCTACGTCTCTTCGTGCATAGCTGACACGTATTGCACAGAGGACATTCAGTTCGGTCTCTTCAAGCGCGCAAAGGACACTGTGGAGCGATGGTTGAAAAAGCACCCAAAGTCGCAGCCTGCCCTCGTGAGTGTCGACTGCACGAGACCTGCTCGTGCCTCCATGGTGGTGTCTTGCTACAGATACGTCGTCTCTTCTCCTCCCCTCACCTTGCTTGCTGGCGATACACTCCCCTCGACACGCCAGTTCAGTTACGGCCATTGCGCCCGCCCCCCAAAGTTCCTCGTCCTCTCCCCTTCGCCCTATTATCCCCCCAAGAGGTCGAGCTAACGCGCACGCCAGGTCCTTCGCATGGTTATCGCCGAGAAGCAGCGTTTGGGCGCGCCGGCGGTCCTCCGCGCCTATGCCGACGTCAAGAGGACGGAGCCGCTCTCGGGGCGTAGCGTGTGGTTTGTGGCTCTTGCGTTGAGGAACATTCGGAGACGTGAGTGTTGGTGGACTTGCAGCTGAAGGCCTCTCAAAGCAGCTGGCTCAAGGCTCTCTATCTGGGTCTCCTTTCCTTCCTGTCCCTCTCGCTAACACCGCAGCCGACCTCGTCCTCGAGCTGTACCAGGGTATCTGGGACTCGCGCCCGGACATTGCCGAGCTGGGCGACCAGGTCTTCCTCACAGCCTCTGCCATGGGCAACACTGCCGTGATGAGCACATCCTCGCGCAAGCTGTTCAACGCGACCAAGGCGCCCCAGTGGGCCCGCCTCGCTGCCTACTCGGCATGGGCCCACGCCGCGCCGCCGCCGAGCGATGCGGATCCCTTCCCCCTCGCCCCGGCCCGCTCGCTGCTCCCAGCCTCGCTTCTCCTCCGCACTACAGGCAAGGAGGTGGCGACGGCCGACCAGCTGTGGCTCCGCCTCGAGGTCGCGCTGGGAAACGGAGACGTTGCCGAGGCCCGGCGCCTGGTCAAGGACGAAGGGCGCAAGGGCTCGTTGAACCGCCGCTGGATCGGGATGGAGGCCGCAAAGGCCATTGCGGGCCGCGAGGGCGTGGACAGTGCCGAGGTGTGGGCCGACGAGTTTGCCGCCACGGTCGCTCAGCTGGCCGACCCCGAGTCGCAGTACAACTATGCGTTCTATCGCCACCTCCTTGCGGCCCTCGACGGTGCCTACACTGCCGAACGCGCCGGCGAGGCCGACGACTTGTTCAAGCAGATTGCCGAGGCGATTGGCGCCAAGGAGCGCGCGCCGTCGCTGGCCCGTCTCGAGCTCGACAAGCGCCAGCGCGCACGCAACGCGGGCATGGACAAGGCAGAGTGGGAGGCGCTTGTCAAGGCATACCTTGCTCGTTGGGGCAGCAAGTGGACTACAGGCGACGAGCTGGCCGGCATTGCCGGTGAGGACCGCAACGACGAGATGCTCGCCCTTGTGTCTGCCAACTTGGCGCCTCACACCAACGAGAAGAGCTACCTCACCCGCGCCGTGGCCGAGCTGTATCTCCTCCAGCACGGCGAGAAGAAGGGCGCTGCGCACTACTGGACGCTCTACACCGAGGGCCTGCAGTACGGCGTCAACCTCCCCAAGACGGACGTGCAGCCCGCCGACTTTCTCGGCCTGGCCGCTGTCGATGTGCTGCTCGCCTCGTGGGCCCAGAAGCCCGAGGACGACGGACCGTTGCTCGCGGCCGCCAGCGCGCTCGAGCACATCATTGCCAAGTCACCGTCGTCGTTTGACGCCCGGTTCACACTCGCACGCGTGTACCGTCTCCTGGCCGCTCCGGGCGCGTACGTGCCCCACCTGGCGAAACTGAACCTCTCCGAGATCCAGCTCGACAACCTGCTGCATGTCGTGAGCGAGCGCGGTGGTGTCGAGGCGCGCGCCGGTGGCAAGGACGTGGCCAAGGCATGGAGCGATATCGTGGAGAAGGCGTCGCTCATGTACACTCGCGGTGCCACTGATGTAAGTTGGTAGGATACTACAGTTGCTAACTTTGAAGCTGCCCGAGTACATCAAGCAGGCGCTCGAGCAAGAGTCCTACTCCAAGGTACACGGTATCCGCACCCTTGTCAAGTGCCTCGACTCGTCTATCGCTGCTCGCGCTCTGGAAGTGGAGGAGGTGGCGCTCGCGCTGGCCACCGGCGCCGACGTGTCCGACTCGACACTCGAGACGCTCTCTGCCGGCCTGGCAGATGACAGTGAGCTTAGTAACACCGGCTGTGAGCTAACACAACAGCCGCATTCATTGACAACCGCAACTTTGAGCTGCTGGCCGACTCGCTGTCTCCAAGCGGCGCAGCACTGTCGGCCGCGCAGCCCACGATTGACGAGAAGGCCATCCGCGCCCTTGGCGCCGTCACCCTCCGCGCGGCGCGGTTCGTCAAGGGCGAGCCCGTCGACGCCGCGTCTGCCGCAGTGGACACGGCCGGTCTGGAACCCGTCGACGCAGCGTACGTGTCAGCGCTCGACACGGTCCTTCGCGCGACTGTCGAGTCGGCAACCCCACCATCCCTGGCGGGCGTGTACGACCCCTTGCTCGCGCTCGCCACCTCGCCGGCTGCCGCGGAAGGCACGACGTATGCACGCACACACGCGCTCCTCACCCTCGCTCAGCTGGCACGTACCTTTGACAGCATCTACAAGCGCGTCGCCGACCTCGCCAAGCCCGTCAAGGGCAAGAAGCGGCCGGCACACCTCGTGGCTTTCCTCGCCGAGCTCAAGGGCGCGCGCGAGGCGCTCAAGGTGGCCAACCCGGACCAGAGCGTCGCGGCAGTGCTGCGGGCACCGAGTGCGCAGGACATGGAGGCCGCGCGGGCGTGGGCGGATGCCGAGCTGGTGCAGAGCGTGCAGGACAGTGTGGCCGCGGCAAGGAAGGAGCTGGGTGCTGGACTGGACAAGTGGTTGGGCAGTGGCAGTGTTTAGAGGGTGTAGAGATGCTAGATAGTATGCATGCATGGTAGGAGCAATGGTACAGTACAGTACACGTACAGGAGGCGCGTGGGGCATGGCATATGGCCTACGGCCAATGGTTTATTGCGGCAGCCGGCCGGTGTCGTGACCGCCGTGGAATCGAGAATGGAGAGCACGGCAGAGTGGGGCGGTGGTTTTCGAGAGAGCGCGCTCGGTCGCACTGCACACCCTCTCATGCCGCCGCCGCCGCAGCCGCCTGGCGGGCATGCTCGCGCATCACCTCTGTGTCGTCCTCGCCCAGGTCGCTCGTCGTCTCCCACATCTGGTCAAACTCGACATCGAGCGGCGCGACGGGTGCCGCGGGCGGCGGGGGCGGGGGCATGAGTCGTCCAGACCCCGATCCGGATCCCGGCGCGCCTGCGCCTGCGCCTGCGCCTGGTACCAGTGTCGCTGCGCCTGCTGGCGCGGGCGACGCCGGGGTGAACGGGCTTGGACTGGCCGGACTCGGGTTGAGCGTCGGGGCTGCGCTGGCCGCGCCGCGCGCGTGTAGTGGTGGGATGGGGAGGATCCACATGCGCTCGCGCAGGCGTTTTTGGCGTTCACGGTCTTCCTCGATGCGCCGCAACACTTCCGTTTTGGACATTTTCGACGACGACGACGACGACGAGGATGAGGACGCGGCGCCGCTCGTGCTGCTGTTGCTTGTGTCTGTCTTGAAATGGCGTTCTTTCAGCGTCGCGAGCACGGCGTCCACGACGGCCGGATCGAGGACGCGGCGCGCGCGCCAAGAGTCGAGGATTGCCCGCGCCGACTTGAGGTTGAGCAGGCCATCGCGGTGCGGGACGACGTGGTCGACGATGGAGGGCAGGTCGCGCGTGATGAGGGCCAGGTAGGGCGCGTCGGGCGGGCCGAGGGTGCTCGATGTCTCGGCGAGCGAGTCGAGAAAGTAGAGAATGTTGATGCGGGCGTTGAGCGAGGCCTGTGTGGGTGTGTGTAAGCATGGGACAATGGCGGCGGCGGCGGGCGGGGTGGGAGACGCGTGTAGTAATCTGTACATCCCATCATATGCCACCCAGAGCTGCAATCAACAACGGCAGCTCCAGCAAACCCACCTTTGCGACCTCGTCAACGACACACTCCCAGAGGTCCTCGGCGCACCGCGCGCCGTACTTGACAGCAAACGACACCACTTTTGCAATGCTCTGCTGGCTTGCGTTGAGCGTGCGCAGGAGCTTGAGGAACTGGAGACGGGCCTCGAAGGGATCGAGCGACATGGCGGGTTGGTTGGAAACAAGGAGGCAAGAAGAAAACAGTGAGAGATTGAAGTAAAGTGGATCTGACAAGTGGAGGGCAAATAGCGGGCATCTCGGAGGTGCCGGAGGTATCAGAGACGACGAGCAACACAGTTCGGAACAGCACGCAGCGCACCGTCAATGGAGAGGAGATGAATATACATGGGACCCAAACACGCTCTCTGTACAAAGGTTGATGTGCTTCTGTGCGTCTCTCGTCGTCGTCGTCGCCATCGCCGCCGCCGCCGCCGTCTATGCGCCAAGGGCAGAGTCGGGCTTGCCGCTGGTCTCGCGCTTGGCCTCCTCGCTCAGATGGTTACCACGGAACCGGCGGCGCATGTCGAGCTAGCGGGAAGCGTCAGCATATACATTGTCTGCTATGCGAGAGGACAAGGGTTGAGCGGGGGCTGGGGGTGGCATGTACATGGCCCCACGGTCCCCGTTGTCGCCACCGGCCTACTCACCATGCCCTTCTTGCAGTCGGCGTAGCTCAGCAGCAGGTGCTGGCAAAGCAGCGGCAGCTCGTCCTTGGACTGCTTGATGCAGTCTGCGGGTGTCTTTCCCTTCTTGAGAACGCTGGCGGAAGTCAGCATGTGGTTTTGGCCGTACTCTCCCAGTTCGATGCGCAGACCGACATCCGACGGACCAGGTCCGACTCCGAGACGGCGACGAGCAGCCACCGGCCGCTGCGCCGCTTAGCGTGCAGAATGTACTCACCAGTCAGTCCTGATGACACACTGGATGAGCTCTTCGCGCTCACGAGCGCATGCGAGGCGCGGCTGCGGTTGTTCGGACATTGCAAGATGGGGGACGGAGCGAACAGAAACAGAAGAATGACAAAGGTGGAGGAAGGCCGGCGACGCCGCGCGGGGACCAACGACCAAACAGAAAAAGTCGGGCAACCGTCGACGATGGTACCAACCACACACCGTCTCATCGTCACCACCACCACCACCGCTACCACCACCGCTGCTACCGCTACCATCGACTGCAATGCTCGCGAGGACACTGCAAGTCCACGCCGCTCGCCGTGCAGTCTCTGCCACTGCGGCACGACCTGCGATGCGGACCCCATCCCTCCTGCACGCCCGGCTATACACGGCGCCCTCGGACCCAGCCCACCGCCAGCACCAGCACCAGCACCACCAACAACAGCAACAGCGCGAACCCGAGCACGAACACGCGCACCACGACCACCTCTTCGGCGGCAAGCTCGACGACCTGCACACGCCGTTCCCCAAGGACGTCCCGCCCATCTCGCAGCGCCTGCGCCCGCTCGTCCCGTTCCTCATCGTGTGGACGATCATCACCTCGCTCGCTGTACACCTCCTGCGCGTGCGCACCGAGGGCGAGCAGAGCACGGCTCGCGCGCACGCGCAAGAGTCGGTGCTCGAGGGCCTGGTGCAGCGCTTCCAGGCCGGCGAGGTGGTGGACGACACGGAGATCCGGCGCGAGCTCGAGATGGTGGGGCTGCGCGAACGGACGAGCCTGACCCTCGGTGTGGATGCCGATTTGGCCGAGATGCGCGAGGTGTCCTGGTGGGAGGTGCTGCGCGGGCGTAAGAGGGACGGAGAGGACGAGGAGGCGGGTGACGAGAAGAAGGAGGAGGACATGTCGGACGAGGAGAAGGAGACGGCGGCCGCCAAGGAGTGGTCCAAGAGTGAGTGCAGCTCTCATGTTGTTTGGACTCTCTGAGCTGTTTCTGACGTCGTTGCAGTTGTCGAGCAGGCCACGGCCGAACCTGCCAAGCCCCCACCCATGGAGCAGCCTACGCGACCCGCCGGTGTGGCCAAGCGCGCAGAGTCGGCCAACGTCTACTTGTAGCCCCGGGAGCGGCCGCTGCAAGCAAGCGAGCGAGCGCGAACTAACATCACAAAGAGGAGGAGCATGGCAGGAAGATACTACAATATATGCATACAACAGGCATCGTCTACTCTAGCACACACAGTTCTCGTTCCCTTCAAGTGGCAGTGACTGCGCGCGTTGCCGCGCTCGACGGCGCCGCTGCTGATGTCCTCCTCCACCGCTTCACTGGCCGCTCCTTGCCCAACATGTCCTTGATGTCCGCCCGCCGGTCCTCGAGCAGAGGACACTCGTTCCACCACCCACCCTCCCGCAGGGGACACCACTCACGGTGTTCGCCCTCGACGTCAAACTTCCTCTCCTCATCGCTGGACGCGGCCGTCGCAGTGAACGTCCACAGCCCGACACGCCGGAGACACAGGCGGCACGCCACAATGTCTGTATGCGCCGCGTGTCCGTGTCCTTGTGCGTGCCCATGGCCGTGTTCCTGCTCTGCGACGTGGTTGGCCGGCGCGACGGGGTCGTAGGGATACCATCCGAAGAGGGCCAGTGCCGCGGCGAGGGGGTCAATCGCGAGCGTGGCGCCGTGGACGGCGGCGGCGTAGCGTTCCAGACCGGCCGCGAGCGTCGCGAGCTGGGACGCGGACACGGGACACGCCCAGCGCGGTGGCTCGGGGCCGATGGAGCGCGCCTGCAGCGCCGCCGCTAGCGGCTCGAGGCTGGCCGTGACGAGCGGGTGCGCCAGTCGTCGGAGCTGGGTGGGGAGCGTCGCCGGCGACGCGCGGGTACGCCAGCCGCACTCGAGCGTGTGGCGTTGCGGTAACGACGACGCGAGGCGGCGGACCACCTCGTCCCGTGATCGTGAGGGGAGCGACTCGAGGCCGCCCAAACCCCATTTCTCACACGTCGACGAGGAGGCGCAGACGACGCCGCCGTGCGCGTACGTCCATCCCGCGAGCGCCAGCGTCATCGGTGAGAGGCCCGGTAATGACGAGGGAAACGTCGGTGGGAATGTGCGCACGCGAGCCAGGAGGGGAAGTGGTGAGTAGGGGGCATACGTCTTGCCGTTGAGGTCGGCTGGGAGCGGGGCAGTGGATGAGATGACAGAAGATGTGGGTTGCGGGACCGCGTAGATGCGTCGTTTGGCCGGGACAGTCGGTGTCGACGATGGAGCGACGAGCGCATCGAGGGCAGTTACAAAGCGCGCCTGGAGGGCAATCAGCATCATTACATGGGCCACACCATGACAGCAAAGCTGGCGACACCAAGCTCAGCCTTACGGTGACGTACCTTCGAGTATCGCCGCGAGTGTATAGAACCCTCGGTCGAGGTGGCTGTCTGCACACCTTCGCCGAGCTGCTGCTCATCACCAGCATCCTCGTCATCGTTGTCGGAGGCCCACTCGTCTCCGTCGTAGAGTATGCGGAAGACGTCGTGCAGGTCGGCGTCGGCGTCGACGTGCATGGCGGCGGATGGTCGAATGATCAGGCGAGCTGGACACATTCAGTTGTTGTTCATGGCCTACAATGAGGCTTTAAGTGATGGGTTCTTTTAAAGGATGCAGGGGTCCGGAAGTGGTCAGTGCTGGTGGCGGACGAGTGTGCCCCGCATGGCATCCCATCCGTGAGACGAGAGACGTGCAGATTCTCAACATGCTTCGACATGCTCATAAGACGGGTTACATGCTCAGATGACAAAATTCTGCCATTATGAATGGTCCGGTGGGTTGGATAGAGGAACCGTGTGTAGCGATGAATGGCTGCAGTGGCAAATCAACATCAATATACAGGCCGTGACGCTAACTGACAACGGCTCTGTGATGTTGATGACCACGACGCAGCAGGCCAAGTCCTGTCCAAACCTCTTCCTATTTCCACATTTGAAGACACGAAAACGTACCCTCCAGCATCCATGGTGGGTCCCAGCCAGCGATAAGAACTTGGCTCCTTGGCTTCGAGTTTTCTCTCACTCGGGTTTCGTTCCTGCCCTCCAGGCAGTTCATTCGTGGACCGCAACTCAACAGTGGGGAGCAACGGCCCTGTGGGTTGACTCTAGCTATCGTCCACAGGGATGTCCCCATGCGTCTCGGGCCATTGAGATTGTCAACCATTAATACATTGAGTACTGTTAAGGAATATATATCTTCCTGACATTTGTTTCTTCCAAGCCCAGACAATGGGATGGGAGACTTCCCGGCTTTGATATGACCTGTAGCTTCATATATCGCTTAACGGCTGGTTAAATCTCATCCCAGGCAGGTATGTATGGCGGCATCGTTCTAGCAGAGCGTGAACCATGAGCCTGGTCACGACCAGTACAATTAAATGTGGCAGATATAATCTGTTTGCATCAGTCCTTCTGCCCCCCACCCAGTGTCGGGACACCATCTAGCAATCACTCTCACGTATCAGTATTATTGGCCATCTGTACATCTGTAAAATTATCTACCAGTGTCTCGGTTTAAGGATATGTAAGAATACTGTTGTTCTCGGTTCTCTGTCCTGTCCTCGCAGTCTACCAATTTCTCGTCACCGACAGACAGAAATCTCAAACAGCCACCCCCAAGACCTAGGCATTGGCGAGCTACAAGCCTTATGCTTCTTGGCTGTACCACACGCACAACACTTGCGTCTGATCCCCTCCTCCTCCATCTGCCACCTGCTGCCTGCTGTTTGTATCCTTCCTTTCTGCCAAGCTGCCAACGCCCCGATGCATGCCACCCTCTCTGCGCCTCTGCACCTGGTGCGAAGTGGCTGGTAAACGTGCGAGCGGGCGGAATCAAAATCCCCCCTCGCCCCCCCTTCGCCCCGTCGCTCGCGCCCCCATTTGCCTCCGCTCGCCCCGCTGCCTGTGTGTATAAAAGGACCGCGTACCCGCATCTCTCTTGTTCTTCATAGTGACCAACTCAGTAGGCAAGTATCCCACCACCACCACCTCCCCCCACCGCTCCTCAGCTAACACCTTCTACAGGATCTCTCTACAGTTGCCGTCTCTTTCTCGCTAGTTCATACTAGCCACATTTTCCAAACCGAGGCGATGATAAAGTCCCCTCCCGGCTCTTTCACAGAGCGCTTACTGTCCCCTCCAGGACAGTAGCGAAGACGCTGGCGACGCTGGACGCGCCTGACTCCCTCGTGGAGGAAGGCAAGGCCGCGCCGTGGGCTTGGGAGGGCTTTCTGATCGGTTTCTACATAGTCTTTGTTTCGTTTTCTTTGTAGCCATCCCCATCATCACATGAATCAATTCTGCCAGCTATACCAGTCCGTCCATCTGGCGCAGAACCTGCTGCATCCACATCCACTGAACTGCCTCGTCTGCATATCTTCATCGACGTTGTCCATCGTATCGTACGTACCTCATGCGTCACAGGAGTCGCTGCTGTAGAAGACTTCGGTCGCCTGTTCTTCAGCCCACACGACCTGCTCGCGCGTCGAATTTCTGACCCCCTGCCGTCAACAAAAATCAGCGCACAGCAGCGAGCGGGACCAAAGGGGCGACGCGCCAGCCAAATCTGCTCCCGCCTCCCCCGCGCCCACCCAGCCCACACGCCCATAAAAAAAAGATGCATCCCCGGCCTCTGTTCTTCTTCTTCATTCAACGCGCCTCCTGACATCTCGTCACGTCCTTGCCGGGCAACGGGACCACGACGGCCACCTTGGTGGACAAGCGCAAGAACGAACAACTTGGTTTAGCTAGCTGCTGGCCCGATCCACCGCGATCATCCTAATAGCCAGTTTCTTGATAGTAGCCTTGTGACATTTCTTCACACCGCTCCCATCGCTTTCGATGCCTTTTCCCCCTCGTGTGGGGATGGAGGTCTTGAGATGAGATGGGAGATGCAATGTATATCTACCTATTTATCGTCTATTGTGCCGTGTGCTGCCTTGTGATAGTGTGCATCCTGGCGCGCTTGGTGGAACACTGAAAGGGGGTATGACTGTGCAACTCAGTCGTGAGACGTCGAGGCCCTGTTGTGGACCACTCGCGAACACAACACTGCTACAGCCACCATGCTCAACTGTCCACCGCCGAAGCATTGAATGGGTATGCCATGAAGGTATCTCTAAAATGGTATGCTCGTCCTCCTCGCCCCCACTGGGCCAGCGACCTCCACGCGGAGGCACTGCACGACCCCACGGCCATGTCTATCCACCATGCAGTGTCGAGATGAAGACAATCTCGTCCCGGTCCTGGAGGACGTAGTCGAGCTCGCCCTCGAGCTCCCAGTCGGCGTCGTTGATGAGCACCAGGATACCGGGGCGGCTGCCGTCAGCGAGTTGTTCTCAGAGCCTAGGCTCGGACAAGAGGCCATGCCGGGGGTCATAGCTGACAACGATACAGACACCGCAGCTACTACGGTGACAGGCCCGTCCACAACGCTGTACTCACACGCCCTCGCCGTCCACAAACATGTCCTCGCGCTCGCTGACGAGGTTGTCCTTCATGTACGCGATGAGGTAGCGGATGTCGGCCGGGCGAGCGTCGGCGCCGGGCGTGGTGCGCGGCAGAAAGATGGTGTGCTTCGGCTGCTGAGAGAAGATGAGGTGCAAGCCGCCGCTGAACGTTGGGGTCAGTACAGTAACAGTACGCAACGATGGGAGCAAGTGACATACCCAAACTCGAGACGGATTTCCAGCTCGTCGGCAGTCCTTGTGCGCACCGCCGATGCGGGGGAAGCAGCCGGCGCCGATCCTGAGGTGTAGCCCAGCCCGCTTGTGGACGCTGGTACGAGTGTCTCTGGCTGTGCCATGGTTGTTTTGCGGAGAGAGAGATGTGTGATGGCGAGCACAGTGACCCAGAACATCTTGGAGCACCTCCACACACCGGGCCGCGCCCGCCAGGTGCCACAACCGCTCACTATGGCCGCCATACAAACGATAACCCCGATGATAACCCCGCCGTCCCGATGATCCGCGGGGCCGGGAGTCGCCGGGAGTGTCGAGCGCGACGCCGAACTCGTCGAGCAACGCGTATCTCCCGTCCTACAACCCCTTCCCCACACCCCTCACCATGTACGCCAGCACCAGGCTCGCCCCCTCGAGGGCGTCGCGCGTCCTCGTCCAGCGGAGGGTACGTCTTTAGCTGCGCAGACCGAACAAATGTCAGCTAACACACACACCAGCTGCTCTCGTCCTCTGTGCCGAGCCGCAACGCCGCTACCGAGGCCGCTGCCAACTTTGGTGTGCCCGCGCCCAAGCCCAAGAAGAGCGGCGGCTTCCGTCGTCTTGTGACGTACACCCTCGTGGGTGGTGCCCTCTTCTACCCGGTGTCGGCGTACGCGTCGACCAAGAACGAGACGTACCGCGAACTGTTCACCAAGCTTCCCGGCGGTGAGGCACTTGCCGACTTTGCCGACGAGCACGGCTGGGACCGTTTCGGCGTGGGCACCATCACCAACGCCGCGGTGCGCCTGACGCACTCGACCGACGACATGGGCGCCAAGCTCGAGGAGGCCAAGAAGGCCGCCGAGGCCAAGGCTGCTGAGCTCACCGCGTCGGCCAAGGCGTCTGCTGCCGAGGCCCAGAAGCGCGCTTCTGCCGCTGCCGTGTCGGCCAAGGCCAAGGCTGCTGAGCTCACCAAGGAGGCCGAGGCCAAGGCTGCCGAGGTCGTCGACAAGGTCGAGAAGGCCGCCCACATTACCCACGCCAAGGCCGACAAGGCTGTCGCTGCCGCCTCGGACAAGACTGAGAAGGTCGTCGATGCTGTCCAGACCAAGGCTGCCGCTGTGGCCGACAAGGCCGCTGCTGTTGGCGACAAGGCCGACAAGGTCGTTGAAAAGTACGTCAACAAGGACGCCAAGGCCGTCGAGGAGGTCGTCAACGCCTACGCCACTGTCAACTACCCGGACCTTGCCAAGCCCCGCGCTCTCCGTCCCGAGACTGTCCAGCCCCAGAAGCCCAGCTTTGAGGGCAAGGAGCAGTACAACGAGTCGCTCCCTCTGGGCTTTGAGGCTCCCCCCGGCTACTACGTCAAGCCCCCCGCGCCCAAGAAGAAGGTGCCCGAGGGCGAGCCCCTGCCGCTCCTCGTCCCGCAGGTCAAGGAGATTGCCGCTGCCGAGCCCGTCATTGCCCAGCTTGCTACTACCATTGACTCGCTCACCACTTCGCTCTCCAAGGGCAAGGGCGGACCCAGCGCCGACGCTGCCGACATTCTGTCGCGTGCCCAGGGCGACCTCGCTGCGCTCAACCAGCGTATCGACGACGTGAAGAAGGCCGAGAAGGAGCGCCTCGAGAAGGCTGTTGCCAAGCAGCAGGCCGAGTTTGAGACTGCCCTCAAGCAGAAGCAGAACGAGTGGGAGAAGGACGAGGCTGGCCTCAAGGAGACTTGGGAGACTGAGCGCCAGAAGATGGTCGACGGCTGGCGCGAGGTGCTCAACGGCGAGCTCGAGACCCAGCGCCAGATCATCGAGCAGCGTCTCAAGGAGGAGGTTGTGTCGCAGGGTATCGAGCTCCAGCGCCGCTGGCTGAGGTCGATCAAGTCGCAGGTCGAGACTGAGCGCGGTGGCCGTCTTGCCAAGCTTGACACGCTCAACACTTCGCTCAAGCAGCTCGAGCGCATCACCCTCGACAACTCTGCCGTCCTCGACGACAACGTCCGCCTGCACAAGATCTGGTCGGCCCTCCGCGCCGTCCAGACCAAGGCCGAGAACGGTGACGTCTCGTTTGACGACGAGCTCCGTGCCCTCCAGTCGCTCGCGTCGGCCACCGACGGCCCCAACGCCTCGGACAATGCCGTCATCCGCGCCGCCCTCGGCCAGCTCGAGTCGAGCGGCATCCCCCAGACCGGCGTCAAGTCGTTCGCCTCCCTGTCGTCATGGTTCACCACCTCGGTCGCGCCCCGCATCCACGAGGCCTCGCTCGTCCCCGCTCCCGAGGACGCCGGCGTCGGCTCGCACATTGCCTCCACTGTCCTTTCCAAGCTCCTGTTCCGCCCCAAGGCCGGCCTCGCCGACGGCGCCGACGTCGGCTCCGTCCTCGCCCGCGCCGAGTGGGCTCTGTCTGAGAAGGACCTCGACAGCGCCGCCCGCGAGGTCAACACCCTCACCGGCTGGCCCCGCAAGCTCGCCGACGACTGGCTCCGCGAGGCCCGCCGCAAGCTCGAGGTCCAGCAGGCACTCGAGATTGTCGGCGCAGAGGCCACCTTGTCGTCCCTCCTCATGGTTTAAACATAGCTGGTCCCCGACGACGACTCAAAACGTTAAACAACCACACCCCCATCACCTCCCACCTCCACCCCCACACTCCCTCACCACCCCCAAAATTCCCAAAACGGTTGTGCGTATTAGATGCATCTGCATGAAACAGGTAGCAAACATGGCGCGGAAAGCGAGTCGCGTTGCGGGTGTGATGAGGGAAGAGGCTGCAACGGACTGGGGGTGTATACTCTGCTCGCCCACTGTACCACTACTGTGGCGATTCTGGCTGACACAACTGACCGTGCCTGCCTCTCCAAGGCCAGAACCGCAATGTAAGGAGCGTGGGGGGTGAGATCGCCAAGTTGTCCAGTTGTCACCGCCGCGAGCAGGAAGGCAGCGACGCAGTGGACTGGTTGGCTGTACCTGTTGGTTGTCATGACTGATTCCGACAGGCTAACGGTGAGCCTAAAAGTGGGCCGCACTGATGGATCGGCGTGGAGGGATCAATATAATCAAGGACGGCTGAGGCGAGCCAACGTGAAGCAACACGAGTGTCTGCAGAGTGCTTGGGAGATGGGACTGCTTCAATGACCACACTGGGCTTGATCACGCCAAACTCTGTGCCGAGGCCCACGCACCCAAGCCAAGCAATGCCAGCGATCGCCAACGTCCCATCCCTACCCATTCCACCTCATTCCACCTGACCTGACTGAATCCTTCTGGATCAAACAGACTCGCCAAGAGGCCACAACCCGAACAGTCTCCCGAGCCCATACATATGTGCCAGCACGTGAACAATCAGGCCCATGACCTGACACAAGCAGGAACATTCAGAACCCACGAAACCACCCATTACACCTCTCCAGATTATCCACCGGGCAACGATTATTGCGGAAGCCCACCGCCTCCACGCCACACCTCGACCACAGCGCGCAGCGCCACCCTCTTACAAGCCACACCCCGGGCCCACCGGCCCACCGGGTATCCCGTGTGTGTGCGTCGCGATGTGAGGGAGACGAGCCACAATGCAGAAGGGCGACGGACAGCGGCAAAGCGAAGCAAACATGACGAGGGCCCGTGGCCGGTTAGTGGCTAATGCCCTCGGCCCCGCGAAGAAGGACGCCACGGGGCCACGGACGAGCAGGGCGTACATACACGAGCACGCACGGCGCCGGCGCCGCCGCTGGCGCTGTGCGATGATGGGAGAGTTGTGATCGGTGTCAGCTGCTGCCCGAGTCGGACGCTAATGGTTGCGACGTTTGCGCAAACCCCGTAGACCAGTCACCGCTGTCAGCTGGCTGGGCTGACATGACATGACTGTCAGAAGCCCTAGCAAGAGAAGGGGCACGCGACGGTTGAGACGCGAATAGCGCAGCGGAAGAGCTCCATTGGCCACTGGCCACTGGGATCCAGACCTGACCGACTCTGAGACTGAGGGACACGGCCGGCATTGTGACGCGGTTTAGGTTTTGGTCATGGTGATATGGTGATGGATCCGTCCCGCGTGTTCCCGGAAGCGGTCTGCGGTCTGACCCCGAGTCCGCGGCGTCTTCTTTTCCGGGTGTGTGCGGCGCTCGGCAGCGCTTTGCGTTTGCGCTTGCGCTATCGCAAAGCAGTGGCCAGTGGCTCGGTGAGGTGCAGCTGGTACAGTACTGAGACTACAGCCGCGCCGGCAAGCTTTCATGTCATGTCGCTTTTGAGGCCCCATGGGGGCCGCATGGTCAATCAGTGATCAGTGACGCGTGAGTTGCTGGGACAACACGAAACAGCACATTGAGAACATTCCCGGCATGGAAACTGGCCCAGCTGGCCCAGCTGGCGTTACCTTTTCCACATATAGCAGCAGCAGATGCTCAACACATGCACACTCGAATATGCCCTCTCCCACCCGCCCCACCTGTCGGTACGGCGTCCCGGCTTCATACATGGCAAACCCCCTTTGTCGGCGGTGGCGTGCAGTGGGGCGCCACGGCACGCGCCGTCTGTGGCGGCCGCACTAGTTGCAAGGCAGAGCGGTGGAATGCGACGCGTCGCGCGAGCGTGTACCGGGGACGATGAGCAGATGGGGGTGTACATACGTATGTACGTACGTTGCATGCCAGCATTAATGAAAGGATGGAGAGGATACGTGGAACACAGCCGTCAAGTGACCCCATTCTGTCGAGAAGATCCAGGATCGGCAGGGAAGCACGCACACGCGCACACGACCAAGTTACGAAAAAAAAAAGCTAAAAGAAAACAAAACAAAAACATACCGCGGGGCAAAATGTCCAAATGTTGTCTCGCGCTGCTCAAACAATTCAGTCGACATCGCCCGACATCGAGCATTGATGGTGCCTGTGGCCTGGAGGGTTTCACGGCCAAGTAGGCCAGTAGGCCAGTAGCTAGTAGCAATCCCCGCGTCTGCTTCTTCTCGGCCCACGCAGCCACACCATACCCGGAAACGCTCTCCACGACCCCACTGCTACGAGGGGGGGCGCTGTGGGTTTCTCCATGTTCACGCACCGCGGCGTGTGGGCCGGGCGCGGGGTCATGTACTTTTGTACGAGGCCCACCCATCGCGAATGCAGCTAGCCGGAACATGAATGTGCTGCGTCGTGCGCGGTCGTTCTTGCTCTTGGTGTTCGGATTGTTTCTCGGTTCGCACTGTTTCTGGCTGCTCCCTTTTCTATTTTATTTTATCCCCCCCCCACCACAGCTGGGGAGAGCACCCGCCGAGATAGATCTAGGACGTGTGCCGTGTGCCGTGTGGGCGCCGGCCCGAGATGGGGTGTTGTGTCCCGCGGACCCCGCGTCTCGGCCTGTACGCCGCAAACAGTATTACTCTCCGTGCCACCCGGCGTGGGCTTTGGGCATATGCATGGTCTCTATTCGTGAAACGCGCAGGAGCAGAGAGCATGCCATGCCAACGTCGCCCGGATACGCGGGTGGCTCGTGCGTGTGAGCCGTAGAGATGGTGGCTGCCGGTCCGGTTTGGGCATGTTGTGAGCGCACCACCGCTTGAGAGAGGACGCCATGCAATGCACCCAAGTGCACCAACAGCTTGAGAGACAGACCCACGCGGCCCCGCTGGCCCCCGTTGAGTAGACCATACATACATTGGGCATCGCGACACGACATGACACGGCGAGCATGTTTTTCCCAGAGGTACCAAGAACACTACAAGATAACCAGTCAAACTGCCACCCATATGGAATGCGGGTATGGTATTGCTGGACGACATGCCAGAATTATACGGCGGAAGAAAGCGAAGGAGGGGCAGAGGGGAGGGCTGGTGACTGCTGTACTGCTGCTGCTGTGAAAGGAAAAGAAAAGCCAGTTCCTATTCCCCCACCTGTCTATGCGGCGTACGAGCCGTAATAGTCCTTGTTCTTGGACTGGTGCTCCATGTATGGCGAGTTGAGGCCGACCTCGGACAGGTTGACGTCGCCGTGGTGCTGCGAGCCGGCGTGGGACGAGCCAAAGTCGGTCTCGCCCGACTCGGAGGGGGCACGGAGCTTGGGCTGGATCTTGTGCTCCTGGAACGCAGCGTCAATCTGGTGCGACTCGATGTACGTCTCGGTCTGGACGTGGATGGTCGCCACACCGCCATTGTTGTTGTTGTTCTTGTTGTTGTTGTTGCCGTTGCCGTTGCCGCGGCTGCGGGTCATGTTGTACGTGTTGGGCTTGTACGACTCGACGTGTCCGCTGTCCATGTTGCGGCGGAGCGCGTAGCGCGAGTTGAGGACGTAGATCATGCCGACGACGTAGAGCTTGCCCTGGACCATTTCAAAGAAGACGGCATAGTACGAGTCGCCCTGGATGGCAAAGTCGGTCATGAGGGCGAAAGCGAGGAGCGTCGGGGGAAGCTGCGACTCGCACGAGATGAGAATGAGACGCTTGACAAGGTTGTCGGTCTGCTCCCACTCGGAACGCTGCTTGAAGAGACCGACCAGGACGACACCGGTGACGACCACGTCGGCCACAAACGTACCGCACACCCACATCCAACAAAAGTTGTTGTAGCGCTGGTCAATGGCCTGCTTGAGCATGCTGCTCACGGCGACACCAATGGCGCCGGCAAACGAGACGACGAGCGGGAAGAGGACCGACACAATGACGAGCTTTGAGCGACCGGCAATCTTGTATGCACGCTCGGCGTAGAAGACCTGGACCGTAATGGTCATGCAAGAGTCGATCAGGGGGAAGAAGGATACCCAGCGGTTGTTGATCCAGGGAACAAACGAACCATAGTTGAAAGCAAAGATGTGGAGAATCCACACGTAGCTGAGCACGCTCCCGACAACACCCATAAAGCAGGCCCAGTACTGTGATGCGGCGTGAGTATATGGTACACACCCGCGAGGTTGGGGCGGCGGCAGTCTTGTGCCGCCGAGAATCGGCCACACTCACCACTGCAATCTTGATGGCCCGGAGCTCAGTCCTGCGCGAGTGGTTAATCCAGGTGAGGAACAAGCACAGCATGATACCGAGGAAGATCGAGTCGACGGCCATACTGTAAGACCTGTCAGCTACATGCTCTCCCGGTGGAGACCACCTGGGTGGTGTCTGTCGGTTTGGCTTACCCCATGAGTGGCGGAGAGATGGCCTTGCCCGGGGTCTCGCCCTTGAGGGTGATGGAAAGGGCAGCGGCCTCCTCCTCAGTGAAGGACACTGGGACCCAGGCAAACTCTTCAATCTTGGGCATGGTCGGTGGTGGTGGTGGTGGTGGTCGGTGGGGAGAAAGAGAAGAACGAGGTTAACGAGTGTGAAAGAGCACAGCGGCGGCTAGCGTCGCGGGCGGTAGTACAAGAAACAAGCAACGGTCGAGCGATGCGAACGAGGCTTGACGTTTGTTGGCGCGGGCGGAGGTGAGGAAGAGTAGAAACACACGAGGGTACGAAGGTGGTGGTCGCTCGCGTACTTGTTCTTGCACTGCAGTGCCGGGCACAGCTGGGTATGGGTGTGGTGAGAATGGGTGGTGGTGGTGCGTTGCAATCGCAGACGGAACGGGCCCGGCGCGGGGAGGTTCTGTCTCGACTTCTTATGGCGTTGGCGGCAGCTGCTCCAGGATGGAAATCCATCTCTCATCTTTTCTCACTTCCCGCGCGTGCGTGCCACAGTAGAGTCTTGCGGGGCATCTGGCGCGCGGGGGGGGGGGTATGCCATCTACGCTGCGCATTCTGTGGGCCTTGTTGCCTTTGCTAGGCAGGGCCCATGAGAGCGGTAGCGCCAACGTGAACCAGGCAAGAGGTCACTCGTTGCATGGACCCCGCCATCGTACCCCACACCCAAGGACGGCATGGCGCTCTGGACGGCGGCGGCGGCGGCAGTGGGCACAGGCTGCAGGCGGGCCTTAGCAGATCCGTCGCGCGCTCGTCCCTTCGGTGTTGACGCAAAAGGTGCTCGGTCAGAGCTTCAGGTGCAGCCGTATAGGGAATGTGGCGGTGGAGAGAGAAGGGGGGGAACACACGGCACGGTGGCGTCGGGTCCAACATCGCTACAGCCCATCGTCAAAGGCCACTTGTTTGAGGCAGGGCAGCGTACCAGCGTGGACGGGGGCCGCCTGAGCAGCTGGGGGGGGGGGGGGGGAGACGCTTTGCATGGACACTCCAGTCCTGTAGAAAGAAGCACCATCCACAAGCAATTGAAGAAAGAACGGCAGGTCGGGCAGGCAGAGGGTTCTCGACGAGAGCCGGGTCTCACCGCAGCTGCCGCCAGTGTTCCGCATGCCGCCTTACCGCCCGCCGCATCCCGGTCCGCGGTTCAACGTCGCTGTTGGGCCTTGTTCTGCCACCCTACACCCTCCAGCCGAAATCCACAATCGTGGTCCGAAACAGTTGGCCACACTGTCAGTCACAGTCGGGAGGCAATGAATTGTTGCGACAGTAGCGACAGATGCGACGTCATGTCCTGGACCCACGCACGAGCGAGCCGTGGGTGTCATGGGGTTTTTAGTTGGACCTGCGTGTGTCCAGTCGTGTAGAGTTGCATGGTTGGCACGCGCTGACGTCGGGTCATGCCTGTTCCCTCTGGGTATCTAGCATGCACGTACGCTCAGCCAGAGTGGACTGGGAGGGTCTCGACTCCGCACACCCTCGCCGCAGAGGCATAATGAAACCCAGCGCCATAACTCTCACACCACCATGCGTCTGCTTTTTTTCAGGAATACCGCGTGCATGGACCGTGACCTTGACCTTGACCTTTCCCTGTGACAAGCATAATGGACGGGGGGCAACGACGGGATGCGATCCTGTATCGTCAACTCGGCTATCCGCGTCATGGGCCCATGAGGGTGTGGGTGTGGTGTTGTTGGGCGCCACGCCGACGCCAACGACGGTTGTGCTCGCTCCCGGGGGGCAGCCACAGAGAGCAGCGGGGCGACAGGGTGCACCTCAGCGGGGATGGGTGCGGGGTGGCTGACCGGCTGGCCGCATCTTAACAAGGCCTGTTCCATGCGCTGTGCCCCTGCAGAGCACATGTGAGGAGGCTTTGGAGCTTTGGAAGCTATCATGAGAAAGGAGGCTGCGTCTCGTAACCGGGTCGCCGGGTTCACCGGCGAGCCACTCGTACGTGGGACATGATCACAGGTTCTGTTCTGCGCATTCTTGTGCGACTTTTGCAGGAATGTATTGCGCAGCCGTGTGGTTATGTCTATGTAGCCAAGGCAGTGAAAGGGATCGATAGCATGGCGGCGGACGAACCTGAGTGGGTGTTAGGGGGAGGGAGGGAGGGACATGAGAATGGAGCACGGCTGAAGGAATCCCCCGCACGAGCATCCAACGCACTCTCTTGCTTTTGGAACCATTCCAGCAAAGACTAAGAAACAGTTTGCCCTGTGTTTCAGATGGATGGAGACTACTGTACGAACAAGCACCTCGATCATATCGATCACAATGCCAGTTCCCCAGATCCCCAGCCTCATATGTCCAGCATACTAGAACCACTAGTGCACTAGCTTGGGGTGTCAGTTGTGCCGTCGGTCGTGTGGTCATGGTTCTGTGCAACAAGCGCAGCGATGTGGCAGCCACAAGACTAGTACGCTGCCCTTTCACTGCTGCTGCCAAGAGGCAGCTGGCCACTCTGTCACCCATCCAGGGAGCGGCCCATAAAAAGAAAGGCTGGGCCTGCCAGTGCTGGCGTAGCCGCGCATGGACCTGTGCATGTGCGCACACACCTCGTTCAGTGGGACCCCATTATAGCTAGGTTTTGCTCGGGCCGCGTCTCGTGAGAATGACTAGGATATCCAGTCGCCGCCGTCACGACGATCACCTCTGGCATGCGGTTGTCCATCTCAGCAGCCCACTGCACTAGAATATCGGAATGCACTTGCACTGGACTGTCTGAAAGCGGTCTCATGATATCATCAGCCGCCTCGTTGAGACCTTTGAAAACCTGTCAACCCTTCAACTCTGGTGCAACTGCCAAGCACGCCGCGTAGCCTCGCCATTCTCGCCTCGCCATCCTCGCCACACCCTCGTCAACGGCGCAGCACACACGTACACGCATGTGCGCAACCCCCATCTTGTGCAAGGCACCCCACCCATTGCATTGGCATGGCTTGTGTAACCTGACCGGCGGGTTTGCCGGTGCCAACTGTCAAGTGCCAATGGAGATAAAGAAATCCAGGCATAGAGCCAGGAACAGGCCACACAGGAGACCCCACTGGATCCACCAGATCCACCACAAGGACTTGTTGCAGGACGTCGGAGCCGTCTGTTCCCCGGCGCCCTTTGCCCCAGCCGGAAGTGGTGCGGGCCTAGACGGACGCATGCCCCAGCACACGTACACGAGCACCTGTATGGACTGTCTGTACACCAGGACATTGCAGGGGTACCAATGCACACATGCTCTTCGCAGGATATGCGGAAGAGATTACGCCGTAGGAGAAAGGTTTGGTGCGAGACGTGAGAACGGCCCTTGACCGGCTGGTGCGATCGGGCCCACGATCCCTAAGCATTCCCTGGCAGCTGGCAGGCCGTCCACGCGTCCGCAAGGGTCCCTTGAGCGTGCAAAGCCCGTGAACCACACTCGTGCATCCTGGGGCATCAGTGGGATCAGTGGGGGAGACGAGAGCGTATGGACTGGGCGAGGGAGAGGTTGGGCATCACTGGGCGTGCAGTCGGCTTCGCTAGCAAAACTTTTCGGTCTCGTCGTCACACACTACTACGTCCTGTCACCACAGCCCCCCACCACTTGCTCGTCACTGCCACCCGCTTTGCGTCTAAAACAGGCATTCTGCAATGAGGCAAAGGTGACCTCTTAGCGGCTGGTAGTCTGCTCCTATCAGTTCGACTGGGTAAATCGCTGCTTGCAGCTGTCAATGCTAGACCTGACCTCACTGTTAGATTTCGTGTCCGATCGAGACATTACCTGAGGACCCAAGGTGGGGGACGATCCGAGGACGGCCCTGCGATACCTGGGGATACTCGCTCTCACTGTTCTCATCGTCATGTTGCGTGATAGGACAGGTTGAACCCGAACATGGGCTCATAAGGTCATAGGATTCTCTTCCTTCCAGAGCCTCTGCCACTCGGCGCACGGTGGACGTGGGTGCCAGGGTGCATCATGCTGGAAAGACCGTTTGGAGATTGCAGGAGATGTCGTCTCGTCGCCTCCTCGCAGTCTCCTCGACGTGGCACACGAGGTGACGGCAGCGGCATGTTTCCATGCTCGTGTCGCCACTCCAGGAGTGTGCTTTGTTTCCAGGAGTCGGCCAGTTGGATACGTGATGGTACTTTGCCCGTGGCGCGGTGCCAGGTTGCTACCATTGCCTCCGAGGATCCGAGTGCCTCTGACACGCAACTGTGCTGCGCCATACGAAACGAGCACGACCGTTTCAGGCAAAAGAGAAATGAAACTGTGATCCAGCTGCCAGCGGCGGGCAGGCCAGCAGCTGCGTAGCTGCGCAGCCAGCAGCGGGCCGTGGGTCTCGTTGGCGGTCGCCACGGCACGGCCACCGCTGCGGACGCGCCGGCCAGATTCCCACAAAACCCCCACAGTGTTGGTTCAGTCGCGAGACAGCAATACCCGCGGTGTTCGCGTGTTCACGGCCTTGGATGGGATACCCGTTGGAAACGAAGGCAGCAGGGAGGAACGAGCGACGGTTCCCGACGTCCCAAACCTTGCACCTTGTAACACGAAGCTCCTGTGTCAACAGAGCGAGAGCGACCACCATGACGCAGTCGCCACACTCGTCGTGCGTTTTCCATTAAATCCTTCTCGGTCGTGCAGTTGGTGTGGGACGTGACGGACGGCGACAGACGCGTTTGGAGTCGACGGTGAACTGTCACTAGCGCGGTCCCCGGTGTGTGCGAACGCCACATTGGCCGTCTCCACGCCACTGTCTCCCAAGCCTTGACCCGCAGTTGGACTTGTCTGTAACATGTGTGTGTTTTCTCGCCCTGCCGAGCGCGGATACCAGGATGAGGGTCGCCGACGACCTGTGGTGACCATGACCTGCAAAGGGATGAGAATACAGCATGTGGCACTGCGGTACTGCAGTTGATTGTTGTAATGGAGTGCCATTAGGGCTATTGTATTATGTAAGTTGGAAACATTTCAAAGGGGTGTGTCATTAGGGTTTAGCGTTCCCCTTAAGATCCCCTTTTCGCGCGTGTCGGGACCCGTGCCACTCTCGAGCTCTCCCCCCGGCCCCCTGTTTGCCCCGTGCGTCGCGGGTGCCGTTTGGACAAAGGTGCGTCGTTGGAAAGCACCATGCAACAACCAAGGCAATGACAGCGCTCGCTATAGCATGCTGACGTACTGTGTACGGTGATATTGCCAACAGCTGGCGAGAGCGTTGATCAGTTGCAGCTGGCCAAAAGAACTCGACAGACGTGTCCCGAGTCTCTACGTACATAAGGTTGGTCGGGTCCAGGCCAAAGGAAGACGACGTGGGGGTGGGTGTTCTGTACCTGGCGGGTGTTTATGACAACGACGGCAAAAGAGACTGGCACAATGGTACATCCGACACACCTGTATAGTCGAAGAGTTGCAGACAGACAGAGAGAGCATGGATGCTAGTTGTCTAGTTGTCTAGACGCTGCATGGATGCTATGTGTGTTGTGTCTCATCTGCGGCGGCGTTGGACACGGTGGGACGTGCTCCGCGGGTCCAACTTTGAACGCGTCTCCACACCGTGGGCCCTGGGGGAGAGCGGACCGACACTGTTTAGACACACACCCAAAATCAACACCCGCGGTTTCCGTGGTGCATTGTCCGCTCCGTCCGCTCTCTCTCTCTCTCTGTCACCACTACTCTGTCGCTCTCTCAGCCTCGTCATCGTCCTCCCTTCGTCTGTTCCTCGCGCACCCCTCCCCCCCCCCCCCCCCCCCCCCCCCCCCCCCTTTCCTCCTCCACGTCCGTCAACACCCGCGTCACAAGCTGCACTACCCCCGCTGTCAGCCAGCGGCCCCGGGCTTGCGTACTCCTCTGACGGACGGACCCATCGACTTTGCTCTCAACCATTCGACAAAGGCCCGACCGACCACCTCTGTTTCTCGCGTCTGCCAACCCAGCAACCAGGGGGCAACGACCACGCTCACGAGCGACTCCCAACGCACCCACACCCATCTCCCAAACTGTAACGCTTCGTCCTATCCTTCCATTCCACCAACAGCATTGGACGCAGCCCGCGTCTCGCTCCCTTGCTCCCTCCCGGCAAGATGCGGCGCGTGCTCCAGCGCGAAGTCGACGAGCTGCACGCGTTCGCCGCGCGAGGAGGACTCGGACGGGCCACAGCGTAAGTTCTCTCTCGTGTCCACCTCTTCCCTGCCAGTTGCACAACACACACCACCTCTCCACCCTCCTGGCCGGGCAAGGCCTCCCGTCCTCACCCCCAGCTCACACTTTCATTCCACAGGTCAACAGACGTTGTCGCTGAAGGGCCCGACCAGCTCATGCACATCGAGGGCGACGTGCTAGTCCTCCTCCGTGACGCCGGCGACGACATTCTCGCCTACTGCGAAGGCGAGGTCGGCTGGGTCAAGCGTGCCAATATCGTCCTCGACCTGCCTGTCGCGTCGACCAGTGCGGCCCGTGCACCCACACCCCCCTCACCGCACAAACCACTAACGCCCTCGGCGCACGGCAACACCAGTGCCGACGCCGTCGACAGCATCAACACCGGTAGCATGGAGTTTGTACCGAGGGCACCTCCGTCAGCGCAAGCGTCCAGCAAGGCGCGCCTACTCGGCGCGTCACTGAAACTGCAAACCGCCGTTCCACACGCGATACCAACACCACCACGGTCACCTTCTTCCCTCCACCAACAAAAGTCATGCTCAGTGTGCTACTCGCCCTCCGCAGCAAGCTCGCCGTCGTCATCGCACACGACGCATGCGGCGAGCCCCACAGCCCGTACGCCCCGCGCCGCTCTGGCACTTTTGGTACCCAGTCCGACCGAGGCCGCGCAGCCAGTGACACCCGAAGGACCGGCGTTCCGGCTACGCGACAGCGGTCCAATGCACTCGCCACAGTTTGCGTTCGACGCGACATTCCTCGACGACAGCTCCTTCCCTTCTCCGGCCTTGGACATTGACCAGACCTTTTCGGCGCTTCGCAACGGCACAGACAGTGGGCCGAGCCCTGTGCCCCCTCCCAAACATCCTCTGCGTTCCAACCCTCCAGCAGAAGGAGACGTGGAAGCCTGGACAACGTCCTCCTCCGGTCACGGCGACGCGCATCGAGTGATACCTGTTCCTCCTACACCGCGCGACGTGGCTCTGTCCCTCGCCACCCGCATCAACCCTCCCACGCGCCAGTCGTCGCTCTCGCGTATCGCACGACAACGGCCACCATCCCCTCCACACCCAATCCACCGCTCCGAATCTACCTCGTCCATGCTCAGCGACGAGTCATATGCCATCGGGGGCATCGTCCTGGGTGGGCCCCGGGAAGACCACGACGAAGACGTCCCATCCTCTACCCCTACTCCAGAACTTGGCGCGGTATCGCTCTCCGCTCTGGGTGTGTACTCCCCACCGACCCCGACTGCGCCTCTTCCCGCGCCTGCTGAGGCTACCCCAAGGCAACCACCATTGCGAATGGCCAGTCTCCGTTCGGTGAACCGTTCCCAGGGCGTTCCAGTGGCGACGGTGATGAACAACCCTACCAAACGGCACTCGCTGCAAGTGGACACGGGCATGTTCGACGCTGGAAGTAGGTTGAGTGAGGCGCCAACCGAACCGTCCTTGATGGAGGAGGAGGTTCCCGAGGATCAAGGCAACGAGAACAACAAGCCGAATCCTATACCCACGGAAGACGAGGACGTTCCTATCCCTGGGTCTGGGAGACGCGGGCCTCGGACGCGTCCTGGCATGCTGGTCCTCACTCCTGACCCAGAGGAAGGCTCGACACCCCGGCTAGGCGGAGAATTACCTCTTACCGCGCGCTCGCTCGATACGTTTGGCGGACACGACCCACCCCAGTCGGAAGAGAACCTGCGCACCTCGGACTACTTTAGCATGGCCCGCAGCGTCAGCCAGTACAGCGCGTACAGCCAAGACAGCGTTCCAATGGTCACCCTCCGCCCTGCGGACTGGAAGGGCGATGACGAGCTGCTCACTCCAACCGCCGACTCGACCTTTTCTCTTGACGACGACGAGGAGTCGGTCCACGGCATCACTGGTTTGATCCTTGGTGACATTTCTCCTCGTAACTCAATGGCGCGTAGCTCGACTTTCTCGGAAGACGAACGCTCGCTGCGCTCCCCTTCGCCCTCGACAGCAGCCGACGCTCGCAGCGACTCACACAACTCGCACACTGTTTCCGATGAGACGGTGCTCGAGACGCCCCAAACTGGTCCTCGGGAAACCTTCTCTGCGGATGACAGCTCCGATGACAGTCCTTCCCTACCGTACTTGGTACGCGTCGTGTCCATCCAGGACGACTCGGGTGTCGTGCAGCCGCTTGTGATCGACACTCAAGTCGCCACACCGGTTGAACACGAGCAGGCCATGCTGTCCCCCATCCCCAATTCGGCGTCCTCCTTTTCTATCGTGCACGACTCGCCCAACTCGCCCAACTCGATCGACTCTCGCATGTCGGTCGAGTCGCGAGCGGCTGCCAAGGCAATTGCCCGCGGCGGATTCTATGCGCTGGGTCACTCGCCGCAGCTGACCGAGGAACAACAACAAAGCTTGCGTAAGCTCTCGCACTCCATCAAGGAGTCGTCACCTCCAAGCTCGGCTTCGTCGTCCATCAAAGAGTCGTCCGTCCTGGGGTCCCCCGCACTGATTCTTTCGCCGACGGCGCGCGATTCTTCGTCTCGCAACTCGCCGCTCAGCGCAGGATCAAGGACGAACTCACCGTTGCAAGACTCGTTCAAGGAGCCGTCGCCGTTGCGCGAGTCGCCTATGGATTCGCCGCTGCGTGAGGTGCCACTGGATTCGCCATTGAGGCTGCCTCTTGCTGCCCCAGAGACGCTGGCGGTCGAAGTGCCGCAGCCAACACCCTTGCCTAGGCAGTCGTCGTTGCGTGAGGCGCCTTTGATGGCGAAAGCGACAATTGACGATATGCCGAGCAGCCAGTCGCCTCTGGCCGTTCAGACTGTCGGCACCAACACTGCCATTGCGCGGGACGCCCATGGGAACGGTGAATCACCGTCAAGCTGGGCGAGCCAAACGCCAAGCCCTGGTGCCTCCCATTCCGCGACTTCCACTCCCGTATCTGAATCCCCCTCCACCAACCCTTGGAACAATTCGTCGATTCTCCCAAGTGCTCGTCATCCACCCAACTCACGCTCACCTCGTGCGGATGCTCAACGCAGGCGAGGGATGGCCCTGCTTGGCCACCTTGATATGGGGGGACAGGTACCACCAATGCCGCTGGAAATATTACGTGACTCTGGCAATGACATTGGCATTGGCAGAACACCGGATGAGATGGTGCCTGGCGAACATGGGACGCGGGATGTGCCACAAGGAGCAGTCCCGTCGTCACAGCCTACCCCTCCCGTGCCAAACCGGCACCCCGCTCGTCTGGCGGGACTGGGTGTGCCAAACGGACCGCCAGTTCAGAACGTCGATACATCGCAAGGTTCATCGCGTCTTCCAGCCACCAACGAACGTCTCGACCACCCAAAGTCCCTCGCCGACGACCTCAAGCGCTTCGTGCCCCCTCCCATTGCAGCTTTCCAAGCTCAGCGTCATCCTGGTCCTCGTCGCCCACCTGTTGAGGCCACCAGCTCTTCCAACGGACCGTTGAGAAAACCGTCCCTTCCATCGCGCGCCGTCTCGGCTGACGACAACCATCGCATGGTGATGCTTCCGTCTGCGCTGTATCAACAACAGCAGCGCAATGTTACGGACGCCTCAACTGCCTCGGAACCCACCCCCAAGGCGTCAACATTCAGCACCAACGGCCACGGACTGCAACCTCGTTCTCACTCTACCTCTCACTCTCACCGCCCGCGAGCACAAGCCAACGGCGACCACCGACCTGCACCCCCTCCTCCATCCTCCAACGACCATCAACCATCCTCGAGCAGAGCGCTGCCGAGTCGCGCGCGCTCGAGGTCCTTCTCTGCCACCATTGCCAAGTCGTTTGGCAAGGGTCGCAAGTCATTCGACGAACCTCCCCCATTGCCCGCATTCCACGCTCCTCCCAAATCATCTTTCAGCAGCGAGGGCCCCCGGCGACCAACGCTCGAGTCCCACCCGTCGTCCGAGTCCTTTGCCAGCCGCGGCCAGGCATCAACCACCTCCTATGACTCGGGCTCGCTCCACTCAAACTCGGCTCACCATATGCACAGCGCCGCCGTCGGCGACTCGATCAACACTAACTCGTTCACTCGACCCTCGCATCCGTTCGCACCTGGCAACCACGTCCGCAGCGCGTCCAGCCCTCGCCCCAGCTTTTCTGTTACTCGCAAGGCATCGTTGCCAATGACGACCATGGCAAGCCTCCGTCCGCCCGTGAGTCACCGCGACTTTGCGGACCCCACCGTCAAGACCGATGGCATGGAGTTTGAGATTATCCAACCAAACAAGCCCCTCGCCTTGTACGGCAACCAGCCGATCTCAGTCAGCGACCATGGTCACGGCCCCGCCATGACTGCTGCGGAAATGTTCTCGCGCCTGTCGTCGGATGACGCACCACCCGAGATGGACGAGTGGGGCTTCCTCAAGTACTGTGCGCCCACGCCACAGATCTTCCAGTCGCGCCAGTCTCCCGCCGAGGTTCGGGCTGCCGAGCAAAAATGGGTATGTCGGAAACTCGCAAACGCACTGGTGGAAGTACGCTAACAAGTTTACCAGCTCACCATTATATCGCAGCCCTTGAGCAAGGGCCAGCTTCCGTCCAAGAAGGTGCGCCGTATGGTCATTGAGGGCGGTGTCCCGCCTAGTCTGCGTGGGCGTGTCTGGGCATGGTTCCAGTCTAGCACCAGCGGTCGTGTTGAGGGCCTGTTTGGAAGTCTTCTCTCCAACGAGGCTGGCGAGTACGACGAGAAGATTGGCCAGGATATCCAGACCGTTTATTCGGACCATTCTGCGTTTTACCGCGACGACTCGCCAGCCAAGGCCGACCTGCGTACCATGCTGCGGGCGTACGTTCACTTTGCCCCCTCGGGTTACCGTACCGACATTGCCCGCATTGCTGGAGCCCTTTTGGTCCATGCGGTGATGGAGGACGCGTTCTGGCTGCTCGCTGGTCTGTTTGACAATGTCCTCAAGACGTACTACGTCAAGGACACGACCGGCTTCCGCGTCGACCTGAACGTCTTTGCTGGCATTCTCGAGGGCAGCGAGCCACGCATCGCCCAGCTGTTCCGTTCCGTGGGTGTGCAGCCCCAGGACTACCTCCCCCGCTGGTGGAGCGGTCTGTTCATCCGAAACCTCCCTTGGCCGACCGTACTGCGGATCATCGACACGGTTATTTCAGAGGGCCCACGCTACCTCCTCATCTCGTCGCTGGCGGTTATCACCTTGTCGCGTGACCGTCTCGTTGCCTTGCCGCGTGGACGGCGCGAGATTCTCGACTACCTGCGTGACTTGCCGCAGGACAGTCTGCTGCTTCCCGATACGTTTATGCGCGCATGCGACCAGGTCAAGCTCCGCGACGAGGACCTCAAGAAGCTGCGCGCAAGCGTCAAGGAGCAGATGCTTAGCTCGCGCTGAGGCGCTGAGGCTCATGCCACGCGCGTCACCCAGTAGAGTTGGCCAGTTGGGTGGCGAAAAAGCTCCCGCGCGGTGCGGTACTTTCTGGCTGTGGCCCGATTTGGTCGTCCAAGGGCGGGCCCAAGCCTCACCTGCATGCCGTTCCGCAGAGTGGACGGACGGGTTGCTAGGTTCGAGGGCCCACACCCGGTTGTTGATAGTGTCTACTCTTTTTTGACTCTTTCTTTCTGTTCACTAGCATGTTGTGTAGCGATGGATGCTGCTCCCAATAAAGAATACAACGACGCAAGTTGTGGGCACCAGGGATACCGTGGTGTGTCTCTGGAAATTGGAGCACGACGATTCGCCCGACGACGACCAACGTGCCCACATCTCTATTTCGAGCCGGGGACCCAAGATCTGCCCAGACACACAAAGGATCGTTTAATTCTTTCCTCGTTGTCCACCCTCTCTCCCTCTCTCTCTCGCACCTTTGCCTCGTTTAAATCCTTCACACTGCCCACAACCGTCTATGAACACCCCGCCAGCACCACCACCACCACGCACGCGCCGCCCAACCACATGCACCGTGTAAACACGCCATGATTCTGGACAGAGGCAACCCCTCGCCGCCAGAGCAGGCGCCGCACAGGCAGCCGACAATGGCGGGTCACACCCCAACAACAACAGCAGCAGCACCATCATCACCAACAGCTGCAGCAGCAGCAGCCATGGCTGCTCAGTCCCCTCCCTCTACATTCACCTCCCCCTCCCTGTCCACGTCGGCACCGATACCTGTCTCCCCCGGTCTCTCACCTATTCTCGGCGCCGCCCCACCCCCCACTAGCGCAGATGGCGCCGTCCTCTCTCCGCGATTCGCGGCGACGGCATGGACGCCCGTCCGCCCAGTGCCGGCCCGTACGCGAGGACGCGGGGTTGACTTGGGAGACGGTGCCATGCCGCCGCTGCGCATCACGACGGCCGGACATGCTAGCAGTAGCAGCAGCGGCGGTGGGGCAAGTGCAAGTGGAAGTGGTGGGGGCTCCCAGAGCCGTGCGACCGCGACGCCTGTCCGCGGCACTGCGGCCCGACAGATGCAGCTCCAAGGAGTGACACTGTCGGCATCTCCCCACACGCCCGCCGCCGACCGGGACCGCGAGCGCGAGCGCAGCGATATCCTAGAGACGCCGTCGTCCCACTCGATCCTCTCGCACGCACCAGTGATCGCGCCGACCGACCAGCCAGAGTTTGCCGAACTCCTCACACCGGCCCAGCTCCGCCGGCCACCACGCCGGCGACGTCCCCAGCCTGTTGGTTTGGGTAACTTTGCCGGGCAGGCAATCCTCGCTGGTGCCAGCGGCCTCGGGTATACGACGGGCGACGGCGACCTGTACCGCGGTGCGGCCAGGGATCCAAGCGCGCCGGCCAAGCCCAGTGGCGCCGACGATGAGGATGACGAAGATGACAGCACCCTCTCGAGCGGGAGCTCGGGATCGAGCTCGTGGTCATGGGGTAGCGGCCTGGAACACGGTCGCCGAGCGACAATGGCCGTCGTTCAACGTTTCGGCGAGGCCATTGGTGTGCGACGCGGAAGCGTGAGCTCTGGCTCGTCGACCGAGAGCGACTCCGACGACAGCAGCAGTAACCGCACCTCGCGCGTGAGCCGGTTTGGACGAGCCCTCACACGCACAATGTCGCGCGCGACAACCGCGACAAACGACAGCCAGGACGATCGTCCCCGCAGAGTCTACGTCCCTCGACGTCGAGAGTTTACCCTCCTCACGCCACCGGGAGAAAGCAAGCCCAGTGGGCTTGGGCGCGACGACAGCTTTGCGAGTCTGTCGTCGTCACGCGCAAGCACGCCAAAGGGCTACCTCGACGCTATCGAGACTGCGTCCCAGCGCGTCATGACCACTCCCATGCTCCCTTCGGTTCTCGAAGCGGTCCGCAATGCGCGTGCCATCGCCGGCGTCGTGACTCTCCAGCCAGACCACCTACACCACACCCATCACCTGACAAACCTTCAGACCAAGAAGGGCGGCCACACCGTCCTCATCCGTCGCGGCGGTAGCGCGCCGGGTCGGGTGCGCTCGGCTGCCCCAGGCGGCTTTACGTTGCCCACTGTGCCCCGCCCTGTTCTGGTACACTCCCACAGCCGTGTGGACACGCTCCGCAAGACTGAGCTACCCCTGCGTCCAAAGTCGGCGTCCGACTTGCTGGGCATGTCCATGTCGACGCCGTCGCCACTCAATGGCGATGACGGGCTCCCAACCGAGCCTCCCTTCGGCTTTGGACAGACGTCGGCAACCAACACTCCGTCCCCACCGCTTCCGGCCACTCCCACCCCATCGTTGCGTCCCCAGAAGCAGCGTGCGGCGTGGTGGCTGGACGTGTCGTGCCCGACATGGAAGGACCTGCGCGACATTGGCGAGCTCCTGGGCCTGCACCCTCTCACTCTCGAAGACGTCCTCCACCAGGACCCGCGCGAAAAGCTCGACATTTACGACAAGCTCGGTTACTATTTTGTCGTTGTGCGTGCCCTCGACGAGCAGTACTTCAAGTACACGCCAGGATCGTCGACGTCGGCGCCTCCAGGTGCCGAATTGGCCACCGTCGGCAACGGAGTCGGTACGGCAGGTGCGTCTGGTGCGCCTGGTGTCGTGCCCGCGACGCCCGTTGTGGAAGCCCCAGAGCCGCGCCGCCGCGGATGGGGTTTCGGCCGTCAGACTGGCCGCGCCGCCGCCAAGTCCGGCGAAAAGGTCGAGATTGTCGAGGATCCGGCCAAAGAGGGTATCGAGGGTATCGGTGTCGGTGGTGTAAATCTCTACCTCGTCGTGTTCCAGGACGGTATTGTCAGCGTGAGTCAACTTTGTTCAACAACGTACGGGGCTAACAGTGTTCCAGTTCCACTATGACGACGTGTCCAAGCACACCAAGCGCGTGCTGGAGCGTGTGACAGGCTCCACTGGCAACGAAGCAACTTCAGACTGGATCGCGCACGGCCTCATCGACTCGATTGTAGACGCGTTCTTCCCCCTCACGGGTTACGTCGACGGTGCAGTCGATGACATGGACTCGCTTACCATCGATCCCACCACCGACCCGCGAGAGCCCGCTACTCCACCGCCAAGAGTCCTGCCCTCGGACGACCCGTTCCTGAACGAACCGGGTGAACCGGGCGAGTGGATTGAGATGGACGAGAAGAGTGGTACTGCTGGGCAGATTAAGAAGACGACGGCTTCTACGGCCCGGGCTCTCAAGCAGGCGGCAAACGCCCGCAACTTCCGTGGGACAACGAGTACTCGCTCAATGTCCCGCTTTCAACTTGCGATGCTCTATCTCAAGCTCGTCTTTCTCCCCATCGCCACGGCCAAGAGGCACACCAAGGACGCAACTCGCAAGGACGTGTTTGACCGGTCGGCCATGTTGAAGAGCATTGCCAACATGCGTCGTCTTGTCACAGGTCTCTCACGTATGCTGGGAGGCAAGAACGCCGTTGTCACCAGTCTGCTTAAGCGTGCATCCGAGAATGGCCGCGGGTCAGACCAGGCCGTATACCTTTCCGACGTGCACGACCACATCCTCCTCCTCCAGACGTCCCTCTACCATTACGAATACATCCTCGCCCACTGCCAACCTGCCTACCTCAGCTACCTGAACGTATCCATCGCAGACTCGCGTAGTGGTACCGACCGCCTCATCCTGGCCCTCTCTACCGTCGCAATCGGCATCTTGCCTATGCAGCTTCCAATCGGTAAGCTTTATCATGGATGCTCGTGAACGAACCCTTTACTGACGCCATCAAGGTCTGGGCTCGATGAATATCTCACGACCTGGCAACAGCCTCACAGGCGACAAGTACTGGTACTTTATCGGCATCTGTATCCTCATCACCCTGATGGGGTGTGTCATGGTCCTCACGGTGCGGTACTGGCGTTGGGCCGCACGCAAAAAGTGGACCAAGCTCCGCGGCGGCGAGTTACCCAGCTCGTGGGACGGATTCTGGGGATGGGCATAGGCCACTCCGAATGCGAGTGCGCTCGATGCCTGCTGTTCCCCAACACACGCTGCGCTTCCTTCATATTGTGCAAGCGTGGCTCACTAGACATACTATATAGACCAAGGCCTTATTATTTTGTTATCTCTGTGAAACTAGTGCTCATACCGTCAGCATATGCTGCTGAGTTGCTGAGTTGCTGAGCTGCTGAGCTGCTGAGGTTCGCCTTCGCGTGGTACCAGCATTGGGAGATAGCAGCACCGACTGGAGAAGACCATTGGACCACCAGACCCCTTCACATTCAGACTGGGAAGGGTGTCGCGGCCTGAGCCCAACAAGAAGACTAAGTCGTCGGGGTGGATCTGGCAGCGTCTGGAAACCAACTGTTTTGTTTCCCATAAGAAAAGAAGGACCTCGTTCAGTAGTATGGTGTATTTCCCTAGAGATCGCAAACCTACTTACCGCTCATCCGCTCATCGGCGAGACCTGGGGGACGACGACACACTCACGTGCCTTTTGTTGCCACCAAATGACAGCAAACTCGAACTCACCTCCACACTCTCACTCCAGCCCAGCAATGTTCAAGAAGGCGCTCGCACACCAGTCGAACGCAACACCATTGCGCAGTTCGGCGCGCCGCGCACTGGTCGCGCAAGTGTTTGCCGCCTTCCCAGCTCTGCAAGATGCTGTTGCAAAGGAGGGCGAGCCCGGGCCGACCGACAAAGAGCTAGGACGTGCGCTCATTCCAGAGGGTGTGCGCAGTGCGAGCATCGAGACGAGCGGCGGCATCGATGGCGTGAGTTGCCTTTGTGTTGGGCGGACAGCTGACAAGACAGACTCTTTACCTCTCACCAGACGGTGACGCTCTGTGGATGACCCTTGGACGCGGTTCCAAGGAGCTCATCCCGACTCTCGCCCTCCTCGCACCGGGCGAGCTTCCCCCCTTCCTCCCCGTGCTCCAGCTGCACTACCCCCTCCCCCCACCTCTTTTTACTGGTGCACCTCTATTCCTTCCGGCGGTGAGGCATATGGGTACTCCATGGCGCCTGCCCGACGTCGGTGAGGGCGAACTGGTTGCGCTCGCGGCGGATACAGGCGACGATGGTGTGGTGTATGTTGGTGTCGCGCGAGTTGTTGCCAAGGGTGGACTCCGCGAGGCGCTTGGGCGTCTCCTCAAGCACCGCGCAGAAGGTATCGAGCGCGACGAGGGCAAATTCGCGGACATCTTGTGCATCGTAGACGACCAGTGAGTTGCGGAACCGTCGTGCCACTGAATGCACATAGCTAACGCAACAGTCTCTGGGATGCTGGATCGAAGCCTGCAGCCAAAGCCTTCCCCTTGCCTTCGCCGAGGAGTCCTCTGGTACCCCCGCCAGACAGTGAGAAGCCCAAGCTAGCAGCTACCCCGGTTGAACCGGTCGAGGAAGTTGCGGACGGTGTCGCTGGCTTGTCGGTAGCTGCCGACGAGGCATCAGTAGACAAGGGCGAGCCCCTCACCGCTGCCGAGGTGTCGACTCTCCTTACCGCTGCCCTCCTCCAGACTCTCAACTCTCCTCCAGCGTTCCCAATCCCGAGCTCGCAGCTCTACTCGGGCCACATTCTCCCCAACCGCCCAGCGTACATCCCAGCTGCTCGTCGTGACGATGTCGTCATCTCGCGCAGCGAGTGGAAGAAGCTCGCCAAGTGGATGAAGGAGCTCGGCAAGGAAGGCTTGATCAAGGTCAAGGAGACCAAGGGTGAGGTGGTTGTCACTGGCTACGACGCAGCACACCCAGCGGTCCAGACGCATGCCTCGTTTCTCACTGTCGGTGAAGAGGAGGCTCGCGCCGCCAAGCGCGCAGCTCGGGAGGCGGCTGCCGCCGACGCCCCCGCTGGCACGCAGCCTTCCAAGTCTGGCGGTCGTGAGATGGCCATTGCCGAACTGTGGCGCCCATCTGGCGCTGCTGTGGACTTTTGGGGCGAGTGTGGGATTGACAAGGATACCCTCTCGCTGCCCAGCATAATCAAACCCACCGTTGACGCTTTTCTCGAGAAGAACCGTCTCGTGGACGCCTCAGACCGCCGGATTGTCAAGCTCAACAAGGTCCTCGCATCTGCCGTCAAGGCTAAAGATGGCGACAAGCTCCACCGTGACGAGGTGGTGCGCCGTCTTCGTGCCGGTGTGGTATGGAGCGTGAGCGTGGGTGGTGTCGTCAAGTGAGTTACTTGCGCCTTGATGTCAGCTCACAATTGAAGGAAGGGTACACTCAACCCGATCGGTATGGCGGTCAAGACACGCCAGGGCCGCAAACAGGTTACCCTCGTGTCTGGCCTGGAGGCATTTGGCATCGACATTGACGACTTTGCCGACGAGCTTCGCCACCTGTGCGCAGGTTCTGCGAGCGTACAGCCTCTCACCGGCGCGTCGCCGAAGCTGAACCTCAAGGAAGTGCTCGTGCAGGGTTCCCAGATCAAGCTTGTTACCGAGGCGCTTCTCGCCAAGGGCGTGCCGAAGCGCTACATCAAGGAAGGAGAGGGCGACAAGAAGAAGCGCTGAGTACTGCGCACACTGTGCATAGATGAGTAGAGGAGGTAGTTCATTGATTGGCGCCACTGTACATTGATGCCATCACTTGCCCACGTCAAGCTCGGCAGTACTCTGTGTATGAAGGTGAACTGATGACAGGCTGTGCTTGTGGCAGGATTTGCCGCGCCATCAGTAAGAGTGAGTGGAGCCCGATATCACTTTACTGGTCTTTTAAAGTCACCAACGCTCCCCTGCACTCAGCGCCTCCCCTCTACTCACCTGACAGAGATCATGGATGACCCACGCATCCTGGTCGACTGGGAGATGTTCCCCCACATTCTCGACTCTATCCTCTACTACTCGTCTGACGAAACCCTTAGCGCTTTGCGGGCAACCTCTCGCGCCTTGCGCACAAAGGTGGACGCCATCTTCGCCACCCACGTCGTGTTCAATGAATGGAATCGAGTCCCTGGGACGCCTGCAGGCAACAAGCTGCCGTGCTCATACCAGAAGGGCGTTCTTCCGGACCACCTCATGCCACGGGTCAACGTAGTGGACATGGGTCTGACGCATAAGCCCTCCTCTCCCAGTATCAAGGTTGTCGGCGTAAGGCGCGGCAGCGTCCGAGCTACAAAGCCGGCGCCTAAACCCAAGCTGGACACCTGGCACGGCAAGAACGTTCAAGTTGTCCGGACAAACCTCCAGCCCCTTGTCCCCTTCTTGATGCAGTTTCCGCAACGGCTGCCGCCGGCACGCCAGCTTATTGCCTTCATCCCCATTTCCCGTCAAACAAGGGTCGCCTACGTCCACACGTTACCCGACACGGTGGAACGTGTCGTGTTTCGTCTAGAGTTTGGGACAGGCTGCGTCGAATACTTCCCGACCACAGGATCTGGCACACCCCCGTCCAACACGACAGTCAAGGCGAGGCCGGGTACAGCCACTCTTGTCCTGCCCTGCTCACCTACTGCTTTACCGAACACGCTCCGTGAAATGGTCATCATCTACCCCGATCGTAGCCGTCCGCATGGCAGTCTGCAGCCCCTCCTCCCCCTTCAACTGCATGGACTAAACGACTTGCTCGAGTGGCACCCGGCCATCAAGTTTACCATTGTCGGTGAAGACCAGTTTGGTCGCCTGCCGAACATTGACAAGGTGGACGTTGCCAGTAAAATGTCGAACTTCCGGGTTTGGAGTAGCCAACACCGAGCCGGCCCTCTAGCTGCTATGGTCAGTGGCGCTGAGTATCATAGTCATAACAGGTACCGCGAGATCGTGGGGGATGATCAGTACCGCCTGGAGACCAAATGGAAGTGGTGAATGCAAGTGTTGCTTAGTTTCAATATTTGATCAATTTCACTGAATGGGGACATCACGGCGAGCAAGAAAGCTACGTGCATATCCAGGTGCAAGAAGAAAAGTAGCAAGTACAAATGGCTATCGTTATACCGTATACACTACAGTACACTGCAGGTGTGTCCGACAACTAGCTAGGATGGGGGAGCCCAATGAGGAGGTGAGCCAAGACCGAGACCGAGCCCAAGAGAGTCTAGCAGGTCAAAGAGGTTCGCAGGCCCTGCACGGCGTGTGGCAAAGGCTTCAAGCGCTGCGGGGAGTGGAATGCCCAGCGCATAGCTACCGAGCTGGGGGTGGAACGGGTCAATGGCGGCCAGGAGACGGGTGGAGGTCGCGTAATCGAGGGTCACTCTAAACACGCCCCACAGGAGCAGCAGCTCGAGCACTGCCCAGAACATGAACACGCCCCACGAGTATCCCTTACGAGCCACTTCGACGACGACGCGTGGTGCCATCGGTTGAGGCTGGGGGTCGGCGGGGACGGCAGCAAGGGCAGATGCCCATGCACGCTGGGCGGCCTCCACTCGAGAGCGAGCCTGGGCTGACGCGAGCGAGGCAGCGTCCAGAGCACTTTGCGCATCGGTAAAGGCAGTGGATGGTGGTGGACGCTTGACAGGAGACATGACTGCGCGCTTTAGGCGCGTCGTCCACGACATGTCTGGGTCGAAATCGACATCTTGTGATTGCGACGACTTGGTAGGCGTTGTAGGAAGAGGGGAAGGCGGGACGGGGAATGTTGGGCGAGAGAGAGGAGACCATCGGGGGGATCGCTTTGGTGAGCGGTACACTGGTGCGAGAACACCAGGAGACGTTTTGGGAGAAGTAGTGTTCTGACGCACGGGGGAGCGTTTTGGGCTGGGGCGAAGACGATGAATTGAAACATCACCAATGCTGTCGTGTAAGCTGCCAGCCGAGCTCATACTGTCATCAGGGTGCACCTCGTTGCGCAACCCCGAGAACTTGAACGGAACTGTGCCTCGATGGTGGGCCGTTGGGGTGTACCACGACCCCGGGGGACGTGGTGTCGGTCCAACAGGGCCAACTGTCGATGGGGCGACGGGAGTCACAGGGCTTGCTGTGGCGGGAGCCGGAGCTGGAGTACGCCATGCTCCAGGCGGCTTCGGCGTCGGCATGCCTACCAGGTCGGGAGTGGGCACGACCGCCGGGGTGCGAGGAGTTTCCGGTGTGGGCTTGGCGACGGGTGCTCGTGGCGGCAAAGGTGTTCCCCAGGCGCCAGGTAGACGAGGCGTCTTTGGCGCCGGAGGAGCTGGCGCACGGACCGGTGTCGAAACGGCAGAAGTGGATGTGAGGTTTGTACCCTGCGATGGGGCAGCCATCTCTCGCAGAGGCTCCTTGGGAGGACTGAGCTCAATGGTCTGCATGCTGGTGTCCGATGACCACCGAGCAGCGGGCGGAGACGCATCGACAGTCACAGCAGGTGCGGTCTCATCATCTTCCCAGCGGACGGAGGCTGAAGTGCGCGTCGGCGGCGAGATGGAGTTCCGCAGTCTCGCTTCTCGGGACTCGCGTAGCCGCCGAGATCGAGCCGACTCGGGGGTGCTCTGCTGGGCGAAAGCGTCCGAGTCCCCGTTCGCGTGAGAATCACCGTCGGAGAAAGCACTCTTCGGAGAGCCACGGCTGGTATTGAGGGCCACCCCACGTGGGGAAGATGCAGTTGACTGATGAATCGAAGCTTTGGGTGACGTGCGCGGTGGCGAGGGATGCTGGAAGCTGTGGTTTGTGTCGCCATTCTGCTGCACCGTCTCTCTGGATACCGAGTTGCGAAGCGATGCGGCGTGTCCATGTGAGTCGCGGAGAGACCTAGACGACGACTGGGACCGCAAAGACCGGGCTGACTGGTCATACTCCGCTTCCAAAACGGCACCGTCATATCGCACAGATTCGCGAATTGAATCATACGACGAGGTATTGCGAGCAGACTCGAAGCGTGTCAATTCTTTGGGCGACTGGCGTGTCGAGCTGTGCGCGTCCGTAAAGGCGGTACGATCACGAGAGGAGACAGACGAGTTATGAGATTGCGACCACCCCTCCAGCGACTCGCGAGGTGAACGGCGAAACATTTCTGCCCGGGCACGCAAGGCGGTATTGTCCTCTTCTTCGGAGCTCTCTGGGTCCGGGAGAGGAGGGAGGCTGGTGTCGGCAGGACTGGGGCTGGCGCGAACTGTTCGACTGCTTGGCGCTGTCGCAAACGATGCCCTCGGGGTAGCAGACGCAGCAAACTCGCGGGTGCGCGAATATGAAAGTTCCTCTGCAAGAGGCTCCTCTCCTAGTCCACTGTTGAGCGAGTCAACGGACTCGTCATGCCATGGCACCATACTCGAGTCGTCTAGGTCAAGCTCGTCGGCCTCTTCGAGACCGTGTACGCCCGCTGCGAATGCTGCAGAGGTGTCTGGCGCCTCGATGGACCGTTGAAGGGGCAGACGGCGACGTGGGGGTGACCGTTCCTCGTACTGCAACTCTTCATTTTCGTATGCTGACTCCACATGGCGAGGGGGCAACACGGCGCGTCGTCTTGGAGGCGAGAGTTCCTCGGCATCAGCCTGAGACTCGATCTCCGACTCGTCTAAGTATTCGGCGCGCTCCTTTCCCTTTGGCGATGGCGGCCTTGGACCGGACTCGGCGTGACGACGCGATGTCGACGGCTCGACGGACTGCAGCGTTGCGGTTGGATGGGATGCGATGAAGGTCTCAAGCGGCGTGGGCGCCATGTCGCGGCTTGGACCAGCTTGCACTTCAGCGGCAGCCGCAGCAGTCGCAGCGCGAAGTGCGATAGCACGAGATGGCAACCGACGAGGCTGCTCAGGAGAATGAGGATCATCGTCGACATCCCGGCGCTCCATTGCTCGTCGAGAGTAGAGGTAAGGGTTTGCGATTCTTGGCGGAGGAGATGGCGGGGAGTATTCGTCGACATCTTCGTCAGACGGTGGGGAACGGATAGGAATGGTTGAAGGTACATGTTCTCTGTATTTGCTTTGAGGAGGAGGGATATGGTCGGGCTCTGATGGTCGGGCTGCACGCGCTTCGCTCTCCATTTGTCGAAGGAGTGCCCGCAGCTTATCAGTGGGGGTCACGCCAGCGCCGGCCTCCAACGCCAGTGGACGTTTTGGAGGAACTGGCATGACATCTTCCAAGTCGATCAGGGGTGGTGGTGACCGCCGGGCGACAATAGTTGTCTGAGCAAACGCGCTGTCCGGGGCCGAGATCATCGAGGAGGTACGGGACGTCGCTGTCGTTAGGGACGGCGTCGAGAGACGTGCGAGGCCTGAGGAAGGGCGGCGTACGTCCTGTCGGGGTATCATGTCGGGGACGAACTACGTAGCGCGCATAATGCGCGCTGTGGATGGTGTTGTTGACGGCAGAAGTCCAAGATACAAGGTGATCGATGGTGTGAGGCAACAATGGTGGAAACGAACCAAACACGCGCCGGGGGTGCCATGCGCCACAACTGGCCACGCGAGAATGATGCCGGCCGGGATTATTTTTCAACCACGTGGCAAACAGATTATAATGTAATGATGTGTTATATTGATGGACGTGGCCTCGGTGCATTTTGGTAGTGCTGATACTGGAAACCTGCCGAACTGCGACGTCCGGCCCGCACACGCCGCTTTGGCCGAATCGGACTTGGCGCGTTTGCAGTGGCCGCGGCGAGCTGCGCGACATTGAGAGAGCGGACAAGAGATTAGCTACATTATATACTACAGCGTGCGACAACCGAGCGAGTGTCTTCCCCCCCCCCAACAACTCTCTGTCCTTATCCTCACCATGGCTTCTACAACTCCCTCCACTCTCCGCTGGGGAATCATCGCCACTGGTGGCATCTCCACCCGCTTCAGCGAGGTGGGTCGTTGGGGACTCCGCATGTTCGCTGACGTCAGGACCTCCTTGTTGACCCAAGCACCCGCGACGTGTCGGACGTCACCCACAAGATCACCGCAGTCGGGTCGCGCAGCGTCGCTGGCGCTCAGAAGTTCATCGACAAGCTCAAGGCATCCGAGGGTGTCAGTGCTTGGGGTGTCAAGAACGGCGTGCTCGATGACGCCAAGCCTTGTGGCTCGTATGATGACGTGTTTGCTGATGCAGTGAGTAATGGGCACTACCTTGCCCGTCCACTCAAGGCGATGCTGACCGATACCAGAATGTCGACGCCGTCTACATTGGCACACCTCACACCTTCCACCATGCCAACGCCAAGGCTGCCCTCCTTGCTGGCAAGCATGTCCTCTGCGAGAAGCCGTTCACCTTTGACCTCGCTGAGCTGGACGAGCTCATTGCAATTGCCAAGGAGAAGAAGGTCTTCCTTATGGAGGCCGTTTGGACGCGTTTCCACCCCATCGCCTATGCCGTCCAGGATGTACTCAAGTCTGGCAAGCTTGGCCAGGTGAAGCGCATGTTTGCCGACTTCTCCATGAACTTTGAGCCTGACAGTGAGTTGTCAATATAAATGTATAGACGAGGTGGCCTAACCAAGCAGCTCGTCCCGACGACAACCGCATGATTGACCCCGAGCAGGGTGGTGGCTCGCTCCTTGACCAGGGGCCGTACCCCTCTGTCTGGTGCATGCTCGCTCTGCACCAGCATCCGGACAACAAGGACAAAGACCCCCAGGTCGTGTCGTCATACCAGCGGATCTACGAGCGTTCGGGAGTTGACGCCATGAGCCACTGGATCGTCGAGTGGAAGGGCTTTGCTGAGGCTCGCTGCCTTACGGATATGACTGCCAGTGGCCTTAGCGAGGCTACCGCTGTTATTACTTGCCAGGAGGCTGACCTTGTCATTGACTGTGAGTGACAGTTTGCGATGCGTGAGCTGATGTCAAGACCCTCCCTGGCGCCCGGAGAGCTTTAGCATCGTGCCTCACTCCGGTGGTGAGCCCGGCTCGATCAAGGAGAAGACCACGTTCAAGCACACTGTCCACGCCGGTGGTGGCATGCACTACGAGGCGGACGAGGTCGCCCGCTGTATCCGTGATGGCAAGCTTGAGAGCTCCCGCATGCCTCTCAGCGAGAGCCGTGTCACCCAGGGATGGCTGGACGCTGTCAGGAAGCAGGGTAACACTGTCCTCAAGGACCGCAAGTCGACCGCCGGCAACTAGACATCACTACGGCCCCGAGATGTTCGTCACGGCGTAGTCGCGCAGTGGTTCCCTCGGGTGTGTCCTCGGTGATGAAGAAGTAGGCAATATAGGTAAATGCTCCCTGTCAGCTGGCAGGGTTAGCGCGTTCAGCAGGTTTGAATAGGATGTACAGTGGGACGATGCAACTCGTTCTTGCGACCATACCCATGTCCAGTCTATGCTTGTTCAACTATTTACCTGCATACTAAAGCCTATTTCTGTCCATGAAAGTGTATCTGAGCAGAGACGACAGCCACGGACCGACCGTGGCACCAGCTCCGATATCGGCTTTACCGACCTTCCGTGACTTTTGAGTTTCGCAGCGCGCGGCACTGTCTATGCACAGGTGTATAGACGCATTCCTGCCATGGGGCAGGTGGATGGGGATTGCTCCGATTCACCCGGTTGTACCTCTGGGCAACTGAGGAAGGGGTGCTGCAGCAGGACTGCCCAGTCGTCCGGCCATCTCCAGGCCTGCTACCACCTTGTTCCTCCAGTTGATTCCTCAGTCTGGCATCGTCGCCAGGCGTCTTGAGAACCCCTGCAGCTACCCTATCCATCTGGTCCTGGCACTCCTATCTTAAGAAACACACTACGGCCACCGGAGATGCTAACCGACGTAGCTAATGCGTTTATTCTGCTCGGATCCACGGAATCAGTGGTCCGACCGCCAGCCCGCCAGCCAGCGGAGCATGACAACCAGTTCGCCATATGGGTGAGATATGTATGCATTAATGGCCGTTATGATCTCCAACGACGAATTGCATTGCGACATATGTAGCTGGAAGTTCCTCCTGTGACATGACCACAGCTAGGCAAATGGTAGGCGACATCTGTATATAGGTATGTACTTTTGTGGTACACAGTCACATCTGGTTGCGGGCAGCCAGATTCTCGTTCCACAGGTGACCTACTTCCGAGTGCCGCTACCTCAATGGATTGACCATAGGAGTCGTATGCCATAACATTCATTCGTATTGCTTAGTACAACGAGCTCTGAGCCTCTCAGATCTGAGGGAGGAGCAGTTCAACCACCGCACTCTTTCCTGACCGCACGGCCTCGATGGCCTGCTTGAAGACCGCCTCCATATCCGGGGAACCACAAACCACACGTGCACCGAAGGCGCGGTTCGGTCCGCCTGCTGCGGCAACCGCAATGCTGCTGTAATCAGGCCTGTCATCCAGAGTGTCGCCGAAGCTGACGCCGACTTGTGAGGCCGTTGCCTGTGCTGCAAAGCCGTTGGGATGCACCAGCTCGGCTGACAACTTGGGCGACTTCCACCCGCCATTGGACAGGACGATGGTGAGGAATGGCGCCTTGTTCTTGGACGAGAAATGATGGACTGTACTGGGGACAGAAAACATGAACGACCCGTCGCCAGTGACAGCACACACGAACGTATCGGCGTCAAGACCGGGTCCACTGACGACCTTGGCCTTTGATTGGAGACCAATCTTGGCTCCGACGGCAGCGCCGCCATGCCATCCCAGCGAGCTGGCTCCAGAAGTACAGAAGCGTTGTGACTCGGTGATACCCAGGTGGTCGATGACAGGTGCATAGCTGTATTGTGAGTGACTGTAATATAATTATATTGATCAATCAGAGCAACTCACTTTGAGATTGCCTCAGAAAGCACAAACGTGTTTCTCGGTAGGAGCTTGCCTAGGGCGTACAGACCGACCGCCGAAATGTCGGCATTTCCAGTGCCCGACGGGGTACGCGCCTTGTCGAGGGCCTGCCTTCGGTTTGCGGTAAGCTCCTCAACAGCAGTTTTCCTCTGCGCCGACCGAGCCTTGAGCTCGGTATTAGATGCCCTAGCGGCCAGGGCCTGGTTGATCTGTTCAAACGCCACCGCACTCTTGACACGGTACTTGTACTTGGCGGGCACGTAGAAGAGTGGCATGGCATTCTTGAGCGGGTCGCAATCGATGTGGATGATGGTGGCATTGGCGTTAGGGCGATTTCCGATGGGAATGTACGGCACATCAGAGTCGACAATGACCACAAGATCTGCATTGGCGAGGGCTGAATGCTGACCCATACCCGACCAGTGGGAACCAAGGTACAGGGGGTGCTCGGCGGGGCAGTTGAGGGCAAATGGCGCCGAGTCAAGGATTGGGATGGACAAGGTCTCGCACATGGCCAGCAACCCTGCCGACGCCCGACAGTCGTTCCCCACCCAGGAGGTGATTACGAGTGGCGACTGCGCTTGGATGAGCTGCTCAACGATCTCAGACACCTGTCCGGGGACGAGGCCGCTGGACTGGACCGGTGACCAGTGGTCGAGCTGGAGCTCTGTCTCAGGCACAGGAATCGTTTCCTCCAGAACCTCGCGAGCGCCAAACAGGTAGACCGGTCCGCGCGGCTCGCTCATGGCCAGTTGAATGGCACCTGTGCGTCAGCACAACGAGCCATCGCAACCAGCGACCCAAACTCACGCATGGTGACCTGAGAGACATTTCGTCCCGTGCGGAACTCATAGCTGTACTTGCTATAGTTGCGCACAATGCCAGGCATGTCATGAACGTCCTGGACCCAATTGATAAACTCTGTGCGCGACCCGGTGAGCTCGCCCTCGAGAGTAAGTGACGACATTCCCGAGAAGACAAGGACGGGACACCGCGAGCGCGCAAGATTATGGATGGCACCACCAGCATTGAGGAGTCCGCAATCAACATGGAGGATGCAACTATGAGATGTTAGCTGCCGACTGTTTGTTTGTAGTAGCTCACGCTGCCATCCTCCCAGTCGCTTGGTAGTATCCCTGGGCGGCAGAGAGAGCACTGTGAAGCTGGTCAGCCGGTTCCGAGAGCATCACTCGTACATATACTCACACCATCTCATGCGTAACCGAGATAAACTTGGGTAGCGGCGGTCCATCCTTACGCCCGTGTCCAGCATTGGCAGCGGCCATAGCCTCAAGGAAAGACGGATGGTCAGAACCCGGGTTGACGAAGACTGTATCGATGCCCGCTAACGAGAGCGTCTCGAGGAAGGCCACGGTGGCCGTATAAGGGGCATCTGGCATGGCGGGTGGGGATGCCGATGCAAGCGTCAAGAAGACAGTAGAGACGGCAGTTTGTAACCCCACTACTACATGTTTAAAAGGGGGTTCGGTGGCCGGTGGGGTGGTTGCCGGTGGGCAGAACACAGCTCGCAAGCTCGTAATCTCGGTATCTCCGCGTCCCAATGACGCGGCGGCATGCGGCGTCTTGGTGGCTGGGCACCTGTCGAATGTGTCGCACGGCAAAACCACTCTCATTGGGATCACCGGCCCCGTTGTCGCCGAAGAGGACATGCATAAAGGCCATGTAGTATGCACAAACTGGCGGAATCACGGGCTTCACAGGCCCGTACGAAAGGTGTTATGACTTCATCCCAATACATTATTTCCCCATTTGAGCCGCCTAAGTCGAGTTGGCCATAAGAACCGCACTGGGCGTGAGGCCGTTGTCCTTGAGCGTTTTGCGCATTTCGTCGCGGCTGAATGTCTTACGCGGGAAAGTGGACGCAAACGTGACCGAGTCCACGGTGTAGGCCAGGTTCTGGCTGGCAACAAACTCGGCAACGTCGACAAGGGTGTTGTCGCTGGGGAAAGTCTTGACGAGGGGGGCGCCGCCGACGTGGAGACGGATCTGCAGGCGCGTCTCCGGGTTGTCGCTGGACTTGCCAGCAGCAGGGCGAGCAGCGGCGGCGGGGGCAGCGGCAACGGGCATAGGGGCGCCGTCACGGGCAGCCTTCTCGCGGGCGGCCTTCTCAGCGCGCTCGCGCTTGTCCGCCTGACGAGGTCAGTGTCTGGGCGACAGTTCAAACCCACTTCAATTTGAGCCTTGACGGCAGCACGCGCACGCTGGTCCTCGAGCTTCTCTGTTATAGTCAGCTTCCATCGAATCCACGCTACGCACCCTGCCTCTTCCTCTCAGCGTCCTTGGCGAGCTCCTTGGCCTGCATCTGCTCCTTGATGGCACCTTGGTCTTGACCGGCCTTGCGGCGGATCATCTCGTTGGCGCGCTGATCCTTCTCGTTCTCTTTGCTCTGCGCTGCACGCTTGGCGGCAAGCTTCTCGCGGAGCTCGGCGAGCTTTTCCTTCTTCTCCTCCTCGGTGAGAGGCTTGATCTGGCCGCGTCAGCGCTCGTTATGGACCGTCTGCCTCGCGTCATCGAAAGGGGGTAAGGAAGGTGCGTCATCAATAGGTGACAACCAACACACGTCTGTGAATTCCTTTCTCACTTGCGAACTGGCAATACTCACCTCCTCGGTGCTCTCCTCGAACTCTTCGTGACCCGTGCGCTCGGCGTGGAAGCCGGCGGTGGCTTGGGAGCGGAAGACCTTGCCGCATTCGGAACACTTGATGGACTTGGCCTCGGCACCTTCGGGGACAGGCTCCTCCACATCCTCGTCACCAACCTCGGGGACAGGCTTGTCGGCATTCTCGAGAATGTGGTCCATGGCGGGCTGTAGGCCGGCACGCTTCGTCGCACGAAGCGCCCCTGTTGTTGATGTCAACACCTTCCCTCCCTCCGTATGGGCCCACATGCCGCCTGAAAGAGCGACAGCCCGGATTTTACCTACATTCGATGCGCTCGGGGGCAAAGCCCATTCCGAGAAGAGTCTCTTTGTCGGACATGATTGGGGGTTGGTTGGAGAGAGGGAAAGAGATGACAGATTGACCTCGCAAGCTTGTCAGCAAACGTCATCACGGGGGGCAAAAACACGGACATTGACCCGTGTCCGCAAAATCCACCGCTTTGTTGACGAACCGATCATCCTCCGCGTTTACAGACTGCCCAATGTATCTCCACCGCCGTACGCTGCCCCTTCGCGCACTCGCCAGGTGCACAATGAGTTCGATGACAGCCTCTTCGTCCAGCAAAGCCCCCTTGGAAAGTGTCGTCAGCTCGACCCAGGCGACACCTGATTCCAACGCCTCTGCCTCCACCCAGGCTGCGGCTCTCGACCAGGCGAAGCCTACAGGCCTCGTTATGCAGATCATCCTGCGCCGGGACTTGGTGACAGTGAGTTCTTGTGCAGCGCAATAAATTTAAAAGATCTGACGGTTCGCAGTCTCTAGGTTGGCCTCTTGGGCCCATGATGGCGCAAGCGGCGCATGCTGCATCGGCCGTTCAGCACCGATATGCGGACCACGTCGACATGAAGAGGTACCTGTCCGGCGAGGATGGCCGTGGATGGGAGGTAATGCGTAAGGCTGTCTTGGAGGTACGTATGTTGGCTGCGTCTCTGGCCCTCGTACTGATGACAGGTGCCCGACGAGGCGGCGTTGCAGAATCTTGCGGCAAAGCTCGAGGCCGCAGGTATCCCTCATCACGTGTGGATGGAGGAGCCGTGAGTGCACGAGCGATTCTGTGCCCTGTAGATGGTCCGGTGTGAGACTGACACAATGACAGGGAACATTACCCCACAGCTCTGGCTCTCGTACCCAACAAGCGACCGAAGGGCTTGAAACGCATCCTCGATGAGTCTGGTTGCTCATTGTGGAAGTAACGTGAACGGGATATGCAGAGACCGTTTTACTGAAGTACATGGCACCCACATCAACCACCGAAGAGGTCTTGAAGTGGCAAAGGCTGCCAGTCGTCTCGAGCTGTAATCTCTGCGCACTGGTACCAAAGTGACAGGCCCTTGCCACCACCTATCGAGACAGGTCGGTTATTGCAGCTTCTCAGAGAACGCATTGTGGGCATGCGGACTGCATGCCGGCACCGTGATACTCGGTTGTCTCTGGTAGGCGTCAACTTCAGTCCACTCTGATGTTGACAAAAGCCGAAGCGGCACATATTGACGTGAAGCTCTACAGCCGTGATGGTGACGTAGACCAAATGTTCTCGCCCAGGTGGAGTGCCCGGATCCCCGATTGCCCATACTAAGCTGTGAGCGGTATAGTCTTACAAAGTCCAGCACATCGAGGTTTCTCATGACAGCTGTTTCTCGTGTATCTTCCATGAGCGGTCCATAAGCGGATGGTGGCCGAGGAGAGAAAGGCTTAGAGATAACGTGTTGTCTTTTTGAAAGTGAATGGCAAACTATGTCTACATCTTGAGATCACTCACCCATGATACGGTCACCGCCCTGGGACCCACCTTTACAACGCATGTGACTGTACAGTGAACCACCAGTATGGCATTGCGAACGTTTAGGCCATAGGCGTGAGGCAGGTCGGTCGACCTCGTTGTAGTCTCGTTGGCAAACTCTACAGTACGTAGTTCGTCTCTACCCTGGCCTGTCCTCTGGTGTGACTGCTGCTTGACCATCTCTGCGTCATCGATTGGCATGTCTCAACACTAATCGTACAGAGATACTCCCATGAGCGCGCTAGTGCAATGTCCAACCACCGCCGCACTCAACTCCTCCCTCCGAAAGCGTGCTCAGCCGTAGTGCTGCTGGTGCCACTGGTTTTGCTCGTCTCGCTGCCGCTGTTCATGTTGTTGTTGTTCGTAGAACTGCTGCTGTTGCATATAGCTGTGTTGCGCCTGATGCTCATAGTACGCCTGACCGTTGTTGTAATACACCTGGTTGGCTGGCCGAGCTGAGGGGGTGTTTACCGTTTTGTACGCATTCTTCATTGCTGCGCCGGCCTTCATGCGCTGCCGCCCGCCGCAGCCGAACCAGTTTGAGAAGAAGTGCTGGGGATGAGTTACTGTCCCCTCGGTGGCAGATTGATACATACGATAAACAGGGAGAGGAAGAAGATAGCGGCAACCACGCAAACGATGAGGATGATGATCTTGGTGGAGCTACTCATCCCACCATTCTTGTCACTGTCGAACAAACCGCGTTCGCTGACTGGAGCGGCCAGTACGGGCGTCATAGCGAGGATGCCGCCAACATAGATCCGAATGGGTTGGCGTGTTGACATGGTTACTGCGGGGATGACACTGATGTACTGTACTGTACAGAAGGTAGGTAGGTATGCGTCGTCGTGTCAAGACCACATCCATAATGGCGTGCGGGTAACCGGAGACGCGGTGTGCTAGTAGACAGACGCGTCGCGCGTCGCGGAAGACTGGACTAGCAAAAGACGGGAGTGCGCGGATCGAGACGCGTTTAACGGCACACACCAAATCCGACCCACACCCTTCTTCGCCGTCCGCACTGCAAGGCGCCGTTGCTTCCTTTCCTTCCGTGCCTGATCGCCTGCACAAAGTACAAAACATTGTTTCCTCACGGACCGAGGCGGGAAAACCAGGCCGCCCTCACAACTGCCTGGCATTGTATGCAGGTCACACACTTGGGGGGGAGGGGGGGGGCAGGGCAGCAGCCCACCACAGCGGACACGAAATCACGGAATGCAGCATATGCTTAGTTGAAATAAAGTGCGGCCGAGAGGCCAGCTTCAGCCTTTCATGTCACTGGGAGTTAGTCTGAAGGAAGACTGTGACACATCTCTCTTGAGGAATGAAAAGAAGGACTGTACAGTTCACACAGAGCTGCTATGAAATGGGAGAGTTGTGCTCCAACGCGGTTTGGCGCCGGCATATCCAGTTACTCAAGCACTGGCGATAGAACCAACGGGGACGTGTCCGGACATTCCTCGATAGAGGTGAAACCGCTGGGTTGATTCTCTCTCACCGTACTCTATCCCGCGAGCAGCGTACCACATCGTTTTCAGGAGTTCTGGTGTAGCGAGGCCTCGGAACTGAAATTCCGAGAAACAGCGATCCCAAACAGCCTAGCCATTCACAATCTTGATCGCTGTGATCCGGACAGCAGGCTCGGCCTCATCCTCACAGCGTCCGTCAATCGGCATGCGGCACCTGGCTCCCACCTAGGTTTTGTGGACAACAGTGGTGACCGTCCGATACGGGATTCCAGAGAAATTCAAACGCCGTATCAGCGCCAATCTCATGTCCGTCAAAGTGCTTCGATATTGTCAATCGTTCAAACGCCGTCCCCAAAGAACGCGAGCAAACGCCGGAACGGCAACCTAAAACGTGCTCTGTCGCAGGTTGATTGAGTGCGAATTAAGTGTATCCAGTAGGGAAGCATGGGCATTTTGGACAGGCATGATGCCTTGAAACGCACCATGCCTCGGTCGGTGTTTGCTTATTGGGTATTTTCAGGCCTACGGAAAAGACAACGTGGATGACACCAGTGATCCGTGATCCAGTGACCAGAATCAAGGATCATTGATGCTTCCAAAGCAAGGATCTCTAACGCCGTCGGCATCGGCAACACATGCACACGTGTCACACCATCGGTGCGCAGACAAGGATGTAGAGACCGAGTTAGTTCAAACACCGGGATGTCAAATGAGCATTCGCCGTGGCCGGCGTCTGGTTTCGGCGTCTGGTTACGGCGACTGCTTTTCGCGTCGGACATCGCCGCAGACAGCAGGTTCCAGATACTGGGTGCTCAATCTCTGGTACCAAAGGAACGAAATGTATGGCTCCATGCAATGGCGGAATGTAGCGTGGCCATAACTGGCGAGGAAATGATTGGATCCGTGAATGTGGCACATGACACAGGTCCACATGCTCTCTACTCATTTCGAATCAGGTCACCCACGGGCTTTGCGCTTTGCTCGGGTTCAGCTGCAACCGTCATGCCTTCTCACACTTCGCACTAGCTGTACCAAGGTCCAATACCGTGGTAGCTGCACCGCGAGTGCCGTCACGCATGCCATCGGCCGAAGCTTGTGAACTATCAATCACCACCCATTGCAGCTGCCTTTCACCGGTTTCAATCTCCGTCACAATCGGGCAGAGAGACGCTGCTGGTTCCCCAGTGGTCATAACCCTAATTAGGAGTATGGTTCATCCGGTGTTCTGGGTAGGTACATGTATCGAACACAATCCGTTGGCCGTTAAGTTATTGCAAATCGATGTCAAAAATCGGCCACAGCAGTGTCTGACAGACGCCGATACCCATCAACCCACTCGTCTTGGTTATCTACGGAAAATGAACAGTTAGCCTCAATGGCGTATGTATGTCGTCACTTATTTCTTCGTTTATCTTCGGCGTATGAACATGCTGCTTGGTGATGACAGTTAATCTGTGACTGTAGCATCTCCGAAAGCGTGCCGAGGCCCTGTGACTCGATGTCATACGGCTGCTCGAGCACACGAACGTTTAGCTATTCCTTCCAATGACGAGTCATTCTATTCTGTCTGCTGCTTTGTTGCTTCTAAATCAGTCCCCGATGGAAGGATATCTTTAACCAGCCCTGCGTTCTTGAAGCCAAACAAAATGTGAATATAGGGCATTTGGTTAACCCAACAGACCTCTTGTTGCGATTGGGGTGGTGAGATCAGCCTAGTTGGCAACACATCATTCATGTGTGTCTTCTGCCTGAACATACTTGCTCATTCTCATCAAGTCCTTGACATATACTTGGCGGGCTCAGACGACCAGTGCATTTTGGCAGATTCGGCGCTCAACTGTGAAGTGCGGAGAGTTGGCGGTCAGACTTCGCATGGGCCGTTACTCAAAAGGCAGCAGAATGTTGTCGATCCCCTCGCAAAGACCCGTGGACGTTAATCCTGGATGACAGGGGGAGCGTAGACAGCTTTGAGAGGCCACCTATTCTCATCTGCCTCACGAAACTCATGTATCTCGGAGGTGTAGCCGGAGATACGTTACTCACCGATGTAGCGCTGGTACCGAAATCGTCCGCCGAACAATAGTGGGAATATCCGCCTCGGGATCGTATCTGCAACCCGGGGCAAGCAGGTAAGCGTGTCGCTCAAACTTCCATTGTACTACCCAGTGCCCATGTAGTGATTGTTCCAGAGCTCAAAACGTAGCCAGTCGGAACGCTCATCACGTTCCGACAATGCTTTAGCGGCCGAAGTATTGCCTAATCAAACAGCGGTATCCATGTCCTGTGGGGTCACGTGTCCCACCCATGACACTGCGGCCGTCAATGAGCTCAGGTGTCCGTAGCCTCTCCTCGCCTCTTGGGCCGGTGGCCAATGGTTAGATGGATGAAACGTTGCGCCAAGAGGCTCAAATTGCTGTCAATGTGTCTGTTGTGGGCGGTTAAACTAGTAACACGCCGCCAACGTTTATCCTTGTCGCTGACGGCGACTTATGGTTGGATGGCTGTGCTCAGCTTCATGCCTGATCTTCCTCGCATGTTGAACATCCAGTGTATGCCTGATCTGTCCCGCCTGTACTTGTATGCCAGCACGATTTAGCCTCACGGTATCAACAGCCAGATTTGGAAGGCAAGTCAGATGGTGGGGTAGAACACTAGAACAACCTCCGTATATCCTCCAACATCCAATGCTAGCGGAAACGTGGTGGTCAACTTCGGGTTTACAAGTTCGTACCTTTGCCTGCTGTATACCGCGGCAAGGCACATCTCCATGGGCAATCGGAGCTTGGGACTGAAGAACCAGAGGACTCCCACAGAGTGTCGGGCTATGTCCCCACGTTGTGAGGGCATTAGGCTCTCGCTAACGTCTGGATATACCTGGCAGGTATCCCAAGTGTATAAACCCCTTGCCAAGCCAGCTGAAGGTCTGGCCCTTTGGGTATACCTACAACACCATCTGTCGTTTGGTTGTAATGCGGCGCCACCTTGCGCACAGAGAATGGCTTTTCGGCGATGGACTGGATGCTGTTCGGCCACCGGCCACCGCACTGGGGACTTGCACTGATCACTGATCTCACTAACGTACCTGGGGCGATGACCGAGCAGGGGCAAACTGTGATGTGGGGCCGCGGGCCCAAGAATCGCAGAGCTTCTATTCGGCAACCGAGTTACGTTGAGCGCCTTTGAGCGCCTACCCAGTAATTTCAGTAGTTTCCGTACCTCCACAACGTGTGACCTGCAAAACGGCCTCATGGTAACCAATCGTTACTCGATCCTGGGGTTCCGTGGCTGAGACATTGTGCTCCACCTAATTCGGAAGGGTTGACCAAGAGGAGGGTTGCCGCTGAGGTCGAGCGTACATACTATGTACGTACAGTACTTTCCTCTCCCCAGACTTGAACCATACGAATGGAAGTTGCGATCGGCACACCGGAGACCGGATACTGAACCTTGTTATTCCTGCCCGTTCAACAACAGCGTATTTCAAGTCGGCAGACGGCCAGATATGACCGCACCTTACAGGGGCATGGGTACACTTCTCGGGGACCGGAGACCGAACAGCGGCGATGTGTGAAGATCTCTAATAACGCTGCGTTTCACTGGCTGACAGGACGCCTGAAACAAGATCTTGATGTGAGGTCAAGGAAGCGTTCATTTTGCCGATTCGATCATGTCGTCACCGAACCTTGGCAATGAGACGATGGCCATTTAAGAGGCCATTGTTTCTATTCGGGGATGGGGCCGACTTAGAGGAAGTGGTAAACAGACACTGTGACCACCTAACTCCTGATTATCCACAGTGGTAGCTGAGGGGAATATTAACGGACGCTCACTCATTGGAGAGGACAACGGAAACTATAACTTTGCAGTTTCGTTCACTTGATGTATAGCACATAGCTTAACGAGTCACACAGGATATAGTCAGGCAGCCCATGGATGCCTCTGCGCATAGTCAATGGTCAGACAGTGTCCAGTTGATGATTGTGACTCTGTAGTGGCCGCTTTCCTGGTGTAAAAACAAAAAAACAGCAACTGGGCAACGACATGTTTTCACCCACATTTGCTAATGTCCCGTCTATTCCAGGCGTGTTTACTTCCACATGGAACACCCATGCAAAAAGTACTTACATACCCGCACCTGTTAGTGCCCGCATTGTCATCGGGTCCCGTCGACTGGTTGTCCCCAACCCACCAGTCGTCGGAACGCCCGCCACACATCCCTAGGTTTCGTTCCGACCCGGTCCCCCACGACCGTTCCCCACGACGCGCCACACTCACGGCTCCACGCCACCATCCACGGGGCTCTCCACACCGTCTCCGCCGTTATAACGGAATCCAACCATACCCAGCGCCATGGAAGATTTAGGGATGGAGTCTGCACGCCGCGTCACGACGCGTGACGCGTACGAGTCGGCCAACCATCCCGGTGGCATGTGTTGCAGATGGAACGCCACTCTGCTTGGGTGTCGTTTGCCTCATGGATAGAGAAGGTAAGGAAAATGACTCTTACCCACGCCGCCTCGCCAAGCCCAGCGCCGTCCCCACAACATGACCCTCCACTGGCCACTAGGGACAGCAGTTGCTATCAGCCAACAATATGTCGGGCGTCGTAGCTCAGGCAATACACACCAGAACAGCGCCGGTGTGGACATGCAGGCGCAAGGGTCGGGACACTACTGCCACGCCATACCATGGGGCTTGGGACATTTTCGTCCAGCCAAGGCTTACATTACCCCAAAGGTACCAACCTCGTCACTGCTCCCATCGAGCCTCCAAGAATGCTGAAGAATCAAGGAAACAGGTCCCACTCCAGGCCTACCCCTACCGTCGTGCCCCCCGCCCGTGATTTAAGTATGTGCCGGTTCAGCACATGTCACGGGAAAAGGCTTTGCCGGCGTGTGCCATGGGCGCGCCTCCCCTCTACCAGTATCTGAGCAGTGATACTCCTGATGCCGCTCACAAGAGATATCGTGGGGCTCGGCGAACATCCTTGACGTCTGACCTACGGCGTTTCAGAACTCCGACGATAAGCGTGGATCGGCTGCAGACTTGGAGCTGGCAACTGATAACAGCGCAGTGGTCATCTCTTTGAGTTCTCAGTTGCAGTATCTGTCCCCCAGTCCTCGTTGGGTAGAACGAGACATTCTGCATTGCATCGGTTTCGTAAATCCAACCTCTCAACTCATGCCTAGCCCCGACATTGGGGGGCGTTCCACTTGCACAGTGCCGCAGCCTATGTCTTCGAAGGCCCTTGAAGCCAGTTGACCGGTCGAGCGGGGCCTGCCAACCAATGTGTGAGTGGCCAGCCAGTGATTCAGCGGCGGCCAACTTGTCTGGGGTATTTGGGACACTTGTCTTTCATCACCTGCACCGGTCGTCGCTGTATCAACTACGGCAAGATTGGACCCCATACTTCCGAGAATCTGCTGCTGGGCTCGCACTACTGTTGTGGCTCGCACCTAAACCCTTCAACATTTTTAGAGCTTGTGGTGACGCACACCAAGCTTGGCCTCGGCTCGGCGAACGCGCAGCTGGCGGTCCTGAATGTACGGGAGACGGTCGCGGATCTCGACCTTGCCGACCTGGGCCATGTGCACCTCATCAGGGCCGTCCGCGAAGCGGAGGGTGCGGTTACCAGCCCACATCTTGGCAAGGGGGGTGTCCTGGGAGATACCCTCCGCACCGTGGACCTGAATAGCACGGTCGATGATACCGGAAACGAGGGCGGGGACAGAGAACTGAGATGATGGTCAGCAACGGCGGCCGGACAACGGGGTAACAACAATGCGGAAGGGGGAGCGAGATCGCTCCCACATTCTGTTCGCAGTGTCCAATCCACCTGGCCAGTGGAACGCGGCCATTGTGAACACCATGCCGCACGCGGCTACCTTGGTAGCCGGTTTACAAATACAAAGCATGCGCTGCACTGTACAGTGTGGTGACTTGGAGCATTTCGTACGTACCTTGGCGATACCAATCTCCTTGAGCGCACCCTTGGCCTTGTGCAGGTCAATCTGCTTGGCGGCGGTAAGGACGATCATGCGGCCCATGTCAATCTCAGCACGCGACTTGGCGACGTCGGCAATAACACTGCCGTGGTCCTTGAGCTGCTTGCCAAAGGTCTTGCGGATAGGGTTGGTGATGCGGAGGAGCATGAGGTCGAGAGCACGGTTGGCCACACCGATGGCGCGCATGCAGTGGTGGAGACGACCAGGGCCGAGACGAGCCTGGAGCATCTCAAAGCCGCGGCCGATGTTGGCGGGGCCACCTGCGACGTCGTCGAGGCTAAGAACGACGTCCTTGTAGATAACCTCGCAGTGGCCCTCGGGAGCGTCGTCGTAACCAAAGACCTTCATGGGACGAACGATCTCGACACCGGGCAACTTGGGGTCGACAAAGAAGATGGTGTGACGCTTGTGCTTGGACTCGTTGTTGGGGTCGGTCATGGCAACGAGAACATGGAGCGAGCAACGGGGGTCACCGGCACCCGAGATCCACCACTTGTGGCCGTTGACGATGACCTTGTTGCCCTCGATGCGAGCAGTGGTGTTCTTGAGGTTCGAAGCGTCCGACGACGAAACTAAGGTCCAGTTAGCAAGACAATCTTTCACCCGCACAAAGTGCAGTCAGTACGCACTGCCGTACTCGGTCATCGAGAAGGCCGAGCGGATCTTGCCATCAAGGAGAGGCTGGAGGTACTTTGCCTTCTGGGCAGGCGAGCCGAAGCGGGCGACGACCTCCATGTTACCAGTGTCGGGAGCGGAACAGTTCATTGCCTCGGGGCAGAGGGTGCAGTGGGCAGAAACCTCGGCGAGGATGGCATACTCGAGGTTGCTGAGGCCGCCGCCCTTGCCACCGGCAAGGTGCTGGAACTCGCCACCGGAGAGCCAGAGGTTCCAAAGACCGAGGGTCTTGGCCTTGGCCTTGAGGGTCTCAAGAACTGGTGGGATACCGGCCCAACGCTCGGGACCCGACTCGGGGAGCTGCTGGTGAAAGAGGGCCTCGGCAGGCATGCAGTCATCCTGCCTATCAGCTGCTGCCAGTCGTGGTAGAGTGTTCATGCATGTCACTCACCTCAAGGAAGGTGATGAGTGTGGAAAGGACCTGCTTGCCCTGTGCGGAGAACTGGGGCTCGATCTGTGTTGCGTGTGAGTCTTCAGTGGTCGAATCCGGCCACAGTGCCAAACGAGTTGATGACGTACAAGAGCCCAAGCGCCGGCAGCGATGTAGTTTGTGATCCTTGGGTCGGAGGCCATTGTGCAGATGTGGTGGAGATTGGGAGAGAAAGGATGAGCAACGGACGATGGGAGATGTGCTTAAAGGTGGGTTGGGATGTGGGTGGTGGCCTGCGACGACGTGTGGGGGTTGGTGGGCTGGAGAATCGGGGCCCAAATAGCCGGTGTGATCCATCGCTGTGGCCCGGCGGATGAAGCCGACGAGCATATAATGGGGGGCCGGCCGGGGCGCGGGCGCGCGGGCTGGTTTTGCTTTTGTCGGCATGTGCCGGCTATTCAGCAACACTGACAACGGGAGGACGCACACCAGTAGCCCAGTGGCCCAGTAGACGCATTGTACTGAACGGGGTCCAACTGGTTCAACAAACGTTGAGCATTGGCATGGCATACAGTACACACACACACACACACACACACACACACACACACACACAAGTTGATGGCCCAGTGGCCAGTCCAGCAACGCTGCAGTCAGAAGCGTGTTTCGGCCATCTACCACTGGCCGGTGGGCGGGTGGCTCGGTAGATCGGTTGGGCGGGCATACAAACTGTGTGGTGTCAGATCGGGGTGTCGTATGTGGGGCGACGGCCACGTCCGACAATATCACGTGACGGCTGCTTGCATTAAAAATGACGTGTCAAATAGTCATTTTTTATTATGTATTCCCTACATTTAATGCTTTTATCTGCGCCCCACACATGCCGCACACCCGCGGGACTGCGGCTCCGGAGGCAAAAAGGGAGGAGCGTGGGATAGCTGGGATCCCTGGGGTTTGCGTACATACTGTATGTACTGCGTGGCGATGGAATGGGCGGGGTCTTATGACGCCGAGGGCAGGCAGAGGGCAGAGGGTGTGGGGCAGACATTCAGAACAGGCAAATGACGACGGGTCGGCGGGCGACCGGTGGCCGGTGGACCGGTGTTCACCCAGGATCCCACACAGGATATCAGGTTTGGCCATGGGTGACCCATGGGTGGGCCTAATGCGGATTCTGCGTATACCGCTTGCCATGAGTGGGTGTTGTGAGTGGTGTGCGCGGTGTGTGTGTTGTGTGTCCACTGATCACTGACGGTGTGGTGCTCCAGACTCACCTTGCTTCAGCCAGCTGCCAGCAGACACACGACATGTTGGAATCCGGGTGGGGACACCAGCCCCGTGGGTCCAGGACGGGCCACTTGACTGTTATCCTCAATCACCCGCGTGTGGTGACTACAGTAGATCAGTAGACTACGGTAAGCTACAGTAAACTTCGGCTGTTGTCGGCCAGATACTTAGTTCTTTCTGGCCTGTCCGGCAAATTAATCCCAGCAGCAATAGGAGGACGTCTCTAGGCTCAAGTAGAGGATCGAGGACAAACGGACTTGCCGTCTGCGAGCCATGGGGCAGAGGCTGTACGGGCTCTGTGGGTAACGGTTGCGGGGCTTTTCAGGCACCGACTTTGCAAGCGGTCGTCTGTGGGTGGAGAAGCCCGTATCTCGGTCCGAGCATGGCACAAATCTGGTCTCTCTGTCCATGTGATGACAGAATGCATATGCTTGCCGTGGTCGCAAGATGGATACTGGCGTGGGGTAGCGAAGCAATCACTCCACGGGCCTAGATCAAAACAACTGTGGTTTGTGGGGGCCGGGGGGCGGGAGGACAATGCAAACGCGTTCTGGCCGACTGGCTGGCAGGACCTGTTTCCCCACACCCTGTGCACTCGGCAAAGACTGACTGGCTGGGTAACGGAGACATCTGGCCTGTGGCCTCTGGAAAGGGCGTGGAGCGGGGCACGTATGCATTTGCTACAGAGTGCGAAAGCTCATCTTTGCTGCGTGAAGGGCCTGGGCACGTGGACCATACGTAGCCATGGCGACCCACGACGCAGGCCAGAGGCCAGAGGTTGGCCGTCGGAGTGTGCCGCGAAAGCCCCGAAGGCAAGGAAAACGGGCCCATCCTTAATCTCCCCAAAAGTTGGGAGGTGGGTGGAAGCTCGTGGGATGTGGACCTTGCGTGGGTGCAGGCAGGTGCATTGATGCTCACCCCTTCATAAAACCGCATCGCTTGACGCGTCTTTCTCAACACAACCTCCCCCCAGCTCATCTCCTACCTCGTCGCCACCAGCGCGAACCCCCACCCCCTCTTTCGCGACTAGACGCCGCGCTCCTTGCCCACAGAGGCGTTCCCCCCACAGGCTCCACCGCCACCCGCTCCAACCAACTGTGTCTGACAACTTGGCTCCGCAGCTCGGCTCCGCCACTCCGCGAATCCTTCCCCCCACCCAATCTTCCCAGCCTACCATGCCGGCCACCGCCAAGCACGACGGCTCTGGCAAGGCTGTCCCCGTGGACATGCCCAAGCAGCCCTTGACCATCAACGACCCCGAGTCGCCCGACTTTGTCCCCTCGGACAACTATGTCACCAGGACGGTCGAGAACACCAAGTGGCTCCCGCCCATTACCCCCAAGACTCTGTTCTGGAACATCCAGTGGATCTCCTTCCTAGCTCTCACCATCCCTCCTTCCATGTGGATGTGGGCTATCTGGAACGTCCCTGCTCAGCGGGCTACAATCATCTGGGCGTAAGTGTTGTGGATTATCTAGCACACGCGTGAGTGTGGCACAGACGCTGACATCCCTCACAGCGTCATCTGGTACTTTATGACTGGTCTTGGCATTACCGCCGGTTACCACCGTCTCTACGCTCACCGCTCCTACAACGCCTCTCCCGCTCTCCAGTACATCCTTCTGTGCTGGGGCGCCGGCGCCGTCCAGGGCTCCGTCAAGTGGTGGTCGCGCGGCCACCGTGCTCACCACCGTTACACCGACACCAAGCTTGACCCTTACTCGGCTCACGAGGGCTTCTTCTGGTCGCACATTGGCTGGATGCTCGTCAAGCCCCGTGGCAAGATCGGTGTCGCCGACATTTCGGACCTCAGCAAGAACCCTTGCGTCCGCTGGCAGCACAACAACTACCTCACTCTCCTCGTCTCCATGTCTCTCGGTGTGCCCACCCTTGTCGCCGGTCTCGGCTGGGGTGACTGGATGGGTGGTCTTTTCTACGCCGGTGCCGCCCGTCTCGTCTTTGTCCACCACTCGACCTTCTGCGTTAACTCGCTTGCCCACTGGCTTGGTGAGACCCCCTTCGACAACAAGCACACCCCCAAGGACCACTTCATTACCGCGCTTGTCACTGTCGGCGAGGGTTACCACAACTTCCACCACCAGTTCCCCATGGACTTCCGCAACGCCATCAAGTGGTACCAGTACGACCCCACCAAGTGGTTCATCTGGACCATGTACAAGGTTGGCCTCGCCTCGCACCTCAAGAAGTTCCCCGACAACGAGATCCGCAAGGGCCAGTACACCATGAAGCTCCAGCAGCTTGCCGAGTTTGGCGAGGAGATTGAGTGGCCCAAGCACTCGAACGACCTGCCCGTTATCTCGTGGGAGGACTTCCAGACCGAGTCCAAGACCCGTGCCCTCGTCGCCATCCACGGTTTCATCCACGATGTCTCGTCCTTCATCGACGACCACCCCGGTGGCGCCAACCTGGTTAAGCGCACTATTGGTACCGACGCCACCGTCGCCTTCTTCGGCGGTGTCTACGACCACTCGAACGCTGCCCACAACCTCCTTGCCATGATGCGTGTTGGTGTCCTTGACGGTGGCATGGAGGTCGAGAGCCTCAAGCTCCAGCGCTCTGCCTCCTCCGAGTCGCTCGTCTCGTCGGCCTCGGACGGCGCTTCGTCCGCCTCGTCGGTCTCGGTCCAGTCGCTCTACTCCGAGGTTGAGGCCATCGAGAACCGTCGCCCGGCCTACCAGCCGGTCGCCCAGGTCTCAAACCCCTGGACCCTCGCTGTCCCCCCCTCGGAGCGTCTCCTTGTCATCAAGCAGAAGCCCGAGCTCCGCCCTGGTCTCATGGAGCGCCTTTCGTCCACCGCCGCTTCGCCCTCGCTCACTCGCACCCAGAGCTTCGAGGCTGAGGCTTAAGTGCTGCGAAATATAAAGACAAAGAAAGAACGAAACCCAAAACGAGCTCAAGGCTACCTGAAGCGTCTCAACTGCATCTCCAACACCATCCACGACCCCTCTCTGCATCATACACAACGTCCTATCGCTGGACAACCCTATCTTTAGATAGTTTCATTCTTTGTATCACTGTTGCTCATTCCGAGCCTTATGCAGATGTGAATAACGAAATAAATAAATACAGAAGCGGTGGGTGGCCATTTGGGGCTGATCTGCTCTGCCGCTCGCCTCGCACAAACCACCGCCACATTCGAGCGCACTGCTGGCTACAAGCCACAGATCTACAGAGCTACAGAGCTACAGATCCACGGTCCTTTCGTCAAGTACCATGCAGTCATGCATCTTATCTTCCTTGCCCTGCATCCATGCTTGGACACGCAGCAGTCGAGCAGTCCATGCGTTGGGCAGTCATGTGGCAGTTGCAGAACTGCAGAACTGCTAGAACTGGAATCTGCGCACTGCGCCGTGCGCACTTTTCCTGTTAGGCGCGCCCGACAGCGTACAGCATCCGGATTTTCGATTTCATCGATTTCATGATTTCATGTTTCTCGGCCATAGGCGTGTAGCTTCCAGAACCATCTCCGTAGCTCCGTCATTGTCGCCCTCCACCCCTCCACTTTGGTTTTATGCTGATTCAGTTCCGTTCTCGTCCACTTTATCCAGTTAGTTTTGAACACACCAACAATGCCCCTCAGACTTCCCAGCAAGAGGCGCTCCGACGGCGACGGCGGCCGTGCTTCCAAGAAAGGCAACGGCAACAAGGAACCCACCTACGACACCTATGATGAGGCAATGGACGGCGGTGTCCTGAACGAGGAGAAGGGTGAACGCTATCGCGATGGCGACAAGGCCCAGAGATTCTACGAGAAGGCTGCCGAGCTCTACCAAAAGGCCATGCAGTTTGACGAGAACTCGTATGATGCCATGTACAACCTGTGAGTCGCACCAGCTCTCCTGAACGGTACTAATGTTCACCAGTGCCCGCGTGCAGTACCGTCTCGCATCCGAGTTCCTCCTCCCTCCTTCCAATATGGACCTGTACTCGTCGGCCATGGCACTGTACAACCGGGCACTCCAGGGAAGTGACAGCCCCTACTTCAAGTCAGATGCGGCCTTCAACCTCGCCCAGGCCTTCTCGGCTGTTGCGGACATTACCGACGAGTACCAAGGCCCAGACGGCGCGCAGAACGCGCGCGAGCTTCGTGTTGCCGCCACGCAACTTATGGGCCCCGTCCTCACCACCCAGATCATCGGCGTGGAGATGCTGAGCGACAAGAAAGACGACGACGCGGCCAGCGAGGCTGCTGCTGCTCATACCGAAACTGGTACTACGTCCACTGCTGCCGTTCCAGAGCAGGAGGAAATCGATGTTGACGGCGAGGACACCAAGACTGAGCGGGAGGAGGTCAACGTCTCGGTCGAGAAGGCACCGACCCCAGATGCTCTTGTCGACACCACCCTCTTCCTCGTTGACATTGGCACTACTCTCTGGGACAGCGTGACTCCTCCTCAGCCACCCAGTGAGGGCGAGCAGCAGGCCATGCGCGAGATGCTCGACATGGCCAGCCGTCTGGGTCCTCCCGGTCGCCAGGCTGAGATTGACCTTGCCAACATCAAGGTGCTGCTCACCCTCGATTCGATCATGTGGGATATGTTCCGCGCACAGGCCCAGCCCGGCTCTGGCGTCGAGCGTGGCTGCGAGTCGGCTGCCAAGGTGCTGGAGCGGCTGCTCGAGTCCCTCGGGGCCAGCCCTCCCGATGACACCACGGTCAAGGCCGACATTCTTGCAACCCTCGCCAACACTGAGGTTGCCGGCGCTCAACGCTACGTCACCCTTGCCAAGCGCTCGCCCACCCCGGCGCCGCTTGCCCAGTCTGCCTGGGCTCTGCTTTCGTCGGCCACACAGCACCTCGCCGCAGCTGCAGACCTCCCCGTGACTCTCAACACCCCCAAGGAGTTCCGCCCAAACTGCTACATTGAGCTTGCCAAGGTAACCCTTGACCGTGCTCGCCTTGCCCCGTACAACGATACTGCCGCGCACAACGTCCAGCAGCTGTTTGACAACTGTTCTGCGTATGCGGGCAAGGCTGCCGCTGCTCTGGGCTGGAACTTCCCGCGCCTCCCCACAGCGTCGACCACCACCCCGTTCTTCACCGACGACCTCAGCCCCCCGTACCCCGCTGGCTGGGACATGGAGATGCTGTCGCGAACCCTCGCACTTCTGTTGCTGCGTATCTGCTTTTTTGCCATCCATGGCGGTGTCCTCAAGACTGAAGGTGCCGAGGTGCTGTACGAGCACGCTGCCAAGAGCGTCGTCGACGCCATTATATCCGTCTCCTCCGGTCCCCGCCGTCTCATGCCCAAGGACATTGCCCGCTTCGTGGGCGACATTGAAGATGAGGAGGGCGGCGTCTGTGACGCCGAGGTACAGTGGTGGGAACAGGTTCGCCAGGGTATCTTGCGCGGCCTTCCTCCTGCTGAAGCTGCGGCCACAGAGGCGCAACCCTCTGGGGCACAGTAAGTGAGTGGCATGCGCTGCCGAGCGGCACACCTACCACCTGGCCAAAGGCACCACAGCCTTAACCACATATAACAAAACCTCGACAAGCTTTCCAACCCATATCTTGACCTCTTATTGGCTTCCCCAGCGGTGGCTGTGTACTACAACCCGATGCATACGACGTAGACGTCGCGTTCTTAGACCCAATATTTATATTCTAACTGACAAAAGCGTGGTGGGCAGAAGTTGGTCGGGGAAGACCGGGGTAGATTCGTTCAAACACCACCTTCCACCCTAGTCGTCTTCTGGGGGAAGACTGACTTCAGGTGTATCACTCCAACCGCACCGCACGGCCAGGCGTGAGAGGAACCAGCCTGACAGTCCCCAGATCTCGAGCGGCTCGGGCCCCTCGTCTTCGGGAGGTGGGATGACCAAGTCGCCGCAGCGGATCTTCCAGTATGGGCGGTGGCCATCAAGGCGAAAGTAGTGTGGGGACATGCGTGCTGGATCGGCGACAGCGCTGAGCGGAAGGGGGAGAAGGCCGGACACCTCGCCTGCGTCAGGCTTGAGCGAGGAGAGCGATATGGAAGGGATTGGGCGATGCAGACGGTCGGACGGGTCGACAGCGTCATCTATCGCTGCTTCAACTGCGTCTTCGCAGTTGACAAAGCCCTGCTAGTTAGCAAATATAGACATGTAGGTATACGTACGATCACGGGCCACACGCGTGACTTGTTACCCAGGCTGTACTCTGGAGGAAGGCTGCCGAGGATCTCGACGTGGTCTTGGGGCAGAGCCAGCTCTTCTTCTGTCTCTCGCAGTGCCGCTGCAACCATGTTCTCGTCGCCCTGGGATCAGCAAATATCTTGATCTCTGGTGCTCACATCTTCCCACTTGCCACCGGGGAAGCTAGGGGAAAATTGTCAGCAACACACCTCGGGATGTGCTTGCCACCTTGCCCGCCGCGACGTTTCGTTCGGGTTGGGCTGCCAGCAGGTTGATCCTCTCACCTTGCTTCGCTGGCATGCACGCGCAAGCCCGCGGCACGCACCTCCATAAGGAGATGCGCTACTCCTCCAATGTTGCACAGTGGGATAAGAACCGCAGCTTCACGCGGCGGTTTGGCCATGTTTGCCAGTGTGTGGGGAGCCAATGTTGCGATGGGTTCCATGGGTGCAGGGAGGAGGACCTTTTGGATCTTGGCGAGTTCGGCGCGCGTAAAGGATGCGGGAGGAGGTGTGAGCGTCGGGAGCGCTGCCGATGTGCTATAGCAGCGACGGACGAGTGCCCGACGGAACATGAGCATTGGTGGTTGTCGCATGGTGTGTGGGTTGGGCGAAGTGGGTGGAATGACATCAATCGAGCACAGAAGGAACCATCCGCCGCCTCCGCCCCCGCAGTCCACGCCTCCCCACACATCGCTCGTCGTCGGCACATCCTGTCTCATCACCACCTACCATCAACCACCCATCCCTCGTCCCACCGACATCCCATTATGGCCCAGCCACGCGCGGGGGGCTCTCCGTCACCTGCAGAAATATCAAACCTGCGCAACGCAACAAACCTGCGTACAGTCTCCCGCAATGACCCTGGTGTCGCCGAGATTCTCGACACCAGCACCTACTCGGTCATCTACCACTATGATGAAGTTGCCGGCAAGTGGGCCAAGCAGAAACAGGAAGGATCCATCTTTGTTGTCCGCAGGTGCGTGCAGATGGCAGCTACTGCTGTTCAAGATGTCGATGACATAGCGTTGCCGCTGACGCCTCCAGAACCAAAGCGCCGGAGTATGCTCTGTTCATGCTCAACCGCGTAACAGTCAAGAACGTCACGATCCCACTTATTCCCGGCGAGATGAAGGCGACCGCTATTGACGCAAGCATGCTCCAGGTTGCGCGCCGTGGCGAGAGTGCGTTGGTGTGAGGCGTGGCCGGAGGGAGGTCGACACCCCCTCCCCCTTTCCTCCCATTGTCATCACCGTCCGATTCCTAACATGTCACAGAGATTCGCTATGGCATTTGGTTCACCGAGGGCACGGAAGGTGTACAGCGTTTCCGTGACACGATTGTGGGCATTTGTGGAGAACCGTCAAAGCTGGGTGCTAGCTCTCGCGCTTCTCCTGCACCAGGACTGCTAGCTTCAACAGCCGCGAATATGGTTGCCTCTTCAGCAGGAGCAGCCGCACCCTCGACCGAGGACGGATTCTCTCGTCTCTTCGCGGGCCTTACAACTATTCCCGCCAAGGCGGCAACACCGACTTCCCCGCCCCACCAAGAACCTCATCCTCTTCAGCTTCCCCCAGTCAATCAGCAACCTCAGCAGTTCCTTGCAGGCCCTCCTCTTGCTCATGTTCAGCAACAGCCCGTGTCCGACCAGCAAGCAGGCGGATTACCTGGCATGCCGGCGCCGTACACGCAGTTCCAGCAGTTCCCTCAACAGCCGTACCCTATTCAGCAATCATATCCTCCTCAGCAGCCATATCCTCCTCAGCAACAACCCTACCCTCCTCTGTATGCCCATCCTCAACAACCGCCTCCCGTGCCCCAACATGAACTTGCCCCAGCTCAGCCTGTTGCCCCACCAACAGCCCCAGAGTACCCACCAGGCCAGACAGTTGATGATCTCCTCATGAGCATTCTGGGCGTGCCAGGAGGGAGCCCTGCTGGTGCTGCTGCTCGTGCACCAGTTCCTCCTCAGTCCTTGGTGCAGGCGCCTCCTCAGCCCCCCCAACCTCAGCCGCCTGTCCCGACCATGTCTTCCCAATCACCTCTCTCCGCCCCTGTCACCTCCTCGCCCGTTCCGAAGGGTCCCAAGGGCCCCGTCCCTCTGCAGGCTCGACGTGTCAGCCGCCCCCAGCAGACAGCTTCACCGAGGCAGAACGGCGCTTCTGGCCCCACGTCACCACCTGTCAGCTCCCAAGCTCAAAGTCAAGCTCAGTCCCAGCCTTCAGGCGTTGCCATGCGTGATGCCCTTGCGAACACGTTGCCAGCTGGTGCCCCTCTCGGACGTATTCAGCTCCGCGACATCCTTACCCACCTCCTCAGCTCGGACGAGCGGTTTGTCGATGACGTGTGGCGCGCATATCTTGCCAGAATTGGTGCCCCCCCGCCGCAGTAGTAGTTTGTGGCCGCGGTTGAATCTATGTGCGTAGCAGTGCTTTATGGTCTTCTATGCATACTCTGCCGTGCCAACCCAAGCCATTCGTGTTGTCACATCTTTAGGCATACATCTCTACTACAAAACAAACTCTACTCCTGCTGCCAGATGCCATATATGGCGGCAGGTCCGTGAAGGTTATAGTCCACCTTGGAGATTGAGTGCTTGCCCTGGCTCTCGCTGAATGCGACCTTGGCGATCATGGACGCGCCGAGGAAGGGGGCGAGGTCGGATGTGGCACCCTTGAAGTTGGCAACGTAGTCACTGCAACTGTCAGCATCTGTTTGTGAGAAAGGACCGCTTACGGAATGGATAACAAGCGAACGCGACCAGGCTGCTGGTCGGAAGGGAGCTCTGTGCTGGTGAGGAGGAAGGGAGAAAGGTAGGTGACGAGCGAGGTAGGGAACGCTGCGGAGTTAGTGGTTTCTCAAACTGTTGTCCGCGTTATCCTCCTACCCACACTTGAAACGGGCCATGTCACCTGTGACGGCAATGGCGTCCCAGATCTGAAGACGTTCGTTGATGTTCAAGCTCGAGGATTCGACAGCGCGTCCCAATGCCTCCCAGACAGTGTCGCCACCACGCGTCTTGCCCATGAGAAGTGGTTCGCACAGGCGATGCCGAACAGGGCCGACGGGAATCTCCTTCTCCGGAAGGGAAGGGATAGTGACCATAATGACGTCCGCGGCAGCAGCGGCAGCTGCTGCATCGGCGGCCGCTGACGCCTTGGAAGCAGCAGTAGCGGCGGCGGCAGCCTGGGCCTTTTTCGACTTGTGCGAGGCAGCAGCGGCAGCCTGAGGAATGGCGTCGGCAGTGAGCTTCTTGGCAACGTCGAACGCATCTTCCTCTTCGGGCTGGGCAGCAATGATAACCACGGCCTTGGCACCTCCCTTGGCGACAGGAACCTCAATGTCGTCTCCAGTGCACTCTGCGAAGATGAACTGGCGGATTTCCTTCACAAGCTTTTCCTTTTGCCCATCAGTCCAGTTGTCGACACCGGCGGCAGACAGCAGCTCAGTGTTGAGAATGTCGTCGGCCATCAGGAGCGCATCAAGGTGCGCCTCGCAGTCGGCCTGGCCAAGGTTTACCGACTTGACGCATTCGTACCGGACAACCGAGTCGACAACAATTGAGACCTCGGACGTGTTCCGACCAATGTGCAGAGCGGCACCGGTGACGGCGTTGAGAGCCCAAAGCGCAGCAAGCGGGCTTGGGAGAAGACAGAGCTGAGGAGCGTTGAGATTCTCAAACACCATCTGGCAGTAGAGAGCCTGGTCGGGCAACGGGAATGATGGTGGAGCTGCTGGTGGGATCAGGAGCAGTGGCGCCGTGTTGTTGCTGGGTTGAACGTTGAGGAGCGCGTACATGTGGAGGCTGGGACACATGTTAGCAAATACCTACGGGGGCACACTTACAGGACAAACTCGCGACCTTCCCAGTCCTGTTTTCCAGCAACCTCCACGAACGGCCAGCGCACCTCAATCCTCTCCTCACCGTCGGCACCTAACGCCTCGTCGAGGGCGTCACCAACGAGCCATTCGGACCTGGGCACATCCGACGACGATGCACCCGCCATTGTCACGTCGCCATTTGAATCCACCCCTGCGTCACCGTTTCCAGTTCGGCTAGACGAAGATGTCCTTGGGACACCGTAACATGCCTTGATCGTCTAGGTAATGTTAGAATGACGGCCCATAGCTACGTGGGTTCTGAACATACCCTCTGAGGACGCATCCACAGGTCGATGACGCCATGAGAGAAGCGGATCACGTCGGTGTCGACGTGGGCAACGATGGGCTGGTAAGCCATCGCGTGCGGTGGATGGATGTAGAGTTGCGAGACAGAGAAAAGGAGGACGGAGAGTATTGTTGATGACATGGACGCGTAAAGAGATCATGGCACAGTATGAATGCATTGACACGCCTAGAATAAATAGGCGCACAGTGGCCATCGCCGGCCTGATGGTTGTTTGGTTCCGCCGATCGGCTGGCTCACTCACTGATATCACTGATCGCTGATCGCCTGCGTGTGCTGGAGATCAAGCGCTACTGTATAGCGTCTCTCTTTGCCAATGTCTCGGCCTTGTATGCTGTTTCAAAGCCACGACGCCCGTCTAGCTCCCTAGCTTTCTACTGTTGCGAGGACGAGAGCTACTCCTCGCCAATAAACCTCACGGTTAGTCTAGTCGTGTCCTTGACTCTTTGCTTTCCTCCCTCCTCTTGCGCGACTGGAGCCGATCAGCCACTGCATCCGCCACGCAACAAGCCCCGAACTGATGATACGCCCAAGGCGCCCAACGCCAACGGTTACCTTTGTCAAGCTCTATGGCGAAGTCCTCTGAGATTGACAGCTCCCATCAGAAGCAGACAGGCGAAACAAGCTTAGTCACTGTAATTGAGTCTCTGATTAAAAAAAAAAGCCAGTTCACAAACATTATGCCAAATGCAACATAATTCGCCATCACTTTCGCCTGATTCATTCAAATATCTTCAAACAACTACACTACGGGGTCTCAGGACAGGTCTAGTGGTGCTGACCGGGGCCGCCGTGGGGGCCTGATGTAAGAGTCAGTTGAGACCGCTGGTATAGGTGAATCCTGTTGCGAACAGGTAGTTGGCACTCCCTCCGCCAATAGCTCGAGGACGACCAGAAAACCCGTTCCATAGATACACCATTACTCACCGCCCTGCTGGGGACCGCCGTGCTGCTGGGGACCGCCGAATCCGCCCTGCTGGCCACCGTGGCCTAATTTAACAGTCAGTTGAAATCGCGGGTACAGATAGGTGAATCCTGTTGCGAACAGGTAGTTGGCACTCCCTCCGCCAATAGCTCGAGGACGACCAGAAAACCCGTTCCATAGATACACCGTTACTCACCACCCTGCTGGGGACCACCGTGCTGCTGGGGACCACCAAATCCGCCCTGCTGGCCAGGTCCTATGTAAACGTCAGCTTGAGCTCGTTAAAGCAGCCCATGTCTGGGTCGGGTAATCGTCCCACAAGTCTGAGCAAGTTGACTCTGAACTGATGAAGCTGTCACCTCATCGATTCAACCTCAACATGCAGCAGACCTGGCCGATACGCACCGCCACCGCCCTGGTGACCGGGGCCTAAAATGTCAGCGTTGTCCTAGACATGTTTGTCAGATCCACAAACTACTCACCACCGTGGGGTCCGCCCTGGTTGCCGTGGTTGCCGCCCTGGTTGTGCTCCGGGCCGTGCGAGTTGGAGGGGTGCTAGAACGGGTCAGTAAATGTGGGTACGGCAGCGTTCTGATCCCAGAATACCAACGATAGCGTGCTCAATCTTGTCGATAATCTTAGTATCAGCTGTCGTGTCTCCATCGGTGACTTTTAATTACTCACGCCCATTGTAAAAGATGAATCTAGTGTTGATAGATGTTGGGGAAGAGAATGCGGCTGCCTGAGGGAAGCTTATATACACGAACGAGACAGGTCACCGACGTCACTCAATGCCCATCCTCGAACCCCATGGCACCATCTCCCGCCTGGCCGGCTAAGCCACGCGCAGTCCCTCAGGTGACCGGACAGATCAACACTTCTGAGACAGCCTCGCCCAGTGGAGCAGCAGTCGCAGCATCTGTTCGCCCTCCAACACCCTCGTTGCTCGCATGGGTGCGCACAGTGAGTGGCCAGTCAGTGCACCTTGAGCAATGCCAAGACATCTGGGATTCCTTAATTGAACCTCGCAGTCACTGCGCAGATGGTCGCCGCAGCTGAAAACAGCTGCGGACCCACCCCTGGCTGGCGTTGGCGTCGGGGGCGGCGGATATTAACGTACCATCGGTTCGTAGGGTGTGTTCCAGCTGGGCTGCGGACAGACGAGGGCGTTGCGGTCACGTCATGGACTGCAAGCGACTGATCAATGATCCTGGTACATAGGTGGCTATTGAATCGTCTGCAGTGATCTACTGGACCAGAGACAGTGATGCGAGACGACAGACAAGACCATCGCGGTTCTTCAACTTGACAACAGGGAGTCTGAGCCTGGTGGAAGCCTCAGCCGCGGTCAACAGACCGAGATACGCGGCGAGGGACACTGTCGCAAGCGCGTGTCCCTGGCCGCGCGTGAGGGAGATGTTACCAGTCGACACGAAGCCGATCACCCGGCTCGCGCCGGTGCCTTCTTCACCGAGCTGCCGCGTTAGCTTTAGCCCCCTGATAGTGCGTGACAACGGCCTCACTCGCAGCATCTCGCCGACATGGTCGTCCATTGGGCTCTTGATTTGGTTGGTGTCCAGGTCGTGCTCGTATGCGTCGAGCCATCGTGTACGCTCTTCGGAATCGAGGGCGTAAAGCATTGCCATGTCAGAGGGTGAGCCTCGGCCGATTATGTTAACCTCGACGTGGCAGACCCCACTGCGGAGAAGGTCTTCGGCCCGCTCTGCTTCCAACGCCACCAGTCCCCGGTTCCTCCGGAAGGCGTTCAACGCAGCAAGAGCACGAGATGAAGGTTCGGCTGGTCCATTGAGCTGGTTCACATGCTTGCCGAAGATCGGATTGGCCAACCACGGCCTGATATCAACGTTTGGCACACTGGTCTCGTCGACGTCGCTGTGGGTACTAGACTGTGAGACTGTCAGCTCTTGGATCCCACCTGAACATACCGAGAGGACAGCTGGCCAGTCGGGTTTGAACGGCCACTTTGTGCCCAAGGTAGAGTATTCTGGCCTTTTTCCAGGAGGCTTGCGCAGCCACCGTTGTTGCTCGCTCAGCGCCAGCTCCTCCTCCCATGCTACGCCAGCAGGGCAAACAGCCCCGTAGTGCTCTGGGAAAGATGGAACCGCGGCTTCACGGTATTGCACTCTCCTTTCAGACAAGCCTACCAGTCGCACATTGCAGAAGATGAACGAGGGAAGGAAGGCCATGCTCCAGCCGCGCGGGAAAAGAAGTGTGTAGCCATGGAATGCGCTTGACTGATGGTCTGGCGTACGGGACTCCACCACACGCTTCACGATAAGGATTGGGATGCGGTCGTCCTGTGCGCCCGGTTGCAGGCGGGTACCAGGGATGCCAAGCTAGTATGTCAGAAGTGTTTGTTGAGACGCCACTTGCCTTGTGCCGCCTCAAGTCTAGATCCGACTTCTTGAACTTTGGGTGCAACAGCGAGTTGCGTTTCCCACTGTCCCACAGTTCGCTTAGTGCAAGCCACGATGAGGACAAGGGGTCTGTTGTACTGTTGGATGGAATGTCGTCCTCACAAAGACGGGGAGGAGGAAAACTAAATGCAGTTAGACGCGTGATGGATGCCAGAAGTACTCACAAGAGGCGAGGGTCGTAAACGGTAGCGCCCAGCACAGCCCCTTCTGGGCATGCTGCAGGGTCGGCATGCAAAATGGCACTGACAGCACTACGTTTATCGTTGCCCTGCGACTTGCACATGTGCAATGCACGCTGGATGACCTTGCCAGCAAGGGGACCCATAATTTCAAACGATTCAATGTCGTCCCGGAGGTTGCGGATGTTCAGTGAAGGGCCCGTACTGGAAGATCCAGCCTCGCTAGCCCGCTCTTTCGCTGCCTCATGAAGGGCCTCGAGCACATCATCAAATATGGAGGGATGGACCCGCATCCACAGCCGGCGCTCGGGAAGCTTGATATCGGTCTGCGGCTGCCAAAAGAGCTCCACAGGGCCAATTAAGCCGTGGGGCACAGAGCCAGAAGTGTAGATGTTGGTTTGAGCCATTCGGGCACCAAACTCGTATCTGCAGCGTGTCAACTGGGCAGGCACTGCATGGGGCACTCACTTGCTGCCCGCAAACGCTCCGCCAACGGTAACCTTCCCAAGGACACCGACTATTTCTGAACGTGAACCCTCCAGCTCAATGGTGCCAAAGTAGCTCGTGTCGTGAAGAACAGCTTTGCGACGAGCGGCACGATATGATGAGCGAAAAGACTTCAATGTAGGCGACAAGGGGAGACGATATCCCCAGAGGTTGACCATGTGAAATCGCTTGGCATGGAACAAATGCGTACCCAACCACCTTTTGTTGCCTTTATATTTCAGCTCATGAACACACGCTGCAACTCACGTTGACGAGCTCGCAGCTGCTCAGTCCGAGACTGGCCTCTCAAGTTGCCTCGAGCCCTCAGCTTGGCCTTCTTGCGGTAAATGCGGACGCCTGGGTCTGCTGGATCTAGCTGCAGGTCAGCTCCAGTTGAGACAATTTCACTTACCTCAGCTGCCGCTCGGCTGCGCATACGCTTGGGAACTCGGCGCGGATTGTGACTAGCGGCGCGACGACGCAAGTGTCGAGGGAGGGACTGGAACGCTCTCGAGTTGCTCTGAGAAGCGGCGAGCTTGACGGCATTTTGAAGCGCGAGAATCTCGACGGCGCGGGTCTCGACAAGTTAGAATGCACGTACAACAGTGTCGAGCTCACCTCGGCAAAGCGTTCAACGTGGACTGCTCCCGGGAGACTCTCTGAGGCTTGGGCAAATCAGCAGGGCCCTGGTGTTTCCCATAGGCAGCCAGCTCACTCTTTACAAGGTCGGCAAGTCCTCTAAGGACGCTCTTCTCCTTGCCTTTGCCCTTGCGCTTGGCAGCATCGTTTCCGCGAAGGAGATCCACGGTCTTGGGGATAAACTTGAGAGCCTTTGCCTTACTCGCCGCAGCGGATGACCCTGCCTTTTGCGGAGGCTTGGACATGGTGTTGCGTGGGACGTGAACAGTGAGGATGCGAGAGGAAATTGCGGCAACAAGCGAAGTCAAGATTTCCGCTCAACCTCCACTTTTGCATTTCGCCCGTTTCATTCTCTCCGCATCAACAACACCCCACCATCACCCTCACCCCCACCGCCCATGAACGAGGCCAAAGCAATCAAGAGACATGCAGCACAGCATGATCTGTTTAACAGGCTGCATTCAATAGCGGCTGATGAACATTTTGTGCGCACGGTCGCACAAAAGTGGTTCGACGGTCGTTTCGAGGTTGTTGGTGAGCAGTCGCCTGACTCTGTTCCTCGACCTGACAATCGCTAGCGAACCAGCGTTGTGGTACTTGGTACTGTGACCCCTCAGTAAGTTGACCTCTCCAGATGCGTGGTTCAGCAATAACGATTGGTTCAGACTAGTTCGAATGTGTACGCATACTTCAAGTCGACCGATGGACACACTCTGGTGAGTCCTTGCCTGCCTAACGGAAGCTCACCAACACGATTAGAACTGGGACTTCAATCTTCGGCGATCAAACTTGTCCTTGGCTACACATGCTGAAGATAGTGGAGGGTGAGCATTAATCTCATGTGTGCACTGAGACTGTAGATTCCTCCTTATCGACTCGACACGCAGAGGGAAGGTGAGCTCAGTGAGCCAGTCGACTCGTCTAATCGCAACAGCGCATGCCCGACGGCCTCTCCAAGACTGTACCCATCTGGTGCGCAGTTGTGAATCGTGCTTTGAGCCTTCGTAGACAGGCAGCCGGCAGTCCTGAGCCAGAAGGTTGGGATACCAATCTGTACCTTCCAGCGCAGATTGTATCGCCGTCTGAATGTGCCCAAATTGAGGCCAAACTCGATTGCTGGGCCGAGGCGCTTGAGGTGAGTTAAGCGACGCGACGCGAGCCGACTGACCAGCAACCATAGAGCTCTGTTCTTCCACTTCCAGACCTCAAGAAGCCGCTGCATCCATTCTTTGTTCACCCTGCCACTTCATACCCTCCACACATATCGCCTTCACCGGCCTTTACTCCGATCATCTGCGTGTCGGCCTCGCGATGGATCAACGACACAGGACGAGGGGATGTGGTTCCCACCGCGACTCATGTTGGCGATGGGATGTTTTCCAGGACGGTTGCCTTTGACTATGTCCCCGGAGCCGGAGACGACGACGAACTGTGGGGACAGGTACGTGAACCAAGCAAGTACGTGGACAATGACTGACCAATGTAAAGGGGTTGAAACCAGCACTGTATCACAAACACAAGGCGGACCTGCTGTCAACTCCACGTGATGAGCTTCCAGACGTTGTCGACGACCTAGTTGAAGAAGCCAGGGATCTGTCCAGAGCTTTCAACAGTCTTTCCGTGGAACCCTCAGACGGTAGTGAATCACCCGTGGAGGGTATCTGGACTACTTCGATATATGTCGCTCCCAACCTCCGCCTAGACCTTGGCGAACCGATTCAGAACCCTACAACAATAACGAGATCTGAGGACAAGACACTCAAGGTGACCGTCCGCGTCGTTGAAGTTTACAAGCCGTTGAAAGACACACCTTGCGTCCTGCCCGTCGACGTGGCCAAAACCACACCTGTCTTCATGTTCGCCTTACCATCGCCACGTTCCCATGGAAAGGACTTCATTATCGCTCTCGGGTCACTTGTCACTAAACTCCGCGCTCTAGCCTCTCAGAGTATCACTCTGCAGGTTCTCCTTAGCCCCGGAAGGGAAGAGGAGCTCACGACTGCCGTCGACATTTACAAAAAGGGAGTGTCATCGAACAGCGGAGAACGTCAAACTTCCTTGCGGAACAGTCTCCCGTCCAGCAGCAGTCTCACCGGTCCGGAGCTGCAAGCAGCCCGAAAGGCTATCATCCCCGTCGCCATCGCCTTGTTGTCGGCCATTCCTGGACTCGAAGACAGGGTGGATGAGGGGGAGTTGGATGTTGACAAAGCGGTCATCGCCGACTACTTGCACACCCTTGTTGCGCTTTGGCCAGATGGGAACGTCCAGCGAGCAGCGTTGAAGCGCCTCAACGAGTTCCTGATGAGCAGCGATTACCGTTAAGCTGTGATTCACTCCATCTCCATTATCAAGGCTGCATTGTCATACTTCATACTATTGTTATAAACGTCCATTTAATCTGCGTCTGATGTGAGGGACTGCGTCCGGAATTGAGGAGTGTCATTGTATGATTGGTTGGTAAAGACATTCTTTTGGAGTGACAGTGGGACAGCGTGTGTTGGTTTGTTCTACAGTGGGACGTCCACAGTGACAGTTGAGCGCCACTGGAGAACTCTTTGGAGCTCGGGATGGTCCGACGGCTCGGGATGGGGCACCTTGGTGACGTGTGACTGTGTCACAGTGGCTGCCGAGGCCCCTGATGGGCGATTACGTCTCTCGGACGATTGTGGTGAAAAGGCTACAGGGGGATGTTGCTCTACAGTGTAATCTCCCAGTGGTTCCGTGCGCTCACTCGTGCGCTCACTTGGAGATCCGTGAGGGATGTCGTGGAGAAAGGTTTTGTCAGGCTCCGAAGACTCGCTAATGACAGCATTGGATACCGGAAAGGGGACCGCAGAACCTGTTCCTTCCACCCGGCCGGGTAGCTTTGCAGTTGCGTGTTGCCTAGATGATTGTCAGCTGAGGCTGTTCAGAGGGGCTCATTACCTTGGACGAAGGGTGCTTTTTGGAAGACTTGGCAACGGAGGCGCCGGTTCTGCCGCGGCGGGCTCGTCATCCGGGAAGGAGACCTGCCGTCGTCGTTTCTCGATAGTGTTGGGGCGAGCTTTCTCTGGAGGATCCCCAGAGCGGATGGGAACGTAGCCGCTGTTTGATCGAGAGAGCTTGGACTGTGGACTCTTTTTGGTGATTGTGGCTTTTGGTGGGTGGAGTGGCGGCATCCTCAGACTCTGCTCTACAGCCTGGCTGAGGACGTTTGCCCGCCACTCGTGCTCATGGAGTGCCGCCTCGATTTCCAGAGCCGTTGTCATTTTCCTGCTTTCGCCCTGTGTGCTTTCAACCTCGCTGTTGGCATACTTCCGGGACAAACCCGAGAAACATGACGAAGTATTGGAAGCGTAGGTCCGGCAGGTCGTTGACGATTGCTGTGGGTGGGTGGCCAGGTACACAGCCTTAGACGATGGAGGCTCGTCATCAAACTCTTTCGAGGACCTGCAACACCTCCCAAAAGTCCAAGTGCGACTGCGTTGGGAGGCAGCAGCAATTGTGTAGGTCGGCTCCTTTGGTGACGATGGCAAGCTGCGTGGCGGAGGGACACGAGTCGTAGCTGTCGATTTGCCAGCAAGAGAGACGAAGCTACCCCGCCCATTCTCCAGGACCAGAGGAGGGAGATAAAACGTGTTTTGAGCCAGAATCGCTGACTTGCTATATCGGCGGTGCCGCTTTGACTTGTCCGTAGCCTCCTCGCCGTGGTGCAGTGCTGATCGATCAGTCGTCGGTGGGTTGGTGTCTCCTGGGTCGACAGCCACCAAGCTCGCAGGTCGGATAACAGGCGAGTCGTCGTACTGTCGTGTCCCGTATGGATAATCGATAACAGTGTGATGACTCGTATGTGTTGTTTCCGTCCGGTCACCCCGGTGATCGAAGGAGGAGGGTGAGGGTGTCGACCGCGGATAGAAGCTTATATCTGTAGCTGATGCCGAGGGCTGCGAGTCTTGGAATAGGATCGAGGACACGATCGTGCCGTGTTCTGACCTTGGTCTCTGATGCTGGTGGCGGTCGTGTTCTGCGGCGTCGGTTACGAAGCGCTGCTCCCAGGTTGGGGGGTATGTGTCAACAGCTGGTGGCGCCGGCTGGCGTTCATCCCGGTTATGCGAGACGGTGTTGAAGACGCGCAACGCTGCGATCGGTGTTTCGTTGCGCTCCCAAGGCCAGGTTGCTAGCGGCTCAGGTTTCTTATCGAGAGGCACGCTGGAGTCTGTGGAGAGCAAGCTAAGTCTGTCGGACACCCACAGGCTGTGAGCGTTGGACACCGGTCTTGCTCCCAGCTGAGTTGCAAATGTTGATGTCTGGTAGTCGGCGGAGATTGGCGGTGACGCTGTCCCAGCCTCCCACCACCAAGTGTTTCGCTCCTGGGAGTCAAGGACAACTGAAAGAACACCCTGTGCGAGCATTAGTTGTCGGTCTGGTATATCGCACGGTTTGGACACATACTGCTCGACGCGAGTCTAGAGGCTGTGAAGCTCCCAGCTTGCCGGAATCGCGGCGCGTAGTAAAGCTGCCTACTTCCTGTGGCGAAGACGCAATCGCGAAGGGGTGAGGACGGTTTGCGGAACGTTGACGTGGCATTGTAAGGGAGTGGCGACAGCTGGATGGGTAGCGTACAGACGAGGAGGTCCTCCGCTGTGAGGATTGTTAGTAACCTCGACTGTGGACAAAACAACAGAGGCCGCCGCACCCACGAGACTCTCCGTGAAGCGTGTTGGGTTGGGTATCACAGGATCACAGGAAGAGAGCGATCAACATCGAGGGCCGCGAGGCGAGACCACTTTGGTCGCCTGGTGTCGATGGACTTGAGAGATACGAGTGAAGCAATGATGGGCAAAGCAAAGCAGTCAGCATCCGCAACAGGTGAACAGCACGCGTTGTGCACGCTGGCCCGCTGGGTCGCTTTGTAGGTTCGTGCGGTGCACCATTTTTTGGACCGTGCACAGGGGTAGACGGATGGGGTGTTGTGGCAAAACGGCGCGTCCCATGTTACCGCGCCGACGCCACCGACCTGGGCCGTCTTTGAGCTTCGAGCTTGCCCCGCGAGATCGCCACCTCTGGCAAGGAAGGACACTCGCGACCACAGGATCGTGCTTCAGACTGCCGCACAACCACGCACAAGCACCGGGCACGCAGGAACCCCCGCAAGGTAGGGACCGCACCACTACCGCCACCACGGCCACCACTTTCCCAATCCGCTCTGGCGCAAGCACACCTGCCAGCCGCAGCCACCCCACTTCAGTCGCACACAATAAACATTAAACAAAGGCAGACGGTACAAAAAAAAAGACTACTGACCACGGAGCGCCTGGTGGACGCTCGCACGAAGAGCGGCATGGTCTTCGGACTGCTCGCCGGCACTCTCCTCACCGCTGAGCGCACTGTCGGGCTTCACTTCAGCGTCGTCACTGTCAACCAGCTCCAAAATACGCTTGGCAAGGCTGTAGATCTCGCCCTCGCCATCCTCGAACATGCCATCCTCGTCAAAGTCGTCGTCCGACCCCCTTCCGTCGCGAATGGCACCATGCTGAGGCGACGGTGCTGACTCGGCCAGTTGCCGGATGGACGAAATCAGAATGGTCGAGTTTCGAATGTTGTTCGTGAGCTGCGCGTCTTTGGCCTCAAGAAGCTGTACGATAGTCTGCACTCGTTAGTCCGTGACACAGCTTTGGTGGCACTCACCCAAACCGCAATGTGCTGGAAGGTAGTGTCAGAGCTGCTGAGGAACCGGACCAGGTAGGCGTGGAGGCCACCGTCGGGCTTGTTCCACACTGCGTTGAAAGGAGCGTAGTCTTCGGCGGCTTTTGGTCAACGCACTGCCCGGGGAATGGTGTTCACTTACCCTTGCTAGACAGGTTGCCAAGGGCGGCAGCGCTGTTACCTTGCACTTCCACGCTGGGAGAGTTGGTGAGGGGGATCAGAACCTCGCAGATGCCCATCTCGAGGAGCTGGGGCTTGAGGTTGTCTGTGCATGTCAGAGAGGCACCCAGCAAGTCAACAACGGTGTTGTTTCGTACTTACCGCTTAGGGCCAGAACGGCAACGCAGGCAGTCATTTCGCTCTGTACTGCAAGTGGAACCTGCAGAACCAGCTCCTGAATGCGGTCCACGGCACCAGCCTCAACAATGGCCCCCTTGTTGCTCTCGCTGCTGGCGGCAAGGTTGCGAAGAGTCGAGATAGCGTGGCACTGAACCTCCTCGTTCTCATCGAACGACAGAAGGCCGATAAGAGGCTGCAGGAAACCGGCCTCGATAATGGGCGACTCGTTGGCCGGGTGAATGGATACGTTACGGACGCAGGCGGCGGCAGAGAGAACGAGAGGGAGGTACGACGAATGCAGAAGGCGGAGAAGAGGCTTCAGGCCGTCTGCCTTGACAATTTCAACTTGGTACTTTTCTGAAAGGTCAGCCATGCAATAGCATTGGACCCACCGTCACTGGCGAGGTTCCTCAGAGCAAGGGCAGCCTGGCACTGGACCTTGAGGCTCTGACTGTCCATCAAAGCAACAAGGCTCTGCACGAGCTTGGGCTCGGTCATTGCCAGCTTCTTTCTGTTGGCGGCTGCAAATTCAGCATAACTCCCTCAACGCTGTTCACTAACCATCAACGGCAATGTTGCTAAGGGCGGTAGTGCAATAGTACTGGACATCGGTGTCGGGCGAGTTGAGAAGGCTAACGAGGACTGGGATCGCACCAGCGTTGACAAGCTGCTGGCGGTTTTCGTCTGTGGGATTGTCAGTCATTTGAATTATTATAGGTGGCACGAACCAGAATGAGTCATGTTAAGAAGAGCACCGGTAGCGTTGCGCTGCACGCGCATGTCCTTTGACTTGGCCAGCCGAGTCAAGGGAACAAGGGCACCCGACTTGGCGATCGGAGTCTTGTTCTCGTCTGCCAGTCAGCACCACCACGCGTTGGACTGGGGAGAAGCGTACCGTGAGTGGCGAGGTTGGTGACACAGCCGACGGCGTTGCACTGAACCTCGACATTGGGGCTCAGCATTTGGCGAATAAGAGGCTCCAGGCCGCCGAGGGACACAATCAAGAGCTTGTTCTCAGCTGCAAACTTGGTCAGCACACTGCTAGTAAATAAACGGGGCCGCGACGAACCGTTGACGGCCAGGTTGCCCAGGGCGGCGCTGGCGGCGCGCTGCACCTCTGGGTCGTGGCTAGTCAAGAGATACAGAACGGGGTCGAGGGTGTCACGGCCTACTTCGCGCACCTCCTTCTCTGTAATCTCGGCGAAAGCAAGGGCGGCTGACCGTTGGAGGTCGACATTGTCGGAGAAGGAGAGGGTTGTAAGAGCGGCTAGCGGTGAGCCGGTGAAGAAGTTTGTCGTGCTACGGTCTGGCAAGTAACGCGTCAGCATGTATGTAGATTGAGAGGAGGAGAGGTGTACTTACTCTCGAGGTACTGAAGGAGGTCTGCAACGGCCTCGCGTTCGTTTTCCAAGAGGAGGGGCTCGTAGTTGTTCTTGCGGCGCTGTCCGCAGCACGTGCTACAAACGCCGCCCATGGTGAGGACCAAGGTGAGGACGCGGTTGGAGAAGAAAAGGCGGGGGTTGGGGGTGGTAACGAGCGAGGAGTGCAGAGGGAAGGGAGCGACGATGGGATGTGGATGGTGGGAGGAGCCGGAGAAGGGTGTGTGCGGGAGAGGGAAGCGATGATGTGGGTGTTGTGCGTAAGGGGGGGGCCGTGGGTGGGTGGGGTGTGTGTGCGTGTGACGACGGTGTGCACGCGCGCTCTGGCGCTCTGGAGGCTGGACGCTGGGTGGGTGCGCGCGGTGTGTGCCTGGGTCGTCCCAACGGGCCCATTTATGGCCATTTACGGTGTGTGTCGCCCAAAGCAAGAAAAAAAACATATTCGGCCCCCACCCTCTCTGTCACCCCTCCACTCGCTCGCGCGGGGCACACGGCGTCCTGGTTTCTTGCTCGCCGGCTTTCCTTGCTCACTCCCTCGTCTCAACAACAACACACACATCACACACAATGCACGACGGCCCAACAAGAGGAGGTACGTATATCTCATTCTTGCCTCTGTCTCTCCAACTCTCTGCTGGCCCTACATACGCTGATCAACCCCCCTCAGGAACTCGTGGCGGCCAAGGCGACTTTCGGTTAGTTTACCCCATCTTCCCTCCCTTCTCGCCACCAACCGCTAACCGCGTCTGTTCAGCTGGGACGACGTCAAGAACGACAAACACAGAGGTGAGAACACTCACCATCCATCTTCCCCAACCGAAACTCACGCTATTCTCTTCCTTCAGAAAACTACCTTGGCCATACTGTGAATGCGCCTGTCGGAAGGTGGCAAGCGAACAAGGACGTCCACTGGTACTCGCGCGATGGTAATGATGACGCCGAGGCCGAGGCCGAGCGCCGCAAGGAAGAAATCCGAAAACTCAAGCAGCAAGAGGAAGATGCCCTTTCCGCCGCTCTCGGTTTTGCACCTGTCAAGCGCGATGACGACAGCGGCGGTACAGGCGCCAACAACATCCCCGTCAGGGGAGAGCTTGAGCGGCGTGAGAAGGAGGCGAAGAAGAGGGAAAAAGAGTGAGTGGACTCTTGAGGATGAACAGACATTAACTAGCCAGACTTCGCAAGGAACAACGGGATTTGAAACGAGCGGAACGCCACCTTCGACGAGAGGATAGGAGCGGACGCGGGGACAGAGATGGAAAAAAGGACGACCGCGGTCCCGAATACCGGAGGGGAGACAAGCCAAGCGACTATCGACGATCCAACTATGACGAGGACAACGATGATGACCGCCGCCGACGCCGTCGAGGACACGATAACGATGACCGTCGCTCTCACGGTGCCAAGGGCGACAGACGACAGCAGCACGACGATGACGACTCCCGGTACAGGTCTCGGGGTGGTCAGCGGTCTGACCACAGGTCAGGTCGAGACCACGCCCATGAGCGCAGCTCTCGTCGTGACTCTTCTCGATCTCGGTCGCCAGCTAGGCCCCGCCGTATGTCTCGCTCGTTGTCCCCAATTCTGCGTAACGAAGGTGAGGCCAAGTCTGTCGACGAACCTCAACCTCCCAAGACTTGGATCCATGATGATGACTAGGCAACTCTGGCGGTGGCTTATGCATTTGTCATTTTCATAGAGCAGGCGACGCCATGACCTGAGACATCGATGATCAAATGTGAACGATAATGTTATGGTGACGAGGCTCACGGCCGATCTCCTGTTGTTGCAAATCATGGACCTAGTGATACAGGCATGCAATACTCGAGGTAGGAGTGAAAGGACGCTTGCTGGCCGCTGGTATCATGTCTGCAATGAAGGTGCGAAAAAAGGGTCCAAAACATTAGCTTTCATTAGGGCCGCGCCGCATTAGCAAAGTGTAATGGGTGGTGTCGCTAACACTGGTCTTGAGTCGCCTGTTACTGACACTCCTCTGACGGCGCGCACGCGCGCACATGTGTGGTGATTCCAGTCGCATCACCCCGTGTGGGCTGCTAGTGTGCAGCACAATACATAAATATGGCACTTGCGTTGAATCCACTCCCAACAGGATTCATGGATCCCACAACAGCACGGTCAATGTGGAGTGTGGAGGCCCGAAATTTGCTTCCGCGCTTGCGGCTGTGAGGGGCGCAGCAGGCAGTCGTCGTCACTTGGCACGTCACAGCTCGTTCGACGCTTCGTCTTACATTACTCTCTCTCTCCCTCTGTCTTTTCTGGACCCCTCAGACGCCTGGTGACCGTCACCTATCCCCGTCCCCCTAAATCTCCTCTCAACAAGTAGCTGCATCATGAAGGGCTTCGGAAAGGCCCTCTCGCGGTGAGTCCATTGGAAGATAAACCACCCACGTCGCTCGCGCAGCACTAACTCTTGGCGCACAGGACGCCCCATCAGCTCACCAGCCGCATGGGCATGTCGAAAAGTACGTGATGCCCCTCCTCTACCGAAGACTGTGCTGACCTTCTGTAGAATCGACTGATGCCGAGTACAATGACTGGTTCGTTCGAGGATCTGCCGTCCGCGTTCTGCCAGGGCTGTGCTGATGGGGATACACAGGGAGCGCAAGTTCGCCGCCGTCGAGTCAGCGTCTGAGAAGATGCACAAAGATTCGGTCGTGTTTCGCGACGCAGTGACCAGTGAGATTTTCGAGCATAGTTGAGTCTAGCTAACAGCACCAGCACTCCTCACGTCTGGATCCAGCTTCTCTGGCTCGCTGGCGACCTTGTTCTCGCCTATCGGTGCCGAGTACGACCTGCTCGCCAAGTTCCCTCAAGCCGAGGCCACTGTCAAGAATATCTCAGCTTACCAGCGCCTTATGGAGGAACTCCGAGGTCCGTTGTTACTGGGATTGAGTGAAGCTGACCGCCAGACACGCTTGCGCCTGAGCTCGAGCTCATTGACAGGCAAATCGTGCAACCCAGCAAGGAGTTGAACGAGATCTGCAAGAGGATTCGCAAGACTTGCACAAAGCGCGACCACAAGCTGATCGACTATGACCGACACAACAACAGCCTCAACAAGCTCCGATCCAAGGAAAAGAAGAGCCTGAGCGACGAGAAGAACCTGTTCAAGGTGGAGCAGGACTTCGAGCTTGCATCGGGAGAGTACGAGCACTACAACAACCTTCTCAAGACGGAGCTTCCCACGTTCCTCCAGATGGCCACTCGCTTCGTCGACCCTCTGTTCCACTCCTTCTACTTCATGCAGTGAGTCACAGAGCGCCAAGGGATGCGCTGACCCCAGGCTGAACGTCTACTACCTCATGCAGGAGAAGCTCCAGTCGTTTGCCGATGGCAAATATGACCTTGAACGCCGAGACATTGAGAATATCTACCTCGAGCAGCAAGGCGATGTCGCCGAGCAGCTGGACAACCTCAACATTACCCACCGTATCGCTTCTACTGGTGAGTTTATTTCTGGACGCGAACAGCCCATTGACGTGTAGCCAAGCTTCTCCAGCAGTCGCGCGGTGGGGCAGGTCTGTCTGCCAAGCCTTCCATTGGGTCCAAGGCGGCTCTGGATCGCAAGGAGTCTGTTGGTTCGTCGTATGGTGGCAGAACTGTTGCCGCACCTCCACCCCCCTACTCTTCGTCGGCAGGCGCTGCGTCCGCTATTGCAGGAAAGAAGGCCCCGCCGCCTCCCCCTCCTCTCAAGCCGAAGCCGGCGGTCGCCCCCAAACTCTACTGCACGGCTATCTTTGACTACGAGGCGCAAGCTCAAGGCGACCTGTCGTTCTCTGCGGGTGACCGTATTGAACTTGTCGAGAGAACCGATTCGGCCGAGGACTGGTGGACAGGCAAGCTCAATGGTGTCCAGGGCATCTTCCCAGGCAACTACACTCAGGTGGACTGAAATACATACATGGTTGTTTCTGCTCTTAATGTTACATAAATGAGCGCTTAGTAGGATGGATGGAACACTACAGGAGAGGATATAGCGGAACACTGAATGAATCGGATGGGAGAAGTGCTGTGGGAGACTCGATGCACACATAATTGACAGAATTGACAGGAGCTTGGGCGACCGGAATAACCCAGAGACTGGAAACTTGGGACGGGAACATGGGAACGAGACATTGTGTGGTCTTGGTGAGGCACAGGGTGTGCCTACTCGAAAGCGGAACCCAGTTGCGCCTGATTGTCAGTGTTTAGTTAAGACACAGCTCACGTAGGGGTCATTGTCGGGCGAAGACCGCTGGGAAGGGGAGGAGGCTTGACTGTTGAAAGTGGCCGCAGATACAACGCCATTGGAGCCATTGGACATTGCACTGTCGACACCTAGGTCACGTTTGGACCTGCGACTTCCCGAACTGCCAAGCTGTGAAAGATCAGCAGGGTTTCTCTCTGTAGTTCAATACCTTGGTGCTGTGAGATATGGCCATGCTACGGAGGTGCTCATTCTACGACGTGAGCAACGTTTTAATAAACAGCTCACCGTCTGCTTGAGGATGGCGTTCTCGCGGATAAGAGCGTCCTTGTCCTCCAAAGGTTCAGCTCAGTCAAACTCGCCAAACTCACAGCCTTCAACTGCTGGACGAGCGCATGCCTCGCAGCGCTCGTAACCTTGGATTTGAGCTAAAGGATCAGGACAACATCCCTCATCACTAAACTTGCCTCCACGCGCAGCTCCTCGACCTGGCGCTGTAGGGCGTTGTGGTCGAAGCGCATCATGTTGATCTTGTCTTGAAGTTTAGCCACTTCAGCCTACCTATTAGCGTGTCCTACTATTAACCACCTACGTTCGCGAGCAGCAGTCTCTCATCGAGGGTCTTTTTCTCTCTGATCAACTGCTCATACTTGCTCTTGACGTTGGAGTCTGCTGTCTGTTGACGCTGGTACAAGTTAGACTGTTCAAGTCGCAATAAGTACTTGCCTCCTCCAGACGACGTTGAAGAAGAGCCTTCTCGTCCGCCGTGGCTTTGAGTCGACCTTCAAGGGCAGTAAATTTAGCTTCTTGCTCATTCTTCTCGCGGGCCAAAGTCGACTGGTGCTTAATAGGACTCTGTTCCTTCTTTTCAGCCTCCTGGCGCTTATCGATTTCGGTCTCGAGTGAGCTCTGGAGGTCCTTAATGCGGTCCTCCAACTTCTCTACCTCGGTAGCGAGGTGCTGCTGTGCGGGTAGATTGGCTCTGGCCTGCTGCTCCTCAGAGTGCAGGTGTTCGAGAAGTTGCTGCTCGCGCGACTAGACGTCAGCTAGGTGCCTTCCAAGCTACGTTACCTTGGACAGATGAAGCTCCCGCTCAAGGTTAGCAGCATATTCGCGATCACGCTGCTGCTCCATTGCAGCGTTCTGGAGGTCGTATTCGCGGACACTGGTTGTCAGCCATCTCCCTGCTTTGTCTTGCTTTGTGCTACTGGCTCACGTTGGCGCGACCCACTCGGGTTCACGAGTGTGACGGAACCGCTCAGGATCGCTCAGGCGCAGGGGGTATGGCTCGCGAGGGATAAGAGAGGAGCTGGTTGAGTAGCTTGCGCGGCCAAGCGGAGAAGGGTAAGCTCCGTCGTCCAAAGTGCGCCTGTATCGCGCCAGGTTATCCATCGAATCGTCGCTGTTCAAGTGAAAGGAAGGTGACGCTAGCGAGTGACGGACAGTTACCCCCTGGTTAGCGCTTGACAGTCCCACACGGGGTTTACTCACCGTCAGCGGACCACAGACCCTCAGATGAGTTCAGGTAGGCGGTTTGAAGAGGCTTTGGAGCAACAAAGGTGTGACTGTTCGACGCCTTGCGGCTCAGCTCTTTGTAGAAGCGGTCCTTGTCAACGCGCTTCATCTACAGAAGGCGCAAGGACCGTAACGTCAGAAAGGGATCAGCATATTTGTGAATGGGTCACGTACTGAAAGTGGAGGGCCCCAGGTCTAAGGAACGGGGATGAGAGGTCAGTGGAATAGCGAAATATAGTAGTTTAGTAGGGCGATGTGAAGAAAGGAGGAAGGTGGACGTTGCGAATGAAGTTGGCCTTCCTTGGGATGTCTTCCCTCTGCGCCTCTGCGATACCCACCTTCCCTCGCTCCGTATCCTGTCGCCGTCCCAAGCATGTGAGACTGGGTGAATGGGCCAATGCATTGCTACGATGCGCCTTTGTGTGCCTATATTCACTGCCAGCCATGCTATGGTTGTGTACTGCACAATGTCTGCTGCTACCTTCTCTTCCACTCGGTAGAGTCCCCCATCCAGCTGTTTGAGCGCGCCATTGGCGACTGGTTCCCCAGGAGACCATCTGCACTGGAGGGGAAGATGTCCTTGTCCTTACCAACTGCCTTAACCACCTCCTTTGAGCACGGTTGGCCACACGCAGACCAAACGCCGCCACCATCCAGACACCACCTGGTACGGAGTAAGCACTGGAATGTCCAAACTCCGGGACGAAAACCTACCGACGACGCCGACGAGGCGAATCAAGAACTGGTACAAGGTGGTGGTGCGCTCGCGAATGGTCACCGTCATCGGTTCAAGGTCATACTTGAAAAATATACCAGGAATTCCCTGCCATGATCAAATGTGCGCGAGAGTAGTCGGTGACGGCATACTGAGAAGTGACGAGCTTGCGACGGCTCGCGTCAATGTACGTCGTGGGGACAATCCTGAGGAAGTACTGGAACGCGGTAAAGGCTGTAGATTAGTCAGAGCCCAGAATCATACACGTACGTTCGTCTGTCGACTCGAGGCTGAGATCCAAGGGCTGGGCAATGGCCGGGAAGAACGGTCCGAACGAAAACTCGTGGATGACGTGCGATACGTTCATGACTGGAGTCAGCGGTGGTAGGGAGGACATACGCCAACTCACGAGCATGGTCAGTGTGTTCAAAGCTCATGTAGCCGTGTCCAAGCGTGGTGATGTGTAAGTTGCCAGTGACCTTTTTGACTTCCACACTTCCGTAGATGCGACAGGCAGGACCATCGTCGACCTTGTTGTGGGTCGGCCTGTACTCGGCATGTTGCTTCTGAGCATTGCCCTTGGAAGAGAAAAGGGCCTTGAGGCCCGAGAGTGAACCCCTCTTCTGGTTGGGTGTCGAGCGTCGAGCGTCGGAAATGACCTTTGAGGCCGAGATTGCCTGTGTCGCGGAAACAAGCCTGAAGAGTCAGTGTCTGCCGTGGGTTCGCGTCAAGGGTAGCTCACTTCATGGATGTGGCCTTGCCAGCGTTAAAGATCGTCTATACAGCGTCAGATAGAGAACAAAGCAAGGGCTCAACGTACTCCTTCCTTTGCAAAGTCGCCACTGAGATGCAGTCTGTCGCCGACGGCGTCGCGGAGGTCAATCGAAAGATCTGTAGAATGGTTAGTGCTATCTCAGATACGAATCTGTAGTTTCCACTAACAGCGACATGGCATGGCAACAGTCAGGTCGACGTTTAGTTGAAGGTCGTGGCCAATTCCGGGATCGACGCGGAAAGAATAGTCTGGCGCGCCGTAGAGAAACTCGCCTAGGTCATTCTGACCATGTCAGTGAATGCCAGCAGCAACCTCTTACCAAGACCAGGAGGAAGATTATCGAGCAAACGAGGGCAGTCAACACGCCTCCTCGGCGTGAGCGCACGGTATACGTTGATTGGACCTGGGCGGGTGAGCAGGCCAACAGGAGACTCTCGACATACCTTCGGGAAGGCATCAAAGCTTTTGATCGGCGCAATCTTATCCAGCTCATCGAGGAGGGATGGCTTGTCATCGTCGTGGTAGGACGACGAGGATCCGGCCTGATGGTCGAGATGGGGCTCGAACATATCGACGAGGTCCCAGTGGCCAGTGGCGTGGGAGGCGAAATGCAATGCAAGTTGACCAAGTGCACAATTCACAACAAGGAGGTCGTAGTAACGCGTCCGACAACGTGGCACGCGTAGAGCAACGGAACCAAACGTATCTCGGTGCCCCGGACTGTACATTAGACGCCTCGGTGATCCGTGATCCGTGATCAACGATCAACGACGTGATGGCCAAAAATGCTGCAGCTGACGGCATTTGGCTGACCGACTACCGGCTCCCCATATGGCGCTGATGTGGCTTGAACAATGTCGATGATACATAGCACAGTTTAAGGAAAGCACATGGGGACTACTGCTGCCTCTTTGTTCTCATCTCAGTACGACAGAGTCTCAACCAACTTGTCGAACACGCGAATCACGTCAGGCTGGTAGAACTTTTCGTATGCGAGTGGGACGGGCACGCTGAGTTGTCAGCACAATCCCCATACTGATCGCAGATCAGAGGCCAAAGGTTACTCACTCCCAGCCAGCGGCGAGGCCAATAGGAGCCTCGAGATAGTCGAACGCGCGACGTCCAACTTCGCCAGCAAGGTTGTTTCCGACACTGCCACTCTTGCCAGCCTCATGCACAATGACAAGTCGACCAGTCTTGCGCACCGCTTCCGTAATTTCACCAATGGGCAAAGGGTTGATCGTACGGAGGTCAATGAGTTGGATTGACGGAGCAGGGTTGGGCGGACGGAGCTTCTCCGGCAGGAACTGCACCAACGCCGGAGGGGGGTTGGACAACAGTTCAATTGCACGCACTGCGGAACAGTCAGTAGGTGGTTGAGGACCTGGTCACGTACAAGTGGTGTACAGCGGTGTTCCGTAAGACACGACTGTGAGATCAGTGCCGGGGCGAACCTCGTCTGTGGGGCCCAAAGGTAGCGTATAGTCGTCCACAGGTACTTGCTCGACTGCATACGTCAGTTTCCCCTGTCACATTTCTGTCGGCCAAGCTCACCAGCGGCACGGTAGCTGTTTCAAATGTCAGCAAGGGTTCGAGGTAGCATGCCACACAGTACTCACAGAACCTTGGGCTCGAAGATGATGGTCGGCGTGGGGTCACGGATGGCAGCAAGCAGCAGGCCCTTGGCCTGGATAGGGGTGCTGACCACTGCAACCTTGAGACCCGCCGCGCCGAGGAAGAAGCCCTGAGACGGTCAACAAAAAGCGATCGCGGACGTCAGCTTACCTCTGGGGACTGGGAGTGGTACAGACCACCGTGACCCACGCTCATCACGGGAGCTCGGACGGTGAAGGAGCCGCCAGGCAATGGGTAAGAACCTCCGCTGGCATAGTGCTGCTTGGCAGCCTCATTCACCAGTTGGTCAAACGCTGGGAAGATCTTGCGAGGTCAGCTGGTCGCCTGGTCACCTGTACAATCAAACCCACATAGTCGCCGAACTGAATCTCCGCGATCGCTGTTGAGCCGACACTAGCGAGGCCAATACCAAAGCCAGCAATACCTTGCTCGGTCAATGGGGTGTTGAACACACGCTTTTGGCCTGGCAGGGTCAGTTTGCACTCTTTGTGCGCCGCATGTTCTGCCACTCACCAAACTCCTCGGCAAGACCTTGTGTGCAGCGGCTAAAGAGTTAAAATAATGGTGCAAGAGAGCGTATGTCACTCACAATACGCCATGAGCCTTTACGTCCTCGCCAAAAATAAAAGACTTGGGGTTTGAAGTCAACGCGGTGCTGTTGTTGTTGAATCAGAAACTCATTCTCGGCAGAGCGTGGATGCGGGGGTTTGTGGCCACATACCGCATAGCATCCCTGACCGCCTGGTGCAAGTTCATTTGGCGTGTTTCCCTTCCCTTGCCGGTGGGTCCCTTCAGGCCATGACCATCCGCGAAGACAAGGCCCTTGGTCGCTAGCGCCTAAGGATAACCAGCGATCAGCGACGGTGCGACATGGCAGTGGACCGAGGACCCTCTCACCTCTTCGGGTGTGCGTTTAAGCAAGTTGCTGTTACCCAGTGATGGCTCAAGCTCCTGTGCCGAATGGTGGGAGGGAGTTGCGCGGGCTCGTGTGCCATCGCGCGGGACTTGGGATGTGGAAGGGTCATCGACAGACGACTTGAATCGATGCTGAAGCGCCAGCCGAAGCGGGGCTGATGAGGGCCGGCGCGAGTAGAGTGCTGGTCCACGCAGACAGGAGGCGGTGGGCGAGCGCATGGTGGGACCACGCGTGTTAGCAAATCTCGTTCGAAATGCACGGGACAGGCGATTGTTACAACAGAGCAAGAGCAACGATGGGCTCATCCATATATTCTGTGATCTGTGACCACCGCGCGAGCGTTGTGGGGTGCATATGGCATGCTCTTGTTCCGGCCGGTTGTACGCGCGGAGCCTCCCTCTTGCCGGTTGCCGGAGAGAGGGATGGTGGACGACAGTTATCTCTGGTTACGTAACTACCGACCGCTCATCGTGAGTGTACGGGGACTCCACTCAGGTTCAACGGCAAGGCCAGCCGCGGCCAGCGGCCGGCGAGCGTGCGTGCGGTGGTGCCGACGCACCGTGGTAGGAATTGTACCACTCTGCTGTCGCACTGCTGCGTACTGCTGAGGCGCTGAGGAATGAGTTGGAGGCATTGTACATTGGTTTGGATAAACGTGGGTTTGGGTGCAGAGCAGGGAGGGAGCGCCAAAGCACGACCGGAAGGGCCATTGTATAGGGGCTCTGGTTGCTGGCTGGCGAATGATTTGCGGGGGCCGTGCATATTCCACGGTACAGCTGTACCATGGAAGACTTTGAAGAGGCCAGACGACGTCATATGCGTGGCCAGAGTGGGAAACGTGAGAGACGCTCTGGGCGGGGGGGGGGGGGGGGGGGGGGGGGGCGATCGACCGCCGCCGTGGCCAGTTGCACAGGCGCACAGGGGAGACGCAGGGGGCAGGGGGCCAGGGGGGGCTGGCTGGGTGGAGGCCTGGCTGGCCGCCTGGCCGGCTGGCCCCCATCTAAGCAGCCAAAGCGGCAGTATTCAGTAGCCCTGGTGTACCTCTTGTCGTCATCTAGGCCGGCATGCACACCTGACCCCCACCTCCTCTCTCTCCCCCTCGCTCTGCCCCCCCGACAGAACGTCATTCCTCCACTGCCCACCGCCCCGCGCTGCATCTCATCCACTTGTCGTCTCAACACTCCCCCCCCAGCACACACCACACTCTCTCCGTGTGCCAGCGCCATCTTCCATCCCCCTTCACACTACCTCCTCCCCTCCCCCTGCGATCATCCCCATCGCCTACACCACTTGAACACACCCTCACTCTCCCTCCATTAAAATCCCCCCCCCCCCCCTTTCCAGGCCCTTCTCACGCACACGCCAATCACATCATATCAACAGCCGTCGCCAGCCAGCTCTACACCCCCTCCGCTATCTTCACCCCGACAGCGCCGTTCGGCTTGGGCTTTCCTTTCCCTCGACACAATGTTTGCCAAAGTTTCAGACAAGTTTCACCACAGGAGGCAGGCCTCGTCCTCCAAGTCGAACCCTCCTTCACCTGTCGCAGCCGTCGCATCTCTCGTCAACCCTAATCGTCCTCAGCAGCAGCAACAACAGCAGCCCCAGCGACCGGCCCAATCCCCTCCGCAACAACAACAACCCGCTCCGCCAGCACAGGCTGCCAGCCCTCCACAGCCCCAATCGCAACCTCCACCTGCCGCGCCGCAGCAGCCATCGACGGAAGCGGCTGTTCCGATGGACGGCATTGAGACGTAACTACTAATCAATTGGCTGGAGCTCTGTGCTGACAATGTCTTAGGAGCCAGGCTAACAGTGCTGTCTCCCAATCTCTCTCATCCGCAGCAACCGGTTCATCCGCATCGTCCTCCCTCTCGCCAGTCACGCAGGATCGCAACCTCTCCGCCGCTCTTGGTGTCAACCAGGCGCCGGCATTGCCTACCGTATCGGAGCCGGCCTCGGGCGAAGTCAATCGCACAATGAGCATTGAAATGGCCGATGTTTCAACATTGTCCATTCAAAACGCTCCGGGGGACTCTGAGGAGCGTATGAGGGAGAAGGCTCGCGAAGCCCATGAACAGGTACGTGAGCGTTATCGTACCCCAGAGCTGACCGTGTCCGTAGGCTGCGCAGGCCGAGGCCAACCTGCACCATGCTACCCAGCAAGCTCGCGTGGCAGCCATCAATGCAACTGCTAGTCAGGCAGCTCTCGACTCTGCAACTTTGGCGGGATCGAAGACGCCGACCAACGGTCCCACCCGCCAGGGAAGTGGCCAGGCGCAGCAGCGCAAGACAGCTGGCCGTTATGCCCTTGCAGACTTTGCCATTGAGCGAACGTGAGCAGTCCCGAGAGAGCGTATTCTGGTTCTAACAAACCAGTTTGGGTACTGGCTCCTTTGGCCGTGTCCACCTTGTAAGGTCCAAGCACAACGGTCGGTTCTATGCCGTTAAGGTTCTCAACAAGGAGAAGGTTGTCAAGATGAAGCAAGTGGAGCACACCAACTCGGAGAGAGAGATGCTTGTCCGTGTCCGACACCCTTTCCTCGTCAACTTGTGGGGCACGTTCCAGGATGCCAACAACCTTTACATGGTAATGGACTTTGTGGCTGGCGGTGAGCTGTTCAGCCTGCTGCGAAAGAGCCAAGTGAGTGTCAACAATGTATACCTTCATCTGACCTAGTAGCGCTTCCCCAACTCGGTAGCCAAGTTTTACGCTGCCGAAGTGGCGCTGGCCCTGGACTACCTTCACTCGCTGGATATTATCTACCGTGACCTGAAGCCCGAGAATCTGCTCCTTGGCGCAGACGGTCACGTCAAGGTGACAGACTTTGGCTTCGCCAAGCATGTGCCCGACATTACTTGGACCCTCTGTGGCACGCCCGACTATCGTAGGTCTTGGCAGACGACGACCGACATGGCTGACTGGTATTAGTGGCCCCAGAGGTGGTTCAATCCAAGGGATACAACAAGAGTGTCGATTGGTACGCTCTTGGTGTCCTCATCTTCGAGATGCTTGTGAGTGTTACCATGTGTCCCAGGGGTTTTGAGCTGACGCAACACAAGGCTGGGTACCCACCTTTCTTCACCGATGATGGCAACCCCATGAAGCTGTACGAAAAGGTAAGTGACTCAGTTTTTTCTCTCTACCTCCTTGCAGCTGCGATAGAGATGCTGACGCTACCATAGATCATTGGGGGCAAGGTGCGATACCCCACGTACTTTGACGCGCTGGCCAAGGACTTGTTGAAGAACCTTCTGGTTGGCGATCTTACCAAGCGCTACGGCAACCTCCGGGCTGGTTCCTCCGACATCTTTGCCCATGGGTGGTTTGCCGAGGTGGACTGGGACAAGCTGTACCGCCGCGAGATCCCAGCACCATACGTACCCAAGATTGACGGCGAAGGAGACGCCAGCCAGTCAGTAGAATGCTTATCCGTTGTTTGCCCAGGACTAATTTTTCCAGGTTTGACCGTTACCAGGAAGCCGATGTTACCTCCTACGGAAAGACCGGAACCAGTCCCTATGACCATCTGTTCGTTGACTTTTGAAGGACCTGTTGGAAGCAAAGGAAATTGTTTTTTAGGCTGGAGAAATATGCAGATTGTTGTCAAGGTTGTGTTTGGCGCGCGGGGGCAAATTTCAATAAACACAGAAAGTGACATCACCTGGTGCAGCGGTTGTTGACAACACTGCTCGTCCCTTGTGACTCATCTCACTTGCAAACCATGTCCAACGCCCCGCAAGATACCTCAAAGAAGACAACATCTACGCTGGCCGAAGGGAATCATGTATTCCCACCATTCTACGCTTGTTATCTACTGCGTTCGTTGGCCGTTCTCAATTCCCAAAGAACCTATGTTTGTCCTGCTGATTTGCATACCAAGGCTGCTGCTGACTTTGTTGTCAGGTAGGATCTACTCCGGACCCCCCTAGGCGATTGAGGCAGCACAACGGCGAGCTGAAGCAAGGAGCATGGCAAACGTCCCGCTTTCGCCCATGGGTGAGTGCAGTGCCAGTCTCACTCGCTGAATACGACACAGGAGATGCAAATGATTGTCTACGGGTTGGTGAACATCGCTGTGGGGCATTTCTGAACATTCCACAGTTTCCCAAGCAAACTCACAGCCCTTCAAGTGAGTATGAGCAGGTGTAACCCTACTGCCCATCCCCGGACTGATACTGTAGTTTGAATGGGCATGGCAACACCCAGAGCGTTCACGACACCTTCGACAGCTTGGCGCGCAGAATGGGGCAGCCCCACTGTTCGCCAAGGACTCCAAGCGCAACTGGATTCACCGTAAAGCCATGTTGGTCATTACTCCGCGACTCAATACTGACTGTTAGTGTTGCGCTCGCCCTCTTACGGTGCGACCCCTTCTCGTCCTTGCCACTCAACGTTCGCTGCTTTACGCCGGAAACATATGCGATTATGAACCAGCTTTGCCGACACTGCCAGGTCGTCCCTTACCCCTCGCCGTTTCCAAAGGACCAGGTCTCATCACGTGTGTTGGACCAAGTCATACTCTTGCCACCTCTTCGCCACGACGCGACGGTGTCTCTCGATCGCAAGGGTATCACCAATACCATTGCAGCAAAGCCTCGCGCCAGGTCCTCCGTCCCTCCTCGAACGGATCAACTCGAACTTGACGACAAGTCGTTTCGATCGGGTGCGTTGGTGTGGGGAAAGTGGCAGCGCGTGGCACGATCGGCAGACAAGCAAGCTCTCAAATGCCGTGTCTGTGATGGCGATGTAGACACACAAGTGAGGCCTCCGCAGCTGAACGCACATGCTGAATTTCATCGCAGGACCAGCTCAGCTTTGCTGTGTGCACCTCCGTCGCGGCAGCAGGACTAGACCATTGTCTCTGTGTGTCCCATCTGACCTGCTTGGCGGACACGTCTATGCAAGCCACAACTCAACAAAACGACCTGGTTCCACGGCATGCGACTTGTCCCGGCTGCTTGACATCCACGTCATGGGGTGAGGTCGTCCGGGCTTGCTATGGTAGGAAAAACGGGGTCATGGCAGAACAAGGACGATTGCAGACGCCGTCCGAGAGCGATGACACGGTAGACTAGTGTAACATAAATGCGTACATACACATGGGCGATAGTACTGCGGTGTCAGATGGGCGCCATTGAGGAAAAGCAATGTACTTACCAGAGCTTGAGATGGTTGAGCTCGCAATGTTGGGTCAGGGGCCGCCGGCCGCACGGGCAATACGTCGGGGGTCGCAGATGTGACACCTTTTCGAGGACAACTGCCCCCATGTAATCTTGCCAAAGGCTGATGATGAAAATTCAGCGTGGGCCGACTGGGACCGGTTCTCTGTGGTGACCACTAGTCCTTGACTGGTGGGGTAGGGGAGACACTGGTAGCGGGAGTGTCCTCGTCATCCTCCTCCTCGTCATCGGATGTCTCATAGTCTTCCCAATCCAACTGGCATTGTCAGGTGCTGTGGGTGGCTAAATAAATGGCGGCCATGACACTTACATAGTCGTAAATGACGCGCACGATCAAGCTGCAGCTGGGGCAGGTGGCGACTTCCTCTCCGTCTCGAAGCTGGGACTTTGAGATTTCAAAGCGGTCGCCGCAGGGACATGGGTAGTGGAAGACCTCTGCAACGTCGTCCCATGCAAAGTCTTCAATCTCCAGTTCGTCATAGTAGGACACCATGGCGGTGAGGACAAGGGAGAGCGAACCGAAGGTGTGGGGCAAGAGTATATATGTAGCGGTTTGGCGGCGGAATTGATGGCCAGGTGGTGGTGGGGACACGGCGAGAGCGCGACGACGAAAAAAAAGTTGGGTGGCGAAGTGTGTGTGGGGGGGCGGGTTTGGTGTGGGTGGGTTTTGGGTGGGTGGGCGTGGGTGGGTTGTTCAGGGGCGAGCGGGGCCAAACGTGCGGCATGGGGCGGCAACGGGCGATCCTCGGAAGGTCCCGTGATGTGGTCGATATGGGCCGCCTGGGTGGTGCCCCGGCCGGTGCTTTTGGGTGGTGGGAGCGGTATTCGACGTTGTGCGGCAATGGCTGGGTCTGGCTGGACATTGCCGTGTGCAGCCGACGCCGCATGACGCGCGTGCTCTCTCATCCACCCACACGCCAGGTACACACCATGGCGCTGGTCGCTGCCTGCCGCGCCGCCGCCGCCCCCACCATCCCCGTCGTTCGCTCCTCGTCGTCCTCCCCCCACAACTTCCTTCCTCCCTCCCAGATTCTCTCTTTTCTGTCCGCATCCTCTCTCCTCTCATCCTCATCCCCCCCTCCCCCCTCCCCCCCCCCCCCTCCCACCCATACTCCCCCACAATGTCCTCCGCAGTGGAATCCACTAACAAGCCCGTGCCAGACGACGGTGAGTGACCGAACACGGAACGCAAACACCCGCCCCCGGGCCTGTCTGTTCTGTTCTCCCTCTTCTTTCCTGCTCCTCCTCGTCCTTTTCCATCCAGTTCTGACCTCGGTAGGAACGGGCGTGCTTCAAATCGATCCATGGTACGTCGTCCTTGAGGACAACCCCCTTGTGTGCACAGTGAACATGGTTTGCTTATCTTTTACAGGCTTGAGCCGTACTCGGAGGGTCTCCGTCAGCGCTATGCTGCCTACAAGAAGACCCTCGACTTTATCAATGAGCATGAGGGTGGCCTCGCTCAGTTCTCCGAGGGCCACAAGAAGATGGGCCTCCAGGTCGACGAGAACGGTGGTGTTACCTACCGCGAGTGGGCTCCTGGTGCCGCTGAGGCTCGGCTTATTGGCGAGTTTAGTGAGTGTTGTCTTTCTGACCGAACCAAGCGGTCTGCTTTGACTGACACCCCTTGACAGACGGCTGGTCACACACCGCCAATCCCATGACCAAGTCTCCCTATGGTGTGTGGGAGTGCTACGTGCCTCCCAAGTCCCCCGGCGTTAGCGCCATTCCCCATGACTCTATGATCAAGATCTCCATGACCCTCCCTTCTGGGGAGAGCATCGACCGTTTGCCCACTTGGATTACTCGCGTCACCCAGGACCTCAACGTCTCGCCCGTGTATGATGCGAGGTTCTGGAACCCCCCGGAGACCTACAAGTTTAAGCACGGCCACTCCACCAACTCGATCGAAGGGTTGAAGATATATGAGGCCCATGGCAAGTCTTGTGTTCCGCGACTGCATGTTAGTGATCTGACGACTTTCAGTCGGTATCTCTAGCCCGAACGAGAGGGTCACCACCTACAAGGAGTTTGAAACCGACGTTCTGCCCAAGATCAAGGACCTGGGCTACAACACTATCCAAATGTGAGTGTGGTTTGCTGACGGATGGTGGTGGTGTCTGACGTCATTAGGATGGCGATTATGGAGCATGCCTATTATGCCTGTGCGTCCTTGCTTATTCACTCTACGTTTTTTTTTTCATGCTAACCCTGCCAGCGTTTGGCTACCAGGTGACTAGCTTCTTCGCCGCTTCATCGCGTTATGGTACGTGCTAGTGACTAGGTGACTGGGCCTGCTTCGAAGTCGCTAACTTCAATCCAAGGCACCCCAGAAGAGCTCAAGAGCCTCGTGGACAAGGCCCACGAACTGGGCATCACCGTCCTCCTCGACGTGGTTCACTCCCACGCTTGCAAGAATGTCCTCGATGGGTTGGTTCAATCATGGCGCCACAATTGCTGATCGGCCCAGTCTCAACGAGTTTGATGGCACAGACCACCTGTACTTTCACGAAGGTGCCCGTGGCCGTCACGAGCTTTGGGACTCTCGCCTTTTCAACTACGGTCATCCCGAAGTCCTTAGGTTCCTCTTGTCCAACCTACGGTTCTGGATGGACGAGTACATGTTTGATGGTTTCCGCTTTGACGGTGTCACGAGCATGATGTACCGTCACCACGGGATGGGCGTCGGTTTCTCTGGTAAGCACTTTCGACCAAGGTCTTGCCAAGGCTACAGAGTTAATGACAGGCGGCTACCACGAGTACTTTGGCGACTCGGTTGACATCGAGGCTATGGTGTATCTGATGCTGGTGAGTTTGGTTGAAACACACGTTTTCCGAGACAAAGAAGCTGAAACGGGTAGGCCAACCGCATGCTTCACGACATTTACCCGGACGTCATCACCATCGCTGAGGATGTCTCGGGCATGCCGACCCTGTGCCGGCCCGTCCCCGAAGGTGGTGTTGGATTCGACTACCGCTTGGCCATGGCCATCCCCGACATGTGGATCAAGCTGCTGAAGGAGAAATCGGACGACGAGTGGGACATTGGCAACATCGTCCACACCCTTACCAACAGGCGACACCTGGAGCGTAGTGTTGCGTACGCTGAGAGCCATGACCAGGCTCTAGTTGGAGACAAGACGCTGGCGTTCTGGCTCATGGACAAGGAGATGTGTAGGTGGCATGTTGCCGTCTTCCTGGAGGCGTTGCTCATTGTTCCCAGACGACTACATGTCCGACCTCTCGCCTCTTACTCCGATCATCGACCGTGGTCTTGCACTTCACAAGATGATTCGGTGCGTCCGCAGTGAATCTCATGGATCATTTCGCTGACTTGAGATCAGTTTCCTCGTACACGCCTTGGGCGGTGAGGCGTACCTGAACTTTGAAGGCAACGAGTTCGGTCACCCCGAGTGCGTCTTGGTATTTTACATGTGCGAACAACCTGCTTACCCCGTCTTTACCAGGTGGATGGATTTCCCCCGTGAGGGCAATGGCAACTCCTTTGCGCACGCCCGTCGTCAGTTCAACCTCGTTGACGACAACCTCCTCCGCTACAAGTATCTCAACGAGTTTGACAAGGTCATGAACCAGCTCGAGAGCCAGTACAAGTGGCTCAGTGCCCCACAGGTCCGTCACCGCCATAAAATTGATACTAACTTCTCAGGGATACGTCTCGTTGAAGCACGAAGGTGACAAGACCATTGTGTTTGAGAGGGCTGGCCTGCTTTTCATCTTCAACTGTGAGTTTACAGCAATTTCTTAGCTCATTCACCAGTCCACCCCACCAACTCCTTCACCGACTACCGCGTTGGTGTCGACCAGGCGGGCAAGTACAAGGTTGTTCTTAACAGTGACGACAAACGCTTTGGCGGTCATGCCCGCGTGGACGACAATGGCGAATACTTCACCACTCCCATGGAATGGAACGGACGCAAGAACTGGCTGCAGGTGTACATCCCCCAGCGCAGCGTGTTGGTTCTTGGACTCGCTCAGTAACGGATAACGAATGGCCCTAGGGCTTGGTTAGATAGGATCGATTGCGGTGCGAGAATGAAAATTAAAAAGCCTTACGCTAGGAAATGATAGCCAATGAATTATGTAACGCATGGGACTTGATAAGAAGCTGCAGGAAGTACTCATCTCAACGTGTTGATGGTCTGTGCATTCGTAAAATGAGATGAGCGAGGGGGGGGGGGGGGAGGCTTCAAGACAGCACTTTCTGTTGAGGCACAGAAGTTGCCTAGGAATACAACCCAAACTATTATAACACAACAATACTGGCGGATCGGTATCGCGGTACATGTTGTTACTAGCTGCCCGTTGGGAGATGCGTTGCAGCTCCCGTGATGGCCAGGTTCGTGGCCAGTGCCTCCTCAAGATGACACTGACTGTCCACTAGATGCCCGTTGGGTGATGCGTTGCACCCCCCATGTTGGTCGGAACTTGTGCCCGGTGCCTACAGAGCAGATGACACTGACCGTCGAGCAAGCTGGCAGGTGATGTAGTCATCAGTTGCTAAAACAATTAGATTAAATTAAATTTAAATTAAATAGAACTAGCCCCACTGTGTTGCGAGAAGAAGGTCCCCAGGACTATAGACGGTTGGATCGCGCTTATTAGGAAGTATTCTGAGAAGTGTTACACTGACTGACACGGGTGCATGATGCCACCAGCCTGTGTGCTGAAACTTAATCCCACAGTCAGTATCACCGCACACACGTGGTTGGACACCAAGAAGGGGAGAGATATGTCTGCCCTTGCGGCCGTGGCTACAGTATATATATATATATGTAATACCTCTGGGTTTGTCATGGACGCTGGGCCGGCCGCTTCTGACACAGTTTTGAGAAATACAGAACATCCACCACGCTCGCTATCCTGAGGCCCAGGTGCACAAACGGCCTCATCCACTCTCACTCACTCACTGCCTTTGCCCCTTTTAACAGAAGATTCATAGAAACATCGCACCGAATGCGCCACAGTGCCGGTGTCTGAAACATCATTGTTGCTATGTGTTGACAGAGATATTGTGATCAATTATTTTGCGTACGACGCCGCTTTGCAGAACACTGGTTTACTTTCGCAGTGAGGTAGGTAAACTAGGCAATAATGTCGCGGGTGGCGCGGTGACGTTGCAACAATCCACATGCGTCAGAGGCCCTCCAGCAGAAGAAAACACAGAGCTTTGGCGGTCACGTCGACCTTGCCAAATGTTGATGTTCATTGTTTTATGTGTTCTTCACTTCAGCCAAGACATTCGTAATAGGCATCAACAGCTAGATCTCAATTGGGGGCAGTGGCTTTTAAACAATGAGGAGGATGAGGTGGGAGTAGGGTCGCAAGAAGTCTGCAACAGACAGGGTGTGCTGCGACTGGAGCCTTGCTGTCACATATATGAGAAGACTCGCCCAGGGAGCTTGCTAATGGCCGCACACAAACCGGTTTTGGGTTGAGTATTGATCCTTTTGCCGAGGTGACAGGGCGGCTTGCGTTTCCTCTGATCCTCTGTCACCTGCTTCTCAACTGATATCACTGACGCTCTGTCGTACCCTCACCGATTTCGATACCAGAGGACAGCAGTGGAGTCATAACAAAGCTGCAGTTCATTACTTAGACACAGCAGGTGCAGTGTAGGTGTAGCATGTGGCGTACGCAGGACTACGACGGGGTTTTTAAAGACCGAGCTGTTAATCAAGGAACTGAACTGTTTGCCTCCCGCCTTTGATCCCACTTGTGTACAACAGTTCCGTGTACTCGCAGGCTGTTACCGAGAGAGGCAAAGTAGCCGAATTTGTTTCATGTGGCCTCCTTCACTTTATGTCCCACAATCTTAGGTAGATCAAACCTCGTTCTCGAAGTCAGTGAGCCAATGTTAGCACCCTCTTTGCCTACACCGCACCTATCTGACGCTTCGAAGACACATTAACAAGGCTGTGTTTGTCCACTGCTATAGAATGGGGTCAGGCCTTGCCCTCAAGCCTCCCTACAGTATGCGCTGTCGTTCCCGTTTGTGGCCCCGGCGAATTGTTACTTGTGCTTCACCTCATGTACTGAAGAAGGGCATAATGTCGCCTGGCTCCCCCAACATCTCGTCCATTTCTTGTTCATTTGTCTAGGAAGGGACCCCACCCCGGTCGCATAGATGTTTGCAACACCGGGCGCGCCTCACTGCTACCTGAGTGCCACATGAGGAAGTACAGTTCTAAGTAGCTGCTGCTTACCTGTTGGCCTCGCTCTTTCTTGTTCACATCAACTTAGCAGTTATGTGGATGGCAACATCGTGCAACCAGTACCTGGGTACGTTTAAGGTCTCTGCCTGTTGGGCGTTGTTTTCACTGTCTGCTGTCAAAAAGGTTGGGTAACAGCGGCGATTTACCTCCAAGGTGGTCATCATTGCCTCTCACTCAACGCCTCCATTCTGCATTCTGCCGAGCACAGCGCGTGATACGTCAAACCTGGCGCCAGTTAGCTTTCAGGTCAAGGTATTGTTTAAGTATTTTAATTAAACATCCATGAGACGAGGAGACTCTTGCCTTCACAATCACCAAACTCTAGTTCTCTCTGGGGTAACGCTTGGTTGGACCTTCAGCTGTGGCATTCATGAAGGTTGGCAGGAGAACGTAAATTCTAAAGTGGTGGTAAGATTCCAAAGGGCATAGGGTTACAGAGCATGGGCTCCTGATCAGATTTCACACGACATTGCTCACCCTCTCTCTATATGCCATCTACTGTACATCCCGTCGTTGCAACTATGCCCCTCCTATGGCCGATAGTTCATCTCAATGATCGATTCACCATTAAGTAGTGTACTATGTGAGATTAGCCTGTTTTAATGGCATAGATAGTCAAGGTTTGGATCGAGTGAGGGAGCGATGCAGAATCACTATGCAGCGCTACATACATACTCTATATACGATGAACTACGGGACTCGCTTTTTATCTCATTTTGACAGAGGAGCCTTTATCAGACAGAGACCAGTAAGCTGATAACCGTGGTTTCAGACGGTGACAGAAAAGTAGGAGACAGCAGACAATGCGTCGGGTGCCTTGTGGTGGGAGGTTTGGCACAAAAAGTGCGCTGCGCAACTCAGTTATTTTGACAGTGGCGACTCAATACTTTTCTTGAGACAAAGGTTAGTATCCTGGAAGTTGGCAAAGGTTTTCAATGGAACCTGTCGGGAATTCAACATCGAAGTCGTCTACAGACATTCACCGGCTTTTGCCTTTTCGGTCGAGTAAAATGGATACCTGTGGAGTCGGCATTGGGGGATCCTACCTCATAATTTATTCCTCATTTTTCATTCCTCATTTTTCATTATGTCAGGCAAATTAGCGAATGGCATAAATGCCCAGCATCTCTACAGACCATTGACTGAGTGAAGCTGAAAATTGTTGCAATTCAAAGGTGTCGGTTGACGAGAGCTGAACAGTCCTGTGGGCCTGTGATGCGGCTATAATAATAATAGGTGTGCTGTAATATGATCCAAACGCAGAGATAGCACAACGTGACACAGTTCCCTTACACCTCTGCAAGTGTGCTAAAGACAGATGGGCGCCAACTGTTTCCCATGTTCCGCGGCTGTTCTGCGACCACTTGTTTGAACCACCGATTATCTGCTTGAATATCGCCTGGACATCGATCTACCCCTGTTGAGAGCAACTTGACAAAAAGTTTGCACATCGTGAGCTCCTTAATGTGCTTATAGCCCTGTCATGATCACTGCAGAGTAAAACGAACGCAAAGTGTTCAGTCCACAAAACGCGATTAAGTACAACTTCAGTGAACCAGCAGTGGATAATGTCCAATGAAGTTGCGAAAAAAGCGCCAAAATCATTAGCTTCCATTAGGGCCGCGGGCGCTTAGGAAGATGTAATTGGCGGAAAAGATGGCTGACACCTGACTTGACATCACCTATACGGTCATGCTGACAAAGCGCTGACTGCGCACGCGTGCACAGAGGCTGTGTTGTGAATCGCATTGCCCCACGTAGGTCAGGGTGGGTGCAATTACAAATTATGATGCCACTTTTGTCGACCTGCTAACACTGACTGAGTGCAGTCACATCAACCAAAGCCGCCGGTCGGCATTGTTGCTACCTCCCTTCCGCGGACAATACTCTTAGTGGAAGGTGGGATTGACTGATTCCTGCAGGCAGATGACGCTGACCGTCGAGCAAGCAGGCAGGTGACCCCAAGACCAGTGCCAGCGAGACTTTTTATTACACTGCCTATGGGCTCGCGGGCCTAACGGTTTCTAACTTTTTGGACCCTTTTTTGTGACTGCCAGAAGTAGAGACAGACGAATGATACTGTAAGAAAGATTTTAATTCATTCTGGACTCCCAACAAATATTGGATGCAGACGTTTACCAAAATTTGGGAGTGCCCAGTGATCCAGTGAGGTAAAGAGTGCATTCTCAAGTATGCAACAATCCATATCTCGGGCCAGAGTACGCCCCCCCCCCCCCCCCCCCCCCCCACGTCCAAGACCACATGCAGACAGCTTCGCCAGGCGGTGACTTACGGGAACTGCAATCGCTTCGTGGTGTCAACCCCGCACTATGCGGACAAGCCATAGACTTCTCCTGTTACCTCAAATTCTGAACGGGGAACGCCAGGTCCCATTTAAGGAACGTACTTCTCTGAGAAAGGTAGCGTAAGACACCCACCTGTACATGACTTACTTACTGCTGTTGATTGAAACTGGGTCGCCCAAGTCCCTTCACTCCAAGGTATTGTCCAAATAATTTTTTTTGTTGGTCCTCCTGGAGATCGCCTTGATGCACTGGCTCCAAATCTGAGATTCCGAATGACGCTCCTCTTGATCAATCTGAGGTGATGGCAATATTGTACAATTTGCATGTGGGGAGGACGAAAGAAAATATATTACCCTGTGGGTCTCTGTATGTACATATATGTATCACCATTAATCTTGTGTGCCATCTGGTTTAATAATTACAGACCCCAGTGACCGCCCGCAGAGCAGAGAGATTCACC